TAGTAAAAAAATCTATACGTACTACTCTTACTAAAACTAGTATAACTTTTATACTTCTACTACTACCTTTATTTTTAAAAAGAAATTAATATAACTATATATTCTATAATAAATTTTTCTTATAAATATTATTTATAATTTTTTTTTTACTTTTACCTTTATTTTTATAGAAAAGTTCTATATTAAAAGTCTAATATTATTTTTTATACTAAGAGATTTTTTAGCTAATAGATAAGCTATAATAATAAAAGAATAGTATTATTTTATTAAGAATAATAGTTAGTATTAAAAACTATAAGTATATTTTTATTTTTTATAAACTATAGCTATAATTCTTAATTAGATTTAGAGTTTTTATAACTATATCTACTAAACTTATCTCTAATATAGAAATAGTAGTTCTACTATACTAATACTATTATAAACTACTTTAAGTATATACTTATTTAACTAAAAGCTCTTATATAGTAGTTTATTAACTAGTATAAGTAATATACTAATAATTACTAGAAAAATATACTATACTATAAGAAAAACTAGAAGATTTATATTAATATACGTAATATAAAAACTAACTATCTAATAAAGAAAAAAGATAATAAGATAGTAAAACTATATAAAGTTAAAAAAGTCTATTTATATACTTACCTACTAAACCTACTACTATTTATAAAAATCTTTTTAGTATTTTATTACTTACTTCTATAACTTTAATATAATATTAAAAGCCTTCTAGAATAAGATAAAATTAATAAAGTAAAGTTATACTATTTATATAGAAGAGTTCTAGAATAAAAGAATAGATTAAATAAAGTAACTAAGTAATAAAAATTTAATAAGCTACTTAATAGCTATAATAACTATAGAAACTTATAATATTTTATTAAATAAAAATACTATAAGTCTTTCTAGTAACTAGTAATAGACTTTAAAAACTAAAATAAAGTAATTCTAGTTTTCTATAGTATATATCTAGAAAAGCTAGAACTACTAATATAGATAAGAAAGTTAGCTAAGCCTTAATAGAAATAAAAAGAATTTTTTTAAAGTTAGACTATTTAAGATAAATAGTAAAGTAGAAGAAAGATACTATTATAGTACTAATATAAGTTTAAGTTTAGATACTACTTATATAATAGTAGCTAGTATCTTAGTATTTATATAAATATTTTCTATAGTTTACTAAGTCTTTTACTTTTTATAGTATAATATATTATATTACTATATTATCTATTTTATAATACGTAAAAATATACTATAATTTTTAATAAAAGATTTTATCTATATTAATATATAGAATATAAAAATAAATAAATCTATAAAAAAAAATAATAAGCTTATAAAGCTATATAAAGTATAAAAAGTCTATAACTAATTATATATACTAGAACTTCTATTATATATATAAATTTTTTTAGTATTCTATAACTTACTACTTTATCTCTAGTATATCTTTATAAGTCTTCTAGGTTAATAGATAATTAATAAAGTAGAGTTATATTATCTTTATAAAAGAGTTTTTAAAAAAGAAAATAGAATAAAGAAACTTACTAAAAAGTAGAAGTTTAATATAATACTAGACTACTATAATAAGTAACTAGAATTATAGTATTTTATTAAATAGAAAAACTATACTATAATATAGTAACTAGTATTAAATCTAAAAAGTTAAAATAATATATTACTAAAATTCTATATCTAGATAAGCTAGATAAGCTAGATCTACTATAATAAATAAAAAAACTATAGATACTAGTTAGTTTAAATTTTTTATTATTTTATAAACTATCTAAAATATATAGTATACTAGAAGAAAAGTATTATTATAGTACTAATCTATCTACTTAGTTATATAATCTTAACTATCTTAGTATTTTAGTATAGTAAATATTTACTTTATATCTTTATATCTTTATAGCTTAATATTATATAACTTATTATATATCTTAAGTTTTTATTTTTTATTTATACTATAATACTAGTACTTATAAAGTCTAAAGTTATCTAGCTTTAAGTAGCTAATATAGAAAAAAAAGTATAATTTATATAAAAAAAAGTAGATTTAGAAAGAGAATACTCTTATAATTAAAGCTAGCTTATAGCTAGTAACTTAAAAAAAGGCTATAGATTAGAATAAGAGTAAGAAGTAGTATAAAAAAGTAGTAGTATATAATAGCTAGCTAGCTTAGTAATACTATAGATACTATAGTAAGCTAGAGTATAATATATAAACGTACTAGATAGTTAAAGATAATATAAATAAGTTAGATAGCTTATCTAGATTTATCTTAAGTAGCTTAGAGTTAAAGAAATCTAAATAAAATAGTAGCTTTTTAGTAGAAGCTTAGTATTTTTAGATTATTTAATAGAGTAACTAGTTTAATAGTAAAGTATATTAGAGAAATCTAAATAAGATAGTAGCTTTCTAGTAGAAACTTAGTATTTTTAGAGCTTTTACTTATATAGAGCTTTTACTTATATAGAGCTTTTACTTATATAGAGCTTTTACTTATATAGAGCTTTTACTTATATAGAGCTTTTACTTATATAGAGCTTTTACTTATAAAGTATATTACTATTAATTATATTATAATATAATAAAGCTTTAGTAGAGACTAACTAAATTCTCTAGTATCTAGAGTATTTTTAACTTAGTATAGTAGGTAGTGTAGACCTTCTTAGTATTATTAAAGTTCTCTAAAGATAATATAATAAGTATAGTTACTACGTAGAAGCTATTTCTATTAAACGTTAATAAATCTTTAATACGCTAAATATCTTAAAGAATAATTAGCCTATATTTTTTATTAGTAGTATTTATGCGTAGAATACTATTACTAGAATTATATTATAGCTTATAGAGCTTCTCTATTTTATACTTCTTATTATACTCTAAGAATATTAGATTTAAAGTTAAAATTCTATTATAATTATAATGTCTATTAATAGTTATAGTCTTTTATAAAAAAGAGAGAGGTTAATAGTATACTATATATTTTTAAAGATAGAAAGTAGTAGAAGTACGTAAAGAGAAGTAAGTAGGTAGAATAGCTCTAATATATAGACTAGTAAGGTTATATATAACTTATATACTATATACTATAAGCTATAGAATAGCTTAGATATATATATTATTAACGTAGTAGAAATAGGTTAAGCTAGAATTTTATAATAAATAATATATAATATCTTATAAAAGGTTATACTTTTATAAATATATAAAGAGAGCGCTTTATATACGCTATATTTATTCTAGAGTCTACTTAGCTTCTAAGCTTTAAGAGGTTTATTTGTGTTAGAAATAGATACGCTAATACGTTCTCTACTATAATATAAGAATCTAGTTCTATATAGAAGATCTTACTAAGTAGATTATATAGTTAAATAAGCTCTATTATTTATAGATATTCTACCTTCTTTTACGTACTATAGTTTAGTACGTAGCTATCTGCTAGATATAACTAAGCTAGGTTCTAGACTTAACTAAAGAGTAAGTATAACTAGAAAGGTATAGATGTCTTAGTAGCTAGAAGAACCTAGTCTTTATTATTAAAGTATTAGTTTCTCTTCTTCTACGTACTCTAGAATCTCTCTAGAAGCTTACCTAATATTACAACTATATCCCTTAAGACATTCTGCTAAGGCAAGAAGAGCGCCTTAAAGAGTGTGTAGCTAGCGTATATCTTAAATATATTACACTCTAAAGCCTAGACGTTACTTACTCTAGAGGCCCCTAACGCTAGAATGTTCTTAGAAGCTAAGAATTAACTAGAGGTCGTGGTGCGCTGTAGTAGTTTGTTAAGAAAGAACGCCTGCCTAAAATTAATAATTAAAACTTTTAAGAGGAGTATCCGCGCTTTAAGGCTAGATAGGTCTCTAGAATATACTGTGTATTTCGGCGCACATTCTTTAATAGGGGTTCTATTAATTTAATAAAGCGTCTTACACACAGAATGCTCTAGGTAAGCATAGATCTGCTCTAGCAACTACAAGTTAAAGAAGTTAAGTTATAGTAGAATGTTTCTAGTGTATATGTCTAGACTAATATAAGATATAGTTAGTTTAGATTTAACTCTAGAACACAATTTACCTTTATAACTAATATTGCAGGTATGTAGATAATCTACTACCTAAAACAACTAGCACGCTAGCAGTTAGGCTAGGCCTAGATAACTATAATTAACTCTAGCTAGACAAGCGAGCCGCTGTCCTACTACCTAAGTTACTATACAATAATAATCTCTATTAGAGCCTTTAATAACGAAGTAGTCTTCGAGCCTTATAACATACTTGCTTCTATAATGCTTGTTATTACGTCTAGCTAGGTAGCGTAAGATTCTTAGCTTATTACTATCTAGATTAAAGTTAGCCCGCGTTATCTTAAGCGAGACATAGCGCTCTTGTAGCGTATCTCGTGCGAGCTACACTGTTGAGAAGCTGCTAAAACCTAGCTTGTAAACGATGCGGTACTAACCGTCTTTAAAGAAGTTGCTAAGCAAAATAGGATGTAGCCTGCCAGGCTTGTATTACTCTACATCTTCCGCCTTTAAGGTTAATAAGATCTTGTAAACGCGCCTTAGAAGCAGAGTTAGCGTGGCTATAGCTCGTTGTTAAGAGGTACGAAGTGTAGGCTCTGTAGACAGATAAGCGATAGCATAGGGCAGGCTATATTAGCTAGCGCAGGCGTACCTAACCGCACTAGCAACTGCCTTTAGCTAGCGTGCGGGCCTTCTAGACATTGGAAATGGCAGCCTAAAAGATAGCGCCGCACCCCTCTATTACTGCCCTTGCCCTGTACCCCTTAAGAAGCCAGGCTATTAGTAGCGTTAATTAATTGATTGATTTTTCGTTTTAAGTTACCTGTTGGCGGAAGCAGCTATGCCGAGCATTGTTTACTGTTAAGGATCTAGTGTTAGTCACGTAACCGCGCTAGCCTAGCGTATATACTTAGAGCTCTCAGCTCTTTTTAATTAATTCATGTTACACTCCACTTCGTTACTTCAACATCACCAACCTATAGAGGTAGTTGGGCGCATCAGATACATCAAAACTCAACGCAAGTGCGGATCATAAGCGAAGTTATCGAGTTCATCAACTGGGGCGACGACTTTCAGTATGCCGAGGAACGGAGGAGGGTCACCGAAGTCATACGAGGCGTCGCGGCGGAGCGCGGCTTCACCCACGGACAAGTTCAGTAAGTGCTGCTCCGCGCCGCCTCGCATCAAGACTAACCTGGCTGCATGGAAATGTTTATCAAGAATCGATACCGCACCATGTTTGGGCTCCACTTGACCGTGCATCTGCAGAAGCGGGAATAGGTCCATCACCAGCCGAACCGTTACGTCCCAGTGCACCTCTATTTCACCAAAGACTGCGCCCTCCAGGATCAGAAGCACAATCCGGATTGGTATCCAGAGGTCATACCGGAGGCCGAGTGAGGGACAGGGTGGCTGTGTCACCCCAAACCAATCAGGCATCTGGAAGCTCGTCACAATTCACGACCTTCCCGTGTCTCCGTGTCCTGCAGTGCTCCGGGAAATAGAAGAGGGCTTTTTGCCCATTCATCTCATTGTTTCCTATGCCCGCGACATCATGAGTGAGATTCCACTTCGTGCATTGCCATCGAGCTCCCCGTCAACATCACTGCGGCCCCCGGTTCCCCGACGTAAGCACAGAAATCGGACACTGTGCCTCGTTAATCGGATGCAGTGACACCGAAGAATATGCCAATGCAGTCTCTGCCTTCTCACGACTTCGTACCGGCGCTGGTCAAAGGCACAGATACCTTGCCGAGTTCTTAAACAGTGCACCGTTCGCGCTCGATGTCGATGACTCCGAACCAACGTCTAGTGCTGTTCCACGTGGAGAGCCATTCTTGACGCTCTACGAGATAGCCCCCGAGAATGCGTGTCCAAAAGACAATAACAAGCTCTCAGAGCCCAGGGAGTTTGCAGACCCGGAAGAGTTCGCCGCGCTTCCAGTACCAACCATCGAAGACGACAGAGGTCAGCTAATCTTCATAAGAGGCTATCCCACACCAGCGTGGCTCAACACGGTCGGCTCCAAATACAAGGTCGATCCGGACTTCTTTGCCCGCCATTTAGACTATCTCATCCCAACAACCTCCGAGACATTTCCCTCGCCTGCATTGCCATCCTCGCTTAGCCACATGGTCACGCTTTACGTGACGACGATAGGGTCTCGAGATCGCGCCCGCCGAACCTTCAGACAGAGCGAGATTGACAGTATTCGGATAAGTGACAAGAGAAAGATGGCTGGGTATTCTCGATCATTGTCGGCCGGCTCCGATTTCAATGCAGGAAATGCACTTGTGCGTTATTACTCGACCCTGGACGAGTCCCACTTCACCATCGAGCAGAGAATCACGGTCAATATTCATCGCCGAAGAAATGGTTGGACTGGTGAGAAAGCTGTAATCACTATTATGAAGCGCAATAACTCACTGTTCCCAAGCATTCGTGTGGCTAGACTGTGGAAATGATCTAGACCATTCCTTCGCCGGGCCTTGGTCAGAGCAACCCGAGGCCCAACTGCACCCAGTCATCTCATACAAGCACATGCACGGTCTCAACCCGGACACCCTGACTACTGGTGGTGTCATCGACACCGATCCTTCACATCGGTTCAAGGTACCACAGACGGCCACCTTGCTTCATCGGCGATTCGGGCAGACACTACTTCGGAAGGACATGGGGCGCGACATCCTTTACGCATTAGACAAGGTTTTCTCTCTTGCGATCTCCTCTGAGTGTCAGTTCCTCGACATGATGGAGAAGAAATTGGATCGAACTCTCGAAAAGGTCAACGCCGATGAGTTTGACACTTTACCTGACCTGAAATTTTTACGGCAACTTTTGTATCGACATATTCAACAGATCCAGGAAACGATTGTCGGGGTGGAGAATGCCCGATCGCCGTTAGTAGGACCCAAGGGAAAAACTGTTTCGCCAGCGAAGGAGGCAGAAGCCGACACTGAAGTCAACCAAACTGCAACCACCACGTTGCGGGATCTTGACCACAGCCTCCGCCATGCTGAAGCACTAGAGAGACGGATTCAGGATACAATATCAGTACTGATGAGCAGCGTCTCCATTGCAGAATCCAGGAGGGGTATGGAGCAACAAGAAAGGATCGGGAAGCTTACAATTCTTGCTTTCATTTTCGTTCCTCTTTCATTCACGTCTTTCTTCGGAATGAATTTTAAAGAGATGAAGGCGGACATCATGTCTATTTGGCAGTGGTTCACCGTATCTGTACCCATTGTAGTATTTACGCAACTAGCACTCTTTGTCACAGCAGAACAAATGAAGTCATCCTTACGGTGGCTTCGGGGACGTCGCAAGGCTGGGCCAATAGCTCCAGGGGACAAGGCAAAGTGAGCTAAATGAGATGTTTGTTGTCCGAATATTGCAGCCGCACAGTCGTACGAAACATCTGAGTAATGACCACCTACCTAAGTAGCTAATACCAGGGTGCATCGCTCCAGCCCTGTGGTGGATGGGTGATAAGGCGGCTACACAAGTCGGGGAACAGTGCTATCGGGCCCATGCTCACAAAGCGGCGACGAATAGCTCGGCTACGGAATCGGTTCGGCGCGCATCAGCCTTCGGTCGGCCCAATTGGTGCCACGAATCTTATCGAATGTCAAGTGAGTTCGACCAGTGAGCGGGGTCTGACTGACCACGCATGCATTAATCACACATGCATCCCAATGCGTGTCCTTTGCGAGCCATGTTCTCCACTCGTATCTTGCTTTTCAGCTTTGGAACTGTCCTGCTCGCGCCGGTCTCTTTCGATCTTGGGATGCGATTCCTGCCCCAGCTCAAAATTTGTCGCGCACCCTTCTCTCGCGCAGCCTCGTCTACGTTGCAGCCCGTGCCAGGCATGGCCGCATCATCGATAATGGCACCACTTAGCACAGTAGCACTTCTTGAGCTCGATGCATCGGGTCTACGACGAATGCTGGATGATGGAAAGCTTACGAGTGTCGCGCTGATGAAGCAGGTGCTGGCGCAGATCGAACAGGAAGACAAGGCTGGAGCTAAGTTGCAGACAATCTTGAATACTGCATCCCGCGAACTACTACTCAGGCAAGTAGCCGTGCTAGATGAGGAAAGGAAGAAAGGACAACTTCGCGGTCCATTGCATTGCATACCCATCCTCACTTGCTCAGGATGCCATCGCGACGCATCCGGACTTGGGTATTCCAACTACCGTTGGTAGCTTTGCACTTGTGACCTCAAAGCCTGCCAAAAATGCCGCAGTCGTCGACGAACTCATCAAGAATGGCCTCATCATCCTCGCCAAAACCAATCTAAATGTAAGCACTTCGACTGAGATGCTTCGGAGTGAGATTGAATTTAACAGGAATTCTGCAATTGGAAGTGTGTTGCCACTCTTAAATGGGGCCATTGTGAATAACACGTCTTACAGAGGATTCAATTCCGTCAACGGCTTCTCCGGGGTTGGTGGACAAACCAACTCTGCATATGTGGTTGGGGGCTTGCGAGAAGACGAGGCGTCCATGGGGCACTCGGTAAGAATGCTTAACTACGGATACTAGGTTCCAAAGATTGAATTTTGCAGAGTCCACTCGGTTCGTCCACTGGATCAGCAGTTGGTGTGTCAGCCGGCTTCAGTCCGCTATCTTTGGGTACTGAAACCGATGGTTCGCTGGTCCAGCCAGCTGCAAGAGCAGCTTTGTACGCTCTAAAGCCCACAGTGGGAAGCACAGACCACCGGGGTGTTTGGACGTTATCGAAAAGGTTTGACGCCGTTGGGGCGATAGCGAAGTCTGTTAGCGATCTCGCTCTTGCCACCGAGATGCTCCACACGATGGAGGTGCGATCAAGGTTACCCGAGGATGGCTACCTTTCCTTCCTGTCCAAGAGCTTCACGGGACTAAAAGTGGGTTTTCTAGACGAGTCGCAGTGGCATTTGCCGCCGCAAATGTGCCCGCAAATTCCTAGCGTAGTGCAGCAACTGGTGAGGGGCATTTGGCCTACTTCAGGATCAGCAACTGATCTCCACAACAGAATGGCGCATACAAGCTTGCTATTGAGAAGATTCGGGATGCCGGAGCTGAGGTACAGTATCCGGTAGTACTTCACGGGGTGGAGAAGCTACTCATGGAAAACCAAACAGGCATGTCCATCATCCTGTGTAAGCCACTCCGGAAATATCTGCACAGTCTGTTACTAACTAACGAATTAGTCCATGAGTACAAGAAAAACGTGGATGACTACCTCGAGGGCCTTGACTTCTCTGAAGTTCGAAGTTTGAAAGAGCTGATCGAATGGAACAAGGAGCACGCCGATATCGAGATGCCCTACCGTGAGTGCTTGAGATGCGACAATGATGCACATGCTAACTGTAATAGAACATGCAAATCAGGGTCGGCTGATTAAGGCATATGAGGAAGTACCGAATGCAACAGCGTATGAGTCGGCTATTGCGCACTTGCATAAGGTATCGATCAAGGAAGGCTTCGATCTGCTATTCGGTGACAAAGGATTGGACCTTGTTGGTGTCCCGATGGACAGTAAAATCCCTAGCATGGCCACAGCCTCAGGTTCGTTCAACCTTGCAAGTTCTACAAACATTGTTAAACCAGGTGCCAGGATACCCCATTGCCACAATGCCTCTCGGTATATTGGATCATCTCGGCCGCCCTTTCGGTCTTGCGATCAAGGCGCCAGCGGGACGGGAAGATGTGATGTTCAAATTCATGAGCGCTTTCGAGGCGGTATTCCCGAAGAGAGCGATTCCGCCGCAGCTAGTTAAGGCGGACGAGGCAGAGACGGAGCTCAACGACGCTAAGATATGACGACTAGATGAACCAAGGATCTCGTTAGTAGGCCTGACTAGGCAATAGGAATTGTAGTGTGGAAAATTTCAACCTGATCAACGCTCGGACCTGGTATCACTCCTAATCTCATGAAGTTCGTTCTCCTCCTCACTCGACGCAAATCTGCCTCGATTGGGCGTATGCGAGTGCCAATATAATGAGAAAAAGGAACTATTGCTTTGATTACTATCAATTCCCCAAGAATATGAATGGACATGCAATATGTACCGCGGAATTCTAAGAAACAAACCGCCCTCCAACACCACTTCTCCGTGGACCGACACCAGAACTACCTAGGTAGATTGGCCATAAGCGGCCCCCCAATGGCTTTACCCACAAAGAAGCAAACGGCTTGCACCGCCGCTTGGCGAAGAGCTTATTATTATTATTAGCACTGCCTGTAAGTCTCGACCAATCGTGGCGAAGACACGCTCGATGCGAGCACGCGCACGCGAGGAGACTTCTCTGGCACGGATAGGCCTTTGCTTAACGCTAGCTTATCGGTGACCCTTAATTCTTTGGCCACTCCCAGGTAGCGAAAAAAGGCTTCAACTAGCAGAGTAAAGCGACCGGAGGATTTCGGACGCCGTTTCTCAACGAGAATGCGAGTGTTCCAGCAGATAGCTAGGTTGTGAAGGGCTGACTGCGTGTGAACTATGCAGTGTAGGGAGAAAACTGCACCCTTTCTGTACGATTAAGGTTCCTGTCTCAACCCGGTCTGAGTTCGACGTGCTATTGTCAACCATAAACTAAAACTACCGATAAAGACCATGCCAAAAGACCCGAAACTCCTTGGCCGTCACTACCTCCGTAATCTCAATGCCTTGCCATGTGTTAGCTCCCTAGGGAAGGAAATGCGATGCTCAGCATTGAAGCATCAGCATCTTCCATAATGGGCAAGTTCTCCGAGGTTGTTCGAGTGCTTGGACCCTGCGACCAAATCAGTCGGGAATTTCGGCCGTGCCAACGAGCTCCCCACTTACACAAACGTTTCGAACGGCGTTCCTCGCAGACTGTTCTTCCCATCAACTACCTCCCAAGGGTCCGGAGGGGAGCTCACTCCGGCCCACTCAAGAAACAGCTGCCGCCAATAACACACCTGCGCTGTCGGTGAGGGGCTGCTGCCAGTTGCGATCCGGATCACTCACCTGTGCCGTAGGTGTAAGATACCCATCTCGAAATACTGCCATACTATTATTCATGATAGCCTCTGCGCGCTGCGGGTGCTGTAATAGCTCTTCCACTTTCTCTTCAAGGTCAGAGAAGTCACGCTCTACCTCTACGAAATTCTGATGAGGGCCTGCGCGGACAAGGAGGTGGTGGTGAGGCTCAATCCACTGGGCTTTGTGCATTATCACAATGGAAGCGCAATTGAGAAGGTATTTTCCTCGGCCCGAGTAGCCGTGTCCTGCAATTTTATGGCTTTATCAGTCCAAGCGCTCTTAGTGTGAAAGTGCCAAAAAGCAAATCTTACCTTCGGTATGAATGAGAAACTTGTACGCGCAGTGTTCCGCAATTGGTAATGCGGCCGCCGCTGAACCGCCGGTCACATCCGTCATGTTCTTCCAGGTCACTTCCTCCACATCCGCCCACTCTTTCCCGCGTGTAGCTCTCATCAACGCGCCGCGAACTTGTTTGTTCGTCTTCAAGGCTCCCCGCCACAGCGCCTTCGAGATCTTCTTATCCCATTCCACTTCGTTTTCCCGCATTGCTGCGCGTATTTGGTCGTACTCTCCTACCAACTCAAGCGGCCAGGACCAGTACCCAAAGTCTGGCATTAGCCAGATTTCGTCGTCGATGGCGAGCCGGGAGAAGGCCCAGATAGTGTGGTGCGCATGAGATACGTCTGCAATGTCGTCGACGGCGAAGGAAAATTCAATATTAGGAAGCAGGAAGAGGGATGTGGTCACGGCGCGATTGAGTTGGTGGAGAATGGCGAGGGCGCGGGTGCTGTGATAGCCTTTTCCGTCGAGCTTTTCCTCTATGATGAAGAGCTGCGGAATTAGCGGAAGCTCCGGGGACTGGTGGGTGAACGAAGAAGGCGATTAGTGGGATTACCTTCTGGTTGTATATCATGGCCCGCACTGCTCCGTACGTCTTCCAAGACAGGTCGATTGCCGAAGGGGATACCTTTCCAAGGCCTTTTTGTCGCGTTACTGAGCGTTCTATCTCCTTGAAGAGACCTAAGAATTTCGAATTGCATTCGGTGGGGAAGACTCCGTAGTTAGAACCGTACGCTGCTAGCGAGGGGCGGTCGATCATCGTTTCAGTCGGAACCTCTGGCGCCACCAAACTTGATGACCCCGACAGCGGTGGAAAGGCGCCCTGAATTGAGGCTGATGTCTTTGGAAGAGAATGGAACTCAGCAAGTTGGTCCGTGAGGGCCATGTCAAGACGATGACGAAGAAATGCTCCTGTAATAAGGATAACAAAAAGGCAAGCGATACCCAAAAAACAAGACCGCATCTGGCGAGGGCTACACTTTCTGGCCATGGTTGCCAACATTGGGTTTGGACGGTAAATTACAAAAGGTCAGGCCTGTATAAAAGTTATCTTTCCCCTTGGATTGCAACGTAGGGCTAGCAGGATTGACCCCGACGTGGCGAGATCGAGGCGGAGTGAAGGACAAGAATGGTAATGAGGCGAAGCGGAGGATGAGGGCGGCGTTGAGCTGAAGAAGCGTTCATGCGGCGTTGGGGCGGAAGACAGCGGCACTAAGGCAGAAGGATGCGGCGTTCAGGCGAAGAAGCATTAATGCGGCGTTGATGCACCATGGCCAAACAGCCACGAATAGAGCGAAGAGCTCCGGATTTGAGAGGCAAACAACATCACTGAAACATATCAACGTGCCATGCGCAGCGCCATAGGGTCGACCACCAGACGCTCAACGCGCGCGGATCATTGGCCGTTTGCCGATTCGTTGCTGGTCTCGATTCGATGCCACACGCGGGTTTCCACATTCTGTTTCTGCTGTCTCCTGCTTGAATCGACCACATATTGCTCGCACTTGACAGAAGCTCTCTCGCATGTAGTCTTTTTACTGCGTGTCAAGCCTAACTGATATATTTGTAATTACTTCGATATACGCCATGAGACACAACCCGAGTGAGAAAAGTGTGAGGTACACGACATGAGACCGCGGGGACAGTGTATATCCGAACCATTTAAAACGAGAGAAATCAATCAATCAATCAATCAATCATCTTGTGATGGCTATGGATTGCGAGCGCGATATGATGTCCATCTGGGAAGATAGCGAGGGCAAGGGTGGATGGATAAACCCCCATGGGGAACGGTAAGTCCGCATTCCTTGTAATAATTAGAACACGTTACTAACAGGATAGGTCTTTGGCGAGTGTATCAGGGAGTAAGAGAAGGCAGCTCTAATGGTGGGCACACTGAAACCCCTACTGCCTAGGTGCCTTTTCATTATCGAGTATCTTGGGTTTCAGGTTCTCTGTCCGGGTTCTAAGGGTATGTCGAACTGGTTAGGCGGACGTCGTGTGCAACCTGTTTGCAAACGACGTCTTTTACACCCAACGGAAATTGTGCCTAGAATACCAGATCATAGATTCACTTACGCACGTATGACTTTTGCCCCGAGTGGATGCCAAATGCCATTGGCCATACCTTCTAGTGCTACTCATTATGGCTGCGCTGGTCTTTCTTTCACCATATCCGGGTTCATCTTGATCCATCTATACCCAGCCACATCTCCAATCTCGAGTAAATGCTCAACCTCATGGTCGCCCTGGTAAACGGCGTATCTTTCCTTACCAACCCGTTCTATCTCCTCTTCTCTTTCCAACAAATCCGGTTCATCTTTGAGCAGCTCACATATTTTGTTGTGCCTCTCCTCCCTTGTCTTACACATATATGTCCCTCTCTGCGCATCTAGATACTTTATACTGTTGTAGGCATCCTTGAGTCCGCGTTGCCTAAGAAGAACTGCAAGCTGATCGGTACGTCGACAATACTCCGCACGTTCGGCGGACTCGTAAACCTCCCAGAAGTCTGGACGGAGCGGGACTAGCTACGTTGCTATCCAGTCCGCCTTCTCCTCAGCACTCCAAGGACAGAGGTAGCGATAGTTGGGAGCGAAAGGGTCGCTTGAGTATTGTTGAGGAGCCGTTCGGGGTGTCGTGGGATCAGTCTCGCGAGAAGCAGCTTGAGAAAGCTCTGAAGTGGATGCAGAGTCTTTGAAAGGGTCGCTTGAGTGTTGTTGACTGGCCGTCCCGGGCGCCGTTGAATCAGTCTCGCGAGGAGCGGCTTGAGGAGGCTCTGAAGTAGACGCCGAGTCGTTTTGTGCTGTTTCCTTATGAGCTCTCGGACCAGTAAGGTGTATAGACTTTGGGCCCGTACTAGTGTCCATGATAATCGACAAAGATTACGCAGCGAGAGGGGGGGAGTACTAAAGCCGGGCATCAGAAGAGGCGTTGTGCGGGGTATACTGGATGCTGTGCCGCACACTTTAGTCCTGTGATTACTAACACTATTCCTATTCGAGACCGTCTTGTGCCCTTATTGCGTAGCGAGTTTACAAGCAGGGCAATTATAATTAAATTCATAGAATCACTAGAAATAATATCTCTAAGCTAGGTGCAGCTATACTCTAGTATAGAGAAGCACTTCTACTTACGTACGAGACAGCTCGCGAAGATGTCGACTACCTAGGTACATAGTAATACGAGATGCGATAAGCAACGGTGTAAGCCGAGGCCTACTAGAGCAACATACGGCTGGTGGCCTGATATGATGTGATATAGTCGAACCTATGCAAAAAGATTCAGCTTAACATTAGGAGTAGCGAGAGGGTAAAAGGGCTTCTACTTTGACACCTTCCTTTCCGACCCTTTTGGTACGCACTGAAGGCGAGCGGGTTGGGTCGCATAGCCCACCGCGCATAATCCCATTTTTGGGCAAGCGAAGCCATTCTTCAAAAAAAAAATTTTGGTCCAACCCCTAACACCAAAATTTCGAAACTAACAGCATGTCCAAGAAGCCAACCTTTTCGTTCACTGACGATTCTATGGCAGCCAAAACAGGACTGCTTGGCGTTTATGCCATTTCAGCGCTGACGGACCAGACTAGGAGGTGGCAGATTTTAGCCAAGACGTTGAAATTGTTGCGAGCTCAGCACGTCAACAACGGTAGGTCTTCGCCTAAAATCGACGACAAACAGGTAGCGAAAAAAGTCCGAGAGCGCTGGCGGTATATCCATCTTCCTAAGCTCCTCCTCAAATGGAAGTGTTTCAAAACACTTCGGGCCTATGCTATCACCATATCCCGACTTTTCAATTAGCTGAGCAATCCTGAAATAACCTTGGTAGTTGGGGTCGGTGGGGTGAATCGTCACCGAACCAGGAAAGAGTCGTAAGAGCTTTGCCATTGCCCACGGATGCGGCCAGTGGCCTTGGGGCATGTCATTGGCACCGAACACAAGAGGGGAAATCCAGTCGAAAAGCTTTCTTTGTTAGTCTGAACACGAGCAAGACCCAGCAGAGTCGCTCACCGTGACAGCAAAAGCCCACACGTCGGAGCAATGAAAGCAGCCTATTCCTAACCAGACCTCGGGAGCGCGCATTGCAAGTGGCTGGACGGAGTACTCATTGAAGCCCTCCGACCGCACTATGTGGCGTCAGCATAGTTGATTACTTATGATCTGGGCAAGACAAATACTTAGTCCCAAGTCTCCAAGCTTCACCACTGGGGATGGTCCGTCGACGCCAGAGATAAGGATGTTATCGTTCTTAATGTCTGATTTAGTTAATATGCTTAGAAGCATCTCGTCTCGAGAGGGCAGCGCGTACCTGTATGAACGAGTTGTTGTGACTTCAAATCGGCAAGCGCCCCCAAGACTGCCTTAGAAATGCTCTTGAACAACACAGAATTTCGTCTGTGAGGCTCGGAAGACACGTCCTTTAGAGTACAATCCATCCACTCAAAGGCCAGGCAATACGGACTCTCATTCGCCGAGCTGCTATGGACATTGATGGCGTCGTACATGGCTCGGAAATGCCAAGACGAGTGAATGGCAGGATTCATGTAACAATCGTGCTCATGCTTCAGCATACCCAAAATTTCCTTCTCGGAGCTCGTCTTGATAACAGCCCTGGGAATGCAATCAGCGAGTGGGACGAGATGCGCGCCATCTAGTAGACTAACCATTTTCTTGGAAGTTGAGATTCAGCTCGCGGTACTATCTCGGCCTTGAAGACATTGGAACTTGCGGTGTGGTTGCCGAGAGTCTCAACAAGGAGATAATTCCACCTAGCTCCACGAAGCGTTTGTCCGATACGTAGCGCCATCGCGAGGTAGAGTGCTTGTCAGGTAAGTGATGTCTACAGTGGAGAGAGATGGATCTGGTCGCGCTTATGAAGCTTAAGGGTGACAGTGCGCACGGACTCGTCGCGTGACTCGTGTTCCTTGGCACAAACCACGTGGATCTCTTAAATAGGACTACTAAGTTTGTCGTCCGAAGTTGAATTGAGCGGTCTTGTACTCTAATTCATTCCTACACAATGTTATGCCAGCAACAACTGGATCCTAATGGTGCCAGAATTGACATGTTAGGAATAGGCACGTCAGGCTTCACGCACCAGTACTGTGTGGGAGGCACCGGAACCCCTTACAAGCGATATGGCCCGCCTGCGGGGCAGCAAAAGGTTTGACAACATTCACGTGCTGTGGCATGGCAATATTCCCACGCTAGAGTGCCTACCACTCGTGTATCTTGACGGGTCGTTCACTGAAACCGTTAGAATGTATAAGCGCCACGGCACAGCTGCGGCGCAGCAATATCCGCATACTGCAAGACAGCAACCTTTCCACGCTAGACGGCCTCCCACTCGTGTATCCCACCAGGCGGTTCAGTGAAACCGTTAGAATGTGTAATCGCTATGGCACGGATACAAGGGTGGAAAGCAGGATGCTCACCTCAATCTGATTGAACAGTTAAATGTCTGGGTAGGAAAGAGGGTATCAGACTACGCGTTTCACAGCGCGAGGAAACTCAGATATATATATCTCCTTTCTCTCCCGAGACAGACCTGCTAATCAGCTTTCAGAATCAGTACTTCAAAGAACCTCAAACTTACCAAACCACCTCCATTTTGATCACTCAACAGTCGATTTCCTCCCAGCAAACATGTCTAAAATCGGTACCGTCACAACCAAGGTCGGCAGGACGATCAATGTTGTCCTTGCGACGTCAGGGCCCAATTGGATGCGTGTCTCTGGGGCCATTGAAACAGGCTTAAAAACAGGAGGCTGTCGCGAAGATTCAACGAGCAATCGACAATGACAAACTCTTCAAGAATGAGGACCTAAACATAATCACTCAAATCTCAATTAGGTACTTGGTCAATCCAAGTGTTTGTGGACGGCCAGTTGCTAATACCAGACAGCAACATGACGCACACCAGTTCCAGTGACCCAAACTCTCACTACTCGGTAGTCGGTTACGACGGAAACAATCAGCATGTCACACATTCGCATGTCCAACAGGACGAGTCGAAGCAACGTGTAAGTCGTTCCTTTGAGATGTGCCGTCAGAGATCCAACTAACCATTCTTAATAGCGCGCCAACTAGACTAGGTCGACTTGCCGTTCCATCATACTGCAGGTACCGTAATACAACGCGGCCTGTAGTCTACGAGGTACCATTAAAAACCAGGGACGGCGGTTGCTCGTGCAGCGGAAAAAGGCTCGACAAGTTCATTGGGTTGGAATGCCTCGGGTGACGGGCACTTGCTAATGTCACTGGACTTGCACGCTTCCACTTGTGCGATCGATTGATTGCTGGTAGTGGGCGCTGTTGCGGCAGACGAAGCAGTGGTAAACTCGTTCTGCTGCTTGCATTCTGCGGATGGTGATAGCTTGTTCATTTCACCCGCATTCGAAGCTTCCGCTTGTGTATCCGGTTGATCGCTCGCAGTAGGCACTACATTATCCGGCGGTTCAGTCCAATCTTTGCTCAGTATCGTGCTCATTTTCGTTCCTCGCCCCATCTTGGGGCTGGTCCTCATCCTTCTCGACACCTCGCGCCTAGTCATAATCAGAAGAGCGCTCGTCAAGTAGTGCGATGAACGTACCTCATCCTCCATAAACCGGAGAATAGCATCAACCCAGATCCCCGCAAAGATACCATGCTTTCTGATTCCCAAGCTCGGTAGTTGTCTGCATTCTCTCTCAGTTTGAGGCCGCATCTTCGCCATGACACGCAGTGCCGAATCGGCCGCGACATAGCGCGGTGGAACGCCCATTCTGCGGGCAGCGGCTTCGCGCGCCTGAGCAAGACTTTGGTACAGCTGCTCTGCCGTGCTGTCGAGATCTATTGCAAGAGTTTCATCTTCTCCCAAACTTTCATGTATCAGGAAGAAATCGCGGGCCGTCATATTGATCGCGCCCGGTACAAGTGGCTCGAGCTCAATGAAGTACTCAGGAGGCCAACCACGTCCAACCATTTCGAGGTATTCGTCGATGTTTCTCGGAAGCGGAGGGCGCGGCTGCATATTCAGCCTCGTGGCGTTCATAATGTGCCAAACCATCAAGCTGGCATATGCATCGGCAGCTGCATAGTCCAGCTGCCTCTCGGTTAGCGGTGAGGTCCAATTTCCGTGCGTGGTGTTATCTTTGACCAAAGTCAGGCCCGGAAAGTAATCTTGAACGAGAAACTGCAAGCCGCCGCGAACATATCTCATGGTCATGTTGCTGTCAGGATGGTCTGTGACGAGGATGTGGAGGTAGCTGAGCTCGGACACCGTTCTTGGTTGCAACCCGAAATACTGTTTTAATCGCGCGCAATCGACCATGATGGATTGACCCGTCATCCGGATATCTGGGCTTTCGATCAATTCGCGCAACGAAGGTGCGATGAGCTGCGTTGGCGTGTTTCCAGCATGTCGACCGATGTGAAAAAGAGCGACTTTATCCTCGCTCGCAACTTGGATGAGTGAGACGCGCTGCTGCAGCGTAGGCCATGGAGGTGTCGGATAGATCCATTCCATATCGAAGCCGACGATGGTCTCTTTTAGAAATAGCCGGGCTATGGCTTCGGATGTGACGAAGTTGTCGCTGTAGAGGAGTCTTACTTGTCGGTTACCTGGGCCGCGAAAGAGTGTCTGGCTGAACTGTGCTGGGTTGTATGGAGTCGCATTGGTCGGGATGTGGAGTCTGAAAGATCGTGGCCAGGAAGCTGGGGTTGTTGTATCCGCTGAGGAGGATGAGGCATCATCCATGTTGAAAGAAGACTTAATGAACGTTACGAGAGGGATGAGCTAATAGAGGAATATGAATTGAAACTAAACGCAGAAGGGGTCGAGACGTTGATACATGCCTTACGTATGTGTAGCTGCGCCGCATCACATATTAGCAAAGCGGAATGCTGCGCTAGACCCGTTGTAGAGTGATTGGTTGAAGGGGATCAATCATAGGCGTGAGATTTTAGATGTGCGCTCACCGCCCCCTGAAAAGCAGACTTGGCCCATCAGGCACACTTGACATTTAACAACGCGACCCACGAAAGTCGACACAACTGCAACAAGACGTCCCGCCCCGGCGTAAACATGGCTGTCACGAAGAGCAGTGGCACATACAACAAGTTCCGTCGACCGATGATTTGTCGCAGCACTAATTTCCCAACTGCTGCGCAAGAGCCCAACCCTGCAACCTTTTCCGCCGCGGATTTGAACAAGCGCGAGCTCGAAGATGCCGACATCACTGACTCAGTGTCCAACTACGGGCCTGAAAGCAGGCGGCTGAAAGAAGAGTATGCACCCAAAGCGTTCCCTGCTAGGGGACGAAGAGTCATCCGATGAAGCCACAATGGAGGCTCCTGCCTACTCCAAAGTGTGAGGTGTGTAACTATTTTAAGAGTATGCATGATAAGAAACAAAAGCATAGCTTTACTTTATAAGAGTACCAGCTTAAACAATCTATGCTAATCGAAGCCTTAACCAACACTCTTATTTTAGAAGGCTGGGTTCGCATTAGACAACAGCTGCGCAAAGTACGCCTGGAACCACGTCCCCGCTTCAGGCGCCGGCTTCAAGGCATCCGCATAACCGCAGTGCGCATCATACCGTGGCGAAGTAGTGTTTGATGTCCCGTCGCATTCACCGCCAGGCTTGATCCAAACGAAGGCATCGAGAAGAGGGTCGTCGGTGGAAGTGCTGGGTCGAATGCCGAACCCGGTGCCGATAACATTGCACCAGTCGCCCCATGCCTGTTGCTGGGTTGGCTGGACGCCGTTACGACCTGGCAATACGTTAGCTTGTGCGTTGGGGAACGATGTTGAGCGAGGATAGAGAACTTACCCGTGTCGGTGATGAAGTGCGCAGGGAAGCCATTTTGCGTGAGCAGCGGAGCGATGGCATTCACGTATCGCTTCTCGTCGCAAATAGTGTTGCCTTGCGTGTACGACGGGCAGGTCGCAATGGTCCAGGCATTGTAGTTGGCGACGTTGGTAGCCAGGCCACGGACGGCCGCGGGGGATCCAGCGTCCTTGAATAGCGTGGCGAAGAGCTGGGCAGCAGGCGTGATGTTCGCGGTCCATCCGAGCCAGCCGGCGTGGCCGGCATCTAGGTACATGATGACGTTCTTCAGGTTAAGTGTCTTCATTGCATAAGTGGTGAGAGTCTTGTATGTAGTCTCGGCATTTGAGCACTTTTGGACGTTCAGATTCGTGACTAGATTGGCCAAACTGTCGGGTTCTACATCTGGTAAGCGCCGCTTTGCTTCAATGGGAATCGGGACCTACCAATGACGAGCACGAATGTGACTTCGGGAAAGGCGTTGATCTGTGCAGCAATGTCGTTGATATACTCCTGGTAGAGTGCGGTTCCGTTGTTAGCAAGCGAGAGCTCTCCGTTAGAGGCCAGCGCCGCGCAGTCACGCTCGGGCAGGTCGTAAACGACGAGAGGAAGGACTAAGTTCGCGCCCGCAGCGTTCTGCTTCTGGACATCTTCGGCAAAGGCGGCGATGGTGGGCACTTTGGCCTTGACATCACTAGATAGAAAGTTAGCGAGGGACCAGAAGTGATGATGGATTGTGTGATTACTTACAGCCAGTAGAAAGTGCCGACCTTTGCGACATCAGTAGCCTTAGCCGCTAAAGCAGCGGAGCCGGCAGCGGACAGCGACGGAGCGGCCAGGCTTATAACCTCCGAGGCGTAGTAAGGGTTTGCATAGAAGCTTTTGCCCGCGAGCGGATTCGTGGAATCAGTTGGCGCACTAGTAACTGTACTTGGAGAGCCAGCGGTGGTGACTGTTGCCAAGGTCGTTGCAGCAGTGGGCGCTGTCGCAGTGGAGTCGGCTCCAGTGCCTGGAAGGCATTGAGAGTAGTCTAACGACAATTCAGTCAATCTAACTTGAGCATTGGTATCGAGAGCGATAACATACAATCATTGATTTTTGAGCAATAGGATCCTGCAACGCAGGTCGTGCTTCCGGTGAATCCAATTCCGCCGCCTTGTAAGAGGTGAGTTAGTCGCCGATGATTGGGGATGGGAATGGCAACGGCTCACACTGCTCGTAAAGGCCGGCTTGCGCCCTGATGGCAGGAGCCAAGGAGGCAGCCACGAAGATTTTGGAACCTTTCATGGTTCTGATGTGCCCTAGGTTTCAAGGGAATCCAGAAACTTGAAGAATAAACGAGAGCTGTGGATGCTGACGGATGCTCGGGTAGCCAGACGTGTCCCCTTTTAAACTGTCGAAAGCCCGACGAAGGAAGTTAGATAGCTTGAACGAGCCCAGGGTAATATCATCGGACTGGCGTTCAGGCTCGAAAGCCGCAAGCAGCATGGCTCGCCACAGGAGAAGAGGCCGCTAACGGAAGCATTTGGGCTGTTCCGACATGGTGAAGGCTGTCATGAACTGGCTATCGAGCGTAAGGTTGCTGCGTCGTGTCCAGCGAAGCCTAATCAGGACAGGTTGTTGCGCGTACGCCTCGGTTGTGTGAGTGACGAAGCTACGTACCTTGTCACGAGATGCACATGTACCAGGAACAGATGCGAGAAGCACGCCAGCCTACCCGGTTCTCTTCGGCCGTTGCGATCCATGGATGGGTGGTACTTTCAACCACGTGTGACTGCGAAATTAGAGAGGTCAAGCAAGAGAAGCGAGGTGGCCCATAGGGGAAGTAGGCCGAAGCACGCCCGGAACGAAATCGCGAAAGAATGTTGCGATGATTCGAGAACCGGACGACCCAATATAAAATAAATGGAAGCTAGACTAGTTGCCTTATAAAGTAAAGGCCGATTAAGGAATACCGGGGAGCTAAGGCTTGTTCTCTGCCCCAAAGCTTGTTCGTGAGTTAGATGCCGAGGTCCTGGTTGAGAATTAATTGCTCCGTGGGATCGTCGTTCCGATTTTCCCCACCTCTAAGTCACGCAAACGAAACAAGCAAGGGCTGGTGCATATACGAGCGATAGAGCCCGGTTTCCTGTCGAGCCTTGATATCCAGAACCTCGGACGGAATACGACATTCTTCGGAATGCCTCTCCGGAGATGAAGAGTCTCAGCGCTAGAAGGCTTCCAGTATGTCGATGACCATGCAAGATAGATTCGATTCGAACTCGAGTAGAATGAAAGCTCTGGTAGCGGGGGTCCAATTATTGACATGTAATCTTTGGACTCCATAGAGCGGACCATGCAGTTGCTGAGCAAGATACGTTTCCCACAGTAAATTGTACCGGTAAGGCATGTTCGATAGCGCAAAAGGTTGATCATATATATGGCCGGTACAGGAACATGCCAGATCAAGGCCGAGCGCCATGCGTTGGTAGTTCGGCTGGAGGCTGATGGGCTGGCAGCTCCCTAGCATGCGCGTACTTTGCGGCTCCCCCATCCGCTTCGTTTACCGCCTGATTCTCGTCCAACTCGTGCTTCATGGCCATTCCGTGCGTCTCTGCTGGAACGTACGGGCTCGCCTGCGGTTTCCTCTGCCGTTTGTGCCGCAGGATGTACCAAGCCAGAAGGGCCAGTATCGCTATCGCAGCTATTCCACCCAACACGCCACCAGCGATTGCGCCCACAGGTGTCGATGAGCTATCTGTCGGCGATGCATTCGTAGCCGATGCCGTAGCTGAGGAGGCCGTACTCGAAGTCACCGATGCGGTGGATGTGTTCGACGAGGGAGTAGAGACTATAAAGATCAGCAAGCGGTTAAGCTACACCACACCCAAACGTACCTTGGCCAGCCTGTACCGTAGACAGAATCGCCTCGCCTCCCTCGAACTGATACCCCGGTGATGCGCAGCCATCCGTCCCCTGGTTGTCGTATCCAGGCAAGCCATGCTCGCAGCAAAAGTAGCCGCGGTTGTCGAAGAGGTCCCACGTCGAGTTTGAGCATTTGGGCTCGGGCAGGAGCGCCTCCGTGCAATTGGTCGTGGGTGGGCAGCAGGCGACGTTGTACTGTGGGGGGCATTCGAACCCGATGGGACAGCATCCGTGAAAGGGAGCCAGAGTCTGGCCGCAGTCGATCTCGAAGCCGGAGAGACAGGAGCCGTTGCGACGGATCGCGAAGCCTTGTTCGGTCGTCATCGTGCACTCAGAGGGGGAAATGGGAGGGAAACGAATGGAAACAGAGCTCGCAGGCTCACAAAGGAGCGCAAAGAAGAAGGCTGGAACTCCATGGCGGTCAGCCTGACGATGGTGTGCGGTAGCACAGCTTGCCGTGGGGTCGTTCAATCCCACGCTAGGCTCTTGGCATGAAGCCGATCTTGGTGTGCATCGTGGCGCTCGACTTCTACCTCTACAGCGTCAGTCGACCAAAAGGGTGGCCTTGTTTGAGGAAGAGCGAAGTAACGTGCAGCATCCCAAGGGGCTTCAGAGCTCTACCAGCTACTGGGCGAAACCGGCGTTGCGTTCCCCTTTTTGCTATTTTTCAGATGCAAAAGGATCGCGCCAATCCTTCTGCTCTTTCAGTTATGACACCTTATATATCCGCTAACACTATTGATATGAGCGTGAATAGATTGAGGGTGATCCGAGACTAAACGTTGAAGAGCTCTGGACACATGACCTATGCTACTACGAGGAGAATAACCCTGAGGTACTGTGCCCACATCCAGTCTCCAAACCCACAAATCCGGAAAACCAAGAACTTCTCGCCCACCTCCGTACAGGCGGGCGGCATTCCGAGTCCAGGCCTTTCACGCCACCTTCACGTATCAGGGGAGAACGACGACCCTCCGTTACTATCACCACATCCATGAAAAGAAGGCAGCACAATGCGAATTCAAGGCTCACCGTCCCTCAGGTCATGAATCACGGATCCGTTTGCCTCTCACGAACAGACCTCACCATGGAAACTTTCCCTGAAAGAGACATTGCCCGTTGGTTGACGACTTCGACGAAATGGTCGATGGATGCGAACGAGATGATAAAGACGATGATCCCGGGGGAGCGCGATACGGAGCCTTGTTCCAATCCTGATGTGAAAAAGAACAAGAGAAAATCAATCAACAATCAATACGGACTCGAAAGCCCCCCGCTTGATCCCCAGGCTTTATCGAGTTGATCCTACTACTGGCCCCCCAAAGCATGCAAACAAAACACCTCCTCTGCGGTCGCATCATCCGTCACATTCAACCGATCGACCCTCACCGTAACCCACAACTTGCGCTCAATCCACGCATTCGCAACTCTAACACTAGGCTTGTTGTCCCCCACCTCACTCGCATTCAGCGTCTTAAACCCACACTGCACCACCTTCGGCGTCACTGCGTCCACATAGTCCGCGGGAATATAGTCTACGCCCGTGCAGTATACCGGCGTGCAGTTGGAATCGGTCCCGCCGGTGCAGCTCCATCCGCACACGTAGTCGTAGCAGTTGGAGAACCAGCCGTGGACCACGGCTGTTATCGTTGCGTTTGGGGACTGGAAGTAAACGTCAACGGGGTCGCCGTAGCCTGTGCATGGCCAGGCGGTCGCTTTGCGGACGGAGGATGCGAGGGCTGCAGCCGTGGCGAGAGGCTTGAGGCGGATGGCTGACATCTTGGTCTTCTTTGGACGACGTCTGGAGGGGCTGCCACCTCCGGTCTCTGAGTCCGAGCCTGGGTAGGGCTCCCTCACTTCTTGCACCTGGCGGTTTTGCGGTCGTGGATTCAGCCTACGTCTCCTGTCGAGCTTGTTCGCGACAACACCGAGAAGCTTGTATGCAACAAGGGTGCCCACGATCCCACCAAGAATCGTAAGGATAATAATCGCCAGCTGCTTCCGGTACCCTTTCTTCTTCTTCTTAATCGCCTCATCCTTGTACATCTTCCCGACGACATCCAAACACTGAGCCGGATACCTATCCTCCACTTTCCAATTCCACATCAAATTGCCGTCACAGATTACGCCGGGGACAACAGCCTTCGCAGTCTTGGCGCATGCATTGAACGCCCAGTTTGTATCGCTGCAATCGTTGCAGCCATTGTAGCATCGGTCGTAGGCTTTGTCGCGGGCCACTCCGGCCCAATAGGCTGGGTCGTTGTTAACCGCAGCGCCGGCCATAAGGTCCTGGACGCGCCGGACGAGAGCATACGTCGTCCCTGCGGTTATGCAGGCGCCGAAGAGGAGCGCGAGAGGGAGACGGAATTTGCGGAGGATGAGGGCGGTGCGGCTGGTGTCATTTGGGGCGTTGGCGATGCTTGATAGAAAGGCCATAGCTCTTCACAAGGTATGAGGAAGGTTGGTCCGCAGTATTGCGAAGAGCTTTGAAAGCCTTGAATGTGGGATAAATCTCGATCCGCCTTTTGACTTTCGATGCCGTGTTCGCCAAAGGTGGTCGGAAAAGACATTTCGAGGGCTCCATATCTTATCAACTCTCCCTGTAGGCTGGAATCGCATTCATCGCATCGGGTCTCGTTTCTGCACGAGGCTGTGCTGGGAAGAACGACGGGTGATGCATCGTGCGTCGGCCTGAGGCGCTAAGAGGCGCAGGCCTGGAGTCGCTCAAGGCAGACTTTGGGAAGGAACTTCGGAGACCATTGGACAGATTTCATATTTCATAGTACTAGGTTATTTGACCTCAAGCATCGAGCTATGAGCCCGCATAGCAATCCGTTGAGGTGAGGTGACCGCGATCGTGTTGCGGCAGTTCACCGGAATGGGGCCGTGATCGGATCTCGTAATTGGGTGTCTCCACATGCTAACGGCTTCGGAAGTTCAGGATGGTCTGATGAAGCACTGATCTTAGAATTGCTCGACTAAAATTCTCTGAGGAGCGTTCACGTACCTGTTTCTGGTGACTGCTACTAAATAATGGGCTACTGAAACTGCAATATAGACATGGTCAATCTCCTGAAAGTGACACGCATGTGATCTGCGCAACGAACAAGGCTCTCTGTGCGCAAACCTTGCGGTGATTTTGTAGGGCTTGGATCTGATAGACCTGACTTGGTAGAGCGCAATGTTTCCATTCTCTTTCTAGATGTTGAGACTTTAAGGAGGCCTCGCACACATGCCACTAAGATCTTCTGTGACCTTTTCACGACTAATAACGAGTCCATCTGTAGAAATTACCATTCCTGTTAGTCCAGTATCCTCACTATGTTGAGCAATAGGGAATTTCATGTTCCATTCCGTTTCCGCCTTGTGCTACCCCTCAGACTCCGCTGGTACCCGGAATACTACCACAAGCAAGACCACGATCAAGCATCGAACGTACCGAAGACAAAAACGGCGCAACTTTCTCTCACAGGCCCCGTCAAGCATAACGGACCTCAATCCATGCATAGCCAAAGAACCGAGCCTCCAAGTCACGATACAACTATCTGTTTCACCCTGAGGCGGATCAGTCGCAAAACCCCAACCAACGCACCACACCTGCCGCATGTTTCCAAACGACTTCCAAATCTTCAAACGCTCTAAAAATAGAAAGTGTCGAAACTTTGTATCGCGAAAACTGCCGTTTAAGGTCGGCTATGTAAGAGCTGTCTAAGGTAAGGCTGAGCGAGAGTCTAAGGGCGGGATGAAGCAAGAAGGTCGAACCAGCCGAATTAAAAATTGAAGCACTACTCAGCCATGTATACGAAGATGCAAACTTTAGGTATGAACAGAAACCAAAAACTACCCTCAAGGAGACTCATATGCTCCCCCCAAACCCAAACGCCTCGAGCCCACTTTACACCCTCAAGCCTCTTCCCCTAAGCAACCATCCCCACCGGCCGCTTCAGCACCCGCATCTTCCTTTTAGCCTCTCTCTTGATATTCCTCGCCTTAATCGTCGCCATCGCGCCCTGAATCTGCCCATTCAAGAACTCCACGCCCTCATCCGCCCTCTGGCCATACGTCAAATGCGCCGGCAAAATCGTCAGCGACCCCCTACACACCAGATCCCCCGGCTGACAGATAATCATGGTCTTTTCCTGCGGGAACCCCGGGATCTGGCTGTTATCCTGCTGCTTCTGCGTGTCGCCGTAGAGCACGACGCCGGCGATGCGGGCCTGCACCGCGGGGTCGAGCGACTCGATTGCGCGATGGTTGACGGCTGCGCCTTGCGAGTAGCCTCCGGCGACGATGACGCTGTCGGGGCATTGCGAGGCCATGGCGTTGAGCGTGGAGGCCATGAGCTGCGCGCTCTGTTGGTCGGTGCCGCCGGGCAGGGCGTTGGGCGCGAGGGCCGCGGCGTAGTCGATGCCTTCGGTTGCGACGTTGTCGGCGCCGAATTGGGCTTTGATGCCGTCGGAGGTGGGAGGGCCGGCGATGGTTCCCTAGGCATGTCAGATGACACTGGTGCAAGGCGAAGAAAGGAGACATACCATGTTCCCAGCCTCAGTGGATCCACGTGCCCACGCGAACAAGACCTGCCTACAACCACCTTGAGAGAACTCCTTCGATGTGGTTTGTGTCTGGCGCTTCTCAACCGGGCCAGCAGTAGCCAGTCCCGCAAGAGCCAGCGTGATGAAAGCCCGAGTGTACATGTTGCACGGCAAAGCGAGCTTATGTGAACGTCCCTTATAGATGAGCGAGTGAATCGAAAAGGTGTGTAGAAAAGAAAGGAAATCTGGCACCGGTGCCTGAGGAAGAAACTATTTGAACTGTTTGCCACTAACTACTGATCAACTGTGAGGCAGACGGCCCTCAGCTTCCTTTATACTCAGCACATCTTTCGAGGAACACACCACAACCTCGGTATCTGAGCCATCGAACAGCCAAGAACGCACAGAATCCTTTGCGTACAGCAGAGCGTAGGCCGAAAATAATGCCAGTAGAGTGCGGAAACATAACACGGCGCTGGGCACCGATCTGGAGGGCTCAGATCTGGTGAGCGCTCGAAATACCGAGGAAGGTGTTGACAACGATTGGCTGTGAACGTTCGAACCAGTATGTGCTAAGGCCATCGGCATGATGGCGGGATGTGAGGTCACACAGGACGTTTGTCGTTTCACCCTTGCGACACCGTTGGTATGGTTTGAGCGAGGGCCTTCCCGGGACGTTCCGCTTGGCAGCAGGTGCCGCCTATGCCAGGCAATTTGAATGGTGTGACCTCAGATTGCTAAGTTAACATCGATAAATCCGAAATCCGTAGGTTTGGTCTATTACTACCGCAGCAAGCCTGTTGGTGAATGTAAAATCGGCCGAAAGGGTTCTAGCACTACTACACTCCCAGCCGAGGCACTGCTGTGTAGACCCACGCTCGGCTCGCGGCAGTTGGTGCTTTCATCTGAGTGGGTCGAGAGGGTTTTTGGACATACATGGTACCTAGGTAGGAGAGTGCCTGATATTCCGGATCGCGCATATGGTGCGTAAAGGTAAGCCAAGGCTGATGGTCGATCTTGAATAGGTTGCAGGGCAAACAAGCATTAATGATAGCTAGAGCCTGTTCCCAGAATAGACGGCCGCAAAATGCTAGCGGTGGAAGCCCACTACTAGATGGCGAATTTGTTCACTGAGAAGGCTATAGCCTCCCAATGCATGCGACTGGCGGCCAGAATTCCGGGATACCACGAGGTTTGAATCGCTTTATAGACGACCGCCAAGGTGGGCTGTACGGCAGAGCGGTTGTCGAAACGCGGCAGATGGAAGGCGTGGCCGGGATAGAGACGGTTTGACAGTCCTTAATCTCCATTATCCACATCCACCACAATCTGGCCCTGGTCGCCCAACTCCTTGTGGACCTCGGTACCAAACCCTTCGCATAGCATTCCAAACCTTCTCTTCACCCACTCATGGTCGGTGTCGGCCTTGTCCAGCAGATTGGCCTGGAAGCGCTTGATGCGGCTCGGAAAGACTTCCAGCCTCCTCACCCGGAGTCTCCGTCCCTCTGCACCCTCGCTCTTCTGCACTTCCACGCGCCATATCGCGGAAAGATCGTTCCGGAATTTTGCATTCACCGCATAGTCGTCAACAAAGTCTCCACATCCGTATATAATGAGCCTCCCCTTGTATACCTCCACGCCCTGGATATGATGCGAAGAATGCCCATGTATCATGTCGACGCCGCATTCATCAATGAGAAAGTGCGCCAGGCTTTGTATCTCCTGTGCCGGCATCCACGCGTAGTTGGGACCCCAATGTACGCTGAAGACCTTCAAGTCCGGCTTTACGGCGGGTGTGGTGAGGAGCTGCTTGAGGCGGTTGCGCGTTGAGGGGAGGTAGTCGATGAGGTGGAATTTCGGAACGGCGGACCAGTCTTCGGGGTGGTCAGAGGCGGAATAAACGTGTACCGTGTATGCGTCCTCGCCGTCCTTCAGGCCAAGCACAGCGGGCTGCAGAGCCTCCTCACGGGACTCGCCCGCGCCGGCGAAGGGAATGCCTGCGTCCTTTAGCTTCCGCACTGTATCGAGCAATCCCTCCTCGGAGAAGTCGAGAGTGTGGTTGTTCGCCAGCGACGCGTAGTTGATGTGCGCTTCTTTCAGACATTGTATGTTGGCGGGGTGCATGCGGTAGTTGAAGACCTTGTCGGGCCATGGCTTCGGATTCGTAGTGATGGATGTCTCGAGGTTGATTAGGTTGAGGTCGGCGGCGTGGAAGAGCGGGAGGGTGTTGCCCCAGGGCGACTTGAAGCTGGAAGAGTGAGCGGAGTTTGGTTCAGGACGGGCGGGGTGCCTCTACTTGTAATTCTTCAGCGCCGCATTTCCAGCTACAAAATAAGCGATGAGCTCGGCTTCCTCGGGGCAATAGACGTGTGTCGGGAGCAGCTGATCTATAAGTCGGCCCAGCATCACATCGCCGACGAAGTTGAGGTGGAAGCGGATCGGCGGCGGCATTGCGGGTATGCCTCGGCGCAGTTCAGTCGTTCGGCGGAGCGAGGAGTATCAAAGGGAGATCAATCGAGGAGCGGCGAGACATGGCTGGCAGAGCGGTGGTGAGACTTGAGCTTTGAAGTCTGCCGTTTGTCTTCCGTCATCTGAGCTCGAACGATGCACGCCTTGGCACGCACTACCCCACAAAGCTTAGCCATCACCTACGGACTGTAGCCAGCATAATATCCACCAATTTCATAGCCTTTGCCCCAGTGCATTCTGATCATCTTCGACATCTTGTCACAATTCGACCCCTCCGACAGCGCAAACGGCGCACATCTGCTCGGCTTTGACGGTCTATTGCGGTAGCATGAAGTATAAAGCTGCTGCCAGGCCTCTGGTTTCTGCTCGGAGCGGAAACGGAGATATCAAACGGGCTTCGCCATTGACGGAGACAACTAAGGCGAATGGAATTATATATATAGCACGGCGATCCTGCAGGGCGCCGGATCGTTGCATTCTCGCGAAGCGGCTATACCTTCCTAGGCAATCCGAACGGCTCGCGGGAGGTGCCCTACGGTAACTTGAAAAGTAGCCTGCATAAGGCAGAAGCCGCGCTGCGAGTATGAGAAGGCGTGGAAATGCCAGACGCCTCGAAGTGTGCAGCTTTGTATCTCCGGCCCGCATACGTCACTATGGAGCTGGGAGCTTTAAAACCGGGGTCGATTTCTCTCGATCGAGCTCCCTTCTCACCACTACTCGAAGCTCTTCAGGAGTGCTTTACGACCCAAGTCCACAGCTCTACGAAGGAATCCGAGATCAGCCTGCCTCTGCTGAAGCCTCCTTAATTCAGATCGGCCCCATCTTCAAGATACTACGCACGAGTACATCATGTCTGCGCAGCCGCAGAACTACACCCAAGGCCACCACCGCGCGGTAACAGCGAACCATGCGACTCGACGCGCAGAAGTCGAAGGCGCCTTTGTCCTGCCTCATTTGAAGCCCGACCATCACATTCTCGATGTCGGCTGCGGACCAGGTACGCACGCCACGGTACACACCAGCACGGCTTTCCATTGAAGGCCTTCAACTCGCTGAACAAGCGCGGCATGCGGAATGACTGCGCTATACCAATTCAACATACATGCTAACATCCCGCCCCCTCCGCAGGCACAATATCCACCAGCTTCGCCAAATACGTGCCCTCCGGCACCGTAACCGGCATCGACCTGACCCCCGAAGTAATCCAGCAAGCCCGCGAACTGCTCTCCCACCAATCTCCCCAACCCACCAACGTAACCTTCTCCACGGGCAACGTGCTAGCCGGGCTGCCCTTCGCGGACGCCAGCTTCGACGTCGTCTTCTGCCACCAAGTGCTGAACCACATCCACGACCCGGTCGCGGCGCTGCGGGAAATGAAGCGCGTGTGCAAGCCCGGCGGCGTCGTGGCCGCGCGCGAGGGCGACTTCCCGTTCCGCTGGGTGCCGTATCTGCCCGGCATCCAGCTGTTCCAGAAGTATCTGTACGAGATGGTGATGGGGCCGACGGACCACGCGCACCCGGATAGCCCGCCGCATCCGCCGGGGCACCGGTCGGGGAGCCTGACGCATGTGTGGGCGAGGCAGGCGGGGTTCGATCCGCTGAAGATCGAGAAGGGGGCGTCGGTGCAGCTGTATCGGACGCCGGAGGAGAGGAAGCCGTACTGTGAGCTCATGACGGGCAGGCTTGTGGCGGGGGGACATAAGGACTTGTATATGAAGCTGGGGGCGAGCGAGCAGGATATCGAGATGATGATTACGGATTTCAAGCGCTGGGCTGACGATGTGGATGGGTGGCATGCCATTTTGCAGTGCGAGACTATTTGTAGAGCGTAGAGCGCGGAGAACGAATGCGGACCCAATATAGCATTACTGCTCGTAAACACCGCTCTAAAGAACTGATCCAAAGCCACACCCAGCCAGCTCCCGCGCAGCTCTTTTTCACAACCGCTACGCTTACAACTCCGCATGCGTCCGAATCCCCCACTTCTCCAGCACATTATGCCTATGCCAGAAGCTGCGATACCGCTTCCCCCAATAGAAGAACACGGGGGTCGTGAGAATCATAGCCGCGCTCACGCCGCCAAACACATAAAACACGGTCGCGGGCCCAGCCTCGGCCGTCCAATCATTCACAAAATAGCTAAAGCCATAGAACAAAAAGTTCTTGAACACCATGTTTGCGATGAAAATCTCGCTGCTCATGTCGCGGTACGCGTCGATGATGTACGCGCCGCTCGCGATGGCGGCGCACACGATGCCGAAGAGGTCGACGCCGTGGAAGGTGGCGGTGGCGTAGTAGGAGTAGAAGTTCTCGCACATGTAGCCGAAGACGAAGAGGCCGACGACGGTAAGCAGCGAGGGGATCATGCCGATGAGGCGGTACTCGGGCTCGTAGACGCCGCCGTTTTTCTTGGCGCACCATTTGATCAGCGGGTCGAGCGTGGCGCCTAGGAAGATGGAGCCGAGCAGGCCGCCGAGGAAGGGGCCTAGGGAGAGGTAGCCGACCTGTGCGGCGTCGAGCAGGTAGGGCGGTGCCATGAAGATCTGCGCCATGTCGTAGGATTGCGCGACGAAGAAGGCGGTGAGCCCGCCGGTGACGATGACCATCCAGAGGACAGCGAGGTTGGCGCACACGGCGAAGGGCGCGATCACCAGCTGGAGGAGATTGTCGTCCGAGTAGGTGCCCGTGAAGATGGCGAGTTCCTGCACGAACGTCTTCTTCGGGCGGTACGCAGGACTGGTGGAATTCGCCGTCTCGACCTTGACAACATCGCTACCAGACTTTGTGTCAGAGCCGCCGGCGTGGCGCTTCTCGATGGCAGCAAGGTCCGCGAGGTGGTCATCGGCGAGCTCGTCGATGTCGTACCGGTGGTCGCGGTTGTACGCCGTTTCGGGGCAGAAGAGATAGAGCATGATGGTCTCAAAGGCGGTGAAGGCGATCAAGAGGTGGAAGAGGTATTTCCAGCCGAGGTTGGTAGCGATGGGTCCGACGATGATGGCGGAGAAGTTGGAGGCGGCGCCGAGAATGAACTGGATGACGGTCATGTATGTGCCACGCTGATGGACGAAGAACAAGTCGCCGATCAAGGCGACCACGACAGATTCAAAGGCAGAGCTAGCCGTGCGTTAGCTGTGAAGCGATAGCCTGCGCAGTTAGTTGGAACATACACTGAACCACCCTGGATGATTCGACCTGCGAGCAGACCGTCATAGGTGTTCGTCGCGCTGACAATAATAGTACCAAGCAACCCAAAGAGACTGGCAAGGAGGAGCATTGGCCGTTTTCCCCACTTCCGCGAAGCGGCTGAGACGAGCGGACCCGCGCAGCCCGTCACGAGAAGCATGTATCCCGAAATGACGGTGATGTCGCCGACGCTTTTGTTGAACTCCAGGGCCACGACGACGAGGACGGGCGACATAAGCGGTGACAGTACAGCAGCGTATATGATGGAGCCGAATGCGATGATGGACATGACGACTAGCTTCTTCGACGTTGGCCAGTTCAAGGGGTCATTGGGGTCTTCGGAGCTGCGGCGGTGTTAGAGCAGCACCCGATGGCGTAGAGGGATACATACGGTTGAGGGATGAGGATGATGTCGGCATTACTGCCCTTTCCATGCTTCAGTCCTGCTGTAGCCTCTGACCTGTGGTGCTCCTCTTCGGACAGGATCACAGTTGCCGGCACATGCTGGAGGTGCTTGTCCTCGAGGATGCCGAGGAAGCCCATGGTGTCCAACTCTTTCTTCGCTTATTCCTCTTCAAGGTCCCTGTTCTTCAGCCTCGTTTCGAGGTCTCTGGAACCGTATGGGATGAACAGTAGTAGCAAAAGTGGAAAAATTGGGATGAAGTTTCAAGAAAGATCAGCGCGCGGGACATGCTTAAGAGCGCTGCCGACCCATGCAGCTTAGATATAGTACGAATCTGCGGGGACCCAGTCCCTCGGGGCGCCCGCATGCACCGCTTGAACGTTCAGACCTCGTCGTGGCTGTTGCACTCCCCTTGTGGGGTTGCCAATTCATCTCCAGGCCCCACAAAAAGAGCAGCTCGTCCGAAAAACCGCCAGGCATTCGTTGGAGACACCCTGCCGATAGCAGCCTCGCTTAAATCTCGTTCACTGTAACTGCATCACCTGCAGGGTCAGATAGTCAATATGAACTGCATGGGGCGTTCAACGCTGCTGACGACATTGATTGCGGCACTGCGTACTGTATACAGCCAGCAGTCTATGGACGACAGGAAGACGCAGGTCAGCGACGGAGCAGCGTGAGAAAAGCGCCCAGGTACCCCAACCGCCAAGGGGCTTAGGGCAGCCACCGGTTGTGGAGAGAGGCACGAGCTACCCCGCAAGAGCACTCGTCCCAGCATCGCCCCACAGACCACGAGTCAGCAGCGACGGTCGCGAACACAAGAACTGCCCATGTACCGGGCGCCAGGCTCTCCAAATGCCTAGATGCTACTCCAATGCGGCGCGCGTGCCTGTCATGAACTGGATGGAGGCCGTGACGATGCTCAGGGTGACGTCGACTTCCGCCTCGTCCCGTGGGGCATATACCAGCACGTAGTTGACCGGCAGGCTGAAGCCGAAGAGCTTCCTCAAGACGGCGGCGCCCGAGAAGGCGTGTCGCTGTCCCCACCCGCGCTCAATGACCTTCTTGCAGTCGGCCGGGTGTAGGACGACGTGAATGCTCCCATCAAGCCCGGCGTGTACGTGCGAGATCTCGCCGCGCGTCTCCCGGGCCACGCCATGCCATTCGCGCGTCGCAGCAACGAAGAGCGCAACATGCTGGCGCTCGTACAAACTCCGCTTGACGTCTACCAGCCCCATCTGTTGTGCCCTCTCCCCCAACTCTGCAAAGCGGCGAATGAGCTTCTGCCGCACCTCGTCCGAGGGCAGTTGTTCGAGCTGTCGCTGTGGGACAGGATGCGGCCCGATTCTCGGCCGCGACGAGCTTCGTTTGGGCGGGAAATCAGAAGGCAGGAAGCCTGGTTCGTCGGCGAGAAGCAGCTGTTTGTTGTCGTACGGGACGGTTGAGAGCTGCTCGCGGGAGAAGACGCGTAGAAGGTGCGCTGCCAGCCAGCCGCCGACGTTATAGGGTAGACCGCCCGGCCCATATGAAATATAGGTGCGGTAGTCGTTGATAGCGACCGGTAGCGCGACGGCGACGCCGAGCGTGGAGAGGATCGCGGTTCGATGGGAACGGAAGATTTCTGCGAGCCGTCGGCCATTGAAGACCTCGGTAAGGCTATCGAAGGTCAAGGAGGATGCCATGATGCCTGTGGTGAGTTCAGGAGCCTCATCTTATGGAGATTGTAAGTTCTTTATACGTGGGTGCAACTGGCTGTGGTGTGAGGCTGGTGCGATGGGTGAGCCGGAGTCGGAAGCGGCCGGGGAAGTCCGAGCTCTCGCACGAAGCTTGAGCCGCATATGGGTAATCCAAGTTTCCTCTTCGCAACCCTTTATCTTATGTTACAAACAAAATCCAAGATCAGTAACCCTAGCCTGTAAAGCCCCTATCCCTTAAAGTCTCCAGCCCTTGAAGCTTCCAGCCCATTGCGGACAGCCCCCATATTGAGAACCCACAGACAGGGTTTGACCTCCCAGAACCTCGGGTTTGCAACCTCGCCCGAGCATGCGCTATCGCAGGAACCCAGATTTCGTATACAGAGCGATGTGGCAATGACCTTTACACGTTCGCTCGCGTAGAAGGGTGCTAAGCCAACGCGTGTCGTGTCAGCTGGCACCGTCCAACATCACCCTTCCTGGCCCGCCTTCATCGACGCCAGACTCGAGAAGCTCTCATTGATCCAGCAGATACGTCTCGTGGAACTCTTTGACCTGCTCATTGGCACCGCCCAAGCCCTTCGGTGGCAAACCCATCACCGTCAGTCCTTCGAGAGATCTCGCTCTGCTGACTTCGCAAGCAATTAGCCCAGGTAAACGTTTCTAGCCGCGATAGTACGTACGGGCAACATAGGTTTGGCTTGGATCAAAGGCTTGCGATAGATCGACCTTGACTCTATCAAGTGTCATTCCCTGCAGATGTGTCAGCGCCGAAGGTGTGATTCGAAGGATAGAGCTTACCTGGGCCTTGTGTACCGTGATTGCGTAGCCAGCCATCAGCGGGATCTGCGTCCGGGAAAGAAGACTGTATGGCTCATCATCGCCATATTCATTGGTGGTGCAATCCGCGTATATCGTTCGTTTAAGTGCGTTGTGGTCGAATTCGACAACCGGCCAGGGCTGATAGTCGTTCTCTTCGACGAAGTCCTTGATCTGTTGTTGACGATACCTGGCATGGGAGCCACCAAGAATGGGCACTCCCGAAGTTTCCTCGTCGTCCCTGTTGTCGCCTTTTCTGGGCATCCACTTGCTGTCATAGTGCTCGAAGTCTACGATCGTTCCCTGAGACCCGTTCACGAGGCCTGCGGTCGGTTCAAGGTTTTGCAAAAGAACCACCCGCATGCCCACCTTCAACTGCACCTGTCGTTCGTACCGATGATCTTTCTACAATCTACGGTGAGCTGTGGGGATCGGCTTAAGAAACAAGACCCACTTACCAGAGCGTCAAGGGTTCTATCCCCATGCCTCTTCTTGTACTTCTCAAATTCCTTATGTTTGTCTCTATGGTGCGGTTTCCAACTGAAAAAGTCCTTGCATTTGTAGTAAAGAGGCTGGGAAGGGAGTGCAGCGATCTTCTCGTTATTAAGCCTATCGACAGCGTTGCGTTTTGAGAAGATTTCAATTGCAAGATTTTGCTACTAACTGAAAAAACATGCTTAGATTAGTGAGCCACGAATGGTGACTGGAGGGCTGCGGGAGTGCCTTCTGTCGGAGTACCTATGCTTCAGAACGAGAGCATACATACCGATGCGTATTTGCTGGAGAATACTGATGAATTTTTCATCGCTTTGCCGGTGGATCTTGGTTAGTTGTACGTGCTCGAAGTCGCAGTCCTAGTCTTATCAGCGTCCACCCCAGAAACACAGCATCCGCCATTTACCTTCCATGCCTGACTCCTAAAAGCCCATTTATCAATATCATAGAATGTCAGTTGCGAGCACCTGCGGTTGTGGCATTCATATTCCGTGGGCATCCATTTGTGGTTCCCGACAAGCTCTGATCCGCATTCAATATACAGGACCTGAACGGTTTAACCGGCGACAGTTGGCAGAACTATGCCTGCATTAGCATGCCGATTTTCGCGAGTGTAGCACATACTTACATCCCCGGTCACGATGAGCTGGATGCCACCGAAAGCCTCATCGTTCTCCCTGCCCTCCTTCAGCACGGCGTTTAGGCGCTCAAAGAAAAGATTCTCGACCATGCTAATTTCATCTATGATAAGCACATCAGTCTCGGCGAATCGCTTGAAGATTTTCTTCCCATGAGCGCTTGATTTCAGTGCAGCTAGAGGTTGTTTGAGGCTGTCCGGTACCCAACCCGCAAAACTCCTGTCAAGTATTAGCAGCTGCCTAACGATTTGAAGACGCTGAAATCCAAAAGGATCTTCTCTCCCGGCATCGGAGCGACACGACGGCTAGCCTTGAACAAGATCCAAGAAACTGTAGGCCTCAAAGGCCGGGATGTTGGGGGAAGGCAGAGAGGAGTATACGAAAGAACCCGCCCACATACCAGGTCGTGATGCCACCGATGTTGAGTGCGGCAATATTTGTTGGCGCAGTAATGCGGACCTTCTTTCCTTGCGCTTTTAGCTCCTTCACAAATGCCCTCAAGACCGTAGACTTCCCGCATCCAGCGGAGCCCGTGTAAAACACATTATGACCCTGAAGGATGAGTTCCACCACTCTTCGTTGTTCGTCACAAAGTTCAGGCTCGACGTCGACTGGAGCAACGCCCGACTTCACAGGGTGTCGTGAAGGCGCAGGGGGTGTGGGGCATCGATGGTCGGTGCGGGCTCGCTTCGAAGCTTTACGGGGTGCCGGCTCGGGACTAGATTCTATCTCGAAGGGGGCATGCTGAGTGCCATCTGGCGCCTCCTTCCTCTTTGGCGGCCTCCCCTCCGTCTTCTGTCGCTTATCCGGACTCGGAGACTGTGACCTTGCGTGTGTCCTCTTTGATCCTAATCTTGCCGGTTCGATTGGGTCGATCACCATGACCTTACCCCCGGCACATAATATCTTCAATGGCTCCGAGCCTTCTGGATCCCAGTTTGATGGAATCCAGTCTACTGGCACCAATTCTTCTAGATCCACATCTTCTGGGTCTAATAATTCCAGTTCCAATTTTTTTCTGCCTGCCGGATCTTCGTGAATTGCCGCGTTATAGATACGGCCTGAGCAGCGCCTTCCTGGGGATGCATTCGGATCCGTGGCCTGACGGTATGTCTTTCGAATCATGCTGAATGGATGGTATGGGGTTGGAGACTGTTGCTCTACGGAATACCTAGGACGCGGGCCGCTTCCGCAGGGAGACGGAAAATCCATGGTCCCAGTATTGGAAATCAGGATAAGAACTTGAGAAAGAGTTGTTGGAGCAGAACTCAAGAAAGAACAAGCGCAGGTAGATTGTTACATGAAGGGCGGTATGAGGGGTCAAACGCGTGCAGCAGACGCATGATACATGGTCGGTCGGGAGCTTGGCACGCGCCTGAGAGGATGACGTAATGTCTGTCTCCGTGCAGGTGCCCATCTTCATATCGCACAGGTCCGTGCCAGCGCTCAATCCGTTCAGAGCGGAAGTTGACTCGCGGACTCGACAGCTAGTGGCCTAAATCCATCCCGGATGATGTATCACAATGCAGTTCCCTAGACCTACTCGACGCTCTCGTTACGTCGCAAATCTCCACCCCTCTTCATCAACTCAACCTTCTCATCATCTCCCACCAGCTTCTCAGCAAGCGCCGCATCGCGTTCGCTGATCCCAGCGCACTTCAAAATGAACCCGCCGATCAATCGTTCAGCCTCGAGAGAGTTCCGCCTGAGCGCATGATCATCGCCATTGAATAGCTTCAATTCTCGATCGCCCCTCGGGCCGTATTGCGCGAATAGCCTCTCAGAGCAGCTGTAGCTCAGCGTGCGATCACCTGTGCCATGAAGCAGCAACACCGGCCTCGGCGCGAGCGATCGGACTCCCTCAGTCTCTGCGGTTTGGCTCGCGACAGTCGCGCATCCGACCACGCGCAGATCCGGTCCCCCGACCGTGAACACCGGAGCTCCCCCAAACGACCATCCGATGAGCACGAACTTGTTGATCTGATACTGTTCTTCCAGCTGCTGCATAGCGGCCAGCACGTCTCTAACGCAGTAACGATTCCTCGCGGGAAACCGGTAGTCAAGTCGCAGGACCGGGACAGGCCGCTTCAACGACGCCAGCTTGTCTGCGAGCGAGAGGTAGATTGAGGATGGCCCGACAACACCGCCCCCAGCTCCGGAGAGAAGAATCGCGGCGGTGTTGCTGGGGGACGCGGTCGTAGATGGCGGAAGGTGCAGGAAGCCCGGAACAGCGCCATCCGGACCATCGTCAACTTTGATGGTGAGCGGCTTGACGATGCAGGGCTTCGCAGCGTTTGGCGGATGCGAGAGACCAAGGTAGTCGTCGAGCTTGGCTGGCTTCGACGGCGTATTTGGTCGGGAACCCGACGATAGCGAGGTAGCTGGCGGTGCCATCTTGGTCGCAATGCTTCTGAATGCCGAGACAAATTTGTACATGGATTTCGTGAAGCCTAGGCGATGGCATTCGGTTGATAGACCCGCTGCGATTTGCCACTCCCCTCATCGTGATGTCACTGGTAGTAAAGACCGAAGCATTGCACCATTTGGTTGCTCACACTCCTCAGATGCAAATTGCAATGCTGTGCGAGATGTTTGAAGATGGGTCTATGGGTAGTGCACTATGAGTGGCTTGCCGAGGTTGATATGTCGCTCACTAAAGACTACTGGTCCTGAAGGCCTATATGACCTGGTACCGTCCGACCGCACTTGCGACAGGTTCGACTACACTCCTGGACGGATGCAGGGCCGCGTGATGCCACCCGGGTAGGGAAAACGCGTAATCACGTGATATTCACGTGTCCGTCATGCTGTCCTTTCAGCATCGCGCAGATAGCACAGCAGCAATACTATAATCCGGCCCAATGGTTGTGCTAGGCCATAAACGTACAGTAGCTTCCGGCACAACATTGTTGTTTTCGTAGTGCGTTAGAGCACGGGGTGTCTGCGGGGTTTAGCCTCGGGGCGTCGCGAGACCCTCACCTCAGCTGGGGGCCTCGTACCCTTCGACGCGACCTGCTAGCGTCAGAACACCAAAGGATGCCCCCGTGAGACCGACTTCCATCCCTCTTACGCGTCACGCAGCAGGGGATCCATCATGGCTTCGAAAATCATTGGAGTTATTGGAGCCGTCAAATCGGTGGCTACCGAGCCCGTTTTCGCCGGAGGGCTGTTGTACCTGCTTACGCGTGGGCCACTCCAGGTCCGCGAGCGCATTCTCCAGCCCTTTCAGAGCAATTTACTCTCCAATAATAGCGTCACAAGACTAGCTGCCTTCATCACCGTCCTCAAAGTCCTTACTGCCGCCGGAGTGCTCAAGCACATCAACCGCGCTTTGAATGCGCTCGCGCTGAACAACTGGAGCTTCAAACGACCGGGCGCGCCGTTCAAGTTCGGGCCGGAGAAGGAAGAGCTGGTTGTGATCACGGGCGGCAGTTCGGGCTTTGGATATGAGATGGTGAAGGGCTTCTGCAAGCATGCGAGGGTTGTTGCGCTGGATGTCAGTCCGTTTCCGCCGGAGCTTGAGAGTTGTAAGTCGCGTCGTGTTGTCGCGACTGACAGTGTGTCTGATACGTTGTAGTGCCTGGCGTCCACTTCTACCGCTGCGATGTTACCGATACCCCAGCTGTGCAAGCGGTGTGCAAGGAGATTCGAGACACGCACGGCGATCCGAGTGTCCTCATCAACAATGCTGGAATTGGAACCGCAGGGACTGTACTTGACGTGAGCGTCGTCGCATTCGAGCAAAAGTTGCTAGCTGACGCCCGTAGACAAGCAACGAACACACCGAGCAACTTTTCAAGGTCAATCTCATCTCCCACTTCGTGCTCATCCGGGAGTTTCTGCCGGGCATGCTCCGGATGAAGAAGGGTCACATCGTTACTATTGCTTCGATGGCGTCTTTCCTCGCCGGGGCCGGTTTTCTAGACTATTGCTGCTCCAAAGTCGCAGCTTTATACTTGAACGACGGTATTCCACCATATCCCCTTTGAAGCACTCTGCGCTCACGAAGTCCAGGTATCCGCGCAGAGTGCCTATCCCGCTACGAGGGCGGCGAAGGCATCTGCACGACGTCCGTCCACCCAAATTTTCATGCTACGGGCATCATCAAAGGCGTGGAGAAATCGCTCCAGAAGCGCGGCCTCCGTATTGATCCGCCGATCAATGTATCGAACTTGGTGATTGAGCAGGTGCTCAAGGGTAAGAGTGGGCGGATCCATGTTCCGTTGACCGATGAGCGCTTTAGTGGTCTGAGGAATTGGCCACTGTGGTTGCAGGACATCGTGTTTGGGCTGCCATGGAAGAAGAAGCGAGTCGAGAAAATAGATCCAGTATTGGAGGGAGCAGAGGGAAAGTAAAAAGTAGGCAGGCAAGAATATCCGCCGTGTGGTCTTTCGATGCAGCACAGGAGCAGTTGGTTCGTTCCTTGATTCACAGGCCCGGGCCTTTGTCCAACTTATTTACGTCTGCGACCTGAATACGACACAAGGTATAGCGCACGAGAAGAAAGTGTTTACTCTACGCAACGCTGGATCAAATTCGCTCGTGTTGTTTTTATCTTCGGACGAACTTGCCCGGACAAAACTCGGCAATCCGTCCATCATCCAGTACCGGTACTCTGAAACGATCGACAGGTCGCACAAATAACAATGACACATCGTGATTCGTCCCGATCGAAATATGCGGTCCGTGTCTTCTAGGAAAAAGCGCGGCTTACAAACCGCCTCTCACATACTCAGCCCCTTCGGCCAACTTCGCAGCACCGAATGCCCGAGCATGGCTCATCAGGTACCACTTTTCGAACGTGGACATGCGCGATAGGGAATCCTGATGAATAATCCCATCAGCCTCCTCGGAACGCCTTCCATCCGATTGGCTGCTTTCCTCTATGCTCAACTAACTATATAATAACCCAAAGACGAGAAGAGCTTACCTAGACATCCATCAAACAGTCCAAAGGCCTTCCACACATTTCCACCTCCTCCAACATCAACATCTTTTCCATCCCTCGCCATCCAGCCACCCCCAGCATCCACCATGTCCCTCCAACCCATCAAGATCTGGGGCCAACAGGGTCCCAACCCGCCCAAAGTCACCATGATCTGCGAAGAGCTCGGCCTCCCCTACACGCACGTCCCCATCCAATTCTCCGAAGTCAAGAGCCCCGAATACCTCGCCGTCAACCCCAACGGCCGCGTCCCCGCCATCCACGACCCCAACACGGACCTCACCATCTGGGAGTCCGGCGCCATCATCGAGTACCTGGTCGAGAAATACGACAAAGAGCACAAGATATCTTTCGCGCCCGGCAGCCCCGAGAGCTACCTCGCCAAGCAGTGGCTGTTCTTCCAGGTGTCGGGCCAGGGCCCGTACTACGGGCAGGCCATCGTGTTCCAGCGGTATCACCCAGAGAAGGTGCCGTCGGCGGTGGAGCGCTATGTGAATGAGATCAAGCGGGTTACGGGCGTGCTGGAGGGGCATTTGAAGAAGCAGAAAGAGCAAGGTGGTGGAGAGGGGCCGTGGCTTGTGGGGAATAGGTACTCCTTTGCGGACCTGGCGTTTGTGCCATGGCAGACGATTATCAGTTTGGCGGTGAAGGACGAGGGGTTTGATGCAGAAGAGTATCCGGTTGTGAAGGAGTGGTTGGGGAATATGAATAAGAGGGAGGCGGTTAGGAAGGTGATGGAGCCGGCGATGGCGGCGATGGCGGCGCGGCAATGAGCTCCGAAATGAGAAGCTGGAAGAGCTTAGTGACTCCGGAGGGGCAGGGGCGTAGTGCTAGATTATAGAGGGCACTGATAGGTGGGAGGCAGTAGGAGCTAGATACTAAAATAAAAGATACGAAGCTTTTGAATAGGTGCTTTACTCTGTTGTGGTTGCTTTACGGCACTCGTGATGGCCAACGTCGCTCCCTTACCACAGCTTTCGGGCGTTGGCTCATGCCCAGAAGAGATCGAACAGGTACGGCGAGATCGCATCGAGGTGAAGACATTGATCGATCTTCAAGTCGGGCATGATGCCTGTTTGGCTACAGAAACGCCGATGAAGGGTAAGGAACCCCCTTCACATATTCGCGGCTGATCGTGATGCATTTGCGTCGCAGTACGGCCATGGTATGTACATGAAAACGAGTAAGCTGCTAATACCACAGAACCTTATTCCAGAACAAACTCTTATCCGTCGCAAGGTCATCGTCCGCAATCGAAAGTGTAGTGTTGAAGATGATCTGCGTCCCAGCAGTCGAGTTCTTTTCGTTGTATTTGGGCCAGTAGAGCTTGTCGTCAGCCCACATCGTGTTCGGGTCACCTGTGAGCACGAAGGAAAGGAGGTACTTTTGCATTTGGACGGCGACCGTGGCATCGACGCTGCTGCTGCCCATGCCTCCTCCTGCGCCACCGGTTGGTCCGCCGGTCGAATTCCCCGTGGTGGAGTTCGATGAGGACCCTGTAGAGGAAGAGAGGGTGTATGTGGAGTACCAGTAGTAGCTCTGATCGGTGCCGTGGGTCGCGGAGCCGAGTGCGACTTGTGCGTTCCACGTGTTGTTCTTCATAGCATGGGTGGCGGCGAGATTATGCGCGGTAAGATCAAAGGACTGCTTCATATCGGCGAAGCGCAGGCCGGGCGACGAGTAGTCCGATTCTGGGTACAGCTCAAGGGCCCTTTCCACGACGTCGTCTGTAATGGCCGGGAAGAAGATGCGAAGATACGTGGAGACGTCTTCGGTGGTGTTAACGCCGGACCATGCTTGCGAGTTCGCTTCATGCAGCTCGTGGCTCAAGACGAGCGGGCCGGAGAAGTTGAAGCGGCCTTGGTAGAACTGCGCTTCGTATGTATCTGCGATGATGTCTCCGTCCACACGCGGCTGGAATTGGTAGGTATACGCGTCCACGACGTCGTCGGCCGCCGTGCTCAACGTGTCGAAGTCGATAGCGCGCATGCAGTCCAATTTTCCGCCTTCGCATCCGGCTTTCGATGAAACGTTGAGCCAAAACTGCTCAGCGTGGTGGTGACCGGCGCCGGGGACGAAACCTGGAGACATAACATAGGCCTGCTTGAACAGCTGCTCCGCGCGACCAGCGAATCGCGTCATCTGGAAGAGGACCTGGGAGGCGCCGGCGGAAAAGCCCATGGCGGTGATTTGGTCCGCGTCGCCACCGAAAGCACTGATATATTTGCGTGTCCATTCGAACGCCTGCTGGACGTCCCAAATCGCCGTATTGGTCGTTCCGCCTTCATGCGCATACGTCGGTCCGTTTCCGAGTCCGGTGATGCCGAGGCGATAGTTGTATGCAACAAATACGAATTCCGTCGACAGGTTGAAGAGGCCTTCAGGGGTATTCTCGGACTTGGATCCGCCAGTAAAGCCTCCGCCGTACGTCCAAACCAGCACGGGCAGCTTCTTACCCTCTGTGATATTAGCTGGAGCCCAGACGTCCAGGTACAAGCAGTCTTCAGCAGAGCTGCAGTCCACATCTGAGGCTGCGAGGTCGCCGGTGTTGATTTCGGTCTCAACGGGCGGCCATTCGGGCTTTGCCCATCGCAAGTCACCGGTTGGCACGGCGGCAAAGCGTATGTTTTGGTACTTAAAGTACCCCAGGCTGGCGTTTCCAGCGGTCGGAACGACGGTTGTGTAGTCGAGGGTTATTGTTGGAGTGGTGCCGTTTGTGGTTGCGGTCGGAAAAGCTGACACGAGTGTCGCTCCCAGAAGGAAGACGCTATATGCAAATCGCATGGCGATTTAGGAATACTGGAAACGAAACGAATGTGGGCGGGGAATGAAACGGGACGGATGCTGTAGCACGTTATGGGATTTATGTTATGGAAGACATGGCGATGTCGATTTATCTTCGTACGTTTACGTCAATGCGAACGCGTGGACTCCTACGCGTATTCATTGTACCTACGCCTGTAGGCTGGCGAGGAAGAAGCCTCCTAAAAGATGGTGTAGTAACTATTCATGGACGGGCCTAGATTTGGCTCCGACAGGTTGCAAATAAAATAATTCAGGGGTGAACCTAAGTATTCGTCATGCCGTGCGCAGGAGCCTCTTGAATGCACAGTGGACCTGTTGTACGAGGAGTCCAACCTTAGAACACTTTGGACACCTCGTGGAAGGCGCCGCAGAAAGCCAGGACCCATATACATGTGGTGGGTTGTTCTATATAGGGTAGCCGTACACCAAAAGAGGCGTAATGGTGCAGCTGAGGAAATCGAGGATGACCTTGGCGAGCTCTGTTTGTACGATGCTTTCTCTTCCGGTGAAGACGGGAAGGCTATATATCGGTTGTCTCTGAGTCGGCCCGAGAGCTGACGGTGTGATTGGTAGCCGGGCCTAGCTTCATTTTCTCATACCACCGGTACGGGCGCGATATGCCGGATAACGTACTGTGAAAGGAGTAAAGAGGCGCTTAAGTCTCGCAACCTAGAATCTTGTGCAGAGGTCAAGACTCAATTTGGAGATAGTGTATCGTGACCTGCGTTGATATCGTCATCGGCGGCCTACTGAGCCCAGTATGTGGGGCAGGACAATTAGTGGTAGCTAAGGAGTTAGGCTAAATCAAACGATCAGCACCGAGTACCGATGAATAGCCCTTCCCACCGCGCATGAACACTTGTTCTCAGTGATATCTGTGTGGTATTCGGCCCGATCGCGCTGGTCTCCATAAGGCGGAGGCTTTGGGCGGCGTAGCGTCTGTGCTCACTATCGTCGAATCCGTCGCACACGTCACCAAAATGACTCTCGTGCAAAAGCGCCACAAAATAATCTCAACGCCTAATTCGAGAATTTAGGTATATCCGCGGCCTCCTCAGCACTCTGAAAGAGACGATCGAAGTGCAGGAATCATCCAATGACACTTAGTCCGCTCCGTTACTGCAGGTGAACGACAACGATGGCCTCCTCCATCAATTCCAGCAGCTTCCGGGCCTTCTTGACTTGCAGATCCGTAGTCCGCCTCAAGGAAAGGCCTCAAGAAGCTTGAAAGTGTCCTGAAATGGCCATGCAAGGAATCCGAGGCGCTCAAATTGCTGAACGCCGTAAGGGCCTTTTCAACCTCGCGTTAGAGGACAACTATATTCGTCCTTCAAACGTCATCCACGGTGAGATGAGAGACTTATCCGATATCGTTCGAGAAGACCTACAAGAGGCCAGACAAGGCAATGGAGTGCTCGCAAAGGTCCATCTTGATATCCAGGAATCGAGAAACAAGTTGCAGCGGAGCAAAACGCAAGGTTCGTAACTTTTCACCTGGTAATGATCTCAATTGCCACAGAACCCCAAACCCTAATCGCTTGTGTAATCTCAGCTCCGTTAATATCCTCATGGATGCCGAGTTCGATGTCATCTTTCGGTAGCTGACAACGTAGAACTTTTGGGTCCGTCACCGCGACATATTTTCACAGCGTGTCGGCGCCACTGGTGACTAGTTCCTTACCTCTGCGGAGTTTATCAGCTGGATATCCGGCGTGGTCCAATAGCTCATCCGCTATGGTGCGCCTGGAATTAGAAAGAGCATTCTAGCATCGGTTGTATCTTACTTCTGTTGCAATATAACGCCAGAAGGTCTCTAACAGCTTTAGAAAAATCTGAGCCTTGTGCAAAAAGTCGACTCACCTTCTCATTATTTAAATCACGGACTAAAACATGTGCTAACATATACTCCCCACACCGCAGCACCTCCGCGCGAATGCTACGGCTGATTCCCGTGACCTACGGTTCTACTTCGATTGAGCGTACCATTCGCCCAACAGATATGAAGACCTCTTAGTTTCTCTGCTACAGCCGTTAATCCAGATTCAGTGCTTCACGTGGGATGCCATCCGTGACACGTTCCAAGAACATAGCCATAAGCCTCGCCCCGCAACCGCCATTCTCGTTGCTCTCCTTCAAGAAGAGACAGTACTCCCAAAAAGTGTACCTCGTCCTCGATGCTTTCGACCAGTGGCGCGCCGAAGCTGATGATCTCTCACTCGTATCCGAGCTTGAGAAGCTGGGACCTAATGACAGTATTCTTATCATGTCACGGCCGCTCCCACTGCGTGAGGGAGTTTTGCATGGGAAGGTTCGCATGGAGATCTACCCTCTAAAAGCGGATCTAGAAATGTATGTGCGCTCCCGACTCGAGACACAAAGCTGGCGCGGCTTTTTGAAGCATGACCACGCATTGAAAAACGCGATACAGTGTACTATTCTGGAGAAATGCGAAGGCTTGTAAGTTCACTTCTCCATGCGTGTTTTATGAAAGCTGACAAAGTGTCGCAATAGGTAGGGCGATTCTGTCATACGCTCATGCACTGCGCATTACGGCGCGGAAACTTGACCCTCGCCCAGCTTCCAACGGACCACGGAACGAAGCTGGGTAGCCTGTCCAACGCCGTGAACAGCCTGCATCCTGGAATCCAATCTAAGAGTTTGTTGATGGTACAATTTGTCATGCGGGAGCAACTACAAGACCTCTCAATCGGCCCAACAGACCAATGACGCCATTAACCAAGAGGCCATAGATGTGGTTGCGCTATTGCTTGAGTCAGGCGCACCTACATCGGCGCCGCGCGATTGAGGCCCGCTCTCGACTACAGAGGTTGCCATCACAGCCCTTATACGGCGCGCGACCGGCGGACAACGCTCGAGCAAACGCAATACGCTCCTCGATCGTATGCCTTCAGGGCAAGAATATGTCAAGAACTACCTGCTCCAAGAATATCGCTGGTGGGTTTTCATACAGTATCACCGTACGCGAACACTGTCGAGCTTGAAGGCCCGCTTTTGGGGCAACAGACATACTAATCCGCAGGGTTTGTCCTCTAAACTCTGGTATTGTCTCTGCGAGGACCAAGAAGAGGGCGCTGAAGTCACCGCACAAGATCCGAGCTTGCACACAGCTACTGCAGTCGAGTTTGAGCAGTCGAACATCTTGCTCTTTTGTGCCTATCGTGGCTGGAAGACTGCCACACGACATCTTCGATTAGCCGATGCCCCTCAATGCCACTCCAAACTCAAGGATATGGCTCTCTGCGAAGCAATCGAATCCTACCACCATGATCTGGTTCGTTTACTACTAGACCCTAGTGCTCAAACAAATGCGGTCCTTCGAGTGGAAACCCACTTTCAATTGCAGCCCTGTCGCGGGATCTCGAAATGGCGCGCCAGCTTCTCGAGGCCGGAGCCAACCCCAACACACCATGTCCAAGGTATGGCAGTGCCATCCACGCGGCCTACTGTCATCAGTCTGTACCTTGCGACTTCGCGGAGTTGCTATTGCCTCTCCTCATTAGCCATGGCGCAGACATCAACGTAGCCCACGTTGATCGCGGTACCATCCTCACATCGCTCGCAAGGATATCAGAGGATAAGAGCGTTACACGCATAGCATTTTTGATTGACCGAGGGGCCGACTGCAACCTTACCGGCGGATCACTACATACGCCTTTGATCGTTGCAGCAGCATCATCAGGTCCGCAGTCACTGGAGATCATGCAATTGCTCCTCAAATCCGGTGCTAAGCTCGACATTTATGGTGGGATCTACGGAAGCCCGTTACTCGCCGCTACCAGTCTGTCCTCCTTTTCCAGCGACGAAAAACTACTGGCATTGTTCGTGGGGCACAGACATGAACGTCCCGCAGGCTGTATTCTCCAACGCAGTTGTTACAGCAGCTGCTTCCGGTGGCACAGAAGTAGTGCACCACCTCATTCAACAAGGCGCCGACGTCAACTGCGAAGCGGAATTTCTTGGGACTGTGACCACCCTCCTCGTTGCTGCTATCGCATCAGACGCTCTGGATGGCTTGCAAAAGGCGCAGTTGCTAATAGCCCATGGTGCTGAGATGAATGCTCCAGCGATGGGCTATTCCAACGCGTTGCAGATGCTTCTGCACTGCAAGGTACCGTATTTTGCTCTCGTCGAATGTCTCCTGGATGCTGGAATGGATACCGACGCGCCGAGTGCCCCGAATGGAGCTGGGACTTCAAGTGAGATGGCCGTTCAGCATTATCGGCAAGACGAAGCCCAACGCGAAGCCTGGAAAGACATCATCCTTCTTTTGCGTCGAAATGGTGCGGTCTTTTTCGAAGGGGATCTCGACTTTCTACTTCAGCAGACTTGGTTCCTTGACACGTTGACGGCCGACTGTAGCTGAGCCTTTCATTCTTTATCCTCTTGCAGCGGAATCTTGTTTTCTCCCCTTTCTTGTTACCATTTTCCTAGTTCTGGTTTCCAAACGTTTACTCATGTGACGTGCCGTGACTTTGCCTTGCCTTACGGGCTTTGAGTTTCTCTCGCCGGAGATGCCAGTATTCCTCACTGCCCTGCTGTTTGAGTCTCGCATGTTCAAGTCAATTGCCGAGAATCATGAGATCACGAGATCATGAAGACATGCCGGACGCATAGGGTGAGCTCGGGTGATGTCAGGCCGTCCTCCGTCAAGTACTGTACACGTATTTGTCTATTCAGTAGAAAGCTCCTGGACTCACTGAGGCTACTAACGTGACATCAGGGCATCAGATGACCGGATGAGCTCTTGCAGGTTCCCAGCCATGCGGGCATCGCCCGTTACGGGAGACAGCTACGTGCAGCTCAAGCTAATAATCCATCGATACAATGCCTAGGCAAATCTTGAAAGCTACGATACAAAACAAGGAAGCAGCAATACTCTGTCCCACGAGCATATACGTGGGCCAGCCTCGACGCAAGTATCCGCTACCCACGGTACGGATAGATACGACAAATGCCCCTCGCCGACCGCAAGCCGAAAACAGGGAATCGGTTCTTGGATCTGCCAACTCTCATGCATCTTATGTATGCTCATCATGTGCGCCCCTGAGTGAATGAAGATCCGGATCCAGCCGAAAATTAAGCTTTTGCAAGGGAAGCGTGGGGCCCTTGCAGTATCGCCCCTACAGTATATTGCTTTTCCCGCGTCGCCGCTCGAAGCAGTGTCCAGGGTTCACGATGCTTCTGGATTGGGATTAGCGTACCCGCCTTTAAACTTGAGACCCTGGAACCTCGGAACCTCGGAACCTCAGTTCGCCATGGGGATAATAAAGTTGAAAAGCCAGACCGAAGCACTCCAACCGCCCTCTTTCGACCGAGTATCTACGCCCAGCTCCAACAATTTCCCTTCTATCCAGTCCAATCCAATTAAACAGCCACGAAAAGTAGCACCACGACAACCCGGGGTGCATGCACGCGCCCATCACTTCCCACAAGAAACTCCTCCACAAACGACGATGGCAGGAGTCCGCGCTTCCCCGGCGGTCACCTGTTACCGCGCCTGAGACCGCGCTTCCTACAAACAAGGCCAGACCGCGAACAAAACTGGTCCGCGCTGCTAGCCTCGACAACACTTCAGGAGAAAAGCAGGGTCGCGGGGGAAGAAAAAGCTGGCAAACAAAATTTGCGATAGCCGTAGAAGTGTGCACCGCGTCTGATTCGCCGCGGCCCTTTATTCCGGACGCTGAATCGGGTTTAGCGCGGTACCCTAGCGGCCGCGACCTCGGGATCGTGAAAGTTAGTCGCGGCACTACTAGAATAGAAGCGAAGCGGGACGGAGAAATATACCGAGATACGGTTACTAATCGTACTGGACCCTTATTTTCAAGGGTGCGACGAAGTCTAGTCCGCTTTCGGCACTGTGGGATTCTCGCGGCGAAAGTCACCGAGCCAGTGGTTCGTCGGCGCGGGTCCGACGGGGCCTTTGGAAGCGTCTCTACGCGGGTTTGCATTATTACCGTAGTGCTAGAAGTTGGAATGGATAGCCTGACTGGCTTCGATGCACGATAGTGTCTGGGAGAGGTCAATCGGATGTGGCGACAGGCGGGGCCAGTAGACCTAACTCTATGCTTAGCCTCTTATTGCGAGATACCCGCGTAGCTACATCCGATCTCCGATGGCAGATATTCAGCAATGTCCCTCGGATATGTCTATGATTTGGAGCAGATGGCCGTGAGGAGCGACTGTTTTTCGTCGTCTGCTGTCTCTAAGCAAGCCTCAGCCTACCACCTCACATGAGCTGCGGCAATGCCTCGGATCTAAGAATGCAAAGGCTCAGATGCGATACTATCAGGAGACAGCCCTACTAGCGGTTTTGTATGCATGCCCTGCATGGGACATGTCAAGGCGACCAACGTCCCCGCCTGGAACAGTCCATTGTCCCTCGATTCCCGTCACGCGTAGCGGCCTATGTGCATTTGTCACTATGGCGCCCACTATATGGGAGACGTTAGCTGGTCAGACGGTGGTGGGCAAGCGTCGAAGTGCGGATTAGGGGTGCTGAGCTGCACCTCATCTTCGATATGCAGGCGGAAAGGCCGTCCTTGATACGCGCTCAGGCTAGCATTGCTACCGCGCCATTGTCGAAGACGAAGGCCTGGAGCTGCTGTGGCCGCGGGATCAACCCACCCTAATATAGAGTCGGTTTTGTCCTAAGGCGCGGCTAGGATGGGAGCCATTGTGTTCGCCACCACTGCTGGGTTACGATTCGCTAGGCAACCGACCAATCAAGAGAGCCCCATGTACAGTACGAACGTTCGGAATCGCACCGCGGGCCAAAGGAGGTCAAATAGGTACTTGCACTTTGTGCGCCGGCAACCTGGCAGTGAGAAGGCCATAGACCGTCTATCGCAAAACCTGGCATTGCCCAATGGGACAACATGGACGCGGCCAGACGAGGTGGCTGTGCCTGGGCGTCTTCCAGAGTCTGGGCTCTCGCAAATCGCGGCCGACCGTTGTGCGCAACATTATCCGCCAGCTCAAGCATAACGATGAGACGTCCTGCGGTCCAACAAGTTATAGAACCGAGACAAACGTAGCAAAGAGCGAGCGCGACGAGAGCAGAAGCATTCGGCGAGAGGGGGACGGGCGGCGCGTAGGGGCTGTGGCGAGGGAGCGCAGTCTGGACAACACTGTCTGGAAAGGTCAGCTTCGCGCATCGAGCGTCTGTCTCTGTGCGCGTCGGCGGCGGGACGATGCGGGTTTTGTACCTGGCGCGAGAGACGGTGATGCGGGCGAGAACGCGGCAGTGCGGGCTCCTGGTTCCAGCCCCTATTGGCCAAAGGCGGCTGATTGGGCCAAGCTCCCGGGACACGGATCCGCCTCCACTAACGGGCCCTCATTATTGGGTGGGTTGACATCATCGCAGTCGCAGGAGGTGAACGTCGGCCCTGGAGGCCTTCTTGCTCGAGACCGCTTTGCCATCAAGTTGCTGCGCGTGAATCGCCATACCTCTGCCCCTAGAATGCCTGCAGTCGCTTGCCGATGCATTGCCGCGTCGTCATCGGACCCTCTGCGCACCCAACGCCTCGGCGCCTGCCCTTGCCTTGTCCGCCTTGATAAGACGGCGCCGAATTCGTGGGAAAGAGGACCGCACCCTCGCCGAGCCCGAAGCCATGTCTTCGAATCCGCTCAGCTTCACATCCGCCAACTATGCGCCGTCGGCGGGCGCCTCGAGGAAAGTCGCGATTCCACGCCTACAGCGTCGCAGCCCGCCCCACGGCGCGTCCAAAGACAGGCGGCGAGTGCGCCGCGCCTGTACCGCCTGCCGCGCCCACAAGATCAAATGCTCCGGAGACGCTCCAACATGCAGGCACTGCAACTCCACCGGTCGCGAGTGCATGTACATCATGCCGCGCAGGGACAGGCTCAAGATGTCGGTGCCGCCCGCTCCCAATCCATGCTTCTCTGACTAGTCCAGTGTCACGGATCGATGCGTTGAGATGTCCGACCTCCTCAGGGCGCTGAGGAAGTGGGCCAGCGAGGAGGACAATGCGAAGATTGAGGAACTGCTCGGCGCGGTACGCTACAATGGTCCCAGTCACATGCGGCGCTAACATCTCCAGGTCGAAGAAGACACTCCCGACACGCGGCAGGAGGCTAGCACGCCTTCCATCCCCGACACTGATGGCGACGACTGGACCTCATCCAGAGTCATGCTGGATGCCGACGTTGTCCCCGCGCACGACCAGGCAGACGCCGACTACCTCGATCTTTTGGATGAAAACCTCCATGAAAACGACCAGTCGCGAGCCACGGGTTTCGTGGGCAAGAATTCCGAGGTCCAGTGGCTGCGGAATTTGCTGAACTTCGAACGGTGTGAGGAGGATCCGGCAAAGGCGTCCATGTCTCAGCAACGAGGCTCGCACGCTCCCGGGGGCGGTAGTGAGCAGGTGAGCGCCGTCACGTTTTACTTGGACAGCGAAAACGTCGACCTGGACTTTTTCGAAGAGCCGTCCGAGCTGCCAGAGCCAGACGCGGCGGAGCGGCTGCTAGGTGTCTACATGGACAAGGTGCACGACTCCTTCCCGATACTCCCCAGAAGACTGTTTGAAGACCAGTTCCGCAAGTACTTCAACGCACAGCGCAACGGAAATGCGCCGCGTCTGAACCCCAAGTGGCAGGCCATCCTGAATCTGGTCTTTGCCATTGGAGCCAAGTACTCGCACCTGGTCAAGGCCGGCTGGCGAGCTGACGAGCGAGATCACCTCGTCTACCAGGCAAGGGCGCGTGCCTATGGTTGGAACGAGGCCACCCTCTCGCAGCATCCCGATGTGCCGCAGATCCAAGTGGCCGGCTTGTTGGCCTTCTACTATCTCTCCGTAGGACAGGTCAGCCGGTGAGTTTCCTCGGTCCTGCTCCACGCTCCTGCCTTGTAGAAGCATCGCGCGCTGACATATAACAGAGCCTGGGTGGTTGTCGGCCTGGCATTGCGCTTTGCGTACTCGCTCGGTCTCCATGTTCGCAATCAGGATCCCTCAGCTTCCGCGCCGAAGCGAGAAGTTCTAGTGCGGGTATGGTGGAGTCTATACTCTCTCGAGCGCCAACTCAGCATCATCACAGGTCGCCCCAGCGTAGTCGTCGACTCGTGCTGCTCCGTCCCGTTGCCGATGCCCTTGTCAGAAGACCAGATATCGGGAGAATCGAGTGCCGTGAATCGCATGCGAAGGCCTAGCTCGTCTTCTACCACGTCTTCCGCGACGACAAGTCCAACGTTTGCATCGCCGCGTTCGGCTTCCTGGACGGATTTCCCTCAAACGCCCATGGGCTTTGGAGCCGTGGAGGCCAACTCTGGGGCGTACTTTAAGGCTACCGTCCAGATGGGCATCATAACTCAAAGCATTCTCTCGTCACTCTACACCGCTGGAACAATGATACGTTCTGCGAGCGAGATCCAGCGGGATATCATCCAGCTCGGCCGGCGCCTCGATGAATGGGCCACATCGCTTCCCGCTGAATTCAACTTCCAGATTCGGCGCTCGGGAGTGAGTACACCATCGCGCGCCTTTTTTCGAGAGCGTACGCTGCTCGGCTTCCAGTTCTGCAGTGCCAGGGTGCTCCTCACACGTCCTTGTCTCGGCGGTCTATGGCTCCCGGGAAAGGATGGAAAAGACGCGACAGTCCCTATTAGCTTTTTCCGGAACATGGCAGTCATCTGCGTCGACGCTGCCAAGATGGAAATTGACTTTCTCCCCGACCAGCCAAATCCGCTCTTTGTCTACGAGTACGGGCCGTGGTGGAACATTGTGCACCACGTGATGCAGGCCTTCACTTCCTTTCTCCTTGCGCTCTCGTACTCGCAATTGGCTCCCCCGGACAGCCACGTGTTGGCAGGGTACGCGAAGAAGTCGATTCGCTGGCTGCGATCCATGAACGATCCGCTCGCGGCACGCGCTTATCGAGTGGCGTTTAAATCTCTCGAGCTCGTGGCAAACAGGCTCTCGCTGGACGTCTCGGACTTGTGGCGAGAGCATTCGCTGGCCTTTCCAAATACTGGACCGGTGGTCGAAGTGGACAGGCACTTTGATATGGAGCCTGTTCCGATGCTGACCGCAGCCGGCTCCGTTCCGTCGATGCCGATGTCCTTCGCCGCCATTCCCATCTCAGTGCCGCATTCTGCTGGCCCGATGCTGTCGTCATATAGTCCTGTGGCGGCGAGCCCGACGTTTGCTCCTCCGGGAGGCCCCGTATTCGACGATCCGTTCTATCGCAGAACGGGTTGAGGCGTTGTCGGGGCAGCACTTCGACTGGGCTTTGATAGAATCATGGCTCAATAGACCAAAAAAACGGAGGGCGCTCGCGGTGGTGGTGGTTCTGGGAACCTCGCGCCAGGAGGTCGGAGTATATAACATAAGAAATCAGTCGATGCCTGCAGCAATCTCCGCCGGGGGCGCACGGACGCCCTCAACGCGCGGACGTAAATCATGGATGCTTGCGTGGGAAGGTGCCACCCCAGGCGTATATTTCTCCTTCTCTTTGGACGGGTCTGCCACACGTACCACTAATGCTCAACGATGAGCGATGCGGGAATCCGTGCCGGAGAAGCAGGCTAGCGCGGACTCTGCGTCGCCTGGAAGAGGAATGGTGCGAGGCCAAAACGTGATGGGATTCGTTCCTGCCGCATGCTGTACCTAATGCTTGGCGTCCGTAATCACGGCTCAACCCGCCGAACTGGCTACACCAACAGCGTGTAGCCGGAGAGCGAGCCGGGCGAATCATGTGTGGCTGCCTTCCTAGAGTCAACTGCTGCCGGAAAGAGGCTTCCTCACATGTGGAAGTTTGATTACGCGTCTAAAGAGGACTCTTTCGACCTATAGATGTTGGTGAATTACACAGTTCCACGCCCGTCGAACTGCTCAGGAAGCGGATGAATACGACAACTTAGATACCGTACCCGCGTGCCCCCATTCCGGCCGAGGTACTTTGTTAGAAGTCAGGCAAAGTGGGACGAGATAATGCGGTGCAAGACCACCGCCGCGCAAAACACTTGCGGGGTGGTTATTCCCCCATCTTGCTAGAGACTGCCTATACCCGTGGTCGACATTATTCTGGTATGACGCCGGTGCGGCTGTCTAGCCTAACGCCCTCTCGAGCCTATGGGGCGATGGGGAAATGGTCACTCCGCGATTCTAGACTACAGTCCAAGGCACCGGGTCCATGTCGACACGCATCTAAGGGAGCCCCTTGCCACACTCGAACCCTTTTCGTAGCATGTTACTATCATCACACTTCAGCTCGTTCTTCGTTTCGGTTGGATAACAAAATCAAACCCGCAAAGAAAAAGGCATATTGCTTTTCGTTTCGATTGCTGACTCTAGGTTCACCTGCAACGACATCATAAGACGCTTCTTCAGCATGCTCCTGCATCTCCGCCATCCTTGCGGCTGTGGCCCCGGGAAGAGGTGCCTCCTCTCCACTCATCGCTACCACGATTAGCAATGCTCTCTAAGAGAGGTATCCTTCTCGTTCCGTCCCGACTACTCTTACCGCAGGCCTGCATTCTATTCTTGTGTCAGAACCTTTGGCAGCAACTGCTTGTGCGGGAATGAGATCCTGAGTACCGCTGCCCTGACGGACGGGCGTATTCGCACTTGTTCGAGTGGAAACGGCCAAGCTTGCGGGGGAGCGAATCTGATATTATTAATCTACAGGGAGAAACCCTCCAGTACTTTGAGTTTTGTATTGACTTGTTCTGGTAGAGATATTTCGCGCTCTAAGCTCTGTGCCTGTGTTTTCTATGTTCGAGAGGAATGTGTGGATTTGCAAGGTGGGTCGCTCGTGGAAGCGGTGGCCAGTCCACCATTGGGTACGTACCCTCAACCCCCAGCCACCTATATTTATAGCCCCGGATGTATGGGCAGTACTTATGCAGCGGGGAGTGCGATTAGACTGAGGCGATGTGGTCCCGCGTGGCCATCAGGCTGGCTTGGTGTTTGAATGGTTGGCGAACGAACGTGAAGTGAACGTGACCGCATAAATTGAAGACATCCTGGAGTCGAGGGAGGGAAGCCAGTAACCTAAGGGTGTTGTCTCTTGACGTTGAATACCTCTCGGCGAATTGGTACAGGATTGAGTCGAGACGTTTAATGTGCTATCAAAGAGGGAACTGGCCCAGACTCGCAATCCTGTAGAAGTTCAGACTCGATTTGGTAATGTGAATGTTCTTGCATGTGTTAGTCATAGAACCTCGGCATGCATCTTAATCTAGTTAGCGGTCAACCACCCCTCGTTCTGCCATGTCAGCTCTGCCGTCACTCCTCCACGAACCTCATCGTCGGATTCCGAGTCTCCTGAAGGAGACTGCTCGTTGGCTTTATTTGTCTGCAGCCTTCGCGACCATTACCACAACAGTCAATATGCACCTGGAAACCCATGCTTCACCAGCGCCTTCCCAAACAGCTAATGACGATCAAAGTTTCAGCCGAGGCATCAGGTACTTTAAGACGTCACCGGCAGCCAATATGCCACTGTGAACGGTCCTCATCGCTTTCGATCGCGTTCAGCAATGCGTAAGCTGCATACCAGGCTGAAGCAAGGCAGTTATTTCAGTAGCACTTCCTCCAGCTCCGCTCCGTCCCTCTCATGCCCACCATGGAAACCAACTCATTCAACGTCATCCTCTTGTCCTTAGCAGAGTCTGCAATTGCCTTCTACCTCTTCCCTCATGTCTTTCCCGCGGGGACTCTGACGTCCTTCTTTCTTATTTTCTCTTTGGTTAACTTCGGTGTCCTTGGCTTCTACATTCTCATCATCTACCCCTTCTTCCGCAGTCCGCTCCGCCATCTACCGCAACCGCGAAGGGGGTTCTGGCCGATCATCGGTCATGGCTTGGTCATGTTCAAGCGCCCGCCCGGAGAGGCGCATTTGAAGATGATGAAGGACGTCGATAACGACGGGGTTATTTTCTTTCGTGGCTTCTTCCACACAGACCGCCTCCTTTTGACCAACCCGGCTACCATAGCGGATGTCCTTGTGCACAGGAGCTACGATTTCGAGAAGCCGCAGTGGGTCCGCACCTTCTTGCGCCAGTTTCTTGGCGACGGGCTGTTGATGACCGAAGGCGACGAGCACAAGCACCAGCGGAAGCAGATCATGCCGGCATTTAGCTTCCGCCACATCAAGGAGCTCTATCCGGTATTTTGGGCGAAGTCTATCGAGCTTTGCGAGGTTACCAAAGCGGAGTTGTGGGACAAGCCGGACAAGGTGCTCGAAATCGGCCACTTCTCGACGCAGGTGACGATGGACATCATCGGGCTGGCTGGCCTGGGGCGCGACATCGGCTCGCTCCGGAACAGCGATGACGAACTCATCAAGAACTACGAAGAGATACTTGAGCCCACGGCGGAGAAGGCCATCTATTTCGTGTGCCATCTGCTGTTTCCGCCGTCGGTCATGCACGCGCTGCCTTGGAAGCTGAACGAGCGGGTCAAGGTTACGACGTCGAATTTGAAGCGGATTTGTAGAGAGTTCGTGGTTGAGAAGAAGAGCAGGATGAAGGTTGAGAGCCAAGAAAGCGTCGATATCCTAAGCATCCTGATCCGATCGAACACGTTCTCAGACGATGGCTTGGTAGATCAACTTTTGACTTTCCTAGCAGCTGGGTACGTAACACTCCTTGCAGACCACAAAGCCGATCTTTTCAGCATTGAGAAATGCAGAGGAGAGGCGCACACCCACACTGCTCAATGACGCTCATACAATCTAGGCACGAAACCACCTCCTCGGCCTTCACATGGGCGACTCACCTGCTATCCATACATCCCGAAGCGCAAGCCCGCTTACGGACTGAGCTCTACGAGAACATTGCGGACCCAAAGGCTCTTTCCGAACCGTCCTTCGATATTGCCGGACTGCTCGAATCGCTGCCATACCTCAACGCAGTGTGCAACGAAACGCTGCGACTCTATCCCACGATCCCAGTTTCGTCGCGCGTAGCAATCCGCGATACCACTATCTCTGGACAATTCATCCCCAAAGGCACGCAATCCTTCGTCGTCCCCTGGGCCATGAACCGCAATCCGAAGCTGTGGGGCGCTGACTCGGAAAAGTTCAGGCCGGAGCGCTGGATCGATGCCGAGACGGGGCGCGCGACGATGAACGGAGGTGCAGACAGCAACTACTCTTTCTTGACGTTCCTCCACGGGCCTCGCAGCTGCATCGGCGAGAAGTTCGCCAGGGCGGAGCTGAGGGCGCTCGTTGCGGCTTTCGTGGGGAACTTTGAGATGCAGATGGCGAATCCGGATGAGAAGATCAAAGTTGGCGGGACTATCACGAGCAAGCCAGTTCAAGGCATGAGGCTGAGATTGACGCCCGTGGAATGGGGTAGTGGTGGACATATGGCGAAGATGGGTTAATGTGCTTGAGCAGGAAGGAAACCATTAGGAGCATATGACTCTCGAAGTGTTTGTGCACCTTTGACTGGACGTTCTATACCATATATAACTCGAAAGCCTTACAAAATTTTCCAAATGAGGAATATAAGTAGGGCACAGCCCGCAAGCTCCTAGCTATCCTCGGCCCAACACAATTAGCACCCCTTTCGTAAGATTTACCATTGCAATAGATCTTTCCTCTACGCAGTCTAGCCATTCCTCATTCTCCTTTCCCCCATCACCATCAAGCAAGTGCGAAATCCCACGCTCTAGCGTCGCATTCTCGCGGAAACAGCCCCGAAGTAGCAAAACCCACCACAACACCAAAACCAGGGACATGCGAAAGATCCCTGCCAAGATCAGCGTCAGCAGTATCCGCATCCCTATAAAACCGCCACTGCAACTTCCTCAATCCTTTTAGCTTTTTCGACATAGTGGCCGCTTTTCCTTCTTCCCTCTGTTCATACACGTCAAGGCATCTAAGATGGCGACGCAACAAACGAGTTTGAACAAGTTCCTCTGGGAGCGGCAGGCGAGGCTCACGCCGCTGTTTGAGAAGGGCGATGTGGATGCGATTTTGCACTTCTATCATGCGGATTTAGAGTTCTCGGACTATGGTGAGTTGAATGGGATGGCGTGTCGTTCGTCCATCGCGAGATTGCTTGCATGGGGCCTGGCTTCAGTTGTATGGAGCGGGGTGAATATTTCCCAAAGCGTTTATCCTCGTGGAGACACCGTCCTACACTAGCAGCGGAGTAAACTTAGACTGTCAAAGCACTTCTGGTTTCCATATCCCCAGCTCGCAGCACGCCCACGCGCTAACGAACCGGCCCCCGCAGCATGGCACGCCACAAACCTGAACCTCTCCGGCTTCGAAAAGTTTCTCAGATCAACCTACGACACGTCGTCTTCGCTGAAGATGGAAACGCACGGCGTGCACGGCACGAAGGCGTTCTCGGTCTGGGAGTGGACGCTGAGAGTCGTCGCCGGCGAGGACGACCCGATCCGCGGGCTGGTCAAGGGGAAGGAGATTGTGCTAAGGGGGTGCAGTCTGCATCATTGGAGGCTGAGGGAGGGTGGCGATGAGGATGCGCTGGCGGACTGGCGGATTGTGAGGGAGGCGGACTATGCGTGTGGAGGGGGCCACTGAGTGGCGAGTTGAGAGTATGGATAGAGCTCTAATGGGTGTAGGGGGGCCAGTCGTGCAAACGGAGGCGAGCGCGTGGCTGGTTCGCGGAGATGCCCTAGCAGAAGTTTGACGGGCGATCATCTCAAACTCATTAGGTTTTAACCTAGTCAATGATGTGTCAGTATCCCTCGTTCGAAGCAGACTTAGGAGCTCTCGTCTTGGAGCGCATCAGAATATCCAACGTAGGAGGCAGTAGTAGTTGAGCCATCGTTTGCCAGTGTCATCCCTAACGTTAACCAGTAGAGCGGAGACTGGCGTCAACAGCGACTTCGGAGTAAGTACGTACGTAGCGGGCCGTCCGGCTCGACACTGTTCGAGCGCTGTGATACGTTTGCGAGGATCAAGTACAGCGTACGGTATCTCAAAAAGCCGCCTCTTGCTGCTCGGTTCAAGTATTCTATACCTACATTTAGCGCAAAACTTCTCCATCCTTGGAGTAGTGGGAACTAGATCACGCATGGGGCGTCCGCGAAGAATCGTACAGGAAGGGAAGCTCGGAATGGCTTTGCGAGACGCTTGGTACCAGCAACCCGAGTAAGGAGGGAGTGAAGCACAAAGTCGTACGCGCAGTTCTGATAGAAGGTTCTTCGGGACGAGTTCATAATCATGAAAGGTATTCAACCCAGCATTTCTTCAATCGTCGCATCGAGAGGCTTTAGTTTCCGTCCCGCCTCATTCAAGATCTTCTCCAGCGTAGCGTCCTTAATGTCGCATTCCCCATCCTTCAGCGCCTCGTACGTTGTGCTCCACCACTCCACAGCCGGCCTCTCCATGTTCTTCTCCTTGACATAATAATCCTCATACTCCTTCCTCGATACGACCTTCAGACTCACATCTTCTGCTCTCACCCTGCTGACGATTCGTGAGATTTCGTGCAGCGTCCAGGTCCGGTTCTGCGAGAGGTAAAGGGTCTTTCCCATCCACTCGGCGCTTGGGGCGCTGAGGATCCTCGCCGTCGCATACGCCATGTCGGCAATTGCAGTCCACGATATCGGCCCGTCTCCAGCTACGATGACTTCTTTCCTCTTGTCGTCTTTGAGGCCATAGTAGTACCCGAAGTACAGTGGCCAGCTCTCGTTGTACAGTCCCTCCCGGATGATTGTATAGTTGACCTTTCCCTGCTCAGCCAGCTCATTAAGATAGGTCTCGGTGCGGATATGCGCCCGCATGACGCCCGCTTTCGACGGGTTCCCGAAGGCGAGCGACGTGTAGTAAATATGCTTGACGCCGACCTTGACCGCCGCATCGATAGCCGCTCGGTGGTGTGCCTCCCTTCCTTTCCACAACGGCGCGTCGTTGTAGTCCATCGCGATGCGAGGCGTGGAGACGAGGAAAAGCTTCTCGCATCCTGTATAGGCGCGCTCGAGCGACTCGGGCTGGTCGAAGTTATTGTAGCGTACGGTGATGTGCCGATCGCGGTAGGTATTGAAGCGTTCATCGAGGGGGTTCGTTGACGTCTGGCGGAGTCAGTTGTGGCTCTAGAAAACCATCCTGAAGGCCTTCAGTGAGTTAAAACGAATCAGACCTGCCGCTGGGAAAATGTTCCTGAAGGCCTTCGATGGTTGGAACAAGCTTTTCGTAGGATGGGGCTTACGCAGATGACGAGTTCTGTGGGTTCGACGAGCTTACTCTCAAGGATGGCGTTGAGGACCGCGGATCCGAGCTTGCCTGTGGCGCTTGTGAGGGCTATCATTGTGATCACGAAAGAACCGGTTCCAGCGGTAAAAAGAAGACGTTAAGCGGAGATATAGCGTGCAGTTAGTAGTGTGATGTGAAGCTGTTCAATGGATGGCCTCATTAGTGACATGGGTCCAACGCTCACCCTCGTTTCCAACAGTGGACAACCGGACGAGTTATCCTCAGCAAATGTAGCAGTGCTGTGTATGAGAAGCCGCCCTAAAGTCAATGCCTCCAACCGGGAGCGTCTGGCCGTTGGATATGTTTAAAATAAGCGCATGCGTGTTAGGGTCAAAGTTCTGCAGCCAGAGTGTGGGGAAGACACCATCCCGAAAATGGTTAGCCTCAAACTCTACCCAAAATAGAACCTGATTAGGCTCATCATGAGTTCGTGGATATTCGCTCGAAAATGTAACGGTAGATATGACTCAATTATGGTAGAACTTGGCTGCGAAATACCTCTAGGGCATGGATTTATCGTTCTTGGAGCTTTTATCTCGATCTTCTCCAGCTCCGTTCCCGTCCGCGATCTACCATTAAAAGGAGGCCCGTCTACTTTCCATTTGCTTCTTCATTTCACACATCTCTTCCTCAATGGATTCAATCAACGATCTCTGCAATCCACCGACTTCTCTGCGTGCGAACGCGACCGCAACTACCAACCCGTAGGCTACTGGAAACTCCCTCTTGTCACTAGATCTATTTCTTTATCCGGAACGCTTCCGTCGTAGATCCAGATCGACCATTACGGGAGCGGCGTAGCGCCCAACGATATCCTACGCCGCTTACACGTCACCACGTCTATTGACTACGCCGCTGGGGCGCTATCGTACAGCGTCTTCGAAGAGAAGACGTACAGGTACCCAGCAAGCCTCAAAAGCCACAACGGGACTGAAGGCTAACCCGGGGCTGGCTAGCGTGCCGGGGATGCGATCACTCAAGATGCTCAACCTGACGTTGACGCATGAGAGACCTGGACAAGCCACCGAGTTCGGCAAGATCTCCCCCGTGCTCAAGATACTTGAGGCGCAAGGCGTTACTGTCAATGTCGTTTCTTGCCGGCGCTCAAAGTGGACGGATTTATCAAGCTTGTTTGACGAGCCTGATCTAGAAGAGCTGTAGCAGCTAAGGAACAGGAGATCGATCCGGAAAGTATGAGTATTAGTTTTGCGGGTTTTGTGGATGAAGCTTCGCAGGGTAGCGCTTGCGGATCATTATCGAGGATTCCGAGAGAAGGAGCTACAAGAGAAGACCAGAGCGTTGCATGGGCCGGCCATTCTAGCAGCGTTGAACTAAGACTCTTTGGCACAAGTAATCCCAAGGAAGGAATCCAGATTTCACGGTCTGGAGAGCGAGAGTTGAGATGCTTCAGGGTCCTGTTTCTTTCTAGATGCTTGCAGACGTGTTCGTTGGTATAAGGTCGTACCCTCACGCCGCATTTCTTATTCCATGCGGCGCATCTCAAATACATCGAGCGGAGACGCGGTCGCGGCGAAGCTCTCAGAGCGCATGCAAATTAGTCCAAGACAGGATAGCGCCTGTCATACACCCCATCTGATAGGTGCCAGCCCTCGCCGCCGAGATGCGAGACGATGTAAGGCATCCCCACGGCTCACGTAAAGCTGTGCCGTGTTAGATTTGGCGCTTACCTGCCCGCACTCGTACATATACCAGGACGGCGTTCTGTTCGGAGATTTTAACGGCCTCCGCGGACGTCGTCAGAACAGTCAAACATCATGGATTCCATTCGCGCAGTCCTCTCCCCGGACGAGATCATCGAGCCCTCATCGCCCGACTACGCGAAGGAAAGCCAAGTATGGTCTGCGCACAAGGATCTGCATCCACAGCTCGTCGCTCGCCCTCAAACCGTCGAATCGCTCTCCAAGCTGCTCAAGACGCTCAATGACACCGAAATCGATTTCAACATACGCTGCGGCGGCTGCGGATCTGCTTCCTCGCGAGGCGTCTTGATCAGCATGTCCGCTTTTGACGGCTTTGAGTTCAACAAAGAGGAGGAGTATGTTGTTGTCGGCGCAGGCCAGTTGTGGCGCCATGTTGATGCGAAGGTGGAAGAATTTGCGCCGGGGTACTCTGGTGAGCGCGTGTTTCCCTTTTCATCAGAGATCAATTAGGGTGGATGGAAACTGATAATAACAGTCGTTGGTGCGCGCTGCACATACGTTGGCGTCGGCGGCGGCACTCTTCAAGGCGGCGTGTCGTGGATGTCATCCGAGCTGGGATTATCGAGCGATCCTCAAAATATGCTGGATGCGCAAGTAGTACTTATGGACGGCTCGGTCCTATGGGCGTCTAGCGATTCCGAGCTACTCTGGGCGCTGCGCGGCGGAGGCGGACGTTTCGGCGTCGTGACGGCGTTCAAACTACGTGCGCACAAGTATCCCCAAAAGGTCTACAGCGGGATGATCTTGTACCCGCGAGAAGCGCTGGACGAGCTGGCGAAGAAAGTGCCAAAGTTTGCGGCAGAAAACACTGATCCGAAAGTCGCCATGCACTTTTACTGTCTAGACATGACCAATGGGGCTTTTGTGGGTAAGCCGAGTGTGCCTGGTTTGGGGTTGCTGGTGTATGATGCCCATGGAGAGGAGCATGGCCGGAACGAGGCGTTCAAGTGGGCGCTGGAAATTCCTGGGGCGACGGATACTACGGCCGGGATGAGCTACCGCCAGGTGAATCAGCTGAATGGTGAGGTTCCGTCGTTGAATCTACAGAGGCTGGGCTGACTGGGAACAAGACATGCTTGAGGCGGTCAGAGGCCAGACAAACCAGATGATGACGGCAGTAGTGATCCCGACCGTTACCGAAGATCTAATCAGGCGGACTTGGAAATGGTTTGACGAGACGCTTCTCCTGGAGCCAAAGCTGAATGCGGGTACTTTCGTGCTCATCGAAATCATGCAAAAGGTAAGGAGCTCTATGAGGCTCGTGTAGTGCACACATTCAAACCATCTTCCAGGAAGCCTTCCAGACCGTCGGCTCCCGCACGGCGACCGGCTGGCCTCGCCCGAAAGGCCGCCACATCCTCCAACTCGGGACGGGCGCACTCAACGGCTGCACACCAGAAGTGCACAGTCTAGCAGTTGAAAGGCTCGCTGCCGGAGCACACGAGATCTGCGACAAGTACTCGGGTGGCGACTGTCTTCCGCGAGATTTCGAGGAGTTCCACGACCCGGTCGAGGTGAGTATTTGGCGCGGGAGATGATCCAATATGTGCACTAACGACGAAATCAGATGTTCGGAGAGAACGTGGAGAAGCTGCGAGAGGTTAAGAAGCGCGTGGATCCGAAGAATAGGCTAAGAGGAGCCTATGAGCTATAGGAAGTTACGAACGCAAGAGAGAGTAAGAAGTTAGAAGTCGCAACGCTCAGTCTGAAGCCCTTCACTGGTTATTTTAAAAGCCCCATTCTCCATTGACAGAGCTGACGGTCTTCGGCGCCCCATCCAGCGAACTGCGGACAGAGTAGTGTGTGTAGATGACTAATCAGGGCCCAAGAAGATATCTGGTTTGTGTTGATAGGGTCATTCGACTTCAGTCGCCATGCAAGCGTTGCGGAGTGGCCCGACGCGGCATGTTAATGCCGGCACCCGAAGGCTTTTTTCGCGATACGATGATCCGTGGTAGCCACAGCTCAGTGATTGTGTTGATGTATGGTTTCATCGGTCGTTTGTTCGCCCCAGCATCACCATTAACACGGAAACTCCCATAGGACACTAGCGCGATACGGTCGGCTCGAAATGAAACAGGCATCTCAGCAGCCCGGAGAGCTATTTGATGCACCCACAGACTAGCCATCTCTTCTTTCTACCCTAGCCCGGCCGGAATCATAGCACTATGCAACCATCCTGGACCCGTATCCGCGGACCGTCCAGGAGGAATCGCCCGATTAATCCATTTCGGCGAAGCGTTGCTGTCGCTCATCCACATATTTGCCGAGCATGTTCAAAAGAGAAGTACTCGCTTCCCTGCACCAATACAACCTCAGGTCATACTCACATCTGGTTCGGCGACGCAGCTGCGAGGTGCTGTGGTTCGGACGATGCATCACAGCGTCTCTGCTAACAGTATTCCGAAGTAGTCGCCGGAGGTGTTCGGATCGGCGCAGAGTTCTTCCGATATCCTCTGGAGACGTCTCGAGATACGATGCATGGCGTTAAGGATAAGGTGACATCGGCGAATTGTGTTCCCGGAATACTACTCCACGTCTCGTCGCCGTTGAAAAGAGCCGGTGCTATCGCATTGTTGTTACACATACCAGCATGTCTTAGCTGAATCCGTATAGCCGCTCTCACGAAGGCCTTCGGCATTCCGGAGGGGAATCACGTGCCCGGTCGTTGTTGGAGACGCCGCCGCTTGGTGTCTCCTCCGGTTCACGTAGACTAAGAGACATGTACGTGCGGAGTCAGCTTGAACTCTCTCGATATATCGCGTTCAGACCTTCAGCCTGCTCCGAGCACGTCATCTGCAAGCCCCCCTTCCAGCAGGAAAAGCGAGCAAACGAAGTGCTTTCTCGAAGCCTTTAGCGAGCGGGCGACACGAACACGCCGCATGAATTTGCTTCGGATGAATTTCCACTTGGCCGTCGTCATTCGCTAGAAGGCCCTGACGTCGGCGAGGTGAAGGATACGGAGCAAGTTGAACCGACGCCTAAACCCCGGGATCGGTAAGGCCCTCCAGCTACTGCCAACGAGGCATAGCGAGATGCTTCCAGAAGCTGAAAGGCATGGGATTCAACGCCTGATGGCAATCCGATGATGCCTTTGGCGCAGCGTTAGGCCTCCCGCTGTATCACGGCCTGCAGCCTGGTCATCTACCGTACGCCATCAATTCCCCAAAAGAGAGCGAAGGACGAATCCTGGAGGAAGCCAACATGCGAGTACTCCGTATCCTGCGTGCGATATCTCACCGCATTTCTTGCTCAGCAGTTCGGCGACCTGGAGAGCCCCCAAAGACGGCGAGCGCGGACGATGAACACGTCTCCGGAAAGGTACCCGAAGCACTCCACATCTCGCAACAGTCGCATCAAACAAAATGCGAAACCGTGACGCGACATCCCAAGCCCTCATCTCAGCAGCCTCGTCGGACGAAAAAAACGAAACAAAGGCCTTGTGGACGAAGAAAGGAACATTCTTTCATCGGCGAGGTGGCCCCTCGCTGCAGCCACTCGCGTGCGCCCCACGTTCGCGCTAGGCCCACTCGGGCAGCCTGTAATGCGGATCACATCCACGGCACGGCGCCACCAGCCCTTTACCACGGAACCGACCCATGCAACAGCTCGGCTTTCCTTGTCGCGTTTCGACATGTTCGGCGACCGGATTTTGCTTCTTGTGATGTCGGGGTATGTTTTAATGCGTGGCGAGCCACTGCCACATAACTAATCATGATACCCTACCCGTGGATGTGGCCTGTGGAGTGACTTGTCTCCCCTTCTTTCGTCGTTGACAAATCTTCAAGAGGGCCTTTATTAGAGCTTTTTGTTCCGCGCTTTGTTAGCATGGCATAGAACGTTTGTTTCTTTGTTTGAATCGAATAGACGAGTTTTGATTGTTGGTCATGTTCACGCCTGTCGAAACGACCTTAGGGGCGCTGCTGCTCCACCAAGCGACCAGCGTACTCCTATACCAAAATGGCACGATCCTTGGAGCGTCCGGTTATGTGCGACGACTGTTTTCGAAGCCGACGAAGGGGACGGTGGCATTTTTCGTGGGGATGGCAGCGAGCTTCTTGCCGTTGAAGATGTTTCTCCCCGAGTTGCTCACCAAATATCCTCCTATACCGTCAACATTACCGCAAGCGCTGGTGACGATTGGGCTTGGAATGCTTGTTGGATGGGGCACGAGGGTGAGTACATATCTCAGGATGGGGTTGAAGCGGTAGCTGACTGTGATGAAGGTTGCGAACGGGTGTACTTCCGGACACATGCTCTGCGGCCTCTCGAGACTCAGCGCCCGATCCGCTGTGGCCGTTGCTACATTCTTCCCCGTGGCGATGATAACGCATCATCTCGTTCACCCGTCGATGATCACCGAAGCTTGCCCTGGGAATATTCCCTGCTACACGCCGACATACCCATCTCAAGCCACGACGACCTCGCTCGCACTTCTTACCGCCGTCGTCATCTTCGCCGCCCAAACCGTTCCCCGTCTCGTAGCCAAAGCTACTGCGACGGAAGACTGCAAATGCGACCCAGAATCGCCGGCTCGCGACGCGACCCAGTTCTTCGCGGGCTTGGAGTTCGGCCTCGGTCTACATGTTTCAGGAATGTCCAGCCCGTCGAAAGTCATCTCCTTCCTCTCTTTTCCGAATCTCCACGCGTGGGATCCGTCCCTGGCTTTGATAATACTATTTGGGGTCTTGCCGAATTTGATTGAGAACCAGATAAAGGGATTCAGGGAGCCACCTTGCTTCAACGACAAGTTTGAGCTTCCGAAAAAGACGCTAAAGGATACGGATTGGAAATTTGTTCTTGGAGCGGCAGTATTTGGCATTGGGTGGGGATTGTCAGGCACGTGTCCGGGTCCGGCTGTGCTTCGAACCGTTGCTCAGCCGGCGTGGGGGATACTATGGATGGGCGGATTTTGGCTGGGAGGCCGGATCTTTACGGAAGGTTGCTGAGTGTTGATGGAGGCTAGATGATAATATTGGGTTAGGGTTCGGTGTTGTTTCTGACTGCTCTTTAGCATGATACCCGTCGCATCAAAGAACAACTGTTTTCATCTGCTGAAGGATTTCGGGAGCGGCTATATAGATTCAAAAGTAAGACGCGGCCTGATAGCGTACAAGTCCGACCCTAGAGAAAGCCGAGCGTAGAGTGATGAAGGCTCGTTTGCTGTGGGTAGACGCCTCACTCAGCTGTGAACTTCCGGTCAGTGTACTGATGGGGCTGTGCTTAGAGGTGTTCCCTCCTTCAGCCTCGAGCTTCGTGACCACCACCACCACCACCACATAAACGATGCACCATGCGTTTACTCAACACAAAGACCTTGAAGTTCCAAGCGTTCGTCCAAAAGATACCAGAATATGTGATCCTATCGCACACCTGGGGCGATGAAGAAGTCACCTTCGGCGGCATCGACAAGGCTTACGCCAAAGACATGGCAGGTTGGACGAAGGAGAAGGGTCTCTGGGAGATTGTGTGCGAGTACTCCGAGGACAACGTATGTGTCTTCGCCTCCCTTTACTTGCGGACATTGATTTTCGTACGTCGTATTAGATCCAGGAATGAAAGAATCCATCATCAAGGATGTATCAACTTTCTTTGACACCCAAGACTGGTACGTCCGACACAAAATCCCATGGAAACGGGGCATCCTTGTCCACGGCCATGCTAGAAACAGCAAAACATTGAGTGTAAAAGCATTCATGGGCTTCTTGGCTTCCTGGAAACAATCGGTGTCGTTGTTCTATAGGTTTCTGTAGCGGCCTTTGACGAAAGTTGTATGAACGCCCCTCGCTGCCCGCATAACGGTTGGCATCGTCACATATCCATCTCCCAACAAGTTTCATTGGCTCCGCCGGTATGTCCTTGCACACTGCTAGACCTGCTCTTGCTTTTGCTCGAGCTTTGCTCGATCATGAGTGTTTCCCTCTCTTGCGACCGCCATTACTTGAATCATCAGAAGGTGGCGGGCGAGACTTTGCAGCCTGAGAAGCCTTCTTCCTGCTCTCCTCTAGAAGGGCGTCCAAGGAGCCTTGAATCTTTTTCAGTCGCGTATCTTTGCCCCAGTCGATAATGTTTCTGACATGCTTGCGGAATTCTAGAAATTGCTCAGGCTTCTGAAGTAAGAAGCTCTCGTATTCTTGCATGTAAAAATCCTGCTCGTTGTGCTTCCAGGTAATGTAGAGGTGTGCCTGCGTACCGTCCATAGCGATGCTGAATGTAGTACTGTCAATAGGCCTGACTGTGTCACTCTGACAGTTCAATAGCTTGCGGTTGAGGCGCTCAAGAAGGTTAACGCAAGACGCAGATCCTCCAAGACATTGATTTGCGGCTCCCTGCATACTTCCACCGTCACCCTTGAACTCTATCGCGAAGAATGGGTATATCAGGCATTGGCTGTTGGCCCACAACTGACTTTCCATCGAGCTAAGTTGAAGTTGTTGCTGAGGAAATGCTACACGGTTCCGATATCCGTAAAGGAGGTCAGGCGCGGGAGTGCTGATTTCGTGATGAGTGGATCTCTGTGTTGGGGTAACATGTTTGAACATGGATTGTCTTTCGGCGCGAACCAGAACGTCCGTTGGGTCGTAATCGGGGAATACTCTGGTACTGAAGTACTTTTCAACTTGCGCTTCTGTTGCGCCATCGCCGAGCGCTTCTAAAGCTGTGTCTTGCCATACTTCGTCTGTCGACGGACCGGGAGACTGACGGACCTTGCGCGTATGTTTGATGAGAGTAGCAATATGTTCTGGAGGGTTCTCGCGCGAAGACCGCATGTAAATGCCGTTTTGCGCCAAATTGAAGTCCCTGTACCCATGGGTCTCCACGAGGGCAGTCTTTCTACCCGAACCACAGATATCCGAAGGCGCGGTTGATCCAGAGTCTATGCCATGCGAACGAGATGCAGTGGAGACAGTGGTTTGTGGGATAGTATACCCATTCGCATCTTGCGTGTAATTCATCTCTGGCGCTGATTTGGTGAAATTGCTCGCAATAGGTTCGTCGCGAAGATAGCTATCCGACCGGGAGCAATTCCAGCGATCTGGCTCAAGAGACGTGAGCCAGTTGGAGACTGAAGCGTAGACAGATTCAGCTTGAGGGCGAGGGTCGGGATCGATAGGATCGACGAAGTCTCGAAGGAACGAGGAATACGGGTGCTGGGGAGGCTGGGGCTTGGGTTGTTGAAGGACAGTCTGCACCATCTCTTAGCCGTTGACTTGCATGTGAGAACACTTTCATACCTCAGCCGCCTCCTCTACGTTCTCGCCCTCAGCTCGAGGCTGCGCGTCTATCCGCGACAATGGAACCTTCGCGCGCAACGGATCGATCTCGGAGGTCGTGCTCAGTCGCCTTTTTGTCCCGGATCGCAGTGGCTCTTTTCGGGCAAGATCTCTACTCTCTCGGGGTTGCGGTTTGAAGTTCCACGAGGACTCGGCGCCTAACAATGAATTTAACACGTTTTACGGACGATGGCTTCTGAGGAGTGCGTACCTGCGCCCATATTTCTGTCTTGTAGGGCCTTAGATAGTTTCTCACGCGAGCGGGGGGATACCGATTTGAGAACTGCGCTGTTCATGACAAAGAGCGGGCTGGGTGGGCGGTTAATAGGCACGCGCTGGTTGAGAGAAAGACCGACTGAGGTGGATGTCTCGCGTCGGCACTACTTCTGAGAATGCCGAGCCTCGTCCGCAGGGCAGGAGTTAGGGAGCACCGCCCTGTAAGGTAGCCTGCGCGCGAATTTTAGGTAAGGGTTAAGTAGGATCCATGGATTAGGGTTAGAAGGGTAAAGGTTAACTCCTGCCCGTCCGCAGCGGGCGGGAAATAATGATTGGCTCTCAGTAGCTCCTCCCAATGTTGAACTCATTGTTTGCTGGAAGCCTACCGGTTGATGGAACCATGGTCGCACGACGGCAATCCGTGGACAACTCACGATCACGATCCTTACGATCCTTTGCACCTACACCATGATCCTCCGCAAAGGCCTCATCAGACACTACAAAGGACACGTACATCAAGATTGTCGGATTCAGTCTCTTCAAGGCGAAGAAACAAGATAAAGAACCGAGACGCCCACGGCTTTCAGATCAGTTGGATCACGTGATCTCTCAGATAGTACTAGCGTATTCCACTCTGCATAATTGAGTAGCCGCGCGCCCACTGCTTAGGCGCAATCATCCACTCCCAGCCAGCCACGCTAACGTTCTGTCCCTGACACAGCAACACCTCGCCAGGGTACCATCACCTTGACGACTCGATCCCACATGTGCAAGGGGGCTGCCTTTGCAACAATTGGTCGACATCCGCATGCGAGGAGACGGATGTGATACCCCGCCAGCAAGGACGAGCGCTAATATTCTGTCAACGATTGGCTTCTATTCCAGGAGATAGCGCTATGCCAAAAATGAAAAATAGTCCATGCCTTAGGCGCTAAAGGCTCAGCCAAAACCAAATCGTGGCTGTGAGAATCATTTTGTTCAAATACATGGCCCGCCTTCTCCATGGGCCTCACGTATCGCTCTTGTTATTCATTATTTATTATTACCTGGACTTCCACTTCTAAAAGTCTAACGTCCCTTCCCTTTCGCTGGTTGCCTTGATGGCAGAGGTGATAGGTGTCACCTCTGGGCTTCTCACCCTGGTGGTGTTTTCTTTGCAAGCTAGTAAATCGCTTTACCAAGTAGTCAGGAGCTTTCAAACGAATAGGAGATCGATAGCCCAGCTTCTAGAAGGCCTCGAAGCCCTTAATGAGGTCTTAGAATCTCTTCAAGACGTCGTCGCCAATTCCACCGCCGATCTTTCAGCACTTAAGCTTCCTCTCCTACGATGCGGTAAAGGTTGCAAAGAATTTGAAGAGGTGATCATCAAATGCACGGCGCATTCCGGCGGCTCTAGGGCCAGTTTTCGAGATTGGGTTAAGTTGACGTACATGGGGAATGATATCTCTGGATTTCAAGATATGCTGGAGGCATACAAATCCACCATCATCATTGCGCTCGGCGATGCTACCTTGTAAGTACGATGTGAAATCTCTACGGATGGGACTGATGTTCTATCGCATAGCCGCACAACCACCGTGACCGTCGATATTCTCAATGAATATAAAGAAATGATCACGAAAACAACCACCAATCTCGAAGAGCACCTCGAAGATATCGACTATAAGTTACGGGAAATCTCTGCACATGGCTCTGCAAAGTTCGATGAAAATGCGGCTGAGCAAAAAGAAATGGAGGAGGAGAGGGACAGCACAAAAAAATGCCTTGAAATCTGCGCCGAGGTCTCCGCGCACATAGACAAAGTTCAACCCGGAGCCTTCGGAAGCATCTCTACAACCTCAGATGCCTATCAACCGCCACTTGCCACACTTCTGGGTACTCCTTCGGCTCGAGATACCACTGCCAAAACTCTTGATACATGCAAGGAGAGTCTGTTCAATACGACCGCTAGGCTCCAAGCACGTCTCCTGGATATCGAGGATCGACTACAACAACATCTCTCCTCAAAAGCGCCTAGGCAACATGAACAGATTGCTGAGCGAGAAAGATTACAGGAGGAAAGAGACAGCAAAAAACAGATGTTGGCTATCTGTGCGCAAGCTTTTGAGCACGCAGAGAAAACCCGAACTAGTTACTATGAGGATATTCGCCTGACTGACGATGCCCACAAAGTCGCGGTCTCAACGGTTGGAGACCTTATTTCAGCCAAGCGCATCACTGCTGGGGCCAGATCGACGCTGTGGATGGGGCAGATGTCCGATGCTTCTCTCCAGCAGCTCTCACGGGACCGCGTGCGCACTACTCCAACGCGCGAACCTCCAACAAGCGAATCTCCTACAGGCGAACCTACTACAGGCGAACTTTCTACCAAAGAAGCTGTACAATCCCATGGGCAATTTGAAGGTCGGTATGGAACGGGACGCAGGCTTAGCCGTGAAAGCTCGACGGGCGCAGGAGCGGAACGCAAGCTCAGTCGAGGGAGCTCGTCGAGCGCAGGAACGGGACAACAGCCCACCCAAGAGACTTTCACGAGCGCAGGCGCCAAGAAATCTCCTTAACCTATTGCCATGTGCAACTGTTTGTTTCATCACGTATTGCTTCACCATGCATTGATTCACTATGTATTCTTCTACTGTCTTTCTCCTCACTTTTTAACTCAAACTTTGCTTATTCAATGGCATCCAATTCCTGGCATTCTTAATGCATCGTGAGATCTTACGAGGATCAGAAAGCTCCTCAAACCTCGAATTGGAGAAGTTGCTACCCCGTTTGCGCGTAGTTTAGTAGGAATTAGTTGCTCCTGCTGCGCTTTTATTCCCTAGAAGGTAATGTAAAGCAGTAAAGGGATAAATAATGGTGAGTTTAGAAATGTGAAAAAAAAAGACAATTTTTCTGTGGCCGCGAAGCCTTGGATAAATCCGTAGGGTTGACAGATCTTGCATCGATACACGGAGCAGCGCCGAGCTGTCAGAGGTGATCAATTCGATGTATCAATGGTACTAGCGAGTTGAGATCTGCTATGCGCACCTAGCCGACGTGCCAGATGGACTGTCAGTCCCGGCCCAAAACCATTCTTTCGGTAATAGTCGCTGGTTTAAGAGGGGTTGGACGCTCCAAGAATTACTCGCTCCAGCCTTGATGGAATTCTACAACCAGAACTGGGTATGGATAGGGACCAAAGCAAGCAAAGTTGACGCCGTGAAATGGATTTCGAGTATAGAGAGGAATTACCTACTCGATCAGGAGACGATAAAAGAGGTGAAAAGCGCGACCGTCTTTTCATGGGTTTCGAAGCGGGAAACATCAAGGTCTGAAAATATCGCGTACTGCCTGCTGGGTCTCGTGGACGTCAACATGCCACAATGCTTTATGGAAAAGGAAATAAGGCCTTTTACCGTCTTCAGCTCAAGATACTCAAATGGACAAACGATCATTCCACTTTCGCATCGGAGCGTATGTTCTACGACCGCGATATGCTTAGTATCTTGTCCCCATCACCAAAGTACTTCTCATACTATAGGCAGTACAGAAGGAAGATCCAGACGCTTCAATCTGCGCAGGCTTCGACACATGAGGTGACGAACAAGGGCTTGAGAATAACGCTGCCATGTCTTCCCGGTGAGGCCGGGACGTGCTTAGCGATCCTCAATTGCGAATTCGCCTACGGGGCCTATGTCGGGATATGGTTTGAGAGGAACTTCCTCTCTCCGTCTGTGATACATGTTCCAAGCATCGAAAGAAGTGAAAGGCACAATACTCGTGGATCGATGTGGCCCCGTGGACGATGATCCATGCGTGTCCACTAGTCCAGATATAGTATAGCGGATGTCTCAAAATCCGACCTTTTTCCGGTATCGATAACGGTCGCAACATTTTCTGCAGAAAGATCCACCTCTCAATTCTAGCACAGGTCAGAAGTACTGGCTCTCCTCCGTTAGTCCACCGAACGCTCCCGGCTGCTGACTGCAGCGCGCTTCTTCATGGCCTCCGAACCCTCTTCCAAGCCCCCTGCGACCCGCCGACCCTCAAGACCCGCACCCGTCACCGACGAAGAAGAGCGAGCGAAAGCCCAGTATGCCAAAGCCGCCGACGAGCAATACGGCCGCGGCGGACGCATTAAGACCAAAGCCGTCAAAGACAAGAAGCTCCGAGCAAATTTGAGGGCAGTGGAATCCAAGCACCGGGACGCGACGCTCCAAGCGAAGAACGGTAACACTTCCTGCTCCGCTATGTACCTTGTGTAGGGTAATAATTTTGCCCCAGCGGAGATTCTCTTAGAAAACGAAGCGGGCTTTTTGGAACCCGACCATGAGTTGGAGGTACGCTCCCCGAACGTCCCTCAATGCACACTACTTACGCCAGCTAGCGGACATACAAAGTGCGCCAGGACGAGGTGCGGCAAGCAGTTGGCGTCGAAACAGCGAAGAAGGGGTTCGAACTTCGACTACCGGATCTAGGACCCTACGATGCCTGCGAATATACGAGAAATGGAAGGGAACTCTTAATTGCGAGCAGAAAAGGACATGTGGCAACGATGGACTGGCGAGCCGGCAAGCTGGGCTGCGAATTGCAACTCGGCGAGACTGTACGCGACGCGAAATGGCTCCACAATAACCAGATGTTTGCAGTGGCGCAGAAGAAGTGTGTGTACGTGTACGGAAACGACGGCGTCGAGATACATCGGTTGAAGAAGCACGCCGAAGCCGTTCGGTTGGAATATTTGCCTTACCACTGGTTGTTGGCATCAATATCGACGGCAGGAGTTATTCGCTATACGGATACATCGACGGGTCAGATGCTCACAGAGCTCCCTACAAAACTTGGTCCTCCCACCGCTTTCTGCCAGAACCCGTACAACGCCATATTACACGCCGGACATCAAAAGGGCACTGTAACCCTCTGGTCGCCTAATTCTTCCACTCCCTTGGTCAAAATTCTCGCACATCATGGCCCCGTCCGCGCGTTAGCGGTCGACAAGTCGGGCCGCTACATGGTTTCCACATGCCAGGATCGCCGCGTCTCTATTTTTGACATCCGCAACACGTACAAAGAGTTATTTTCCTTCCACCTGCGGCAGCCAGCGCAAACAGTCACTATCTCAGACCGTAACCTTACGGCCATAGGCTACGGGACCCACGTCTCCGTCTACAAGCCCGATATCTTCTCCATGACCCCCGACTCAGAAATAAAGCTCCCGGCGCCCTACATGAACTGGGGCGGCGACGGACAAGCCGTGTTCCGCCTTCGATTTTGTCCATTCGAGGACGTGCTCGGCATAGCCCATAACAGCGGCTTCAGCAGCATTCTCGTCCCGGGTGCAGGGGAAGCAAATCCCGACAGTCTAGAGCCCGGCACGAACCCCTTCGAGAACACGCGCCAGCGCCAGGAAGCAGAAGTGCACTCCCTCCTCGAAAAGCTGCAGCCCCAGATGATCTCGCTCGATCCCAACTTTGTCGGTAATCTGAACCTCGCGTCGGAGGAGCAGCGGTGCCGCGAGCGCGATCTAGATGCGAAACCCGAGGACAAGATTGAGAAGCTGAAGAAGAAAGCTCGGGGGAGGAATAGCGCGCTGAGGAAGTATCTGAGGAAGAGGGGCCAGAAGAACGTGATTGATGAGGAGAAAGTCAGGGCGAGGGAGGCGATGCGGGCGAATGATCGCAAAATAGCGGAGAAGCTGGCAAGCGATAAGAAGAAGTATGGGCCGGCGCTTGAGAGGTTCGCTACGAAGGGATTTTGAGGGGCGGTGATCACGAATAGGCTTGAGCGGAAGGAAACGAGGAAAAAGTGATTTCTTATGCATAGCGTTTGGCGTTTTTGGTGGCTCATGGATGGGCAACTACTTCTGGATGTATACCCTTGCAGTGGACGCGACTCCCGGCTAGCTTCGGTGTCCAACGGTACGAAGGGTGGGATGGGGCCGAGCCCACGCCGCGGTCTGAAACGAAGGTATTGGCTCCGCTTTCGATTGGGGCAGCTAGCCAGGTGATCCTGTGCAGATCTAGCAAGATCGATGGACGTTGTGCTACAGGTAGAACACGAGGCAGGATGGTGAACATTTACATAAGATCTAGTCCAGCACGTAACAGCAATCAAACCCTCAACATGAAACACAAACGCCTTCACCATTTTAATGCTCTATAGAGGTATCATCTATACCATGCATACCACCGCGCAGCAAGTTCGCATGCCCCGCTCCTACCCTACGGCTGCCACATCCTTGCGGCCCTCGGCCAAACCCTCTTATAAAGACTCACAGCTACAGCATCCATGGGATTAATCTTCCCATCAAAGCTCGCCTTGAAGTAGCCATGCGTACCCAAACTCTCCTTAATAAACCCGCTCCTACCCCTCTTCGTCCATAGCGGCAGGCTCTTGAACCACTTGACGTCCTTGTCGTTGAAGAACATGTAGCGCACGGTGACGACGCGCTTGTTGATCTTGTAGGGGTGACCGGTGAGGACGATGCGTTTGGCAATGACGCGGTTGAGGGAGGGAGGGAGCGAGGTGCCGGTTGCGATGAGGCGGAGGGTGGAGGTTGGTGAAGAGACGGTTGGCTGGACGTTGGATTCGGCGCCGGAAGATGACGAGGTAGTTTTGCGTTGGAAGTAGAGAAGAGGGACGTTGCCCCAGGTTAGAGGGCCGATGAAGGTGGCGATTGATGAGTGGCCTGGGTGCAGGAAGCGGTCGAACTTGTGGACGTTGTTGGGGGTATTTCCTGCTTGGGAGAAGAGCTGAAGCTTGTTAGCAAAGCATGGGCAATGGTGGCTAAAAGGTGCTCACAGGATTGATGACCATCCGTCGGGGTCCGCACTGGACGATCATTTCCGTCTTCGACTTGATGGGTCCTTCGTATTCTGAGCTGAGGAGTATGCTGTAGTTGCACACGGTCCTCTTGTGCTCATGGCGAAGCAAAGAAAATAGCGCCATCGGCCTCGAGCCTTGCAATGTGAGCGGGACACCACGAAGATGCACATTGACCCTTGTACCAGGCCTGACGCCACCTGCCCAAGCCTCGCGCATGAACTTTGTCGCTGTTCGTTTGTAGTCCGAAATCTCAAGTAGACGAGGCCATTCGTCAGGCTCGTATGGCTTATCCTCCTCAGTCTCCCATACGCTGGTCTTCAAGCTCTTCAGCCCACGGTATCTGATGAGGCGCTCTTGCGCATTGACGTTGGGATGAAGTTCAATCTCGTCCGGGAACTCTAGATCCTCTTCTTCCTCCGCCTTTCTCGACTTCCGATAAGCCTCGATCTGCTCCGCCTCGTCCTCTGGTGACGGGTCGAGAAACATCTCTGACTGCGGATATTCCGAGGGACCGCCCTCCGTCATTGCTCGGCCATCGACGTCCATACCTTCCACGCCATCCGCAGGATCGAACGTCTCGCTCTTGCCTTGTTCTTCCACGTCTTCCATGTCAAAGTCTTCCAGATCGGAGCCGGAGTCAGACACATCATCAATATACCATGCGCTTTGGTACTTGCTGGTCCCCTTCGGCAGCCGCTTCCGGCGCGCCGGTGCTTCTTCCTCCTCTTCGTCTGAAAAGTAGTGGTGGTCGTCTAACAGGACTCCTTTTCGCTCGGAAGGTGCCATGGACGGGGCGTAGCTGATCGCGTCCTCCATGATCGTCTCCTCGGGAGCAAGCTCCGCTAGATCATCTTGATCGTCGCTTGGCCTTTCCAACACATTGTCACCCTCCGAATCGATGACCATGCTCTCTTCTTTTCCTTTCTTCCGGACTTCGAGAGGCGCTGCTGTGATCTTGTCGACCTGGAAATCGCCCCAGTCTCCAACCTGAACAAGTCTGTCCGCCTTCAGCCCCTGGCCCCTCACAATTCCCGTCAGAACGACTTCGCCAGTTCCATCTTCCGTGACAGCAGATTTGCCCTGAGGCCATTCAATATCCTCGACGAACATATAACTTCTTTGCTCGCGCCATTTGACCCCTTTGGTTGTTGTGGTGCAGAGTGAACGGACAAGGTTGGAGGCTTCTTGTCTGGAATCGAGGGAGAAAACACGCTCCGTGGACGGTAGCCAGTGCGTGATATAGGACTTTAGCGACGAAATGACCTGCGGCCTCCGTTTTGCGGGTTCGATTGAGTCGAGCGCTTGTACAACGGTAAAGCAATTCGAGATTCCTTGGCTCTCAACTGCCTTCAATATCAACTCGCCTTCTTCGTCAACCTCCTCTTGCCCGGACAGCACAAAAATCACGAAGTCGGCTACTCGGCAAGCATCCAACGATGCCAGTAGGTCGCGTTGCACGACCAGGTATTGGAGCTTCTGCTTGAATCGGTCGACGTTTGTCCGCGTCCATCCGGCCTCTGGCACCTCCTCTTCGATCTCCAAGCAGGTGTTCAGGCTTCGTACAGCGGCGGCGGCAGAGACGTCCCCACAGAGCGGTACGACAGCAACCATCCTTGGTGCTCCATCCTTGCCAGCAAATATGTTTGTCGCTCTCGCGTGCTCGTGATCTTTGTTCAGGCGCATCTGCTTCGCGCGATTTCGGCGGTCAAATTTCGACATGACGTGCTGGTGCGGCGTCTTTCGGCTTCCTCGTTCGAAGCTTTCTACTTTGCCTACAGAATGAGTTAGGAGCGCTAGAATGAGGATTGGAGAGAGGGCGCACCTTTTGACTGCTCCTTCAGCGAACTCTTGCTGGCATGGCGGGACTTGAAGGGTTTCTGGGCCTGCTTCGTGGTGCTGCGGTGGTGGTGCTGTTGGGCAACAATGGGGGCCATGTTGCTGTTACCGCCTGCTTTGAACCTGAAGGGAAGAGACGCCACTTTGACTTGCGGTTGCGGAAATCAATGTCGCTCTTTGCGGGAGGCGGAGGGGTACCATAATTTTTGTGGCCGCTTATCGATAGAAGTCTTGGCAGCTTCGGAAGTGGAAGTGGCGTACGTCCGTGCGTCGAGACATCATCCTAACGGGGTTAAGCCGCGTTATTGTTGTCCATTGCACTTCCCGTCATCATTATATAAGTCATCTTCTCGACGGCTTGTGCAGCCTCGGAACGTATTAAGACTCAATTCACTTGGGATTGACCTTTGGCTTCTAAACTCTACCCCTCTCATGCGACGCCGCGCCCTGCGCAACACCGAACGCGGCGGTACACATTAGCAACTGTCAACACTTCAGCATGCCGTTGATCTTTACACGTTGAAGACCTTTATGAATGGTTCTCCAGAACCCATACTAGGATAGCTGCAATATGTACCATGACGCCGAGGCACGCTCTCCCGTCCACGGATTGGGAAGATGCGTTGCACTCCCCTCTCCCGTTCCGTCACTTTATACGACTTCTCAGTCTCTCTCCACCCTATCAAGGCACTACAGTCCTAGGTTGCATTTGGCTAGTATGATGGAGCAGACCTCGAATGACTAGGCAGCAATTCGCCATACAGATTCCTGATTTTGCGGTCAGCATCGCTATTAATATTATGGAAGGCATTACGAGCGAACATGACCCAGAATGCCGCAAGTCTGTATGTCTTCTCTGAGATCATATCACCGGCCATACGACAAGAGCATGGATTAGGCTACACTTCTCTAGCACCTTCTACGCGGCCGCTGTCGGACTGTTTGTGCTCTTCTTAATGCGGAAGGCACGTCGGCGGCAAAGTACCCAGATAGACCGACAACGCAAAACACACCCGTCTCATTCCGCAAGCCAACAGTCTCACTTATACGTCAATCGTTCCGTGGATCTACTCACATCTCTATTAAATCTATCCGTGATTGGCTCCGCCCTACAAACGACCCTCACCAGCTCCGAAGCTTATAGACCGCTCGGTAGGCGTCAACCGAGCCTCCGCCGCTTCGGCCCTCACTTATCCTCTTTTTCCTTCACCGCCGATTGGCGCCTTAAGCACAAGTAGCTAACTACCTCCAGTCCTCCATTTCCCGTCTACCTACCACACCACGCTTCGGAAGCCTTCCCGCACCACTGTCTCCAACAGTCCTGATCCCCCGCACAGCCGCAGCCACCGACGAAGCCAACGCTGCTCACCATTCACCACCATGGCCAATCGCAATAAGAGAAGCCAAGCATACGATCCTGCCGAGATGGCAATGTGAGTGCGCTTCCTAGCTGCACGGAAGCTTCGGCCTGGACGAGGATTGAAAGACTGACAACATGGCAGGCTCAAGGGTGTCCCACTTCCTGACAAGTACGTTCCGCCCGGTACCCTCGCCGCGATATGGCCGCCACCTACCCTGCTCAGATCAATGGTGGATGCTAATGACGCTGCAGGCTCAAGTGCTCACGCTGCAACAAATTCCTCAATCACGCCAACTTCTCCGCTAAGCAACTCACCGATGCTCGACGGTCCGTCAAGCTCAATGGCGTCAACGCGCGGTACAAGATCAACTGCCAAAAGTGCACCGGCAAACAGGTGGTGGAAATTGAGTGTACCATGTGCCACAAGACCAAGGGACTGGAGGAGTTCGCCAAATCGCAGCGCAAGAAGCCAGACAGCGCGGTAAGTACTAATACTCAGCTAGCTGGGGCCTTGCTGATCTGTTCACAGAAATGCTATGCCTGCGTGGACGACCAGCTGGCCCAGGATGCCGTCGAGGACGAGGCTTACGAGGAACCGCACAAGGCCTTCATTCCTGTCGAGCACTCCGCAGGCAACTACCCGGAGTACTGGACCTCATCTACTCTAACCAATCCGTCCGAAGCTGTAAGTGGAAAGGATCCATTACCGTGGGATGACGTGCGTTGATGAAGTTAGGGCGACTTCGACGACTACCGTGCCGATGACGGCGACGAGGGCGGCATCATCTTCTCTGACAACTTCCGCAAAATGTCCCTGAACGGTTCCATCACTAACACCCTCATCGAGTCAGAATATGATCTGAGTAGCCAGAACAACGACAAGGACGGCTGGAACACGGTGGAGTCAAAGTCCTGGCGCTCCAAGTCAACCACAGCCCCTAGCGCCAGCTCTGGGTTCGATGCAAACAAGTACGGCAAGCCGCAGAGTCGTGCTGCGAGCGGCTCCGTCACCTCCTCCGTTCGTTCCTTCAGCTCTGGCTACGCGGAGCGCTCGGACACTACGTCGTACAAGAATGGCTGGGCTAAGATCAAGGCATATGTACGTGTTCCAGGTATACTATTTGTCGTTCAAGCTAATTCATTGGCAGAAGCCTTCAGCTGAGCAAGAGAGGGCTGCGGCTTCGGCTCCGGAAGCCAACTGGGAATCCTCCTCCTCCGAGGAAGACGACGACGATGACGCCGACGACGCTGAAAGCGACGGGTCTGACGCCGAGATCTGAAGAGCAGCACAACGGTATCCATGATTTGACAAAAGGTGGCATCTCATTGTCTTCACTCATCTTCACAGACATGCTGCGGTATTGCGAATCGGGGGATATGGGGAGTTTTCGGTCTTTTACAACTCGGGGAAAGGGTTTCAGGCCGGTCATCTTCTGCATGAGGGTTTCCCGCCCTGTGGCACTGACTGATCGGTTTCCCCGAATCTATTCATGAAGGCATAGACAAAAGCTTCCTTTTGTAGGGTAAAGCAATGAAAGCAATTGAGAAGTTCCTTATGACCAATGGCCGCACGACTCGGATAATCGTCATCTCCATATGCGGCACCTTACGTTGTCTGGGCCACACCTCGGTGGTGCGTGATTCTACGGAGGTGGTTACCCTGGACGAACTGGCGAAGCCAGCGGCCGTTCAGAATTGGATTGCGGGCTTGCGGCATTGGTTAGAATATTTTGCAGTCTCGAGCTTCGTAGTCGTATGTAGCCCGTCCGTATGAAAGGAGAAAGGCCAAGTGTTCCTCCGGTCTTGGTCGGCGTCGAGCCGCAGTGCTTTGAGTGAAACGAGTAGTGTTTTGCGACCCGTCTCCCCATCGTCCCGCTCTCTTGCACCTGCAGCGACCGAGGATGTCAAGCGACTGGAGGAAGGGCTGTGGGGAATGCGATTATCCGAAAATGCAATGGACTTCTAAGAAAGATCTCTGCTGACCTTATCATTGTGTTCTTCTGGGTTGCGTCTTATACCTATGATGCTACCTTCCTCGTGAAAGCGCGAGGGTCTTGTTCGTACGGAAGCAGCACCCCACCCACCGATCATCTAACCTCGCAACCCCCTACCGTTCTATAGCTCCGCACTCCATCACCCAACTCTGTTTGAGCCTTGTTCTGGGACCTTGTTCTGGGACCTTAAGGCTCCTGTTCAGAAAGCAGATGGCGCGAACAGGATATGACATTGCGTCCGATGACGCGAAATTTTCACGTGTGGTTCCGCACGCTAGTTAAATTTGTGCAAATCTTGTAACGTACTTCACCATCGAACCGGTCACCCCATCGAACAACCCAAAAATGCCAAGCCCCTACCAAATGCCACCATCTCTATCATGACGCCCTCCACAAACGCCCAATCGACTTCAGACAAATCCCGGATACAGCTTGCGCTCCAGGCTATTCAACAGGATCTAGAGCTAAGCTTGCGGCGCGCTGCAGCTCTCTATAACGTACTGCGAGAGAAAGTTCGCAGTTAATACAACGGAGTCACTCTACAACGCGAAAAGACACCTAATCGAACAAAGCTTACTACAAACAAAGAGCAGGCGATAGTCGAGCATATACTAGACCTAGACGCGCGAGGATTCGCCTCTTAGCTTGCTGCTATTTAAGATATGGCTGATAAGCTGCTTACTAAGCGGGGTAGGAAGGTAGTTAGCTAGCACTAGCTAAACCGCTTTGTTGCGCGCCGTTCTAAGCTTAAAACACAGCTTAATCGCAAGTACAACTATTAGAGAGCAAAGTAAGAAGATCCTGCGATTATTTAGGCGTAGTTTAACCTAGTAGGTAATACAAAGGCGAAGTATAGTAACGTACTTTACCATCGAACCGGTTATATCGAACAACCCACGATTTCTTGGCAAGGAAAATCAACAAGAATTTACGAGTTTTTCTTAAATAACTAAGCGAAACCTTACTATTTTTCTATAAAAATTTATATATATATTCTTTATAGTATATTACACCTTATAGTAAAGTTACACTAAGATATATTACGTAATTAAAAAGCTATACGTATTTTACTAACTTTTAAGAAAAAACCTAGTTTACTTCTAGTAAGTACTAGTAAACCTCTATAATAATCTATAAAACTTATAGTATATAGTATCTATAACGTAATAAAGGTTTCTAGAAAACTTTTATATAGCTAGCTCTTCTAGGTATAGCGTAATAAGAGGTAGAAGTTTAAAAAAATCTTTCTAGAGTTTTCTTTTCTAACTATAGATATATATAAATAATCTAGCTATATAAAGTTATATACTATAAGATTATATAAACTATAAGTCTTCTATATATTTAGAAGTAATAATTTTAAAATAGTTTTAGTATATTTCTCTCTTTCTATACTATACTACTAAAAAGACTTTACTTTTATATAACTACTTAAAGCTAGTATATTATTAGTTAATAAGCTCTATATAGTTAAAGCCTACTATAGTTTATAAAATAATAAGTTTATATAGCTAGATTAACTATATATATATATAGTTAGAAGAGAAAACTCTAACGAAATTATTTTTCTAACTTCTATCTCTTATTACGCTATACCTAGAAGAGCTAGCGCTATAGAAGTTTTCTAGAAACCTTTATTAGGTTATAGATACTATATACTATAAGTTTTATAGATTATTATAGAGATATAATAGTACTAACTAGAAGTAAACTAGATTTTTTCTAAAAGTTAGTTAAATACGTATAGCTTTTTAATTACGTAATATATCTTAGTGCAACTTTAGTATAAGGTGTAATATACTATAAAGAATATATATATAAATTTCTATAGAAAAATATTAAGGTCTCGCTTAGTTATTTAAGAAAAACCTGTTAATTTTCATTGATTTTCCTTGCCAAGAAATCGTGGGGGGTTCGTTTGTCTGGGGGGTTCGTTTATCAAGTACGTTAGTTTTAATAGTTTTACTAAAAGGTAATAAATCTAGCGCCGCAGTGTTATCTTAGACTTCGCAGCTCTTAACAATCTATCACCTGTGTTCTAAATACAGCATGAGTATCCATGGACTAAGCGCTCACTTTTTTCCTTGGGTTAGTCCGAGAAGCGCTAGCACATGGAAGAGCGTTCTGGGCGTTTACATCTCTCGTCGCTCCTTCTCTTTGACATTTGCCGGAACATATCAGATGGATCAGTTTTCCCATATCTGCGATGTTGATGCTGAGCCTTTGCATCGCTATCGAAAGGGTGGCTATCACCCTATCGGTCTAGGAGATCTCTTGAAAGATGGGCGGTACAAAATACTGCACAAATTAGGCTGGGGTGGTTACTCGACAGTCTGGGCTGCAAGAGATCGGAGGTCTTGCCTTTCGCTACCCCTTGGTAGATGCGAAGCTTACAAATTGCCAGGGAACAACGATATGTCACCGTAAAGATCTCAGTCTCAGAACGAGGAGAACGAAACCGGGAATTCAAAGTCTTACGTGCTATAGCAGCTATTCGACCCGAGCAGCCTGGCTCTCGGCATCTAATGCCAATGCTGGACCACTTCCAGCTTGATGGTCCAAACGGAACTCACGACTGCCTCGTGCTTGAGCTGTTGGGGCCAAGTGTCCCTGATCTGCTTGATGCGCGCTTTCGCGGCGAGAGACTTCCAGGAAAACTTGCAAAAAGCATCGCGAAACAGGCTCTTCTCGGCCTGGACTACTTGCATCAACAAAATATCGGACATGGAGGTAGGCTAGCATTCCTCCGCTTTTCAGCTGACCAGTCGCTCACGCATGTTAGATCTGCATACTCGCAACTTAATTTTCACTATCCCTCCAATACATTCCCTACGTGAAGAAGAGTTCTTCCAGAAACTAGGAAAACCCGAAACCGGATTGCTCAGAAGAAACGACGGAAAGCCGCTAGAGCCCGGCATGCCCAAGTACCTTGTCAGGCCCACTTCCTATCCGGCAGTTCTCTCGTCTTTCCATCCGATCAAAATTGTTGACTTCGGCGAGTCGTTCTTGAGCAATGACATTCCTGACACGCTTCACACACCGCTTCCTGTTCGTGCACCCGAGATCATATTCGGAGATAAGTTGGATCATCGCGTGGACTTGTGGAGTATGGGCTGTATGGTGAGTTCAGATCTTGAAGGAACACGTATAGGCAACGAGCACCGCATTAGCCGCAACTTAAAGGGAAACTTACATATTTTGATAGCTTTTCGAGCTCGTAGTCGGCCAACCGCCGTTCGACAGCTTCATGACAACGCCCACGATACTTGCCCGCCAAATGCTAGAGATGGTCAGTGACGAACTGCCAGAGCGTTGGCAAGAAACATGGCGCGCCATGGACAGCGCATCACGCGGGGAGAAATCCGGTTATACGCTCCAAGAATGGCTGGAGGAAATGTACTTTGACGGGGAGAGGAACGAGGACTTGACTCGGAAAGATATACTCAAAGTAGGCGAGCTTGTTCGAAAGATGCTACGGTTTGAGCCTTCCATGAGGGCGTCGGCGAGGGAGATTCTTCAGGATTCTTGGTTCAAGAGAGAATAGTACAACACCAAGATAGATACGGGCCCAACTGTGCCTCAAACTAGAATGTACATTCAAGCAACACTCCTCCTTCCTCGTCGGAATCCTCGTCAGTGCTACAAGAGACAGGCTGTAGCTTCTGCAATGATTTGTCATGCTGGTTACAATCAACAGAATCGTAGGTGACAATCTCCCTTTCCACGTCCGGGACCGTAGGCAGAAAATCAGCCAACTCTGTGATTCTCGATCCTTCTTCGCTTCCAACCGCGCGTCCGTTAAGAGCAATAGCATCCTCGTCCGTGGAAAGTGGGTCGGTGTCATCTTTCAACGGCCCTTGCTCTGGCCTATGCAAAACGGATTCCGTGATTCCAGTGATTGAATCGGGGTGCCAGGCTTTTGGCGCGGCTTTTTCATCAATCTGCCGCAGAGCCTCCTTTCGAATGTCTTGGGTCATGGCATTCAGAATGTCTCTTTGGCGTCTCTGGCTAATAATACCGTCTTCAGAGTTTGGATCGGGCGGTCGCCAATTCAAGTATATCTTGCGATGAGAGGTTGGCTCTACGAAGTGGCCCGGATGGTTTCGGAAGTAGAGAAGGCAGCAAAAGCACGCCGGCTTGCTACACGCGATGTATGGGTCACCGGCCGCAAAGGAGAATTTATTAGCAAAGAAATGCTCCAGGACTTGAATCTCAGCGTGAACGCGCGGTCTCAAATTGTGGTCCGTGTAACTCGCGAGAAACCGTCCAGATAGTTGGTACTTAACGTCCATCTCTATGAGGGCTTGTTGATAGCGGTCAAGGTCTGGAGACTTTGCGGGTAACATGCGGACTATAATGCTTTCTAGCCGTGTCATTGCGTCGGTTGGAGGCAGCGCGGATTTGGCTGGAGTAGGGATACTGCGGACTTCAAAGTCGTAGAGCAATTCCGAAAGTCTGGATGCACAAGAGAGTAGCGTGTCGACCGCTCTTATGTGATGTGCAAGTCGTCCGATGTAATGCCTTAGTAAACCAAAAGCGTGGTGTATGGCGTCTTCGTTACTCTTGTAGGTAGGTTCCATGCTCAGTTTTGCTAGTGTGCGCATGAAGTCAGACTTCCGGTTTTCGTACGCGAGACGGCACAAGTCTATGGGGCTAAGTTGGCACTCCCAAATTTGTAGCCATTCAGCAAGGCCAGTTACTAAAGAGTGGATGTCAGCATCCTTGGGATTGCTGGACATATGCCCATCTACGAAACGTACCATCCTTTCGTTCTGTTTCGGCAAGATACCCTTGGCACCTTCGCAGCAACGGGCTTAGATGACTCCTGTATTTCTTGATCCTTGGACTTGCAAAGTGTATGCAAAGTGTAGCTATATCCACTGGCCCTTCCGGTGGCAACTGGGCTGACTCGTCTGACACATGTTTTAATCTGGCTAGGAGTGACCGTAGGAACGGTATGATTTTCCTCCTCGGACAGGAGTTCGAAGCCACCCAAAAGATATACCGTTGCGGGGTGGATTCCAGTCCAATAGCCGTGACCGTGTCACCGCCTTTGTCGTAATCGCATGCGTACGCCAGTTCGCTAAGGAATTTCCGTCTCAACTCTTTGAGTGGCAGGTGAGAAACATTCTCTTGGGTGGAAAGTACAGCACATGTATGCTCGCCCCTCGTTCTGCCTAGCGTGTATAACAGGACCAGTGGCTCATAGAAACGACTCAGTTGGCGTTTATGGGGGTCAAGGCGAGGTTTCGAGGACATCGGGGAACGAAGCTCCGTGGAGGATCCAGTGTTTGTTGAATTCGTTCGACGTTTGGTTCGTTTAGCCATTATCGCCGTACGAGACCTTACCCCCTCGCCGTGGTTCTGGTGACACCCTGTGCTCTTCTCTTAATATTGGCGTCTTTTGAGTCCTTTTGTGCGTAGGCGTAGTCAGCATAACCTCTATAGGCTGGTGACTTAGAACGAGAAAAATCAATTAATCAATCAAACCAGGACCGCGCAGGCATATATATGTTGACCACCGAAACGCTTATCACACCCTACTGGGACCTCAAATCCATTTGCACATTAGCATTATTAATCATGGTGGGATGTCTGGCGCCATTCCTCGTCGTGATTGGCAAGTTCCCTACCGATGCATGCTCCGTCGAGTCACCACGCTGTATATGGTCCGCGATAATGCGTTTTCGTCAGCCGATAGCATGCCAGCAGGTAACACGCTGCACAAATTGGGGCTTGCATGGAGTGTCTCCATTTGGATCCCCGCATAGCGTGTTCGCCAATGATGATATAGCAGCTTGGGAAGGCTTTTCCGCATCTTTCATAAGTGGTCGAGTCTGCGGTAGCCACGTCAGCTTATTCATGACCGCTAACTTTTACCTTCACCGGTCGCCGTTCTATAAGTCTAGCCTATCGAAATTCGTCACATTTTATCCTGAGCCTTGAGATATCCTCGGCGAGCACCTTAACTTTAAGCTAGACAGCGGTTAGAGATTATAGCTCTAGTAGAAGAGCCTAAGTTCTAATGCAGTTGGTACTATTAGTACCTAGGCCTCTTACTATCTTAAATAAGTTATTAACGATAATCGAAAAGAGCGAAAGTCTTACGAGATTAGGTGTGGTCTTTCGGAGTGAAAGCGCGCTACAGTGAGAGCAAAAAGGGGAAGCGCTAAACCGAATCAGCCATCCATTGCCACCACGTGACCGCGCGCTTGCACGAACGCGACGCTTTTCTCTCGGCCCCGCTCGCTGGCCTCTCCTTTCTCCACAGCCCAGGCCCAACACTGCAGCACCCCAGGTCCCCGCGACTCTTTCAACCTTCGGCGAAGCGACTCCTGCGTGAGACTCAGCCACAATGTGAGGTCCGGCGAGGCTCAACATCTGAGAAAGTCAACTAACCGCGGCTTAGGTCTGCACGACGTCCCAGAGGTGCAGGTATCCGTGGGCCCCACTCTGCGCTGACGGATTTCCTTGCGGTGAGTAACCTCTGCATCAATGGTGCCTATAAACCTCTCTGACCACCTGAATTAGGCCAACAACATCTCCGCCCAAGAAATCCGCGATTCGTACCGCCAGCGCCTTGAACGAGCCGAAGCCGAAGCCGCCCAAGCCGCCGCTGAGGCTGCCGAAAATGGCGAAGGGCCATCCAATGCCCAAGAGGAGGAAGACCTGCAGGCAGAATCGTCTGCCATGGCAGCTGAGCGCTCTCGCAAGCGAAAGCGCAACCAGGAAGATGCTATCGCCAAGATAAAGAAGGGCAAGGAGGCTAAGAAGAAGGCGAGCAAGAAGAAGAAGCGAGGCTCTGATGATGAGGACGATTCGGACTTCGAGGATATGATGGACATGTACAAGAAGGCGAAGCCGCTACCTGGCCAGCTGGAGAACTGCGAGCTGTGCGGAAAGCGCTTTACGGTCACGCCCTACAGCAAGGCGGCGCCGGATGGTGGACTCCTGTGCACAAAGTGCGGGAAAGAGATGGCGAAGGAGGCTAAGGCTACGGAGAAGGCGAACAAGCCGGTCGTACGCAAGGGCAGGAGGAAGATCGAGAGCAACCGTCTGGACGGCTTAACGTTCCGTGGAGCGAAGACGCTGCAGACGCTTTGTATCGAGAAGCTGGCGAACCACGCTGAAGATATCGATGAGTTTGGCGTGATGCCGGAGAACATCATGAACCGGCTCAGCGAGATCTTCTCCAAGAAGCGCGCTATGAACTCGACGACGTTCAAGCTCTTCCTGCAGCCTGATATGGATACGGTGGCTATCCACGAGGCAGCTTGTAAGTCCTGTCCCACGTTGCTCATTGGAGCGTATGAATCGCTAATATGGGCATAGATCTCGAGACAGAGGACTTCGATCAGATCTTTGCCGTCGTCCCCAACATCAAGAAGCTCTCCCTCCGCCACTGCTGCCAGTTCAAGGACAGCAACGTCGACTACATGATCGAAAAAGCCAAGCATCTCACCGACATCCAGTTGCTTGGTGCCAATCTTGTCTCAAACGACAAATGGATCGATCTCTTCATCGCCCGTGGGCACGACCTCAAGGCTCTCAAGGTCGAATGGCTAGATGCCGCCTTTGATGACCAAGCTGTGGAAGCTCTCACCACCTTCTGTCCGAACCTCGAGCGCTTGAAGCTGGAGCGCTGCAAGCAGATTGGCCCTGAGAGTATCGACGCCATCGCGCACCTAGAGAAGCTGGAGCACCTTACCTTGCGCTACCAGAAAGAAATCCCGCGCGAGCGCCTCGTTAACTTGATCGCCCAAGTCGGCGCCAACCTGCGCACGCTCTGCCTGGAGAACTTCTTGGACAGCAACGAGGATCCGTCCGACGACATCCTCCAGACCATCCACGATACCTGCCGCCACCTCACCAAGCTCCGCTTCACCGAGAACCACGAGTGCTCCGACGCCGGCTACGTCAACCTCTTCACCGACTGGGATAACCCGCCGCTCCGCTACGCCGACATAAACAGCACCCGCGACCTGGACAACAGCAACCCCGAGGGCCCGGAAGACTTCCCCATCGGCCTCGCATCCGCCGGTTTCCACGCCCTAATGCAGCACTCCGGCCAGAAGCTCGAATACCTCGACATCGCCTCCTGCCGTCACATCTCGCACGAAACCTTCGCGCACATCTTCGACGGCAAGAAGCAATATCCTTGCCTGCGCGAGATCAACGTCTCCTTCAACCCCGTTGTCGACACCACAATCGTCGCCGGCATCTTCCGCAGCTGCCCCCGGATCAAGAAAGTCGTCACCTTCGGCTGCTTCGAGATCAAAGATGTGATTGTCCCGCGCGGCATCGTGCTCATTGGCGCGCCGAAGGCCCACGATGCGATTGAGCAGTTTGGCGATATCGTGATGGACTTCCAGAAGGAGTTGCAGAGGGAGATGCAGCGGGATTTGGAGAGGGGGATGAATCGCCTCGTTCCTGTTATGTCGTAGATTGCACGAACGCAGAAAGAAGGGATAGGGGGTTTAAGATGTTTATCTGGAGTTTGGGACGTTAACGACGCTTCATGGTTCGAGAGGGAGGAATGGCTGCTATGGAGAAAACATCATCGAAAGGCGAGCTTATGGTAACTCATGGGATCGCAGGGGGTTCTTCGATATCTAGGTCATGGCACATAACATAATCGTTCTTCATTATGGTAGAATCGATACGTCTCGTCAAACCGCTATCTGCTTGTTTATGGATGACGCGACGTTAACCTCTTTCAGACATCCACCCCCGCCGGACGACCAAAACTCCGGCGTCCATGTTCGGATGACGGATATCGAGCAGATAGGAAGGGCCGAGAACATCAACACCTACCTGAGACTGCACTAGGCATGTTTGACGTTTTGTTTTAACAGCGCGTACAGTGATATCTGTGACAATATTGGTGGTTCAACCACAGAGTAAACGCCATAACGGACATCATCACGGAGGCGCGAATCAAGTCACATCGCAACAGACTGGGTATCATTGGGAACATGCTCACCGAGGTTGACAGGCAACTCAGTTGAGCCGTGCATTGGAAGTATCATCGACTCATTTCGCCATATGCCATGTCCGATCCCATTTTACGATACAGCAAAAGCCCGACATGAAGACGACTCCCCGTCCCGTCCTCCGCTTCTCTCGCAAGCATAGAGACGCTTAAGAGGGAGGAGCACCACGTCCACGCCCGAAGCCACCACGGAACTCAGGCTTGAACTCGCCGGGAGCACCCTCGCCCTTCTCACCGGCATCACGTCGTCGGTATCCCTCGCGGCCGCCGCCACGTCCACCACCACGGCGCTCACGGTCGTCGCCGCCCATCATGCCTCGCGGAGGAGCGTGCGTGCGCTGCTGCTTGATGTGCGTCTGAGGCACGATCTCGGCGGGGAGGTGCAGCCATTCACGGAGATAGTCGAGGCCTTCGGGGGTCAGGGTGTAGTAGTAGTACTGCCACGAGAAGCGAGTCTTGAGGTAGCCGCGGGAGGTGAGCGACTGGCCTGCAATTTGGTTAGAGGGGCACACTCTGTCTAGGCGGGTTGGATTCGAGAAAGAATACTGACAAGCCTTTATGACATAAAGGTTCTTGGTGTCGATATCTCCATGCTTCGGCAGATTGAAGTCCTTCTTCGCAACGAGTACGCCCTCTGTAGGTGACCGTGTGTCAGCCTGTCCTTATAGTGCAGCATGAAAGCCGCGAGAATGTACGTTTTTGTGCCATAGCCATGGCTCGAAAACTAGTGTATACTAACCGCGGAAGATATACCTAGAAGCATAGTGTCAGCAAGTCCAATTGAATGACGAGTGGTGAAAACAGGAGTAGTGGACGCGAGGTGGAATCTTGAAAATTCCGAGCAAAATGCAGTCTCGATTGCGCCGTTGCGTCAAGTGCTGTAGAGGATAACTAACTCGTGGATCTTCTTGCGATCAGCCTTGGGGATAAGCATCTTGACGGCTGTAGACGGTCGGTGATGCTGTGTCGGTGTCCGGTTGTGGTCGATGAGGAGGAAGTTCGAACAGAGACGATAATTGATGGTGTGGAAGATCTGCGCCAAGCCTTAGCCGAGCGCACGGGCCCAATGCTCCAGCCTTAATCTTTCGCAGACTCCGTCTTCTCTCTTCCTCCATCACCACAATCACACACCACCTCTTGCTCGCGTGCAACACAGCTGTTGCCTCCCAACAACCGCTTGGCTCCAAATCATAGCTCTCTGCACCAGATACTGTCTCCACGAGCTCCGGCACTATCCTGCAACATGGATTCCGCCACTGTTCAATCACCCGTCACCATCATCGTCAACAGCCTCCGCGGCCAGAACATCGCATTCGCGACCTCAAAGGACGCTCCTTTAACCTCCATCTATGATACCCTCTATGACCGCGCGCCATGGATACAGAACTCATCCTACATTCTAACCACCAACGCCCGCCGCGCAGTCCGCCATGAGGCCGCACCCATCTCTTCACTACTCTCCTCACCATCCGATACGTTCCTCCCGCTTCGTCTGACTGTCCCGCTATGCGGTGGCAAGGGCGGCTTCGGATCCATTCTGCGGGCTCAAGGTGGCCGCATGTCCAGCCGCAAGAAGAAGCAGAACGGCGACGCAAATGCCTCATCACGAAACCTTGACGGACGACGCCTGCGCACCGTCGCTGAAGCAAAGGCGCTCGCTGAGTACCTAGCTATCAAACCCGAGATGGAGAAACGGGAGAAGGACGAGCGCCGCAAGCGATGGGAGGACATCGTGGCCAGCACCGAGCGCAAGCAGGAGGAATTGCTGAATGGCAGAAGCCAGGCTCGACTGGACGGGAAGTGGATTGAGGACAAGGAGGAGGCGGAGAACAAGACGCGAGAGGCTATTGAGAAGATGCTGATGGCTCAGCGGGAGAGCTCCGAGGAGGAAGAGGTAGAAGAACCTGCGAAAGTTGCGTCATCGTCGAAGCCTGCACCACAGCGGGCGATGTTTGGGTGGGATGACGAGGACGATGAGTTCATGAGTGATAGCGAGGAGGAAGAGGAGGTGTCAGAGGAGGATAAACCCAAGTACGAGGGCAAAGGGAAGGGGAAAGCGGCATGAATTGGCTCCTTCAGTACACTGAGCAGTTGATTTATTCAAGCGGCGTTTATTGGAGGTATTTTCAGGCGTTCAAATGCGATACCCAAGGAAAGCCGTACTTTGAGAGGCTTAATCTATGTTTTTCTACTCATACAATATTCCCACGCATGTTTCTTCTCAACACCTCCCCTCCTAATCTCCCTCCAACACTATCCTAACCATCCATACCCATTCCTCACGCCCCAATGCTCCGATCCATATCCCTCTCCCCACCGTACCCCTGCTCCCTCCTCTCCTGCGCCGCATCGCCACCTTGCTCCAACGCCTCCGTACCCCCGAATCCACCTGTATACAGCCCCTGCATTAGCACCCCTCTCTCATCGCCATCCGATCGCATAACATACCTTCCTCGCCCGCCTCCCCCGTCGCCGCATCCGTCTTCCCGCCCATACCGCCCTCCTGAATGCTCTGCCCATACCGCATTTTCTCCGCGGGCGTGACGCTCTGCGTGTTCGGCGCGTTGGAGGCCGCTTTGTGCGCGTGCGCGGGGGGAGATGCGGTGCTCGTCGCTGGGTCTGAGGGGTGGGGGGATGCGGTGTTAGCAGAGAGGGGAGGGGGTGAGGTGTGGAGGGGTGGCGTACCGCCCATTTGGCCGGGCTGCTTGCTGGGCGGGTCGACGTGCGTGTGGATGCCTTCGTACTGGGTTTGCTCGCCGCCGGGCTCGGTGGGGATGAGGTTGGATGACATGGTGGAGGGATTCGAGCTGGAATTGAGACTTGAGAATTGAGGGGAAATTGGGAGGAGGGGAGAGATTGGGATGTTACAGGATCAATTGATGTGGTTTGTGTTGTTGAGCTTAAAGGTGTTGGAGAGCGAGGGAAGCTATGCTATGGGATGACGTCAACTAGCGAACGCCTCGAATGGCTGGACGCGGACCGTCTCAACAATTGAACTCCCTCAACGCCTTCCTGCCAGACATTTACTGAAATTTCCGATACATCTGTGCTTGATAGCCTTGTGGCCTCCTGCTCAGTCAAACTCAACACCCATGAGGAAACTGCGGATGTTAGCCGCGATCCAAGCCGTGGTGGAAACAACACACACCTCTCGTATATGCGCATATACTTTGCGACGAAAGCCTCGAGATGGAAGATGACCTTGCTTCCCGTCCTGCACCTATGCTCGTAGAAGGCCGCCCACTTGATCACCTCCGGCTTGAGCGCGTCGTCCGTCTTGGGTATCAGCTTCCACGTCAGCGTCTTTATGATGGTCGTTGCGTCGATGCAGTGCGACAGGAGATCGTAGAGCGAGGCGCGGACTTGCAGTAACCGCGCTGGACTGCGTTCTTCGACGATCTGGTTTGCGATTTGCGCGATGAGGGCTTCCCAGTCGGGCGGTGGGATATGGGTCGAGTCTGTGACGGTTTCGCTGCAAACGCGTTAGCCTTGTGCGCCCCTACCGGCGGGCTTCGAGGTAGAAGACACATACTTCTGCGCATGAACCGCCTCAAACATCAACAACGCCTTCCTCAAATTCCGCCCACTCTCCCTCGCAATCCTCTTGTTCAGCCCCTCCACCTCCTTCCACCCCTCCTTCTTCCCCACCACCCTCAGCACCCCGCAAATCTCCCCCTCCGTCGGCGCCGCAACCCTCACAAGCAACGTGCGACTGCGAATCGGCGCAATAATATTACTCGTCGAGTTCGCCAGCAGAATGAGCCTCAAATTCGGGCTATACTTCTCCATCGTCCTGCGCAGCGCCGCTTGCGCATCCCGTGTCAAGTGGTCCGCCTCATTGATAACGACGACCTTGAAGCGCTGTCTCGCGCCGAGGTCGACCTGCTGTGTCTGCGCGACTTCCTTGAGCAGGTCCTGGATGACGACGCGGTCGTAGTTTCCGACGTCCGAGGGCGTGATTTCGAGGTGGTAGACGGAGGCGACAATGTTGAATTCGAGCTTGCGGTTCGACGTGGTTTGGAAGACGCGCGCGTCGATTTTGATCTTTTCGACGCCGGGGCCGTAGAGCTCTTTGAGGGTGGCGACGATGCGTGTTTTCTTGCCTGCTCCAGAGGGGCCGTAGACGAGCAGGTGGGGAAAGTCACCGCTCTGTGCCTACATTGAAGGTCGCGTTAGAGTGGCTGGAAGGAGGGGGGCTATAACAGGGTACATACAAGAGCTCTCAGGCGCTCAGAGAGGTCTGAGTGATAGCTGAGTGCTTCCAGGCTCCGCGGGCGGTGCTTATCTACGAGCAATGCCATTGTAGCGGTGTTCTTGGGGATATCGTTGCGAAGTTGGAAAATCTACGACGTCCGACGCGTCGGCCGCAACGCGTAAAGTGGTTCTTGGCAACCTTGGAATTACGTTGATCACATGATCGCGTCTCTACCCAGGTATCCGGCTACCCTGGTAGCAGATCAGCATCGCAAGCATTTCACAATTTGTGTAAGAATAGGATCATTTTAGCTGCTCCTTCTGTCAATGACTTATCGCCCTCCTCGTCGTCCACATCAAGCAGAAGCGACAGATAAACTAATATACACTAGAGCCTCCCAGGGGGAAGAGTACACAAGACATTCCATGTATACAGAAAAGGGGTATGTTGATTCCAGAAGCGCTGTAAAAGGAAAAGGTGGTATAATCAATCTCCTACAAGAATTGCTGGACGGACTTAATAGTGTCAAACGTCGCTCTGCTCGATATACAAAAGAAACTATAAAAGAGTGACACCTTCTGGTTGAGGAGTTTCGGGTATCGGTTCGTAACGTCGTAAGTGCTAGCATTCTGCGGGGCTTTTGCGGAGATGGAGATCTCCCCCTAGTACCGTCGAGGCTCGTATCCTCTATTGTCGTAGCCATTGCTTCCGCCTCTGTTTCTGTAGTATTCATCATCGTACACTGACCGTGGCTGAGAATCGAAAGAGCTGTCAGTGCCAGTCGTACTGCGGCGGTGTGGACCGGTATCCTCCTCGGCGTGACGTCTAGCCCAGTCGTTGCGCTTCATCTCCGCATCTTTCGCAAAGCGACGATTCTCCTCTTCGGAATCGTACATGTTTGAGGCATAATAGCTGCCTGGTATGTCCCGGACGCTCGGGTCCGACCTAGTTCCATAGCTAGAGAAGCTTGGGCTCCTTGGTCGGCGATCGTTAGCCTGAGAGCCAGTGCGGGGATGCTGTTGCTGGTGATGAGGTGCGCTAGCCGGAGGCACCCATTGACCTTGGCTAGCCGTGGATTGTGCGCGACGGCGTTGCTCGTGCATCGATGCTTCCGAGGGAACGCTCCGACTAAGATCATCGGCATACATTTTCCCTCCACCAGGTGCGGATGAGTAGGGTTTCCGTTCGCGCTCCAGAGGAATCGAGAAGGGTTCATCATCCTCATCATCGGTGAGAATAGCCCTCGGGTCTGGTTGGCTTGCGTAAGGACTCCGCTGACGTTCTAGACCAGGGGGCACGCCTGCGCTCTGACCCATGGGCGGTGGTGGGGGAAACGTTGGGGCTCTGCGGAGCGGACCAACGCCTTCAGCGGAAAGAGCCGCTGCACACCGTTGCTGGGCTTGCAGGTTCTCGTGTTGCGGGAAGAGACGTCGGGGAAGCTCTTTCGGAAATCGCTCCTTCGCGTCGTCGGCGTTGCTGATGGGCATGGCAAGAACCGCTTTCGAAAGTCGGTCATACTCGGCGTCTGGGTAAGCCTGAATCATGGCCGACATCCACTCTTGGAAGCCGTCGGGAGTGAGCGCGGGAATATGGGGCTGGTCTGCGTTGTTTTCTTGAATTAAATGGTGCTGGCAACGCATCTCACGATATATTTTGCTCAATGTTGAGTATGGCAATTTGCCAAAGATTTCTGATATCAAGTCAGTCTACTTTCGGACATGCAGCTGTGTGAACTCACTCTGCCATGGGTAGATCTCGTCATTAAGTTTAGCATCATCGTAAAACTTGAGCATCTTAGCAGGCGTAATGACTAGGCTCTTCTTTGGTTCGTAGTCGTCAATCTATAAAGGTTAGTTAGGTAGTTGGATGATGGGGTTGAAACCATTCACCAGATGTATGGCCAGACCTCGTAGAAACTGTCCGAGGCGAGGCATAGGCTGGCCATGCACGTCAAACAGCCGCTGCCACATCCTCTCAATAGGCGTGTAGTCCCCATCTGTCGGCATCCTGGATGCGGGAGCGGGCCGCGATCTTGACTTGTCTTGCGGAATGTCGACTGGTGCGCTCCTTTCGTGCCTTGGGGTGGGCGTGTCGCCAGCGCCGTCAAACATGGGATCGCGCGCTAACGGATCAGGGGATGTGGACCCGTGGCTCGAGAAGTCTGTTTGCTTCGGGGACGGCGGAGTGTACACGTTTCTCGACGGCAGCGATGTCGTGGAAATCGGGGATTGAGGGGCGTATGGGTGCGGCGGCGCAGGCTGGCCTGTGGCACCCCCTCCATTCATTTTGATCTCGTCCAGCAACGACTTCTTCACCTCTGCCGTGATCTGGGCGATGAGGTCCGGATCCACTGTGCGCGCGGAGTCGGACCTGTCGAAGGCATTGTTGACAGCATTATTGAGCGGCTGTTGCGACTGCTGGGGCAGGCCATCGGAAGGGGCATTGGACGATGAGCGCGACTTGGGGCGAGACGGATCGTGGAAATGCGATTCTTGGTAATACGATGGGTGATACGGGCGTGGGTCGTAGGTATGGTCATAGGATGACGAGTAGGGAACTTGGTGAGGGTCTGGCTGGCCGCGATAGCCGTCCATGGTTGAATCTTACAGGGAGCGACAGAGCCTATGCGGATGACGCTGACAGGCCGGAGTGCGGTTTTGACTGGATGCGCCGTCGAGTTTGCAGCCAGGGAGAAGCTGCATCTACTGCAAGTGGCCCATGCAGTGCGCCGGGAAATATATTGCGAGAGAAGAAGGACAGGCGATATTGGTGCGAAGGCTAGGAGACGGATATGCGGTGGAAGGCTGGAGGCGGTTGGCGAGAGATCACGCCTCGGCCTTGTGGCTGTCTTTAACCACCTTGCTTCTTGCAAAAGACAGCTGGCAGAATAGGATGAGGAGCAACAAGCAGTAGTGCGCAGGGGAACGATGCAGAAGGGAAGCGCTTGACTGGGTGAATGTAGAGGCTCCACGTGGGAACAGCAATGCCCATTTGGCTCGGATGCAGCTCGAGGAGGGAGACTTTCTGCAGGCCATTGCGTCATGCATCCGCCCGCCTAGACGTCACTGCGGATCTATTATAAGGCGCGGCCCTCTGCAACCAGCTCACCGGAAAATCCATCGCTGCTCCAGCGATCGCCGTTTACCCACCGTCTCCACGAACTGGAGTTTGTGCGGACTCCAGGACAGATGGATAGACAGCCGTCCCAAGTGCAGTCGGGTCAACGCCCGTCGCGTGACGCCGCGCGGCTCTGCCTCTCTTGTTGTTTCAACGACACTTGTTTCAACGAACGTCAACAGCGAGGTCAGCGAATGCTTGCCTGAGGCCGCCGCACGGTCACGCCGGTGCAAGAGAGGAGAGGAGGAGCGCCGTGGTTTCGTCTGCGCAGGGACACCCTCCAGCTCCCAGACCCCCCGTCCGCGCCGCCAGGCTCGAAACAAAACACACGCATCGCGACGCGCAGCATTCGCGCCCGTGAGGCTGAATGCTGGTTTATCTACCCAGCACCTGGGCCTGCTCTGGCGGCTACACGGCGGCGCAAGGTTTCGCAGCTCTGGAAATGCCATCAATGAGACAGGATCCGTGAGAGCAGCGAGGGCCGTAAGGCAGAGCAACGACTAAGCCACTCCTGCTGCAGCCGTGATGATGTCTTTCGCGTGTCCCGGCCAGGCCCAGGATCCGCGGGTACCGTACTGTATACGGCCGCAAGCAGCATGATGTTCGCCAGATAGACAGCCCAGGACCGACGCACCCCGCGTAGAGTAGCCGTTTCCACGCGTGCGGCTCTGTGCGGGTGTATTTTGAGCGGCTTGCGCAAGAGCTGCTGGCGCTCGACGCGGCATTGAAGGCCCTCAGGATGCGGTATGACTGCTTATGGGTGCAGCGGATATATTGCGCAGGGTGAGATGCCATGCCGGCGATGGCGTGGGCGGGCTGTGGTTGGCGGTGGTGGTGGTGCGGCCGACCAGGCCGGCAGGCGTGGCAGGGTCCGACTGTGAGACACTAGCGTGTTAGAGGTCGCTGCGCTTGGCTCAGCGGTCCCTCATCGCGCTCTCGGGGGGCACACTCGCGCAGCCCTTTTCTATCGCTCCTCTGCCGCCTCGTGATTTTTGTTTCGACTGTGAGACCGCTGTCTGTTTCCTCGCTCCTGAGCGTTGTGCCCGCCACCGAGCCCGCAGCCCCAGTCTCGCAATAAAGGAGCGCGGTGAAAGACCCAGCTCCCCATCCTGCACGCCGGCCGCCGAAAGCCAACAACGCATCCACTCCGCTCCTCGCTCACCCTCGCCCTGCTCACGACGGGCCCTCGACTTGCCGGCCTTGCTCGCCCGCCCGCCCGACTTCCTATCGCTCTACCTTCCTCACGTTCCTTCCGCTCGCGAGCACCGGCTCGACAGCTGGCCACGACCGCCGCCGCAAAGAGACGCATACAGCACGCCGTGCAACGTCCACGACCGCACCTCGCCGCCTCTCGAGGTCTCCTGAACCCACACGCGCACCCACAGTCACGTCATATCGTCCCTGCCGCGAGCGAACACACCATGCGTCCTTGAGACGAGCGCTTGCAGCAAGCCAGAAACCTAACGACAAACGAGAAGCGACCCCTCCGACACTCTCTTCCGCTGCGCAGCGTCTATTGTATCCATAAGTGTCCATCGCTTCGACAGCATGGCCATGCTCGCCTCCAAGCCGTCCTACCCGCCGCCCTCTCTACCGGGGTCCTCATCACAGCCCTCAGCCCAGTACAGCTCCAGCGTGTCCAGCTACCGAACTCATGCCTCGGCCACGCGAGCAGACCGCTCCTCCCTCTTCGCCTCGCCCACCGAATCTGAGTTCTCAGAGATATACGATGCTCCGGATGCAGTAAGGTAAGGATGATCGCGCTATCTAGCTCGCACCGCCGTGCTGACTGATACAGACATTGGGACGAAGATAAAGTCGGAGACTGGCTGAAACGCATCAACTGCGCTCAATATGTCGAGCTCTTCAAGAGTAGGTCCCCCAGTGACCCGGTTCCAGTCCCCGCTGACCCTTCCAGAAAACCACATCAACGGCGAGAACCTGATGGAGATGGACCAGACCCATCTCAAGGACATGGGCATCAAGAAGGTGGGCGACCGTGTTCGCATCGGCTCGCAGGCGAAGCAGCTCCGCAACAAAGAGTACAAGAAGGCCTCGAAGCGGTCCTCGAATAGAGTAAGTGGTCCTGCGTTTTACCATTGCGTCAGCGTCTAACACTGGATTCAGCAATCCCTTGCAATGCTGGACAATGCAGCATACACCCCGCCTTCGTCCGGATCACCGCGACCTATACTTTCTGCTCGCTCGCTTCCTACAAGCTCGCGGTCCGAGAAGCGTATGTCTCGCCAGATCACCACCTCTGACCTCTACGCATACGGCTCCAAGTCGCCATCTCGACCCAGCTCTCCATTGGTGGACCAGGAGAACCGCGGTCTAAGATCTCAGCGTTATGGCGGCACGGACAGCCCCAAGGGTAGCGGCAAGAAAGACTTCGCCTCGTCATACACCAGCCAACCACTTGGCACATCAAGCAGCTCCGCTAATATGTCCTCTCGCTACGGTGCGGGCCCACGAACGACACCTACTGAGACTCCCCAAACCGCCCGATTCGCCCATCATGTTCGAGGCACCCAGAGCTTTGATAACACCACCACCAACAGCGCAATCCTCCCACCAGACAAAGCCTTGATCCGGGTCATCTATGATACGGGCAGGTCATCAGTTGTGAACATTGAGGGCTGTAAGACTGCGGATGAAATCGTACTCAAGACTTTGAGGAAAGCACAGCTGAACGAAGCCCATGTGAAGAACTACTGCTTCTATGTTCTGGACGGTCCCGAGCCGAGAGTCTCGTTGTGCCGCCGCTTGAGCGACATCGAGCTTATCCGCCTCTGCAAAGATGCCAACCGGCACGAAAGAGGCCGCCTCATCCTCCGCAAGATCCACACTGGAGAGCCAGAAGAGGAGCAGCTCAAAACGGCCGCCGGCATCTTCCAGCAGCAGACCCTACAGCAGACACAAAACATCATCGTCCCGGCGAGCAATAGGAGTCAAGCAAAGATCGAGAAGATCACCGGCGAGTCACTTGCCGCCGTCAGCTATCCGCTTTCCCCTACATCTGCTCGGGAGCGAGAACGTCATATACACTCCACTGCCCAAGACCTAGAGGGGCCTGCTAGATCACCCATTTTCACCGCACGAGCTCGCAAGCTGAAGCAGTTCTACGGGGCCAGGCCTCCAAGTGAGCTCATCACTTCGGATCTTACTTCATACTTCCCAGATGTTGAGAAGGACGAGATCGACAAGACAATTCGAATGTCCATTCGACGGTCTCGTCGTCTAAGCCGAGCAGCGTCACGTTTGTCCATGGCCTCGAACTTCAGCGTTGCCTCAAGCCTCCGCGACGCCCCACCTCTCCCCTCCATCGCCGACAACTGGCTACAAGGTGGTGGTCAGGCTCGGCCGCTTCGGCCGCTGTCGGTCATGAGGCTTGGTCTACCCGCGCAAAGTGGCTTCCGGGATTCCATGGCTTCTTCCGTGCTGGAGCCTCTCGACGAAGAATCGCCGCTGGAGCCGAACAGAAAGTCGTACGTCTCGTTTGGCGGCGAGAGTGTCGCTGACAGCGTCGCCGTGACCGATCCCGAGGGTCATACCACCATGCAGTCATACTTTGACGATGGCGGTAGCAGTCTGGCTGGCAGCAGCACTGGAAACACGGAGAATGGTGATTCTCTGAACAAACGTCTCTCGCAAGCCATCGCTGAGGACGGTGAAGAGTACGATGACGAACTCGCACAGTACCTCGAACAGGATTCTTGGGAGAACGTCAAGTACATGAAGGGTGCCCTGATAGGACAAGGCTCCTTCGGAAGCGTGTACCTCGCCCTGCACGCTGTGACTGGTGAGCTCATGGCCGTGAAACAGGTCGAACTACCGTCCGCTTCGGGTACTTCGCAGATAGACCAGAAGAAGACAAACATGGTGGAGGCGCTAAAGCACGAGATTGGTCTCCTGCGGGACCTCAAGCACATGAACATCGTGCAATACCTAGGCTCGAATTCAGACGACCATCACCTCAACATTTTCCTCGAGTACGTCCCCGGTGGCTCCGTGGCGACTATGCTGGTCAACTACGGACCGCTGGGTGAATCTCTCATCCAGAACTTTGTCCGCCAAATTCTTCAAGGTCTCTCATACCTCCACTCCCGGGACATCATCCACCGAGACATCAAGGGCGCCAACATTCTTGTCGACAACAAGGGCTCCGTTAAGATTTCCGACTTCGGTATTTCAAAGCGTGTGGAAGCGTCCACTCTCGGAGGCAAAAAAGGCGCTCAACGTGTCTCACTCCAGGGATCCGTCTTCTGGATGGCACCTGAGGTCGTTCGACAAACTGCGTACACACGCAAGGCTGACATCTGGTCGCTCGGCTGTCTCATTGTCGAGATGTTTACAGGCAGCCACCCGCATCCCAATTGCACGCAGCTCCAGGCGATCTTCAAGATCGGTGGCAGCGGTGACGCCAGCCCAACAATACCAGAGCACGCCGGAAAAGATGCGCGCGCTTTCCTCTCGCAGACCTTCCTCATCGACCACGAGAAACGCCCGAGCGCTGACGACCTCCTCGCCAGCCACTTCTGCACTAATCAGGCTGCGTAGAATAATCGCATCAGCTATCCATACCTTCTTCACATATTTCTTTACTACGTCTATCGGTCTCTAGGAGCACCGTAATGGTTCAATGTGGCATGACAAACAACGGCATATACGCATGTAGGGTCCCGGGGGACAGGACAGGGAGAGGAGCATAGGGAACACAAAATTATACTGTGGGATATCTGGTCTTACTTTTGTTGGAGGAGGTTACCATATCTTCTACTCGTTTGTTGTTCCTGGTTCGGGCTTTATACTCTTCTTCTTCTTTTCCTCCTTCGGGCGTGGGCCCTCTAATTTCTGAAGATGATGTGTAAATCTTGTACGATAGATACCAAATTTTGAGCTTGACGGCCGCTGAGCGGGATCTTGATCTTGATCTTTCCGCTGCTGTTGTTGCTGTGTATTAAGTTGGCGCATCTGGGGTCCGTGGAAGAGTTGTACGTGTAGCTATTAAATTTGCACATCCAAACACCAATGTCGTTTCTGCTGGATGTGATGCTGGTTCGCCGAGTCAAAACAAACTCCTGACGAACGACAACGACACTTTATCGAGTCAGCTCGCCCTCTCCTTATCTAGCTCCCGTTCCTTGGAGTTACTAGATACAGTACGTACTTGGCATTTGTTATCCCCGCAATCAATCGGGACGGCGGCTCCTGACGTAACCCCACATGTGCAGTGTAGGTGGTGAGGGGTAGAGGGGTAGCTCGGTAGCTCTCTCGATGCCGACGACCAGGGGCGCCACACGCGTAGATACCTCGGTGCGAGGATTCGTTCGTTATACCACATACGATGGGATGGCCGCGGATGCTCGAGCTGGGTACCCACCTTCATGCATGCTCGTAGGGCCGATTCAAGGATAGTAGCAGAAGGGAGGGAAGGGGTGCTTGGTAAGAGGGGTGTGGGGTAAGTAGAGATATATATGTCTCCCGCGGTTGCGGGCTTCTAGTACATCTTTTTATCTAATCTATCTTTCTCTCTGGTTCGCGTTTCCGCTCCACGTTCTTACGTCCCGTCCCGTCCCGTCCGTCTGTCTGGTATTCATCGTCCTCGTTTTCTGGGAACACGCTTGCTTCGTTTGGTACTATTTGATCCGCAGGGGGGTACTGCTCGATTCTCGCCTGGGTTCTTCTCGATTACAGCTGTGAGATAGAGAGATAGCTAGCTAGGCTAGCTTGTTACCTCTGTGGAAATTTCAAGTTTTTGGGGAGGAAAGAGCAAGACCGGAAAGCAAAGCAAAGCAAAGCAAAGAAAAGCAAAGCAAAGCAAAGCAAAACAAAGCAAAGCAAAGAAGCAGGCAATCAGACAGGCAAAATGGCGTCCTCAGAAGCCATTCCAAAGAAATACAAAGCCATCGTATACGACAAGCCAGGCACTATCTCGACAAAGATAGAGGAGCTGGATATGCCCGAGCCAGGTCCGGGGGAAGTTTTGATCAATCTGTATGTTTCCCCCTTCTCCTCCCCTTTCCCCTTCCCCCTTTCCACAATTCCCCCCACCCATCTCCCCCCTTCCAACCCTCCCCCTCCAAACCTAGCTAACCCCCCTCTCCGCCAGAACCCACTCCGGCGTCTGCCACTCCGACATGGGCGTCATGATGAACAGCTGGGCGATGCTGCCCTTCCCCACGCAGCCCGGCCAAGTCGGCGGCCACGAGGGCGTCGGCAAGATCGTGAAGATGGGGCCGGGCACGCAGCAGGCGGGCGTCAAAGAGGGGCAGCGCGTGGGAATTAAGTGGATGGCGGGGATTTGTGAGGCGTGCGAGGCGTGTCGCGCGGGGCATGATGCTATGTGCTTTAGTGGGGTGAGTATAGTTTAGTACCGTACGGATTGTGCGCCGGCGGGCTTGGGAAAGTAGGTGGGGGAGGTGTTGAGGAGGAGAAAGGGGAAGAAAGAGGAGTGGGCCGGGCTGGGGCGAGATGGAGAGCTGGTATCCCGTATAGGAGGAGTAGGAGGAGAAGTTTACTGACTGACTTTTTTTGTGCACAGAAAATTTCGGGCTACTACACCCCCGGCACTTTCCAGCAATACGTCCTCTCGCCCGCAAACTACGTAACCCCCATCCCGGATGGCCTCGACTCTGCCTCCGCAGCACCTATGCTCTGCGCTGGCGTAACCGGTAAGTTCCCTATGAACGAGAAGAGCACTCTTCACGCACTTGTCACTACTCTCCTGCAACTATCCTAGGAGAGAGAACTCCATAACATCCCCCATCCCCTCGGCCCCTCCCTCTCCAAACCCTCCTAACCACCCACCCACCCACAGTATACTCCGCGCTCCGCAAATCCGCCGCCGAATCCGGCAACTGGGTCGCCATCCTCGGCGCCGGCGGCGGCCTCGGGCACCTAGCCGTCCAATTCTCCGCGCGTGCCATCGGCCACCGCGTAATCGGCATCGACCACTCCTCGAAAAAGGACCTAGTCCTCTCCTCAGGCGCCGAGCACTTCGTCCCCATCGACGGCACCGACAGCGTCGCCGACGCGGTGAAAGCGCTGACCGGCGGGCTGGGCGCGCACGCCGTGCTCGTGCTCACGGCCAACAACGCCGCGTACGCGTCGTGCGTCGAGCTGCTGCGCTTCGGCGGGCGCGTGTGCGTTGTGGGCATCCCCGAGGGCGAGCCGGTGCCGATTGCGAGCGCGCTGCCGCAGGTGCTGGTTGCGAAGGCGATTTCTATCCATGGGATTGCGGTGGGGAATCGGAGGGAGGCGATTGAGACGCTGGAGTTTGCGGCGAGGGGCATTGTTAAGACGCATTATCGGGTGGAGAAGATGGAGAAGTTGACGGACGTTTTTCGGGAGATGTGGGAGGGGAAGTTGAAGGGGAGGGTTGTGTTGGATTTGGAGTCGTAGGGTGGGTGGATGACAGGGGTAGAATTGGGACCGAATGCGGAGTTGGATTTGGATTTAATATGTACTATGAAGCTGTTTTAGTGGCACAGTCCAAGGAAAAGATGATTGAAAATCCATTGTAGACGCCTCGTGATGCTGTACGTACGCCAGATATTCCCCCCTTGAATTTGAGATTAAGCATCGGACACACCGTCCTGCTTCCGGATTGAAACCTCGCCGTAAGAACAAACGCACCTCATCGATCCATCTCCCAAGTCCTCGCGTTCTCGCTCGCATGCACATCCTCCAAGGTATACGGCTCTTGCTTCCACGTCACCCGCTGAACCTCCCTCATGCGATCGAACCGCAGCACGCTCTGAAGCAGCACCTGCGCGCCGAGCGCACAATCCTCGTCCTTGCAAAACTCCGCCGGGTTATGACTAACGCCCTCCCTGCACGGCACAAAGATCATGCTCGTCGGACACCGCTTGTTCGTATACACGCTATCGTGCCCAGCGCCGCTCGTCATCTCCATGACCAGGTCCTGGGAGTCGGGCCCGAGCACCGAGTGTGCAGCTCTGTTAACGGCGTCGATGCACAGCGGGTTGAAGTTTGTAGCGGGAGACTTGAAGAACTCTTTGATGGTGACGGTGCATGGGAGCCCTGGGGTGCAGCCTGTGTTGAGGGCATCGAGTGGGCAGCCGGGGTTTAGGCCGCCGACGTTCTCGCCGCTGGCGATCTTGTGGAAGTCGTGGTTGATGAGGTGTTCCATTCTGGCGACTGCTTCGTCGCTCTGTGCGCGGATGTCGAGCGTGAAGGTTACCTCGCCGGGGACGGTGTTTGTGCTGCCGGGCTTGAGGTGCAGGATGCCGGTGCTGGCGAGGGCGTTGTTGGCGGTAGCTAGTTTGTGCGAGTGTAGAATCATCTTCGCAGCTGTCAGTAGTGCATCTGCCCTGCTCTTCAGATCGGTTGTGCCGGTATGCGTCTCCCTCCCTTTTACGGTTACTTGGAGCCACTTATAGGCCTGTACGCCGGTTACGACACCGATCTTCTTGTTGGACATTTCGAGGAGCGGCCCTTGCTCGATATGGAGTTCGAAGTGAGCGGCCATGGGCATCGACTCGTGGGAGCAGGGCATTTTGCCCATGTAGCCGATGCGCTTCAATTCAGCGCCCATCGTCGTGGTGCCAGGGTGTACTTCTTTGGCGTTGTGCGCGGTGTCGAGGGGAATATAGCCCGCCCAAACGCCAGACGACATCATAGAAATGGGGAAGCGAGCGCCTTCCTCACTGCAAGGTTCAATATTAGCAGCTTGTAGTCCTTCGAGCGGGGAGAACGCGTACTTTGTCCAATTGACGACACCCACAGGATACTCAGTCTCCACCCAGTTATCCGCGAGCACCTTCAGCATCTCGACTCCCGCACAGACTCCCAGTATGCCATCGTAGCGCCCTCCGCTAGGCTGCGTATCCAGATGCGATCCCACGAAAGTCGGCGGCTTGTCGTTCTTCACGCCTGGTCGGACCGCGAATATATTGCCCATTTCGTCAATGGTTACATGGCAACCCAGAGCTTCAGTGGCATGAATGAACCAATCTCGGGCTTCCTTGTCGGCGTCCGAGAGGGCGAGGCGGGACACGCCCGTTTCGGTGGGTTTCCTGCACACATAATCAGTCGCTGAGCCTGCGAAAGATTAAAGAATGGGCTGCCATACTCTCCCCATTTCTCACCAGTGCCCCATCGGCTGGTATAGTGTATATCCTCCATCAATCTCTGCGTGTTTACCTTGAGGCTTTGCAGATGCTCTTCATCCATCTCCCTGGTATGCAACTCGCGTCTCGGCGTCATCGCGAACGGCCTCCTCATCATACTGCCATTCACAACCCTCGGCGCAACCCAGCTCCTGCGCGCCGGCCATCGCGGCGATGTCGTGAAGCTTCGTCGAGCCGTAAGAGCTGTTGGAGCGCTCCTGCGTGTCGTGATCCCGGAGAGGACCCTCAGGGCGGGGTAGCTACATGGTGCGAGTTGGAGTGCAGACTGCAATTGCAATCCGCCGAGCTGCACCGCCAAAGCCATTGTGGGCGTGGATGCAGAAAGAAGGAAGAGTCATGATCGGGACAAACGATCACGGGTGTGTGGGCGTATTATGGGCAGGTTGGACGCTCGTGTCATGGCGTGAGTGAGACGCGATAACGCGGGGTATCCGTGCGAGCTCCCTTTCATCCCACGTTAATTCCCCGGCGGCCATCTCCGACCCATGGAAGCTGTTGCAGAGCTTGAACGCGCGGACGATGCACGAGATTGAAGTCACGGCTTCTCTACACCAGCGTTCGATTCGGATGCGATGCAGATAATGGAACAAGTCATCGGATGGTCCGGGCCTCAATGTGCGCTTGGGCAAGTGGGATCAGCTGTTTCATTGACCTACACCATATCTCAGAATATTGAGGTCATTCCACTCAGCCCAGATAGCTTCCAGCCTGAGCCACTGTCGTAGGGCAACTCGATATACTGGGTTGTACGGTTGGCAGGAAATCATCATCGCAAGGAGCAAAGCATCCTAAAAGCTCAATGACCCCCCTTCCCCGGCTTCAGCAGCCCACTCCCCCTCTTCAACCACTGCAGCCTCACCTGCTCAATCGACGTATCCCCACCCATCTCCTCCTCCACAATCCTCCTCACAAACGCCAGCTTATCCTCCAAGCTTCCGTTCACCTTCTCACCCTTGGTCCTCTTCCTCCCAATAATGGCCACATTGCGTGTCGAAGGGATCCGCAGATGCTCTTTCTCCCACTCATACCCCATAATGGTGGTGAGATAAGCGGTATAGCTGCACAGCGAGGCGTACGCGGAAGGCTGCTTTTGTGAGGTCGTGGTAGAGGAGGCAAAGTAGCCAGAGTGATGAGGGGAACGGAAGCGTGTCCCGCCGAAATTGTGGCTGCAGCAGGGGATGGCGATGAAGGGAGACGAGGAGAGGTGGGCGAGGAGCGGGGTCCAGAGCGTGAGTTCATCGGCGTGGTTGGAGACGATGAAAGTTCCTGGGGGGAAGATGCCGTTGTGGGATGGGGGAGCACCGGAGACGGTTTCGGGTTCTTCGTCTTGGCCGTCGCTGGTGTCGAGGATCTCGGGGACAAGCAGCATTTCCTTCAGATGATTCTGGTAATCTTCGCCAAACGTGGCCCATGTCTTCCGCCTTCTCGCGTCGAAGCCCCAGCCGGTCCAGCCTTCTTTATTAAGGATGTAGACGAGGAGGCCGTTGCCGCAGCCGATGTCGACGAAACCTGGGAAGGACCTCTGGGCTTTCAGACGACGTTGCTGCGAAGCTATGGCAAGAGCTGACGCAGAAGAATCTGCGCTTACGTTTGCCTGATCCTTCGTCGAGTTGTCGCTCTCCTGTGGCGGGTTTCCGCCGTACATCTCCGACCATAACTCAATAAGAAAGGCAGCAATTCCCAAATCCTCAAACACATGCTTGTTCGCCGGAGTCTGCTCGACCCAATTCTCGATCAGATCCTTAGCATACTTGCCCTTCAGGTAAACGTACGTGTCCTGGAAGGTTTTCTGCGGGATTATCATGTCGTGATGGACGCGCTTCTGGTACCCTTGCATACGTCCACGGGAGTGCTTATGGATGATTTCGAGCATTTTGAGAGCTGTGCGCGACATTCGGTTGTCTAGCGGATTGTCGGGAAAGAGGTCGTAGTATATCGAGAGTGTACCCGGAGCAGTGCCCGAAGGAGCATTGGGCTGGAAGGTGTACAAGATTGCTACTCCACGTACCTTTGGATGGTAGAAAGGAATGGATTGAGGATCTGAGGCATGCGGTAAGTAGACAACAAGGTATCGTTCTGCCTCAATCTTGCCGCAGCTGCCATCCTTGTCTCGCACCGTGACCTCTTCGGCAGAGGTGTATAAATGGCAAGTCTGTAACAATTGCGCATCTAACTTAGGATTCCTCGGTATGAGCTTCCTCACCACCGTCCACTCAAGTGCGTACCCGGGGAAACCGCCAGGAATGATCCGTGGTTGATGACCGGCCTGGAGGTGCTTGACAATGTCAGCCAGCTCATGTGGATGCTTCGCGTCCGGGTTGTACGAAGCATCAGTAAAGCTTTTGTAGGACAACTCCGCCCTGGATAGGTGGGAGGCAGTCAGGTTCGGGTTCTCCAGCAAATTGCGGCTGACGTCGAGAAAGTACTGCGGCGCAAAGTTTGCGGGTGCGCATTGGACGATGGTCCAGATCTCGGGCGGAAGTCCGGAGTCAATGAGAGGTGTTTTATCGAGATCAACGGGCTCGAATTTGATATCACCATCAATGCATGAAGAGCCGTTCGCTTCGCTCCCAGAGATATGCCCAGGTGACGCATCTCGCCCGTGCGGTTCGTTGGAGGGAATATGGCACGCCTCGTCGTAGTTTCCGCTTACGGAGTCCGAATCGCCTTTTGACATGATTGATTGCTCTTCTTTCTTAGTTTCCCGGATCTCTGCTGCTTTTGACTTTGATTGATTGGTTGCAATCGACGTGAAAACTTCAGTCGCAACTTTGCAGCCTGGTGGGGTCGAGTTGTTGCTACGCGAATACAACAGAAAGCGACCAGCGCGAATACTTATACACAATTGTTTTGTGTGCTATCAGGCTTAGGCGTGCTAGGTAGAGTCGACTGACGCCAAGCCGCCGTCGGTCCCGCAGTTCTTCCGTGCCCGGCCCTCCTAGGTAATTTGCCTCGCCAACTCGTCCCCGCTCCTGCACCTGATGGATTCGCACTCGATTAATGGCACATGTGCACTCTCAGTTAGTCCTTCACGACCTGACTACCTGATTCGCCTTAGCCCCACCTAGGGCCGCGGCAGGCAACCAGAAATCCCTGCATTCTCCAGCGCGCAACACCTTTCGCGGCTACTCCTACAGTATATCCTGTGCTATCTACAACCCCAAGCCAGTCTAGCTTCAGGTAACTGTAATCATTCCAACCACTAAAATACCTTCAGCTTACCAGTTCATAGCATTGAACAGCGAGTCGTGGTAATCGGCGGAAACAATCACTACAACGTACAGAATCGCTCAATTCGCACTTTGGGGCCAGAGTACTCACCTCAAACTAAAAGATGTCTCGCCTTTCGCTCCTAACACGACACTTATCGCAGAGGATGTCGGCAGCGACCCTCGGCACTGCGAGGTCCAAACTGGTTTCCGAGCCCAACAATATTTTCGCTCAGAACCGAAGTCTCTCCACTGCTTCCAAGGATACCGATCGCAGGGTCTACAGAAATAAACATGGAGAGGAGATTGCATTCATCCCGTGCGATCCGCCTCCGGGATACGTGTTCGTGCCCTCAGGTAATGTCTTCATTACTCTGAACTGCCGCAAGCTCGCGCAGAAATTATATGCTGTCTACCGCCCTAAAAGTCGGAAAAGGCTTGCAACGCAAATAGGCCTCTATGTCCCGAAGGATGCTTTTGAGGATGCAGAGTCCAAATTTAAGGTAAAAAGAGCAAGGCTTGATAGGGAGTTGTCGCGGGATCTTAACAAGCAATACCCCAAGGCTCCTCCTGCCGATAAGGATGAACTCCACCGCCTTATTTCTTCAGATTGTCCTGGAGTCACCGGAAAATCAGCTCTGGACCGTAAAGAGATCATAATTTATGCCTATGTCCGCGATCGGTACACGCTGTTCAAGTCTCTTAATCATGAGGATACCGAAGCGATCGCTCGGGCGCATCAGAAAGTTCGAGAGATTCTAACGTCCTGGCGTGGCGAGGACGAGAGAGAGAAAGAGTCGAGCAAGAGCAAGAGAGGTCGCGGGCTGAGCAAGAAAGGCTCGAGCCCGTGATGTTCCAGCAGAACTGCAGGTGCCACTGCACATGGACATCTCTCGCGACATCAGCAGAGGCGACTCGTTCTCCCTCCCGCACGCCGCCTCCTCCCCTCCACAGGCTCAGTTAAGCTCGACAACGCCCACCATCAAGGAGCCAGCAGACTATACAAGGCCACCTATACTAGGGGTGCATCCACGAGGTACTCGTTCGCAGAGTCACCCAAGGATGAAGCACCAAGTCAGCTCACTAGCGGGAGATGGGTGCTGGTTACATGCCTTCAAAGGCTCGTCGAGCAGCGCAGCGCGGTGATTGACGAGCAACGCGCTGAGATTTTCGCCCATTCGTCTCCGACGAGCAGCCCGGACGTTGCCGAATTCCATCAATTGGACATTGTAGTGGAGCTGCGTCTATCAGATGATTGGATGATAGACTGTGAGAACGAGCCGGGAGACGGGAGGGGTCAGCTTGTTAACCTTAGGCTACTAAATGGGTTGCAAATAGAATAGTAGCACGCTGCTCAATCAATCAAACTCTGTCCTGCCTTGACATATGTCTCTACTCCTGCACGTACGTGAATGTCTCGTCTCACCTTGCCAAAGAAAAAAAAAATTTAAAGACATCCCGCGAAGGGGATATCTTGAGTTCGGATTGAGGTAAGAGGCGGCCGTTTTCAATGGCTCGCTCCTTCGTTTCTCGATTTCTGGTTCCTGGAGACACAGCTAGTTTTCGGTTTTCTCGTTTTCGTTATTCCAGCGCCCTGTCGGACGATATGTGTTGGTGGTAACTGTAGTGTTTGCTGTATGGTGTTTGGGCTCCGTCATCGCAGCCCGTGTTGCCGCATCTAAGCCAACCCGACATCGTTTAGGGGGAAGCACAATGTCATGCTTGCCGTGCTAGGGCGCGGTTTGTCTATCACTTTCTATATCCATCCCTTCTCTCAAAGAGGTATGCCAATTCCAACCCATGTTCTTTCCAAACACCTCCAATGCGAACGCCCTTCCCAATCCGCCGTCCTTCCATTAGCCCCAGCCCCTAGCCCTCCCTTACAACCCCCCCTTCGGCTTCCCACCCCCATAATAATGCGCCATCTCCAGCCCCGCCCTCCGAAACCCACACTTAACATAAAAGCCCTCATTCGCCTCCGAGCAATCCAAAATGCTCTTATAGCAGCCGACCTTCTCGGCGACAAAGTCCAGCGCCTGGATGATGCGCAGCCCGAGCTTCTTGCCCTGCTGGTCCTTGGAGACGGCGATGTCCTCGATGTGGCCGACGAGGCCCAGGTTGTGGATGAACTTGCGCTCGACGATCAGCGCGCCGCAGCCGACGACGCGCGCGGCGTTGTCTGTGATGCACAGCAGGAAGTACTCGTCGTTGCGGTGCGACATCCATTCGTAGCGGTCGTTCCATTGCTGTTCTGCGAGGTTAGCGGGTGTTTTGCGTAGTAGCTAAAGTAGAGGAGGGCTGGGAGATTTGTGTTAGGAGAGGAGAGAGAGGGCGGCATACCTGCTCCGTGACATCCCCCACCGTCGTCAGCACCCGCAGCACATCCAGAAACCCATTGTGATAGTCGCCCCGCTGCAGCGGCCTGCACGTATAGCCCTCGGGCAGCTGGGCCACAACCTCCGGCGAGATGAGCGAGGTGCTGAAGAGCGGCGTCGTGGGGTCGGTGACGGGGCTTTGGAGAGACATTGTGGGTGGTTCTTCGCCGTTTCCCTCCCTTCTTCAAAGCTGTAGAAAGTCTGTTACGCGTTTTGTTTACACGCACCGCTTTCAAGCCGCACGGCGTGGGAGCCTCAGAAGCTTGTATCGGTATGCGGGGCTCGCTTCGCAGCGGCGGTGAGGCGGAAGTATAGCTTCTTTGGGAAGGGCGGTCGAAGGGAGCAGCTGTAGAGAGGTTCAATTTCGTGATATGAGGTGCAATTGGGGTTATATGCGAGGTAGAGAGGTCGTGGGGAGCTGTGGAGCAATGGCTGGCTGTTGTTTGCTGACCAGCTGAATTGTCCGCGAGGAACCAATCGGCGGGCTAAAATTAGCACACGCCTCCGAACCGGCCTCACGGACCCCTGATGACCTCATTGGTGCTGGGATAGTATATCCTAGGGTGCTTCAATGCACCATCAACCGTCCAACTTTCATGCATGTCACGTTCAATAAGTTAATCCTTTCACCTCGGGATAGCCCATCCTGAAGACCTTCAGGTCACAATGCTTAAGCTAGCAAGCAATCTCACCTCAACGTGCTTGATTCTAATTCTCCACAGAGGCCTACTACTACACTGCACCCGCTCCTCCCCGGCCCCTACCCACACCTCTCCCTAAACGCCTCCAGCACCCTCTCCGGCCCCGTATCCTCCACCCCCAAGACCCTCGCCAGCGCCGCCGTCAACTCCGCGTTCAGCCCCCGCAGCTGCACGGTCTCATCCCTCACCAGCCTCATCGCCTCGCCCAGCCGCTCGATGGAATCCGTCGAGCGGCGAGGAGCCCCAGCGCCGGCACCCGCATCCCCCTTGCCCCTCACCCTCTCCAGATCCCGCAGCTTCCTGGCCCGCGTCTGCTCCTCCCTGGACGCCAGCGGGTGCCGGTCGACGGGCACCAGCCTCGGAGGCGTTGGCGGCTTCCGCGGGTTCCTGGGACTACCGCGCGGAGGCGGAGAGGGAGACGACGGGTCCTGGCGACGGCCGGATATGGCAGCCTCGACTGCCGGGCTCGCCAGCGGGCTGAGCATCTCGTCCGTCCATGCAATCGAGACGCGCTTGGAGACAGCGCCTCCGTTGACGGGAACTGTGCCCCTCTGATCCCCGGCCGGCACCACAATCTCAATGTGCTTGGCTCCTCCCGTCGTCGACGTCTGTCGGGCGCAGGCAGGCAGGGATGGCGCAACCTTGCTCCTTTGCTGTGGGCCTATGGAGCTCACCCGTACGACGGAAGACATCCTGTTGCGCACCTTGAATACCTTCAAGCCAGACTTCCCTTTCTTCTGGGGCGTACTCCTGGGCGGTAATGCCGGCAGCGCTGGCGGCGGGCCAGAGTTCTTGAGGAAGAAACACAGGTCGCTCAGACCGGTGCTGGCGGTGAGCTGTTCGTGGCTTGGGATTGGTGGGGCCAGTTTGCCTCCTTGTGCGGATGAGTCGGCTCTGCTGCTTTGCGCTGCTGGAGTGTGTCCGCGACTCCTGGGCATGGTTGGTGATGCTGTGTCGTGCTGCCTGTCGTATGGCGAGTATTGTCCCCTGGCGGCGGATGCGAAGTCCCCAGTTAAGGAGAGTCCGGATCTGGTACGAAGATGGGGGGTACTCGGGTCGATGAGGCGCTCTGGATTTCGATGTGGGAGGTCTGGGGCCGGCGCATTTGGGATCTTCAAATCCCCTGCTGGAAAGGCGAGGGGAGAACTGGGAATCGGAACTTCTGGCGTCCTAATCATGGGCCGGACCTCACCATGTATGGCGCTCTGCTCGGGCGTCTGAGTGCCTTCTTGACCGCGGAAATACTCCTGGAATGCTCTGTCCGTCGAGAGCTGCGCAACCTGATCAACATGTAGCTGAGGCGGCAGATCGCTCACTTTGCTAATGGCCGGCCCACGGCGATGCTGTGCTACCAATGGCTCCAAAGGCATGTGCCGAGTTGAGCAGGTCGACGGCGGACTCGAGTTCTTAAAAGGCGTCTGACGACGACGTGGCTTGCTATCTCCCTGAAACTCGACCGCCGTAGAACCATCTTCTTGTGCGCCACCATAAGTATCTGTGGGCTCCGTAGGCGACTGAGCGGGCTTCTTATCAGCCTTGGAAATCTCAGTGGAGTCGTCATTCGCCGTCCACGATCGCGAGTCTGAGTTCTCCGAGTGGGCACGCGCAACCGCTTTAGAATCCAGTTCGACGGGACAATCCGAGACGCCATAGCACTTGGTCTCAGCATGCGAGGACCCAAACGAGGAGTTTTGGCCATGCTGTCTCGACGACGGACGCGTGTTAATATCCGAGCTTCCCTGGTAAGAGGTGTGCGGGCGAGAATAACTCTCAGTAGAAGACTGGGCCTCCGTTCGCTTCGAGGTCCGAATCTCAAAGTCGCGCGGAGTGTGGTTGATGAAAGTGCCACGCCGGCGCTGCTGGATGCTGCCAATCTCCTCGCCTTGCTGGTCTGGCAAGTCTGGCGCTTGGTTTTCTGCGCTCGCGGTGGCGGGGGGACGGTTTTCCTCCTGCACTGAAACTGTAGACGGCGTCAAGCGTCCTTTCAGAGACCACTCCTTTTTCTTCTTCCTCCCGTCCTTCGTTTTCTTCCCGTTTTCCTCCTCGTTTCGTCCAGCATACTCCATCGCGCTGATTCCTGGATGGCCCATCATGATGATCGGTGAATGTAAGTCGTCAGACACGTCGAGGCTGCTTGCTGTGTTGAAATGCTCGCAGAAAGCTCAGGCACCAGCAAACGGTCCCGCCTGGCGCAACAGCAGCCAGCTTAAAGAAGCAGTAGCTAGGCTGCAGCCTGGCTATTTCGAGCGCGGACCTATGGGCCAAAGCGTGGGCATGCAACAGCGTGCGTGCCGGAGGAACTGCTGGTCTGAGAGCGTGAGCGTGGGCGTGTGGGACCGCCAGCCAGCCGGCCAGTCAGCAGTGCGGTACGTACTTACATGCAGTATATGCACTCGAGAGGTCGCACGTTACACCACGGGAGTGCACCGCGAAGCTGGCAGCCGCGGCTCCAGTACGACGAAGTCTCCCTCCAAAAGAGCAATATCGCCGGTCCAGACGGCGTTGGCAGCGCCGCTGGTAGAAAGAAAGCAGGGAAGGATGGCTTTACTGACCTTTTCTAAGAAGCTTCTGCACTGCTGCTGGTGCTGGTGCTGATGATGTCGCCGTCCGTTATCCGACCCACAACGCGGCGATATGTATCGAGGAACAGATCCGGAGCTGGACCTGACCTGGAGTCGACGTTACAACCCGGCTGGCGAGGTAGCTGCTCCAAGCAATAGCCCGACGGTGCGGTGCGAAAGAAAAATCCTGTCGTGCAACGCGTCGTCTTGCAGTTAGTCCCCTTCGACGGCTTTCGACTCGACTCGCTGTTGCTACGGCGATGTTGCACAGCAGCGCGCTGACAGCGAGTCTCTTCCGTCGTCTTTGGCAGGAGATGGTTTGGGCAGGGCGGTAAATTTCTCGCTTTCTCTGTCTGTTTCACCTTGACTCTGCCGATGGAGTGAAGCCAGGGCGACGAATCTTCATCGGTCATTCATTCACTCTTCCCTTCCCTCGCCCTCCCTCCCCCACTACAAGCCAGCCTCACGCACACAAACGCACGATACGATACGATACGATACCCATGATCGCGCACCCGTCACTATCGTATCGCGCCATGATCTGAGCTGATCTGATCTGGCCCCTGGGGGGAGGAATCGAGAGGAGGGAGGCGTCGAGAGCAAACCTAGCTACGCACGGCAATTGGACCGCTGGAATGTACTGTAGCACCAAAACCAGCGGTGGCACGTCGGCACGCAGGGGTTGTACAACACACTCGTTTCGGGTCGGCGGCAGGGTGCGTGTGCGCGAGGCTGGAAATAGGGTACCTTGTGCAGTGCGGAGTAGAGACAGTTGTGGTGATGTTGGCGAAGAAGATGTGCGTTCTTGATAAATCTTGGGGATGGCTCGAGTGACGGAGTCGACTCGACTCGACGCTCCCTAGATGGAGGAAACAGAAACGCTTCGCTTCAAAGCCGTCCAAGAATCACAGCACAGAAGCGAAGCGAGCAGCACAAGGACGCGTCCCCGTAGCCGTGGACGGAGGACAAGCTGCGTGTCAATGTCACAGATGACGCCAATCGAAAATATCAGCCACCACGCCGCCGAAGGCAAGCGGTGACGAGGCTACCTAACCCCACGAGTTCCCTAATCCTCCATGCCGCATCTAGTAAAAGCATCCGCGGCCATCCGCACGAGATATATTAATACAAAACGCCATGCAAATGCCCGTCGAGCGCTAGCCCACGCACAGCGCACTCCCAAACGCCATTGCCATTGAAACGGCATGCAAGTAGACAATGAAAGGCCTCGTTCATTCCAAACTCACGTTTTCCCCCACGCGTTCCCCTGCGGCCATAGGCCCTAGCCTCTACCCCATTTTCTGCCTCTTGGGCTTAATCAGCGGGTTCGGCGGCTCACGCGGCCTCCTCCTAATCTTGGGCTGCTTCATGCCTCCGACGATATCACCCGGTCGGGGCCCCAAAGCAGAGTCAGATGAAGGTTTCTTGACGCCATCCGCCATACCAACACTCTTACGTGCTGTGTCCGAAGCATTGGCCGGCGTCGACCCATCACTACCGCTTCCATTCAGCGTATTCGAAGCCGCGGCGTCAGAATCCGCATCTTGCATATCGACGTCCACCATTTCGACATCCTCGTTGCTGTCATCACTGCTAAGTTTACGCTTGCCGTTGCTAAGGAACGCTGGTTCTTGCTTGATCTCCTGCTTGATCAGCTTCTTGTAGTCCGAGCCTGATGAGCCTGAGGACTGATTGCTTCCTGTGCGGCTCATAGGCGCAGACTGCGGCTCCTGCTTGATACGTGGACGAGCCGGGACAGCGTACATGCCCGGCGGTGCAGGGAAAGCGCTCGAATGCTTGTTCAGCATCCTAGGAAGATCACCCTCCGTATAGCGATTCCGACGCTTCGCATCTTCGACGAGCTTCCTCCAAAATTCTCCACGGACAAGGGACTGCGAGTTACCAAGAACCCACAATGACGACTTTGCACGCGTCAGGCCGACATTCATACGGCGAATATCCTGCAAGAAACCGATGCCGCCTGCGGGAGAGGCTCGGACGCAGGAGAAGATGATGACTTCACTCTCTCGGCCCTGGAAGGCATCCGTCGTGTTGAACTCGACGTCTTCCGTGATGCGCGGACCGTATTGAGTAGTGAAGCGAGCCTTCAGCTCCCGCAGCTGGCTCTTGTAGGGTGTGATGATGCCGACTTTGCCCTTGAAGTCTTCTTGTGGATAGTCCGAGGTAAGACGACGGTACAGTTGCAGAGCGATGTTGATCTCCGCAATGTTGATGAGCGAGTGACCCTTGGGCGCAGCTTGATGCTGACCCTGCACATCGAAGAATCGGTAGGGGCCCAGGAGCAAACTCTCATGCCAGCGTCGCTTACGAAGAGCTGCCATGTCGCCTCCGTCCAGTAGCCTGCCGTCGTAGAAAGTCTGGCTGGGGAACAAGCTGATTTCCGGATGCATGCGATATTGCGTATCCAGGAGGTGCACATCGTCCGGGTGATTTTTCTGCATGCGGACGAACAAACTCTGCTCGTACTGGAACCGAGCGGCCTCTTTTGAAAAGACGGTCGGAGGCAACTGCTTCGGATCCCCGACGAGGATACATTTTGCGCATCCATACTTTAGAGGAATAAGAGCACTCATTTCCACACACTGCGCAGCCTCGTCGACGATGACCGTTTCGAATTCGATACTGAGACCCTGGAACATATCGTGACCACTACCGCTGAGCGTAGCACAGATGACGTGGGCCTCGCCCAGAATCTGCTCTTGTGCCCGCCGTCGGTTAAGGTCGGCGTTACGGCTAGCAAGCTTCTCATTGTCTTTCGCATTATCAATCTTAGTGCCGAGCAGCGCTTTCTGTCGGCGGAGAGCGTGGAGGTCATCTTGCAGCTTGGCTGCCTCCTGACCTTTAACCTCTCCGGACGCCAATTGATCTTGCGCTTGTCGAACCTGTTCTGATACCGCTTTGTGGTCTTGGAAGAGTTTACGCGTGGCCTCAGCGTCCTTGTCTTTATTAGTACTCACGCCGAGCTTCTTGCTCACAAGCTCTTCCAACGTCACATCTTGGACGTTAGCATTGATTGCGTCGCTGCGGCCTAGACGCACGATATTAATTTTACGTTCCTCGCCACTCGACGTCTTGATGCCATCCTTGAAACGCATGACCAACTCGTCAACGGCGGCGTTACTAGGAGCACAAACGAGCAACTTCTTCGGGGCGTTATCGGAACGAGATTGGCCTGAGACTGAAATGGTTGTACCACGATGTCGGAGGCTATCCGATAGGATGGCACCCACGATAGCCACGATTGTTTTTGTCTTTCCCGAACCGGGTGGACTACAAATATGTCAGCAAATGCTATTGGCAGGGCGCAGAGAGAACATACCCTTGAATCAGCGTGAAAGCATCGTTGTCAATCGCTGATTTGACCGCCTTCGCCTGCGCCTTGTTGAGCTTATAGTTTGAAACAAGTGGGTCGATCTGGCTGTCCCTGTAGGTCAAAAGCGGTGATGGCTTCGCTCGGCAGATTTCATCGCAGAGGTCGTAGTATTGCAGTCCCAGAAGGGCACCATATTCACGCTCTAGTGGCGTAATAGACTGGATCTTGGTCCCGAAGACCGCGCCATGCGGTACCAGAGCAGACTGTAATAGATTTCCCGGCATAACGCGGTAGGAGACTTCGATATGAGCCTGCTTGCGCTGCACACGAAACACCCTAGCGAGACAATGCGGATCCTGACCTGACGGGTGCTTCGATTTTGACAGTAGTACGATATCACCCTCGGAGATATTCAAATCTCGGTTTTCGTTGTGAGTCATGGTACTGCTAACTTCTTGGAAGGCATCCACACTCGCTCGCGACACGATCTTGATCTCATAGGGTTTCGCCTGGTTCTCTTCTCGGGCCTTGACGAAGCCTTGCCAGGCTTCGAGTGTGAGCAGGGGCTCGAACGTTGACTGATAATCATTCGGGGTTCGGAAGGTGTTCGGGACCGCTGTATAGATGTCTGTCCTCGACTTGGGCGGGAAATCACCCTCGTGGAAATAGTCCCACCCAAGGATGACCTTATGAAGGGGAGACAGATCAGGAGCGAGACGTGCACGCATGTCCTTGATGGACCGCTGCACCCTTCGCTTCTTCACCGGCATTTGAACCTTGACCTCATTGATGATATTGGTCTTCGGTCCTGTCTTGACCTTGTTCTTCTTGATGCCGAAGAGGTCCTCGTCAAAGTCACCCTCATCGTCGGACTCATCGGAAGAATGCATGAGGCCCTCGCCCTTCGGAGCCTGGTCCTTGCCCAAGACGCCCAGGCCCTCTAATCCAGACCCTGCTTCAGCGGTAGCGGCTGAGAGACCCCTGGCTTGCTTCGCCTTGGCAATAGCAACCGCTCGCTCCTGTTTCTGCTTCTCAATCTCAAGCTGCCGTTTCCTCTTGAATTCTGCTTGGGCGGCGTTCTTCTGTTCGTCCGCCTGTGCCTGCTTCGTAGCTTTGGCTTCTCTGGCCTTCAGGGCTTCCCGCTTCTCAGCAAAAGCAGCCTGCCCAGGAGTGAGCATTGCCATAAGCTTGGCACGTGCATCTGATTCCTTTGTTGTGCTCGTGCTTGTGGACATCCACTTGCTCAAAGAGACCTGCTTTTGTTCTTTGACGGGTTCTTCTTCTTTGAGAAGAGCGCGACCAAGATGGGTCTCTAGAGCTCGTTGCAGCTCGGCCTGCTGCTGCATGCTGAGCTTAGCCCGAATCTTGTTCGTGAGCACATCCTCCATATACTGGAGTGTCTCCGCGTCAATTTCGATAGACACATCATGCAGACGGACAAGGAGTTTGCTAATGAGCGTGACGGACTTGCTGGACAGGAACTCGTCTCGGAGGCGTAGCCATTTCTTCACTTCCGCCATAGAACTCGCTGGGAGCTCCAGAAGCTCTTTGAGGAGCCTGTTTCGGCCTGCCTTGTCGTTATCATCCGTCAGAGAGCTCCTCAACGCGCTAGCAAAGATACTGCATTGATCGAATAGTTGGTCGGCGAACTGCATAGTGTCTCGGCAGAAATTCATCATCATAGTCTTCTCATAGAAGCCTAAATTGCTCCAGGCTTCTGTAGTCGCGAAGATCATGGTGAGAGTATCCCACAAATTCTTCCAGAAATTCATTGTGACCCCAGCCTCTCCGGAAGCGATATCTCGAGAGCGGAGTATACCATCCTGGGAGTTGCACATCACGTCAATGATGTCTGAGCATGTCCTGATCAGGGCAGGCGCAGGAGCAAACGCTCTCTTGCGCATAACTTGACGACAAGAGTCTGAGATGCCCTGAAGGACGTTCTTGTAGTGTGCTCGGAAAATGTGCTGCAATGCGTCTCGGCGTTCGTCTTGAGCGGTGATGACCTTAAGTAATTCGATAGAGGCGCTTCGTGTATCCTCTGTGGATGAGAAGAGTGAAGACACAACAGCACTGGCGGCAGGAAGCTGCTCGAATAAGGCATTGAGCTTTGCCGGATCAAACTCTGCCAGCCGGACAATGACGTCGGTTATCGACTGCGATAGAAGGGTGAATCGATTATTGAAATGCCGAACTGTCGGAGGCACTTTGTCAACACCAGCCTTCATAGACAATGGCTCCAGACCGATCAGGTTCCTTCCAGCGATAAGGAGATGTGTGGCGAGGTCGATATTTTCGGCATCGATAGCTTTGAGGATGGTCTTCCATATCGGGCTGGACGGCGGCGTCTCAGTAGGCGAAGGCTTTTGTGCGGATATCAATTGCCTTTCGACGAGGAGCGATTGCGACTCAAGCTGGAAGGCATGCTGAATCATCGACAGAGCAAGGCGCAAGTCTTCTTGGTCGGGCATATCCCGCAAGCGCTTCAGGCTGGTCACAATGAGCTCAATGTGTGTTGACATTATTTCCAGCATTCCGTTGACAGTCGGCTGACCCACGAAGTTTGCTGAGGTCTTGCCTTCGCACATCCTCCGGAAAGCGTGGTCTAGCACCCGCAAACCCTCTTTAAAACAATACGCTCTTGACGCCCGCGAAAAGCGGTCGGATTGAAAGCGCCCCAAAAGCGCATTAGCGAACGCTCGGACGGCTGGCGTGAGATTTGCGGGCTTGATGGAGGAGATGAACGGGGTGATCCAGCTGAATGCTTCGTTGAGATTACTCATATCTTCTTCACTCTCTTCCGTAGCTGCAAGCAGGAGTTGTTTGAGGACGGGGCTGTTGAACACTTGCTCTACTATGGTGGCTGTGGACGGTGTAATGGCATCCATTGCGTCCCAAAAGTCGGTCGAGGATTTCTCGAGAAGCATCTTCATGGTAGCGATGAGATCGAGGAAGCCTTCTGAGTTGAGTGAAAGGTGATCTAGGAGGAGCCGGTAAAAGTCTCCTTCAAGACCCCGGACCGAGTTAGTGATGAGCTCCTTGTCAAGCTTATTGACGATGAGCCTCACTCCGCTCCAGTATGTGGCGACAAAGGGAAGATCGAGGTTGCTCATCTGCACCCTCATCATTGCATCCACCAGGTGATCCCTCACCGCCCAATCGAACTCCGATTGGAGGATGTTTCTCTTGGATGTGGACCACGAAACGGCGGCCCAATTTTGGCGATGCTCGTTCTTGCAAAAGAGGAATTGGGTCATGGCGGGAAGAAATGTCTGCAGCTTCAGGCGCTTCTTCGTCTGCACAAGCTGGAAGGGGGAGTCAAAGTGCTGCTGGAGGAGCTCTTCATTGCGTATTAGGGCGTCACAGCTCAGCGCTTCGAAGAAGGCATAGGTCGCTTCATTGGGGATAAGTCGCACGGTGCGTTGCTTTGGATCGGCATCGCGGAGCACAGCATTCGCTTCGTCCAGCCCTCGCTGGATGCGTTTCAGGGAGTGGCCGTCGACGCCACGCAAGAATTCGAGCACCATGTCCTCGTCGAATGCCCTGGTCTTGTCAGCGGGAATTTTGTGTAGCGATAGACTCCACGCACTCTACCAGTCTATTCTTCCACTCAGCCCTGGACTGGTGGAAAACCCTGACGCAGACATCGCACGACATCATGAGCGCATCCAGGCGTGGCAGCAGCCAGTCCTTGTGTGGTTTCGCATCGTCTCCGTCATATGCCAGTATCTGCAGGGCCTCGAGCGCGACCCATTTCCGCTCCTCGGCCTCCTTTATCTTCTGCCGGCGTTGTCGCTCCGAGGCGGGGTCGTTCTGCGGTTCGAGGTTCGCGATGTCTTCGTCGAAGTAGACGGATCCATCATCGTTTCCGATGCGCGGGCAAAACAGGTGCTGTTCGGCAGGGAGGGTTTTGAGTTGACTACGCGGGATACGCGGTTAAAGAGCTGTAAGCTTATAGCAAGGGCATTGACTTACTTGATGCGCTCAAGGATTTCGGCCATGATGTCCGACAGACAGCCGCCAGCCCTTCTCCCACAATTACTGGCAGCCTCTGGGCATCGCCCGCGCGGGGTGATTCAGAGCAAGCAGAGCAGTGGATTGAGTCACGATTATCTACGAGCGATTCTATCTACTGCCGCGAAGGGCCGAGAAAGATGCGCTGTGAGCCTGCCGCAGGAGTTCCAAAGAACGAGTGACGGTGAAGGCAGGTGCGACGGCTCTGCTGAATGGAGGGACACTCCGCTCCCGCAGGACCTTTGACGGCGAAGGTCGGAGTGGAGTTTGTGTGTTCTGTTGAGCGGACGCAGCAGTGGGAAGTTGTAGTGAGGTGCCCGGGCCTTTTTCAAAGAAAGGACCCGCAGACGCGACGCGGGCGGCGCGGAATCAGCTGTGGCTCGTGCCCCACTAATTGGCTGGGACGATCGCCAAGCTCCCGTTTCTATTACCCCTTCTGCGGCGACCATCTGTCCAAGTTGAAATATATGTCTATTACAAAATCACATCACTGACAGGCAGTCACATGCACAGATCGGCCGCTCAAGTGAAAGTAACCAACGCTCATTTGCCAGCCGGCCAAAGACCAGCCTCTCGTCATTATGTATCTACACAGACCATCTCATCAGCAGCGACAGCAGCTGTTGTATCTCCTCCAATCCGGCCGTTTCGATGCCACGCCAACGACCGTGTCCAAAGCAAGCGAGAAGAGGTAATGCGACAAAGTAAAGAAAAACAACGTGGCAGAATAGTCGGAGTCGGCGGGGCTCCCAAACGCATACGCCCAGGCGCCGGTGTCCCTAAGAGGGACGCTCTATCCGACTGGCTGCTCGCAAACATCGACAGCAAGCACAGGAGGGAATAATGCTCGGAAATCTATCAAAGCGTGCGATGACCTAACTAACGCCAGCCCATGATGTAACAGTACGAATGGCAAACACTGAGGAGATGATTTTGTGCATGGACAGTCAGATCCGCGGTCCCGACGGGCGTGAATATATACAGGTCGTGATCAAAAGAATGTGCAAAGGTATTATGTCCGAAGTCGTTACCACCGCCCATCGGGCTTACCGCCGCGGACTCCTCGGAGGACTTCGACGAGGATCTGTTAAGGTGCTTGTTGGAGGACCTGGGACAGGCGGGTGTTCAGAATCAGCCAGGTCCGGCGCTTCTTCTCGGGTTACCGTTGGTCTCCGGAAAGCGTTTCGTAGACGGCTGGCAATGTAACCGCCCGTCTGCGGTTGGGCGCCGACGCTGTTGCGGCTGTGGGACGACTCTAAGCGCGTTAACATCGCCGCCGATGTAAAGTCATTGCTGGCTTCGAAACTGGGTCTGACACGATCCATGGACATCCTAGCTCGATCGAAAGACGGCCGCGGCCGATCCATGGACATGCGATGCGACGGAATGGCTTCTAGAGACCTGCGGAGGGTGTAGTCCGTGCTGTTGCTCCCGTTTTGACTCCTTGGGTTGTGAGTGGTGGCGGTTGGAGCAACAGATGGTGGGTAGATTGGACGCACGTCCTCGTCGCCCTCTTTAGCCTTGGCGGTTTTATACTTGGAAGCGTCCGACGATACTTTCGACATTCCCTTCTCGGGTGGTGGAGGGAGGTAAGCTTCCGTTTCCTGCAGGTAATCGAACTTGCCCTCCCTAACTTGTTCACGGATGATGTCCACGTCCAGAGGGAAGTACATCTTCTGGATGGCCTTGATGGTGAACCTCGGAAGTAGACAAGCGATCGTCGCCAACAGCAGGACAGCCCAGAAAGTCAACGATCCGTAGACCTCGGCAGCGCCCTTGTAGAACTGTGCGCTTGAGGTAAACGATGTGTAGACGCCTGTCCAGAACCAAATGAAGATTGTGCTGATGATGACGACAACGACTATTAGCCAGTCCCACCGGAAGGTGTTGAAAAGTACGTAGAAGTTGGCTGCGCAGACGGCGATGGTGGCGACGAAGATGCCCATTCGCTTCAACTCCGCTATGTCCAGTCCATTCGGCGTAGCGAATGTGCCAGGCGAGAAGATGAGGTAGACAAAGAAGAACGCAATAGCGGACTGGTAGACACCATCAAGCATGTACAACCTGCTCTTGTTAAAAGGGGCACATGGTAAATGAATTGGAGCTCAGAGACGTACCAGAACTTGGGCTGAGTCCACTCCTTCCGCTCAATGCCTCTGGTATACAACTGAGGAACGGCCAAGGAGACCTTGTCGTCGACGTCTTGGTCCAATACACCCATCAGAATGACGGGTAACGAGGTGAAGGCCAGATTGAACCAGACAATATAGCTATAATCGAAGATATACTGGCTGTCATAGTTGGTATAGATCTGGTACCAGAAAAGCCCAAACGTCCAGACAATGTTCTAACGCAGCAAGTTAGCAAGAGAATTTCTCCCTAAGTAGAACGGACTAACCTTGTAGAAGAAGTTTGCAATGGTCTCCGCGAGCCTGCGATAGGACCATCTGCCATGGACGAGCACAAGGCGTGTGAGAAATCGGAATTGACCAATCGCATAGTCGGAAGACATTGCGGCGGCACGACCCTCGAGACCTGCAATACCAACTCCGACGTGGGCTTCCTGGATCATGGCAACGTCATTGGCACCGTCCCCGATAGCAAGCGTTAGGCAATCCAATCCTGTCTTTACCATGTTCACGACCGATGCTTTCTGGGCAGGGCTCACTCTGCAACAAAGGACCGATCGGCACTGCTTGCAGAGCAAAAGGAACTTCCGCCTGAGCGAGTCGTCCAAGCAAAGCTTCAATGTGTCTCCGTCAATGACGATGGCATGGGTGGGCGGAGGGGGTTCGTGGTCGTCTTGGGCCGCTTTGAGCTCTTCTTCAGATCCTGTCATTCCGAAAATCGCAAGTTTCTCATCAAGCAAAGTCTCAGCCGTTGCTAGACTCTCGTCATCGACTTTGAATATGATGAGGTCCATGTCGTTGTCGAGCAGGTTACAAGAGAAGCCGATATTGATGGCGGTCTCCACCTTGTCTCCCGTCAAGACCCAGAGTTTGATACCAGCTTTGCCGAGAAGGGAAATGGAGTCAGGGACACCGTCTTGCAGTCTGTCTTCGATAGCGGTACCACCCAGGAGCCACAGCTGATTCTCAATGCGATCGGAGACTTCTTCGAGCTTCTCCTCACGGCCCGCAACAGCATTGGCAGCAATGTCGTAGTCCTTGTTCCATTCCTGGTATTCCTCCTCCGAGATCTCTTTTTGAGCAATGCAAAGGGTTCGTAGGCCTTCTCGGGCAAACATCTCGAGGTGCTCTCCGGTCGTGGCGCGTAGTTCCCGTTGCTCGCCTGGGATCAACCTCGAGTAAATCATGCTATCGGCTCCCTTGCAGAAAAGGACGATTTTTCCGTCCGGCATTCTTATGATTGCGCTCATGCGCTTTCGCGTGGAATTGAACTCAAGGGTGTTTAGCACGGTATATCTGCGTTCTTCGCCCAAGACGTTAATGATTAGGCGGTCATCGTCTCGGCCAACGAAGGTGAAGCCCACGTCGCGTGCTGTGGCTACCAGTGCAGCCTCGTCGGGAGACTGTGCCTTGAACTCGATCCTGGGTGGGTCTCCAGGCGTCCTCTCTGTAACAACGGTGTGGCACAGAGCGAGAGCTAGCATGAACCGCTCATTGGCAATCTTTTGCTCACGCCCGGAATCTCCAGCTAGGTCTTCGATGAAGTCGGGAGCAACAAAGGTCAAGTCGTCGTCCCAGAGGTACGGGTTGTCGTGTATCTTCCTAATGCGTTCAATCATGCGTGCGCGGTCGCGGGCGATTTGTTCCCGGGCGCGAGCGCCTTCAACCTCTGTATCGATGCCCTGTCTTCGCTGCATACCGGCTTGAGCCTCCGTATACGCCTCTCCATACGGGACGCCGTTTACCGTGCATTTCTTGAACTCCATTACGTTCTGGGTCAGAGTTCCCGTCTTGTCAGAGAAGATGTACTCAATCTGTCCGACGTCATCGGAAATGTTCCAGGATTTTGGGGTGCAGGGATAGTCGATAGCCTCGTAGTACATCAGAACGTCGCTGTAGATGAAGATTGCTTGCAGCGTTCGGATGATTTCCAGAGTGATGTACAGTGAAATGGGCACCAAATTCTGGAACAGGATGATACCGGCCCAGAATGCGATAACGCCATCAAGAGCGGGGTTGCCGTTGCCGTAGGAGCCAAATTCGAAGAGCGAGTGTGAGGTGTCATCCTTGCCCCAATATGTTCCCAGAACAATGCCGGAGATGAGGCACATGAGCGCAAGAATAATGAAGTTGTAGACGACATTCCAATTCAGGTCTTTGCTTATTTTGGCGCGCTTGCTCGGGGTGATGCCGGAATTGAGCATGATCTTGGACTCTTCACCCGTAAAAACGACGACGCCTAGCACCCACTCCGTATTTCGCAATTGACATCCGCGTAGAAGGAGGTTGTTGATCGAAACTGGTTCAACCATCTCATAGGACGCCGCGTTTGGATCTTTCCCGTCGTGTTGGTTCCACCGTATGGCGGCGCTGTACGAATAGAGGTTCGAATGTGGCCCTTCGCTTTCGATCCAGAATTCGGCACGTTCGCAGTGCCGCGCATGCCTGACGCCGCGTGTGCAGTGTAGGGCATTGCGCACTTTAAGATTAGTCTCCCCGTCCAGGTTCTTGGTCTCAACGTAGCATGCGCCATCATCGGACGAGGTGGAAAGCACCACAACGTCAGCTGGAACCTCCTCATCGTTGTACAACCGGAGAAAGTCGCCCACCTGCACGTTCTTCCATGCGTCTTTCTTGAATCGCGCCTTCTCCGGCGTGGTCTTGTACGGGTCCATCACACTGCCCCAGAATTTGGTGGGAATGACCGGACCGCCGCCCCGCACCTTGTCGCCTTCTTTGACATGAGAGTGCCCTCCAAGATTTACAGCATCGGTGGGTAGCGGGGATTGCGCAGGGGACTGACCTGGTAGGGGCGAAGGTACTGGAGTCATTTGGATACCTTCCTCGCCGCGGTGATCCGATTCGGCCGAAAAGTAAGAGGTTCTGTGGGAGAGAACCGACGCCCTTCTCGTGTCGATGGACGGTCTTGATTCGTCTGTGTCCCGCCCTCTGTGGCCCTCTTTGCCTTTGCCAGACTTCTTGTGTTTCCGCAGACGCCAGACCCAGACAATACCTCGGGTGGTTGCCTTCTTTACACGTCGCCACCAAGACACGGTATCCTCGGCAGTGTTCACGTTGCTGAAGTCAACCAGCCTGTGGACGGGGGCGTTGTTCAGCTCATTGTCTAGCACGGTTCTCCTCCAGTCTTCGATCGCATCCTTGACGGCGGTGACGCACAAAATCACGATCAGAGGGACGGCGTTAAGCGCGGGGTTGGACGCTCCAAAGATGGAGAATATCTACATAGCATGGGCATTAGCGTAAGAGACGAATCGCGCCAGGGAATGTGTACATACGCCGAGGATAATGATGAACAGAAAGTACACATTTGCGATGTTGTGGAACTGGAACCACAGGTTCTTTGGTATAAAGCTGAGCGGGGTGTACTTGGCCGTTCTTATCTTGTTTCGCGCGTAGTGGGCTTTGGGGTGTCCCTCCTCGTCGCGTTCGTGGGCAGGGAGCGGGATGTTGAAGTAGATTGTTCGGCCGGAATCCTGTTCCTCGCTGTCTGTCGATGAGCTCTCTACATCGCCATTTTCCAGCGGGCCTCCTTCTTTCCCTAATGAGTCCCTCTTCTTCTCGCCGGCGCCGGACCCCATCCGCCTGTGCAGGCGCTCCTTCAGCGACTGCCGCTTCGTGTCCGCCTTGATGCCCGTTGCGCGGTGCGTAGCCCACCGTATCCGCTTCACGGGGTTCGTGACCTCACGGTCTTCCTGTGCCGACGGTGCAGCCATTGTCGCGCGGGCTCGCAGCAGGGCGGAGGGCTGGGGTTGTTGCTGGGCTCGCTGAGTGTCCGGCCTGAGCCGGGAAGGCCTCTACGTCGCGCGGTGGGCCAATTCGCCGCACTATCGGATATGACGACACGGGGACGACGGTTCTGGGGGGTGCCGATGCTGAGGTAGGAGCTGTTTCGAAGGGGGTTGAGGCTGGATGGGCGATGGATTCTCGGCTAAGCTGGATATTATGAAGCCCGAGATGCGAGCGAGCGGCGTTTCGTAGGAGCGAGCGCGACGGGTGGTTGAGTGCGACAGCGCTGTGTGTCGCGGGCGAGTGCTAGTCCATGGGCGCAGGAGAGGAGGAGGAGAGGTGAGGCGCGGCGGAACCGGCGGAGGTGTGCTTTTCTTCGTTCTCGATGATGCTGCTTATTGCTGACCGAGCACGGCCGGGGCGGCGCCGTTGTCAAGGGCTTGGGGACAGAACAGCAACTCGGCGGAAATTAGCGTCAGTCTCGGCGTGTTCGGTAGCCCGGACGATCCGCAGCCGCCGCGCTGGAGCAGATTCGGGAGCAAAAAGACGCGGTTTTATCGGGTTTAGTCACTGAGAGTCAGAGAGTGCACAGGAGGACGCGCTGCGTGGCCAGATACGGCCGGGTCCTTTATTATCGCTACGGGTCTTGGGCTCGCTCGCTCGCGGAGGCTTGGACAATCCTCCCACTCCTCCCTGCCAGACCGCGTTACGAGCCCATCAGACGGGTGGGCGCAGCACGCTCGCAGCCTTACGTGCTTCACCTGACGGCGTCTATCTATAAATGTGTCTTTGCCGCAGCGCAGCACCACGCGCCCTTCTAAGCAAATGGACCGCCGTTTATTCCCCGGCTTGCGAGTACGCCTACCTACTGTGTCCTCGCGCTTGCTGTGGCACGCTAAGGCTGCATGTCACCCGGGCGACTGTTGGCTCCGTTGACAGCCCTTCTGGTCCGTAAAGCTGTCCGTTCCTGTCGCAAGGCAGGACGCAGAGTCAGACGCAGAGAACCGAGAGCGGTGCGACGTTTTGACGGTTTCATGGCGTTCTTGACTGCGACAGACACGGGCGTCTAGCCATCAACTTGACCTCTGGCCCCGAACCGCAACGGGATAGATTAAAAGTCCGGTGCTATGCTCGCAGGATGAGGGAATCTCGCATAAATCAACCCGGAAGCGCGCAGGGATGCAGCTTGGTATTTGCAATGCGAAACGTTGAAACATTCTGAACCGGCCAGCACGTACCCTCGGTGCGGTGCATGTTGTTCGTGTACGTGAGGCTGCGATTACGTGGCGAACGCGAGGAAACGAAGGAGGCGACGTCGCCAGCAGTGGGGAGATGACACACGCGGGTATCCCGGCGTAAGAATGGCAATCTGCTTCGTACACCGGATGCGAGAGTGTTCGCGCCGGAGAGTCGGTCCCTCGATTGATGGCCAAGACAATTCACGTGAGAGACGCGTTAGCGCGTCGCAGTTCGTGCCGTTCCGCCTCCGATGCGGTCGCACATTTCATGCTTTGCGCCAAGCATCGTGAACGACGACGCTCTATCTTTATTGCTCTGTCGAGGCGGCCATGCCCCCGCAGAAGAGGAGCATCCGGGACTTCTTTGCGCCCGCTCCGAAGCCCTCGCAGCCGAACCACAGCTCCACACCTAGATCAACAGGTACGCCGTTTTCTCCATCAAGCAGCTTACCCCACGTCATCAGACTGACTAGCCCTAGAGCCCGCGAAATCGGCCACTCCCACCCTCTACACCTCCCATACGATCCGCGTGAATAGGACTCCTCCAACGACTAGCCCAGAGCCTCGGCCACCCAGCACATCGCAGTCGTCAGCGAACTCGGCAGGTACAAGCAAGAGGGTCGTCTCCAATGGGGAAGAAGTGGTTCGGAATTCGGATTCCGAAACCGATTCGCTGCCTGAGCTGGACTGGGGCGATTCCTCCAACAACCTCAAAACAACCAGTCGGGCTACCATGGCTAAGCCAAGGGAACGGACCGCACAGGATGGCCTGCGCAAACCGCCCAAGAAACCCAGGGATGGAAAGTCGTTCAGCCTCTTCGTGCAGGCAGCACAGAAGAGTGCCGAGGCGGAACGAAAGATAGCAGAGGTGAAAGCTGATCTCGACAAGCCGTTAGAGACGACACCGCCGCCAGATTTCGGTATCAGCGAAGAGGCACTGGCTGATGCTGTGCATGACGATGACGATCCCGACAAAGCGAAGCGGCTGTATCTTGCTATGCAAAGGACCAATGCCCTGCAGATGGATTGCGTTTTTCATTTCTTTCGCGAGAATTTGGAGGATTCGGAGGGCAGCCATGCCAAAGAAGCAACTTTCCCCACGGACAAGCTGCCGAAGCATCGCTGGACCACGAGTTTTGCAGGTCAGCATCCCTATTCCTCCTGCGAACTGTAACGCTAACGCACAGAAGCTCAGCCGGCCAGAGATCAGGCATTCTTGACTGGCTTTGCTCAGCAGGTCTTTCGATACCAGCAATTGCCGGAAGAGCTGGCATCCTGGATGATCGATCAAAGTACGCCATACCCGCGTCTCCTTCGGGCCCCCGCTAACCCATTCTGACAGTCTGTATTGGTCGAAGCGACGCACTCAATGCCAAATACATACAGCTTCTCGCCGTAAGCTTGGCTGACCCCTCTTAGAGTCATGACATCTAATAGCCACAGGCTCACGATGACTACCTTAAGCATCTCCTCGATATATCGAGGCTAGATAACATCTTCAGGTCCATCGGCGCCAACCAGCAACTAAATTCCGACCTCCCGGTTACTCCCTCATATGTGCCTCATCCGGGTAAGCCAAGACTCGCCAATGTTTATAAGCGTGCTAATAGTATTAGCGAAAAGAAGACCATTGCCAGATTCCCTGAAGTCAGTGGCCAGGCTTCTGCAGGCGGCTGCTCCAAGGTATGCTCCGAAGTGCATTGGTTGAAGCATACCTAATTCATGTGAATAGGCTGCTGACGACAAGACATGCGCTCTACGTATTGTTTCTTCTTTGTATGGATAATAGTGTAGCAGCTGATCTCGACACTCTACATGCTGTTCAAGATGCTATAGAAGCAATCATGTGTAACATACCCGAGAAAAATCCTCTCAAGCCCGTGGTAAGAATACCCGCGCTGCATTGCCTTTTTCATCTAACCTACTTATAGTTAGAGGGCGTTGTTCCAAGGCTTCTCGCGCGCATTACCCATCCTATTCTACAAAAGAATCTCGTCTGGTCACTTCCGTCAAAGTCTCCGTTGACGGCATACTTCCAGCGGCATCTGGCACTGGCATTCCTCCTACATCCGATGTCACTTGACGTCCCTCTCTCGAGCCCAAAGCTCACGCAGCTCATCCATTCATATCTCCAGGACTCGCCCGATTTCCACATCACAAAGGAGACCGATTACATGTCTCTCGCAGCTCGCCTCGCGCTGCTCGACATCGCCATAGGTCCAGGCCCTGGGACAGTGCCTCATCAGCCGCTGATCAGTCCACCGACTTCTCAAGAAGGCTCTTCACAAGTAACGCCACCAGAACCACCTCCCTCTGATGTGAAGGCTTTCAACAAGGAGGTCGATGCGCTCGCACAGCACATCAAACTGCTCAGTAACTCGATCCATGAATCCGGCGCGTTGAGCGACCTGACAAGGCTGGATGCGAAGGACTGCAGTGAGAGGCTATACCACCGACTGGAGAATGCCGTGAGGATAGGCGGGAAGAAGGTCAAAGATCCATTTGGAGATGAGAACGCGTCGGAACAGGGCAAGAAAATCTTCGCGAATTGGTTGACGAAGAGTCAAAGCGGGACTCAGACGCCCGTCCTCAATGGTGGGGCTAACGAAGTGGACGCTGAAGAGGGTGGGGAAGATCTGATGGAGAATTAAAGCTCATCATTGGACTATAGCAATGCATATGTGTTGAGAACCAGTCATACAATGTATAATACCTACTGTACTCAGCGAACAAGACTCGTTCAAGACTCCACGACGATGTCCACTCCATCCCAATAACGATGTTGAAGCGCACCAGGGATCCCCCCTTTCCCAAGCCCCCTACCTAGTCGAAACCCAAGACCTCCCAACCCGAAACCCTGGCTCCCTTCCCTCGCATTAAACCCTCTTAAGACGCGTCAACCCTCAATGCCAAGCAGGGTCGTCTCGCAGCCAGCCCCACAACGCAATTCAATTTCTCGTTCAGGGGGATCGTCAGGAACGCGGTGCGGATGATTGGAGGGTGAAACGTCGCTGCGCTGCCGCACTTGTGGATGCCTGCTTTCGGAATGGGTAAAATGGAAATGAGCTGGACTACTGCGTATGTAGGGGACGTGGGGCGCACACAGTAGCTATTGCAATCTGCTAATGTGGAAGTGTGTGAGTTTCGCCACCGGCAACATACAGTAACTAGCTGCTGATGATGATGAAGACCCTGCATCCGCCCTCCAAGTCCGCGTATTCGGGCTTTAATAACCCCATTATTCCCATCCCATCCAATCACCCCCGAGCTCCTCCGCTCCTGCGCTAACGCACTCCCCAGCTTGCAACAACAACACCAGCAACACCAGCTACAGTACATACATCCATATTGCACCCTGCATAAGCGCGCGTGCGTGCGTGCGTCGAGCGAGCGACAAGCAGCTCGGGAATTGAGAACCTTGGAAAAAGGCAGCCCCACGTGCGCTGAGCTGCGCTGCGCTGCTGGATAATCTTACGGCCGGCCGAGGCGCGCGAGGCTGCACTGCTTATCTTCGATAGTGTTGCGACATGACTCGCTCTGCATATGCAGGTGGCTGCATGGTGTGGGCGGTGAGAGAGAGAGAAGGGACGCTTGCCGGTATCGGGCAGGGGCACGGGGGCCGAGACTGTTGTTACTCGGGGTTGTGTGATGTGCCGGGGCCGAGAAGTTGAGCGGGCGGCATGTGAGTCGTTTGTTTGTACTGTACTGTGTATGGGAGGAAGAGGGCGGATAGGATAGGATAGGACAACGTTTTGTACAACGGCGTCGAATAATGGTTTTCTACTTCTGCCAAAAGAGGTTCGAGAGTCAAACAGGCGATGCGTGGTATTCTCCTCTAAGAATGGCAAGAACGCTAATGCAGCAACGAAGGAAGAAAATACAGAAAGAAGTAAAAACGCACGTTCGAGGATGGCATCAGCGCCGCTGACTTCCTTGCTCCTCCATTACCGCTGCATCATCACCACTCACGAGTCGAGACGCAGGGAAAGAAAGAGGCATTGCGATAGAAAAGAATACATTGGCCTGGCTTCCATCCTCTTTCAAAACCCCGCTTTATCCTCCTCTTGCTTCTCTGCCCTCTTTTCCTGAAAACACAATGCACCTCCAAACACCCCTCTACATCCCGCCCAAACCGAGCTTCTCGTCGATGTGCCTGTACCTCTCCTGCTCCTGCCTGTACTGGAGCACCATGGCGACGCAAAGGAGGACGAGCATGTCTACGCCGACAATGCCAAAGGCCGCTGTGAAGATCTGGTCGAGATACGTGTTCGCGAAGGTTGAGAACGGGGCAATGCACCCACCCTTTTGAGCAGCAACAAGCGAGCTGAGGCAGGTGCTGTCCATGACGAAGGGCGGCGAGGTCGAGTTAAAGTATCCGCAGCAGTTGAACTAGGAAGTGTCAGCACTGTCTTTGGGATAGCACCTGCCGTCGGCTCGGGTGAAGCGGAGGATGCGGCATGACCCTCCTCACGTGCTCGGCTCCAAATATATGCGTACCTTTTGCTGCAGCAGGCTCTGCATCAGCGGCGCTTCCTTGGCCCACAGGCTGCCCAAGTCAGAGCGGGTTTGCAGCGTCTCTATCCACACCGAAAGACCCAGGCCAAGCGTAAAGGTTGCGCAGATGACAACCAACCAGCCCTGTGCACGAAGCCATCCTCGGTTCATTGGCAGAAAGAGCGCAGGGAGGGACAGCAGGAAGGTAACGAAGATGAAGATGGCGTTGACCACACCGGCTGCAGACCCGTTAGTGCATTTGCTCGAGGTCTTCGCTCAACTCCGCGTGGTACAATGCGCGCCACAGTAGCGCCGCAAATATCGGTGGTCCGTCTCTTGTCCTTGGACTCGGGGTCGTACCTGTCAACGGACACTTGCCCAGCAGCAAGTTCTCCGCAACGTTGTTAACGGTCGGGCTGTCCCGCAGGCGCTGCTCGGACATGAGCGAGAAGCCCAGCAGCAGTCCTCCACATCCAGCAAAGACGAAGTCCATCCCCACGAAGATCATCATCAACTTGGTCGGCATGGCGGCGGCGGTGGTGCTCCGTCCTGGGAGGTTATCGTGGTCTGGTCAGTTCGAAATGAGCGGCCACTGGCAGAACGCAAGCAGGAGCCTGTGGCTCGGAGAGAATGAATGGCAGTCGAGTGCAGCAGAGCCGTCCGGCGAGCTCGCGCAGAACGACGATTAATGCAGAATACGAATATTAGATACAGAGAAGCGAAGAGGAGGGAAGGAGAGGAGCGGCAGGAGAGCGAGAGTGCATGGGGATACGGCGGCGGGTGACTCGAGCATTAAGAGGCTCGCAGAGGGCGCGTCGCAGTTGGGCGAGGCGAGGCGTGGACCGTTTCAGCAGCGTAGCAGCGGGCGCGGCGACGAATCACAGGCGCGGACGGGGCTGTGGTTCGATTGTTTCCACGTTGCGACGGTCCGCGCAACACGGCAGGCCATTGTTCAAACGGCTCTTGCTGGGAGTGCGTGTACACAGTCCGTAGGTACCGGCGATGCGAGCAACGGCGGCATCGTGAGGCGCCGGCCGCTGCGAGGCGTGGTGTTGAGCACGTTGCGGTGAGGGTTGGTGGCGTCGGCTGCTGCAGGCGGGTCCGAGGCGATGCCGGAGAGAGCAGGCGGCAAGGGCGCCTTTCCTCTTAGCGGCGCGCTGACCTCAGCAGCTAGCCGGGTGTCGCGCGCGCCATTGGCCGGCAGCGGGGGCCCGTGCGCGCTAGTGGCTGCAGCCGGGCTGGGGAAAGCGCGCTGCTTAGAGCAGCCTGACAGGAGCGCGATATTGCCTCTTTGAGAGGCAGAGCATCACAACCACGGCGCGCGCTGCTGTCGGCGGCGGCAGCACTCCAGCGACGCGGCGCGCAGAGCAGCGGGCGTGCCACAGCGCACCGCGCAGCATCCGCGGGCACTGTAGAGAGCGCGGCGGCCGGCGCGCGCCCGATCAGCGATTCAGCGAAGCCAGGGTGGTGAGCTCACGTCCCCAAGCGCAGCCAACCGCACTCCCGCCCCCGGCAGGCCGTCCAGTGTCGAGCACCAAAGCAGCTGCAAAAATACCAGCCCTCCGCCCGTTTCACTTTCCCCAATCTCTCCATCGCTTTCCCTCTCTGAGACAGCTCTCTCACTCCTGCACCACGCACTCCACCGTCCGTCGTGCCTGCCCGCCCCGCGCGCCCATCGCTGCCGCAACGGGGCCAAGCCTGCACCACTGGCACCAAGCACCCACGCACCCAAGCAGCCCGCCGCAGCTCTGCTTTAAACGCTTTCGGCCCATCCTCCTCTCCACCGCAACGGCGCCCATCCAAACGCAAGCTGCCCAAGGTACGTACCTGTTCCTGCTCCCGTTCCCTCGCCCGCTCGCTTGAAGCTGCTCCCCAGCCGCCCGCCGCTCCCTGCCCCCCCGAGTATTATTAGCTGGCCAAGGTCACCTGCCGTCGCCCCTCGCTGCCGTCCTGTGCGACCGGCGACCAGCACCCAGCGCCCCTCTCGCCGGCCGGCCTGCCTTTCCGTGCATTCCTCGCCCGTCCGCCCACTCCACAAAGGGCCCAGGCAGCGCCGCCCCCCGACCAAATCACTTGTCTCTTTTCATTCCAAGCGCGCTTCCTTTTCCTCTTTCATCCGCCCCGATTCTTTTTGGCCTAACCTTGCCAGAGCAGCGCCCTGCACTCGCCTGTACCGAGCTGCACATCCACTCCACGCCGCCGCCTGCCAAACAGGAAATCCCCACACAGAACACCCGCCCGCAAGCAGTTAGGGCAGGTCCGCAGCCCAAACACTCGTAACCAATCTGCATCGCGACCACCACCATGGCCTCCGAAATCACCGAGCACGACCAGAACGCGTCGCCGTCCGTCCACGACGACGGCAGCGGCAACAATGGCGCCCTCGTCGCCGGCGATGCGAACCGCGGCACTAAGCGGCCGCGCCCGGCGGCCGACGACGACGACGACGACGATGACAAGCCCGGCCGCGAGCGCAGGAAGATCGAGATCAAGTTCATCCAGGACAAGTCGCGCCGGCACATCACCTTCTCGAAGCGCAAGGCGGGCATCATGAAGAAGGTACGTCGGACGTCGGCCGTTGCGCTGCGCGAAAAAGCAGCATCCCAGTCTTAACCTCCACGCTCGCGCTTTACCCGCCCGTCGCATGAGAAACAACACCCGCGCTGCCTTCCTCGCTAACACGTTTGATCTTCAGGCGTACGAATTATCCGTCCTCACCGGCACTCAGGTGCTGCTGCTCGTCGTGTCCGAGACCGGTCTTGTCTACACCTTCACCACGCCGAAGCTGCAGCCGCTCGTCACGAAGCCCGAAGGCAAGAACCTCATCCAGGTACGCGACAGCGCAAGCTAATCCCCTCGTATGCACCACTAACACGCGCAGGCCTGCCTGAACGCGCCCGAGCCCGCGGGGGACAACGCGAACGGCGTCGACGACAACAACCCGGTCGACTCGCCCGAGGACAACCAGGCCCACGTCCCCGCTGGCCAGCCGCGCGGAATGCCCGGCAACGCCGGTATGCCGCAAGCTGCATACATGACGCCCGAGGCCGCTCTGCACTACCAGCAGTACCTGCAGCAGCAGCAGCCGTCACAGCAGTACCCAATGCCACAAGGAGGCATGCCCCGCCATCCTGCGCAGCACTACCAGCAAGACCAGAAACTAAGCTAAATGTAATACACTCGGTCTGTTTGGATTTGCAGCAGACAGAACCGGCGGCGCATCACTCGGATATGGATACCCCTCCTAATGGCGAAAGTAATTCAAGGGTGCGGCTCTGCAGACAATGTATCGTGCTCGGCACGCAAATGTCTGCACATGTGGGGAAGGTGATGGAGGCATGGGACGATATGATGACAGGGTGCAATGTTGGAAGCTCAGGCTGCAGTTTCGGACAGGACAGGACGGGATGGCTGTACGTCTTCATGTGGATAACTGGCGTGGTTGTTTTCTTACCCATCACAACACCTTTTCTAGTGGCTTTCTTCTGCTCTCTCAACATCCGATATCTCCTCCTTTTCCGTGTCACACCTTGTTCATGAAGTATTATGTACTTTCAAAATTCCCCTCACAGCTGGCAGCATGGACCGCACAATACAATAATTCGTATAAACTTGACCTTGACGTTGATGAGATAGCGATATGCACAGTATTTCGGCCCGGCTGGGTAGACTTCCGTTTTCGAGGGTCCATTTCCCTATCGGGTGGACTATCGCACAAGACGCTTACACGCAAACGGAGTCGAGATGAGCCGCGTCTGGAACGGTGCGATTCGCTTCCAGATCAGACGCTTTGCAGGTGATGGCATCATCTTTCCGTCGCGGTTGCCATATCTCATGGTCCCCGGATAGGAACAGGAAAGTGCGCGTCGTCGTCCCACATTTGTCTCCCTCAACAAACTTACCATGAAAAAGATGCGACACGACCGAAACAGTTCGCCAGTATTGACAGCTTCTTCTGGTCCAGCGTAGCTCGATGAAAGCCCTCGCGCAGTCACCAGAGCTAGGTTGGTTCTAAAGCAGAAACCTCTCAAGCATGCGACTCTAGCATCGACCCGTGTCACAGCAGCTCCTTGGGTACAACGCGCAATATCCCGTTTCGCGAACGCGGACTTTAGCCTTATCTCCCGGGATAGCAAAAGATACCCGATAGAGTGCTACCGGGCCATAGGACTCGACTTCATCATGGATCCAACGCAACCGGGCTGCGCTCCAGCGCCAGGAAACGAGTTTCGCGGTGTACCCGTAGCCAAGGTACCTCCGGTAGATGAGACAGGGCCATGGACTGGACTGGACTACGGGAGTTACAGGCACAAGACTCGACATCAGGCCGTCAAAACTTCAGCACCAGGGAAACAAATGTCACGGTGTACTGTGCCAATGTACCTCCACTGCACTCGAAGAGCCATGGCACTGCGAGGTACACGAGACGGACTACCCCTGTACAGGACTCGATATCAAGAATACAAAGCTCCAGCACCAGGGAAGACGAATGTAACGGCGTGCCATGTCCAATCTATCGAGTGCCCCTATGCACCGTGGATGTTGCGAGATACGGGCCGAGTGGACTGCCGAGCTCAGGGTGTGCGACAGTGGAGCATGAGAATCAGGATAGTGGGTTACACGAGAGTAGTGCTTTGTGCTACGAGGAACGGCGCGGAAGTGAGCGACCTACCGCTTTGGAGAGCGGATGTGGGAGTCTTATATGCCGTTGGTTTGTGGTGCTGGCGCCGTACAGAAGCCCAGAGCCGACGGAGCGGGAGTGGATTCATTCGAAGAAGCTCGGTGGTGATCTTGGGATGCGGTGGAGGGTCGACTGGATCTGATTGCCGTATCTGGCAATTCACGTGCCGCGCCTTCGATGGTATCTTCGTGGGAACTAGATGAGATAATTCCATCGCGAAAGACCTTCAGACTAGAACGTTTTCGCAGGGTGTAAGGGCTTCGCGCTCTCCCCCACCATCGCTGCAGCTTGAGATACTGCGTCTTCCATGTCGCGACGAGCACACAAACGGCTTGCCGCCATCCAAGAGCACAACATGATGCTGTACAACTGAAAGCATCACGCTACTATCCACTAAGCTACGCCCCTCAACGCGCATCGGCTTGTCCACCATCCCACCTCCTACTCGCAGATCCGATACTCACCTGACGTCCGCGAATTACGTCGAGGGTTGATTGTGATAGGCGTTTGTTCGGCCGGTCTCGAAGAGCGTTCACACCCCGGTCCTATTCGCGGATACGGGAGCCATGCGTGTACACTTCGCTTTTTCGAGGATTACGCCCGGCAGACAGGCTGGAGGTGCTCGGTCCAGGGCACAAACTCTCTGAGGGGCGCAGTTTGTGTATTTCTACAATTTCAGTTCCGTCAAGAGAATTCGATGACTCGGAGTACTTGACTACTTGGTGATTGAAGAGCAAGGCAAGGTCCACCAGGGAGGAATTGGAAACGAAGAACGTCTAACCGGGATGCGGACCAAGCTTCTGGCACGCCAACCTCGATTCTCCGCACCGCTCCGCCCGCTGCACGCTCTAAACTCTGTATCTTCTTTCTATATCAGGGCAAGCGGCATTCCGGCAACTCCACGAGCATACAACGCTCATGTACGGAACAGCGCGGCGGTGGCAGCTATATTGCTGCTGGGACGAGGATCTCGACCGAAGCCATCGGTGCGGGAAGCAAGCACGCACGCACGCCCGTAATCATCTACCCGATGCGCATCTACTTTCCTAGGTTGCGTTCGCGTGGAGGTGCTGATTCGCTATCTCCTTATCTCGATGTTCATCAGACAGGCCGCTCCCTGGCCCCCGGGAAGGCGTGCTGTGTGGGAACTGCGTATATACCAAGCTTCGCGTCATCTCTCCTGCACCCATATCTTGAGCTCTCCCAAGCTTCTTTTTCCCAGCAGTTGCTTACTTGGCTTCCTACGACAAGCATCGCGCCAAGCTAGTTCGCGGTCGCAAGCGTGACTTCCCCAGATTTTGCCTATTGAGGCTAGCTGGAACCTCCGATTTTGTATCGCATTCCTAGCTGAAGGAGAAATTCATTCAAGATGGCGGAAGGCGTTGATGAAAAAGCGCTGGCACCAGTGTCGAGCGTCGATATGGCGAAAGGGGAGATGACCAGCATCGATCGCGATGCGATGAAGCTGGCTGAGATGGGTTACACGCAGGATATGCAGCGGAACTTTAGCGTTTGGTCTGTCCTTGGTGTTGGTTTCTCACTGACCAACTCTTGGTTTGGTATGTATTGCCCATATAGAGCAGCTCTCTTAGCTCTACCCGCTTTTCTTTAAGTCTCTCCAGTGTTTTTTCCGAGATCGCACTCCCGTCTTCTTCTCCTCCAAATCCTCAACTAACGCACCGTCCCAGGGATATCCGCCGCCCTCGTAACCGGTATCAACTCCGGCGGCCCCATTCTCATCATCTACGGCATCATCCTCATCGCGCTCGTCTCCACCTGCGTCGGCATCTCCCTAAGCGAACTCGCGTCAGCACTGCCCAATGCAGGCGGCCAGTACTTTTGGGCGAACGAATTGGCTCCCAAGAGATATGCGAACTTTGCGAGTTATTTAACGGGATGGTTTGCGTGGTGGGGAAGCATTTTTACGAGTGCGAGTGTCGCCCTGGCGATGGGGAGTGCGATGGTGGGGTGCTATCAGTTGAGTCACCCGGATTTGTGAGTATGTTTTCATCAGTCGATTTCGGACTTGCAATGTTGAAAGAGTTGGAGAAGAGAGCTCGTGGCTGCCTTGTGTTGGTCGTCAAAGACGGTGTGAAGTTCTCTAATCTGTGCGGAATCCCTTCAACTGCGAGGCTTCTCCTACTACCAAAGCGAGCTCGGACAAGGCCTCTCTTTACTTCATACGGCTTTTCTCAGAGTCCAGAAATTTCTCACTTCTAATGTCCAGATCAATGCTAATCATAGCAGCGTCATCAAATCCTGGCACGTCTTTGTCGCCTACCAAATGGCCAACATCTTCTGCTTCTTCTTCAACTGCTATGGCAAAACGCTTCCCACCGTCGCCAAAGTAACCCTATGGACCTCCCTCATCTCCTTCGCCGTAATTCTCATCACCGTCCCGGCTGTAGCACCAACTCATCAACACGCCAAATTTGTCTTTGCAACGTTTATCAACAGTACGTCCCACCCTCTCTTCTCCCCCATCGCTTTTCCTGCCCAAATGCTGACGCACTGCTAGATACCGGCTGGGAACAAGGCGGCATAGCCTTCATCGTCGGCCTCGTCAACACAAACTGGTCCTTCGCCTGCCTCGACTGCGCAACCCACTTGGCAGAAGAAGTCCACCGGCCCGAGCGCATGATCCCCATCGCCATCATGGGCACCGTCGCCATCGGCTTCGTCACCTCCTGGTTCTGGAGCATGGCCATGTTCTTCAGCATCGTGGGCGACTTCCAGGACATCGTCGGCAGCGCGACGCTGGTGCCCATCCTAGAGCTATTCTACAAGGCGCTGAACAATAAGGGCGGGGCCATCTTTCTAGAGGCCCTGATTATTGCGACGGGGCTGGGCTGCTTGGTCGCGAGTCACACGTGGCAGAGCCGACTGTGCTGGAGCTTCGCCCGCGACCGCGGTCTCCCGGGCCACCAGTGGCTCAGCAAGGTCCATCCGACGCTCGACGTACCCGTCATCGCGCACTTCGCTAGCTGCGTCATCGTCGCGATCGTCGGCTGCTTATACCTCGCCTCCCTCACAGCGTTCAACTCGTAAGCGCTCCCTCCTTCCCTTCCCCTTCCCCCTCGACCTCGCCACATCGCTAATCCACACCCCCAGCATGATAACAGCCTGCATCGTCCTCCTCTACATCAGCTACTCCATCCCCGTCATCTGCCTACTCCTCAAAGGCCGTAGCAATCTCAAACCAGGCCCCTTCTTCCTCGGCCCCGTCGGCCTGGTCGCAAACTGCGTGCTGCTCGCCTGGACCCTCTTCACGCTCGTCATGTACAGCTTCCCCTACGCGAAACCGGTGAAAGCGGGCAATATGAACTATGTGAGCGCTGTGTATGCCGTCGTTACGAGTATTATGGCGGTGGATTGGCTGGTGCGCGGAAGGAAGAGTTTCAGGGGCGTGGGCGAGCGCAAGAGCGATGTTGTGCATGCGGTGGAGGGCGTGAGGTCGGGGAGTGTGGGGGCCCAGGGGGGCGTGGTGTATGCGTAGATGGGATGGGATGCTGACTTCAGGCACGCTTGCTTTGCGGAGATGCCGGGAAGTTGCTGTTCACTGGCAGGTAGTACAGGGCTGGCGGGTTTGCAGTCGGAAGTGGTGACGTGGATGCGTGTTTGGGTAGATTTGCGTATCACCTTCTGCGCTTCGTATTATGTACTACTGCTTTTGAGGGATTTTGCAGAGAGATAGTGATGTAGAAGAGATGAGTACGCCGCTCACGCAATATTTATGAATTTTGTTATTCGTACAGAGTTACATGAGTATTCTTGTTCCCCCATATAGCTACCTAGCTATCTAGCTGTGGCCAGAACATGGGCAATTCATTCCGCTCAGACCTGTTCACCGTGCACATTGACCAGCTGAGAGATTGAAAACGACTCTTAAATTTGACTAGCATACACCCACCACCTCGAGTAAGTTAAACACTACATAGAAAACATGCTGAAGATGCGCATAACTAAGACTCCTATAGCCGTACAGATGCCGATATATTTGTTGTACAGGGTATAATTGAAGAGCCCTATAACCGTTGAGGAGGAAAACACCCATAAATGCGGAATAGATGATGAGCCGATATGCAGTGACCGACCGGTCTGCAGAAATATGTGTGCCCCGGATATTACACGTATCGTACGACAGTGCTCGAAGGAGGATCCGACAATAGAAAGATACGAGGGAAATACATGGCCGATTATGGTATGCCGGAAATTGAAGTATGTGTCAGAGGAGTCGTACAGTGATAGACGAGATGGCTGGGTGGCGGTGGATGGATGTAGGGGCGTGTTGGTTTCGGATCGATAAGCCGGTCGATGCCGGATGTTGAAATACGAGTTTGCTGGGTAACCGACGATAGTATGGTATGATATCGAAATAGATGGTGATGTCGAAGTAAACGCGTATTTCGAATCTAGGATATGGATGTAGAAATCGCTGTTGGAACAGCAGTATGCTGAATAAATGGCGATAAGGTCCGAAGAATTGTGGTATTGAAGTCGGACGAGAGGCCCGTATCCGGTATGTAAAGCTGGCTGGAAGTTTGTTGGCGATGATCGGGTGCCTCCTGTTATACGAGCCGGTCGTTTTGCGTCGTGTGGTCCGGCTCCATCCAGGTCCGTCCGCAAGTCGAGGTGTGGGAAATGCAGCCACATCCATCCCACTTCCTCACCATACAACCGACTCTCCCCTGAGACCTTCTGGTCAATAGTAACTCTTCCCCGTAACCCTCGCCTTCCTCTTGCCCTTGCCCTTCTTCTCCCCTCTCCTCCCGTCTTCTTTCCCCTCTTTCCCCTGCTCATCCCACCTCCTAACCTCTTCCTTATACTCCATATCCTGCGCAAGAGTCATCCTGCTACCCTTCGTACTAGCCTCCTCTTCAAACTCCACTTCTGGCAGCCATCCGCCTCGTTCCTCCCAGCCCCTCACACCCTCGACGTACTCTACGATACTGCCATGCTCGTAGTCGTCTTCGAAGCCACAGCCACAACCACAGCCGACTACGCACTCGCCTTCGTCCATGCCCAGTTCGTCGTCCATGCAGTCGAAGTGAGCGACGTGACCGCATGCGGGACAGAGGTAGAACCGTCCTGAGACGCGGATCCAGCATATGCTGCAGCTATAGATGGGCTCACTCTTCCCTTTCTTGGGAGAAGAGGCAGTAGTGTCCTGGAGTCGGCTTGAGGCCGAATGGCCCGAGATGTTGGATGTAGCGCGCGAGAGGGATGGGCGGGGTCGTAGGTGTGTATACGGCGAGAGCTTGCTTTCTCCTGCGCCATCTGTGAACGGATCGTTAGAGGGCGCCGGTGTCGGAATGGATAGGCGCAGGTATTGCTCTGCGGGAATGAAGACGTCTGCCGGTGGTGCAGGAACCTCGTCCAATAGCATAAAGGAGCTACTTGGCTTGAACTCTACGGCTTCGGGGTTGAGGGCAAAGTGTCGCGGAGAAGCGATTGGGGACCGTTTGAATTGTGCAGCGGTAGCAGCCGGGGGTGCTAGAGTGGAAGCCCGCGAGATAGGTTGCACCGTCAGCTCTGACTCGACCCTGTCATGGCCTTCTTTCTTGAGCGCGAGATGCATAGATCCTGCTTTTGACCCGCCGCCTCTTGATACATCCTCGAACGGGAAATATGACACGAGCCCGTTGAACTTAAGCACCTCCGCCCTCTTGCTGACAAGACCCCAGCAGCCCAGTATCTCGGCGTATTGTTCCCTCCATGCGCGGTACAGCCACTCCTTTGACATGTCCAGCAGCGGTGCGCTCACACACGCCTCGTCATCGAACTTGTCCTGATTCTTGAGTGTGACTCTGATCCTTGAGCCGTCATCCCCATCCTCTGTGCCCAGTGTAAGAGGAGCTGTATACTCCGAACCGCCGTCGAACGTGACCCCTATGTCATTATATTCGGAATCCGAGTCGGAAATGTAATCGATGATGGTACGGTCTGCCTGCCCAAAGCTAGCCCTCTTCCCATGCTTCGACCGCGGGGCTACACCAAGACCACGTTCATTACTACCACTACTATAGAAAGTTGTCGTCCCCCATGTGACACCGCTAGTGGGTGCAGATGTCGAGAGGTCATCAGTGCGAGATTTAACGGGCGGCGAGGATGACATAAACTTGTTGGAGATCGTAGCGATGGCACTGGCAAAATTCCCCGAGGACGTCTTCTTGACGGCGGTATGTGACATTTCAGGACTCGTAGAATACGGCGTATGGCTGGCTGTTGCGGAGCGAAGGGTGGGAGCGCGTGAGAGGGTCGGCGGCGTGTTGCCTGTAGAGTAAGGGGTTACTGGTTCAGACGGCAGCGTATCACTTCCCCAAGGGCCATTCGACGAACCATGCGACCCATACGTATCAAGATGTCTTGAAAGGCGATGCCAACCAAACTCATTATTCACAGGCGTAGCGTATCTTGAATGGGCGGGGGTGGACGGAATAGAAAGGGTAGGTTTGAACAGGCTCCATGCGGCGTCGGCAGAGGCGAAGTAGTCGAGGGAGAAGGCCGGAGCTTCCATAGAAAGGTGCGGATGTTTCGTCTTGGCCATGGTGGTAGTCACTCCTTCACGGGCAGCAGGTTCCGAAAATACACACGACAGCATAGCAAGCATCTGGGTGTCGGCCAAGCGCTCAAAGTGATCAAACAGAGCGGGAATCAGCCAGGTAACGACGGGATTGTGGCCCCACTTCACTCTCCCTCTCAGCTTCGGGTTTGTCACGGTCTCCGCCTCGTCAAACTGGAGGTCCAGGCCGCTGTCCTTGCGCTTGATTCTTACCAGTGCTCGGCGGGCAAGCACCAAAACCTGTTCTCGCCTGTGTTGTTGGGGTAGGATTTCGAGGGGTACCTCGTTATTCAGGATTAGTCTGCAAAGCTGCCAGATGTCCGCCAAGTCATCAAACCCATTCCTCCTCGCAACCTCTGAATTATGCAAACAAACCGCCGGCCCATCGCCAAAAACCAAGTACCCCTCCGCCAAGACTCGCTTGCTAGGGATGAACTGAGCAACCACGGAATCCAGGATAGACACAATAGACCTTTTCTTGTTCAGGTGCGCAGCGTCAGTCGAGGACGGAAGAGAAGCTTTGCTATGCAACCGGGGCGGTTTTTGCCAGGGTAACGGGGGCAGGAAATTCCCAAATCGGATATCGGTCTCTTGATCGGAACCGGAAGATGATGAAGGTGACGAAGATGATTCCCAAGATACCACAGAAGACGCCGGAGATTCCGAGTCATGGATAGCGACAATTCGGCCGAAAGCTTCAAATATGTCGTCCTTTGATGGATTCTGCCGGAGATGCCGGGGTAGCCGTATCAGATCAGTCATCAGACCAGTAGAGCTCGTCACCGGTTTCTGAGCCAGCCTTACGCAGACGAGGGATCCAAGACTGGAAAATCTTATCGTGGTCTGTACAGGAAGGGGAATGTTAGCATTTGAATGTGAGGAGTGCATAAGATCATTAGTGAATTCACCAGAGTCCGAATCATCCTCCTCCTCACTAGAGCTCTTCTGATCTGTAGACTGTCCGAGGTCCGGCTCCGGATCTGGCGCATCCGTTTTCGGCTTGGCTTTTGGAACGCGTCCGTCGTACTCCTTGGCCATGTTGAGGGCGTCTTCCAAGCTCCGGTCGCCCAACGCATAGGAAAGCACGGCTTCCAAGGCCTCTCGGGCGCGCACTGCGTACGCCTCCGCAATGGCCTCCATGGCGGTCTCCAGATGGTCAAGCATTGCCGGTGCGATGGCGGCAGTCGTCTTCTCGAAAGCTATGCGGAGCGGATGGGCCTGCTGGTTAATCACTTCACCTTCGTCGTTGAGCTCCTGTTCTACGCCGGGATAGTACTCCGGAAATGTAATCTTGACGCGGAGAAATGCTAGTTTCCTAGCCGGCGTCTGACTATTGGGGTCGGGATAGTAGCTTTCTCCCCAAGGGGCCTTGAACGCAACTACCACTTGACGAAAGCGGAGCTCTGCGGTGTCAAAGGCTACGTTCGGAAATTTCAAGTCCGCACGCTTGATTTCGCCAGCCAAGCTGTGGCCTGCTTCGTACTTTTCGTCAATGAGCTTGCCGTCGCCATCGAACGTTCGCTTGGTCACGTTCACGTTATGCATCCATGTAACCTGGGTCATAATGCGTTGAGCTGGACTGCTCCGCACCTTGTGGGCCGACATGGTGACTCTCTTTGGCTCTGCCTTGAACAGAGAGCTCAAGCCCGTCTGCATCTGCATATGTTTCTGATTTTTGAAGACGGCGTTTTTGAACAGTGCGGCGAGGTTCCCCTGCTGAGGTGGTTCTTCTTCTAGGTCCGCTTCCGGGAGAACTTGCGGACCATCGCGGAACGAGATGTATCGAGCTCCCCTTCGGGTCGTACTCGGGGCTTCAGTTACTCGACTGCCTTTCCTGAAGCCAACTGCTTGCTCTAAGATGCCGGGCGTGACACTATGCAGGCGGAGGCGGTGGTCGGCTCCCCACGTCACCAACTGGAAATCGCGATTGTCGATACCGTTGTCGGTACTGCCTCGTGAGCGCCAGAGAAACTCATGCAGACGTGTCTCGATTGCATCTGTACGAAAGACGTGGTCCGGAGAGCCTGAAGTAATGGGTCGAAAGGTGTTGTCTGCCGGCTGCTTGTACAGCGCTAACGGAGCGCCAACCACTTGGGGCATTGCGACAATCCCGTTTGGAAACGGAGTGTGGCGGGCACGCAGGAGCGGAAAGCCATGGTAGATCGTGTGGCTAGGCTGTCTCACGGTCTCTGCAGCTCCAGCTTGATCCCACTGCTTGATCGTCTTGTCCAGTGAACATGTGAGGATCCTCGTCGGATGTGATCGATGCCAGTCGATGCCATATACCTTGTTGAAGTGGGCATGGATAGTGGTGACCGGGCGTGCGCCGTGGCGAACATCCCAGACTTGCACATAACGGTCATGGGAAGAAGCAAGAGTGTTGGAATTCTGCCTATTCCATTTGACTTGGGTAGCGCCTGCTTCGAAGTCGGCGAAAGTGTGAGTTGAACGCTGCCGCACCGATGGCAGTGCAAGCCTAGTAGCAACGTTTGGTGTACGCAAGTCCCAGGTGCAGACGCGCGTGTCGAGAGCACACGTAGCCAGCATATCGGGGTGGTGGGCAGAGAAGTTGATGTCTGTGATCTGTCGGTCGTGGCCTTCAAGAGTGTACTGGATTGGCGCCTCTGTGGCGTCCGTCTTCATATTCAGGTTGAAGATGAGAGCCTTGTTGTTGTTTGTCGACGCGACCCATTCAGCACGGATGGCGAAGGGCGAGCACTGGACATCGGCGACCTCAAACTGGGTGGAGTACTGTATGAAGCGGGGCAGCTCATACGGATTGTCCAAGTCGACGATGACGAGGCCCTTTTTGCTGCGCACGGTTAGCGATAGCGGATTGATTGCCAGATGCCAGATGCCAGATGCCAGCTATTCGGCCCTGAGACTCTTGGGTTCTGTAGACGCCAACGGGAGGACTTACCCTGCGAGCACCGCGTCTCGGCCACTCGGCGAGATCGAGGCGGCGGTATAGCCGCCCTCGATCTGGATGGTCGCATCTGTCTCGAAGGTCGGGCTCTCGAAAGGGGAGCCCGGCCCCACGTGCTGGGCAGCGCTGCCCGCCGCTGCCATGCTGGTGGTGATGCACGTGAGGACGTCGAGGCGGTGGTTGCGGCGACAAGTATTGAAAGCCGGGGCGGCGTAAGGAATAAGCACGGGCGCGGGCTAGGGGTCGCCAAGACCGCCCCAGTGACTGGAAGCGAGCCAGTGGCATTTGCTGACAAGCGCCCCCTTGCTGCTTCCGGCAATCACATACCCACAGCGCCGTAACAATGGCTGACGCAGCCGATGATTACGACTGGGAAGCGGCAATCGCCCTCTCGGTGGCCCGTGTGTGGGAGTGGCTTGGAAAGCTCGACCACATCCAGGACCCGGTCATTCGGTCCTCCTTCCCACCACCACCAGTGTCCCGCTTTTCCTGGAGCTCCTCAGAGGACGATTCCGATAGCGATCAAACAATCATCTCAACCTCGGCACCACCAAGCCCCCCGATGGCTCTTCCAAAGCGGATCATCAAGGAGACGGAGCGGTTGATGGCGGAGCCGTGAGTAAGCCGGTGCGCAACCATGTCCCACAGACAACTGACAGTGCTGCCATCCAGGGTACAAGGCATCTCTGCGATTCCCCACGAGGAGAATCTCCGCCACTTCGACGTCGTGATCTTCGGCCCCTCTCAGAGCCCGTACGAGGGTAGGTGCACTCCGCGGTAATGATGCAAACGCGACGTGAACTGACCTCCATAGGCGGCGTCTTCAAGGCAGAGCTCTTCCTCCCCGAAGACTATCCCATGGCTCCGCCAAAGGTCCGGTTCCTCACCAAGATCTACCACCCCAACATCGATCGTCTGGGCCGCATCTGCCTGGACGTCCTTAAGAGTGAGTTCAGCGACCCTAATGACGCGCAGCCTCCGCTGACCCATCCAGGCAACTGGTCTCCAGCCTTGCAAATCCGCACGATTCTTCTCTCCATCCAGGCCCTCCTTGGCGCGCCGAACCCGGACGACCCGCTCGCCAACGACGTCGCTCAGCAATGGAAGGAGGATCAGAACAAGGCCATCGCCACGGCCAAGGAATGGACCGAGAAGTACGCGAAGCCGTGAGACGTGGCACACGATCACTCTCAAGAACTTAGGTCTCTTGCTTCGGCTTTTGAGCGAGCGACTGAACACTTCTTTGGAGGCCCCGACGGTTGAGGATAAGGCGGTTCCCGATGGATATAGACTTTGCATATCGGCTGAACGATTGCACGGCTTTGATGCCCCGGCTTATGGATGCTGGAGAACCTTTCTCCCGGCGAGAGTCTTCTAGCCAACGACTCATGACAGACGAGCCATGAATGAATAATGATATCAAGATTTCCCAATCATACTGACACTCCCTTTTGTGAGACAGTTCTTGGTCGGACCCAGTGTGCGTGTCTTTGAGCATGTGGAAGTGAAATGTGAGCCAGCCTATGACTACACCTTGGCGTCGTGACGAAGGGGTTTGCACGATGAGCCTTCGGAACTCTAGGTACCCTAGATAGGCGCAGATGAGGAAGAGTTATCCGAAGGCTTCCGTCTGTTTGCTTTCTTGCGCCCAGGTGAGTCGTTTCGGCCGCTTTTCGATAGCCCGGCGGGCTAACTTAGAGCACGCCAGAGCATCCCGTCAACTTGTTTGTACTTCCACCACGACCGCCGCTTACGCAAGCACGGCATACAACTGAGGTAGCTCTCCCACTTGCACTGATGATAGCAACAGCGCTGACCATGATCTGCCTGAATCGATGCGCGGGCGAGGTCGGAGCGGCGTTGACGCAGACTTTCCGTACAGGCCGTCGCTCTTTCACGACCACCGCGACAACTTCTCCGACACGGCTTAGAACACTACCCGCCGGCAGGAGGCTCTTGATTTGCAATAGATGCTCCCGTATCCTTACGAGACGCCATGGGCGACCGCGTATCGCATCATAGGCAGCGGCACCGGTGCAACTGCGTTCGGTGTCGACACGCCCATCTCGACCACGAGCACGTCGACAATACCATTTACCTCTCCCCGTCTGCGCAGCTAGCAAGCCTGCTTGCGGAAAGCGATCTCAGGGTAAGTCGATGCGCCTAACGGCATGCAAAGAGAGCTGACTCCGAATAGCATATATACCGACGGCGAAAGGCGAGACGACCCTCGCGGCACGACCTCAGACTCTCCGCGAATGAGCAATCACGGTTTCCGATGCTCTTAACAGCAACTCACAGGACTGTTACTCCAGCCTCCGGTGCCGCGGAAACCGGCGAGGCATTGAGTCCCGCAGCGGATAGACGAAGCGGCGCGAGCGAGGACCTCCAGCATGTCCTCCGCTTCAGATGGACGGGATGGCCATTACTTTGAACATGAAGAGCTCAGGCTTTGGCCCCAGTTCTCATCGATTTTAGGCGCGCACGGCTTTCATAACCCTCTGTCGAGTTTGACCGGCGGTGACTCCGGTTCGACCATATGCTCATACAAGGTGGACACCAATATCGGCGTCCAGGATTTCCGGAGCGCCGACAACGTCTGTCTTCCCTAACGCTTCATACTGAAGCATCCACGCCTGCGCCGACTATTTCGGGAATCTGACGCACCGCTACACGCCCCACGCGCTGGTCCAAGTGACGCCGAAGAGGATATCTCACGATACCGACCTATGCGGTACTTTCGTCGGGTTCCCCGCGGGGCGCGATTGATCTTTTCTCGAGGCCTATGAGAAAGAACAACGGGAAGGCCATCGGCCAGGAGCATTCCGAATGATATAGCATGAGGTAGCAATGCGCGAGTCCGGAGATCCTATGAAGGCGTTACATGCGCTTCGACGCGGAACAAGGACACCATAAAATAGGAAGGAGTCATACCTCTCCTGGGACGGGATGAACCGGCGCATATGTCAGAATAGAGCACCTCGCCGCTTCGATCTTGCTAGCACCACCTCGCGACCTCCAGCGCGGCCGGGCGTCTCGACATCCCGGGCCTGAAAACTTCAGAGCGGTCGTCTTATCATGCTACTGGAGGAACCACTACGGGGTTGTGTCCATTGCGCGGGACAAGAAGAGCAGCGTTTTGTTGTCCGTGATACAGGGCCTGGATTACTCGTCGTTGAGCTGGCCACAGCTGGGGTGCTACAGAAGACGAAAAGGACGCTCACTCCGACCCAGACCTCACTCATACCCTGTCACATGACGTGGCAAGTCCGGGGACGTGAACCTTTCCACAAGGATATGGAGCCATGAAGACGGAGCAGAAATGGCGATGATGGGAGGAGTCGAGCCCGAAGACATGGATGTCGTGGTGTTGACGGGCGTACTTGTCAACAAGCCTGTCCGGTTGACAGCGTGGCCCCGTTCGGGAACGGTCCTTCGAACTTCAGGGCAATGCTCCAGATTTCTAGGACACCGTGAAGCTGGGCTAGGGATATACTACCACCGAGGTAGAGCATGGGATTCGCAGAAGCTTTCCGGGGCTACGATGGTCTGGTGAGCGATGAGAAAGAGTCGGACATTGTCGGTAATGAATTGAAGTGACCGACAAACGGTAGACCGGATATAAAAGCCGAAGGGGATCAGATCCGGGAACACATCCCCATCGTTACCGGAGTTGAGGGAGGAACTCTGTCTCGCTGGGCTACACAGCCAATCATCCTGGGTTTTCTGGCGTGGACGGGGGCTGGCGATGGCCAAGCGCCGTTTCGTATCATCACGACCGGACTAGAGCTCGTCCTGTTGCAACGCGTTCCGGATAAGGCATCCGGTTTAAGAATCGACATGAGATTGTCTCTGGGCCAGCATCGACCTAAATCTCCAGAGGGCCGTTAATATTCGATATGGTTCCAAAACTTCGAATTTGGATGTCTGATTCCAAGAAGCCGGTGAGTCCACGGTACGATGGTGGCTTCTCGTCGACCTCTCTCATCATACAGCGCCGTAGGATCATCCTGTCTTTGGAGGCAATAGCCGCCGCTTTGTGACGGCATCGGCTGTAGTATCCCGCCTGGGTCGAGAACGCCAGCAATCTGTTAATGGAGCCGTTTTCCTTTTCTCCTGGGATCCACGGCGACCTGAGTCGTGAAGTCTAGCCCCCCTTCCTTCTCTGTATCGAGTCTCTAGCTAGGTAATGAGCGGAAGCTCCCACGGATCCGTAGGTCCTTCGGTCCCGGCTTGTCTCTCGAGTCCGCTCATGCTAGAGAGACTGCGAGTTGGTTTGTGAAGACCTCGTCAAGCTCCCAGTCCATTGTGGTTCCACTTGTTACAGCCCTGCTCTTTTGAAGAAATAGGACTTGCATGCCGCCGCGCTTTCAGGTTCTGAGGCCGAGTCGGAAGCTGCTCTCAACCTCCTCGTGGTTCGACATGGTTCGTCGTTGCCCTGTTCAGCTAGGATATTCACACCGACTTAGCCCTAGCGTATTTCCCGAAGGCAGGACGGCCCCGGAAGACACGTACGGTCGACATCGATTGAGAAGCTATTCATACGAAGACGTCCATTGCGGACAAACCCCGATTCCTGGGCATAGCGGCCATGCTCTACGTAGATGGCTAGCCTGCTGTAGGTGCGGTGTTGCGAGAGTTGTCGCGCTTGCGGAGCGGATTACGAGAGTCGATGCCGCCGGCGTCGACGTGGTCATAAGATGTCTGAGCCCTCGTCTGAGTAAGTAGATGTCAAAATACCGGTGCCAAGGGTGTTTCCAATGCTAACGGATTCTGCTGCAGGGCGAGAGACAGGTTTAGGCTTTGCTGGATGCGGTTTGCTCGCCGCTGCCGCCGAGTTCGCGTCGGCCCCGCTCGAGAGGACCCCTTGCTCGCCGAAGGCGCTATGCGAGGGAGGAGAGGATCTCCAATACCTCTTGCGCCTGCTCAACGAGACCTTGAGCTAGCAGAGGCTGGGTAACGTGGCTCTCGTCGATGACTATAGTGGCGCGGAGGTCGACTCCGCAGCCCACCATTCTCGAGGTCAGGGGAGCAGAGCGGGTACCATTCAGGAGATGGCCAAAAGCTGCTGAAGGGAGCTTCTAGGACTTCAATAAACTGAAGCCGCTGTTGGTTGCTGTCGGGGTGGTAGTGGTGTGGGGAGGAGGGCGGAGCGAGACGAAATCTCATACTCGATCACGACCACAACAGCACTAGTGAAGCGCAACCTCGGACTCACTAGCAAACCACATTGATCTCCTCGAGTCAACCGCACTCCCGTCTGGCTTCGTTCCACTCAGCCTGGCTCTCATCAGCGCGCTGTGCCTACCCCGTCTGCCTCCTTACTGAGGGCTATATCTGCTTTCCCCACCCAGATCTAAGGCGGCCTCTACCTCTCCCTCCGCCTGCGCAAAATCCTGGCAGAAGGCCCCCAACCAGCTTCACCGCATTGGATCTTTCAGCGACCATGTGCAGCTGTTTCGGGAGCATCAGAACCTACGCAGCAGCTACCCTCGAGTTTCTGGCCGGCTGGCTGTGGTATTTCAGGACGTGCAAAGGGAAAAAATCGACTGAATGTACACCGACCGAGAAGGCTTCACCAAGCAATAAGGAGAATCAAATTACGGCTACTGAAGAGCTACTCGACCCCGCTCACCCCAACTCTTGTCTTGCATGAGGAGACGGCGCCGAATTCGCCGTAGTGGGATGATATACCGTGCTCGCCTGCACGTTCTGCTGCTCATACTTATACGGCTCATAGCCCGTCTGATATGCGCCGGCGCCGTATTGTCCAACATTGGCTTGCTGCCCACTCGAAGCCGTTTTCTTCTTCTTCCACGACAACCACCAAAGCACCGTTATCAGCAACGCTAGCGCCGCAATGCCCCCAACTACACTTCCCGCGATCACGCCGGTGTAGTCTCTCGATTTGGACGGCGCCGCGGATGGCGAGGACGTCGATGAAGCGGTTGACGAAGGGTCGGTAGTAAGAGCGGATGCAACCGTTGAGGCTGAGGACGTCGCAGTCGAAGATACGGTACTAGTTGGCTTTGTGCTGAACACCTCGCCGTTCAGGAGCCAAAAGCCCTCCCCCGCGTCGCAGCACGGTGGTCCCGTAACGCTATCTCCGCAGCAAAAGCTCCCATCATCACACGGCGTGACGATCACATCGTTCCCGGCAGCGTCAATCAATCCTCCACTCGACGAATCTGTGCTCCGCATCAGCGCCATCCATCCGCCCTCACAACGGCCGACTAGAAAGACAGCTTACACGTTCCGCTCACGCACAACTTCAGACACGAGTCGCTCTGCCACGTTATGTCCGTGCATGACTCGCGCCAAATGGCGTCTCTGGCAGCATTGTCGCATAGCCCGTCGTCGCGGCAGGTATCCGGCCCTGTGTCGCTTGTCCGGCAGCACATGCTGTGTGCGGCGGTGCTCGAGCAGGGCCGGTACGCTTCTCGGCCGATGACGGCGTTCCGGTCGGTGCCATTGGGCCAGTAGCCTGCCGGTACGCGGAAATATTAGCAGAGATATAAAAGGAAGACAAAAGAGAGAGCGAAACCACAGCAAGACAAGCCTCAGCCTTGCGTGCCGGCGGCCATTGAGCAGCACGTTGTCCGCGAGGCTGAGACGACGCGAATGGTTGCGACTGCGATATATACGTACATCCTGCGTATGCTACAGCGAAGTAGCCGCTAAAGAAAAGGAGGAGCTCCATCGTTGTGTAGAGTCTTAACGAGCAACTATGTGAGAAGGACTGAGAGGAAGAAAAGATAAGAAGGTTCGCGACGCGAGAAGGCTGATAAAGTAACTCTCGAAGGGACGAGGCTGAAGGATTGTAGTGCAGAACGTGCTATCCGAATCCAGACGAGACTCTGTCTGCAGGTCAGCATGGCAGCGGCTAATTGGATGCTGCTTGGTATTGTGACCAGTGATATGTCGGAGGGGACGCCTCGATGCGCATTCGTACGAGTAGTCAATTGGTCCAGAACAAGATCTGCAGCCTCGAAGGCAATTGGGGGCGGAAAGGAATCCATCCAATTGGACGAGATGGTCGTTCCCCAAGATCACCCTCGATGGTTTATGGCGTTTCAGTGGTGGATACTATCAGATTCAAGAGGGTATTCCAGTCATTGGTTTGATTATTCCCTAGGAAGGCCTATTCAATCTTCAACCCTATACCCATAACTCCGCTCCAACTCTTGCTTTCTAACACGCAACTATCTTTTTCGGCCTCACGTACTCCATTCTCGTCTCCGCTTCTTCACTTCTCACGCCGTTTTCCTGTCCCAAACGACGCAGCTCTGCTATTCCGCGCCCCCCCCTTTTGTCCCTAACTCTTCTTCCCGTCTCTGAATCGAATATAGAGCGGAGTGTCTTCATTCTCTTCTTCTCAGGCCCGAGCCGAAGCGGGCAGAGGTCGCCTCAACTGGTGGAAACGCCGAATAGTGGAGTGGAGTGAAGTGGAGTGTGGAGATGGTGATTGTTTCCGGTCACACCTAACAAGCGTGGCCTAGCTTCGAAGTTCGGCGGTTAGCGAGCTCATGTCATCAAGACGCCGCTGTCCCTCTTCTTCCGCGCGAACATGGGCGTAAAGTCCGTTTCCAGCGTCGCGAAATCGAGATTCCTGTTGGACGCTGGTACTGGCGATGAGGAGTTGGAGGAGCAGAGATCAGGAGTCTGTGTTAGGTTAGAACCTGTGTCAAGGGACCTAAGATGAAGCGGAGGGGCGCTTACTGAACAGACTGAAGCCTGCGAACTCGATCGACTCCTCGCTTCAGCATGCGCTTCGATCGCTTGTGCTTCGTACGTGTATGTGATGCGAAGCAGATCGTGCACCGTAATGTACGTCGTCGACATCTTTCCTTCCCTAACTCCTATCTCTTTCTTGCTTTCCGAGAGACACCTTTAAAACGAAGTTGGGCCAGCGAAGAGGGGTAGCAGGCGTTCAAGTCGATGCAGTGCAGTGCAGTGCAGTGCAGTTCAGCAATCGCCGCCGTACCCTGCAGCTGCATATATACCCCTCATCGTACAAGCGGACATCCCACACCACACCACACGACCGCCCACGCACGAATCCTCCAGACAAACTCCACCTCACCCCCGTTTCAGCGCTACGCCATGCATAAAACCGCCCCGAGTCGGCATTAGCGCCGCTCCGACAGGTCTTACTCACCGTTCGACGGTGGCCCGTGCGCGGGCTAATTGTTTGCATCCGCCATTTCCGATGCCATGTCCGGCGAGATTTGTGATGCGATTTTGGGCCGACGCGTAAGATGTGATGGCTGTTGCCTAGTGGCGAGAAAGGTGGGCGGAGATGAGATGAAATGTCCGGAGGATTTGGCGTGGGCTCGGGGATGCAGGGGTTAGGACCGAGAAGGCCGAGAAGCGGAACACGACGTCGTGGCTGGGCGCAGTATAGATGGAAGCAAGAAAACAAGCGGAAGATGAGCTTGGTCTCGATTATAGGAAATGAGAATGAAGTGAGCTGAGAACAGATAATGCGTTACACATTTCGTCGTCGTTATGAAGTCCGCTGCAGAATGACGCATGGGCAAGCAGGAGTAGAGAGAAACAGAAGCGCTTTTTGAGGAGTCCAACGAGGGTGTCGTGTCCAAGATCATGAAGGTACTCTAGCGTCTTCGTTGCTTACCTTTAACTTTACCCTCGAGATACTGTTTCTCGAGATCCTTAAGGTTTTGAAACTCATTCGACTCGGACCGATTCCTCACCCTAATTTGAACCTTCATCTGACGATCTCGAGCGCGAGTATTCTCTCCAGGAACATCAGAGCCCGAATCAAATGAGAGATTCATTCGGTTGTCCTGGTAGGACGGAGCAGGTGGACGAGCAGGCGGTCGAACAGTTCCGCAGTCAATGAAGAAGCCACTACTTCTTTGAGGCATGGAGGACTTCTCTGCTCCGCCTTTAGCTCTCGTAGCGGTCTCTCTGAGCTTCCGCGCGATGTCAGCAGCCCTGTCGCGCTCACGCTTTGCAGCAAGCACCTCGATCTGTCCTTCGGCAAGAGGAACGAACCAATCCGTGAGGATATCCGCGGATATACGCCGATGCTTTTCATGCTCGAGACACATGCTGTACCAGTCATTCAATACATCGCTGTACGGAGGATTCGGATGCTGCAGCTTATATTTAGTACGCTGCTCCTCCGCAGCAGCATTTATTGGGCGATAGACCACGGGTATGAGATTGCGCCATTTAATGTGATTCAGGTCCTTTTCGTGTGGCGCGTCCATTCCTTGCAACATGACCTCCCGAATAAAAGCCTTGCGGTCTTGGGTAGGGTAGCAGCCGAGAGCCAAGTGCTGGACAGTCGCTCCTATAGCATAGATGTCTACCGCGGGCGCGACAGCTCTCCTCTCCGAGAATGGAGGCCCATATTCTGGGGTGCCGAAGAACATGTGATTGGGCCCTTGTCCTGGAATGTAGGGTACGAGACGCGATATGTCAGCGAGTTTGAAGATTGGTAGCAGAGGGACTTCGTCGTTCCGGCAGCCCGGCGGCCTTGCAACGAGGATATTGGATGGTTTCAGGTCGCCGTGGATATAAGGCACCGCAAGGTGGTTGTGAAGGTAATCGAGCCCCCGGCTCATGTCGACGAGAAATTTCCATATGGATTCCTCTGGCACATAATGACCTGCGTCTACAAGAAGATTTTGGTATTCGAGCAGATCCCCAAGCTGACAGTAGTCGAGAAAGATTCCTGGCGGGATTGGTGCATAATAGTCATCCCAGCCTAGCAAGCTGACCACATTGGGATGTGTGCCCACCATCTTCAGATTCTTCAGCTCCTGTTTCAACATATTGCGATGGAAATCGGTTCCCCTCGCAGGTTGCTTGACCGCGATGTGCTCTTCTTTCCATTTATGGCGCCACAAGCTGACTTTACCTTCCGTGCCTTCTCCAAGAAGTTTCACTCTTCTGAACTCCCTTTCCAGTTGCCGTTGACTCATGAGCATGCGATCCTTCTCCATTTTGACGAAGCGGTATTCGAAACAAGAATGCCTTTGCGTTAAAATTGACTGCCGAGGTGTTTTCGGGGCAGGAAATGAGACTAATCAAGAAGGACGAGACTTTTGTAATAAGATGGTATACGAGCAATAGGAAAGAAATATATGTCGTTGAAAAGATGGGCATGATGAAACGGAGCATTGTGAAGAGCAGCGGCAAAGAAAGGGCACGGGAATAGGTATAGGTTATAGGGCACATAAAGAAAAACAGGACACAATGGGGCGGCGTCTCGCAAGGGTACAAAGGTGAGACAAGACAAAGAAATCATCCGCTGAAGACAGCTCCGCATCTTGGGTTCGCCGTTCCAGCAATGGGAATTGTGCCAAGTTGAACTTTGATGGAGTGCTCTCGGGGGTCACACTCTCTTCATGCTGAACAAGGTGTTGAGAATTGGCGAGAATGAAGCTATTGTAGATTGAGAAGCGATGTATGGGGTCAGAAGAATGATGGGCGTCCGCCGAGAAGAGAACCTTTGAATCGGAAGACTCGTTACTAAAAGTGGCTATTCCTCTTCGAGACAGCACGCGCCACATCAGCCACACAAATCCCTGTCGCCGATACGGAGCTGCATGCTGCATACAATAAATTTTTGGACTGCATGTGAACAGTCACAATTGCGACATATACCCCGAATTCATTCTCCCTCTCTTTGCAGCATCTGACATGGCGTCCACAAAGAAGGTAGCAGAGAACATGCTCTGGGGAGGCCGATTCACGCGTACGTTCACCTCAATTGTCCTTATCTCCCATAGATCATGGAGCTTTGAAGGCTTGATCGTTGACAGCTATACAGAGGGCCTCGACCCCGTAATGGAGCAGTACAATGCCTCGCTCCCCTATGACCGCCTTTTCTACGCCGAAGACATCGCCGGCTCCATCGCATTTGCGCGCGCCAATTTTAACAACGGAATCCTGACCGAGGACGAATTCGCTGCCATTGAGAAGGGATTCGCGCAGATCAAGGAAGAGTGGGCATCGAACACATTTGAGATCAAGGAGAACGATGAGGATATCCACACAGCGAACGAGAGGAGGCTGAGCGAGATCATTGGGAAGGAGATTGGAGGCAAGCTGCATACGGGACGCAGCCGCAATGAGCAGATTGCGACGGATATGCGATTGTGGCTGAGGGAGCAGTTGAGGATACTGGAGGGGTATTTGGCGCAGTTGGTTAAGACGAGTGTGCAGAGGGCGGAGGCGGAAATTGATGTGCTGGTGAGTAGCTACTATGAATCCTCACAACTCTCACCAAATCCGATGTGACCTTTGGAGTATACTAATCTTCTATGTAGATGCCCGGCTATACCCACCTCCAAAAGGCCCAACCCGTTCGTTGGTCCCACTGGCTCCTCTCACACGCAACCGCCTTCTCCTCCGAGCTCGAACGCCTCCGCGAAGTAATCAAGCGCGTGAACCGCTCGCCGCTCGGTTGCGGCGCCCTCGCCGGCAACCCCTTCAACATCGACCGCCATGCCATGGCCAAGGAGCTCGGCTTCGAAGGTCTGCTCCCCAACTCGCTCAACGCCGTCGGAGACCGCGATTTCGTGTTTGAGACAATGCAGTGGGGCTCCAGCTTTATGCTCAAGATCTCTCGATGGGCTGAGGACCTGATCATCTACTCGAGTTTGGAGTTTGGCTTCGTGAGGCTTGCGGATGCGTATAGCACGGGAAGCAGTCTGATGCCACAGAAGAAGAACGCCGACTCGCTCGAGCTGATAAGGGGCAAGTCAGGGAGAGCGTTCGGGCATATGGCTGGTCTATACTGCACGATTAAAGGCCTCCCAACGACCTACAACAAGGACCTGCAAGAATCGGTCGAGCCCCTCATAGACCACATTAAGACCGTCGGCGACTCGATGCAGATAGCTACCGGCGTCCTGTCAACGCTCACCATCAACTCTGAGAAGATGAGAGCCGCTCTCGCACCCGAAATGCTCGCCACCGAGTTTGCAGACTATCTTGTCCGAAAAGGCGTCCCATTTCGAGAAGGCCACCACATTTCCGGCCGCGTCGTCGCTCTCGCGGAGGATGAGGGTGTACCCATGGACAAGCTCAGCCTTGAGCAGTTGAAGGGCATCGACTCTCGACTGGGAGACGATGTGGTTGAGTGTCTGGACTACGAGCGCGCTGTCGAGCTCAAGAGCGCCACGGGAGGAACGAGCAAGAGCGCGGTCATGGAGCAGATCGAGCTCCTGAAGAAGCAACTTTGAGCATCTTCCTATGCGAGAGGAGTGTCATGAGGAGGTTACTTTAGTAGACGCAGCGAACCTTCGGCGTTCCCGGTATCAAAAGTTTTGTCGTTTGATTGCCGTGTGTGGGATAGGGGGAGCTTCCGGTCCCGAGTAGCGAGCGCTATAAATGTACGAATACATACCCTTCTATCTTCCACGCAGTTCCACAAGCTTAGAGAGTTTGCGAGAGCGTGTAGTCACCAGTATACAGGGACCCAGCCTCGAAAGCTTCGTCAGCGTGACCATTTACTTTAATCCTTCTATGCATTCATCGCTACAGAAGGCCATAAGATAGGCCGATCGCTCTTTTACGCCTTACATATTCAGGAAGCACATTTTCCCAGCCGCAGATCTAAGGATCAGAAATTGGATTTCCTATTTCATCACTGCTCGGTTCTCTTTTCCTCCTTCCTGCATCCTGAAGCGTCACCGAAACCGGCGATCGTCTACCGTACTAAGTTGATTCCCATAATTCTTGTAGGGAAGGTGCGGATATCGTAGAGAAGACAGATTGATACCACACATGAGCATCAGAAACCACGGATCAGCATACCATCACGATTCCTCCAAAGAGGTTTTCGAGACGAAAAGCCACTCGCTGCGCGGATCAGCCGCTCAAGCCGGGATGACGGCAGAGGCGGCGCCGGCCTAATGCGGCGCCTGCGCATCATGACATCCTTCATGCATACCACGTGGAGGCGCGTACGCGTGCATTCGCAAGCCCAAGGCTCACCGCTGGACTCGGTTCTAGTGTTTCACAGCCGCGATTGGACTGAGATGGCCCGGGACGGAGTAGCGGGCGTCGACGGCGAGAGACTGAGGCCACCGACATCACTATCGGCTGATAGTGGTATGTGAGGCCAAATGGATTGAGACAAGTGTAGAGCTTTTCACGGTGAAACTGGATTTTTGGATACAGTGGGATTACTCTTATTGGACGGTGCCCTGCATATCACGAGGCTGGCTAGGCTGGAATGTTTGGAGCGCGAGAATACTTGCTGTGAGAACTCCATTTTCCTGGAAGCGGTTTTTCATAATGGAAATGAATCAAGTTGCTTCTATCGACTTGGTGGTGCTGGAGAATGGGCGGTGACGGAATGCTAGCTTCGGCGGTCGTCATGGCTTGTGATGCTGGGCAGCAACGTGCGAGGTTGTTTGATGGCCACTAGAGCTGTGACAGTCGTGACAGCGAAACGGGATTCCGTTAGAACAATCCCGGGGTAATAAGTATCAGATATTATTTCCGTAACTTCGCACCCCAAAAGAAGAGCGTCCTCTCGCCGTTGAGCGCTTAGAGTTGCACGGACAATATCTGGGACCAGCATTCGGCGCGCTCGGAAGACTTCTTGTGCGCGGCTACGGAGCCGGAGGGTCAACGACTGGATGGCAGCGAAAGCAGGCCGACCCCATGAGGGAGAGGTCACAGTCATGCGGCCCATTCGGTGATGATATCCTGGTGTGCGATCCCTCAGATCGCGTTTGATCTTTCCTTGCCTGCCACCGCGCTGCACCTTGCCCATGACGAGTGCAGCAGAGCTAGCACCAAGCAAGAATAGCTGCGGCAGTGGGTGAAGCTTAGCCTTCGGCACGTCGCACGCATGCTGCTGTGCTGCTGTGCTGCTGTGAATGCGAGCAACAAGCGATGGGTTGGCAAGCGAATAGTCTTCCTCTTAAAAAGTGGACTTCACAAGTACATATGCTGCACAGCAAGCGTGTTTCCATAGGAGCGCTCCAACGCCGGCCAATCAGTGAATGCGCGGGCGTTTTGTCGTGGACGTGTCGTCAGCCGCTAGCGCGGAGCCAAAAAGTACCTTCTTTGGGAGGTGCAAGGGCTTGCCCTTTTCCCCAGCGATGGGGATCCGCGCCCACCCTTAAACCGCTCATTCTGTCGCTACAGTACAGGCTTCTTTCCCTCTCCACTCCCTCGCTCGCTGCCCACCCGTCGCGCCCGCTCCTCTCCCGCCGCCCGACCGAGCGATGCAACCTTCACTCGCTGTCCTGCTTCGCTAACGCGTGTGTCCCGACTTTTGCGACCGACCGACCCTCGATATTGCGACCCAACATCGATATCCTACCGAGACAACGCCAATTGGCGCCCCAGAGCTGGACTGAGAGCTAGCTTTACGTCTGCAAGGCCCATAACGTTCGTTCCGGAAGAGCCGGCCCATAGCGACCATCGGCGTACATCATACACGCTTGGCATCCAAATTCGGAGGCTCGCTGCCGTTTGTTTTACTGTATGCCCGCAACCAGACGACTATCTCGACAGCACAAAAATACATAGGCCGTTGAAGCTTCCCGTCGCCCTCGGGGGCAGCTCAACCCGCGAAAATGACGCCCTCGCTATCTCGACGCTCGCCATTCGCGCTCCTGCTCGTGGTACTGTCCTTCATCACTTCCACCCTCGCTGTCGACAAGCCGAAATACGTTACTGCGACAATCGACGGAGAGCAGGTCCTCGTGAAGGACAACAGGCAACCGGCGCTATACACTGGCAATTATGGGGATTGTATGGGCGGTAGCAGCATCAATGTCACCCGCTTTGATGCGGCGTACTACAAGGACAACATGACAGTTCTCTTCCATCTTGGAGGAGAGACGGCTCTGAAGAATGAATCAATAATGAGTATGCGTTTCGGTCGTGAGTCGTCCAGAGGCAATGGCTAACAATCGCTAGTGTACATCGGTGTCTTCGCCTACGGTGAGAGCCGGTTCGATCTGACTTTCAACCCATGCAGTGCGAACATCTACAGCGCATGTCCGATAGAAGCTGGAACTCCTATCGAGGCGAACGGCATTATCCCCATCAGCCAGAACGACGTCGCTGGCATCATTCCGCTCGCATTGTCCATCCCGGACTTTGAAGGAGAGGCCATTCTGAGGATCTTCTCCAATTCCACCCAGACTGAGATTGGATGCTACTCTGCGATTGTTACCAACGGCAACACCTTCTCCCAGCCAGAATCTGTGGGCTCGATCCTTGGCATATTCACCTTCGTGGCTGTCATCTCGTCGTTTGCTACTGCCATATACGGCGACAACATCCCCGAGATGCGCAAGCACTACGCCCATTCGCTTTCCGTTCTCGTGGTGTTCGCTGTGTGGCACCATATCTACTTCAGTGGCGCCCTCTCAATGAACTGGCCTAGCGTGTTGGTTGCCTTCTGGAGTAACTATGCGTGGGCCGGAGGCATGATCTACTCTGAAGCCATGCAGAATTCGATCAACAACTTCATCGGTTCGAACAAGGGCAATACCACCGCTGTAGGCGCAGCAGGGACGGGCGATTCCAATCCTGGGCTTGGAGGCGGATATGACATCCACCAAATCTACAAACGAGACGTCTTTCCCAAGGCCTTGAACATCCCCGGTCTAATGCGACGGAGCAAGTACAACCGTGTGGCTCGGCATCTGGAGAAGACTCTGGCGAAACGAGAACTTGTGAACTCGACCGACGGTTTCTCCTGGTATGGAAATCCCGTCAAGCCAGGCCTTCCGCTGCCTGGCAATTACTCCGGCTTCGCCGGTACTCTTGCGCAAGAGAGTATTCCAGCCTCGAATGCCTTCATGACTGGCTTCCTTTGGTTTCTGGTTTTGCTCGGCATTGTGGCTTTCTCGGTCATTGCTTTCAAGTTCGCTCTGGAAGGTCTCAGCAAGACAAAGCTCATGAAGAACGACCGATTGGCTTTCTTCAGAGCCCACTACCTAGGATACACCGCACTGGCTGTTCTCCGCACGCTCTTCATTGGGTTCTTCATGCTCATATTTCTCACACTCTTCCAGTTTGCCTACCTGGCGTCAGCTGGCCCAGTTGCAGTAGCATGCATTGTGTTCCTAATCATGCTCATCGGCGTGGGTGGACTTGCTGTGTATGCTTGCTTCTACAGGATCAAGTTTGGCAGTTACGTTTCGGAGCCAGACCGCTTGAACATTGAGAAGAGGAGGGTTCTAAGAGTCATCCCTTGGTACGGGTTCTCACGAAACAGCGAGTTTCCCCGATCCGAGGACAAGGCTTACGCGGGATCTTTGCCGTGGTGGTCAGTACGTGGCGCGTCCGAGGAGAAGTCCATTCATGACGACGAGGAATTCACGAAGAAGTTTGGATGGCTCGCTTCCCGCTTCCGCAGGACCCGCTGGTGGTTCTTCACTGTATGGCTTGTGTACGAGTTTGTCCGAGCTTGTTTCCTCGCTGGAGCTTCAACTCAACCTATGGTTCAGGTGTTCGGCCTCCTGGTCGTGGAGTTCATCGCATTCATCGGCATCATCATTATGCGGCCCTTCGAGGGCCAGCGCCTGAATGTCATTGTGGTTTATCTCCTTGGATTCAGCAAGGTTGCCACGGTCGCACTCTCTGCGGCGTTCGATACCAGATGGAACATTCCGCGGATTCCTGCGACGGTCATTGGCATCGTCATTATCGTCATTCAAGGCGTTCTCACCATCATCGTCATGATTGCAATCATACTGGGAGCCATTACCAGTTACATGTCAGTCATGCGAAACCGCGAGACGATCAAACCGAAGCGATGGGTCCCGATCCGTGAGAAGTACTTCAAGCATATCGATTTCAAGGAGAAGGACATACCACGCCCACCGTCTCCTCCCCCGCCAGAGCCAGAACCAGAGCCTGAGCGGCCCAAGGTTCCTTACTTCAGCGTGAACTCCTTTAGGAGGATGGCCAAGATTGAAGACGAGGATCCCGAATTCATGAACGAGGTCAACGGTGACTTTGCGGCATCCCAAACTTCCCTGCAAGGAATTAGAGAAGGTATGGTTGGAACGCCAGGTCAACACAGCAGGGCACCCAGCATCCGGTCACAGATGTCTTACTCTAGCCTCCCGTATGGCGCCCGCGTTCATCGAGCGAGCTGGAGCACTCAAGACTTTACCGAACAGTACGCTCCCGGGCGACGGCGGACGATAAGCAATTCCATGAACTACGCTCCGGTGGGGGGTATAAGCCGACCAGCGAGTAGGACTCTCCCTGCTATCAACACTCGCTTCGGAGGCAGTAGTGAGAACATGAATCGTCATCCGAGTCCGCTCAGTACCACTCGACCTATCACGCCAACATCCCCTGCACCCGGTGGCGACGCGAGCCCGATTTCTAGACCGAAAAGCAAGCCTAACATGAGATCGAGGCCCCAGCTACAGACCCTAGCCAGCGAGCACGGGATCCCTCCGCTACCACAGACCAGGAACGCGAGGGAAGTGGCGAATCCAGGAGTCGCCGAATGAGGAAGACATGTACCGCAAAGTAATAATACCGGGGATATTCTCACCAAGCAGCTTTTGACAAGCTTTACGAAGTAACGATACGAAATCCATAGGCTCAAGCCATATCGCGCATAGCCATACCGGGTCAGCATCGGCGTTAATGGACAGCATTTCGGGCGGATATCCAGCATTCAGCATTTAGCGTTGCATGACACTCTCACTCTTTTACGACTACGGACTCAAAACGAGTCATCTACATTCCTTTTCCATCCCCTTTGAATGGCATCAGACTCATCTGCATCCGACTCCGCGACGGACGTCTCGGGCGCTGTGGGATAATTACGACAGCATCATGCTGGGTATTTGATAGGCTGGGAGTCAGGTGCGGTGGAGCTAATAAGGCTTGTACATAGTGACCAGGCCTGTATGATAGTACTGAGCAGATATCTTGAAGAATGAATAGTTCATCTCACCTATTGTATGCTCTTCGTTGTGTTTTGTATCGTGCTGTGTATCATTTCAGGAGCCTTTCGTTCGATGTATGAGCAGCCTTTCTTGCAAACGTAGTCTTGCGGCAAAATCTCCGGACCATGGAACCTTAATGCCGTCTCGCTTCGTTCCATACAAGCGGTAATTGCATCCGCCTCCACGTGTAGAAATTCCTCGACTAGCCCTGGAGGACGACGACACCGCAATCTCAAAGAGCCGCACATTCCAGCATCTCCCAGGAAACCGCTCGAACGATAGGTCCTGCGATGACAGCATGTCCAATCTCCTCCCGTGTCGTACAAGATTTCGATTCCCCTGACCCTGTTCCTGCCCTGTTTTTCCACCCCTGCTCAACCTGTGGCGTCACGCACCTCTCATAAATATGTAAAAACCGTTCTAAGACTTCGGTTCTTGGGGTTCGCCCTCGCTCATTCAATCAGCGTCTCCGATAGAGAACTGCTGTGGCTGATGCGCTGGCTACGTCACGGTGAATTCACCCGTTCGGGAAATCTGAGCTTGCACAGACTTCCCGGGAGGACAAACGGATATGCAACGCCTATGGGTTTAGATGGGCGGAGGTGTGACGTCTGGTTGGTACGATAAGGCCAGTCCCGCCTCCTTCTACTTTGCTGGGCTGCCCAGGTGAGAGCCGAGTGAACTCATCACGGCATTTCTATCCAGTGCGGCTTACCTATTCGGCATCAGCAGATGTCGATACCTGCGCCGCATCTCGATCGTGAGAGGTTCCAGCCACAGCGCATCGTTCCGCATCGGGGCGCGATGACGTCGAGCAGCGAAATAAGCTTGTGGCGCGTGTGGCGCATGACAGGCAGAACGCGGGCGGAGCAGGGAACATCGCTGCGGGCTTGGCTCGATTGGGACGGGCGACGGCTATCACTGCCTGATGGGGGGACGTCAGACAAAGCAGCAGGTTTTGGCAGCGTTTGCGGGACGCACTGACGATGATGGGATTTTGCGGTTGGCAATCAGCAATGGCGTCTGCAGGCGCGTGCGTGCGCTTGCCGAGATTGTGCTTGAGTGTGGGCGTGACGTCAGGTGTAATTTGGGGAAGGAAGGCGCTTTGTTTATAAGTGAGGTGACCTTCCGCCAGGCTCGTGTGCTACAAAACCTACCATCTGCATACCCCCCCTTCGACCTGACACCTGCAACCCACCGAAGAACAAACATTCGAGCTACGAGGTCCATTGCTTGAGAACACAAGCTCACGGTATGTCCATCCAACTCATCGACCGCCGCCCGCCGATGAAAAAGAAGCTCAATCAATACTAACAGCCCTCGCAGAAACATCTCACACCCAACCACCACACAACCAAGCCAACCCCACGCAAAACTACCACACACCACTACCGTCAAAATGGGCGCCGTAGTATCCTGCGTACGCTATCCCCCTCTATTCCCACCTCCACCCTCCCGCGTCCGCTAACCTCAATTCCAGATCAAATCCATCCTCCGCACAATCGGCAACTGCCTCATGGCCATTGTGCACGCCATCGGCGCTGCCTGCATGGCCGTTATCAACGCCATCGTCGCCCTCTTCGACATCATCATCTCGTGCCTGACGTGTGGCCGTGGCGGCAGCCGGCGTCGCGGCATGAAGACGAGGGCCCATCATACGAGTAGAATCTAGTAGGCACCCGTCTTGTCTGATTCCTTGCTGAGCAGCGTGTTTAGCGAGGAGGATGAGGCGGGAGCTGCGCGTCTGAGGGGATGAGGCGCGTGTACCATGATTGAGCCTCTGCGGTTGAGGAGGTGCAAGTTTCTCGATTATTGCGATTTTTCCTAATACCCGGGGTTGAGCATGGGGAGGATGAATGCATTACTTCATGACGATCGAGATGTATAGATACCCCGCTGTTTGAATCGATTCATTCAACTGCAACTTTCATGTCAACTTGCTTGCGAATCGTGATGATACTGATACCACGAGGAAGATTCGTTTGTGATATTGTCTTACCATAGCCACACCTATTCAACCGAGGATATTGTGATACGCACTCCTGACGGAATCGGCGCAGATCCTATGACCTTGCCCCTCATTCCTTTCGGCCCAGCGCAGCGGTATATTCCGAATCGACCCTTTCGCAATGCCATTGCTGTATATGTCGACTATGTGGGTAGGATGTAGCTAGGGAAGTCCGATTATATCGCAGCTTCTCAGGGCCTTCGATTGCGCCTTTCATCACGTCGAGGTATCGATTGCTCATTCTCTCCACATGATGCTTCTTCATCCAGAGACGGGGAATGTCCCCTTTGCCCTCACGCAAAGCGTTCCGCTCAGATCTTCAAGCGTGGCATTGATAACCACAGAGCTCTCAGCCTCGGCGCGTTGTGTCTTCTTCGTAAGGTCTTTCCACGACGGTAGCCAGGACTTTGCGGGCGCGGGCTCTGGGTCTGGTGGCGGAGCGAGCTGGGGTAGATTGGGCTTTGCGAAGGATGCGCGGAGGACGTAGAAGTTGGTGTTGTTCGTGGGTTTGGCGTACGTTACGCTCATCGAGGTTGGGCGAGCGATTGAGTCTGCAGCTCCACATGAGCGAACCGCTCTTCACTCGCACCAGGACTTGAAAGCAACAGATGATACCTACCAATAGACACATTCGGCCCTGCAACCATCCTACTCATCGCATCCTCAAATATCGTTGCAATAGCCCCTCCATGCGCCAGCCCCGGCCACCCACTTAATGAACTCCCAATCCACACCACCGCCACCAGCTCTCCCGTCTCCGCGTTCCAAAACGCACGCTGCACGCCCAGTCCCTTGAATCCCGCCATGCTCTCGCCCGTCAATGTCCTTGTCTTCTTTCCCCAATCATCTTTCGACTCGGTGATGTGCCGCTTGATGTCGAGCTCCACCCAGCCTACGTGTGCCGCCACTTTTCCGGCCTCGGGGAGCGGTGTATCGGAGTGGAGATGGTAGGTTTGTGCGCGCATGGACTTGACGACCGGGAGCGCGTCGATGTCGGCGGAGAGGGCTTGGAGCTCGAGCTCGTCTTCTTGCGTGCCGGGGAGAGGGAGAGGGGGTGGGGAGGCGAAGTTGCGGACCATGTAGCCGAGATACGCGCTCGTTGTGAGGACGAGACCATACCACATGTAGGAGGAGCGGAAGCGGCGGCGTTTCGGGGGTGCTGGTGTGGGGGAAGCCGCGGTTTGGGCGAAGCGTTGGTGCCATTTCGATGGGTATCTTCGAGGGATGCGTATTTGCCGGAGGAAGGGAGAGCGTGTGCGAAGCATGGTGGGCAATTGCAGCTAGCAGGGTGGCTAGGTGGGTGTGAACGTGGGAGAGTTGAGGCTTGATCGGAGGTGGGCCTTCATGACCGAGGCTCGTGATTCTTGGCATTGAGCACCGTACTTTACACCAACCATGTTTTCTCCCTCAAACACTGAATTCCATTCGAAATTCATGAGCTGCTTCAGATAATACAAATGATGTCTCTTGTTGCCTTCCTTATTGCAGATGCTCCGAGTCAACAAACCGCGACTTATTCAATCCATCCCAATGCACAATCTGCAGCTCCTTGAGATTCACATCCTTGAACATGCGCACCTAAACTATGTCAGCCATCCTTCTCGGACGGCGAACGGGTAGAACAACTCACGTTGACTGGAAATATATCTGGACTTTCTCCAAACTCCGGCATTCTCGGATCGAAGAACACCGAGCTCCCACACCTACCACAGAACAGATGCCGGTTCCTCTTGATACCGAACGAGTACGACTTCAGCGCCTCTTCACCGCTCTTTATGTCCACCTGTTCGCGTAGCGGATACACTAGTAGGTAACCATTTCGAGAACAAATGGAGCAGTTACACTCGACGACCTTCTGTTTGGCAAGAGGAGGGGAGAGCGTTACGGTGTACTGAACGGTACCGCAGTGACAAATGGCAGAGTACGTTTGCGAATCTGAAGGATCGAAGGTGGGAAGGTGCGGGAATTCTTCGTTACTCATTGTCGCTGGAGTGAGGCGAACAGAGGCCGTTGATAATAGTATAGGTCGGTGTTACTCGAGTAAGTGCACTTTGTGGCCTATATCAGAGCTTATATAGACTTACTTGGATTAAGGCAACAACAGTCTTGCGACGACGTTTTACTGTAGCGGGCTTCCGAATGACTGGCAGATATCGCGCTTGGCTGCATTGCATATGTCTCCGGCTTCTCTCCGAGATCCGAAATCCGACGGCTGATCTCCGCATCCCTCACACATCAATCCGTCGACGAGGGAATGAGCAGACCTATCGTGCTACCCAAGTCAGAGGAACTAGGAAAGAGGATATGCCGTCTCGTTACTCCATGAGCGGAGCATAATCCTTCTTCAACTCACGATATCCCTAGAAATGGAATTGGCTCGAGCCCCTATCCCTTCAACGCTGCGACCAATGCGATGCCAATGTGCGATTATGGAATCAGATATATCTCGCACAGGAGCTAGATTTCGTAACACAAGCCAATCATCTGCCCACTGCTGTTCAACGCCCGTCCTAACGCCTGCGCATGTTCCACCGCTTTCGCCCGTCTAGCGCGACACCTCCACCGATCCTGTACCTCTGCTACACCAGAGATTCTGTCCGACGACGAGACGCGTCACTGGGTTCTCCAGCTCTGCGTTCCACACGGTTTGTGCGACTAACATCGCCGCGCTCTCCGATTGGTGTCTCACTCCGGAGACGCTATGCCTTTGGGGATTCTCCAAGGGAGCGGATGTGTGTCGTACTGACGTTGAACTAGCGCCGGACTTAAGGCTAGGTTGCCTGGCTTTGGGATGGAGGGACAGACTAACGTAGCGTTGGACCGAGGGATACCGTGTGGCAGGTTACAGGCTGAGGTCTGTGCGAGGTTTGATGAGGGAGGCGCTTGACGGATGGATCGCTGGGATTTAGTCGGCGCTTATGGGAGGAGAGATCCTGTTTCTTGTGAGTGAGATCTGGATCATGCTTTGACTAGTTGATCTTCCAGAAGAGTAGCTTGAACCCAGGACCGATTGCTTAGTCATCCCCCTTTCTCAAACCCCCACGAGTCTGATGAGTAGGTCGATGTTGACTTTTCTACGTTCTCTATTATATAACGCATCATTAACGCATCGTATCCAGATCGAGGGCCATCAGGGCGGAAACTTTCTGCTGTTCGGTATCCACCACCGGTATCCCTTGATAATGATGATCATCGGCTTCATCACCATGTCTCTCTCTTTGTTCTTCATCTCATTATCTTCTCACATCAGTCACGCTTCTGGGGTATAAATTTCCCCTCCTACACTTTGCTCTCTCCTCACTCTTCTCCGCCGTGCATTCCGCTCTAAAAGTGAGAGGGAAACTGAGTTATGGCCCTCTGTTCCCGGTCTCTGAAAACGCGGTCGACAGGGACGTATGTCTTCGCGCCTTTTCCGCAAAAGCATGGAGACGACTTCCATGGGTCCTCTCCTTGCGAGCGCAAATGACGCCTAAAAGCCATCCGCATCATGTATAAATGGACTGAGGCTCCGTCGTTGAGCTACGATATCCAAATGGCAGAAGAAGGCTCTCATGGCGGCAGCCTTCGCGGCGACTTGCAAGTCCCCACCGAACTAGCATTCCAAACTCAATTGGAGAAATGCAATGTCTCTCTCTCTTCTCGGCCACCGCGGATATAAAAGGCCAAGGTCTCACTTCCCTACACGAATTCATCTTCAAGGCGCTTCCCTCGGTACTAAAACATTCTTTCGAGATCCACATGTGGAGCTGCACCGTTGCCTTCTTTTAAGCTATCCAAATAGCCTTCAAAGATATCTATGGCGCTTTGTTGGTCCCGCGGGACACCAAAATACTCTTAACAACTCTCGATGGGGGCGCGGAGAGAGCAAATCCGCAAGAGCAAGAAGAAATGCCGGGATTGTCGTGAGATCTTCAACAGCACCATATGCGGAACTTATGCAGGGGGAGCACCGAAAACGTTGTCGACCGAATGAGCATGAGGAGCCGGAGGGACATCGCGGCAACGAAGTCTATCAGCACCCCATAAAGATATTTGCAAAGTACTCATGTGCTCGGAGGCAAGTGCTTCTCTTTGACCGATGTGGTCCGCGCTTCGCGGACGATACGTCTATATAAAGCTGCCGTCTTCCCACTTTCTTGCCTTCCCGCCTGGTACGCGGTCTCACTGAACTCTAAAATAATGCCACCAACCCTTCGATGTCTTGGTCGGCGGTTCGGCTGCGGATGACTAAAAACGCGGTCCCTGCAGTACATGAACCACTCCTCTTCTCTCGCGCTGCTCGCATCTCTCTAAAACGGCCGAAAAAGTGAGCGATGCGGTAGAATGTAGATCGTGACCTCAGCAATCTGATGTGGAGACTCTGCGCGTTCGCGTCCGAAGGAGCAACGAGCATGGTGATGAAGTGACGCACTTGGGGATGCCGTCACCATCAGCGGGGGAGGATGGTAGTGCCGATAAGACGCATCTGGATGTACCTCTTCTGGAGTCTCATTTGGCGCGTGATCTCTCCACTCTATCTAAGGCGGAATATTTAGGTATGTCTCTTGTTGAGTGTGATGGACGGATTGGAGACGGACGGGGCTGGAAGTGGCAGGGGAAGGGTAGAGGGGGACATGCGATATCCAGGGGAGTGCTACGTGCGCTCTTTGCATGGAGATTAAAAGTCTAAAGCTCTTCGTGGTAGTTGATAATATCATCAACCTCGCTTCGTGCGGAAGACGGGTGCGTGATTCTCCGCCTTCTTCCCTCAACGAGTACATAAACCCTGGCACTTCTACCGTTTCCTTTCCCCACACCTTTGAGCTTGACTCTCTAAAAAGAACAGGAAGCGAGGGCAATGTCTAAAAGATCAATTTCCCAGAGGCTATGTTTGCTCTCCTCCTCCGCCTGCTGGCTTCATGGAGCACGCGCCTTTCTTCGTATAGAAAAGAGCATATGTTTTGATAAGAGCTACCTCTTTTGTAGAAGTGCATAGGAATTATATATCTTTCCTTTCGTAGTGCGGAGACGTGAACGAAAGCAACCAAAGCATTGAAGCTTTAAGGCGGAAGGCGGAAAAGATGAAGATGTGGAAGCCATCTTTTTGGACAGCACACCACGCCCGAACTCTGCGAGGAGAATTAGGGAAGTACAGTGCTCCGTTGGTAAATTGGGCACCCTCCCCTTGGCAAGTCCCAACACATGGGAATGCTTTGTTCATTCTTTTCGCGCCGCGACCGGCTTCGGCAGGCTTTGACTCTAAAGTGATTCCTTAGCCATGAAAATTTCACCGAAACATGAAGTCCCCAACATATTGGGTAGCATTTTCGTTTCAGATGCGTCCTACAACATTGCCGGCAAACGCTCGTCTTTGGACGGCGACTCCAAAGCCGTGGATCTTCTCAAAAATTGTTTTAGTCTCTTTCCCGAAGCCAGAGGTAAGTGGGTAGAAGACGGAGTGATGAAAGGGGACATGGGGTTTATATATAATTTTTCCCCGCTACCACGGAAACGGAACAAAAAGATACCGTGAGGACGCTGACGGATGGGCTGGTCGCTTGTTGGGACTGATGACGGCGTACGACCGTTGCAACCGTGGAACCAAAGTATAAATTGGTTCCGCGCACCCGCGAACTTCCTTTCTTCTCTCACACACGCACTCCTCCGAATCCTGGAATAAAATTATGAAAGCCGGAAGGGCATGCGGACTCGCAGTGCGAAAGCTTCTAAAACCATTATTCAACAAGTTGTATGCTTGGCCTCCTGTCTGCACGGGAACTTCAAGGCTCTTCCACGGAAATGGGACATCGTACACAAACATGCTTTCCCAGCCACCGCGTCTGCGAGGAAACAAACTACAACACTGTCGGAACATGGGAAGACGGATCGCTGCTTCTGGGCTCTAGTCTTGCTCCCGCCATTCCTTCCAGATTCAGCTCTTAGCGCACTCTGGAAGCTCCCATCAAAACATCCAAATCCATTCCTTTGTGATTGTATGCTCGGAATTCCTCTCTCTGGTCACTAAAGAGCTGTCGACAATTTGGATGGACTTTCCTCATTCTTTCCTCGAAGCCCGTCCCACTGGATGGATCACGTCTAAAAGCCGATGACATTCGAAGTCATGTGCGAACCCTGGACGCACTCCGCTCGCCATGAAGCGTAATACGCTTCCTCGATATACAGGGTTTCGTTGAGCCCGAAAACCTCGCACGTCTTTTCTCCCTGCTAAAATTCAGCGGCTGCACTCTGCATGCCTGGCGTCCCTCTATGCTCTTCACTTATCGAGCCCTTTGAAAAGCTCCTCAGTAGCTGAGCTGATAAGCTCCATCTTGTGATCCTGTAGTCATAGAAAACCTATGTCAAGCACAGCGCCTGTCTCACGGAAAAGGGCAAGAGTCAGTCACATGTGCTGGATCGCCTCTCATCGCGAGCTGCAAAAAACGAAAAGCTGGGATCCTGGAATGCATGGTGCCGCCGTCAAGCTCATCTAACACGTCTAAAAGCATACCTCGAGCGCATTCATGCCCCCGGCCTCGAGCAAAGCTAAAGTCCCATGAACTCTACAATGCCACCGACCGCGCATCGATGAGCTCTTCCTCGCTCCATCCTCCTTCCTCCCCCAGAGTCTACTCCCACCGCACTGCCCTAAAAGGCACCTCACGTACAGTCATGCCCCTGCGAATCGAAGCGACCAAACCAGGCGAGACCAGCGTGTATGCCCTGCCCTGGCCCGCCTTTCTGAACTGCTAAAAGGCAATGACCCCCACAGCGATGTTATTTCGATGCCACTCGACCGAAAACCACAGCACGTTTCTCCCATGCTTGCCTCGCTCTCCCGCTTCCTCTTTCTCCAAAACAAAACCACAACTAGCTAGCTAGCATGACCTGACTGGATGTCATCCATCCGGGGCCCCGCCCCTCACCACATCTCCTCTCCAAACTGTCGAACTCTAACCGCAATGTTGCTCCTACCATGCGATACGGTACAATACGGCCTCCGCAGACCAGATGAGATGAGGAATACCATGCACATTCAGACCACCATGCCACACCCCAGACCACTACATTGTATGTCTAGTTAAATTCCGCCCAGCTAAGAACTACGGACCGGCGCTGGCGCGGAGGCTTGCACACCTTCCCTTGTCCTCTGTCTCGGGTCCGGGGCTAATACTACCGCAAAACCAATTCGCCTCTCCAGAACTGCCGCCAGGTATGTTCATGTCCCCAGCGTTGTGCCGCACTAAATCAGAATCCGAGGCAATCGATGTCTGCATCCGGACCCCTCGCTTGCGGAAACAGGTCCAGATTACGGCGGTGTGGACTCTCTCTGCTCTCCCAAACCACCGAGGACGCAGAGATGTGGCGTTGCTCGGGAAGGGAACGAGGCGTAGAGTATGCGAGATGCCGTGCTGTGTTGTTTGTCGAATTCAAAAGCCTAGCCAGGAATCTCTATGGCGGGGAGCGGAGAAGAGAAGAGGCGTCCAAAGAAGCTTCGAAGAAAGCGGTATGGAGGATCAAAAGCACGAAGGAGGCGCGCGATCTGGCAGCGGAAAGGCGGGGCAGAATGCCAGTATGGGAGTCTATCTACGTGCGCTGCTGGGCGTTGCTGGTCGAATGAGTTGAGGAGGAGAGCGAGAGGGGAGACGGTGATCATCATCACGATGAGAAGGTGAAGCGCAAGAGCCAGGCTAGAAGAAGGGTGGTATTCAAGCTATTCAATTCATGACAACTATAAAAGGCTATTGGGGTGCGTCGAGGGCTTCAGTCCCTTCCGCCATATGTAAACGTCCACCGAGCAGCATGTTCCGTACCAAAGCCGCACCCCGAAGACCCCGTGTGCAGGTTACGACAGACTTGTGGTATCGGTGAACTGCCTTGAATGCTTCGACCGTTGTATGGAGATGCGCAAACTAATTGCGTAGCGGAGAGAAGACTCGTTCGGTTACCTCGCGGTCGAAATGGCGAGAAAGCAGATCTTCAAGCGCCTGGCTCCGAACCAAGAAAGCGCTGTAACGAGGAACACAAGTCCTATTGGAAGGATGGGCTGTGCTCTGCTTCCCCATGGAAACAATAGTGGGCGAATGACCATGAAGCCATTCAAGCGAGCATGCGGCATCGAAGTACCTTCTCAACGGACCTTGGGCGGCGCGATGAGGCTCTGCAACAATTAGCAAGTATCTTACCTACCGCGTCGCCTCCTGGGAGGCTGAGTACACCCGAGTACGTTGCCAACTGTCGTTGTCTCGGTATAGTGCAACCGTAACATAACCCATCCCATCTAGGAAGGTCGCAAGTTTGTCGCCCGATGCGACCGCATCAGGAACGATCGAACCCGTCCTTGTCATCGGCGAGAACTTGCGATCGGTAGAGCGGAATCAGGTAGGTATTCTGCGACCGACGCGTCCCGACCGTAGGTGATGTGGGGCTCTGTCGGGCGTCTTCACCGCGAGAACCCATATAAGCTGAGTATGCGCTGGCGACCCGAATGGTGTTTATGACTTGTCAAAGTGCTCGTTGAGGCTAAATGGTGTGCTTTAATGTGGTAAGACGCTGCGAGCGAGCTGGAAAGGGAAGTGTGTGTGATCCGGTTCACCGCTGGTGTAGTCCTTAAGGATGTCGCGCATGAACAGGGTCCTTAACATAGCAGTCAGCGACAGCGAGAAGGCAAATGCTCTTGAACACCCGCCCGCGTTTTGATCCGCAATTTCTCGGTCGCCCGGGCGGTAGCCGCTTGGCGAATGGTCGTATTCTAAACACGGCAATTTCAATCGTGGTCAAATCTGTCCTTTGTTAGTATACTGCTTATTGCAAACCCAGCAAATAGTAACAGAACATACCAACATTCTATGGGTAATTCTCCTAGCTATACCTTGGGGCGGCTAAGATGCCCAGACAGGTATATCCTAGCCCCATCCCCAGATCCGCGCCATATCGATTGCAACACGAGGCGTATTCTTATTCTGAGGTAAGAGATGAGTCGCGTAGTTAGTCCAGCGTGATTGCCCACCGACAGGCGCCAGACTAAGCAGAGGAATGGCGCTAATCATACGCTTCAGACCCCGAGGCGCGGATTACGTCAGACGGGAAATGGTGGCCATACAAAAGGGTGCTGATAGAGTCAAGGGATGCACGTGGATAGTAAGCCGCAGTAAGCAACAAGCGGCCGCAAAGGAAAACGGGTTCCTGGGTTCTCTGGACTGTCGTATCGATAGACTGCTCGGCCGCAAAGTTGGGTGACAGTGTGCTAGTCGCGTTGGGGGGCGGCTATTATCAATACGATATTCGCTGTCTCTAGCAGCTACCGTTTACCGCATCGAGCAAGCAGTGCCCAAGGCCTCGTTAATGCTCATGAGCTGAACGCTTTACGGGATGGGGCGTGAGGAATAATGCCATGACAGCCCAGAGCGATATTGGAAGATAGGACAGCATTCGAGACGGTACAAAAAGCAAGAAGTGAAGGACTCGAAGGCTGAATGCGGAAAGTCCTGCAGACCAATGTGCGAAGTGGTACGAGCTCCTGGATGGCGAGAACGGCTTCGTAAACGCTGTCGCGAGAAGACTGGAGACGGGATCCAGAGACATTGTCATGGCTGATAGGCCGTTGGCATTGATGCTCGGGATGGTGTTGAGACTCAGCCAAAGGGGCCAGATGTCAGTTCACGATGTTCACCGATGAATGCGAAGCGAGGTGGTGCTCGTTCCGAGCTGCAAAACATCTGCTTCGTCTCGCCCAATGCGCAGCCCGAGTTTAAGTTGGGCCCGTTGAAAACTGCCTTTCTATGCGATTGGCGGGACTTTGCGTGACCCGAACGCGCTGTGGAGAGTACGAAATCAGGTTACAAAGGACGATGAGATTGGTCAAGCGACTCAGATGTGTGGTCATTCAGCACTCTGCTGCATCCCGGCAGCGAATGGTTTCCCATCTCCGTACTCCAACAGAGGATCTTGATAGCGGTGTGATGAGGGACCCTCCCTGGAGGATCGTCTGATGCCCGCAGCTATCTTCGGGGTCCGTCCAGAGAGAAGCGCGCGCGCCGTCCAGCCCAGCGAATGGATGAGAGAACCGCTTTCCCTAAAAGGTATATTTGGGTGAAGCCCTTTCCATTGCAGCAGAGCAGCTGTGAGAACGCGCCCATAGGCGCTCGACTCCTAGGAATTCGTCTTCCCACAGACTTGAGCGAGCTAGGAATTCTCCGTGCACGTCCTGGGAGCCGGATCTGCACGATCCAGACCAGCTGCGGGCGGGCTTGAATGGCGTCCAGCCCAGCGGGCACGATAACTGGCGGAGACCGATCAGGCAATGAACGACACGCCAGAGCTCGAAGATTAACGGGATCTCCAAGTGGAGCTTGAGATCCTGGCGCCTGCCACAGTAGTAATCTCTCACCCATCTTTCGACCGGCGGACGCAGGTACGGCGTTAAGCTGTTTTGCGGCTTTCGCGCACCGAACGATGCTTCTTTGACGCCGGCCGGAAATTTCCAATAATGGAGAGACGCGCCTAGTATTTCCCCAATACTTGCTGGTGCGGGATTCTCCTCTGCGTCCTGAAGGCCCTGGCCAGCCGAGCCCGGGTCCGAGGCAAAGTCCAAAATCTGCTGATGAAGCGGGAGAAGGCGGATTTCACGAGGCATTTTCCGCGGTGTCTCTCCATGCCCGAGACCCCTGATGACGAAAACGAAAGCGAGTTGGCCAATCAGGAAAATTGGGCGACGCCTCTTGTTCAGCCCAGAGCCAAATGGATTCTGTACCGGCCGGAAAACGAGAGCGGCTGCGAAGGACTCTCAACGACGCTGCGGGATACAGTAGCCCAAACGTGCTCTGATGCAAGTCGGTCGCTTTTCAGCACACAGCAGGGTTTGGCGAGGGGCCCCGGCCAACCTAAAATCACGAGTGACTATTGACTGGAGACGTAGCCGCAGAAGATGCCTGTTCCGGCATGCATCGCACAGGAGAAATGGCTCCCGAGATAAAAGGCGCTGGCTCAGGACCGTGGGGTGCATACGTAGTCATTTCACTTGCAATAACTTACTCGTCGTGCAGACAAGACTGCAGTGACTCTCCAGACGCATCCATCCATGGATGCGAAGGCACAACAGGCGGCGCTCTAGGAAAGGAACCGGGTTATGGAGCTGCTGAGGACGAACAACGGGCTTGGCGGGTACAGTACTTGGGCTTGATGATGGGATCTCCAAGAGGCCTGCAGGCATCGCAGAGCCGGCTTGCGGAGCATCCAGGGTCCTGGGAGTTGGAGGCTCAGAACGTGGCCGCCGCCGCCCGCCACGGGACGGGGGGAAGGGGCTCGCTATCGAGGGTGAGGTCTTCCTTCTGGCCTTGCCTGCAGCGCAGTCCCAACATCACGGGTCGGGCTTGGTCGGCTCGAGGATCAGGAGTGCCGATCCGTGGAGAGCGCCACGGGCGGATGGGGAATGGCTTGGTGGCTGTCCAAAACACCCAATGTGATCCGTGTCAAAATTAAGTTGTGCAGCGCGCCGTGTGACAGGGGGCGCCAGGCGAATGAAAGTGGGGCCACGGCCAGCCCGAGCGAGGCAGGCGGACGCCAGGCGGATGCTCGCCGCGAAGATCGAGGGCCCATGGCGGAGGCGGCGGCGTGACGCAGTTGGGACGGTCGAGGGTGGTGGAGGTGGGTTGGCGATGGTGGTACAGCAACACATGACGGGGCGATGTAAACAGCCAACGGAGGCTGACGGCGAGGTGAGGGCAGGGGCGTGCGGGATTGGCAAGAGCGGGGTACGCACGGAGAAGGCGCGTGTACGCGAACGCGAGGTCGTCGGATTAAGCTAGGCAAGTCAATCAAGAGATGGCGTGGGAAATCCGGCAGACGGGATGGCTCCAGTCGTGCGCGCGGTGCATTCACGCTCGCAGGGATAGCGCTGCTCAGGTGCAGCACGCACGCCTGCGCGACTACTGGGCGTCCATTCTGGCAGACCAGACCAGCAGCGACGGCATCGGCATCGGTCGGGGGTCGGTATGAGAAAAGCTGGCCTCAAACCACAGGCTCGCCGCACGCTGATTTTGACAGGCTCGCCTATGCGGCCGTCCTATTGGGTGGCACGGCCAGGGGTGCGCTAGCTGCAGACGAGTGACACGAGCGTGCGGATGTGGAATGTGGCCTCCCTTCATCTCAACAGAGTTGGGAGGCAGCGGTAGCAGTTAATGAAGGAGGGCGCTGCGATGCGGGCCTCCCCATGCGCATTCTCAGCGACGCACAGTATGTAGGCAATGTTCCAGCAGCGTGTCTCTCCCGGCACGACGTCCGTCTGCCAGGGCTGCCCACGTTCTCCGACCGCGCGCCATGCCCGCCGCCCAACTCACGCCCGTCCGTCTCCACTCCAGCCTCCAGCGCCCGTCGGTTTGCGGCTACAGCTACTAAGATCTCTTGGCATGCACGCTCGCAGCACGCCCGCGGCTGGGCCGCATCGAGCACCGGCCTGGCTGCCAGTCTAGCAAGGGGCGCCTCCAAGCGCACGTCTTAAACCTCTCCCGGTCTTCGGGCACGCCAGCTGTCATCGGGAGGCCAACGGGCGCCTCGTGCTGCTGCTGCTGCGCGTGAAGTGCTCGCCGTCGCCCCTCACCTCTGCGTCTCGTCCCCAGGCGCGCCAAAAAAGGCCGAAAATAAGTGCAGGTCCACGTGGGATCTGCCCAGGGCGCGTCGACGCGGTGCTCGCTCAGCGGAATGGCGAGAGATGAGCAAGAGCAGGGTCCGAAGCACTCCGCTTATTGCGCCGTCCGCTCTGGGACAGACACGTGCCGCAGGCAATATAACATGCGCCCTAAAAATAACCCGCGCCGTGCGAATTCCAGCAGCGTGAAGGCTCTGGGGCCGAAAGGCAGGTAGCCGGGTCGAGGGCTCGTTAATTGTACCGCATATTGGGGCATCGCCAGTTCGCCAGACCAGGTCAATCAACTCAAAACTGCGAACCCTGTCCTGGACAGCTGTCGATCGAAAGCTTGCGCTGGCCTCTTCTTTGTCCTGAGAGCCAGCCCCTCCCGCCGCAGCGCAGGTGAATCACTCAATCATGTGCAGCCCGCGCTGCTCGTACTCGGCTAGCGCGAGCCCGGCGACCTGAACGGACAAGCCTTGTCGTCAGCCAGAGGAGCCAGAAGCACGGCCAAGGATTGGTCGCCGAAGCACTGGCCGCAGGGATGCCGTCTGCTCCAGCTGCGAGCCCGTCGCTCCCTCCCAGCCCTGAGCGTGCGGTGCTAGACGCTGGGGACGCGGGAATGCAGCGTGCTGCGTGATGGGAGCTGCTCTCTGATATCTCAGTCCAACCCCCCGCGCCGACGCGCAGGCGGGCACAGCGATCAGCGCCTCGCTACGGCAGGATTGGACGGCGAGCGGGCGAGCAGGCGGAGGATGCCTTTGTGCGGAGCGCTTTGTTGCTGGCGCTGGGACGGCTCGCCTTTGGCCAGACCGCGTCCGTGCTGGGCCAGTCGGCGTGGGCTCGCTGGCGCCAGTCCCGGCGCATCATGAGTGCCTCTCGCCCTTGGTACTTGGAAAAACAAATGGCGGCCCCTCTGGTCGTGTCTCGCGCCGCAAGCCTGGGTCAGGAGGAGCCGCATGGCCACGCCGCTCGCCCTCAGCGCAAGACATCAAAGGAAGCGCCGGCGAGGTCAGCGGCAGCGCATCAGCAGCGGCCCCAGCACGAATAATGAAGCCTCTGTGACTTGGCCGGCCCGGCGCAAGCGAGTGCTCCTCCACGCTGCTGGTCCAAGGCTCTAAGCCGTCCCGCACGCCAGCGACTCCGAACAGAGGGCCAGCCGGCAGGGAAGACAGGGCCTGGCGCGCTGGTCGGTGCTTTCATCCCGGCTCGCATTGTTGCTCCCCCCCATGCCAGCCTGGGCTACTCTAAACCCATCTGAACGGTGTCGTCTATTATTCAGTCATCGACTTGCTTCTGCCGTGTCTCGTCTGCTTTGCCCTCTTGCGTAAAGGTGCGTGTGAATAGCGCCGCGCCCGCCTCCCTGTGGCCTGCCTGCTCTCGTGCTCTTCATCTCCCATCCCGATCCAGATCCCCAAAACGCTCGGACGAACCCTATCGCCTGGTTAGGGCCCTTGAAGCTCTTGAAAGCCCCCCAGCCCGCCAGAAGCCACGCGAACCACCCCATCCCTTCTCAACCCTGGCGCCTTAGCCTGCCGTACATATACGTGAGGGCCACCTCTCCACCCGCTCACGGCGACAAAGCCTTTTGGCCACCAGAGTCCAGCCCGAGTCCGCCATCGCTCCCATAGGGCGCCCAGGTACTGAGCTTAACAAGGAGGGATCGCCGCTGCCCGCGCGCCTCAACACCACCACCACCACCACCATCTGCCCGCCCCGTCGGACACAGGACCACAGGACCACCGGCCTCCACCATCGTCAACGTGCAACACCAGATCTCGCAGCGCCTCTGTGGTGGACAGCGGCTCCAACGACCTCACCTGCGCCTGCTGCCCGTTCCGGAAGTCGACGCCGCTCCCAGCGCCGTGGATAGAGGACCGCCAGAGCTAGCCATTAGCCAATCCGGGCCTGCGCCAGCATCGTCGGACGACAACTCCAGCACGCCCATAGTAGGAGCTTTAACCTCTTGACCAAAAACCAACATTCCCACAGCCTGTGCGACCGCCGCCGTAGCACTACGTCTGCGCAACCCGGGAAACTGGGCCGTACCGAACACTCGCTGTGTTGGAGATATCGTTCCACCAGTATCTGCTTTTGCTGCTCTGTACGCCCTCCTTCCTCGGCCTGCGACGGCGAGCAACCACTGATCTTGCGCGCAGACTGAGACTTCTAGAAGATTTCCGGAGAGGCGTGCATCCGCTCGGTATCACTGCCCGCCAGAGTCTGCGCAGGTACCATCGCCGGGACCGCCCACCATCGCAGCTTTTGCACCTCTCGGAGCCGCGAATCGCCATCTGGAAGGACGGCAGACTAGTCGGGAACACCATCGTAGAATATCTAGACGGGTTGGGCGTCTGTGTGCGCAAAGGACCTTTACGAGATCCCTTCTCCTCCATTGCCTGCATATCATCAGCATCTTGTCCCCCTCGACTAGAGCCATTACCTTGCCCATTACGCCTCGGGGCTACCAGCCGCCTGTTGCCCTCCCTGGATCCCTCCCAGCCCTCACGTGGACTCTATTGGTCGGGCGCGTACCTCTCCACTCCGCCATTTGCAGCGTCACCGCTGGTTTCCATTCCAACTCCTCCCTCGTCGGAAGCTGGTAGGTCATCAGGACCTACCCGGGACACAACCGTCAACGTGGCTGCTGCAGTGGCTCACCCGACTTCGATGCATCCTGGGTCTGACCCAATGGGTGCACCTCCAAGCTTCGCGACTAGGAGGCCTCACGCCGCTCAGTTGGGTAGTTTCGAGCTCCCGCCTCCACCAATGCACAAGTATTCCTCCTTCAACACCATCAACGCTTCACAATCGTCACAAGCCCCAACGACCATTGCTAGCGTTGGCAATCTCCTCACCCCGCCAAATAATATCCCCGGCGATGTGATAAGTTCCTCGTCAGGAGTATCCACAAGCAGCGCGAACACGACCACAATGCCTTACTCGAACGGCAATTACATCTACTCCCCACCCTCACAGGCGCCGACCCACTATGGCTATCCGACTGCGCAGCAGCAGCACCAACACCATCAGCATCAACAGCAGCAACAACACCAACAGCACCAGCACCACCAGCAGCACCAGCAAAATCAATACTCAGCCCGAGGAGGTATGTTTGCTTCTCTGCAGAATGATCGTCAGCTCGGGGACCAAGGCTCACTTACCCCGCGCAAAGGGCTGAATCCGCCACCGTACGAGATGAACCAACAGTTGCCGCCATTTCCGCCATCTTCGGGCCCGTCCAATATGCCCGGAATGTCTGCACAACAGCAGCCTCACCATATGATGAGCGCACAGACACCTGTATCGAGTGCACCCCACCAGCAGTCTCCTGCCCATGCTCAGGAGCCCTTCCGACCGCCGCCAACACCGACTTATAACTATCAGCCTTCCTCGACCCCACAGCAGTCATCGTTCCCCTATTCGACGGGTCCTTCGCCGACGCAGCAAAGCCCGATCAGCGCAGGAGGTTCCGTGCCAAGAATGTCGCCAGCCGTGACGCATGGTGCTATCCCGTCGATACCGTCAAATCCAGCACCATCGCCGCATGCGTATCAGCGGCCTTACGGTGGTTATGTTCCCGGTCCAGCGCCCGTCTTCTCCAACGTCAACAACCCGAACGGGCAGCTGGCGTTGGTTGGTGGAGTGCACCCTGGTATGATGCAGGGTTTCAACAGCGGACATGCTGCTGCAATGCCTCATTTCATGGGACATCCTCCTCATCAGCAACAGACGGCGAATGACCGGCCATTCAAGTGCGACCAGTGTCCGCAGAGCTTCAACCGAAACCACGACCTGAAGCGGCATAAGCGGATTCATCTCGCGGTTAAGCCCTTCCCCTGCACCCACTGCGATAAGAGCTTCTCGCGAAAAGACGCGCTCAAGGTAGGCTGATTAACACCCCATATGTGGCGCTTGGCAATGCTGACGTTCTTCTAGCGACACATACTGGTCAAAGGCTGCGGCAAGGTCGCAAACTCGGGCGACGACGCGAAACGGGAAAGCCATTCACCCGACCACAAGTCCGAACCTGTCGATACGAAACCGGTAATCTCGAGCCACGCATAGAGCGCCTGGCAGTAATCTGTTAATCTGGAGTCTTCGGCCTTCATTTCGCTTTCCTTGTATTAAATACCCTTCGGCTCCCTTCTGGCTCCCGGATGGCGTCCACGGAACCATATTACCTTCGCTGTTCAAAACGTTTGGGATTACGACATCATTATGCGTTGGTCTGAATGGGGTTGCCCTCTGGAACGCGGGATATTTCTGGTTGGTTGGTCGGTACTGGCGCACCGCGTGTTTTTTGCTTGTTCTTCGCGCAGCGATACCTCTTAGTCGGTGCTTCCCGGGGTTGCGTGTACGCGGGGATATGTTGGGACATTGCGTTTTCGTCTTGGGAACGGTTCTTTATGCATACGCGTGTCAGGCAGACGACCGCGGCGGGGTTTCATGTTTCGGTTGGTCTTGGGAAATTACCTCGACTTAGTAGGGACTACAGTCTGAGAAGCGGCGGGGTCTATTCGGTGTAATTGGGCTTTTCTTTACTCTTGATGTCGGGCAAACACTACTCGGCGCAGTCTGTATGGCATCAGGGTCGATACATGGGAGGCGGGGCTAAAAAGTGAAACGATTAGGAGGGTACCGTGTATGAAGCCATGTTCTGCTATCTGCAAGATCCGTCGTCCTCCGTCACTAATTGTCGCCCCGGAACGTGCTTGAGCAGGTCGGTGGTCAGCGGTGGCTGTGGTTGGCTATGCGGCATGTTCTCAATGGAGAAGAGGCTGCATTAAGGTTTGTTGATCGGTAACGTGACCTCCATGATCCTTGCAGCCGCGCTGCAGGAGTTGGGACCGAGCTTCTGCGCGACTTCACATTACCACTCACCACCTCTCTTCTCTCACAGCGCCGTCTTTCACCACACAAATTGTCCCTTGGGTATGCATATCCCAAAGGATGTGATGGTACAAAACACCTCCTGTGGTTCTTCAATGCTTTTTCGTCCGCCATCTTCAAACCATTCTCCCTTGTTCTCTTTGAGCTTATTTCTAGAATGCTCATTTCTAAGCCTGCTGCTAGGCTCCCAGGGAGTCACCGAAGATTGCTTCAGTATCATATTCATCCCTCATCATCGGTGCGCCGATGAGACGGTAGAGCGGAGAGCGATGTGGCAGAAACCACGACGCTGTGCGAGCCGCGGGGAGAACGAGGTCGCCCAATTCTGTCCTTGGAACTCGATAGAACACCCTAGATCACAAGGTAGGCGAAATCTCAACTACCATTTCACTCCGTCACGCATTTTCAGTTCGCCGGGCAACCTCATTCCGGCGCTCGTTTGGGCCACAACAAACACCGTCTTTCTATCACCCTGCTTGGCGCATTCCATGTCCCAACATCCAAAGCCAGCCTCAGTCTCATTACAGAGCATCTCCTTCCCGCTTCAGAGGCATCGTAGCTTCGCCTGACCGTGTTGTGTGCGCACCTTCCGCTGCCGCCGTTTGCAATCCGACCGCGACCCGCCTTTGCAGCGTCCGTGCCCGCCGTCCCCCACAACAGCAAGACCTTCCACACATCCGACACTCCACTTTGCAGCTGTTTTGTATGCATTGCCCAACACTTTGTTAACTTTCTGGTTGCCGGGCGGGTCCAATTCGCCGCGATCCGCCGCCCTTCCTTTATCGGCGCAGTCCACCGACTCGCAAGCAGAGCTTTCGTCCGGCGTACTCAGGTCAACAAACATACACACAGCAGCCCCGGCATGGACAAGGCTTGACACGGCGGCACAATTACTGCGGCAGCGACTACTGCGACTTCACTACGTGCTTCTTGGTGCTCTGCCCGGGTGCATCTCTTATTTGTACACTTTGGCCCATCACTTTACCTCACCCATTCTATAGCGAGTTCGGCCGCTGTCGAGGAGCTTCCGTCTCACCAGCAGCGACCCCAATTCGCAGACCATGGACCACGCCTTTCATGGGCGCCCGCCGACTCGTCGACGCGCCTTTGGGGACGATGCTACACTCCGGGCTAATCAAAACAACCGCCCCGGCTCTCGCTCTCCTCAGTATGGAGGACAGAAACCGAGCCCCGGCGCTGTATCCTCCTCGCCGCCGCCACTCCCCCACAATGTGTCCATAGTGCCGAATGGCACACTCTCTGTTCGGCATGAGCCCCAGCTGAGCCCGTCTCCCCAAAACAAGCGCATCTCCGCCGTCATCAACGAAGAGTACCGACCACACAACCCCAAGCGCGATTCTGAGGTCTCAAACGCAAGCACGAATGCTTCCAATGCAGGCTCCCGTCGCAAGACGCACATCGGACCGTGGCATTTGGGTAGGACAATTGGCAAGGGAGGCTGCGGTAGAGTGCGCGTCGTACGACACAGCGTCACCGGTCAGTACGGAGCCGCAAAAATCATATCGAAAGCGACGGCGGACAAGGTGCGAGCATTGAGCTTGGCCAACCTGGTTAAGAGCGCGGAGAACGACCCGACCTTATACCCGGGCGGGAAGGTCATACCCTTCGGCTTGGAGCGCGAAATCTGCATCATGAAGCTTTTGGATCACCCCAACATTGTCCGTCTATATGATATCTGGGAGAACCGCAACGAACTGTAAGTATCTCCAGCCGCGTCAGCCCTTTGAAGCTTGTCCTGACTTATATCAGCTACCTGGTTATGGAATACATCGAAGGAGGCGAGTTGTTCAGCTACATTGGTGAACAAGGCGGCCTGCCGGAAATCCAGGTCGTCCACATTTTCCGACAGATCATTGCCGCGCTGTTCTACTGCCACCGAATCAACATTCACCATCGCGATCTGAAGCCAGAGAACATTCTGTTGGATAGAGACAATATGCAGATCAAGCTAGTCGACTTCGGCATGGCGGCTCTGCAACCGCAGGGCAAGAAGCTTACCACACCATGTGGCAGTCCGCACTATGCCGCGCCTGAGGTCATTCGGACACAATCTTATGACGGCGGAAAAGCAGACATTTGGAGCTGCGGCGTCATACTCTACGTCTTGCTTAGCGGAGTGCCTCCCTTCAACTACTCAGGCGATGACAGGGATCTCAAGTATCTCTTCCGCGCTATTGCTCGCGCCGACTATGTTATGCCCGACGGTCTCTCTCGCGAAGCGCAAGACCTCATTCGCCGGATCCTAGTAGCAGACCCTCGGCGTCGCATTGCCATCGACGAGATTTGGAAACATCCTTTTTTGCGCAAGTATGATGAAGAGCTTGGATTCACGGGCGCAAATGCTAGGGTCGAACAGTGGATCGGGCCAATGCCAAAGATCGACGAGTGGACGACCTTGACACGGTCGACCATTGACCGCGAAATTCTCCGCTACATGCGCACCCTATGGCACAGCGAGAAGGAGGAGATGATAATACAGCGACTTCTAAACCAGGAGTAAGTGAAACCCTTGCCTTGTCTGGACCAGACTTGCTAATTGTGATAGTGCCAACCAAGAGAAATACTTCTACGCGGCCCTTCTGAAGTATCAGAATGATCAGTTGGAGAACTATGTGCCTAACCCCCATCATCCTATCACATACTCGAACAGCGACCATCACCACAACCGGCCGATGGCCCCTACTAGTCGCGATATGTTGCAGTTACCGTCTTCCAAGAAGCACAAGCGGTCACAGTCTGGGTACTCGATCCTCAATGACGAGCACATGTATTCGAAACACAGTTTCTATGAGCCGCCGTCGTCCGAGGCTAGCTACGATCCTTTCCGAGCGTCAAGGGCACCTATAATTCCTAGTCAGGTCGTCCATCAGAACGTCACGGTGCATCGCGGACCCAGCAACGGAAGCCGAAAATTGCGTCCAACCACAGCCTTGGGCCATCGTACAGGGAGCTCGCTGCGAGTTAAGGCTCTGACAAACTCAAAGCATAGCTCTGCCATCTCGCGAGGCTCCTCGAAGCGAAGCACTCCATCTCAGCGATCGGTGGGGCGTAGATCAGTTTCCCGATCTTCGATGGCCAGCTCGCATTGGCCTAGTAGTCCGCCCGTTGTAGTTCGACCTGGCCGCTTGGGTAGACGTGGAGTCAGCTTCGCGCACTTGCGTCGATCTTCCGCGGCTACCGCTAGCACCGCGGACGGTACTGTTCAGTATACACCGGAACAGCGCAGCATCCTCAGCTATCGAGACTCTGTCGGGTCATCGGTGCTTTCGCACAGACCCAGCACCGTCCAAGGCTCTCCTTCTATACGGACAGTGAGCAGGACTGCTGCTAGCCCAATGGTACCACGCCTGAGGGTGCGCAAGCCCGAGAGCCCTAGCAAGTACATTCAGAAGGAAGCTCGCAAAGTTAGCACTGAACTCGAAAAGGTCATGGAGGAGGCGTTCAATCGTGCGTCCATTGGCTCCAGTGTCCGTGCGACAGGCGAAGGTGCATCTGAGTATAATACCCCTCCCACTTCTATATCCAACAGAGACTCAGGCGGTAGTGCTGCGTTGGCGACACCGAACAACAGGGCGACGATGCAGAACCGGCCGCTTCCGCCCGTTCCGAATGAGACCCCGAATACGTTCATTCATCGTAAGCTTGCAGAGACACGAGCAGAATTTGCTCGACGGCTTGATGAGAGTGGCGACAACACGGAGCACTTCGTCGAAGTCATAGAGCACCTAGATCGACTTATGGTGCCATCTACCAATGGAGCGAAGCGTACATCATCTGCTCCTGCAAAGTCCCCTGAGCAATCCGTTCCTTTGCATGTCATTCCCGAGGAAGCGAAGGCAGACGAAGACTTGTTCGAGCTTGATGGTCCTTCCTATAGAGCTGTTACTGATCCCGTCAGGCCTAACATGCAAGGACGCCGGGCAGTGACCGATCATACTACGATTCGTCTTGTGGACCAGTCCCCCACGAGGATTGCTCCGCTCAATATACGAAAGCGGAGTGGTGCGAGCACGTCTTCGAGGGCTGCTAATGACACCACAGCGGTGCCATGGCCACGCCAGACTTCTCACCAGTCAGCCCAGAATAATCCTCCGGCTACACGGACAAATGAGGAGGCAGCAGCTGTGCCCGTTGAGATTCTTGAGAAGGAGGCTACCGTCAAGAAAAAGAAGTCGTCCTGGTTTCGCCGCACTCCAGAGGAGAGGGACCGCCCGCAGGAGCATCAGCCGAAGCCAAAGCCAAGCACCAGCCGATTGCAGATTCCTGAGGCATGGCAGGGCTTGGATGACCGTATCAAGAACGATCTTCCTAGGATCTCTGGTCCGAGCCCCGACATCGCTAAGCACGCGACGAAGCAGTCAACTGGTAGCAGCAGCAGCGAGTTTCCCATGCGTGGTTGCGGCACGACCGTCGGTAAGAGCGAGGGTGGTGGAGCGCGAAAGGGATTCTTTGGTTTGTTCGGCAAGAAGCAGAAAGATGATAAGGGCAAGAGGCCCATGGAACTAGGTGGTGAGTACAGCCCACTCCATTTCCGCTTTCTGGGTAGCCTGCCAGCTCCCATCCCATCCTCATTTTACCTTCATGCAGCCGCTCGGACTGACAGGGTGTCTCTTACAGCAGACAACTTTAGCACCTCCTCCATTCTCTCTAGCTTCGAACTGGGTCCTGAGAATGGACCGGAAACATCCGCGCGTTCTGGCCCTCCCGAATTCCAGATGAATTGGCTCTCTCGCTTCTTGCACATTAAGCCTGCTAGCAAGGTCCTATGCTTCCATGTCGGTCGCGGCAAGGTACGACAAGACCTCGTGCGTCTGCTGCGTGACTGGCAGCGATTCGGTGTCCGGGACGTCAACTTCGACCGCGCTACGAACGTGATCAATGCTCGAATTGATAAGAACAACCGTAAGTATATCCAGCTATTGTTCGCCGCGTGGTCTCTCGAAGGCAATGTCTTCATGTTGGATTTTGAAGGAGTCCCTTCGGTGTCTTTCCGTAATGTTTCGCCCTATCAGTGATTGCAAGCTAACTTATCATCCATCTAGATCTCAAGCTCAAGCCAGTTTCGCTTATCATCGAGCTTTTTGTTGTCCTCGAGCATGGCCGCCGCGCAAATCTGTGCCTCGCTCGGTTTACGCAGACCCGCGGTGCCGCTTCTAGTTTCCGCAAGGTTGTCGATATCATCGAAGACGTATGCCGTGCTAGGTGCATCCTTGTCGAGGACGAGGAGAAGAAGGCCGCTATGTGTGAGGTCTTGAGCTGATGAGACGTGATCGGATCAGGGGTCGATCGCCCGGTAAGTGTCTTGGATACCCCGTTGCACCACTCTATGGTCTAGGGTTGTATCTTGACTGGGTATGCTTTGGCATGTTAGCAGGGCATGGAGTTGGATTAGGGCCTGGTTTACTTTGCTTGGATGTTGATGGCTTGGATGTAAGGATTGGTTTTCTTCGACTGGATACCCGATACCCTTACGCCAACATCGACACCGACCTCTTCGACCACCCTTTCCCTCCACATTGGACCCCGATATACGAGCACGAATACATCTGCATTCGCCAAAATCCACGGAAGCTATCAGCAGGTACGTTAATTGCGTAATGATTCTACCTTGGTCTCCAAGTAGAACGGGCGTTGTTTTCATGTTTTCTCACTTTCTCTATCTTGCCTTGCATGGTTTCGAAGGCGTGCAGCATTTGACATGGTGTCATGAGGGATTTTCCTGTATTTGAATGACGGTCAGGGCTTCTAATGGTGGTGCGTGGAGGATGTACAAACAAAAGTGAAGGAGTATAATTATGGAGAGTATGTTTACTAAGCGCTTGTTCCTGAGGTGCGGAGAGGGTGTGGCTGTAATAGCACAGTTCAATGACGAGTTGATGAATGAGAGCTATGACCAACCAACGAGCGAGACTGTTCGTACTTCATTTACTTCACATTTGTTTCATCCACAAAGCAACCACTTTTCGTCGTCCGATCTGGAGTGTGGGCTACCACGTGACGTGGCTGAGCTCTCACCAGCCACATGCGGCTCTTGCCAAGCCGGACTAACAGTACAGCCGACACACAAAGCGAGGCACCACGAACCTCAAAATCATCGGACTTAAAGACTACCCCGACTACTAACAAACAGGTACTGCGTCAACACCGCCAACATGCGTACCTACGACGATACCTTCAGCGGCCAGAAAATATACCCGGGCAAGGTGCGTTACGCCCCCAATTTCGACCCTCGGCCACTGCTCGAATTCCGCAACATCACGACGAGAAGGTGCAGCGACGAGGGAGAAAGCGGGAATTGGACAATTGATGGGATAGGGGCTGATGGTGCTATTATAGGGCAAGCTCTACGTCCGCGGTGACAGCAAGATCTTCCGATTCCAGAATGGCAAGACGGAGAGTCTGTTCCTGCAGCGCAAGAACCCGCGTCGGATCGCCTGGACGACTCTCTATCGGAGGCAGCACAAGAAGGGTATCTCTGAGGTTAGTCGGACGCAATTATTTTCCAATTTACCTGGTCGATGGGGTGTTGGGGATGGAGCGCGATATGACATCAATCGGACCGTACATCTCGCACGCAGCCAACAACCGGACGAAGCAGGACATTGCGCTCAGCACCCATACTCGCCAGTCCATCCAGCATTCTTGAGTCGGATGATCGAGCACAGCTAACCACCCCAACCAACAGGAAGTCGCGAAGAAGCGTAGCCGCCGCACCGTCAAGCACCAGCGCGCCATCGTCGGTGCCTCCCTCGACGTGATCAAGGAGCGCCGCGCCATGCGCCCCGAGGCCCGCTCCGCCGCCCGCGCCCAAGCCATCAAGGAGGGCAAGGAGAAGAAAGCCGCCGCCGAGTCCAAGAAGAAGGCCGAGAAGGCAAAGTCCGCCTCCGCCGCCGCACGCGGCCAGGCCCAGAAGATTGCCAGCAAGCAGGGTGCCAAGGGCGCTGCGCCCAAGGTGCAGGCGAGGACTCGTTAAGGCGATCGGTGATGTGGTGGGGCGACGGAGTTTTTTCCCGGGGGTATACGCTTTCTTTCCTGAGAGAAGGGTTGCTGCATGGGCGGAAAAGGGATGCGGATGGGATGATGGCATGCTTCATCTTCTTTCTGGACCAAGGGGCCCGATACCTGCATCAATATAGGGTCTGGCAATAGGGCAAATGCAATTCATGTCCTTACGATAATGCAAGATTGCGTGCACAGGACCCGATACCACACCTCACTCCGCGAAGCGCCCACTCAATAATATGGTGAGGGAAACCGAGTATGAAGCTCTAGCGGGCAGCATCGCTTGGTAGTAGTATCTCAATTGAGTGATTCATGAATTCATTTTCTCTATATCACATCGCTCTGCTAAATATCTGTCTAGGCTGCGTGTCGTAAACGTCGTTTTGGAAGATATCGCCGTATGCTTCCATTTCCCCCTCAATCTACACTGCGTCATCACGGTTCCATTTAATGATTATCCAGGTCGAAGATGAAAGAGCCCTCTATATCTTGGTCGTCAAATTGCATCCAGTCGTCGCCTAGGTTGTATGTGCTGTCGGGGAAAGCGCCTGGAAGCTGCGGCTTTGTCTCCTCGCGTTTGACGTAGTCGCCACCTACCATTTCCCATTCATTGAGACGCTCCTCCGGTTTCAGGTTCTCTTGGGGCGAGCGGGAAGCGACGGGGTTCCGCCATCCGACTTTCTCAACCAAAGTCGTCGCCAGTCTCGACTTCCAGCTCTCCTTGGTCTCGTTCATATTCTCGGGCCCCTTCTCTTCACCACCTCCAACGAACTTTAGCATGGTGACGCCCCAAAGCGACTTGACGAAGCGCTGCCACAGCTCCAGAGTTCGATCGAGACTCCACCGCAACCCCGAGAACACTGCAATAGACTCCAGCTCGCGGATGAGCGCATTCGCGCTGCTGCCGCCCAGAATACCCGGAAGCACGCCAAACCCACCCAACACATTTGTGAACACGGAGAGCGCGAGACCGACAAGGGGAGCTTGAAATCCACCACTAGACACAACGAGCGTGCTGAACCAGGACTGCGCCGCGGCGCCCGGTGCACCTATTTCGTCGCGTCAGCGTCCACTTCGCCGGGCGAGACAAGGAAGAAAGAGAGAAGAGACGCACCAAACACAGCCCCCAGACTCATAAAGCTCAGCAGCGCGCACACCTGGCCCCTCACGCCCGCCAGTCCCGCCGCGTGAAGCAGCGCGTAGTAGCTCCCCGCGCAGTTCTGCCGCACCTTGAAGCGCGCGAAGGCGGTTGCTAGAAGCCCGAGGAGGGGCCCGAGGGGCCCGAGAGGGAGGAGCGAGAGCAGGGGGCTGGCCAGACCGGCGCTGGCGAGGGGGACAGCGTATTTGGTGGCGAGTTTGCGGGTTTGCGTCGGGTTGGAGAAGAGGTATGTTGTTGGGCCGGCGAGGGCGGAGGTTATGGCGGAGCGGGTTCGAGCGGGGAGGGAGGATGGGGCGGGTTCGTGGGGAGAGGTGCTGTAGGTGTAGGTGGGTGGCATGGCGGTGGCGGTTGAGGGTTGAGGTGTGGTTGAGCAGTCGATGCGCAAGCCGCGAGGGCGATGGAGCGAGCGGATGGGGGAGCGGGAAGAAAGGTAGAAAGATAATAGAGCAGAGGGATTAGTGCCTTGGGGATTCCAGGGTACTAAGGCCGCCAAGGTCGTGTGATAGATGGTGTGGGGAATTAAGGTCACTGAATTGAGGGCGAGGAAGGAGCGGTGGACGTGGATGCCTGATTGAGGGAAATGAAAACACGCTCGATTTGATCAATTGCATCTTCTTTCTTATTCGGACTGCTGAATTTCCGGTAGCCGGCATACTGACCTCGCAGAGGGAAGGGCATTGTATGGGATCAGGCCTTGCCTCTGTTGCACGCTATCCGTTCCTTCACCTCCTGAGCCGGTCTAGCCTTCCTTCTCCTCACCATTGCCATGCACCTTGCCGCCCTCGTTGGCATTGTCCTCCGCATTGCTGCCTCTAAACGCCTCACGCACAGCCACCATACCTCCAGCGCCCCAGGTGATCCCGTTGAGGATGCCAGCAGCAGCTCCTCCAGCCCCGGCACTCTGCGCAAACGCGAAGGCAGATCCGGCAACGACATTCGAACCTTGCATACCCGCGGCGAGGGATCCTATTCGATCTATGAGTCAGCGACTACACTCATAAGACGGGAAGCTGAAATGTAGCATACCTGCACTAACTCCTTCAGCGCCCCATCCAGCGGCCCCGAGGGCAAGCGGCCAGCCGACCGTCACAGCACCGGTAAGGCCTACTATGCCCGCAATCTTAGTCGTCTTGCTCCAGCTAGTGCTGTCCTTGAGAGCATCGTTGGTCTGGTTGCAATCGGCGTTCCAAGGTGTTCCCCAGACCATGGTGACAGCGCAGTTGGCTTGGAGTTGTGTCGGTATAGTGAGAGAGGGTGTCTTGCGGATTGCGAGGTTATGGCAAGTCGGTTGCGGATATGGCTGAAGAGGACGGAGGTCCTTTGGCTTAAATAAGATAGGGTCCACGAGTGAGATCGGTGAATCGGCGGAGTAAAGGTGAACACTTAGAGAGGCTGAACGGAAAGATCCTTTATCCTTCTAGAAGCATGAGTTATGCGAAGCGCCATAATTCCCGAGTGTTGGACTTGGGAGGGAATGTCCAGCAAGCACTCTTTCACATCGATCCGCCAAAACCCCTCCGAGACAAACCGTGAGAGTACTACATCCAAGGCTTCAACAGTTCAAGCTTCCACTAGCCCTGAGACCCATGTGGTCTCATAGACCAATCTTCTCTTCAGTCATTCTGCCTTGAGTCCTCGTCTTCTGGGTCCTCCTCCTTGGGGCCGCGATGGCCTTCATCCTTAGGTTCCTTCTCGGAGTCTGCATCCTCATTCTCCTCCTTACCCTCCCTGGCAGCCCGAACAAGACCTGGAGCCGTCGCACCAACCGCTACCGCAGTAGCGGCAGTCCCCACTACACCGTTAACCACAGCAAGGCCAGCACCTCCCGCTCCAGCGCTTTGAAGAACGGCGAACGTACTTCCAGCGACGACGTTACCAATCGATGCTTGAGCAGCAGCGGCAGCGGATCCTGTTCCACAAATCAGCCTGACAAGCTCCAACTGTGTAACTGAACTGGACGGAAGGGAAGGAAGCGCGAGGATCAACGTACCAGCAACGACTCCACCAGACCCAAAGCCCACAGCGCCCAAGGCCAGTGGCGCAACAGCGATAGCAACGGGCGCAGCGGCCACGCATCCCACCATTCCCACAGTCTGACCCGGATGCTTGACGACCCAATCTTTCGTATTGCCCGCAGCGTTTCCGATACTCTTGCCCGCTTCTTGACTGAAATTGCTGACATACTTCCACGCCTTTGCAGCTTCGATGGCAGCGCCGCCCATCATGTTCCTGCCGGCTTCTTGGCCGAAGCCGTCGAGTGCTTTCCATGCATTTCCGATGAGTGCCATCATCGCCCGTATGGCTTGTGTGAGGTTGTGTGGTGTGGCGTGGAGAGGAGGGGAGAAGCAAGGCTGAGGAGCTGATAGCTACAAGGCAAACACGTTATGCTGTGTAACCATGAAAAGCGACCAATGGGGTGAAGGGAGGACGCAATCTCACGGAACCACTTGGAGCAGGCGCGAACATGAAACAGAAGGGTTTCTGGGAAGCCGGAGAAATATATCGTGCAAAAATATTAGTTGGGTGTCCTACGAGTTTGCGCTCTGCTCCTTGTCGTCTAAAGATTCGCCGTCAGATCTCCAGGCTGGATGTCAGCGTATTCCTGATCGGGATCACCACCCTCTTTGAAATCCATCGCGCTTTTCTGCTCGTTGATATTGTCGCTTTCATTCGCTTCCTTTTTACGGTCGCTCGCTGCCGCCATCAGAACTGGAACCGCAGCACCACCAACGCCAGCCACGCCAGCCACGCCAGCCACGCCTCCAACAACTCCCTGGACGGCCGCAAGACCAGCGCCTCCCTGACCAGCGCTCATGAGCGTAGCAAAGAGACTATTCACAGCGACGTTTCCGATGCCCGACTGAATCCCAGCCGCAGCGGATCCTGTAGCAGTCAGCCTCCCGGTATGGATCGAACGAAGCAGTGACGAAGCGAGTACGTACCAAGAGCCACCCCTTCAGCAGTGAATCCAACAGCCGCAAGAGCTGGAGGAACTGCAGCCATGGCTAAAGGAGCAGCGAGCACACCAGCAGCAAGACCAGCGGTTTCCCCAGGGTGCTTCTCGATCCACTCCTTGATCTCCGCTGGCAGTTTCTCCCACTCGATCTTCTTTGCATCCTCAACCGCTCCCCCGATGTGCTTCCCAGCCTCTTGTCCGAGGCCAGCAAGCGCGTGTCGAGCATCGTCCGCCAGAGGCCCAGCCTTTTCCCCCATCTCCTCTCCCGCACCGAGCAGCGCTTTCCAGATGTCGTCCGCCGTGGCGCCGACGTGCTTTCCAGCTTCTTCGCCGAAGTTTGCGAGAGTGCTCCAGGTTGCAGGGTCGATGTGCTTGTTGACCTCTTGCCCGATGCCGTTTACAGCCTTGCCGACATCTGCTGCAGCGTGGCTGGCGTGCTTCCCGACTTCGTGGCTGATGTCGTCTAGGGTCCTCAGCGCGTCTTCGAACAAGCCCATGCTGGAGGGAGTAGCGTGCTCTTTGGAAGGGGTCTGCAGCAGGAAACAAGCTGCGAAGAGAGGAGCTAGGCGCGCGTCATGTTGTGTTACGGCGTCACGGGATGGGTGACCAATGGGGTGCAGAGTGCACTCTACATGCGCGAACCCTACCAGAATAAGCCGTTAGAGGAAGATAGAGCATTGTATTCGATACAGATAGAAGGAAACATAAGAGCATCCGCTTAGTTGAATTGCATCGCTTGTTGAAAGGCTCGTATACGTAGTTAGCTAACCCTTTTTAGGTGCGCTGAATAATCGTCGAGGAGCAAAGGAATGCCCGCAGGATTCGTCTCTACAGTTGGGAGTCGCCACTCCTGACCTTGCCAATTGTTCATTCAGCCTTGGCTCAAATGGGATGTGAGACGAGCTATTTTACTTCAGGTACCGCGACGTCAAGAACGGAAGGGATATCTTTCCATGCCGACCCGCGAATGGGTGTCCCATGCAGAAATCGCAGCCTGGGAAGGATTCTTTTCCGGTGCTTTCCGTGATCCCCGACGGATTTCCTTCTATGTTTTCTGTGGATGCGTGTGCGGAGGTATACGTAGCGCACCAGCGACCATTCTCTACTACTGCCCGGCCCGCGGGTGCGGACAACCGCTCAGTCTTCGCTCCCAGGCCAACCGTCACATCAAACCTCAGTGGAGCAACTCTCCATCGCCTCCTCAGATGTTCACCCTGGAGCGTGATTGCACAAGGACATCGTGTTGCGGTGTTCCAACACGCCTGGGCAGCTAATCCTACGTACGGTATCGCTGCCGCGACTCCGAGACTATGTGTTTGACTCTTTTCTACGTCGCGTGATAAAGTTTCTCATAACCATCTGAATAGCCTAAAGACCCCGTATTCACGTAAAGCGTACACCGAGTACTGTTGGGAGTCCGGTTACTTCTTGCGGTGCTCTGGTCAACCGTACGTGAAGACAACTGTTGGCCGCCCCTTTCCTTTCTCTCGCCCGCCAGTCAATGCCGTTCTCAAACTCAGGAGCGACTCAAGTTCTTCCTACGGGTCTCGCAAACGTCCCGGATCGAGATTCCGCACAGGAAACTCACGGAAGCTCTGCCGGTAGAGCACTGGTTGTCAGTTGATAGATGGATTCGCAGGATGCCGGTGGCTCGAAACCCAACCTTTGGAAGCTCTCGAACTTGGGAAGGAAGCATCGCAGACCCGGAAATGCGGGATCTTCATAGCGATAGCCCAGGGATTGGAATCCATCTAGCTCACCGATAGACAAGTATAAAAAGACGCCGTCTGCGCACTCATCAGAGCTATCGACAGCGCGGTCAATCCTCGTCAGTCCATATATCTTCGCATCCTCCAAGCATCCATTCAAACATTCAAACGCTCACAATGGCCACCAAGGCCGTCGTCCTCCTCGCTTCACTGCTAGCCGTCGGTCCCGCCGCGGCAGCAGGTTTCACAGGCTGCAAGTCGCTCGACTACGATGCCTTCTATGCCGCCAAGCCCGCCGACGAGTTCCCCGTCGTCGGCCCCCAGGGCCTCTACCTCACGAACGCAGACGGCAGCTGCGTCGTCCTCGACGTGCTGCAAGCCGGTTTCGCCGATGCGTATCCAGAACTGTACGACGCATACACCGGCGCCCTCAAGATCATCACTGCCGAAGCGGCCGAGCTGGGCGTTCCGCCTTTCAAGAGAGATGCGCCTGGTCGTCGCGCAGCGGCGGCGACGTGCGGCGAGCATTGTTCAGGGAGCTGGGCTACTTGTGATGGGGGATGTTCCTGCCAGTATGACTTCACGTGGTGCGCGGGCGGGGGCCCTGGTGGTTGTGTTGCCTGGTACAAGTGCAAGTAGTAGCCAGACTGAAGGCGGAAAAAAAGTGGATGGTTTGAATTTCTGCGTCTCTCATTAGCCGTTTGTACTCAGCACTCGAAATTGGAAATCATTATCATGTGCAATATGCAGTTAGCCAGACACGGCATGTCCACCTCACCAACGCAGTATCCTAAGCTTGTCGAGGAGTGTGATAGCACTGTGATCAACGGCTCTAGATGACTAATCGAGACGCTAGCATCGAACAAGGCTCGGGAAATTTGGGGCTTGGCGTTCCGGCGGTCGAGAACATTAGCCGCGTCGTGTGGGCTCAGCTCGTTTACCATGGGCGAACGGACGCGCCTCTCGCTGCAGCATTGCGTCAAAGGCAGGAAGCGTGTTCTCCCCGCGTCAAATGCCATGTGAATTCTTGGATCGAGCAGAGTGAATAATGTGGGCGGCCAATGCAGCTATTCACTGGCGTGCCTCGACCACGCGGCCGCGCGACAATCGATAGGCGGGCGTCATGTGTGGAGATGCAGCGATAGGCGGGATGCGTGACAGGGAACGGCGGCTCTTGCCTACGAATCCCACGATGGTGGCGGCCCAGGATGGCTGCCCTGTTTGACCTGAGCATGCGAAACATGCCGTCTCCTTTTAAATTGTCCACCGCCAGGGCCGCGCCTTACAGGAATCCTTTATAGCCCACCAGCATGCGTCGTCGTGCATCCGCCCACGCCGCATCCCTTCCCCCTCGACATGCCGCTGCGGAAGCGCCTGAAGCAGAGCGCCGTCGACGTGCCTGCTGCTAAAGCGGAGCAGAAAAGAAGCAAGCGGCAGCGGCTGGCCGACTTCTTTAGATCGAGGAAGCAGAAGAAGCCGGAGGATAAGGATGCCGCATCTGTACGCCCATCTGCTCTTGCCCGTCCCGCCCCGCTGTCTACGTCAGTACACAAGCTAATGGCCCCCTTCGTGTCGAAGATTCCTGTCCCCGCCGATAAAGATGCCGCACGGAAGCCCGCCCGAGACTCCAAAATCACCGAGTCGACGAAGCCGCGCAAATCGAGCGCGTCGGCCGAGGTCTCGAGCCCTAGAACAGACAAGGCCGAGCAACCGCCCGCCCTAGAAGCAAAGGAGGAGCACAAGGAGGAGCCAAAGGTGGAACCGCTCAGCGAGGAACACATCCATGCTCTCTTTTCAGGAGCACCCCACTTTTGGATCAAGAACACGGAAAGCCATGCCTTTCCTAGGGCGACTTTTCCTTGGAATGAGGAATTGGCTGTCAAGGACGTCTCAGACTCGGTTCAGCTCGCCCAGCCTGCTTTTTCCGCTGCTACGTTGCGTCAACATCTTCCGGATCAACAACGGCCTTCAGAGGAAGAAAAGAAATACACTGGATATGATGTGGATATAGTCGAGGTCCCCAGCATGCTCAGTGCGCAGGGGCTCGAGCCTGGCACTATCGGCTTTGTACACTTCCTCGAACTGCCGCAATCCGACAATCTCATCACCGACCTCCAGCAGTCCCAGTCGAGCAATGGCTTCTTGGAAGCCGTGAGGAATAAGGAGCAGATGCAGAGCAAGCCGGAGAGACTTGGCATTCGAGCAGTGGACATGAGCATGGTGCACGACCGACTTGTAGAGCTCGGCGATCTCTTTGAAGCTTTCCAGGACAGTCCGGAACGTATGACGATTCTCAACAATCAATCGTCTGGAGATCTGTACGCGAATCTCTTCGGAAAGTTCCTGACTCCGCCAGGCTACGACAGCACTGCGGATGATCCCACAGGTATGAAGGTCCAGATCGATACACTGCTTAAGATCCTGGGGTTGAAAGGCGTGTGGCACGATTTCGGTCTCGTGGAATGGCGGATTCGGTTGGGCCAGATTCTCTGGAGCGACTCCGATCTAGTGCCCGAGCACGACACTCAGCCACTCTGGAGCGAGCGGGACATTCTTCTCCTACAAATCCTTTTAGCCTGCGAGCTGCTGCTCCGGCTAGATGCTGTTACTAGCTTGGATGTTGATGACGTCAAAAGCCAGATGCATGTCAGCCCGCAAGATCTTGAGGGCTTTTTGAAACTCAAGACCCGGAAGACGGGCTGGGACTTGGTCCTAGCTCGACGGTTTCTGGAAAACATACTTGTCGTCAAAGAAGGCGATGTGAATATTCCTATACCTGAGCAAAAATCGCGAGGGCTTTTATCCATGCTAAGCTCCAGCGCGCCCAAGGGCTCATCTGAGGCAGATAACAAAGCGGACATCATTCTCCTCCCGCAGCATCAAGCACGCCAACTCGCCGGCCTTTTTCATTTCGCAGAAACAGTGCGATGGCCAGGGATCGATCTTCTTCTAAAGAATTTAGCGCTCAAGCTGGGTGTCCCGGAAACCAGCCAGGAGCCCGTTCCTTTACCTTCTCCGCATGGCAGGTTCCTGGATCCCAGCACTCCATCGTCAATCAGCGTGTATGGGACACCGTTGACAACGCCGCGCTCTAACGGTCTCCTTGACAGTTACTTTGGGCATATCGGCAAACCTCCTCTCAGCAGAAACAATTCACTTCAGGTACCGCTCTCGACCACACTGTTGGCCCATGCCGATGGTCCTGATCATGCCCTGAACGTTGGTGGTTGGCTCAGTCGTTCGTACCTTACTGGCCTTGTTCTGCCTGGCGAAGCCATCTCACACTTCTTGATGTCGACCTTGCTTGAGAATGACAAGCTGGCAATCGCCGCTCTGGGAGACTCAGCGAACCTTTATGGCGGCTTCATCTACGGTGGGAGGACTTGGTGGAGCAAGGCTTCTGTTGTTGCTCGTGTTCTAGGGTGCATCGAAGGCGCTGTTGAGTGCATGGGCTGGGTTACATTTACAACGCTACCGGAAGCACTACCGGACGGCTGGTATGCCATCAACAACGATCAGCTTCAATCCGAACAACCCGCCCGGATTGCAGCCGGAGGGGACATGGTCGCCCGGGATTCAGCCGTCATCCCAGGTCACGAGCTCACCTCCGTCAAGCCGGAAGATCTCGCGCTCCCCAGCGATCCAGACACGCCACCAATTCCTTCAGTGGAATTGTCTCATTGGAATCTGAGTCCTGTGAACGCGGACTCACTGGAACAGGACGTCAACTCGACCCCCGGGTCCGAAGCCGAATCGCATGTTGCATCGATTACATTCACGTCTCTCGCGCGCGGAGGATCCCTCGCTTTAACGTTGTCGAAGGACGTCCATTTCATCACCTCGTGGCCGTGCACGCCGCCTGCAGCATCCTCGACACCAAACCTACCGCAGATCCTCAAGCGCTCCCAGACACAGCTATCGCGCTCATCGTCGAAGCGCAGCACCCATAGCACACGGAGTGCAAGCGGCCGTTCGTCGCGCCATCTCAGCCGCCGCAACAGCCATGGGTACGAACCACTACTATCGCACCCGCCTGATTCACCGGCGATAGGTCCCACACGTGTTTGGTCTCCTATTCCTGACGAAGAGCCCGGCACGTCCTCGACACCGAAGTCTGAGCCAATGAACGCGCATCCACTGCATGTGTCCTACAAATACAAGATCGTCCCTGCGACAGAGGTGCTGGATCAGAACTTCATCCTTCCATTCACGATGCACGGGTATATGTCCCCATCTCTTTCTTCTCAAAACTCACCCAAGGAGGAGAAAGAGGAGGGCGACGCGAAGGACGACAACAAGACCGTCCTCGTCCTTGATGCACGCTCGTCGAAAGATCTGGAGCTTCTTGCTCGTGCTTGGTGCGCGGAGAAGGGCCTGCATGCGCTCGTTGGACGTGTAGGACGCACGTGTCTGGCTTGCTGTATCCGCGAGGCGAGAGGGATTGGTGTGAATGTGCTGATCAGGGTGTGAAGATGTGGGTGTATTCCGTGCCTCCTTTTCATGACGAACTTTTGATGATTACTCGCACATATACCCTCGAGAATGGCTTCTTCGTAGATATTTGGTTTTTTTTTTCGTTTGTGCAGGATAGGGAGGCGTTAAGATACCCATTTGCTGGATACAGCTCCAGATACCACATAACATAATATATACACGTTGAATACGTTCGAATTAGCTTCCATCAAGAGTGCAGCTACGTCTCATACCCGAGAAAGAAAAGAAAAAGCCCCTGAGACTGCATTGTATTGAATAGCTCCAAATATGCAGCGGTCGTGGCTGAGCGCGTCGGAAGGATTGGGGCTGAAGGGACGCAGCGTTTCATCACATCGCGGCACGTTGCTCTGCCTGCTCCTCTCATAACTCTTGCTTCAGCTCGCGGCTGTTAATAAAAGGTCGATGGGTTTCCACTATTCTGTCCTATCTACCTCCCGAAGTCTGCCGTAACTATCTTTTCTTCCTCCTTCCCTTCTTTCCTTCTTCCTTCCTTCCTTCTCCTTATCTTTGCTTTATCCTTTCTCCCTTCCTTCCGTCCTCCTCCCTATCTACATTGCACCCCTCCCAACTTTAAATTCATATCTTCCCAAACCCTCGTTTCCATACAATGAACTACGCCCCCGTCACCAGCGGTACCCCCGAAGACTTCACCGTCTCCCAGTCGCGCCAGGACGGCTGTCTGGGCGGGTACCAGCGCTGCTGCGAGCACAGCGGGCCGTGGGGCGTCGATCTGTTCGCGAGCTGCTTTGCGGCGGTGTGGGGGTGCGTGCTTGCGTGCTGTGAGGGCGTCGGGTCGTGTTGTGGGGGCTGTGGGAGGTTGTGTTTGAGCGGGTGTTGTTTGTGCTAGGGGGGCCGAGCATCGAGATTGAGGAATTAGAAGCAAGGTTGCGAAGGTCGCGTTGTGGAAGGTGAGGAGGCCTGAGAGCTTGACTCCTGGTAGCGCTGACCTAACTGGTGGATAGCGATGAATTCGCGCTCTGCAACGTTGGAGAAGGAGGTGGGAATGAAAGAACGCTTGATGGATGGCTGCGTCAAGGGCCGAGGACACCTGGAGCAAAAGGCTGAAAGGAGACCTTCTCGAATCCCCTTGAGAGCTAAAGAGTAGCACGGGTCTGCCCTCTCCCCACTTCCCGTGTAAACTACACGCACACTCCGTTCTTGGGGAATCGCAGGCATGTTTACGTGTCACTGGGGAGGGGACTTGTACATTCGGTAACCTCGTTGAACGACATCTCAGGGAAGAGGAAAGAGCATGGAAGTTTAGGGTTGTAGAGTGGAAGAAGAAGAGCATAAGCCGGTTCGAGCACTTCGGCCAGAGTCGAAGGCTGCGGACATCGTTGCTCAGAGGTGGGGTATGGCGGTTCACTGGGGTTTTAATCGCAGCACAAGGACAGTAGTCTGAGGATGGGGTTTTGTTTGTCTACTTCCAAGGTTCGTCATGATGCACGAAGATCGTCGGACGAGTTTGTTGCTGTTTCTAAAAAGCATTTGACTCTATGGAATGGAAAGTGCCTACCCTAATATTCGAAGGTCAAGCAAATAAACGCCTGCACGGATCAAAGAAGGAAGTAAGTTGTACAGTCCGATTCCGCCCCATTGCCAAAAGCCCGAAAACCGCTCGCATAGATAGCTCTAGCAAGCCATTATGGTCGCTCATGTTGAACCACACTCTCTCCGAATCACTCCTCTCCCCTTTACCGCTCTACGACTTGACAGCCTTCTCGGCCTTCCCCGCCACATCCTTCAGTTCGCCCTCCAAAACCTTGCCCTCCTTCGCCGCCTGTCCCTCCGCCTTCTTCAGGCTCTGCTGATAGTTCAATATCCTGCCGACCTGAGCGGCGCCCACGATGAACAGGCAGAAGTTGACCGAAGCGAGGAAGATGTTCTTGGGCCTGATGATGAAGCACCAGCGGGTCCAGATGGCGCCGGTGCACAGGAGCGCGAAGTTCTGCGTAAGAGAGAGCTGTTCGGCGGGGCGTGTGAAGTCGGAGGCGCCGGTGAGGACGAGGGCCCATTTCATGATGGGTGCCCTACAGTGTGAGCGTTAGTAATCGTGCTGTGAATGTGTTGGGATGCGCCGACGGGGAGCCGCAGGCGGTGTATTGTTTAAAGGTCCTGGTGTTTGTCGGGGTTTGTAAAGAGATATAGACATACCAAAAATGCACCGTCTTCGGCCCAACAGGACTATTCCATAGCTTCGCAAATCCACTCTGCTCCCCGGGCGCCGCGGCGGTCCCGACTCGTCGGCGAAGCAGCGGTTGTCGGAAGAAGGGGCGGAAGTTGTTGAAGATGCGGGATCCAGGGCGGAACGACATGTTGACTGCGTCTCTCCTCACTGTATCGCAGCCGTCGAGGAGAGGATGGAGGAATTGAGTGGAGATGGGGAGCGAAGTGTGAGTCGTGGAAGCCACCGCTGTCGGGTCCGAAGAGTGTTGACGAAGGTCTTCGGGATTACGTTGGGGCTGGCTCCGATTGGCTAGTGCATATCGGGGTTAGTGTGGCGTGCGGGCTTCAAGCTTGAGCCGACCTTCGACGTTGACGACTGACGAGCACGAACAGCGATTGTTACCCACGCGACACGCTTACGGGACACGATGGCGTCGAAATACGGATTCGCGAAGCAATTGAGGGAGCTGAGGTTCCTGTTCTGCCAGACGAGCGAGCAGAGCGCGCCAATGAGGTATGCGACCACTCAGCCCGAGGAACCCATCACTCCATGTGTACTGCGCCTAACAGGACCGGGGCTCTATGAAGGGCGCAAATGAGGAGCATTTGCTGATTGTATACCAGGAACTTCCTCACCCGGACGTACCCCACCATGAAGAAGCACAACCCGCACACGCCCATCATGATCCGAGAAGCCAGCGGCATCGAGCCTAAAGTCTATGCGAGATACGGTGCGTCATATCTCTTTAGAAAAAGGGGACGGAAGAATTGTGGGAGAGAAGAGACGGCACAGGCCGGTTGACTTGGGATGGAGGATGGGACTGCGAATAGGATTCAGAGCAAATGCTGACATGTCGCTTATAGAATTCGGCAAAGAGAAGATGATCGCTCTGAAAGGTATGGGCATGAATCATTCGCCATGATTAAGGACTCTAAATTAACTCATGGTGCGACAGGCCTCGACGACAAAGCGATCGAGCAGCAAGTTACCGAGCTGGTTAAGACACCGATATGAGCTAGGGAGGGCACGGGAGCGAAGGACACATCGAGCAACTATAAGAATCTGCGGACGCTGAATAAGTGGCATGAGGCTCATGCGCGGCCAATGTAAATGTGTATTATGATGAACATACCATTTCAAACACTCCACCGGCAAAGATCGGGTCTCAGCATCATTCTGTCCCAGTTCAAACTTACATTGTTCAGTTCTCGGAATCTTCACAACGTTTCACTCCCCACCCTGTTCGAGACGATCAACCTACATTGTTCGGTTTTGCTGTGTTCATCCACAATGTCGCAGTTAGTGTCATTGTTCCCCGAGGTTGCCGCTATAAGTTGATACACTTGCCCACTAGGGTGTGCCAACCCCGAATTCTCATCAGTAGCACAGACATGCGGATCGCTCAACCTCCTAGCGCAATGGCTAACTCGCCAACTTCGGAGGGCTTGTCTACGCCCACCATTTCTTTGGCCCCGGCGGCCAACGGAAACTCCGCACAAGGTGCCCTCTCCCCAGCTCCCTCCACACCTTCACGAGTCCGGATCTTCTCCCCGTTCAAGCGTAACACGCCATCTGCTGCGCCGTCCGCCATGGTGTCTCCAGCTCCATCTCTCACACCTTCGGTTGGTAAGTCCATACAGGACCTCCAGGACGAAAGCGACATGAATCGTGGTCTAGTCCAGGCTCTGAGTGCTGACCTGGAGAAGAAAGACAGCGAACTTAAGGAACTCAAAACGCAGCTTGAGGAGCGCGAGGCCCTTCTGGATTCCCTGAAGCAATCCCACGAGGACATGCATCGCTCGGCTCATGGTAACGAGGATACCCTTAGCATCCTTGAGAAGCGGGTTGCCGAGCTCGTGGAGTGGAATGAGTTTGTGCGTGACGAGATCGCGGCTAAGGCTGACAAGATCCAGGAGCTTGAATTTTTGAAGGGGCTCCCCAACTCCCAGGAGCCCGTAGATGCTAATGCACTTCTTAAACAGAATCTAGATCTGCAAAACGAAGTTGAGCGGATGTCTACCCTCTTCGCAGAGAAGGAGGCCGAAGTTCAGCAGCTGAAGGCCGATAATGAAGCTGAAATGGAGGCCCTTCGCGACCGGCTGGGGGCCGCTGAGGCAGCGACTGAGAGCAAGACCAAGCAACTCACCACCAGCGACGAGCGCTATAGGGCACTTCTTACGCTGAAAGACAATGCCGAAGACAAGCTCGAGTTTGAGCAGACTACTAATCAAGACCTTCAGCAGCAGCTTGTCCAGCTCCAAGAATCCGTTAGCTTCAAAGCTGATTGCTACAAAAACGTCAAACGGAGTCTTTGTGAGAAGGAAGCTGAAGTCGAGAAGCTCGAAGCCGAAATAGCTTCTCTAAAGAAGAATGCTAATCCTCCGGAAGACAGCACTAAACTCACAACCCTCCAGGCCCAACTCGACGGCCTCACCGCAGACAACGCGACGCAGTTCAACCTCATCAAGGAACAGGCGGACGAACTCGCTCGCACCCGCGCTCTCATCCACGAGCACGAACTCTCCATCGAGACCCTCTCCAATGAACGCGAGGAGCAAGAAGTCAAACTGCTCACCTCTGAGAACAACATCCTAGCCGCTGATCTTGCTAAACACAAACAGATTAATCGGAAGTATGTTAGGCTGACCAAGGCGTTGGAGAAGCAGGCTGCTCAGGTCGCTGCCGCGGCTGCTAAGGAACACGAGGACGCGAATAAGCGTGTGGATGCCGCGTTTGAGCGGCGGGAAGCGGAGTGTGAGGCCTTTGAACAGAAACTCCAGGCCAAGAACGAGGAGGTTAGGAAGCTGCAGGGTAAGCTCCAGCAAGTGGAAAAGGCCGCCGTAAAATCCGATCTCGAGCGCGAGGACAAGATTTCTAGCCTGGAAGCTGATCTGCAGCGTGCGGCTCTAAACCTCGAGGCCGAGGTAGCGAAGCGTACGGCTGAGCTGGAGTGGGAAGCTGAGCAGCGCGAGGCGCGGCATAAGGAGGAGCTGGATGCGCTGAAGAACCAGATGAAAGCGTTGATGTAGGAGAATGAAAGGCTGACGGCTGCCGATGTGAATGACGTACCTAGGAAGCTCGCGCCAATGTCCCCCCACGAGGATTTGATTGAGGATATTGATCGGCTGGCAGAGGAGTGTTCGGATCTGTCGGATACCTTGTCTGAATCGTAGATACGCTTCGTTTGGGAAGCCAGATGTTCGATAGCGCGTGGTACGTAAAAAATCGCGTCCATCGAACTATCCTCATTAATGGAATGACTTGACAAGTACTTAACTTTGGCTGTATGTGATACCTCTGGCTCTTGCCCTACCTGTGATGTACGTAGGAGGGTCTCCAATCCCTAGACTCCTCTTGGCGTTATTCCCAGGCACCGGGGTCAAGTGGCCAGATATCTGTACATTGTATTCGTGGTGCAGCCATACACATCTCTAGGCCTTGTTCTATTATCTCAGTCGTGATACACAGCATTTCCAAAGGGTAGTTCGTGGTGGAAGGGTTGTGGAATACGTGACTAAGCAGCTGTGGCGTATGCCTCCAGCCACAAAGCTCTCGTCAAGCCTAGACCGTCGTGCTTCCCTCTGCCATCCCAAATCCTCCCCAAAAGCACCGGGCAGTTGTGACACGATATTTTCCGGAAAGTTCCTGGAAAGGTGATGTAATGGTAACGTTGATCAGGGCTCAGCGGCCTGACAGCCACGTTTCCGCCCGCATATCAGAACCGCTTTTGCACTCGCAAAATAGCTTCCATTTCCCTCTCTACTGCTCAATTGCATCTGCAGCTGCTATTACTCACTCGATGCGTCGTCATGTACTCAGCAAGGTCCTCGAATGTCACCCTGACGCGCGCCGTACGCTCTCTCGGACGAATTAGCCGTGACGTCAACTATCGTCAGAGTCGCCTCGCACCAGTAATTTATATGTCGACTTGCCCCTCAATCCTCCCTTCTTCGTACCGAACGTCTCGCATGAGCAATCAAATCCAGACAATTGCACAAGCTCGAACAAAGCAGATACATAACCAGCTCTCTCGATCGTACCACGAAATGTCGAACAATGCGGACATGCTGCTTGGGGAGGTGTTCAATGTCAAAGACAAAGTCGCCTTGGTGACTGGAGGAGGCTCGGGCATTGGGTTGATGATCACTCAGGCCCTTGCCGTCAATGGAGCGAAGGTCTACATTGTCGGCAGGACGGAGGAGAAGCTCGACCGCGTCGCAGAGGTCTATGGTAAGGATATTGCTGGCCAGATCATCCCTATCCAAGGAGATGTAGCGAGCAAGGAAGGCGTTCAGTAGGCTTATCTGTACTCCGTCCAAACTTCTTTGCTAATATCGCCAGGAAAATCGTGAAGGAGATTGAATCCCGCGAGAAGTGCCTTTGCATATTGGTCAACAACGCCGGAATCGCCGCCCCGAAGACCAGCACACAGGCGGATGACCCAGAGGAGCTGCGCAAGAACCTTCTCGAGCCTACCTCGGTTGACGAGTGGACGTCGGTCTACGCAACCAACGTCGTCGGTCCATACCTCATGACGACCGGCTTCCTCCCTCTGCTCCAGAAGTCAACAGATATGCAGTACGGATGGTCTGGGTGTGTGATCAACATCACTAGTATCTCTGGATTGGTTCGCATTTCTCAGGGACACTTCTCGTATAACGCGAGCAAGGGCGCCCAAGTCCACCTCAACAAGCTTTTGGCTGCCGAGATTGCGAAGGCGGGCTTCAAGATCCGCGTGAACAGCATTGCACCAGGTGTTTTCCCGAGCGAGATGACGACCCAGGATAGCAACGAGAATCAGAAGAGTGAGATGCCCAAGGAGCACAAGGGAGGGCTACCGTCCCAGCGACCCGGGAACGACCGCGATATGGCTGCTGCCGTTCTCTTTGCCGCGAGCTGCCAGTACCTGAATGGGCAGACCATCCCAGTTGATGGCGGATACCTTATCCAGGTCGGCACCTAAAGGTTGTTCTCTCGCTACACTACAAGCGTCTGCTTTCTTCGTTTCTCCACGCCCTCATATGCATTCGGAGCAACGCAATGTATTATAGCGAGCGATCTGCATGCCGTTTAGCTTGGACAGACCTAGCCCGGCGAATGGTAGATACGAAAAGCGAAATGAATTCTTGACAAACAATTACCGTGTTCGATCAATGTGGGGACCTCCGCGGCCGGCGCCTTGCACATTTAAGCTCACGCCCCGAAGCTTTGTGGCGCCAACTAGGCGTTGGATCAGGGGTAAGCAATGATTGGCCCCAGGTTTAGCGCTTGGCGTATGCTTAACTCAGGTCCAACACTGAGAGATGTCGACAGTTGTTCCACCACAGGCTGCTAACCTTGCCCTCCTTATTATGGCTCCTCTTCAGCACGTGTTACACTCTTGTTGGTTCTCAACTCAAGATGCAGATAAGACGGCGCGCATCGCTGTGTTTACGTTGACAAAATTCCAGTGATACACTGCAGATCCTTTCATCACCGCTTCTCTTCTCGTAAACATCGCCTCCGAGGCGTGGTGCGAATTACCAACTTTTCTCTCCTATTCTAACCAGATTCTAGTTGCCGGTACTCGTATTCGGCCGTCCATTTGCCCGGACGTCCGCGAATTCTTGTTTCATGTGCGCTGCCGACGGATTCTTCGCTTACTCACAACCCACATCCGGTAAAGCATCCTCGCGAACACGATCGTTTCTAGGAGCCTGGCCGCGCTGGCGAATGACAGCGGCGCATTGACGTCCATCGCCATCAAATCTCAGCCTCAACGGGCCCCAGCCGCGGAGACTAGTTTTTAGGGCGCTCGTGGAGTTGGCCGGAGCGGGTGGGCGCTTGATTGGGTCGGAGAGTGCTTAGGGGCCTATTAATAAATTGCAATACATAAAGAGGAGCTGGGCCGCACTCTACATCTTGTCGACTTCTGGCATTTCATACTGTTTGGTTGTGGAAAAAGCTGCGTGTTTGTGCAGTGTCCGTTCGCTGGTCCGTTACGTAGTCATTCGCGTTTTGGTTAAGCGGTTGAGGTATTCTTAATCATAATGAGAGTCTTCGCGCTTGTTGCGGCCTCGCTGGCTTCTATGGCTTTGGCGCAGAATTGCGGACCGCAGTATCAAAATCAGGTTTGCGCGGCTGGGAAATGCTGTAAGTATCCCTCTCGAGAACAATGAGCGGATACTAACTCATCCATAGGTAGCCAGTATGGCTGGGTACGTCCAACTTTCCCACATAGATTCAATTACGACTCTTGAACCTATTAACACCATCTCAAGTGCGACACTACTCCTGCCCACTGCGATCCAGCAACCTGCCTGAAGCAGTACTCCGGCACAGGCTCATCCTGCAAGAACGGCGCTTCCACCACTCTCAAAACTTCGAGCACCAAAAAGCCCACCTCCACCTCCTCGCCCTACGCCTCCTCCATCCCGGTCATCGACGTGTGCGGCAGTGCTCAGGGCGGTGTGTCCTGCCCCGGCGCCGGTTTGAACGGCTACTTCTATCGCTGCTGCTCCTCCGCGGGTCACTGCGGCCCTAAGAACGATATCCAGGACCAGAGCTTGTATTGTGGCACTGGATGCCAGGCAGGCTATGGCAAGTGCGATACCGAGACGAAGCCGCCGGAGCCGACGAGTGGAGCGGGAACTGCGCAGGCTGGCGGGAGCTGCGGGCCGATTGTCAATAAGAAGTGTGCTAGTGGGCTGTGCTGTTCCGGCAGCAACTTCTGTGGCACGGGGGTAAGTGATTGCTATGCTTTGTTTAGGACGAACGGTTATCGGGAGGTTCAGGATGTTGACTGACGTGTTGCGCAGACTGATTTCTGCGGTGCCGCGAATTGGTGCCAGCCTAAGTGGGGGAAGTGCTCGTAAGTTTACAATATGGAAAGGAGACGGAACGTACATGCGACTGGGTAAGATTACGTTCGACAGCTCTGTCGGCTTATGTAACTAACCCATCCAGCGACATTTTGAAGCACATCAATCCTCTATTTCAATCATCATGCGAACATGCATACTATAATACGCGGTCCAGCATCAAATATCAATATAACAAAATGCTCCTCATTCATCAATAGCAAGTACAGGCAATGTACTGCCTTCACATACCGCACAATGCGTGTCAGGTCACTCTTCGCATCCCTCAAACGCTGCTCACCAGCCAGCAGCATCACTCCAACGTACTTTTTGAGGACGCACACCCCCCACACTTTCTTCTTTCTTCACACAAGCTTTCTATCTTCGGTTTCGTTTTCTAACCATGAAAAAGGCTCACCATTTATCTCCTCATCCTTCCTCCTCGGAATTCTTCTTCCGCGGCAACGGCTCCTTCCTCTCCCCCAACCACGTAACCCGCTACATCTACCCCTCTCCCCTCAACTACCCGCTCTCCAATCTACGTCTCCAACCCCCCGCAAACCCCACCAAACGCTCGCGCCCACTAGGCCGGTCCTCCTTCGGCGGCCCTGAAGGCACCGTCTTCCTAACCATCACGCCTGCAGGCCGTCCTGCGCCCACGCGAGCCCAGTTCGACGCCTGGATCGCGGGAGAGAAGGCGCGCGACAAGAAGAGTGAGAATGCGCTAGGTCGCGCGATGAGGAGGGTTGTGGCATATCAGGGGAATACATTGCTAGAGAGTGGGAAATTTAAGCTGAGGAAGGAGGGCCCGCTGGTGTATGTTGTGAAGAGGACAACTGTTGTGCCGTTGGGAGGAACGGATGAGGGGAGGTATGCGAGGGATGAGGATGTTTATGAGATTGGGGTGGGGGAGTGGTATAACTTGAGGCCGCCGACGGCGCAGGGGGAGGGGCATGATAGTTGGTGGATGAGGTTACATGTGAGTTCTCCTTCCTTTGCAAGGATGTATGGAGGGGATAGGAAGATGGCTGCTGACCACAGGTCGTTTGAAATGTGTAGGATCTGTATCAAGGCAAATTCGACCGGGCGTTCTGGAGCGCGAGGGAGAATATGGATCGTCTGAATATCCCCGCGCCGCTGACGAAATGGTATGTTCTTCGGCATCTATCCTTCGTCCTGTCCGCCTGCGATGTTTTGGAAAGGCATTGCTGATAATGTACTGTGGTCTGGAACAGGCGTCCTCGCCCCGACGTGGACAAATCCGTCGTCAAAATCTACCGGGAACGAAACAAGCACCAGGTCCCAGGCGATCCCTGCCTCTGCTTCCGTGAATGGTGGGACGACAGCGAGTACGCCTGTCTTCTCAAATGCGGACACTATCTCTGTCTCGAGTGTCTAACCGCACTAGTTGACGAGGCTGGTACGTTTCCCCTCCCCTGCTTTCCTCTCCATTCCTTCCCATATGATAAAGCTAACAAGACGCTTGCTCGCTGCAACAGGGCGTGGCAAAATGTTCCCCAACGAAGTTGACCCTGACAAAAAGTACTGGCGCTGCCCCACCTGCCGCTTCATCAACCCCGTGCTCACTGACCGCGCCTCCATCATCGCCCCTGACGAGTTACCCTGGTGGCGCCACCGCATCGCCTGCCAGCGCCTCAAGCAAGAAGCGGTAGATTGGCTCGCGAAGCTCGGAGCGGCCGCGACGGACGGCTGGGTCCCGGAGATAGACGATGAAACAGCGAAAGAAGGTGACGCAGAGAAGATCAAGAACATACAGCGCGTGTATGTGCACCTTCCCGATGCCATTGACCTCATGGAGCGGATACCGATTTACGTGGCGAAACTGCTGCCCTGGGGCTTCAGTCTGGATAACCCGGTGTACATGAAAGAAGGGGAGGTGCTGAAGCAGCATCTGGTTCAGGAGTTGCGGCGGCTGGCGGCTACGAAGCAGCGCTTTACGACGGATGCGCTGATCGAGCACATTCAGGCTGTTGGCGAGCAGGCGTGGACGCCCGTGGTGGTGCGAGATGCGAGCCAGCGGCTGGGCAATCCGATTGTGCCGCCGGGGTATGCGCAGTATAAGAAGTTCTTGTGTGAGTGGACGGCGCGGTGCTGCTTTTATAGTCCGGTGGCTAGGATGGAGATTTTGGCCTTTATGAAGGACATGGAGAGATATAAGGATACGGCTTGGTGGAAGGATGTGAGAGAGGTGTGGTTTACGTCGGGAGATCCGTGATGGGTGTGTATGTAGGGCACTGACTAGAGAGGTGAGAAGGCACAACAGACTCATTACTAAATACCCGTCTTCTAGCCCTCGCATCCGCTACTTACTGCACAGGCATACCCCCGGGCAACTCGGTCAACCACCCATCAATATCCTCGTTCACCACCCGCTTAACCGTACACTTGTTCCCCTGCGCAATACTCTGCGTCTTCAGGGCCGGGCAGTTAATATTGCAATTGGTATCCATGGCCTTCTGCAGCGCATCGCCCTTCCACCCGAAGACGTAGTCACCGTGGTTGCCGTACCCGGTCCTGTTTTGTTGTCAGCACCTTCGCTCCCCTGGGAGAAGTAGGAGGGGGAAATGGGGATTGGGTAGGACTTACGCATCGCCAAACGACCAGACGAACGGTTGCGATCCGTCGCTCGCCCACAGGCTCTTATCGTTGAACTTAGTGGTATCCCAGATCACCTCGTAGAAGAGCTGCGGGACCTTGACCGGGTGGGTGGAAGGGCAGGGGCCGTTGTTTTCGAAGGTGCCGGAGCTAGCTGTTCGACCTTAGCCCCACCCACCTGCCTTTTCGGACGGTTCTACTTACGATACGCCACATGGCTCATATGGTCCGGCGAATCAAGGTTCTTCCCATCCCAGCAGGTGGGGAACCGCACATTGACCATGATGCCGGCCGGGCATGGCTGCTTGGGGAAATCCAACGTCTCTCCAGTTCGGGTCATGGCGTCCTTTAGACAAGTGTATGTGAGTTGGCGGAACTGCTTGGCTTCGGCTTCGGTCCTGTATTGCGGGTTTCCTAACAGTCGCGTTAGTACTCAAGCACGCTGATTTGAAAAATAGCTAATCTAAGAAACCGGGAGCTGGTGAGAAAACTCACCGACGATCATCCTGAAGCCCTTCTTGAACGCGGTCACAGCTCCTTTCGCAGCACCGTTCGACAGGGTTGGTGTATAGTACACTGTCATGCCGCCACTAGACTGCTCAAATCCGACATTTCCCTTGATCGGAATACGTTTGAAAGTTCCATTCTTCGCTCGGAAGAACATCACGGCGGTCCAGTAGTTGCTGCTACATGTTAACCTTGACGGGGTCGAGAGAGACACCGGCTGCGGTACCTGAAGTCCTCAGCAAAAGTGCACGTCGTGCACGTGGCCTGGTCTGAGGGCGCGACAGTCGGATCCATAGACGTATTGAAAGAGTTACCGCCGATAATCTGGTGCAGATGGGGCGAGGGGGCTTGGCCGGGATTGACAAGAGGATCGAGGCGGTCGACTACAAGTTGGGAGCAAGAGAACCGGAGGAGGGCGTGTGCTGAGGGCGCTAGCAGCGCGAGGAGGACTGTCTTGAGACCCATGGTGGCTTGTTGGTGATTCTGGTTCCTGAGCTGAAAACTGAGAGAAAAAGATGGAACTTGGCGAGCGCTTATATCTTATCATTGCCCTCCGTCCACCCTGGATGCAATATAAAGTCGAATATGGAAGACCTGGGTGTGTGGTTGTATTCCATATAATGTGGGGTTTTTATAGGCAAGGGTGTTAGTATACGTAGAGTATCGACCTATCCTAATTCAGGCGAAAGAACACAAATTGAGTAGAAAATGCGGCACCACTTAAAAATTCCTCCAACCATATTACGGCAGTCTGTGCTTCTAGAATAATATGTCTGCGACGATCCCAAGCTCTTGAGGTCGAATGAAGCTTTGCGCCACCACTATCACACCCCTGGTGACAGGGGTTGTTGATTGCCGGTAGTGCCTTTTCTGCCGGCATCCGCATCTCCACAACCTTTGATGTTGACCCCACAGATACGAGACGGATAACGGTTATTCAGAGGGAGAGCACGAGCACAACGTGGGAGAATATTGATGACGTAGACGCCGATGTAGCTGGGCCTAGTAGGAGGAAAAACGGAATGAGAAAAGACAGATGGCAGAACCTTGGGAGAAGCATAAGTAAATTGGAGACTATGCTCACCATGTCCCACGCAAGCAGAGAGCCTATTGCACTGATTCCCAATAGAGGAATATCCCCAACTCCGATTACAGTGAAAGCGATCCTCTTTTCTTATAAGATAGAGACCTTGTGTGTATATGTGACCGTAGTTTCCGTCGAAGTGAGAAACTATTGGCGCTCGCTCACTATGCGCCAGACCCATTTTCTTCATCCTCGCTGCCAAGGTCACTCAATTCGTTGCTTTCCGGTTCGCTCTCATTATCGTCCGCTCTCTTCTTCCTCTTTGCATTTCGACCATTCGCACCCTTGACCGGACCGGCGCCCATACCTTTCCTGACGCCCGTCCTCTTGACAAGATGGTCGATTACGCAGCCCTTGTCCCAGCCCTCGCTGTTCTCGCCTGTGATGGCGCGACAACGCGGACATGTCTTTCCATGCTTGATGAAGAGCTGATGAAGCGGGTATTTCAGATGGTCCGGAAGCCTGACTTCGCAGTGGGCATACGTAGAGTTGCGTGTTGGTCCGGCGAACTTGCCTTTGGCTCCGGGGGCCAAACCCGCTGGATCACCGGGTGGCGGTACCCAACCTAGCCATGTGCAGAGACGGAACACATGCGTATCGACGGCGAATGAAGGTCGTTGAAGACAGAAGAGAAGGACGCACGAGGCAGTCTTCGGACCGATCCCAGGATATTTGGTCAAAGCCTTAAAAGCCTCGTCATTCGAGACGAGGTGCAAATGATCAAGAGAAAGCACGTTCTCATCTGCCTTTGCTACTTCAGCATTCTTCTCCTCAGGGTCTTCATTTGCAGACCCAGGAGCGGTACCGGAAGAGACGAGCTCGTCGCGCCGAGCTTGGTTCTCCTCCCACACCATCTGCAAGATCTTCTTGATGTCTTTGCTCTTGACATCTGCTAGCCCGCCACTCTTGATTGCTTCGAAGATGTCCTTGGTGTCAGCCAAGCGGACCTTGTTCCAATCTACGCTTCCCTTGCCGACGCCCTCCTTGAGGACCCCGAACTTGGCGACCAAACCGGCAAAAGCTCGGGAAGAGTTGGTCCCGGTGGTCGCAGCCGAGAGGCGGGTTCGAATCAAGGCATCAAGCACCGACGGTACTTCTCCGCATCCAGAGACTGTGAGCGACGGCATGGGAATGGACTTTGGTGGTTTGACCTCTCCGTGTACTGATGACAGCAGGCGAGTTACCTCTTCACACTCCTCGGCGGTTGGGTGAGGCCAGTTTGGGTACGGAGTCTTGCCAGGGGTGAGGCCATAGCTGTTGTTCTTGGCCTTCTTTGGAGAATTCTCAGTAGTCGCTGTGGCCTTGGCAACCAGCTCCTCGACGTCTTCCGTCTTCCGTGAAGTAGGCTTGCTTGCCTTGAGGTGCCTAGCTTTCTTAGCCGGCGATCCATCCTTTGGCTTTACCTGGCTTGGGATCAAATCGGGTATGGTTCCGAGGTTGTGCGGGAGCTCGTTCACGTCTTCTTCTATCGCTGCCGTCCGTGCTCGTTTGCGGGTGCTTTTGGGCGTGACAGGCAAAGCCTTTGCTGGGGAAGGCTCCTGAGACGCTAGTCCAGTTTTGGTGGCTCTCCTGGGTTCGCTCCGCTGAGGTCCCGGAGTAGCCGGAGGGCTTGATAGCTGCACAGGCTCCTGTGTGACGTCTTGCGGTGGTTGTGCAGCTTTCAGCTTGGCCGCTGAACCTCTAGTGACTCTCGCCATGCTGACGGAATAGATAGCGGATCGAGATGGTAGGCAATGCAGCGACCGGACGCAACGAGTTGGGAGAAACAGCTTGAGGGTGTGAAGATATTGCAGTCGAGGGGCTAGATGAATTGAAGGTTGAGAAGCACGGGAAAAGGTATCTCAAGGTTTTTCTTAAAGTAGTCAGCAGTGAGGTATGGTTCAAGTGAATACAAAACGCGAGGAGCAAGCAGACCTCGGGAGGTGAAGCTGAAGTGCACGGGGGAATGGCTAGCGTGGATGCATGACGTCGATGATTGGAGCTTGGGCCCCCGCGATGCAGGAACGACAACAGTAGCGGGAAGGCGCCGAGGGGCTGGACCTCGGAACCTCAACACCAGACGCCAGTGCTACGAATACACATCCACAACCCTTCCTACAGCCCCTCCTATTTCTCCTCCGATCCAGTATGGCGAGCAAGGCGCCCATAGTTGTTCCTGCGCTGAAGCGACACACGGCGACTGTCATCGTAGCGCACGGTTTGGGCGACAGCGGGGTTGGCTGGTAATGCCACTCGACGCGGGCAAGTGTCTCTATGCTGATAGATGGTAGGCTATTCCTCGCGGAGAACTGGCGGCGACGAAGCAAGTTCGAGGAAGTCGCGTTCATCTTTCCACATGCGCCGAACATCCCCATCACGCTGGTGCGTAGCCGCTCTCGCCATGTTTCATTCGGACGGAGCGTGTCTTGAGATGGATAGGATACTGATACATGGCAGAATATGGGAATGCGAATGCCTGGATGGTACGATATCAAGAGCCTGACTGACATATCGGGTCGCGCGGAAGACGAAGAAGGCATCCTCAAGTCGCGCGACTACTTCCACTCCCTCATCGATGCCGAGGTCGCAAAGGGCATTCCCGCAAACCGCGTCGTCGTCGGAGGCTTCTCACAAGGAGGTGCCCTGGCTCTGCTGTCCGGCCTCACATACAAGAACCAACTGGGTGGCATCTTTGGGTTGAGCTGCTACTTGCCCCTGCAGAAGAAGATCAGGGACATGATTCCGGCGGATAGCCCGAACAAGAACACGGCGATTTTTATGGGCCATGGAGACGCGGATGAAGTGATCCAACACAAGTTTGGCAAGCTGAGCGTGGATGAGCTTACAAAGCTGGGATGCAAGGTCGACTTCAGGACATACGAGTATGAATACGGTTTGCCTCGTCGCAGGATTGTAGGCTAATGTTTGGCAGGGGCCTTGCCCATTCCGCAGACCCCGACGAGATCGACCACCTCGAGTCTTACTTGAATCAGCAAATTCCCGCACTTGCGGATGAGAAGAAGTCTGAAACCTCGCTTTGACTAACTCATAAGCTCTATTACCCAACCTCCGCTGAGCTGATAACAGCACTGGTCGTAATTGTCACTTTGGCTATCGTATGGATTGCTTGGCTCAAGAAACGGGACGATAAACGAACGGATAGATAGCTAGCCTATTCCTCAAGGAGAAGGCTTGGGTGCTGGTCGGTTTCAAGTCCGTCGAGAAGGCCCTGGTGGCGTGACATGGACCTTCGCGCGTGGTAGTTCCGGATAGGCTTAGACACAAGGTAGATGAATCCCATTCAGTCATTCCTATCTCATGCCGTATTCCTAATCAATTCCTTTTCTTATCCGTTCTTTAGCTGCAGGACAGGAGAAAGCAACGCCCGAGGGTCCATTAAATACCCTTCTGTACGCCTTTTTCGTTCCCCAATTCTTCCTACTTATGATGCCGTGACACGGTTGCCCCTTTGTCGTCGCGTCGGAATGCGAGAGCTGATGCGCGCGACCTGTGCGGTAACCGTTGCACTACGGATGGCGTCGTTTACGATAGGTAGGCCATATCCTCCCATCTGCAAACAATTAGTAAAGGCTCTGGCAGAGTTGCTGCTGCCACTTACGGCGGCCGACTGAAGTGTCGCGAACTTGCCACCCGCACCAACCGACCCGATAACGGACTGGACGCTCGAAGCTATAGTCGCTGTGCGCAATAAGTAAGCTCCCGCTCAGTTATTCGGATGTTTTCCCTGTGAATCGCACCTGCGACTGGTCCTTTGCTACCGAAACCGGCCCATGCTAGCAGCGGTCCGGAGACAAAGCCAGGGGCGAGGAAGGAGATCGCTGTGACGGCGTGGAAGGCGGACGAGATTGGGTTCTTGACGACGTAACTAGCGACGCGCGCGGCAGTGTAGGCCAGACCGGATAGGTGAGCGCCCATTTTGGTTATGTTTTGAATGGGGCGGCGTGTCTTTGTGTGAGGTCCTGGAGCGTGGAACGGCAAGGAGAGGGGTGTGAATGGGGAGAACGAGGTGTTAGGAAGAGAGGATAGGTGTGAATGGAAATGAGGTATTTATATATGGAGACGTGATTGCTCTTTCACTGCCGACATCACCTTCACCGCTTCAGCATCACCGCTTGTTACAACACTGATGTCCCCAAGAGGACAATGCTCAGTACTGTATCGAGCTACGCCTGGCATCCAACCAATCAGAAACTTTTCGACACGAAGAAGTAAATCCTATCAGTCTACAGCTTGTGTCTCAGCACATTCTCCAACAAGACAGAGGGCGAGGCATATCAGCCACAGAATCATGATCCTGGTGTAATAGGACATTTCGAACTTTAGCGTAGAGAGTATTCGAGAGTCGGCGAGGCTTTTTTTGAAGAGCCGTGGAGTGGCGCATCTTTAGATACCTGTACCTACCTAGGTAGCCGGAGAGTGGAATTTGGGCGCTAAACCGTTTCTGGATAGCGACGACATCTCAAACCATCCGTTCGTCCAAACCTCCCATCAAATCTGGACAACCATTCCACCCTTCTTCACCCATCTTACTCTCTCTTGAAGGCAATGGATTATTGCCATCTAGCTGTCTCCCCGCTGAATATAGAACTGAGCGATTTCAGCCCGGCTGACGCCATGCATTGGCGGGGGAATATGCCTTATAGGTGCCTTACGGAATTGATTACTCTCGGAGGCGCTACATCCTGTGGGCAGGGCCTCTGGGCCTTGCTGCATGATCCGCTGAAATATGGAGAACCTTAAGCAACACATGGTCAGGCTGAGGCGGCAGCGCAGGGCTTACCTGCACCCCACCTTGGCGCCTGAAGGCGCAGTTGGAAAACACCAGGCCGCTCCAGTTGAGATTCCTCAATCCACATTTTTTAGCCATCCGCCTCTCTTAACACTACACTGCGAACCGAGCACCGATTTCCTTCGAAAGATGACGAGGAAGCATGGCGACAAGGAATTTACCGCTCGCGACACCCATCGACCGGCTCGCAGCCTTCTTCGACCCATCTCAGCCTCGCGAAAGGTACAACGACGCCGAAATTGACGAGATAGCCGGCCTACTTGGACTCTGCGGCCATATCGCTAGCAAATGTCCACGAACGTACATTGTCCTTCGCAGGATAGACGAGCTCGATGTTCTTAGTCGAATGCTGAACGAGGGATTTAGCGACCAATGGCTTCCTATCGAGCCGCGAGGACTGCCTAACTTTCTAAGCCCAAGCGTCAAGGCGAGGATCGTGCAGACTCAAAGCATAGTCTTGACGAAGTGCTTGGACTTGGAGAAAGGGAGACACAGACATTTCACGCCCGGAGAGGTTTTGCCCTTCGAAACCGTGGGCTGCTTAGGCAGTGGTGGATACAGCCAAGTCGATCACATCATCAGCAAGATCAGCTTCCGGCATTATGCGCTCAAGCGAGTACGACGAAGGGTGGCGTTTGGGATCAATTCAAAAGAGGCTATGAAGAGATTCTTGAGCGAGGTCCAAATCGTAAAAGACCTGAAACAGGCATATCGTTGAGTACATCGGCAGCTATACCGACAAAACTTACCTGGGCTTGGTCATGTCTCCCGTCGCCGATAAGGACCTCGCTGCTTTCATGGAAGAAGCAGCCTCCCATGTACAAGCAGCATCACTTCCAAATACCGAATCATCGACAGCCCGGCTACGGGAGCAGGCTCTTGCGAATGAGATGCGCGCGACTCTGCGCACCTTTTTCGGCTGTCTAGCCGCTTCGCTCGCTTATCTGCATGACAACTCAGTCCGACACAAAGATATCAAACCTCAAAACATTCTCGTCCGCAGCGGTAACGTTCTTTTAACTGACTTCGGACTCTCTCGCGACTTTGCGGACGACATAGGGAGCACTACGTCCGGGATTACGCCATCTACCCCACGATACAGCCCACCCGAAGTCGCGGCATATGAAGCCCGTAACACTTCGGCTGACATTTGGTCCCTCGGATGCGTCTTCTTCGAGATGGTTGCTGCACTCCATGGCTATAACATAGAGTGGTTGAAGAGATATATTGCTAGCAAGCACACTAGCTCGACGCACTACTATGCCAATGACAAAGCTTATGCTGAGCTGATCATTGAGTGGGAAATGGCTTGGAAACCGACGGATCGGAGGCCCCTGCACTGGATTCCGAATATGCTGCAGAGAGATCGCCTTGCCAGGCCCACTGCCGCCGCTATCCTTGGAAACATTACATCTACGGGCGAGGAGGTTCCGGTGCTGACCTCTTTCTGCGGTATATGTTGTGTGCCACATGAGCAGAGCGATTCCGAAGATAGCCTGGTGGATGAAACAATGGTACTGTCAATAGAGGAACGGCAGATTCCAAGGTCTACGATGACATCTCCATATCACGCGATCGATAAAGATGACCCTCTTCGCACAGATGCGCTACGGGTAATAGGGGAACGCCAGCTTCCAAGAATTCCGAGGGTGCCCGATCCGGATCATGCGATCGATGAACCGTCCCCAGCACGAAGGGCTATGGAGCACGTACCGATCGTTTCTACTGAGCTCCTCCACCCAAGTGTTGATCGCAACAATGATGCTCAGATAGGTCCCCCAGAAGCTTTGCAACAGGACCGGACTAGAAGTGATAATACTGCTATTGAAGGCGGCATTTACGAAACTGGGTATTTCGTCCCAAATACCGGTACTTCCGGACCCAGGACTTTACGCCCTCAAAGACAGCCTTCCGTAGAGCCCATCGTTCGGGGCTTTCTTAGCTTCAGGAGGAGGACCAACGTGTTCAGACCGTTCGAGCTGGCGCTGCTCAAAAGGAAATATTTCTGGTTCGGCGAATCAAGCTACCAGCATCTCTTATATTTCGCCAGAAATCCACCCCCGAACACGCCCGAGGGTATCCTAAACTTGACTTACGCGTCGCGCCTCACCAAGTTCCAGAGCAAATATATCTGTTTAAACGTTGCTGCCCACAAGGGAGAGAGGTCAGATGAATATATATTCAAGGCACAATCTCTTCTCGACCGCGATGGGTGGTTCGTCACCTTTGAGTGGGCCATCCGGGAGGCTCGGGCGCACCGGTCTAAAGAAGAATTAGAAGCCATTGGACCACACTAAGGGGCAATTCTTCGAGCACCCCGAGAATACGACCGAACGGCGCATCATTAATGCAAATGCCTTGAACCACCAGCGCGACATGTTCTCCTACGGAAATGAGCTAGAAACGAGAAACGACTGATAATGGAATCATGTGACGAGAACATTCACTCCCCGCACTCTTCCATTCGCTAGCTACCCGCACCGGTGCATTGCAATGCCATATCCCTATTATGGCATATACGTACTCGTCTCTGCTACTGTATACAAGGAACTCCCCAAATAGAACCCTTGTACCGGTGTCCCGTTCTGTTTGTCGCACGCCGGAACGCTATCCCCGCAGCACAGCAGCCCTCTTCACCGTTACACGTCGTAAAAATAACTCATCACCCTCGCACACGAGCGGCGTCGGCGCTGGTTTCTCCAGTAAGGCCACGCACGCGTCACAGCATGGAGTGGAGTGAGGAGACGCCACCAATGTATGTCTTGTGGACATGTTGAGGGAGTCAGCGCGCGGGGAGGATTCTGAAGTGTATGTCAAATGCTGTTTGGATTCTGGGAAGGGAGGTTTGGTTACTTGGAGTAGGGAGTAGGTGAGAGCAGAGGAAGGATAGATTTGTTATGGACTACTCTTCACGTACGGAGGACATTCCATTTCCAACACTGGCCCAGCTCTACCGGTAGGCTGCATCCATCCGCCCACCCTATCACTTCCAGCCCACTACCCACAGGAACCTACCCAACCCAACCCCATGCCATCATCCCCCGTGATCCATCACCCCACCCAGCCTCACACGCCCATCTCCCCGCACGATCCCAAAGCCAATAGCTCCCCGCCCTCTCGAGTCCAGCACCACAGTGCGCGATTCTAACAGCGCTCGTCAATCGGCGCCCAGTGCATTCCAGTTCACTCCAATTCAGTCCAGTAACAAGGTACGCGGGAAAAAGCTACCTTTCACCATCGGTTTCCCATTCTTTCAGAATCACAGTATCGCAGGACTCGAGACGGAAAGAGGTCATTGGTGGTTTTGCATGGACATGACACGCCGGCCATGGTAACTCGTTCGTTCGTAACAGTCTGAAAAGAATCGTGGAAAGACAAAATTAGAAACGAACGCAACTGTGCTACTGAAGGGACAGCTAGCCAGCTTGCTTGCTTTGCCAACCAAACCATCGCCGCGCGTCAATGTACTGTATGTATCTCATGACTCGAAAGGTATGCTGCCCTATTGGCGAGCGGACTGCCTGCCTGCCTCCGCGAAGCAATCACGGGAGCTCAACTCCAAACCCTGCGCGCGCGGGTATCTGCATTGCATTGCATAGCGTAGCGTAGCATCGCGTAGCATAGCATCGCGTTGCAGCACCTACCAGTACCGTCCGCACATCCGCATGTCCCAAGCCCCGCTCACCCCCAAGAACCCAGCTTTGAAAACAGGAGAGCCGAGAATAACGTCTACTAGCCGGGGCAGCAGTGCTGCATGTACGTCCTGGTACAATACATATGGTCCATGCTACTACAGCCCCCGGGCCCCGATTCGTACCCGCGAGAGACCCACTCACCAGCTCTGATAAAAATGGGATACGCAATTCACTGGTCCGCTAGGCAGTAGTACCTATGTAACGGCGCCGAACGGAGCCGAGCGGAACGGGCGCTTTGGCCGATGCTACTACCCGCAGTCCCGCGTCCGCGGTGCGTCTTCCCTCTCCGTACCTCCGGAGGGCGATATCTGTATGTAGAAAAAGGACCGACGAGGACGGGGGCATGTGAGAGTGTGATCAGATCAGATGAGTTGCTGCGAGCAGCGGGCAACCGATAGTCAGTTAGTCGAAACAACGCGGACGAGCAGTCGGACTCATCGATCTATCTACTCGCGGAAGGCTCAGATGAAGAACCCTGACCGACGGACCTGAATATTCACCTGAGAGCGAGTCGCCATCTGACAGCCGACAAACAAGCGCCTCACAGTCCCAGTGGCGGCCCACTGACAGCAGTCCTCCCCTCGCCACGGTAGCGCTCAACGTGCTTCCACGGCATTTCGAGCCCCTCGCTCCAGCGGGCTCTGCGTAGTAGTGCGGGCACGTTGGTGACTGGACGCCCACGTTACCCAAACGACTCATGCTCTACGCACCATGCAAGTCCATCATGTCGTCAACATGTATTTGGCACACAAACTCCTTTCAAATCGATCTTCTTGAAGCGAACGCCGAAACCGTGGGGGGTTGCTAGTACAATCATGATCGATAACTCTCAAACAGGGGCCGCCGACCATTCCACTGCCCAGACGGGCGTGGATCCCGAAACACCACCTAAAATAAACCCTTGCAGAACCCCAGCCAGATCCAAATACCGTCTTTAGTAACACCGTGTCCCAAACCTATCTTCCTAGAGGTGCCTGACCCGAAGACTCCGAACCGATGTCAATGTACTCCGGTATCCCAGCAGACCCCATTCCAACCAATAACCAGATATCCAGGCTGCAGCGAGCGAAAACTCGCTGCACAAATCTAAGAGAGAGATAATAAGGGTGCTTGGGGAAGTACTGAAGAGAATCGAATCCGAGCCGGATGTATGATAGTCGCCAGTGCATAGTGCTAAGCATGTCGGTGGTGATAGTATGCCACAGATGTGTCGTAGGTCGCGTGCAATATATCGTCATGTTGAGGGGCATAGCGTCGTCTAAAATGGTCGTGATGTGTTCTGAGGACGAGGTGTTACACAGCGAATGGGCATGGCTGTTGGAGAAGTTCGCCGACGAAATGGATTTGAAGAGAATATTTATCCGAGTAAGACTGTAAGCTATTAGCAGGGATATTCCAACGTTAAGATCTGCTTCCTCACCCTCCCAGTTCCAGTCCTTCATAACGCCTAGCCAATGAAGGCGTCCTTTGACTGTGAACTCATGCTCTAGCATCTCCATGCCCATGAATTCGGACCTACGCCTTCCCGTGCCGAATTCCGTCTGGAGGGGCACCGGTCTTGGACCATCAAAAACCGACACCCCATCCACAGCTCTGCGCTTCATGCCGGGGTCAAACAGGCGGCAATCGCCGTCAGGCTCAAAGTCTTCCGACACGCAGCTGAAGTCGCGCTTAAGCGATGGTGTCACGGGAGAGATACCAGCGTTTCGTTCGTGGTCGATCAGGAGGCTCTCCGCTGCGTACGCATCTCGACGACTCCACACCTCCTTAGTCACGTCCAAGCACTTCTCGATGATCCCAAGCTTCATTCTGGTGTACATCATATCCCAACGCGTGCGGACCCATTCTCGATCGTCCTCAGTCGTCACCTCACAGCCGGCGGCCATCAGGGGAAAAATCTGGACAATGATGGACCGTGAACGAGGATTAACTGTGGCAAGCTCGCGCAGTATCTTGATGGCGAGGTCTGCAGATGAGAGCGATGAAATCTCGGGAACGGCTTGGTGAAGATATAGAAGGGTCGCATATTGATACGCTGTCGCTGTCCTGATGGAGTCGTAAGGGCTTGTCGTCTCGTCTTCTGGATCTTCAATGTAAGATGGGGGCATCCAATCGTCTAGCTGTCGCTTCAACTCGACCGCTTGCGAGATAATGGTGGGGCTGTTGCTTCGCGACCTTCGCACTTTCCTTACCAAATTCGCGACGCGGCCAATAATGGGGAACAGCGTGCTCGCGCAGCCCATCAGCGGATCGAGCTGGGCATCTGTCTGCCCATCGATATTGAAGCTGTCGTAAACAGTGTCGAAATCGTTGGACTCATCACCGTCGGCAGAGGTCAGCCGGGCAATGACGTCGATGTAGATCCAAGAGTTGCAGAGGAACTTCAGTCGCGTGAAGTCTTCGCCTTGGACTGGCGACTGGTTGTGTCGCATGAGGGCGCGATTGATCAGGATCTTGGCGCCCTTGATGTGATTGATGCCAGTGCTGATATGCTGATCCCATGATTCCGAAAAGGCAAGAACCAGTGTGGTCGAGATTGCTGCATCGACACGCATGTTCTCCAGACTGGAGGCGAGTGCATGAACGGCGGTGCGCATGTGGTCTATCCCTTGAATTCGCATTGCAGGCGAATCCCTGGACTGGTGGAACGCAGTCATGGAGGCAATGGCGTGGTACAAAGCTGGGCAGTCCCGCGCAAGAGGCCAGACGAGCGTGCGCCAAGGGTTTTCCGTCGGTCCGTCTTTGACAGACAGGATTCCGCAGGTTTCCCGGTCGAAGCGGCGCGTGAGCATTTCTGGAGATGCCATGGAGAACTGGGGCTGCGCAAAGAGCGGGTAATCGCGCGAGTCCGAGGAAGAGCTCGTTGAGTTGGAAGGCGTGGGAGAAGGCAGTCGCATGACCCAGGCGTCGGAATCAAAGCTGCGTGGAATCTCTTCTACATCGTCGTCCATTGGCTCTGCTGGCGGGGTGAAGCCGCTGTGCTGGTAGAAATCCTCATGCTGAGAGCGAAATGTCAAGTACTCTTCTGGCGGCGCGTTGAGATCTGTGCCTGGCAAAAGAAGATCCACGAGCCGGGGTGATTGACCGGACGTGACGCTGGAGGGCGCTGTTGTCTTTGTAGGCCTCGTGTCCACGCTTTCCGACTCGTAGGCGCTGTTCGTGCTCTCGACAGAGCCTGGCGCAAAGCTGTCGCCGGGAGAAATGGGCGGTGGAGCTAGCATATACGGCGAGGGCTGGGACATGGCGTACATGTTGCTCATGGCGGGGTACGACGTTTCGACGAAGCTGGAGACAGGCGGTGGCGCACACATGAGCAGCTGCGGCTGCGGCGGAGGGTAGTAGGCATTGTGGAGAGGATTTTGGCTCGGTATGGGTCGGGACAGATTGTATGCTTCTATGGGGCTGTCGCTCGGGGGTACTGGAACAGAAGTTGGCGGGGTAGAGCCTTGACAGCTGTTAGAGCCGCGATATCTGATCATGAAGGCCGACGCACTCTTCTTCGCCTTCCCTGGCACTTTTGCCGTGAAGCTGGCCTCCTCGAACGGCCGCCATTTGAAGTCCTTCTTGTAGCCTCCGCATGTGACGCTCCGGCGCGCACACTGCTGGCACGTCGGTTTCGTCTCGTCGCACTTCAGCCTCTTCGCTTTGCACGTTATACAGCCTGCACGGAAAAGACACGGTCAGCAGAGTTTCAAGAGCACGCGACAGCTGTGCAGCTTATCATGGATTGCACGATAAGCGTCAGCGAGGCGCGACAACATACCATTGCGGCTCTTGGACTGCTTTCTCTTGGTGACGCCATTGCTCTCGGAGGGCTTGGGCGTGTCCGTGGGCGCAGGCTGCGGGCGGCGTGCGCTTTTCTTGACGGGCATGCGAGCGGGCGGGCCAGCGTCCGGCGAGCGGAAGAAGAGCGAGGGCGACGGAATGGTGATTGTCTCCGCCATACGCGGCGTGTGGGCAGTCGCAGTCGGCCGTCGGCAGCTTCAGGAGCGCCGTGCGGGCAGTGTCTGCCTGGGCGACGCGGCAGGCCGGTGTCGACGGGCTTGGTGTTTGTGGTTTGGCAGCTGGCGGGAATGCGGTTGTATCTAAGGTGGAGTCGGCCGCTCAGGCCCGCATCCACCCCAGTCGCGCCTCGTCAGTGGAGTCGGCTAGCGCAATCAGTGCGATCCCACGGCACGAATCAGACACGGCCGGGGTGCGTGGGGTGCAGGCTCATCACCCGGCTCGCTGGCACAGCATGGTCACTTAATATCGCCTGGCTCCCTGCGCTGTGCCTGTGTGTTCGCCGCGCCTGCGCTGCGCTCGAGTCCTGGCACACGTGTGGCACGCCGCTGGAATCCGCCATCACCGGGCGGCGTCGTGGTCGCATCGCTGGGAACCCGTGATCGGCGCCGTCCCGAACTGGCGCGCGCTGCCATCCCTGTCGCTCCACTAACGGCGAATGACTCAGCAGCCCCCGGACAGCCCTAGACCCTCGAGAGAACGTTGGAAGAATGACGTTGTAAGGATTCGTTATCTTGTCCTCGCTGCTCGCAAACTTAAACTCAAAAGCCATCTTGGGGAAACAAAAAGAGAGGGAGAGAGAGAAGCGAAAATAGAATGCGTCCGCCGATGCTCGTGCACACAGGCCAAAAGCAATACCGTATCGTATTTCCAAAGGCGATGTCTTCCCGAACCAACGCCGCCTTCGTATCTCGGAGGTCGCTAACTACGCCCCTGATATGTGTACCAAAGTCGAAACCTCGGTATGTTCAAGTCGAACCGGAAAACAGGTTGCGCTCATCACGTCCGAAGACGTCTACTCCTTCCTCGTCCCGTCGGATGACCGCGGCAGTGCGCGGATTACAACAACACTCGAGTACGTCTGGGGATGATCATGCTTACGACGGACGGATGTCAGCACCTCGAATCAAGCTTTTCCCCACCCTGTACTCTATGGTGCTCGCCTCGAAATAGACAGCACCCCTACATGTCCAAGTCGTCCCGGGCCTTCCGCTATTCACAGCGCACCCTCCGTCCCTCCCCCTGCAAAGTTGGAGCAACTTAGAAATATCAACATAAGGGTCTCAGCATTTAGGCCTAGACCACCAAGTTTAGCCAGGGGGTTGCTCTCCCCAAACAGCTTGTGTAACTTTCGTCCGCCGACTTAGCATGGGGAAAGCTCCAGAACTCCCGTGTCTCGGGAACTCAAGACATACCCTTTACTGCCCCACTGCAATGCGCAACCAGTCACTCAAGACGTGGAAGAGTAGAAACGGCATACGCAACATTAGTTGAGGTGTTATTGTAAACATCGCCTCCGCCGGCTCATTCGCCCCCACTCTTGATGGAGAAGGCGTAACAATGCGTAGATTTGGAGGAGGAAAAAGTTTTGGGCTTCCAGTGTTGCAAAACGTAACGACTGGGACAAGGTCTTCAAGCTCAACAACTTTTAGAATTGCATAGGTACGAGTAACTGCACTTCAGAGTAGGTGATGCCCCTTTGTGGTTTCCGCGGTCGAATGTTTTGTAGTCGATTGCTAACGTCTGCGAAACGCATGTTTGCGGGTGTCGATATTATAGCATGAGTCTCCTTGCGGCCAGTGCACAGACGGTGAGTCGACCATACCACTCGCAATGCACAGTCACCCTCTCAACAACGACGCATCAGAGGCTCGCGTATCAAGGCGACGGCCATCGACTTAGAAATGTATAAGAGGTGGGTTTAGCACAGGTCTGCAGTTCCTACTTGGCGCACTTTCCGCATTTACTCGCTCCTAATATTTTCTGCTCCTCTTCTATGCCCATGCAATGCTCACTTGCTTAGCTATGCAGATGGTGCCTTGGCTTCGAGAGGGTTATGACTATGCCGCGGTTTGTGACTCTCTCAATGACGAATCTATGGTCTGCGTCAGAAGGGTAGACTCACCGGTACGAAAGGGTATAAAAGGGTTTCGCTGCATAGGAGTGTTTCTTCCTCCTAGACCTCACCCACAACTTGATTCTTGTTTCTTTAGACTCTTCTTAACACTACTCCTCTTTGTGCATTCCAAAACCGCGAAACCCAGATTCGAAATTTCAGACCAACGTTCGAACACAGCAAGATGGCGTTCACTATTGAGGGATTGAAGCGGATCATGGACAAAGGAACATCGTTCACCGAAGCCAACTTTAAGTCGGCCGCCAGCGCGTACTACGGGTATCTCGCGTGGTTTCACAGTGAGGCCGCTGATGACGGAGACTTTATCTGGGAGGCGATAGATGTTCATGGCGGTCCTTTCACATTGACGATAAAGAAAGAACATAAGGTATTCGGACTGTGCAGAGAAAGCATACAGGCTGGCTATCCTCACAACGGTTACCCCTTCGCCCCCCAAATGTCACCTTATTCCAAGGTCCCCGCCCCAGGCGCAGTCTCTGACCGGGAAATGGCTTCCACAGCCGAAGATCAATCATGGGCAAGGAAGTGGCAAGAGTCCGAGCTCTTCGAGAAAGTGCGGGAGACCTTGAAAGAATATGTCCCGAAGACTGCTCTCACGAACAAGGTCGTCGGTTTCGGTCTCGGAGGCCAGAGCGAAGAACTCCTTGGGCAGAGTGTCCTCGCCGCTGAAGTCGGCGAAGTGCTGAACACGGAAGGGCGGAAACACTGGGGCGACGCAAGCTATCCGGAAAGGGACGAGAAGACGATGGATGTGTGGTATGAGGACCCCACCGCCTGCGAGAGCCTCCTCCAGTACGTCAACAGCAAATTTCCGGGCATCGAAGTCGAACTACGCGGCGTCACGACGGACCAAATCACGGATATCAACAAAGTGCTGACAGAGGGCGAGGAAGCCTTTGTCAAACGCTTCGCGCTGCCTTATCTCGACGGCAACACCTTCGTTGTCTCCATCGCACCGAAACAGGTCACGCGCCAAGCGGTTATAGAAATGACGCACCCGTACGGGGGACCTGCAGGCATGTTATGCCCGAAGATCGTGGGCGCGGACCTCCTGTTCTATCCGAAAGGCGAAGTTGGCCCCGATCCCTCTTGCACCCTCCTCGAGAAATACAAGAATGAATGCTATGAGATTGACCTCGGAACGCATTGGGATCAGCCTCTAGCGCTCTACTTGAAGAAGGGGTGAGCTTGACGGCGGCTCAGCTTCGAAGAAGCGTTTGGGTAACTGAAGACCTCAGTCGGGGGGACTCAAGGGTCAAGCAGAGGAATGTCGGTCTGGCTTGAAGCGGCGATTGGGGGATTTGATATGGGTACTGCTTTAAAATTTTTTTTTGTAGCTATGTCTCTCATTATATTCCGACCAATACTTTCATTACTTAGCTTAGTTTGTTTGTACTTTTACAATATATCCGGCGATTCCAACACCACTCTAGATCTTCACCAAGAAGCCACGATGAGACTCATAAGTAGGCACCCCGGCGCCATTGACGCAGCAGTCAGGCGACCGTGCTCTTTGATGACAGAGTCCACCTTCTCTTGTACTGATATTTCGTGGAGTATATTTGAAGAGGAAACATGCAGGTGGGGAGCGGAACCTCCCTGGTTTACCAAGGGTGTCCTCCGGGCGGGCAAGACGGACGCAGAACAATATTTCGAGTGTTTCTTCGGCGCACGGCACATTATCGGATGATCAGCTGCATAATCTAGCGAGAAAGATAGTCTGGCAAGAAGGTTGAGAAGGCGCATAAGGGGTACTAGAGCGAAGTCGTATAAAACAGAACGACTCATTTCAAGTGCGGTCGACACTCTGAATTACAAGAATAAAACCTTTGAACCCGCTTGAGCCGCACACCCAGCGCCCGTCGCTAAAATGTCTATAACGTTCCTGTTTTCCACCATTGCATCCTATCAAAGCTTGATCTCTTGGAAACTGGCCTTGTCGTCATCGTCGTCATCCTCGACTGATGCTGGCGGCGGTTTCTCTCTCGTGGGCAAGCTCGTCTCAGGCGCTTTGCCCTTGGCATTGCTAGGCCGTGCTTCCTCCTCGTCCTCCTCGCTCTCCTCCTCAGACTCTTCCGCTGCAGGTTTCATATCCTCTGTCCTGACTTTCTGCTCTTCGGCCTGCGTCTTCGGCTCCGGAGGCGTCTCGACCTCACTCTTCTCATCCTCGTCGTCCTTTGGCGGCGGAGGTGGCGGCGCTTCGTTCGCTCCATTCCTCTCGTGCGTTGGCCGGTCCGGAGTTGGCGGTGTGACCTCGGTCCTTGGGCTTGCTAACGGACTCCGTACTTGCTGCTGTGGTGGTTGCTGCTGTTGGCCGGGCCCGGGCCCGATCTGTCGCAGTCGCGGATCCGCATTTAGGTAGTATCCACGAACTCCCACTATCCTGCCTTCCCTCTCGCAGCCCTTGACCCAATCCGGCACTACTACAGGGATATTGTTCTCCACAGCTTTCTCCCATGCCGGTCCTCTGCCCTCGGTGCAGACGAAGTGCGTGGTATCGATCCTAACGGTATCCACAATCTTGGCGCCGATACGCTCAACGGATTTCTGGAGCGAATCTCGCAGTGCGGCCGGCATGTAGCCGGGCGTTATGGTAATGCCGGAGAGATCGGTCATCTTATGCGTCTGCACCTTCAGCTTCTCGCTGCTGTATGTGCCCGCGCTGGTTCGAAGCACCAGATGGAAGACATATTCAGTATCCACCGCCAGACCGCTCAACTTGGTGCTGTGCACTTCCGTGGGCTTTGGTATAGTGCCCGCCTTGCTTCCGTTGCGGTGCAGAGTGAGACTCCGTAGCTCGGCGGTCGCAATATCGATGGGGTCCCACTCGAGGACTACGGATGTCTGGGTCGCATTTCGGCAGCGGAGGACGGGCGGAGACGGCGTGCGTTGGCCAAAGGTACGGTAGATGGTGGTTTGGAGGGCGTGGAAGGCTGCGGTCGCATCCGATTCTTTCTGGTGGTTTCGCGAGACGGTGATGTCTACGATGCTTCCTGAGGAGATGTCTGGCGGGAGGAGAATGGAGGGGAACTCGATCTGTAGCAACGTGAGCTATGAACAACGGCAGGGGTGCCTCTCGCTAGGGGCGCTATCGAGTGCAATTGGGGCCGGGGAAGCGCGTACGAGGCGTTTGTCTTCAGTCAGCAGGACGGCGACACCTGCGTCGACCTTTCCGACCGTCAGAGAGACAAGCATCGTGTCTGCGGGCACGGATGTGGTTGTGTATGTGGTGAGTTCGCTGGCCTGAAGCTGAGCTCAGCGTGCGGGCCCGAGGTTTACCCGCAACGCGCTTCAGGCAGCGACGACCGACGCCGCACACATACTCTTTCATCCCATCTTCAATAATGATGCCTCGAGGCGCCTCCCAAAGCGCTGCACGTCGTCTCCAGCAACAAGACCAGCCTGCATTTCCGCTGTTCGAACTACCTCCGGAGCTTCAATTGCTCGTTCTCTGTAAGTGCGACCCGACCTCCGTCCGACGTCTGCTCCGATTGAGTCCCGCCCTCGAGGACCTCTTCCTTAAGTATGCGGCATCCTGTCTCCAACAAATGCTGGCGCAATTGCCATGGCCTGTTGGCCATCTTCTCCATGCTTCCTGGGCGCTGCACAACGTCGAGGATCCAGACTTCGACAGTGTCCACGCATTGGCCCGCCTCCGTAGCACCGATCTCATCGACTATTCTCCCGTGGATGTGCACGTTCTCTTCGAGGAAGATCATCCACTCGATGTTCTCTACGCCTTTGTGGACCTGCACGAAGAAGTCCAGCAAGCGGTCCAGCTGTATGCCCAATGCATCAATGCTGTCACCCAAATCCTCGTCAATCCATGGGCACAGGTCACGCCGGTGATACTCTCGCCGTCCGAGTATGCCCGCATCGCGAGCGCTTTCTGGACTTTAAAAATCTTCTACCAGCTAGACCGGAAGTTCTTTCATTATCGGGAGAACCACGAGCTCAGGCAGGTCTTCGTATCCAAGCTCCGCCCTTGGCAGTTGGAGCAGGTTTGGTCCGTCGAACAATTTCTGCAAGACTGCATGACAGGTAGGCTTTCACCATTCTACCGCGTCATCGACAAAGAATCTCCCCCGAAAGAGCTACTATTGGAGCATTCCCTCTATTTTCGAAACTACTGCCGACTCCAATATCAACTGTCGTCCGAACTCTTTCCCTTTGGCCAGGACAGGTTTCGCCAAACTGTTCAAGCGAGCCGCGCAGCCCAGCAGTTGATTAGTGCCTCATGGAATCGTGCATCCTGGGAAGTCGACCTTGAACCCGTGCCATCCAGCGCCTACGATCAGCTGCGAAACCATGGATGGCTCTGCTACGACTCAGTGTTGAAAAGTAGCTGGATCCCTTCCTTTAAGCTTCTCTTATTCTTCTCCGATTTTGGTTTGTTCTTCTGGGACTACGAACGACTAGCGCAATTGAACTTGGCCGAACCGAGCGAATGCATAATTGCCTTGGAAGACTTCCAGCAACGCGTTGCCGAAGCGTCTCGGCTGGCCCGCAGACACAACCGTCCATTATATCCGAACGAGCAACACCTCGAGAAGGAAAAAGCCAGACTGATTATCCAGTGGACGCGTTGCCGTGTTCCGTGCGCCTTCGAGGAATTCTCTCGCCAGGAAACTGTTCTCTCCCATTGTGAAGCTGGTCTCGCCCGTTATGCATGAGCTGTCCGCTACTGATGAGGTGTGTGAGGGCTCTGGGGGTAAAGTGGTTACGTCGGGGTGCACCGCGATTGAATCTACGCCATTAGAAGTATTCTTTCTGAGAGATGCTAAACTGTTGTTGGTAGGTTAGCCTGAGGTAATTTCTCAAGTGTATCTTGTTCCGTTCACTATCCCAGCAATCATTTCCAGAAAAGCCTGACACATGTTCGAGCTTTCTGAGCTCTGAATTCTACTCGCTGCCACATTATTTAACGACCGCCAAAACGTGCGAAGTTTACACCCAGCTACTCCATGAGCGGACGGGCTCTTCTGACTTTAGCGCTGCATATCTGACCGGTTGAGGAACAGCTGCCATTAACGGAGATTTACGCGCCGGCTCACGTTCTGTGACTGTGTGCATGCGCATCCAGGCTGCAAGTACAGGGGGTGCATCCCATGTCAAGGGCTATGGAACTACCCTAATCCCTCGGCACATGTAATTTGGACCCCCGTTATACGTCGTTCATAGGCCCTAGATGCGGAGAATATGCGATGCCGCGAGTGGAGAGGGTAAATATCCGCATATGGCTAAATCCCTCCGCAGTGACCAGGGTAGCTGTACCTCTCCAGATTGTTTTCTACTGTTACATCAATGGCTGCTGCAGCCATTCATCTGTATAAATGGATGTCAATGGAGATCCCATATAATCTATCTGTTCCTGCGTCAGGCTATGAGCTTGAAAGGATCTTTTTCTTCAATCTCAGCCCATAAAGGGAGCGCGGCTTTCAATCTTCACTTTGCTCTTTGACTTCTTTCCTGCGGAGTCGACTGTTACCTTCACATTCTGCAAGATTATCTCAGTAATTTTGTAATTGGGCGCTCTCTTCACGACTTCGAGCGTGAGATAGACGATGCTCCGCAAAGCTCTTGCTGCCGCCTCTGGCGCAGTTGGACTTGTCAATGCACAAGCTTTCTCGAACACCACAACTGCTCCGACTCCTACACCAACCCCAGTAGCGCCATGGAACACAACAAACTACGGAGGAACCGTTAACATTACCAATGGCCTCGCGATGACGCCGCCCATGGGCTGGAGCTCGTGGAATAACTTCGGTCCCGACATCAACGAGACAGTCGTCCGAGACACCATCGACGCGATGGAGCGCCTAGGCCTCAAAGACGCCGGATACATCTACGTAAATATCGACGACGGATGGCAGCGCTACAAGGGCTCGCGAGCCGAGCACCCGCTCGAAGTTGACCCGGTGAAATTCCCAAACGGCATGAAGCCCCTTGCGGACTACGCGCACTCGAAAGGATTCAAGCTAGGCATCTACAGCGGGCCGGGCGATAGCACATGTGCGGGATACACGGGCTCAGAAGACCACGCAGCGGAAGACGCGAAGTTGTTCGCCTCTTGGGGAATCGACCACTTGAAATACGACAGCTGCTGCTCGCACTCGGACGCGCCGCAAGCTGAAGTCCAGCAAGTCATGCTCGACATGAGCACCGCGCTCATTGCAACCAACCGCTCTATCGTCTTCCACGCCTGCCACTGCGGCTGGGCCAACGTCTGGGAGTGGGCGGCCGAAGAAGGCGCGAACCAATGGCGCATTGGCCAGGACATCTCGGACGACTTCAACTACCCCGGTAACCGCGAGAAGTACTACTTCGACGTGCTCGATATGCTGGACCGCGGGAACGCCATCGCGCAGTACACAGGCCCCGGCCACTGGAACGACTACGATATGCTGATTGTAGGCTTGGACGGCGAGAGCAAGCAGCTGGTTGGAACGGGCTTGTCCGACCTCGAATACCGCACCCACTTCTCCATCTGGTCCATAATGGCCTCCCCGCTCCTCATCGGCGCGAACATCACTCACCTCTCTTCCTACGACCTCGCCACGCTGACGAACAAGGAAGTCATTGCGCTGAACCAAGACGGCCTCGGCCAGGCTGCAACCCTGCAGTACTCGTCGCCCGACAACTCGACGCAGGTCTATGCCAAGATGCTGAAGGACGAGAGCATGGCGCTGATGCTGTTGAATCGGGGGACAACGACGGCAGATGTCACGGTTAGTATGCGGAGGGATTTGACGGTGCCGTGGGATGTGTATCGCATGCGGGATTTGTGGAAGGGCAGGGATTTGGGGCCATACGATATTCCTTTTACGACGGAGGTGCAGGCGCATGAGGCGAAGGTTTATCGCGTTTGGAAGGTGGGTTGTACGGTGGGTTGTTAGAGTGGAGCGGATGCGGAGAAGGCGTTGTTGAAGCAAAGGCGGGCTCCCGTGGAGATGGAAGGGGCGAAGCATGTATTAATGGGTTCGAGAGCCGAGAGACGGACAGGCAGTAACTCAGCGGTGCGTTTAATACTCTCTTCGTTGGTCTTCTGTTCTTTGTACATATTGCATCACGTTCAACGGCATCATGGCCTTTAGTCTCCACATGCTCGCCTGCAGCCATTCCCCTTTCCCTTCTTCTCGGTCGATCAACTGCCGTACCAAATCCCCGGCCCTAGTCAATTTTCCACTGATCTCAAACGAAACGGATTTCCACCAAGCTTTGAAATCCATGTCGTCGTCCTCCGAATCTCGCGAGGCTGCTTTGACATGCACCTCGCACTAGCGCAGTGGAACTCCGACCTGCATGACGAACCGACCAATGCCGTTCTAGAGGCTTATACACGGCGATTTCGATGATTGTAAAACATGTCACAAGATAGCCAAGTCAACAACAATTGGAGAATAGGTTCAAGTTGCGATACTCTGTTTAGTCCGGATAGAGAGGCATATGCGACGCGATCCTGTACTGCTACTAGATTAGGTTAGACTGGGATTGCGGATGGTAAGGGGGTCTTAGAAATCATGCCCGGGAGCACGCCAACGTACATTGATTCGACCGGCGAGGCTTTAGCTTGATGGTGGGGTCCGAAGTATAAAGATACGCTTCCCCGGCAAGAGCGGGTTGAACACTCATTACCTACTCTCTCAGTTCCCTTCCTTTCCTTAAGCTTAGAACCCCAGGCCATCATCCCGACCCCCTTCGCAATGGCGCAGCCAACCACTAACACTGCCTGGACCATCCCAGCAACCGCCACAGCCGTCAAGCATCTCACGAAAGTCGAAAAGGATGTACCAACCCCAGGCCGCAACCAGGTCCTGGTGCGCCTCACCGGCGCCTCACTGAACTTCCGCGACATCCTCGTCTCTACCCACTCGCCCAACTACCCAGGACCGCACAAGCCCGACCTTATTGCGTGCTCCGATGGCGCGGGCCTCGTCCATAGCACCGGTCCGTCTTCTGTATGGGCAGGCAAAGAAGGCACGCCTGTTGTGCTGCACCCTTCGACTTGGCTGTCCGGCGACGTCCGCAATCTGCGCTTGGATCAGATATATGGCGCGATGGCTAATGATGGGACGTTGCAGAAGTGGATAGTAGTGGATGACGAGCGGGTTATCGCGGCGCCGAAGGGGTTGAGTGGAGTTGAGAGTAGTTCGTTGATTACAGCGGGAGTGACAGCTTGGGCTGCCATTAGGGGAAGTTTAGATGGGAGATTCGATGGAGGATTGGATGAATGGAAAGGAGCGTGGACTGAGAAGAGGTTGGAAGGGACGTGGGTGCTTACGCAGGGGACGGGGGGTGTGAGTTGTTTCGCTATACAGGTCAGTGTTTCTTTCCCAGATCCCCCCAAGCCGAGTATTGCTGCACCGGACTGACTTCAATAGATTGCGGCAGTTCTCGGCGCGACGGTCATCGCGACTTCCTCCTCAGACTCCAAGCTCGACGTCGCAAAATCCCTCGGTGCCACGCACGTAATCAACTACGCCAAAATGCCGGAGTGGGACCAAGAAGTACTTCGCCTTACTGATGGAAAGGGTGTTGACCACGTCATCGAAGTGGCTGGTGCTCAGACACTTATGAAGTCTGTGAACAGCGCGCGGGCGGGCGGGTTGATCAGCCTGATTGGGATACTGAGTGAAGCGGAGACGCTTCCAGCAGCTCTTGTGCCGAGCTTGCTATTTGGAGGGAAGATTAGTAAGTACCCGGAGGAAGGTGAGAAAAAGGGCGACGCTGACGACTGACCTACAGTTAAGGGATGCGTTGCGTTCAATCGCGATATGACCGCTGAATTCGTGAACTTTGTCGAGAAGAACGGTATCAAGCCAGTTGTTGCGGAGACGTTTGCGTTCGACGAGGCGGTGGGGGCGTTTGAGGCACTGCAGAAGCAGAGCGCTGTTGGGAAGATCGCGGTGAAGATCAGTGATGAGTAAGTTGGCCGGCCATGATGATCATAGGGCGGAAGAAAGCATCCTTGGTTGATTTCTGCGGAGATCCAGTTTCCAATACGTACCTCTCTGTATATGGGGTAGCAAATGCCCAGGACATCCAGATCTGAAGCACCTTGACTCTGAATTCATCCAAAAAGCCTACTGGGCTGGCTCATGGCCGTAGTGCTTTCCTCCTTGATGATCCTCAGCCTGCGATCGAACTCACTCGCAGTACCCACTGTTGTGCGCTCAAAAAGTACGTTATGAGATGATCGAGGCGCGTTGGTTTCATCGCGTTCACGCCGCTCGATGGGCGGTGCGGAGTGCCTCTGGGGTCTGACGATTCGACTTTGCTCAAGCCGCGATTGCGGCTGAGGAGCCAGGCTTACGCGATCGCGATCGAGACTAGACTCTGCGTGGGCCACTTCTCTCTGCGGTTCGTGCTTTTCATTCGAGTTGCTTGCCACGGGCGAGGAGGGTGGTAGTTCGGACGGCGAAACGATAGGCACTGAAGGACGCGGTTCTGGAACCAGATAGGACTTGGCTGACTGCTGAGGTTGTCGAACGCCAGACGCCCGCCATTCGTTAATGATTTGTTTCGCCCCTTGCGGCTTGTATCGCATTGAGTCGAGTGTAGGGCTCCTGTCCGCAAGCCGCTTGATGCTGGGCCCCTCGTTCGTACCGATAGGGTCGTCCGGACTATGGAGCTTTTGCCGATATAGATTCTTATTGGAAGAGTAATTTTCCCAGGTATCGAGCGCCTTCATCAGTCCGAACGCGGCAAGCACAGTGAGGATGAGGCACGACGGTCCCGCTGCGGCATACCAGCGAGGCGAGATATGTGCTTCCGTCATCCCGAAGAGGGTCTTTTATATAAGCATTGATACGAGGACCCTGAGGTAATGCAGGAAAACGTACCGCAACGAACGATAATGGTATGAAGACAAATGCAAGAGCGCTCAACCTCGTCACGGCTCTTCCTTGCTCGACAGTCTCCATATTGAACAGCTAATCAGAACTGTCAGCACACCAGACACGCCCTTGATAAAGAAGCTGGTTCTTTTCTGGCTTTACTTACGAGGCTTAAAAGATTGTCAAGCTGCTCTCTCATTGTTGCGATCACACTTTGATGGTGTTCCAGCATCTGACAGGTTTCCGTCAGCCGAGAGAGCAGAGAGGCTCCGTTTTCTTGCACAGGTGACCTGCTTTTCGCATGTATGTCTCGAATGAACTCGCGGATCCGTCGCATGGTTTCTGCGTGTGTTCTTAGGTATTCTCGCAATTCGATAGTGGTCGAGATATCCATATGAAGTACTCTGGCCAGTGAAACTATTGGAAGGGTCTTCCTGTAGACTAGGACTTCCTATAATGCGTTAGCAAATCTTAGATCTGGAGGGGCATCGGCGAAGGAAAAGGTGGTTTGTGGTTCACCTACTACTGAAGCAAGGTTCTCCGTTAATGCTTTGATGACCATGTCCCATCTCGTGGCAAGGTAGAACAGGTCGGGAAATAACCAGTAAGGCTCCCGGCATAATCTCTTCCATCGTCTGTCGTCCTGACTTTGGTAAAGAAGGCGCATCTCTCCTAGAAGATCATGCCCTTCTTCTACAACAACGACGCCTATAGGCCGGTCCTCACCATTCGCATCAGCATTATGCAAGCTCAAACAGCCCACGATTCGCACGAAGCGGGCGATTTCTGAATTGATTAGTTCTAAAGCGCTATCGTGCTACAATCATAACGGGCATAGAACATACGAGAGGAGCTCAGATTTAAGTATCTGCTTTCAACGTTGTCTGCGTTAGAGGATACATATACGTGGTCCATTGCTAGAGAAATTTCTTGCCATAGAGTTAACTCCACGATCTCAGCAGGTAAAGAAGGGCCCATTTACCGTGTCCATTAATCCACGGAACTGTGGAGGAGGCGCTTTCGAGTACAGACGGCATATGAGGGAACGTGTCGCGAAGCATCACTTCGATCCAATCTGCCTTGCCTTCGATGGCTCTGGGTCACCATTAGTCCAAAGAAGGTCGAGGAGATTCTTCCCTTACATGAGCATCATTCCCGTCGAATGCTGACATGCATCAAACACGTAATCTCGCAGTTGACGGACTGACGCGGACCCAATAACTGCTTCGACGAAATTGGGGGATGTCGTGCCTTTCTCCGTGACGGCTATGAGAACAGCAGCCTGGTGCTGATCCTCGGAGGCATCAGCATACTTCCTCTGAGATCGTCGATTATTCGGTGGTTGCTCATTTGTCATAGTGATATATTCACTCTTGATTTCTCTTTCCGCTCTCTGCTAAATTATGAGGAGAATAGTGAGAGGCCGTCCAGGCGGGCGCGCACCTACATCAGACCTCGCCAAGACTTACCTCTGGGGGCCGTTTCCAGCCAATCAACAAACGCTCTAGCACAAGGCTGCGGGGCATGCTACATGACAGTGGTTTAGTCTTGTTGAGGTAAAGATTGGTGTTGCCTGTAATGGTGAAAGTGGAACTGAAATAATCTGGTATAGGCTGCGATTCGATCGTGTTGCGAGCAGTTGGGTGGCGGGACACATAGCAAGGCAAATCATAATACCAATGTTACTGAAAGACGGTAGCCTGAATTCGTTCCGGGGAGGCTCTAGCGACTCATGCAGCTGCCTCCTTTCGCGCAGTGGTTGGATACCACAGAGTAAAGACTGTAACCGCTTCTGTATAAGGCTCCTGTCAGCAGAGATTCGAGGTAAATGCTTTTGTGGTAGTTGACATCGTACTGGAAAGTTACCGCTGCCCTCCACTATTCTTGCGTTTTGGCTAGCTCCCAACTTTTCGTACGGCTAAAGCTGAATGTACTTGAAGCGGTACACAAAATGGAATCCCGGGGTATGGATTTTCATGACGGAGGGAAGAAGTGCGGCGTCGTTAAACAGCTTCTGTTGAATGAGTGTGGTTCTGGCCTTTCCTGATTAGGTATAATGCGTTGACTGGCCTTGAGCCGGGTGCACATGTCGAGACGAAGGACCTCCGGGAACGCTCACGACGGCACTAATGGTAGACAGGCAATCGCCCTAAGCAGGATAATCATTGTTTTCATTCAGTCAATGGTATTCCGTACGTCGCATCATCTCTCACTGGCGCCAGTCCGCTCACGCCGCACCCTCCTTCCTCTGGCCCGTATAGAACGCCAGGCCATAATCCTCCGTCGTGAACGTAATCTTCGCGCCCTTAGGAAAGAAGAACACATCTCCAGGCTTAGCCTGAACCTCCTTGCCCGTCTCATCGGAGATGGTGAACGAGCCCTCAACGATGATCTTCATCTCGTCGTACGTGTACGTGTAGACGAGCGGGGTGCCCTTCTCCAGCCTGTAGAAGCCGCAGGAGATGGGCTTCTCGGGGTTGATCTTGTCGCTGATGCAAGTGTTAGCGAGGAGAAGGGAGAGGGGAAGGTGTGGCGGGGTACCTCGAGAACACGTCGCCGAGATAGGCGTTCTCGTTCGCAATTAGCGGCGGCTTGAAGCTGGTCTGCGCCGCAGCGTAGTGGGACATGCCGACGGGAGACATCTTTTCGGACTTGGAGGAGTGAGTCGCGGATTTGACTTTGCTGATGAGACCGCCCATAGTTAGCTCCGTGTGATATAGACGTGAGATTGGCTAGGCTGTCCCAATGATGGAAAGCTGAATTGGGTAGAAGCTTTGAGTAAGGGTCTCAACATACCTTTATATCCCTCTTCCTGTAGTCGATCACAACCGAGTCCTAGAGGATGGCAGATTATGCAAGATTAAGCAGAGTGAAGTGGTGTGGAAGCAGCGTGGGCTGGAAAGGGGAATCCAAAGCAGACGGACAGCAGTCTGCCTTTAAACCCCTACCCCTCGATCTGCAGTTCAGCAAGTCTCTCCAATCCACTCGCGGAGCCGACGAACGGAAGTCTGAACGGGTCGCCAAGCCCATCAACGCTGATGGGCTTCACATCGTGAGGAACAATTTGCTGAATGCGGTGGTCAAACGGGGTAGGTTAGTACGATTAGCGGACCTCGGGAGAGTGAGTGCGTTTGCTAAGCTCTAGCCGCTCCCTCCAATGCATACAATCTTTTATCAGCGGTGTCTGAGAAGTATGGCGGGATATTTTGTTCATATTGGGAATGGCACGCAAAATGCTTGGCACTAGCGACCAATACTGCAGCTGTCAGTTAGTTTCTTTTCTAAGTGACGCGCCTTGCTTCAGCCGGACTCGTAAGATGTTTGACGCTTAATTGTCGACAGATGTGTAACAGGTTGCACAGAGGATGTCCGCAAATCCTCCGAGTATTCTACAAGCTTCCCCAGAACGTGGACGACACCCCACGCGCAAATATGGTCCTCGACGGCCGTGGATCTAAAGGAAATGAACCATCGCTGCACCTTCAAGCGCTCCGCTGTGCGTGCTGGAGTATCTTCATCCGGTAGATACGCTCCCCGACCAAAGTCCCACTTTCAGCAATAGCCGCGAGCTCTCAGTCGCGGAACTTCCTGTTCTCGTTCTCTCCAAACAGAGTGACCCTGATCGATGGCAAGGCATCTGACTCGAGGAGCTTCAAACGTTCTTCGAAGGTGTTGTTGATGTCAATCTTGCCGCCGGTACCAGCTATGATGACGCCGCCGGATCTGCCGCATTGTCAGTGGTATTCCCAGCCATGAGGCGTGCCAAACTTACGACCCCTCTGGTAGTGGATCACGCTCGTCGATGGTGATAGAGGTCTCCTTCCCGACGTTGCTCTTATACTCCGACTGCGCCTCGTCGATGGCCTTCTTCACGATATCGTAGTCCGCCTTCCTCGCCTTGACCTGCAGTTTATCCTCGGCCAAGGCATATGCGCCCTCCAGTATCAGGTTCTTCAGAATGCCCTGGTATCTACCCTTGTCTTTCGACACCTCGGCCAGCTTATTGCTTGCGTCCTCGAACAGCCGATCCAGCAGCTCCTGGCGGGCGGAGAGGATGCGTAATCGTGACTTGTTCGCAACGGTGGAGCGTGTAATCTGCTGCGACATGCTGGCCTGTTTGAATTTCTTCTCGTAGGACGAGTCGATGGCGGAGGTTTCTTGGCGCACGAGCTTCGACTTCTCGATTGCGAATTCCTCCTCGGCCTTGATTCGTATCTCGTTGGCCTTCTCATCAGCCTCCTGCTTGATGAAGGCGGTCATCTTCTTCAGCTCGCCGGCGACCTGCCGTGTGATGCATATTAGCAGCTATTGACGTATGGCGGGGAGCTCTGCCTGCGGACGGAGCTGGCTGAGCGCGGCGGGAGTGCATCCTACCTGGTCGTCGGACAGGGAATGAATTTGCGACATGATGGCGGTTTCGCGGAGAGCTCGTCTAATCTGCTGAAACTTTGTGCCGTGGTGCGGGTGGTGGAGGGCCAGCGGTGGGAGCTGGGAGCTTGGTGAGTGAGGTTGCTTAGAGCACCGATTTGGCGATAGCGCAAAAGCAAGCCCGGGCGCAGCGATTCCACCTTAGCGGGAACCGACGCAGTGCCCGAAATCGACCTCCAGTGAACTTCGACGGCATTCAATATTTCTCCTTGCGCCGCCTTTAAATTGCGCGCGCTCGCAGCTGACTTGGGCATTTGGTGCCGGCGCTCCTGCCCTCGATCCAGGCGACATCATCACGCCGCTGATCCCTGCCTCGGCTGGCGCTGCCCATCCTCACGTCCTCGTGGCCCGTCTAGCTGTGACGCATCGACGCATCCGTAGTTGTTGCTGCGCTGGTCGCTTCCAACAGCCTTCCTCACTCCCTCAACACTCCCACCACCACGCATATCTGCAGCATGCGTCCGCCGGCGAGGTAGCAGCAACCCCAGTGCGCCGATAGCGTCCTAACGATCGAACATGGTGGAGCTCTCCGCGGGCGCCAGCATTGCTGTGAGTACCGCCTGGAATATGCGAAAGAGGGCGCATCATAGGGAAAAGGTGGTGCTAATAAATGCATATGCAGCTTGGAGTAATCGTTGGCCTCGCTTCTACCAGCATCCAGAGCATCGGCTTGACCCTGCAGCGCAAGTCGCATCTCCTCGAGGAAGAGAAGGACGACGACTACGAGAGGAGACCACCGTACAAGCGGCGGAGATGGCAGGTCAGGACATCAGCTTGCGATATTGAGGGGTGTAAGCTAACTGAAATAGCTGGGTATGCTCATGTTCGTGGTGGCGAATTTGGTCGGCAGCACCATCCAGATCACCACCCTGCCGCTACCGGTCCTCTCGACCCTCCAAGCCGTATGCGACCCTTCAATTCTTGCTGCGCATTAGGAGACTAACCCGCAGCAGTCTGGGCTCGTCTTCAACTCAATATGCGCCTCCATCATCCTCAGCGAACCCTTTACGCGATACTCGTTCATTGGCACTATACTTGTGGCAGGAGGAGCTCTTATGATTGGAATATTTGGCGCTATTAGCGAACCGTCGCACAACTTGGACCAACTGTTGGAACTTCTAGGACGACGTCAGTTCGTGATCTGGATGTTCGGGACGTTCGTCATAGCCCTCTTCCTGGTCGTTTCCACATGGGTCCTCAAACGCCTCTATCATCGCCCAACTCCCCGCTTGCGACTTGTTCGAGGCTTGTTCTTTGGCTGCGTCAGCGGCATTCTCTCCGCCCATTCCCTCCTTATCGCAAAGAGCGCCGTCGAACTCCTAGTCCGCACCATTGTGGATCGCCACAATGAGTTCAACCGCTGGCAGTCGTGGATGATTCTCATCGGACTCATTGCATTCGCATTGACACAGCTCTATTACATGCACCGCGGTTTGAAATTAGTCAGCACCAGCGTTCTATACCCCCTCATATTTTGCGTTTACAACGTTATTGCCATCGTAGACGGATTGGTATATTTCCATCAGTCATCCAGATTATCGAACCTACACGCGGGGCTACTTTCTCTTGGGACAGTCATACTACTGGCCGGAGTTGTAGCGTTGAGTTGGCGCTTGGAGGAAAGCGATGAAGTGCCTATGTCACCCCTCGCCGCCAAGCACAAAGGCCATGTGCCAATGCCCCAGACCGTTCTCACACCCGGAATTGGCCTTGTCCATGGTGACCTGGACAATGAACCCACCTCTCCCGTTGATTTGGAAGAACAACCGCCAGGCCTTCATGGAGCTATACGCGAACAACGGAAACGCCACAATGTGGATGAGAGAACGCCACTGCTTGCCCGAGCGCCGACGGGCCCGGCGTTCACAGTAACGTCCCGGCCAAAGAGAAGGCCGGCACTAAACACTACCCAACCTCATAGCCCCCAGGGAAGTCCTTCCCCTCGCAGACCGCCAAGAAGGCGGCGCATGACCGTTTCGGAGGAGACGAATGAGATTTGGGATGAGCTGAACGATCGAGATGCTTTGCCCTCACCAGCTCGACGCTCAGCAGATCTGGAACGGAGACCTCGATCCGGAACCTTGCCCGCGCGTCGGAAAAATAATTCTTCGACATGGCTGAATCAGATGAGAAGACGATCGTGGTTCGAGGGTATTAGCATGGGTGGTCGACGAAATAGCAGCGTATCTCAGGGCAAAAGGCCTGCCGATAGCTCCTCGTCCTTGCTTTACCATCCGGACCCCGAAGATGAAGATCACTCAGATCCGGATGCAGTTCTTAGTCCTCGCAACAGGAGGAGGGGGACGTGGGATTTTGGTAACTGGGGTGGCCAAAGAAACCAAGAGGGTCTAGGCGATTGGTTCAAGCTAAAATGGTGGCGGAAGAGGTGGAGAGACGGTGAGGAGGGAGATGACGATAGGGGAGCATGATACACCACTACGCTAGCATTTGAATATATGTATGAATGAAGCATCTTTGTATCCTAAGACACTGCCGCGCTCGTTCACCCTACCGCGGCTATGGCATTGTGCTTAACCTGAACAGGTTAGCGCGCTCCTAACTGGGCCTGCATCCTAACTGGGGCTAGTGTCAGCATCTCAAACCTTCTAGCATTCTTCGTGGACTTTCAGTCGACATCTACATGAGTAATCCCATGTATGAGGAAAAGATAGATGGCACATCGATCCGTCTTCTCCGGTTCTCTCGCTCCGTCGATGGCGGCTTCAAGGGCAAGCTCAGAGTATTCCGGCTCGCCGATGCACCGCCCTTCTTCAGTGCCTCATACACATGGGGCGCGAAGAGTTACTCAGAAGACACCATTCAGCTGAAGGCTGGACGTTTACCGGTACTGGACAGTCTGGCTCCCTTCCTGCGGATGATTAGCCAGCACGAAGATTTCGACAACGATGACTGGTGGTGGATCGACTCCCTTTGGCCTGTATTTCGATCGACCCTGAATCAAACACAGCAGAAACTAGAGGCTGGAACCTCTATTATATGAGGTGTTTGATCTTGCATATTTCGCGTAGTATATCGGGATATTTATCCTCTACGCTTTAAAAAGTATACCGCTTTCTGCTCTTACATCGCCTTGTATGTTCTTCGCCTAGTTTAACTATCTATCTATCTTTTAAAACTCTGTGAATTTTTGCCTCGGCCGGTGTCAACGATTGTGGATGGCAAAGCATAGAAAGCGATGTGATGCACTAAGTGTTTGCTCTCAGCTTAGGGCTGCTCGGCGGAGGTCACTAAGATGGACAGTAATGAAGTGATCTACTAGGCCTGGCCGCTGTGTTCTATCAAAGAATGCAATCGGTCTCAAGTCACGCTGGGGTTTCCGGTTGGTCACCGTCGTAGGTAGTGGCGGCACTGTTCGTTGTGTCCTCGTTGGGCCTCGTCAGCCCGCATCAGTGGCCAAGGCAAGTCGTCCGCGAAGAACCCTGGTATTTCTATCTACGAGCGGTCGATGTTCTAAACACAGTTCGAAGGGGCGCGCACCTTTGCCCTGGAATTAGGCTCCTTGAATCAGCACGGCGCGAGCTAAGCCAGAAAGGGATTAGTCAGCACCGCCTGCTACCTAAGTACCAAGAGAAACAACCACCGCAGCAAATACACACCTCCTGGGCCTCTTTTGCAATCTGACTTTTGTCCATATACCTACTCTATTTGTTAGCGCAACCTAGCACGCCATGTTTGGGAGGAGCAGCGGGCTCGATGCACTCCTCGAACGACCACGACCGAGTACATTGCAACAATTCATCAGAGAACCCTGCATATTCCTAGTAACAAAACTCTACAAATGGCGTCGGACTATGGGTTTCGAGCCTATCAACCCTATCGCTGTCGTCTGCATCTCAGATACCCACAACAGCCAGCCATCAGACATACCTGCTGGTGAAATATTAATCCACGCCGGCGACATAACGCAAACCGGCACCCTGAAAGAAATCCACGCGTCCCTTGATTGGCTTAACTCCTTACCGCATCCTTTCAAGGTCCTCATTGCGGGTAACCATGACATCCTGCTTGACCATACCCAACCGCACGCCGATCCGGCCGCACGCGCATCTATCAACTGGGGCAACATCATCTACCTCGACTCCGAATCCACAACTATATCCTGCGCCAACGGTCGTCGCCTCAAAATCTACGGCAGCCCTCTCACCCCACGCCATGGTAACTGGGCGTTCCAATACCCGCGCAACCAAGATGTATGGCAAACCAAGATCCCCGCAGACACAGACATACTTATCACACACGGTCCGCCAAAAGGCCATCTCGATGCAGGGCACCTTGGATGCAAATACCTGCTTGACGAGGTATGGCGGAAGAAGCCTAGGTTGCATGTGTTTGGACATGTGCATGATGGATATGGGGTGGACTGGGTACAGTTTGACGGTTTGCAAAGAGCGTACGAAAATGCAGTTATAGCAGGTGGAGGGCTCTGGAATCTCGGGCGAGTGCTGTTCGAGTTCATTGTTGCTCATTTTACTCCCGGGAAAGAATCTAAGGCTCTGTTTGTTAATCCCACTATTGTCGGGGGCCTCCGAGACGAGCAGAGGAGACGTCCGATAACTGTGTATGTCTAGATCCAATGTAGTCATGGCATACTTCAAGGCTTAGAAGCACGTACAAAGATCAAATTGTTCCAATACCTCCCAACAGAGTTTGTGTGTTGCCGCTCCCAAACAGGAAACATGAAAGTCATACAGGTCTAAACAAAAATCCACTCTCCGTGGTGGGCTTCAAGCAAATAGTGTATGAGGCTATCGAACATTCCCCATCCCTACCCATCGATTGAGAGACACCTTCAAATATCCTCATCGGGTATCTCGCAGACTCTCGGCAAGCCCTTGAGCTCTTTTCCACACGCCGCTGCAATGCGTTCAACGCACTGTTGTATGCTCTCCACTTCTTCGCGCGTCAACCCGACCCTAAGACACCCACGTAGATGCCATTTGGTGGAGGGAGCAAGGTTCTGGCACATAATCGCAGGAAGGATGACCAATTCTGACTCGGCAATATCAAGGACGCTGTGATCGGCTAGAAACAGGCCATAGGATATGTCGGTTGATATCCACGCTAGATGCCCCAAGTAAGCCTGGAACGAGAAATCATTTGTAAGAGGAAAAGTACTCACGAATGTCTTCGTGAGCACCGAGCGATGCCCATATCTTTGCGTTGTCATCCCGATACAGCGTTTCGAGGACAGCGAGGCCGCGCTCATGGTTTGCTTCATCGGCTTTCCAATTCTTGCGCGTAAAAGTATGGTCTTGATCTCGGACTTTTTTTGCTTTGCAAGAGATACAAAGGCGTCCATGACGACCGGTATACCGTTGAGAATGATACATTTGATCATGGCTTCTCTCATGCGCCGCACAAGACGCCGTCTGTCCGCAGAGGTCCGATATGATGGTGTCGAAATGAGATAACTGTAGAGAGGACCCACGAGCCCTGGCCGGCCGCTAGCAATTAGTGCGGCCGTCTTTGCGCGCATCAATGTCAACGTCAGGTGATGCTTCTGGGGATGTCTAGCTTACCGCAGTAAGGTACCATCCGTCGCCTCGCCATCTCCTAGGAAATTGCGCTTCTGTTCCCTTGAATAAGCGCGTCGTATCTATCGCAGAGCTCATTTTGCGCTTGAGCAGAGGAATCCTGCATTGACTGATTCCGGGTAGTTGGGTACCGAGCCTAGAAATAGGCCTGCGAGCCATTGCTGTGGCCAACATTATTCCCGTTGGCGCTATAGTGGTCTCGAGCGTGACGCAAACGCCGGCAATTCAATAAGCGGACACAACATCATTGCAGCAAAAAGGAAAAAATGTCCCCGCTCTTAAACCCGTGTTATGGGAGAAAATCCAGCAAGCGGCGGCAAAGCTGGTATAATTTTTACCAGCCACGGGCGGAAAGTCTCGTACACTTTATGGCATCATCAGCATTATACTTGATCACTATTCCCCCCAATGATTCCGTTCACCGACATAACCCCGAGTGTTACGGCATAGTTTACTCCGTTGCAGGAGCTTCGTGTGCGAGGGCATCCAGCCTCAGCATGGGATACATCAATCCTTCAGCTACTCGAAGCAGTCGCCCGCTCGCTCGTGCTCGACCGCCAGGACAAGTACCTCCGCTTCCAAGCACCCCAACTCTACGTCTCCGATTTCCTCTTCCTATGCCACGCCTGTATGAACGATCAAGAGCATGATCTCGTCGACCCCACCTTCGCAACATGGTTCCACCAGAACCGCGCTCTTCATATCGGCGCCCAGACCCTCGAATCCCTCCTCACCACCATGATTTCTCACACAGACCCCACCGTCTTCGACTCTCTTCCTCCTCCCACCCTACGTCCTCAGCGAATATCAACCTACCCACCCAGCACCTCCGCCGACGCTGAGTCAGACGACGCGGATACCTTTCTGTCGCGCTTCCAAGACACGGTGCGGAAAAAGTCGCGGCGACTTATGGTCACAATTGAGGGGTATGTGGGTATGGCGCCGTGTAGAGCACGGTTAGGTGATTCCGTTGTCGTATTGTTCGGATGCAGCATCCCGCTCATCTTGCGGCGAGTAGGTGTGAGAGAAGCATGGCAAGTCATTGGCGAAGCGTATGTACACGGCTTCATGAACGGCGAGGCTAGGAGATTAGTCCGCAAAGGGACAAGGATGTACGTAGATTCAGGCTTGTTTGAATAAAAAGAAGCCCTCTATAGTTAAAATATCCCCATCCCGTCTCTTCCCACGCAATGCAAAAAAAAAGAAGAAAGAATCACCAAAAACCTAAAAACGAAAGGCTCCAGACTCGAACCTCCAACCCAGCAAAAAGATCGCTACCCCTCCTTGGGTAGCTACGAAACTAGCAGCGGGTTGAGGTAGTGGCTTTAAGCTGGTGTTAAGCTTGTCGAATCGCCCCTGTCGAAACCGTAAATTCTTCAACTGCTTTGTTTATCACGACGCTTTTCTGCAACTGCCACGTACTGGGACGCCGACGATCCGCCATCTCAGACTTCTCGTGAAAGAAATTTGAGAATAATTAAATATATATACGGAGGATAAAAAGAAATTAGGGTTAAGAGAGCGCGGGTTGTGTGCGGCCGAGGCAGGAGAGCGCAGTGGTGACGTCGCGGACGAAGTGGGGCAGGCTGGCGGTGAGGATTTTGGACTCGGTGTTGGGCTGTTTGTGGGCGTTTGGCGATGGGGATGTCTGGTGTGAGATGGGATGGAGCGAAAGAAAGAGCTTGAGAGGAAACCTGCCCGCACGTCTAATCATCATGTCCACTAAACCCTCCAAGCCATCACCAATCTCCTCCCTCCTACGCTCCCTAGCTCCCCGGCGAACAAGCGCTCTGCCTCCCTTTCCCACTGCTACATCCCCCACTAACAACCCACAAGTGCCTCGTAAACTCGTCCCCCGTCTCTAAATCCCTATAATACCCAAACCCACTGGGCCCAGCGACCTCACCGGACTCATACTTTCTGCCGTCGCACTGGTCTGCAATGCTCTGCACCGCGTTCGCAAGCCCGGGCCCAGTGACCGTGAGGTTGTGGTCGCAGCTCCAGTTGTAGACGTCGGCTTGCAGGCAGGTGCCATTGACGGAGTGCTGGAGCGTGACGCGGCCCATGTTTTGCGGGATGGTGACGGAGGGCTGGGAAAGGAGATAGTTTGCGAAGGGTGGGATTAGGGAGGCGGGGAGGGAGGTGAGGTAGCATTCGCGGAGGGAGTCTGGGAGGGTGGAGGGCGAGGGCGAGGGCGTGGGGAGGGAGATGCTGGTGGCTATACCGAAGGTCCAGGGGAGTGCGCGAAAAAGAGAGGAGAGCATCGTCGTCTGTATTTTAGAGTGCTGATTAGGTGGGAGAATAAATAGAGGAAACCGGCGCGTAGGTATTAAGCTCGCGTTGTGTAATCTCTTGAACGTTTTATACCTAAGATATGTACAGCAATGCAACTGCAACATTGAATCCTACATCTGCAAGGCACGCTGTGCTGATTTTACGCAAATGAAAAATCCAATATGGCTATATTAGCCAGTTGCACAAGGCCCCGTATGGCGAACACGCTTAAACCTTAACGGAGGAAATCACACCGTTGCTTCCAGCAATATAAAGCGTGTTCTTGTCCGCCTCGGTCTTGCCAAAAGTGCACGATGTTGCGCTTTGGACCGTGACCGCATTGCTCACTTCCCCGCTGCTCGTCACCTTCTTGATTCCGTTGGAAGCTGCAACGTAGACAGAGCCATCCGGACCAACCGCCATGTCGTCGGCCATCTGGTTGGTCCAGATGGCGGTCGGGGTTCCGGTGGCCTTGCCGGTTGAGTCGACGGCGACTTTGTAGAGTCTGTTGGCGAAGATGTTGGTGTAGTAGATGCTGCCATTAGCGTAGCGGACGCCGTCGATGCCCATCCTGGATAGGGCCATTAGTACGTGTGCCTTTGATAGAAAAACATGGCGTGAAGGCCTGAGGTGACTTACGGCATGCCCGAAGACGGCGCCATAGAGGCATCCTGGATAGCAATGCTGTACTCGCCAGTGTTGATATTCATTCTCCAGACTGCACCCTTGCTCGCGTCTCCAATCAAGATAGTGTCGTTGCTGAACGCAGTCAAGCCATTCCAGAAGCCGGACTCCGGAACCTTCTTCAAGAGCGACGTAACTGGGGAACCGCTTGTGAAGTCCACCTTCCAGATACCCCACGATCCCGGCTTGTTACCACCCGCTTGCGCGTATTGCCCTGCCACCACGGCGAAAACATCAGGGGCGACCTCCGCTATGGCTGCAGAGCATGTCGTATCGGTAAACGTTGCGATCTTAGCGGCAGTCTTCTTGGCAGTGTCGATTTCCCACATCTCGCCCTTGTCGAAGAAGGAAACGAGCAGATTGCCATTCGAGCGGGCTGCGATGCCTTCGGCGCTCTTTGGTGAAGAGAATTTGTAGACCTGGGTAGTCGACTGCCTCTTTCCAAGCGCTACGGCGGAGGCCAAGCCAGTGAGGGAGAGAACTTGCACGAGAACCGAGCTGAGACGCATCTTGACGATCGATGGGCAGTTGGAGGTGAGAAACGCTGGTAGAAAGAAACGTTGGATCTACATTTTCGCAAACCGGGGAAGCAGCATATATGTTGCTGCTTCATGGAGCGAAATAGATGAAGGGAAAGGAGAGATCAAACGGTATATTTGCCAAGGGCTCTGGGCTTACCACGAATCCGTTCCAAACGTCCAATTGCAGCGCTGCAATCGGTCTCTATGTCTATCTGTAATTGTAGATCCTCTGAACCGGGCTTTTATTAGCGTGTATAGATGGTCTGGTAATGAGCGGCCCTTCCTTTTTAGCCACTTATATTAACGCGGGGTGTGGGTAACCCCGTAATTGCAAGTGCCGACGACATCGTGATCCGGGGCTATAGTTGAGGCTCCACATCAGGATGTGGGAGCGATTGATTGTTCGAGGCCATTCTTCGACGTGTGAAAAGCCAGGGATGTAGGTGGCGTAAACGCGCAGCGCGCTGATTGGAACCGCGCATGTGAATGCGGATACTCAGTTGGCTTGGCCTTGACGAGTATAACACTGAGCAATCCGAGATTCTGAGGATATGGTATCTTTTATCAGCATGGATGATGAGACATATTTGGACAGCGGAAGGAAGGTGGAGAGGAGATGGCGTCGAGTTCGGAGGGGAAGCCTAGAGACCTTTAGTCAGCTCTTATTCAGCACCTTCGACATTTCGCTCCCGCATCCAATGGCGGCCCCGAATCTCCTCACAACAACATCCAGATGTTACCTCGTCGCTGCTGTACCCGCATACTCAGCTCTTACGCCCGCTAGCATGTAAGGGGGGTGGCCGTCCTCCCACTCGCGAGGGCTATGGAGTGTTGTGTACCTTCGTTGCGGTGTTTGTCCTTCACCTTCTCACACCACCCGGTCGACCGTGCGATGGCTATGCGAACGGAGATAGAAGCAGAACAGGAGAGCTGAAGCATTGCGATGCCCATCTCAGCCTATGACGTCTCGCAAAAGCATCGTGCCCGAAGTCCGAGTAGCCACATTCTCCTCGCCAATTTCAGCCCTATCGCTCATCGATCAAGGCGCAATTTCTTGCGCCTCCACCGTTAATTCCTTCCGCCAGCCAAACCATCTGGCATTGTGGCTTTAGGATTCAATGTAACGTGCTGACCGCCCTACCATGGTTCTCGCCAGCTGTTGCCCAATTCCAGCTCAGTAAGCGTTGCTACGGCTGAGGCGCAGCTTCGACGCTATCCCGATCAGTGGATCTACACCGGAAATGTTTAGAGACATCTCGCAGCATGCATCCCGCGGTTTTGCCCAGGTCAGCTGCCTTCCGGAGAAAATTGAGCTGGCTCTGATGATGGCGTGTCTGTGATGGTTGCAACGACCTGAGGTTGTTAGGGCGGATTACTATTTCCAAAGCACATGACATGGCGGAGCTGGCGGATGGCAACGCTGCTGATGAAGCTGGAAATAGCATCGAAATATGGAGAAGCATATCTCATTGCCGGTATAAAGGTAGGAACGTTTCCTTTCGAAGAGAGCATCATCCAACAGCTTCAACAACTCCTATCTACAACAGCATCTCTCAGCTTTCCGATCTCTTCTTCGCACAATCGCTATACTACGCACTTCCGCTCTATTAACCGACTCCATTCAAGAAGCCGTTTCTACATTTCAAAATGCAGTACTTCACCACCGCCGTCGCTCTTCTCTCCACTTCGCTCCTCACCACCGCTGCCCCCACCGCATCCTCCGCGCCCCTCGAGCGCCGCGCCTGCAGCGTCGCCTACCCGCAATCCATCGGCTTCCCCATCAACTACGACATCCACCAAGACGCGGGCGGCGCCAACAAAGTCCCCAACGCCATCACCTTCAGCAATATCCCCGCCGGCTCGTACGGCTGCCAGATGGAAGTCAACTTCCCGGCTGGATATCCCATCACCAGCTCCGGCAACAGCCAGGTCAACATCTATGCCACTTCTGGCACGGCCCCAGGCAGCCTTTTCGGCACTGTGAACTTCGCCAGCAGCCCTGTGGCGCCGACGAAGTTCGTGGTTAATTCCGCGACGTGCGACACCACGATGAGCTACCGCATGGAGATTGCCAGTGCGGATCAGGCCGGCAGGGTTGCGTTTGCGGATACCAAGGACGCTGGTATTACCATGACGTACAACTGCTAGAGGAGAAGAGATGGGTTGGGAAGGATGAGGCGCGCGGTGTAATATAAGGCATAGAGAGGTGTTCAGGAAATCGGTTGTTGCGGCATTGCATTTGGGTCGTTGGTCGGTTTCTTCTTAGCATTGCATAGATACAGGCGTCATTCTTTCATTAGATTAGGATAATTAAATTGTCCACCAAGCCATCCAGCTTCAACGCTACGTGCCAATGCAAGTGCACCCATTGGACCTGTACAGCTGATAAGACTTACCGCCGTAACTGGCCGCAACCCCGAATTCAATGTGCAATCACACTCTCATATCAAAGGGAGACGGAGGAGCGCCGGAGCGCCGGAGCGCCTGAGCGAGTGGAACTGTAGGAGAGGTGGAAGAAGTAGAAATATCGGCCGCGATAATAAGGAAGATACGGAACGAAGATTGAAGGGCTTGTTGTAGATTTGTAGAGGTGGTGCCATCGATGAAACTAAAGGAGCAACTCTCATTGCCTCAAGAGTCGTTGCTCTATTCGGATGTCATCGCCTAGCCTCACCACATTCGTGCCGTAAGTGCCTGAAGGATCTCGCAAGTGTAGCTTAATAAAGGGCAATCGCCGCCTATTCATCTGTATGCCTTGGCGGTTGCGTTGATTCAAGTGTTAATAATTAGACTCCCGAGCTCGCATAAATTCGAAGACACGCAGACATACACCTTGAAAACCGCTACATGATGACCACACACCATTCCTCCTCTTCACCCACACCAGCGCCCCAACAACAGCCACCCCTCACGTAGAAGAAGACCCAAACACCAATCGCCGCCAACACAGCCAACACCCTGGACAATACCCGGGAGAACACCGTGGACGGTGCCACGCAGGTTTCCCACTCTCCTTTTCCGGCTCCACATCCCGCGTCTCCCATCTCTTATGCTTCTCCCTAGCCATGCATCTCTTCTCACACGCTCCCTCCGCACAGCACACTTCAAACATCCTATGCCGCAACCCCCACCTTGCCGGACACGCCAGCCTTCCCGGACACACCAGCCTTCCCGGACACACCAGCCTTCCCTCCTCATCCTCCACCTTCCTCTTCGTCAACACCCGACAACCCGCACACCACACCCAACGCTCCTCTCCCACCACCACCGCATCGCCGGGCCCATATTTATCAATCCCACTCTCCAGCTCCACTCCCTGGATCCCCACGTCGGCAAACCCACACTCGAGGCAGAATCTCCACAAGCAGAGGTCAGGATCGCGGGTGTATACCTTAAAGGGGCTTTTCGTCATCGCATTCGCGAACTTGGAGGCTGGGTGGAGCCGCACGCAGCGTCTGCATGTGAAGAGGGAGCGTTGTTCGACAAAGGGCTCGTATTCGAGCTCGAGGAGGGTGTCGTGGGTGGGTGGCGGGATGAGAGTAGAAGTAGCTGTTTGTGAGGCGGAGCTGCCAGGTTGAGGGTGGGGCGAGATTGGGTGGCTTGGAGTGTAGATGGGAGATTATGTCGAGGTGGAGTTCGGTTGGCAACCGGAGAAGGGGAGGAAGCGCAGGCGAGGAAGGGACCTGAGGCGGAGATAGTTCTATGGCCGACATTGTTAGAAGGAGGGTGAGTAAACAAGTGAGAGCAATTCGTCTGAGGGAAACTTGTCGCTGTTTGAGTTGTGCCTTTTTGTGGGCTTTTGGATTGCTGCCTGGAAGCTTCGCCGCTCTGGCGCAGAATCTCGGCTCATCTGAACCCGTAACTATCTACGGCCCATTTGCGGCAATAGGCCACGATAGTACACTCCGCGTACTGAGCTGGAATCGTTTGCGACCATCCGACGTGAAATAGGAGTCGACCTATCCAAGATAAGTCGCAGTACTTTCGGAAGTTTGTTTACAATTCCATATTGGTAGCCGTTGCAGCATGGACAAAAAAGAGGGAGAGATGAATACTATCGCAAAGTCTGCGTATTAAATCTTGTTAATACGACTATGCATGTGGTCCATTCCTAATGTTCGATGGGCGTCGGCCAGACCCAGCGCTAATCAATATATCTAGAACTCCAAAAAATGCAAGAATGAGCTTTTGCGGATAGACTCAAGAGAATCAGGCCACTTCCTCTACCATTCTGCCATTGAAGGGCCGTCGTGAAGGTTTTGCGAGCGGTCCAGTGAACAAGCTCCCTATAGGTGCTTGAAGCCATTCCTCAGGAACAGCTAGTTGAGTCCCCTTGGCGGTTTGCCTGTAGCGGACGTAGAGCGGGTTAGCTTTCTCGTAGTCGAGCTCGTCTTCCTGGCCGGACTCGGTGATGTCTTGGATGACGCGACGTCCGCGTTTTGGTGGCTGCTTCTTAAGTAGGCGGTTGATGGTGTCCATCTGCGAGAGTCAGTCTAATCCAAACTTCATAAGAGAAGGTGAAAACTGTAAAAGGGTACGAACCTTCTCCTCCTCGTTGCGCTTTTCGCTGAGGTTCTTGCGTCGGCGTGCCATTTCTGCTCTGCGCATGGCGTGCTCCTCGGCGGTGAGGTGCTTCTTCTTTTGTGCCTCTATATCAATCATTAGCATGACCTGTAAGGATGCTGTGGGGGAACGCACCATTCGACAGAGCCATCAGCTCACCATCGCCGCCCTGGACGATCATAGCTTGCTGCCGCCGGGTCAACTTGCTGAGATCCGGGGTCTGGTCGCGGCTCATCTCGTCGCTGCTGTCCATCTCCTCGTCTTCATCCTCCTCGTCGTTCTGTGCGCCTAGCTCGTCATCCTCCTCTCCTTCGGCGTCCTCGTCCTCGCCTTCCGCATCCTCTTCTTCACCCTCGGCGTCCGACTCAAGCTCGGAAAGCTCTTCGTCGTCATCGTCGTCCATGGCCATCTCCTTGGCTTCCACAGAGTCCTGGGCGGCCTTGGGCTTCACGGGGACGGTCTTGTTGGTGGACACGACGATCCGCGGGGCCGGGGTCAGCTCCATGTCATCGTCCTCTTCGCCTTCAGCGTCGACGTCTTCGTCCTCGTCACCCTCTGCATCTTCCTCCTCATCTTCCTCGTCGTCCACGTCCATAGCGTCCACCTCCTCTGGCTCCTCATCTTCCTCTTCGTCTTCGTCGCTGTCGACTTCCCGGATGACCCTGCTGCTCCGCGATGCACGCTTTCCCACGACGATATTGCGCGAGGTGACGGCGGCCTTGCGGATATTGCCGCTCGTGGCCTTCCGCAGCTTGCCCGGCGAAGCTTTCACGGTGAGGTGGATGGACTGGCGCGTCTCTTCGGGCGAGGAGCGCTGGATGACGGCGGCTGGGGGTGCCTGGTTGGCGGTATTGCGTCTCGGGCGGGTCGACGAGGCTGTGGGCGCCGCACTGGGAGCTGTTAGATTCGCGCGCGATCGTAGGCGAGGCATGGCTGCGGGTGCTGTGTCGTGGAGAGCGCTGGGGCTACGGCGAGGTGAGAGGTGAGAGGCTCAGAAGAAGGCAGCGAGCGGCGTCTTCTTGGAGCTTCGGGCGGGGATGCGCACAGGGGTGTCGGTGGTGGCACGGCGTAGTGGTGAACGAAGAGGGGCAGGATTGTAGAGCGGCCATGCAGCCGTTGGCGAGGTCTCGTACTCCCCGCGTCGCACGCGCGGCTGGAATGGGGAGCAGCTCTCGATGCTTGGGCCAGCCACATCCACGTACCTGCTCAGCGCGCTGCTGCTGCCTTTGTCTCTCCCCCAATCGTCTGCTCCTTCTGAGTCGTCGTAATCGGTGCTGAGGCGCCGTAAGCGCTTAGCGCCGCGGTCTGCCATTGAATGATATGCGAGAATATGCGACGCGAGTCTACAATGATAGATTAGTTGATAGAGATGCCAGCAATCGCGCGGCGGAGCGAGTGATTCGCCAACAGCGATGCATTGCTGGTGATTCCAAGAGACCGAGAAGGCGCCACACCGGTCTTTGTGCGCTAGCCGCGTGCCTCGGCACCAGCCACTGCGGTTCCGAGCACCCTTCACGTTCACCTGCCCACCTTTCTCAGTCCTCCTTGACGGCCCTATACACGCCTCTGCTTCGTGTCTACACATGTCGAGCAAACCAGGAATCCCGTCGTGGCAACGCGCCCAGACAGACGCCCCCCCAGCAGGGTCTCCGGAACAAGAGCCGCCGTCGGAAGCGCAGCGGGAGTCAAGTCCAGCACCAGCCCCCGGCGCCGAAGAGTCAACGAGAGACTCCAAGCAAGACGAGGGAGGGCAAGATGAATCGTTGCTAGCGCAAGCTTCCAAGTTCCTCGAGGAGCCCGAAATACGCGATGCGCCACGGGAAAAGAAGGCCGCATTCCTGGAGTCGAAAGGCGTGAAAGCCGAGGATATCGAGAAGCTGCTTGCGGCGAAGATACCGGAGGATGCGACCCCAGACGTCACGGAGGCTGGCGAGCGAGCGTGGTCGACGGTACGCAGGGACGTCATGCTGCTCAGACTACAACGCTAATCCTCTGCAGGCGCCTCCCAAACCTGTGCCAGCACCGTTGCCAAAGCCACAGGCCCGAGAAACTCCGCCCATAGTCACATATCCCGAGTTCCTCACGCAATCGACGCAACCGCCACCCCTCATAACCACCCGCCGGCTCCTGAGTACAGCGTATATAGCTGGTGGTCTTGCCGCGACCATCTATGGCCTTTCCAAGTACATTGTCGCCCCGATGACACAAAACCTTACCGAATCGCGGCACGACTTTGCAAGCCACACCCAGGAGCAATTAAGCGAATTGAACAAGCGCCTCAGAGATGCAGCATCCGAGGACCCCGCTAGCAAAGTCAAACCGAACATTACAGACGTTATAGACGATGTATCAGAAGCCGATTCTGATCCCACCGAGCTATACCACCGAGACTATGGTACCCAAACATCGCCCTCGCTCTCACGACGGCCCTCGATCGCAGCAGATGTGGATGATCAACCTATTGTGACATCGCACGAAAACCGGTTGAAGATCCTGACCTCGCATCTTCGCGAACTGGAAGCCACTCGATCCAATGACACCGCATCCTCAGATTCCTTGAAGACAAAGCTGTCGGATCTCACAACGTATCTGAGCGAAATGAGCTATCAGAATCAGTATTACTCAGGAATGGGAGGTTTCTACGGTGGAAATTACGGATTACCAAAAGGACCAGACGGGAAAGACGATCAAATAGATGTACTGAAGAACGATATACGGGCGGTAAAGGGGGTCTTCTTAAGCGCGAGAAACTTTCCGGCAGGTGGTAGGAGTACAACACCCGTAGGAAGAGTTGGGGGATAGGGGGGCTCAATAGCTAGTGCTATAAAGTGTGTTGTCTACGGAGCGCCGTCAAATGTTCCCATTGTTATACGAGGCAGGATGTCCGGCCAGCGGTTTATGGGCACGCGGAAGACCTAGGAGATATACCAACTAGGATATGTGCTATAACGACTAGCAAATGGAACCACCCGTGGACCTAGTGCTCTGCGTATGTCACTTCTCATTTGGGTCAGAAGCCAGGGATCGTAGGGCTTAGCGCGGACCCACTTAATCGCGCCGCCCCGCCCTGGGCTCGACGTCATCCTGGCAACACATCTACAACACCAAGAGCTCCAGTTGCACATACTTCAGTGCCTCTTCGGCCCAGTATACCTCCTCTTCTTCGCTTACGGTTCTCCTTAATATACGATAATGGACGGCCTGACATCCAAATTACCCTTTGGGCACTCCAAACCGCCCGCTCATTCCGACGAAACGTCGCTCACCACCCTGCTCTCGGCAGACCAATGCGCCGATCTTACGTTCTTAATCGCTACTATAACAGCTACCATGCGGAAGTCGCTGCTCGACACATTCACCGCCGAAGAAACATCTCCAGATTCGAAACCGGTCAAGTCAGAAGAAGCAGCCTTAGCAGCCGCACCTTCCAATCTAGAGCAGGTCGATATCGAGAAGGAAGACAAGCAAAGGAAAGAGAATGAGAAGAGGGAAGAAGATGCGAGAAAAGAGCTAGCAAAGCCAGAGGTTCAAGACCTGAAGAAGGAGATGTTGAAGTACTTCGATGAATGGAGAGGAAGAGTGATAATCCGGGTGGGCGAGGTCGTGAACTCAAGGGAAGAGGCCAAAGAGCAGACGAAGCAGGTGAAGGACAAGGATGTGGAAAGAGAGCTGAAGAGGTCGGATACAGGCTTGAAGAGCATTACGGCCATTGATGAAGAAGGTGAAGATGAGGATAAAGTCTTCAAGGGTTTGTACCCGCCTGTGGAGACTTCGTTGACGCAGCTGGAGGAAGACAAGAGGACGTTGGTGCTGCACTCATTAGTACTCATCCTCCTTTCTTTGGAAAACTACTCGGCACATTCGCGCATCCTGCTTCTCCATCTCGCTAGCTCGCTCAGGTTGAAGCTCGCCGTCCTGAAGAAAGACGAGGAGGCTGTTGCCCGAGGACTGCTAGAAGCGGCTGCTCAACAGCTCAACGCCGACGCCGAAACCAAGAAAGCAGCCGAGGCTTCAAGTACAGCTCGGAAATGGAAAGTCGGTCTTGCAAGCGTAGCAGGCGCTGCTCTGATCGGAGTAACAGGCGGACTCGCCGCCCCGCTCCTCGCAGCCGGTGTAGGAACGGTCATGGGTGGGCTGGGGCTCGGAGCTACGGCCGCTGCAGGCTATCTCGGCACTCTGGCTTCCTCATCCGTCCTCGTGGGCGGATTGTTCGGCGCATACGGTGCGCGAATGACTGGCAAGGCGATGGACGATTATGCAAAGGAAGTCGAAGACTTCGGTTTTATCCCCGTCCACCATCACCACAAACCGCGCAAGCTAGAGAAGGAGTTCCGACGTCTACGCGTCGCAATTGCAATATCCGGATGGCTGAACAGCAAGGAAGATGTCGTCGTTCCATGGCGCTACATCGAGCCCGGCATTGAAGGATTCGCACTACGATGGGAACTCGAGGCCCTACTTAAGCTTGGCAACTCTATGGAATCCTTCGTCAAGAGCGCGACGTGGTCCTATGCAAAGGGCCAAATTATCAAACGAACCGTGTTCGGCGCTCTAATGCCAGGCATGTGGCCGTTGGGCTTACTCAAGATATCCTCCATCCTCGATAATCCATTTTCGGTGGCTAAGTACCGCGCCGACAAAGCAGGAGAGGTGCTCGCCGACGCCCTCATTAACAAAGTGCAGGGCGAGCGTCCCGTAACGCTAATCGGGTACTCACTCGGAGCCCGCCTCATCTTCGCTTGTCTGCAGAAGCTCGCAGAGAGGAAGGCATTTGGTCTTGTAGAGAGTGTGGTACTATTAGGCTCACCATGTCCGTCCGATGCCGAAGATTGGCGACTGATCCGCTCTGTCGTAAGCGGCAGAGTGGTCAACGTCTTCTCGACAAATGACTACATACTCGCCTTCCTCTACCGCACCTCCTCCGTGCAACTCGGCGTGGCAGGTCTGCAACCCGTCCTCGGCATCCGCGGCATCCAAAACGTCGACGTTTCCGAAGTAGTCTCCGGACATCTCCGCTACCGCTACCTCACGGGCTCCATCCTCAAGAAAATCGGCTTCGAAGACATCGATATCGCCGCCGTCGAGCAGGAAGAGAGCGAAATGAAAGCCGTGGAGGAGATGGAGGAGAAAGAACGGGAGAAGAATGAGGGGAAGAAGAAGAGCGAAGATGAAGAGAAGGAGGAACTGGAGAAGGAGGTCGAGAAGAAAAATCGGGAGAGCATTATGAGTTGGATGAAAGAGAAGATGAAAGTGGGGAGCATGTGGGGGAGTGGGAAGGAGGAGAAGAGCGAAGCAGAGAAGATGTCGGAGTTGGAGAAGGCGCAGAAGAAAGAGCAGAAGGCAGCGAAGAAGTAGCTATTCTCATATGCATGGATGCCGGGGATTGGTCTGGCGTTGCTGATACATCTTGTAGACGTGGGTATATGGATGGTTGGGTATATGGATAAAAGGGGTTACAGTTATGCAAACTTCACACATCGTCCGCCTTCATTTGCACAATTTGCACTTTAAAATCTCGTACATCATGAACCCAGTGATTGAAGTCTACCTGCACTAACGCCTATCCACGGATAGTGGTGTCAACTATATGCCAACGTCCGACATCATCATAGCACCGTTGCAGATCCACAACCTCCAAGGCGGAACTAAGAGAAATCCTCTTCCTGTTTCTCAATCGTGCTCTTGACCCGCAGCAGCAACGTCGTCTTCCACTTGTCCAGCTTACTCAACTGATCGTACTGGAACAACTACAAACAATTAGCAACTTCCATCTCCTCTCTTCTTCCCCAACTTCAAGCATACCTTCTCCGAGAACACCTCCTGATCACCGTCCTGCACCGCTTGTGCCAGATCCGTCAACAACTGGTGCTCGCGCTGCTGGGTAAAGCTCGGATCCAAATCGCGGTAGCGGTCCAGGGCGGTATTGACGCCGACCTGGTCGCCGGTGCACAGCTGGCAGATGCCCGCTTTGAGCAAGTACTCTTTAACGGACCAACGCATGAGGTTGTTGTTGATGGATGACTTTGATACTTTCTCGTAGAGCTCGATGGCTTTGTAGTAGTCTTTGCCTTCGAGAGCGATGAGGTCGGCGGTTTTGAGCCAGAGTTTGTTGGCCAGGGCCTGTTTGGTGGGGCTACGGTTAGTAGGGTTGTGACCGGTTGAGATGGGGTTGAAGGAGGGGAAGGAAATGGGGGATGTTACTTCGGCGTTATCCTAGGAGGTAGTTAGCATGTGATGTTACGGTCAGGGTTAAGTATGTTGGAACCTACGCTCTCATACCATCCAGCAGCCTCCTCGTACGCAGCGGCCGCCCGGCCGTTGTCGCCAAGCTCGACCTCGAACAGCTCGCCGAGGTTCTGCTTGTGCGTTGCTGCGCGGCGGAAGTTGCCTTTGCTGCAGTAGTGCGCGATGGCTTTGTCCAGACATCGCGCTGCGGCTTCTGGGTCGTCCTTTCGGTACGCCTCTGCGGAGCGGTTAGATTCACGTGACTTGAAGATAGCCGGGGGAACTGAAGAGCGTACTGAAGGCTTCTGTTAGGGTGTTCGCTTCATCGTCCGGCTCGTTCAACTGCTGTCGTTGCACTGCTGCTGCTCGCTCGAAAGCTTCGCCGGCCTCTTTGCCTGTTTCATTTGTCAGAATATGGAGATGGGAACTCGCAGAAGACGAAGATTTTCCATATGGGCTTGGAGGCTATCGCAGGCATACCCATCTTCTGCATTCGGAACGCATTTGCAGCGGCAATGAACTGGTCTGCTGCTGCCTCATCTATCACTTTGGTCAGCCTCTTCTTCATCACTGATTAGTCAAGATATTCGTTTACATTTCTCTTGACGGCCACCGAAAAGGCTGAATCCGCCCGAAGCCTTCTGCAGGCTGCTTTCTGCCTATCGTACATATCAGTATCTCATATCGGCTTTGTGGCGGTGTTTCAGAGCTCCCCCACCTGTCGGAGCAGCGCTCTCGGATCTCCAGCCATTTTTGCTAATTTCCAGCAAGGCCGTGTTGATCTTCGATAGTAGATAGGAATTAGGGATCGGAGGAGTGAGTATTATGGAGGTCGAGAGTTGTGGTTTGGAGTTTCGCAGTGACAGGTGGCTGCCGTCCAGGTCGCAGATGACGAACCTAAGTGGTCTGTGCTGCGGAGCTGATGATGGCGGCTGAACCTCGGTAGAGCTACTGCCGTTACATAATGCTTCAAGCTCAACGACACTCCATCACCACCGCGAACGTCAAGCTTGTACCAAAAGCTCTCTTAGTCCATTTTCCTTTCACGAGGCTTCCTTTTTCATTAGAGGCTCATTATGTCTTCGAGTCGTACATTTGTCTGCGCAAGATGTTTGCGACGAAACCTAAGACCTCTGTTCGGTCTTTTCCGCACCTCCTCGCGACTTGCAAAGCCGAAGAATATTCACAATGACGCCGGGGGCGCAAAGAAAATGAGCTCTAGCGATCTAGAAGCACTTCTAGCACAGCCAACATGGTCGGCAGAATCTCTGCTACCGCCGAAAATCCTTGCGTCCGACGCGCCGAAGATCTCGTCCAAGCAACTGCACCATCTCCTTCGTCTGTCGGCTCTACCGCCTCCGGAAACGCCTGAAGAAGAGAAGAAGATGCTAGATACATTATCGGCACAGCTACACTTTGTGGGCGAGATACAGCAGGTGGATACTACAGGGGTGAAGCCTTTGCGGGCTATAAGAGATGAGACGGCAGCTGCGGAGCATGAACAAACGATCACGTTGGAAACGCTGAAAGACGCATTTGCGAAAGAGAAGGTTATTGGGAAGCATTACAAGCGCGTACAGAGGGATACCTCGCCCGTGGACGCTAAAGATGTTGAAGACTGGGACGTGCTTGGGTGTGCTGAACGAAAAGCTGGGAAGTACTTCGTTGTCGAGAGCGAACGACCGCAGGAATAAGGCAATCGCGCGAGATGTGCGAAATGCCGAGTGTTGTCAAGCATGCATCTTATACACGACCACATGAGTTTACCAGTTGTAGCACTCGGAAGTGAAGAGTGTTAATTACAAGAATGTGGGCTCGATGATGACTGTATCGCCTTCCAGCATCGATCAAGAAAGCATCCAAACGCTAACTCCATTTTCCAGCCGCGAACCCCGCAAGGAAATTGAGCGTTCAAAGCCATTGATATCATCATATATCGTTATCAATATCCACCTCGACATGTATACCCTCAGCGCAACGAAGGTCCGTAATATGACCTGTCCCATTTCTTAACTCAGCAGAACGAAATAAAAAAAGCGAATAACCCTCTTCAGTGCTTTGGGCGCGATAGTTCCTCCCCACACGACGCACAATACTTGACAACATGGGCTTCGATGCAGCAATCGCAAAACGGAGTCTCGTCCAAGTCGGAAAGGTCTGGCGTGGGCAATCGCTCGATCCTCGGCGTCGCAGGCGGTGTCGGCATGTTTGGTGACTCGGTCCGCAACCTGGGATTTTCTTCGACATCGACCACTTTGCGGGGAATAGGGTTTTGAATGATGATAGCTTTGGCCTTTCGGGACTCTGATGTCACGTGCCGCCGAGATCCCAGGTCCCTCTCAGACGATGATGCACCGTGACGGATGCCAGGCGACGTTGAGATAGGACTGGAGAGTACTGCGTCTCCATGTGAGACTGGAGAATAAATCTGGCCAGCAGGAAGGGGTGGCTGCGAGGATGTCACGTGCGAGCGCCGACGGGACTCTGATATACGAAGGACCTTCCCATCGTAATAGTCGATCTGGCGGTACAGCGGGGTCATCCTTGGCGATGCAACGTACGCTGTGGCTTGCATGGTGGGCCGTGACGACGACATGGCGACGACTTAGGAAGCCGAAGCAAAGACAGCAGTAAAAAGGGACAAGAGATATGCGAAGTGTGTCCAGAGGCACCGAAGGGACTTGAGATGCCTTAGCAAGACGTTTCGTGATGGCTGATTGGGATTTCGTGATGGATTGGAGCGAGGGGAAGTGGGAAGTAAGAGTGATGGGGAGGTGGGCGGCCTGCGCCGTTTAAGAGTGGCCGCGGGCACGCCAAGCCCACACCCACCTGATGTCTGGGGGCTCCAGCTCGGCACAATCCCATCCCGGCAGGCCTACCTATACGTCTCGTTCGACACAATCAGCCGGGTTTCCGTCGGTGGACACGATTTTACGGCAAAAAATTCGACCGTGCACGACTTGTAGGGTGGTGGTTCGGTCTGGTGTCGCTCAGGGCTCAAGCATGGGCGGCCTCTGATGGAGGACGCTGGCACACCACAACGAAGCCCCCCACAGCCCCATACGGCCATGGAATGACATGAGATGCTCTTTAGGCCCGATGCATCCGGTTTTCGTTATTATCTTCATCGACCTTGTCGTCGCTGGCAGCTTCTCGCCCTTTCCTTCCTATGGCCCACTATTTCATCCTTCGATCGAACCGTTACTTTTCTATTGGCCTCATGACACTCTGTGAGAAGTTTGGAAGTCGTATCTCTTCACACGCGTGCGTTCTGTGCTCTGCGTACCTCGACAGCTCCACGACATGAGGTCCAGATCTTAGTAAGCAATGCCTTATGTAAGCATCTTCACCACCCAACGAATCGGGCAAAAGATGGCCAGTCAGCCTCATACCGAGAGCAGCTGCTATAAGTCTGTTAAATCATTCACCCAGACCTCCCAATTCACCTGGTTTCTGCCAACAATGGGTTGAGCCCTCGTCGAAGCTACCTGCCGGTTTATCTTGCGTCTGGCCCGTGCAGCGCTCTCGTCAGGCATCTACTTTTTCCAGGCTCCGCCACACTGCGAACTGGAGACCGGCCAAGATATAAATTTCCGTAGATAAACGTTCTCTATTGGCCAGTCGCCCTCCCCTCTTTGCGGTTTGTCGCACTCACCACCGTGACTGGTTGGTATCCATGGATCAAATCCCTAGTCCCTTCTCATGCCCACGATTGTACACGTGTGTCATATATCCGGTCTGCCGGGGGAAAGTCATTGCGCTTGTCGAATATGTAGTCTCAAGGATTTTGCGTCGCTATGATCGTTGCTACTTGGTTTGGGGTGGTTCCCGCTTTGAGGCGAAGGGATCGGATCTCGCGACAATTAAAAGATGGAAATATGGCTGTATCTATGCGACGTTTCCTTAGAAGACTCTTCAGCTGGCTTGCCCTAGTGGGTGCCGTAGAGAGGTTGGCGGCGATGAAGAGCGTTCGCATTTCGGCATGCCTTCACCTCTTGCCGTTCGAGGAAGGCGCGATCGTGCAAGTACGTACAGACCAACCCTCCGCCCAATCCTCTTCTTCTCTCACTCCCTCCTCTTTCACAACTTCCCGGCTCCGGTGCTCGAGTCGGAACAGCATGGCATCTCTTCGAAGCCTTGGAGCTGTCGCGCTCCTTCCGCTCGTATGGGCTCTCCAGTCTCATCAACCCCGCGAGGATGCCTCAGGCGACGGATTCGTGAAGCTTGCAGTTCATGCTAGTCAAGCGGGCACGGCCGACGCGTTTGAAGCACCGCTTACAGCCAAGTGGGCCGGCTTCGCTTACTTCATCAACGGTAATGGCACCTGCAATCCACTTCCGGCCCGACTAACATGGCGCACAAATTACAGTCACGATCGGGAGTGATAACCAAACTGTTCCTCTTTGGCTGGACTCGGGATCTTATGAGATCTGGGTCAATCCGTCCTGCGCTAGTGCTCCACTCTGGAGCAGGGATGACTGCAATGCCTCCCCTCGGTATAGTCCCTTCACCTCGCAGACCTCGAAAATTCTCAACGATGCCTTCAACCTTACTTATGGTGGCGGTGGTATGGTCGCGTTGGGGTCATGGTTCAGCGACGACATGAGCATCGGCTCTGCAACTGTAAAGGATCAGCATTTCGGTGTCGCCGCCGACAGCACAGGCTTTGAGGCCGGACTGATGGGCATTGGAATTCCCGAAAGCGACCCACATCCAAATTTCGTTTCAAATCTAGCGGAGCGGAAGCTTGTCAACAGCAACGCATTCAGTCTAGATCTGCGATCACCGAACGAGACGGGTATGTACGACAATGATATTGATGGTCTATGTTCATACTAAGATTCTCCTCCATTAGGCTCCATCATATTTGGAGGCATCGACACCAAGAAGTACAAATGTAAACTGGAAAGGGTCCCTGCTGACGGGTAGGATTATTCTCACCTATCACTCCTCTCTGTACCTAACTTCGTCCTACAGGTTCACGCTCAATCTTACCGGCTTTGGCCAAACATTCCCAAACGGCTCCAAAACGACTTATGCGCCCTATCTCTGGAACAAAAACAACTTCTCTCAAGGTTTGCCGGTATTTCTTGATAGTGGCTCCAACGTTAATTATCTTTCGAACGACGTGATTTCTGTGATTGGCGAGGACTATCCAGGCGCGAAACAGGTAATCAACGAAATAGGACTGCCAGAATGGATCGTTCCGTGCGAAGCTCCCGAGGGCACTTTCGACTTTTCCTTCGGCTCTACGACGGTCAAAATACCTTATCGGGACATGATGGTCGGCGACTATTCCCCGAACAAGAACCAGACTACGAATGAATGTCTTCTTGGTTTCGGTCTTGGGCCCCAGGACCAGGGATTGATCCCCCACATTCTTGGTAATAACTTCATGCGCGGTGCATACCTTGTTTTCGACTCGGAGAATAGCGAAATCTGGCTTGACGAAGCCGATAACTGCGGTTTAGATATCATTCCAATCGGCAAGGGCAATGTCTCGGTCCCGCGGGTGCCTGGCTGCAAATGCAAAGCAGCGAGCTCGGCGACGGCTAGTTATGCTGTCCCAGCTCCTACTTTGCCTCCTCTCCATCCTCATCAACCACGCGGCATTGCCGCCGGTTAACTCCAAGCAAGCGACGTGGCCGTCAAGGAAGCGTCAGAGTGAGCTTCCGCTTCCGAATCTTTACTCAGGATACGCTTACTTCGTCAATAATGAGTGCTTTCTGCTCGCGCTCACTTTTCTGTCGTTGTCGATCGTTATGTAGTCACAATCGGCAGTAACAAGCAGAATCGAATTCGAATAACACTTCCCAATCGCTCACCCTATATATTAACAGTGGCTGTTTTACAAACGTTGGTCGGAGTGATTTATTCGTTTGCATAGGGAAGACGTATCCCGGTGCTCAACAATGCAAGGACAGTCTCGGTAATCCGGCCTGGAAGATCCCATGTAAGCTCCGGACGGAACGTTTCATTTCTCGCTGGGCAGCCTAACAATAAGGGTGCCCTACCAAGATATGATTTACAAAGACTACAACGGGAACTGCTATCTTGGCGTGAATCCTGGGCCCGAAGAGACGTGGCTTCCGAACTTTGCGGCAGACACTTTCTTGCGTGGCGCATACGTTGTCTTTGACGCGGAAAACGACGAGATATGGATGGCGCAGTCTGCGGATTGTGGTTCAAGTATCGTTCCGATCAGTAAGGGCAGAGATGCAGTGCCTATGGTTCCGGGATGCGGATGAGTATCAAAAAGCCTTTGAACTGGCGCCGGCGTAAAACCGGCGGCCTATTCAGCGCCTTCTCGCTAGGAAGAAGGCACATGGAGTAATCATTTATGAAAGGGTTCAATGGGTGCCGCACGCATCCTACGACGACCTGGTGGCAGCTAGATGACTGTATGTGTAGATCACGATCCATCCAACTAGGTTGGTACACAACACCTGCTGCCTCTACTACTAACTCCGCCAGACGTGAGCAATTTCGCAGTCCCCTGTGCCCGCCCTGCATCGACCGGATTACTTAGAATCAATGTTCATCTTGATAAGTCTATAGGAGAGGCTAAACGTCCTAACCAACCTCAAACTTACCAAAGAGGTCTTGAGACAGTTTCATCCCCGGATATTCTCTTAGGTGCTGGAATCGGAACACCACCCGTAGTCGTCGGAATGTGACCTCGGGGGTGCGTGAATGCTCCCAGGCACTAACACTCAGAGCAAGTGCTGGCTGCGCCACATTTCATTGCCACACCCCGCTTGAGCCCAGAATCCCGGTTCCCGTTCAGGTTCTGCGAACTTCTCAATACCAACATCGACAGCGCCATCTCAAGTAGACCGTCCCATATCCAGCGACATAGATTCGGAAGTGGAAACACCATGTCATCCACGAACCAGCTGTCTACCTCTCGCCCCTCGGAGGCAAGTACAACCTCGGATCCGCGAGCCCCTCCGTTTGAGGATTCTCTCCGCCACATCGGTCTTACTCTTGAAGAGATCCGAGCCCTTCCGGAAGAACGACGCAATGAGCTTGCGCAAAGACTAGGTGTCGTTTCCTGGGAACCTTTTACTGTCCAAGCTATCGGTACGCCAGGAGATGTGTACGCGCATGTCTTAAGGGAGGATCCAGTGGTTGCACCGATTCCGGACGATGGTGGGGAGGATGAAGTTAGGGAGCTGGTAGGGGCGGAGAAGGGGAAGAACGGAAGTGGGAAGTGACGGAAACTTTCCTAGCGATCGGTTCAAATACCGGGGGTTTCAGCCATCTTTTACCGGTGCTGGATCTTGACGTATCAGAGGGAAGGTGACGAGCTGCTGGCCTTGTACTCAGAAACGTGCATATGCCTTGCTCCATTAGCTCCGTTGGGTTACGACTGGTCTCATTCGGAGCTTCTCGAGAGGCTGCTGTAAGTACAGCTATATTGTATGCATCCTTATCCAACGCTCTTACACCATATGGCTCTAGAGCGCCTTTGTCGGGCTGTTGTGTTGGATGATACTTGGAGGTCGGCGACCGCCCATGTGGTGGAGTTGGGAGACCCTTGACATATCGAGTTTAGCGCCGCGGGGGTGGAGATTACACCGTGAGCCACCATCCATCCCCAAACCTCATCTTCACCGACTTATCCTCGCCTACGGCCTCGGGTTCATTTAGATCGTTCTGCCGCCTTCTAGCGGTCCTCGCCTTTGGGCTCAGGCTAACTGCAAGCCGCGAGAGCACTTTCACATTTCGGCGCCTTACAGTATCGAAAGCGCTTCCGCCGGCTCTTGAACCAGGTGTCATACCAACAACATGCAAGTCCAATGTTAGGAAGGCCCGATCGACTTCCATTTCTCTGGACTCTAGCGAGAGCAGTGCTGTACTTTATGTTACTACCCATCTCTTTTAAAGACTGTGAGCGGCCTACCTCGCACATCAGACGCTCGGACACCGGGGCAATCCCTTCTGACCGCGTAATGCTCCCTTCATCTCGCTGCGTTGATTCGGCCTTGTGTCAGCATATTCAACCACTCGGCTGATTTTGAGGAGAGCCGGGCCTGCAGCTAACATCGAGCCAGTGAGAAGCGGACACAATGATTGGACACCAATTCACGGAACGTGTGTTTCCCAAGTAAATGGTTCTTTCCGCGATCTGCGCTCGCCATCCCGTGCGCCCTCCTCAACTTTGACCGTTTCCTTTTTCTCACCACTCGTATGCGGGCCGCGAGTCCTCTTCGCAGATCGTTGCTTGGAACATAGTTCGCTCCACGCCGAGGAATGGTGCCGAAGGCTTGAACTAGCCAAGAGAGAGCCACCAGACCATTACTTCCGAAGCACCGCCGCGTCAAACGTGTCCAATTTAATTCTTTCGCTCTACCTTTGTCCACTTTCTTCTTCCTGCCCAAACATCTTCCGCTCAATCCCAAGATGGCAGATAGAACCTCGAGCATACTCAGTCCTTGGTTGAAGCCGAGGCAGGTCTTCATCTTTCCTTGCTTGGAGTCTGAACGTCTATCCAGCTGCTGTGGAACACCGAGACGACGGTAACTCCCCGTAGCCTGTTGGATCGGGTCCGCAGCTGAGCTTGTATGCAAGGACGGTAGCACGACCGTCAACTCAAACACCTCGACCACGTCAAAGATGTCTCCAAACACCGGAAATGCTAATGCGCTCCAACATCACCCGGCGGAAACCCGAGCGAGGCCTTCTTTATTGAAAGCGGGTAATGGCCCCAAAATCTGTACGTCGAACCACTTCCCTCGCCTCACCCCAGCCCACCAGCCCCAAAAGCCTGGTACCTCTCGCACTAGGCTGGGACCAACCTACTCCCCTGTCTTCGACTCTCTGAAGCACTTCGCCATCTCCCTTCCGATCTCTCCGTCCTGAATCCCCATTGGGCTTCCCTTTTCCGGCAGCCTGTTTTATTGGGGATTTGGCTGCTTGCAATACACTCTTGCATCTGTTCTTGGCAATGCCACTGCAGAAGGCACCTCCGCAGTCTGCCTTCTCCGCCGATAAGCCACTGCTAACATACCGGCAAACAATTCGAGAACGCCGAAGGACACTTCAGACAATTAGTGAACTTTCGACCCAAAACGTGGAGCCATCAGAATGTGACTGGAGAACCTCAGGGCAAAGTAACAATACCAGCTCGCGCGGCACTGATGGTGTCATTACAAGCATTGAGAGCACCAAACGCAACCGAAGAAGAAGTCTCCCACAGCACGGCGCCAGATTCGAGAACGACCTTAATACCAAACCTTCAATATTGGTGACTCCGGCGGATGCTCCATTCCTACGCCGCTCGTTAACGGACCCTATAGACTGCACCCGTGGCAGCCGTCACCAATCGAGTGGAGAATTATTCACGCCTCGCAATGACCTGAGCAGACTCTCGGTCGGTTCTTTCTGCAGCTTCCATTCACAGGACCCGCCACTGCCGCCAGTCGCTGAAGGAAGCTCTGTCGGGCTAAAAAATTCACACCCCTATATAGATGTTCCCACTGCACAGGTTAATAGAATGGGATCCAAGGGGAAGCAACCGATGAAAATGCGAGACGGGAGCGGGGCTTATGGTCTGGGCCAAGGATGGAAGGCTAGGAGAGAAAGAGAGAGCGTGGAAATGGAGCAGGCAGTCGTAGAAGCAAAAGCTCGCCGGGAAAGAGACGGTCGAGGCATCGTAGTTGGAAGTTCCTCTAGGCTACCTGCAATGTCTCCCCTTCCTATCGCAAACGTCAAGGACAGCCACAGTAGGATCCAAGCCAGCCACCAGCAGTCGCTCGAAAATCTTCGAGCAATGAACAACAATCGTACCCCCCTACCACTTGATAGAAGAACCAGCTACAGCCAGATCGTTCCGATGCATCAGAACGGCATTAAAAGAACTGGCTCGGCAGCATCCACAACGCGGCTAGCAAATCCCGATCCGGCGTACCAGCCAGTGCCACAGCTTTTGAAATCATCCGCAAGACGCTCACTTAGAAGTCCTATTGCGCAAGAGCCGCACCGACCAAACCCAACACGATCCTCTAGCTCATTGAGACCTTCCCCGGTCTCAACGACAGGCTCATCCTCGATGCAGTCGAGCGTCTCAAGCAATCCCCACAGAACGCATCAATCTTCAAGGACCTCTACATCCTATTTTAAGCCTACTGGAACGTCCGCTCCTCGCCATAGTCAGCAATATGTCGCCAAAGGACGTTCGATACCCTTTCCCGCTCTCACAAACAGTATGCCTCAAACCAATCATCACATTTCTTCCGCGACGCAGCAGACAGTTCAGGACCCGCGCGCCAGGCGGGGAAGTCAAGCCTCGCAAAGTTCAAATCGCCATTCCTTAGCATCACAACGATCACGTTCGCAATCTCATCTAGGCTCCCAGCCTTCCATTGCCCACTTTCACGCAATCAGCAATGCCAGCACGATTATCTACGATGAGAACCCTGATAAGAGGGGCATGGATGTGCCGAGGATGGAGAGCGTACGACTGTTGAGAGAGAGGGAGAAGTTGGTTAGATGGAAAGCAGAAAGAGAAAAGGCGGAATTCGAGAGGACGGAAAGAGCGAAGATCAGAGAACGGGTTAGGCGCGCTAATGAGCTTGAAGAGGAGAAGGAGAAAGAGTTGGCTAAGCAGATGAAGAAAAAGAAGAGTTGGCTTTGTGGGTTGCTCAGGAGTAGGGCTTAGGGAAAAAACATGGAAGGCTACTCACTCGTCTGCGAGGCATTTTCCTTGGATCTTTGCATTTCGTCCACTAGCATTGCGGGGCATCAATTCGCTTCACGTTCCCTATCTTCGTCTTTCTCGGTGCGATATCTCCCTGGGTTTATAGACATCCCTGCAAACGAAAGCATCACTCTGGCGATCATGTTACTGGATGGGTTACTTTGGAGTTGGACAAGGCATTGTCACATATCACGACGTAGCATTGCAGCTCGAGATTTGTTGTACGTGGCATACTGCGACCCCGTTACTATCGTTCTCGCACGGAGATTGCAGATCTCGTACATGCATCTTCACATACCTCAACGACCGAGACACAGAATGCAGCCAAGTCTAATAGCACACCCGCCCAAATCGCTAGCTACAGATGAAATATCCTGGATAGACTTCACTTACCCTATGATATTCGCCAGACTGATGAGCAAGTCTCCACCCGTGCTGACAACGTGCGGAGCCGACTCCCTTATCATACGATCCGATACCAGGCTGTCGGTATGCATATGCTGACGGGCTAAGCGAACGGGACGGGCTAAGCGGACTGAAGGGGATTTTCTCCGAGGCCTCGATTCGCAGTGGGCATATTGACTTGTGCATAGGGCTTGCATGGACGCTGGTCGGTTGCGAGTCTGACGCCAATTGCAGGGAAGGGGAGTCAGCCTTGTGGGGATGCGTTGAGCGGGGGGATATTGGATGACGGCGCTTGGAGTAGGAGGGCAGATTTCGCGCGGAGGGCTGTGAGCTTGATGGTTTTCGAAGAGGAGGGTTAGTATTGAGGTGGGATATTAGGGCTGGGTACGCGTCTTTTTGGGGTCGTAGTGGTCATTCGTAGGCATCGTGGTCTTCACATGGCACCTGCATGGGGTTTGGCGGGAAGAGCGTACCCCACAAGGCTGCATTGGCCAATCAGAGCAGACCATGCGATGCATCCCACTAGTCGAGCCAGCTTTCTCAAGGAGACATGTCCGCAAGTACTCCGTACAGTACACTCCAGCCTTACATACCATCGAATATGCCTTGGTTCTGAGAAGGATGCGGAGAAATGGGGAAGCGGAAGTTGACCCGAGTGCTGAGCCCCATGCTGAAAGTGCTGTGCCGCACCCGTCCCCTCTTGACAAGCTGAGCGCTTGCACGGAAATGATCGTCGCGGATGCTCATGCGGCAAGCGAAAGCGGGTCATGTTCAAATGTCCGAACGGGAAGGAGAGCGAGGGCCGGTGGAGATGGGCGCATAGAGCTGCGCGTTTGGCTACGGATTCAAAACGCAACAAACAACCATATCAACACTCTGCTATAGAGGCGTGTTCTATGCTAGAGGATGTGACTGGTTGCTTTCTCCCGTCGAAACAGCGCAGTCTAGGGAAGAAACATGGGCCACGCGTCTATATAGAGTTTCCATAACCGCATCGCTAGCATGTGTGCCTGAGGCAGCGTTTCCGCGTCCGACGGGTCTGACCTAGCTACGAGCCCAGGACTGAGTCGAGCTGCTCTCCTCGCAACGCAGAAGCAATCTCCCGGACGTTGCATGAGTAGCGAGAGCAGCTCCAAGAGAGATGGATGCTTCCGCAGCTGGCGTGCCTTGCAGCGGGCGAGTGGGCGCGCGGGCGGATTGGCTGTGCAGGTTGCTTTTTCGGCTCGTCCCAGCAACGCGGACGGCTGACGGCTGGCGGTCAATATTGCCCGCTGCGAGGCCATTCGGAATCGGCGAAGTGCTGCCAGATTCGAGTAATTCTCACACGCGCTGCAGCAATCGCCAGCTGTGCACAGACCAGGGCCCTCGTCGGCGTGGAGCTGGAGCTAGACCGAAGCAGAGACACCTCTCCCCACGCCTCGACGGAAATCCTGCGAGCGCATCACCACCGCTGCCTCGACATCCGTTCTCCCTTCCTCCTCCCTCCCATTGTGCCATCTGCTCGACCGCTCTCCGCCTGCCCTCCCCCGCCGCCCGCTTCCAATGTCTGGCAGCAGAGCCCCGCTTGGAATTGCGCCCAGTGGCCCGCTGTCACAAGCCCACGGCAGCCGTCACGTCGTACAGACGACCTTGTGAAGTCGCCTCCCCCGTCCGCTGCGCCCACGAGCTGCCACCGGGACCCGCCATGCCCCCGACTGGGCGGGCAGCGTGCTCTGCTGGCCAGACCGCGCGGAGTTCGAGGACAGCGCCAGCGGAGCACAGCACCAGGCGCAGCGAGAAGGCAAAGAGCGCGCAGTCAATGCAGGCGGCCCAGGCCTCTGCAGGTTCCACAGCGCAAAGGCCTGCCGCTCTAAAGCACCGCGCATACTCGGCGCCCATGGTGCCCAAGCACCGCGGCCATGGAACCGAAGACGACACAGGGGACCTGGGCTACGAGCCCGGCGACGGCGAGGAAATTGCCGGCGACGAGTTCTTCCAGCGCTACCACTTCCCGCAGACGGGCCAGTCCGGCAAGGACGAAGCTTCCTCGAGCTCTGTCGACTCGTCCTCCGACACCGAGGGGCCGCTCTCGCCCACCCACATCAAGAACCGCCAGCCAGCGCCCGCAGACACGGCTGCAGGCCCACAATCGCCTGCGCCGTCGACAGGTGTAAGTTGTTTTTTTGGATCCTCAAGGGACGCCGCATTGCAGTACTGACAGGTGCGCCTCTAGTCGGGAAACAGCGACGCAGCGTCCGCCATGCAGGACATTAACATCGCTGTCCTGGGCGCCCGCGGGACAGGGAAGTCCACCTTCATACGCCACGCTCTCAAGCTGCCCGATACCGGTGCCGCGGCGACATGCACGCGCAAAATGACCATCGACGGAGGATACTACATAGTGCGCTTCTTGGAAATGACCTTCAACGAGGTGCACATTGGAGACCGGAACAGTATCAAATGGCCGGAAACGGTCGATGATCTGGCAACGCCGCGAATAGATGGAGCTGTGACCATATATGATGTCACAAGCCAGGAGAGCCTGGCCCGGGTGCCAGAAATGCTCAGTCAGTATTCTCACATTTGGAGGCGGAATTCGGCATCCGTGAGTGCATCATGCTGACAAGGCTTGATCAGATGTGCTCTCCAAGGCCAATCTTCCCTTCATATTGGTCGCCTGTAAATGCGACCAACACCCCGCGCACCGTGAAGTCGACCCTGCGGTAGTTGAGCAGAAGGCGAAGTCATTCCTAGGAGATGTGAATGCATTTCAAACCTCGGAGGCTTCCCCAGAAACGCACCGAGGTTGCTTGTCCGTGATTACACGTGCTGTGATAGCAGCCAAGCGACGTGAGTACCCTCTTTTGGTTCGTTTTGAACATGCATGTGCTGCAAGGATTCCCATGTGAGCCATACGTTTGCACCATCATCTTCGAACCTTTTATTGATGCCAGATTCGCAATTGACATTGTGCCAGCTCAATCTCAAGCATCCATGGCTCGACGTCGAGCGAATTCTTCTGCCGTGCGCTCCAGCACCGCGAAGGATCCATGGGGACGAAAACACGAACGAGCAAGTTCCGAATTCTCGGCCCGATATCGACCCCGTTCATCCGAGGTGAAGGGTCACAGATACAAGTCGAGCGAAACAAACAAGACATTTTTCAACTTTGAAGAAGAATACGACTCGAATGAGTCCGATGAAGAGGTGTCAGACGCTGAACAGAGTGTCGCCTCCGAGATGCCCACTGACGAAACTGGATACACGTTCGACCAATTGGTGGATCGTTTGCTAGCCCAGCCGATGTCGAAGAATGATTCAAAATTTGGGTCGATATTCCTCGCGCTATACCGGAAATTTGGAACCCCTGGTCAGCTTCTCGAAGCGATTCTGAAACGATTTGAAAGCCTCAAGCGGAAACAGAACCCGCCAGTGATACGAATCATCGCTCAACTACGCTATTGTGCTATTTTGCAACAATGGGTAAGCTACTATCCAGGCGACTTTGCTTATCCAACAACGCGCAAGATGTTACGAAGATTTGCCACATCATTAGCCTGCGTACGCGAGTTCGCGGCGGCAGGAAAGGAGATCCTTCATGATCTGGAGGCGGTCACAGAAGATGACGACACGGATTGGGCATGTAGCGATCGGCAACGGGCTCAAAATGAGCAGATACCGACATTCCATACTGTTCTGGACGAAGATTCTGAGGACGACGATTTTACGAGAGCGCTTGGCCACATGTCCATGTCATCTGAGCGATTATCGATTGCGCGGAGCAGTATGACAGGCATGTCACGATTGACTTCGTCAACAACTGCGTCGGGAAGCTCGACACAGACTTTGCTCCACGCGGTGGAGAAGAATGAGAGGCTAGCCAGACAGCTCATTCCCAACCCGATCAAGCCGCTCTCGAAGATTCAGTGGCATCAGCTCATGAACGAGCCCGAGGAAGCGATTGCCAAAGAACTCACGAGGATTGACTGGATCATGTTCTCTGCTATACGGCCTCGCGACCTCATCCGACATGTAAGCATGAATGCGGAAGAAAAGAAGAGGTACAAGAGCTTGGAGAATGTTACCCGGATGACTGAGCACTTTAACCACATTGCTTACCTGGTGGCGAACTACATCCTCCTTCGCGACAAGCCGAAACATCGAGCTCTGATGCTTGAGAAGTGGATGAAGATTGCTCGCGAGCTACGGAAGCTGAACAATTACAACACCCTCGGCGCTGTCCTAGCAGGCATCAAAGGCACCGCCGTTCATCGTCTCGTAGCGACCCGTGATCTAGTGCCTCAGACAACAGGACGCGACTTCATGAAACTTGAAATCCTCATGGGAACACAGAAATCGCACTTCGCATACCGTCTGGCATGGGAGAACAGCTCGGGTGAGCGCATTCCCTACATCCCACTCCATCGACGCGACCTTGTTTCCGCATCCGAAGGCAACTCAACCTTCATCGGAGACAAGAACAAACTTCCATCAGCATTTACTCCACATCCGGGCGTCAGCGTGTTCCAAGGCGCGCCAGGAAATAGAGATTCTCGGGAGGCGCCACCAGGCGGCGTAACAGGGAAAGAACGGATCAACTGGCGGAAATTCGAAATCATGGGCGAGGTAATCGTGGGAGTTCAACGCGCACAGGGAACGCCGTACCCATCGGGGGGCAAGAACGAGGAGATCAGAAATCTGATTCTCGACGTCAAGATCTCGAAAGACGACGATGTATGTATTCCCTTGCTCTCTCTTCACCCCTTAACCCTCCCTTTTGTTGGGGCATATGCTGACGAGGCTACCCAGGATCTCTACGAACGCAGCGTCCAACTCGAAGCCGCCGGCGCAGGAGAAAAGAAGAGATTCGTCAACTGGTTCCGCGAGCGTTAGTGCTCCTCCGTTCCTCTATATACCGCTCCTTGAGTTCTCGTATAGCATTTCTTCTTTTCTACGCAAAGAGAGAATCGTCGCTAAGCGTAGGTTCTGTACAGCAAGACTGTCACTGCCCCATCTGCCTCCCGCTCAGAACTATCAACCCGAGGCCAGCGCCAGCAACTACATGCGTATTTGACGGCTACCATCGCTCTTCGACATTACCACCTGCACCTCACCGGGTCCTATCTGCTTCTTATTTTCTACGGGCGTGGTGTTCACCCGCTCAACTTCATTGCTCTCTTTTGGTCGGACATTCAGTTGTTAGTTATTTGCATGATACCTCATCGGTGCTGGGATATGGGGACATGAATGGTTGGAAAATCTGCAAAATGTGTCATTTGGAGTCCAGCATGGGTATGTGGCGGTCATGGTGCGTTGTGGGCGTTCTAGCGCAAGCACATCCTGTCTTTAGCGATCATTTCCATCACTGCTTGCGGGATTGGCTAGCTGGGCTAGTGGGGGATGTGTATAAGGCTTGGAACTAGGTGTCGAATGTGAGGAGGATTGAGGGATAATACTGGCTCTTGATCACGAAGTAATGAAGGGTGCGTCACACAATACTCATCGCACGAGTCGTCATATGTCAACGGACGTATGCGGGAATGAATCAGAGCTATATTGCCAACCTTTGTTCGTTATGGTACAGGTGCTCTAATATTGGTACCGGTGTGAGACCCATCTGTTGCCAGCCTAAGAAACGATGGCCTGAGAATTGCACGCTGATATGACGGATCGTCTACTGGTCGAGCTTGCAGGGGAAAATACCCTTCTCTGTGCTATACATCAGTTCCCCAGCCCTATTGTAAAGATCCGCGAGTGAGGATACGTACCACGCTGGTCATCCCATCGCTCAATCCAGCCACCCGGGCAGAGGGATCGGTAGGCCAGGTAGAACTGCATCACCGCATCAGCTTCCATCGTAACAACTTCAGTTTTGCGAAGGAGCAAGTAGTACCTGACGGCACGGGGCAAAGTCCTCGCCCTTGGCAAGGATGCACTTGTGGTAGTCGACGTAGTTCTGCCAGCAGTGCTTGGTCTGGTTCTGGTTCGGGAAGCGGGCGTCGAAGCCTAATCGCACGCAAACAACATCAGCATCCCTAACTCGAGCTGTATCCGGCGCCGGGAAAGGCGTGCGGTGGCGCGCAAAAGCTGCTGCGAGCTTCACGGGGGGGCGTACCGGCTGCGGTGAGAGGTTAGCTTAGCTCGGCTTTCAGAGGGAGGAAGCAGGGCAGCCGGGAACGCACCAGTGACGAACTTGAAGGGCTTGGTCTCAACCTCCTCGTCGGACATGATTGCGGGTGTTATTCTGGAGCGGCAGGTGCTGGTGTGGGCTCAATGGCTGGCGGTGCGGGATGGTGGTGACGAGGAACGAAGGTGAGGTTGCGATGGTTCGATGGACGCTTTGTTCGGGCCAATTAGCGCCTCGGCGTTTTCCGCCCGTCGAGCTCCTCCTGCACCACCCACTGTGACGTTCAACCGACGACCCCGAATCCTCTCTTACAACCCGACGCCCTATCTTCACTCCACCACGTCCTGTTCGAGCGACTCAATTCAAGATGTTCAAGGCTACTAGAGTCATGGCTATGCAGCCCACTCGCATGATGTTCATGCGCCAGAGCCCGCAGCTGTATATGAGGCAGACTGCGCGGATGATGAGGCCGGTGCCGGTATGTATTGGGAGCTTGCTGGGTGGCAATTGAGCGTGAGGGCTGACGAGGAACAGAAAGAGGAGCAAGGCGGTAAGGCATTGACATTCGGTGGAGCGAGATGAATGAGAGAATGGACGGTTGACGCGGAAATAGCTCATACGATTTCTCAACGTCTGCGCACGCTCAAGAAGATCCCCGCTGAGTTGATCCCGCTCGGTATGTTATCTACCAACTTGACATCGTTAATGGAAGCTAACAGGATGTGTGCAGGTGTCGTCCTTTCGTAAGCCATCCTCGTCCTCGGCTATGGTACGTGGGATCGTTCTAATACGGGGCAGCATCGCCATCATCTTCGCCGCTTTTTCGATGGCCCGGAAACTCATGACGGACAAGACGCTGCGTCTGAAGAGGCAGGCTGGAAGGGAGTAGATTGCCTTGCTGGAAGGTAGTCTAACAAATGCATGAATGGTGGGGATGGTGTCCAGCTTGGAGGAGCTGTGTGTATAAATTGCATGGGAGGGTCTCTTGTTGAGTTCTAGAGAACCAATAGCAGAAGCATCTCATATGTGTGTACAAGATTGCTTGCATCACAGCTTTTGAAATGGGAGAGGTCGAGGTCGAACCATGCCATTTTCCGTTGAGCCGAGCGCCTGCAAATGCTTTGGAGCCGCACGAGAAATGCAGTGGGGATAGCCAAATAAACGCTGAGACAGCCATAAGGCGAGCGTTGCCACTATCTCTTGAAAGGAAACCGAAAAGAAATGAGGTATCTGTTGTCCATAAGCCTGCCCGTCCCTTACTCCGAACACCACGCGGCTTTTCATTACTACCCAAGAGTTCAAGATGGAAGGCGTAAAGCTCATGCCGGTTTTGGGCCTGCCTCGTCAAGTCCTTCAAGCCCTTGCATGGGGTCCATAGGCGCCTCATCTGATTCCTCTCTCGCTGCTTGAGCTGCTTGCTTATCCTCTTCGCTCACAGTGTGTTTCGCTATCCAGCCCTCCTATATATCTATTAGTGACCTTGACAACGTTCAAGCGAAGGATCAACCTACCTGCTCCCAAATCGCTGTCTTGCTTCCCAGACCCTCATTGTGCTCTTTCTGGGGCTTAGCAGCCGCAACTTTGATAACCTGCCCATACAGCTCGCTCCGGTCCATATTGTCGATGGCATCTGCTGCATCTCCGGCGCTCTCGAATTCGACATACCCAAATCCGCGGTGCGGGTCGCTCGAGCCTGGTGCTTCCGGTTTCGGTAGGTTGACTTCCACGATGTCGCCAAAGGGCAGGAAGGCGTGATAGAGGGTTTGCTGGGTCACTGCCGAGTCGAGGCCGCCGACGAACACTGTGGCTTTTAATCGTGAGGTGTCCGCCATGTTTATCTGAGGGCTGATATTGATGGTCCCGTGGTATGGCGTGGTTGTGCACTCTCGCCGTTGATTGGAGAAATGTTCGAGTAGCATCACGTGCTCGGGCCCACAAACGTAACTGCGCTAACGCCAAGCCCGCGACGATGGTCAGGAAGGACAGGTGGATGTTGAAGTGAAGCTGCCTGAGAACCCCGACCCGAATCTCGAACACACGCCGCGGCCCGCTTCCTTCCACACCACTCTGTCCTGCAAGCCCGAACTCATCTTCTCACACTCCTCCCATTTTGTCTCGAATCTCGTTTTCTATTCGGTCTGACAGCTGCAAGCGACCGTCGCTATGGTCCGCCTGCGAGAAATCCCCAGGACGGCCACCTTTGCGTGGTCGCCGGGTCCGGCGCAGCCGTTGATTGCTACAGGCACGAAGGCTGGCGCTGTGGACGCGGATTTCTCGAGTGAGACTACGCTGGAGCTCTGGGAGCTCAATTTGGACAGCGCGGAGCAGGGCGTGGAGCTCCAGCCTGTTGCTACTGTCAATGCCGAGTCGAGGCATGTAAAATGCTCCTGTATAGGCCTGAGTGTAGCTAACAGGCTCATAGGTTCAACGACATTGCCTGGGGCCAGCCGAGCGACCAATACCCTCGAGGAATAATAGCGGGCGCATTGGATAGCGGGGCATTGGTGTTGTGGGATGCGGAGAAGCTGCGGACCGGTGCAAGGTCAGCACTCACGGTGGATCCCATATGCTGAAGGGGTACTGATTGTGCACAGCGACGCTGTCATAGAGCAGATCAACAAGCACACCGGTCCCATCCAAGCGATTCAGTTCAATCCGTTCCGACCCCACATCCTCGCCTCCGCCGGCGCCAAAGGCGAGCTCTACATTCACGATCTTGAGGATCAGTCAAAGTCATTCCGCCTAGGCAAGGCCGGAGCGAACCCCGATGAGTACACATCGCTGGACTGGAACAAGAAGGTCGCGCACATTCTCGCTACGGGCAGCGGTGGAGGCTTCGTCACCGTTTGGGATGTCCGGCAGAAGAAGGAGAATCTCACATTGAATAACTTTGGGAGGAAGCCGGTGAGCGCTGTTGCATGGGACCCAGATGTCCCCACGAGGCTCATCACCGCGATCCCCGCAGATCAGCATCCGCTGGTGCTGGTATGGGACCTCCGAAATTCGAATGCTCCAGAGAAGACCCTTCAGGCGCATGACCAGGGCGTACTTTCGATATCTTGGTGTGCTCAGGACAGCAATATCCTGTTATCATGCGGTAAAGACAACCGTACGATTGCTTGGAATCCGCATACCGGCGAGTTTCTTGGCGAATTTCCGGTCGTCACGAATTGGACGTTCTCAACGAGGTTCAATCCCGCGAACCCGAATCTCCTAGCGACCGCATCCTTCGATGGCAAGATTGCTATCCAGACACTCCAGAATACCGGAGCCCCAGCGGATCAAGCCAAATCTACTGCTCAAGCTCTCGACGGCGAAGACTTCTTCTCGAAAACGCACGTTGAGCCACAAGGAGCATCTTTCTCGCTGAAGACACCCCCGAAGTGGCTGAAACGTCCGGCGGGTGTGTCGTTCGGCTTCGGGGGAAAGCTCGTCCGGTTTGGTATCGTCGACCACAAGTCGAAGATCAGCATAACCACCTTCGCGGTAGACTCAGATATAGGTGCCGCTAGCGAGGAGTTCGATAAGGCGCTGCAGAACGGCGACCTCGCTACAATTTGCGAAGAAAAGATTGCCAAAGCAAGCACGGATGAGGAAAAGGCGGACTGGACAGTCATTGAAACTTTAATCTCAAGCAATCCGCGAAAAGGACTTCTTGACTACCTCGGAGTTTCAGCTAACAAAGAGGGAGCAGGGGAAGAAAAGAAAGTGACTGGGGAACCGAACGGTACAGCAGACGAGGAGACTTCATTCTTCGACCAGTCGCACGACGATAACAACTTCCTCTCAGATCTAGCTGCTTCAAAGGGCGCGAAGACGAACAATCCGTTCCAGGTATACACTGGCTCCGAATCTGAGGCCGATAAGAAGATCACCCAAGCCCTCATGCTGGGAACCTTCGAGACCGCAGTAGATGTTTGCCTGAAGGAGAACAAGCTGTCTGACGCCTTCATGATCGCGATTTGCGGGGGTGAAAAGTGCATCGCAAAGGTGCAGGCTACTTTCTTCAAGAAGCACTCGGAAGGCCCGAACTACTTGCGATTGCTAGCTTCAATCGTTGGGAACAATTGGTGGGATGTTGTCTACAATGCCGATCTTAAGGATTGGAAGGAAGTCATGGCCACTATCTGCACCTTCGCCCCAGATACGGATTTCCCAGACCTCTGTGAGGCCCTTGGCGACCGGTTAGAAGAGGCTATGTCAGGAGACGAAGGCTCATTTCGGAAAGATGCTTCCTTTTGCTATTTAGCGGGTTCGAAGCTGGAGAAGGTCGTGGTCAATTGGGCGCAAGAGCTGCAGGAGAGCGAGGCTGAAGGCGTTGAGAAGTCTACTGGTGACAACAGCTTCTCAATCCACGCGCGGTCACTGCAGGATTTCATCGAGAAGGTTACCGTCTTCCGCCAGGTCACGGAGTTCGAGGATGCAGAGCAGCAAAAGGATTCTGATTGGAAACTCGAACCGCTGTACGCGAAGTACGTGGAGTATGCTGACATTGCATCTTCCCATGGACAACTCTCCATCGCGGAGAAGTATTTGGACCTCCTTCCCGCGAAGTACCCTGCGGCGGACGTGGCTCGCGACCGGATCAAGAAGGCAACGAAGAAAGCTGCACCACAACCAGCTGTTCAGAGACAGACCCACGCCGCACCGGCACAGCGAGGCTCGCGCGTGGTGCCGACGTATCAAACGCAACAGCCTGCTCCGGCGCAACAGACAGGCTCTCCGTATGCTCCTGTCAATCCTCTCTCGGCGCAGGTGCAAGCGCAAGCGGCTGTGCCCTCGCAGTACACTCCTGCAACGAGCCGGAGTGCGTATACTCCTGCCGGCTACCAACCATCGCAGCCATCAATCCCTCAACCAGGATATGGTGGGTATCAGCCACCGCAGCATCACCCCATCGCGCCGCCACCGCGAAACTTCTCAAGCTCTCCCTCTGTTCCTCCGGCAGCGACTCGAGGCAACATTCCGAACTGGAACGATACTCCAGATCTTGGACCGCCAAAGGCCTCGTCGCGTCGCGGAACTCCACTCAATACAGTGAGCTCGCCTTTCCCGAACCAGCAAGCCATGGCCGCACCGCCTCAGGGACCATCGCCAACGTTCCCTCCCACGTCCAGGCCGACGCCCCCACCTCCACCAAAGGGGCCACCCCAAGGACCTCCGCGAATGACCTCACCGCCATCCGGCGCTCCTGCTCATAATCCGTATGCTCCCCAACAGGCAACGAGCGCTTATACGCCTCCGCAACCGACTGCCTTTGCCGCTCCTCCCCAGCAGCCACCGGTGCCGCGTGGCACGTCGCCCTATAACCCTCCCCCATCTCACGCACCGCCTTCGAACCGCTATGCTCCCGCTCCCGGCACAACACCTTCGGCACCGCAAGGAGGAATGCCACCACCGCGACACATTGCGCCGCCGCCGACACAATTCTCGGGTGCGTCGCCATATGCTCCAGCACCGCCTGGGCAAACACCTCAGGCTTCAGCACCACCGCCAAGCTTCGCAAGGCCAGGCCCGCCTCAAGGTACGCCGCAGGGCCCGACACGAGCCGGCCCTCCTCCAGGTGGTCCCCCTCAGGGGGCTCCTCGGTCGGATTCGCGGCCAGGGACTGCTCACTCCCAGAGGGCAGGGTCGTCAGCGCCTAAGCATCGTAAGCCACTTTTATGCCCCATGAGTGTATCTACTACCTTACTAACGCATCATAGCCCCTGGGGATCGTTCGCACATTCCGCCATCCTCGCGCACCATCTACGAAATTCTTAACACAGATATGCAGCGCGTGAAGTCGAAAGCTCCGGCGCAGTACAAGCAGCACATCGCCGATACGGAGAAGCGATTGAACATCCTCTTTGATCATCTGAACAATGAGGATCTGCTGAAACCCGACACGATCCAGGAGATGAACGAACTTGCGGGTCACCTTCAGGCTAGGCAGTACGATGACGCGATTGCGATCTTCACTGACTTGATGTCGAACAAGACGGATGAGGGGAGCAACTGGATGGTGAGTTCTAGTCCGCAACTGCTTGGAAGAACCGGACATGCTGACGCCTGATAGGTTGGTGTCAAGAGATTGATTCAGTTCAGTAAGGGGACGCCGCATTAGGCGCCTTAACCTTTGAAGCGGAGCTAACACATGTTTGTGTTGGCAGAGGAGGGACTATTCGGCCGATTTGGGGAATGAGAATAGAAAACGGAATGGACGGATAAGCGTGTAGGAGTACTTCCGATAGATACACGAAGTATGAACTAAAAAGGGTAACGCTGCACAACAGCAGTTCAATTAGGGACCATCCCAACAATCCGTTCGACGCAAGTCGTCTATCTTCTCTCTTTCTATTAGCGCTCCTCGGATTCCTCGTTCTCACTGTCGTCCCACAAAACACGTTTCTCGAACTCCTCGTCCACGCTCCCAACGTTCTCCCCTTCCTTTCTGCCAGTACAAATCCACTTCTGCGTCTCCTGCCAATGGTCCCAAATAACCACAAAATCCCAAATTCCACAGTCTCGCCAGTACACCCAAGGCCACTCGACACTTCCTTCCCCCCTCCCTGCCTGGAACCGATCGATATGCGCGTCGATAAAGTGTTTTAGTTCCGCACGCTTGCGAGAGGAAGGATACGGCCAGCAACCTGTCCGGATGGAAGTGGAGCCCTCTTCCTCGCTGCCGATGTTGCTGTTTAGACAGCAGAGCTCGCGTAGGAGGTAGGCTGCTTTTAAGGTCAGGGAATCGAGCGTGGTTTGCCACTGGGAGGGATCGAGGCGCATCATCCCCCATAGTTGGTAGTATGTACGGGTGAACCGGTGGCGCTCTGTGGGCGTGAGGTATTTGGGCCGTCGGCTACCCGGCGTTTTGGAAGAGTAGTAGCTCGCATAAAGGGGAACTCCGAGTTTGCTCACTATCTCTTTCTCGACGATCTTGATGGCTTCCTCTTATCACTTTAGATCCGCGGATGATTGTGAGAACGTCGGGGATGGAGAACGGTCGGTGGATGGCGGAGTGTGTCGCGTAGAAGGTGCGAGCGTGGTGCTCGCAAGGGGTGCTGAGTGGAGCGAGATGGGCGTAGATTGGGTCGGCGTAGTCCAATAAGATCTGTTTGAATCTATGGCAGGTGCTTGCTAGGCGGAAGGCATCGTGGAAAGAGGGGAGATGGTAGAATGTGTTCAGAAGAATTTCCGTGGGGAGGTTTGCAAGAGCCATTGCTGAGACCTCGCTTCGTAATCGATCGTTGAAAAGAATTTAGAGGCCAGGTTTCTCTACTTAACCCCGGTGGGAAGTTAGTCCATGTCACCAAGGACTTTTTCCAGGCAAATCCGAATGGCATCGTACTAGATAGCGTCAAAGAAGATCTGCTTGGGTTCTTTTCATTGGTTATGTCGTACGCCAAATCACGCGAGAAGGCAAGACTTCCGTCATGCCCCGGACCGACTTTGTTTCCATATACAAGGCGGTCAAACCGACCATGAACGGACGTTTATACGATTTAAGTCAAGGTACTTGCCTGCTACGCCAACACAGATTGCTCTCTGCTGCAGTGGCTTCTTGGCAGCAAGCCGTGTCCAAGTCGTGCGCAAATGTCACCTACAAAGAGGACGCTGACCCGACTGTGTCTGGATGTGGAAACGGCCCACTCAGCCTCCCGCCGAGAGGGCTAGAAAAACGAACACCGCTTTGCGATAACTGCAATGCGCCAGTCGAAACATGCACATATACGGCCACCATATGCGCCGGAACCGACCATATCAGTGAGTAGTCGACCGCTATATGTCGAATCAGCTCAGCCATCCTTGCTAACCCAGCACGCAGCCTCTGTCCTCGCTGGTCCGGGTGGGGCATATGACAACCTCTTGAACGTGGCATTCAAGATGAAGCTTGATGGCGACCCGGCGTTCAACAAATTTCTGTGCGAGGCGATTATCGAAGGTCTGTCGGCGGCGGCAATGGCTGTGGCGCCGGAACTCGCTGGGGAAGAGATATTCGCGGATGTTGAGTTTCAGACTCTGTGTAGGGAACTGGGTCAAACGCTCGGAGAAAGGGATTTGGCAGGTGGTACTTCTGGCGGGTTATAATGGGTTTAGTTGCGGGAGATTGGGTTACTTCTTGTACGATGCCGTGGCGGCTTCTTTCTTTCTCTACGATTCACTGTTCTTTCTCTTTCTGTGTGTGGGGCTCGGCTCGGTTCGTCTTCTTCACGGGCCGGTATGTTACTAGACTGTCTCATCTAGAGAAGAGGGCTCGATCTAGAATCTATACAAGGCGCCCTTGTGACTTACTCGAATGAGAAGACATATGAGTAACTCCGTTTCTTTCATTGCTTTTTATGCGTCTCTCCAGGGAGCCAGACTGTACTTGCAAGGGGCAGGAGCAGGGCAGAAAGACGAATGCGCAGCCATCGTTGACAACAGCACAATAACTTTTTGTATGAGTCCACGCAACACTGAGCAGGTAACGGCCGTATCGGACAGCAAGTGATCTGGCGGTTCGGTTTTTCAAGGCGTTTCCCAAGTCAGCGCGTGTCCAGCTCTTAAGGCCGACCACCAATTGCAAAGGACTGAGGAGACAGTTGACTGCCTGCATAGTGAGTCACAAGAATAGAAGGGCGCATGAAGACGAATTACGCAGAGCCTCCTGACAGACGTCGACACAGAGTCATCTTCTGACGAGACGGCGAGGCACCTAGAGGAAAGGCATAGGCAGAACTCGACGAGACACCATTCTCCAGCTGGCCAGCCCAACAAGAAGTCTCACACTGCCTCCAAAAAAGCAGCATCGCAGAGCTTATGCAGAGAGCTCACCGGATAGCGGATGTCTAAAGTAGCTCCAGCCTGCGACTTCCTGATTCGCGCTCGTTCGCGCTTCGTCAGCCCCGATCTGCCTTGCCCACTCATCAGCTTACGGTAGCAATGGCGACACGTGGTTTTCGGACGAAATGCAATGAGTCCGCTGGGGATTTTTCGCCTGGGGCTGGCGGCGATGCGGCTCTGCGTAGGGCGGAGTCTTGGTGAGGCTCGCTGGGGCGTGGTGGCTGTGCGGTGCGGGGATGGGGCTTCCACCGCTCTTTCGGAGGCTGCCGGTATGGAGGTGGGAAGATGATAATTTTTTGAGCTTGAGGGGATGGCCTGGGGGTGGTGTGTTTTGTTGTGCTTTGCGGGCGAGGGAGAGGGTCTCGGTCGTTGCGGAGTGTTTGCTTGTCTGTATTCTTGTGGGGATGAAGGGTGGGGTTACGCAGCGGCTTGAAGCGAAAGGACCTTTGGTCAAGCTGCTTGACTTCGACGAGGAGAGCAAGGTAGCACTGGCAGGTTCCAATGCAATGTGCGCCTAGAACTGCAGGCACAACATATCAGAGGTACACGTTGAGAGCCGCGACTGGAGGCTCATGACGGAAACGCGCAGAATCGAGAGACATGGGAGGGCAAAGGCTCGAAGATCAATATTGACAATATTGAGAGCAGAAATAGAAGCCGACTAAGCAGGCAATTTTCAAGCAGCATCGTCTAGAAATCTGGGAACACTCCATGCTTGGTGTTGTGGCGAACAACGGAGACAGGCTCGGAGGTAGGGCTCCCAGGGTCGATGATGTGCGAACTGGCGGTCGGCACACACAGGAACCGGGCGCAGGCGGGCAAATGAGGGCCGTTGGTGGCGCTGGGCAGGCTCTGTGATGCAGGCACTTGGGCCTGATAGGGCTTCGCGGGCTGCATGGCAAGCGGGACCCACGTTGGGGGAGCTGCAAAAGCGAGTCCGGCGGCTGTGGTGAGAGATGCGTCAGAGTGCGTGGAATTGTGGGCTCGACAACCGCCGACCTATTTCTTATTACTCCTGCAATGTGAGCGCAGCGCGCCCTCTCTCCATTCTGTGCTCTTGTCCATTCTACCTGCATCCTTTGACAGTGGGAAGCGTTGCATGAGCTCGCTAGACGGCTTGTCAGTCAGTTGCCAGCGCTCGCCTGACCTCGACCCCGTCACCTTTTTGAATGGCTTACTACGACTACGACAGCCGCAACCACCACCGTCCGCGCCATGATTCCTCCTACCAGCGGTCTCGCGACACAGACAGATCCCCGAGGCACGCCACGCCGTCGACTTCGCAAGCCGATGGGTTCGCAGCCATGCGCGACAGCGTAGACCAGACTTCCTATCCCTCATCCTACCGCCGTTCCTACGAGCCCCGCTACGCCGCATCTCCGCCGCCCAAACGGTCCTCCGCACAACCGTATCGCTACGACAGCCGGCAGAACAGATGGCCGCCCTCGCCCAGCGTCGAGGACGAGGCGGCCTCGCTGGCAAGAGAATTCTCGTCCTCGGCCGTGTCGAAGGTGGGGGAAGACGGCGGTGAAGCCAAATCGCGGGGCAGCGTCGATCAATACCCCATCATCGAGGAGATCGAGCAGCCGCAGGTCGCCCCGACCAGCGACGAGCGGCGATTCGTCCTCGTCTCGGACCCCAGCGCAGATACTGCCTCTACGTCGACCTTCGATGCGTCCAGCGGACGCCGGCGCAAGAGCTTTGCCGAGCGCGGGAACATGCCCCATCTGAAGACGGACTTGGTTGACGACCCGCCCGTGTTCACCGAGCGCACGTCGACGCCGTATGCCTATACAAAGCCGCAGAAAGAGTCACTGGCTCCGTCGGCCGGCGAGTACTTCTTGTCACCAGAGCCGATCACGCCGTCGTCATCAAGCGTTCCGAGATCAGTTCCGAATCGGGATGCCTGGGATGCACGTGACCAGAATGCAAAACCAGCAAAAACAATCCCAATCCATAGCCGGTACGATTCGTTTACGCAGTCGCCGCGCACTCCAAAGAATGATGTGTTCGAAGACTCTGATGTCGATTCGGAGAGCACTGCCCATCTGCGCGCTGAGCGGAAGCCGGCGCGCTACAGCTTCGTGAAGAGCGACCTGCAGAAAGAAGATCTCCGAGCAAACGTTTTAGATAGCAAGTCTAGATCAGAACGGAAAAAGCAGGATTCACACGGCAGCTCCTCGTCGGGCTCGTCAAAGAATCCAACTCCGCAGTCTCAGTCTCCAAGATCCTCGTCATCGTCGCTCAATGGAGGGACACGGCAGAAATCAAGGCCTGCGCCCGTCGACACCGACTACGGCAAGAGTCCGAAATACCCTGGGTCCTATCCAACAAGCCGTCCCAGCTCGCCACGCCACTCAGACGCCCCATCCCCTCCACGCTCCCCCAGGCTTCCGCCACGGCGTCAGGCATCTCCGACGACTTCTAGACCACCCTCGAGAGCGGAAGCAAGACCATCTTCTCCTTTGTCTTTCTCGACTACCCTGCCTTCACAGTCTGCAGGTCGAGCTCCAGTTACAGAGTCCGACTGGCATGCTACATACCCGCCCACAACAACGGACAGGGCAAGGCCCACTGCCCGCCATGGGAGATATGACTCCATGCCAGTTCCTACGCCCAGAATTGGCGTGCAAAGCCCCTCGCCTGCCCGACCGCCCAGGGCTGAGAATCCGCTGCCATACCCCGTGGACGACAGGCTAACGGATGCCTTCATGCCTCCGGAGGAACAGTACCAATTCGATCACTCATTCTCACCTGTAGCTCCCTCCCCGAGGTCGCCCTATCCAGACTCGCCTGTTCCAAACTCTCCACGTGAGCGTCCCTCGGGCCTCCGTCCTTCGGCTAGTAGCCGCCACAGTGCGAATCCCGAAGAGCTGCCGCGCACATCAAGAACGAGATCGAATAGCATTCGGTCACAGTCGAGCAACGATGGACGCCGAGAACGGAAAACGGCGACAGTCCCTTTTAGTACCGACAGGCCATTACCGTCGTGCCCAAGAGGCGAACCGTCAGCAAGGCACAATGACTGGTACACCCTTGAAAACTGCCCCAACTTCGACCTCTGTCCTAGTTGCTATGGGAGTGTCTTCGCCGACACGCCCTTCGCTGTTTACTTTTCGCAGACTCGCCGGTATGAGCGTCCTACTGAGCGGTTTTGCGACTTTAGCAGCCCTTGGATGCGACTGGCATGGCTTCTTACTATTAAGCAAAGGCGGCAATCACCCGATCTACTTTACGCTCTTGCAAACATCGCCGAGGTTGAGCGGCCATGTCCCAAAGACCGTGAACTTAGCACCGATCACGCCGTATGGTACGGTATTCCAGATCAGCGTGATGGTATCCACGTCACAAATTTCGCGATATGCCCATGCGATCTCCGGATGATGGAGGTACTATTCCCGAGCATCCGCGGCTACTTCACCAGGCTACCGTCGGGCAGTCCCTATGGAGTACCGGGTCAGTTTACTTGCAGCCTACGGACCGGCTCACGCCGCTTCCCCAAGTACCTCGACCTCCTTGTCGAGCTCGACGCGGAAGCCGAGCTGCTCAGCCAACGGCCCAACATTCATCGCTTCGTGCAGATGGCGCGCGAAAACGCCTTCAAGGCCGAATGCGCTCGCGATAAGGCTCTCATCCACAAGCCCTGGCACTTCATACCGCAACTCCCGGAGTTTACGGTCTGTCAGGAATGCTTCGAAGAGGTCGTGTGGCCCGCCATCAACTCCAAATCCGCGCCCAACACCATTCCCAAGCTGTTCAACCGCACCATCCAGCTTGTTCCGGGTGAGGACCCGGAGCTGGGCTCTAGCTGCTGCTTATACAGCACGAGGATGAGGAAGGTGTGGGAGAGAAGTGTCAAAGAAGAGGACTTCGGCTACTTGAAGCGGAAGGCGCTCGAGAGGAAGAGGGCGGAGGGAAGGTTGGCGAGAGAGCGGAAGGGCATTTTGACGTGGATGGCAGGGCTGGACAGAGGGAGTTCTGGGTGGGAGAGGGCGAAGGCGGAGCTGAAGGACAATGAGAATGAGTGGAAGGCTTATGAATAGATTTTGGAAAAGCGTGTGTGACCTAGTTACCTACCGAGTGTTAATGGAATACTGATGGTTCCGGTGACGTGCACTGCATGTCACGGGCCTTGCTCAAGCCAGCACACAGTTTTTTTGTGCGCTCCAAGTGCTTCCTTCAACCCCTTTCGTACAAAAATTTCTCACCTGGCATAGCGCCTTGAAGACCTTCAGGATCCCCTTTCCCCTTCTCCAATTGCCTAAGTACGCGACATGCATCCAGATCAGATCAATTACATTGCATTGCACACATCAGTACGTTCTATCATGGCTTCAATTCAAGCAATCGAATCTAATTGTTCTTCGAGCACTTCACGGATGCAGAAACGTTCGCCCTTGTAGCTAGCCATGATATAAATATATAGACTATCCGCGATTCCACTAGGTTGGAAGATGGTGCAGGAATTCTTGTCACGGGACATTTTTGTAGTGGCAGACCACGAGTAGAGGTCGTTTGCGCAGCGTCCCAGCGTGAAGGCTGTCCTAGAGGAGGAAGCAACAGACCGTTGGCTGGGCTGTATGCTGCAAAAGCAGCTCCTTCATTATCGCACGTTACTGGCAGAGGACTGATGATAACATAGCATTAGCCATGCAGACGAGAATTGAGATAATGCTCGAAATGCAAGAAGTAAATGCGATAGCTGAGTATGATCTAAGATTGCATTGAGACCTGATAACTATTCACAAGACGCAGGTAGTACAACCCAGACCGACCGGGGGTTTTTAAAGGTGAAGGGAAATGTCTATAGGACCGATAGGTCTCCGAATTTCTCCTGTACGGGTATTAGCAGCGGCATTCCAACTATAAGTATTAGTCGTGTGAGGGGAACTCGCCTTATATCCCGGAACGGCCCAGCGACCCTTCGACACAAGCTGCTCGGTGCGTTTGTCGATATCCGGCTGAGCAGCAGCGACCTCGTCCTAAACCACGCATTAGCATGCACTCTCCAACCCATTCTCTATCTACCCGGGTGCCACCCGCGGAGGTGTCTACATACCACAGTCAGATCATCAAACGGCCTTGCCTCCTCAATATTCCTCAACGTCTTCTGCAAATCGCTCAACTCCTTATCAACCACAGCCTTCGTCTCCTCAGCGCTCTTGACCGCCTGCGCCTCAAACGCCTCGATGGCCTTGATCTGCCTGTTCACATCGTACGTCTGCGGCTTGAACGCATTGAAGCTGCGCTCGATCTCGTCGACGACGGCCGTGTTCTTGAGGATCGACCGGTAGTGCGCGAAGTCGACGGTTTGCGGCTGTTCGGACAGGATGGTGACTTTGCGGCGCGCGTCGTCGTTGCGCTTCTTGAAGGACTGCAGGGCGGCGGCCGTCTGGCCTTTGATGCCGAGCTGCGTGCCGAGCTTTGTCCAGTCGAGCTTGAGGGCGGCGCTGCGCTGTAACGGAGAGTGCGTTAGTTTTCTGGTTCTCTGCGGTTGGGGAGCCATTGAGGCGGGGAAGGGTATGCCGGAGGAGCAATTGAGCCTTCCGGAGCTTGAAAGGGTGCAGAAGAGGGAGGGGAACGTACTCCGACGGCCATTGTGATGGATTGGGACGGGTTGTGGTGGGGAGGGTTTGGGAGTGACCTCTTGAAGGTGAAGTTCTGTCGGGAGGAAGGGCTTGGCGTTTACATAAGCTGCCGAAAGTTCACCGGCACATGAAGGTTACCACAATCTATCTAGGTATTGCATGTGAGGATAGATGCAGTTTTTGTTCCAGAAACGGAATGCAATACTCATAGGACTGATCGACGGTTGTATACGAGCGATTGGAGTCGCGGGGTTAGTAGAACCGATCAACAATCACAGCAATTGACGCCACAAAGCATTACCCAGATTAGCTTTTGGTACATCCGTTTTATAAGCCCTCATACATGGTGACAGAAGTCCCAGAGACTTCCAAAGCCTGGGGTGAGCTATGTGAATTTCCCTAAACGCAAGTCCTGCCTAGCCGGCCTATATGCTGAGCGCCATGATGGAGTTGACAATATCATTGTCGTTCTCCTTTAGGGCCTTGACGGCTTTCTTCCTTGACACACTAGCCTGCTGCATGACCAACTCAATGTCCTTTGCCTCGAGTCCGGAGTCGTCGACCTCCTCGCCGTCATCCTCGTCCTCATCCTTCTTGTCCTCAACGGCTTTACCCTTGCCCTTGCCGTGGTCGTGGTCGTGGTCATGTCCGGCGTGGTCATGGGCGGCGGCCTCGGCGTTGGCAAGCTGCTGGGCGGCAGACGCCTGAGCCTGGGAGTTCAGGTCCTCGATCTTGGCCTCGCCGAAGATGCTGTTTGAAGTCAGCTACTGCGCCGCAAGTAGATCAATCAAAAGCTTACATCCAAGTGTTGCTCGAGGGGGACTTGTAGACATCGGGCTGGTTGATAACGAAAAGGATCTGGATCCTTAGTTAGCATCAGGTCCGTCTACAGAAGAGCGAAGGCCAAGAGTGTCGTATGTCGACAACCTCTCCCTATATCCATTGAAGAGCTGCACTTACCCCCTTGGGCCGGCGAAGAGTGACTCGGGTAATGCCCTCGACGTGCTTCAATCCGAGCTTGGCGATTGCTTTCCGAGCCTTCTTCTCGTTGCGCGAGTGCACGGCGACAGAGGCACCTGCGGGGATGCCGGCCTCGCCAGCGCCCTCGCCCTCAGATTCGTCGCTAGACTCTGCGTCCTCGACCTCGGCGCCCTTCTTCTCGGGCTCGTCCGGGAGTTCTTCAATGCGTGGGTTGGCCATGTTGACGTGTTTGGTGAGGAGGACAGGGTGGTGCACGGCCGGCTGAAGTTGGTGGAGCTTTCCAATTTATTAGCGGATGTGGGCTTTAGCGAACAGCTCCAAAAAACGACCATTTACTTTCACTGTGACTACAGAACAACACGAAAGCGCGCATTCATGCGACATATCAATTAGGGCAGTAGCAGTGCTGTTTCATGAACTTTGGAAATTTGTCTCTCTGCTACATTTAAACGCATGAGAGTCTTCCTAAACCAGCCGATCCGAGTGCACCATGCCAAATATGAAATGGACCTGAATCCAGGTATTGAATTTTGAATGCCGTGGATTGCCATTCGGAATGCTCATGAAATGCAAATGCCCTCCGCCATCCGCCAGGACACAGCATTGGCTCCTCCTCGCTCCCCAACCCCGACACCACTTGGATCATCTATGCCTTCGCGCGGACCTTGGCGAGAGTCTTCCGGACCTCGAAGCGTGCCTATGTCCTCGTCAGTAAACATTCACCCTATTACGTCGCCTATTGCAGTGCGGCGGTCCGTAACCGGGTCCGCGCTCGAATCCAAAAGGGAACACCCACCTGCTTCCTCAGCTTCATGACCTTGAACCTCTCGAAGTCGTTCAGCTGCTTCCTCTTCTGGAACTGAGCGCGCTTCTTCGACCAGGTGCTCTCCTCGAACTTCTTGTCCACCTCCGCCTTCTCCCAGTCCTTCTTGACTTTGCCGACGCCGGTACCACGAGGAAGATTGGGAAGAACGATCGGGGTGAGGGAGAGGTTGGTGATGGGCGCGGCGTGTCGGGGGACGGGGCCCTTCTCGGATGGTCCATCAACGAGCACCTAATGTTATGAGCGACGCCAACAAGTCCGGATCGCATGAATTCCGTACCCGCTTGTGGTCGATGATCTCAACAATTGTGGCTAACCGTCCATCATACGGGCCTCCGCTGAACAAGACGACGCGGCCGACCTCGACCAGCCTCCACTGGCTCGTTGTGATATCGGCGTCACCCATTTTCGACGAGGTTTTCTGCAATCGCGTATTAGAAGGCGGATTGAGCGTAGAGAAAGTTCCGCATGCGTACCGATCGGAAACAGGAGTCGTTGTTAGTGTTGTCAAAGGTTATGGAATTGGCGTTGAGGGAGTTCGTCTGTTGATTTCAAGTGTGCGGACGCACGGGCCAACGCTATAACCCTTTAGCGAGCTCGGCCCAGCGACTTTTCTTCGCGACTCCCCGACTTCACTTTTTTTCCTACACGACTCCCACTGTTTGTTCAGCACAACGAAATTGCTCAACCGCTTTTCCGCATCCAGCTACCTCTGCCTGCAGCAGTGCTCTCTATCATGGGAGAATGAGCACCTCTACATTCTTCGTGGTCGCCGCGCCTGTGTCAGGTGTCCACGACTGCACAATGGCATTTGGGTTCCGACTCAAGCTCAGGCACCATGGTACGTTCATTCCGCTCATTATCCAGTCCTCTCCTTCAATGATGAGGTAATTTGCGATTGAGTTCTTCGTCGGAGGCCCTCGCCAGGGTCTCGTTAACGGCATAGAACCGATGATATTCAATTCTTCTTACATATTCTGAGCACTTGTGCAACACGCGTCTCTCCTCAACACCGAATTTGGTCATTAGAGCGAGGCTAACTTCTGCAGGTGATCGATAGACAGTGACAATCGAACTCTAGGTCCTATCCTCGTGTGCATAGATATAGATGCATATCGCCCGGCCTCCGTGGCCTTGTCGTCGAGCACGGTATGTACAGCAGCTTTTGAGTCGCTCTCCAACCCTTCCGATGATTAAAACATCACGCCTAGATAGTACATGACCCTTTGGGTATGATTTACGTTTTTATCACCAAGATCACTGAGGAAACATCCAAATAGCGTTTTCTGCTCTTGTTTCGTTCGCAACACGTCACTGACGATTCGCTTTAGAGAACACTACTTGATCACCGAACGTGCCATGAGGAACCGCAGTCGAGACTCTTTTATTAGTGTGCCAGAGTCGGCATCAGCCAAGAAACCCTGTTGGTTATATACCTAATATCCAGGAATAGCACTATACGTTCGTATTTTGCTGTTCCTACAGGTTATAAGCCCGGTTGGCGCCACCGCTGCGCTCGGAGAGCGCACCACATCGTACACTAGATAGATGACAGGCCACAGACTGCCTAGGTTCGAATCTCTCACACACCACTCACTTCAGCCCTATTCCTGAATATGGGGGGCTGTTGGTTATATACCTAATATCCAGGAATAGCACCATACGTTCGTATTTTGCTGTTCCTACAAACCCTCACAATCCGTAACGCGTCTTCATTCGCGGAGCGTTCCAGACATACATGCGCTTGCAAAAGCCGCCGCGATTGCAGGCTTCAATTAAATGTACACGCGAGCTTGGATACCAGACATCTTTGTCACTGGTGACGAAGGTAGGTCCGAGAGCGACGCGTTCTAAAGACTCGGCAAAGGTATCTATATAGCTAGTAGATTGGGGCCCACGGCCTCTCAATGCTCAACCTCTTCGTCAACGGCCCAGATGATCTACCTTCGCTCTCCGCCTCTCGTGATTCTCCGCCCATAATTTCGATATAGCCTAACCAGCAATTCCCGCACTATGTGATCAAAGGAAGCCTTCGCGTCAAACTTTGGGCCGCCATAAGGAAACGGCACGATGCCCTCCCAACTCTCACCTTCCAAGTAGAATTCAAGTGAGAACTTATCGGCCTTCTTGAGCATGTCCTTCAGCAGTACACCCTTGCCTTCGTGTTCGTCCGCCCATTGCCAAAGTTTCGGGTCGTGGAAATTCAACATCCCTTTCGACCCGTCTTCGTGTAGGATCTGGGCGTTGAAAAGCAGGTGCCGTACGAGATTAATGTTACATCCGTAATCTATAACTGCATAGCGGAGTAGACTCGTGTCGATAGCCTGCGCCACGCCCAGTAGCACTGACAAGGCAGCGACTGCATGCTCGTTCCTTTCACGAATCGCCTGTTTCAAGCCATCTTTAGCAGCTTCTCCGGCCATGGTGCCTTTCCAGTCGATTTCGCCGTTGAGTGAGACCAGGACGTATAGTAGCGACGCGTTGTCTTCAGTCCAGGGTCCATGGAGCAGTTTCTCTGGGATGCGGAATCCTTCCGCAAAGCTGAGGTACGTGACCTTTGTGAACTTGAACGGTAATAGGCCGTCGAAATACTTCGCCCCAGGTACCTCAACACCCGTGTTTTCCCACGCTTTCCCTCTGAGCTTGACCATGGCATCGTGCGCTCTCTGCACATAAGCCAAGAAGAAGCCCCACGTGAAGAACCGACACGTGAGAATTTGAGATTGTATGTTCGGATCGCTAGTGATTTTGCGGTCCCGGATGTTGGCTTTATGATCGACAGTGTGAAAGAAGACCCGCATGACAAACTCCATGGTAACAGCTCGAGAAGAGAGTTTCTGTCCAATTTCGGGTGAAGCCTGCGGAAGCGAAGGGTTCATGCTGTCCAGAAATATCATCTCCAGCAGTTCCTGCGGTAGCGCTTGGAGTGTCGGCATGATGGCCACCGTTTTCTTCTTCGCTTTGCTGAGTTTGGAGGTCTGAGATGTCCGGGGGCGCTTTGTTGAGTGTGATGACAACGCAGAGGCCTGAGAGCTGGTGATAGCGGCTGTTTTAGGTCTTTTTCTCTTTCCTCGAATCCTCACGGGCGTGAGATCCATTCTTGTATGGGGCCGGTGGCCAGGCAGCAGCATATGAGCCGCATGAACATTTTGCGTCGAAGATTCGCGTTCGGAAGGAGGTGATCGGCGCACGGACCATGTGTGTGGCTCTCACGTGGCGTGGCGTTCCTGGGGTGCCTCCGGACTTTTTGTTTCTCCCGTCACCATAAACAAAGACTCGACGAGACACCGCAACGCTGCTCTACACACAACCAACTCAACTCCCACTGTCGCAACCATGCAGGTCCACGCTGTGCCAGATTCAGAGCGCGCGTTTGATTCGACTGGGCGTAGACTGCCTTGGGCGTTCGAATATGCAGAGTAAGTCATTGTTCCTTCTGAATGCTGTCCTTCTACATCCGCGCATCGATTTAGCTTGTCGCTTTCAAAGAGAATGTCGTCCATACTGCTTGCGACTCCAGTTTTATAAATCGTCGTCGTCCCTTTAGGTTCCCTCCACAGCCGCGACCTAAGCATATCACTAACAATGGCGTGCATCAGCTCGGAACACGCCCAGCGTCGGGTACCGGAAGAGAAAGGCCCCTTTGGCAAAGCACGAAAGCGCGGCGTCAGTCGAAGCAAGACCCCGACTGTTAGAAGCGAAGAGGACAAAGCGAAGCTCGACAACCTCCGTACAATCGATGATATCTTCCTACGACACAAGGCGGACACAGACAAGCAAAAGTCTCTATCAGGAAGGAAACCTTCGGGTACTCTAGCAGGACCCCCTGTATCCGCATCTGCACCGAATCTCCTGGAAGCTGGAGGGCTGTCGACCTCTTTCCAACCAGGTGCATCCGCGACCAACGCCTTGAAAGAGCCCAAAGAAGTCATACTCTACGGATACGGAAGCGAAGTGCAATGGGCGGCTCTAGATTTCTACGAGAAGGTGTCCAGCGGCATAATCTATGAGGAGTACGATCGGGAACCTCCAGGCGCAAAATACGGCTTGTCCTTCAGTCAGCAACGGGCATCCTCGTACGTCCGGTCTCTCTCGAAATCAGCTCGTGCAAAGGTAAACGAGTTTGTCGGCGGCGACCACTGGATAAAAGTCACGTTTGACTCTGCAGAGGCGGCTGAGCGCGCATGCCACTATTCGCCGCATGGGATTCAGGGATATACTGTCTTCGCGGAGCCATATAGGGGAACGGGGCCGACTAGCGGTGATAGAGCGATTCGAGCACAAGCGGGATTAGCTACATCGCAGACTGCATCTCCGAACACCCTGTCGTCCACAACGATGCAATTAGGCGCATCACAGTCCTCAGCTACAGTCTCCTCCGCAACGGCTACAGCGTCGATACCCGCCTCCATGCCACCACGGCTGGCCTCCGAGCCGCTCCTCCATGCAAGCGGTGCATTCCCAATCGACTTCGACGAACCAACAGGACGGGCATCCGCACAGCCTCCGGTGCCCATTCGGGCGCAAGCACAACCTCCCGCCCGGACCACATCCGCGCAGCCTCGTCCGCCAACCGGACCAAAACTCCGCATCAAGAACGCGAAACCCGTGCAGTTCCTCCCGCAAGAGAAGGCGTTCCTTCCAGCTCCTCCCCGCTGGCAGCAAACGCTCAGCTCCTTCCCGATCATCGGGTGGGTGATCGGCTCTGGTCATGGAATTATCGGCGATCAGGTGCCGCGAAAAGAGGATGGAAGTTTCGATAGCGGGAGTGCCAGTTTGTATTGGCGGGTTTGGTATATGGTGGATACATGCTTCGGTACGGATTTCTGTGGAGTTCGGGACGCGGAGTACGAAGAGTAGACATTAGAGTTGAGTGACCGAAGAAGTATTGGATGCGAAAGGCATCCTCAAGCATTGGGCGGCGCCTATGGTTTGGAAGGAATGCTGCATTGTTTGCGGCGAAATTGTCCGTTTCGCTTGGTCTTGATATCCTTCCCCTTTGAAAGAACGCTTCATCAATCCAGAAATTCTCTTACTTGTGTTGACTCCGCAAAAATCATCACCGTGACAATATGGTAGACGAGAAGGAGCGGTATCACACGTGCCATTCCCAAATGTAAACGCCAAGGCCATGAAAAGACATCTATCGCATGTATAAAGTCCTCATACACCCTCATACCCCCACCCTACGCCCCACGATTACGCCCATCCCGCATTCTCTAGCCCCTCTTCCACTTAGACATATTGACTCAACCAACGGATACCCTCCCCATAGCCCTGTCGCATCACCACGCTGCACATGAAGACCTCAATCGGCCGGATGCCCTCGAGCGGCACCTTGCCCTTGCCCGTTGTCTGATATAGGCCAAGCACGGCGCGCAGCTGGTCTTCGGAGACGGCGTCGGGGTGGTCAATCTTGTTGCCGAGGATGACGAAGGGAGTGTTGGCGAGCTCTTCCATGGCGAGGAGGGCGTCGAGCTCGGCTTTGGATTCGGAGAGGCGCTCGTGGTCTTTTGCGTCGACGAGGAAGACGATGCCGGATACTTCGGGGACTGTGTGGACGGTGTTAGCTGGTGAAGTGCGGAATGGGGGAGGTATAGGGAAGGGATCGGAGGCGTACAGTAATCGCGCCAAAGTCGGCGGGCTTGTGCGTGGCCTCCGAGATCGAAGGTTGTGAACTTGACGTTTCCTATCGACAGTTCTTCCGAGGTTGGGTGCAGCGTGGGTTGCCTGTGAAGCGGAGGTCAGTTGAGCGCGAGGCCAAGGTGTTAGGATAGGCTTACAGAACTGCGACCCGGTCGTTCTTGAGCATGTGGAGAAGCCTAGGGTTATCAGCCACCTGTTCTTCTCCATGTCGCCGTAATTCTTACGTGGTCTTTCCGGCATTGTCCCTACAGTTTGAATTAGTAGGGTACTACGGGGATATATTAACGCGAAGCGATCGCGGTACGTACAGTCCAAGGAACAGAAGTTTGGCATGCTGTTGTTGCTGCGTTAGCTACATCCAAAGTCATCTTGGTAATTGGAAGTACCTTGTTAAGCAGACCCAGCGATGCCAGCACATCATAGACTAAAGCCAAAGATATCAGCATAGATTCAAGAGCAGTAGTGTGACTAATGCGTATAATCGCCACGATGTGTTTGCGGTACGTGGAACGCCATGGGCTGTATCGTGAGCTCAACCGCCAGTTCTTTGCTGTCCGCAGGCGGTCGATCTCGCAATCCTCGGCTGCAGAGGGCGCAAACATGCCAGAACATTTCGCTTTGTCCGAGGCATTCCAGTGGCTCAGGTTATCTAGTTGTGGATTCCTTTCGGGGCGCGTGTTCGAGGACGACGATGTTCGCTCGGGGCACAGTTGTGGAGAATAGTACTTACACCTACAAATGCGGTCAGTAACACATTACAGGACAATAAGAGAGATGTACCTACCAATTTATGATCCACATGGTTGCAAGTTGCGATTTGTGTGTGGAGAAGTCAAATGTTGAGGTTTGGGTTGAGCAGTGGTGAGCAGAAAGTCGGGGAAGTAATTCGGGAATGTTGCGGCGATAGCCATAGTCTCGGTCCGTTGATCGTCCCGCTAAGTATTACCTAAGCCTCACGTGATGTATTCACCAATATCCGCATTCAAGCTTGGAATGTTCCCAAAGGCTTGGAAAGAACAAGTAAATGTTAGGACTATGCATCAATAGCTCGGTTTATATTACCGTGACTGCACAGCCGAATGGCTTCATAGTCCCTTAGTAGCTTAAAGTACCTGCTTTCTTGTGTCATATAATTCACGGTTTTCCATCCGGAACCCAGAGTCATCCACTGGACTGACATGATGCGGTCATATCTAGATGAGAAAGGAAGACACATACGTATGACTGCTCAGCGAGACGTTACGTTGGCGGCGATAAGTAAGGAACTATCGAACGTTGATAGCAATCAACCGTTGGGATCACTTGATGTAGTAAAAAGCTCCACAGGAGCTAATGATACGGGAACCAGCGCCTAGACACGGTTGAGGCTGAAGTTGATGGTATCTGCAGGGGTGCCGGGTAGTCGGATGTAGGTCGAGAAAACAACGAAGCTGAACCCTCGTGTTGGTGAGATAGAAGTTATCTCTCAATACATACGAACCCAAGACTAACGCCATGGGCCCCAAATCTGCTGGGTTTCTTCGTGGCGTGATCTGAAAGTCCGTAACTGAGGTCCTTCCATAAGAGAATGGAAATCAGCGAGCTGGCTATCAAAACAGTCCCTGGGAAAGAGTGCGGCTGAAAACCGACCCACATCTTGTCGGTAGTGGAGATCCATTGCCTCATCCAGGGGGCGTTAACACCATTCCATCTCGAAAGATCCTCATTGGCCTGGGAACTTTAGAGATATTCTTATGCTTATATTCGCTGGACCAGTGACAGATCACGCAGCCGCCGTGGCACTGTGCCGCAGCCGTTTGCTAAGTAGCTTGAAAGTTTGAAACCGCAAGAGGGCCAGGGTATCTCAAGGCAACAAACGTGGGATCGCCGACGAAACCCGGTTCGCGATATGTGGTGAGATGAGTGAGCTCTACCAGGCGCTAAAACAACGTTAACATCAACCTTAAGCTCAGGACCGCTCACCTGGGATTGAGAAAATGTCGTTCTTGGCTGCAGGTGCTGGCCCCATTGGATAGGCAGGGATTAAATGCTGAAGATTGTTCGACATGAAGGGTAAAATGTCCGTGGCCACATGTAGTCAGAAAAGTATGCTTACCTGCTAGCGGCCGATCGTCAAAGCTTGACTCCGAACGCCTCACGCAACCTACCAATCCTCATTCTCAGGTAACATCTCAGCTGGTGTGACCTGGTCATGGGTAGAGCTCGTGGGAGCGCGGGGCCGTGGCAGTTGTTGTGAGCGCCGCTCTGACACTCCGTAGCGAGGTGCAAGCGCGTGGCGGCTGACGGGGAATTGTTCAGCCTCATGGGCGCCCTGTGGCAGTCACAGAAGGCAGGTCCAATAGGATAGCTGCGAGGTACCGCATCGCGTTACTCAGATCGATCTAATGTGGCTCTCGCGGTTCGCACGGCCACAATGTCCGTGAGCCCGACCGTAAGAGCCCGGAGGGGTGGCTGGCACGCAGAAGCTAGTATTATGAGGATGGAAAGGCTTCCAGCATCTTCCGAAATGAGGGCCTAGTGCTAGATAGAATGAGTCCTTCTTTACCGGCAGCATTCGCACCCGTACGGGATCCAAGTGATGTTGAGGACGGAGAAACAGCGGTGAATGTTGAGTTGAAGTTGAGGCTCAGCCACGAACCCAAGACGCTAAACTAGCCACCGCACGGTTAGGCCGAACCTCCGATTTAACGACGTGACGTCTAACGTCTTCCCGCCGTCAGCCTCTCTACATCAGCATCAGCCATCAGCCTCTTTGCTTAATTCGAGTTACGATCTTGGACACCGCAGTTGCTCACTACACGCCCGGAAACTTGACTTCCCGAACACTCATCGCAACCTCCGGTACATGCGCCTTCTGCTTCACCTCCACAGTAGCATGCTTAGCGAGATGCTGCGCGTTACATTGCGCTGGTGCTGTTTCCAGAAACGTCTATTAGACTAGGATTTTAGGACTTGATGATGGCTCTATGAATCCTCCACCGGGCAAGAGGCCACCAAACCCTGGTGTGGCTTCTGTTGATGGCTGCGTCACAGCGAATGATATCCTTTGTGGTCTCTTCGGCATCGTGCCTGTGGCTTGAGGGCCTCAGCCAGCAGCCCCAGTATCCCCCAATCCCTGGGATCGACCGGGCCGTGCGACCAGAAGAGCCATTGACGAGTCATACACCCCTTGTTCGCAGCTGGTGGTCACTGCATCTCACGCGGGTTTAGCATGCTGGTATCCGTAACTGCAGCTAAGCTAGCTCGTTAGACCTTCGGTTATGTGTTTTAGGGTACTTAGCGTGGGTATGGCGGGCAGTGAGGGACCGTAATAAGGTCGAGCTGGCATCTACGCTTCCTTCCATGGTCAGAGTCTCACCTTTCTTTCCACCTTTTCTAATGCACGTTCCCTCCATCTTAAGTCTGTTCCCAACTCGCACAGACTCCCGGGCGCCTTCATGACATCGTGGCTTCGGGCATTTGACCATTTTGGTGTCTCAATCAAAGACATCACCTCCAGCTGCCTAGGCTTGGTTCAGGTGCGGAGTTTCATTTGTTCTCTACCCCAGCGCATGAGCTTTCACCGTAACTATCGCGAATTCTCCGACTCCCGCCATATGTATGTATAAATGATGGTGGCCACCCTACTCCATCATGGATCCTTCAAAGCAAGACGACCCTCCTCTTTCCTCTCCTGAATCTTCTTCAGCTTCTTCAACCTGGTTCAACATTCCCCCAACTAGCTATTTGACCGTTCCGAGCACTCGACCCGAGGGAACATCGTTTGTGCTGCCAGGCCCTACCGCATTCGAGGAAGACGATCTTGATCCGATCACTCGGCCATCCCAGTCATCTCCTTCTGATACTGTTCCGCAGATCCTCGAGCCGCTCCGCATTAGTATACCCACGCGGCAATCTACACCGGTTCCCTATCCACAAGAAATACCCGAACAACCTCCCAACCAGGTTTACATGTCGGTCTACTCTGCGAGCTCAGCCGATTCTGAGTACAGCGTATACAGCAATCCACCCGCCAGGAGCTACCGCGTTCCTTCTTTTCAAAATATGTCAGCGTCTCGCAAAATCTCTACGGTATGCCCTAGCTCCCAAATTATATTTGTCTCTAACAATGTCTAGGCGGAAAAGGATCTGATGATCCAGGCCTTGCGATCGCATCAAGTCAATACCCTGGTGGAGCTTCGACGCATCGAAAGGGCATTTGCAGTTCTCGGTTCCCCAGATCTTACCGAGCCCATGACCGCGGGTATGTCTTAGCGCCAAGCGGGAGCCGAAGATATCGCTTATGTTTTGCCCAGCCTGGTCATACTACGTCAACTCCCACTCTCTGCTGACGGAGCTACGAGGCCTGACGAAAAACTATCCATTCAGGTATTTAAGGCGCTCCCAATGTTCTCGACTTACCGACTGACAAATCTACCCCAGCTCTGAATGCCTGGAGGAAGCTAAGAGACGCGTATACTCCGACCCGCAAAGTAACCGCAGCTGGAACTTCTGCTGGCTTGTGCTCACTAAGATCCGAACTGAGTAAGTTGGCGACCAGTTTCGGGGCCAGAAAATTCTAACATTTATAGTCAACTGATTCCATACTACGCGCAGTACCAAGCGGCGCAGCCAACAATGTGGGGAGGCCGTGCTCCATCCTCAGAAGGTGTTACTCAACTCACCAACGGCTTCGTCGCAGAATGGGACTGGGCTGTGGGCCAGATGCTCAGACACTGGGATCAACCGCCGGCCCGCTAAGTCCGTTCACACGCTCGGCACAGGCGTGGGACGAGGTAGAGCTTATTCCTTTCATTGTTTCTTTTCTTAATCATCGTCTTTCCGCTCTATTCCCACATTTAGATCATGTCTTCCCTTCTCGGACGACTGTTTCCTCTTAGTCATTGTTTCCCATACTTCTAAAGCTACGGTTTCCTTGCATCATTTCCTTTCTCATCACGTTCAATTGTCACGACGCTGGGCGTCCCGCGGATACCAAGTCCACGATTTCACGAAGCTATTTTCTAGAAAAGTCCGTTCTTTCTTCCAGTCAACCGCAATGTTCTTCTCATATTCCACCTTTGTCTACAGTCACTATCGGTCACTTGAGTCCTATTCTACTCTTCTTCCTCGCCTGCATACGTCACAAGCTCCAAATCTGCAATTTTTAGGTGCTTTTCGCTAGTCATTTCACGTTGCAAGTCTGCCTCGTTTCCAGTCTTCCTGTTGGCTGCTCGTCGCAATTCTATTTGCGTCTTGGAACTTTCAGCTATGTTTCCATGTTTTCAGACCCTAGAAGCCTCCTGCTACATCAGCCAAGCGCAGACATTCCCAGATAGCATGCGGCAGCCCAGGCCAAACCGAAAGCCGAGGTTGTCCATGCTGGTCTCGCCATCGATGCTGATGATAAGACCGCGCCGGTTGCGTTCGTGTCTTGTCTACGAGGCCTAGTCGCACATCCAGTCAGCCCATCGGTTACGAAACACACAGGGAGAACTTACACCACGTCCGACATGTCGAAGCATGCAAACCTCTTGCGATCCCCATCCTGGATCTGCTCGTTGCTGAGGACCGCCAAATCATTACCAAAGCTCATTATCGGCATATTAGGGAAGAATTGCTTCTCCTGTAGTACGTAGCGCGCCTGCGCATACAGTGCATAATTCTCCGCGTTGTTCGCAGCGTCATATGGTTCCTGGGTCGATAAAGTGGCTAGCAGCTTCGCCCGCGTGACGCCGTATGCGTACTTAAGCACCCGGATGTTGTTCGGTCCGTTTGTGTCTGGGTGCTGGTCTATGACGCCGGCAAGGACAGATGTGTTCATCGGGCCAGTTGTTGTGCTCAGGGTCCACTCGCTTGTGGAATTGGACTGATTAGTCGGCACGGGTGTTACAACGACGGCTTGACCGATATCAGAGAAATGCATTACCATCCTCGCCCATGCCGTCGCTGGCGAGCAGTTAGCTTCATCCTCCGGAGTAAGTCGGGCTGTCTTAATCTCACCTCGATTATAATAGTTCAATAGGTCAAGTCTCGTCTGCGAATCACTCGCTTCCTCATCCACCTCCTCATCCAACGGATCCAGATCGAAATACTTCTTGCAGAAGTTGATATGCGGCTCATTACCAATATTATACGCCACATGTTTCCCGTCTTTCTTATTTCCTTCGTCACACATGTCGTTCGGATCGTCGCACCGCACGTGTATATCCGGATTCCGCGCCGCATTGCCCTTCAGATTCGCATATTGTTGCGCGCGCAGTAGATTCCCGGCGATCATGTCCGTGTAGTTCGCTATACGGTCTTCGCGACCGAAGAACTCGATCTCAGGTTCTTGGCTCCAGTCAATTTCGCGAGTGACGGCGAAGAGCTTGTTCATCTCGTGGAAGCCTTCTCTTATCGCTTTCAAAGCCTTGTCGTTGCAGTCTTCACCGCCCGTCAGCGCTGCTGCGTAGTCCGGTTTGTCGTCTCCGCCATCTTTGTCGTCGTCGATGAAGCCGCCTGGTGCGGCGAGTGCGTGTGCGATTAGGGTTGTCGAAAGGAAAACGGGCAGCGAGAGGAGTCGCTGGAGGGTGAGCATCGTGAGCAGCGATGTCCGGCCTCTGGCCAGTCAACTGGCTTGAGGCTTCAGCGAGGAGAACCGGTGTGAGCGGGCGATTAATGGACGGCTCATTCCAGAAAGCGTCCAAGTATAAGGGAGCAGCACCAGAGTCGTCGCAGAGTCTCCAGGACTGGCCTGGTTGGAGGGTCGGTACTTTTTATCCGTTGCGAAACTCAGTGTTTAAGCTTGTATTAGCGCTTCCCTTAAGCATATGTCTGGAACGCATAGCGCGCGGGGGTGACCTAGGTGGCACGGAAACGAAGAGCGGACCTTGGCTGGTTTCGTGCAGCGGCATGTGGGTCTTGGGCGATGCGAAGCGGAGCGGGTGTGGCGCTAACTCGAGGGTTTGTGGGGGTTTTGGGTGCTCAGGGTTTTGGGTTCAGGACAAGTTTGGAAGTGGTTTGCATGGCTGGCTTCGTCCTCTGCTTGCTCACAGATGGTGTTGAAGGCCTTTGGGCGTCCTGATACTTCCTCCAGCAGACGGGCTTGCTACCAAGCACACAGAATTGCAATTGTTGGTGGAATGGCAAGCGCCCATGTTCATGCGCCTCGCGCTTTCCGTCACGCAACGTCTCAGATTGACAGAAGCGGAAGGCGAGGTACAACCTGGTTGAAACGCGAGGTGGAACTCCAGATGGCGGGTATTGAAAGCGGAGTTTAGCAGGCAATCGACGATGATCGTAGCTTTCCATGTCGCCCCTCTTTTTGCCCTTGCTACTGTGCAGAGCGTCGGTGATTGCCCTGGTGTTGATCGTCGTTCAGTCTTCGGGGATGGGTCCTGGACAGTGGACCGACTTTCAGGAGCATTTGTAGAGATGTCGCTGAGCTGTTTCTATCCCATTGCTTCCATCCGGACATGGTGTCGAAACTATGAGCATTTGTGAAACTACGGACATCGGCTTGTAAAATGGCAGAAACTCTTCTGACGAGAGAGGAACCTTGGAAGCTCTCAGCCCATGTCACGTGTTGTCGCGAATACCCGAGGTCCCCTCGAAGAGCGCCCGGGCCGTCTTTCTCGAATCCCTAAGCACTGTCAACTCATCATCGCGCACACGAATTCAAACGGCTGACGCTTGACAACACTTTGTATACTCGGTACTGCCTTTTAGAACGCTCATCCTTGGTCTGACAAGGCAGTTCGAAAGCTTCCTCCACGATAAGCTCATCAAGTCAGTGGCCCGCCAAGCCCAGTAAGGAAGGTGATATAGATGGAGGGAGCCAAATCCTGGGGATTGGCACACGATGCGCTGTGCCGCCAGAGCCTCGGTCGCCTCGATCTACCGTCTAATGGCTCAATTTAGAATGCGGCTTTGGTAGGGTCGCATGGAGGAAGCGAGGCGCTTCGATGTCGCGCACTTTCACTTTCTTCTTCTTCCCTTCCCTTCCCTTCTCTTTCTTCTACTCTTCCTTCACTCTTCATCTCTCTCGCAGCGCAGCGCGGTTGGAAATTTGCGCAGTTGAAGGATCGGCTTTTGAAGGGAAAGGAAGGTCATTGCTTGAACGGCGCAGCGCTTTGCGAATTTGCACTTCTGGATCACGACAATCAGTCTGCCACGGCACGAGTCGCACTCCAGCGATTTATTTCGCCTACCTGCGGCCATATACGAGAAACAGTATCTGTAGCGCCCACACACTGCCACGCTCCTCGTTCGGCGATCCCCTACCTGCGACAGAACCCTTCATTCAAGACCGAACTTCCACGTCACCGTATCCCATACGAACGCAGGACTCGCACGGGCGCGCCAGCCCGCTCGTCATCTCCACTTCTTGCGGCGCTCTGAGACCGATCTGATATCACCATGTCAGTCGAAAAGAAAGCCATGCTGGGCCTCTCTATTCCCTTTGGTATTCTTACCATCCTCGCAATCGCCGGCATGCTGTATGCATGGAAAGCGAAAGACAAAAGACAAGCAAACGGTGACGTCGAACTGGTAGATCCGAATGCACCGAAACCTAGGACAATAAAATGGAATCCATATGGTTAGGAGGGCGAGGCCGGCGCGGCGGCTAAGAGGAGGCTCGGAGGACACAAGTGAAGGAATGAAGAGCGAGTTCAAGCTATGCAGGAAGGGATGGGACATTGGGCGTTCGGGCGGTCGGGCGGGGTCTTCTTCCGCGACCTTTTCAGCATTTTGATGGTTATCCGAGTCTCGGTCTGTAATTGACCTCGGGAGTCTCTCGTCACGACCACGTGTTGGCCGTTGCATCCTTCAACTTAGTGGCCCCACGAAATCTCCTTTCCTGCGAAGCTTGAGGGCCAGCTCCTTGCTTGTGCCTCGGGGTCCCAGTTTCCTATTCATAGAAAGCGAACGGGCAAGCAGGTGCGTAAAGGCAACCATTTCCGAGCACCCTAAGGATTGCCTAGATATGGGTGCATGCGAAGCCGCCCACGGTATATATGCCGTGACAAGTCTAGACCCGTGCATTTTTCATACAAGTAGATGGCAAAACTGTTGTAGTGTCTGATGACCGAGACCTCTTCGCACGCGAAAGGAGACTTGCAGGGGACTCTGCCAGTGCGCTAACAGTCGAACCAGATCCGCAGCTGTGATCGATTGGGGCGGGGCGCCAAGATGCTGTTGGGCGGCTCCGAGAACATCTCCGAGCTGCCTCCAACTCCGGTTGCGTTGCACATCCAGTTGCTGGAAAGAAGACGACCTCTGAAATCCGAGCAGGAACCTTTCGAATAACCATCGTCGATGTGCGGACTCGAAAGACGCGCTCGGAGATTTCTTGGTTATTAGCCTGGCTCGGCTCGGGACGCCTGCTTCGTACCTGCGAGCAATGACGAAAGAGCGTCCCGCGTGATCGCGTACTTTTGACCCCCAGCCCGATTTCTTCAACAATTCCATCTGCATCTCCCAATCACGCATATCACGCCTCAATGCACGGGAGAACTCGATCTGCTACGCCTACCTCGACCAGGTAGACGCACCTGCTCCAGAAGCTCGACAGCTCTCCCGCAACCCCACCATGGGTGGTACGCGGCCCGCCATCGACCCACGGCGGAAGTCGTCGACACTACACTATCAGACATTCCCTACGAAACCGCCGACCTCGCGCGGCCGCCCGCTTTCTTCCTCTCCGCCCGCCCATCACGGCTCCGATTCCGACCACCACAACCATGAGACGCCGCTACCGAAGCGGCAGCTCGCCATTCTGGCGGTTATTGCTCTCGCCGAGCAGACAGCGCTCAACTCCATAAGCCCATACCTGCCAGAAATGACCAAGACCTTCCCCGAGGTCAAGGAGGGACAAGCGGGGCTGTACGTGGGCCTGATCGCCTCGTCCTTTGCGCTCGCACAATTCGCAACCAACTTCTTCTGGGGCTGGTTGTCAGATAGAATCGGAAGGAAGCCTGTCATCATAATAGGCACCTTTTTGACAATGGCTGCCTTCCTGTTCTTTGGCTTCTGCCGCACGCTGTGGCAGGCTATCCTGGTGCAGGTCTTCATGGGCCTCGTCAACGGCAACGCAGGCGTCGTGTCGACGTGTCTGGGCGAGATCACTGACCGAAGCAACCAGTCGAGAGCCTTTACCTACCTTCCCGTAGTATACGGCATTGGCGGCATCACGGGACCGATTGTGGGTGGCGTCCTCGTGTTCTACAACAATCCATTCCACAAAGATAGACCGAACCCATATCCGTACCTCGTTCCGAACCTCTTCTCCGCCGCTGTCCTCGCGATAGACTTGGTGGTCTGCATGCTGTTGCTGGAAGAGAGTCTGCAAGAAGCTAGAAGCCTTCCGCCATTGGGAAAGAGAGTGGAGAACCTGTTCGTGTGGCTCTGGCAGTTCACGAGCTCGACACGACCTACATACATAAAGCGGATATTAGGTAAACATAAACACCACCATCGCCATCACCACCATCATCACAGTCACCTAGATGGGGTACGGGAGGAGGACGAGGAAGAGGACGAGGCTCTCGATGAAGAATCCGAGGGCACTACCGATTCCGCACCAATATTGTTCCCCAATGCTTCTGGCGAGCAGCTCACGAAGAGCGAGGTGTTCAACCGCGACACCATTCTTCTACTAGTCACTTATTTCATTTTCCAGCTCGCCAATATTTCGTATAATTCGCTATACCCTGTCTTTGCAGAAGAGCAACCACCGACAGGACGTGATCTGAAACCTGAAGCTGTGGGGCTATCGCTCGCGTTTGCAGGCCTCATCACCATTCTTTTCCAGATTGGCATCTATGGGAAGGTCAGGGAGAAGATTGGCAATAAAGTTACATACCGTGTCAGTTTAGCGGCTTTTGTCGCTGCGTTCCTTCTCATGCCGTGGGTTGGCTACAAGGACAGCACCCCTTTCAAAGGCATCGGAACTGGACCCGGCTGGCTATGGACTGAGCTTGGTGTGGTACTGGTCATCAAGACCGTCGCCAGCGTTGGTGGTCTGACATCCGCGCTACTCCTGGTGAGCGATTCTCTCCGCAAGATGTTACTCCCTAGCTAATATAGCTTCAGGTCACAAATTCGGCTCCAAACCACAACGTCCTGGGCACCCTTAACGGGCTGGCTCAGACCCTTTCAGCCGCGGGTCGTGCTGCAGGCCCGTTCGTGTCTGGCTCTCTTTTCACAGCGGCTACCAAAATCAGGCCGAAAGGCGAGGCACTAGCTTTTGGTATATTCGCAGGGGTGTCGTTCGTCGGTTTTCTGTTGAGTTTCGGTATTCAAGGAGAGGGTTTGGAAGCCGAAGGATGGAGCGATGAGAGCGAAGAAGACGATGAAGAGGAGGAAGTTGGAGCCGACAATCAGGGCCGTGGGGCGAATGAGCGTTCCGGCTTGCTTCGTAAATAGAGAACATTGAGTGATGGACGGGGATGACTTCTTATGTTTGTATGATCGAGCGCGGCGTTTTGGGTCTGGTTACTTCCTAGGACATCGCAGGAGAGAAACCTGTGTAGACGGGCTGTGGGGAACCACGGCTTGTATGGTCGTACATGTATGAGCATGCATTCTTGAGCATATATACCCTTTGAGGGACTAATAGACCGCATTCTGACTTTTTCTAGGTTTGTTGATTCTTCAGATTGAGGGAAGAACAAACGTCGAGGGCGACGCGTGCTTCAGCCATCAACCCTGGAACTCGCTTAGGCGAGGCGGTGAACTCGCAAAATCGACCCCTAATTCGGAATGAACTCGCAAAACCGACCCTGAATTCGGAAATGGACAATGCACCACCTTGCAGCAAAGGGACAGCAATTGATAGCGACGCCCTGAGGAGTGGCATGGAGAAAGAAATCATCTCTCACATAAGCTTCTGACGCTCTCAGAAGCAACGCGTAGAACTTCCAAAACACCCTGCCCTGTCCTCCCCGCGGATTATAGGGCGCCGGAGACAGTCTAGCTCCATATGTCGGGAATTTGGTTTTTGGGGCCGCTGCTTTTCGATCGGTTCTAGACCTCGAGGCTACAGAAACACGACTCTCCTTCAGGCTGAGACTTCAGCGACCGTTCGACTCTCGCGCCACAATGCTGGATTAAACGAACAGCACGCAAGCGCTTTCCATCCAGAGCAGAGATAGAGGATACAAGCCCCAACTACAGCCTCGAAATTGACCTGTTCCCCCGTGTCAGCACTCGCCATGCCACATCGGCTGGTCTAAGAATCATGAAGCTTTTCAGCTCGGCTACTGATCCCTTTTCTTCGGGACCTCCTGCTCAGGCACGTGTATCGCTCCTCCAATGAGCTCCTCCCTATGCTTTACACTATTCCCGATTCCAGTATCGACTCTGCGAGCGCCCGTCAGCTTTCCGCGCATCCCTCGAATTCCATTTTCTTGGCATGAAGCTTCGCATCTTGGCACGTCAGCCTCAGCCCTCAAGACGGGTATAGGGTTGAGTAGCACGCACGGAAACTGTGCCACAGGCACAATTTTATTGGCGCGTTGGAGGCATGTACAGCGCGGTGGGCCTCGTTATAATAATACACCCTGCGCATCCTGAGGTGGCGCCATTGGGAAGGATCGTTTAAGAGTCGTGAGGACCCCGTGGTGAGGTCCTACACTCTTGCGAATTGCATCCCTCGTTTTCTTGACCGTTCATTGTTTTGTTTATTTCTGTCTTGAATTTTAGAGAGGAAAGGGTAAACAATGGGTTGGTCGTTCCATGGGCACAAGAGAGACGTGTGAGTCCACCCAATTTCCCCGAATGCGGATAACGGAGCTAATACGGCTTTAATAAATAGCGACGCAGAGAAGCACCTCAAACGACTACACAAGACGATTCCCTTAATTGAGGATCCATTGACGGGCGCTGACCATGAGAATCTCGTCTTCTGCCAACGACACGAAGCCAACACCCTCGAGCTCTTCTTCGATTTGTTCTTCGTAGCCAATCTCGCAACATTCACTACGTACCACTCGATCACGGACGGGTCATACTTGGTCGCCTATATCGGATTCTTCGGCATCTTGTGGTCGTGCTGGTTCCAGGTCACTCTGTACGATGTTCGCTTCGCTCGGGATTCGCTATACGAGCGGATTTGCAAGACGATACAGTTTATTGTGTTTGTTGGTCTGGCGCTTGTGGGGTCTTCGTTTAATCCTCTAAGCAAGAAGGCGAATAATACGGTGGGTTTGAAGACTTGCTGCCGTAGAGAGTGGCGCTAATAAGGGCTCAAGAACTTTCGAATCCTCTGCTACACGCTCGTGATCAGCAGAGCACTCCTAGCGATTCAATACGCAGTGGTGCTCGTAAGTTCACTAGCAACCACGGAAGCGCCTCTGCTGACAGACCCAGTTCTACATTGTGCGAGCGCGCTTCACGAAGCTCTATATCCCATTAGGCCTAATGATCGGCCTCTATGTTCTGGCTGCAGGCACCTTCGGCGCGATGACTCCGGCGTTCCAGGAATCTGAGCAAGTCCACCATGGGGTCTATACGGTTTGGTGGATTGTGATGCTATTGGAGGCAGTAGCTGCCATCACGATATCCTCGGTCTGGAGAATGTTGAGCTTCAAAAAGACGCACTTGATGGAGCGAATGAGCCTGCTGACGCTCATTGTCATCGGCGAGGGTGCTATTGGTGTCACGAAGACCGTTTCCAGAATTATGGGAAAGTACGGCCTCGAAGTTGAGGGTTGCTTTCTTATAATGTGCATTATTATCATTCTGGTAAGTTGCTAACGGCCTTCAGGAACCCGTGCTTACCACGAGACACAGGTATTGATCTGGGCCCTATATTTTGATCACTTCCCGCACGGCCATTACGGAACCATCCGGCAACAAATCTGGTCGTTGCTCCACTTCCCGTTCCAATTGGCCATCGTCGGAGTCGTAGAGGGTTCACAGCAGTTAGCCCTGGCTCGATATGTCCTCAAGAATTACAACAAGATCGACGCATCCATCCTCAAGTATTGTGTGGACGAGAACCTGGGAGGCGAAAAACTGCGAGATTCCCTCTTGAAGTTGCTCGATTATTGGGACTTCGACGGCAAGTACGAAACATACGGATTCCAGAACATGGTGTCCGGGTATATCTACGACATAGGCAACAGCACTGGTATCTGCTCACCGGCCAACGCAACGGAATATGCCAGCACGGGGGAATGGCCGCAAAACTTTTACAACATGACGCTCAACATCTTCGATGGTGTCTACATCGGACTGGGCATGAAGCTGCCGATCGACAAGCTCGAGAAGTATAACGCGATCAACATTGCTGCCAAGAGCTGGTCGGTGGTTTACCTCTACTATTGGGTCTCAATCTGCGTTCTCGTTAGTTGCTCCATAGTCTTTCTGCTCCTCATTCGACGACATAAAGCGGACCTGTTCGACTTCGTCTCCGTCGGCTCTCGCCTAATCGCCCTCGCCGTTGGCGGCGCGATGATCGCTCTCACCGCCAATGATAACACACTGTACTCCTTCCTTAGCTCGCCCGCCGTGTTGCCGGCCTGCCTCGCCCTCCTCTTCCTCATTCGCTTCTTCGACAAGCTAAGTGCCACGTTTTGCAATTGGCATCTGAAGGGAAGTGGGCAGCCTTACGCCAAAGAGTACGACGAGGACCATCACCATGGAAGCCAGGGAAGTCACAGCGAGACTCACGAACATGCACATGCCACAGGCCACGCTCATCACGACTCCCTCGCAGTAGACCGTTGGAAGTCGGCGGCCTGGAGCACGCACTCGGATACACAGCCCCTAACCGCCACAAGTACGGAGTATCATAGCGTAGATCCCCGTCAAAGCTACGCCATGACTCCGCTAATAAGCCCTCCGATTGCGAGTCCGCCGCCTGCTGGTGGGTATATGCCTCTCGCCCCGGGTGGTTACATGCCTGTTGGCACTGGACAGAACTACGGCGCCTAGCACATACCCACAATACTCATCGTCCCATTCGTGTATTACATAACATCGATCCCGGTCCGCGTTCACAGTAAGGAGTTCCGGCATTTTTACGGGATCGAAAGATTTACGCATCTACTAGATAATGAGGCTATGGGTTTACGGTTGGTTTTGAAATGTCTAATTCTACGATCAGTTTGGCACAAGAACTCCTCTGCTTTTCCAATGAACGCGTACTTTGCGTCTCCTCACTACTGCTAAATCATTAACAGCGCTAGTCCGTTTCCAATCCGGCTCTTTTCATCTGGACCCCGGCCCGGCCCACCGCCCCTGCATTTCCCCGCAAAACCTTCCCCCACGTCTTCCTCGTTTCTCCCAACTTTCTCCTGGAGGTCATTACTCGAGCATAAGAAGATACTTTTCTATTCATCGCTTTGGGTGCTAGGGCTCAATAGCGCTGCTATGTTTCAAACACCACTCTGCGCGAAACACAGGCTAACTCAGATGTGCGACTAGGCATACAGTATGGGTGGCCCACGGAAGAATTGGGCAACGCGTGACGCGCCGCCATTAAAATGCTGAATATAACATAATTTATCCCTGTGGGACCAGGCGCGGCAGGAAGTCGATCGTATAAAGAGGGTTCCTGGATCGCAATTGGCGTCCGCGGTCGAACCTGGTTTCTCTCAACCCGCCTTAATCGTTCGTCGGGTCTTGCAGTTCAAAGCCTCGCGATGTTGGCTTTCCTCGCTCCCGTCTTGCTCCTCCTGCAGGGCGCGCTGTCTGCGCCCGTGGCTAATGCGGCTGCGGCGACTGTGGGCAAGATTCGCGGCGTGAGGGATCCGATCTATCATCTTTATCTGCAAGCGAATCCGAAGAATGGTAGGTTGAAATCACTACCATCTCCATTCTCCGAACGAACGCCGTTACTGATGGACCATAGCATCAATCCCCGTCCTCGGCCCGGAAAGCAGCGCAGATGAATTCACGATCGGCGGCACGATCCAGTCCAAGAAGACGAGCCAGTTCCTGAACATCCAGACCGCGTCGACGAGCTACAAGCCGGTGGTCTGGGGCGCGACGGGGGACACGACGGCGTGGGGGCTGGAGGGCGATACGATTATTACAGTGCAGGGGAGTAGTTATGGGAGGCGTAAGTGACTCTTCTTTCCCTTCGTCGTGGGATATTGCTTCCCAGCGGCAGGAGCTTTGCAAGAAGAGACAGCGTCGGAAAGTAGACTGTGGAGAGATGCTGACTGGCGGATGCAGAACTGAATTTCCTCGTTTGCGCGTCGACACAGAGCGGATACTACGATCTATTCCTTCAGACGGGATCGGATCAGCCGAGCGGAAAGAGCTGCAGCAATTACCAGACGATACATCTGCCATGCTTGTGCTAGGTTGGCTAGGCGTGATGACGCTCAAAGATATCCGAGTCAGACCGTCCTAAGCACAGTGGGCGAAAAAGGCAGTATATGTAGTTCTAACTAAATATTCTATTTTTGGAACGTTTACAGGTATTATACAGAATATGTGACTGCCCCAAAGGGGGCTAGAGGGCAAAGATACTCACATCCCCCCAAGAAGGTAGAAAGTCGAAAACGTCTCTCACTACCAAGCTCTCCTAGTCTACCACCGATTGCTCGCCAACGCAGCCCCGGTCTTACCCTCGATGCAAAAGCCTCCCGAATAAGCGAGCCAGCTTCCCAAGGCCAAAGGACAACCCTTTAATCCGGACGGACCAGACGAAAAAGTACGTCAAAGCCCAATTGCTCACGCAGAACGCCAGGAACATCCCAAAGTAAGGCCACTTGTCGCCTGCAGAGAGATTAATCGTGGCCAAGAACTGGTCTCCGGCGCTGTACGGACAGTACGCGCACTCGCCGGCAGACAGCCCATCCGTCGTAGCCGGCAGAAGGTACCCGCCCGCCTGTGCTGCGAAACCTTGGGCATAGCTTTCGCACGTCTCGCCAGGAGGCGCGAAGAATTGGGCTGCTTCCGAAAGAAAAATGTATCTGAAGGACCGGAAAGCCGGTACCGTAACGCCACCGCTCTTCATCCTAGTTCGACGGTATATCTTCAACTCGCACGTCGACATCCTGTACAGCACCATTTGGGGAACACACCAACCGAAAATGACAGTCAGCTCTCTCTTCGATGTTCTGATTATCGGAGCCGGCCCTGCCGGCCTTTCGGCGGCCCTGTCTCTGGCACGCGTGCTGCGAAGCGCCGCCGTCTTCGACTCCGGGTCTTTCAGAAACGCCATGAGCTCCAACGCCCATACGATTCCCACACGCGACCACGGGGATCCGGCCAAGCTTCGCAAGATGATGAAGGATGAATTGACTTCGAAATACAAAACGATTACATTTGCTGATAGCGCGGCTCGGTCCGTCGAAGAGGTGGATGGCGGCTACCAGGTCACTAATGACAAAATGCGCAAGTGGAACGGGCGCAAGCTTATCACCGCCACGGGCGTGTTTGATGTAATGCCGGACATTGAAGGGTTCGCTGATGCTTGGGGAAAGGGAGTGTGAGTGTGCCCCAGTTCTACTAGCTTTGTTGGGAGTCTGACTTTGGCTGCCAGGTTCCACTGCCTCTACTGTCGAAGATTCGAAGAAGCCCCTACAGCAAACGCCGCCTTCCTCATCAACAAAGGCGACCAGCCCGACGAAATCGACGCCACAGTGTCCTACGGACAACTCGCCCATCAATTCACGCAAGACATCTGCATCCTCTTCAACGGCCACGAACATCTTCTCCAAGACAACAGGATCAAGGCAGCGCTAGATCACGGAGTGAAAGCCAACACAAAACCGATCAAGCGAATAGAACGGCTTGGTTCGGGCGCGTCTACAAAAGTCGTCTTCGAAGACGGCAGCGAGGAGACGTTCGGGTTTCTCTTCCACAAGCCGCCGACAGTGTTGGCTGGAGGATTTCACAAGACGCTGGGTTTGAGACTTACGGCCTACGGCGATATCGAGGTAGATCGCGCTTTTCAGAATACTTCCCGGCCTGGTGTGTTCGCTTGTGGGGACTGCACCACTCCCTTCAAGCAGGTCGCTATTGCAATGGCGGATGGTATCCGAGCGGGATTTGGGGCGAATAAGGAGATCCTTGAAGAGGATTATCACCGTAGCTGGTGGTGAGGAGATTTGGCCTGTTCTTTGTGCCTTTCAAGTTCTTGGTCCATTTTCAACATGTTCAAAATATTCCGCTTTCTACAAGTGTAGGTCACCGTCTCATGGCAGTGACATGTGTCGCCGTACCGATCAATCGCGCTGGCGTGCACTTCTCTTTCTTGTGCAAAACCTAGCTGGCTTTCTAAGCAGTTTATGGAAACGCCTTAAAATGATCACTACTTAGATCCATCTCAAAACGTACTACAATGCGATTCGTACGGCCACGGATAGAAGGTCTCATCAGAGGCGAAGCGAATGCGCTTCTGGAACAGGGCTTCATCCACACGGAGAAATTCCCCTTAGTGGGAGAAAAAGATATCGAAGCACCTCGAGAATAGATGAAACAAGGTGCCGGCCTCCGATGACTCTGCTTCCAAGGTTAGCCCTCTCGGCCGCTCTGGAGCATCTTGCGCCTAGCCTTTCTAGGCAATCGAATGATAAGGAATCAGATTATTACCCCTTTGGGAAGTCGCCGTGAATTGAGCCACAGCACCGCCGCCTACATGACACCTACCTTATGTAATGCTGACTCTCAAGCTAATCGCAGGGTCCTGAGAATCACGTGATCCGACCAATGATCTTCGACCAGGATGTCCCAAAGAAACACCAAGCGCAAGGCCCAGCAGCTTCAAAGAACAATCTCATATGTTCTCAAGGAAATCTACTCGAAGATAAAGAACGAGCGTTCCCATCCCGCATCGCACGGTTTGCCCAGTTGGAAAACAAACTAACCCCCCTCAATGACGTATATCCTACGTACAAAAAGGCTGCACGCGAGTTCCAGCCCACGTCCAGAACTCCATCCCATCCCATCCCATCCATACACAAACCAACCCGTAAACTCAAACATATCATAACAAAACAAACCTTATCATTCTTCTACCGATAACAACAGACCACCATGTCGACAATGGACAAACTGAAAGACAAGCTGCACATCCGCCGCAAATCGCAGTCGGAGACTGACTACCAGAATGAAGCTGGTACGTATGACGCAACCCCCGATTAAAGTTACCCCAACAACAGCACTACATATCACACATATGACACCAAACCCTCGGCTTCCTTATCCACCCACTCAAACCTACCCCTCGTGCCACCATCCCCTAATCTTCCTTATCTCCCAATACTATCTCCTCGTCTTCTGGCGATTTGCTCATACATTCGTAGAGGCTCGCGCAAGCGTCGACTCAGAGCTAGAAGCCATGACGCCAGCCGAGCGCGAGGCGTACTTGAAGGAGTTTGAGGAGGCGGAGAAGACGGGCGAGCCGAAGAAGGGCAGCTTGATCGATAAGCTGATTGCGAGGGGGAATAAGAAGACGGAGGAGGAGATTGAGAGGCAGGCGAAGGAGCGGCAGGCGGCGAGGGCGGGGAAGGATGGGGTGATTCGCTGAACAGGGGGAGTGAGGATGTGTGAGCTGCACCGCTTTGTGAACTGCGAGATGAGTCGTGGGTTAGGATGGCATATGTGATTTGGAAAAGAAATGTGGTTGGGAAAAAAGGGGTTGGGAAACATTTGGAGGAAATTTATACATGGCTGTACCGTCTATTGCGCCTGCGCATTTTGTCCCGCCCCCCTATACTATCACTCCCCCTTTCCACCCCTCGACTCCGCCCTAAACCCTCAATTTCTGAGAAAGAAACTAGCTAGCTAGACTAGCTAGCCAACCCAACCACAAGCCCCCACGCAGGAAACACGCTCCCGACCAAGCCCTCAAAGACCTCCACATCCACCACGGCACCAAACCTGTACCACACATTAACCAAACTCATTCAAAAATCCAGGAGCGCTATCATCTTCATACCCATAGCACTTGACATGTTTGCGCATATCCTCCGTTAGTCTTCTCAGCTCGCCTACGCCTACGTTCTGGAAGTCCGGGTGCGAGCGGATCTGGTGCCACGCCTGCACCGGCGTGATCTCGTCCGAGAGCTCGAAGTTGGACGACAGCGAGAGCAGCTTTTCGAGGCCCAGGTGCGGCGTCGCCCAGTGCTGGTGCTGTTGGTGGGAGAGGTTGCTCGTGGTCGTCGTGTTTACGGCCTGGGTGGGGGATTGGAAGAGCAAGGGGGCGGAGGCGGTGAGGGCGTGGCCGGTGGGAGCGTTGGGGTCGTTGGGGTCGCCTTGGGTGTGGTGGAGACAGGGGGCTTCGAGACTGTAGGCGATGTTAGAGTGGATCACGTGGAGTGGAGAACCGGGGTGGGGGTGACTTACGTGAGGACGAATTCCATGCCAAGATCGGTTTGGTTCATGTCCCGCAAGTTCAGGTTCGAAGCAGACTGCGCAATCGCAGATATATCCCCGGCGCGCGTTGCAGGCGCATGCCCGGATCCACTGCTCTCGTCATTCGACTGCGACTGCGACTCGGAGCGCCCACGCCTCCGGAAGAACGACCTCTTGCCCCTTAGCTCTCTATCGTTCGCTGGTGGACTCTCCTCGCTCTCCGTAAGGTAAAACTGCGCACTGCCGCCCCCGCTGCCGCTGCCAGACGGACTCAGAATATGCAGTTGCTGCTGGTGATGCGGATTCTCCAGGATGCTGATTGAACTTGAGCTCAGCGGCGCCGAGCTGGGACTGTTGATCGGCTGGGTCAGGAAGAGGTCCTGGTTGCCGTCACTGTAGGGGATGCCATGCTGTTCGAGAACGCGTCTGAGCCGGCCTATTTCTCCTTGGAGGGAGAGGTTCTCCTGGAAGATTTTGGCCTCCGAGGTGCGGAGTTGGAGGACCTCGTTTTCGAGAGACTTGATGTAGTTTTCCTTTCGTTCGCGGTGGGTGCTGCGGGCTCTATCAACACAAGGGCTACTTGAGGATGGTTAAGGCTTGGGGGTCTTGCTTACCGTTGCGCCCTTCGAACTTGCTCTCTCCGCTTGAGGTATGCCGCATCTTTGTCTTTGGAATCACCACCACCAGCACCCGACTTCTCGGAATCTACCATGCCGTCAACTGGATTATCCAACGCAGTAGTCGCTCTCGGCAACAGGTTAAGCATTCTACTTTATGGAATCTCCATAGGGCGCAGTGATATGTCTCTCGCCAGCCTGATATGAACGATTCGTAATCCCAGGCTTCCGGTTCGGGCTGTAGCTAACATGTGCTGCGCTCGAGAACGGGGTGCGTGCTTGTATGAGATGCAGGTGTAGCGGCAGGGGAGGGGAAATAGATACCTTGTTTGGGCGATCGCCGATACTGGCGGAAGGTAAAGTTCTTCATACTGTCTAAGCGGGGTCTGGGATTTGCTGATGATTGGCTTCGGATTCGGATCGGATGGAACTGGTGGGAATGTAAGATGTAGAGTGTAAAAGTAGTATTGGCTTCGGTAGGGGGAATAACTCACACTGGACTGGATCAATATCCCGCGTCAGTGAACGCAATACTCACCGTCTAACGCTTTCGACGTGTGTATCCCCCTCTACTATACCCGCACACCATCAGCAGACTCTACACAGCCCCCAACGGAGCAGCACGCCGCCCGCCGACTTACACCGTAATTTCACCTTCTGAACCTTGCTTCTGCGTCCCGTGTGCAGCGTCTGCGCCTGCGAAAGCCTGCGTGTCCTGCGTAAGAGTCAGTACGTCTGCTCCAATGGAGTTAAGCCCGGCTTACTCAAGGGTGCGTGCTGAGTAACCTATCTCCGACTCCGCAGCTCAGTCATCAGCCGGCGGCGTGTCAATGGTGGACAGAAAATCACAATCGCTGTGAGGTCGAAATAAGAGTTATCCCCGCGGTCGGGTTGGGTGCGCAGTAAGGTTGATGAGAAGGCGGGGATGTTTGGGCGTGTCATGTCAGCAACTTTCTTTCCTCGTCAGCCCTGCAAGGTACTGTGTGGGAGCTTGGCGCGACAGCGACATTAGCATAACGGTTCCAGAAAGATTCGCGGTTCGATTGGGATTCTAGAATCCAATCTGCATCACTGATCGCTGCTATTGGATCTTACTATGAAACGGATGTGGAAGCCGCAAATCATTATTGCTTTTTGGTCCGTCGAGCGATGGACCCAATCCACGGTTCATAAATGCTGCCTTGTCATCTATGCATCCCCAGCTTACCCGACTTCCACCCGCACACAATCTGCCCTCCCATTATTCCCGGCCCCCTTCGCTTCGCTATCCACTTCCCCTTCAGACCAACAAACTCAAATACCTACCGCACGCTTTGACGCGCCTCTCTGCACTTAGCTATAACGTGGCGTGTATCACGAGTTTAGCCTGCGCCAAAAGCTACACCACCCGCGAAACCAATACTCCAAGCCCCCGTACGTGACGTCGCCCAACGCATAGGTCGGAAACACGAGCCTGTTGTAGCACACATGCGCATCTTCGGACAGCGAATAGAAGTGTGCAATTCGCAGTTGAAGCATTGCTGACGAAGGCAGGCTGTGTCGATGGACAGGTGAGGGAATTACAGGAGCTGAAGCCGGTTGTGCCGATGCGGCTGCTGCCGAATGCTATCATATTCGTGGATCGACCGTGCCGAGAAAACCGGCAACTACCTGCCGTCTATCTACATGAAGAGCTAAAAAGCATGATCGAATTGTGGTCGCCCTCCTGGTATCGTATTACTCATCCCGGCCGCAGATATACCTCCGATCTGATGGATATTACCCCCGAGCTTTTTCCCCAGACCTTTCCCTGAACGCCGCGCTAGAATGCAAGTCGTAAAACAGAAAGGTTATGCCATGATCATTATATCAGCATGAGAATCCAGCCCGCAAGGCCTATTACTGCGCCTTCTGCCCATTTATCGAGGCCTCCTCTACTTCCTGGTACCGCGCCAGCTTTACTCGAAATACCGATTCCGCTTGCAATGAAGTTACCCGGATCTCGGCGCGAGGTGCTCGAGCTGTCCGACGTGCTCTCGCTGTTCGAGCCTGATCCGGTCGTCGTTGCGCTGTTGCTTGCGGGCATGCTCGGTATGGTGCTCGTCTTGCCGTTAATGATTAGGGCCGTTCCCTTCGGATCTAGTGAGTATGTAGTTCCGGATATCGTGACGGCTTCGCCTGGTCTGAGTGTCGTGCCGGGACCGAGCACATACTCTGTGGTTCCATCGCGGACTGTTGCTGTGTATGTTTTACCGTTAATTGTAAGATCTGCTGCCGCCGTGATAGGGCCTTGACCGAGCGTCGATGTGACGCCGTTGATTACGACAACCGATCCAGATGCGGATGCCGGCATGGAGAACGTGGTGCCGTCCACAGTAATAACACCGCCGGGCGTCAGAGTTTGTCCGGGACCGAAAATGAAGGCAGTCGTTCCTCCTTCCACAGTCGCGGTAACCGACTCGCTATCGTCGAGCGTTAGAACGGGGAGTCCGGGCGCGTTGAGCGTCGAAGTAACACCGTTAACCACCACGGTCGAACCCGAGCCGTCTTCAGGCATGCTGAAAGTCGTGCCATCCACAGTGAGAACACCACCAGGAGTCAACGTTTGGCCAGGCCCAAGCACAAACATTGTCGAGCCACCAATTATAGTCGCGGAAATAATTTGCCCATCCACCGTCAAGACTGGCGCTCCTGTAATTATGGGTGCGCTCCCCAGGGTTTGCGTGACACCATTGACCACTGCAACAGTCCCGCTCGGTCCCAAGCTCAGCGTGCTCCCATCAACCGTGATCGCCGGTCCTCCTGGGATAAGCGTCTGTGTGCCGACTATGAATTGACCCTGCGGGTTTGCCGTCACTGTGGTATCGCCAACTGTGAGCACTGCCGGACCGGTGGGCACGGGGTTTACTCCAATCGTACTTCCATCCACTATTATAGTGGAGCCTCCACCAGCCGTAGGAACCACCACAGGAACGCCATTGATGGTCGCTGTCTGACCCGGAGTGAGCGTGTTGGTACCTATGACTACAGCTGGAGCGCGGGTATTTTGTGCATTAGGCTGATTCGGTTGAGTCGGTTGCGCAGGGTGTATGTTGAACACACTGTCACCGATCGTGATGCTTTGATCCGGGTTGTTGGGCCGCGGCCGGGGATTCGGCGTGTAGGCAGGATTGTTCACGATAGAAATTATAATATCCGGTATGCCTGGCGTGTTGGGATTCGGTTTTGGTGGGTTGTTCGGATTAGGCGTAGGATTTGGTTGGTTGTGTGAGGGTCCCGAATCGCCATGTGTAGGTCCTACGGGAGGATTTGGTACTGCGGTATCGCAGCGAAGACAACCGCGGACAGTAACGTGGGTGGACGTGGATTCGTATGTCGTGCTGAGATACGTGCTCTTCCTTGGAGTGGGTACCGGCGGCGGCAAGGTCGGCTGCCCTGGGGAAAGTGTCGGAAAGGTCTCCATGGGCGGAGTAGCGATAGTGGACACCAGGACATTGGTAGTCCGGAGCGGCTGTGATGTTGGACGCTGTGTGCAGGTAGCGATGTCGGAGCCGCTGAAGATAGTCTGAACGTCAGGATCTTGTTTTAGGAACTCAATAAGAGCAGGTGGAAGCGGCAGCGGAGTGTCATAGCCAAGTCCACCGGAGTCCGACACCGTCTGAATAAAAGAGCTCCAGTCTTCGGTGCGAGTAGGCAGAAGATCGTAGAGATGGGATACATGAGCGGAGCAGGTTAGCTCTGGCGCCTCGGTCTCAAAAATTTCGGTGATATAGGTCTCCATCGGCATGCCTGTCTCGATTGGGTTGAAATCCAAGCCGCCATATAGCGAATGATAAATCACGTAGGTCGGGCCCGCAGGTCTGCATTTATTAGCGGAAGGAGTTTCAAGTGGAGATTATCACACATACAGCGTCAGTTCCACACCATCTGTTGGGGTAACCGTGAAGACAGGAGTGGAATGCGTGATAGTCATATTAGCGGGGCCCATGACCGTCTTGGTCTGGTTGAGGGTTTCGAATTCTGTAACTACAGTCTCGACCTGAGTGCCGGTCATATAGGTGATCATCTTGGTGAGGATAGTCTCCGTGACCACGACACTGGTCCAGGATGAGGACATTTCTGAGGAGAACCAGGTGCTAGTGGGGTTATATGCCTCCAAGACGCAGCCCGTACATATTCCAGGGCTAGTAGTGGAAGCATTTGTGCTGGCTATGGTTGTGCTGTTCGAAGAATACAATGAAGTGGTCGAACTGGTGAAGCTGGTGGTAGATACGGTAGAGTTGTGCGTCTCTGCGCTGATCGACGTCGAGAAAGAGGTTGAAGAAGTATCAGAGGAATCCGAGGTCAACGAAGGTGAGCTCGACGAGCTTATTGTGGATGATATGTCCGGCGTAGCCAAACGAGTGATTGTGACCTGGGATGAGGTCGACGAAGCTTGCGAAGAGCCGCTTCCATCTGTTGAGGTGTCCACCGATAACGACGGGGATATCGAAGACGAATTGACTGTGCCTGTTAATATCGGATCCAGCGCGCGCATCAGTTTACGTACACACTGCAAACAATTAGCGTTACTGCTGATTCAACCGCAAATACGAGCACTTACGTCTCCTATGGAATCGGTTGGCATTCGCGCAAGCTGCCAGAAGAGCAGAGCTCAAAAGAGCGTGACTCCGCATCCTGTCGTACTACCTGCGCATGAACGAACGACTGTGATGGCGAACGAAAGCGAGGAAAGAGCACGTCAAACACACGTCGCGACAGCAAGAAACCGAAAGAGAAGAAGCCTAGAGGGCCAGAAGCAGCGAACGTTTTTGAACGAAGCGCACGGGTACCGGTGGGCTGTTGCGGGCGGACGCCCCTATGAATAGACAATAGACACCCTTGCGTAGATCGTGAGCCGGGCTCAGCTGGGTTTCACGCATAAACACGCAGGCAGCCAATAGACACCGGGTACCACGGTCCAAGATGTGGCCGTGCTGGTCGCCTGCGGAGATGCATGCCAAGGCTTTGGTGACATCGCCGCCGCACTCGCTGAGGCCGACACCTCCAGCCTTGACTTTTCGCTTCAGAGAGCCTCCATCTCACGGCTGGCATGAATTCCGGCGCTACGGGCTGATTGTTGAGATCTGGTCCCTCTAGCTGCGCGATGAGCGGTGCCTGGAAAGAAGGCGGTCGAGCAAGGCCGACGCCAAGAAGAGCGGCCCTTGCACGCATTCCTTCTCCCAAGATTGCCTGTTTCGAGCGAGGTGAAGCGATTGCAAGATCCAAGCGAGCGTCATCCCGGCGCAAAGCCTGGCCGATGGTGAAAGGAGTCGCGGGGACGAGATGAGGTACTGGTAGGGGCGTGTTTCAAGTGTTGAGTGCTCGCAGGGCTGCAGACCAGACGGCAGGACGGCAATAATGTGGCTCGCAGCTGGAACTTGGAGGCAGCGCCGTCCGTGGGCGGTGGTGGAGCAGATGGGCGATGGAGTGATTGCATGGCAGCGGAGGCTCAGCCCTGGGCACGCGGCTCCGATTGGCTCCGAGCCTATTTGGACGTCGCGCTATCCCTCCACGTCGCATCGGCCAGACGTCAACCCTCGTATTCAGCTCGCGTTACCATTCCCGAACCAGCCACCCCTCGTAGTCGCCGAATCACGCTCCCCCAGCGCTGGCTCTCTCCCTTGTCCTGCCCCATGCGACGGCTTGCGCCAATTCCAGCCCGCCGCAGTACCAATGGAGCCACCATGTAACGCCCATATGGGCGAACCCCTCCCCGAGTGTCGCACGCCTCCTATACTATCGTTTGTGCAACGTCTTTTCCGTGGCCTGGACGTGCGCGCTCTCCTGATTGAGGAAGCGTGAGTCTCTATACCACTCGGCCGCTCACGCATCATGATTCTGGCATTCGTTTCGTCGTGATTCGTCTCTAAACCGGTTTTCCGCGTCTTCCTAATCCCAATAATTCCCCCGTCGCTCGCTACAGAATGCGCTTCCGAAGACGAGACACATCCTCGTCGACGCCTGAGCCATACGTGGTACCGCCCTCGCAGGAGTTCGACGGCAATGATGGGAGCTGGAGCACATTCAAGATCAGTGTGGGCACACCGGGGCAGGACTTTAGGGTCCTGGCGTCGACAAAAGCGGGAGAAACATATGTGATAGTGCCAGAGGGATGTCAAGCAGGCGTGGACCCGTCGGATTGTCCCCAGCTGCGCGGAGCGGAGATATTCAACAGCGCGCAGAGTCCCGGCTTCCTGTCCAACGTTTCTTCAACGTGGTCGACCATCGGACAGTACGATGTGGAGTTAGAACAAAGCCTGAATTATACGGCGCGAGCAATGTTCGGATTCGACAAGGTGGCGCTAGGACCGGCGGCAGACGACACGTCTCTGTCATTAGACCACCAGGTCGTAGCTGGAGTTGCTGAGCTTGACTACTACATGGGAAGCATACCTTTGGGCGTCCCAGACTCCAGTTTCTCAAGCCTGAGCCAATCCATCGATTCCTTCCTCTACCAGCTGCGAAACGGTACCAAGATCCCCAGCCTCTCTTTCGCATACACCGCTGGCGCAAAATACCGCCTAAAATCTGTCTTTGCAAGCCTCATCCTCGGAGGCTACGACTCGACACGCTTCAAACCAAACGATAACGACTTCACTTTTTCCTTTTCCACTGACCCCTCGCGTCTCCTAACTGTAGGCGTAGAATCCATAACCGCCACAAACACCCTCAAAGGAACATACTCCCTCTCCTCCGGCGCACATTTCTCCCTCGTCGACTCCACAGTCCCGCATCTCTGGCTGCCCCGCGACGTATGCGATGCCTTCGAAGCCGCCTTCGGCCTGACGTACGATGCCACCACCGACCTCTACACCATAAACTCGACCATGCGCGACCAGCTCAAAGCCCGCAACCCCTCCATAACCGTCAAACTCGTCAACTCGATGGAAGACACCACCACAAACTACACAAACATAATCCTCCCCTACGCAGCCTTCGACCTCCAAGCCTCATACCCCTACTACCCCAACGCAACAAACTACTTCCCCATACGCAGAGCAGCAAACGAGTCCCAATACGTCCTCGGCCGCACCCTCCTCCAAGAAGCCTACCTCATCGTCGACTACGAGCGCGCAAACTTCACCGTCGCCCAAGCCGTCTTCCCCGACCCGCTCCCCGCCGCCAAAGTCGTCACTATCCAGCCCCCGGGCTCCTCCTCCAACGACTCCCAATCTGGACTCAGCACCGCCGCAATAGCAGGCATCGCCGTCGGCGCCGCCATCCTCCTCATCATCGCCCTCCTAATCGCCCTGCTCTTCCTCCGCCGCAAAAAGCGCTCCCGCCGCCAAAAGTACGAACTAGCCAACACGCAAATCTCCGAATCCGCCTCCCTCGCCGTCTCCTCCCCCGCGCCGCACAAAGTACACCACGAGCCGCAAGAGCTCGGCGGCACAGCAGTAGCCGAGTTGGCGTCCCCCCGCCACGGCGGACATAACAAGCCCTTCCTGAGCCCGAACCACCATGTGCCGCAGGAACTGCCGCTGACGCCTGCGGCGCCGCGCTGGCAGGAAGTCACCGCCGAGCAGATGGGCCAGGCCCGCGTGCAGTACTACGAGATGGACGGCGCGAGCAGCATTGTGCCGAGTCGCAATGTGAGTCGGGCGCCGAGCGAGGATGGGCGGGGCAGCGATGCGCGGTATTCGGGCGTTTCGCCGTTGACGGCGAGATTTCATTGAGCTCATTAATCATCTAAAGGGCATATTTTGGGGTTTTGGACTCTTTTCGTATACATAGTTTTGAAGCGTTTGATACGATACCATTTGTATATACCCGCGATGATCGACGACGCCGGAGTTTTGATCCTGGTATAGGTATAGGTGTAGGATGAACTAGTTTGTAATGCCATGTGCGAGAGCTACGGCCTATCATTCATAGCGGGGTTGCTGTCATGTGCTCTGAGCGTGAAGATTTGATTACTTCGATATGTGAATTAACGCCGTCGCTATGCCCGCTATGCCATAAGTCATGCAAGAGGGACCTCTCGTCCCTGTCCGAGAAATAACTCCATGGCGAGCCGTGAACGCCTAAGGTCGAGCGGCGCCATAGGTGATATAGCCCTGCTCACCATCCATGCATCCCGTGAAATACCAATACCAATGACAGCGTCTACCATCAAGCCCCTAAGTCAGCCGTACACGCTTCCCGGACGGCTCTACGGCCTTCGTCTCAGTTGGCGGAGGTGCCCAGTTAGGTTTATCTTTCTCCAGCGGCGATTGTTCCTCCTCTTCCTCCTTCGGCTCCTGATGCGAGCTTCCCCGGCGGACGGATCGCGGATGCTTCAGCGTCCACGGAGCCTCGATAGAAAAGGAGAAGACCTCTCTCTCCGATCTATGACCAGCCATCTCTCTGACTTTGTCCTTCTTCTCCTTGCTGCTGGCATCCGCATCGTCTTCGGATTCGCCATCGTACGAGACATGTTTCCGCAACGCATCCTTCATGCGTGCTTCACGCTCCTGGCTCTTCTTGTCGGAGAAGAAGGAGAAGAAGCTTGATCGCTCGGCGCTTGCTTTCGCCTTTGTTTTTCCATCTTCCTTGCTGGCGGATTCCTCTTCTTCTTCGGTCGCTTCGCTGAACCGCCACATCAAGCCGATTTCTCCCCTGACTAGCGCCGTCAACCACAAGCTGCCCAGCACGCCCGGCACGAGGTATAGCAGCGCCGGTTGCGCATGGCCCCAGACTTGCATAACTCCCAGTGTAGCCAGCATGCCAATCACATATCCGATCAGACTAGCCTTGAAGTATGTTTTCGGGAACGTAAACGGCGGCTCAGGTTTACTCTCGTCTGCTGTAGGGAAGAGTGGGCGGCCTGTGAGGGAATGCGTCCAGAAGTGGTCGCTCCAGCGTCCGGCAAGCGAGAAATACTTTGGCTTGACTACAGTTTCGTCTGATCCTTCCACAGCTTGTGTACGTGTCTGGCGGCGCAGATAGAAGAGAAACAAGTCGAAGCGGAGGGCGAGGCCGATCATGATGCCTGGGAGCACGACGTCGCCGAGGCCGAGCATTGCGTGTTGGGCCTTTGCGGAGGGTTCGTCGGCGGGAGCGGGACGAGGGAAGACGAGCTTGATTGGGACGTCGAGGGATTTGGCTACTGTTACCATCATGGGTCTGAACAGATCAGCATCATTACTTGGACCTGCTCCACGCTAACATGGACGGGGTAGGGTGCACTTACGTGTAGAAGACAAAGTATATGTCATAGAAGAACAGCGCCCCAAGTATCAAGCTCCCCGTCGCAAACGTCGTCGGCGACATCAATTGCAGCGCGCCGTAGGAGAACCCGAAGCCCATCAGATTCGTGAGATACCACGGCTTGTCGACCAGGTTAAAGTACGCGACGGCGAGCACCGCAGTGATAGCGCCAACGACTCCATGCGGCCCAATCAACATCTTTCCAGCGAAGATGCGGTGGAGATACAGTCGCAGCGTCCACTTATTCCCAGGCATAGCGCGGTCCGCCCAAAGAATCTCTCTCCAACGATCTGAGAGCGGTAGCTTCGCCAGAAACCCGGGGAGGGGAGACGGTATAGTCTGCTTGTCCTTTGTATCCCCTGCAACCGGCGTAGCCTTCTTCTCGTTGCCATGGACATGGTACAATGCGCCGCCGAGCGCATATCTCCTCGGGAAAATGATCGAGTGCCCGATGTCCAGCACATCCGTAATCAGCCTGGACACCGAGAAGACGGCAAACAGCGCAAAGTAGCCATTGAGTATCTTGTTCAGAATAGCGGGGTCCTTCAGCCACTGAATCAGGAAGTAAAGCGCCGCCAGCGTGATTCCCGCAAACAGCGGCATCATGATAGCGTCGGTCGGCGCCAGCCCCTCCATCTTGTGCTCCTCCTCTTCCTCCTCTTCTTCAGTGGATTCATCTTCGTCGGCGCCGGTTCGCGCTTTGTGCTTCCGCTTTGTGGGTTTCGCGGCGGAGGACGGCCGGGTGAGGGAGGCGTGGGCGCCGGCGTAGATGGGGAAGAGCGCGGAGACTATGAGGTGGGCGTATGTGGGCAGCATGGGCTGCACGAGGGAGAACTCGTAGAATATGCGTCCGAGGATGCGCGCGCCCACACCAGGCTCCGCCATGCTTGTTTGTGGTGGTGATGTGGGGGAGTGTCGTTGTTTTCGGGGAGTCGGAAATTACAATGAAAAGAACGACTACGCGGCACGGGTGCTTCAAAAAGTGCAGCCTGTCGGACCGTGAAACGAGAGACGTGTTTGCGGCGTGGTGAAGTAAAGGTGGTATTTTCGGGACACTTAAGCACTGACACAACTCCGATCGATGCACGGGCCATTACCCGATGCAAAGATCTGCGGTGCATATGAGCTTGGCTGCTACGCCCTCCAGATGCATCCCATAGGGCAGAGGACGCGAACCTAATCCTTCACGTCTAGCGAGTCGCGAACGAGCGTTCTTCCGCTGCCCTGGAATCCTTAGTCCATGGCGGGCTACGCACGACAGGTCACGACGACCGATTCATACGAGCTAAGATCCTCTTATCTTCTCCGTTGTACAAGCCGAGGCATCAGGGACGATTTCCAAGTGTATACAATGTTTTTGTTTTCCAGCTGAAATATACTTCCTCGAACATCCCTTTGTCGATACATACGCAACCCCAGAATTGTTGTTATCCGATTATCCAGCTCGACCGACTTTCGCCGCGGCGCAGCACGCACTAAACGGCAGATCCAAATATCCTCCAACAAGAGCTTCCAAGACGATCGCTACGTATACATCATGAAATCGTGTGCGGGGATATCAGAAATAAAAGAAAATCCACTGAGGTGCTGGAAGAGAGCAAACACAACGGCACCGAAACGAATCGGTTTCTGCCGGGCCAATCTAGATATCCGTGTGCTCCGAACATGTACCCCAAACGACAGATTACAAGAGAATACATATGCCAAGGATAAAACGAACTGGATATAGAAGAGGCGAAACTGCGAGTGAGGTGGTGACGGCCGAGCCGAGGCAGGCCGGCTGATCCGGCACGGACGTCTTTCCAGAATTGTGGAAATCCAACCAAGCACCATTGCTGCAAGGAAAAGCGAGAAATCCGAAATGATACAGATCGATTTCGGCGAGATCAGCAGGGTGTTTGAACTCTTCTCATGCTTCCGCCCGGCATGGTGAAGTCTCGGATCATGTCGAACGTCATGCCATCGACATGGACCCTCTGCTGAGACTCGACAAGGACATCGTGGACGTTCGCGAGAGCACCACCTTCGAAGGGCGATATGGCGGGTATAATTTTGCCCGGGGCATGCGGAGGCGTGACCGCAGCGATTATCCGATCTTTGATATGTGGAGCGAACGAGATGGGACGTTTATAGTCGAAGTAGGAGCCGGTCGAAGCGGATGAGAACGAGGGTGCTGATGATGAGGTGAGTTGAGGGCGCGTCGAGAGGGTGGACGATGGGTAGCCGTGATCTTGTTCAGGTGAGTGAGGGTCCGCCGACGAACCTGGCAGCGATGTCTGATCAGGGAATGAGTACCCCTTAGCGGTGTCAGGCTCCTCCTCCTCCTCTAGCGGCGTCGACGAGTACAAGAAAGAAGAGCCGTTGGAGCTCTCATAATAGCCTAGTACTGACGGTGTAGAATTGTTCGTCTTGAGGGCTGTTCGAGGCAGATCAGCAGCAGGTAATCGCGAGCTCTCTCCGTCAGTGTCATCGTCAGTGGAGCTCCACGCCGAGAACGCGCTCTTCAACGGCGGTCGTACAGGTGGTATCTCTATGACATGCGGTGCCTCCGCTGGTCGTCTTATTGATTTGGTCGGCGACTTGGCCTGGAAAGTGAGATCCGGACATGAGGAAGGAGAAATGGAAGAGTGGTTGGGCTGGTAAGTAGGGATCGATTTTAGCTGAGTCTGTATGAACTTGGCGAGGTTTGCAGAATAGTCCCCCAGTGGGCTCACTGCTCGAGCTGCGACGGCTGTACTGATATGAGAGTCGCTGACCGATGTCTGGATGGGTGCAACAATCGTCGAGGTGCTCCGGTCCGTATCGTTAGAGGGTATCCGGGAGTGGCGGGAACTCTTAGCATTCTCTGTCGATATTGGTTCCTCGCAAACATACTCTGATACGGCAGACTCCGCGTATAGGTACTGGATATGGTCCTTGGGCCGGAAGGTTTCTATCGCATCTTTCATACGACGTCCACGACGGCGAACCGAGGCTCGGCGACTGCGGACGGCAGCCCTTCCTTCTGCTAGGATCAACTCTGCCTCGGGCGTCGAGCATCCCAGAGCTTCAACTATCGGAACCGAATTGCTCCTCTTTCTGTGTGTCTTAGGGCGTCGTGGGCTGGATATCCTGTCTGAAGATGAAGAATGTCGTTTCTCCATGTTTTCCCAGGCTCGGAATGTGGCGGAATCAGTAGGCCGATGACATGGCCGCGGGGTAGCAGCACAGTTTTGTTCTGGGCTGGGACCTGAAGGATTTAAGAGAGCGGACAGATCCAAATGAAGATCAACGGGGCGCCAAAATGCGCAACAAGGGGTGAAGGAGAGGAGAGGAACTAAAGTTTTGCGGAGAGAAAAAGCAGAGAAGGACGGGCAGGCACAAGGCCGGTTTGTACGAGGAAAACGTTCGGTCGAAACGAATCTTACAGCCTGATATGGTGGGTCTTTTTGTTTCTAGCCGGCCTGGGCTCTGAAAATAGCTCGGCAGAGCAAGGCGACCAGCACCCGGGCAGGCAGCGGCGACGAGCACATGACGTTTGCGAGTCTTCAACCGCAAGCTCGGTCGTGCCTTGGTCAGCCTTGGTAAAGTGTATTTGACGCGTTCAGGGGTGCATGAGCCGGACACGACCAGTTCGTCCACCCCAAGCTGCCGGTACCCGCTAGCGTTCTGATAGCAGGCAGCCAATGGCAGCGGGCAACCAGCTTCTTCGCGACTTCAGCTTCTAGACGCCGTGGCGAGAAAGGCATTTCTTGCGTAATGCCAGCGCTGGTATTGCAACCATCGGTCGATTGCGAGCCCGGATGGTATTTTGTGAGTTCCTGTCAGGAGAGAAATGGTCGGCTGCAGGCGGAAAGGCAGCGCTGTCGAGTGTATCAGCACGCGAGCCACCCACAACGGGATGGCGATGATGGGCGTGGGATCGCCACAATCCTTGCTGCGCGGAGCGTCCGTGTTTCTCCAATGCCTGATCAGCCCTGTCACGACAGTCGCCAGGGCCGTCGAATGACGAAGATGCCGGAGCCAGTTCGCTGTGAATGGCCGAAAGACCGACAGGCCCAAATTGCAGTGATCGATCAGCGCGGTTGTCGTGCGCGCACGTAGCCCGCCGCGACCGCCTGAGAGATGCTCCGCGGGGAGCAGAACGCCAGCTACGTCGTGAGGGATGAGATGTTTCGATCGCGGTGGGACTGGTGTCGAGCAGGCAAACGATACCGCTCAGCCTCGGCGCGGCCCACTACATAGTCAACACCATGGCTGCTGACATTCCGCTCCCGGAAGTGGTCCAATTGAGGCATCGGTCCGACAGGAGGGAAACGAGAACGGGCCGAAGCACGTCGACAGCAGACGTCGGAGCTTGCAAAAGTTGGTGGTTGGCGGCAAAAATCAAGGTTGAAGGGAAGGCTCAACGGTGGCGCAGGGGGCGCACGGCCGCCAGGTTAAGGAAGCTGCCGACCGCCCGCTATGGCTTACCTAGGTCGCTATCTCGAGCACGACGTCAGTAACGTCAACGTCGCATGGAATTTGGTCCGAGAACGAGGTTCGAGACATGCTGCTATCCAACAGTCTACCCAGGCTGAGACTAGCACAGCTGGTCCCTCGCTGATGAGGCCGCGCCCTCGCACAATCAACGCCAACACCACCGCATTCGGAAGTAGCCGGCCTGACTGCTCGCAAACATCTGAAGCTCCTGATTGCGCAGCCCTCCCTTGACAGCCCTGCGGAAAAAGGGGTCAAGTTTGCATGACCGCCGCACCCTTGCGATTTCCTGCGGCGGCCCAACACCATGCGGCGACGGCGACTGCAACGATCGCCGTGATATCCGAATCCGAGGCGATGCCCTCCGCGTCAATCCGCACGACCGTCGATGGGTTCAGCAGTGGAGCCCTTCTGTTCTAAAAACATACGAAACACGTTGAGAGAAAATCCATGGATGGCAAGGCGTCGTGAAACCGTGTCGTTCTATTTTTCTGCTGTGGCAGTCGATGTTTCTTCACCGGGAACCATGTATCCGCTTCTGCTCGGCTCCATCGCGCTTGCCAAGTCGGCGCCGGTTTGTTTACCTCTCTTATCGGCCCTCCTTCTCCTTCGGACCGCTCAGGCACGTGTATCGCAGAATGAGTTGAATCACTTCACGCCCAGCAACGACAATGCCACCAGTCATCCGTCCTATTCTTCCTACGCCCTTCCCGCTCAGGTTGTTCCGAAAAGCACCCAGCAGCCCTGCGCGATGCACATGATAGTTTTCGCATAAGCTATCGCTCTATTGTCTGCATGTCTTCCGTTCGAATACCTCATGCCTGGCATTTCATGACGACGCGGTTCACATTCCTTGTGGCGCATGTTGTCCTCACCATGCTGGCCACACTCTTCACGTCTGCCCGATTCGGAGCCAAATATTTGAAACGCTTTCCCTGGACTCTGGACGACGTGCTACTTCTAGCTGCACTGGTACGTGTCCGATCAAAGAGAGTTTTGAGTCCGCACTGACGGCCGCGCAGCTTTTCATTTACATACTCTTCGCTCTGGCAATTACCTGTATGAACTGCCTGAAGCGCCACCGCACGCTATTTCAACTCGTCTGACCGTGCGCAGCGGTAACGGTCGGCCGTGTCGGAGCACATTTACATACGCTGAACCCGAACGAATTTGAGTCCACGCTCCTGGTCAGTGAGAGTTAAGCATCTGCCTTTCCTCTCACATTTGCTCATTGTTCTAGATCCTTTGGGTCCTACAGTTCCCGCACGCCATCATCCTGACTCTAGTCCGCTGGGCCATAGTGATCTTCTTCATCCGGACTTTCTTCACCCACCTGTTCCCACGGCTGAGATGTACCGGTACATACTCAGCGGGGTTTCTGCTGCATGATGTTCTGCCACACCCAAGCTAATTGCCCGTCTAGCATATGTTTGCCTCGTACTCAGCTATGCCTGGTTTCTTGTTTTCCTTCTCGTCACCTTGCTCCACTGTCGACCCATCCGCCAAAACTGGAAACCGCCGCTCAACAGTCCCAAACACTGCTACACTCAAAAGCCCTACAAAATCCTCCAGCCAGTGTGGAGCATGGTCCTGGACGCCGTCATCTGGTCGCTGCCCCACTTTGTCGTTTGGACGCTCCAACTGCGACGAGCCCACAAGATTGCAATCACCATCATTTTTGGACTCGGGGTATTGTGCGAAGACGACGGGCGCACCATGTTCAAACCGTGTGAGCTAACATTGTATACAGCAACGTCATCATAGCCGCCTTCCGTATCACTTCGTCCACCTGGGTGGATTTCCGCGGCGATTTCACCTACGACGCTGCACCATCTATGATATGGTGTTTCGCGCAGGCCAGCACTGCTATCATACTCGCCTGCTGTCCGCTGCTGAGGCCCGTCTTCGAGAAATTGATCCCGGCGAGGCTCACCCGCGTCTCCAGCTCCAGCTCGAAGAACGGGCAGGCGTCTATGCGTCTACCAAAGAGCATCCGCATGACGAGACAAATCGAGGTCCATGACGATTCGGCCCAGCGGCACGAAACCGGTTGCTTCCACGATGGACAGATGGAGCCTTGGGGGCCGACTTTCGAAGTCCAGCCTAGGCGGAGGGCTTCGCGCTTGAGTATCCCATGCGTCTGATTGAGGTGGTTCTTCTTTTTGATGTCCCTCCCTTTCACCTCTACACCCCTTCCTACTGGGTCTTCTTCCTCCTGTTGAATATCCGTCTGCTGTGCACACATATTTAGTTCTAGTATTTAGATCATGCGCTTGATACCCTTGTTGGAAGCTAGCTGCTAGTACTGAATTCAATCCTCCTCCTCAACGACCACAAAACTTGAATACCCCGCGCAAGTAATGTCCCTAATCTTCTTCCCCCGCAGCGCCTCCACCTCGACGAAGTCCTCCGCGAAAGGGACCTTGGAGCCTACGCCCAACTGTCCACTCCCGCCCTCTCCAGCCGCGAGCACCGCCCTCGCTACCTCGCCATTCCCCTTGTCCACCTCTGCCGCAACGAGGATGTGCCCCCAGCCAATTGATACGTCTACGACGCGAGCGAGTCTCCCCTCAATCGCGACATCCAGGATCCTGACAAACTCCGCCTCGCTGTTCGAATCCTTCTCCACCCTTCCTCGATCGTCCGGAGATACAGCCCGGTCTTTGAGCACGTTCAGCTCGCCCTTCGCGCCGGGGCAGGCTTGGCCCCAAAGGAAGAGCTCGCCGTCTTCGCTGAGCGCGGCGCTCATGTATCCCCCCGAAGCAATCTTCACCACGGTGCAATGCTCAAGGTAAGGGATTGGCTGTGCTATATCGATTCGGCTCGCAGCATCCGGGTCGCCGGATGGTCGACCAAGACACTTGGGATAGCGGCCATCAGACGCGTACGTAAAGACCCTGCCCTGTCTATCGAGCGCCGTCATAGTCGTAGCATTAGTGCACCACTGAACCGGCGCGAACTCGCAGCGAACCTCATCTTCAAAAGAGTGCGGATGCACGTTGTTATTCCCGCGATGGCGCAAGCCCTCCACCAACTGCTGCAAGCTAGGGACCTCGAAGACGCAGCCGTCGGGGTGCCGCGCCGTCCGCTTGGTGCTGACGAGCACGCGGTCGGCGCTCGTGATGCGGATGCCCAGGACTTCGCGGCTGTGCCGCAGCGGGAAGCACTCGAAAGCGCCGTCGCGGCCCTTGGCGCGGAAGAAAGAGATCAGCGGCGGGTCGGCCGTCAGGTAGCCCTGCACGCCGTTGTGCAGCTGCTTGCCGAAGAAGGAGGGCAGGTTGTCGCGGATGAAGAACCCGGTTATCGGGAGTGTGCCTTGCCATAAGGGCTCCCAGTGGTTGAAGCCTTTGCCGTAATGGCGGATTCGGGACCGCACTTCGCCTTCGCGGGTGTAGGCGACTGTTGCGGGTGTGAGGTTAGTAGCATGCCCCCGGTGCTGCTGCTGCTAGAGAGGTGGAGACGCTTACCGATTAGGTCAGACCATGAGGCCCACAGCACTTTTACATGCTTGGTGTTTTCTGTCTCGGCGCTGAAGGCTAGTTTTGGGGCGTATACTGCCTTGCGGAACGGGGCCGCGTTGGGTAATTGGAGATGCCCGTTGTAGCCGAACACGTAGAGTTGCATTGTTGCGATTCGAGTGAAGAAGGTGGCAAGGTGTGCGCAAACGACCGTTAGAGAGATGTGAATATCTGTTTCGGAGAGCCAATTGTAATACTAGGTGCTGCTAACGATAGTGGTGCGGGTAGAGGGTTAAGTCTCTTTGTCGAGGCTGCGTCTGCGTGAGCTCTTGGAGCGCGCATTAGAGGTGCGAGGTGCAGTGAGGTCGGCATTGCGACTCCCATTTTGTGTGTCGGAGTTGCTTCCGGGTGCTCCGCATCGGGAACTACTTTGCTCGGATGAGGATGTTGCGGCTCGTGATGTAGAGAGAAAGAGTGAAGCCTGGTCAAGCGAAGTCTGGTGGGGATCATCCCAGAGCAGACTAGCCTCGCCAGGAGAAAAGCGCGTCACGAAGTCTCAAGCTCTTCGCGACGCGCCTCCACACATCACTCCCATTATTCCATCAGAGTATTTGTGCATTGAAAATTTGCCCGAAATGCTGCAGCACTACTTTCCCGGCCTTACGCCGATGCCATTACAAGGCATCCCCGTCCACATTCGCATTACGGGATGACATCATCGGAGCATTGACAGCCAGGGGAGAGTTTAGACCCTGAACGTTGTTGGCAGTGCAATTATTGAATATCTAACTGCCCCATGAAGAAGGAAAAGCCACAAGCCAGGAATCGATTCCCCTTTCCATGCGCCGCCGTCAGGGGAAGGGAAAGGACATCTCCTAGTTAGTGCCACGTCATGCCCAAGCGCTGGAAGAAGGAGAACAGAGACCCCTTGGGCACGTATCCAGCGTATCTCGACTGCCACGCCGCGGCGAAAGTACCTACGGATAACGTCAGAGGAGATGGAAGTTACCGGGCGGACAGGACATACCTTCGATGGGACCGAGCTCGCCGAAGCCCAGCGCCTCAATGGCCCACGGCGCGATCGTTACCAACACGCCGAGAGCGATGACGGTGCAGAAGACTGGATGCTCCTTCACAAAGCCCTCGATCTGCATCGCAGCTTCACAGGCTCGGTCGTAGGCGTCTTTGAGCGCAGGGCCGACTTTGTCGGCTGCCTTCAGCACCTGCTCTAGCTTCACGAGAAGCCATTCCGCGACACGCTCCGTCCAGCCGTATTCGCCGACAATTTCATTGAGTTTGGCCTGCAGCTGTCTGCCGCACTTCTCTGCGCTCTGGATGGCCTGGAGAACCTCGTCCGCGATTGCTTCCGCCGTGCGCGGCTCGTGGGCGCAGAGTATCGCCTGCTTTTCGTCGGGATAGGCTTCGATGGTCGGCTCGGCTCCGGTGATGCAGCTAATAATGGCTTGCAAAAGAGATGCCATCGTGAGGACTTGGTGTCGTATTGCGAGGTTGGGATTTGTGGTCGTGGTGGTGGGGTTGTTTTATGTGTAGGTCTTACGCGCTTTGGTGTTGCTGCCTGGGTCCTGATCGGTGAAACGCTGCAGGACGAAGCGACGACTGGGACGAATCATTTTCACCGCCTCAAGCTGTGCCACCTACAGAGCGTGAGCGTTCCATATCTTGAGCGTATTGGGTCCATTCAGCCTGGTCGTTCCCCTAGTAAGGCGCATTCGCGGCGATAGCAACCTGAGGCGCTGTCTGTGAAGAGAGGGTTCAAAAGCTACGATGGATGGATCGATTCTTATCCAATAAGCTATCCATTCCGTTGTCCTCGAAACATAATATCCTGTCCACCGGCCGGCCTCAATCGTATTCATCTGAGCCTGAGTCTTCCTCACCCCATTTCATGCCCATCTCAGAAAGGACCCCATACAAAACATGCCAAAGCTGTATCTCCGGTCCATCTCCTGGCCGTGGCTTAATCAAATTCTTGTGCTCCAGACACCACTTACAAGCCCAAGAGCCTTGATAAATTAGCAATCCGTCGCCAGAGGTTGCACTTGCTGGTGGCCCTCGGCTTACCCTCTTTCGCGCCCAGTTTCTCGAACCCTAAAGCTTCGATATAGTCCGGAAAGGAGGCCATGATCACCGCAAGCGCTTCGACCGTCCTCCACTCCCGGTGCTCCTCGTCGATGTCGATCTGCCCTTTGTCTCGCGCTGCAGCGAGCATGGTTCGGACGCCTGCCCCTAGGTCTTCTTCGCGCATGCCGTTGAGCCCCTTGCGGATCGCTTGGAGTACTGCTAACGCTAGGTCAGGGAGCTTGGTGTCGTCTTGAAGTGCTAGAGGTTTGTTTATTCCACGGATCGATTTGTAGATGGAGACTCGGGGGCTGCCGTGGGCTGAAACGGCTAGCAGGATAAGTTCGGCGATTTCGTGCACTGTGTCGCTGTCTTGCCATTCCTGCTGGGTCTGGTTTGACGAGGTCTGGTTCGGCGAGGGCAAGTCGGTAGGGAGGTCTATGTTCAACTAGTCCGCGAAGGTTGGGGAGTACTTCGGTTGGCCCTTGTGGGATGGATCTGCGTTACGGTTGTGGTAGATGTTGACGTAACGATGAAAATTCTGCTTACAATAGTCGTTGAGCGAAGGCGTGGGTTGTTGACTATGAGGTGAGTATGAGCACCATGGGGAAACATTCTAACGGTGCTATGCAGGAGGCTTCCTTCCCAGCATTCCGAATCCGGCCATCCTACAAGAGCAGTCGCCCACTGAGATACACATCCTGCCGGAGCCAGGTCCGCGTGAGGCAAGCTCCAACCGCTTCGACGTCCGTCGGCCAAAACTACTACCTTCCTTGGCAAGCAAGAAGCTTAAGCGCGGCTTTTCAATCTCGAGAAGAACAAGCACGCACCTCTCTGAGTTTTTGATGCACCCTCGACGCAAGCCAAAGAGCGTGATGAGTTTACTAGCGTCTCTACTAGACGTGTCGAAATCGGGCAAGCTGTACGCTGGTATCTTTCGAATTACAGCTTTCCTCACACCCCAAGCGAAGAGAGGAAGAGCACTGTACACAAACGAAAGGGTCATTGCCTCCGATTATCCAGATTCTCTTTTTCCTCTTTCCTCGGTCCACTGCTCCCTCTGCTCTGTTGCTTTGTTACACTTTCGCACTATTCCGTTGAGAGTAGGTGATACATCCGATACGTTGAATATTCCCCCGTCTGCAACTTCACCTGTACCTCATTCCAACATCACCTGGAGCGCGGCTCACACGGCGCTCTGCTGCCGGGCACGCAGGGCTCAGAAGCAACGTGCTTCGATCACCTCAGGCAAGCAAACAGCGGTCAGATGAACTGAGACTAGACGCCCCGTATTACCATTCTTCTTTCATCTGACCGCCTTTCCTTGACTTTGCTGCTTTTCTGGCTGTAAGTGTTAAGCAGAGAGCTCGCGAGATGCTGTCACGCTGTGCGGTCTACCTTCACCCGTTGGTCGTCTGATCCTGGCCGGCCTCCTTTACTTTGCTTCCCACTTACTGAGCTCAAGCCTCCGTGTCTATTTAGGCTCGGTTCTACTCTCTACTTTTACTTTCACTTTTCTCCATCACCTTGGTTGACCTTTGAGAATTCTTACTAGTCTACCAAACTATCCGATCAATCCATCTTCCTTAAAAGTAGGCCTCCGCCCTTCGTGGAGCTCATTTGCGAACGTCTCTTAAAGGCAAGAAAAGTAAGCTAATCAGAGATATCAGCATTCTCATACACCAGCCACCACAAACCACCATGGGCGGCCACGCATTCCACTATCTCTATTGCCCACGCATGTCCCCAGCGCTCTACCTCAAAGTCCGCGAACAAACCACCGACGCCCTGCGCAAGCTCTTCAAACACGTCGTCGTCCCCACCGAACTGCCCTCCAAACCCGACTACGGCGACGTCGACTTCCTCGTCGCCGGTTTCCTCCAAGCTTCGCCCACCACCACCACCGCTGCGCTCGACTGGCCGACCATGGTTTCCAAGACCAAAGACGCTTTCAACACAGTGCACGGCAGACGCGGCCACCTCACTCCAAGCGTCATGTACTTCGCCATCCCGGCGCCGGGACCTGAGAACGACTTCTGGGTCCAGGTCGATGTCAAGGTGTGCGAGGAGGCGACCAAGGAGGCGTTTGAGTGGATGAGGTTCAAACTGAACTATGCGAGTGCGGCGAAGATGATTGGGTCGTTGATCAAGCCGCTAGGGCTGAATATTAACCCCGAGGGACTCCATATTCGGGTCGAGGAGGTGGAGGAGGCGAATGTGCCGGGGAGTATGGTGCTCGTGACTAAGGATGCGAGGGATGTGCTCAAGATCGTTGGGCTGGATAGGCGGATTCTGCATGCGGGTTTCGCGACGAAGGAAGAGCGTAAGTTGCAGAGAGAGCAGTTGGGGAGATGGATGGAAACTGACGAGAGCTTCTAGTCTACGAGTACCTCGCCTCGTCCTGGCTGTTCAACCCGGCGCACTTCGCCAAGCGCCTGGAAGACGCCAAGTACGTGGCCCATCTTGAAGAACGCGCGCCTCCATGGGTGCCCTTCGTCACGCAGTGGATCCCGCAGCACTATCCAGGCTATCGATTCGGGGACCAGGATCTGCCGATTGAGGCGTGGTATAAGGCGACGAGGGCAGCGGTCAAAGAGAAAGTCTTCACGCTCTTCCCCTCAATCGCCCCGGAGTTCTATACGAAGCGCGCCACAAATCTAGCGCAAGTCGAAGAGCAGCGCCTCCGTGAGCTGCTCATCCAAGCGATTCCAGCGGGCCAAGATGGATGGGCCGACGACGACGTCCCACAGCCACACAACATCATCGTCAAGTCCCAGTCCCCAATTCCCACGACGCCAGAACTCAAGCCAACACTTCCCAACGATCCGGCCTCACCAATCTCGCCCACCGGCTCCTCCTGCACTACGCTCGTCAACAGCCCCTCTTCGTCCGCCTCCTCACCGCCACCATCTCTCTCAGACCACCCATCCAACGACTACCTCCCCGCCAACCCACCATCCCCTCGCGACGTCCCGCTCTACCTCGACGCCCTCCCCCGCGCTCCCCCACTTGCCTGCACGCCCCGCCCACCACCAGCCAGCATGTCCCTCGACGCGAAACTGCTCTGCGTCTTCCGCTGGACGCTGTTCCACCCGGACACGGGCGCGCCTTTCCTCGCCGCCGAGCCGCGCGAGAAGGGCTTCGAGATGCGCTGGATGGACAGTGGGGCGGGTGATAAGGTGTTGGTGGAGTGGGTGAGGGAGGTGTGGTGGGCGGTTTGGGTGCGGCAGAGCTGGGTGAATTATGTGGGGATGTGGAAGAGGAGGTTTGAGAAGGAGGATAGGAAGAAGGAGAGGGAGAAGGAGAAGATGCAGGAGGAGGGTGTCGAGAGAGCGGAGGCTAAGAGGAGGGAGGAGGAGGTTCTGGCTAGGAAGGAGAAGATTTTGGGGAGGCTGAAGGTGATGAATGAGGGGATGGGATGCGCGCTTGAGGGATGATGCGATCTAGGTCGAATGACTCTAGGGGCGATATCTAGGCAAGTACGGTTGAAGGAGAAAGGCCTGGGTCTGTATTGGGTCATCTCGCATAGGATCTAGGGCATTCTTAACCCCAAAATCCTGGGCACTGGAGGTCATGTCCGCCGGGTTTGAGAAGCCCTGTCATATATCGTAGCATAACCATCTATCCATTATCATCTCCACATGGCTGAACCCACTCTGTTCATAGCATCGTCCTCGCAAAATGCAGTCCCGCCGCCCAATGGAATAACCTCGCATCCACCATCTTCCCCTCCTTGCTATACGCCTCCAGCCTCTCGAACAGACTGTCCAGCGGCACCACCACCCTCTCGATGAACTCGCCGTCATCCAGCGCCTGCTCCGGCTCCTTATCGCCCTCCTTCAGGTTCACTTCTACCGTCGCCAATTGCATGTTTGCCGTGCTCATGCCCGGGTCGCTCACGATTGTCGGGCTGATGTAGCTTAGCTTGCCCTTGTAGCCTGTCTCTTCGTGCAGCTCGCGGACTGAGGCGTCGGAGGGAGTCTCGGACTCGTCGACGAGGCCGGCGGGGAACTCGACGCAGATGGCGCCGACGGGTGGGCGGTATTGCAGGATTACGATTGTGGAGGGGGGACGTGAGGGATGGCGGATTATGGTGCTAACTAGAGTTGAGAGCGTGTTTAGCCAAAAAGGCCAACTGGAGCACCAATAGTTGTCGAAAAGCAAGTGATGTTTCCTGATGCGGAGACAGGTCGGTTCACGTACTGGCGACGGCATCAACGCCGGATTTTCCGCGAGTCTTGCGCGATGCAGCTTCCCAGATTCGCGATTTGCCTGTCTGGTCTGACCAGGTGATCTTCTGGAATTCTATCCATTTGGCTTCGTTGGCGGGCAGGGAGTCCACCGCAGTGACTTTTGGTGATTGCGGCATGTCGTAGGCTGCGAGGAGAGCTCGGCGGGGGTGGAAGAGGCGGCTTGCAGGTCGTGTTCGAAGGCTGGCTCGAGATTGTGTGAGGATTGATCTTCGCAATGGGCGAATTGGGGTTAAATACATGGGTGATGGGGAGTCACAGGTACTGAAGCCTGCAGGAGGATGAAGCCTGAGGCTCCAGGGAGCTAGGGCCAATTAGCCCCGCAGCGCGTCATTAGCGGGCTTTCGCGACATCACGTGCTTTCTTACCTTCACAGCCTTCAACCCTCCCAGTCGTTCAGACTCAAGCGTCTTCTTGGCAAAAATCGGTCTCATTCCTGATTTAACTGTTGCACCACGGGACGCATCATTCTAGTCTTTCTGATCCTTTCTGCATTTGCCTTTAAATGATGCGACTCAGGCCCCCCAAGAGAAAATGATCGTCATGAGGGGGTGCCAGCGCACCCCGTCCCAAGCGTTACGGGAGCAATAACTCCCATCAGCAAAGAGTGCCTCATGCAGGACCAGCAAATTCACTAGACAAGAGAGACAGAACGCTAAGGCTCAACTCCTCCCTCAGCTCGCGTCTGCGTTCGCCTGCAGCCTCCACCTGGTCCGGCCAGCAAGCCGCCACCTATCCGAAAGCCCTCACATGCCCGATCACTCGTACAGATCATCGTTCGCTTACCGTCTCCTATACGACGTCTGCTCTTGATTTGCGCCCATAGTCTCATAGACCCGCATGAGCGACTCATCGGGAAAGCTCCCTCGCAGGGAGAGGCTCAAGCAGCTGTTCCGAGGGCGCAGTCCTCGTCCGGAAACTGCAGCGCTAGCACCCGCAAAACCGCCAACGGCTTCGCAAGCAGTTAATCCAAGTACTAGCTCTAGCTCCCAGGTCGGCACACTAAGCGATGAGAACACCGGAATTGAATCCGCCAGGAACCAGCTATGGAAGAGCGCGTTCGAAAATCTCAAGAAGGAGCAACCTGAGCTCGTCCAACTATATGAGCTGCTTCTGAAAGAAGACGCCGGAACCGACCAAAACGCTGATATGTAAGCCGACCCCCTACTACCAACTTCCCCCAAAGGACCCTACGCTCATAGACACTACACTAACTTTCTATTCCGACATAAAGCTCGACACGGGAAGTAACGGCTGCTGTCGTGAAGAAACAGCAGACGAGGATGGAATCACGGCAATGGACCTACTCCTGGTTCGGCAAACCACGAAAAGTCCGCGACACAGCAGAAAGCATCCTCACGACCATTGAACGAGTGTCTGGGTTAGCCTCGGTTGGCATGTCTTCTGCGCCACCATTCGTTTCGCTAGCTTGGAGCATGAGTACAAGCCTCATAGCTTTTGTGATGAACGATTTCGACGCGGTCAATAGTGCCATCGATGGGCTGAAGGAGGTTACCGGAGTACTGGCAAACTACAGTTACGTGGAACAAGAGTTTCTACGGAGCGAAGAGACACGGAAAGATTTCGAAGATATTGTTCTTGGCCTGTACACGGCGATTTACGAATACCAAGCGCGCGCAGCCCAGTACTTTGCGAGGAATACTCTAAAGAGGCTAGGAGTCAACACTTTAACTGCGCAGTCCTGGCCTGAAGCGGTTGAGAAAGTCCGAAATCTCGAGCAATCGTGCCAGACATCGATTGGCGCCCTAGGGGTCAGGCTGGGCCAGAAACGGTTCGGTAGCGTCGAAGCGCTCTTGAGCCAAGGCATGAGACTCATGGAACAAATTGGACACGCCGTCACGTCGGAGCGCGCTCAGAGAGAGAAGATCCTAGACTGGATCTCCCCCATTAACTACTTCGCGGACCATAGCGACGTTCGGAAAATCCTTGGAGATGCATACTTGGGATCAGGCCGGTGGCTCCTTCAAGATGAGGTTGAGTTCCAGCCGTGGAGGAGATCGGAAAATGATATACTCTTCCTGCAAGGCGTCGTCGGCTCTGGAAAAACGTCACTGACATCTATCGTCATTCAAGGTCTCCTTGAGAAGGAAGCAGTTGCTTTCTTTTACTGTTCCGCTAATGCGTCCTCTCGAGACGCTTCGAGAACAGCTCACAACGAGACTTTCAACATCCTCCAAAGCATCCTGGCGCAATGTTCCATTCGCGCAGATGGCACCATTGCGGAACAAATTCGAACTGCTTTCGAGAGAAGTGATCGGCAATCGCCAGGAGGCTGCGATATGACTCTCGGTGTCGTCATGTCGACTTTGAAAGACGTTCTGCAGGAGCGCGCGGATGAACAAATTACGCTTGTCTTCGACGCCTTGGACGAATGTCTAAATCAGGGAGAATTTCTCTCATGCCTAGCAGATCTGATGAAATCACAACCGAAACTACGAGCGTTCGTCTCTACGCGATTTGGTGTTGACTTTGCTCAGTATTTCGAGAACTATCGAGCACTGAGCGTGGGCGTACAAAATTCGGACGATATAAGTGCATACGTGGACGGCGAGATCTCCAAGAGAAGAGGGAACCGAATGACTCTTGACCAGGCTGAACGGTTGAAAGAAGCCATCATTAAGTATGCTGATGGAGTGTGAGTAATGATCTCCCGTTGAAAGCTATAAATTGACCGTTCATAGATTTCGGTGGGTCGAACTGGAACTAAACATTTTCCTTCCGAAAACCCAGCGACAAGGTTTTAGGGTTATGTCAGCAGACATAGATCGAAGACTACTACAGCTAGAAAACTCCCAAGCTCCCGCGGTCGATCGGCTCTTCGACGCCTACGAAGAGCTCTACAAATATTCTCTCGGCGAAGAGGATGAGATCGCCAGACGGTTTGTGGTCAAGGCAGCCATAAAGGTACGTATGTCGCGGTACACATACCAGCATGTCTTCAAATTTTCCGACCGCAGAAAGCCATTCATGGGGTTCTCGGTGAGTCTGGAACTTGTTGGATTGTTGCCCTCAGCCGGCCATCAGGATAGCTGCTAATGTGTGCATTCCGGTTCGCAGTGGGTATTATGCTCGTTTACGCAACTGTATACAGCCAGTCTTAGTCGTGCTGTTTCCATCCTACCCGATGGCACGAAGGCCGAGGACCTCACTGCCGAGGACATCCTGGCCTATTGCAGCAACTTCTTGGTCAAAGCCTCGGACAACAGTATCAAGTTAGCTCATCTCTCCGTCCGGCAATTCTTCGAAGAGCGTAGAGCAGACGATTTCTCGCCACCACTCCAGCACTTGCAAGTCGCTCAGACTTGCCTCCAGTTTGTCAGATCATTTTTCCTTGTTGAAGACCAAGGGTCCGTTCACTCTTCCATAACGAGACGACCAGAAGTGCGATATTACTTACGCCTTCGGTCGTGCCTAGTAGACGATGGGAAAGTCGGAAGCAACTTCAACTATTACCCCTATCTATACTGGTCGATGCATTGCCGAGCTGCTGATAAATCAGAAGACCTGATGAAGAATCTGAAGTCTCCAGGCGTTCGCGATGTCCTTTTCCCAGATTTGGATTTCTTGCACCGCAGCATTGCCGAGGGGGCAGACCTCAAGTCTCAGGACACGAATGGAAACACCATACTTCACAGAACGGTCCTGAACAACAATATTCCAGCACTCGGGTTGCTACTTCGTGTCGAGACTCTGCTAGAGCACTCAGGAGTCTTGAACACCAAGAACAGGGCTGGTGATCTAGCCATTCACATTGCCGCTATGATGGGGTGTGAAATGGCATTCCACGACCTCATCCAAGCCGGATCGGACACAGACACGATGAACTTAGTCGGCCTCACCCCCTTCGAAATTGCGGTCATGCTCGGGCGCGACCCCATCGTTGAACGAATAGGCCATATACAGCCATTAACGACTGATGACGAGGGTAACAGCATTCTACATTATGCCTCATTCTTCAATGCAGATGAGGCTGTTCGCATTCTGATAAGGGCTGGGTGGTCACGGAGCTTGCAGAACAATCAGGGGAATAGTCCACTACATTTGGCCGCGATAGGCGGTTCATCGCTGGCTTACAACACACTACTTTCGGCCGGGGCTTCTAACAGCATACGAAACAAGAAGAACCAGCTGGCTCAAGAAATACTGGACCTCTCTCGCTATTCCGATGCTAGCATAGTCGGATTTACCTCACGCCAGCCATCAAGAATTGGTTCCGGGCCTCTCGAACGTCCCCCGATTGTGCTTGAAGACACAACTATCACCTCCTGCAAATTTTGCGACTTGAATACCTGGCTCAAGGAATCGCAGGTACACACATATCTCCCTTCTCTCGAACGGCTATTGCACGTATCTCAACTCATCCGCGCAAAACAGCTCGTGTGCAGGCTATGCGCTTTCTTGGAACCGATTCTCTTCAGAATGGTCTCTGAAGTCTCCATCGGCCAAGTTGAAGAGGTTAGGGTGCGTATAAGGTTGGATGTGGACTCGGGTGGCCTGAAGACTGGGAAGGACGTGCTGGAGATTTCTTTTGCCGACGTCTTCCACGAGATTGAAATATGTCTTGATGCTGGAGGTAAGTACCACAGTCCGGGTCCGCAACAGTTTCGCTTGCCGCGTAACGCATTGCAAGCAAGCCTTTATAATACTTCTGTCTCATGGATCTAGCTCTCATATAGTATTTTGTCACTAACACTGTGCTTAGAGGCAATTTCTCCACTGGCTGCTGATTTGTTCCATGGGAGAAGCGTCAAACAAGAGGCAACAGAAACCCACGTCGTCAACCAGATACGACAGTGGTCCGACATTTGTTGCGGCCACGCGGTTTGCCGACTCTCACATACAGACAGTTTCGAGGAAGATTACGAGGACAGGTGCGAGGACGACACTCAAAGCGGCTTTCCAACATATCTCGTCGACGTCGGCCATGGCTCCGAGGAGGTCAGACCGCGCATCGTCGGCCACGAAGAATTGACGAAGACAAGTGATAGGAGATTCGTCTTTCTGTCAGCAAAGTGGGGCTCTACTCAATTCTTCCATGCGAAGACCTCCACCATCGAGGAGCTAAAGAGAGGAGTCAGCCTTGATCGGCTTCCTGCGTCACAGCAAGATGCGATACGAGTATGTCGGCGACTCGGATACAGATACCTTTGGGTGGACGCGCTTTGTGTTGTAATGGATGACCCGGAAGTCCATGGCTTTGAGGAGGAGATGATTCCCATTTACTCGAAAGCAGCTGACCTGGTCCTCGTAGGAACCAATACAATGACGGACTCACTTATTCCCATCAGGAAGCCTGGCGGAACACTTTCAATCTCTGCGTCTCTACGCACAGAACTGAGTGCAGCCAGTGAGACATTCACGCTTCAGTTGCGTGAATCTCTGCCGGATGCCACCAAGGCCATCCACGACAACGTCCTCGACCGGGCTTGGCGATTACGGGAAGTCGTTCTACCCCGGCGGTTCGTACTGTTCGATCCCCAGCAACTTATCTGGTCCTGTTGTGAAATGTCAAAAAGTGAAGGGAGCGCTCTGGCGCTCGCACCTTGGTTTAAGCCTTTCCGGGCCATTCATCTCCAGCTAGAACACCTACTCGATCGCGGACAGTCGGAACGGGATGAGTACCTTCCCGTCATCAAAGCAGAGATCTTCAGCTGGTGGTACTCCATCGTGGAGATGGCTTCGAAAGGGGCTCTGGCATCCGGGACCAGGAATCTTGTACCCCCTGTCTCTCGAGCCACTCATCTTGGTCTATCACCGCGCAAAGGCCCTCAAGCCTATTCTCTAAATGAGCGCCTTGAGACGGTCCACTCCATCGCTTGGACTGTGCTTCAGCTTCTCAATAAACTTAATGCGAATGGCTGGGATACCGCGTATGTGGCGGGACTTTGGTTAGGAGACATTCGAAAAGGCCTATTATGGATCTCCGCCCAGCCCTACAGGACGATGCGATCTAACCGGCCTGGCTCGAACCCATACGGGCACGATACGTCTACATGGAGCTGGGCGCATAGTCGAGCCCCCATCTCGTACTGCCTTTCGAAGGGGCTGAAGATTGAATTAGCGATTGAAGGGGGCTTGGAAGTCGGACAAGCAGTCTATGGTCCTTGGATCGTATTGCCTGTCACGGCGCTGACGAGGCAGCTCTCGGAGCTTGCAACGGATGACCAGCATTTTGAGTACTTTTGGGACGCTGTGGATCCGCCGGGTAGCCAAGTCGACGCAAGGAGCCCCGACGTGCCATTCCAAGATGACAGCGAAGACGAGCATAGAGGTAATGAGGATGGCAGTGCAGCAGACGGGCGCTCAAATACTCCCGACTCCCGAAAGTCGGCTGAAGACCCGCGACAATCCCACTCCGAGACCTACGCTGACCGCATGACTTCCGGCTTGGGTGCTTGCACGCTCGCTCTTGTGGCGCCTTGGACTTTCCGACCGTCTATGGAACCTTGCGATGCTCGATGGGCCGGTTTGATAGTAAAGCGTCGACCGGACCTCGATAGGATACCCCGACCATTGGCGGGCCGTGATGCGGGAGTCTTCGTAAGAAAAGGCGTGTTCCTCGGGCCACTCTGTCACAAGGATCTATCCGGCTGGGAGAGGAAGATGATGGCACTGGTTTGAGCCGCTTCTAGGCCTTGTCTTTGGTTTGGCAAATGGGTATTCCTCACGCGGGTCTTGTATTGAGGGAAGCTTGGCACGAAGGGTTCTGCTCACTATCTCTTCCGTTTTAGGGGTAATCGGGTCTACCAACGAAAGCGCCCGATCGAAATATTACCACTTCGATCAGTTCTAGGAGAGTAGGGGGCTCGAAGATAGCTAGTATCATAAACAGTCAGTTCCACACTGCAGATAACCGCAACTTGTTCCGCCGCCCTCTCAGCTGCTCTATGCGCAGCCCGAGCTCCTAAAGCATTATTAGGAATCACTCCGTCGAATCCAACTAATGCTCGGCCGCTCTTGCTACTTTGAAGACCTTTTCGCCAAGGCTCAGCCTAGTAACTCTGGAAGCGGGCACTATGATATCGTTTTCTTCCTATTTATATCTAACCGCTACACGAAGCGTCAGCGACCTCGCTCATACAAGCCAAGACTCTCTTTCCCTTATCGTACACCACTTGAATTCCTAATCACGAGCCCTCGAGTAAATCGGCTCCCTTCACCTCGAGGTCATGGGGGTTCCTCGTCAACCCTCATCCGCCGCAGGCCGCTCCTCAAAGTTAACAAGAGCCCTAACCAGCTCGGGTAGCGGCGAAGTATCAGTCGGCTTGGTGAAATGAGGTGCGGGCTTCGCAGTGTCTATCTATATAAGCCTTCCTCCACCAGCTCTCCTGCACTCCCTCAACCTCGCTCTACCACACTCCCTCAACCCGCGCCCCTAAGTAGAAAGTCAGGCCCCCATTCCGCACTCAACTATACTCGACCCTTCTACGCGACGGCACCGCCGTAGCCACCATGAAACTCCTCACGGCCGGTAAGCTTCTCACAATCTCCAGAGCCCCACCAGCCCCATCCTCCATCTAACAGCAGCAGTCTCCCTCGGTCTCTCCGCGCTCTTCGCAGCAGCGGCCCCTTCTTCCCAACAAGACCACGCCATCAACAACTATCCCACCGATAAGCCCCCGACCATCGAGAACAAGCAGTGGGTGCCCATCGCCAGCTACATCAAGAACAACTGCCCCTTCTCCATCTGGGTGCGGCAGGCAAACTGCGAGAACCCCGGCGAGACGGCGTACATGGAGGTCAAGAGCAACGAGGGCTATTGGGTAAGTAAACCTCCCTCCCAATCCCTTCAACCACGCATGCATCATCAAAACCACAACACAGCTAACCACCCCCACCCTCCCAGCCCCCATGGCGCGCCTGGAACAACCGCTGCTCGCAAGCCGTGAAAATCGGCCGCTCCGCCGCCAGCATCCACAATGTCTACCAAGTCGAGTACAGCATGGACTACGACGACAGCGTGTGGTACGATCTGAGCAGCCTGGACGGCGACCCGTTCCACGACGTCGCGCGCTTCATAGAGGTCGATCCGTCGCCCAAGTGGTGCAAGCGCATGTATTGCGGGCCGGGCCACGGGCCCCAGGACTGCGATTGGCCGCACAAGCCTGAGACGCGGTGCGCGCCTGCCGCGGATGTCAAGTTCTACCTTTGCTAGCTGAGGCGGGGACTTGGGAGGCTGGTGGTCGGTGAATGGATGCGTGGGTGGCGTCTGTCTCGGAGGTCACGTACTGTCTCCATCAATCTAGATTTATGCGATAGAAGGAATGGTTACATAGGTCCACGGGTATATAGATTCATATATATAGAGATCTGAAAACCCTGCCTTCAAGAAAAGCTTTTCGTGCTTGAAATGTGAAAGCGTAGATGTAAAGCTTAAGAAAGCGAGACTAGCATGTGCTCTAAAGCACAAGCAGTCAATCTCGAGAAGACGGCGTCGCCGAAAATTTACAATGCTTCGTCGCGTCTAAGACGCACTGGCGAATCTCATGAAGAAATTTTTGAGCTATCCAATGGAGAAGATTGATATGTCGGAGCCGCTTCTGTCGCGATGGGGCCTGGGTCCTTGTTTCTCACCTTGTGAACGAGCTCGTACATCCTGGGTAGAAGCTCGTTGATGCGGAATGGCTTTGTCACAACTTCATCCTAGACGTCGAAAGTCAGTTACATCAATCGAGCACAGTTAGTACATGGGCGATACACATACCATTCCCGCTTCCAATGAGCTTACCACTTGTTCTCTCCTCGCATTCCCTGTACATGCGATCACTGGGACATGGCCCGTTAGTTTCCGCTCTCGCTGCATTTCGCGGATGCGGCGAACGCAGGTCAGACCATCCATGACCGGCATTTCCTGGTCCAAGAGGATGACCGATAGCGGGGTCTGGGTTGTGCTCGACGTAGAAGCAGCGGTCTCTGTGGCACTGCTAATCACGGCCGGGGTATCCCGCCAGTAGCAAGACCTCTCCAAGAAATCGAGGCACTCCACTCCGTGGTTCGCGACATGCACTGTGCAGCCAATCTTGCGTAACTGCTGTGCCGTGACTTTCTGATTGATGAGGTTGTCTTCGACGAGGAGGATGTGTAGATCGCTGGGGACTTGCGGTGCGATCGAATCCGCGCGCGGTTCTTCAGTGTCGAGCGCCGCTGCGTCAGCGCACTCTGGTATCGAATGCTTGGGCGGCCCGGATATAGCTTCGTCACCAGACCGGTCAGGCGGCGCTTGACCCTCCGAAGGCGCAGGTCGACGAGCTTTGACGTAAAACGCGAAAGTGCTTCCCTGGCCCGGCACTGAGTATACCCCAATCTGTCCTCCCTGAAGCTCAGTCAGCTCACGAGAGATGAAAAGTCCCAGGCCAGAGCCTCCGTATTGCGAGTAGGTCTTCGCAGAAGCTTGCCGAAACCTCTGGAATAAGCGCTTCATCTCCTCCGCAGTGAGTCCCTTCCCGGTATCGCAAACGTCGAACTGAAGATAGACAATCTCGCCGTTTCCAAACTCCGGCCCTGCTAGAACATCCGGGCGAGAGGCTCGCTGGGGGATAAATGAGACGGTTGTAGCATCCGCTAGCGGAGGGGTTTTTGACGCTCCGAGGACGACGCTAATATGTTTCGCGTTCTCTTTCCTCGTGAACTTGATTGCATTCGTCAGGAGATTGATGAGGATCTGCGAGCGTCAATAATGCGGAGTAAACATGCCAGCGAGACGGACCTGGAGAAGGCGGGCTGGGTCTAGAAGTACTTGATCAATGTCCAGCTCGTGGTAGGAGTCGTGGACCGTGAACGATGTCCCAATCCCGGCATCAGCCAGCTCTGCATCATACATAGAAATGGCCCTTTCAACAAGCGTGGTGGGCCGAACCCGATCCGGAGCTATGAGAAGGAGATTTGAGTCCAGTTTCGAAAGCGTTAGAATATCATCGACGATTCTCTTCTGATGCTGCGCGCAGAGTAGGATCGTTTGAGCGGAGTCAATGATATTCGCTTGCAGTTCGCCTGCGTCCAGGTTTGCATTGCGCGAACCCAGGATCTCGCTCACTAATAGCAGTGTCAGTGTGCTGAAGTCATGCTAACTTGGCGAGTGGGATCGTCTACCAGTAGCGGATGATGAAGCAGACGGACCTGGTGGCTTTAGGTCAAACGTAGCCAGGATGCCGTCCGCAGACTGGATAATCGCAGAGAGAGGATTTCGCATCTCGTGGCATGTCTACTGTGCATTAGAAAAACCTCAAGTTTGCATGGCGAAAGTCCCCTTACCATATCGATAAAGTTCTCACTCTGCCGCTTCGTCTCTAGCGCGTCCTCCAGCCTCTGCCCCTGCTCCTGCAAATGTGGAGTGACATCCGTCACGTAGATGCCAACCCAGATGAGTTCTCGCCGATCATCCAGCTCGCCCGATGCATGCGCAAGGAGCCATCGCCACTTTTCGGGTAACTTAATGGCCTCTTCCTCAGGAATGGACAAGTCAGTCTGGACGCGAAATTGGAAGTACGGTTTCCGATCAGGATCTTTTGATAGAGCGAGTAGTGTGTTCTCGAAGTTTTGGCGGTCCTGCGGGTGTATGGGCAAGTGATGCGGGCGAGAAACGCTGGTATCTCCCTGTACATTCGTAAGGTCTTTGAAGGTTGGATTTTTCCTGCATCGTGGGGTTACCGTTAGCAAATGTCTGGGAAATCGCGTTTACCCCAAGGAGACGTACCACCTCAAGGCCCCAGTAGGCTCGTAGATAGCAAGACCAACGGAAGCAAACTCTGCTAGTCGGGTAAAAACGCGCTCCTGATCCCGTGCTATCTGCCACTGCTGCTTGAGCTTTTCTCGTTCCTCGGGGACAAGAATGGCGGCTGCAGCTTTGACGAACTTATCCATCAATTGCATGATGAAGGATCTGTAAGGGTCGTCATATGGTCGTTGTGGATTCAATCCGAAGAGCAAGAAGCCTACGGAGCCGGGACCGTCCAACCTGCGGATGGGACAGGCCATAGCTGAGCGGCAAGCTGAGCCGTGGCCCCGGCCGTGTACGGGAACCCGCAACCGCTCTGGCAGTGTATGGTCTTTGTCGCTCAAAGCAACAGGCTTTCCCTTGATCCAAGCCGTCCGGAAATGCTTGGCTAGAAGATACTGTGGATTCGTGAGACTGATCTGTCGCACAGCTATGGGATGTTTGGTATCTAGCCCCACGGTACCCTCGAGCGTGATGAATTTTGGGACGAGATCCTCGAAAGATGATGCGCTGACCGGTTGCGATTCCTGTGGAGCTGAATACAAGAGGCAAAAGGGGAAGTCTTCAGGGCTCGAATCGAGAATAGCGCGCATCTTCGTCCAGTATGTGCTCATGGTGTCTCCGAACGTAACCATTTTCTCGGCCTGTTCGATAGTTCTCTCTCTTCGGGTATGAATAACTTGCGTAGTCGTCTCCCAAAATTCCTTCTGTACTCCGACCATGCGGCCACTGTCGTCTACGATTGGCATGATGCTCCAGGAGAAATAGGCCTCTTCCAATGGGAGGCCGCCGCGGGGGATGGGGTGATAGTAATCATGGGATTCCGTTGCAACACCGAGCGACCAGACTTCTTTGATGCCTTCGTATTTCTGCGTCCAAGCGGGGCCTGCCCCAACCGCCCCTGCAGCACCCATAGCTGCGGGGTGCCGGTGTCCTAGTAGTTTGGAACAAGCTTCATTGTAGAGCATGACTGGGTCGTCTAATCCAAAATAAACGCATCGAGCTTTCGGGTTCGTGACAATTGCGATCATGGTCTGACGCACAGCTGCGCTCCAATCCCCCATCGGACCGATCTTGGTGCGAGACCAATCGAAACTGCGTAACCACTTCACAAACTCTGGGGCGTTCGGGATGTCAAATCTGGTCCAGTCCAGTATGAGGCTGACGCCATCTTCATGATGAGGTTCGGTAGATAGAGACGCTGAGAGTAACTGAGACTGCTTATCTTGCGTTGTTGAGCCTGATAACATTCCTGCGTGCGACAACGTGCGAGGTCGTTTGCGGGGTCCATAGGACTCGTCGGTGTCCGGAGTGAGTGGTGTTTCGTAGCGCGATTGCGACTGAAGAATGCCGAATCTCTTGTCTCCCACAAGAGACGCAACCCACATGAGACGGGCATATGGAACGCTCTCCGTCTTGCCATACTCGAGACGGCTCCAGATTGAGGAATCCTCTGCCCATTCTTTGAACGTCTCTACATTGAGTGTAGAGTCTCCAATCCAGGACGTGAATGAGGGATTGGCGTATACCAAAGACGAATGAATGGGTACGTCACCAAGTATTTCCGAATGTTCGACAACGATGGAAGGCGATGCATGACTTTCAAGGAACTCTCTGAGCAGACCAAGAGGGCTTGAACCCGCGGCATTGTTCGGCATATTCATGCAGGAGAAGCCGCGTTACCAGAGAGAATTCTCCCAAAAAAAAATTCTTCAGGCTGGCCTTCCGTAAGTTGAGGTAGCTGTGCTCAGGAATTGTCTGGTGGTCCTGGGCGTCGACGAGGCTTCAGTCCAATGGAATAGAAAAAAGAGAAAGATGGAGAGAAATAGGGCAGGCAAGAGATGGAATAACTGCCTAGAGGCGGAAATAGCCTCTCCCACAAGAAGGGCACTATCTTTTCGAAGAGATGCTCAAAGCCACATGCACATTAACGAATCAAAACGTCTTTCCCGGCTCGTGTGCGTCCGCTTCCGAAGGGTATATGTGGCTGAACGCCTCGTCGAGCGCCCGATTCGGAAGTAACGCTAATTGACCCAAAACGTTACACCATATTTCATTATTTCACTCCACCGGATCAGATGCACTACTAGTGCGCCCTTAAAGAGCACCCGCAGTAGTGTCATCGGTGACGGGTAGCCCTGTGGTGCATGTGAGATTACAGATCTTCCTTAGGGTATCCGAGGGGATGGGTCGCATCATGCCCAAACGGGATTTCCGAATTGATGGTGGATCCAAGGTACCGGCAACACACGCGATAGAACAGTATATCGGCAGAACGGCAAGATGGTACAGTAATTCTTTCGCTTGTTCTATGAAGACGAGCTTTAATCTCGCGAAGGTAATTTCGAACACGTAGTGCCCGACTCAGTTATACCGCAGAAATGGTTCGAGAGGCGCAGACGAAAGGTTGCGCTTCGTGACGCGAGAAAAGCAACGAGATTTCCCGTCTTCTTATTCGTCCTCGAGAGCCACCCCGGACGTGATGCGGAATCTGGTGGTACAAGGTCGCTGCAGAGTAAAGCAGATGATAGTTGCTTCTCTTTCATCGCCGATGAACGTGTATCGAAGATTTGCCTGCGTCAGACGCTCGAGCTACAACTTCGCTGGTTGTTGATTTATTCTCAGATCGTCTCGGGTCAGCTCTGTCAAGGACGTCTTTCCTAAGTTCGCCAAAGAGTTGTCCGTATCTGCCAGCAGGCAATCCAGGACGTGCTTGACGCCAGCCTCGCCTCCCATGGCAAGCCCATAGACATACGGCCGGCCAACCAATACAGCCTTTGCACCTAGGGCGATGGCTTTCAGGACATCTGATCCTGTGCGCACGCCACTGTCAAATAGGACGGTCAAACCCGAACCCTTGACCTTCTCATCGGCGCCAATCTCAGCCAAAGCGTCAAGAGAAGAGATGGCGCCATCGAGCTGTCGGCCGCCATGGTTGGAAACGATGATGCCGTCCATTCCATAATCGATAGCCTTATGCGCGTCTTCGACAGTCTGAATGCCCTTGAGCACAACAGGGCCATCCCAGTATTTCTTGAGGGTGTGGAGATCGTCCCAGTGGCGGTAAGTCCCGGACGAAATAAGGCTGATAAAGAGCTGTGCTTTCTTCATTGTCGCAGCATTCGTGAGGACTTTGGCGGTTCCGGTAATGCTTCCAGGGCGTTTGAGAATCTCCCATATCTCTCCAAGCCTCTCGGTTGCGCTGCGAGTGTCCTCCGCTTGCATCTTCTCGTACATGCGCTGGAAAACAGGATCCGAAAAGCCCACCTGGCAGCCTTGCCCGTAGATGAAAGGCAGATATGATTCGTCGAGATCGCTGGGCCTCCACCCGAGTGTGAATGTGTCGAGCGTGACTACCAAAACCTGGTAGCCACTCGCTTTGGCACGACTCAGCAGGCTCGCGGTGAATTCATCGGCTTGAGGCTTGGGCCAGTACAACTGAAACCATCGGTCCCCTTCGCCGTTAGCGTTTGCCACTTGCTCAATGGATCTTGTCGCTGCCGTAGACAGGATCATGGGAACATTGGCAGCGGCGCACGCCCGCGCAGTCGCCTCTTCAGCCTCTTGATGAGCGATTTCTTGCACGCCAATTGGAGCCACAAGCAGCGGGCTTTTATATCGGCGTCCAAAGAGCTCCACGGATAGGTCTCTCCGCGTAGCCTGAACCAGCATCCACGGACGCAGCCGGTAGCGTTCAAAGGCTGAGACATTGGCTTTACAGGTTGATTCGCTTCCGGCCGATCCATTGATGTACATAAAGTTGGGCAGCGGCATGGCATTCCGCGCCTGGGCCTCCCATTCTAATGGCTTGGTGGAGAACCTCGGCTTGCGCAGGCTGGCGTAGATGTTGCGCTGGTATTCGACGAAGGAATTAGGATCCGGCTCGTAGTATTGGGTGTCGTTTGAGTTAGAGTTTCTGTCGGCCATTGTGATAGCGTTTGATCGTAAATGTGGATCTGCACGATGGTCGTTGCGTCGAAGTGAAAGACAGGGTAGTTATCAACGAGTCCTGTCAACGTATGGGACAACGGGATCGGGAGTAAGATGCGAGGTAATAAGATGTCGCTGAGGAGAGATGAAGTGACAAAGTGCCATGACGCCATTGGCCGCGGAGGAGGAGAGGAGTTGGGGAAGGAGCTGATGATTGCCGAGGCTCAGAGAAACATATGCCCCGCCCAACAAACCTGCAGTCGATCTGCGTAGATGTCGTGGCAGGGCCGAATTAGCTGTCATTCTACAGTCTGCGCATCTAGTTGTATCCTCCATCACACCTGTTATCAGTGAAAGTACCAATCCACGTGCTTCGCCCAAGCTGGGTTAGCTTCCGTCCACCAACAACTCGAAGGTTCCGTGTCTCGTCTCGGAAGCAAACACACCGACATTCTGCAGCACAGCACACAAACGGCCGCAATAATGCCACGGCTCGCTTCGCTCTCTCCCTCCAAGGCAGTATCACTGCCGCGATGCCGTCTTCCGCGCCCTCCCTAGCCACTATAATCCTCATATCCGCCGTAGCAGTCGCTCTCCTCGCACTCCAATGGAACTACAACGCTCAATGCGCATCCCCAAGCGCGCCGCCAGACGCCGAGACCACGCATTCGGGATACTTTGATTACGAGTGCGCGGGTAAACCGCACCATTCGAGCTGGAGCAGCTGGTGGCATCCACAGCGAAAAACATGGAGCGGAGTGGAATCCAGCCATAGCCATGGAAGAGGCGCGGGCGCTGTCACAAAGGATTGGAATATCCTATACCATTTAGGAGGTAATGGGCCATGGGTGGAGAAGGTGGTGGATATAGTGGAGGGAGGCATTGCAGTGCCAGAGGGTTGCGAGGTCGAGCAGGTGCATATGATGGCTCGACATGCCGAGCGGTACCCTACGGTTCGAGTAGCCAAGAGTGGGTGCTAGGCTTCAAGTCCCCATGATTGTGGGAAGCTTACGGTGAGCGTCAGGGATTCAGATGCTCGTGGAGAGGATGAAGCAAAGCGGAATCCCTTTTACAGGCGATCTTACGTTCGTCAATGACTGGGAGCTCTTTTGGTCAGGTATGTCGTGCATTCTACCTTGCGTAAACTAGTCTAGACGAATAAACGGATTCTAAACCATCCCAAGACGACTCCCAAATCGAACAACTCACCGCCACGGGCCCCTTCAGCGGCACCCTCGGCTCTTTCACGACCGGCGTGCGCCTCCGAACCCGATACGCACACCTCCTCACGCGCGCCTTTTCGCTCCCCTCCAAACTGAAATTCTGGGCCAGCGACTCCCCACGCGTCATCGACACTGCCCGCTATTTCGGCACCGGCTTCTTCGGCCTCGACTGGGCCAACACCACACGTCTCGAAATAATATCCGAGCACTCGTCTCTCGGCGCCAATACGCTTACCCCAGGCGACACATGTCTCGCCTATGTCGAAGACGAGGAGGAGGGGCATGACAAGGGGTACACGATGTTAGATCGCTACCGCGCTACGTACCTAGGCGCAATCCGCATACGCCTCCTTAAGCAGAACCCCGAAATCGAATTCACAGACGACGAGATCTACGCCATGCAAGAAATGTGCGGCTTCGAGACGACAGTGCGGGGAAGCAGTCACTGGTGCGATGTGTTTACTCAAGACGAGTTTCGCAGCTTCGAGTATGCGAGGGATTTGCTGCATTACTATCGCGCGGGGCCGGGGACCAAGTATGGCGCTGTTATGGGGTGGTTGTGGTTGAATGCGACGACGAATCTGCTGCTAGAAGGACAGCGCGCCGGCCCTTTATTCTTCAGCTTGTGAGTGTGTGGCGGAGTACTGGAGTTAAACGTGAGGCTAACGGGAAAGCAGTGTGCATGACGGCGATATAGCACCTATGATCACGGCGCTCGATATTATCAATGATGAGGAGCATCTTCCTATTACGCATATCCCGGCGAATCGCAAGTGGAGGAAATCGCAGGTCTCTCCTATGGGTGGGCGGACCATCTTCGAGCTCCTCTCGTGCAAATCTAGCGATGGGACTACGGACCCAAGGAAGTACGTGAGGATCAACATCAACGACGGCATTACGGCTATTCCGAGCTGCGATAGTGGTCCGGGGAGGAGTTGCCCGCTAGAAGAATTCGCGGCTAGAACGAAGAGAAAAGGTGAAGAGGTTGGAGATTTCAGAGAGAAGTGCGGATTGGGTGAGGATGCTGCGGATAGAATTACCTTCTTGCGGCAGTGAGGGTTGTGTGCTTGGCTAGACTCTGGAAATACTAGGTAGTCAACAAAACGTAACTTAACATTACATCCTCCAAAGGTGCCACGACCGATCCTTAACCTCTCAAAATAAAAACCATAATCTATACAGTATCAAACCCTTACACCACAACAACCTTGTCATTAAACCGCCAACTTCTTCCGCAAACCGTCCATCAAAGCATTCAATACCCATACTTCTCCAGCTCCGCCTCCGTCCACTCCCACAGCTTCTTCGCCAACCCCATATCCCTCCCATACGTACTCCCCTGCGCCAGCACACCCACCGGCTTATAAAACCCGCCATTCTGCAGCTTCTCCTTCCCCACCGTCGCCGCCCACGTCTGATTCAGCGCCCCACCCCTCGTATCCTTAAAATGGCCCGGCAAAACCGGAAACAGCAGCGCATACACCCACATGCCCATCTTCAAGAAGAAATTCTGCCGCAGCGACTGGTACAAGTCCGTAATAATGACCCCCGGATGTATTGACACAGACGTAATCTGCGGATACCGCGCCGCCAGCTCCCGCGTGAAGAGAATGTTCGCGAGTTTAGACTGCCCATAGCGCCGCCAGGTGTTCTGCTTCTCCAGCGCGGCCTGGTCCCACAGGATCCCGCCGCTGGGCGCCATCATATGCCCCATACTCGTGATATTCACGATGCGCACATCGGCGCCGTCCTGCGCCGCCGTCTCCAGCAACACGGGCAGGAGCAGCTTCGTCAGCAGCGCGTGGCCCATGTGGTTCGTGCCGAACTGGATCTCGTAGCCCTCCTTGGTGAGGCTGTAGGGGCACGCCATGACGCCGGCATTGTTGATGAGGATGTCGAGGCGCGATTCTCGGGCCTTGAAAGTCTGGGCGGCCGCGGCGATGGACGAGAAGGAGGTCAGGTCGAGCGGGAGGTGGATGATTTCGCAGGCGGAGGGGACGGCGGCGCGGATGTCGGCGATTGCGGCGCTGGCTTTGGAGGCGGTGCGCGCGGCGAGGTAGATGCGGGCGGGGGAGTGGGCGGCGAGGTAGGTGATGGTTTGTTTGCCTAGGCCGGCGTTTCCTAGTGGTTCTAGTCAGCTTTGCCCTTCTCTCCTTTTCTCTCTCTATGGCGCCGTGGAGTCCCATACCTCCCGTCACCAGAATGACCTTGCCCTCCAAACTCGGGATATCCTTCGCAGGCTCAAAAGACGTAGTGACACCCATTTTACCAAACCAGTGCTCGCGCAATTCCGGAATAAGAAACTCGGGTACTACAACTGTAACGAGAACAAGATACTGCGTTATTTGCTCCCATATATATAGCAGAATTGACAGCGGCGGGTGAGGTGATGGTCGGCGCGATAGTTCGTCCATGCCGGACGTAAGAGCTGCCGGGAAGGGCAGCTCATGGTGAGGTGACGTCGTATCGCTTAATGTGGCCAATCGCTGATGAGGATTGCGTGTGCTTTCGACCGCGAGCGGAGCAACATTTTTGGGGACGGAAAGGAGTCGGAGGTTGTGGAGTAGAAAGTTAAGAGTGTATGAGAGCGCAAGAGATGAGGTCTGCCCGATCGGCTGCCGTCTGTGACTGGGGCTAGTCACAGTGCTTACGTGCATGTGAAGCTGTGCCGTAAAGGGACAGGGAGTGTAAGCGCACTCGGATCTACTAGAACGCCTTACTTGTACCTGCAGGCGACGGGCTAGCGTTGAAGGACTCTGCCTGTAGCACTGAGCATTTGCTGCGCGAACGATGTTGAGATCAGAAAGCTTTAAATCTTCTATCAATATGACTAAACTACCCCTTGTTGTCTATGTGAGCTCATGCCAGCAAGGTACCGCCCATGATACCTTTGTAAAAGTGTAAGGAATGCCGAGATATTCAATAAAATCGTAAGTCATCATTAGTCCATACCCGATATGATTTGCCCAAAACCGCCCCGAAAGAATAGGAAATGTGATAGTAGTCCAGAGCTAGAACCGAGAAGCCATCTGCTCCATCCTTTGCTTCAGTCTCTGGTACGGATTATTGTACCCTTCAGGTTCACCAGCCGTCAGATCTTCGACGACTATTGGACGTTGCTGTTGAGTTGGCGCAGATAGGTTGTGAGGTTGAGTACTGCCGGTAGACTGCCGAGAGATGTGACGCAGCCGATGCTCTGCAGAAGCCGTAGCCCCGAACGATGACAGTAGATCCCGCCTCTCCTGCTCGACGTCATCCTCCATGAGATCAATAGCTCCGTCGTACTGCGGGAGTGGGCGGGAAGAAGCCTGAGGGCGGGGTTTCTGCGCTGGTTGAGCTGGAACAGACGCTTTCGGTTGCACTGGGGACTGGGACACATTCCGCAGAACCTCCTGAGGCTGTTCAGGCGCTCTTATGGGACCGGCGAAGCGCGATCTCGAAGAGGAGATCGGTAGGCCTGCCTGCTGTGGTGGAGGAGTGTGGGATGGAAGCGCCCAAGGAGCTCCGACAAAACTGCCCACCATCGAGTAAGAGGTCATTGGCGCTGTAGACACAGACTGGCTCATGGGCGCGGTGGAGGGAGCCATGGTTCCCATTGGGGCAGGAGGCACACGATAGCTGTTTAGCTCCGAAATACGGTTCTGACGTGCTTCTGGCGGCGTGGCGAGCGGCCCACGAGTCGATTCTCGAATAGGAGCTGTAGCGGGTGGCACAGTAGCGTCTCCAAGCCTCTGAGGAGGCGTATTCCGAGTAGGTAATGACACTGGAAGACCAGCAATTGAGGTCAGCGCCTTCTGGGGCCTTTGATTCGCATGGGACGGCGTTGTAGTCGGTTGTTTGTGGATCGCAGAGCGAGATGACATCGGCACTTGGTTGATAAACGGAGGTCTTGGTGTTTGCAGACTGCCTGATGGCGTTATACCGCCCGCAAAAGCTTGTGCGCTCGCAAGGAACGGCGAGGGTGTAGCGGCACCGAGAGTACTTGTAGAAATGGAGCCTGGATTAGTACGTTTTCGCTTGGGTGGACGAGGGTCGACTGGAGAAGTCGCTGGCTGGTCCTCGGTCTGCATAGTCGCCGAGGGCGCTGGCCTGCTTCCTGGCAACACTGTTGCCGGCTTTGTTCTCGCCGTGGGTCTCCCTCTCCTTGCAACCGTCGGAACCGCCGCGACTGCAGCTTGCTGGATAGGTGTAGGGGCACCTGGCGTAGGAGCAGGCCTAGCCTTCACACTGCGGTTAATCGTGCTTCCGTCCACAGCGCCTCGAATCTGCTCTAATTTATCGATGAAGTCCCAGATGAATCTCCATATCGTTCTATTCATGCGAATGTCGTGAAAATTCTCGCGGAGCGCGCTCCGCAGCGCCTGGATGTCACCAAGCAGCAGCCTGTTGTTTCGCGTATCTGAATACATGGATATCAGGACAGTGACCGCGACCATCTCAATCGGTGCGAAAGTCTGGACGCCTTTGAGCGTCTTGTCGGCATTAGTGAACGTGTTCGGGTCCTCTTCGATGAGATCCTTGAAAGTGTTGAAGACGCTTGCTAGATGAGACTTCATTCCGTCGTCTACGGCACCCTTGTTTTCCAACAACTTCGGCAGCGATGTGTAGGTGGTCTTTAACGTTGGAACTCCGTTGGGGGCGCTAGGATGTTGCACCTCCACGATCTGGCTGAAGCATGACAGCGCGATTTGAAAGTCCTTGGCACGGGCGCGATCCTTCAGCAACGAAAAGATGACCCCGAAGTCGTTGACGAAGAGGCGTGCAAGCTCCTGCCATGGTCCGGTCGACGCGCGCATCTTCTCCGGTAGGGTGAGCTGCATGCCCATTTGTACCCTAGCGAAGAGATCCTCCTCCTGCACCTCGGAAAGATCCGCATATTCGAAGGAGACAAATTCCCTCTGGAGGAACTGCTTCTGCGTTTCCTCGGATAGAACCTTCTTTCGCCGACTGTTTTGGCCGTCGCAGAACCACCATTTCGCACCGAGATGGTCGTGGCAGGGTATCATACCCTTTATGAACGCTTTCACGGAGGACAGGCGCTGTTTTCCATCAACGCAGATGAGCGTGTGCTTCGGCGCGACGCCATCCTCAGCGATTCGCGTCTTCTTGTTGAGAATGATAGGTGGAATGTAATAGTTTTCTTCATGCCTAGGTTAGCCTGGGGTCGTATAAAATGAGCGCTACTCACCCATTAGCGAATCGATGAGGCCCGTCATACGGTCGGCTGTATCATGATGTCAGCAAGCTGTTGTATGTACATGCATTCGCAAATCGTGGGCTTACCTGTCCACACCACATCTCTCTGGTACTCGGGTTCCACGTCGATAATGCCGTCGTCAAGGCCCTCTAGAGATAATTAGCGACTATATCGTTCGATTGCCGGAGATATATACTCATGAGATAAGCAATGGGGCGTTTGAAGACGCCTGGCTCCACGAGCTGAGGTCGCGGTCTGTACATCGCACCTGCATCATCGTCCTCAGACTCTTCCTCGTCGAAAAAATCGGCCTGCCCGTCCACTTCATTCTTGACATCGGGCTGAGGCGTGTAAGTATTGACCGGCGCGAAAAGGTCTATGGAGTGAGCCTCGGAGTTGGCGCATACCTGGCTTGCTGGAGGATCCATTCTGGCCAGCCCTTGCAAGTTAATTGGTGGTGTGGGGCCAGTCTTGCGCCACAGTGTGGATTGACCCCACTGAGCCTTAGCTTATTTGCTCATCTAAGGTGTACTTTCCAGCCTATTTTAATTTACCTACCTAGGTAGTAAGCTAATTAGAAACAGGTGAGAGAAACTTTTCACCAAATAGAGTAGTCAGTGGAATTGTGAACTCTTATATACTGAGAGAAAAGCGGGACGAAACTAGTGGCTTGGCAGTGCTGCATTTCTGATTGGATTACTCGTGTCATGAGACCACTTGCATCAGCAATGTAACAGCGAAAGTATTTTAATAATTATTTCTTATGCATAGACTGCCAAAGCTGGACCTCTTGCTTCCCAAGAGGCCTTATGCATCCTAGCCCATGCGCATTATCTCCTAACAAGCTCTCGAAGCCCTCATCGCTGCGTTATTGAGTGGAGAGCTCCTCAAGGTCCTCTCCATGGTAGTCGGCCATGCCTTCCTTCACGACCCTTCGAAGCTGCGCGGCAGCACGGCCAAGCTCTCCGCCGCCCTTGAGTGCTTGCTCGAGCCCTGCAACAATCGCAGCCTCCGCTCGGTCGTGGAACACCCTCTGCCGATCTTCGCGGTCCTCGTACATCTCCGACTCCTCGTCCCGCGGCGGGCCAAATAGGTTCAGGTGCGCGTAGGGATTCGATCGCTTCGACAGCATGTGTTGCTCGGTGTGCCATAAAGGAAAGGTTGTCCCTGCTTCGACAGGCACTACTACTTGCGAGGGTATCAGGCCGACTTTAAGAAAAGCCGCAAGCGTATTCATCTGCTTGACCTGAAGTTTCGAATCTCCTCCTGCCTTCCCCGCCGACTTCACTGCAGACCATTTACTCGTCGCGTCATTCTGCCAGCCCAGCAGACTGAGGAAACACTTCAACGTCTTCACCCAGCCTCCAGCGCAGCTAACAACGTCGTCGCCGGCTGCCTCGAGTAGCCATTCCAGAACGTCGAGCGCAAAGATCCGGATGTCGGTAGCAAGGTGCGTCATGCCGGCTCGGGTGTGGAGCAAGAGCTGGTCGGTGTGGCTGGGGATGTCTGCTTTCGGTAGACTTTGGAAGAGCTTCAGAAGCTGCTGTCGGACGCCGTTGGATCCATCCAGGATGAGCCGCTGCACCGTAGGTATGATGACCGACGATGGCTGCGGCAGAGGCAATCCCGGGGGGTTAGTAGATATCGCTGTCGTCAGGTATGCGAGCGATTCGCGCCTTTGCGTCTCAGATTTGTGAGAGAGCAAAGCCAAATGGTGCGCGCATTGAGCTTCAACAGTTGGCGCATTGGTAGAAAGAGACTGTTGCTTCAATGCAATGGCTAGAGCAATGTCAGCCGAAAGCCGCCTGAATAGACGTTCGAGAGACATACACTTCGCCTTGAAGCTCGTGTCGGTGGAGTTGGCTGCCTTCGGCTTTGCTTTCCCAACTTTCAATTTCGGTTTCTAGTATTATCAGCGGCTGGTCAAGCTGCCGCACCTAGTAGTCGCCGACAGGACGGTGTCCGAACGCTTATGTCGAGAGTTTCGAGAAGCAATGGATGTAGCCCGTGGCAAAGCTACCTGGGAGCCTTCAGGTCGGGCTATCCCCAAACGCACGGACTGTCCCGCCGGCGACCATCCGATGGTGAGGGTTTCGTTCTTGAACGGACCTGGAAATCCTTCTTCTTTTCCTTCTTCTTCTTAGCGCTGGAACCCATGTTGATCACCCGCTGTCGCGGTATTTGCTTGAAAGAACGTGCGAGTAGGTTAATTGCGTGGAGAGCATGAATGCTAAGAAATTCGTCTACGTCGACCCATAGGTGTCTGCTGAGATGGTCGTGCTTTTCGAGAGAATTTTGAAAGCCGACAAGTCAGACTATGCCGCTTCTGGCATAGCTCCAAGTCCAAGCTTGGCGCGCGACTGGGATGCTACTCCAGGAACATTTGCCCGGCAATCATCAACAAACATTTGATAACCCTACAACATATCCGCGACGGCTCCTCCGATACTTAGCTTTGCTCGTCTCACAATATTCGGTACTTATACGCAACAGCATGGCACAGAATACGGTAAGTAGCCGGTGCCCTGATTTGCAACCGGACTTAACATTTCTCCCAGCCAGACGAGACTCTTTCCCTTCTTACTCGCCTGAGCCAGAAGCCAGGAGTGCAGAGCACGCTGGTCTTGTCCCGCGAAACTGGAGCCATCGTGCGAACGTCCGGCTTGATCTCGAATTCCACGTCCGCAAACCCAAATAGCACCCTTCCCGCATCGAGCGGAGCTGCGCCAGAGAACTACACCAATGGCAAGAAGGAGGGCGGCATCCAGAGCGCTGAGGACGTAGCGAGCATGGTATGGTCATTCATAAGTGCTGCAAGCAGTCTGGTGGAGGGTCTAGACAAGGAAGATGAGGTCAAGCTGCTGCGCCTCAGGACGAAGAAGAATGAGTTGGTTATAGTACCAGGTGAGCAGAGAGCCAACCATCTAGGTTCTTTCCAATTTTTTGACCGAGGCTAGATCCCAAGTTCATTCTTGTGGTAATACATGATACCCCGCCGGCATGAAGATCCACGCAAGCTTCCCTTCAGCGTTCGAATGACACTCCTCCTACTCAGACCCAGCAATTTCAGTGCATTTACCAGTGCGTCTCACTGATCTCGACCGTGTTCACATCGACGCCCTCCTTAAACCAACGATCTGCGGAAAGGTCAGGGTCATTGCACCTTTCGGACGGGAGTCTCCTTACCAGACTCGCTGATCTCGACATCGTTGCCGCTCATCTGCCTCTTGCGCATCCTGCCATCTTCCGCAAACGTCCAATCCTCGAGACCATAGCATCTCTTCCACTTCATACCGTCGTGCGCATCCTGGTACTCGTACCAAAACTGGACGGCGATCTTGTTGTCGGTGAATGCGAATAACTCTTTCCGAAGGCGGTAGTTCTTCTCCTTCTGCCACTTCTTGCTCAAGAAGTCCTCAATGGCAGCGGTGCCGGTGAGGAAGAAATGTCGGTTTCTCCAAATACTGTCGGGAGTATACGCCTTGGCGACGGTCGTTGGGTCCCTGGAGTGGTCAGCTTGGGTTCTATGGGCTTCGGTGAGGCATTGCGCACTGGGTATTCCAGAGGTCCTGTGCCTTCTTGACTTTCACGTGAGCTGTCTCTTCGGTAAAGGGTGGAGCAAGAGACATTGTTGTATCTTTCGAGATAAGTCGAGACTACGAGAGAAATTGGAGGATAGTATGAAGATGGTAGCAGATTCTCTAGACTTATATAAGTACTCAGTCTGTCTGTCTCCGAGATGGCTTCAAGAGAGTGATATGGAGTTAAGACCATCGATGAAGCTCACCATAATCTATTCCCCGCAAGACGAATCCCAATCGTACAGCTCTCTCCTTACACGTCTAGCAATATTCTGCTTTTCTTACCCCCGACGTGCCGGCTGCGGCATCTTGCGGGCCGAGCTTACTCAACAGTTGGGAGCTTGTTCCGACGGTATTCCGAAGCACGCACGCAAATGCTTACCTAAATAGTAGGGCGCTTACAGGAACACATATATTTGGAATTATAGCTTTATGCGGGGACCCTGTTGGGCACAGAAGCTGTCTCCGATAGCTCGGAGCTCGGCTGATGACGCAATGGCCCCGCAGGCTGGCCGCGACCACAGCAATTTGTGAAGCACATTTGTCTTCCAGAAGCTCAGCGCTGTCTCACATCTCACGCTTCAAAAGGATCACAATTCCCTTCAATTACTCTCACCAACGCTCTTTAGTTCGCAATGGCACCTCTACAAGTCGGCGACACGCTCCCGGAGGGCGTTAAGTTTGAGTCCGTGTTCCCCGAATTAGACTACGTACGTCTCTGTAAGCATGGCTAATCCGGCCGTACAGGTGGGCGCCCATCACAGACTCGGACCCGACTGCTTGCGGTCTTCCGCAGGAGTACGATGCAAGCAAAGAATGGAAGGACAAGAAGGTCGTGCTGTTCAGCGTTCCCGGTGCGTTCACCTCCCCTCCCGCTTCCCTCCTCTCCTGCGTAGGCTCAGCTAATCAGAGCTGCACTAGGTGCCTTCACCCCCGGCTGCCAGGCCCGCCATCTCCCGCCGTACATCGAGAACCTGAGCAAGTTCAAGTCCAAGGGCGTCGATGTCGTGGCGGTCATTGCGTCGAACGACTCGTGGGTTATGAACGCTTGGGGCAAGGTCAATGGCGTCAAGGGGGATGATATTGTAAGGGACACGGAAAGCTTTTGTTAGGAGAAGGAGTGGCTAATGAGGATGCAGCTCTTCCTCAGCGATACCAAGACGTTCTTCTCTAAACACTACGGATGGCCTGCTGGTATGGGCGACCGCAAGTATGTCATCGTCCCCCATTCCCTATGTTGTGGGAGGGCTGTGCTGACGGAGGGATAGTGGCCGATGGGCAATGGTGTTCGACCACGGCAAGGTCACCTACGCCGGGAATGAGAAGAGCCCGGGCGAGGTATCGGTAAGCTCGGATGCCTTCAGGCTCTTTTGGCAAACTACTCACATGATTGCAGGTCTCCGGCGCCGAAGCTGTCCTCTCGAAGCTATGATATCGCTGTGGATAAGGTTGGTCCATGACTGAACGGCGCGCAGGGCTTAGATATTTAGACAACCTCTAAATGAGGCTTTAGACTCAGGGAGCCACAATGAGAAAGTCGTTCAGATACTAAACAACCGTACTCTATTCGCTTGATTCAACTGCTTTGCAAGGGCCCATCGTAGATGGCAGTGTGCTGACATACTATCTGTTTCTGCCATGCATACTGGCTTTTCTTGCACGAGCTCAACCGTCATTCGTTTCCTGAGTTCTGTCGCTCGTGCTTGCTGTTCGATCTCCAGGTGGGCCCGTGAACACGTTGAATTCACGCAACCTCGGGCAAGCAAAAGGGCGAGGGGCGAGGAAGTAACAGAAGCCGGAAGTCTGAAAATCTAGACCGTCAGCCATAGCTTTGGAGAGATAATGACAAAGGGCTTTCTCTTACATCTAGGGATCTATAGCAGTCTCTGAATCTGAAACGAAGTCATGGTTGGGGGAGGTTTGATAAGAACTAAGAGGGAAAGTAGTAGGACGAAGTAAGTAAGACGAGCTTCCAATTCTGTTATTGCTAGGCGTTATTACGGCCAGCAGAAGGATAGCATTGATAGGAGACAAGTGGATGCGTAGTGCCGGCTCGGGTAGACGCAGGTTTTCCCAACCGACAACCCAACAGTGCCAAAAAAAGACAGCAAGTGACTCCCACTCCGGCAAAAAGTATGGCGGTATTTGCTCTCCCTCGGGGAATCGAACCCCGGTCTCCCGCGCTTGTTACGCTCCTGAAGAGTGATGACAAGCGGAAATCGTGACCACTGCGTTGCTGGTTAGCAGTGCTTAGTATTGAAGGCTGATGGTGGAACAAACCTAGACCAAGGAAGATTTCTGACTTGTTTACGTGATGGATGAACGTAATTCTAAGACTGAATAGTATATATATACAGAAGTTTGTGCCGCAGTAGGCGATGAGGGGTAAGTGAGCCGGAAGCAGTAGAATTCGGGTGGACAATTTCGATTGTGAGACATCACATGGGGCCGGCGAGCTATCATGCTTGGTCAGATGGCATTGGGTGCGGTCTCTCGAGGCGTGGAATTCTCCGGATAGAACGACGTGCACCCTGGAGGCCTTCACAGATGCGTACAATAGGACGTATAATTCGCGGCGCCAATCTTACTTACTTGTACGGCGAGCCCTGGGATCCGGAGAATTTTCTACCGCAAGAGGCGGTTACAAAGCCGGTCGAATCAGGCCTCACGACGACTGGTCCATGTTGGTAGCACTGTGCTGGCAATGCAGCTCTATCACGATTTGAGTACAATATTTGGTACAGGCAATATCACCAGGCGCTGAGCTCGAGTCCATGCGGCCTTAGCCTCCCATTGAGTCCAACTTTCCGCAATGCACGAAGATAGATGTACCGCCACATTCGAGCCGCTAATTCAGGTGAAATCCGAAGCGGTAGATACCGGACGACATGTTTCCTCTAACGCGCGTATCCGGAATCAGCGAAGATTCGGTGCCTTGCAGACATATCATGCATCGAGAAATGCCCTCGGCGTGCGCGTGTTTAAAGGAAGGCTCTGCGACAGAGTTGGACAAGACTTTTGGCGGAGTAGCTTAGTCATCCGCGCTAACCTGAGCCGCTCCTCAAGTTCTTCCCACTTTTCCAAGGCTCCTCAACCCACCATGGACACCCTCGATAATACAGAATGGGATGTGCTCATCGTGGGCACCGGCTTGCAGCAGTCGCTGCTTGCTCTGTATGACGCCCCCCTTCGCGCAGTTTGTGTGACGCAATCTGACTGACGCAGCATCTGAAGAGCCCTCTCGCGCTCGGGAAAGAAAATCCTCCACATCGATGAGAACGACTACTATGGGGAGGCCGAAGCTGCCTTCAGCTTACAGGAAGCTGAGGAATGGGTAGAGAAGGTGGCCGAGGGTACGTGAACTTATTCCGCTGAACCCGACGACTCTGACCCCTCAAAGGTTCACCCACTGCTGCCTCCTCCAATGCCTCCATCAATATCCCGCAGTATCCAGAACATGCCACGCCGGCGTCGAAATTATCATTTTCGAGAGCATATAACCTAGCACTAGCACCACAGATCATCTACGCTCGCTCTAGCATCCTGCAATACCTCGTGTCGTCGAAGGTGTATCGACAGCTAGAATTCCTCGCCGTCGGGAGTTGGTGGGTGTACGGCCCAGATACAAACATTGCAGGCGATGCCTCGCGGCTCACCCAACCCGGCAAACTCCTCAAGGTGCCAAATGGGAGAGAAGATATTTTCCAGGACCACGAGCTTGACTTCAAAGCAAAGCGAGCACTAATGAAATTCCTACGGTTCATCGGCGAATACGAAGAGCAGACGGAAGTCTGGGAAGAGCACCGCAGTCAGCCCTTCCCTGTCTTCCTGTCGCAGCAATTTAAGATTCCTGTCGCTCTACATCGCCCGCTTTTAGCACTTACCTTGTCAAGTTCAAGCTCAGATCACACAACTACCGAGTACGCGCTCCCACGGATAGCGAGGCATTTACGGTCTATCGGCGTCTTCGGAGCAGGATTCGGAGCCGTCACGCCGAAATGGGGCGGCTTGTCTGAGATCAGTCAAGTCGCCTGTCGCGCGTCTGCTGTGGGGGGCGGTGTATACGTCCTCGGAAAAGGACTCTCCGGGATCGATAACATAAGTTCGAATGAGCAAAAAGGTACCAGCAGTATCAGGCTTCGTCTGAAAGATGGCGAAGCTATCACTGCGCGTTGGGTGGTCGGTGAGGGCTCTCCTGACCAGACCCAGGAAACCTTCTGCAAATCCATCGTCATCGTCTCCTCAGCGCTCACGTCCCTCTTTCCGCCTATCGCAGAGGAAGGACCAACGCCAGCTGCCGCAGTGGTCATCTTCCCTTCCGATTCTCTATTGCAGGATGGTCAACCTGGGGAAGAACAAGAACTACAACCGGTGCACATAGTCATCCATTCCAGCGACACTGGCGAATGTCCCGCGGGCCAAAGTAAGTCATTTCCCCTGTGCTTACTCATGCCATCATGATGATCAACCTTTTGAATACTTATCTACATTGTCTGAACAACATTGAAGATACACAACCTCTGACAACCTGATATTGGCCCCTTCATCTCAATCTTTACTGAACCGCTCCGCAATTCCTTCAGGCGACTGACAAATCCAGGCATACTGTACGCTTCTACCTCCATGAGCGGGAAGCGCGGCTTCCGTCTCCTCCAGCAAGCTGTATCCGTGCTTCTCTCAACCGTTGTCGATGGATCGGCAGCAAGTGTCTTGTGGTCTGTTCAGTACGAGCAGCGAGCTGGCTCAACCGATCTATCCTCCGCAGGTACTGGAGATCATATACTCAAAATCACTCCTCCACCGATGGACCTCGCGTTCGACGACTCCACCCTAGACCGTGTCAAAGAAGTGTGGCAGAAGATAATGGGCGATGGTGCAGAGGAATTCTTGGTTTTCGAGGATAGGGAAGCATACGCGGAGGATGATGAATAATGCGGAAGACACGATGTGTGGCATGAGGACGGATCACGACTGACGATCTTCAGGACATCTCATAGAAGCTCGCTGGCGTTGGCGTTGGGTCGCCGAAGCTCCTGCTAAGAGAAAGTTTTATACCAAATCATGAACATGCTCAACTTCCCCTTGCGCTGCTCTTCCAGACCATAGCCTTTCCAATCATTCCTTCTATCTTCGAATAGAAACACCGGTGTCTGGGTCGCAGCATTTATTAAGCCAGTAGGGCCATTCTTTCGAATGAGCTGAAAGAAAATCGCGTAGACTTGCCTGTTTCGCAGCACAAGGCCTAGGCTAAGCTAAGCCGAGCAAGCCACGTGCCACCGCGTTTCCAGTCATCCTCGCGCTGACAATTCACGCGTCTTCTGGACCGTGTTTGCGTCCTCCTCATTTTGTCCGAAGGTCTATCTCTCCGCTTCCGCCTTGTCTTCTGCGGGGGTATATATATTTGCTATCATGACCTTCAATTCCCCACAACCAACATACTATCCCTTCCACACTCTTCACTTCCCACTGCGCAAGCAATTCCCACTATCCCCACTTCCACAGCTCCTCCCAGGGTAATCGCAGAATGAGTCAGTCTTTTCAGACTAGTCTGTACTCCATCTGGGCCGCCGTGCACTCTCCCTCCGGCCTGCCCTTCCCCACCACTGTTGCCCGCCTCACCTCTCTCGGTATCACGCGCTATCGAGTTGACTATGTGGCGCGCACGATAACGGCCTACCGTCCCTCTCCCGTACAGCCCACCAGCGATCCGCCCACGTCCTCTTCTGCGGCCGCTCTTCCTTCCTTCGCTGCAGACACGGCTCCCTTTCCAACGGCTCACCTCTACGCACTCGGATCTTGGGATAAAGAAGGAGTCGTGAAGGCGATTCGTCGAGCGCAGGCGGGCGAGGGGAATTACATCGAGTTCAGCGAAGCCGTTGTGGCGGCTGGGGTCACGGATTATACGTGCTATATTGAGGGGAAGAACGTTGTGTATGCTGGGGAGAAGGGGGAGATGCATGTTGAGTGGTTTCCTGGGGCTGGGCCGGGGAAGGATGAGTGAAGGGATAGGCGGAATCGTGTCACATTCTGTTGAAACTTGAACGAGCCTGAAGGCGGATTACCACGCTCGCCTTTCTAATAGCTTAGAGACGTACATGGATGTATAAATGGGATATGCGAAGCATAAAGGTGCTTCGAAGATCGGATTGGGAACCCGAGCAAAGAAAATGGGATCCCATATGCACACCCTCTCACTTCTTTGCCTTCTTCCTCGCTCCAGCGTCATCCGCTTCTACTCCTCTCTTCCCCGCAAGTCTCGAACTCTTCCTAGACCCTTCAGCTTTCGGCTTCTCTTTCTTCGCTGCTCCAGCAACGCCAGTCTTCCCCCTCCCTGCCGTCTTCTTTTCAACAGCTGCTGGCTTCGACTTTTTCGCGCTAGTGTTTGCCTTGGGTTTCTTGTTCTCTTTCTCCTCGCTATCGTTATTTGCTGATGGGGACTCGGACTTTTCTTCTTCGTTAGGCGCTTGCTTCTCCTCTACTTTCTTCTTGCCGCTAGATTTGGGCTGCGGCGCACCCTTTTTGGGCTCGTTCTTGGAGCCGGGCGAATTCTCGTACGAGCCGCCCTTCTTTTCGTATTCTTTGGAGAGTTTGGCTGCCTGGGTGAAAGGTCATTGTGGGCGTCCTCTAAGTGAAGTATATCAAGCCGGTAATCCTTCATGCTAATTCTTCAAACCTTGGAACGTCGCAAATGATTGGAGCTCCGAATGCGGGCTCAAGAACGGCAACGCGACTCGTGAGACGCATTATACATCTCAATCCACACCACAGAACCCTCTGCATAAGGAAAGAATCCAACAACATACCTTCCAGGCACTCCACTGGCCCTTCCCCCCGCCGTCCTTATTCGTTTCGTTCTTGACGTCCTCCTTGACTTTCTCCCTCAGTTTGGGGTCCGTTGGCTTTCCTTTGCTGGACGGCATTGTAGTCTCGAACGCGCGCTGTAGTCTACGAATGTATTTCTGAGGGCCAGAAAGAGTAAGAGTGGTGGATATTGGATTGAACGCGCGAGTTTCGGCGCGTCATGTGTACCCGCAAGTGGCGTTGTTTTGGCTTCTGAAGACATGACATCATGACTGCCGCTACTGTCGCGATGACACGTGCGTGTAAATAGCGCGCTAGTATCAAAGCGAAAGCAGAAGTAGAGCTGGAGAATGCATAGGGCTTCGTGGATATATCATCGATCATAGCGAGCTGGTTAATTCGTTAGCATCTGTTCTCCTCCACGCACTACTGAGCTCACAGATCTTTGAGAGCAACATCCTCCAACTTTAAGACACGATATGACTCAAGGAGGCTAGCGCAACTTCCGATATGGAAAACATGAGAACGAAGCGTTGAGGTGTACAAAAAACTCTCCCATGTTTAATGCCGCTCCTTCGCTCTCGCGGTGAGTTTTCCGGAGTCGTGTCAACGGCCAGTTGAAGTCATTCCGGCAAAAGATTTGCTTTTTCAACCTAATCTCCCCCGAATTTGGATCGTTTTCTGCTCCGTCTGAACTGGTTTTAGGCGAAAGAGAGGAGTTGAATGGGAGCGAAGGACGCATGGCGTCCGAAAGAAGCTTAGCTCGGAAAGCAGTGAGGGGTTTTACCTAGGTATGCTTCCGTGTGCTCCCCGTCCACTTTTATCCCTCCATCAATCTTCGACTTCGTCCACATCCTCTGCTAAATAGGTGTAGCCCTTGCCAGATATCAGTCTGATTAGAGTTGAACATGTCTTTCAGTTTGCATAGCCGCAACGGTTCAGCCGAAACAGATCGGTCTCGGACGCCACACGTATACTGCACCGCCAGTGAGCCGCCGTACATTGAAGAGACCAGATATGCAAGCTTCGGAATAATCAAAGGAGGAGAAGGTGCTCAATTGCTCTCGCAATTCCGGCCGTATGTTGGATGATACGCTTCAGTTCCGATTCATGCTAACACACGCTAGGGATAGACAGGCTCGGGGACCAAGTGGATAGATTCAGAGACAGAGCTGCCGTAGCGAACCGAGTGAGGCCTAGCTGCTCGTCAGTCAAGATATATCCGTCGCGTACCTGCAATGGGTTGTTCCGAATACCCCTCTATCCTACAGCGATGAACAGGGCGATGCAGCACAAAATACCCAGCATGCCGTGCAGTCCCCATCTCTGCGACTCTCGCGCTACTAAAGTAAGCGTGGATCCTTCAAGAATCGTTTATTTCCATCGCATCACTCTATTTGCGTAGACTGACCTCGTCTGGCTCTGTAAGAAGAGAGGCATCCACATGCATCACACCAATGCACTTGAGGGCCTGACCATAGTGATTGATCTCGCGCGCGAATTGGGTGGTTACTCGCCGAATAGCGAGATGCCGTCTTGAACGTGGTGGAGATGGATTCCGGATTACACGTCGCCAAAGCTCTTTCGAAAACGACCGTGTCGCTATATATGGGGGCGTCAGAGACTACTGCGTGAAACAGACTAGACATCCACCCGGGCTAAGCCTTCAGAAAGAGGACCCGCAGCACGATCTACTCTGGCACGCTCGCCTTCCAGGACCACCCGTATCCGAACTGGGGCCTTGAACCCCCAACTTCGTCTTGGCTTTCTCTTCGCAGAAATGTCGCCATATCGGTGCATCCCTATGCACCAGTGCGATGGAGGGATACTGGGAGACGTGAGAGAGGCGACTACACTTGAGCTCGTCTAGGACCAAATCTCGACATCGGAATCTTATATCAATTTTGACGACTCGCCGTTTCCGTCTCACTTTCTTCCGCAACTCTGGCCTATCGTCTTATCTTCCCCGGAGACAATGACAGCAAGTGAATGCGAGTTTGTACACTTCGAAAACCAAAATCAAAACAAGGGCTGGCAAACAAGATATCAAGCAGCAACAACATCAAACTCAGCAGTGTACTATTCAACCACTCCTCTAATTCGTCACGCTACGTCTCGTAGCAGAAAGACAGTAAGTACTAAATAATTCACATCGGCTCGCAGCTGCAGTCTCTGCGCCTACGCTGTTTCCTCGATCCCAGCATTCCCAGCGCGTTACTTACTCCTTCCGGACCACACTGCGACAGCGGCTCCGGCTTCCAACCGCAATGCCACTTCTTCCTATCTTCGACTCTCCACCATCATTATGCCTACCTGACCTTGGCTTCCGCGTTCTACACCACGAGAATTTTACAGCGCCCCATCACACATCAGCACCTATCAATATCTATACCACTATCGTTGGCACATATTCTTCCCTCGCCGCCGCACAAACCGCTGCTCTCCACGCCCTAGAGGCCTCACTCCGCGCATACGAAAAGTCCGGCTACAGCGGCAACGTATACAAAGAGATCGATCTGCAAATGCAGGGGCTGATCACTGAGATGGATGGAAAAGGACAAGAGAGGCCTATGAGCGAGTTCCGCATCGAGGCCGTAGAGTCGTGGAGCCCAGGCATCGTGCCACCAGACGGCGGAGAAGAGGAGGTATCGTTGTTTACGGACTCCGAGCGAGAGGCAACGCCAACCACGAACACTAAGAAAGACAAAGCGAAGCAGAAGGTCGTGGTCAAGTTGCCGCCGCACACGGACCGCGCCCCACTCCCTCAATACCCCTTCCCACGGGCACCACCGGATTTCGAACTAGAGAAAGACGACCACTGGACCCAGACACGGGTACCGTATTTCAGAAAGCGGCCCGATGAACCATTCCGGTCAGCAGATGATCCGCCTTACCGGGAAAACATGGGCTATGTACGCCGCTTCCTGAAGGCGCATGAGCTGCCGACGCCGACAATCGTGGTCGAGCAGCCTGATGGGTTTGCTATTGATATTGATATTGAAGAGCAGAAGGCAGAGGACGAATGCGACGACCGCCGAGACAGCAAGATCGAGGATGAAGAAGTCGGGACCCGTTCGCCGATGAGACGGTCGCTGTGGAGAAGGACTGCTAGTGCCCATGGGCACGATAGATTGGTGGAGCCCAACGGCGGGGTGTATGCGCAGAGTAAGCGGTTCAATGATGAATCTTCTTCCCCTGAGCAAGGAAAGAAGAGACTGACGCTCACTAGGCAATGAGCTGGGCGGCGGAGCGGATATCGGTCCTATCCACAGCGGACGGCGACATTCATCACCAGATCACTTGTGAGGTTGCGAGCGTACAGCGAGTTACTGGTGGTCGTTAGTTGGTTAATAGAGGTTCGATATGTGGAGCTCCTGATATCTGAGAAACACGGTTTACTAACTAGCGAAAATAGGTCCGGTAGCGGGTAGCGCCGCGAGGACGAAATATTGCTCCGATATAGGATGCCTCGAGGTTTCTGGTTATTGTGCAGGCCCAAATGCAGCATTGAACAAAATTCGCCCAGGTTCTGGTGCTTATGTCCCGTGGTTACTGTCTGGACTAACCTCGTTCGCGAAGGAGGTCTACCTGGACCTTTCACCTCGTAGTCGAAGTCTGGTTAAGGTACCCCTAAACCCAAGGTCCCATGGATGAAATACCAGCCGCGCACATCTCATTGGCTTCTCCTCCCACCGGGTCGCCACGAGCTCACGCCTTGCGTGCTCGAAGCGTGATGCCCAGCCTCGCCCGAAGTCCCGCTTTTCTCCCCATGCCTCACCCAGGCAAAAACCCACCGCCGCACCCAAGTAACACATAAATTCCCTTCTACCCCCTTTCCCTTCCCCATCCTACGTCCCCTCAACACCAGCTTCCCACGCATCTATCTCCCCGCATCCGCACCCTCCATAGCACAACATCTCAACAACGACAAGCAACGTACGATCCCCCCATCTCCGTCCTGCACACCCACAAACTAACTACTCTCCTCTGCAGTACAACATCTCAACAGCAACCAACAACAACAAATGTACGATCTCCCCCTCCTCCCCCCTCACAACCCAAAAACTAACTCCCTCCCCCTCTTAGCAAACATCCCCACCACCATGCTCTTCAAGCCCCTCCCCCTCCTCCCCCTCCTCCTCGCCCTCGCCGCCGCCGCTCCGTCCCCCGCCACCGCGGGTCGCGAATGCCAGCCCGGCCAGTACCGCTGCGACTACATCTCCTCGAACATCGAGGTGTGCGACGTGCACGGCTGGCACACGGCGGCGAGCTGCAAGGGCCAGACGTGCCGGTACAACGGGGGCAGTGAGGCGCCGTACTGCCACGATCAGTGAGTGAGGGAGATGCGAATGGCGTTGCGCCGGGCGGTGGGGTTGAGAAAGGTGAGTTGGCTGGCTTGTTGGGTTGGATTGGAGGGATGGTGTGGTGTGGTGTGGTGTGGTTACTGACTTGGCTTAGGTGTAGGACTGGCATGGGCTACTACTGGTGTGATTAGCGGTATGGGGCCTTTTTTTTTCATGGTTGTCTCGGGGTTTTTGGGTAGGGGAAGGTGGAGGGTGTTCTGGATGGGAATATTCTGGGGGTTCATTGTTCCCTCCTGGCTATTCTAGCCACCGTTCCATTGCCTTGAGCTTGAATGTACGCACTGTGACCTAGAGATCTCATATGCCCACGCCACGCACCACTTTCGCACTCTCCTCCAAGATCCTCACATCCACCTCTCAGGCGTCAATGCTCAACCTACGTCAACTAGACATATGCCTACTCCCTCAGCTCTGCGTCACCGCCCTCTCCACCATCTGCAACCGGCTATCCTCTCTACCCTATTGATATATCCAACTATATCTGCAATCGCAACTATAATCTATGCCGCCCCAATCCATTCCACTCGTGCACATCCACCACGGTAAATTACCCTCCCCGTCTCCTTCGCCAACCGCTCTTCATACATTCCTTCGCGCGAGAAAGTTAGTGACAAAGACGGCCGTCTAGGGACAAGTCGCCGACCCGAATATGTTTACAGGCGACGGCATATTCGAGCGCCATGGCGCTGGTGAAAGTCTGAGTAGTAGGGTGGGAATTGAAGATCAAAAATGACGACGACGGATCGGAGAAAGGCATTTCGGGTGTAGCAGTGTTGAAGAGTGTTGGTAAGGTTCGTGGTGCGAAACTAGCTAAAGAGCGAGAGACCAGTGTCGCTGCGGCAGAGTGAGCAACGCGCAGAGGAAAGAAGTCCATCGTCATGGCAGTTCATAATTCCGTCCCTAATGGCGGCGTGGATGGTGTATTTGCGCTGTACCGCCTTCAGGGCTTAGAAAAAGGGCTCAAGTCCTCGCTCTTACGACGTACGACGCAGACGGCGGAACGAAAGGGAAGAATACGTGCAGCTTACTCTGCATGGTATACCGTCGAGCGAATCTGGCGCAGTTGAAAAGAAATGGGACATACTTATGTTCTAAAAGAAGAAAATACTGGGGGCTCGGTCCGGGTGAAGCGAGTCTTGTCATGAGCGTCGATATCAAACCGGATTCTAAGAGGCACGGCAGAGACCCGATGGTGTACTTTATTTGAGTGGATATCTCGTGAAAGATGACCTTTGTAAGAAGTATGCAAGGATTCCTCAAGGAAATGCGTCCTCAGAATGGCGGACTGCTGCAGCAGACAGGTAGGAAGGCACGGGGTGACTCTTCCCGTTATGTCCTGGAGGAGGCAGCGCCGGCGAAGAAGCCAATTAGTAGCATCCATCACGCTATAGTAGTGTATCTCTCATAGTTGTATGATTAGGACGAACGAGTGAAGGATCTGATCGGGACCTGCGGGCAGGAGGGAGCGAGGGGCGAAGCCTACGGGCCTGGTAAGGTGGATGACAATGTTGCCTTGAGGTGTAGCTCTGTTTGCAAAAGCTACTAGGTGTCCTCGCGTGGTCTTTGATCGGGTTATTCCGGCGGCGAGCTTATCCATTGATTAGTCAGCAGTTCAAGGGGAAGCAACGCTCACCATCTGGTATGCTTCGACAGGGCTCTCCGGCGCGATTCTGGAGAAAAGGTGGACCCCGCAGACCTGAGTCTGACCAATGGGTCGGTTGAATATGTGGTTACATTGCTGCTCCAGTCGTTGCGCGGTCGTCGGCGTCGCCTGCGAGGAGTTGGTTGCCTATCGGGGTGGCGCTCCTAAGATGATGACCTTTCCATGTGACTGCCCTGGCTGGTATTTCCTCTTTGCATCCGCCGATTCCAGTGGTGCTCTCTCGTTTGGTTTATTCGGGAGGTCCATCGTCGATCGCTGTAGTCCTATCCCATTCCTGCTTGCTCTTCCGGCTGCGAAGCGCCGCTCAGCCACGGTAATAAAATTACACTTCAATATATATGACTATGCTTTGGCGACTGAGCCTTCGGCGCGAGGTTGTTCGAATGCTGAATGACGACACCCAGCTCGGCAGGATGTATTCCGTTCGCAAGGGCTCACTTGTGGCTAGACGCGAAATCGTTGGTCAAGTGTGTCTTTGAAACCTGATCGCCCTCGTTACCGAAGGTTCGCTCGGGCCGTACTCCGGTGTTCAGAAGACTTGTGTGTCTTACCAGCCTTATCAGAGCCTCATCGTGATGGTGTGCTCGCAATACATACTTCTGGACGCAAAATAGCCATGATCTGCGTCAGGGTCAATGCGCGAGCGATCACCGTTGACGCTTACGGCCGTCTCCCTAACCTACGAGGTTGGTATAGATGACGATGCGTCTCCATATTGGCGGCCTACTTTGGATTTAATATCGGCCATGCGACGTTGGGTTCAGGGTTGTATGTTAGGCGAGAGAGATACGAGGAACATCATCGAGAAAGCGTGGAATACTCCGCGTATGCAGTGTATATGCAAGCTCGTTTGAGCGTGGTCGTCGAGTGATCTGTCCTGCGAGAGTGCGAAAAGAGAGTAGGGTTTTCTGGTAGCGACGTTGTACGGATTACTCACTTGCATGGTTGCTCTTTCTACTGCTGACACCCATATTGAGACAGCGCAGACGTTGCATGCGGATTATTCGCGGGCTGGCTCTCATTCAACCAGCGCTCGGCATCGCTTGCATCTCTCCTTCGTACATGGCAGGTCGATCATTGTTGCTCGACGGTCGCGCGGATAGAGATCGACTTTCGGCAGGTGTAGCCAACGCCTGAGTGGTCGCTATAGAAGACTTGGTCCGCTTGTCTCATGTTCTCTGGAGAGACTGTCGTCATGTGCCCGTGCTCCTAATCCCCACTTTCATGGCTCCTCCACACTGCGGTCTGGATCGGTGTTGCTTACCTATGAAGCACTGTCACTCCTCCCACATCACACTGCATTCTCTTCTCGTAAAGTTCTTACGATGACCCGCAGGAGATTGGGTTTTCGATAGAGTAGGCACCCTGACGAGCCATCGTGGACACTGCTAGCCCACAAACCCGGCACCCAGGTTGCAGACGGCGCCCGACTGGCCGTGCAATTTGGACGATAAGTTGGCCTTGCCGGCCTGCCGCTCATGCCCTCGCTGCACGTGTCGATCCTCCTGCATTATCCAGTTTGTACATACCAATCTCGCTGCAGTAGCTTCGGAGAAGTTAAGACATCTTGCAGGGAGTGCAGTCTTTAAGTTTTGATCGTCAGAGTTCCGTCCACCCTGGTTATCGTCGTCTCGGTGGAAGTCGGAATAGGCCGAACACTTTCTAGCAACGCCGCCGGGTGGGGCAAATCAGGCCAACTCCGCAGCATCCGCTTCGTCTTCAATACTTTGCTTAGGAAGGACATTAGGAATTTACTCCTCGATGGTTAACAGGATAAGCTGCTCTGATTCCACCTCGTCACTCGAATTTACGATTTCCGTAGATTTGGGATTATCTCCGTCAGCGGGAGACAAACCCACGGTCCAGCTGAAAATCAAAGACATGGGGCCGACAGGCGAAGACGGTGTCTGGGTTGTGATGGCGTGTCACAACGCGCAGACAGGGCATCGTCGATGACCTGCACCTAGCGCTAATATTGGGGGTCTCTCATACGAGCCCGTTCCTGCCTCCGAAGAGGATGGAAGGTCGAAAGCAGGTGTCGTTGAGAAAGGAAAGGCGTCCAACGACATTCGAATCAAAGTTGATGAGTGTGACGACGACTTGCAGCACGCTGGGGAGCTTCGGTGCTTCCGCACGTGCTACAATAGAGAGCTTTGCTGCATGTTCGCAAATCCCTGGGCCTTTTCATGCAGATCCTGTTTCCAGTGAATGTCGCGTCGATCGTGGTGCTGCACAAGGATAGACGGGCGTTCTCTGAGTGGCGGAAATGTTCCGGCAAAATGAAGGAGCTGCTAATATCGTACGATTTTCGTGCATTTTTGCAGAAATCCGAGTTACCGCGCGGAGCGCCCACTATCTCTGCTGAATGAGATTGGCTCTCCCAAATATCAAATGATTGATCGATGGCGGTAGAGCCACTGTGGTGGTACCCCGTATAGGCAAATCTTCGCTCAGGCCAGGGCTGCAAAGATCGGCTTCAATTATGTCTGAGCTGTCGCAACGTAAGTAGACTAACGGCGCGCCTTATAGCGGTTAACATTGACGGGCACAACGTCTGGCTGTGGCTTCGGGTTGAAGCTCTCGCAAAGACTACGAATCGTCGCCGGCGGTTCGAGGGCGTTTTCAGATGCGGGGGTGGGCTAGACGAGACGGATTGACAGGGGGCTGCCGGGCCTTCCATAGCACGTTGACGCGGACGTTGGAAAATAGCTTGGGTGTAGAAGGATCCACGAGGGAGACTAAAGTCGAGTCAAGGACGCGATACAATCTATAGGATCTCGGGATAATCGTGACTCGCAACCAAGCTGACCAGAGTCTTCTTAGGAACAGCGTCGACGGAGGTGCCCTTCGTTAGGACAACGAGTATCAGAGTGTTCGTAACTCCCGTTCAGTGGGTCGTCAGGAGGCGTGACTGTAGCCCAAAACGGATATAATGACGACTCGCACCTGATGTCGGTGTCATGGTGTGTACGTTTCGGCAATCGGACGCGGTAAGAACCTGAGTCAATAGCGCTTCTGTCGTGGATGCGCAGATTATAGCTGTGTTTTTCGTATCGAGCACACGTTAGTGGCTCATCCCGCTGGCAATAAGCCCAGCTAGGATCATTTGTGCAACCTGGCGTTTCCCCCTTGGCCAGCCTCGACGGCGCAAAGGTGCGCTCCGGCTGATCTGAGACTTGGCCCGCGAGCACCCGGGATGTGTGGTCAGCCGAGAATATCGCTGTGTGTTGGGTGGTCAGGATTCCAGATGGATCTGCGTCAACCGTCCTTGCCGGGGGCGGCTGTTCAACGGAGAACATCCTCGAAACGGTAACGTATGGAGCCGGGTGCATTGAAGAATTGGGCCAGTGCTTGGGTTTCTGCCTTTTTTCGTCTGCCGTTTGATCTGCGGTTCCCGTTTTGGATCTCCTACCGGTATGGCACAATATTCCCTGACAACGCAGCCGTATGTCGACGGTATGCCAGCGTGGGCGCATGGTGGATGGAGTGAATCAGTAGGAGCTGACTTTTCAACCGACTCCGGCGGTCGTAAAGTGCATGCGCCATCCATAGTGGCGACTCTGATATGTAGGGGAATTCGCTCCCACATACAGTACTGGCAACCCATGTTGTTGCGAATCGTCTGTTGAGTATTGTTTCCGACGGGCGGCACGATGAGGTTTGTGTTCGGTGAGTACTTCTCCCAAGCCTGGAACGAAAGGGAACGTAGCATGACAGTGAGCTGGAGGGTCGGCGTTCAGCCCAGTGCAGATAGGGAAGCTGCACAGTCCTGTGCTTTAGCTGATGCTACTATGCCATGCCTACGGCCATGGGATGAGCATTTGGGTTGGTAAAGCTAGGCTGTGCCTGCTAGGCGAAGGGGTGAAGACTGCCATGTGCCTTTTAGCTTCACTTTACCTTGGGCCCGACCGTCCATCCCCAATGCTGGACTAGAACACTAGGACATGAGTTGAGGAGAAAGGGGTGCTACCGGCCCTGAGACTGTGGTTTCCTACAATACCGGGAAATGCTGGTATCTAACTCTGTGAAGTTGTGGCCGATTTAGGTACGCATCCATTGACGGCGCCTGCCGTGGGAACCCCATAAGGTCGCCATGCTGCGCAATGTCCAGGAGGTCAAGCACAGCATGGCGAAGATTTGTCAACTGCGAAAGCACGATGCTGTGAGGTTTTGAAAAACAACACAAGACTGCAGATACGGTGATATGCAGTCATTCTTGGGGTGGCTGCGCGCTGGAGTGCTGTTCGGTGGGCAGCGCTACGGAACTCCTTTTCGAGGCACGAGGATGGGGTGAGCACCTGTTTGCCGGGATGATCGACGAAGGAAAGCGGCGTCTTTTTGGGGCGCAACGTGCCTGTAAGCGAGAGGAACGACTTTCGAGTTGCCCGATGGCGGAGCCGTCTTACTGTTTCTAGAATGCCCTCATCCGGGATGTCCCGGCAAAAGGGCGAGGCTGCAGATCATACGGTTGGTTTGGGGTCGATGCTAATCAATGCATGGCCGACGGTGCCGAAATAGGATAGGGGACGGCTGAGCCTTTTAGCGGTCATCATTGCAGGGTGCCGACTCCTCGTTACCTGGTGACTCGTGAGATTTGCGCGCAGATGCAGAACCACACCGCCGGCATGCCTATAGTAATCCACTTATTGAGCCAACACACGCCTTGACGCCTTCTTGGGCCCATCTTCAACACCGGACAGGCAGGAGGTCATATCCTGTTGTGTCACTGCGTTGGGTAAAAATAGGCTCCTGGAGAGAAGATTTTGAGGCGCTGCTGGTGGGGATGCCACCGCCATGCCGACTCGCAATGAAATGAGCCGACTGATCGCTGATGAAGGCACAACGAAGATTCCTGCAGAATTAAGCTTGTCGCCAGGGGCGTTGTGAAGACGGGTTGTGCGACGGGCCACGCCTTAGTATCCCTGCTCAGCTGTCCCATGCCCCTCTGATCACGCCAAGCCTCGTTGGTCGTCTCCCGGAAGATCATGCATCGCTTCCCTGCACCACAATTGTCCGCTGCGTCGGGTTGTTTGGTTCGAAAGGCCTCGCTATTCTCGCTCTTGCGCTGCATACAGACCAGGACCCTTCCACAGTCGCATTTCTGTCATCGCTACCGCTGTGCGATACTGGCGGCTGCGGTTGTACTCAGTGGCTCCCGAAGCCACGGCTGCTTCAGTTCTGTCATCTCCACAGTGGGCGCAAGAACCGGGGTGCCGGTACGTGCAGCGCAAATCGCGCGACACGCAACCACTCTTAAGGGGCAGATTGACCGTCAAACCGAGACCCTGGCTGCTCATCCCGTACATCCTGGAACCCTCTAGTGCTCCGAGGTCTCTCACTGCAGCGTGTTCACCTGTTGATTGCTGTGAAATACGGCCGCACAAGTTGCTGGCGGTGTCCCTGTCTGCGAGGGTGTTCTTTTCTTCTAGAGTGGTGAGTGGACACGTGGTCCTGGGTAAGCACAAGGCAGGCGAGCAGACGTCAGTTGGGATGGCCTGCTTGGCTAGCCCCGAGACGAGCTCGAGAGGTGGTGTGCGATGCTCCTCGGTAGATGGGCACACTCGCATTATTGGTGCAGACGCTGGCTAGTGCGGCATCGATTCGACTGCTGTATGGCTCGTAGCGCACACGGCGCAGGCGGGAGTGGTACGCTTCGCTGTGGCACCTCACCCGCGTGCTCTTCCAGAAGCCACGGCAGCGCAGGTCGTCGTTAGCCGTCGAGCGGGCGGCAGGTCGGTTACAGAGGTCGCGGAGAGCGAAGGATGGTGACAGCGACCAACGTGGCTCCAGGGTTTAGCTGCATACGCTTGTTTTGATCGACCCGCCTCTTCGAGAGATCCTCCACAGACGAGCGGAGGCCAAGACACGGCGACAACGCCGCCATCCGCCCACGCGGCGTCCAAAGGGCCTCGCGTAACGTTGACGGAGACGCTTCCTGAAAGAGGCCATAGCCGGCGAGGCGGCACGCGCAGCTTTCCCGCGCTTGCCATGGCCCTGAAACGCTGCTCGAGGGCGACGCGGCCTGGACGCCTAGCTGCTGGAGAATGCCGCGGTGGACGGTACAGTAGCAGCGCGGCGGGTGCGGCCTGCGATGGAGTGATGGTGGAGGATGGTCGGGGAAATGGTCGGCATGGCAAGCAACAGCGCCGGCAGCTGTCCCGAGCAGCGAGTCAGGCTGGCGGAGCGCGGTGAGATGACTGTTGCACAAGCGTCAGCATGGACGCAGCAGAAGGAGTGCGCTTCACGGTGCTCTGGCGGTTCCGCTGGCAATTATCAAATTGCCGCCCAGCGACTGGTGCGCTGCGCGAAGGGGGGCGCAAAATTGAGGTCATGCTCGGGCCAGCGCCGCCGCCATTAGATAGCTTTGGCGGGGGGTTCGCTCTTTCCCATTGCCATGCTCGTCCAAGGCAGGACGGGATGACGGTGCCAGCGACTGCCCACCATCGCGGTTCCTTTCCAGGCGACATGACAGGGACGGCGCCGGGGTCGCTGCTGCAAAGCGTGCGAGGCGTATCATCTCCATCCGTCTCATGCCCTCCGGTTCTGAATCTCAGGCAGGCGCCCCCTGTATCCACGACGGAGACGGCAGCACCACTGCGTAATCCTTCGTCAGCCTTTGCCGGGCCCGTCTCGACGCCTTGCCCTGCTGCTCCCAGTGCGTGAGGCTGGTGGAGTGGCGTCCCGTCGGCGCGAATAAGGCATTGCTCAGTTTCGAGTCTCGCTCTCGGATTCTCGCTCGCTCCTTCGAGCAACACAACACGGCGCAGCCAGCAGCAGGTGCTCGCGGACGCCCGCCGCCGATCGATCTCACCTGGGCACTCCCGAGCGGGTGTGCAGCGCTATCCCTACCTAATGCACCCCCCAACATCCAACAACATCAACTCTAGCCGGCCGCGCAGGATCAATCATCGGGCGCTTCTGGTCGCCGACTTCAGGCGGCGCACAGCATCCAAGGCTGCTAAAAGAAGCAGAGCACTCGCAGCGAACAGCAGTTTATCCGCATCGCTGGCGGCAGTCTGCGTGTGTGTGTACCGCGCGAGCCTCGCCGCCCTCGGCCGTCGTGGCCAGCAGGCGAGCCGTCGGCGCATTACTGCCGCACGACGGGCGGCCCAGCGACGGATTGCCTTCCCAAGGTTCTCCTGCGCATTATTATTGCGCTTTTCTCGTGGAAGGGCCGATCTGCAGTGCATCGCGGCCTGTCCTTGAAGCGCGTCCAGGCTCCCCTGGGTGCGCTCCGCTGCCTCATCCCCAAAGGGTGCCATAGCCGTCGCGGTATAGATTGGCCGGGCTGGGGTGCGTGGGCGGATCGCTCGGCCACGGCATTTTATTGGGGCTTGCGCATCTCCCTTCCCTATAAACGCTGCGCGCTCGTCATCTGCATTACCGTTGCAGGCTAGCCCACGCGCCTGCTAGCTGCTCGGAGAGGGTTGGCTGCGAGCGTGCAACGGTCCGCCGCCTCGCCCACCGCCCACCGCCCACCGCTCACGAGCAATTTGCAGCGCGCTCTGCACAGGGCAGCAGCCGGGGCCCCTCGCCGCTGTCTGACCCACCCTGCTGGCAACGGTTTGGTCGCCGCGGGCCCGTCGAGCGTCGCCGCTACGACGTGCTGCGTGCTGAATCTCGCCAACCGCCCGCCGCCATCCACCATACTTGAACGCTTGCAGGCCCGACGACTCGTCCCGCTCTGCCACGCCCCGAGGTCCTGGTGCCCTACCGTGTACATCTGCCCGCACCCGCCCTCCTTCACCTCTCCCCTCTCCCCTCTCCCCTCTCCCCCTCCGCCATCGCTCCCTCATATCCGTCGCCGCCGCCGGTACTCCTGTTACGCAGACTCGCTGTTGTGACCCGTGACTTTTCTATGGCAATGCATCTTGCTAGCATGGTACACGGCAGCGGGAGGGAACGCGAGGTGCACGACCGTCACTTCCAACATCAACACCAACAACCGCACTCGGCCTACTATCCTCAGCAGCAAGCACACGCACGGGGCTACGCTGCGAGCCCGTACACCTCGCACCCGCAAGCCCAGACAGCCGACTATCACCAGTACCAGCGCCACCCGCAGTCGCCGCCGTCGCCGCCCGTCGAGGAGCAGAAGCCCTCGCTGCCCTCCATCTCGAGCCTGCTCGGCATCGCAGACGGCGAGAAGGCGTCGTCTGAGACTGGCAAGTGCTTCCCCTGCGCGCCTCCCCCCGCAGAATGCTAACGGCAGTCGCAGCCGGCCAGAGCCCCCGGTCACAGCACTCATCGCCGCAGCTAAGGCAGGAGCAGCAGCGGGCAGGCGCAGTGCAGCACGCCCAGCACGCAGAGAGCCGTCCCGAGCAAGTGACGCAAGCTTTCTCCTCCGCGGTCGTGAGCCACCCCAGAATGACCCTACCTCCAACGCCGCCAATGCATCCGGACCCCGTGGTTGACGGCAATCAGTCTCCGTCGGCCGCTTCGAGTCACTCTGCGACTGGTCCGTACTACTTGGGCCAGTCCCTCAACAATATGGAACCGCACCACCAGCGCCAGAACGGCCCCTCCGCCCCCGCCGTGAAGCGCGAACCACTCCCCCCGCAGGCCTCCATGTCCCCCTACAGCGCTTCGTCCTATGCGCAGTCGCCCTACGCCTCCTCTCCGGGCGCTGCCTCCGCAGCATCTTTCTACTCACCCGAGACGCATGCCTACAGCTCCATGAGCATCTACGGACAGCGACCACTCCCCTCGAATTTCCAGCCGCAGACGATGCCTTTGCCAGTGCCAGTGCCAACCACGGCCGGCAACGGCTCAAACCCATGGCAACACCACCATTATATCAGCGCGTCGAGCCAATCAGCCTTCCCGCAATCCCAGGACCGCTACATCTGCTCTACTTGCAACAAGGCCTTCTCGCGCCCGAGCAGTCTCCGCATCCACAGCCACAGCCATACGGGCGAGAAGCCCTACAAATGCCCGCAGCCTGGCTGTGGTAAGGCATTCAGCGTGCGCAGCAACATGAAACGCCATGAGCGGGGCTGCCACGCATCCACAAGCGCCACCATCACGACATGACGAACACCAAAACATTTTCAATCAGTTTCCTGACGACGGGCGTTATGAGGAACGGCCGTAGTTGACTACTCTACCTGGATCCAGCGAGGTGGCTTTCGTTCGTTCTGGCATCGATTGCCCAGCGTGATACCATCTAAACGGCACTTTCACCGGCGTTACACTGGTCGGCGTTTCCATCGTTTATCTTGCATCTTCACAGGCGTCCGTTGATTTTTTACATCTCCTGGGTCGGCTCTACCAGCTCCTAAGATTTCTCATCGCTCTGATCATACTTCGATACCTGTATTTCTTCTCATCAAAATTTCGGCTGCGTCTGAACGCAGAGATCCTAGAGGAGGTTCCACATACCCCGCGAAGGGGGTACCTGGGATGTTTCGGTGGCTGCTTTACTTCGTGTGTACTATAGGGACTTGCGCCTAAGCATCAATGCTTTGACGCTGTGTGAAAACAGATCAAATCAATATTGTCAACACGAAGGCCGATCCCAGCACTCGATAGTTTTGATCCGGGCGCCAAAATGAGGTTCGCATTGTTAATGCATTGACTGTAAGTCCCTGTTCGGTCTAAGCTTTGACCAGTAACACTGAACTCGTCAGGTCAAGATTGGACAACGGCACGTCCTCATTTACATGCGATAGTCGACAGTTATGGGTTACCCATGGTAGCAGGGTCGCTTCATACATCGTCGTTCCCATCGCGTTGCCCCTTGGGAGTACAATGTTTCGAGCCCCGTCAGTGTTCGTATCCACCGACTCGCCCTTGGAGCAGATCTGGCGAACGGACAGCTACTTACGACCAGGCCGCGTGTACCGTGGCTGCATGAACAACTGGACAATACGCTTGTGTCGCCATTGTCATAGCCTCCGTTGTACCACCATCTGCTTCTGCGCTTGCCTGGCATTTCGAAGAACAGTGACCCCTGGGAAGAGCTTCACTATCATTGCGAAGTATGCTATGCACAACTAGCACCACCGCGCTCACAAAGGCTATAGGTATCGGACGCAAATCCCCAACACATGCGCATATCTGCCTCCCGTGTTTCGTTTCACTTCTCGCGATCATCAGTCTCGCCTATCCGCAGACTCCTCAAACTACGCTTGGCGAAAATGCTCCTGCGTTCGAACACCTTGTTGCCTTGTCAACAAGGCCTTACCGTGTGGTTATGCCCAGACCGCGGTACTGGGGAACCTGTCGCTATCAAGACCGACGGCATCGCTACCTACGGCTACATCAAGAAAGACGACATCAATCTGATGGGAATGGGCTCTCACGGATGGCCCAGGTAATTAGCATGCAGCGACTTGCCCTCCTGCAGGACGGAACGCGGAATTCATGGAATTAGGTACGGCTATTGCAGCGTCTCTCGGGCACAGCTTGAGTCTATTTCGCATTGCAATGCATTAGCCATGGAAGGACTGCGCCGCCAGTCAGGTGTGGAGTTAGCAATTCCCTGGATTTGCCTTAATGAGTCACTGTCTGACTGAAAGAGACTGCTCTAGCGGACGCATCAACTCGACCTCTCCTTCAGGAGCCCGCTTCCGCGTCTACGCATCAACACGCGAAGTCAATCATCTGTTTATCCAAGGTCCACGATTATCGAGCGAGACAGCAAGCCCTCTCGCCTACCGACTCGCGGACCGGTCTCACCTCTTCACCCCGGAAGTGAGAAGGCATACGGTGGCTCAAGTGGCTCAGGTGGCGCTGAGCGCAGAGTCGCATCCGGCCCTGCGATCGCCTCCTCATGTCTGTGATCGCGATCGCAATCGCAATCGGCAACCCGATTCCAAGTACAGGTGTTGGACAGGCCGTGCTGGTTCCCTTATTCAGCCTCTCAACAAGCTTGATAATAGCACCTTCGAGCTTGTTTTACTGCCGACAGCGCTAGACTGTGATCTCGACCCCAGACTGGTCTTACATGGCATTCGGCAAGCTGCTTCCAGCTTTGACGTCGACATAAACTAACCGTCTCGCTTGCGAGCCGTTAAAAAGCAATCTGACCTTTCAAGATTCGCATTACTGGGGCCAGGGGAGAACAAAAAGCAACACTCCCTTCTTCAGCTTTCGCTCTTTCCCTTAAGCACTCCCGCTTCGCCTGCCGAGGACCACGAAAAAGCAAATCGCAAAGCACGCCCGCCCGGTTCACCCGTGTCGGGATGTGAGGCCCATGCTCCCGTGCGCCCGCTGCGTTCGAGGGGCGCTCGGGGCTGCATCAGAAAGGGTATAGGGAAGTGCGATGTCGGTGTGTTGTGCGCTGCTGCCGCCGCCATTTAGGGCGCTATACCGAGAGCCCTCTAGATCGCCACACCACAAGCAGAAAAAAGGGTCTGTCGATGCTCTATCCTGGGAACTCGTACCATGGCGTCGTCAGTGGTCAATAAATTTCCCGTTCTACACCGTCGTAGACCCAGTTCTCAGGAGCCGATCACGGCAGCCACTCTGGCTTCAACTCGACATCGTGAGCCAGAAATAGCTACAAGGGGCGAGCTGCGACGGTTCCTTGGCATACTCCAGCGTTGCGTGGTTTGTCCGAGTTCGTTTTCTGCGACTTCGTGTCCGTCGCCCGAATTCCTACTTCGATGCAGGCACTAAAAAGCGCGCAATAATGCAGTACAGGACAGCATAAATCCTTGAAAGGACCCTTCAGAAGGAATATTCCACACAATTCCACCGTTGACCCGCTGTACTCCACTATGTACTGAGTATCAACGGAGAACGTGGGCTTCCCCACTACACAGGGATCATCTCTGTACCTTCGGCCCGTTAGGCCTTTCGCACGCTTCCAACATTGCGTCGCAGAAGAAAGTCACGCGTCACCACTGTAATCACCGTTTCACCGACACTTCCACCTATCTTCATTATCGAAGTAAGTCAGTGGTGTAGAATTCCGCTCTACACTACGAGACGCAGTGCCACTTATCATCTCGCGTCCAGAGCCTCGGTACGCCTCCCAAACTCTACGACGGGTGCACGATGGCTTTCCGACTGGTCCCGAGATTTCGGTGACTCGAGTCAAACCAGCTCGATCGGCGAATTGCACAACTTGCCGGTTCCACAACAGAAGCCAACGGAGTCAGCGTCAACACCCGCAGGCAGCAGCTGTTGGAGCCCGACGTTCGGCCGCGGTACAAATGATCTTCAAACAGGCCAGAACCCGGTTCATGGGTAATCTGACTCGAACGTCCCGTTCCGAGACGGCTTCGGTACCCCGTCATCCTTAGCCCAACGCGCGCCAGTGTGCAACGTCATTAGTCCGGGCCGGTAATCAGAGTTGCAATAATATCGGCGGGAGATTGTCGGGAGAGTGGATTTTTAGGTTTTGATGTTTATGCGCGCGACTTGCGAAATATTCCGTCGTTTACCCGTATTGGGCGTTGGAGGGATGATTGCTGATGCGGAGGGATGGGCGGGGATGGTGATACTTCGCGTAGGTGAGGCTACAGGGGTCATCGCTGGAAGGGTGATGTGACGGGAGGGGATGGCGTGCAGATTGGTGGATTGACGACGGCGTCATGGCGTGCATGAGTGAGAAGATGATGAGGGCTTGCAGATATGTATTGGATGGAGGGGGATGATCCAAGGTGCTGGGAATGATGTGTTGTACTACCGAGGTAGCTTGGGAGCTGTGGGTAGCGTGCATTATCACTCACATATCATCAAAAAGGATGGAAATGATAGGTTTGCATGCATGTTTGTGCTATCGAGATGTTGCAGCGGGTAGTAAAGTGCATCTCATATCTTCCTATTCGAGAAATGCAGACTTCCATGGATACTAGAATGGTCAGGAGAAGATAACGCCCGCATATGCGATATGAAAACACGGCATATGCAGGTTGTATGTCCAGTAACTCGCCTACCCCAGGGAAAGAGGAATCTCGAACGTAGGTAGGCGGAGGTCATCGGGCGACGCTCGCGTGCCTCTTCCACGAGGGCACCTCATTCTGTGCGACCGTTGCTTGCTGGCGTGAAGAGTGTCGGTGCCTGAGACATCCCACAACAGTCTCACAACTCCAGCTCCTCATCCTGCTCCTGCTCTCCAAGCCCCAGCCACGCTTTCCACCCACCCCACTTATGCTCTCTCTCCCCCGGCAGCCTGCACTTCTCAATCTCCTCCCTCGTCACGCCCTGCCACTCCTCCAGCGGAATCCAGCCAATATACGCACGATCTCCAAAGCCACCAATCCAATACACCTCCTCGACGACCAGGCGCACCCACCTGCTCTCATGGATGCGATTCCCGGGTAGCCACGACACGGCATCCGGATGCTTCGCGACAAAGCAAGCTGCGACGCCTTGCCGCGTCACCTCCTCCGGCGTGAGCTCCTCGAGGTGCCCGACGAGCGAGAAGCGCGGCGTCGCCGCCGCGCTGTACGGCCGCCGATACGGCGCGTGCCAGCGCATCGAGAGCGTGATGTTGGACCCCGCCGCCACGTTCTTGAACGACGTTGCAATGGTGATCGCTAGGAGCGTCGGGTTGCCCGTGCGTGGCTCGCAGTCGCCGAAGTAGTCCATCAGCCCGATCGGCTTGCCGCCTACGTCGGCGGGACGCTGTTCCTGCGCCGTCGACGACGGGAACAGGGTGCTAAGCGTGCCGATGGTTTCGAGGTGTAGGATGCGGCGCGCTTGGATGGCGGACTCGTGGACGGTTGGGATGCGGTAGGTGGCGTGCTCGTCGGCGGCGGCGGCGGGCGGGTTCGAGAAGAGGTGCTGTGGTGGCGGGAGGTGGGAGGCGGAGGTGAGGGCGATAAGGGAATGGAAGGCGGTTGCGACGCGCATTTTGTAGCTTTTCGGTCTGAGAGCGATGTCGGGATGCTGTAGAGCGAGGTAAGTGCTAGATTAGCCGCAGTGAGTGTTGGGTTGGAGGGCGGAACCTGCGACTGCAGATGGTGTTGAGGTGAAGTCGCGCAGGTGTATCACAGATATCAGACGATCAGGAGGGGCGATTGCGCGGGGAAATTCCGGCTAAGGGGACGCTGCATTGGCATCTTGGGATACGGGACGGGTGCTGAAGCCTGCGTATACCGAAAAGTTGACGAGTTGCGCAGTACAGCGACGGCAATTGCATTGACGATACTGACAGCGTCGAGGCTGAAGACCACCCTCCGTGGAACCGTGGTTCTTCAACGTGTAGATTATCTTATCTGATGCTGCCAAGCTTCTGGCTTAGTCATTCGCTTCGGTTAATACCACACCTGGGCAAAATCGAGCATCTCCTCACCGTCGCAGTCCAGTCATCCGGCAACTACCCACGACCACAACAGCTACCTGTACGTGCCTCGCTGCATCGAACGTCCCTCGCGAATCTTCGAACCCGCAGCAGAAGACATATTTCCCTCCCGCCGGAATTTAGAGCAGAGTCGCTAACGTTCCTTTTGCCACGCAGACGACCTCTACACACAGCGCTTTCTGATCGACTCGTTCGTGAGAAAACACCGCAATCATGGGAAAAGGTATGGGAATCAGCGGAATCGTGCTGCTTCGGTAGCGATAGGAATGCGGCAGATGACTAACGAGATACATAGTCCACGGATCCCTCGCTCGCGCGTAAGCTCTCGTACTCGATCATGGTTGGAAACATTGCGCTCATCGTAGTATAGTGGAAAGGTCAAGTCTCAGACCCCGAAAGGTTGGTGTTCCCTGGTATCTGTTTTGTGCGAAGCCTCGGGAAGACCGCGGCGCGACAGAGTAGCCCTCCAAGAACACCGGTTGCTAACTGTCCTGTCTTCAGTTGAGCCCCAAGAGAAGAAGAAGACCCCCAAGGGCCGCGCCAAGAAGAGGCTCACTTACACCCGCCGATTCGTAAATGTCACCATGACCGGCGGCAAGAGGAAGGTGAGCGACATCCTCGGGTATTTTCAGTGTGTCGCGGAGGTGCTGATCTTTCATAGATGAACCCGAACCCGACCTCGTAAGCGGATATCCGACGAGGGGAAGGAGTGAGGTGGAACGCACAAGCTAGAATCTCGGTCATGAATTCGGTTTCCTCGGGATGGCTATGACTCTGGATCAGAGGGATTGGGAGGCTCGATTCGCGAAGGATGTGGTTGTGACACGTCTGCTCGAGCGAGAGGCCCACGCTTTGGGATGATAGGGGCATATTCATGGCGTACAATGTACATTCGGTTTGACAGGGCTACATTACGAACTCTAGCATTTGTGTTCGATATCATGGGTCATGCTCTCGATTCGCGTTGATGCTCTCGAATCGCGTTGTGCCCCTTCTATCAGCTCTGTTTCTTCATCCTCAGTGCATTTCAGCAAACAAGGACGCCCCATCACACTAAGCCCTTCCTGCAAATCTAACGAACTTGTTTGATAAGATGTCTGCGATTACTCCGGTTGGTCGACTGGTGCAGAGGGGCGCGCCAAGGCGAGGCCGGCCGAAGCGAACGCGATCTACGTCACATCCCAACCTCACCTCACGAGCTTGCATAGCTTCATCTGAACTTTTCATGTGAAGCCACCCACACCAGCACTCCAAGCACCCAATACCGCAACAATGTGGAAGCGAATCTTCGGAGAGGTACAGCATTGACTAAGACACCCATTGCTTCTCACTAACGGCATGTCTAGCACGGCGCGAAGAATGTCGTTACCCTATTCCACAAGCCATCCAGCGCCGCATCCACCCGCGTACTCACCGTCCTCAAGCAGGCGCACGCGCAGGCAGTAGCACACTCGACGGAGGACCAGGCGAGCTCGCATCAAGCACAGAGCAAGCTGGAGCGAATGGAGTTTGAACTGGATGTCACGGACGCGCCGCCGACCAGCGATCAACTCAAGAACATCCTCGAATACCTCGGAGGACCAAGCGCAGTGTCGAAGGTCATTAAAGGGGCACAGAATGAGTCGGATGCGATGAAGAAGCTCGAGGCGGATGGCGAGGCATTCGAGCGGCCAGTGGTCAGTCTCCCTGGGATCTCAACGCCGGCAACAGCTAACAGCGGCAGGTGGTGGACTGGAACCAAGGCAAAGCAGGTACGAGAATTTCTGATTCCATGTTCAGATGCATCGACCTTTCTAACAGAAGCAGTTGTCGGAGACAATGAGTCGGAGATCTTATCACTTCTTCGCTCCATCCCCAAGGAGACTGACAAGGCGTAAAACATGCGTTGAACATCATAGTTCGTGTATATCATTTGCACAGGTAATCGCAACTCCGGTTTGGATGAGCCGACCTTGGAATAGATTGGCTCGTCTTGCCCCTCAACAACTTTCTAGCGTGAGGAACAAACAAACTGTGGCTAAGCGACGGGTGGCTGCAATTACGCTGCCCAAATTCTGGAAATCTGAAACATTGTCTCTGGGCCTGGTGCCCGTAACATAAAGTGGCAGCGGCCCTGTCGTGTGTTCGATTTTTGTGACCATCCCCCGCCCCTCCTTCCAAGTATGGCCGAAAGGCTTCTACAGCAGTAGGTATATCTCTACATCTCAAATTCGCGAGAGAGTCTGCGTGCGGACCGGAGATTATGCCCCTCCGCAGTGCATTGGAGGACTGGGACGCTCGGCGCACAGGCGGTGTTAGCCAGTGAAAAGAATTGCGGGACGCCCGCAGTGCGAGAGACTGGACTGCACTCCACCGCACTCTTTCCCATCTTCACCACCGCAAAACCTCGCGGGCGGCTGCCAAGGCGCGCACCTTCCTTTCCGTCCAGCGCAAAACAATCGACTCCTCTCACCTTTTCTGCAGCTTCTGCACCTTCCTTCCTTCCCCACCACACCTTCCTTTCTGGAGTTGCGGCGTCAACAGGTCCTCTTTTCTGCTTCCGCATTGCGGTCAGATACTCCTTCCTCTTCTTCATCGGCCCGCGCGCCTTCCTCCTCTCTCATATACTCCTCCCGGCGAGCGCCTCCATCATGGCCGACGCTCAACCGCCGACACCGACCACATCACCACCCCGCGAGGACGCTCCGGCCGATGCACAACAAGCCCACTCTCCCGCCGACTCTGACAGGACGGTCGCTGTTGTATCACTGCCCGCGGGACAACCGCGAAAAGCGATTGAGCCCATGCCGTCCTCGGGCGCCGCCTACTTCTCCACCGATTGCGGCCGTCTCCCGCACCGTCAACCGCCCGGCCCACAGCTTCCACCAGTGATTGTTCGCAGCGACAAAATACGCGGTGTCGTCGACTTTGCCAACTACTGGCGGAACAAGCACCCGAAGGCCTACCATTGCTTCTTCCCCCTGTGCGGCTGGACCATTGAGGACTTGTGGGACAATGCCGACATTCACCTCGAATCCCCGGCTTTCCTCCAGGAAGTGCTCAAGTTCATCACCCAAGACAATGTCTATCGCGCGAAGGCATATGCGATTGACTGGTCCAAGGAGCACCAGGACAAGCTAGAATTAATCGGCGGCGACCTGACCGGCATCTATGACCCGAATGACCATCTCGCGTTCGTCGACAAGGTCTTCACCGACGGCGAGACAAATGAATACCCGCGCCATTTTCTTTGGCACGTCACTAACATTATGAGAAATGGTATGTGGAACGTTGTTAAGAATCAGCAAGCGGCGCAGGCGGCAGCTAGTGTCCAAGGAGCGGCCAAGGCAGACGGGGAGGACACGGGCACGGCGAAGCTCGAGTCTACCCCTGCCTCAGACACTAAGACCACTGCTCCCATGGAACAGCTGCACCGTCAACCAGTGTCTCCTCCTGGTGGCGGACCGCGTAAGACGGGCCGCACAAGATCCCCTCATTTCGTCCACGTAAACTGACAAATTTATCTAGATATGGCGGCAGCTAGACAGCCTCCCGCACAACCAGCCGCTGTTCCCTCGGCGATGTTCGCTCCGCCTGCTCCTGGTCTCCCAACTCGAACGCCGTCCTTCATGGCATCTCAGACCCCGAGGGGCTACCCGAACCACCCAGCTACACTTGGAATGGCAGATCCAACCTCCATGGTGCCTCAGCATATGAACGGATCGCTGCGAAATCCGAAGAACAGGCCCGCGCGATCAGGGTCGGGCACTTACAATCAGCAGCAGTCGCCCCACGGTTGGGTCGACAATATTCGCATGCCCTCTGGCCCGCACTTTCGACAACCATCCGGCCCTATGTCTGCCGGTCAGTCGCCACGTTTTGCTTCACTAATGCCGATGGGGCCTGGCATGATGAACCCTCTGAACCCCATGGCACAGTTTCCGCCAAATGCCTCCATGGCTCCGTACACTTCGATGATGCAACAGAGCATGATGGCCCAGCAGGCCCCGCCGTTTGCGCCAGCAATGGACCCCGCTTATCAGTCATTGCTTTCCGGTGGTGCTGGCGTCGGCCCGCGCGGTATGCCTTTCGGTGATATGACCAACAGCATGCAGTACCCGCCAGGTAGAGGTGCGGATCCTCGCAGCGGGATGGGTCGGCGTGGGAGCCAGGCATACAAGCAGACGGGACTATACAATCCCTACGGTGCGGAGCGACCCGACAAGGCTGACTTTGCCACGATCCCACCGCAGACCAACGGCAAGAAGACTAGTCGAAACAGCTTCTCGAACCCTACAGGACGTGGCCGAAAGATTTCTGTCGGCTCGTACAATCGTTCCAGCTATGGGCAGTACAACCCCGACCGAGGAGACCCTAGCCTCATGCACAACGGTCACTATACGGACGTGCCGTCTCAGAAACTTTCGTACACGCAATTGAACCTAGCCGTCGTCAACGATAAGGAGGGTGGCTGTGGTGAGGACTGGATCGGCCCGAACAATGATTCTGTCGGCGAGCTTTGGGTCGGCGAGTTGCCAGTCGACGTTAGCGAGCAGGAGCTCCGCGACTTTTTCTACAATGCAGTCAGTGTCCCGGCCAAGGCTGTTTTTGTGAAAAACAGTCATGCCTTCGTTCAGTAAGTCCCTGTACTTCCCTTCCCCCTTGTCCGCAGTGCTTGCTCGATACTCGTCCCAATCTCGTTCGTTATTTAATGCGGCAAGCTGACAATTCTAGTTTTTTGACCACCGCCGACGCGCGAAAAGCCCTCAAAGTCGACGGCATGCGTTACCGTAATAGGCGACTGTCCGTTAGAGTCCCTAGACGATACTTCATGCTGCCGGACCCGAGCATGCCTTCCCGAGAACGCCAGGTGTCGAACCCTTATGCTCATGGTGTTGCGCGCACGCCCTCCTACGGGGCCCCGAGCGCTGTAGACAACCCCGCTATACACAAGCTGTCAGTGCAGTACTCGCCGCAGGACGCTAGGAGCGACCTGCCCAACAGTGTTCGCCAACAGCAGCAGGAATATGCTGCTGCCAGCGGAAGCCCTGAAATGCGAAAGGCTAAGAAGTCGTCCGAGACCAAGGCGGAGATCTTGGGTGGAGGCTCGCCACTCGATAAAGATCTAGAGCGCGATGCAACTGAGCTTGACTTGGTCCCAGAACAGCCCACGTCGACCGCTGCGGCGGGTACAATCGCAGAGGATGTCTCTCCGCAACTTGGTGAAGTGCCTGAAGTGCGAGTGGCCAGTGCTATCAAAAGGGACTCCGTCGTGCTTGTGAGCGCCTCGGATACGATCGGCGAGCTCGACGAAATCCATGAAAAAGCCGAATCAAAAGATACTACCAGCGGCCGACAGAAGAAGGTTTCGAACGAAGCTGAAAAGATAGTAGAGACGGTAGCTGCAGTTGACCCTCCGGTGCCACCTCAGTCATCCGTTACGATCGGCGCATCACCTCGGGTAGACAGTCCGACACGTTCCGGCGAGGGTGTGGTAAAAGGAAAAGACGCGGTTGATGTGATTAAGCCCGTTGACGATGTCCAACCTAAAGATACGGGGGTCCATTCTCGTCCCCGAGAGGAGACAATATCCGATGACGAGCAAAAGAATGATCTGAGCTTCCACTCCGCCCAGGAGTCGCAGTCCGACACTGGAAAGCACGAGCAGCAGGGCCGACTCGTGCCCGTCGTCAAAGGGGATGAACAAGAGTCTGGTCTCGGTACACAAGAACCTCTTCATTCTGGAGCTGTAGGAACGGTGGCGGAGTTGGGTGCTCAAAAGAATGAATCTACGGAGCTGGATTCTACTGCATCCCAGCAGGGACAGCCCAAGCCCATGACTGCCCAGGTCAAGCCGACCGCAGAGGCAGCAAAGGTGCATGGAGCTAAGCAAACTCAGTCTCTCCATCCCTTTGCGAAGCCCAGCAAGGGCCAGACAAAAAAGGAGAGGGATGCCAAAAAGAAAGAGAAGAAGAAGGGAAAGGAGAAGGTCATAGTCGAGAAAGCTACTCCGGTTACAGCGATACCGGATGAGGCTGAAGTGACTAAAGCCGAGCTTCAACCTAGTCAGGACACATCTGGTAGCTCGTCGAAAGCCAATGTCGTAGCCGACGCTGATATCAATGCAACCGCGGCGAGCGTTGTTGAAGCCAGCAATGCTGCTGATGGCGCCCTCAAGGACACGAAGGACGGAGAGACTGTCAGCATAGACGGTGCGGATATTGGACAGCGATCAGGTAAAGACGCCCGTTCCCCTGGTAAGCTCGTGACAGTGACTCAGAAGCCGGAAGTTCACCAAGTGTCATTGGCTCAGACGGCCAAGCAGGAACATCCGCACGACGCTCTATCTTCAGCTCCTGCGCGGTCTTGTGAGGACGCGGTGGCCGACGCGGTGGCCGACGCGGCCGCAGGTACCGCCGGTCCGCCAACGTCGAAGCTAGATTTGATGGAGCCATCAGAACTAACCCATGACGCTCAAGAACCCGCAAAGAAGACAAAGGCAGCTCGGGCTAAGATTGCTGTTCCGAATCTAGACCTCCTCCAACGCAAGACCTCTACCTCTAGCACAAGCTCGCCGCTTCACACAGCCTTCACCACGAAAACACCGTCATCAGGCACCCCTAGCCCGACGGAGCCTGCAAAAGATTCCCGAGAGACAGATAAGAAAGGTGAGTTGGATGAGATGTAGATTCACAAATGCTGAGACTAATGCTTTCTGCAAGGTCCATTTCATAGCGCGAAGCCGCAGGACACAGTGTCCATAGCAAGCTCCTCCACGCTACGGGGACCGAGCCCTCCGCCAATGTCAGCTAGCCCTACTGCCGCGGAATTCCACACGCCCATGCAGACTCCTACTACCCTGGGTCCAGCACCGTCGGAAGCGGCAAAGAAGAAGAAAAAGAAGAAGAAGAAAGCTTCCAACAAGGTGGCCGACAAACCGGAGGAGCAGCCGAGCAAGCAAGACGCCGAAGCTGATGCGTTCCACGATCAGCTGAGTCAGATCGATGCTTATAAGCATGCGTCCAATCAACCGGGATCGTACTACACCCTACGCGGTGCACAAGACGATGTTCTGCGTCTCGTTCAAGACGACACACGATCCGAAAAGGCCGCTGAAGAAGCAAGTGGGGGTGAAAAGAAGGTGCGTGCACCCTCTATTCACACCACTCTCCAGTCGCCTCCTCTATACTGTATGGACTATCATATCCTATTCCGGTCGAACTGAACTAACTCTCTCGCAGAAAGCAGCCGAGAGCTTCATGCGGGAGCTCCAGACTTTTGCTAAAGAGAAGACAGCTTCTTATGGCAAACTTTTGGCGGAGGGCATTTGGAGCGAGAGCGGCAGGAAGCAGGTCCCGAACATCTCCTCTGCCGAGTTGAGCGAGTTTATTGACGGTCCTCAGAAACACCCCGGTCTAACGACGCTTCTTGAAAATGAGCAAGATCCGATAGATTTCGGTAACCCAGATGCCAAAGCGAAGTCGCCCTTCTTCTCATGATCGGTCGGATTCTGCGAGGTCGCGGGCATGAGCTCGGCGCCTTTCGGTTGCTAGTTCTGCACTGGGGCATCGGGCTCCCGGGTGGTGCTTCTCGGAAAGGTCTTTCCATTGTTTTGTGGGACTTCAAGCGGACTGATGGGTTCCCATGATATCACTCGCGGGTATAACATGATAGTGGGCTGCATACATTCTTCGGAGAGTGCGGTGGCATGGGCGATTGGTTGTTGACGCCAGTCTTAGTCGCACTATCAGCGAGTCTTGGGTTGGGAGCATAATGCAAGACTGTCAAGCTCTTCAATAATTAGCGCACATGAGTGATGTTATGGTATCGTGATATCCCTGCGATAGCCCCAGCACTGTTGGTATTCGAGTCTGAGGAACTAACTTCATTCCTCCTAGGTTCACTCCATCTACCTCGTGATCTTCTCATACAGGTGTGAATTCTTTCGCCGAGAGCTATAGCTTCCCGCTGAGTGGTATCTGCAGCGAAACACGTAAAAACGCGACGGAAGACGCCTCTACTGATGTGGCAGCGGGGTTATCCGCGATGATGTGCTCTAACGTGCCAGTAGGTAGCAGGACCCGTCCTACGCCAACAGCAGCCATGCACTCTTACTTCACCCGCTTCACAGCGTGCGCCGCAGTGCACCAGTTACGCCTCCCACGCACGCCCCAACCTCAGCCCGAATCCCGCTCAAACCGGTAAATACTCGCGACATTTCTCCGCCCAAGCATTTCGGATCGGGATTCCAGTTAGGAATGAGTGGGCTCTGTCACTTCCACTGTGGCGTATCGTTGGGGAGAATAGTGATGGTATTATGTGAGGGAGACTGGAAAGGAGAAGCAGGAATGTAATATTGCATGTGGGGTTCCGGAGTGGATTGGAGTGGCTTGTGGGGCCGGGCTCTGGAAGGGGATCGGAGATGAAGTGTAAAGTATGTAGATATATGAACGGCAGGGGTGGGGAGCGTGCGCGGGACAGGGGTGTATGGGATTACCAGATGGGGAAAGTTGGATGCTGGGCATTGCGGCAGACGGAGAAAAAGATCGGGACATGGCCACTGTATGATGATGGAGGAATCGTTGGACGGAACGGTTTCAGCTTGGGAAGGCGAAAATGAAAATGGGAAGACCTATCATCTTACTGTTCTAGATTCTATACGCGGGATACCTACACCGACAGTAGTTGGTGAGAACGGAGCTGTGAAAAGTCGGGACCGGAATGTCAATACCGCTCGCATCTACATAGGCGGCATCCCTGAGTGTTGCCCCGGAATCGCTTCAATCCCTGTGGTATGGTTAGAAGGACGCGCACATTGAGAGCGCGACAAGTGCGAAACTTACAGTTAGTGTCACCAACATCCTCGTCAACCTTCTTGGGAACAGAGCACGCGTTCATGGCTTCGAAGGACTGCGTCTTCATGGTCTTGCAGTTCACGTAGCACTCCTCGTCCATAATCTGCTGCAGCGAGTCGTCCTTCCAGCCGAACACGTAGTCGCCGTGGTTGCCGTAGCCAGTACTGCAAACAACGTCAGCGCAATCAATAGGGGAAGGAAGATGGTTTGAGTACTTACGTGTCACTGAACGACCATTCAAAGGGCTGGCTGCCGTCTTCCGGCCACATCTCCTTGGAGTTGAAGTCCTTGGTCTCGAAGATCACCTCGTACATGAGCTGGGGCATTCTGACCGGATGCGTGGATGGGCAGGGTCCTTGCGATTCGAAGGTGCCGCTTGCAGGATAGGACATGTGGGAGATGTGGTCGGGAGAGTCGAGGTCAACGCCATTCCAGCAACTACAATTTCGTCAGCGACTGACTGCCCGGTCTTTCTGATCGCATACACTCACGTCGGGAAACGGAGGTTGACCATGATGCCGGCGGGGCATGGCTTGGTCGGGAAGGCTTTCGTCTCAGGGAAGCGAGTGTTCATATCTTGCAGGCAGGTGTAGGTAAGCTGCGGGTACTTGTCGGCCTCCTGCTTCGTGCCTGCCAGCGGAGATCCGATAAGCATACGGAAGCCCTGCGGTGATGTCAGCCTGCGCCAGGTTTGCTTCGCTTTCTGCACTGACTGGCTGGAAGGCCTTGACTTTCGACTTCTGTGCATAATCGGCCAGCTGGTTTTGCATGTAGTAGACCGTCATTCCGCCGTTCTGGGCCTCGAACCCAACATTGCCCTTCTGCGGAACACGCCGGTAGGTACCATTACGAGCGCGGAAGTATAGAGCTGCTGTCCAGTAGTTGGAGAAATCGTCTTGAGGGAGCCGTTAGGTTGGTCCAGCAGAATGACTGTCCATCGAAGCTCACCTGATGGTTGGCACGTGGTGCAGGTTGACATTTTAGGAGGGTCATGGTTCTCAGGGTACATGCTAGTGTTGAAGGAGTTCTGTGAGAGTCAGTAGCCGTCCACAAGGTCTATGCGTTACACGTACACCACCAATGATCTGATGAAGATGGGGAGACGGCTCTACACCAGGGTTGACCAAAGGATCAAGACGGTCGACAACGAGCTGCGAGCATCCAAAGCGAATCAACGCATGGCTTGGCGCCACAAGGGCTAGAGCAACGAGGGAGTTCCACTGCATGGCGATCGTTCGTCCAGTGGGCGATATTGATGGCGGGATGGTAAAGTCGAAGTGAGCGCGGGCGGGTGAGGGTGGAGAACCCGGACTTATATCGAGGTACTTCTGAGTGGAGCACGGTCTTCAATGCCGATACCCATGAAGATATGAAATGCGATAAGAAAACGCCAACCCGGAGCTAAGCAAAGCGATAGACGAAGCATGCTAGTTGGGCGTATGAGGTCCGCTGTTTACGTTACATGGGTTAGGCTTCCACACACTGAAAACTCGGAAGGAACGGGTACGACGCAATGTGGGACGAGGAGCGTGCTCAGGGGTAAATGCCGGGATCTGTGATCGTCGAATTGATACAGGTACTCTAGAGAACATCAATATCAATATAGCACACCCTGGTCAGCCGCATGCCCGACCGCTCTGTGTAACGCGAACCGGAATTATCATTGCTCGAATCTGAATCCGAAGGTTTGGCATGCTCCCGTGTGGCGGTTGATTTGCACCTAGACCTATCATCAGTAACCCACGTCCAAGGCCGAACCGGTCTACAGAAGTGTTTGGGAATCAACGAATGTAATAGTGCATCTTCCATGCAGAGAACATGCGCTCCTTGGTTCTGCGCCTGGTCTTGGAAATCCTGGCTACTTATAAATCTTTGGTTTCTAGGCCTCGCAGTACTTGGAGGTATGCTGGACATCTGAAGGTAGGATATCGGTTGGGCTGCCGTTCAGGAGCTTTCATGGAGACACTGCCGGATCATCTGGACAATGTGGGGCGCCAGAGAAGTATTCGGAGTCTGAATTGGGGAGACATTGATGCGACAACGTGTAGGTCGGTTGCAGCAGGATGGCAAGCCTTCCTATGTGGAGGTCCAGAAGAGGGCAGTGCGCCTCTCATTCGAAGATCCTCTCGAGGAACAGGGCATCAAAGATAGGCGCAACGTGAAGGCGGCGGGAGGAAGCGAACATGGCGGGCATAATTGCAGGCCTCGGAACGGCGTCGAAGCGCAGTGGAGGAACATGGGAACATGCTTGTGTCTTCCCGGAATCAGATATGACCAGGCAGCGGATGTGCAAGGAAGCTGGCATCCAGCATGCCTTCTCTCTTACGCCAAAGGTGCGCAGATCCCCAAAAATGAGTTCGCTCGCCGCATTCCTTTCTAGACGCATCCACGCGCAATGAAGGCGTATGAACCATGCTGAGCACCCCAGCTCAGGGGGGTTGGTGAAATGGAAGGGTGTTTAATATGTCGATATTGTTCGATTCTTCAACAAGCCGCAAGCGGCTGAAGTAGGACAGAATCCGGGGAACCCGGGCGCCGTATTGCACGCCATTGGTCCAAGAGCTCCATGTGTAACCCAAGGGATTGCCTAGAAGGAGATTTTTATATATATTAGCCGTGAGTGATAAACTCCGCGGGGTCTTGTTGGTTGTTGCGGGGCGTTGAGCTTTCGCCCGCAGGCAGGAGCCACAACTTTAATTGCACTTCGACGTCGATCGCGGCCGCCAGGGGTAGGCGAGCACACCGAAAGCGATGGCAGCTTGAGAGACTGAGTATCACTCACAGGGTACAAAAGGCCATTGAGTGTGAAGATGGATCCGAAATCAAGTTGTCGCACTCGAGATGGGATGGTGAGTGAGTCAGGGAACGAGGTGCGCGGAGGCCACAGTTGTGGATGCGGGGATTACTAAGCAATCTATGTCAAACTGAGAAAGCCCGGACGGACAAACACCTCTCCAGCCGGTCGAACGACCTTCGTGACTTTTTGTATCTCGACGTGTTGTCGAAGGAGACTGAAATGGTGCTTGATGCCACAGGCAGACTCAGTGACGGTCTTGCATCATCATCACCATTGGAGCCGTCCGGTCTCTTTCAATAGCGGCATTGCAACACGGACATCCGGGCATACACACCTTTGGCCAGTTGAGGAGTCCAGAGAAGTGCAATTGCAGGGCCAACCGCGTTGGAATGACCGCAATGAATATACGCTCCCCTTTTAATGCCTTAGGTGCGGAACGGTCCCGGCTCTCAAACTATCGACGACATCTCCTCGTCCAGTTCAGGTGGTCGTTTTGTGCATGTGGGTTGGCAATGATCGCTTTGGGCGAAGTGTCTTAGAAACTAGGCTCATGCAATTGGCCTGATGAGATTCAAAGGCTGGGGAAGTCTAAAGGCAATGACAAGGTCGGTGTTGTTCCCTGGTGCACTCGAGAGAAGTAGTACTGTATCAGCACTTCTGGCTGGCGCCTTCATTGCAAGCCGTCGGTATCATCCTTCCTCTCCCATTCTGACTGGCAGTCGTACTGAATGACAGTTCTGGCGTTAGCCCAGGCTCGGAGCATCGGTATCGCCTGTATGTCACTTCTGCATTCTCGAGCTGTCAATTAATCGGCCTCTGCGGATATGAGCCTGGTGGTCTTCAGATCCCTATCCACTGCCCGGTCAGATATGCATCGCGCCCGCCTGATTATCGAAGCAGCGTGAGGAGCTTGCGTCTGCGCCCGCTAGAACTTCGAAGCAAGTACGGGCGTCACAGTGGGACGGACGCAATTTCGTGCGCAAGAAGAGCCAGATGCGAACGGTGAAAGGGAACGGCAGCAGCCTCTTGACCAATGAATCCGGGATCATACTTATTTACCATTCAGACTCACTTATCAATGATCCCCTCCCCACCGTCTCAGCTTCCTTTCTCAGCATCCACATCTTCCTCGCGACAGCGTTCGACTGAGCCGTCTTCAATTCTACTACCGGCTGTTAGCAAGCATCTACCATCCACCAACACCTACATCTACATGGCGACCACTGCCACCCAGCAACCTCCACAGCGATGTAGCGCTCAGCCAAGAAGAGCACCAAGGCCCGTCCGGTGGCGCCCGCCATTCCCAACTAGGCAGCATCCCGCAGCCGTCGGCACCTCCAAAAACACGCGCTACAACGGGCCAGATCCAGTGAACAGCGGCATCAACCGAGGAATGAATGACACCGAGAAGAAGAAAAAGCAAGCTCTGCCTGCCAGCCGTCAGTGGGATGCAGAGACCAGCGGGGACAAAGATCAAGCATCTGCAGCTGGGAGACCGCCAACCGGCTCAGGAACTCAGTGAGGATAAGGGTGACTCTGCGGCCGGTGGCCGCCAGCCGGTGACGGAGCTGCTGCCACATGGCAGACAGGGCGAATTAGACGCTGGTATTCTGTGTGGGCTGTTTCCTCGTGGTATGCGAGGAGTCTCTAGTGTTCAAGCTGTTGTGAGATGTTAGGTATCTCCAGCTTCGGCCAACCTGCAGATTTCTCAATGCTTTCATTCTTCTTCTACACATCCACCACCCCACTAAAAAGCCGCCCTCCCCGCCTTAACAGCCCTCAAAGCCCCCTCATCAGCCAGCCTCTCAATCATATTATACAGCACAAAGTCACAACCCCTCTTCACCACCAATCCAATCGTCACCGGCACCATCTCTTCGTGCAACGTCACACTGCTATTGTACGATACTTGGCCAATCGGCACCGTGAAGTCGGCGCAACCGAAAATAGGACATATATTCGCGCCCGTGATCTTTGCGGTTTTGGGGAGCACGGCGAGGTACGAGGCGTCGGGGGACTCGTTTAGGGATTCCTCGCGGTATGAAGGCTGTGAGCGTGTGAGGGTTAGCAGATGCAGTGAAGTATAGGGGAATGCGGGGATTAGCTCGGCATCTCTTTGGCTACACGCATTCCCTACAGGCGTCCAGGATGGGCTTTTTCAAGGTAATGTGAGATCTACATACCTTGCCGCCAGTGCCGATATCGTACAGCATCACCGACTCGGAGCACGACTCAGGCGTGCTGTACTGCAGTTCGCGCTCATACCATTCCACACCGAGATTCTTGGTCTGCAGGGCCGCATCGTAGGTCGCTTGGTTGTATACAGATTCGTTGAAGGCGATCCAACCCGGTCGGCGCGCTGGATCGATAGGCGGAAAGCGGCCGTCGAAAAGCGCTTTCCAGGCCGTGATAAGCGGCTTCGCGACAACGCTCCACTGCGTCCAGCTGTTGATGACGCCCGTGGCTCGGGTCAGGGTGGTGAGGTTGCTGGCAATTGGATCGGTCCAGTTCTGCACGGTTGCGGTGAAGTTGAACTCCTTGACTGTCATGTTGAATATGCGGGACATGTTTGCGATGAAGTCTTGTAGGATGGGCTCCGCGGCAGAGTTGTTCAAAGGGAGATAGTCTGTGGGATACAGGATGGTCTTCGGGAAGGCATCGCTATCTGGGACCTGGAGTGGAGAAAGACCGGTGATGGAGACTTCTTGGTGGAGCTGAGGCGCGTACCAGTTCTTCGCGAACTTGATCCACTTGTATGGATCGCGGGAGAAGACGCCTGCCGTGTCTGTGGCACCTCCGAGGGGAATGACGCGCTCGAGAGACATCATGCCTTGGCTGGGTCGCTGACTGCGAAGCGTAAGCATCACTCTCAGTCAACGCGGTTAAACGACTCACCCATAAGTACCAGAGACAGCAGCTGGTCTCCTCATCGATGAGCCAGTATCACTCCCAATAGCATAATCCAACCAGTCGTACGCAGCAATCGAGCATCCACCCCCGGACGAAGATGCAGAGCACGTGAGCCAGCCATCTCCTCGTGGATTAAAAGGATAGTGTTCGTCCTGCCATTCCCACGGATTAGCTCCAGAGGCAAATTGAGCCAGCTTTTGCTTCCCGACCACGACGCCGCCTAGATCGAGGATCTGCTGGACCGAAGGAGCCGTGCCGTCAGAAACAGGCGTGATGTACGCCCACGCCTGGCTGCCGGCGGAAGTCTGGAGGCCCTTCACATCGTAAAGGTCTTTGATAGCGACTCGCTCGCCCGCCAGCGGCCTGTCATCCCCCCAGTAATAAATCCGCGATGGCACTCTTTCCCATGGTCAGCGAAGATCTAGCACATTAAAAAGGCACACTCACGGAATCATAGGGTCCCAAAACTTGGGCAGGAAGACCCCCAGCGGATTATGATTCCCCTCTCCATCGTTCGCATCATACGCGCCGAAAAGAAACGTCCGGTACACGTCGCGATACAAGCGATAAACCGTCGAGAAGCTCACGGAGCCGGAGCCGACGGAAGCCAGATATGGTCCAGCGGGCAAGTCAACAGCTCCTTGAACTGAGATGGTCGAAATGCCCTCAGCAGAAATGGACGCATCTACGAAGACGAAGCTGGCGTTCATCGACCCAAGATACTCGATCGCTGATGCGTCTAAACTCGCTGTCACCGAAGACGAGATATACACTCCTTCCAAGAAATCCTCGCTGAACACATCGTCGCCCTCAAGATACGAAGCAATAACGCCCTCTAGCGTGTCCTTCGAAATACTGGACTCGTTCGTCTTGATCACCGTGATCGGTACCGCGGAGGAGGCTGGCTCGCAGTTGGCCGAAACGACGGCTTTCGGATGCTTTGTATTGGCCAGATACGAAACATTTCCCAGCTCAAAGATCGTATCCGAGTAAGGATTGCTCAAGACGAAAGAATATGGATTCCTTTTCGCAATCGGAGCAGCAGAGACAAAGATAGACGCAAAAACCGCAGTCAAGAGACCCGAGACCGCCAATCGCCCAGCAGCCATCGTGAAGCAGCGGGCCACCGCTCCTCCATCCGCTCCTCATCCTTTGCTTTATACATCTCTAGCACGGATATCAGCGTCTAGTCAGTCAAAGGAACATTGAGATAACGAGACAGAGCGAGATGCCTGATGCGGACTGGTGATGGCTGCGCCTGCAGACGAGGTTGGTGATGGTGGCTTGCTAAGGCTAGCCGATGATCCTTGGCTTGAGCGGGGAGAATCCGCAGGCCGGGATACGGACTAGTTTGCAGGCAGGCTTATCTTCGCGTGCGGGATGTTTCTTCCGTCATCGGCTTCAGCGGTATTATCAATTGGCAGATAGCGATGGGGAATGGGGAGTCCCGCATGAGAAGCACTCCGGCTTGAGGTCCGCGGAAGGCAGGTGAGGGCTAACCGGAAGTGGAGTAGCGCCGTCTGGGGGTGATCGTCAAGGTTGAATACTTCCTCTTAGGATTATATAAAGTATGCCATCCGACAATAGGCAATATTGATGGGTATAGGAGGCGACGAGACTAAGGACACCTTAGAAAGTCAATTCGATTGTTCTGACTACCAAGAATGCAGTCCAACACCGCTCCTGAACGCCCTTATACCTAGGTTCCTGCCCAGCCCTACACATATCCCAAGTCCAGAGCGCAAATTCAATACCAGCAAAGTTCCACCGTGATAATTATCCGATCTCAGAACGGTTCACCTCACACTATCTGCCCAGCATCCCCAAACCCTCCACCGCCCCGTCCATCTCAAAGCCATCTCTTAAACCACTCAATCGCCTGCACCGTCGCCTCATCCGCACCACTCGCCTCCTTCTCATCCCCCGGCTTCGCCCTAACCGCAAACCCATGCTGCACCCCCTCGTAAATCCTAATCTGATAATAAAACCCATTCTCGCCCTGCCCATCGCCCGCCTCCTGCCTCAACAGCGCCTCCGCCTCCTCCACCTTCTTCGTCGGCAGCTGAAAATCCTCCTGCGCATGCGCAACCGCCACAGGCGTCTTAAACCTTAGCACCGGCTGCACCACATCATCCGGCATCTTCAGCCCAGACGGATGCGCGCAGAACTGCGCATCCACCAGCCCCTGCTCCCCTCCTCCCCCTTCCGCCGCACTCTCCGTGCACAGTTTCAAGCTCTGATGCCCGCCCCAGCAGAACCCCGCAACGCCCATCTTCGCGCCCGCAGGCAGCCCCGCCCGCACCTTCCGCGCATACGCCAAGCACGGCGCGTAGCTGGCCTTGTAGCTGGGAAACGCGCGCCAGAAAAAGGGCACGAAGTACGACAGCGCGCGGACGAGGCTCCACGCGCGCGCCAGCTGGCCGGGGACGTTGAACAGGCCGACGGGCGTCATCACGCGGTCCATGATGGGCATCACGGCGGGGTCCATGGGCCCGCCGGGGATGATGTCGGGGACCAGGACGCGGCAGTGCGTGCCGATGGCGTAGGCGTCGGCGAGCAGCTTGTTGTTGACGAGCTTCAGGCCGAAGGCGTCGGTGTAGAAGATGATGGTTGAGCCGGAGGTTTCAATGCCGGGTGGTGCGCCGCCGGCGATGTAGGTTTCCACGCCGTGGAGGGTCTCCATTGAGCCCTTGGGTTCGCCTGTTGCGGCGCCACCGCGGAAGCAATCGGGGCAGGCCATGGTGTGGCGAATTTACTCACGTTTGGGTAGAAGCTTTTTAGTGTTTGGTGTTGCGGGGACGGAGAGGGGTTGTTTGTGTTTGCTAGGCGGAGTTTGGGGCTTTTATGGTGGCATGAGCGAGCGAGCGAGCCAACTATTCAGCTCGGCCTGATTCGTTCTTTATTTCGAGACTGGCAGCGCGGGACAAAGACGCCCCCGAGGTCCGACCACTACATCGCGCGCGAGAATGACCTAGTATACGCCTACGATCTCTCGTGCCAACGTTTGCGGGGAGAACTGGAAGGATCGAAGTCTCCAGTGCTTATCCACCGCTCAAGCTAGCTGCAAGGGGAATAGGGGTTGCCTATTTGGATTATCAATGCATGGGATGGAACTCGGCCTGATCGCAACCTTAACGCCGACGCGTACCCTAGACTAAATCGAGCACAGAAGAGCTTCTGCTAGGTACTTGTATTATCTCAATTACCGGCTCCAGCGGAGCGAGGAGAAGGCGAGAGTAGTTGAGAATGGAGACGAGTTTACTGCGACTCCTCGTACGCGCAAACGCGCATGAATACAAGTTCACAAGCTCGAAAGCTCCATAGTCTCAAGGCAGAAAACAAGCAGAACCATGCTACTCCCAAATATCCAAGTCTCCAAACACTCACCCTAACACCTTACTCCGCTCACCCACCAATAACCCATCCCCTCACATACGCATTTCCCCCAAAATCCAAACCTACACCCCACACTTCCCCAAGCACCACTCACACAATCGCGCAGGTACTAAACTATGCGGCAGCTTCCGCGCCGCCTCACAAACCTTGGAATTGCTCTGGAATCAATCCGACTGCATACGGTTAAGCGCTTAGGGTACCTAGGGCACGGGCCCTCATCGTACGATGCGCGCAGCAGAGCACACCGAAGACGGATTAGCAACGTGTTTCATGGCTCCCCAGAGGCCAACAAATCTCGCGTCGAGAATATAAATGAGGATGATGCGCCCGGGATTGCGTTTTGAGTGGAAAGACTCCTTTCCAAAATGCTGCACCTGTATCAATGACCACGCGCCAAGGCGAGACTTTCACAACCGATCCGATAAACTACGGATGAAACGGTGTGACAATCACAAAAGACAAACTACGGCGGGGAGTGCAAGACACACTGTTGCGAGAGAACCCTTTCCATTCATTCGCGCGAACACCTATCTCCAGAGGAATTTCCGTCCCGTTTCCATGATCGTAAGCCAGCCCTATTATTACACGAAAATATTTTGGATCCCGTCGAAGAAAGGAAATTCTGTTCATGACCGATCCGAGAGCCCGTAAACTGTGAATGGAAAAAAAAGAGATGTTGGGACTATTATCGGGTCCGAAGGATTGGAGCGGGTATACGGCGAAGGAAAGGAGAAAAATTACAAGAGAGGGTAATCCAAAATAAGGACCTAGCACATGTGACTGGCTAGAAGTAATTACCCTTGGGCAAGGCGCAGAAGATACCGACCGCGACGGCGGAGATGATGAATGCGCCGAGAATAGCCTGTAAGAAGATGGTGTCCTGGATTTGGCGAAGAGCAGGCTCCTGGATCCAGACTTCGCGATCGAAGACCTTGCGGATAACGTTGCGCTTCTCGTACTTGGCTACCCACGGCTCGTCCTCGTAGCTGTTGCTTGAGGCGTGCGACTCCAGGCTGTCGTACGAGCCGCTCTTCATGTCAAAGCTGGCCGGCTCGTCGTCAGAAGCGAAGAGTTCCCAGGGTCGCAGATGACGATGGTGCATGCCGTGCAGGACGACGCACATTCCCTTCCAGGCGGCGATCAACGTCGAGATGCCAATGAAGAAGCCGATCAGCGAGAGTACACGCCAGGCACGGCCAGCGCTGCTGAGTGTGATGAGGACAGCAGCGATAATGCCCCCTACAATGCCGCCGACGCCGAGACCGCGAGCGAAGACGACGCGAGGACGGTTGCCGTTGCAAATGGTCCACCGGATGAAGTTGGGATGGGCCTGGCAGCGCAGGGACCACTCAACAGTGGAAATCACGTCGCGGAACGCAGACGGATGCGTGGTATTCTGAAGAGCATGGAGTAGTGCAGTGCGCTCCTTGGACGAGAGGTTCAGCTGGCGGGTACCACCATCGGCGATGTAGATGGAGATGACGCGCGTAATCTCCTCACGATACGGCTGAACAGATACTGTCGACGATGAGCGGTTGGAGCCTAGAGAGGAAAGAAAAGTCAGTCAAACTCACGGGGCTTCCACTTGAGGCCCGCACTCTCGAACGCACCTGTAGCACGCTGAGTGTGATCGGTCTTGCCTCCAGAAGTCAAGCTTCCGTCGTAGGAGTCAATTGACGATCGCCCATCGCGCTTCAGGTCACTGTTCGGGGTGCCGGGCGGCGGAGTGAAGAACGGGTTCTTCTCGTTCTCGGCGATCTTGGGCTCGTTGGCGAAGTCGGTGCCCTTGAAGATGGCCTGAGTCTCGGGGCTCACACGCTTTGGACGAGCCTGCTCCTGCTCGGCATCGTGCGCGGTCCATGGCGGTGAAAGCGCCTTCTCGTTGTCGGGGAGGTCGTTGAAGCGCTTGGTGTAGCTGCGGAACCACAGATAGAACTGCAGGTTCTCGGCAGCCAGCTCGATGTACTTGAGGTAGTTCATGAAGTCCCGCGTGGTGCATGGCTGCGGCGAGTGAGCAAGGTTCAATGCATGTGGGGCATTACTTACAGGGCATGTGCCGCCGGCGATGATGCGGTCAAAGGAAAGCGCTTCAGGGATTCCGTGCGACATGCCACTGCTGCCAGAATGGACAGATTCATGGATGGACTTTGTCTTCTCGGCGCCGGAGAGGGATTCGCGAGAAGAGACGTGGGAGACGCGCGACGGGCGCCGATAGGCGAGCGAGTACACCATCTTGACGAGGCAGCTGCGACGTCAGAGCTGGAGCTGGGAGAGAAGAGCGGAGGTGGAAGGCGCGACGGTGACGGCGGGGAAGGGATCGGGCGGTTTTATGTTTTGCGGAGCAGCACGACGTCAGCAGCGTGGCAGCGGTGGTGAAGGAAGGTGCCGCTGCCGGAAGAGGAAAATGATCAACGTGGGAAGGAGGAGCAAACGGATGTCCCCTCGAACAGGCTCGGCGCAGCGCAGCGCAGGGCAAAGCGAGCAGCAGCAGACGATCGGCACCCTCGGTATCGGTGAAGCCACGCGAGACGCCGGAGTATTTGGCGATAGGCTTGCTGCGATTGCGAACCGTCCTCCGCGACGCCGGACAGGAAACGTTCGTGCTTGCTTGACTCGAGGGCGAACGGAGGGGGGGAATGGCGTCCTCGTGGAGCGTTCCCACTACCTAATATATGCACTCAGGAGAGCTTGTGTGAAAGCTACATCACCTCACGTCCGAGGAGGCCGGACGGGCTACGGGCAGGGGTTTGATGAAGCTGCAGGGAACGCACCTTCTGCCGGGCCAGAGTGGAGATGGGTCCAGCATGGCCGGGTGTGCCTTGGTTACACATGGCCGAGCGTGCAGGTGCAGGTCGCCGTCTACGAGTATCCATGCCGCCCCGCTCCAGCTCCAACCGCACGGCGACCCGTCAGCGAGCGTTTGCCAACGCAGAAGCCTCTGCGGGTTAGTCTATCCAACGCGATCCAAGCTACGGAGGTGGAGTCGCGCTGATATCAATCCAGCGCTGACGTCCAATGCGCATCCACGAGGCTGGGCATGGCGTCGGCAATCTGGGCAAATGCGCCGTCGATCATCTAGATCCATCCCGCATGCGGCCTGGCCTCAACCTTGCCGCCGCCCATCCTTGCTCTGTTTGTCAACACGATCGTGCACTCGAGAGAACGGCGCGCGGTTCGGCTGCTGTCAAACCAGCAGTGGACGTGCAAGGCATTCCAGAAGGCATGCATCGCCATCCTCGAGCTGCACAACTGCGAGGACAGTTGGAGCGGCGCAAAGCAAAAGTCGTATGCAGCATCGAGGGGCATCGGCGGTATGACGCTTTTTCAGACAGCCACCGAGCGGGCGGCACATCTACTCCCCCTTGTAAGTTCTGCTTTTCATGCAGTTTTCATGCAGCCGCGCCCGCGATGTTTCTTCTGACGCGCCAATGAGAACAACGCGCCCGACGATGAATGCTTGATTTCTTGCCCTGCTAACCCCGCAGCACCGGTTCTCCACCGCAAGCAAATACTCTCCCATCGCCGGACTCAGCTAGATCTCTCCACTATCCGCTCCGAGGGGCGCATTTTCAACCTTCTCATCAACGTTTTGCTGCATCGTGGCGATTATCCGGTGGATGCGGATGCGACGGCCAGAGAGCGGCCCGAGCGCCATTATCGTCGACCAAAACGCCTCAGCGGAGCTCCGCAAAAGCAACGAACACGCGGGAGCCAATCGAGCTAAACAATTGCAAAATGCCATGCGGGAGAACACGACACGGGAGGGCTTCTGCTTCCAGCCTATGAATGTCTTTGTTTCGATTTAGCGACCGAGTTCCGGGTCCCGCCATTCAGGGGCACGGGCGCGTTCCTGACTGAGTCCTGGTCGCACATCGCGATGCAAATTGGAGACGAGAAAAGGAAAGGTCGTCGCGATCTCTCTCCGCCCCTACTCAGGGGGCTCGTTCTCGGCGATGATACTCGTCTGAGGAAACGCTTGACGTGGAGCTGTTACTCTAGTTCGCCGGCTCGCTGCACAAAGTCTGGTACCTTTGGCTAGTCAACCACTTGCTTACTCATGGTCCGCCAGCTCAGAGCTCCCGCGTCGAACCAAACGCTCCAAAGATTATTCTCACATACTAACCCGTCGTGCCTGCAGTTCACTTGGCAACCCAGGCTTCTGTCAACGTTCTGCTTGGTCACCCTACGTCACACCTGCCCAGGTGCATTCTTCGCTTCCATCAGAGCAATTACTCAACCGCAAGCCCATCATGGACCGTCACAATATTGATTGCACAGCCTGCTTTCCTCTCGTATTTTCCTGGCCTCCATTCATGTCCAATTTCCTGCCTGCCGCTACCCCCGGTTGCTCGTTCGGTCTCGCTCTCGGATCGGCGCAGCTAAGATCTGACGTTTGCTAGCTTCATATCTATGCCAGTCCTCGCGGTGCCCTCCGATTGGGCAGCCACCATTTCAATAATGGTAATTGCATGTATCGGCGGGCGCCGAAAAGCAAGGAGCATGTGCCTGTCCCCACACAAAATCTGCATGGCATTCCGACAACTGCGATCTGGGACCTTCGCGTGCCACTATGGTCTTGGGCTTGTGTTGCCGGACCCAAGGTCCAGATAGCGCCGACGTTTCACGTAGGTTGCACGCGCCGTTCATATCGGGGAGATGCAGGGCGCTTGGAGATGGGAAATCTGGAGGCAAAAAGAGAGGTGCTTCATCGCGGAGATTCCGACGGCCTGCATCAAAGGAGCTTTCATCGCAGCTGCGGACGGGGGCGCGGCCCTACCTATGCGGATTTCTAGCTGGAGCAGCGTCAGACTAAGATCTGAAGCCTCGAAGGGGAGACTGCACATGGGAATTGTCAATGTTTCTTCCACTGCAGCCGCGCTTTTCAAGGCCATTTCGTCCCTGCGATGATCCTTGTATCTCTCTTCCCATCTGCTCTGCCTATCTCAGGCGGCAGAACTGTCCCCCCTAACGATCTCGCGCCACTCCCCGTCCACTAACCGATAGTCAAAATTCGTCCTCTTCGCCACTCCATCCGCGTCTTCGTCCTCTAGCACGCCCATCTCCTGCAGCCTCTTATTCGCCTTCTCCAGTTTCCGCAGAAACGAGTCCCTCGTCCTCGCCTGCTCGCGGCCACCACTGCCACGGCTATTTATCATGGTCGAAAGGCGCTCTCCCTGCTTCTTCTCATTCCAGAGAAACTGCTCGACTTCCAGCTCCGTAAGGACCACGCCGGTCAGGCGGTCCGCGGCGAACATGGAGGTCGTCGAGCGGCCCCGATTCACATTGCTAGACTCGTGCTCGTATTTTCGGCTGTTTGCGCTGGTGGGGGGAGTTTCCGCAAAGTCCCATTGCACGGCGATTTTGGTCGTGTTGATGGGGACGCCGTCGTCGAGGTATTTGAAGAGCATATGGAGCGTCTGGGAGTCTATCTTCGTGGCGTAGGGATGGATCAGGCGGCCGAATGGTGTCCTGTAGATTCCTTCCTCTGTATTTTGTGACCATACGCTCATGTTAGGGAACTTCTTGTTGAGCAGCTCGTCGTCGTTGCGGATCCGCGCGAGTGAAGCATCGTCCGCTTCGATACGCACGGTTATACCTGAAAGGTGCAGGCTGTACAATGGTTCGAGCAGATCGAGCATGTCCTGTACGCGGTTGTGGTGAATATCCTGCTGCTGCTCATGTGCGCTCTGCTTGGCGCTGACCGATCCGGGATATATGACGCAGCCATAGAAGTAGTAGGTGCGATGCCAGTCGATGCCGGGACTCGGGAGGAGGAACGGGACTGTGAGTATAACCTCTAGATTTTCGAATGTATTTATAGCCGTGAGGGTGATGGGTTCTGTGAGCGGCTCGCCTTTCCATCGGTCCTCGTATTTCGCAATAGCTTCTTGCTCAATCTCCGCAAGATACGCTGTCAGCCGCACCGCAGCCTCGCGCTCCACCTCGTCCTTGATCTGGCGACAACAGGCAAAGAAACCAGCGTACTCTTCGTAGCCGTCGAATGGAGGCAAGGTAAGGTGATCGTAGATGGAGAGGCGGATCTCGGAGGGCTGGCGGAGGAGTGTACATGTTAACTGTGCTTTAATACTTTTTGAGTCCATTATGAGTATGAGTAAGGGTTTTGTGAGGTAGTTGAGACGAGGTGGGCAGGTGGGGTGAAGGGTGTTGGGCCGCGACTGCCATAAGCGACTCGTACTCCGGTCCTTAGACATCAGCTGTTCGCAAGCGCGTCAACATCTACGCCCTTGAAAGAAAAACGCTAGTGGATGGTCTCGTGAAGAAGAAGGGCTTACTGGAAAGACGATGGAGACGAGACACCATGGAGTCCGGACGCGGTTGGGGCAGTGCTGAGAGCGAATCAGCGGGCGATGAATGTTGATTTACTCTGGCCACTCAAGGTGCTCATAGGAGAAGGCAATGAAGAGACAGACTCGGAACATGTTGAGCAAGGCAACAATGACGTAGAGAGAGGTCAGTACCCAATACCCATTCTCAAAACTGATAGTCAAGGCTCAGCTACAGAGTCGGGTCCATAACCAAGGGCGCCTCAACACGAAGCACAGTATTAAGAGGCCCATGAGCCGAGCTATGCGAGGGTGAAGTGGGGGGAGGTGGAACGGGACTCACCATGTTCTTAATGAGCTCTTGCGGATCAGTCCTTTCCTGGATGTATATCCATACAAGACAGATAGACTTCGAGGCACTCGCAGCTGGTATACAACACCAAACTCCTAGTATTGCAAGCTCTTTAAATCCAAGTCAACGCGCAAAACTCTACACGAAGTCTAAATTCCCCTCCTTCAAATCCTTTGCCGAGATATCCTTCAACGGATCCTTCCCGTCGAACGCATATTGAGCCCTCTCCTTCCGTGACATCCGGGTAATGTCATGGCGTGACCCACCGATGTTCGGCGTACCGTGATCCCTCTTATACGCTCTAAGCCTCTTCGCCCATCCCCAAGGGTCCTTATCCGACTTCCCAGCAGCATTCACGCCGTCGCCATCGCCATCTTCCTTCAACATCTCTAGCAACTTGGCGGTGCCATAGACGCCCTTCTCGACGTCCAGACCTGCCTTGGTAAAGTAGGCTACTGCATGAGTCCTCCACTCGACAGCGTCCTCGTCAATACCGTAGGCATCGAGGTCGTGAGCCCATTCCAAGAAGGAGCTGATGACGAGAGGTAGATCGAGAAATTTGGAATCGGGTTTTAGTTCACCGCCATCTTCAAGTGCAGCGAGGGCGGTGAGCAGAGCGCATCCCATCAGGCCGGTCAGAGCCTTGACCTTGTCGCCATCTTCGTTGTCTGCGCAATATGTGAGTTGAGGCTGAAGCATAAAGGTGAGGCTTGCGATAACTTACTGATGAAGGGGCCCATTTCATCCTCGTTCAGCCAGAGAGCAAGCGTGCTAATAGCAGCCCACATCTCCTTGAACGAATCTTCACCCTTCGCTCTCAGCTTCGCATCGAATTTGAGCATCTGCGCGATATCAGTCCTATCCGCATCCTCACCTCGCACAAATGCATACCAGGTTCTCCATCAATTCTTGCAAACCCCACCCGTACCAGTCATTGCAGATGTACATGCCGAAGTTATCCGGGTCGCAATACTTGGCCCTCCGCCTCCAATCGCAGAACATCTTCCAGCTCTCCCACATCATGACCCACTTCCACTCCTTGTTATCGGCCGCAGGCTGCAGTATCTTTCCGCTCGCCTTCTCCTCCTCAAAGATCTTAACGTACTTTTCACCTAGCTCACCTTCAAGCTCGTCATCGCCTAGGGTGCGGTTCTCGGCTTCGAGGTCGAAGTGCGGTCGGTGGATGCAGATGTATTCATGCAGAGGGATTGATTTGACCTGCAGCAGCTATGTGAGCGGAGAGACGCAGTCGAAAATGGGTAACGCACATCGCGGCCCTCATCGTTGCTCTCGTGAGGCGTTGAAGCGCTGGCATCGTCCTCGCGAGTCGGAACGCTCGAGTCCTTGCTGATTTTCTGTTTCTTTGATGGTGGCATGGTCGCACTTAACGGAGATTGAAGGTACGGAAAGACGTGGCTGAGGAGATGAGATGCAAATTGGAGACGTGGGATTGTTGGGAGGAAAGCTGATGCTGCCCCTGATGTGATATTAGTTGGTCATAGCTCCGCCCCAAACGCGACTTCCACGCGCTGGCACGTGGGACCCCACAATTACTGTCCATTGCGAGCTTGATCGAACCTCATCCAATGTTCATAGTCTACCTGGTCCTGATGCCCTGCCTTACTCTCGTCTATTTCACACCAATAAGAGAGCGCGCTCCATACTGTTAATCAATGGAGCATGCCTTACGAAGACGAGTACGCGCAGCTTTTGGAATAGCGAGTCAGCAGCAGATCCCCGTCTGATGCTGCGGTGCGTCGGCAGATGGAAAAGATTGGTGAACCGTTGAACGAAGAAACAAGCATGCATGTTCATCACATCTTCCCGTCCGCGCCAGGCCTTGTGGTATATGGTGAGAGGTCAGAGGGAGCCCAGAGTGACGATGCCGGGATGATCGCGCCGTCCTGTGAACCATCCTGGCGATTGTCCTGACTCCAGTACTATGCGCAAAGGAGTCCAGGTAAAGTATCGATTGCCGCAAGCTGGACCGCCTCGTAAGGCGGAATGTAGACCTCAGGAATAGCACGTGTGGCGCAGGCACGTATCCGATAAAGAGACGGTGGCGCAGTGCACAACTGAGGTCCGCAACACGAGTACAGCCCACACGTCCTTCCATGATATAAGGCATGCCTACTCTTTCCCTACTTCTTTCTTTACTGCGCGCGAAGTATCCACCATGGCGGAAACTTACAGCAGCGTGTCCCGTGTCTTTGCCATCCCAGAACTCACAGAGTCAATCCTGCTACACACCTACGCGCTATGCACCACTGCGACGGGCGCAAGTGAACACGAACCTCGATCGATTAGCTGGAAGAACGACATCAATGATCTCAAGGCCGAAAGCAACGGGATGCGCTGGCTCTTGTGCACAGCAAACCGCGTGAACCGTTTCTGGAACAGCATCATCAGCACCTCTGCTCCAATCCAAGAGCGTCTATTCCTCCAATGGCATAGCCGGCAGAATCGAACACTCAAGTACAACCCCCTTATGGCCTCCAAATTTACATGGGGATATATTGGCCGTTATAAGGTTTTTCCGTGCGGGGAGGAGAAGTTTCTCCAAGCCCTGCTGTATCGCGATGCGAGTTGGCGAAGGATGTTTCCCGTGGTGCCTCCTGTACGCCGCGTCGAGGTGCACCAAGAGATCCGTCCAGGCCGGTTTGCAGATAACGAGAGAAAGAATGGGAGGATCGCTCTCGATGACCTACCGGAGAAAGACGGATTGAGGATGGGTATGCTGTTTGATATTGCAGAGGAGTGGAAGAAGCCACTTAACGCTTCGTTATTTCACGTCAAGTGGGTCGGAGATGTGGATATCGAAAAGATTCGAATGGAAGAGTGAGTGCACATTCTTCTTGGGTCTACCGAAGCTTACTATTGATAGGGGGCAAGATATGAGGGAAATGCAAGCAAACCTTCCAGAGGTCTCAGGAAACACGACCATGACAACGGGAGGGTCAAGTGCCTTGATCCCCGGAGAGACGGTCGTTGGCTGCGTCAAAGTCGAGTTGGAAGACTCGTCTGCTGAAGTCGGTGTCTGGGATGATGAAATAGGACGATTCTCCCGGGGACATCTTGTTAGTTACCCAAAGATGGAGAGCGAAGGAAAGCGATGGAGCTTGGATGATATTGAATGGGACGAGTAGTGAGGGGAAGACGGACTATGGGGGATATTGGGCGGTGGGTCAGATTTCAAAGATTTTGTTAACATGCATTCCTTCTAGAACTTCTCGCAGGCGGGTCGCATGTCAAGTTCGTGTGTCCAAAGACACGGCTTTTGGTGATGGAGCCATAAGTACGTCTCGCCCACGGCATCGGCGCTCATTTTCTTACCCGTCTTCTGGTCTTCTCCATCAGCATCCACAATGGCGCCATTTGCAATCGTATGTACCACGTGGACGCCATTCTCGCTCATTTCACGTGCCAGTGTTTGTGCCAGTTGGCGAACAGAGGCGCGGCCAGCTCCATATGCCGCAAATTGCGCGCTGCAACGTAGGGCTCCAAGGGTGCCGGTGAAGATGAGAGTCTGTCGCATGGGTTTAGCGAGATCACCAGGGAGGATGGGTGGGTCGCCTTACGCCTTTCTTTGGAGCTCCCTCAGACAACGGAGTCTCGCCGTGGTCCGCAAAGAATCGCTTCAGCGACTCCTGTGCAAAGGTAAACGCTCCACCGACGTATGTTTCCAGGGAGTCGGTAAACTCCTCATATGTTTCCTCCAAAAAAGGCTTCTTAGACGAGTGCTTGATGCTGTATATGGCCATATGCAGTTTCAGGTCTTTGAAGCTCTGATGCGCCTTTATATCTCTGAATGCCTTCTCAAGCGACGCTTTCGATGTGTCCGTTGGGAAGGTCTCGAGGACGGCATTTGGGCTTGCTTTCCGGACCGTGGACACGACGTCGTTGAGGGCTTCCGGTCGGCGGGCAAGAAGGGCAACGGCAAGGTTCCCGTGGGATGGATGAGAGAGGATCCGAGCGATTCCAGTGCCCTATGAGGTACTCTTAAGCTTCGTGAATCGCCGAATTCAGCAATGAAACGTACGGTGTTGGGCCCGGCCCCAATGAGAATAGCAAGACCTGACGGAGGCATTGTAGATAATATTGGATTCAGATGAAGAGAATCAACCCGGGATACAAGCGCTTAATGCTCTTAGTGTAATAAGAACTCTAAGTTCGCTCAGCACTCCGACGTGCAATGAGCCGATGTGAGCTATTACATCATCGATCGCGCGGGGAATGCAGGAGGGCCCGCATCCTCCGAACAGTCCGATTAAACATCGGTCTTCTCGGGGCTGTATCAGCAGTCGTTTGGGGTGGAGTTGGAAGGTTGATGAAGTGTTCAAAGGAGACAACGGAAGCGCGCATTCGAATACACAGTAACGAAGATTCCGCAGGAGTAGTTGCGCTCGGACATGCCAAGGCGTCGCATCATCTTCCGAGGTCATCGTCCCACTCGTCGCGTCTTTCTCCCAACCCACTTTCAACCTCGTTCCTGGCCGCTGCTTCTCAATTCATCAACTCTTCACTCATAGGTGACCCCGAGACGTGGCGGCAGCTGATCATGGCAGGACTTTAGTGTCTGTCATGTCGAACACGCCGGACACCTGCAAGAATCCTATTCGTCCTTGGGGAGCTTCAAGAACATCCAACCCTTGCAGTCTCTCTTGCTCCTACTCGTCAATGATGCTTCACTGATACGACATGTCGCCTGGAACCTCGGTCGCGTCCAGCTTTAGTGACCAGATCGCGAGCACATTATGCACACATGATTGGCCCATGCGAGTAAGAGATATCAGTCTTCGGACTGCAGGGTGAATTCCAATAGGGCACGGCGTCCAATACTACAGGCTTTCTGTGGAACCAGGCTCCGGTTCGCTACGAATTACATGCTTCTGGTCGGACGTGCGTGCCTTTGCCGCACCTGAGCTTGCTCACCCTCCGATCAATCTGCCGTCGCCAGGGATGACTTGCCTTCGTGGCTGTAATGTCAGCTTCAGCTAGTATCAGGGTTCTGGTTCATCCAGTGAGAACGACGATAGACGCGCGGCGGCACAGTCGCCCAAGAATTTTCCGCTAGCGAGTAATGAGGCGGTTTGGAGATGCCGCGTATGTTCTGCAGTGGCGGTCTGCGGCGTAGTTGCTGCACCTCTATCACGCAGGTTAGCGGTCTTCCCGAACCCAGAGCAGGTGGCATGCCAACATCCTTGTAACAAAAGGCTCGGAAAAGCCTTCGAGGATCTCGATACGATGCGCCATGAGACGCGCGGCAAAATTAAGGTCCCTGCTCAGCCCGGGACACTGGATCTGCTAAAAGCATGGTTTGTGGTGGCGTCGGTTGACGTCTGCGCTTCCCCGGCGGTGGTGGCTTGCGGGTGTTACATTTGACGGACAACCTCCGATCCGATGGGCTTGAGTGCTCAGCCTGGACCCGGACTCGAAAACTCCTTGAGCCGCCCTGGCTTGGATGCCTGAGCTGAAAGACCTCTTTCGCTTAGTCATACTGGATATGGCTAGGTCCCAGCAGGTTGACGTCTATGTCGGACATCTGGTAGATGTCAAGGTCTTACCACCCTAAGTATGCAGAACAATGAACCGGAAACAGTCAAGAGATCCAGGATAGACATTTCGATCGCGAGTCGAGCTCCGACGCTTAACGTTGCAGTGTCAAGGTGGTCTTCCTATACCTTTGTCACAATCCTCAATCTCTTCCTTCTCCTATTCGACTCTCTCCTTCCTAATTTCGTTGTCAATTCCTTATTTCGTTCTCACAAAGCTGTGCTGCAGCTACCTGGTGGTATGCTTCTTTCCCTCCAAAGGAAATGTCAAAGGCTTTTCGCTTCGGCACAAATATAGGATCATTGAGACGGTAACATCTACAAGCGAACTTTAGCAGAATCAAGTACACTGCGACCATCCGATACATTCCTACGTTTCCCCGGAGCACGCGCGCGCAGTCATCAGCCCAACGTCACAAAGAAGATGCGAGCATAGAATATGGACAGTACCAGCAAAATAGCCGTATTCAAAACTCCGCAGGCAGAAGGGGTATCATCAGTGAAAGGTCCATCTGCTTAGTACACCAAGGATCCACGGTTTCGTGTCCCTCGATCCGCGACGAAGCAGAGTCGCTTGGCCCCAATGGCACCTTCCGGCCGACCCGCTCGAGACGACCCATTCTTTCAGTGTCCTTCGATTTCCTGGCTTGAAGGAAGAATTTCAGTCCAGGGCTGTCGACATCGAAGACATGTTGGCCGCCTTCCAATGGCTACCTAGCACATATTCAGACGGCACTGATAATGCAGGCAGTCTTGGCAATGTTCGCTGACTAATCCCGCGATAAGGCCTTAGGCCTGCCGTTCCTACCCCACCTTCCATCGCCACGCGATAACTACCTGGATGAGCGATGATTGCATGCAGTCCAAGAAATACCAAGACTCTCCGTCCCGCTTTCTGCCTCTGAAGAGCTCTGGAGTCGTCGCTTCACTCTCTCATGAGAGCACGTTTCCTTCGATGTTCGCCCCTACAGCATTCTCTACCCCGCCTGCTCTATATGAAATGGCCCAACCTCAATATATCGACTACATTGATACCTCGGACTACAGTGTGAGTTCATGTTGGAGGCTTCCACGACAGGTTGCAAGGATTTCAGCCATGATCCACTACAGCCACGCCGAAATGGCTCTAGTCCGAACAATCCTTCGCGTATACAGCGACTCTAGCAATAGTCTTATCTCTCTTCCTGCCAAGTCTCCTCTTCTATAGTCATTCAGGACAGTCAATCATTCTTTTTCGGAGAACCGCGCCCGATGCTCTCTCAAAAGTTTGTATTTAAGCTCCTTCGATACTCTCGAAGATGAAGTGCTGTGCTAAATAGAGCATTGGTAGTCAAGATGCAGCTCTTCGTATTCTTTTCTCTGGTATGGCCGAGCATCGTTGGCTCTTCGGCTCTCCCTCCCCTCGGGTACGAAAGAAGGCTACTCCGCGAAGCATTCGACAAGCGCGGAAATAATGCCTCCGCATCTTCCTGCTTCTCGGCCGCAGCGCCCGCAACGATTGCCCCGAAGCCGAACGTTTGGGCACAGATATCCGCTGGAGACAATCTCGCCGTTTGGGACCTGCTGCATGATCCAGCGTCCGGGCTAAACCTTACACTTCCCGATGAGGCCGTCCTCACGGACAACTACGTCTTCTGGATCGACACTCTGCACACAAACAAGAGCGACGTTCTTCCCTTTCTGGACGGCGACGCCGCGATGCCGGCTAAGTACGCCCGAGCTATCATTTTCGAAGGCGGCAAAGAAGACCCAGATTCCCAAGAGTACATGATCGGCCCTCTGCCTGTATCGGCGGAAACCAAAATCCAGAAGCTGGATTACATGTACAATGGCGGTTCTGGCGGATCCATGCCTTATAATGCCCGTTATTTCGACGGTCCGAGGACTACGGCCAGTGATGCATTGGTCGCTTCGGTCATGTCGAATATATCCGATATCACTGCGGCGCTTTTCCAAGGCGGTGTGTATTACGGGGCCAGCGATGAGAGGACTAATTTGTCTTCCACTTCCGGAACCCCGATATCCTTTGACGGCAGCCAGGCTTTCCGCAATATCATGTTCCGCTTTCCAGGACCGGCAAGCTATATGACTCCCTTGGACTTCTTCTTGCTTATCGACTGTACTGGCACCGATCCTTCTCTTTACTCGCTAAAGGGCTTTGTCACGGGGGAGAAGTTCTATGCTACCATCGAGGATCTTCGAGCTGCGTTTGAGGCCGGCGAGCTGGCTATGGAGTACGATCAAACACTGGACGCTGATTGGGCACTGGTCGATTATAAGCCGGAGATGGGCGTACGGGAGCTGGATGAGAGGCTTGCGCCGAGCACGCTGGAGATTGGTGGGAAGAGGTATAAGCTTGATAAGGAGAACCAGTATGTGGAGTACATGGGCTGGTCTTTCTACATAGTAGGTCCCGCCAGCCCAACTCCGCATCTCGGATTGCTTGCTCAATGCCTGCCGAGGCACTTCACGAAGGGTGTTCCGCAATCCAGCAATTGCCGCGGTGACATTACTTTCCACTTTCGAGGCCTCTGCTGACCCTTTCCATGACAGTCGTTTACTCGAACATTGGGCATTATGTTTTATGATATCAAGTTCAAAGGAGAGCGGATCTTATATGAGCTCTCCATGCAAGAGGTGCGTACGTCACGAAACACTCATTAGCGTGCTTTGGGTCCTTGGATGCGGAAAGCCACTCCCGGAGACCTTCAGCAGGTAATGACTGGAGACGTGCTCGGGCGTTGACTTCTATTCCCAAACTCAAGACATCTGCTAATGTGAACTGCTACGCTCACAGGCAACCGCTCAGTATGGAGGAAACCAGCCGAAGGCAGCCAATACTGTCTATCATGACACGTAGGTATCAGTTTCCAGTCTGTATGTGAATGCTAATCGCGTGTAGATACTACTCCCTTGGAACGGACATGGGCGTCCTAGTAGAAGGCTTCGACTGCCCTTGGGGCTCAACATTTTGGAATTTGTCTTACCATGAAGGAAACACGACAGTGACCAATGTGGATTCCCTCTGCATCTTCGAAACCGACATGAACTTCCCTTTGTCACGCCACCGCACCGGATCCAGCAATGATTATGGCTTCACCAACCTTGGAACTGTCAAGGGCGCCGCGTTGATAGTCCGCGCGATTGCGACCGTCGGCAATTATGACTACATGTTCGACTACGCATTCCATATTGACGCCTCTCTAGAAGTCATCGTCCGTGCCTCAGGCTACCTGCAGTCCTCATTCTACTACCCCGATCAAGGCAAATGGGGTCCACGCATCCAGCAAGCCACTCAAGGCTCGCTTCACGACCACATCATTACTTTCAAGGGCGACTTCGACATCGTTGGCACAGGAAACTCCCTCCAGGTCTCCGACCTCAAAGCCGTCAATCAGTCTCAGCCGTGGTTCCCCGAACTCGGCGAATTTGAGCAGATGGAGATGGATATCTACAATATGAAAGAGGAGACGCGGTTCAACTGGGCCGCCAATAATCAAGCCATGTTTACCATCATCAACCCGAACGCGACGAATGTGTGGGGAACAGCTAGGGGCTATCGCGTCGTTCCCGGACGATCGAACATTCACCTCTCGACCTTGAACTCACTGTGGTCACTCAAGAACTGCGAGTTCAGCAAGACGCATCTTGCTGTGTCGCGGCAGCACGATACGGAGCCGTATGCGAACTCGGTGCAGAATATCAACTTACCTTGGGCACCTCAGCAGGACTTTAGCAAGTTCTTCGATGGTGAGAGCGTGGATAACGAGGACCTCGTTCTTTGGTTTAACCTTGGCATGCACCACTTTACGCGGAGTGAGGATGTACCGGTAAGTTGCTGTTCGGATTGCTCTCCACAGCTATATTTGAAGCTGACGTTGTGACGCAGGTTACGCTGTATACCGAGGCATATAGCAGCATCGTCTTCTCGCCACAGAATTTCTTTGACAGGGCTCAAGATGGAGATATGCTCAATCGGCGATGGATCGAAGTTGATGATGAAGGGCAGTTGACGTTTGAGACGTATGGCGTGGGATTGGAGACCTGTGCCGTGCAGCTGGAGGAGCCGGTCGAGCATGTGGGTGGCGTAGTCGAAGGCTGAGCATTGTTTGCATGTGCATGCGACGATCATAGATACTATTGGCATGCCAGAATGACGGGAATTGCCACCTTGTTAGCCGCCCGGTGTCTTTACGAGTCGTGAGAGAGCGTCAATTCCACCCTTCCTGTCCGAATAGGAATAGCTTACGGCGTATGCATATTCTGCCCACGCAATGCTCCCTTGCGTCGCTCTTTCTGCTGGAAAGGTCGAAGGCTGTTTCACAAATATACTTATGACAGGCCATTTGCCTATTCAGGCTTTTCTTATCACTCGTGCGGAAAGCGTGATGAACCTCATCTTTGGGTTTTCTCGTGCATCATTTTCCGCAACAATGATCTTAAGCGCTTATCGGTCTTTCTCTCGGCGGGTTTAGGTCTCATAGGGCTGAAGCTGGACGCCTGAAACACAGGCTTGGTCCCACACGTGGGCCGGTTGGTACCACAGGTCGCTCGGAGCCTCATCAAGCCGCCCAGCGTACGTATACCGACTGAAAGGATCTCGCACGAGTGTACCGACGGCGTAATTAGATGAAGTGAGTGGTAGAGGGGGTTCGCTGCGCTGCCGGCGTTGCCGTTCGCTTTGCCCCGGGATCCTATCGCCGGCTTTGATGCGGAGTATTAGAGATGTGATATGTGGGCTAGGGTGGTTTAACACAATCTTCGCTTATCTTGGAGCACTCTGCATCGCGAGCTCAGCAGGGCATGATATGCGAGTGTCTCCACGGGGCACGAATACGAGGCTGATGTGGGCCGACGCGTATACCGAGTGAAGTATTGCAGGTACGGCGGATTGATAGAGGTTTGACGTGCGGAGCCAAGGGAATCTGCTCGTCTCGAGAAGGGCTCGGAACCACGCAACCACATGACCATCACCCAGCGCGTAGCCGCTGGAGTCACTATCATTAGGCGTTGTGATAGTTTAGATGCGGTTTCTGGTTGGTCGACAGCTGGCATGTACTGGTGCTAGGCTCAAACGGGCATAGCGCAAGGATTCGGGGATCAAAATCCTCTAAGAAAAGCCAAAATCAACCTCGACTCTGCATCTAAAAGGCACTATTTCTAGTCGCAGCACCGAGCAACTCTCCGGATGAGCAGTATCGAGGGCCCTTGAATCTGGAGACTACGCCGGGGGCAGTGCCCGGACTGGCTAGCGTGCGTCGTGTCTCTCAATGTTGCGCGCCTGCTTTCACCGATGACTGTAGGCTGTAGGTGCGGGGCGCACATGCAATGCGAGGTCTCCTTAGTTCAACCGGTCGGTGAGGCGACTTGCTTTTTTTACTCTCGTCCGTTTCAAACATCGAACAGTCTGGCTTTCGACACCCTTTTCTAATTTTCTCTCTGGTACTGAAAATAAGGGCGGTGAGCAGGAGATGCGTCGAAGCGATTTACGTAAGATTCCACCTAAGTAAGGATCTCTGGGCTTCAGGGGCGGGTTGGGATCGAGAGGATACGAAGAATCCTCTTTGCGCGCTCAGTGCATGTCATGCAGCTCGTTTGAGCTTCAATATGACCCCAAGAGGAGCTTGTCCGGTGCCGCAGGATCCAGTCGAGACGCTAGGGCTGACGGCGAGCTACGAATTCGGCTCAGAAAGCAGAAAACGCGCCCTGGACGAGGGGAAAGATGAAACAAGCAATGGTCAGTGTTTCTGATGCTGCGGATAACCCAGCCAGAAGGCTTGAAAGGGGCTGAAGAGGCGGGGTCCGATCGGAGCACGCGAGTGCCACCGCGGCATCCTGCATCACATGACCACTCTCTGCATGCACGCTCGAGGCTGAGATGCATATTGTGGATGAACGGCCGCACTTATAAGCGCTTGGTAGAGTATATTCTTGCTGAGGCATTATTCCGGGGGCGGGCTGAGCATGCGGGCGGCAGCAGCCATGCACGTAAAGGGATTCGACATCGTTTTGAGGCCTTGGTATGGAACGCAGCGCTTTCTCTATCAAGGAACTCGGTTTTACGCCCTGCGACGTCTTCGAATATCTTGCCGCCGGAGAGGAAGTCCGTTCGTTGTGATTGGTAAGTATTATCATCGTCATCTTCGTTCTCGTTTCCTCGCTGATGGGCCAGTGATGCCGTCGGATAAGGGCAAAAGAGATCGGCCGTAGCCGGATGTGGCACAAGGTTTTGGCAAGATGGGGCTAGGTCCACATGAGCCCGCGCAGAGCCGAAAAGGAGCGTCTCATCGAGATCTAGACAGGGTCCAGCGGCCACGTTGGTAGTCGAAGTGAGATGGACACTTGCCCTACTACGGCCATGGGGGCAGTTGAAAAGAGCTCGGCGAAGCGAAGGCTGTTCTTTGGTCCGCCGCTTGCTCTTCGCTCGCTCGCTCATTTCCGGTAAGCAGAGCTTCAGGAGACTCTGGAGTGATTCTCAGATCACCGCCTGTCCCGCCTGCAAGCCATCACTAAGACGGCTGGCTGTGCGATGCCAACGTCCTGAAACCCCGGGCTGCTCCGCCCAACTGCACCAATCCCGCAAAAGCCGTCTTCAGCCATATCCCATAGACGCCCTTCCACCACGGCACTTCACCCTGCCGACTTGGAAGCCAACCAATTGAGCTAGCACAACGGAGAACAACGCGGAGAACCACAAGCTGATCAAGCCCACTAAATCGAGGAACCCTAACCGACTGTGGTACTGCATAACACGCTGAAGTTAAGCCGAGCGGCGGCGCTCTGAGCTGGGCGATCTGCACCCCACCGCATCATCCTACAGGCTACTGCAATACCACACGTTACTATAACGGCGGGACGGCATGAGCAGGTGATGAAGCTGCATGCACGCCCGTCGAGGCATGCGCCACGAAGTCTCTTAGTCGAAGGGAAACGCTGTACAACCATTCCAAACCGGGCGTAACAACCCTCCCGATCCAGCGACGTGCAGTGAAGGACGTCCTGGGTTGGCAACACCGAATTATTACCCGCTGCCGACCGCGAGCGCACCGTTCCGCGCCATAGCTCTTCGAGGACTACGTACCTTGTTCAAGGCCGGGGAAGTGAGACACACCTCATCGCCGTCGCCTCGTCAGCACCTTATTCCAAGCACCGCATATGGCGCCTATCTAGCACTATGGCGAGCTCTGGCGCTAGTGCGCATTCCGCGCCGCTGGCCATCACTGCGCTGTTCCGACGTCCAAAGCCGGTGACGCCGCGGGTGCTGCGGCGATTGCGCAACCTGCGCTAGCGCATTCTACTATGTGGAGCTCTGGGGGGCGCGGATGCAGGAAGTGCACCTTGAGTGATCGTTTGCCTTGCGGGAATTGACTGCAAATAATCGAGGAGGCCAGCGCCAATTAAGACCATAAGCGTGGTCAGTAAGCTCGATATTTGGCAGTCTGACCTGTTCCACTCCGTATCCTTGACGTGGACGCTCCTCATTCCACCGTTGCCCTCAACGGCCGCGCGCTGTTCAAGATCAAGCAGACGCTCGTGATTCAAGGAAATGCATGCAGTATGACCGCTTGCTTGCCCCGCAGGTCCTCACTATAGTCGCCGCCTTATCGTATGAACCTCTTGACCGGTCCATCGATGAGTACTGCGGTAGAAAGCACGTGTGTTTGAGCCACAGTGCAGAGGTTGCATACCCCACGTGGGTAGACTATAACCGCTGCGGAGAATCCTCGAGGCGAGGAGTGCGGCGCCGTCCCAGCCAGAGGTACCCGAGACGGGACTTGATATCAGCCCCCGGCTCTTTACGGCTCTTCCTTCGCGCTCCCTGCCTATCTGACTGACTTGCAGGGGCAGTCCTTGAACGGCAAGAGTGGCGCGGTGCCCTTCTCAAAGATTATGCCTGTGGGGCTTTCGTTGCATATGCATCGACCTCCGGACATGGTGTGATCAACTTCGAACATGGGCTCTTAATGGCGAGTGTCTCGTAGGGCTGATGCGACGACGATCGTGATCCTTCGCGATCCGTTGGAGTGAGCGGTCTTTTCGCCTGCCCTAGCGCCCTTGCCTGAGCTTATCCATAGACTGAGTAGGAGCTCTAGGACTTGTCGTGCAATCCTTCGACATGATGAAGCAAGCTGGGCCCTGTCCCTTTCCGCCCGCGTGAGTGCTGCAATTGAACAAGGGAGTCAGGGTTCGTTAACTCATCCGCAGGTCTGCACCAGTGATAGCCGTGTACTAAGTGATAGCGTTGGGGTTGCTTTGCTGTTGGCGGCAGTGGGGAAGGCGGCGGACAACGAACCCGCCAATGTGGCAAAGCTTCGATACGTGCCCCACTCAGCCTGGCTTTGATGTTGTTTCTGGACCCGAGCAGAAGGACCCTTGAAGAAGGATTGTCTGATGGGGCAAGCTGACAACGGCCGATGTTGATATTAAGACGGCCGACGAATAATAGTGGAAAGATTTCCCAGGCTTGAACAAAATCCTCCGGCACAGCATACACATCCCTGGGGTTCTAGAGGCTCACCACTCCACGATTCGGCGGGTCATTGGAGCGAGCGGGTTTGGCATCTGCGGCTCAGTCAGCTCTTCAGGAAAACGCCATCCCCTTGTTTCCATACCTTGCGTACTTCCATTGCTTCTACGCCTTCAATGGATTCTTACCTATATAAACTTCGACCCGGTGCCTGGAACCTAAATCATAACACGCTCAGATTTCCAACTTCGATACCAATTACACAAAACTCTTCAGTATATCGACTATCCAGATTTCCAACAAATTTCAGAAACGCTTCCAAGCATTACCACAGTAACTCCCAATATGTCGACATACAGCCTTAGTGCGAAATCTTCCATGGAGAGCCTGCAGAGCAGCTCTTCTCTTCAGTCCGCTCCGGACAAACTCGCCCCGGCCGTCACAGGACCCATGGTCTGGAAAGGCTCCGAGCTGCATCCGGCCAAATACGTCCTCACGCTTGACGCGTCCGAGGTCGAGAACATCAGGTCCGCAGTTATCTCCTTCAAGCGTAAGTGCCGCTGCGAATCACGCAATGAGAGTGGTCGAAGCTAACCCTCATTCCAAGTGCTCGGTCTCCCTCGAAGCGAGATCAACAAATCCACCTTCCCTTTGACCTCCGCGCTGGCCAGTAAGCTTTCGGCCATCAGCACCGCTATCCACCGGGGCTCTGGTGTTGCGGTCCTCCGAGGTCTCGATGCGGCAAACTTCAACGACGAAGAGGCTACCATCGCCTTCGCTGGTGTCTCCTCATACGTGTGCGCCCTCCGCGCGACAGACTCGTATGCCAATCAGACTCTAAGTAAGTAGCTCCGTATTGTAGCTCCCACACGATGAGCCGTAGGGCTGACTTGATCCAGGCCACGTCCGAGACGCCACCCACGACACCGTTCCAGAGTGGGCTCGGAATATCGGTCTTGCCGGTTCCAAGATCACGTCCGCGATGGACTTCCACAGCGACCGCTTCTCCGGCGATATCCTCGCGCTGCATGTGCGGGACGACGGTGGTGTCCGCAGCGGCGGTGAGCAGTACGTGGCCAGCTTCTGGCAGATCTACAACGAGCTGCTGGAGAAGGACCCCGCTATTCTCGAGACCATGGCCACGGCGAACTGGCCCTTCGAGCTAAAGCAGAAGTGAGTATCGCCTCTGAAGCTATGTCAATGCGAGAAGTGCCTAACATTTTCACAGGGACCGTGAGCCTTACCTCGAGCTTGGCCCGACGCTCTTCTTCTCTAAGGGCAAGCCCATGTGCCAGCTCGTCAAGGCGCCGCTCCTTGGGAGCCCGCGCATTCCGCGCGATCCCAAGATGCCCGCTCTCTCGGCGGAGCAGATGCACGCCTTACACGCTGTGGAGGAGCTCGCCAAGCAGTTCTGCACGCAGCTCGACCGGCAGAAGGGCGACATCCAGTTCATCAACAACCTGAGCATTATGCACGCCCGCGCTGCTTATGGCGCCGGCCAGAAGCGCAGCACTCGGCATCTCCTGCGCATGTTCCTCCGTGATCCCGCCGAGGCGTGGGAGAAGCCAGCCAGCTTCAAGACGAACTTCGATGATCCGTTCACTCCTGGCCGACAGCAGAATCTGCCGGTCGTGGACTCGGATCCTTGGCGCAAGATCAGCGGCCGTGAGAGCCATGGCTAGGTTAGCCGTCATGAAGATCGCTGCGGGTGGCTATAGTCTGTCCGATTGCACGTTAGCGTGGGAGGCCCATAGTCATTTGCACCCATAACTGGAGTATGGGACGGGTTGGTGGAATACTGCATTTAGGGTGGCTTGTTCACAATGTCTTATTGCGGTGGCAGGTACGATGCATGGCATACGCAAATAAACACCATGCATAACTATACATAAATCCGAACTATGCACTGGATCGTGATGCTTGCCGAGCAAAGCAAACGCTGCATGCTCCCCGTGAAAATGCTAACCAAGAGGATAACGCCTAAGCGCCGGCTTCTTTGAAGAGCGCTCTGATCCACTCGCTGGTCAGTGAAGAGTAAGTAGATGGGGCGCCAACATATGGGTTTGGGTATTGTTCTATCGCTGTCAGTGCTTGTCAAGCTCGCAATGGTACGTTATCACCACTTACCAGGCCGTCCATGCTCCAAGACCTTAGCCAGCTTCATCAGAAATTGGAAACCTTCTGCGTCCACGTGACCGTTTATGCGCAGCTCTTCAGGGTTCTCGCGCGCTAGCTTGAGGGGGTCAAAGTCTCGCATCACAGCAGCCCAGTGCTGCAGAAGGACTCGAAATGCCCAATCCCACTTCTTGAGTTGGTTGCGGACAACGTTGCCGACCTGGCCTTCGAGGTCCTACAATCAAGTCAGTTCCTGCACTCGCGGATTCTTGCGCATGTATGTAAAACTCACCGTCCCATTCTTGGCCAGAATATACTTCTCCGCGCCGCGGCTTATGTACTCAAGATTCCAGAACAATACAAAGAGAGCCAAGAGCAGCTCGTACCATGGCTTGATCTTGGATTGGAAAATCCGGCTACCCAGTTCCTTTGCGCAGAGCTTCTCGAGTTTCTTCAGGGATTTCAAAATGGCGACGTCCATTTGTTGGGACATCTGACCCGGGAGAGGGCGATCGCGTGAGTTACGGTCATACGCCTCGTAGCTGCTCCGACCCATCTTGCCGAAATCGTACTCTTGAATCCCTGGGACATTTTCTGAACAAACGGTGCCATATCCCTGTGAGACGATCGACAGGCATTGAAGACGCAAAGCCAAGTCAAGAAGATTGCGCGGTCCGCGAGGAGTCTTGTTGCGCATTCGAACCACCTCATGGTATGTAAGCCAAGCGACCTCGTCATGGCGGACCCGGTTGAATATCCACCCTTCGATCTCGTCCTGATAGAGGGAGTAATATCTTTCAAGGCCGAGGATCAGACTGGCGGAGTCGTATATTGCATACGGTGGTTGCTTCACGGCCCTGAGTTCTCCGTTCTCATTGCTCCATATAGATGTCGCGGTATCTAGGAAACTCCTTTTTGGGTAGTACTGACGGCCCTTGACGGTGAAGGGCCGGGCCATCCTTATCGGGCCGTATCCAGGCAGATTCCACATGACCTCCATATCATAGAGGCCACTATTGGGTACCCAGTCGTAGCCCAGGAACTCTCCTTCTTCCTGGACAGAGCGACCATTGCCTGGCGTATATATATGAGAATCGAACTGCGCAATGCGGCGACACGGAACTTACAGTGACGGACCAAGTAAGCATCCTCTAGACGATCCCTCGTGCACGGCTGCTTGAAGGACCTAGCGTTGCCCTCGACTTTAAGGCATCTTTGGCAGACTTCTCCATCATCACACTTGGGTATGTTAGCTGACTGCAAACATGCCGGGGAGAGAGGGACATACCCCGACTTTGAAGAACCTGCATCGAAGGCAGCCGTTCTTCTTCTTGCGCATCCGATGCGTCTTCTGACGCGTGATCTCGTCCAAAGGTCCGTTTCGCTTGGAAATCTTCACCTTTTCTTGCCTCTGGACGAATGATGCTGGTACTCTGGCCAAATTCTTCTTTTGCGAGCCCCTCCGGCTCCCTTGTGGTGCTGCTGCTGCAGGAATGAGCTGATTTAGTTGCGCATATCCTCCGTTGGCTGGCTGCGTTTCAACGGCCTGCCAGCCAGGATCTAGGTCAGGAGCCCGCTCATAGACGGGGGATGTAGAAGCGCTGGCTCCCGCATCGAGCATGCCCCACGTCTGGCCAGGTAAGTGTCCGTGGCTAGAAAGCACGACAGCGGCCGACAAGGTGTTGCTCGTGTGACTTGGAGGTTGTGGGGGGCTTGCAATTGCTGGTGGTACATCGGGACCAGACCCTGCTGGCCAGCCAACGGCTACCTGCGGCGGTGCATGCGGGGGACTGCCCTGCAAGTTTGCGCTGGCATGATTCAAAAGATGCGCAACGGGCGCGGATCTTTGAGCGTCGGAGGGATATGGTGGGGCAGTTGCGGGTGGGGAGTGTTCCTTGCAGAACATTAGATTGCGACTATCAACAAGACATTTGCCTGTGCTCACCGGGAGGAGGTGGTGGTCGTGCGGGCGCTGCGCATGTGGGTATGCATGGCCCGAGGCACTGACCAGCGCATCGTGTGGTGCGCTGGACGTGTGCTGGTGCTGGTGCTGGTGCGCGGTGGTTGGAGTCTGGCGCGGCGCGGGTGCGCGATGCTCAACCTCGCCGTAAGGGCTGGGCCGCGACGCGAAAGTCGCATCGCTCAGGGCTTCGCTCCATTCCTGAGTCCCAGGGCGGAAGCTGTGTGCGCTCCAGGAATATGCGGGCTGGACATGGGAATTGACGTAATCGCTGGGCCCGCTGTAGTGGACGTACGGGCGGGGGAATTGACGCTGGCTCGTCGAGCTCGAGCGTTGGAGCAGGGCCGAGAAGCCGGGAGCTTGATGCGGAGGGCTATGCCATGATGTCGCTAGGCCAGCGTACAGGTGTTCGTCAGCGCTTGGTACCCTCTGGTAGTGCGAGGCTGGAGTGCTAGCGCCTCTGTAGTACTGCGAGCTGGTCGCCATGAGGCGTGCTGCGGCTGGATGTGTGCAACCTGACGGGCACGGCGGCTGCCTCTTCGGCTGGATTATTAGGAACCCGGAGAGTCGAGCGTGAGGTGGCCTGGGGGCTGCAGAGCGCGACGGAGTGGGGTGTTGTTTGAGTGTCTGAGGGGAGGCGTCGAGGACGCACAAGAAGCGGTGCTCGAAACGAGCCGGGAAGGCTGCATGGGCTCAGGCTAGCTCACAAGCTCCCGTGCCTATGCCACAGACTCGGTGCTGGCCAGGCCACGGCACACTCTCACAGGGCTGCAGCAAGGCCGTCAGCAGCCCCAATCCGGCCCGCCGAGGACGTGCACCCGCCCAAAGGTTCCCCCGCTGTCACTGAACCACAAACAGCCGCTTAGCATTCAGCCGTCCTATTACATCCACTCCTCCTCACCGCTCGCGAACCCCCAATATCTCCCTTCTTCCACCCACATCCCCCACTCGTTGCCTATCGCCGCGATGCATTTCTCCCGCAACGGTGTCGTCCCCCGCATGCAGGCGACCTGCATGGAGACACCAGGCAGCGTCGTGGACGTGAATGGACGCGTCTTTCCAGCCGAACCGTGCTCATCGGTATGCGACGCGCCCTTCAATATGGCACCGTTTTAAGCCTAGGAGCTCAATTGCCCTGAACTGAGAAGTTACCGATCATCCGAGCAGGGCGGCCAAGCGAGGCGGAAGTGCAGTTCCATGGTGCAACGCTGCTCGTGCTGGTACTTCAAGGGCCGCCGCTCTGCCCCCCCCCCCAAGCACAGGGTTTCCCTGCCAAACCTCCAAGTCTTCGACTGGCAGCACTTCGCCGCTCTCCTAGTGAAGGAACACTGGTACTTTGACGAATTCGGGTACGCCATTGTATCATGCTCTCAGAGCCTCAGCTGCCCCCCTTCGATGGGGTGCGTCTGGCTACAACAAAAGACTTGCCTCGAATAGCCACTGTCGCCGCCGCTGGCTTTTTTTGGAGTCCAACCTTCCGTTTCCAGAGGCCCTACTATGCGCAGTACCCGACAGATACTATACTCTCATACCAGAAGGAGTATCACTCAGCAATACTGGACCCTGCATGCATAGTCCTTGTCGCCGAGGACGCGCCAATTGAGAGTGAGACGGAAAGTGTGTACGAAGCTTTACGGGTAGCACCCGTCTACGGCCACGGCAAAGACGCATCGTCGCGTAAGGTCGTCGTAGGCGTGGCGAGCATCGTCATAAAGCCGGGTTCCTGCTATATAGGGTTGTTTCAGACTAGAAGTAAGCTTGTCAGCACTGTGTGGTTAAGCTTAGGCAGGGGGAGCTGACACTGTCGATGGTCAAGCAGATCCATTGGAGCCTTGCACTGTGTCCAAGAACTTAAATCGAGATCAATGTCCCCTGCAGAACGCTATCTACAACGAAGCCACGTCCCCGGCGAAGGCCAAGTATGCGCCCCGGCCCGCCCTGAAACGAAGGCTAACAATGGTGATCAAGGTACCTCGCTGGCCAGATGAGATTGGCTACGCTTGCTGTTCATCCGGGTACGCACAGTCGACGTTATCGGAAGGAATGCTGACAGTTGCTTCAGCGTATTGGCGTCGTGGGCATGCTACTCGACTGGTAAGCTGGTGTACTCGTCTTGCAGATTTAGAAGGCGTGCCGGTGGTAAGAATAGCCTTGAGAGACTCTGAAATGTCTGGAGGGCTTGATAATTGAGGATTTTCCAGGGTATATCTGCGGCGCCCATGGGCGCCACTGTAGCCATAAAGGCTGGATTCGAGGAACGAGAACTCGTTCGAGTCAAGCGTACGACTGTGCATGAAGATCCGACCCCCAAGGATGAACCTAATGTTGGGGACGTGGAATTATGGGTCGCGATTCGCCGACCCACTGGTTCTCCGGCATCAAACGAGAGCGCCACAAGCACGGACTCCCAGGAGTCCTTGCCATGAATCTGAGCTGGGCACGATCGGTGAAGAGCTCGGGCATTTTGGAGTGGTGCAACGCTGGATATGGTGGGTGAGGTTGAAAGGGACTCCATCGGCGACGGATCATCTTTCGGCGATGACACGTGGCCGACCGTTTACGGCAGCCGCCGTCAACCTTAAGTCGACATCGCCTCAAGTGCGAAAACTGGACGAGAGGGTTGATACTGGAGTCGTTGGCGTTTGTTAAAGGGATGTACCCGCCCGGTTATCTTACTCTTCGTGCAATCCGCGAACCGGAGCATTGCCGTATTGGCAGGCGCCCCCCATCGGTCTTGTGCGAGGGAGCCAGAGCCTGCTTAACAGGCGCCAGTATATCCAGATTCCAAATTCTTCCTTGTCACCAATCGTCATCATTTCATATCCTCTATTTCTGGGGTCTCGTACTTCTAGGTCATGGTCTCTGCATCTTCGCGTCTTGCTGCCAGCCAAGGTGCTTGTCTACTCCTTCGCCTACCCGCTTCCGCGCCGGTTGATTCCTTCAAAGGGTGCAAGTGGCTCTAGATGAACCCTGGAGACATCTCCCTTCCTGCCGCAGAGGAATTTCCAACGGGCGGAAAATATCCCCGTCATGGGTGACACCCGTCCCGGGACTTAATCGATCCATGTTAACGATCCTTCTCATCTACACTGCATGACACCTTCCCCCACCGTAGCGCCAAGGTCCGTTTCTCAAGATACTTGGGAGAGCCTGCTTACTATGCCCAGAGTCCGCCCCCGGGCCTCGACTGTCTTACATGCTTCGAACCACCAGAAATATCTTCCTAAACAGGAAATATCTAGCTAGCTCTCCGCACGCAGGATTGACCCCGCACACAAAGTCCGCTAGTGCTGGAGGGCTTCACGACGACGCTGGATACAGTGGTATGCCCCTACGCATCAGAAGAGACGGCGACACGCGGTCATTGCGAGAGCTTTCAGCTTCACGCACAACGAGGCCTCCTGACCCTTCGGTGGCAGCCCCTCCATGGATACGAGCCAGATACGATTTCTTGTTACGCAAAGGCCACGCGACACGTCTGATCTTCGTGCAGCAGGACACCCTCCTGATCCTTCGTCGGCTAACCTGCACATGCCCGTCGTATCCTTCAACGGTCGCTTTAGCATGGAGAATTCGGCGCCGTGTCTTTACGGGCATGCATCCTTCATCAAGACGCTTCTCCGCTGACATTCGCATGGACTTTCCGAAACGAATCGACTTCAGAGCGTGCTTCCAAGGCACATGTCGGACTTCCTTTACCTGGAGTGAACATCCGAGAAACCAGACAGGGAAGAATGGGCCTTGTCGGGCTCCAAGAGTATAATGTTTCAGAGTCCAGGTGACCAGACTCTCGTCGTGGATTACTCCACTGAACCGCGGCTCAGGCAGTCTCTGGGATACTGAAGGCCCCCCAAGGGGGATTGACACTTGTCGCGGCGCCATTACGCCCCCGCCGAACCAGCCCAGCTTGCCCCAGACGTAGAGGTCCTCTACGAATCCTCGCAAAACCACTGTCGCATCTGCCTCCTTGCCCTACACTCGTCAGCCAAGTCTCACAACTGCCTGCTTAATAGTTGCCGCTCAGGCGTGGTACGAGGGACATAAGCATATGTCTCATCATTGGGAAAGATAGAAGCAAATATCGAAGTGTGCTAGCCTGTGTCTGCCGTCTATCAATCAAACGTGGTCCTCGGCAAAGCGCTATCCCATTTATAACACTGAATTCGCCTCTGCTCTTTCACAACTTCTCAAATCAACCGTCCCGTAAATATGTGATCTACACGGCAACGAGCTTGCTAACGGGTTCTAATGTAGGCCAGGAGCTCACGGCAGCCTGTGCAAAGCGTCAAACGCACAGTTGAACAGCGAGCTCAGCACGCATAAGATCGAGGACGTTCGTGCAGGCGATTCTTGAGAGCGGCGAGGCAATTTAGAGCAAGGCAAGCTGTGCATGGTAGATATCCAGAGCAGGATGTTACTTGCGCGGCAGAGCTTGAGTAAAGAAGAGTTCAGGAGTCCAGCAACCGGACGGCGATTCGATAGTCGGGCTCCTGTGCACATCATGGGCATTGAAGGGCAGGTGTAATGCTCCTGTCAGGGAGTATAGTTGACCGCCGGTTAGGAGATGGTTGGGAGGAGATGTATGACGGGTAGTGAGATGGAACAACATATTCAGTGGATACCAATCGGATCTAGTCCATGGCAAATTGTGCGCATCTTTCTCGCTGTACTACGCGGCTATGTCTCGGTAATGTCATATCGCTTTGGCTTTCCTCTTCTTCACGACGCGTCGCGACTATTTCAACTCTTAACTGCCAATCCTCGCGTCCTCCAATGTCCCTCTCAAAGGCCTCCGCGGTGTGCCAATTAGCCGTTGGACTGCCACACAGTATATCCACAAACCCTCCCCTCCGAGCGGATAAATGTGTCGGGAATGCGAAAGGTGCAGTAGGACCTGCTGTGGCTATGATGCGGCACGTCGCAGTGCATGGGTTGCGGCTTTGGGCTTCTTCCGGCTTTGATTTCGAGACGGTCGAGGTGTGCCTTTCGCCGGGGATGAATTCCATTGAGACCGAGTAAATTTCCGGACCCTGGCGACAGGTGTTGAGCTACCATTCAGAGCCTCGACCGTCATGCCCTCCAGCAATATGTCCACGAGCTTGCCCGTCTCCTGTCTGACGTCCGCATATTTCGCCGATATGAGGGCGGGTAGAACCTGCAGTCTCACGCTTCCTTTCAAGCTGAGCCCTTCTTCATTTTTCGGCAACTCTCCAAGCCTATCTTGAAGACCTTTTAGGGCTTCTTTCTTGACCAATTTACCATGCTCATTGAAGCCTCGTGCCTTCAGCTCCTCTGTGAATGCATTCCGCAGCCGCCTTCTACACCACGATCTCACGACCCCAGACTTCGAGAGGTCCAAGAAGGTTGTTACGTGCCACCAGAGGCCTTCATTCTTTCGCTTCTCGTATTCGCGCTTGCGGAGCTCGTAGAGGGGGTGTTGGGAGTCGCTCAGGATATGGTGGATTATGAAGGTCGTGTAGTCTGGGCTGTAGGAGACTTTGAAGGTTTTCGGTGTGTGTTTTGCGAGCAGTGAGAAGATCAGTTTCATGTCGCCATGGAGGATACGGATGAGGGGAAATTGCTAGCAAGGAATGCGACTGGCAATATGTAATGCGGAATCGTCTGGTCGATGCCATCGGCACGTCGGACATTCACAAGCTGCGCTAGGCCAAATGCGAATTAGCCTCCGCGCACAGTTGTTAAACAAGTCGCAGCCGCCTCTCAAGAGACTCACACATCACTATCGCACACCGGCCGAACCAACACACAACTACACACCGAAAGCACAGACAAAATGCCTAAGAACAAGTAAGCCACCCCCATGCCTCGAATACCGACATCTGCTAACCGTGCGCCAGAGGAAAAGTACGTTCGACTCCCGCCGCGAGCCCCGCCACCCCACCCCACTATGAACATATTGTCTGGAGCCATGCTGACCACGACGGGATATAGGGTGGGAAGAACAGGCGCCGAGGCAAGAACGAGAACGACAACGAGAAGCGCGAACTCACCTTTGTACGTACGGTTCTTTATACCCCGACCCTGGCGACAATACGGCGAACCTCCGTCGGGTACAAATTTGCCTCTTTGATGGGCCGCGCTGACTTTTTGCCCCGCAGAAAGAAGAAGGGCAGGAGTACGCTCAGGTTATTAAGATGCTTGGAAACGGGTGAGTACTTCCCGGTGACAGGTGCTGAGCGTTTGCTAACCGCGCCTTGGGCAGGCGTCTGGAAGCCCAGTGCTTTGACGGCACGAAGCGTTTAGGGCACATTAGAGGAAAGCTGAGGAAGAAGGGTGAGTCCCTGGCATACGCCGTCTCCGGCTCAAGATCTTGTGCTGATCACCTGTGCAGTCTGGATCAACCAGGGCGACATTATACTCCTGTCACTCCGTGACTACCAGGACGAAAAGGGCGACGTGATCCTCAAGTACAGCGCCGACGAAGCCCGATCGCTCAAAGCCTACGGCGAGCTCCCCGAAAACGCAAAGATCAACGAGACCGACACGTACGGTGACCAGGGCGACGAGGGCATCGGCTTCGAGTTCGACGAGGACCGCGACGAGAGCGATTCCGACGCTGAGAAGGGCGGCAAGGAGCTTGACATCGACGAGATTTAAGGGGTTGAGCGGTCCGCCATGCTGTCCCAGTCCTCGTCCTCCACACCAGACTGCGCTGACAAGATTGCTACCACGCGAGGGCTGGGACGGCTCAAATGCGCACCATACTTGCTGGCGGGCGGACGGATTGGTGGTTTCGATGCTTCTCTTCTTCAGTTCTCACGTGCATGTGTTTCATTCATGAGCCTTACCTAGACCTGGGAGCATTTCACGGGGATAGAGATTGAATCATGCATCTTCTAATTTCTTGAGTTATGCATTTGCATTCGTGAGATCATCGTGAAGTGCTATTACATCTATAACGTCGGCACCGCAACATCCTCATACACACTGCGATTAAAAAACCTATGAATCCTCCTCCCAACATCCGTCCCAATGAGCTTACACAACTCCTTCTCCTCCATATTCGCCAGCTCCATAAGACTCTCTACCTCGAGCGTCAGCGTCGTAACAATCTTCTCGTTCGCGCCCGGCAGCGCCCGCAGCATATCCTGCGTGACCTGGTTAAAACTCCTCATCTCGTCCCCCTGCATACTCGGATCTAGCCCGATCTGCACCGCCTTGAGCGGATCTGGCTCCTCAGCCTGCTTCTTGAGCTCCGAGAAGATCTCCGCCGTCTGGTACGGACTACTACTCCAGATGATCTTCAGCCGCGGGAACGCAAGCGTCAGCATGACGAGCTTGGATTGCAAGTCTGGCGCTACGGCTAGGCCTGCTGTTGTCGAGGGTGCCGAGAGATCGGAAAAGGGTTCGAGTGTGAAGGACTTGTTCTGGTCGAATTCAATGAGTAGCATGGGGGACTTGTAGTGCTCCATCATGGCTTCTACTTGGTTATACAAGCGGCCATTTGTGAAGGAGCCGATGAGGTCGCGGATAGATTTGCGCTCGATGCAGATTTGGGGCGTGAGGACGTAGTCGCCGACGGTGAGCATGCAGGGGACGACAACGATCGAGCGGCCGTGGAGCAAGCTCGGCAAACTCGAGCGGAATTCTCGCACATCGACGACAACGCGGGGTGGTTGTGTGGTAGCTGCGAGACGGCCGCCACCCGCTATGCGCGTGTTTATTGTGCGGAGGAAGGATTCTTGGGGGTCGAGGTTTGCATCGTTGTTTAGAGTGAGGGCCATGTTTCCGCGCTCGCGGATGAGGCGGGTGAAAGCGTCTTTTTCGCGGCGTACGGCAGAGAGGTAGCGCTGCTCTTCTACGCTGCCGCCGTAGTACATGAAGAAGACCTTGACGGTGCGGTCTGTATGCGAGGAGCGGTATACTTCGATGCGTCGGATGAAGGCAGCGTCCGGCTCATACATGACTACGTAGCGGGGCTTGGTCTCTTCAAGGATGTGCTCGTCGAGGTCGCCGTCGTAGGGGTGGATGACGACGAGGGAGTCCATATCGAAGAGGGTGTAGTAGGAGTCCATGTCGTCTAGCGGGTCTGTACTGATTTCCGTCTTTTGCATAGCTTCGATTTCGGTGGGTTGGAGCTCGGCCATGAGGCTTGCTATGTGCGCATCGCGGTCACCGGGGGTGCGTACAGCTCCAGTATCCGAACGTGTTGAGCCTGATCCTGCAGCGCCTCCGCCGCGTACTCTGCGTCGCTTATTGGGAGGTGGTTTATTGGCTTTGCCGCTTTGTACGCGGTTCTCTGTGCTGCTGTTGATGGCTTTCTGGTTTTCGGAGAAGAGAGCGGAGCTCACTTTAGTGAAGTCACCTTTCCAGGAGAGGTAGTTGCGGAGCTTGCGGCGCATCATGACTTGTGCGGAGGGTTCGCTTTCGGCGCCGTCTTCGTCGTTTTCGCCTTCGGGCTTCACATACATGATCTGAAGATACTCCCGTAGCTGGCGGCAGGTGCCCTGATCACCACACATGATCAGGATGGCGCCGGTGGAGGTGTCCTGCGGTGTAGGGTTCAAGTAGGCATCTTGCTCGATCTCTTGAAGTATCTCGGCGAGCTGGTTCCATTTCGGCAATTCTTCCAGAACGGGCTCTAATGAGTCGGGAACCGAATTAGGGTTGTTCGCGAGATCAGCGTTCGACACCTTGCCAGTGTACACTCTTCGCTTTGCAGTGGTGAAGATAGTGTCGGCAGCGTCGAGAAAGAGCCACGGCGACTGGTTCTGCTTTGTGGAGCCTGGTGGCGGCTGTGAGGCTGCCAAAACGGTATCAAGATACTTATTAAAGTCGACAGCGTCGTATGTCAGGAGGGCATGGAGAATCGTGCGTAGCAGAGTCAGGTCTCGAACGACCTGTCTGGTCTTGAACGTCGTCCGGTGCCAGACAGGGTCGAGCTGCCGTCTTATCATTGTGTCAAAGTTCTTATGAAGGGCACTGTCCAACGTCCAGTCCTCCATCTCGATGCCTGTGTTGCTCTTCCTGAGCTCACTGATGCTGACCTCCACGCACTCCAGCACAGCGTTCTGGATGTCTCGCATCGCGTCCGTCATCGGCACCTCCAGCTCAATGACTTCCGCCTTCTTCCGCCCTTCCAGCGACTTGGCGACCGATACATGAAAGCGGGGATATAGCGACGGTTTCTGGAGGAAGAGGTTCTTCATCATGTTTGTCAGCGGGGAGAAGCCCGTCGTGAAGGGCTCGGGGCTGTCCGAGAAGGCCTTCAGGAAGCCAGCCTTGTTCTTCTGCCGGTATATGCGCAATATGAAGGCCTCGAGCGACGTGGCCACAACCCTCTCAGCGTGCAGCACCACCACGCCCGTCACCGTCTCCGGATTCAGCAGCCCAGACAGGAAGTCCACAATAAGAATGCGCGACGTGATGCTGAATATGCCGCCCTGCGCGTACATCTTCTCGCGTGTCCCGACACTCATTAGATCGGTGTTGACCAAGCTCAGCCCTCTGGCCTTCGGTGCCACGCTGACCGCTGCATGCTCAGCCAGCGCCTCGCCAATCCAGACATTCTCGCGCTCGTCTGCTCCGACGAGCAGAATGAGATTGTTCCCGGCGGCATCGTACGAGTGGAGGAGGTTGGTGACTATGCGCAGCAGGCCGAGGCCGCGGGCGAGGAGGACCAGTTCATCGTCCTCCCGCAATTCCTTGAAGATGTCCTGCTGGAATTCCTGACGTCATCAGCATCGCTGTCAAAGGGGACAGAACGGCACCCACGAGAGGAAGAGACAGCTTCACGGGGGCCTTCTCATCGCCGGGCATCTGGTGTGGTTGTATCTAAGATGACGTGCAGTGGGGTTGAAGCGACGTGCTGGGGTTCGCGTCTAGCCTCGTTCGCTTCGCGAGGTCACGCTTCGGCTCCCATTCACCTCCTCGCAACTCTCCCCACCTCCGATCACGCTAAAACTGATCCCGGAAACGGCGAACGGCAAGCAACGACAAGCTCGCGGTGATCCGCATATTGATGCTTTATTTTCGCCTTCTCAACACCACAGAACCCGTCACGAGCACTCAAGGACGGTAAATGCCGCTAACCATTTTTGACCACCGGAGCCACATCCTCCGGCTTGTCCATATGGCCTTCTAGAAGACTACCCTGCGTTTTGGAGCATGCGCTGATTTTGTTTGGACACAGATTCGGCTCTCGTTCTGCCTTTTCATTCGTGTGCTGTTCCTTTTCCTTGCCTATTCACGTTTCGTTAATCTAATCCCCCACAGTTCTCATTTCCCGAGGTGTATTATGCATGGCGGATTAGAGCGTTAGGGACTGGAAAAGAGCTAGTTTTGGCCATTGCTCGAGCCTCTCAGGTCACAGTGTGAGGGTCTGGGTTGCGCCTAGTCAATATGGGATCTACATTATCCATCCGACGGACACAATATTCCGTTGAAGACGTCTCTCCGTCCACCAGGTCTCCTCACTCCGCTCCTAGCCCCCCATGGGATGGCGTGGTTTCTACAGAGCATATATGGAGGTCAAATCCCCGAGTTCATTGCTGCCGGGCACTTCCTTCTATCCTTCGTTGTTGTCCTTGTGGTGTATCCCCTAGCCCATCATGCGTTTCTCACTATTGCTCGCCGCCGTGACGGCAGGGCTTGCTGTTGCTGCCCCCGTCGAAAAGCGGGCGAAGAGGTTTAAGTGTGCGTCATCTAAATTCTACCAAGCAGGAACGAATTGGACTGACCAGCGTTTCAGTCTTCGGTGTCAACGAGTCCGGGCCTGAGTTTGGCAACAAGAACCTTCCCGGAACCCTGAACAAGGACTACGTGTGGCCGACTCTGAGTACCGTTGATGTGCGTTGCCTCGGAAGCACCAACGTCCCCGAAGGGAACCTCTACTAACATTCCCCAGACATTCATGAATGCTGGGTTCAATACCTTCCGCATCAACATCATGATGGAACGTATTGTCCCGAACCAACTGACAAACTCGCTGGATCAGGCGTACTTCCGTGACATGGACAACGTAAGAGACCATACCGAGCATAGCAGCCCTGTTAGCTAACACATGTGCGAATAGACTGTTAAGTACATCACCAACAAAGGCGCCTACGCTATGATTGTTCCCCACAACTACGGCCGCTACTACGACAAGATTATCACCGATACCGCAGGAATGAAAGCGTTCTGGAAGACGCTCGCTACCCCATACAAGGACAATGCGAATGTCATCTTTGACACCAACAACGAGTGTAAGAACTATCCTTCTCATGTCCCAGAAACCATGAACTAAGCCGCCATAGTCCACGATATGGACCAGAGCCTCGTCGTACAACTGAACCAGGCCTCCATCGACGGCATCCGCGCAGCAGGCGCTACCAAGCAATGGATCCACGTCGAAGGCAACAACTGGAACGGGGCTTGGACCTGGACTTCTAGCCAGAATGGAGCCACCATGGGTGCCTTGACGGACCCGAACAACATGATCGTGTACCAGATGCATCAGTATCTCGATAGCGATGGCAGCGGCACGCACGCCGAGTGTGTGTCTTCGTCGATCGGCCAAGAACGTCTCGTGCAGGCCACGCAATGGCTCAAGCAGAACCAGAAGGTCGGCTTCATCGGCGAATTCGCCGGAGGTGCGAACTCGCAGTGCCAGACCGCGATCAAGGGAATGCTCGACTACATGGCGCAGAACTCCGATGTCTGGCAGGGCGCCTTGTGGTGGGCCGCTGGACCTTGGTGGGCGGACTACATGTACAGCATCGAGCCGACGTCCGGTGCGTCCTACAAGTATTACATGAGCACTCTCCAAACCGCGTCGTAGATGACGAAGAGCGAAGGTGCCGCAGAGACCACGGAAAGTCGAGAGATCCAGACCTAGGGAAGGAATTGGAGAACGTCTTTGTAAAAGCCCTATGATTACTTGTACATATCTACACGAAGTGAAGAAAAGTCATGTTGTACATAGTTTGAATCATGACGCTTACTTGGCGCTCGATCTGATCTCTGCTCGCCTTCTCTCTGCTTCGGCGGCTAGAGCATCCCGTTCATCCCTCAAACGCTGGGCATTCTCTTCTGCCCGCTTTTTCTCCATTTCCTTCTGCACAACCCAGACTATCCAAATCAGCATTGGTCCAACACGGGCAAAAGGCTATTGAGCATAGTTTACTTACTCGGCTTATCCGACTTACTAGCCTCCTTCAACTGGCACACAAAGGCATCAAAGTCCTGCTGTCGCTGCTCCCTCGTCGCCAGAGCCCTCTTCTGTAGATCCGGATTGTACTTCTAGAACACCATGCGCATTAGAAAAATGTTTTCGGGCATTAGGGAAGTGTTTTAGGGCATAAGAGTGCACGTGCATAGCGTGCGAAGATTTGTGGAAAGCTTACCTTGAAGATTTCCTCTTCAGTCGGTGTCACGTACCAGACGAGTGCCGGGCCGCCTATGCAGAGGGCTGCTCCGCTGGAGGGGTGAGTTAGTTGGTTTAGGAGGGGGTGAGACGGGAAGGGTGGGAGCAGGCGTACGCTGTGATGGCTTTCACGTAGGTTCCGACGCTGGGCATTGTGCTGGCGGACTGGCGACGTTCCGGAGGCGAGAAGCTACACGCAAGTTCCGGAGGCTGAGTATGATCAGATGGACAGGAATCGCTCGAAAACTTGATGGAATGCTCGTCAATGGTGACGGCGTCGGGCACACGATCGAGCTGTCATGTCAAGCCATCTAGAGTTTAGCGAAGGCCACAGCCACAGCTGCGCCACCCTTTTCACGTGCGACTGCCGTTCACTGCCCAGAGCCGCAGGTGGTGACGCCACCGTGGAACCTGCATGCGGGACCCATCCTTCCGAGCCCGAGGCAGCCATGGAGGATCCACGGAAAAGGGGCCAAGGCTTCCACATCATTGGCACAAGGACTTCTCCGTGCATGATCTTCGGCGGCTCTGACTTCGTCCCAGGCACATGGTGCTTGATGCGAGCCAATTCGTACAAAGGACACGCACAGCTGAAACTGCGACTTACTCTTGCACGGCCTTTATCGCAGACTTCAGCTCTCAGCGTTCTGAGCCGCTTCAAATGTGGAATGCTGGCCCTCTTCCCCTTTTTGCTGTGCCTAGGTGCCTGGATGTGGTCTGACGACGGGGTCTGGGTTCTCCCTGTGGGCGTAGACAGCGGTGTGGCTTGTCTGCCTCATTTGCCTCTTCACTGCAACACTGCGGCGACGCTGACTGGTCCTCCTGCGTGAAACCAGCGTCGTCTCCGGGGTCGGTAGTGGAAGATCCCTGTGGCGTCTGAAACTCTGGGCGCGCTCTTCCGCTCGATGGGTTCTTGCAACCCTCGAAAGCTAGTCGGCCCTATTGCATGCCTACAGGCTCACAATAACAATACTAATTTTCTGTGCCCCCGTCATATACGGTGCTGCTGGACACCCGTATTACCGTTCGTTTAATCAATAAAGGCTGCACCACCCCTGCCAAGCTGGCTGACGACCGTCACCAAAATCTCCGTATTCCCCACCCTCAATCGCGACGTCCAGCACATCCAGCAGCTGGATCTGAAATCTTGAAATTTCCACGAAGCTAGCGTCGCGTCGCGTCCGAGCGCTCTCCTTCATCTTCCCCACGGCGTCTTTCCCAGTCAAGCTTTGGCCAGCGTTGTGTTTGTGCTCCTTTATAACTTCTGCAAGCCCGCCGTTGATGGCCCGTTCCGACCTCAACGTCTTCAGCTAGCCTCGTTGTCAAAACCACGTCGGTGGCTTTGACCATCGCAACCACATCCGCGGCGACCGCGCACCATGGCATACCAACAGCAGCAGTACGACAACTACCAGCAACCGCGACAGCAGCAATACTACCAACAGGGAGGCCCGCAGCCCGGAAGGCAGCCCGCGGGCTACAATCAGCAATACAACCAGCAGTACGACGGCTACGGATACGATCAGGGACAGTACGAGCAATGGGACGACGGCTACTACAACTACGACCAGCAGGACGGCGGCTGGGGGAACGGGCAACAGCAGGGCGGATATGGTGACATGAACGGGCAGACGAGACAGCCTCCGCAGGGTCGACGGCCTCCGCCAAGGGACCCGTACGCGCAGGAGCAAATCTACGACGAGCAGTTCCAGCAGCCACAAGGACGAGACCCGAGAGGCAGGCCGATGGGTCGAGGCAACGGGCCGCCGCCGCCGTCGCAGGGACGGGGAGGCCTGAGACCGCCGGGTAAGTCGCAGCACCACGGCCGAAGCATCCGGCCAAAAGGCTCAACGTTGCCGTCCCAGAGCGTGTTACAGTATAAGCTAGGATGATCCGGTACATGGCAGATTGCTAACGAACTCCCCCCAGGACGAGATCGCGCCATCCCGTCGCCCACGTCCCCAGCAACTATCTCGCAAGACAACCCGTTTCCGACATTTCCCACACAGAAAGCAAAGCCGCACCCGAAGGCTGGATCCATGGATGAGGCTATGGCCTTGATGAATCTGGGACATGAGAACGAGGGGCAGGGAAGGCCGATGGGGCCGCCACAAGGCAGAGGACGCGGTCGGCCGGGACCGGGACCGGGACCGGGACCGCCGCAAAACAGAGGGCCGCCGCCAGCAAGGGGAGAACCAGACATGCATAGGCAAGATTCCGGGCATTTTGAGGGCAACGGAAGAGGCCAGCGGCCTCCGATGAATCGCATGCCCTCGGATCGGAGAGCGCCGCCGCAGCAAGGGTTTGGGACGAACATGCAGCGTTCGATGACGATGCCGCAGAACATGGCTCCCGATCAGAGGCCGCCTCCTCCGCAACAAAGTTTCGGTCCCAACACCCAGCGTTCCATGACAATGCCGCAGAACATGGCAGCACCGGGCAGGCAGAGTTATGAGGATCAGCAGCAGTGGGCAGAGCCGGGTCCGGTGGCTGGGTATCATGGGCCTGAGTCGCCTACCTACATTCCTCCTCGCCCTGCAACCGCAGGTGGGACAAAGCCAAACGGCTATCCGCCCCAACACTATGAGCAGAGGCCGCCTATGCCGCAGATACCTCCGCAGCAGCAGCAGCAACAGTACCAGTACCCGAATCAACAGCGACGGTCCCAGGACGACGGACGAGCCGTGCTGGATAACGTGTACGATGACTACTACGGAGAAGGCATTGACCGGCAAAGCAAGGCCTCGTCAATAGACATGCCCAATTTCGATGCCATTCCCGATTCAAACAACAGACACCGGAGGGGCTTCTCGATAGAGAACCACCTCTCACCCACTTCGTCTGGTCCACCTATGCAAAGCATGACTCCCACAGCCGGACCCCAGAGCACGCAGAAGGGCAACTTCTATCAACAAGCTTCGAGGAGTAGGTCTCAGCCGGACTTGCATGCGCAATACGCACAGCCCAATGACGTCTACGAGATGGCTGGTGACGCTCCTGCGGTTCCTGCGATCCCTGCGACGCAATCAGCAGGGCCTGTCGTAAACGGATTGCCAAGCGGACCACGAGGTAGAGGGCCACCGCCTAGGGGAATGGCCATGGACACCACTGCCGCTCGAGGCCTGCCAAACCAGGGCTATGGACAGGGCCAGCCGCAACAATTCGATCCTAGATACGGACGCCAAGCTCCTCCGGGTCCGCACAGAGGATACTCTGATGACACGACATACTCTGAGCCGCCGTCAACCTCCATGAGAGGTGCTTCACCAATGGCGCCGGGCAACCAAATCCCTCGCCCCGGAACAGCAGCACCAACCCCCGGACGAGTACCGAGCGACCCCGTCGGCCGTCGACCGGGGACATCACAACCAACGAATCCAGATGCTCTACCGGCACATCCGGTGCCGGTGCGAGCTGGTCTCATGCAACCGCAGCAGCAAGCTCAAACCCCTCCTCAAGCCGCAAGACCGCCGCCTATGCGACAGTACAACACCGACCCAACGCCGATTGGATATTCAAATCCACAATTAGCTTCCATAGCACCACAACGACGCGTCTCTGTGCCACATCCTGTTACGCATGACGAACTCAACCGCCTCCGGAATACCTGGAAATCCGACCCGACCGACAACAGGACTGGTCTGCAGCTAGCCAAGAAGCTAGTGGAAGCAGCGAGTGTGCTCGCGGACGAAGGTGGAACGGCTGATACAAGGACGCGGAACAAGAATCGTGAAAAGTTCATCTTCGAGGCGCACAAGATTGTCAAGAAGCTGGTTTCCAACGGTGATCCGAACGCAATGTTCTACATGGCAGATTGCTACGGCCAAGGTCTCTTGGGGCTTCAGGTCGACACAAAGGAAGCCTTCACGCTCTACCAATCCGCAGCCAAAGCCGGTCATCCCGCTAGCGCATATCGGACGGCAGTCTGCTGCGAGATGGGACATGAAGAAGGCGGTGGTACGAAGAAGGACCCGCTCAAAGCTGTGCAATGGTACCGACGCGCCGCAGCTTTAGGAGACGTACCTGCCTTGTACAAGGTGGGCATGATTTTGCTCAAAGGGCTTCTGGGCCAGCAGAAGAACTTGGGTGAGGCAATCAATATGCTTAAGCGAGCTGCCGACCGCGCGGACGAGGAGAATCCGCATGCCCTCCACGAGCTGGCATTGCTATATGAAGCACAGACCGGCAATGAGAGGCTGATAAGGGATGAGGCTTATGCCTTCCAGTTGTTCAGACAGGCTGCTGAGCTTGGGTACAAGTTCTCTCAGTTCCGCCTCGGTCAGGCGTACGAGTACGGTCTACTTGGGTGCCAAGTCGACGCACGATCGAGCATTGGTTGGTACACTCGCGCGGCTGCGCAGGAGGAGCATCAGAGTGAGCTAGCCCTGTCGGGTTGGTACTTGACGGGCAGCCAAGGCATCCTCGAGCAGAGCGACACGGAGGCCTACCTCTGGGCGCGCAAAGCAGCGTGTGCGGAGCCACCTCTTCCGAAGGCGCTCTTCGCTATGGGCTACTTCACGGAGGTTGGGATTGGGTGTCCAAGGAGCTTGGACGAGGCGAAGCGGTGGTATGGACGAGCTGCTAGTAAGTATTTTGGCGGTCTAAGAATCTATGAAGTCTCATGCTGACATGATTGCAGCCTACAAGTTCCCCAAAGCCCAGGAACGCCTCGAAGAGCTCAAGAAGGGCGGCGCGAAAGTACAGATGAAGCGCGAGCGGCTGAGCCGAAGCAATCAGAAGCAGCACGAGGAGAACTGCACCGTCATGTGAAGAAGCGCGCTCAAGCCGCTGTTGATGCTGCTACGATCTTCTCTTTATTCGACGGTATACCCAAGGTTTTCTTTGTCATCAGCTAGGATACAGGCATCTTTCTGCCGGGCTTGGTTTACGGATATGCTACGACAAGGCGCCGGGCGTTTCGTAAAAATGGATTGGATGGGGTTAACTAGAGCTGAGATAGTGATGTCTATGTCTACGTGGACATGCCACGTCTGCACATGGATGAACGGGTATGAGATAGCTACCTGACGCGGGCGGTGGTGGCATATGATGAATGAAAGTGTTCGTTCTTGTAGGGTCGTGGTCGTGGTGCACGTCGGTCTTGTGTATTGTGCTTGCTTGGGCGCCCTTGTTCCTTTCGGCGCGCAGACTCGGATCTGTTCATCCTGGATGCTGAAGCAGAGACGGAGCAAAAGGGTTCGATATGGCGGTACGTGCTACTCGAAGTAGGCGAGCGACTGACCTCACCCCAGCCCTGTATACGGCCAGCTTCATGCCACTGCCAGACATCCCGAGGGCCGTTGTGCTCCCACGTCTTCCCTGGCCTTTTCCTGCCCCGCGGGTCGTTGCCTTCGGCACAAGAGATATTATTGTTGAGGGTTTACTAGCGTGCGGTGGTTCGGCGGCTCGAGGTAGGGTCGCTGCGGTGGCGGTTGTTCACCTGGTGTGAGGGCGTGGGCCTTCCCGCTGATTAGAATTTGTTCGACAAGAGGACATGGCAGTGTTGTACTGTGAGTCTCACCTCCCTCGCTGATGTCGCTCTTTGACGGGGATCGCGCAGGTCTTTGCTGCTGGACTTGATTGAGCATGCTGGTGTTTTGTGGGTGGGCTGGCTGCCGAAACTCTCGGGGTTCTACTTCCCCTCACCATTGCATTTGGCCGACACGTACAAACAAGCAGCATCTATAAGAGCCAGGGCATCGCGCTGTAGGCAAACGAGCTGCCTCCCCGCACTAGGTGAGCTGCAGAGGCTCACGCTGTCGTCGCCGACTTTCCTCTGCCCCCAGTGCGCTTCAGCTCTCAGGATTCGGGTAGACAGCTTCGACGACGGGCACGTAGGACATTGCTGAGACTCATTATATCGATCTAGATGCTAGAGAATCTCTCATGCGTGCTGTTTGACTCGCAGCTCCTCTCACAACACCCACCTCCGCCTCCACCCGCCATCTCGCGGCACCGGGCGCGTCGAAAACCATCCCATCTTTGCTCCTTCCCTCTATATTCGAGCCAATCTCCGAGTCAAGCCGCTGCCCGCGTGCCCCTCTTGGCGGCGTCGCCGACAGCCTCGCTCGGGCCTCACCATCAGGCAACGCTCTCACGGGACAACCAGCCGGCCAATGATTGGCGAGTACCTGAGTGTCTGACTCCGCCCAAAGTCTGCGTGAAGCTCGAAGCTCTGACCACAAGCCCGTCACCGCCCTCCCAGCCCTCGCGCCGGCCAATCAGTGGCCAGGATCTCTCTCACTTCCAAGGTTCGACGGATCACAGGAGCAGAGAGCGCGGGCGTTACTCAGAAAGCTCAAGCCAACGGCTGCTGTCTACCGAGATTGATACGCGAGAAATTGCGTGATCCGGAGGGCGCCCTCCAGTCTATATAAACCCTCGCCCGCCCCCGCCCAGCGAAGTTTCCTTCTCTCCATTCCAGCAAGCCTTCAACTTCTCTACCATGGCTTCGCCTCTCTACCATCTCAACTCTTCTACCATCCAATGCCTCCAGCATCGACCTCAGTCATGCTGCCTTCACCTCAGCGGCTCTTCGCCTTGAGCAAGTATGACCCACCTCACCTACCTCTTCGACCCTCTACTGACCTTCGACAGACTATCACTGAGGCTTCGGCTTCCTGATCTCACCTCCGGCGCTTGAGCTCAATACTACCTCACCTCACCTCAACAACATCCCGAGGTCGATACTCCACCATGAGCATGTCAACAAACAATGACGTCACGCCTTCACCTTCGGCAGCGACTTTCGACCTCCATCTTCTACCTTAGGTCGCCTTGACATCTTGTCGCCACGTCACTCAAGGTCTCTCTCATCGGCTCTCGCCCTGACCTTCAACCTCTTCGCTTTCGTGCTTCACCTACAAGTACCATCCCTTCTCTCCCCTTCGTCGTTATGCTGACAAGCTGTTCAGACCAATTGAAGCATCGACACCTCACACCTCCACGTCGCACCCATTATAAGGACTGACTCACCAGAAAGTGGGAACGCGACCAAAAAGGTTGCGGGTGCCCTAGTCCTCAGGTATTAGGGGTTCGGCTGATTCACCAGACAGTGGGAACGCGACCAAAAAGGTCGCGGGTGCCCTAGCCTTCAGGTATATGGTTCACATCCTCTCGACACATCCTTTCGACACATCCTCTCAACTCACGTCGTCTTCGATATTCAAAGGTATGTTCCTCTCCTCTCCCTTCATCCTGCTTCTCACTGACTCCCCACAGGTTTATCAAGGTTGCTGGTGCTTAGGTTCTTCAGGTGTTAGTCATTGGTCTGGTCATTGGTGCTAGGATTGGTTCATAGTCGGATGGTCATCAGGTCTTCAGTGCTTAGAATGGTTCATGGTCACATCAATCAAACAACTTCATCACATCACTGCTTCGTCTTCCCCTTTGTCTCATGTGTCTTGTGCCTTTTGCGTTTTGCCTTTGGTGTCTTATCCACTCCTTCAGTGACAAGTACCCCAGCTTAAGTCCTTGGTACACCGGTCCATCCAACCTCACTTCTATCCCATTATGCTTTCAAGCCTCAAAGCACCCCACCTTAGTCTATTGCGGCTTCACGCGATGGACGCGTCTCTCACGTGATGCGCGTGTCGGTCGCGTCGAGGGAGCTTTGGCCACGGTGATGTCATACCCAAAAACGCGACATCATAAATGTTACCGTTTGAAGTATCGCACCTCTTCATCCCCCTTCGAGTGACCTTCGGCACACTCGCGTTCTCACTTAATCCGGCACCATACAATGCCAGCATCAAAGCGCCAGAAAACCAGCAGCGACTCCAGCGTGAGCGCGCAGCGCAACGACTCCCATTCTCCTACTCCACAGGGGAGCGATGAGAGCCGCTCCGATGTGAGTCCCTCGATGCTCGCCCATTTCCAACCCTGACCGGCCCAGGCGTCGGAGAAGCGCGACAATGCTCCATATGCATACCATTGCATGCCCCGCCCCTTCTTCGATGTGAAAAACGAGAATTGGGCCCGCGGCGAGAACCGTCTCTCCAGCCCCGACTGCTACGAAGAAATTTACGCCAAAGGCTTCGACGAAGCGAAGGCGCGAGGTATCTTTGGCAAGCCCGCTGTGGAGTATAAAGATTGGAAGTGGGTCATCATGAATGATGCGTCGGAGAAATCGGACTATTGGAGGAGGAAGGCGCTGTACTGTGATCCGGACATGTTTGGCATGCATATTTATACGGATTGGAAGGGGTGGGGGTTGCAGGAGCTTGTTGAGAATGTGGTGGGCATCCCCTCAGAATAGGGAGTTCGAAATGCTGATCGTGGGCAGATTGTAGAGTTCGACAAGGGATTTCGCAAGGCCGGTGGCGAGGGCGTAGATGAAATGTGGGCTGTGATGAGCGCCCTTGGGTTTTCGTTGAATGCAAATGATCTGGAAGGTTTCATTAGTAAGATCTCCCCCTTCCTTGGCCTCGCGCGCTTGCTGAAGGAGGATTCAGACTGCGACGATGGCCCGAAAGCATGTGAACTTACTGGTCTTATCGGATACGCTCTTCTCACGACTTTAAACTCTATCGAGCAAGCCGGAGAGCTCAAGCCGGATTCCAAGTACATGGATCTTCCCTTGGTGATCGGCTACTTCCTCGAATGGTCGCACGACCTCCCCGGTTACGGCATCGAAGGCAACGCGGTATCATGGCGCAACGACGCAGTCGCATACTTCAAGGACGCCAACCTTGACCCGAAGAGAGGCACCTTCAACACGGAACGATTGCTCGACAAGTTGGAAGGCGCACTTAACTATGATATGATAGGGGAGGAGTGCAATAGTGTAATGAGAGCCCCGGATCTGGTCGGAGAACACGATCCTCCTAAGGGGACGGAAGAAGATCCGTGGGGTTGGGACGAGAGAATTAAGAAATACAGGCGCAAACATGAGAAGATGGGTGGGACGCACTATGATATCACTAAGTTTACGAGAGCTCAAAGGAAGTACCATGTGCTTGGGAAGAGGAAGAAGGATCCGCTGGCGGATTTCTCGGTGGAGGACCTTAAGGATGACATGGTGGACTTCGACTGAGACAAGAGGAAGTGAGCGAGATGTTCTCGGAGTTGGGTCTTGGGTATGTGTTGTATTAGTTGAATGGCTTTGTCGTACTTCGATGCGTAGCCTAAACTAAACCCGGCACCTCGGCTGACTTCACTGAACCTTGCCTCTTGCGTCGACGGGCCATATCTCTTCGATGATACCGTTCCGGTGCGCGTAGTAGAAGTCGTGCAAATTAATCGTAGGGTCGATGTGGCTCGGAATCATCTCGACACGATCTCCCACCTTCAAGTCCGGACCGTCCGTCCAGGAGAGCGACCCATGCTCATCACCCAGCACGCCATACGTGTACCCTACCGTTTTGCACTCCGCCAGCCCGCTATCAGTGGTAAGCGACTTCAGTCCAGCGTCAATAGTAACGCTCTTCGGCCCCTGCTTGCTGATAACCGTCGCCAGGATCGTCAGGCTATTCGAATAAAACGAGCCCACCGCATTCCGATAATCCGTATCCATAAACAAGAACGACCCAGGCTGCACCTCCGTAACCCCGGGCACCGTAACGCAGAACTCCGCCGTCCCCGTCCCCCCCGTCGTCACGACTTCGATATCATGTCCGTCTCTTCGAAGCGCGTCCGCCGTCTGCGTCAACGTGGCCATCGCCTCAAGACACATCCTCCTCCTCTCCTCCCTCCCATGCAAATGCTGCAAATGCCCCTCATACCCCTGCACGCCCATCAACCTCAAATGGCCCAACCCCCTCACAAACCTCGCAAGCTTCAACGCCGGCTCCCCGGGCTGCACACCCGTCCGATGCAGTCCGACATCCAGATCAATCAACGTCATAATCGGCTCTTCGATCGCGCTCCGCGCCAGCGCCTCGTCAATCGCACCCGCCCCCTCCTCGCTGTCCACCACGATCCGCAGACTGCGGTGCTTCCGGAACAGCTCGACGAGGCGCGCCACTTTTGGCGCGCCGACGATCTCGCATGTGATCAGCAGGTCCGTGAAGCCTTTTGCGCAGAGCACTTCGGCTTCGCTGAGCTTGGCGACGCAGCCGCTGCGCGCGCCGGCGGCGACGAGCTTTGCGGCGAGGACGGCGGATTTTGTCGTCTTGAGGTGTGGCCGGATGCAGATGCCCGTGGGGAGCAGTTGGGCGGTTAGCTTGGCGATGTTGGATTCCATGAGCGGCAGGTCGACGAGCATGCTGGGCGTGTCGAGGGCGGTGATGGGGTCGCCGATTTGGGGGGCGTAGGGCATGGTTGTGGGTGTTGGTTGGGGATGCTGGGATGTGTAGGGGTGGTTGGATGATATGCTGGGGATATGCGGACTTCGCGAGGTTTGGTTGAACGCGGGGAAGGGGATGGGAGTTCTTATGAAGGGTTTAGAGAAGAGTGAGGCGTGGCATTGGTGCTGGCACGAGGTTGATGTGACGTTGCGGGATTGTCCTAGTGTGGTAAGCCGGTTGTTTGTGTGGAGTCTGGATACCGCTTTCCCAAAACGGAGACTAGTGTGACGATGTGGAGTTTTGAGGTTACATCCTCTGAGCTTCATCCTTTCTTGATTCTCCCTTGAGTTTAAGTTCTACGGAATGCTGACCTTTTGCGTTCAGGTTGGGTGCAAGCGGGGCAGCAAGGTTGCCTTATCCACTACCCCTCGTCCACCAGCCTCGCTGCCTGATGCCTGATGTGGCTGAGCCCACCACAACACCCACGCCTTTCGACGTCACAGGCTGGCGGCAGATATGAATCGCATCATGTCCGCAGCCTGCCCAGTAGCCTCCTTTGGACCGGCTCGCTCGCTACTAGTTGCAGTGCCAAACACCCTCCAAATCCTTAATAGCAGTAGCCACGATTTATATTTCGCCATCACGACATGTCGTTCGGGTTCTCAGTCGGCGATTTCCTCGCCGCAGGACGCCTCATCAAGGATGTTATTATCATCCTCCGTACCTCGGCGCGTTCGGAACATCAAGAGTTGATTCTGGAGTTGCATGGGTTGCAGCGCGCTTTGCACCAGATCGAGCATCTGAAAGCTCCTCCAGAACAACATATCTCGGTCAACAGCATCAAGGTGGCTGCGCTGATGTGCACGCACGTTCTTGATGAGTTCGCTGCGAAACTGAGGAGGTTTGAGACGCTGATGGGCCTGCAGCGAAAAGGCCATAAGATTGAACTGTGGAAACAGAAGCTGCGCTGGGGCTTTACGATGGAGGACGAAGTTCGCAACCTTCGCGCGTATCTAGCAGCACATGTAGGCAGCCTTAATATGCGATTGGTTACGGAGGGACTGTAAGTATTCCTTGCGACGCACCGTCTGCAGCACACTGACATCTATGTCCTGGCAGCACGTCGACTCATCTTGCCGCGGAGCGCAGTGACCTCAACATTGCCGAACTCCACCGAGTCGCAGAAGGTAATGAGAGCAGCTTAGTCAAAATCCACCATAATGTCGAGGAATCGGGAGCTATCACTCGATGTGTTCAGTCAACATTGGGTAAAGTCGCTTCTATGGTATCCGGGTGAGTTTTTTCTTGGCGCTTGGGGATCGATGGGGCTGATAGTAGGCCTAGAGAGATCCTTCCGCAGCTCAAACGCCTAACCGAGCAAGTGTCCAAGATATGGCAGACGAACACTCAGCTCATCGGATTTCTTGTCAAGATGCAAGAAGCGCCAGAACCTGCATTGCAGTATACATGGTTCCAAGCGCCCGTCAAGTTCGAAGATGCTCTAGGACGAGTGTTCCCTATCCCATCAGAGTTTGACTGGCCAAAAGTGGAAGCCATTATCACTGTCCACTTTCACGGGAGCCCTGGTCATGCCAAAGTGGTGGCGGGGGAGTATGAACTATTTGACCCCATTGATCGTAGGCAAGTCATCTCTAAGCCCACCTTTCATGGACTCAGACCCGGGATGAGCATCACCATGGCATTCGTTGTTGGCAGATATACCCACGAGCTGGAGGAGGAGAAGCGATGCCCGAGACCGGGTTGTCGAGCTAGCGCGTTTCGCCTTCTCGACGGTGGCAGCGCCCAATGGTAGGCATTCCTATGGATTCAGCATTGAATATACTGAGCCAGCCTTAGCAATTCCTGCAATGTATGCTTCGAGGATACCCATACGACATTACCCCTACCTTGTCGGGATGATCTGCGCGACACCGCAACCGATGACCTGGACACATTCCAGGACGACTATGTCCTAGGCAAACGCAAAATACATATAGATCACTGCGGACCTTCTTCTCATCCACATAAGAAGGCGAGGATGGAGAGCATGGCGTATAAGAATATCCGCATTGTTCGCGTGCCCTTGCCCGCAACTCCGGCAGTATGTAATGTCCGCAGAATCGCAAGGAAGTGTTCCCGCAGCACACGGCCATCCGACGCGGAAACATCGTTACCTAGAAGCATGCATCTGGACCGTGCCGAGGCAGTCGCTACAAGAGACACGGACTTCTCCGCTGCCGAGACCCTTTTGATGGTCTCCCAAGCCCTAGGATGCACATTCAAAAAACCCACTGTCCCTATACAGTCTATTCCCAGCTCTCATGAGGTTGGCCTCCCTCCAAGCTGCTCCGTTCCGAACGCTGAGGTTCCGGTTTGGTCGTTAGCACAAACCCTTCAATGGGCGCCTTCTTCAGCCTCATCCTGTTATTCCGACCCCTCTATCGAATACAGATGCTCTTCGGCATTTTCGGGCGTATCTTGGAACACACCGAGTGTGTTCTCTGAGACATTCTCTGCCGAAGACGGTCTACACTGGGCCAGGCATAAACTGGAGAGCAACGAAGGCCGTGGCTCGGGGCCTAGGCTAGTTGCAAGCGGCCCCCCGAAGAGATCACAAAAGCCAAATAACAAGGGCCTTGGGGTGCGGAGGCAGGGAAGACCTCGACGAGAACCCGTGTTCAAACATCTCTTCACCGGCATCACAAAACTCAATACCGGCTAACCTTCCAACCTGTTTATGAGCGCCATGGATGGTTCCAGCTTCTTCAGTGACGCACGACAAACTCAGAATTACCTCCACCTGGCAATCATGGATCGAGCCATCGCTGCCATCGCTGCCATCGCTACTATCGTTTTCTGGCTCTTACAATCAGCAACCTCGAAGCTGAGCCTCAAGCAACATATAGAGGAATCGCGATTCGTTTCATGCGCTTCAGATCCGCCTTTCAATGCGCATACTACAGAAGTCGAAGCAATAAATTGATACATTCACCCGCATACGCATACGCATGCTACCGTTTCGTGTTGAGAAAAGGCCAACAAAGGCCTAGAAAAGTCGGTTCGCAAACCATGAATGAGTCCATGTACAAAAGACAATAAGCTTCGAAGTCAGATGTCGGGACCATGAAGTAAAACAAACGGAAACAACGCTAAAATCTCTTCCCGCTAGAAAACGCCTTGCGTTCCCACTGCGCCTTCCATAGCCCTCGGCTAGCGGGAATTACACCCACAACGCAAGAGCCTGTCGCTTAAATCTGAGACACACACAGATCTCTCCGTGCCGTGGAAGGCTAAAGGCTAACGCCTTGCAACCTTCCTTGCCGCACGGCTCCTTCGCTCTTCCTGGAGGATTCCCCAATCTGAAAATCAACCTCATTCTTTCACCCCGAACGTCGGCGTCCTTCAGGCCTCCCGTCCTCGGACATTCTGATGCGCGAAGCGAGATTGACGGTCCCCACGTTCGCTGCTACGAGGGAAGAGGCTGCAAAACCCTTGCTTGGATCGCGTGGTATGGTATCGCACCGCTCCTTGGGTTCCCGGGAAACGCCAGGTTATTCCGGAGACGGCGGCACGTGGCAATCTCATGCATGCAACGACAGGCACAAGCACGGCGTGAAACACGCAGGAAGATATGATCGTGAAAACGTCTCTTCTCTTGGTCGCGAACTGAAAATGGCTGGCTATGTAGGACGTCGATGCGATGCGTTGCCAGAAAATCTCCCCAGGTAATATGTACAGAGAAGATATGCAGTATCCCAATACGAAGAACCAGTGCCTTAGGCCTGGTTACCAGAAGTAAAGAATCGAAGCCCCGCCAATGCTGCTAACCAATGTCATCGGGATCAGAATGAATAGTAATACATCATATCATCCAAAAGTATAAACCCCCCCCCGGACCAACCGAATAGCGCCATTTCCCTCCTAGGTTGGACTCAAGCGGCGACTGCCTGTTGTTTTGCTTAAGAGAAGGCATGCAAGGCCGCTAGTGCTTGTGGTGCAAGTCACCGTGCCGCTTGTGGCGAACATAGCTGCTGCCCGCAGACACGGTAACCGTAGCAGTATTCGTGACGGTCTTGTAGATGGTGCCGGGATCGCAGGAGGTGGCGTTCGCGACAGCGCCGGCGGTCACGTAGATGGTGGGCGTGATGGTGACGGTGGTCGGGACGGCGCATTCGCCCTCGCCGGAACCGCTGGTAGGGGCTGGACCGGTGGGCGAAGCGGCGCTGGAGACGAGGGACATGGTGGGGACGCTGGTGGGCTCGCTGGGGGGAGATTTAGCGGAAAGGTTGTATAAAGAGATTGAATGAAGGATCACGTACCTCTGGCCGGCGGCGGTCTTCGACAGCGTGGTTGCGATGTCGTAGCCGCCTTCTGACTGGACACCGTTGCCCAGCTCCTTGTTGGGGATGCTCATTGTGAGGGAGGGGAGAGCACTCGTCTCCTCGGCGTCCGCGACAGAGGCAGCCTTCGAAGCACCCGTGTTCGACGCGGCCGCGGATGAAGCAGCTTCAGAAGAAGCAGCGCCCGAGGATTCGGGAGCAGGCGTAGCGCTAGCACCCCCACTGACAGCAGCAGAGGACTCGTCCCCACCGGTAGCGGGAGCAGCAGCGGCGGTGCAATCTGGGCCAGTGGCCTGGGTGGCCTCAGCAGGACCGGACTGAATGGGATTGCAGCCGGGCAGCTTGTCAAGCGGAGACGAGTCGTCGCCCGGGAACTCGGCTGTAGCAGAGCACGACTTGAAATTGGCGTCGCTGTCATCATTGACGTTCGCATCGCCAAAGCACTGCTTCATCTCGTCGTTGCCGCATCCGCAGCCGCAATTGCAGTAGCCCTCATCAGCCGTCGCCTTAGCGAGGACGCCCTTCTCCCAGCCGTTGCGGAAATCAGCGTGGAATCCGAAACCGGTCGGGTCGCCGTTGGCAAGGACCCACGGGACGTCATCGGCGCTGTACTGGCCATCGAACGCGGAGATATCATACCAGAACTCGATGAAGATGGTCGGGAAGCGGGCAGCCTTGAAGCCGTCGGGACAGGCGTCCAGGCCCTTGCCATTGTTGGTGGGCCAGGTCATGTGGGCCGCTGGGCTCTTGGGGTCGAGATCCTTCCCGTTCCAGCAGGACGGGAAGGTGACCTCGCTGGCGAGGCCGTTCTTGCACTGGGTGAATCCCTTCGGGAAGCCGTTGGTGTAGATATCGTCTCCGCTGTCCGGGCCGTGGCACGCCCACCTGATACCAGCCGGGTTGTCACCGTCTGAGCGCTTGAACGGGTCTCCGGCAATCATGGAGAAGTTCTCGGGAAACTCGCTGACGTTGGCCTTGACGTTGCCGGAGTCCCCGAACTTGTAGTAGATCTTGAGGAACTGGTCGGGCACGCGGTAGTAGCCGGTGTTGTTGCCGTTCCAGAAGAGCGTTGGGCGCCAGTACAGACTCTTATCGGGCTTGATGCGGGCGGTGGTGCAGGTTGAGCTCTGTGTGCTGTCGAAGGACATCTCTGCAGCTAGTCCGCTTCCGCCATCGAAGGAGTGGAGATGTGGGCTCTCCTGACCGGGGAAGAGAGCGGGATCCAGTCTTTGGTAGCTCAACGCGGGTCCATTTCGATTGTAGAAGCTGAAATAGGGACCAGAGCAGTCGAAGGCCGACGCCGTGGCCGCCAGGCCTGCTGTGAGCGCAAAGAGGCTGGTAAGCATGGTGTTCGATATCGATTGGGGATAGCAAAGTGGTATGGGTCAAGGAGTCGAGGAGTCAATGAGTCAAGGCCAGCAAAGGAATGAGTCAGGCACTAAACGAACGTAACTGAGTCTCGGACTCGAAAGCGAATGTATGGATAACAGAAAGAATGGATGGTATTCCCGTACCGGAAGCCAGAAAATGAGTGAGACAGTGGGTGAAGATGAGATTTCCGGGGGCGGACATGGTATTTGTATGCGGCGTCCAAGACTGCGGGCTCGTCCACGTTCCTGACTACGGACGGCAGTGAGCGCCTCATGGCAAGGGCTGGTCTGGATTCGGCTGAGTAGCCGCTTGCTGAGCCAGAAAAGCTTGACGCCTCCCAAATGCAGTGGGATGCGGACTGGAGATTGCACAGGGAGAGAGTCCGTCAACGGCTGTTCCGTTCGGGGCAGACTGCAGAGCTTGGCCCGGTGGCGTGGACAAGCATACTTTTGAGCAATCGGCGTGAAACCAAACAAAAAAGCGAAGAAATCACCCAATGATAAGCCGACTCGGACTGAAGAGCGTGGAGATGGTTTCAAACGCAACTGGACGCTGGGATCGCCTTCGGGTCGACATCATGTGTAAGCGGATCGCTCGTGGCTGATCTTCAAACGGCTTGGCGCGGGCTACTGCATCCCCCCTGCAGCACACCTCTAATTTTGACGCCTGGAGAGAAAGGAACCACTCAACTCTGCAGAGAATTCGTTATTTTAAACGGGCGTTATTGAAGGCGCCTTAGAAGCATGTGCCTTGCAGGCAGCCGCTCGAACGTGGGCGTGTATCGATAAGGAGCGTCGGTCGCAGCAAAGGTGCAGTAGTGCATACCCCTGTGGAAATCACGGACTACCGGCGGCTGTTCCTGCATTCCAACGTTCGTTTGTCCGCCACTGCTCCCAGCTCCGACCGATAAGAAAGTTGCCGTTACCTCCGAGAAGGGATGACTTATCGTACCCACGCACCTCCACGCGAGCGTGTGCTGTCCATCGATAGTTCGTGCGTCGGAATTAGCGAGCCCTCCTGCAAGCCTGTCGTTGCTGTCAACCACGACATGCAGTGCGGAAACTTCAGGTTGCACTACAGGATGTCTCCGACCGATGAATGTGGGCGCTACACCTGCTGTGCGCCGCAGCACTTCGTCATGCTCGCTCAACTCCCATACTGTGGTAGCTTGTCCATGAAACCCACTCCCCGAGCGTCTACCGCTGGTTCATGAAGTAGTAAAACAGACCATCGTCTGGTCTCTCCACTTCCGCGGCGTGACGTCGTCTCAGAGCGTTCTGGTGCCGTAGCCATATCCACGGTTGAGTCGACGATGGCAGTCAGACAACGGGCTGGCATGATACTCGTATCGATAACGATTACGTCTGCCCTATGATCTGCCATAGGCACCTCGATTTTGCATTGTACACGTTGGCTCTTGCACGCAGCCTAGACCTGTCGATCACATTTCCTTTGAGCTGTGCCGCACGTACGTTGAAGTATGACCCGAGTGACCCAACGCGCCGCGAGAGCCGCTCGCGCCTAGAAATAGGCGAATGCGTATCACTTGCCGCTCAATATTCGCTCGCTAGGCAAGCTGTATGCGCCCTTGGAAAATTGACCAGCCACCAGCCGGCTGTTGGCTGTTGTTTTCGTAAGGAAGTCAGGCCATTCAGCGATCGTGACGACATGCGCTGCTGTGTACTCCATACGGGACTGTATCCGGATCCCTTGTCGAGGAGCAAGTAGCGAAAGATCCGCCAATTCTTCGGCCATCAGAGCGAAGTCGCAGATCTGTTACGCTCGGCCCCAGGCTTTCAACAGAATGAGAGATGGTTGGGTTCGAAGATCCGGGTTTCAAGTTGGACTGCGGAGACGCTGGTGGAGAGGAATTACCATGGGACAGATTTTCGAATGCTAAATGCCGCATCAGATTCCAAGCGTTGATGAGCTGAGCGCGATTCAGCATCCCTTCTTTTCACTGGCCCTTTTCAGCCCCATTGCCGGCTCTTCGCAGTGTCGGGAGGTCACTATGCGGCGATCTGGGGTGCGTACCAATTGCCCTCAAACTGAACCAGCCTCTCGAGGACATACCGGACCGAAAAGCGCCATGAGCAGGTAGGAGATCAGGGGTGGATATCCCCTGAACTGCCTCACCAGGTCGGAGGCTCGGGAATGCTACGCCGACCAGAGCTATAATAATGAAGCCAAGGAAATGCCGTCTACCAAGCGTCACTGGGACCTTTGTTTGCCAGAATGCAGGAGAATGTGGGTCAAGTAGCAAAGCCGGCGTGGGCTGTAGTATGGTGCTCTATCCCCAGCGAGGTTTGCAGCCGTTTGCGCGCACCCGCTGAACAAGGTCGTCGAGTAACGGTTCCAGCAGTGATGCTCAATCGCAAGACTCCTTGTGGCCGTACGCTCCTCAGCAATTATCCTTTCTCCCCAGTGTACGTAACACGACTGTGTGTCTTTCGAGGAGGACGATGGGAGCGGACTGCGCGATCTTTGCGAAGCGTTCGTGAAGGGGCGCATAGAGAGCAATCAGGATATGGAAGGTTCGGCATCATGGACTTGCTAGGCACTGTAGATCAGCGATCAGCGCCAGACGAGCTATTCGATGAGGTCCTCGTCAGCCCAAATACAACCTCCACCTTGAGAGTTCATCTTGGGGCTATCGCGTAAGGATAGCATAGCAAAAGCTCTCGCGTTGGGAATGCGATATAGATATGGAAACGGGCGGAGGATTCTCAAGACAGGGTTGGTGGTGATGCTTGGGCGGGGAAGGAGTGATGGTAGAGTAGGTAGAAGGAGTGTTGAGGAACTCAAATCTCTCGCGGAGTAAGCTACCTAAACGCCTTGGCGAGATCTGCGACTGTCATTTGAAAGCATCCAAGCATGGCAAGTAACCTAACAAAGCAATATTCTAAAAAGATTCGCACGCTATCCTATGAGTTGATGGGATTCCCGCGATATTGCAAGTTTGGTTGGGCCGCCGCATGTGGCAGTTATTCCCGCAATTTGAGAGCGATTGAAGCGAAGTATGATAATACCTTAAAGCTTACCATACCAAGGCCGCTCTATAATGAATGAAGTTCTGAAAGGCGAACAGGATAAGACGAAGAAATCCGCCCAGAGATCCACGCTTATGGGGGACAGTCACGTGATACTCCAAAGTGGTTAGCCTTCATGGCCGCCCTGCCCAGGTGCCTTCGATCCAATGTCCTTTGATTTCCCTCCCCAACAATGCATTCTCCCCTCATTTTAGTCCTCAATTGCGCATCATAACTCTATCTGCGGTATCTCTCAGCGCAGCACTGTCTCGTGTGCCACTCACACGAGACTCGGCTGCGAGCGGACAATGTCATGCCGAACGACCAAATGGATGGCTCCTTCGGCGGGACGCAGTTCCAGCGCCACCTACCATCGGCTTCGAATCGAGCGGCCCTAGAGTTGAGAATAGATTAAAGAGTTCGGGAAAATTGCGGGGCAGGTACGACAAACTTGCAGCCGGTGTCAACGATCAGGTTCCTGGAATTTCGGTCGCTGCGCTGCAACTAGCCGGTGTGGTCACACTTTACCACTGATGTCCTCAGGCGATATCGCGCCCTGATCGGGATTCGTGGAGCGCGCTGCTAGCGCTATGCCGTCTATATGAAGATACATGGTGTTCTCAACATCGGCTTTCATGCCTCATAGCAGAAACCGGCAGTCGCACCGAAACCCATCACCATATATCAAACGACGAGCTTAGCCCTTCTGCCCGAATCCACTTTCGCAAGTCGGCATATCCAATTGAAGATTGCGGAGGCCATAGGCCGGCCCTCCTCCACAGCTGTACTGTGTAGCTGGAGGCTGTCTCCTGCGATTGTGCGGGTTGCTCAACATCAGATCGTGAGACGCTCGTTTAGTCGCTGTCCTCCTGTCATTTCTTATCGAATGCGGGACGGAGGCTCTTCTTCCATTTCTCCTAGTGCGTCATTGGACGCAAGCCTTGTGGAGAGAGCAATACCAGGATCGGCAGAAATAACAGACTCGAAGGGGCGATGGGTGCAGCCGAGCCAAGCAAGCCTGTCCATAGGCTGCGAAAATACGGTGACACGAATACATCAACGTGCGCTTGCGAGATGAAGCCGAGCAACCGTTCGCGAGGCTTGCACGACGCTGCACTCGTCGCGTTCTTCCCCATCCGACGAGATTGTCTCGCCTTCAAACCTGGATTCCAGACAAGCTGCTCCCCACACCTCGCCACGTCAAGTCTGGCGCCCGCCTCATCTAGGCGTGGCGGCTGCGGGCGATATTAATCAACGTAGAATGTTCTGAATCGAATTCTTCCAGGTCGCACTATAGGACGGAGCGGGATTCTTTATTCAGATGGCCATATAGCGTCCAGATATTATAGTGTGTCACCAGACCCACGTGAATTCTGGCCTTCGCAGTGGTTAACCGGGATGATCATCTATGCAGCCGCCGTTTAATTCGGCCACCCTTGGATGTTGCGGGGGAAAAACCAGACGCGGGCAGCCGGACAAGTGGTCCGGGATCAGTAGCCACACGAACTCGGTGGTGCAGCAAGCTATATGAATATGCCCGCCCTCGATACCGCGCGATTGTGGATTCCGCGATCTTTCCAGAAGGACACGCAGTCGCCATCATGCCCAGGTATCCGCTCCAAGAAACATGCCTGGCTGTGATTTACGGCACCCCGTTACTGGCCACCATATTCGTCGCTCTGAGGATATACACAAGACGGAAGCTGAACCTGCGGCTCGGCTGGGGTGAGTATACCGCGACCGCCTACTGCGCAGCGCTGACCGTGCCCCGTAGATGACTGGTTGATCGTTATTCCAACGTTACTTTCAATAGCCCTAATAGGGCCTTCCTACAAACGTTAGTAGCTCACTTCAGCTCTTTTTGTATATTTTCTAATCGCTGCGCAGATGTCAAGATGTGGCATGTCGGCATACACATATGGCAGGTCCCGCCAAATGAGATCGAACCAGACTACGACGAGTACTACGCCGTGCGTGCTCCAATATCTGGGCACTGCTCAAGACGCTAATTCACCGCAGGTGCTCCTCGCTTTCAATCTCCTGAACATTCCGATATTACCGCTCGTTAAAGCTTCGATCATACTTCTGCTCCTGCGCGCCGGCTCGGTCATCGAATGGCTGAAGAAGGTCCTCTACGGCATTCTCATTTTCACCATCGGAAGCGCATTCGTACCGTGGTGCCTCTACATTTTCATCTGCCCGCCGCTCACCGGAAACACCTACAAGCCACGGACGTTTGGAGGTCTGAAATGTATGAACCGTCAGCGGTATGGCGAGATGCTCATCTGGGTCACCTGCGCCAATCTCCTCACCGACCTTCTCATCTTCCCAATTCCCTTCATAATTGTCCGGAGGATGATGAGCGCACGGCTACGATCAAGAATGGTGGTGCTTGCGGTCTTCACCTCCAGCTTAGCGTAAGGATCCCTTGCATAGCATTGTTTCAACCCTTCATTAACACTCCCTAGTGTAACGGGCATCGGCGCCGCCAAAATCTACCTTTCCTACCGCGACCGTCTCTACACTCTCTTCAAGCCGGATTGGACATATCCGATCGACTACTGCATCAACCACGTCGAAAATAACGTCGCCATCATCGTGGCCAACATCCCGATACTGCGCGGCCTGGTCACGCGCTGGGTCTTCAATTTCAAGACAAAAGCCACGCCCATCGAGCGTGAGTTTCGGAATGATTGGCAATGGAGCACTTCAAATTCTTCCACTTTCACGCGGGTGGCGCGCAAGAACAAGTTCGCACAGAAGATCATGCCCTGCATCGACGACGACTTCTCCTCCTCGCTCGCCCGCTCGCGCGACATCCGCGATCCAAACCTTCCGCCCCGCGTCATCACCGACTTCCGCAAGAACCGATCCTTCAAGGCCCGCTCGCGGAAACAGTCGCGCCGCAACAGTCTCGACAGGTACGAGACGGCCGATTGCTGCGAGAAGGGCGACGCGCTAGAGACGGTGAGGAGTATCGGGAGCTTGGGCAGCGCGCCGACGCTGGTGGAGAGCAAGGAGCTGGATTGGCGGCTGAGCGAGGCGAGCCTCATGTCGAGCCCTAGACGGGTCTCGAGTCCGACACTGAGCCCGATTTCTCCTTTATCACCCTGTGTTTTGAGGGGCATTGAGGATGAGGATGAGATATTGAGATACCCATGACTTGCATAGCATATTACGATAGCATAGCATTTGAATCCAAATATGATTAATGGAACTCCATTCGATCTGATTTTCATCTTCAAGTCCCGTAAAGCTCGATCTGTGGCGTTCAGGCACCGTTCTTTCCGCCGTCTTCTACAGCCCTACCATAGCCTCTTTGTCGCCACAGTCCAACTTCGGCGACAATTCTACCTACAGAATGTACCTCACCTGCCCCCCAACCAGAAGCAGCTCACCTCGTCGCCAAATCCTCTGCACGTCACCCCAGCCCCTTCCCCCTTCGCCAAACCGAAACTTGCACCACCCACATGGGCACACTCCCCTCATCACGCACACACTGGCTCCCCACACAGGCCACTTCATGCTCCGGCCGGCGCTCAGGCCCGTCGGCCGCACGCCCAGACCAAGGGTCCAGCCTGCCAGGTCCTCCGGCCAAGCAGTCCGGGCCGCTTTGGGCGGAATCTGGGGTAGCTTCGCAGCTACCCCTCCGCACTTCATGCGCTCTGAGGGGGGTTGGGGCAAGCAGAGCCGGATGAGCTGATCACTTGCTGTTCTGGACGAAGGACAAGATGAGCTGGCTGGGCAGGGAGTTCTTGTGGTGCTTGAACGGCAAGCGGAGAGGGGGCAGAGAAGGCTTGTGTGGGTGTGCATCGGAGGGGATTTCCCTCGCGCTGGAAGAAAGAGAAGGCTTTGCTCGTATTCGATCGTTCGGTTGCTCGTTCTCGAACACTCACAGGACCCCTCTTTTCTTTCCTCCTGACTCAGTATACCTGTTTTCTCCATACATAGAGGCTATAGCACGATTGCAACGGGGCGGAACGAACTTCTTCTCCACGGCAACGCGTCTATAGCTCGGGGTCCTCGATAGGACAATTTCGCTCTCGCCTCGCCAGTGCCGTAGCTGCCCGCTCCGCACTCTGCTCCGACGCTACCGCTACCGTAACTGTTACCTGATCGCCCGCAAGCCAGGCCCAAGGTGTCAGGCGAAGTTCGCACAATGGCCCGGCCTTTGGCATGTTCGCTGGAGCGAAAAGGTGCGGGTAGGGTTGGCGAGCTCATCCTCCCGAGGTCCCTCGCGTATGCGCGTGACGTCTGAGAGCTGGGGTAAGGGTAGCAGGCCAATCAACCGCCGCTAGAGCCGGAACAGGAAAAGGCCCCTCTCGTAAATCGCTTAAATCTAATCTGAAGAGAGATCGTCAGGCAATATCCATGGAGGAGCGATGCAAGTAATTCCGGTGCGGGTGCGGGCGCCACCTTCCTTCCTTCACCGTTCGTTCATCACGCCTCTCAAATTTCCCAGATCAAATCTTCTGTTTCGAGAAAATCAGGAACTGGAAAAAGAGCGCGGGGCGATTTCGAGCTTGGGCAAGCCAAGATCTTGGGAAGCAGGGGCAAGCTGTAACTTACCCCGCGGATGATATGGGTAAAGTTCTTAACGCAGGGATAGGCGCAAAAACTTCATTTAGGCAGATGAATTGCCCCTTGTTAATATCTGGGCCTTGGTGCTTAGCTGGTGGTGAAGGGTATGGGAGCGCAGAGCTTGAATTTTTCCTGAGGAGAGGGAAGCCGAAATATTGGATTGTCATGCGCAGGTGGGATGGTGGAGCTAGTTGTGGCGGCAAAGCTGCGAAATGAACGGCGAGAAAGGAACTTCGGTGGCTGGCGGAGGACGACGATGGTGGGGAGAAGTTGCAGTGTAAAGTCCCCTTCCGAATCTCGGTCATGGTTCTGCGAGACGTGAAGCGTTGATGAGGCTTTCATTTGAAACTGCTCAATTGTTTCGCCTAGCCCATCTCCACCTATCTCTCCTTCATCAATCATAAAAGCCTTTGTCCTACCGTCATCAAACCTCAAACCGCAACTTTTCGAAGATGAAGCGAACGTCGCTATGGGTGGATTAAGTGATACCGAGGCTGCCCGACCGGGCCCGAATAATGTGGAGTGGAGCAGAGCGACCCTCCAATGCAAGAAATAAGAGAGCCAATAACGGCAACACGAGAACGCCACTGGACGCCCAATCGTTCAACTCATAGTCCGGAATCTCGCTCGCAAGACTAATGAGAAATGTAACGTAACGTACATGTCCGACCGAATCGCCTTTTGAGGACGGTGGTACAAGAAGCCGCGAAAGAATTTTGTCCGTGGAGGAAACCAGAAAAAAGTGGAATTTCCGCCCATATGCAGATGCGTGTGGCGCTGGAGTAATAAGCTTGTGCGGAGCGTGTGTTACCGCGTGGTTTCGTCGGAAGGGAGGGAGAGCGGGCGTGATTAATGGTCCGCTTTATTGGTAGGGTATCCATGCATGAAGGGAGACGCGATGATAGCCATCACCTGACGCGGTTGCTCTTCCGAACAACAGGTTACAGGTGTGGGTGAAGAGACGGGAAATTGGAAGACGTGTCGATCGTGAGTGGCTAGCTAATGCGAAGTGGCATGCAGCGTTGTCACTGGCGCTATACCGAGAGGAGGCCTACGATGGCGACGGTTAGAGCAGCGACCATAGAGAAGGATGGCGAGAAGAGTGTCGCTGCAGCGCTCTCGCCCGCTAGAACTTTGTCGTCGTCGCGGGTGCACTGGGTCTTGTCGGTGAGCACCTGTGGGCAGGGGACGCGTTTGAAGGTTGCGCTGTGGCACGTTAGACAGGCACTCGGTTGCGAAGCGTGCAGACGTACGTTGGATATGATGCATCCTCAAACCAGTCGAACCGCCATTGGCAGCCAGCCTGCAGCGCCTCTGGCAACTTGTCGCAGTCTTCTTTTGAACTGACGCCAGCATCGGTCGTACCGAAGACATTTTGGTCGACGCCGTACTGGCGGGCACAGGCGTCATGTGAGGTGGTATTTCCCCCCGGTACCTGTGACGCAGTCAGCGGTGCGAAGTCTTGACTCGCAAGATAAGTCACTTACTGCCAAGGAGAACCGGTTGGCAGTGTTTACATCGTAGGCGGTGTTTGATGCTTGGACGATCATCGTCTTTCCTCGAAGAGGATCGCTGGTGAAATTCAACTGGTAGCAGGCGCAACACCACGCGTCCTCAATATGGTTGTCCGTGAGGCTGGGTACCAGAAAGATGCCCGCGAATCCGTAGGAAAATGTGTCGTTGACAGCCCATGGCTGTTGATCAGAGCACAGAAAGGCGGTACCGCCGTCCCCGCAACCAGTGCCGGCTTGAATATCCGTGGGTTTGTCGTCGGCGGTGCAAGATAGGACCGGGCGGTTGAAGGAGGCCTTCCCATTCCACCCACACGACGGTTTGCAGCAGTCCCAGAACCGGGTTGTGACAGCCTCCCCCGAGATGTTGAGATTCGCGCAGCGGGCGATGACCACGAACAGGTCCAGAAGGAAAAGGAGATTGCGAAGATAAGAAGCCGTCATTGCGTGATAGGAAGTCTGATGCAAGTGCAAAGACTGGAGAGCATCATTTATTAGCAAGGGAATGACGGTGCCAGGAAAATCTACTTGAACCGCACTAGGAAAGGAGGGGTTATATAAGACCGGTCGCATGGAGTAATTAATGTTGGTCCAGCTATGATATGCCAGGCCGAGAACACCGACTCACCTGCTCTGAGAAGACCTAGCGTCTCGCCACGCAGGGATCGGCGGGGCTTGCACCGAAACGGTAATCGGATTCGACGTCTCTGACAGGTCGGTAGGGCCACGGGCGTGGTCCGAGGTCGAAATAAGCTACCGTGACCCTAACTCCTTCACGTCAATGCGCAATGCCACCAATGTAAAAACGCCTTCTCCGCAATCCTGCGCAGCGTAGCATTAGCCCCCGCGATTCGGCAATAGCGGAGCGGTGTCACGTCTGCATGAACGCGAACGCTTCTTTGATCCGGGTACAACTTAGCCAGCCTTCGCCCCATAGTTCTGCTTCCGACCTCCTCCTTTTGGACCAAATCCCCTCACTGTGTGTCGACGTTCTCCTCCATGTCTCACTGCTCAAATCTCGGCTATTTCGTATTGGTCAAGCGACCTGCATAGCTCCCTTCAGCTGCAACTCCTCACCCACTATCTCGTGTAACACTGCATGGTGGAGGCCTAAGCACGTGGGCGCTTGCACAGCGCACAGTTCATCTGCCAGGGCCCGGTCTCGCACCTTCGTCCCCTTCCGCCAGGCATCCCAGTATTTCCCCGCAAAACACTAGTAGCCGAGATATCCAATTGGACGGGAGGCCTTCCAAGACGTGTTGAGCCAAGTATTGAGTGGAGTCTAGACGTCGAAGCTCATTAGAGGAAAGCTTTTTTGTGCTACAAAGCTTCGTAATGGATTGTGAACGATCGTAGCAGTGTGGAGCATCCTCGTTCGCATTACGGGAGCTGAGTAGGGAAATATCCGTCCGTATGCAGTGATCTTCACATGCTCGCTGGATCATCTCTCCGGTGGCACTTATCGCGCAGCGGAAGAATGACCTGTCAGTCGCCTGCGCGGCGAATAGCGTCCGTAGAACTAGGGTCCACTAGGTACGCGAGACCGTATCTTGCATACCTCGTGGAAAAACCGTCATCTTACGGCTCAGCGAATAGTTGGACATACCAGGATCGATGAGGGCGCCGGGCGAACTAGGTGCTTCTGCTTTCATGCGAGACCCTCAACAGTTCCAGTCCTAACTCAGAGCTCGCATAGAGGTCCTAGTGTGCCCACTGGCGCTCAGTCTTGAGCAATGTCGTGTTTCTTCTAAGAATATCTGCCGACAGTCTTCATGTGCTGTACTGAGCATTGCAGGCCTTGTCCTGGCCACCGCAGGCGTCTGCCCAGCATCTACTAGACATGGTCAGCGCACGGGTGGCGGATCCGCGCAGGGATCCGGAGGCAGTATCTACTGCCGAATCGGGTTCTGAAAGCAAGGTGCACAGTTGGATCATCAACTGGAAGAACGGGAGATCACAGAACAGGAATCGAGCAGGATTTGCCTTCCATCAAAATGCTATAGAGACGGCGGGAGCATGATCTAGACAGTTATTTTGCATTACCTCACTCGAATGTACGCGTCCTCCTTCGATCGTGTAATGTAATTGGGCGAGACCCCGAGCAGCCGTTGACAGCAAACATACATCCGCGCCGCGCCGCGCCATATGCTTTCAGGGGAATCGGATAATTGTTGGATTGTAAGAGGCCATAAACGCGAGAGAGGGGCACGGATCTACCCGGTGCCAATAGCTCCTGCCTCATGGTCAGTGTTCAATACGAGCATTTGCTACCGACAAGGTCCGGGTTATATCGCGGGAAGTTACCGTTGAGACACGCCATGACAACGTGCAGTTCGCATGGTTCCCCTAAGTCTGCCATCAACGATCAGAGGCACACATTCTGGAATAATACGGGTGGCAGCACTTACTTCACAGCGCTGCCGTGCTGCTCAAAGACTGTGTACCTCCAACCTAGTGGTGACCGGCTATTAACCGCACAGACGCAATAGGCCATTGCTCCCCCTTATATACGCGCAACTGCTTAAGCTCGCGCTCTCCTATAAGACTTAACGTAAGTAAAGAAGGCAGCCGATACCAAGCGAGCTACAATGAGGCGATTTCTGTCCAGTATAAGGAGGTGCAGGAGGTTTACCGGTACCCCCAAGCGAAGATGCTAGAGCCGGCCAATGCAGTGCTATTTCAATTTGCTCTCTGCAAGGCACGAGATTCATCCACGCGCCCATATATTGGACGGTCCGGGAGGCACCGCGACCGCTACTGGAGAAGGAATGCGGGACCGGGCAAAGGATGACATCGTGAGGTCGCTCCTATGCCTCAAGCGGACGAGCATCCTTGAAGCCCTTTCGACAGCTTCTCAGTGGGTCAGCGACCTCAAAGATTGGCATGAGATGAAAATAGGTTGCAGGAAACCCATTAGAGGATAGAGGGCATACGAGAGGGATGGAGCGAGGAAGCGGTCGAGAAGCGATCGCGCTGTGTGAAGCGAAGCTAATCCTAGTTTGGTAAGGCGTACTCCAGCCGCGTTCCGCCCGCTCAACAACTCTGCAAGAGACATTCATCTGTGTAACCAACCCAAGCATGACTAGGCGATACCTTTCGCCCTTGTCATTATGTATGCCACGTACCTCTCCTAGGTTGAAACATCGCTTCCGCTCAAAACGCCCAAAACAGGCTTTTGTCGTCTCAAGAGCTGCCCTCCTCAAAGTTGAACGCCGCTGATCGCTCGAGCCACAGTCACCAGCAGATCATCTCTTTTTACTTATTCGTCCCACTCTCGAGCTTCGAGAGCCCGTTACATTGCAGTCACGCTTTTCCACGTTGCCATACTCACGGCCGTCATAGCTTCCAAGAGATGGTGTCTCGCACTGTCTAGGTTCTGCTAGAACGCAAGACTTGATTTGAGCCCGCACTGTTGTTGGTACCAGGCAAGTCAAGAGTGTGAAGAGTTGAGAATATTGATTTGCACGTCAATGCAGCACTGTCGGTATTTCTCCCCCAAGAATATGGGAGTACCGATTTCGTTCAACTCCAGCGAGAGCAATTCAACTCAGCTCGCGAACGGCGCCACATAATGCCTCACCGCTCCCCAGGCTCCTCCACCCAAGTGACCAACCCAGACTCCATAGTCCCACTACTCTCGCCCCCTCCTCTCGCCTCCCGCGCCTCCCGCAACTCCCGCAACGCCCTCAGCGCCCTCGCCCGACTCTCTTCAGCCATCTTTCTCTCCCTTTCCAGATCCTCAATCAGCCGCTGGCCCTTCTCGATCGCTCTCTCCCTCCCCTCCCCTCTATATGTCTCTCGTTTCCATTCCTCAATTCTCGTCTCTATTCCCTGCAGCCTCAACCGCGCATCCCCTTCCAACCTCAATCTCAGCCTTTCCATCCGATTCCGCCATTCCAGCTTTGCAACAACCCACTGTCCCGCGAGGACGACGGCGGTAAGACTCGCTATGAAACCGAGGGTGAGCAGCGGATAGACGGAGTAGTTCTCGTGCCATGGCTCGTCTGGGGAGAGGCTCCAGGGGGAGTGGGGATGCGTCATGCAGGGGATTGCGGACAGGGTTAGGGCGAACACAAAAGCGGTTCCGTAAGTGGTGGACGCCATGGCTATGTAGCGAGAGAAAGGCGTGTGTATTTGCAGTAGTGATGCTTGATAGCTTTCGGCGAAGAATGCGCGGGGGCTGGGTGGTAGCAGAGCGAGGGATGGGGCTGTACGCTGAAGTGATATGTCGATAGCTTTGACGAAGAGTGCGGAGCTTGGATGGAGTGCAGTGCGGAGCTGTTGGTTGGCGGCTGCGGAGCGTAACGAAGGCCGTTGAAGTGCGCCTCCTTTCTACGTGATCGGAAGGAATCATTTGCACGTTATGGTCGAGAAGGCGGAAGGGCAGGCGCAGGCAAACAGAAAGAGCCGGGTGTTCTTACTCTTTGATACCGCTCACGGCCAAGCGCCACCCTCTCATATCTCCTGCTCATCAGCATCCAATAACCCCTCAATCTCGATCTCTTTTGCATCTTCATCACACACTCCATCCGATCTCCTGTCCTCATCCCAATCACAATCAATACACGGGGTGAGTAGAAACCCCGTGACCCGTAATCGTATATCCCGCAAGAAGCAGCGTAACGTCTTCAGCGGCTCATATCCAGATAGCTCTGCGTTGGTGCTCCGTGTCTGGGGTTCGTATACCATGCGTTGTCGCAGACTGACTTTTGAAATCGCCTGGTCGCCTTCGGCGTGAGAAGGTGAATGAGTGTTGAAGGCGGCACTTTCTTCATCTCGCGCGGCATCGTCTTTCGGTGGCGGGATGTGGAAAATCCTAGGCTTATGATTCCGCTTCCTCGGGTTCCCTCCGTCAGTCGCGCCTAAAGTATTCGTAGCAGTGCTGTTGCAACACGAATCAGAACATCGCGACGGCATAGCGCGTATCTCCATTGAGATCGTGGACTGGAGCGTAGATGTGTGCGAAGAGTAGGGTTGGAAAACTGGACAGGTGGGTAGTCAAAAGTCCTTTTAGAGGGCTTCAGCGTACACAATAAAAAGGGGAGGTGAGTTGACAAGCCCGGTATTAATAGGAGTGCAGAAACGCGAAAAGAATTCGGTTCGCTTGAAGGGCAGGACCAGCCGAGTACCGCTGAAAAAATCGTTCAAGACTTTTTGAGCGCTTTAAGTTACTCTACCACTCTCCTCCATTTTGACGCGGATTACTTACCCACCTATGCGTCAGAATCTTCCTACCTTCCCACGGTCGCATTTCCCAACACCACATGCCCCGGACTCGGTGGCACGTCGCCCTTCTCCCAACCCACTGGCTCACTCCCCAACACAAATTCTATCGTCCCGCCCTCAACCATAATATCCGCATGCTCGAGCCAGTTCTTCTCCCACTGCTCCCCATTAATATTCACGCTCTGCACAAAATAGCTATCCTCGCCGAGGCCTTCTGCGGTGATGCGGAGCGTGCGGTTCCCGTTAATAGTCATGTTGATGTCGGAAAACCAAGGCGACGAGATGAGGTAGGTGGGCTGCGTGACGACTGGGTAGAGACCCAGCATTTGCCAGATCAACCAGGAGTTGAGGGCGCCGGAGTCGGAGTTTCCAGGGACGCCGAAGGGGGCGTTTTTGAAGCTGATTTTGTGTTAGCGATAGCGGTTGCAGAGGGGATCGAGGGCTTACAACTGCCTCGCGAGAGCGCGTGATTGGTTTACGCTCTTCCATTGCTTGTTGATGTAGTTGTAAAGATAGGGCGTCGCAAAGTCGGGCTCATTTCCAATGTTCATAAGAGTGGTAATGCCCAGTCCGTTTGGTCCCAGGCTGGTCTGACTAGTATTCGGCTTGAAGATGTAATCCAGACGAGATTCAAAAGTCTCTGAGCCTCCCATGAACTCAATCAGAGTCTGAACGTCGTGTGGAATCACGAAAGAGTATTCAAATGGTGTTCCTTCGTACGAGATCGAAGGCCATGAGCAAACGCCGCATAGCGCTGGATTGTAGTCTGTCGAGTTGAATATCCCATTGGCTGACTTTGGCGTCAAAAAGCCTGTGAAAGTGGGCGTTGTGTTCACACTCGGGACCGTATGATCCCACAGGAGCTGCCATCCGGCGGAGCGTTCGAGGTACTTTTGGACATCCTCCGGCTTCTCGCCTCTCGCGACCTGGCTGAGCGCGAAGTCGTTCAGAGCATATTCGACAGTTCTTGAAATGGATCGCTCGCTCGCTTCGGTAATGTATCCATAGGCAAGCCAGTCATCCAAGGCACCGCGACCTTCTTTGTTACTGCCCTTGGTGGATACTTCAGCGTCCTTGACCATTGCTGCGTATCCATCCGCCCAGTTGATTGCGCCCCTCAACCCTTTAACGTAGGCATCTGCAAGAACATTGTCTGCGTTGCTCCCGCCTTGCGTCAGGCCGTTGTCATTACCGGAACGGCCATCAGGTAGGTATCCTTGGTGTCGCCAGATATCGATCAAAGCTCGGATCTGGCTCTCGTATGCTTCCGGTTGGATGAGATGCGAGAGACTGACCGTATTGCGGAAAGTATCCCCTAGATGCTCGTTAGCACTGTCTCTAGCTCATTCAGGGGTGAAGATCTTACAGATGCAGTAAAAGTCATCCCAACTCGGCTCATCTGATTCCCATAGAGGATTCTCCCCAGTTCGATTCGAAGGCATGAGATGCATAAAGTAAAGCGACGAGTAAAGTAGAACTAGGTTCGTGTGATTGGCCGATTCGCTTGTATCCACACGTATCTTGCTGAAAACATCCGTGTTCCATTCTTCCACTGCGGCGGTCACAGTGTCGTCCATCTCCCAAGAAGGAACTTCCGAGTCTTTGAAAGCGCACGCCTTCTCGATGGATATGAGGGAGATGCCAACCTTGGATTGAACTGCAGAGTCGCCGGCGTTGGTCCAACTGAACAGCGCACCGACGCGGTCGCCGTTAGGTGCTGCTGTTGCACTCTTCCCGCCCAGCGTAGGTTGAGGTGTGGATCCGTTCATGACACGCGACGAATTCAATCCCCTAAAGGCCTGTGCCTGATCCGGCGCCGTCTCGAATTCTCCGCAGAAGTACACCGTGTACGGTGCGCCAAGATTAAACCCACCGGCGTACGTGCCATATCCCGTGTACGACTTGCCGTCATCCGTGATGTTGATGGACCCGTCCAGGTAGTACTGTGTGCAGAAACCGCCTGAAGGGTCCGGTAGAAAATGCGACACATCAACGAGCACATGCTTCTCTTCACCCGGAAACTCGTACCGCATTATCCCTGCGTGCCTCGCTCCCGCCAATTCAATCTTCACCCCATCCTCCAAATCCGTCTTGAAGTACCCCACCGTCGCTGTGTCATTTCCTACTCTCTTCTGCCAGTATGTCGCGTTATCCAAAATGTTGACAGGCGCTTCGACGGCCGCAAGCGGCATCTGCGAGATAACGCCATACTTCGGGCATCCTCCGGTTCCTGACTCATGCATCATAGAGACGCCAGTCACGTATCCTTGGGGCGTGTATCCGCCATTGATGGTCGCGAGAGTGAGATTCGGTTCATACGTGTCGATGCCGAGCTTGACGACGCCAAAGGGTACCGCGCCCCCGACGAAGATATCGCCGCCGCCGTATGCCCAGCCCGGAAGAGGTCCTTCGGAGCCAATGAAAGGATTGACATACTGCGAGTAGTCGACCTGTGCGGCTGCTAGTCGCGCAATTGTGAGCAGGAGAGGGGATTTCGTCCAGGCCATGATGGGAGTCCTTTGGGGTCAAGGAAAGAGGCTCGCGCATTGCGGAAATAAACCGAATGGTTATAGTTATCCTGGCTGTGCGCTTCCAAGGCTTTGACCGTCATGTAATCTTGCATGTTGTGGGTCACAATCCTGCGAGGTACAAGGGAGATGTCATCAACTTCCCCGCAGTGCAACCTTCTCCGCGATCTGCAGGCACCGTTGGATCCATTAGGCAGGTGCTAGCGCAAATTAAATGACCTGACAGTGAGTTGGGACTCGCTCTCCAATCCTCTGGGATGGTCCCGCTGTAGAAGTGTGATGGGGGATGTAGAGTTGCGATGAAGAGGGGTTGGGGACGCGAATAAACGGGCGGAGTACTTTCCTAATTTGGTATTATATCCTTTGGCACAGCTTAAGAAAAGACTGAGCGAGGTTACCACTGCCAAACAAGTAGAAAGATGGTGCTCGAGGCAAATACAGTGACTTGGAACGCAGGAAGCCGTATCATTCTAGATCGCTAGCTTCGACGTTCTAGCTGAATCGCGTTCGTATCGTGCATTACTCCTAAGATCGTATAACGCCCATCCTGTTCTTCCTACCCTCGAGCTGCAACTGAAAACTATGCGGAATTTCACTGCGTTCACCCACGATCTAGTTCCTTTCGTTCGCATCCTCAAACTTCCACCCTCTTAAACAGCAGCTTCTTCCTCGGGTCCGGCGACGTCGACCTTCCCATCAATATATTCGGATACCTCTCCATGCTCCCATCCTCATTCTTGACATCGTAATCAAGCAGTATCCTCGCCAGCAGCATCTTGATCTCATTCGCGGCAAAGAATCGTCCAGGACAAGCATGTCGTCCATAGCCAAACATCAGATTCTGTTCGTTGGTGGTAACGAACTGGTTGCGCGCATGATCGGTTGCCGTACCGCCTTGCCGGAGTTTGTAGTGGCGGAAGCCGTCAAAGGTGTCACCGTTGGGGTAATTCATGTCATCCTGGTAAATGGCGTGCGAGGGAACCTCGATTACGACGCCCTTAGGGATGTATTGGCCGTTTGAGAGGGTGAAGCCTTTTAGAACTTTGCGTGTGAACGAGGTTAAGCCTGCTGGGTAGAAGCGAACGCATTCCTTCATATAGCTGTCGAGCTTGACCATGTATTGGAGCGCGCGGGTTGTGATAGTGCCGCCGTTTTCGGCCATTACGGTCCGGATTTCTTCCCGGAGCGGTTCGATGGCTTCAGGGTCTACGGCCATGGTGTAAAGGCTGCAGCGGAGTTAGCGAGAGGCTTGTGCTACAATTTTAGTTGCATACATGTTGGTGGCTGTCAGAGTCGTGGTATGAATAGCGGCGAAAATAATGCCCAGCTGTAGCTTCGCCAATTTCTCGGTAGACTCGACACCGAAATCCTCACTTCTGTTCATGAACCATGAAAGCAGGTCATCGGGCTTCTGGTAGCTCGGATCGTTCTTTTCGGCGTCCCGCCTAGCCTGGACAACGGGCCGCAAGAACGCTTCCGCTGATTTCTGCCTCTGGAGTAGCCGCTTGATCTCAGGAAGCCTAGGAGCTAGATACGGACGGTACAAGGGACGAATCTTCTTGATCGCCCGCTGCGCATTGATCAAGTCCATGGTGTAATTAACGGCCGCATCAAGATAGCCATCATCGCGGCATAATTCTGGTCCAACAAACACTCGACCGGAGATTTTAGCCACCATGTTGACCAGCCTGGAATAGATGGGCACGGGCGTCCAGTCTTTGCATTCAGGGATTTCTTCCTTGAGAGCTTGTTCAACCTCTGTGTAGACAACCGAATTCAGGCGTGCTGCATTCCGTTAGTGCAGTTTCTCGTGTGGGTTCTCGTGCGACAGGGAGAAAGAGCACTACCAAGGGCCGGCGTGAGATCTGCTTTGATGGAGTGAGCTACTATAGGCTCGTCCGTCAGAATGTTGGTGTACTTGACTTCCATGGTCTGTCATTCGTCAGTCAGGTCATCCCTGCGGGAAGGGTGCCTTGGCTTACTTTCTCGATAGCTTTCGGGAAGCTGAGAACCGAGTCAGGCAACCTCCTCACTTCCGGCAGAAATCGGGGCGGGATGACAATGTTGTCCTCGCCTGAGACGTGCGGTGTCAGTATTGGGCGCTGTCGTACTCGGTAGGTAGTTGCATACCGTCAACTGATGCCATGCGGTACACTGTGTCTTTGAACTACCGGCTTGTGAGGGCTATAGATACCAAGGGGCCGGCTGAGACTAACCTTCTCATACCCCTCCCTGTACATCTTTGCTGCTGACTTCAGGTACGCTTGCCGCTGCTTCTCGCTTGCGGGACTCCCATAGGCAGGCAGTTTGGCGAGCTGAGTGCGGTAGTTGATCTTCGGGAGGAGCACACATGCCGCGAAGATGATGGTAGCAAAAGCCACCGTCTGCAGGGTATGTGCGAACCCTGATGAGGTCAGGACGTCCATGCCGAAGGGCCGTCAAATGCGGATGTGAGATTTGAGATGCGGAGGTAAATGGACAGGACGTACCCTTATATTAGCCGCCACGAGTCGCCAAGCGATGTGTCCGGCCGTCAAGGATACGGTCTAGTGGTGGGGACACGGAGTCCAGGGCCTTATAAGCGAAGACGCGCCATTTCATGCCACCTTACAGCATGCAGGAAAGCTCCCCGCCGATCATCCAGCCATTGCCGCAGACAAGCATTCCGCATTTCCCCAGGCCAATGGCAGAGCTTCATATTCTAACCGAGTCGACGCCGCGTGCAAGAACGTTTTTGAGCAACGTCGCGTCGAAGCGTGGCGGAGGGTATCGCTGCATCGGACGGCGGCTCGTGGACGTTCCGACCGCTGATCGGCCCGGTAAACAAGGCCGTCGTCAGGCTTGATAGGGCTTGTTTGCGAATCCGAACGCGAGCATGCACGAGTTGTACGATCCTTGACGTTGATCAACGGTCTGTCGCAAGTGGATGGGCTCAGTTCGGTGCGTCGCACGATAGACCCTCCTTTGACGACATCAACGTCTACGCATTTGGACATATGTTCATGGCTGGAGATGAAAGCCCAAGGAAAGAACGAAGAACATTGGTGCTAGAAAGGAACAGCACTAGTCCAAGCCGAACTAATCAGCGGCGAGCGGAGCCGCCATCGAGAAGTGCATCGAGATACAACGGGTGCAAAAGGCGTGCCGGCAATCACAAAGTGCTGCATGGATAGAATCGCAGAGTTAATAGTCGCACCGCACGACCGGGTGTCACCCGCACAGAGCATCCCTTGCCACAGCGAATACAGAACCGCCTCTCGTATGACTGGAAAGTCAAAGGATTCCATATTAGTGTGCACAGAGGATCCCCTCCACGTCAAGGTTGACACCCTCGACGCGATAGTACCATATTATTCCTACATCAGGAAGCTTCATGCCCACGAACGTTACGGTCCTCAGTCGGTACGACATGACCGCGCCCCATCAGCCGTCAAGGTCGGCAACACCACTAGTGCGACTTCGGTGCTAGGTTACCAGTCGTAGTCAGACTCAGTATCATCAACGTCGGGGTCATCGCTCTCTTCCGAATCTACAGAGAAGTCAGAAAAGCCTCCAGCATCTTCACTGCCGTCAAAATCTTCTTTCCCACTCGATTCTAGCCTAGCCTTGACTGCTGTTGGGATATCTCCAGGATAATTTCCGAATCGCTTCTCGAGTTGCGACGCTATCGCTAACCCTTCTTCGCCCATGTCGGCCAAGCGGTGAACGACATCACGGAATTCATCTAGCAAGTATTAGAACGCACGAATACAGTATGATGAGAGGAAACGGAGATAACCTTACATCGATCGTCCACCAAAGCATAAGCAGTATATGCATATGCTACGCCAGCCTGTTTACATCGCTTTGCGAGATCGGATAAGCGAATCGGAAATTTGCCCGCTGGAATGTCGTGATCGTACTTGATGTGCAAAGCATCGATTGAACTTGTAGAAGAGCTAGGATCGGTCGGCAGCAGCGTCCACAGCTGTCGGTCGTAGTCAACATCCCAAGTCAATGATGATCTATCCATAAGCAGAGTGAGCTCTGCTAGGTTAGGCGGCAGAAGATCTCGCAGGGTCGAAATATAGCCTCTCCATTCTAGGTCTTGCGTGCGGTCAGCATCGTGTACTTGATATCGCCCCCTGGGTTTTCCCATGAGCACGACAAAATTGATCTTGAGCCTAGTCAGGGATTGCATCCCCTTGATAATGGCGCAAGGTAGATATGCAGGCAATCCACGGTCCCAGAAAGCGACATCACCTTCGTCACTGTCGATACATAGCTGCTCCAAGGTGTCGCGGTGCATTCCCAGAGCACGAAGCGTATCTGCGTACCATTGCACCGGCGCCACAGGAATCATGGAGGCCATGTATTCGAAACTCTTGACCGCTTTGCAGGATTCCAGCAGGCTGACCAGCACGTCAGATGGGATTGTGGAACTGAGTATGTAAACTTTCTGCAGTCCAGAGGTGCCGGGGGACACTGGCCATTGTAACCGCTTCTCACGCGCAATCAAGGCGTCGTTGTAAGCGAAGTCTTGAAGCGCTAATGAAGTCAGCGATGGTAGTCGTAGTATGTGAGCTACTTGACCTAGGCATAAGCCACTCATCCGAATGTCAAGACGTCGCAGTTTTTTGTAATCGTACGCCTGGGTTGGCTCAACAGGCAACTTTTTGCAGAACTCGACAATAGGATCCAACACTATCGGCAACTCTTGATAAGAGGCGTGACCCAACCACCGTCGGACTATTACAAGGCTCTGCAATTTCCGTGAGCGGAGAACCAGGAGTGCAACATCCACTTCCTCTGGCTCAAATGCGAGTTCCGCAAGCCACTTTTGCTCATACGGTAAGGCGGCCGTACGTATCTCCGCCGCCATGGCTTCCGTGGTCCTGCTGAGGGTGCAACCATCAAAATAATCGTCATCTCGGAGATCGGTCGTTTGAATGTCCTTTATGCGCATTACCAGGTGCGGCTGAGAAGCTATTGTTCTCAGGAAGGAGATGAGTGGTGCTTCCAATGACGCATGGTATGTAGAGTATAAGAACCTCATAGCGAACGGGTAGAGGTATCGGCACGACAAGGCCAGGGCCGCGAAGGTAGTTGCTGGGACGATCCGCATAGTTCCTCTGCTCCCTAACTCCCATAATCGAATAAGTTGTTCGAATATCTCCAAGATGAGCTCGTCCGGTAGCGGTGCCAGAGGGTTCACGATGACATCCGGAATCTGACGAGTCGCACGCTGCTGTCCTTGCGCAATTCGTCCTTCGATGCCTTTCTTCGTCCGTTTTGCGATACGTGCAGGCCATCCAGGTTGAGGTTTCTGGGGTTTCTAGAGCATTCAGCGTTAGTCTGCACATAGCGAGAGCTGCGGGCCCGTGACCTACCGTCATGGCGGTGCGAGAAGCGCACCCCTGAGCAGGATTGCCTGGGACTCTGAGGGCGAAAACGTGATAACTTTCGAGAGATACGATGGGCGCAAATATTTGCAGCTTGCCCAAGGGAGTTGTTGGGTTGCCCAGGTGGGGCTGTGGGACTAGTCTCTTTAGGCATTAGGGCATTAGGGTGACGCGCTATCACGTGCAGCACAGAAGACGGGGAAAAACCGACCTCAATTTGGCAAGATTTAACTTGCGTAAGGAGTAGTAGTACTTATGTACTCCGAAATAAGCCATATGATGTAACGCGAATTGCTTTCATGCTTTCACGCAATCACTGAAAGGGCTAGCCATGGGGTAGCCCAGGGTCCGCCATTTCAAATACTCATTCTTATGAGATCTAACGAGAGGACAAACGGCGATTAAGAGTCTTTGTTGAATCAGAACTCGGATAGCCGTGAAGAATTAGAGGATAGAAAGTTACAAAGTACGAAGCGCGCAAAGCCATCCTAATCCGCATGATGCAAAACCGCTGTCTCCCCGAGCATTCCCATCTGCTCGCCCTCATTGTCGTTCCTTTTACTCCGCTTGAAAGAGCATTCTCTTGCCCGCACTACTATTCAGCCATAAATCATCGAGTCCCAAGATCTCCATGACCCTCTCTTGTAAGGTGGTGCAGTGAACATCCACGATGACGTCAAAATGGCCAGCTACCTCAACTCCCTTGGGTCCTCAAGAGGCAATGTCTTGGGCCAATTTCTCAACTTGTTCCTGATCTACGGATAGGTTAGCATCAAAGATGCGTTGTCCGCGAATGAAAGAAAAGCGCTTACCCTATTCATCCTCCAGATCCAGATCATACATCTCGTCCAAGAAGGCGTAGGAGAAGTCCATGCCATGGTTGCGAAAATGCGTTCTTGAGATCCCACAAGTCCAAAGAGGGCAGCTGGCTATAAGACCCCATAAGATACCTCAGCTCCACCTTGGGGCTAGAGTAAAATTGGTTCGAGGAGGTGGGAAGGAGAGCACGAAACATGTCGTTGTAGTCCGTCTCGGGCAAGGTTCCACGGAAATATCAAGGTGGAGGGATTCCAGATTGGGAGGGAGTACATGCCAGATGGCAGGATATCCTTCCCAACCCGGATCTGACACCCAACGTCCATTTCCATCTCGATGGCCCGCAGGCTTCCCCATTAGCAATGGGAAAGTGACATGCAAATGTCGTAGATAGTGCAACCGCTCGAAGCCGTCTAGGCGTGAGCACTTCACCTCGTCATCATATATTTGCATTCCATGGAGGGCCAGCCTTTCTAGGGCGTCGCAATGCCCTTGCAGCGCAGATAGGACATCGAGGGACCATTGCCTACTCTCGCGCATGTGGAATTCGAATCCGAAAGCAAAGAGGGCCTTACAAGACGTGATCATGCGCACCACAATCTCCGGCTCAAGGCCAGAATATTTTGAAATCTAGCATTTCGACACTCGAAGTCCTAGGGCTTTACGGGCCAGTTAGTGAGTGGTTCATCTCGCCGCATCACACGCTTGGGGGAAAGCCGGCGGAGAGAAGGCAGACGGAACAAATGAGCCAGATCCATGCTGAACGAAAGAGAAAAGAAGTCCAGGTCGAGTGTATGTAGCCGGCCATAGGAGTTGTCGCGGCCGGGCTTGAGAGGGAGCCCTCGAGCGGCTTGCAGGAGAAGGCCGATGTATAATGGTATTTCCCATTGTCCGACAGTGTTCCTGTGTCCGGAGTTCCAATCCCGCATCCCAAAGTATTCTAGGTTAGGTGATTGCGAGACCAGCACTGCAAGTTCCACTTCGCCGGGGTTCACCCTGATCTTCTCAACCCATTCATGAACAGTCGGTAGGGCGAGTTGACTGATGTGTGACTTAATCTCTCTCCTGAGCCGTCCCTCGTATCGAGTAGGGTGATCCCGACATGGGATAGTCGAGATGTGTGTGATGCCCTTTCCCAACTCCGGCTTGAGGCATAGTCGACGCAAAAAGCCAACTATGGGCTTTTCCAAAATCTGCAGCGTATCTGGCATACAAGAAACTTTCCGCAATGGGTCTCAAATAACGACAGGTAAGAGCCAGCGAGGCGAAGGTGCGGTAAAATGACGTGTCGTTCGAATCGTCGTTCGGGAGGAGGTGTTCGAATGTCTCGTAGATGAGTTCCGGTGGCAATGGGAATGCAGCTGTCTTCGAGGCAGAGTCGGCACTTTTCGTTGGACGTCGCTTGCGAGGGACCGGCATATTGATCGTGGCGAGCAAAAATCAATATCAACGTGCAGCAGCATTGCAAGAGGAGACTTGAAGAAGCCCCCAAGACGCTGCTTAGAGTAGAACTTTGGTTTGTTGAGCTCATGAGAGGCGCGGTCACTAGCGCCTACGAGAAGCATTTGGCGCATCCAGCCGCACTGCCTTGGAAGTCGCGCCCGGACCATTACGCTTGTGGATGACGAACTTTGTGTCTTCGATATTACTGGTTCTAGCCGTCTATTCAAAGCATCCTCGGCCCGTGCAGACAGAGTAAGAAATACTCACTATGTCTTCAACATGCTTGCCGCCACTAAAATCGCATCCGCAGTCTTTCCCACCCAGTCCTGCGCCGCCCCAAAATCATCCCTGAAAGTTATGCTTTCCGTGATTCCCGGATAAGTCACCGGTGCATACCCCGTATCCAGACCCGGCGCGAATATCAAGTTCTGGAAAAACTCGCGTCCAGGCAGTCCACCCTGGCTAGTGAAGCCGCGCGAGAAGTCACGCGCTTTGTGGTTGACTACCGTAAGGAGTTCCGTATCGTTAGTCGAGATGGCAAACTCGCGGAGGGCGTTAAATTGCTGGGCCGAATCCGTAAAGGTGGCAATTGCAGAGTTGAGGGTTGAGAGGTCGAGAGTGCCGTTGGAGGAAGTGATGGTCTCGTTGAGGTCCGAGAGGTAGGTCTTCAGCTCCGGGACGTAGTCGGCCGGCTCAAGTGGCAGGACGGAGTCAGAGGCTAGATGATAGGCTAGCAACGTCAGGTATTGTCCCATAGCCTTATGCGTGAGAAATCCTGGGTCGCCGAACGTAGACATCCAATGGTAGCTATCGTAGTTGCTGTGGTAGTGGTAGACCGGATCGTTCGGGCCATTCCCAGCGCCCATATCAATGGACGCAATTCCGCGGTGTAGGAAGGATGTGTAGTCACTTCCGCTGCCGAGGACACCAATCTCGCCATCTACCTCCATCCACACATCATACATGGTACGGCTCGTGTTGCCGTGGAAGGGGTAGATAACCTTCTTCATCACGTCGGTGGAGATCTTGTGGAGGTCCGGGGTCGCTGCAATACCTATAACCTTGTTAGTACTATTCTAAAAGGTATCTCGATTTCTGCTAACCTGGGAGCGGACCCGAAACGGCAACATCGATATTGAGGTAAGAAACAGCGGCGGTCTTGAGCCACGGTATGTACTCTTCCACCCACTCCGTGCTGTTGAGAGTTAGTAAGGAGCGTTTGACTGCTCATGACGCGGATTTATCTCACCTTCCAACTAGGCCATATTCTTCCGCGTCCCAACTACAGAGCACAATTGTCCTAGTCGGTTTCCACCCGGTTTCCATGAGCTTTCCGAAAGCCTTTGCCAGTTCGATCAAAACCGCTGATCCAGAATTCGGGTCAGCAGCGCCTCCGACTATCCAAGCGTCTCGATGATTGCCGATGACGATGACCTCGTCTTGGTTAGTGCCATTAATGATGCCTATTGCGTCCCAGATCGGCGTGTATTTGTCTTCCATGATGTTGCTCATCGAAAGGCTGGCCCCGGCACCTTGCCCGGTGCTATAGTTGACGCCTGGGATCGCCCCGACCCAGCCCGTCCGGTTCACCTCTGCGCCGGCAGTACCATACCCATTAAGCGCTTCCAGAATCGGTTGCGCATCAATCCATGAGATCGGGAGCGAGGGAATATGTGGTACGCTATTGCCCTTGTCCGCTCTCGGGGAGTCTTGCTTAGACGTGTAACCGGGTGTAGTCGGATCGCCGGGATAGATGCTGAGGAATTGAACGCTGCCTCTCTGCACCGTAGTAGGATTCCGGGCGGGTCCGTTGGGGTACGCAGTCACGCCTTTCGCTTCGGTCATGTTGCCGTCGTCGCTGGGATCAGTGAAGATGACGCAGCCTACCATACCATTCTCTTGGGCGTTCTTAACCTTCAAGCCCCGGAATGGACCGCCGTACTTTGCCACGGCAATCTTGCCCTCAAGCTCGACTCCGAGGGCTTTGAGACGGTTGAAGTCGACCTGTTGACCTCTCCCAACGTAGACGTATTCGGCGGATGCGTTACCGGTAAACGAGTAGCCATGGAAGGTGGGAATGCGGTTTGGGTAGCTCGTCGTTTCATCAACTGCTAGCACCTCTTCCTGGAGAGATGGCGTGAACATGCTGCCGTTCGGATAGGTAAGTAGGAGGGAGTGCGAGACCGGGTAATTGAGGTAGACATCTAGATTCTGTCAAAGATTGAGGGGTGGTATTTCCCATCACAACTCACAGTATTCGTCTAATCTCGACGTGAATCCGTACTCGGCCCAGCGATCGGCTGTCCACTGTGCCATAGTTCGGTTCGTGCCAGCCACATGAGCACCATGTGCTGTGAGCGTAAGCAATGTTCGCGATGCAGGGTTCCAAGCTTACTGTAGTAATACGACCATGTTGAGATGGAAGCATTATCAAACGAATTGACCAACACCTGCTCATTCGTATCTAACACTGGAGGGAAGGTAACATTGCTACTCTGCCTCTTGACGCGGCGGTGTTCGTGTTTGACTGTTCGCTCCCGCTGGCAAGCTTGGGTGCCAACGGCGGCAATTAAGACTAGGATTGACCTCATGATGCCAATTGATGATACAAAACGAAGATGCAATGCGACTGGTGTAGGGGTACACGAGCCTTAAGTAGCGCAGGCAAAAGGCGGCGCGGGTACTTTCGCGGCGATAACGTCAACTCGATGGATCTGTCGAACAGCCGTGCGAACAGGCATGGAACGTAATTGCTGTCCATGATCGGTTCCGAAGGATGCAGGTCGAGCAGCTAGGCAGGAAGTGCTCATCCCTGCCAGCCAGCTTCATCCTTCATTTGGAAGGTCGCAAAGATATTCGCGCGGGGCACAGCTCTTAATATCGCTTGGCAATCCGCCATGACGGTGATATGCAGTGGGGTAGGCGTGAGGATGGCAGGAGGAAGTACTCCGGGCCACAGACAGCATCCGTCTATTCCGCGATGTACGATAACGCACGATGGATGAGTCGTTCCGCTCGCATTCTCGTGTCCCACATGGTACCTCGCGGGGCACAGGTGTCGGGATCGGAATCGGGATGAAAGGCCTGCCGTTGTGCCATTGCCGGATGGCGTAGCAAGTTGCGCAGCGATGTCGAAGGGTTGCCTACGAAGTTGCATGCCGGCGCTGAGAGCATGGAGGTGGTAGAGGGCGTCCAGGTAGGGAATGATGCGGCGCGGGAGCTACGTCAGCGGTGGCTTTTCCCGATTCAGGCTAGCACGCTTTGTCACGGTGTTGTGCGTCGCGGATAAACATGTCGTGCACGTCAAACACGACGCATCAAAGGTAGGTCTCAGAAAAGGCGTGCTAACTGCTAACATTCACAGCAACAGCAACAGCAGCCGCAGCTATATCACAGTGCCCGCGCATCGCCGCTTCCCGAAGTACTGTCCCTCGCACCTCCCTCTTCATGTCCGCCCGCAGCCTCCCTGCTCCACACCGTCACCATGTCAATGCTGTCGAGCCCGCCGCGTTTCCTCCCCCCCATATCGCCGCATCGCGCTCCATCGCCCACCATGTCGCCCGGCGGCCGCAGAGGAAGGACGCTGGGCAGCACTGAGGAAGGCCATCTACGTGACCTCTCGCCCAATACCACCCTGCGCGCGTTCACGCAGAAGCCCATGCCATATGACACCAGCCGCGACGAATACAAGATATTTGCCTGCATTGAGGCGCTGACGCCTGCGGAGCGCGACCTGGGTGCGCGAGTGGCCAAGGCAGCGCAGCGGCTGAAGAGCTGGTGCGACGAGGTCGCACAGTGGGGTTGGTCGGGCAGCTTCGAGCAGCCAAGCGAGGAGTACAAGGAGCGGCGGCGGAAGAGTATTGAACTGCGCATCAGAGAGCACGTCAAAGATGCCGAGCTTGCCGAGAGCCTTCCCCCGCTCGAATACTGGGGCTCGCTGCTGTCGGTGGAGGTCGAGGCCCACGAAGCGAGGCTCGATGAGATCAGCGACGAGCTGCTGGCGCTGGATGTTGAAGAGCTGAAGGAGCATGTCATGGACATGCATCCATCCAGCAGATCTCGGCCGTCATCGGCGGGGTACGAAGCGAGCCGCGAGAACTACAAGCCCCTAGACGACTTCAGCTTCCTCATTACCCAGACGCTGCTCTTTGCGCTGCCGCATCACTTCCAGCTCAAGGAGCGACTGAGCACATGGACCGCGCGCGTTACCGTCCTCCGCGAAGCCCCGCAGTACCTCGACGACCTCAAAACCGCCAAAAAGGCGATGCGTCTGGGCTGGGAAGCACTTGATCCGCCAGAAGACGCTTCCGATGCAGCTTTCGACAAGTGGAAGGAGGCTGTTGATACGATATCAGGTGTCTTGCAGGGTAGAGTCAGTGATTTAGGTCGGCGGCTGGACAGAATGTTGGATACGCTGGAAGCACGCGAGGACTGTCTGCCAGACGGCTGGATCGACGTTTTCGAGAGCGTGGAGGCTGACTTTGGGCGTTGGGCGCACGACTCGCGAAAGAGAGTGATCGAGTTCGATGTGCGGAGAAGGGCGGAACACAATGGAGTTGAGAAGGCATCCGGACGACATTCAGCTGAGAGGCTAGACGCATTTTCCGACCCCGTTGTCGCACCAACGCCAGAAGACAACAAACAACTATCAGCGGCAGCTAAAAAACCCGAGGCCGCAACCATTCCAGATAGCGTGGAAGGTGAACCACGGTCGGTAACTGCGCTAGAGGCGGATATTCCCGAAGCTATCAACCAACTTGTAGAGCCACTGGCCGTGGAAAGTGCACCGCAAGAAGGAGACCCCGAACCACAGAGTCCTGAGGGGGAATCTGTCTTCGAGGAAGGCGACACTGTGGTGCACAATGAGATCGAGGAGAGCCCCTCTGATGGTGGTGATGTGCGACCTCATCCCATAAGTTTCGCGCATGCTCCGGTGGTCATTAGCAAGGAAGACGGCAGTGATCCGACGGTAGACCGACCCCAGACTCCCAGGTCACGACGTGGTAGCGTCGATTCCATTTCTTCAGATATCTCACTCTTATCAAGCCCACCCAGCGTTACTGAAGAATCTCCGTCCGTTCGCAACGCCACGAATCGCGCGGCTAGAGCACCGCGACCCGCGCTCAATGCTGCAATGAGCAAGCGCCGCCCTGTGAAAAGTTCGAATCACCTATCCATCGAGAGTGCGCCATGGCCGCCGACCCAGTTCTCTCAGAAGTCCCCTGCAGGCGGCGATACTCTTGACCGGAAAATCTCCGATATTCTCACCACTATTCCTGCCCACATCCGCCTCACCTCGGGCGCGGGAGCCGATGCGCGCGAAGCCAAGTCATCACGCGGTGTAACAAGCAAAAGCAGTAAGGGTTACCTTCGTGCCAAACGCTCCTTCAGCGGCTTGAAGTCCCCTGAGCTTACCTTGTCACCCGTGAAGCAAGACTTTGACTCGGCTAACGCTGCTTCAGGGCGAAAGTCTGCGGCAGCAATGAGAGGCGACAATGATATTAAGGTCTATCATCTGACACAGCCCGGGAAAGAGCATCCGATCAAGCTGTACATACGTCGCGTGGGCGAGAACGGTGAGCGCGTCATGGTTCGAGTCGGTGGCGGCTGGGCCGACCTAGGCGAGTATCTGAGATCCTACGCCGAGCATCACGGTCGACGAACAGCCAGCGATGGCAAGTTCGAAATTCTCGGTTTGGAGGTTAAGAACACGGAGCTCTCACCCAGCAGACCGGAGAGCGCTATGAGCAGGCACGACAGACGCTTCAGCGGCGGACACCAGAGCGGTAGTCCAAACACGACACCCGTGAAATCTGCCGGAGCAGGTATCGCCAAGGACGAGGCACCTCCACCTATGCCAAACTTTACTCCTACTCCAGCTGGCAGCAACGAGACGTCGGCACCTTCCACAGGATCCTCTCGACACTCCTGGCAGGGCAACGAAGTCGGCCTCGCTGGCCCCAACAAAAAGAAACTAGACCTCAGCAATGAGAAACTGGAGTGGATCGAGGGCATGATGAAGCAAGCACGAAGCGTCAGTGGAAACATCTCTCATACACCGCATCAGCGCGACGAGAGAGCCGAGAGTAGGAGTGAGAGCAGAACAGGCACGCGAAAGTCGCAGCCCGATTTTGGAGACTTGGGCAAAGTGGGAGGCACGAAGAGGATTTTCATGCGTGGCGGTACAATGAGTGAGCATTGAGTGAGCATCTGATACCCTGGACGAACGAATGTCTTTACTTTTGTTGAAGGTGGATATACGGATATGTATAGACTGGAAGGGCATACATGGATATTGGCATCTGTTACGGGAGTTTCATATCATACCCGGCATATCATGGGTTTTCGTACGGATGTGGCTCGGGATTACGGTCTTGCATTGCCCTCAGACTGCGGCAGATTATACCTGGTGTTCATTTCTTCTTGTATGTACTTCCTGTTTTTTTAGCTCATATCAGGCATCTGAGCTCGGAGATGTGGCGACGCACAGCGACGTATTTGAACTCTATCTTTCCAAACTCCTGTACACCAGTCGTCGGCTCGCTTTCCTGGCGGACGTGGAAGGCTGCGCTGAAGTAAAAAGTGGTTTCCGTCGGAATCAGGTCGGAAAACTCTCACGCGTCTAGACAGCATCTAGCTTAGTTTAGCCAACCCTGATTGGTCCGATACCGCTTGTTCCGAATACGGAACGGCATTTAACCTTGCAACTCTCGGAGTCAATCCCATCTCTTGCGAAACACAAACTACTAGCATCCATCTCTTCATCCCTCCCAAGTCTCTCGAAACATCCCTCATACCGCTCTCTAGGTCCTGCCCCTAACCATCACCAATCGCTTCTCTGCCCTCCAACGAGCTATGACCGACCACGACCATGACCCCATAGCCTCCGCCAAAGCCCAAGAAGCAACCCACAACTTCGCCATCCGCCACGCCACCCTCGCCGACATCCCCGCGCTGCAGAGCATGATCGAAGCATCGCTGCGCGCCCTGGGGTCGACGCACTACACGCAAGCCGAGCTCGACGGCTCGATAGGGTATCTGTTCGGCCCGGATACATTGCTGCTTCATGTACGTGCGTAGCAATTTCCTTCCCCCTGCCTTCTGATGCATTCAATGAATGAATAGAGAAGATAAGGAGTCAAACTTAAAAGCGTTGTTGATATTAATGGTTAATGATTAATGTTGGTTTATCACGACAGGACCGCACATACTTCATCATCCACCCCACCTCCTCGCCAGACGTAATCTGCGCATGCGGCGGCTGGTCCTTCAGACGGACGCTGTACGGCGCGGACACAGCGCCGGGGCGCATGCCCGAAGCACGGGATCCGCAGTGCGAGCGTGCGAGCATACGCGCTATTTTCACGCATCCGGAGTGGGCGCGCAAGGGGCTGGGGACGATGATGATGCGGCATTGCGAGGAGCGGGCGCGGGAGGGCGGGTTTGGGAGGCTGGAGATGGGGGCGACGTTGAGTGGGGTCGCGCTGTATGAGCGGTGTGGGTATGAGAGGAGTGGGAAGGAGGATTGTGTGAGGTGTCCGAATGGGGAGGGCATTCGGGTTGTGCATATGGTTAAGGATCTAGAAACTAATGGGATGGAAGAGAAGGGGATTAATGGAGCTTGAGCAAACTAATAGCAATTTAGACCTGTGACTTTTCCGAGCGCTTCGATGATATCCTCCCTACATGAATTGAACTTGGACACTTCAAGCCTCAGCCCCTTCTTCACTCATGAACAGGGCCAGTGTCTTCAGAGTACCCTCCTCAACACCATTCTCGTCGTTCCACTCGCTAGGGTCCGTCGTCTTGTTCGGTACCGCATAGTACTTCAATTCCTCCCCGCCGATCGTATCGCCGTTCAACCTAGCAGCAAGTCTCTCGCCGATCTTCTGGCCCTCAAAATACGCGCCCTGGAGGAAGCCAAACCAGTTGATGCTCGTATGCTCGCCAGCAAACCAAAGGCGACCAACATTAGCGCGCAGGTTCTCCCGCATTTCAAGCGTCATGCCGGGTGGGACATTGGAGTATGAGCCATAAGCCCAGTCAGTGGTGCTCCAACGGGGATAGTAAAAGTCCAGCGGCTTCGGTATGTTCTTTTCTGGGAACATTTCCCGTAAAACTTGCATGAGCTGCTCTTTCGTCTCCTCATCGGCCTGCCGTTCGACCCGGAGTGCCTGATCACCAACGACAGTTGCGAAGAGAATGCCACTGCCGGGATAGAAGTCCTTGTGATCAAGGTTTTGAAACACCGGATAGTAGCCTTTCTTCTCCGAAGCATGAACGTGGAACTGGACAGACTTGTCCCAGAAAACATCGTCGGGTGGGAATTGCATGAAGATCTTGGTGTAGGTGCCCATCTGCATCTTGTTGATCGCTCTTTTCTTCCAAGTCGGGAGTTTCGGGTAGAATTGGACAGCGTCGGGCTGTTTAAGGACGCCGAGACTAAAGGTCATTATGGCGTATTCGGCCTCGATACAGCCTCCAGCGCCAGATCTGTCGGTCCACACGATAATTTTTGAATTGTCGGTGTTATCGATATGGGAGACCCTGTGTTTGAGAAGCAGCCGGCTGTCATCTAGGTCCTCACCCAAGATCTCCTTTGCCTCTTCGTGAATAATGGTTTCGTAGCCCCTTGGATCATTCACAAGGAGATTGTCTTCCGAGAAATAGGCATGCGTTGACATCTAGATGCGGTTAGCATTATGGCCCGGTCGACTAATAGAAAGTGCCTCAACATACTGATGCAACAGTACTGAAGAGTTGGGATGAAACATCCTACTAGACGTCAATGGTAGTCCCAGCGCACTCTTAGACATGTTGCCTTACAGCTGTTTGCGCCAATTCAAAGTCGACGGCATACCATTCCATAACAAGCTTGAGAGGGTCACCTTGAGGATCCCAATGTTGTTCAAGAAGGCCGTTGCGCAGACTTCGGTCTGGGAGACCGTTCAATAGCATAACGTCAGCGTCTTTTTTCGTCTCGCTAAAGGCTAACTCAAATTCAGAGGTTAGATTCACCACTGTATCTGGATCCACTGCGCCGGAGCTATCAAAGACCAAGGCGTTGGAGTAGTTCGAAAGATGGGATGCGAGGTCGTGTTTCTCAGCCTGGTCGTATGAGCACAGTCGCTAGGAGAGTAGAGGCACGTACCAGCGAGAAGATTGGGTTTTCGGGCCGATTATCATTCTTCGTCCCGTGGACCTTTGTATAATTAGCACGTTAAACTGCCATTCAGGAATCAACTCACCCAATTGGCGCCTAGCTCGACTACATACGGGACTCCTCCTGCTTGCCCCCCTCTATGGCCGAACGGAACGGACCAGACGCGACCGCCGATACGATCGTTGCGCTCGACGATGATGAAGTCCCTGATGCCCCTATCGCTCAGGGTTTTCTGCAGACACAGTTAGCGGTGATCTAGAATGAAAGTAGATATCGGCACTCACCGCAGCCGTGATTCCGGCCATGCCCGCTCCAAGCACAGCGACCTTGGTCTTTCGGCAGCTTCCTACATCATTGTGCACTGGGTGTCCGAGGGGCGTGCAATGGACTGAATAGAGATACAGAAGAATAGCGCCTGAGAAGAAGAGCCGCGTAGAATGCATGGCGGATCTCTAGCGTGCTGGTCGTGAATGGATACAGAGACGGGATATGGCGAACATTCAGGGCAGGGGCAAACAGGTTCTTCTTAACGCACACCAGAACCAATGCGGCGGCTTGCCAATATCGATTGCGGAAGGGACGATAGCGTCCGACCCGTGACCCCCATACTTCCCGTGGCGAATGTTCTTGTCCAGGTGGACGAGAAAATAAGGCAGATCAATGATGTGATGCCCGTAATTGTGCCTGCGCGGTGCTTGATATCTCGGCATGGTGGACGTAGCACTCGTCCTACCGCTTTAGCTGATTGGTGATATGGACGCGTGTCGTAACCTTCATGCCAGGTGTGATAGAAGCGGCCCAATCCATGTGAGGCCCGCCGTGATTGTGACATAGCGCTCATCCGATCACTCATCCGAGCACTCATCCGATCATGGGCGCGCCTGCGCATGATTTTGACCTCAAAAGTCATGTAATCATGCTATTTTGGACTCTTCTTCGTGATAGTCAACGCTGTTGCGGGTGTCATTGGCGGATCCGGGTTGCTGCTTGATCAATATCACTGCCTTCCGGGTGTCTAGGGTCGAGCGGCGTCTTACTGCGAAACTGCATTTTCGGACGAATTACTCTTCCGGTCAGATAATGCAGGTGATAGAGTATGACAGCCCGGGACATCGAGAATTTGTCGACGAATGCAGTTCTGGCGAATGACGGAGAAAATAGCATGGGGGCACGTGCAATATGAGAGGTAGGACGAGAATAATGGCTCATGGTTGCCTGCGGCGCAATCGGAGGCTCTGATAGGGCGTTTCATTTGTTAAGGGGATCTATTCTTCTAGTGAGTTACTCGAATGTCCCTTAGTAAAGAGATACTTGGCCAATCTCTATTCCCTCTCGACTCGCAAGATTGCTTAGTCCGGTGTCCACACTTCATCCTTCCTCTTGGAGGTATGCAAGCGCCTCCCGTGATCGGTTGTACCTGTTGGCAAGTTTCATCGCCAGTTTCGTGGTCGGTTTCGTGGCCAGTTTCGTTAGCGTGCGTTGTTCGGCGGCGGCTCGGTTGGCGGTCCCTCGGGCGTGATGTAGCACCTTGTCATCCCGCCATCAACAACGAAATCTGTGCCATTGACGAAGCTGCTCTCATCGCTTGCTAAGAATAGAACGGCCTGCGCCTGCTCGATGGCTTCTCCGAAGCGGCCCGTGGGAAAGTGGACTTCACGACGGGCGCGCTTTACTGCATCATCCCCGAGCCAGTCTTGCAGAAGAGGAGTACTTGGAAAAGTCAGCAGACCGAAGAGGATACAGGTAGTCTTGGGCGTACTTGAGTGGAGCCGGGCACAGAGCGTTGAAGCGGAACCCTTCTCGAGCGTGGCAAATGGCCAACTCTCTCGTCAAAGCGAGAACCGCACCCTTGCTAGCGGTATACGCAAGCTGTGGAGTGGCGCTCCCGACCAGAGCTACAACACTGGCTGTGTTGATGACGGAAGCCTTCTTCTTCCCGTGCTTCCTGAAGCTTAGGACCGCATACTTGCTCCCAAACCAGACACCCTTGACGTTGATTGCCTGCGTAAGATCCCAGATCTTTTCTGGAGTGTCGATAGCGTCCGCATCATCAGCATGCATGATGCCGGCGTTGTTGAAGATGACATCAAGGCCGCCCCAAGAGTCCACGTGCTCGACCATGGCTTTGACGTCGGCTTCTTTGGACACGTCGATGATTTTTGTCTCAATCCTCTTGGCTTCCGGGACGATTTCCTTCAGTTTGGCGACGGCCTTATCCAGCGCAGGTCCGGAAATGTCAGAGATGAGGATGTTGGCGCCTTCACGGGCGAAAAGTACGGCAGTCTCCAAGCCGATGCCACTGCAGCATGGTCAGCTAGGTAGAGAAGGTCGGCCTCTCGTCGGCAGTAATAATTACCCAGCGCCTCCGGTGATGATGCAGTTCTTCCCTTCCAGACGGCCCATGTTGAATGTAGCTGCGACGAAAGGTTAGGCAGAAGTTGAATTGAGTCCTATATCAGTATCAGTATTTGTAATAGAAGCACAAGGAAGGCTCTGAAAAGATTCTTATAGAAAAGATGAAGTTATGACTAATATTTACTGGAGAAAGCGTCATGTGTACCGATCCCTTGCTGGGCCGACGGCGAATGATGAAGGAACACATCAAGAAAACAAAAGTCCTACCTCCTTTGTCGGGTGATTTAGAGCCCTCTACGATCGTGTCAGGCCGCTGAGAGGTTGATGTTGAAGTGTCGACGCATTGCACTGATACGGGGTGCACGGGTAGTGTCGGTGACATTGGATCTCCCGAAATCGGCCCAGAGAGATACGGTTAGATAAGAGCCACACCGGCGGCGACCTTTCACCGCTGTCATTCGAGAGGAGCTAGGGTCTCTGAAAGCCTCCAATCTGGTATGCCGGTAAGAGTGTGAGTCTCAGCGTCGTCTTCCCTAGGTGGGAACGTGAATGGTGTCTTTGGGGTACGGAGAGTGAGCAGCACCCCGCCAATCGGAAAAGGCGGGGCAGCCTTGTGCTGAGCGTCTGTGGTTGTTCATGGCGGTGACTCGGGGAGGCGACTTGACATCTGAAGACTATCAAGAAGACTTCGAAAACACCAAAGAAGACACTACGAAGCGTGCATCCCGCCCTTATATGGCCCATGCAGCTTGCTTCGAAGTATGATGTAGGGCGGCATGGGGAACCCACGCCAAGCCACTTCGGAACTGGCTTACCCCTCATTGGCCTGAGCTCCGCCGCCAGCCACACGACCAGCTATCAGCGACCAGCGACCCGCCTTGCTCGTAGCTAGATCCTGCCCACTTCCAGCTCGACCAGACCTCGCTGAGTCTTGTGTCTACCGTACATCGCCGTCATATCTTCCATTGATCCTGCAGAACGTCCTCCACGACCGCCACTATGTCCGACGCCGATGACACCTCCAAGATAACAGCCGAGGCGCTTCCGGAGCTCCTCAAGCTCGACCACGCCGTCAAGGTAGCAGGCATTGACGTGGACGGCATCCTGCGCGGCAAGCTCATGGCCAAGAAGAAGTTCCTGTCTATAGCAAAAGAAGGCTTCGGCTTCTGCTCCGTCGTCTTCGGCTGGGACATGCACGACCAAACCTACTTCCGCGAGCTCGCCATCTCCAACAAGGAAAACGGATACAGAGACCTCATCGCCGTGCCCGACCTCTCGTCCTTCCGCCGCATACCCTGGGAGAACAACGTCCCCTTCTTCCTCGTATCCTTCTTCGATCCCGAGACGCATGCGAGTCTGAGCGCGTGCCCGCGCAGCCTCCTCAGGCGGACGGTAGATAAGCTCGCGGAGCGTGGGTACGGAGCCATGGCCGGCGGTAAGTGCACCCGCTACGAGCAAGGCAGATACTGCGTGCTGTGTCGAAGTCTGACGGTAGCCATGTTGCCTTGCAGCGGAGTACGAGTTCTACCAGTTCAGAGCGCCGCAGTCCCACGATGGGCCCGAACGCAATTCCTCCTCGACGGCTTCGTTCCTGCGCGATAACCCAGTCAACGCTCTCCCGTCGCTCACAGAAGGCATGTTTGGGTACAGCATAACGCGACCGGTGCATAACCAGGACTACTACTACGGTATCTTCGATGCATGCCTGAAGTTCAATTGCGGGATTGAGGGGTGGCATACGGAGTCTGGGCCAGGAGTCTTCGAGGCAGTACGCCGCACAACTATCTCCTAGGATGCTAGAAGAAGATGCTGACCATTGCAGGCCCTCGAATTCGGCGAAATCTCCGCCATGGCCGACAACGCCTCCCTCTTCAAGCTCGTTGTCAAGTCCCTCGGCAGCAAACACGGCATAACACCCTGCTTCATGGCGAAGCCGCGCGAAGGCCTGCCGGGCAATTCGGGCCACATGCACGTCTCCATCGTCGACAATGCCGGCAAAAACCTCTTCTACAGGGGCGAAGAGGACCCCTCCTCGCCCTACCCCGATATTCGATATCTGAGCGATCTCGGCCGACACTTCCTCGCAGGCCTGCTGGACGGCTTGCCAGACATAATGCCGATTTTGGCCCCGAACGTGAATAGCTATAAGCGGCTCGTGGAAAATTTCTGGGCCCCAGTAACGGTGAGCTGGGGCCTCGAGCACCGCGCCGCCTCCATCCGCCTCATCTCCCCACCGACCTCCTCACCAAAGGCTACCCGCTTTGAAGTCCGCGTACCGGGCGCGGATACGAACCCACATTTCGTACTCGCCGCCATCCTGGCGCTCGGCTGGCGGGGCGTGGAGAAGAAAATGGAGATTCCTATACCACCGCTAGGCAAGGGCGAGGACGTAGGTGGAGCGAGCGACAAGGGAGTCAGACTGGCCAAGAGCCTGAAGGAGGCGACGCAGCGGTTTATGAGCGAGGGCAGTGTGGCGCGGGAGGTGTTTGGGGATGAGTTTGTGGAGCATTTTGGCGGGACGAGGGAGCATGAGATTAGGTTGTGGGATGAGGCGGTTACGGATTGGGAGGTTAGACGCTATATTGAGGTGGTTTAGTTGGGGCTATGGTTTTGACATTTTGAGCTTTGGCGTAAGGAGCTATTGGTTTCTGATATCCCTTTTCATCTCTGCAACACTCAGCGACGAGAGTCCGACGACGCAATGGACTTTTGATGTAGCCTCGATTATGTATTATGCACTATATATACACGTCAGTCATCCTCGCACCTCTCCTCAAACCTACAGCCCAACCAGGCCCTTAATACCCTTAATCTTCCCTCTCCAATCTCCATACCCCAACCACACAATCCCTACCGCCATCTTCCACGCGCGCTCCGTCACGTCCGTCCCCCCTTTCAGCGGCAAATCCATGGGCGGCGGGATACTCGTCTTAATAAGCGCAGGACACCGATCCCTCGTAATAGCCTTCTGATTACACAGACTCCTCAAGCCCTCTTTGCCTGCAAACCGCCCATATCCACTCCCCTTGACACCTCCAAACGGCAACTGTACCATATACGTAACCGCGAAATCGTTCACAGCCACCATACCCGCATGCACTTCACGAACCACACGCTCAAGATCGCGCGTCGCGCTGCCGTACACAGAAGCCCCGAGCGCATATGGCGTGCTATTCGCGATACGAATAGCATCGTCCACACTCTCAGCGCGCATTATCAGAAACACCGGTGCGAAAAGCTCCTGCTGCGCGATCTTCATGTCGGGCGTTACGTCGACGATTAGGGTGGGCGTGAAGTAGTGGCCCTGAGGGTAGTTCGGGTGGATGAAGCGTTTGCCGCCACAGAGGAGGCGCGCGCCGTTGGCGACAGCGTCTTGGATCAGGGTTTCGAGGGTGGCGAAGTTGGCGGCGGAGATGCAGGCGCCGATGTCGACGGGGGAGCTGTCATTGAGGATGGAGCCGGGGCGGAGGGAGCTGATAAGCGGGGTGAGGTGGTTGATGAGGGAGGTGTAGACGTTGGGGAGGGCGATGACGCGCTCGATGCCGATGCAGTTTTGGCCTGCGGATTGAAAGACGCCGCGCATGAGTATGCTGTGGACGGATTAGCAAATGTGTAGAGTCAACGGCGAGGAGAGCCCAAAGCCCAACATGGAACGACTTTGTTTCTTGCGTTGAGGGCCCCCAGGGGTAGTTTTCCAAAGGGCTACAATTGAGGCTGCTTGTATGTGTCTGGAATACGTACCTAGCCACGCGCTTGAAATCGTTCCTGGACAGATCATCGAGGACAATGGCAGGATCTTTGCCGCCGAGCTCGACGCAGACCGGTGTGAGAGCCTTCGCGGCAGATGCGCATACATGATGCGCGACGGGTCGAGATCCGATGAATGTGATATGTGAGATGCCCGGATGGGATGTCAGGTAATCTGCGACGTTGGGCCAGCAGACCACGGACTGGACGATGTTCGGATCATGACCGCAAGCGACGAGGGCGGAGGTAGCTATCGATGTGAAGTAGCTGCTGGACCAAGCCGTGTTCTCGGATCCTTTGACTATGATAGCGTTACCGGCGAATATCGACGCGATGATGGGCGAAATCAGGTTATGGAACTATGTCTTGTTAGGGAGGGGAGGTCGCGCGAGGTCTCATACTATCTTCGAGCTCACCGGATAACTAGAAAGTTGTCAGTGCGGTGTCTAAACGGTGTTCGCTGACGAAGAGGTCTTACTTCCAGCTCACACAGGCCGCCACCACACCCAAGGGCTGCCAAACCACCTCATGCCACTTATACGCCATCAACAGGTTCCCCGCTCTCCTCTCACTCTTCAAACTCTCCTCGCCATGCCTAATCGTCCACCGGAGCTTCTCCACCGTGACCAGGATCTCTCCCAAGCTAGCGTCCACCATCGTCTTGCCGCTGTCCAAGCACGCCATGCGCGCAATCGTCTCCTGGTTCTCCAGCACAAACTTCAGCATCGTCTTTAGCACCTTGCGGCGCTGTGCAAAGGTAGTTTGGGCCCATTGCGTCTGCGCTTCGCGCGCTTTGGCGACTGCGCGGTCGATAGACGACGGCGTGGAGGGATTGACGCGCCCGAGGGCTTCGCCAGTTGCGGGGGCGTAGCATTGGATTAGTGAGGAGCCTGAGACCTGGTCGCGGTCAATTGGTGATCATAGAGATGAATAGAGAAGCCTACCTTCATAGAGGGGTCCTCAAGCACCTCGCCTTCCCATCCAGGCTTGATCTGTTCTGGTGGAGTGACATTATAAGGTACTGCTGCCTCTGGGTCACTGCGGAGAAGGAAATAGAAGAGAATGATTGTGGCGGCGCCAATTGTGCCGAGGATGTAGGTATTGTAGTCCTCGAAGCGCTCCATGGCGCAATTGCAGAAGAGGTGCAGAGGTCAGGACCCTTGAATTTCAAAAACGACAATGAACGCGACGCGAGGTCACGGGCCAGCCGTCCAATCAAACTTCAAAACCCGCACGTACAGCTCCAGAGTTGAATCCCAAAAAAAATTTAAACAGAAATAGTATTACCTGTTCGGAAGTGTATTCAAAGAACTGTTAGGCTTCAACTAGCAAAGACGTCACGTCAAGTCAATTGTGGAGTACATCAGCATAAATAAATCATCCGTGTGTGGGCGCTACTGGCGACGGAAGGGCTACGAGCAGAGGAAAAATCGTACAACAAAGTATGCAATAGTATTTGTTGTGCAGGTAGATCTGGCGGTGGAGTGTGCCAGCAGTAAACGCCTGTATCCACAAAGAACGCCGTATATCCATGGTACGCCGACGAAATGCATCGAGACATAAGGGGAGCTTTCCATCTTGATCAGTCTCGCCAATGAGATCACAGCCGGTCCGTCCATCGTCCTCCGCCTCCGGCCCCAGGTCTGATGCCTGCTTTCCTCTCTGAGCCCGCGAACTTTTGCTCCTCCTCTTCCCATTTCTTGCGCTCCCTTCTCCGCCTGGCAGAAAATGCTCTGGCAAATTTCCACGCTTCCGTATCGGCCAGATTCCACTTCTCGACCATGTCGACAATCTCTTGCATGCGCCTGTCTTTGCTCTTAATCGCCTCTCTCGCCTTCTTCAGGCGCTCCTCCTCGTTCTTAATCCACCTCTCCTCGGGCACATCGACCCCCGGAATCGATTCTGGCATGCCCGGGCGCGGAAAGACGATGAGCTCCGATGTATCGCTTGGAGAGCTAGGTTCGGAATTAGGAGACGCAAGTTGAGGGAGGTTAAAGCCAAAAATCCAGTCGAGGTCCGCTTGAGTCACCCGCTCGGCGGTCAACCAAAGAGAGTGCGAAGCCGAGTCGGGAGCGGCAACCTCGTCCTTGAAGGCCACAACTCGCCACGATTCGCTGTGCTGTTCGCCAAGCATGTCTTTTGTCAATGCACCGATCCATAGATCACGCTGCGCACTCTTGCGCAGAAAGTTGGCATCAAGGGTATCGCGGGTATAGTGGAGCGAGTTGAGCGTATACGGGTGCGGGACAGTACTGATAGAGTAGAGACCAGACAAATCCTTATAGGATGGGAGTAGTTGTAGTTTTCTCGGTTTGTTCGGATTGCAAGGGGTGCACTTCGGGCGATTCGGCGGGCATGACTTCGGCATGGGCGTGCCCGGGCATTGAGTGAGATTGCGCGCAATATCGATGGCTTCGTACGTCAGGGCTGTCGTGTGTTCCGGCAGCGGTTTGACAACGGCAACGCCTTCTGAATAAGTTTCCTGGAAGGTCAAATGCAGGTGAGAATTGATAAGCGACGCCAGCAGCTCAAGGCCTTCCACCTGGGTCATGTTGGTGAGCTTCTCTGCAACCGTCTTGTACTTAGTGGTGATGGTGTTGGTCGAGTAGTAGGCAACCGCATTGGCCTTGGTGTCAACCGTGACGTCTGCTGAGGAGAGGAGGTTGACCACAGCCCCTCCGTCCTTCGTGGCTAGCTCCGCAATCTTCTGTTTGTTCGCCGTCACATTTTTCAAAAGCTCGTTATCGATGGCCTTCCTTATCGCCTCGTTTACCGCCATTCCCTCTCCAAAGAAGATGCCGTTGTGCAGTGATTCGACACGCGAGAGCTTCGGGTACTCTTTTCGCCGCAGGAAACCCAACATGGGATTGTCGTACTCGGCCATTGGCAAGGCGAGCCAATTCGCAAGCACACCGCCGTCCATAAAGCCCCACGCTAACCAGCGCATTATCTCTAGCTCCACCTTCGCATCAAGCTTCATACGCTGTACAAGGTCGTATCGGGGATGCTTCATGGCCTCTGCCCGCGAGAGCACTTGGGGCCGGAAGCCTTGCGCCCACCATGCCCGTCGCCATGTTAGTAGCAGCCTGTTTTCTGCCTCTGAAACAGTCTTGTCTTGCTTCCGTTTGGGGTCATAGAAGGTGTAGATGGATGGTCGCTCTTTAAGCGGCGGGAGGACGGCGCGGTTCTCGTCGAGAGTGATGGAGGAGGAGAAGGGGTTGCGCCACTTGAAGTCGCTGAGCCATTCTATGGCACGGTATGCGCTCGAGCTTGTGCTATTCGGTTGTACTGGGGGCTTATGCGCCGAGGGCCCGAAGGGATTGGGGACAGAGGGGAGCTCGGGGAGCTCTGGCAGATCTGGCAGGTGGAGTTGAGGGTTCTTGACAGCTTCGGTTACTTGCTCATATGTTGGTAGATCAGCGGAGGTAGGAGGGCCGAAAACGAGCAAGGTGAGTATGAACAATATTATGAAGACGAAGAGGAGCTGGAACCGCCGCGGTGGTGTCTGTAGGCGGATGGGCCGGCCAAACAACGTCCGTTGAACCGGCATCGCGGCACGCACAGAGGCGAGTAAGAGCAAAGGAACAACCGGTCACCGCGACATTGGCAGGAAAGAGGGACGTAGAAGACGACGTTTCAATCGCTTTTGGGGGTCAGCCACAATAGCCCCTGGTGTACGCGTCGCGGAATTTGCTAGCCCGTAGGCTAGCAAACGAGTGGAACCAGCGGAGTGGATATACAGAACGAGGGACAAGAAATCACTGAAAGGTCAGGTACCGACAAGAGATCCGGATTATGCACCCCGTTCCACCGTAGCAGCGAAAGTGATGCCTTGGCGGCGCATATCAGGTACGGTAAGGCTGAATGGCGGGCGTCGGCGAAACCTCGATTCCGACCCCAGCTTTCGTTGGCGCGGCATGCTTCCGATGTCGCATGAGTCGACAAAATTGTGGAAAAGCATGGTGCGTCATTTTGCCGGCTGTCCTTCTCACGCCGCGCAATTGGGAGTCATAGCAATATGAACTTAGACTTCCTGTGATCAAAACTTTCTTGTCCTCCCGAATCCCTTCAATTGCCATCGATCTACCTTTGTGGAGCCCTCCACAGCCGATTTCAGTTTGGACCCTTCATAACACGACACTCGAACTGTACGCCAATTGACCGTCGCAATGGGCTCAGTGCCTATCCCAAACATTCCAGATCCCACGGCGGACCTGCATTGGTCTGACTTCAAGGGACCGATCCACGAAATCTTCGCCGCAAATGCACGAAAGCACCCCGATCGAGCATGCGTCGTCGAAACCGCGACTAGTAAGACACCGGAGCGACGATTTACATACAAGCAGATATTCGAGGCTACCTCGGTTCTGTCACATCACTTCGTGCAGCATGGCGTACAGAGAGGGGAGGTCGTCATGATCTTCGCCCACCGCGGCGTGGATCTGGTGGTTGCGATAATGGCTGTACTGGCAGCAGGAGCTACATTCTCCGTGCTGGATCCACTGTGCGCTCTCCGGTCAATTGGCGGTATGACGCGCTGATATGTGGATAGATACCCGCCAGACCGCCAATGCATCTATCTCGAAGTGTCCCAGCCCCGCGCGCTCGTCGTAATCGACAAAGCCACCCGCGAAGCCGGCCCCCTCTCCGACCAAGTGCGCGAATACATGGCCCAGAACCTAGACCTGCGGACAGAGGTACCAGCACTACAACTGAAGGATGATGGGACACTGGTTGGAGGCGCCAAGGACGGCAAGGACTGTCTTGATGATCAACAGAAGCTGAAGGCGGACTTGCCAGGAGTCTTGGTGGGACCCGATTCCACGCCCACGCTGTCCTTCACGTCTGGGTCCGAAGGTCGGCCGAAGGGCGTCAAGGGGCGACACTTTTCCTTGACGCACTACTTCCCGTGGATGGCAGAGACATTTGGCCTCTCGGACAAGGACAAGTTCACAATGTTGTCTGGCATTGCGCACGATCCGATTCAGCGGGACATATTTACACCGTTGTTCCTCGGTGCGCAATTGCTGGTCCCCAGTAAGGAAGATATCCAGCACGAGAAGCTCGCTGAGTGGATGCGCAAATACGGTGCGACGGTGACCCATTTGACCCCGGCCATGGGTCAAATTCTCGTGGGAGGCGCCTCAGCGATATTCCCGAGCTTGCATCATTCATTCTTCGTAGGCGATTTACTGATCAAGAGAGACTGCAGAAGGTTGCAGGACCTTGCCCCTAACGTTCGCATTGTTAACATGTACGGAACGACGGAGACGCAGAGAGCTGTCAGCTATTACGAATTGCCGAGTCGAAGCGAAGCCCCAGAATTCCTTGATGCTCTTGGAGAAGTGATTCCAGCAGGCCGCGGCATGAACAATGTCCAATTGCTTGTGGTAGACCGAGAAGACCGGAATAGGATATGTGAACCTGGTCAGAGCGGCGAGATCTACGTGCGCGCCGGTGGGCTAGCGGAAGAGTACCTGGGGCTGCCGGATCAGACCGCTACCAAGTTCGTAGAGAATTGGTTTGTGGACCCTAAGAGGTGGGTGGAAGAAGACAATAAGAAGGTCGAGGCACAAGGCGAGCCGGAACCATGGAGACAGTTCTGGAATGGTCCTCGAGATAGACTATACAGATCAGGGGATTTGGGGCACTATGGGGCTGATGGCAATGTCCACTGCACAGGGCGAGTCGATAACCAGGTGAAGGTTCGAGGGTTCCGCATCGAACTTGGCGAGATCGATTCTCACCTTGCCGCTCATGGCCTGGTTCGAGAGAACGTCACTCTGCTCAGGCGTGACGCTTATGAAGAACCAACCCTCGTCAGTAAGTGCAGCCTTTCGTCTCAGACGTCCGGTCGACTAACATAACAGGCTACATTGTCCCTGAGATGAAACGCTGGTTCCAGTGGCTACAAGAGCGAGGCGCCACCGAAAGCGTGACCGAGGATACCAGCATGGTGGCACTGCTTAAGCGGTTCAAATACCTTCGAGATGATGTACGAGAACATCTTAAGAAGAAGCTGCCTGCATATGCAGTTCCATCCGTCATAGTCCCTTTGATCCGATTCCCGCTGAACCCCAACGGCAAAATTGATCGGCCTGCTTTGCCTTTTCCCGAACCCGCACAGCTCGCGGCAGCAGGCGCAAGGCGACCTTCCCAGCTCGGAAAGACTCTGACTGCCACGGAGAAGACCATGGCAGGTATTTGGGCGGAGCTATTGGGCGACCGCGGAGTCACCGCTGAGGGCATCAGCGGCAGCGACTCCTTCTTCGATCTTGGAGGACACAGTATCATTGCTCAGCAACTGCTCTTCAAGATCCGCCAGCAGTGGAAGGATATTGACGTCCCCATGAACACAATCTTTCAATACCCTACTCTGCGAGGATTCTCATCGAGCATTGATCAGGCATTGGATCCCATTGGTCTACGTCTTGATAACCAAGAAGCCATTGACGACGAACCTGAGGACGAAGACTACTCTGCCGATGCACGCGATCTCGCCAAACAGCTGACAGGATTCAAGACCAAGGAGCCACTAAAGCCAGGCCAGGAAGTACACACATTTCTCACCGGTGCTACTGGGTTCCTTGGAGCCTATGTACTGCGAGATCTCCTTGCGCGGAATGGAACAGTCACCATTCTGGTGCGAGCTAAGGATGCCGATGCGGGGCTCGGTCGTATCCAACAAACATGTCAAGCGTATGGCATCTGGGACGACAGCTGGACAAACCGACTAGAAGCTGTCGTCGGCGATCTCGAGAAGACCAACTTCGGCCTCTCTCCCGATACCTGGAATAAGCTCGCAGACTCCGTCGACGTCGTCATCCACAACGGCGCCCTCGTCCACTGGGTGCTCCCCTATTCGCGTCTCCGCGCTCCTAACGTGGTTAGCACCGTAACAGCACTTTCCCTCTGCGCCATCGGCAAGCCAAAGAACTTTAGCCTCGTTAGCTCAACCTCTGTCCTCGACTCAGAGCACTATGTCGAGCTGTCCGAAAAAAGTGTGGCAAAGGGCGGCACCGGCGTCCCTGAATCAGATGACCTCGAAGGCTCTCGCAAAGGTCTAGGGACCGGATACGGCCAGAGCAAATGGGCTGCCGAATACCTCACGCGCCAAGCAGGCAAGAAAGGCCTCGCAGGATGCGTCATCCGTCCCGGCTACGTAACCGGCGACCCAGAAACCGGCACAACGAACACAGACGACTTCCTCGTCCGCATGCTCAAAGGCTGCATCCAGCTCAAGTCCCGCCCCGACATCACAAACACCATCAACATGGTCCCCGTCACGCACGTCGCGCGCGTCGTCGTCGCATCCTCTTTCAACCCCCCAGCCCCCCCCCTCGCCGTGGCCCAGATAACCTCGCACCCGCGCATCACCGTCAACACGTTCCTCGGCAGCTTGGAGAAATACGGATACACGGTCCCGCAAGTCGACTACGCGCAATGGAAGAAGAACATGGAAGCTTATGTCGCGGACCGCTCGGGCACAAAGGAGGAACATGCCCTCCTGCCCCTATATCATTTCGTCACTGGCGATCTACCCGCGGATACGAAGGCGCCTGAGCTGGATGACAGGAATGCGGCGGAGGCGCTGCGCAAGGATAAGGAGTTGACGGGCCAGGATTGGAGTGCGGGTGGGAAGGTGGATGAGCAGATGGTGGGCGTGTATGTGAGTTACCTGATCGAGCTCGGGTTCATGCCTCGGCCGGAGGGCAAGGTCGACAGGGAGTTGCCCGCTGTGCGGTTAACTGAAGGGATGAGGGAAGGGATGAAGAAGGTGGGTGGGAGGAGGGGTGTGTGATTTCTTTCTCTTTTCTGCCACGAGCAGTCTGGGCTGGATATGTCTCCTTGTTGTTAGGGCTAGATAAAAGGTGAAAAGCGCAAAATCGGCTGTCTATGTGTAAATGATAGATGGGATATATGCGAATTTATTTTTATCATGCTTTGTGCGTTGCTTTTGTACTGAGAAGAATAACCTGCTTTAATGCTACCGCCCTTTCCCATTCCCCTCTTTTCCTACATCCTTCTTCGCTCTCTCCTCAGCCTCCTTAATCAACCTCTCCGTCTCTTTTATCACGTCCGTCCCGACCCGCCAACTCCGCAGCACAACACCCTTCTCGCCCAGGATCTGCTCCGCGCGCGCCCAGCGCTGGCGCCACAGCTGCTCGCGCTTGTTAACCACCTGGCCGCCGTCACCATACCCGTTGTTCCCCCCTCCGTTGCCATTCATGCCGAGGGTGGAAGAACTATTCGTGCGCTGTGGGAGCTGCTGCATAGAGGTGGTGGAATAGGGTTGCAGCGAGGGGCGAGTCGAAGGATGAGGAACAGAGGGCGCGTGCTGCCATGCGGAGGTTGCTTTCGTGCCGACGTAGGCGGCTGCGGCTGCGGGGTAAGCTGCTACACCTCTGCGAGGCGGAGGAGGCGGAGGGGGCGCTTTCTTAGTGCCTTCGGGGGTCTGGGTGAGGTCTCCTGTGTTAGAGGTGGCTGTATCGTTGTTGTTTTGGGAGTATAGGTAGGAGGATGCCGAAGGGAGGTGGTTGTAGACGGAAGCGAGCTTGTCGCGGGCCATGCCGGTGTAGGTCTGTTGTGATTGCGAGAGTTGTAGATTGGGCTTGGACGCTAGGGGCGGTTGTGGGGCTGCTTTGGTGGAGGTAGAGGTGGACGCTGTGGTCTGTTGCGAGAGGGGACTGGATTGGTGGACTGTAGAGGATGGGCGACGTGGTTTGGGCGGTGGTGGCGCTTTCGAGGGTGATGGAGTCAACGCGTTTGAGTCGCCTGAGGTGCTCCTTAACGCAACGGGTTTCCGAGGCGGTGGAGGAGCGGTCCTAGAGCTGGAGACTGAGGAGACAGAAGTACGGTGATGGTTCGTCCGCGCCGTTGTGTCAGAATTTACGCGTCGCAGCGCGAGGTTCGAGGGTTGCTCGTCGTCCGACGAGAGATCGATAAGGTTTTGAACCGGCGCTGGTGGAGGGGGAGTTGGCTGAGATCTTCGAGGAGGAAGTATGGGTCGCAATGCCGGATTGTCCTCGTCGATCTGAGGAAACATGGACTTTGACCGTTTTCGATCATCTTCTTCTATGTCACGTAATGACGCCTCGATGGCAGCTCTCAGCTCCGGGTCATCCTCTTCAGACGACGTCTGTACCTTGCTTGAAGCGCTCCCTCTCCCGCTCCCACTTCCTCGTTGGGATGAAGACGACGATCGATCGCCTGGCATGGATCCAATAGACGGATCGAAAAATCCGCTGCTTTCTGTCGTTACATCTCTGATGAAGACCGCAAGAACCCGTCCCGGATTCTCCAAGACGAAGTCGGTGTATACCTCCAGATCGGCTTCACCGCTATCGCCGACCAAAATAAACCTCCTATCAGGGAAGTCACGAGCAATCTTATCGAGCGTGCTCTTCTTTCTCTCGGCGACAGGCTCGAAGATACCTTGAAGCATGCCATTATACTGTTTCAAATGGAATGACCCAGGAGGTAGCCCTGCCAGCGAAAAGTATTTCGAAATGACAGGATACAGCTGCCAAGGTGAGTTGGAGACGTAGTGGAATTTCGCTCCCAGCTCCGCCATCTTGTTGTACCATTCCCTGACTCCTTCGATGGTGAGGTCGCCGAGGTCGCGAATAAAGACATTACGGAAGATCTCTCGAGCGCCACTGCTGATAGCCGAGTGCTTGATTGTATCATCAATGTCGCTTATGACACTGATTCCGCTCGAGTCTGTGATAACGACTTGTTCTGTGGCAGACAACTTGTCGGATGCCAAGATACGGACGTGGGTAGGTATAAAGTCCAACGCGGCGCTGATACTGAAGTGACCAGAAGGATTCGTATACACTGTCCTCTGCTTTGACACCTCCTCGTTATAGAAGAACACACTGATGGGTGTGTTCGCCATGGGTATAGCTAGGAAATGTCGCAGGCGCGCCATAAGACGCGCGTTTGCTTCTGCCAATTCGGACGGGCTCATGTCTGCGGGCTGGTTCCAAGATTCCCTCTTCCGCAACGGCGTGATGTTCTCCTCGCCCTTCAGCGATCTGTTACTCGGGCTATGCGACAGCTCGCGCACACGCGGGTGGCTTTTCGCATCCTGCGCACGAAGGCTATCCGGACTCTCGGCGCGATACTCTTTCGTATTATCCAACTCATCAGCGGCTGGCTTCTCACTATAGGCTCCCTTTGCCGCCATTTCTGCCTCTCTTTCGCCCCTTCTCAATATCTCCTCTGCCTCCCTCGCGGTCAAAGTGTCATCCCGCTGTGCTTGTCGTATTCGCGCTCGCTCATGATGGTTTAGATGCCCTGGGCTTGGCTCTCTGCTACTACGTGGGCTGCCAGATGAACTTGGAGGTTTCGCGCCAGCGGGCGGTGCCTGTATTCCTACTAGCTGACGTGCGAGGCTGATAAAGATCCTCTGTTTTCTAGACATTTGACCTTTATGTGGAGAGTATATCCAGCCCCGTACATCGACGTCCACAACGGCGTTGTCGTCCTCGTAGTCGTCCCATTGCTGCTTCCAGAACTCGGCGTCGCCCGCTCCGCCGGAATCCCGTACGTCACGGCCGTCTCCTGGAACTTCTTGTATCGTACCCGGCTGTGCTTCCGGCTTGTAAGCGTCAGCGGAAGCCATAGCGGTCATCATCCGACTGTACTTGCCTTTCTCCTCACATGTTTCCGGGCGTAACTCGGAAACAGGATCATCTCTTCCTCACCGCTCCGCACAATCGCCGCGTCCGGAAAGGTTCCAGGTGTGTCATCCTCGTAGTCGTACGTTGTTTCTCTGCTACTCCAATTCGGCGCATATTGCTGCTGGTACGTCTGCCTCAGCTCGTTCGCAGCCTTCAGATAGCCCGCCAGCTTCTTCCTCCTCGCACCAGGCTCTCGTGGCGCATAACTCTCCTGATAACTCATCGCTCTGCCCTTAGACTCTCCTTGTTCTGAAAGCTTGGTCAACTTCTGCCGCCGAAGCCTAGCTTCATTTTCGAGGGAGTTGGTGCCTAATAGCCTCCTCGTATGACCTCGTAATCGCTGGAGGACCCCGGGCTGCCTCTTTAGATTGAGCGCTTGTCGGTAGAGAATGTATCGGTATATGCGAGATTGCGTGCGATGCTTGAGCGAGGGAAGTGTCTCGTGGCGGAACCTCGAGAGGTGCGCGCGTGCCCGTTGGCTCGTATGCGGGAAAAGGTAGCGGAGGAGGGACGAGGTGCCGTGGGCGGAGGGCTTGCGGCGAACAGGAGGCTTGGGCATCCAGTTGGATGCTCAATGAGGCCTGTTTCTCGGGGATTAACAGGAGGTGCTCCGGGGCGAAGGATAATGGTATTGCGGCATAAAATCGAGCAATCCCATTAGCGGTCACCAACGTCATTCCCATGCGCACGGTCCACGCGCTCCATCAGGCACGGGCTAAGATGCCCTCTAGCTATACCAGATGCACCATGTGAGCATAGATTCACTCATTACTATTAGGACTATATGACGTAACGCTCGTAGGCATGTATATGTAGAGAATTACAATCAGCCTCCTGCCTACTGTGCAGCGTCCCTCCGGAAGGCCTTAAGCAGACTAATGACCCAAGACATCCGCAAATGCGTCCCTCTACCTTCGTTGAGTAAGCCTCTGGCTCTCACCGGCTAGTCATGATCGAATTCAACGCTCCTGCAACGTCGGGCACATCCCTCTTCAGAACCTCGATAATCTCATCCCATATCCGCAGCGCCAGCTTCTTATTCTCTTCACCAGCTACACTTGGCGGAATAGGCTGAATCTTGTCATGTCGCCAAAATCGGCCGTGTAGCTTCTCACCCTGCGTCGTCCCGCTCATTATCATATTCGCCCCTTGGTCTGGCGTACACATGATAATCAGTCTGAGAATGAAGATGATGATCCCAATACCAGGGAAGTAATGGTCGCGACCGAGGTCCGTCATAACCGCCCCGGGGCAGATCGAAGTAATGATCACTTCTCCGGAAGAAATCTCTTCGGCGAGTTTATTCGTGGCGTACATCAAGAAGACCTGCGCTCTAGTCAGTCTCAGCTGTCTTTACCCCTTGAAGGCCTCCAGGTGTGGTTGGTAAACTCCAAAAAAATCGAGCTATCTTGTGTGTGTACTACGATCCACATACCTTGCTGAACTTGTATTGGCTGCCTTCGCCAAAGTTCTCGGGTCTGTTGTACCACTCTAGGATATTGGGTTCCTTGCGTGTCTCTGCGTTCACTATGGCGTTCTGATGCAGTCCAGAGTTGACCAATTCGAGCACAGGTATCCTGCCAGTATGTTGTTTTGATTCTTTAAGTTTCGGGAGCAAAAGGGCTCCAAGGAGTGTAGTCGAGAGCGTATTGACTTGCAGATCGTCTTCCCAGCCATGCTGCGATTGCTCATACCGGGCTCTGTGAACCCCTGCATTCAAGACGGCGATGTCGAGGTGGTCGAGGTGGTCAGCTCTCTTGGCGAAAGCAACGACACTTTCATAGGAACTCATGTTGAGCTCCCAGACTTCGACTTGATCTTTCGTGCCTGTCCGAGCCTCGATGCTGGCCTTGACTGAGTCGCCTTTCTTCAGATCTCGCGCCGCAATGATGACTTTCGAAGCACCTAGGGCAGCAAACTTCGCCGCTGCTTCCACTCCGATACCCGCCGTAGCGCCCGTGACGATAACATTTCTGCCTTCATAGGATTCTTTAACTGGCTTTGGCGGCGTGATCCATTTGGTCTTGATGAGTCGAAAGAGGCCCGACATTTTGAAGCTGCTGGAGGATATCCTGGCCAGGAGTTGAAGGGTTGAACTGGGCTCCTCCTTAGGATGGCCAGGATCAGCGATATGGCGTCGGAGAAAGACAATTGCAGTAAACAAAGCCGAGGGATCTTGTACAGGAGGTGGGAGAAAGGCTCTCGAAACTGGAGCAAACAGAAGTTGCTAAGGAGGGTGCAAGATATCGTGTTTCGAACGAGAGATGCGCCACAGCGCAGTAGTGGACTCTGGATTATGTACTCCCATCTTTGTGGCTGTCGTGACTCGTGACGTAGCCCAGTTGCGGACTAATCTTTGTTTGGTCCGGTTTTGCACCCAAGTGTGTGCCGTGCTGTGTGAGAAAGCCCGAGTAATCGCAAAGCGGACGACTGAATTGTCACTGTGATAGCTCCTGCCCTGGAACTCATACGATACGCACCAAACAAACCTTAGCTTGCACGAGTATCATGGATACCTACCCAGGTGGATGGAAGAAGAGCCGGGCGAAGTTAAGCTAATGACTAAGCCCTGACTAATGCCGCAATGAGCTTTCGCGCACCTCGAACAGCTCTCCGAAGCGCGACCTGGAAGTAAAGGCAGACAACACTCGCGCACGCCTCGTCATGCTGGGACCATCCTCGCCCACCTCTCGAATCCGCTAATTGACTCTCTCCAGTTCTACCAGGAAATTGGAGATCCGCCCACACGATGTCCTACAACCCCAATCCGCCTCACGGCGGGGCCCGCCCTGGCGATTCGAGCATGGCCCAGAACTTCAACAGCATGTTACAGCGTTCCCTCCAAGAGCAGGGGCAGCCAGAGCCCGTTGCGGAAGCTCCGGGTGCGCCGCCGCAAGCCATTGGTAAAGTCCTGAAGCTTCTTCGCCCGGCCAAAGAGCATGATTCTAACGCGCTGCGAGCAGGATACGGAGGTGTATACAATGCCACACCGCCACCACAGCAGTTGACACCGAACGCCCTCGGAGGTGCAAGAGGGCCCCCGCCTCAGCAAATTCTCCCAGTCGACCTCCCGCCGCAAGCCTTCCTCACCTCCTCGATGCTTCTAGACATGGTCGACAGTACGGACTTCTCTATACTAGTTGAAGCGAGACGATAGATTAACAAGCTAGCAGAGAAAGTCGACGTCTTGCTTCGCGACGAGAAGGAATACATCGGTATACTACGTTCCTATGATCAGTTTGGTATGCTCAGCTTCTACTTCGGAAGCCTCAGTGGGTGCTGACGGCCATAGCGAACCTCGTCCTCACAGAATGCACGGAACGGATAGCTGCCCGGAACCCGGAGGCGACGTCTGACCCTACAGTTCCCAAGTGGTTGATATGCGACGTTAAGCTCCCCGGCGTCATGACAATACGCGGCGAAAATGTAACTATCTGCGCAACAGTCGACCTCGACCGAGAAGACAGCCCAAAAGGTGTCGTGTTCACTCCTGAAAAAGAGGTCAGGGCTCTAGCGGCAGCTCAAAGAGCCGACAAAAAGGAGCTAGATGCACGAAAAGCGAAGGCGCTGAAGCAGGCTGGCATTGAACCGGGGTTCGGGATGCAAGCGTAATGATTGCCCACGACATTGATGAAGGCATGGAAATGCATTTGCTTCACTCATGAGGCCTTGAGGGTCTGGATAGGTCACCGTCTAGTCATGATATCAATGATACCAGGACGCTAACGTCCGGTTGACATATGAGCGACCACTCCTTTGCTGACCACGCTCGTCTATACCCTTTTGATAGCTCTCGCATTCCCTGCTGTTTCCCTGCTGTTTGTAACGCGTTGGGAGCTCGCGGGTTATTGCTCGGTTGGCTCGACTTTCGATCGACGTGGGAAGAGGCGGTTAACGTCTTGAGATTGTAGCATGCCCGAGGAAGCTATAGCCTGTGTTGCACATCAGCAATCCTAGCAGTCCCGTTTCAGTTCGCCAACCCCATAGCACCGTCAGTAGCGCGGTGGAACTTGATAGTGGGCTCGCCAAACAGTGTCCAAGCATGTCATCAGACGGATATAGCGTCGACCGATTCGTCTGCAGCTTGGCCCCTTAAGAACACGAGGTTTGAGAGTGACTCCTTGGTGAAGACCTGACCTGGTCGGGGTCAGCAGAGGAAAGCATCCCAGAAGCAGGCGAATAGGCACTGAAGGCGAGGCATATGTCGCGAATCGGATGGGGAATCTCGGATGACCGTTCGAGGGTTGACGGACCGGTTGAAGTTCATCGGCTTCCTACCACAAAAGCAATGGTAACCTAGAATAAGCGTGTCACCCTTTTTGTCCGTCCCGTCGCGTGGTCGCCATCACCATTCCAAATCACAGGTCGTGATCTACGTATGTACATAGGCTAGTCGTATGTAGGACGATGCTCTTAGGGCCCGGGCGATGTTCTTGTTCGAGCGCGACGAACGGGGTGGATCGTTCGGTGGCTAGTGTGCCCACTTTCGGTTACCCTGGCGTGGGCCTTGCAGCTCTGAGGGGCGGTCGGTGGGCGGAAGTACACCTATCCATCATCTTGAAAGGTGAGTATCAGTCACAGTATCTCAAGGAGTTGGAATGTGGAACCCCGATCTACTTACCGCAGGATGAGCAGCTTCACGTACGCGGATACCCGGAGAGCCGATCGCAGAGGTCACTTTGTCTCGGACGTGATAGCGAGCGTCGTCGGTGAAGTGACTAGTGGGCCCACCTCGCGCTACCGTGGTGTTGAAGCAGTCGGAAACGGCGTGGTGGTGAGTGCCATCCCTCAATGCCATGATGCCTGCTGCCTTCGCGAGTCAGTGTAGACGTCTCTCGGGGTCTTCGTCACCGTTAGTCTGGTATGGAGCTGGGGTCAAGCGGGTAGCAAAGAGACTTGAAGTTGGACTTTCAGTGTTTCTTGGAGACGAAGTGTCGGCGGAGCTGTGCCTGAAGTTTGGTACCGGCTAGGATAAGGCAGGAGCTAAGGGACTAGCTTCCGCTGTTGAGGATATGCGGTCTCAACGTCATGTCCAGTCCCCTTCACCTCACCTCCATCTATCAATAGACCCCTTCCCACGTCCAGCTCTCCCCAAGAGCACAAGAGAGCGCAACTACGCATTCCGAAGACGGCCACACTCATCACGCCTTAACGGGGTACGGCCGGGCAACTTTAGGCGGTTGCCTCCCTGGCATCATCCGCCAAGGACACCACACAACCTCTTGCGGCAGGGAATTCTCCGGATCTAAGGGCTCGCCGTACAAGTGAGTAAGATTGGATCGTCCATTGTACGCACCCGCGAAGGTCTCCAGGGTAGCTGTTGCGCACGTCGTTCTATCCGGAGAATTCCACACCTTGAGAGACACTCAGGGGACCTCGACACGAAGGCCGACGCCAGCAGTGACACCTCGCCGATACCTCGATATCAATTCGTCGAACGTCTCTAGCACCGAAGCAGATCTGAGTCGACGAAGCAAGCGGCTGCATAGCGCTTCATCCTCGCCCCGCTCACTTGACACGGGCGGCAACCTACACGCGTTGAGAGGCATCAGAAGGTGGGTATCGCTATCATTCCGCCAGTAGCTAAGTAGGGACGAAATGAGGCCTGACACTGTTCACAGAGCGAGCCGCCCAAGACCGTCTGTACATCGAAACAATGGACCCAAGAGAGATGAAGTGTTACTTGGGTAGCATGATTTCATAAGAGGCGGACTTTACGCCGGGGGAAAAGATCTAGCTACGTACCGGAGCCCTTTGTACCACATATGACTTGCTGTTCCACTGTCTGTGTAACGGAGTTAGACTACCGCGGTTCTGCCGGGCGCTGTCCGTTATTCAAACCCCCTCCCAGAGCCAAACAGGCGGCTTTCTGTTTCCGCTGGGTGGGTGCTGGACGGTCGTCTACACGACGTCAGAAAATAACTGACGTCTTCGCCATGTCCCGTACGTACCTCCTACATGCGGGATACGAAGATCCCGCGTCCACCTCTTGGCCCTTGCCCTATGGGTATAATTTCTCGGGTCCAGCGCAAGGCCAGACCTTTCGACTCGTGGAGTAGTGTCGAGCGATCGCAACTGCAAATATCCTCCCATGGCTTCATCTATTCGTTACCGTCTACACATCCCTTATCGGGTCATACGGTCGGGATTCGCTTGGCGATGAGTCCGTTCGTTGAGGGCTTTGCACGCTGGCTTCAGGCTGGGCTTGCGTTTGTGTTTGGGTCCCGGAACTCGATCCTCCCATCCCTGAAATCATACTACCTTCGGCTAAGCATTCGATATTATTAGCTACCCATACATGCATACACACATGCCAATCTGCCACGGAATGACATAAAGCCGGGAACTCGCGACGTACCGTATCTCCGCTGGATGTCTCTTAAGAGCTGCGAAACCCGCCACTTCAAAATGTCCATATCGACGGCGGGTATCCCTTCTGCAGTCAACCGTCCGTTTATCCGCGCCAGCATGCGTTCTTTCTCGTTCGCGGGGATTAGAATCCATCTCGTCCAGTCTTGGTGCGCTTCGGAGAGCTGTCTCGTTTCTTCTTTGGTTATGAACTTTCTCTCGTTAGCTCAGATGCCCAAGATTCCTCCTGGCGACTCACGTAAAAGCGATCCCATTGCTCCTTTGTATGTCCGGAAGCTGCTCGAGCTTCGTTGACGGTGGCGTTTAGTCGAAAGCTCGAGGGCATTTTTGAACCGGGTAACCCAACAACAAGCTTGTCTGAGGAAGAAGGACTGACCAGGCTCTAGAATTAAGAAAGCGTGAGGGTTTTAGGGCACAGCGGCTCTCCCCGCTTCCGCCTAGCCTTGGCAGAGATTGCTTTTGGTGAGGCTGAGGTGAGTGACACTGACGCTGCTAGGGCCTCGAAGGAATCGGAATCGGCGGTGGCTGAAAGTGCTTGTGCGTCATGGCCGGATTGCCGTCATTGGCAGGGGATTACCAAGGTATGAACAACAATTTCCTCTGTTTATTGTTTAGCCCACGTTTCTTATGCAGGACCATGTCTCTCGTGTCATATTGATATGGTGGTGAACCACATAGGATATCATCTCAGCTTCGGAGTTGGATTCATGCTGTGCCACCAATTCAAGCGCCCAGCACGGGCAATGGAGGCGCTCCCCCTCATTCTTCAAGCACTATCGAAGTACTTTTCTCTACTACTCATTCCGATATCCAACCTGGTCGCACAAATACCACGGCTATAACACGGCGTTCGGCTGGTGTGAAGTGCTGGCCATCACGACTCCGCATGCCTTTCTGAACGTTGGGCATCAAGACGTCCTTTAGGCCCTAAGGAGCGGGAACGGATATCTAGCCGCGGCTTACAGCATCTTTCCCCTATCGTTCTTCAGACTATCGCCATGGATCAAGCCTGTTCATCGTATCAAGACTACTTCGTCGATCAGCCGTCTTACGCGGTATTTCAAGGACCCCCTTTCCCTCATATCCGGCACTATCCGGATGCGGACCGCCCCAAACCTTCAGAACGCACCAGAATCGGAGGCCCAGACGACGTGCGGTGACGCTACACAGGCATTACCTCTCAAGGAATGTCTCACTGCGCCACTACACCCCTCCACTTAGACTTGACATACCTTATTTTAGGGCATACTCCTTGAAAGATTACTCCTTGCCTGGATGGAACCGAGCTTACATACAACTATCGCGTTCTCACCCCATATGCGGCGCAGCGGACGCACCATGTCGGCGATTAGCACGATTTCTAGGAATTTCATGCGTTGGATGCCTCTCCACTTTCCTCTCTCGATGTTCGGTCCTGCTTGCAACAAGCGAGTTTCAAGTCTTGTGAAGCTTGGATGGACAACGTCATTCTCGTGGAAATTGGGGTTGGGACGACGTGGTCGCTGGCGGCCACTTGTGCGCCCACCTCCGGCATCCGCCATGCTGTCAATGCGGAACTAAATCGGCTTACCGGCTCTCGGGACCCAAAAGCTTTCCCACCCATCCAAGATCCAGGTTCGTTCCACGACGTTAAGGATGCGCGATTTCCGCACGAACCGATGGACACGGCGTCGGCAGCGTCCGATCGATTCGGAAAAGCGTCGCTGTTGCTTCTGGAAAGTCGGATCTCGAAATATTCTTGTCCTACTATTGGATCGGCGGCGGCGAAATTCTGCGCGTGGCCAACTGGAGGGTTGCGGTCGCACGTCCCGGTGGACATGCAGTCGGAGCTGAGTGTCCTCCCTTGCGTAGCGCTGCATATTCATGCTTGCACTCTGCTCCCATGACCGAAATCACTAGAGCGGGAGCGCGAACGGCGCCCTGTTATTCTATGGTGTATGATCGTCGAACCGCGGGTTCGCGAACTTTGGAAGGGTGGTCAGAGCGTTGTACGCCCCAAGCCACAGGCGTCCAATATAAGAAGAATGCTGTAAGCACGCGTTCTGGGGTTACACGGACCGTGTTGGGAATTCATCGTATGGGTGGGAAAGAGGGGTGGGTCTAGAGAGGTTTGATTTCTATTCAGGGGTCTCGGGGAAAAGGGGAAAAAGCGGCGGTAAGCTCAATTCTGCTCTTGTTGCCCCTTTATGCGCTTCCACTAATTCCCATGGCGTGCCCAATATTGGCCTTTGGACTTGCGCTGCCTCCTCTCACCCCATTCTCGCTTTCCTCGCGCCATGCTGCTCGCTATGTCTCGGGGACCCCTTTCTCAAAGACCTAACTCTTCATGCATCGCAAGTCAGGCCATGATTCCAAGTCAACTTCTATTCGGGTCCATTCTCTTCCCGTGCTCATGAATCCTTCGAATCTCCCGAGAACGGGGGTCCGGATCCTTGCTCCCAGAACATCCTGGAGGAACCTGGACTACAACAGTCTTTTCATTAGCATGCGTGGCTAGCCATATAGAACACGTGGAAAGCTTCCCGCCTTCCCCGGTGTAGGAGATTGAAGAGGGCCTGTACCAAGCAGGAGGCGGCGCCCTGGAGAAGACCAGCGCCTTGATGCAAGTGTGACGGAGATGTAGTCGCGCGCTGGCGCGCTCGTCGGAGCGCTTTTACCCAAATACGCTCTCTCGACCCCAACATCAGCAAGGGCGGTCAGACGTGGCTTTCGCACGATTTGTACATTACAAGTCATGCCCTTATACGAGTAGCCAACGCTCTCCAAAGGAGATTTCGGACGGTCCGGTAGGTATGAGCGAACCGCAATATGGAGACTGGGTCTTCAATCTTCTCCATGAGCTACCGCTTAAATAGCCTTGCCTTCCACTCGCTTGGTCCCGCATGTTGCAGATCGCCAATGCCGGGTAGGTTCCGTATCCATGCCATCGGGATGTGTGCGTTTATAATGCGGGCGGTTAAATGGTAAATCCCTATGGTTTCAATTCGAAGGTTTGGAAGAGCCGTCCCGAGCATACTCTATAATTGTTCCCTCGAAACGCGCTGCTGCCTTCAGGACACTCCAGTTTGCAGTTGTTTGAGGAGGGGTCTTCCTGACTGAGCTGCTTTGTACTACCTGGAAGTTTGCTACACGCTGTTGTGGTAGAGCCTTGCAGCACCATCCCAACATGAAGTACGATGCTTAAGCTCAGCAGAATGGCGTTCAACGCCATGGCTTTCTACATTGGCGAGTATATCAAGAAGGCATACAGAGACCCCTCCGGCGACCGTGGCTTGTCAATCTTTACCCGTCACTCTAGCAGTCTTCCATGTTATACGATCTCCGGATACCTCCCCCACACTCAAACTCGAAGGAAGCCCCTTGCAGCTGCAGCTGAAGCAATCTTCCATCAAAGGCGGACATGAAAAGACCAAAGAGTACATCTACAACGACCGGTAAACGCAAACCACCGCACACAGACCTCCCTGCCCCTTTCCCAGCAAACAATATTGCGCCTATGGGTGCTCGAATATTCCTGCCAGCTCACACTACTCCGCGTCCTATTATTCGACATCCAACATCCACTTCTCTACATCGTCGGCACGCCCACTCCCACCACTACTCTCCCGCTCCTTATCTTCATCCTCGGCCTCTCTCTTATCCTCATCGGTCCTCTGCTCATACCTCTTGTAAACTACATCTCCGCACGGCGGGCAGAAACCCTCAATCTTATATGGAAAGTACTTCTTGTAGTAGGGGCAGTGGCTCACATCGGGATGGGCCTTCGCGAAGGCACATTTTTCACGGTCTTCGGCCGCGGGTGAGTGGCCGCAGCCGCGGTAGTGCGCGTGTGCGTGGTAGCACATGGCGATCTGTGATGGTAGATAGTGTTGGCTTAGAGACGTGGTGTCGTCGTGTGAGAGGTTGTGAGGAGAGGCTTAGATATGGGAGCGAGGTTGGAGATATATGGTGGGAAGATATACGGGTTAGATTGGGAAGTAGAAGGTGATGGAGCGCATTTGAAGGAGCTGATGTGGTAGTAGGGCAGTGAATGGTAGGGGATCGCAGAACTGTTGACTTCGTTAAGGGTGACGAACGGCTACCACGCCCCGCTTCAATGTATGCTTCTCCACAGCTCCCCCTTTCCAGGAGGAAGAAGCCTGTCACTTCTGGCAGCGTGAGCGCTAGTCGCCTGTGCCGGATTGTAGGTTGGTGTTTCCATCTCCTTACGACTTCGTTGTGACGATGCTCAAGTTCTCCACCGTGTTTTTGATCTTCAATGGATATGCTGGAGTCTGGACCCCTTGACCGATTGACGCCTTCCATTCTCGTAGACGTCCTTCCTTCTTCACGCGTATGGCTGACTTACTTCTCGGAATCCGGAAACTTTATAGATCCGCCCAGGCATATATTACCACAGCGGCACCACGAGATCCAAACACACACAAGCCTAACCCGTGACGTACAGTATATTGTAAGCTATGCACTAAAATATAAAAAACCACTCCCCCTACCGCTTCCTACCCCTTCACTTCGTTTCTCTCTCTTGCGGCTTAGCCTCCGCCACCGCAAACCCATGATCCTCACAACTCCCGTAAGCCACCGCGGGCTCTAGCTTATTCCCTGCAAGCTGGGGGCACTCTGGTGCACGAATCCCACTGTCCGTCTCTTGGAATCCTTTGAATTCGGAGCATACGGTGACTGGATATAAGGCCCGACATTGTAGACAGGGGCGGACTGCTGGGGAGCACATCGCGTACGAGGATGATGTTTGGGGGAAGGGTTCAGAGTGGATTCGTCGTGGAATTGGGGTGGAGGCGCGGGGGTGGGCCGATGCCGGTTGGATGATAGGAGTTTGAGGCTTTGGTGTTGATGGAGGGTTGTGTGGTTGTTTGTTTGTGGTGGCTTGTGGTGGATTGCTTCGGGGTTGGTGAAGGGAGAGTGATTGTGGAGGTTGGTGCTGGGCTGGTTATATGCAGCGCCATGACTGTTGTGTCTGGCTGTGACTCGAATGTGCACGGATGTCCAAGTCTCCACACCTCTCTGCGCCGCACACTTAGCAAGATGACAACGCACTGATACTCATGGATGAATTACTTGTATTGCGATTCCAGAAGTCGCGGAGGAGGCAAGGATAAGTGCTGAATAGAGCATTGAAGGCACAAAAAGGACAGAACGCCAGGGTATATAGCTCATTACAGTTTTCCTGCTCTTTCCTTCTTTACTCCAAAGATAAGACGCTGTGACATCAGTGTTGGGCTAGGGTCCTCCTCGCTGATATCGTGTCCAGCCCGGCCTCCGAGAGTGGCCATTGGTCCACCATAGCTTTTCTGTATGCTATGCCAGCACAGCTGCCACCACGTCTTCCGTTATGAACAATTGCCGAATCGAGCGACATCTCTGTCCTCCTCTTTCAATACGCCCTTCCCATTAGCATTACATTATTCTTCCCTTGGCCGTGTCCACTATCCCGCATTGCGCCGTATCCATTATCCCCTCCATTGGCCTCAGCGCGAGCCCCCTCCCTTTGTCATTTGTTCCGCCCACAAAATCCATACACTCTTTTACTTGCTGACCTTCTTCCAAAGACAATGATTGCACATGCCCTGACTCCGATTCACCACTCGATGCTCCCTCTTCGTCTCCGGGCACACGCCGCCTAACCGAAACGTCTCCGCCTCCTCGCATTTCCTCAGTATCGGCCCGTTGTCCGGCTGCGGCTGCGGGACCCAGTGGTTGCAGACGTGAAGCGTATACAGGATGTAGCACATCTCCGGTTCGTGATCGCGGGGGGGTTAGATGGCGGGGCAGGGGAAGAGCGAAGCGGACCGAGGAGGTAGGCTCGGGAAGATGGATGTTCCGTGGTGTCTAGCGTCGGTCCGGGATATGCTGTTTCGTTGAGAGGGCAGGAAGCGGGCGGAGGATGGCGGGTGAGGAGGACAACGGCGCACGGCTCTCTCTTTCTCTTTCTCTTTCTCTCTCTCTCTCCCTCTCTACTTTCCGGTATCTTGCGTCTTCCACGTACGGCTTTTCCTATCGTCCTCCACGCACATAACCACCAACACCTCCGAAATTGAAGCTAGAACAGCTGGTTATGGTAGGTTTCGGCAGCGGGGTCTGCCCAGCGCACGTGGTGGGATCCTCAACCTCGCCGGAAAGACAGCGACAACAACGACAACAACAACCGCTTCGAAAAGGTTCACCAGACGGGGAAGAAAAATGCCAGAAGAGAGAAAGAGAAGAAAAAGGGAAAACTCCCCCTCTCTCGAGGGGGAATCTCAAATTTTAAAATTGCATCTGAAAAAGCAACAACGAAACTCGCAACACTGGAACGCAGATCCAACGTTACACGAGGCGAGCATGTGCCAGCACCCAGCGCGCTCTCTTTCTCCGCGCGCGCTCGCGCCCCTTACCGAAAGGAAGAAGCCGAACGATTTACGTATTGAAGCCCTGTAATCGTCCCTCTCCCTCAAGCCGCAAAGTCAAACCCAAGCCGCAAACTCAATCAGCGAAAAAATCTATGACGACGTGGGGAAAAGCCGCAACGGCACGGGAAACCTCGCTCGGGCTGACTCGCTGCTACTCCTCCTCCTCTAGTCCCGCGCCGTTTCGATGTCGAGGAGCAGAGGCCTGAAAAACACCGCTTACTTCGACAAAGTTTCGAAGAAGCAAAAGCTGGCGCATGTGTAATGGGATTCTTGGGGTTGGGGGAAGATACGAATGCTAGCAGGGCTTGGGCTGCATGCGCCGGCAGGGATTCCGGATCGGCGCTAGGCTGCATGCGGGGCGCGGACCCCGATGCACAGCAGATGGAGGGATCCGGGCTGTCGGCGAGTAGTTCAGGGAGCAGACGGCCGCAAAGTTAGAAGTCTGGAAAGGAGGCAAAGGAGAAGGCCTGCGAGGGGAAAGGGGATATATATATCGGCAGGGACGATGAGGGATTCAGCCAAGTTCTTGTGAGCTGGCAATCGAGACCCGCCCTTGCGGCATTTTGGAGGAAATTATTGAAATACGGGCTTGGGTACAGGATGGGAAGGTTGGCTGGGCCTTTAGACTTTGCTCTTGAATAATGGAGAATCCAGTTTACATGCTCCTATACTATGCTATGCCACTCTAAATGCATGACCTGGTCGTGGGACCTATCCATCTAATTCTCCTCGGAACCCATCAAACCTCCGGTTAGCCCCTTCATCCTCCTTCCTAGCAGGTCATCCTCACTTGCCAAACTGACCAAGCTCTTCCTTCTACCTCTCTCCCTTCTGCCCCTTCCTCTGCCTCTCGCAGGCCTGCTCAAACCCCCATTCCCTCTCGCCTTCGATGCGTCCGGCGGGCTCGGCTTCCCCTTGCCTTTCGACAAGACTGTCATTTCTAACGGACGGTCTTCTTCAGCAGACGATGCTGTACCAGAGCGCTGGTGATGCCGGCGCGAGTTGGACAGGCCATTGACGGCTTCCACGAGACCGAGCATGGTGCCAGAGCCAAAGTAGTCGCTCCGCTCCCCTCTGCGGTGTCTAGTAGGGTCGCGTGCTTGAATCGGTGTAGTCCCTCCCTCTAACGCCTCTTTCCGCTCTTCCCACTCGAAGGCTTCCTTAAACCACTTGCCGCATCTGTTGATATACTTCCAGCCCTCGGGGAATACAGACACAAACTGCAAAAAGCCGTGAGAGATGCCCGGAATGAGATCTACGTTGACGTAATCTTCTTCCCTGAACTCGCCGCGTGCCCAGTCGAGCCCCATCTCTTTGCCAAAAGTCCAATCTGCACGTTTTGCCTGCCGTAGACGACCTGCGAAAATGACGGTGTCGTCCACGAGGGGATCTCGTTCGCCCGTCAACATCCAGGTGGGCGGGAATTTGGCGAGTAGTGACTCTGGCGCGAGGAGAGGAGAGAGCAGGAAGTCGGTGCTGAAGTCTGGTCGATGATGCGGTCCGATGTAGAGAATGATCATGGCGCGCATCATCTCTGGAGTGAGAATTCGATCATTGAAGTACGATATCATGCTAGACATCGCGAGGCGAGTCTTGATGGCATTCACAGGCGCGGCAGGCGCAGGTGTCAGAGGAGCCGCAGGTTTCGGGGTGACAGCGTCGGGCGTTTGCACAACATGACTTGCGATCGTTCCGTTCAAGTTCGTAAACGTGTTGATAGGACGAATAGGATGGCTGTCTTTCCCTGTATGTGCTGCAGAAAGGTGTATTGCCGTTTGAGGAGACGTGAGCACGCGCTCGCTCGTGGGGGTAGGGGCTGAAGAATCAGGGACTGGGGATGTGCTCTGCGCTTCATCCTCGCTGTCCGAATGATCCGAAGCGCCAGGCGTATTAGGAGCAAGGTGTCGGTAGTCATCGCCCTTGTGTCGAAGAATGGAGCGATTCTGTTTTCGGACTCGCCGGTCACGGATGAGTGCCATCTGCTCATCCGTCATCCAGTTCCCAATATTCATATCAAGCGCTGGATAGATCAGAACAACACCAGCCGGAGGCGGTAGTTCGCGCTCGCCCTGCCACCTCCTCGTTTCCGTCGAGGCGGTCTGCAAAATCATCAACACCATCCCCACGGCCAGATTCCCGCCTGCCGAGTCTCCAGATACCACGATCTTTGGCATTTCCTCTCCTGATAGCCCCACACACCTCCCTCTTGTCGCCACGATTGAATGATAGGCATCATAGCACTCGTTCAGCGCATACGGGTACGGCCACTCAGGAGCCTTCCTGTAGTCCAGGCTCAGCACGGGAAAGCCGGTTTTGCCAGCCCATCCCATAAGCTTATCATCATGATTTCGAGGATCCATTGCGACAAAGCCTCCTCCGGGTATATCCAGAATCACCTTGTCCTGCCTCTTGAGCGCCGAAAGCGGGCCATTGAAGTACAACCACGCAATTACCGGGTCCTTGTACGAACTCTCCCTCGGACGCGGTATTCTGATCTTGCGTGGCGGATACCACATAAGCCGTGGCCTCATCAAGCTCGTCAGCGCCGCGAGATACGGCGTGGTCCCTTTGTTCCAGCTAACCCGCAGATGGTCTACGGTCATCGTACCTCGCACCTTCCGCACCTTCTCATCTGCTTGCTCCGCGCATATCATATAGTATACGCTGCACACCAAGGACATGAAATCTCTCAATCCCTTCCGCTTTATCCGCATAGCGGACCAGAAGCCCGCGTCGAGCGCCGTCGTAACCCATGTTGCGCGGAAGTAGGAGCGCGAGTAGAGGTTCGCAAGGGGCTCAGGGCACTCGAGGCCTACGAGCTTGCCGAAGTTGCGGGCGAGGTAGAGGTAGAGGAGCGTGATGAGGAGGGTTTGCCATGCGGTGAGCTTGTGCGAGAGGACGGCGGAGATGCGGCGAACGAGGGGTGGGCCGTGGCGGTCGCCTCTGTACGCGGTGTCAGCATTGGCGCTTCTTGTGAGGTCCGGGGTGTGGAGGATGGCATGGAGAAGGCGCACCTGTAGAGGTAGAATGACCAGAAGGATACTACTGCAAGCACCTGAATCTTGCGGAACTGGACAGATGGCCTGCCCAGGACATGATCTATCATGGTCACGACGCTGCGTACTTATGGTCCAGCAAATATCCTCCGCAAAGTCCGCGTATTGCTAGAGAATGGATCGCGGCGAGCCGGTGAATCACGAAGCGCTCCACGGGTGCTTTCATGGGCTCGGAGCAAACAATGGTGCAGAAGCAAAAGAAAGAAGAGAAGCAGGTCAGCCGTAGTCACCCATAGCTCCGGCATGGTCAAGTCTGGCCTTGTTCTAGGAAGGCTGTGACTGGCAGGCGACCAGCATGTGACGCGTGATATCCACGATGCGCCGGACATGTGAAAGGAATGACATCGGCATCGGCTTTATCCGCATGCGCCTGTGGCGTTCCCACCAGCCACCTGTGCCACATTCCTCTTCGAGCGGCTTTCAGAGGGCGTAGCGCGGACGGCTTATTTTTGGCGACGCGTAACACAAGAGAGCTGATGTGTGAGATCCGCTGTGCGACATATTTGCGGGCTTGGAAAGTAAGGGAGAAGCAGGTTGGAGGCGTGTCACAGCAGTCTTCGGACACCCATGAACTCCACCTCGAATTAACCAATTATATCTCCACTGATCATTTCCCAGTGCGTTCTTCGATCTGGCTACATACCATCGCCGGTGCATTCAGTCTTATCCAGGCATCCCCTTAGGCCTCCATCAACAACAACGAAATGAGTGATTCCAGTGCCAACATATACATGCACTTAAGAGACTCGCACCAAATCAGGAGCTCTTTCCACTCCCTCCAACACTCACACTCCGAACCCACTCACTAACCTCAAAACCCACCCTTCTGAGCGCAGCCTCCGCAAACCGTCCCTCCTTCTCCCTCTGCACCGTCAAGCATCGAACCTCATCATTCAGCTCAACCAGCTTCCCACCTATTCCGCTCCCAGCAGAGCTATCCTTGTCTGCAGATTTCACATAAATCGTAAGATCTGGCCCCACGGTTCCCCGCCAAAGCGTCGCCATCCACTGCCAGTGATCCATAGGGCTATACACGTCCTGAATAGGAATCTTGGAAGCGTAGGCGTCGGAGGCGCGGAGTTGGTAGGTGGGGAGGATGACGACAGGCTTGGGGCTGAGCGATGGAGACTTCATCTGCGTGTCTTCCTTCTTTCCCTTTGGATCCTTTTTCTCAGACTCGGAGTCGGATGCGGGAGGACGAAGAGACGTGGTGATATATTGGATCATCTCCTTGCTCTTGCCGTGCCATTCCTTAATGAGGTCCAGATAGTCTTCGAATGAGACTTCCTTCTGGTTTGCGGCTGGGCCCTTCGGAGGCTCAGCAATACGAGGACTGTATTCCTTGTCTTTGGCGAGGAAGTTGTTGAGCCACCCTGTGAGCTCCCCAACTGCCGCTGCGTCATCGCCTTCGACAGCGATGATGGCGCCGCGGACCTGGATTGCTGGGCTAGTTGGACCGGGGTCCTTGAGCGGAGGAGTTATGCGACCAAGAACCTTAATCTTGACGGGAAATGGAACGCTCATCACCATCGCTTCCACGCTCCTGCTCTGATCATGTTGATTTGTTACGAGGACATTGAGATCGACCGACCCGCGGCGGACATCGCGAGGTGTTCGTGGAGGAGGCATGGTGGCAGTGTTCGGAGGGGAAGGTCGCATATGGATAGGGGGAAGTGAATCTCGCCGGGCGAGCCCAGAACTGTAGTATGAGGCTTCTGGTCTGCGTCCGTTGGTCACAGTTGCGTAGTTGTTATATCGTCGCCTCTTTAACTCTGGCGTAAGCGGACTATACATCGTTGCGTCCTCGCGAGCAGCCGATGTTACCTGGATGTTGCTGAGGCTAGATGGCCCAGGGCCACGGCGATGAGCGGGCGATTCTAAGCTGAGGTTGCTCATCATAGGTAGGTAGCGAGTCGTCGGGGTGAGGCCCTCGGAAACGTTGGGTGGTGGCAACAAAGGCGTATTATTCGCACTGAGAAAAGGGCTTGTAGGAGTCTTGATGCTGCGACCACCGCACCTTGGGCAACGATACTTGTCCACAGTCGTGTGCTGGCCCGATGGATTCAAAGGCAGTGATCCGGGTTTCCCAAGACGGCGGGGCTGGTATCGATAATCGGGATATTGTTGGTGATGCCTTGCTTTCTCCTCCTGCACAAAATGTTAGGCACCAACTGGGTGATGGCTACCAAGGGAGCAATACAACGTACCTGTGCAAGATCCTGCCAAACCTTTTTCTGCTCGTCGCTTTCAGCCTTCCACTGTTCGCCGACGATCTTCGAAATCTCAGGATTTGCGAGTCTAGGATTGCGGGCGACGATGGCATGCTGGTGGTGCTGGCGATAAAGAATAAATGCTACAAAGAATCAGCGGCTGAGCAATACGTCCGCAAACAAAGACATGCTTCTTTGTTCCCAAGTCACTCGTCCCGTTCTGGTATATCTGGCATGCGGGGTATCGGGGATAAAGACGTAATCGGACTTACCGTTCCGCGGACGGGGAATCTTGGGTTCAGGCTGGCAGAGGCAGACGCTCCCTGATAATTCTCCAGACCCCGTTGATGAAGCGCTTGGGGGAGGTCTAGGGTCTGTGGGACTATCACCGTCGACAGTCTCTGCCCCATTGACCTCGTCGTAGGAAGCAACTCTCTTCTTACCAGACGTAGGAGAAGACGAATCCGACGAAGGGAGCTCCTGTTCTTTGGTGCGCTGCACTGGGCTAGACGTCGATGCAGACCGAAGCTCGTGGATCCTGCTGCTCTTCCGCAACGTTCGCGGAGACTGCACGTCCTCCGTAGGGGAGCGCGAAGCATTGTCGCCAACCTGCATGTTGGATTTGACGTATCTCCTGGGGATGTTGAAAAACGTCGCAACGGGAGGAGCTGGAGGGGGCGGGGTCCGAAGAATCGGCGGCAGCACACGACTTGCCAACATTTTGGATGGATTTGGCTGATGACGGCGGATTCAGTGGTCTGCTTTGAGGGTGGATTTCATTGTACCGTGAATAGGAAAGAGGTGCGTCGGACGAACCACCGAAATCGGCGGCTTCTTTGTAGGTATTATGAGTAAACCCCTTCAGTGCCATCGCGCTTTGATGAAGACCCGCCGGCGATCCAGTAATTTGATTGTTCCAGACAGATGCGGTCGAACCGCGGATGCTCGATGGGAGATTCTTTGTTCGCGCTCCACCAGAAGCGGCCAAGACAGCCGGCTAGCCGGTCTCTGAGACATTCCAGCGCAAGTTATGCAAGGAGGCGACAATGCCACGACAGTCCACAATGGTTCGAAAGCAAGATATCGAAGCTCTCGGGGAGCACAATTCCACTATTCAACTAGCATGCCACACTTCTTTTGTGAGGCGAAGCCCGGGACGGCCGTTGAGCAGGCCAAAGAATGGCCAAGTGTTAAAGGTGTGTTCAACACAGGCTATTAATATCCAGGAGGAAATTTCAAGTCGAAACCTGCTCCATCTTTTCGTTGGCTTTTCGGATCCGTGGCGGAGCCCTGCATTGCTCGCTCCCGAGCGTCGGTATTGATAGTATTGTTCGCCCGGACTAGACGAGCGGCCTCTTTTCCGATTAGCTGGTGAGCAGGCCCGCTAAGATGCATCTCGTCCCTTTTACCTGTCAGACTGAAACACTGCGTTTGCGCAGACGAGTGACTTACCAGAATAGGTGACCAGCTGGATCGAAGCACTTCTCGATGTCGGCTGCTTGCAGATAGCTTGCGTTGCTCTCCGTCTTTGATGCCAGACAAGGCCGTTCGACTTCATCGAAGAGTGGTTTCTGTTTGCCAAAGCCGGTCGCGTCCGAAATCTGCTTGGAGTAAAGTTGTTTCGCCCGAACCTGGTTCATCACGATGCCGTTCAAATCAGGTATAAACAGGTCGCCCTTTCCCCATCCAACGGAGGCTTGAGACAGGGCCGTATTCCAATAAGTCCACAAAAACACTGATTGGTGCTGCTCGGCGGCGAACATGGTGGTCGACTCGTTCTTCCTGCTGGCAAAACGTGGGAGAAATGTCACATCCACAAGCTTGGGAATCACAACCTTGATCGGGCCTCCAACCTGATCGGCGAGAATATCAAGGTTATGGAGCAACTCATCGATGCTGCGGTCGATTGCATGAATGGCTGCCTCCTTCTCCAACGCGGAATACTCCAGAAGATCCCAGATGCCAAAGAAAACGGTGAACACCGTCCACTCGTCTATTCTGCGGAGACGTTCAGGTATCTGCCTCTTACGCTTCTCAAATTCGAGAAACTGTTGCACTTGCGTCTGAAAGTCGAACAGGACGAGCGTCTCGTTTCTTCTCTCTGAGGTGGCATTGGCGAAGATGTCTGAGTCTACCATGGAACCGACGGTCATCATCTCCACATTTGACGGGATCGAGCGGGCGAAATTGTCAATGAAGTCGCAGTTCAGCTGTGAAGTGTTAGTCCCTCGTTCCATTCACGGTAACTGACACAGACTCACCTCTTTGCATAGCGCCTCAACCCAAAGCTCTCCCCGATCCGGGTCCCTGTCTCGGGTGGTGGATTTAGGTGGTGGAGAGACTCTGTATCGCCCAATATCCGACCAATCGTCTCCAAAGACGACCACACGATGCGCGCTGCCTCTCCATACGCTCTGTATGCTGCTTTGAATGGGTATCGAGGGCCGCAGCCAGGCGAAATACAGTATGAGCACAACTGAGGCGGCCGCGCACACGTGCAATCTCGTAAAGAACCTCATTGTGGCTCGCGGAGTGTACACAGTCCAATGTGATTTCGTTCCGAGACCCCCGCAGAATTAGGACTAGAAGGCAGAGAAAGAAGCAAGAAAAAAGCCGAGAAAGATAGAGCAAACGGCGTTAGAAGGTAGCGAAAGCCACGAAGCGTAGCAAAGTAGGAAAAGGGCAGGGGAGATTTGTTTTCATTCAAAGGTACGAGGAGTGAGACCGAAAGGAAGACATGTTTGTGAACAGTAAGGTAAGACGCACTCAGCCTGCCTAACTGAGGCTAGGTTGGAAGCCTACGAAACTGCGCCATGACGACGCCGTGGAGCAAGCGCAGCATCGGGGACTCAATCCCAGGCCGCAGGCGTTAGTTCCAGGGTCGCTTACGCACTCTCCTAGGCCCAAAATAAGAAAGTCATCGCGTGCTGCCCTAATTGCAGCAAGGGTCAGCGGCAAAGATGTGCTTGCAACGCGTTCCTCGTACGGCAATTAAACATCGTGAAACAAGCTCCTCTCAAGCATTCGGCCCACGGAAGGCCAAAACGAAAGAGCGGGATGCAGCCCTTGGGGACAGGCGACCTGGGCTGACGGTGCGGACGTATGAGGCTGGGGGCGGAATTGCGATGCGAGTGGATGAGGTTTGCCCCGGCGATCGCTCGCTTCGCAAGCCACGTGAAAAGCTTATCTCCGGGCGCCATCGTGCCGACTTCCGGGCGCTCGGGCTCTAGAAACGACCGAGAGGACAAGTCTCTTGGGAGGGACTTTCGGATCCCCAAGTATCTCTGCCTCACATCACATTTCAATGCATGATTTTGCTTATACAAGTCTAGGAGAGTCTGAAGTGGATGTCGCTCTGCTGACGTTGTATCTTACAGATCTGCATGCCTAATAATAGGATCGCCCCATCGGGCAGATAGAAGTGTTTGAAGAAACTCTGTGTGTGTCTCTGGTATCTTAGATGCGAAGATGATGCCAACATCTTGCGCCTGTGGTGTGTGGGAGTGATAGAATGCGCCAAACGCTGCGAGGAGAAACAGCCAAACCAATGAGCAAAAAGCATCACCACGCTGTATCCCCGCCAGAGTACTCATCCGAACAACGACTCTCCCGTTGCACTACCCTCCCCAAAGACGCTGAAGCCCTGTGCTTGAAGCATGGAGTCTGCAGCCACCGGCTGGCCGAGATTTTGTGCATAATAGGGTGTCTTTGCTGGAAACCTAGTCCTACTGGGACTGTCACTCACTTCGACCTTCGTCTCCTTCGTACCGTTTCTTGCCGTCTCCGCTTTCTTCCTTGGCTTCTCTTTCGGCACTGCTAAACCGTACCGATGGAATTTGTGTCGATTAGGACGCCCAAAGATCTGTTGCGGTGCTTCCAGAGGCGCGAACTGAGCGAGCCCTTGGGACTCCTCAGGATCGATGAGAAGAACCTGAGCATTCTGGATAATGTCGGTGATGCCGGCGTCGTCTTCCAGCTCTTTGGCTTCGAGGTGTTGCTGTCGCGACATCTTCTTCGCACGCTTGAAGATAGCTTCCTCGATCGTCCCTTCCAGAACAAGCGTCTCCACGAGTACTTCCTTGGTCTGGCCGATGCGGTGCGCTCGTTTAATCGCCTGGGCTTCGATCCCGGGGCGATTAATCGGGTTGACGATGAGAACCACGCTCGCGGCATTGAGATTGAGCCCCAAAGCGCCGCAGGCGACATCAATCAGCAGCACGCGGATGTCGGGATCCTCGTTGAATAACGCCACGTATTCAGATCGCTTGGTGTTATCTAGTGTCCTTGCATAAATACGGTGGTTAACGTAGAGCATTTCGAGACATTGGGCGATGTAAAATGCCGCGGAATCGCCGTCGTAGAAGATGATTATCTTCTCGTCGGCTTGGTGCTTCATCACTTTCCCGATGAGATAGGAGAGCTTTGCCGACGTGGTTCCGATTACACGCGTATCTCGCAAAGGGGACTCTATGGGAAGTTCTGCCATTTCATCGGAGAGCGTGAGTTTTCGCTTTCTCTTTTTCGGTCGCACAGGCGAGACAGGGGTACCGGGCGTGATCACTTCAATCGTCCCCTCCTGATCTGTTCCATCGTTCTCAGTCACCGAAGGCTTGGACTTCTGGGGCGATGGCTTAGACTTCTGAGGCGACGCGTTCGATGTTATTGTTGACGTTCGACGACTGGTTAGTGGTTGCCCTTGAACACACGATGACGGTACTCCTGCCTTCTTCAGCTGGTTGTCTCCTGCGGCTTTTTCCATGCTCTCTTTCGTTGCATTGTCAGTATCCTCAATCGCCGCGAGCTTCGCCTTGGCCGTCTGGCCGACGATATCTAGGCCAGTAGCCGGACCGCCTGGGGAAAGGATGTTTGAGTCAACGTGGAGTTGCGCCTCCAGCAACTGGGTGGCGCCGACCGTTGTTGGCCCCTTCGGAAAAGAGAGAGAGAAGGACTCCTCAGACTCCTGGGGCCATTCTTCGATAGCCATACCGACCTCGTGTGTCTTGCTCATGGAAATCCAGCTCTCTGATGTGGTGAGAGACGAAACGACGCGACTACTCTCAAGCAGCAGGTTTGCATCCTCGACTGAACATTTCTTGTCTTCTTTGCCAATGTATTTGCTACTTATCTCCAGCGTCATCGCCACATCGTCCAGGCTAAATCCAGTCCATGTGAGGGTTGACTGTCGCAGATTCTTAATCAAAATGTGCCGAGCTTTAACGCTATTCTTGTGAAAAAGATAGTCGACATCTGATCGCTCGCTAGTGATAGCGTTGGCGCGGAGGACCTGCAAGTACACATCAGTAAGTGTCTCAAATCAAACACGTTATATCCCCGAAGGTCTTCAGGAATGGCTTCTTAGAGCGAAAGCTTACCTGGATAAAGAGGTTTGCAGTCATCTTATCGTACCAGCAAGGCTTGAGATAGACCACTCGATGCTTCAGCGGCGGAAGCACAATATCTCTCTCAACGTCCTCAGGTCGAGTTTTGACGACCAAGCCTTCCAAAGTACGAAGGAAACAAGCTGAAAATCCGGAGTACGTCTTGCGATACTGATGCTCATGGCGATAAATGTACTCATCCCAGTCAAGCCTCCCTTCGGAAGTGGAACGATCGCACCATGGGCGCACCATCAAGAAGTTGGAGGCCAAGGACCCAAGAGCTCTCGCAGCTTTCGTGTTCTCGTCGTCGAGGCTGAAAGTCTTCCTCTGCTCAATAGCTAGCTCGCGGAGGAAAGTTGGGTCGGCTGCCGCATCATCATTCAGGGTCGAAACGTCAACCTCGACTCCCACCAGATTCTTCGCTGGGGTTCCTGTGATCAAAGTTAGCGAAAGCTCTCAAAGTGGGTAACAGCACTTCTATGTCCACCCTAGCGCTTGCGGCGTCGATAACGCCCCTCCTGGAGCACTTCAGTGATCGCAAGAGTGCAATAACCAGCTATTAGACTATACCAAAATCTCTACGTACCTGACACAACCCATCGCCGCTCAGCCTGAATTTGCTTGGCTACTAGCACAGCATTGGACACTGAAGATGAGAAGCTATGGCCCTCATCAATGATAATGCGGAGCCAATGGATCTTTTGCAGCGGACTTTCATATATGTTGCCTTTACAAGAGCAGTCGGGTATTCGAGAGGACCCGATATAAGGACATTGACAGCTTAGTGGAGCGCCAACGACTGCTCTGCGACCCCACTCGTCAGCTCCATCCTGGATCTCCTGCTCGAACCTGTTGCGAGTGAATAGTATTATGTCATACTCCATAAGCTCGGTCGGCGCGGGTAGGTCGCTACGGAATTCCAACTGATCCTCTTCGACTTTAGGGGCTTTCAACTTCGGGCCGCGCTTTGGAGTGGAATCTACGACGAGGATCCGGAGGCTTTCCTTCAGGACATGCTTGCGGATCTCGGATTGCCATTGGTGAAGGAGATTTCGCGGAACAACGATGATTGTTCCAGAGCACATAACCATTTGTCGCGGTGGGGGGATTATCGTATTCCTGTTCATCCGAGGAAGGTCAGGCGGGATCTCGTAGTAGGCAATGTTCCGCTTAAGAGCATCTTTGAGGTTCCCCAGATCAAGGTCTTCAATCGCTTCGAACCGTTCCAGGGCCGCTTTTCCAGGGATGCCATACCGACAGATGATGCCAGCCGCCATGTCCTTCAACGAGCCGACACGCTTGCGGACTGGCGGGGGAGGCTGGTACGCGGGCGGAATCCGGGGCAGATGTCCCTTGGTCGCCAATATCACGGCCAAACAAATGATTGTTTTTCCCAGGCCCTACTCGATTAGCCGTCGTGTAAATGTGCTCGAGATTGACTTACCATAGTTTCCGCGAGGATTCCGCCGCGATTGGATTCGTAGAAGCGCGGCTCTTGTAGAAATGACCCGTCACGCGCACCAAAGAAGAAGTTCTGTCCATCTGGCGATTGCCGAACTTCCAAGCGTGGATCAAGTTGTAGCTGAGGCGCCGCCTCCCGCTGCATCATTAGACTCGCAGACCTTGCTTGATAAGGATAAAGCCTGGTCTTCAGTCCCTCAAGCGGCTGCTCCTCGAACTCATCCGGCGGGAGCGGCACAGAGGAATCAAGAACGTCTTCGACTGCTCTCCTCGTGTATCGGTTCTTTATCTTCTCTGGTGCTGGCGCAGGGGACGGTAACTTATTGAATAAGTAGAACAGCGAAAGATTCTCTGCGCTCGCCCATGGATCGAAATGACGAATCTCTGCCTCTGAGTAGTCCCCAGTCCACGCTTCTGGGGAGATGTCGACCTGATGAAGGAGCTGCCGCAGCGCAGCTTTGAGACTCTTACTCGTACGGTCGATAACACGGCGACCCCAGTCTTCGGGAAGGACATATACGCGGAGGGTATTATGCGTGCTCTCATGATTGATGCCTGAGCGATGAAGAAATAGGCGTATCCAACGAGCTTCGAGCAGCCTAGAGGCCTCCGTGCCGATCAACAATTCCAAGTCGTCCGGTAAGTCCGCATGCAGCAACTCAAGCCACTCTGCATCAGGGGGCCCACTACCGACAATGCTATGAAGCGTATAATCCACGTGAAGGCAGCCTAGGGCGATATATCGCTTTATGTCCCGGAATTGTGAGTTGTCGTCGGAGGCTGAAGAGAGAGATGTCATAGGAGTTGAATCCGGTGTCGCGGAGGAGGATGCCATAATGGATATCGTAGAAGCGCTCTCCTGGGCATAGTACTCCTGCGTTTGGTTTTGGATTGATTTTCCAGACGATCCTAATGCTGGAGACTCCTTTGCGTAGGCTGCGACAGGAGGATCGGCCACGCCTAGAAGATCCATGGTAGCTTCCCGCGTCATTCTCGAGCGTTATATCAGGCGGTGGTGCATGATTTAGACATATATGATGCGGAATGGGTTCTGGGGCGAATGCGACTACGGGGAAGTGAGAAGTGAGGCAGCTGCCAAGCCTCAAGTGCGATGCACGAGCCACACGGAGATAAGCCACACTAGCTGATTCAGCAGATGTCAATTCCAAGGTTGCCGTGTCTCCCATGCTGGATCATGTTGTCGTACTTTTGTCTATATACTCATACCCATATGTAAAATATCCCTGGACGCCATGCTGAACGACGTGATGACAGTATCTCAAACATTGCGTTCACTGCATCTCCTGCTGTCCCTTCGTTCCCTGCACTGCTTCGCCCTTATCCAGAACGCTCTCCATCGCATCTGCCAAAATAGCCATGCCTTCTTCTATCTCTGCTTCAGAAATGACAAGCGGTGGAACGAACCTAAGGGTGTTCGTCCCGCAAGTAATAACAAGCAGTCCCCTTTCCCTAGCCGCGGTGACGATAGGTGTGGGATCAGTGACAAGCTGCAATCCGAGAATCAAGCCTCGACCCCTTATCTCCTTAATTTGACCAGGGAAGCGCCTCTGTAGTGACTCAAAGTGCTTGCGGAAGACTGCCTCCTTCGCGGGAATTGAATCCAGAATTTCAGGCGATGACAACCGGCCAAGAATATAAGAAGCTACACGGCTTCCGAGAGGATTGCCGCCGAAAGTCGTGCCGTGGTCACCAGTCTTGATATGGTCGCAGACAAAGTCGTTCACAATAGTGGCGCCAATTGGAAAACCGTTGCCGAGCGCCTTCGCGGTAGTCACCATGTCCGGATGGCATCCCTGCGGATATCCAGCGTGAGCCCAAAATGTACCTGTCCTGCCCAATCCGCACTGGATCTCGTCATAGATGAGGACGGCGCCAACCTCAGTGCACCGCTTTCGCAGCGCAATGAGAAATTCTGGCGAGGCTACATTCACCCCGCCTTCGCCCTGGATTGGCTCGACTATTACGCCGCAGGTCTCCTCCGTCACCAGATCGTTGATCGAATCAACGTCGTTAAATGTACCGTATTTGAAGCCGGGTACCATGGGTGCAAAAGGTTTCTGATACTTCGGATTCGGCGTCGCGCTCAAGCTGCCCATGGTTCGGCCATGAAAGGAGTTGTGGAAGGAGACGAATTCGTATTTGGGCTTATCTGGAGAGACTGATTTGCCGACTTTGCGCGCGAACTTGATCGCTGCTTCGTTGGCCTCGGAGCCGCTGTTGCAGATAAATGCACGGCTGGCAGAGGCGAACCCGCCTGTCGCGTGCGTAAGCTGGATGAGCTGCTTTGAGAGGAGGCCGGTGAGCGGGTTGTGGTAGAGGTTCGAGGTGTGCATGAGTTGTCGCGCCTATGCGGTCTCAGTGAGCATTCCAGTTCCCCACAGACTTCATGCTGCGCTCGTCAGAGGGGAGCGCACCTGCTCAGCAATCACCTGCGCAACACCCTCGTCGCAATGACCCAACGCGTTGACAGCGATGCCGGCTGTAAAGTCGAGGTACCTCCTGTTCTCAACATCCCACATATAGCAGCCTTCTCCTTTCTCAAACATCGGCGGGGGCCGGACATAGGTCGGGACCATGTATGGAAGTTGTTGGTTTACGAGACCGGCCGTTTTAGAGGATGAGGGTGGGTCTGGTGTAGGCAAGGAGGTTTCCCGCTGCTCCCGGTCAGAAACTGCAGCTATGCAGAGCAGAGTGCTTAGAGATGTGCATACCGCTATTGAGTCCTTCACATCTTGTGGTAGGCTGGAGTCCTTCAATGCCGCAGCGGCGATAGAAGCAAATCGGACAAAGCAGCAATTGCCCCGTGGAGCACGGAATGCGGCAGAAATTCGCCTAGAAGAGAGTCGCAAAGCCATCGCGCCCGAGAAACACAGATATGGAAGCGAAAAGGCAAGAAGGCAAAGTTATAGCTGGGGTATCACACAGGTTGAAAGCTGTTTAGCCTGACGTGACTACTTGAAATTTGATCTTTCCCGGGTCCTTATCGATAAGGCTGCCGAGTTCGGAGTGACGTCTGGAACTCTTCCAACGCCCACACGACGTCTTTAGCACGATGTAGTTTGATGTGAATATGGTATCTAAGCCCGTGGAAATGGCCTTGCGCCCTGAATGCTGGACGTTCATGTAGAACTGCCACCAGTCCATCAATGCTTCTTAGCTTCTTTCTCCCTGCGCTTCTCCGCAATCAGCGCGTCCAGCCTTTTGAAGCTCGTTACGCCTTCCACGAAACAGCTGCCGGTCCAAGCCCACCAGAGCCGCTCAAACGGTGTCAACCCGTGCCTCGCCAGCTTCCGAACCATGAGCACTGTCTCGTACACGTGAATTCCAACCATGATTGAAATCAAATACGGCTGAATGGCTAAGCAGAAGTTCGCAAATCCGGGAAAGTGGAACAGCACGCTGTCGTAAAGGATCGAACCGGCACTGAAGTTGGACGCTCGGCTGAATACAACGTAGACAATGAAGCATTGGCTGAAGTTGAAGAGGTGCAGCGGGTGAACGTATGGCGGGATGTATTTGGTGATCGAGATGTCGCTGCGTCCTAGAGCTTGAAGGGCGTCTTTGTCCAGTTGTACCACCCGTTCGCGAGCTTCCCGGAGAGACTTCATCGGCGGGTCGAATGGGATCGTAACTTGCTCCCCGCCGCAGTCGAACTTCATGACGTTGACAGTGATGTCCGTCATCTTCGCGTGTCGCACCTGATAGAAGGACTTCTTTTGAAACGCTTCAAGATATCGACGGACCTACAACCGCTCATTAGGTCTTGGCTCATGGAAGCTAATTTGCCTGGTTTACCGAGTCGCTGTGATCCGCGTTCATGTGCTTTATGATGCGCTCCTTTGCGGCTGACTCCTGCGCTTCCGGCGTCGCCATAATGGATGTAATGGTTCCTCTGGGCTTGCAAGCTTGGGTTTCGGATGTGAATTGCTCCCAAGGAGGAGGGGTTTCGGAGCGGAACATCACAAAACCCCGAGGCTGGTTCGTGCACGCGTCAACTCCTCCTTGTCACACGCTGTCCTCTCAATTCAATCGACACCGTTGCGAATGCTCCTTGTACGATGCCAACTCGCATCTTAGACGTTGTACTCCGTACACCTTATGTAAGAATGACCAGCGCGCATGATGGGGGCGATATGGGCCATCGTAGCCTCCCTTCATCTCTCGATCGAATGCATAGCCAACTAACTGCACACGGACGGCGTCATCGCGTCGGATTCCCAAAAGGTATGAGGCGTCAGAATGACCTATGGGCCGTTTGCAGACGCCGCGTGAAAATGGACGCCAGTGACACTCAAAGGCGCCCACAAACTTGGCAGCGCGGGCATGACATGTTGATGAACCGGAACATCCTCCAACCCGTCATCCTACCCGTCGATCAAGCAAGGATAGAGGCAAGTTTTAGTGACGCCGCAACGGAGTTTTGGTGGGGAAAAAGCGGGAGCGCCACCCATTGCGTCAGAGGGCATCGTGGGTGGCTGGTGTGAACAGGGGTCTCAAGTACCTCCTCATCTCAAACCGGTTCTTGCTCAGTGACATTTTCTCTTAAACGTCTTCCTCACGCCTTACATTTTCTCGTCACAGCATTCCCATCGTACGACTTTCTCGATTCCTAGAATTTATCACCTCTTGAAACACACACAACAACATGGCGGACACCGTCGAAGAGACCAAGAGCTCCATCGCCGGAGAGGGACAGGCAAATGCGAACGCTGGGATCGGAGGGAAGGGCAGCGCAGAAAGTTCGAGTAAGAAAACCGAGAAAAAGGCACCGAAGAAGTTGGGCAACAAGAAACCTCAGCAACAGCCCACTCCTGAAGCCACTCCCGCCCCCGAAAGTGATGCTGAAGGAGAGGCTGAGCAAGAGGACGCAGAGCGAAAACAAACCAACGGCGCCGCCGACGACTCCGACCCCGAGCCGCAGCTGGCAAAGTCACAGTCGAGACGCCGCCAATCTCGTGGACGCGGACGACGAGGTGCCGACTCGGACAACGACTCTGTTGGGCGATCCGATGTCTCTGCTTCCGGTGGCCGTCGTAACCGCCAGCGCCAGAAGAAGCAGCAGGGCGGCGGCGGAGGCCCGCTGGGCGACATCAGCGAAAACGTCCCTGGCGGCGAGCTCGTTGGAGGTGCCGGTGACATGGTCCAGAACACGGCCGGCAACGCTGTCAATCAGGTCGGAAACACGGCTGGCAAGGCCCTCGGGGGCTTGACTGGTGGTGGCGGCGGCGAGGAAGAGGACAGCAAGGGTGAACAGCTCCGTTTGAGACTGGAGCTCAATCTCGATATCGAAGTTCAGCTGAAAGCTAAGATCCACGGTGACCTCACTTTGGGATTGCTGTAAGTGGTCAGCACGACCGAATCTTGAGCATTGAAAGCGCTAATTCTATGCAGCAACTAAGCGCAAAGTTCGTTTTCATTTGTTGTACGGCTGAATGATATTTGGAGCTCCGCTTCCCTGATCTTCTTGGATGGCGTTTTGGTTGGGACATCCAATAGTGTAATTACTACGGCTTCACATTTACATAGAAAATCTACGTGCCCTTGATCGCTGCGCGGTGTGCTGTGTGCTCTCGAAGTGCTGTAAACCTCTGTGGGAATTCCATCTTCGAGCTCGGATTTCGAAAAGCTGCGATTTGAGCCGCCAGAGCTTACACGGTAGGGGCAACTCCGAACTCCCCAACGCCAGCCTCCGCCTTTGTGCCAACTTTCGCCTCCTGCAAGGTCTGCATTCAATGCCACGCAATACGCGCACAAAGAAACTATGGTACGCATATCCTTGGTGCGACAGCTGTCAGCCGGCTGCTCATCAATGACGTCAGAGTCGATGATCGAGCTTGGAGGGGGTCCAGCAGGGATACGGCCTGCTGCACCACAACGCCACGCCCCCGTGCGCGCATCGCAGCCCACCCGCTCCATCAATCTTGTTTTTTGGGAGTAGTCTGGGTCTGCATAGTACCTCCGCTCACTCCTCAACTTCTGCGTTCACTTCTCCTCTCTGTGTTGGGATAACCGTCTGAACGTCAACCACCCTAACACTCCGTTTCCAACCACCTCTCTATAACCAAACGTCACACGCATTCCGCCCACCATGTCTGACCGGGAATCCGACTCCGAGCCCCATGAGCGCACGACGATGCAGCAGCAGAAGGCCATCAATGCGAAGAAGCTGGCAAAACGAGAAGCTGGCCAACAGTCCGCACGCTCACGATCCGCCTCTCGACGTGCCCGGCGACAGCGCATCCAGAAGGGCATCGAAGAAGGCAAATACATGAAGACGACGTCGCTGGAGGCTCTTGAAGAGGCTGATGCGAGCGGTGAACTGGACCAGATGGGAATGTTCGAACGTATCGGTCCCGACAGTACGTCCATGGACGGCCCCGTCACTAAAGCGCGCGCTATGCGAGGTGAGATTCCGATGCGAGGAACGGATCCGAATCAACCGTACCGTATGCCCCAGGAACAGCAGAAGAGTTCCTTGGATGACACGGACGGCTTGAAGCTGAAGCTCGAGGCCAATCTCGAAATCGAAATCGAGCTCAAGGCATCCATTAGGGGTGACCTTACCTTGTCGTTATTGTAAGTATACCCGAACTGCACTGCGCCTTTCCCTCCCGCATCGACCTATCTTAGGTTGGTACTTATTGGGGTAATTAACAGGGAGTAGTGCATGATTCTTCCCGGACGGTGACTTGGAACTGGTCGAACCAGACTTTTCTATCCAAACGACAGGCACGTGTCTGTCTGACGGGTTCTCCAACTGTATGAATTCGGCACTCTTGAGAGCGTTTCGGAGTTGTGTTTTTGACCTTGGCTTCGGGTAATCAATGAAGAGAAAAGATCTGTTAATATCATATCATGTTTTCTTGACATTCTTGTCCTGTGAGAGCATGTGTCGTTCTGGGTTGATCGCGAAGGGACCGTTGAGTAAGCCCGGTACCACGCGCCGTCGCCATCGTTGGGCAATATGACTCCCATGTGCTCCCCCCGTGGCTCGATCCTAAATGTGACGAGCGAGGTTGGGGAAGTCTGGACTGTATCCCAAAGCGGTTAGCTACGACCGCGAGTCGTTGCTGCTAATGGCTGCATTCGATAATGTTGGCCTGGTCGTGCCTTCGCTACGAAGCTGCCCACAACGTAGCCAAGTACGAGAGCCAAAGATGCTGGATGGGATCCACAAAGGCCCGCGACTAACGGCACGAACCATCGTAAACACCCTCATCAGAACAGAAGGAAGAGTTAATACGATGCGAGGAATCGGAGTCCCTAAACCGCACCCGTCCTTATTCTTTTTCTATCCCTCATTCTTCTTCTCCCGCCAGATACTGCTTTAAATACCTTAATCGTGCAGCTGCGATTGCTGCTTAAATCGCGCTCCTCGAAAGTACAACCTCACACGTGTTCCTATTCAATTGTTCTATGTCCCAATGCCTTCTTTCTCTCCCGCGCCCACCGCGCCGTCCGCAACCTCTAGTCTCGTGCACCCAAGCAACTATACTGGCCAGGACCGCACACCAACCGAGTCGCCGACGAGCAGTCTCTCACACCAATCAGGTCCTCCCACCCAGCCTTCACGCTTCTCGGATGACTCGGGTCTGGAGCAGGAGCGAACGAGCTTTCGTGTCAAAGCGCGATGTCTTAAGAAGTCACAAAGTAGCAGGTTCACTCGCACTGCTGAGTTCTCCGGTAGCAGCCAGGATGAGAGGACTCCCGCACTACCGACGGCAACCACAGACAGAAGCACTGCCAGCGATAAAACCGCAGAGGATTCATATAAAGATGCTACCGAGCAGAGCGGCTCGGATGCTGAGGGCTCTTGCTGCTCATTCGCAAGGAAAGGTCAGTCTCTGCTCTGCCATCACTCACCTTATACATAAAGTGCTAACCCAGTGTACAGCCTGGCGACGAGCTCGCGACACGGCCAGTCGTTTAAGCAAGGCCTCATGTCGGTGGGCCTTTAAGCCTAGAAAGCAGCGGCACCCACTCAAACCTGTCGCGCAGCAAACTACGAACGCTGCTCCGGTCCAGGATGAGCCCTCAACTGCCTCAGCTCCGTCTGAAGAGACAGCTGCCGATCCCGCTCTAGCTCCTACCTCTGGCTCAGCACCTTCTACGACCGACGTCCAGACTGTCCTAGCTCTTGCCGATACTAGTCCGCCGTCGCTTCATGAGCCATCCTTGGTTGATGCCTCATTGAGCCCTCTATATTCTTCTGATGAATGGGTAGATCCGCGTCCTTCGTCTACGGTCGCCGCTGTCGGCGAGAAAGAATCGATTACTCGTCGAGCGACGGCTACCTATTCTCCGCCTTGTACACCCTCAGAAGTGAAGGCGATGGAAAAAGAGACGAGGTCAAGGCATGACAGTGTTGTCGCGTCCACCGCCCCCTCTGAGGATATGCCCATCAGTTGGCATGACCGCCCTCACCAGGAAGATACTATCGGTGCCCGAATCGACCATATCAAGGCCTTAACCACCCTGAGAGAGCAGATCTGCACCGTCGGCAGCAGCTACCTCAATGCTCGCAAGGAGCTTGACCTCATACGCCCCATCTGGTCAGCAGCTACCACCCTCATCATGGACGCAGCGTCAAACGGTACCGAACTGAAGACATGGAATCTTGCCCAGGCTTACAAGCTCAAGAGCGACATGGAATACTACATCAGTCGTTACCGCATGTGGGAGGAGTATGTCCTGCAGCTGCCGAGGGGCGATGCCTGCCCAATGGATTCCAAGTTCTGGAGGGACTTCGAGCTTGGCTTGGAGGACACGGCTAACGTGGATTTGGAAGCACTTGGGGAAGAGGTGGAGCTTTTTCAAGACTGCCTGCTGATCATTACGAAGGGTCAGAATCGGGTTTCCGTCACCAGCCCAACGTGGGAAGTTGCAGCTCTAGCTGACCCCGATTTTGAAGCTGAATTCAGGGCACTGCAATCGCAGCAAGCCTCAGCACCAGTCAGTCTGCCGCAGAAACCGAAAGCGCTCGGAGGTCCTGTGCGCAGCCTCAGGGGCCTCGATGGCTTCTATCCCGCACCGGCCCCGTCGCCACCTCCTTCCATTCCTCTTCCCCCTGACCCTCCAGCAAATGAGGGTCCATCATTCCACCGCAAGCGGCATACCCAGAGGAGGACTCCTATATTTCAGGAGTGGAGGGTTGACCGACCGATTTCTTCGACCACTACGGAGATCCAGAGCCAAAACCGGGTGAGACTGGGGAGGCAATATTCTCATTCAAGCGGGTCCAAGGCACAGCAGCCGCAGGAGCCGCGTAGCCAGGCAGATGCTGCTATTCCTGAAGAGCGGCTCACCTACTCTGATCGGCGAAGACATAACCGCCGCTCTGCTTCTGGGATCCCTCAGCCCTCTGGCTCCTCTGAGCGACGATACCTCGTCCAGACCACTGCCGCCTCCAGTACTCCTTCGATGCGTAGAAGCCAGCGCGGCTCAGTAGGCCAGAAATTGTGCCTGGCATCGGGAATCGGGAAAGCTACCACTCAGTCAGCGCGGTCGTCGCTCGGGAGCACATTCCAGCCCCAGCCAGCGGCTCGCCCTTCACAGGTCCCTGCTCCTCAGCCACAACCTGTAAGCTCAGTAGGGACTCGCAACCAACCCCAGACAACAGGCATGCAGATACCTCGTCAGGTATTCAACTCCTCCAGTGCACCGCGGCCAGCCAGCACTAGCTCCTTTCTGCCTCGCCACTGCAACAGAAATTCCAGGAGTCTGCCGAACCGTACCAGCTTCGTCGCCGATGTGCAGACTCAGCATGACCCTGAACTTCAAGCGGAGTCTCTAACTCCATCGGGTGATGCTCCCGTGCAAGTCGAGCTCCACTCCTTCGTCAGTGACTCGTCCGTTACGGCTGCTACTACTGCTTTATCCAGCGAGCTCACAGCGGAGACACATAGACAGCCTCGAGAAGAAGTAGATGGCGAAGCTTTCATGGAAGCTGCTAGCGATGTCCCGGTAGATGCCGCCGTCAGCGAGTTCTCCTACGATGCAGAGTACTATGCCATAAAGCGAGAGGGGAAGAAGCAGGCTCAGTGAGAGTTCGGTCGCATATTTTCTGTTCAGAGGGCACCATATCACCTCGACGTGTCTCCTTTTATGACTGCTGCTAGCCAGATGGACTTCTAGCGTGACTCGGCAGCGTGGTGTTGGAGTGGCGTATGCGGAAAATTGATACCCAATCGATCACGACATTTGCTTTTGACTTCGCTTGAATTGGTTGCACTCTTGATATCGGAAGGCTATCCTGTGCGTCCCTCCTAGGGCCCGTTAGTATCGTTTTGCAGTACTGTTTCTATGTCTGCGAAATGCGCTCTTCCGCTGCCGTGCGTATTGGAAAGTAGGTTGGCTCAAATGTCGGCCTGTAAAACGTCGATGTATATGCCTTCGTTACTACGGTCGCTAGCAAGAACGTTTCAGAGCTTCAGAACACACGAGGAGTATTTAGTCCATTTCAATCGACACTTTTCAAGGACTACTCACCTGTTCCAACTTCAGCAAATGGCCCCTTTCTTGGCAGATCCAAACACCACTTCTGCTTTCCCACCTCTTCCGGAATAGCAATGCCTCACGTTCTCTCCCAATATTCCCACACGTCATCCCGTCTGATCTAAACGCCCTCTGCACGATGCGAATAGACCCCGGTCTCTGCAGATCTAGCTCTTCGCAAGCGAACAACCCTCCCTCCTCCTGCGGCGCATACTGCTCCTGCAACGCCCTATGCCGCCACAACCGCACCTTGGAACGTCCACGGAAACCCAACCGACCACATCAGCCAGTCCCCAGCACCAAGCGCATCGCACGAGAAACACGACCGAAGCCGTCACACTCGCATGCCTATATCCCTATCATCAGTGTTCCCTTTCGCGGAGAAAAAGAAATACATAATAAGGTAAGAGCAACTTCTTACTGCAACACACAATCAGGAATAGACTCAGCACTACGAGCTTTGAGTCCACAGTCGTCCAACATACAACGGTAGATTGCGGAAGAACAGCTAATACATCGCCTCCGGCAATCCCCTTCCGGACTCGCATAATGATACAGCACCGTATGTTCCTCACTCTGAGGACACAGATGGCTAGAAAGTACGCGACGTCTAGGGTTCAATTTCCTTCTCTCGTCTAGACGTAGTCCTTCGTGACGCACGTTTTCTGTTGCGCACACGAGGCGGCGGGGAAGGACTCGGATTGGTCGAAGTGCAGATGGAGGGGGTGGGTGTCGGGGTGCGATTTCCTAGGGCGGTTTACGGGGATTGCGAGTGGGGAGAGGTAGGTAGGATAGAGGAGGCAGCTAAGTGAGGGAATTAGATGGGGTGGGATGGCGGTTAAAGGAGTAGGGCGGAGACGTGCGTTGCATAGAGGGAGGAGGATGTTTCGGGGAGTTCAAATAGAGGCCGGAGAAGCGGTTGTGTGGGCCTGAGATGCGTTTCGCGGATCTATCCGAGCTCGGAAAGCTGGGATTGTGCCACGGTTGCGGAGAATGGGATGCTAGCGTGCAACTGTTACCGGAGAGAGGCATAGTTTTTGTAGTCTGGGGACTGATATACCCTGTTAAGCATAGCTGCGCTTCGTCTTTTGCCTTGCATGCTCGGCGTGCGTTCGGCTTCTTACTCGACAGGAGGAACCGAGCCGAGTGTCTTCTATGGTTACTCAGCCTACCTCAGCTGCTGCTGGAAAATGACGAAACTCCAAATTCTGGGGGCCGCATACCTCAAGGGATTTGAGAAGTTGCTTGAAGAAGAGCGGAAGTGATGTAGTTCTGAGGCAAAAGGTCCAGACCTAACAAGTGGCGCGTAGTAATGGTGGTGCACCTCTTGCCAGAGGCGATAGATGTTCTGCATGATGGTTGGAGGGAGTCACGACTGATAGAGTAAGTCTGAATTGTTTGCTTGGAGAGCAGGAAACTTCGAAGCCGTTAAGCTATTTGGAAAGTCGAAAAGAAAGGAAGAGAAAGGAGGATAAGAAACGGGATATCATGTGCGAGCACTGGAGGATGACACCGAAACCCTCCTCTTTCATTTGAGAAACCAGGATCGCCGGCTCGTCTAGTAAGATCATTCGGCGATAATGCGCACAGTAGCTCCGAAGTGTAAAGTGCATTGCGCTGCGTTCGAGAAGCCACAGAGGCGCAGCGGTTCACTTTTTCAGCGCAGCTTCAGGATCCTTCTGGAAGGCCTTACACCAGGCGACCCATTCCGCCGCGCCTTTCCGCAAATACCTCTTCACGTCGTCTCTCGCCTCCTTTTGCTGGTACTGTTCGTCCTGCTCAGGCGTGAGCTTCTCGACGCGATCTTTAAATTCGACTTCGAGATCCCTTCCGTGGCGTCTCGTGGGCCGCCAACCGATCGCTTCAAGCACCGACTCCTCGTTGACATCTCCAGCAGCCTCCTCGATCTGCGGGAACATATTGAACTCCCTCTTCAGGCACGCGAGATCGAGATAGCGGCGCAGAATCTCGAGATGCGAGTTCTGCTGCATCTGGAGATTGATGCTCTTCTTCTTGCCTTTCTGCTTGTGCTTGGGGACGGCTTCTGGACAGCCGAATTCCTGATGGTGGTAGCCGCATGTGCACCCGCGGATCTCTGTGTCTGCCTCTTCCGCCGCTTGCTGCTCGCCGCGCGTGATCTTTCGCGTCAGCTTGTTGCTGGTCATTGCGCCGCGCGTTGAAGTGTATGCCCAGACGCCGGAAATCTGCGTTAGACCGCCGAAGGTGACGATGACGCAGGCGTCTACGGCGGCAGCGAACGGTAGTAGCGCTGAAGCGACAAAGGCGTCCTTGCGTGATTTGTCCCGCGCGCGCATGAGGTTGTCGACGAACTCCGTACGGATCTGTTCGGGCGTAAGATGGAGGGAAGGCGGGAATATTAGTGTGAGTTCTTCTAGTGGCTTGGGTTTGGCGTCTTTGCCGATTGATATGCTGGATGAAGTTCGACTAGGTGGCCCAGGAGAAAGCGGCCCTTCTCGCGGCGATTCCGCTGTAGATGGCTCTGGTGCGGCTGTTGCATTCGGGTTCGTGTCTTCGGCGTCTTGCGGAGGTATATCCTCAGTTGTAGACGTGACCGCTCCTCCTGAGACTCTGTCGAGAAACTCAACATTGGTAGACCTCGTTAGGTTCACGCCCTTGTGGATTAGGGAGGTCGATTTTGCTTTGATGCCCTTCCATGTTGCCACGGAAGCGTTGGATATGGTGGCTTTTCGTACATCTTCTTGCCATAGCCTCTGCGTCTTGTGCCAGTGGCTCTCTTTTTCGCCTGGCGCAGGCTTCAAAAGCGGAGGAAGGGGTGGTGTATATACAAGGAAGCGCTCTGGAATATCTTCTACCTTCACGCCCTTTAAGCGAGGTTTCGGAAAGGGAATGAGGTATGCTGTAGCTTTGCCAGGTTCTAGCGTATGCTTCAAAGCATCCGTGGAAGGCAGCACGGTTATGCTAGGAAGACTGCTGCTGGATTCGGTCCGCCTCGGGGAAGGGGGCTGCTGGATCTCAAAGCCGGCTTCGCGCGCTTTCGCAGAGGAGAACGTTGTTGCCGTTTCTGATGTTCGAGAGGCTAGAGGCCGGCGAGGAATGCTTTGACTTGATGATGTTGGTCGTAGCTGGAGCGGCGCCGGCACCAGCGTGGGATCGCTTAGGCTTGTTGGGCTTCTGGGCGAGTCAACAGGGCTGAACTCTGGAGGTTGCGTGGCGCTCAATCTGGCGCGATTGCGCGGCGGTGGTTCTGGAAAGTCGTCTGGCGGGTTGGTAAGCAATTGAGGGCTATTTTCGCAGCTGTATTCTATGGGTGCAATTTGCGGTGCGTCGGCGTCCGGCAGAGGCTCGTAGGGCGGCGGGGGTTCGTCCGGCTGGTCGTGGTGTATTGTCATATCATCGAGCGGGTCGTGTCTCTGCATCACACTGGGTGTATGCTGTATCGACGAAGTTGAGGCGACATCTAGTGGATTTTCCTCTTGCGGAGTCGTAAACTCATCTTCCTCTCGTGAGTGTACCGAGGAGCCAGAGCGAGCCACCAAAGGCTCTTGCAACTGTGAAGCCATCGCGATTGTCTAGAAAGTGGAGGTCTGAGGCAGCAGTAATCGACGAACCCCGGCATATGTATATGCTCAACCTTCTCCCAAGCCCTGCAGGATAAGCATTCTAGTGGGGTGACGATGTGTGCGGATCATGCCTTGTGGCTGGACCGCTTCTGCACCGCTCCAACAATGACGAATTGGAATCCTGCAGAGTGCGAAGGAAGCGAGCCATTCCGCATTCATCACGAGCCTGTTTCCATGTCTGCCTGGCGTCCTGAGCGAGCCTGTTCGAGCCGGCCAGTGAGAAGTGCAGCGGATGCGTGATCGCACCGAGGCGGAGCAAGGTGGACTCGCAAGCTCCCCCGTAAACGTAAAGTGCAGCCGCAGAAGACTATGAATCCCCGCCCGCATCGATTAGCGGAAGGGTTATCTTGCGGCCGTAGTCAAGCCGCATGGCTGAATAATGTATGGCCAAGAACTGGGAGGCGTAGTAAGCATGGTGGGCACCGCGCCTTGGTGAGCAATTGCCCAGGTGGCTGCGCACGATGATTCTTGTTGCGGAAAGAAATAGATACACGCGAGAGATGAAGGATGCATGCACGACGCATTCACATATCTGTAGCCTTGGCTTGTCTGTGCCTTTGTATGTTAGGTGAGAGTTCGTGCCACGAGCATGGCGGGCCCACGGAAGGCAAGCTGGGGGGGATCTGCACATCTCCACGTGCTTTTCTTGCCGCGCGAAAGCCGTTGCAACTACTCCAGCGACATGCGAGAACAGGGGTACTTTCTGATAGTTGATATTCGCTAAACCAGTATCAATATTCAGTCTTCTGCTAATAATCTCCCTATAACTTTAGGCTCCCTACCATACCGCCGTCAGAGCTCCAACGATTCCACTTGCAAGCGCCCCCTGCCTCGGAAAGATGTATGCAGTCGTAAGCTTGAGTGGCTGCAGGCCGTGGAACGCTTTGTGCTCGCCGTCCTCCATAGTGCCCCGAGGACCTCGGAGGCTGCTGCCTGGGGTTGCTTCAGAGCTTCACTCACCAGTCGTCGTTGTCATCCTCGTCATCTACAGGCGCATTAGCATATTAGCAATCTGCTGGTAAAGGAAAGCCACTTACCGCTATGACTAACTTTAGACTTCCTTGCTGCAAGTGCACTAGCCAATGCGCCAGCCAAACCAGCTTCTGGCGCTGCAGCTGCAGCTCCACCAGCAGCAGTCGGACTCGATGCTGATTCCTGGCCAGGAACCTGGGCCGCGCTCCGATCTCTTTTCTCCGAATCTGACACCTTTCTCAGCCTTGCACCGCCACGAATATCCGCAAGTAGGCCGTCTCGTCCGGCCGGAGCCTTGGGCACACTCGCGTTGGGCATCGGCGGGGGTGGAGGAGGCCCCGAGCCTGACGGCATGGGCGGGGGAGGCGGTGGACCGGAGCCCGGGGGCATTGGAGGTGGAGGAGGTACAGCGCTCGCTGGCATCGGCGGTGGAGGAGGTACGGCGCTCACTGGCATCGGCGGAGGCGGAGGAACAGCCTTAGAAGGCATCGGAGGGGGTGGGGGTGCATTGGTCGACGGAAGGGGCGGTGGTGGCGGCGCATTCGAAGATGGGGGCGGAGGCGGAGGAGGGGCGTTTGTCGATGGTGGAGGAGGGGGTGGAGGAGCTGCAGCTGTTGGCGCCGCTGGCACGGGACGGGAAGCCGAAGGGGGCAGTGGTGGAGGTGCGGGCGGCGCGTTGTTCGTCGGTGGCAGCGGGGGAGGTAGTGGAGCCGCTGCACTCTTTGGGGGCAACGGTGGTGGTGGCGCGGCAGAAATTGGCGGAGTATCTCGCGATGGCGGTGGAGGAGGGACTGGCCCGCGAACCGGAGGAGGTGGTGGACCGGACGGTACCCGGTTTCCTGTAAAAAGGGGCGGCACTCCAAACTTTGTTCCTGCCGGCTTCTCGCCATCCTCTACTGGTGTCTTTGGGGGCCGTGGTGGAGGCACTGGGCCCGGATTTCCTAGAGTGTTGGATGCGGCTCGGGGCCTGGACGGCGGCGCTGGCGGTTCGTGAGCAAACTTGCCTGCATCTGCGATCGGAGGTGGAGCACGGAATCGGTGTACTGGAGGACCTGGAGGAGGTGGCGGTGATGCTTGTCGCGGAGGAGAGGGCGGTGGCGCTGGACTCGCGGATGAGGTTCGATTGATAGCGGGAGCGTCTGTTCGCGTTCTGCGAGCTGGTGGAGGGGCTGGGGGAGGTCCCCTTTTCGAGCCTGAGCTGCCAGTATGCTGGGGGCTAATAGATGCTCTTCCCAGAGGAGCAGCAGGTGGCGGTGGAGGCGGGGCTCGCGCCTTCTTCTCACTGTTGTCTGCCTGTATCTTCTCCTCGATCTTGCGCTGCTCGATGTACAGCTTGATGAAGTCGGCGTTCTCTTCGATCTGATCTTCGGTGATGCCCATAGCCAGCAGTTCTTTCAGCAGGGGCTGCCAAGAAGGATCCGTGGTATCAATTGCCGAGTTTCGTGTACTGGACGCGTTGGAATGGCTATGCTGCGAAGGGGAGGTTACGCTCGGCGGGATGATAGACTGCGGCTGTTGTTGATGGTGAGAGTGCCTGTGCCCAAAGAGACCGCCTAAAAGGCCATGGCCATGGCTTTTAGTGCCATTCGTAGCAATTCCCTCTCCCATACGTGCCGTGAAGGGCTTGTTCCTGGTGTTCTTGTGGGCATTCTTCTCGCGATCGTCCATCTTCTTCTTGAACGTCTTCGCCTCCTTCTCGTCAGCGAATGAGAGCGCCGCCAGACAGTCCTCCAACTCAAATGTATGGAAGAATACGCGGTCCTGGTTGTACTGGAAGGTATCATAGATTTCCTGGTCCCATATCACGCCGCGATTGGTCGGCTGGATCCGGTCAGCTCTGCATCCACTTAGACGGTCCTATATGCACTTACCGAGACATCGACGAGCTTGATCCAGAATGTATTGCCCACCAGGTCATTCGCCAGAACGGCGGCGCCCTGGAGCCCTGTGTAGGTCCATCGGTGCCTGTCGGGGTAGGCAATGTAGAGTTTGGCGACGGCGACGGCGTGGATCTTGTTGTTGGACTTGGGCACCGTGCGCTTTACCGTCTGCTTGTCCTCGTCGGAGAGGATGGAAGGCATCGTGTGAGCGCCTGGGGAGCCCGGCCAGGAGTCGGGGGAGGAGTCGGTGTGATGCAGTCGGGCTTTGACGAAGCTCAGCGGGGTGGTGTTCGCTCGCTGGTTAGGCAGCACATGGAGGCAGCGCTGCGCAATCCAGGACAATCAGTCGTCCGGCAATAGTAAGCGCGAGCGGGCCACGCCAGCTACAGTCGCCACGGTGTGGAAGAATGGATGTTGGGGGTGCAGTCAAAGGGAGACGTCAGAAAGGGAACGCTGCTGCGGCTCACGCCGTACCCGGCAATCTGGGCCGCTACGAAGCGCCAAGACGACTCACACACGACATTCACTGCCAACCCCCACACATACACAAGCAGTCAGGGAGCCAGGCGCGTGGCCTTTTTCCACGATGCTCGCTTGTGGGGCTATTCGGTATACGAATGTGGATATCCTACGCTTCACTCACTATCCGACTTTCCGGCCTTGCTCGCGTTTCTCACTGCTCTTTCAGGAAAAACGGGCACTCTACCGGTGATTGTAGTACCGCCTACATTGAAATTGTGATTTGGCAGGCCACCTCTTCTTCTCCGACTTGACTCATCTTTCGGTTCGGTCCCGGTTCCCGTGTTGACCGTAGTAAACCCCTGATTCGGGTGGACTTACGGAATCAACATACTCGCCACTCTGACGAAGCGAAAGCCACCGAACCTTACGAGGACACGGACACACTCGCGGGCATGTACCTTCTTCCAGCTGAAGAGATGCTATGCTTAGCTACCCATCTGCGCTCGTTGAGTCCCCTCGAGACGTAGGATGTAGTCCTCGGCACTCGCACATTTACCACGGCGGTATCGCTAGTCCGGACGTATCGATTTGAGTGGAAGTTTGCAGATCTCTTCTTGAGGTAGTAAGTAATCTTTGAAAATTTCCCATCTCTTGCTCTTGTCTACCTTCGTGCGTTGAGCATCTAGAATTTATCCCAAGAGGACGGATACATGAACCAACCTGACCCGTGAAATTGCTTGACTGCTGCTGGCCGTTTACATGATGTAACGGTAGGAATGATAGAACTTACCTCCGATGAGGGCGCACTTGTTGCCTAATATTCCGCTTCCACAGAAGCACGCCAAGCATGGCTTCGTGTTCGTACTCCTCGCATGCAGATCTCTAGTCGGCGCATCGGAGAACCGCCCTAGACTAGTACCTTTACTGGTTGGTGCGGCATTGGGTGCGGCTGAGCAATGCTTCCAGGCTCCAACAATTCGCTTCACAACATCAAGTCTGAGCTGAATGAAGCGGCGGAAATAAAACAACACGGATCCTCTGCTTATTATGGATTCAGGAAGCATCATGTGCGAAGACGATTTATTCGAAGGCTGGCTGTCGGTCCCTTCCATGGAATGTTTGTTGGACTACCAAACCCAGACTCAGCTTGAAGATGCATCCCATCTTGCTATGGAGCCGGGAATCCAACAGAGCAACAATAGAGACCAGACGAATTTACGTATGGGAGTCGGAGAAGTCGATCAATCGTATGGGTCGTATTCCATGGGCGCCAATAGCGAATACCCACTCATCGCTGCATCCGCGCAGTCGAAGCCCGATGCTTCCGCCGCCAATTGCGCCGCACGAAAGAGACGTGGCCACACCAAATCACGTCTCGGCTGCTTGGGATGCAAGAAGAGAAAGATCAAGGTGAGTTTGATACCTGTTAGCTGCGTCCGAACGACTGCTTAGTACCCCAGTGCCAAGAGACATGGCCATCTTGCGCCAATTGCATCAAGCGTGGATGTAGGTGTCATGCTCCCCACACGAATGGCTTGAGACTAATTCATAGCTGATAGGTGCTTGTAGCTATCCAACGGTCTTCAAGTATACACAGCATGATCGTATCGTTTCCGACGCACTCGGCGACCCTCGTCCGATCGTCCGACTCTCCGACACTCCAAAGCCGCCAACCTACAATGCCAACGATATGCGTCTTTTCCATCATTTTCTCGTGACTGCGCATCCAAATATACCTGCAGAGTATGAGGAGGTCTGGGTCCGGGAGGTGCCTGCCGTCTCTCATTATGTAACATACTTCCCTTCTAGAAGAACTATCCAGAATGCTGACGACCTTTAGCACGAGTACTTGATGCATGCCATCCTTGCCATAGCGGGATCTCATCTTGATCTCCATATCGACAATCCCACAACAAGTCCGGCCCTCAAACACAGGCAGAAAGCAATAAAGGGGCTCGAAGAAGCATTTACTCGGTGGCCACCGAAAGCCCATGAAGCACACGTTATGCTGGCAACTTCTTATCTACTCGCATTCCAGTCAGCTTATATTCCTGATGGTTTCTTGGACCATGTCCTGTCGCTGAGGGGATGTGCTTTTCTATCGCAAACCATTCTCAGTCATCAGCTAGAGGGAGTCTTTTCTATCGAGCCCAACATGCATGGAGCATGTGCCGAGTGGAAAATGGAGAACTTCCCGGCTCTCGACCAGCAGCTCGCCAGCGATGGGCTACATTCCATATCCCGAATCGCACTTCGTCTAGCAACGTATAGCACACACAAGATCGAAAGAGCACTCATCACCCAATTAGCCGAGTGCATCCGTCCGCTTTTAGTCCCACTTGGCCGACCCGGACTATCGCCATCGTCTGCACCGGCTGTCACGGCGGGATCTGACATGCTTGCGGCTGCTTTTCTCGGAAAACCATTCGAGGACCTTCTTCTACGCTCCGAACCAGCCGTACAGTTCGAGGAGATTTCGTGGGACACGATCACAGAGGTCCCTCCAGACCGTAAGCCCGAGCCCTTGAGCTCCTTCAACGCCCTAATTGCCAGCGCCGTTATCATCTCCACATGGCCACATGAAGAGGTTCTACGGTTGTTCTCGCCATCCAATGTCCTCGGCAGCATTGTCCTGGCGCATTTTTGCTGCGTCCGATTCGTCATCGCGCCACTATCTGTTCCCGAACCTGTGAAGCGAGCTCCCATGAAGGCATTGGTGGAGTGGATGGAGAAGATTCTCGATGCCGTGGAGGATGACGATGAGGTACAATGGACAAAGTATGTGGAGTGGCCTCAGAAGATCTTGACAACTATACGATATTGTCTCAACCAAAAACGGAATCTCACATTTGGGGATCTTCATGACATTCTGATCAATGACCCCGCGGTGTTCAGGGAGGGACGGCTGAAGGAGTTATGATGGTGAGCCTGCATATCTACTCGGCATATCTGCTCGGCTGCTGTACGGGTTCCAGTTGTGGAGCCTTCTGATTGTGTTATTTTGATCTTTTACCGTAGACCGAGATTGCTTTAACTCTTATAGAGCTACACACTCCACGGGGAGGGACAACGCACTTCACGGTTAAGCACCAATCTCCGCTTTATGGCCATTCCTTGACTATCTTCTCGCTTCTGCATCCACTTCTAAAAACAACATCCCCTCTTCCCAAAGATCTCCCGTTCGTTCCTGGGAATCAGATTTACGAACTCCCGATCTCGCGATTCACACGTGCGAGTGAGCTAAGCTTACGATGCCCGCCGGGCCTTGCCGAACACGGTGAGCATATATTGCCTTGTGCATCCAAGCGAGCACGCCGTTTCGTTGCACAGCATAGCTCTATTTTGAACACCACTTTTCATTCGACCGGTGTTTCGAAACGAAAATTTGGCCGATATGCGGGTCAGATGGAAGGTGCCGTGGGCATACTTGTAATTTGCATTGGGCTTGAAGCGCGAGAAGGAGGACGCAATGGCCGCTGAAGCTGGATTGCTCCTTAAAAGTGCTACACTATTGAAAGGAGGATATTGCTGTCTAAAAGGGGCTCGGTACTTCGATCCGGCCTTCTTTTTGAGAGTGCACTTCCCAATATGGACAATGAGCGTCTATCTACTCCTCTCTGGCGCTTGGAAGCAGACCGTTCTCTGCACGACCCTTCCATGCACTCCTCGTTACGCCCGTCGTACGTTCCTTCTGCAATAAACCCACGCATACGGTAACTCTGAACAGCAACACACAAACACAGGGCCTAAGCGCTCGGCATTCATCACTGCACCCTGAAGCAGCACATAAACGCCGCTGCAGGAACCCTCTCCGAACGTTCAGTTAGAGTTGCAGCCACCAACACATGTCTCCAGCGCGTAATGGAAAGCGTGCCTGGATGCCGATGATCCGGGGGGAAGCGCGTCGAAGGTGCCGTGGTTGCGCGCTTTGGCAGGGCTGGCGGGTATGCAGGGTGTGGTCTGAATTCGGGCCGCTGGGCGCCTAAATGGTTGCGTCAATGGAGCGAGTGTTTGTTTGTTTAGGGGCGCAGGTTTGTGAGAGGCCCATTTGGAGACCGCTGTGGTTGTGATGGGGCTGTTGGGGCGCAGAGGACAAGGCCTCGAAACGGGCCTGGGAACAGCAGTCGCCGAATGTAACGCCGTCTGAGATAGCTGGAGCACAGAGCGGGAAGTCGGGATAGTGCCGTTTTCAAGCCAATGGGGCACTCCTGGCTGTCAGCTGGCGCATGCGTACTCTATGCTGTCATCACTGCTACTCAGTCGTTCAGTCCCTTCGCAAGCCATCACCTCTATGAGATGGCGCAAAGAGCAATTCATGCTCGAAGTGGCATTCTCAGCACCTGAGTGTCTGGATCCCAGAGTCCACGATAGAAGACAGAAGGTGGATCGAAGCTTTGGCCCAACCACGGTCGTCGGATCCCGCCGTCGAAGCTTGTAGTACGGCTAGTCCTGTTTCGGATAGCCAGCGCTTACAAGACGCTCGCCATCCAGTCAAAGCGCCCTCTCCACCTCGCCGCACCCCGCTCGTCGTCTCTTCCCATGCATTTCCTGCATGTTCCGTTCGCCTGTGCGACGCGAGTACCCGTGTCCAATTCGCTGGCTCAAGTGAATCATGCGAACCAGCACAAGCCAGATGAAGAAAGTCACACACTGCGCTTTTGCCGACCAAGATACCTCTGCCCGCCCTCATTCGCCTCCCCTCCCACAATGTGGCTTACTCGCTCGTGTCGCGTCCCCGTCCAGCCCGCCTTCGCGAGAATGAGGATCGAGTGCCGACTTGCGTCAGCGCAGCTTCAATCTGCGCTGTCTGACATCAGACGACGAGATCAGGCTGAGAACAGGAGGCTGGAGATTGCGCGATGCTGTGCCACTTCGCAACGACTTTAGAGATCTCCAAAGAGCTAAAGGAAGCTCGGCACAAGCGGGATGCGAATCCCTCCGCTGCAATCCTCGACGCCTCCCGCTTAGCGTTAACCCACTCTAGGTCATGCTGCCCTGGCGTCCGCTTCCTTCCAATTGGCAAGGTCTGGATTTTGCCACTCACAGCTCACGACCTGCATGCTGCTCGCAGTGGTGATGCCCTGCGAGCCTGGGATAGATGACCAACAAGCCGCGAAGCGAGCAGGGTCCGTGATAGAGGGCTCCCATTTCGTCAATTCCCTTTACGGGCCCCCTGCCAGCATCGCTATCACATCTTGGCCCAATAGCGTGGGACGGCGTGCGGTGTGAGCGGTTGAATGCCAGATCCCGTTGGTTGACTAGACGGGACCACCCTGGACCCTGCTCTCACCCTTCTCCACTTCCGCAAGGGACATAAGGAACCCTACGGCACCGGCTTCCGTCCGACATCTGACCTCTCGAGCTCAAGCGCTATCGTCCTTATTCTCACATCTACTTCTCTTCGTCCTGCGTTTTGCGACAGCATTCGTTACCGGGCATCTTTATTCACGAGTAGAGCTGGATCTCCGCCTTTGCACCTGAACCCGAGTCAACAAGGAAAATCTGCGATTAGCGAGTGGTCCGCGACATATCGTGACCGAATCGAGTCCCCGCTGCATTTTCACACCGCATTATCACAGCCCACCAAAAATTCGCCCTCGTATCCGATGTAGAGAAGGTTTCTTGGCCGTCTTATAAGCGATTGCTCCCCGGATTCCAGCATCCAACGGCTCAGGCCAGCCCCCAGCACCGGGTCGCGCTTCTGCTGGCAGAAGTGTTCCACCAACGTCCCACGTCCATTCCCCGTCGTCGGTCGCAAATACTTTGATTCCTGGACTTCGACATGCCAGCAGTTCCGGAGACACTGGTGCAACGGGCGGGGGTGGCGGCGCTGGAGCACTTCGAATCAGCGATATCGCTTGCCGAGCGCGAGGTGATGGACGCAGTATCAACGCTTGTGCGACGGATAAACATACCAGTTAATGACACGAGTCCGCCTGGATTAATCGAAGCCAACACGCGGGACCCGTGGAACAAGAGCGGCAAATATGCATTGGCCTACGTCTACTTCTGCATACCGCTGCTCGTTGTCGCAGGCCTGTCGCGGTACTATCACCTGTTCACGGATAAGGTCCGGACCGCACTACGCCAAGAAGAGGTACTGAAGTCCTCGAAAACATCTTCCCCAGACACAGATTACGAACTGTCGGTCCTTGATACTGACAAGTCTACCATGAAGTTCTTCCCGCGGGAAGGCGCGCTACCTAGCCCGCCGAAATCGCAGTCGAGCGTTTCCTCTGTAGCGCCCGTCAACAATTGCGTGGCGTTCTTCCGGTTCATCTTCTACCGACCGCTTCGAGAAGTCCATCTCCGGAAAGGATGGAGACCCCTGGTTTTCCCTGCCCCGGCCGCCATCGTCATCGTGCTAGCTGCCACAGTTTTGGGGATGCTGTATTGCTTCCTTCCGCAGCCGCTCTTCTGGCAAAGCATCGCTTTTGGGTCGCCTCCCGTCGCTGTTAGGTCCGGTATGATGGCTGTAGCGCTGCTACCCTGGATCGTCGGACTCTCCATGAAGGCGAATCTCATCACCCTAATAACGGGCATCGGCCACGAGCGCCTAAACGTGTTGCATCGATGGGCGGCGTATTTGTGTCTCGTCCTGAGCATCATCCATACAGTGCCTTTCTACATTACTCCGGTTTGGGAAAAGGGGGCTCGGCATGTCTTTCAGTCCTTCTTCAGTACCGCCGGATTCTATCCCTATGGCACTGGTACGTATTCAGCATCTTCTTTAATGCATCTTGCGGCGGGTCTTTCTCAAGAAAGTGCAATATCGCTGGGTAGCCTAGCGAAGCCCGCGGTATTGGCTAGTGCACTTCAAGGGGACCTAGCATCTGGATCTGCCAATTGTACTGTTTGCTAACGAGAACCAGGAATCGCCGCGCTTGTCCCGCTCTGCTTCCTCTGTGTGCACTCTCTCGAACCTCTGCGCCATTGGATGTACGAACTCTTCGTCACGCTCCACGTCCCCGTAGCCATAGTCTTCCTTGGAATGATGTTCTGGCATTGCCACAACTACCTCACCTCGTGGGACTACCTATTCGCGACCCTCGGTATCTGGCTAGTGTCATATGTTATGCGCGTTTTCTACCTGAACTGGGCAAACCCCTTCCGGATGTCTTGGCTGATCGGGGACGAGGCCGCTGTAACCATCATGCCAGAAAATGCAATCAAGATCACCATCCCGACTCAGATGAAGTGGAGACCTGGACAGTACGTCTATCTACGGATGCCCGGCATTTCTGTCTTCGAGAACCACCCCTTTACCATCGCATCACTATGCAGCGACGACTTCCCTTCGGAGTATGGCGAAGGCTACCGAGACATGGTTCTCGTCTTCCGGCCTTTTGGCGGCTTTACCAAGAAAGTTCTCCGGAGCGCTGTTGAGCACGGACCCTGGCATACATATCGGGCCTTCATAGACGGCCCGTATGGCGGCATGCAACGACGCCTCGAAGCCTTCGACGACGTTGTCTTGATCGCTGGCGGCAGCGGCATTACCGCTATCGTCTCCCAGCTGCTCTCCCTCATCAAGAAGATGCGTGACGGCAAAGCAGTAACGCGGAAAGTGCACGTCATCTGGGCACTCAAACGTCCCGAAACGATGGAATGGTTTAAAGAAGAACTGCGCATCTGCCGCGAATACGCCCCCCCAGAATCCGTCGAATGCCAATTCTACATCACCACGGCAAAGCGCAACGCAGGCGGCCGCCTCGTCAGCGCAAAAACCCCCACCCGCCCCGTCTCCCTCTACTTCCACGACAAAGTCAACGACGCTTTCCAAAACATCGCCGACCACCGCGCCTCGGGCCTCTCCGGCATCTCGTCAAAGCGGCACTCAGCCCTCATCCGTGAAGAAGCTGCCGGCGATCCCGAGAAAGAGAAGGAACTCCGGCGCGAAAACGAAGATTCCATCACCGCCCTTCCGCAAGCCCACCTCCTCCCCGTAAACCGCAACCACCTCACCCCCTCAAACTCAAACCCGGACCTCATCTCCCCCGAGCCCCGCTCTATCGCCGCCCGCCGCCAAGACCGCAATCTCTCCCTCGACATCACGCAAGCCATCGAGTCCGGCACCGGCGCCGTCGACCCGTCCATTCTCATTTCCTCGCCTGCCTCCGCACATCCCAGCAACCCTGTTCAGGGCTTCGACTTCGGCTTCCCGTCCACGCCCACCGAGTTCCAGAAGAACCTCATGCGGTTTGCCTTCCTGCCGGCCGCGGTCAAGAAGAAGGACGGCTGGAGCACCGAGTACGGACGGCCGGATCTGAAGTATATGCTGCGCGAGCTGGGCAAGGGGTTTGGAAGGCGCACGTGTGTGTTTGTGTGTGGGCCGCCGGGGATGCGCGTTGCGGTGTCTGAGACGGTGGCGGAGCTGCAGAGGAGTGTATGGAATGACAGCGGGCGGGATGAGATTTTCATGCATACGGAGAATTATGCGCTGTAAGTGGGTGTGGACGAAAGGCTCCTGCTTGCTTACCTACCTCCTGCTCTCTTCGGTCTCTATCGTTTCGGTTCGGTTGTGCATAGCGTGGTTTTGGTCGGTTGGATAGGAGTTATGCTCCTCCTCCTTTTTTTCGGTCGTATATATACCCCCCCTCTCGCACCTTCATTTCTTTCTTTGTAATCATGTCGGGCTTTTGTATGATAACGGCCCCCTTTCTTTTCTATTTATTTGTTAATATTTCTTTTAAGGAAGAACGGGGGGAGGGAGGGAGGATACCCACGCACCTATACTATGAGCGGAAGCGGAAGCGCAGACTCTCCTCTGCACGAAAAGGAGTAGACGATAATGTAAAGTGTGAACTGAGTCTTTGGTCATTGAGTAATAGGTTTGTGTGAAACTATATGTGCAAGTCGAAGTATAAGGTATATACAAATGAACAACACAGCATGCCTCGTCTCTAAGCTAGAGGCCTTGGTGCCATACGCACACTAGAGTTGCACCGCATTCGCCACTACATCTTCCCCCGTCCAAAAACCCCAGTCGGCATTCACTTCAATACCGCACCTCATCATTCCAATACAGCGTCTCATGCTGGACCTCGGGCCCCGTAGCGGCAAACTCCCAGCCAAACTTCAGCCGAATGTACTGCATGACATGGCTCGCGATCTTAACATGGCCGACATCCGTCGGATGCCACTGGGGCCCGATATCATTATGCTGTAGGATACCCGTGCTGTTGAAGTAGTGCACATAGCCGTCGCTCTCGAACGCCTTGTACACGGCGTAGACCTCGTCCGTATACGCGCCCGTCTGCACGAAGCTGTTGCCGACGGCGGAGAAGCCGTTCCACAGGCTCATGAGGACGATCTGCGCCTTGGGGTACACGGCGTGCACCTCGGGGATGAAGTCGAGATACGAGCGCAGGTACTGGTCGCGGGTGACGGGGGGTTCAGCGCCGTTGGCGGTGTTGTTGTCGTTGGTGCCGATGTTGATGATAACGATGTCGGCGGGGGGGTGGGCGGCGAAGTCCCATTTGGGCGGGTCGGCGGCGCCCCAGATCTGGTAGGCGCGCGGGGAGGTGTCGGGCGTGCGGTGCCACTGGTATTCCTGGCCACGCGGGTTGCCCCAGCAGTCTGCGTCGTGCAGGCAGATGCCCGGGTAGGCGGTGATACTGAACTCGACGTTGCCGAAGCCGGCGCCGATGTTGTAGCCGAAGCCGGAGAAGGCTTCGTAGGTGGCCGAGTAGCCCGAGGTGAGGCTGTCGCCGATGAATTCGATGGTTTTGCTGTAGGGTGGGATCTTGATGAGTTTGGAGGAGGTGCTGAGGTGGACGGCGGCGATCTGCACGCCGTAGGCCCAGTTTGTGACGCGGAGTTCGAAAGTGAGCGGGAACTGCCAGGGCTGCGTGAGGTTGAGGCCGGGGGTGGAGGGAGAGACGAATTGGTGGGTTGCGCCGGCGGTGACGTTGCTCATATGCCAGTCGAGGCCTCCTAGGCGGTATGCGACCAGGACGCCTTGGCTCGTGAGGTTGCCAAAGGTTATGGCGACGTTTTGGCCCTCGAAGCCGAATTTGAGCCCTGGTGCTGCCCACCACGAGACATGCTTGCTGTCCCAGCGGCCCTTGTAGGCGAGCTCGGTCGCATTCGGCCCGTACGTCTTCCAGCCCGTCGAGTTGGCGGTTATTGGGGCGACTCTGGTGTCTATGAAGTGGGTTTCGCGTTCCTGGCCGTTTTGGAATATTGTCGAGGTTGAAAGAGTGACGAGCGAGGCGAGCCCGCAGAGGGTTGAAAGGAGCCTCATCCCGGGCGCAGTTGATGCCGACGAGACTCAATTGAGAACTGGAAGAAGAGAACGGAGGCCATTGAGATATATAGACGAAATAGAAGACGTAGACTTAGGCTCATGGTGAATTAACGCTCTCAATTCAATTCCGGGGCTTTTCTGCGCCGCGGGCCGGGACAGCGTCTAGTGCCTGGTAGTTAATATCGATCTAGCATTAGTCCATCTCTCCGCACTCTATTTGTCCACGAACAGAAGAGGCCTTCGTCTTCTTTCTCTTTTTCTTCTTCCCTCGATGGAGCTACGCGTCGGAGGCAGACGGTGAGGACCGACATGCACGGCGGATAAGTCAGCAGTGCGGCACCGCGAGGTGCAGGACTGCCACCTTCTGTTTTCGGACACTGCCCCTCCATGAGCTGGTGGGGCAGTCACTTCACCTCGCGCTGCAAGCTTATACGCCCCTGTTCCTGAGCGTGGTGGATGCGCGAGAGGGTGTGGACGGAGACGCAATTCCGCGCCTGAACGGGAGCCGTGGCCTGGGGGAGGCGCAGATTAGTAGCACAAAAGGAAGCAACAGAGCTATAGCGGCGCGTGGTATAGGGTTGCGGAGCGGTGCGGTGAGCAGAAACGCGCGGGTGCAGCGGGCGGCCGGCGGTGTCGACGGCAGGTTGTGATGCGCGCTGCATCCTCACGCTCGCTGCTCGCGCCCGCAGCGGCGATGCAGCAAACAGGCAGCCAGGCAGCGAGGCATAGGGCTGCATCGCGAGCAGCAGCAGCGGCGGCGGCGGGCAGCGGCATGCGCGAGTCGTTGCTTGTTTGAGGTGCGCAACGGGCGCTGCACCACATTTCTTTTGCGCGCCTTGGCCCGCACTCCCACACGCGCGCCATCGCCCGTCTCGTCTGTCTGCAGGCGTCCAGCTTCGTGCAACTTTATATCCGCCCGCCCTCCCCAATCCAGTGCCCCCATCGTCACCGCCAGAGCAGCCGCCAGAGACACGGCGCGCTCCTTTTGTCTTGAGCCCGGGGCCATGCGCATCGTGTCCCTGGTCCGACCATGTTGTTAAGATAGTGTGATGTCCTCGTCCATCCCCGACTCTCAACTGGGCCTCACGCAGAGCGAAGTCCAGCTCCTCCGCCAGCACCAGCAGATCGCCCTCTCGCACGCCGGAAGCTCCTCGTCGCGCGCCGCCTCGCACGCCTCGTCCCAGGGCCGTCTCCTGCTGGATCCCTCCAGCCTGCAGGCGCTGAGCGCCCACTTCGACCGTCTCATGTACTCCATCCAGCAGCGATGGCAATATGTGAGTGCCACCGCCGCCCACCGCGCATGCCCGAGCTGCAGCAGCACAGCTGGCTCTCGATGCGACCGAGCCCTGGTGCTAACATTGGCCCCGCCCAGCTCTCGCAGCAGACGCAGACGGCCACCCAGATCCAATACGACCGCGCCGGCAACGCGATCCAGATGGCCGACGCCGAAATCGCCCGCTTCCGCGCCATCCTGCGCGAAATCGACGAGCTGCAGGTCGAGTTCGACAAGGTGCGCCGCATTGGCGAGATCGTCAAGGGCTTCAAGGCGCGCGTCGAGCAACTGGAGCGCCGCATCTGAGAGCGCCCGTCGGCATCCACCCACCTATCGGCCAGCAACACGTCCACACCACACCACGTTCCTTTTGCAGAGACTGACGATTAACGACACATATATCAGACCTATCATGTCCTCGCGGACGCCATCTATACCACTCAAGAACGGAAGCCTCGCGGCACAAAATATCACAGCGGATATTGGGGGAAAAGAAAATTTGGGTGCCTCGCGGCTTTCGGCGTTCTGATATGTTTGTTTGGATTCTGGGAATACCCGAGTGCTATAGTATTTGGTCTCCTCTCCATTGTTACTCCCGCTCGTCCCGTTGCACTAGATTGCCTTTTGGGGAAAATTTCCTTGACTTTGTACCCACAACCCCTGAGCTTGTACGTCAGCGACGCGGCCAATTTGGATTCCCGCAGTTTCGCTACTCGATAATTTTTCCTTCTTTCGTGTACTCTCTTGAAGTTGCCTGTACCTCTTTCCTATCCCTTGCCTGCGTTCTTGTGGCCCCAGCCGCTTACTTCATCCCTAGGCTACTTATTCTTACACAAGAAGCATACGATACTCACCTGACTGCTTTGTGCATCGCACGCCGCTCACACGACATCTTTCAATAGCGCCCGCCCATATACTTCCTAGGCATCGCCGCCGATGGCTTCGAACGCCTCATCGTCTGCACATATACCGCCCGCATCTCTATCCCGTCGCACTGCTTCTTCTAAGCATCTCCTCTTGCCCGATCTCCTTAATTTCTTATTAGCGCCACCGGTTTGACTCAATTGCATGCGCGCATTCTTCTCGATGAAGTTCTCTGCTTTCTGAAACATGCATATTTTCGTAGGCGAATCTCATGCAATAGCCACCGTATTAAGGAACCCACAAAATGCAGTGGGCCCCGCCAGCCCTGCACGAAAATGCCAAAAGCGATGATTCCGGAAGATCTGCTGGGCATGCGGAGCAGCGGATGGCGTCTGCAGGCCCGCTGTTTTGGCGGACGGGCTGGCCCTGTTTCACTGCGCGGAGCTAGATAAATGGATACGGCGATTGTGGAGGCGGGGCATGAGCTGGAGACTCGAGGGCGCGGAAGTGAGCGGGCTACTGCAGGAACGGCGGTTCGGTGGTATGAATAACAGGCGTGTCGATATAGCCGTGGCAGCTGTACTGACGGTAAAACTTTCCAAGGTTTCTCTGTGGACTGTGCACATGGCTGGATCGGCCGATGGAGGTATGTCACTTGATGTCTGCCACGCTCTCTTGCCTACGTATGATAGTAGGCCTGTGCTTTGCTGAACTCGATCTTGTTCTGTTCTATGCTAGTGCGTGCATCTGACGTGTGGTACCATAACTTTACCCGATGAGTTGCATGTCGACTCTTAATACTTCGACTGACTTCACTCCTCTATGGAGCCCAGCTATGGAGAGTTCAGGTTCACTCCTACCACTTCCTCTGTTCTTACGTCCCAATTCCGTAAGACGAGCGTGTTAAGCCCTCGCTGCTCTTCCTTCCCCCGCTTCTTTCAGAGCTACAGAGGCTCTCCGAAATCACCGCGCAGCCTGGGAAGTAAAGGGCTTCTGCGAAGCTTTCCTAAGAGCACTTGAGCTGAGCGGGATGGCGCATGCGCGGAGCTGAGAGGAGTCCTGGTCGCTATTGTGCTTTATCTGTTGAAGCGCTTGAGCATACTCTTTCTAAAGCCCTGGAAGCAGTCCGCATGCTGCTTGGTCGGTGTTGGGAATGTCGGCCTAGAGTGCTTCAAAGTCCTATGAGCAGGCTCCTCAAGAGTTACCGTAATCATGGGGAGAGCAGCTGCATTCCTCTATGGGTGAGCGGCTGCTGCACTCTCGATGGGAAGCCGCAGGCTTGCTCCTGCCTCTACCGGCCATGTCGCCCAAACAAATTCCGTCTCTCATCTCTTCTATTCTTCGTCACTCATCTCACCCCACTTCGCTTGCAACTCCCCCAGCCTTAGCCACCCATCTCAGTCTACTCGTTACTCAGCATTTCTTTGCTATTCTTCACCATGGTCCAGTTTGCCAGCCTCGACAATCGTTCTCAGAGAGGCACGGCGAGCTGTTCTTCTCCTCCTCGACCCCAAACGCCTTATCCCGACATCGAGCTGAGCGATTTGGATAGCCAACAAACACCCTCCACCCAGCACCAAAACGGCACCGCGCAGCCCGCTAGGGACAATGCCAACGGCCTGCAGAGGAACTCAACAGCGTCAGACGAGAACATCGGAGGATCTTCTAGAAGCAGCGACGGCGGTCTAAGAACCGGCTGGTTTGCCGAGTGGTTCCCCGAATGGCTTCTACGGTTGAAGGAGACGAGGCAGAGTCTGCAGACCACTGAGGACCATGGTGTGGGTTCCGGTGCCAGCCAAGCGGTAGCTCAAGACAATGCTAGCGCAGTACGTGATCCTCCATGATGAAAAACAAACCTCATCCTCCCTCTAGACACTTTGTTGTTGCTAACCGCTTCGCAAACCAGACTACCGATCGCGGCCACCCGGGCCCGAGACCGAGCCTACCTGCCAGCCAGACTGCCACCCTCGTCAACGACAGTACTGGCCAGAATTGGGCCATGGCTGCAATGGTAAGTGTCTTCGAACATCATCGACCCCGGCGACTGACCATATCAGGCCATCTTGTACCTGACGTCCCAATTTCCCGTGTATGTATCCCGCACACTGAAGGACTCCAAATCTGCTTCCAACCCCAAGGCCTTGTCAACTTTTTGACTAATCATGTTCTATAGATCTGTGTTCGCCAGTATCACTCCTTACATATACAAAGATCTAGGGGGCACCAATTCTCTGCAGTGGATCATCCTCTGCTACCTCCTAGGCAGCGCTGCAGTCTCCCCGCTCGCAGGGCATCTATTCGATCGGCTTGAACGGCGTTGGGTTGCTTTGTGCGGTCCCATCTTCTCTTTCTTGGGCTCGCTGATCTGCTCGGTCGCGTGGTCTCAGACGACGTTCGACGTCGGAATGCTCGTTGCAGGCATCGGTGGAGGGATTAGCGAGACTATCGCCCTTGCAGCCGCGTCTGAGATGACTCGACGACGTGAACTATCCGTGGCTGTGATAGTGGCTCCGACGCTAATCTCTGGCCTCTCTGCAATCTGGGCCCGACCGCTGTCGCATAGCGCGGGCTAGAAGTACTGCGCGGCGCTCACACTACCGTTTCCCGTACTCGGCGCGGCCTTGATCTATAAGTACCGACCAGCCTCTCGGATGGATACACCGCAACCCAGGAAGACGGACATTCTGAACTGGGTCCTCCAAAGAATAGATGGGCCTGGCGCCCTTCTGAGTGTTTTGGCAGTTTCAACATGCATTGAGGCGTTTCAACTGAGTCTGTGGATTCTTGTTGCCAGTGTTTTCGCCTCAATTTCGCTCGCTCTTTGGCACTTCCTCGTTATCCCGCCGGATCGACCCCTCGACGCACGTCCCCGCAAGCTCCTCAGTGGAGCTAGCAAAAGGCCAGTTGCCCTCGCCTTGACACTGCTCATGGGTGTCCTTTCATCGGCAACGTATAGCTCCGTGAATCTCTTCTGGCCATCTCAAACCTATACCGTCTACGACTCCGAAGCCCCTGTCGACGTCGGCCTCAGGAACCTACATACCATAATGTTTCCCGTGGGTGCAGCACTCTCGCTTCTCGTCCTCGAATACGTCCCTTCGAGCCAGAAGCCTATGATGGCTTGTTCCATCCTACTGCCGTCAGCGGTTATCATGCTCTGTGCCCTCATGGGCTTCGACCTCGCGGCACCAAACGCTCGTAGCTGCTGGACCGTGGCCTTTCCCATGGCCCTCCTTTCTACGCTCAGTTTCGGAGGGATCGTTCTGGTCACGTGGTACATAGGTATCGTGCTTTGCAGGTCCGAGGCGTTAGCTACGTTCACTGGTTTGAACGTCGCTGCTCGCGCAGTCGGAAGCTCGCTTGGCTACTTGGTAAGTGGAAAACACAGCCTGGAGTGCTTCAACGACTTGAACGCTGTCCGAAATGCGTCGACGGAAACCCAGCTGGAGTTCTTCAGCATGATATACTAACTAACTCACCCCAGGTATACCACAACGCACTCAAACAGCGGTTCTCCGACGCCGTGACCCCCCGGATCCGCGGGGCCCTAGCCACCAAGCCCGCCGCTACCTACCTGACCGACAAAATCATCGACCTGACCCGCCAATCCTTCCTGCAGGATGTAAAATCCGAGTTAGAATTTGTGCGCGCCGTAGCCCTCTTCGACCGGATTGTGGTTATCGGACAGGAGGCTTTTTCCGAGGCGTACAGAGCCGTGTACTGGCGCAGCGCCATCTTTGCAGGGGCTACGCTCTTCCTTGCTATCTTTTTCTTTTTACGTCCGGACATGTTTCCGGAGCGTGGAGATGGTGATGCCAGTGATGCGGATGGGAGGGTTCAGGATCCGGGGCATCAGGATCGAGATCAGGATCGGGATGTGCCGAATGTGTAGTTAGGGTATTATTGCAGGGGTCTTGGTTTTCTATATGTTGTAGCGTCAGGATACGGTGCTGAATCGATGCCATTGGAGCCTTCAAGTTCCAGTGCTATTTACCGTTTCATGTCTTCACTATTCACTGTGTCGTCTATGTATTGTTTCGTCTATTCAACATAGCTGAACCCTTCCAATAACACACATCCACACCCGTCGATATACTGAGGGAGGACCAAAAATAGTAACGACATTCGTGACTCCTTGACCTTGACCTATCACTAGAAGCAAGCAGCCCTTGTAAGCCTTAGCCTACAGGATTCGGGGCCCCCAATCTGGCTCGTCGCGTGGATGCCCTTCACTGAACAAAGTGGTTCTTCCTTCCTCGAAGGCAATTAAGCTACTCAAGCCATACATAGGCTGATAGATCCCACCCATGCGTAGCAGGCGGAAGAGGCTAACAGCTTACAGTGCCCAGACCGTCGTAGCATAGCGTCAGACTGACTTGAAAAAACCGCGCTTTGCGGAATAGACCGAGCAGAGCTTCCAGAGTCTGGGTGGGGCCATTACGGTACTCGACGCTGCGCAGCATTGCTTCGTGGAATCATTCAACTCACGAGCGAGGAGGAGGGAAGGAGAAGAGAGGGAGGAAGGAAGACACATGAGCGGGGGTTTGAGAGAGAAGAGTCGCTGCGGGCCAACTTTGGAAGGTGGGAATGTGAGTATGAGGATGTGATTTTTTTGTGGGGGTTTTATTCTGTTTTTTTTTTTTCTCTATCCATATCCTTGCTGTTCAATGTCCAGTCTAGAAAACAGTCCAGAGCCCCAGTCCAGTCTCGCTATCAGATGAAATTGATTTCCTCCCGCATACGCCTTCCCGGGGAGCTTGTCCCACTACTACTACCAGGTGTTTTTCCTTCTGCATTATGTCATGGTGCGTACCCTGCAGAGGGAGGGATAGGTGTCATCTGCATCATTCATCCGTCGTCCAACTCATGCATGCATCGCCGCATATCGATGGGGGTGAAATACGCTCACAGCGTCTCAGCAACAATCATCGGCCCCGCCACCTCATCCCTCTTCTCCTTCCCACACAACAGCTCAACAATCGTAAGCGCGAACAGCATCGCAGTTCCCGGCCTATCACAACGTCGTTAGCCCAGCCCTCTCTATTCCCCTCATCTGACCCCCAAGCCCCCCAAAACAGCCTCACATCGCAGTCAGGGACGAAAAACCAATACATACCCCCTACTCGTAACCACCCGTCCATCCACCACGCACCTTTCCTCACTATACGCCCACCCCTCCGCCTCACACTCCTTCCGCACACTCGGATGGCTGGTAACCGTGCCCTTGTCGCCGCCGAACTTCTTCTGCGCCGCGACCAGCGCCGTGGTGCCCGCGCAGATCGCGGCGACGTGCTTCCCGGCGTTCTTGAAGGCGACGATCATTTCGAGCACCGCGGGCGTGGCGCAGAAGGTGCGGGCGCCCGGGGCGCCGCCCGGCAGGATCAGGATGTCGTGGGTTTCGTGGGCGGTTTGGTGCGGGAGGGAGAGGAGGGTCGGGAAGTCGGGGAGGAGGCGGATGTTGCGGGATAGGCTGGAAGGGTTAGTTGTGTGCGTGAGGTGTGAGGTGTGCGGGGGTAGGGGAAGGGGGAGTGGAGAGATGGGATTTTTGGGGAGGGGGGATGATGGGATAGTCGAGGAGAGTAGACGTCGTACTTGAGGTTGCACTTGTGCTCGACGTGGATCTTTGCTTGGAAGGGGTTGGAACTTACTGCGCATAACCCTCATTCTTGAGCTGCACACCCGCAGACTTGACGTCGAAGCCCGCACGCGTGAGAACTAGCAAAATCCACCCATTAGCATACCATCCCTCCTCTCAGACGCTCCTCCTGCTCGCACTCAAAGCTAACATACCATCATACGGCGTGACAAACTCAATCTCCTCCGACCCATCAGCCACCAGAATCAGTGCTTTCGGCGCCATCGTATCGTCTCGAATTCGCTCGCTCGGTCCAATTCGTCTAGAAAGGGCTCAATCCAATACAGGCTGTGTATCTTCGATCGCAGGGCAAATGAAAGAAAGTAGAGAAAAGGATTGCGAAGAAATACTCCTTTTGAACCTCAGGAGATATTTATCATTCCAGTTCCACAGTGACGTCTGCCACGTGGTCCAAGCTCCACCCCTCCATCGGCGGGGTATGTAAACGGGCGCCGAGAAAGGGTCTACCAAAGGGAAGCTATAAGGCCGACGAATCGGAGTTGCGCTTCGCGTTCCACGCCCGTCCGAGCAAACGAGAAAACTTGTTCTGAAGGCTTGGGGGCATATGAAAGTCGGTGTAACTTTGTAAGAATGGCGTCGATGCGGTGGATACTTCGAGCACGCAAGAACAGTCACATGTAGAGATGAGAATTGATGTTTGTAATTAGAATCGTTCATGTATATTCGCATAGCTCGTTCCGCACTCAGAGGATATCAAACACCATCGTCTATGTACGCACACGTGCTCTAGAAACGCCAACCAAGGGGCCCTACCACCCATCGTTGCCGTCGAATTAGAAGAGCAGGAGCAGCAGCAGCAGCCAGGAAGCAGAGCCAGACATAAACACAAAGACATCGCATATCGCGCACGCACACGCACACGCACACGCACACTGCAGTCGCCCACCCCGCTGCCCTCCGTCCAACCCAGGGGGAATCTCTCATAAGCTCATGCAAAGCGAACAAGACCGCTCGATCGAAAGAAGAAGGCGCGGATACAGAGCACGGAAGCCAACCGGGGCCGAATTACCGTTCTCGTGCCTTCTTGCTGGGATCGTCAATTAGGGCGGTGCACAGCTTGATGGAGCGCCTGCCTCCTCCATCTGGCTGACACCTTAGTTCGGTAACAAGAAGAACCGAATGGGGGATGCCAGAAATTAAAACGCAGTCCGAGTCTAACCGTTGCTGAAACGCGCCAATCGTAGAAAACCGAGGTATCGAAGCAGACCCGAGAAAGAAGAGTAGAGAAGCCGTACTAGTGTAAGGAGTCGGCGGTTCATTCGGGTCCCAGAGAGTCGTTCCGCAACGCATGCAGTACGCCAGACGCCAAACCACAGAGGGAAGCAGTTGTAAGATGGTATTGAGAATCGTCCAACTCGAGTCATGACAAGGCCATGAGTGCCAAAATATCGCGCAGTAACTCGGCGAGCCCGGAAATAGCGCAGATTCCTAGGTGATGGTAAGAATAACCGGACATGATCATACTTTGGAAAAAGGCCATGTCCAATGGATGAGGTTGCGAAAATCGCGCGCATGCGACAAGTCTCGCGTTCGGATATCCGGTAAGGTGACGGCGAGGGAATATGAAGAAAGCTGCGTTCGACTATTTATAGTGACATCGTGAGCCATTCCCATTCCTGCGGGCCTGAGGACTGAAGACCCTGCCCCATGGCGCCCATGGGAAGACTGCCGAGACTCTGGTTCTGTATGGTGCTTGGAGTCGAAACCGTTGACTCCTTTCTCCTCGCGCCTGAAGGCGCCTTGCCGCTTGTATCTTCAGCATCAGCCATTTCTAGTTCTTGTCCTCCACTCTTGCTCTGCCTCCGCGCACGTTTCGGTGCTACGTTGGCTCCACGGCTTTGTGCAGCGTTAGTAGGCTGCGGTTTGGGCGGGCCGGGCGCAATGGGGACCACACCGCCAGACTTAACGTTCGGTGCGGCACCTGACGTAGGAGTGACGCTATTCGCAGTTGTGGTCCCACCTCCACCCGAGCCCGTCGACTTCGGTGACTCCGAATCAGCACCTTTACCGGACGTGGGTGTCGTGACCGGCGTTTGCGCGAGGGAATTCTTGCGAGACGACTTCTTCGAAGAGCGCGTTGATGATGCGCCAACGGGAGCAGAATTGCCGCTGCCACGGTTGCGCTTCTTGATAACGTCCGTCTTCAGCGATAACGGACGAACCACACCATGCAGCTTCAGGAATAAACCGCATGCATTGCAGAGCGGATGACCCTCGGGGTTGCGACGCCACAGCGGCGTAGTCTGGGTGAAGCAGTTGGTGCAAGTCGTGGGGATGCTGCCTTGCTCCCCCTGCTTGGTGCCACCAGGACTTGGAGGACGAGATGGAGCGGCGGAGTTAAAGCCGGACTCGGGTGGTGAGTTCGGCGACGACTGAGGTCGCCCGTGCATCCCTTGAGCCAAGCCAGCTGCGTTGGGGGTCGAGCTGGTGCGGGGTATCTTCTGGCGTCGGGGGTCGTTCCCACGATTGCGGATGTCGCTGACGGAGGCCGCTGAGCCGTGTGTTCGGCCAAGGCTTCCACCCGGGCTCCAGTGATCTTGCGGCGAGGGAAGCATTTCGGTTGTCCCGATCGTGACGGTTTTCCGTGGGGGCCCCGCCGGGTATCGCGCTGCCATGGGATTAAAGGCATTCGACAGATTGGTCTCCCACTGAAACCCAGCGCCAAAGTCAAGCGACCCGTCGTCCATTGGCGAGTACTCGGATTGGGCCGGCATCGTCCTGTCCGGAAACGCACCGCCTTCCTCGTCTTCGCCGTCCGAATCGGCGCCAAACGAGAACATATTCTCATGTCGCGGTATCTGCATGTTATCCTGTCGCAGTGGGAGATTGTTGTGCAGCACCTGCGAGGGCTCGACGTGGCCGGGCTGGCCATATGCCGGCGCCGAAAAGGGTGCGGAAGCTGTGGAATTCGTCACGGCACTGAACATTGAGTCGCCAGTGCCGCTCGGGTTGAAGATGTACTGTGGCTGCATAGATGTGGATAGGTTCGACGGCCGATGAGGGCCGAATCCGTGACTGCTGTGCGCGCCTCGGATGTCCATGCCATTGCGATCAAAGTACATCTGATTCTCCTCGGACATGGGCTGCGGCGTCGACACTGCCGATGGGAAGGCGGAGCTAGGAGGAGAGTAGTAGTCGGTGGAGTTGAGCGACGACGCCATCGAGTTCGGGTTGAAGAGATTGGAGTAGGAAGGGTTCTGGGTCATGAGGGGCGAGCCTACGGGCGAGAAGCCAAAGTTCTGCTGGAACGGGCCAGCCGAGCTTATGATAGGGTCCTCGTGGAGGTGGAATGTGTCTATGGAGAAGGGAACCTGGGGCTGGGAGGTGCTGAAGTGGGGCGGGTGCATCGACTGGTCGAGCGAGTACTGGTGGAGGGCGGCCTCGTCATCGGGGTTGCTCGGTATCATGGTGTTGTTCACGGGCGGTACCTGAGGAGACGCCTCTGCTCGCCGCTTGGGAGGCTGATAAGGAGTCAGTTGGGCTGGAGGGGCTAGAAGCGGCTTAGATAAGGGACTCACTCGTCGCTCGTCGATGCTGGTCTTGCGGACGTGTCGCTGGACATACCCAAATTCATTCTCTCGATTGATGATCGGAGGAATTGAGGGAGCGGAGGCGCGGGCGAGCGAGAGGTTTTGGTCGTGGGATTGATTAGCCTTCCTTATCGGTATCGCTGGGGCGGTTGCATTAGACTGTGCCCGCGTCTCATTCGACGGCGACGGAGGTAATCCTGCTGGGGATCCTACGGACGACGGAAGTATAAAATCGTCCAAATTCATAGCATCACTCTGCGGGGTTTGTATTTGGGCCTGCTGGTCCACCGACCGCCTCAATTGTGCGATTCCGCTCGGTGCGGACTTGAGTGCGCCCGCGCTGCTCGTCGTCGGCGGCTTCATCTCGGAGGATTGACCTGGTCTGCACGCCAGGAGGCATTGTTAGCAGTTGTAGCAAGAGTTGCACGCGGCTGGGGCAGGTGGATGCAGTTGCACATGGCGTATTCCGTACCCTTTATTGCGATCGCGCTCGGCACGCCGCATGCTCATGGCCATCATTCGCCAGGTGAGATTCTCCATGCGCTCCGCGTTAGGGAGCTGCGTCTTCGCCTTAGAATACAGCTTCCATATCTGAGTCGCAAGGGGGTCGTTCTTCTGCATTTCCTCCGGCGTAGCTAGGTCGGCCGCGCCTGCATCGTTCTTCAGCGCGGGGAATATCGAGGTGTCGAGCATGCCCTTGCGAGCAGCCGCTTCCTGGGGCGTGAGATCCAGCTTGTCCAGTTTGGCCTCCAGATTGTCGCGTGCGCGCGGTTGCTGGAGGAAATGGCTGGCGGTCGGGAAGCCGTCGAGGGGCGGCCAGGCGAGTCTGGGGGAGGATGATGTAGGCAGGTGTTGATCCGCGAATGCTCCAATAGCGGCTGCGTCAAAGACGTCGGAAAGCAGAGCGGCGCGCACGCCCTCAACCCCACGCGCTGGCTCCGCAGCTCGCGCCCCAGTTGACATAGCCGACTGGTGTTGCGCGGATCCTGGGGCTTACGATGCACGGTTCGATGGTACGGCGCCCCGGGCAGGGCAGAGACAGCAGGAATTGCTTTTGCTGTGTGCCCACGGGGAAGCGCAGCGCTCAGGCTCTTGGGCGACCGATCTGCTGGAGCTCGTCACACGTGAAGCAGAGGGCGGTCAGCGGCGCGGCGGACGAGGAATTAGGTCGGGACAATTTGCACGAAGGCTGGGCCGGCAGCGCGCTCTGCAGCGGGCTACAGGCTTGGCGGGGGTTCTGGCGACAGCAGCGGTCGTGACGCTTCCAGCTGCTGGCCTCGGGCCTGGGATCCTGGATGGAGGAGCGGCGGGTGTGGTGAGGTCGTGCGTGGGAGCGTTCACTTTCAGTGGGGGTGCAGCAGAGCAGGGCCGAATCAGACGACCCGTGGCGTCTCTGGCAGTCCAGGATGCGCTGCCGAGCGGACGGCTACCCTGCGCGTGCAAGGCGTCGACGTGCGCTCGTCGGGCGCCGGGTCGCAAGCCAGACGGGCGTCCGCGAGCAAAAGAAAGGCGCGCGCGCACACGACAGCGCGCGTTGCGCTCAGGCTGGGGCGCTTGGGGTTTCTGGCCGTGGAGGAGAGCGGAGCAGCAGCACTGGCCGTTGAGGTCATCCAGCAGAAAAGAAAGGCTGAGCGGGAAAATGCTCGCCCGCTTAAGCTGCACGCTGCCGCGGCGCCCTGTCAGGTTGGAGGACGCTTGATCCGTGCAGCGCTCGATCAATTTGGAACCCTGGAACGAAGCTTCGCTGGGCGTTTTGGCCCGCGGGAGCAGAGTGGGAGAAAAGTGCGGGTGGAGCTGCAGCCAACGGCGTGGTGACTGCGAGCGCCGGAAGAGCACGCTCGCCCTGCTCAAAGAAACAGCAGACGATTCAAGCACATGTCTCCAGCTGCGTAGCCTAAGCCAGCGCCCTCCTCGCCTCCTCACTCGCTGCTTTCACGGCGAGCGCGATCTACTGTTCAGTGGTTCGCCCGCCAGAAGCTCCACCAAGCCGGTTCGATCTGGCGGGAAAAGACAACAACGGCTGTACTGGCTGCCATTGGCTGCTGGGCAACGCCTCTACTCGCCTTCGCCTGCCCTCAGTATTCTTCAATGGGGCCCCTGCTGCGTCTGCCAATCCGATGGGCACAAATACGGCGTGTATAGGAATGTTGCGCGGGCTCCATTAAGCAGCGAACCGTCGCCGTCCAGGACGCCGTTCAGGAAGCATGAGTTTGTGGCAACGGTGATGCCGACGCTGAGAGTCTACTGCACGCCGGTCCCAAGTTATCTCCATCCATCATCCGAAGCTGGCGTTCTCATCCGACGCCGGCACTCTCCCTCCTACATTTCCCGACATCGCCATCTAAGGGTCCACGAGGCTCCACTACTATTGCTTGCGCTACACCAGCCGCGTGGTGTGGCTGGCACGTGTATCTGGAAGTTCTGAGCTCGCATCTCACTAGTGACGACGATGCGTTTCAAGTCGCCATCGCTACCGTACTCCTAGTGAACCATGTACTTGTCATCTCTCAAGTTGGTCTAGACGCTTAAGGAGCCCTTTGGTGGAAGGGTTCGAGAAGCGTGTAGGAGCACGGAAAGAGCCGCAACTGCGAGGCGAGGAACAGAGGGCTTCAGTAAGGCTGCTGTGAGTCCGCTTTCTCTATTGACTAGTGGCCAGGATGTCTCAGCACTCCATCCCCCCGAAAGACGTACCGTGCTATGGTCCTGTCCCTGGCCCCTTTGTTCTATAGTGCCCCTCTGTTGTTTGAACGGGGAAGTATCACCTTAATATCAGGTGAAATACCTACCTGACGTACCGGTAGTTCCGAACAACACAAAGGCTACATCCGACGCTTCGTGGTCTCTATCCGACTGGCGTGTTTCGTAGCTGTTCGAGCACCTGTCTGCTGTCGTCTCGTGTTGCGTTGTCTCGTCCTCCAGCAAGGCACTCCTCTCTGGAGATGGGTATACGATCTGCACAAGGTCCACACCTGCGTGGAGATCGAGTCGGCTCATCTACTTTACCAGAACCGGACCGGTGGCCGCAGAAATGGCTTTAGCCGTCACCATTAAGCAGCAATCCCTGAGGCTCGACGAATGCGACGAGTGCTGACGAATTAACCCATGCGGTTGTTTGCTTGCTTTTTCAGAGTACAGAAGCATGCTATGGAATCATCTACTGCTGCCAAAACATGAAAGGCTTGCAGTCGATTCATGCAAAGCGCAGACGCGGTAGTGCTTGACGTCGTGTACGTCGCTTACTCCAACGCCGTGATTCGCTGAGAAGCAGATCTGAGACCCACTCGAACCTTGGTTGGCCTTGCCGTGGGGTCTTCACATGCTGTACCCCGCCATCATCGACATCTCTCGTCGAGATGAAAGGACTCATTTCCACCCACAACGCCGTGAAATGAACGCGTACTTACGGTCAATGCACATCGACTCGCGCTCCCTTTCTGATGCGGAGAAACTGCGGTTCTTGCATCGCTCATTAGAAAAAGCCTGCGAAGACAGGGTTGGACGGCGCAAGGCGCTCGCAATGCGGATAGCGTGGGGGTCACTACCCATGCCATCCTTGCCCCAATCAAGCCACCATGTTGCTGACTTGCAGCACATGCAGGGATGGCGAGAGCCTAGATCCACAGCTGAACCGACGAAAACCGCTACTGTACCATTTGCGGGTCACCTAGGCCAATCCTACCTCGTCAGGTTGTTGGGCGCACGCGACGCAGCTGGGTGATTTCAACTCGAAAATTTTCTCCAGCGTGCAGTCTGGGTTGTCGTTCGATCGTTGTTTAAATATCTCCAGGTACCGCGGAAAAGGCTCGCACGAAAAGAGGAGCCCGGACAACGCGTCAGACCTGAGTTGAGTGCAACCGCCGCTGCCGCATGGAAAAGGACAAGGGCCGATACGAGAAACGATACTCTGTCCAGCAGAGCGAAACCGTTCCGGCGCGAGGCCCTGTTCGGAGAGGATCTCGGACGCCCGATCCCTGAATATTAACGCGGGATGTCGTGGGGGTCACACGGGTTCATTTATGCTGACGGGTCGGAAGTGGCAGTTGCCTCACCGATCAACGTCGAAAAGGGTGGGTGAACGGGCGAATAAGGTTTGCTTCGCGACGACGATGGAGCCTTGGAAGGGAGCTTCGTAATGCGTAGTGGTACGTGGACCTCATGTGTCCCTCGCAAGATCCGCCGGCGTCCATCCCGCTTCTCAGCAATCTTTCCCCAGTTCCTCCTGCCTCTCCTAACACGGGACGCGGGGTGCAATGAAGGCGAAACACCTGTTGCTTGGAGCCGCGAGCCATGGCGTCGGTCATCATAGGCTAACCACCTATGAGCAACGATCCATCATAGTCCTGGATGACGCTCTGGAGCCATCATTTTTGGCGCCGAAATATCCATAGTACGTTGAGGCCGAAGCGCGGTCCAATGGAGGTCGGCAATTACCAGAAGACATACGTCGGTGTTCGTGTTGCTGACGGTTGGGTGTTCTTCTCTAAACGCAACTGCCGGTCCCCCTCAGGTGAACCATCCAAGGTGTGCATTGAGCACGAGCAAAGAGTTTGCATTGCATGCCTTTCCTCATCCAGATCATTCCCTCCGAGCCATGATAGAAGTAGGAACAGGGCTGAGTCTTGGCGTCCAGATGCAGGTACCAGATGGACAACGGGCGGAGCGGAGAGGGACGAGCGGAAGTCGGATCGAAACTCCAAGGAAGCGTCCAGGCAAGCTTAGAACAGCGGGCAACAGCTTTAATTTATACGTGCCAGCGGAGCGTGCGCCCAGCTTTCGACGATGCGGCGATCGCAGCTTATCTTTGCGAGCTTGATAACGACATATCCAGCTCATACCAATAGGGGCCACCACAGTGCTCGTTCTCCGCCAGCATTGGATGCGTCCCTGATGCAATACGCCCACGGTGGGACAGGGTTAGCGCCCATATCGCTGTCTTTGGACCAATTCCACTCGTCGAGCTTCCTATCGTGGTTCTCGAAACAATCTTATCGTGCACTCAAAGCATGACTTGCAGCGCGTATCAGGGCTAGCTGGTTTGAGCCAATTCCCAGCCAACTGGGCTCTTCCGTTGCGAGATAAGAGCTCGACGGACCCTGCATTTCGTGGGCTTTCTGCTCTGTGCTTTCGTCCAAACCCCTCCTGTGTAACAAAGATCAGGTCGCCGACGGCGAGTATATGGAAAAGTCGCTCGAAAATGCGGGAATCAGGTATAGGGCATCCATCGCACCCCCACAGAGCCTCCCGAAAAGCCTTGGGATCTGCAAAAAGCTCGCTTGTAGTGCAAAATGGGTTGCAGGTTGAATGTCTCTCAACAGCAGGACCTCGAGATAACATCTGCTCCATATACTGGCTTGTTCGCGTCTCACTCCTGCATGCCGATAGCCGATAACCGGTAACTTGTCTTTGGTATCCTCATTCGCCCCTCACAGCTGAGAGCCTGCCTTCCTGCCCTTTGGGACGACGGCGCACGCACTTCCTATCTCTTTCTCACACGGCTACTTCGCAATAGCGCTATCAGATCGCAGCGTGCGCCTCGTATCCGCATTTCGTGTCCTTGCAATCGCTGCGTAGATATAAGCTGGAATCCGACCCTGCTCACTTGTCTTGTTCGCGCGCGCCCTCCGCTCCGGACGATGCTGCACCACTACCGCCTCCCTTGACCGTTTCTTCTCCTAGCACTTTGCTTGATGCCATGAACCTGTCGCAGAATCGGTTAGTCAACTTTGCCCGAACGCGACTCAGCCATTGTGGATCTAAAGGGCGCTTCAAAGAGATTTCTCACATCGCGCCGGCGTAGCCACCAAGTCCTCGCATATCCTGTGCCTGTTCTGCTGTCATCCGCATCAGGCTCTCTAGGTCCGCCATATTCGCCGTCAATTGCGCAAGCTGGGCTTGGAGGTGGGAGAGCTGGCGGGGCTTCTGGGAGGGCATCGTGCTGAGCCGGGACGACGAGCTTGTCTGCGAGCGTGGGAGGTTCGACATCGTGCGGAGCCTAGTTCGGGGGGGATTGGCTTATTTGGGGGTGCGGAGGAGGTGGTGGGGACGTTGTTTGTTGTTGTGGAAGGATCAAGGTGGGGAACGCGTTTAGGATCCCGCGGAGACAGCCTTGGCGCATCCGTCGGACCCTGAAGCTCGTCCGCTCAGTCCTCGAGAATTTTCCGACTCCACTTCCACATTGGAATGACCTCGACACGCCATTGAACATATCGATACTCCTCAGGGCGCATCTCCACCTCGATAATGGTCTCCCCACAAGCTGTTCGTCGGTGGACAATGACTGGCGCCATCACCGCCGTAACAGTCATGGGGACTATGTACGGCGCGGGATTGAAAAGCAGACAGGAGTACAAGCAGGTATGCTATTTCTCCTTTAATCAGTATATATGAGCCTACGCTTGAGCTGCGTTATCCCACCAACGCGCTAGCTTAGCTCTCTACACTGGTCGTTTGGTTCCGGCTTCCTCCCCTGTTGCTCGACGGATCCTCCATTGGCAAGTCCAACGCTAATGCCCTAGACATCCAGGAGAGAAGACGGATGCTAGAAGCCACACCCGAAGAGATGATCTCCCAGCTTGAAGTCGCACGGTCCGAATTGGTCAGCAAGAAGATTGAGCTTGAGAGGAAGATTGCGACGATCTCTGCGCGAAGGCAGGAGAAGGAACAAGAGCAGAAGGGAGCGAGGTGAACCATGTCACTCATCCTCAATTCTCGTCGGAGACAGAAATGCGCTTTACCTACCCTCCCAGCCGCCTAAGACGGTTCGCTCGAGCATCGCCGAACACCATTTCGCTCTGAAGCAACAGTCGCCGTAACCGAGACTCTAGTATTGAGTTTATCGCCCATACAGCTGCACGACGGGATCTAGCATATCAAAACTAGAGTCCTGCATATATGAGAGCCGACGCTGCGGCGGAACCTATGCGTCCGGAGGATGGTCCGACGGACCACCTCCATCTATGCACTTTGGCTATCACATGCGAACAACAAGCATTCCATGTGTTCTGGGAGCGATGGTGCCCTTCCCTATTGAGGGGAACAGGACTAAGGACCAAGGAGTTACCATCCATGCTCGGACAACCGCGAAGATGACCGACTGGGTCCTTCTCAATATATCACGACTATCTATTCGTACACGATCAGATGCTGCCCAGTGGGCTTGTCAATATACGTGTCCGCGCGTTCGCGCATTCATAATCAGGCATCAACTCCCCCAACCAGCTGGATAAATGTCCGGGTGAGCTGATAAGTCCAATGGGAGAGAAGGGCATACGTCTACCAGGGACACGAAATACCTACCGCTCGAGCCAGTCCATAATACCACCAACTGCGAACTATCGACTACCATTGTTTCTACTAGTAGACTTTGTGGTCTCAGCGCGTCGCGGCCTAGAGGACTCAAGACTAGCTCGTTCAAACGACATCACAGACCATTCAAGTCTAGAGCAACATCAATCTAGATTATAGCGCCTCCATACGCCCAATCGAGCCACTTCCCTGGTTTTACAATTTTTTAAATCTTTGATCCGATGCTTGCAGCCCAAGCAAGCTGCAGCCGGCCATCTTGGATATCCACATCCATATCTCTTAGCGTGTTTGATGCTGACGCCAGACACGCGGTTCGCAACATCGTGCACTATGTCCAACCGCCTTATCGCACTTATTACGGGAACCGCTCCAATAATCGTGAACTACGATCTAGCATCGAAGATGGGAATGTAGAACGGATTTAAAAGAGTAACTGGATTGTCGATTACATCCGCCTTGGAAATGTGGGCAAATGTACCATGACCGCATGGCTACAAGAACCGTGGAGATAGAAATGTCAGAGTTTACTCCAGTCTAACACAGTCAGTACGATTCGCGGAAGGAATGACCTCAATCAGTCTTCCACAGACACGTATTAACCCTAGCCAGAATTTCGTATCGATCGCGTCGTCAAAGCTAGCTGCATCCTACGTCCTAATATCGATTGCATCGACGCCTGAAAGGGAAGCCTGTCCACGAAGTTGTACCTCAAATGTCCAATCAGAGTTAACGTGCGTGCTCTTGCGGTCAACGTCTACTATAATTGGCGCGGGTTCGGACTCCATATTACAGATCCTGTGCAGGCCATCGACCATGGACGCTTGTCCTACGTACGGATTTCCTGATTCAGCTTGGTTCGGCCGACTTTACCAGGTTCCGATGGGCTTCGGCATACCTACTACAGATCCTCGTGGGCAATTCGGAACAACCTCCGCGGCGCTTAACGTCTTATATCCGGGCCTGCGCTATGCCTTTGAACCCATGCAACCTTGGACTACTGGTACATCCGATCCAGGGCGCGCTAGGGCCTTGGTAGCTCGGCCATTTTCGGCACGATAGAGACGACACCGTGGTGACAAGTACCATTGACAACATATCTCGGCTCCGCGGTGCGAGCGCCTACCCGCAAGTACACTGGCGTGTGCACAGTGCTTTAGAACGACTGAAGCCTTCGACTGTCAGTTATAGCGCCACAGATCATCTTGAATTCGGACTTATTGCACAAAGTGAGCGAAACCGAGTTCATGCTATGAACGCTGGGTAACAATAAAGACAACCTACGCTAGGCTCTACCGCCAGTACGTAGCCTCGGTCCTGCCCATAAAACGATCCATATGCCACGCCACCGCCGTTCCTGGAAGCCCTATCTGCCACTGGGGTATCTCCCAGGTGGGCATCTTTTCCAACTTCTTGAACACGGTATCAACCATCTCCTGAACGTCCACGTTCTCTTTCTCTTGTATCTGCACGAGCTGTACACCCCGTCGGATGTGTTCAAAGTGCATCTCCTGTAAGATCCCACCGATATAGTTTTCATGTTCGGCCCATCGCTCTTCGAAAAACTCCTCTTCTCCCCCTTGGTCAAGGAATCGTGAATACGCAATCTCTTTCTTCGCGTGCAGCACGATCACCGCAGTCTTCTCATTCGGCTCCCGATATTTATGAGGACCACAGAGCCATTTTCTGAAAGCGTGCCAGTCTGGGACGGAGAAAGGATAGCCTTCGATCACCAGGCGCACTTTCGACGGATCGTCGTTTGCTAGAAGCGCTTGCCGCAGTATGTACTCGGCAGGCATGTCGGTGCCAAGCTGGAGCCCGGCTCGCAGTCGCGAACGGAGGTGGAGAATGAACTTGTCGGGGTAGTGATAAGGCAGGACAAGCGCGGCGGGGCCGGACGGTGTAAGGTTGGCGAGATCGCAGAGTTCGTCGTCGACGGCTACATGGTGGAAGTCGTAGGCGAAGGCAAGGTTGCGGCATAGGATGCTCTTCCCGGCGCATGGTGGGCCTGTGAGAAGTAAGTGCTTTTCTCTACATTCGCCCGGGCGATGGGACTTTGGAGCGCGCACCTAATACAAATACTAGCAGTGGTTGGGGTTGGGCAGGGGTTTCCTCTTTCGCGCCTGCGTTCTGCGTCTCCTTGGTGTCCCCCTCCGTAGAGCTAGATCTAGAGCTGGAATTGGGGGCTCCGTCCTCGGTTAGGAGTAATTGCATGGCGCTGTCCTTTCTGCTGTCCCTGCTGCTATCCTTGTCCTTCATTCTAAGAAGAAGCCTAGCCCGAGATTTGATATGAGGTAGCGAAGGCATGTTGTGGAATACTGCTGAAGAGAGTTGGGATAACGATGGTGCTGATGAAGGTGAGAGGATACGGCATTGAGGCAATGCAGGTCACAAACATAATTTCTTGAACCCAGTAGAGCCTTCCATTAGGCGGCGCTTTGTGGTAGGTGCGTCCCTCTCTTCTCGTCCTTTCTCTCCCGAGGTCTAGCGGACGTCACGAGTGTGGTCATCTCAACTCACTGCAATCAAATACCCTTTAGACTTTCCGGCTCTTCATGAGTGGCCCATGTGAACACTCGGGTTTGAACAGGCGCTCCTCTTCTGCCACCTCCGGGACTAGCGGTTGCAAGAAAGCTCAGCTACGAGACATGCTGCATTTCCAGACCTTGGAAATGCGACACAATCCTAGCTGCGTGTCGTTTGACAAACTTTCAGGAGAGGTATAAGAATGCTATCCCCACCGCCTCCAGGCAACATATCCTGAGCTCATCCCAGATCCGATTTGCAAAAGCACACGATGGCGATACTCACACAGCTGATCTCCAGCGTTCCAGCTCCCGTCCTGATCGCAACTTCCCTCTCTGCCAGCGCCGTGTCCTTCCTCGCGCTCTACCTCCAACGCCACCCGACCACGAAGCATCACCTCCAGCGCCGCCTCAAGATCCTCTACAAGCGTCACATTCTCGGCCACACCATCCCCCTCAGCGTCAACTACCACTTCACCCGGAAATGCAACGCGGAATGTCGTTTCTGCTTCCACACCGAGACCACGTCGCACGTCGAGCCTCTCGAAAACGCAAAGAAGGGGCTACGGCTGCTTCACGATGACGGCATGGAGAAGCTGAACTTCGCAGGCGGCGAGCCGTTCCTGTACCACAAGTATCTCGGCCAGCTGTGCCGGTTCGCAAAGCAAGAGCTGGGACTGCAGAGCGTGAGCATCGTCAGCAACGGCACCAGAGTGACGGAGAAGTGGCTGCGCGAATACGGCCAGTACGTTGACATCCTCGCTATATCGTGCGACTCGTTCATCGCGTCTACCAACGCTGCGATAGGCCGCGCGGATCGCAAGAGCGGCAGGCCGTTCGACAACGTGGCGCAGCTGTTCCAGATCCGCGACTGGTGCAGGGAGCTCGGTATCAAGTTCAAGCTCAACACGGTTGTGTGCTCGTTGAACTGGCAGGAGGATATGGTGGATGTGGTGAGGGAGCTGGATCCGTTTCGGTGGAAGGTGTTCCAGGTGTTGGTTGTGGAGGGGGAGAACGAGAGCGAGCAGCGGATGAGGGATGCGCGGAAGATGCTGGTTACGGACGAGCAGTTTGGCTCGTTCTGCAAGCGGCATGAAGGCGTCAGGGGGTTTACTCCGGAGAGCAACGATGTGATGCAGTCGAGTTACCTGGTAAGTTCCCCTTCTTCCACGGCTTGGGCCATCTTCATGTTGTTATGCTTTTGAGGCTTATGCATTGTGTTGCAGATCTTGGACGAGTATTTGCAGTTTCTGGATGGTGGGAATAAGGCGCGCCATTCGGGAAAGATTTTGGATGTTGGTGTTCAGAAGGCGTTGAGCCAGGTGGAGTGGGATCAAGAAGCTTTCGTGGCTAGGGGAGCGATCTATGATTGGGGTAAGGAGTGTGGAGAGGGTGCTTGTGGAGGCGGACTGGAGGGCATCGATATGAAGGATCTTGAGTTCTGAATGGAATTGGCTTGGTTGCTGGGGTGGCAGTTGACATGTGGCAGCGGAATCATGTTGGACGCGGCCTTGGAGAAACTCGGGCTGGGAGATTCACGGTAGAGAATGCTCTCCGAATAAAGCGGACCATACGTAGAGAATAGAAGAACATTACTATTACCCCAGGGGTCTTTATCATGTACATATGAAGACAGAACTCCTAACTTCCCCCATACTATACATATCCTCACGACCAAAATACCCTGAACCCCACGCCTACCACGAGAAAGTCATCAACGCCGGATTCAACACAACCGGCAATAACAAATGACTCCCCGTCACCGTCGCCATAGGCAAAATCGCCACCATATCTCTAATATGCCAAGAATGCGGAACCCACGGCGCGACCGCCAATACCACGATGCCCACGATGCCCACGACCGCAAACGCAATGCTGAACTTGAATCGTTTCAGCACCTTCGGCACTTCGATGAAGAAGTTGCTGAACTCGGCTTCTTTGCTAGTGGCGCCCCACGCCATGTCGATTTCGAACATGTGCGCGAGCAGCGCTTGCGAGACGTGCAGCGAGAGCCCACCCAGGAAGATGGCGAGCATGAGGATCCATTTGAAGTTTTCGAGGAGCGCGGAGAGGAAGGATGCGGAGCCGATGCGGTAGCGCATTGTTGCGAGGGCGAGGTTGCCGAGGCCGTTGAAGACGATGACGATGGAGAACCTTGAGCGGGGAGAGTCAGCGGAGTTCGTCAATGTTGTTGAGTGGTGACTTTAGCAGAGAGGCCAGCAGGAACAGTTACGTGACCGAACTTACCAAACCTTCCAGCTGTCAATGTAGTACTTATCCAAGTATCCATTAAACCAGCCAATCGCAAAGTAGTTCGCCGTCGTCAAGATCCACGCCGCCCCAATTGCATAATACGTCCCAATATACGACACAATCGTCACCTTACTCGTAAACCGAATATTCGAACACAAAAACCTGCGGAAAAGCGGCGTGAACGGGCCTCTCACCAGCCAGAACCTAATCGGATGGAAGAGCAGCTCATTACAGCCATACGCGTACTTTTCCCAGCGCGCAAGCTCGTCGTAAACAGTGAGCGATACGCCTTCTTTGAAGCCCTCGCCCGCCCAGGCGGCCAACCGGATGGTGTACCCGTTTACTTGGAGGCGCAGCGACATGTCGAAGTCTTCCGATACGTGCGATTCCGACCAGAATTTCTCGTAGCCGTCCGAGTCGTAGAAGGAGACTTGCTGGATGGCGGACCAGCGGAGGATGGCGTTGTGGCCGACGAAGGGGGCGACGTCGCCGTTGGAGACGGTGTAGCGGATGGCGGTGTAGATGAGTTTGGTGAAGAAGGCGATGCTGGGGTGTGTTAGTAGCGAGATAGGTGGGGGAGGAAGGGGAAGGGACGGGCTTACCCGTTCTCGAAGTAGGTGTACACGACTTGCATGACGCCGGAGGAGAATTGCATGATGCCGACTTCGGGAGACTGCTCCATTTCGCTGGCGGCGTCGAGGAGACAGTCGGAGGGGACGCGGGTGTCAGAGTCGACTGACAATGACGTTAGAGGTCTGAAGGTCTCCAAGCTAGGTGATGACTTACTGAGGAGGATGTAATCGCCAATCCTAATATTTCCATCGGCCCAAGCGCGTCCATTTTCTTCAAGGACTTCATTCAGGCACCTTGCGTACTCACGTGCCTCATCGTTCTGTGTCCAGTCGATACCTCGCTGTACTTCCTCTAACTTGCTCTCCACACAGTTACTCAGCCAGAGCCCGTAGTTCATATTACTCGCCTTCTTGAACTTGCCTCTCCTGACAAAGCCATCTTCACCATGCTTAGGTCTCGCAGTCCAGCCAATTCCGTGATCAGCGTAGAACTCAATCCGTGCCTGGCGTTCTTCTTCGTCGATGAGTTGAAGTCCGTCGTCATTGATGAGCATGTTGGCTGACCCGCCTTGCAGTTCGTAAGTGGACATAGCCTGTTTGATTGACTTGACAGTGGGCACAATCACAGACGAAAGACCTTCTTTGTAGACTGGACACTGGATGGTGATGTGTGGCAGCTGGCCGGTGAGTCGGCGGGGCCGCATCGCGGAGTAATAACGTGAGTTGGTCGTCATTTGGCGGATTGGGCCGATAACCTGAGCGATGCAACCCACGATAACCTGGGCGAAGAACTGCCGGGTTGTTAGCGATGCGGCTTAGTGCACTGAAGTCCTTCAGGACGAGACATGCCAGAGTGAAAAAGATTTGAATCGGAGTGAGCGCGATGAAGGCTAGTCGAATATAGCGCCTGTCTACCATGATCTCGATCGCAATCTGCCTGAAGCCTGCGCCCAACGTAATCGTGATGAGCAGCAATGTGAATCCCACAAGCACGGCATTCATGATATGCGTAGGCCTCTGCTCCGGCTTAGCCTCTCCCGTCTCCTCGTCAATCTCGAGTTCTACGACTGCGGAACCTTTTGACTTTTCCGATTCTTCTTCAATGTCATCGGGCTCGCCGGTCCTCCACACCATGTCCATGAGCTCATCTTCGATCGCCGTGGCTCTCGTGAAGACATTCAGGGGCTCGTCATCCCATACAACGAGGAGGGACTCTGCTGCCAAGAAAGCCGCGAACTGGTTCTTGCGCGCTGTAGGGAGGTCATCGACAGTGGGTAGGATTTGGACGCGAAGGCCTCCCTTGAGGGGTACGTCTGTGGTTTCTGGTGCCAGCTGAAGGAAGGTTTGGATGATACGGGAGTTCACTGTCATAGCCACCTAGTATGTATTAGAGTAGCCCTTCGTCGTGAAGGATAAACGTACCGGCATGTTCATCTGTGAACAGTAGTACGCAAACGACGAGTGAATTAGGTTCGGTGGACACGCCAAGTAGTTCCCCCTTGCCTTCCGCAAGATGACCCCTTCCATCTCACCTGATACCTCGCTAACCCAGAGCTTTTTACATTGCTGTTGGAACAGATGGTTGACCATGACTTCATGCCTGATATCTTCCATAAGACTCTGGCTTGCGAGGGACCGCATCGATCCGGAAAACGAGTTCCTCCTTGATGTGCCAGCAGTCGGTGGCCCTGTAGCCGGCGCAGGATACGGAATCAGTGACTCGTTCCATCGTGGTGAGGGAGGTGGCATTTGCTCCATGAGCGTGGAAGATGGATGCCGTATGATGGTTGGTGTCCTGGTGTCATCTTTCGGAGTTCGACGTCCCTCTATCGATGATTGTGAGCTGTTTGTTTGCTTCTCGTTAAAATGGCCCATGATGGGCTGTTGTGGGAGTATTAGACCCCTGAATGATGTCAAAGTCAAAGGCAGAATAGAGAGCGGATAGGCACAGAGCAAAGCGCGTAGTAACGAGTGACAGTGAGCGAGTATGTTGTACAAACAAAAGAGCATAGGATCGGGAAAGCGGATCAGTTAGAGTTGACAGACATGCTGAAAGCTGGGGCTAGATATCGCCTCGTTCCCATACTATGCCTAAACTGAAGCAAGGTTGTACAAGTTTGGAACCTAGAAACGTGGAGGTTAGGGCTGGATGGCCGGCTAGGAAGTTAAAATGATACAATAGAGATCCTGGAGCAGAAGCGGAAACCGAAGGCCGATCGAGATCCACTACAACACGAGAAGTGATGTAGTAGTCCAAGGTAGACGATGCAAGAGTCGGAGCTAAAGATCCACTGCAGGAGGTATCGACTGAACCACGACTGGGGGCAGATATTGCTATCATTAGTATGGATCTTTGCTTGTTGATACATCTCGGTGGGTGGAGCACTCAGACGTCGCCGATACCAAACAACAGCGCACAGTCCAGTCGAGTCTCTAGAAAGGAATTACCGCTAACCGCTCCCGCTGAGGCGGTTCAATAAAGCCTCAAATGTAGCTCCGACACGCCACCCGGCTTGGACCGGATAGAGGCTTCCATGAGGTGCGAAAGAACGGCATCGAGGAGAACTCTCGATTAAAGCCGACTTTGAACTGCCGGTCTGCAAGGCGCGATGTTGAGAAACGAGCTGTTAATGTCGTGAAAGAGAGATTAACGCTGACACACTCCTGTATCCTCATTTCGCCTCGTCCACGTCATGCTGCACAACAGCTGCTGTGCTGGAACGGAATACGGCAATCGTGCAGGAGCGGTGGTCACAGTCAATCTCGAGGCGAGCGTTGACGGCGCCGTTCCGTTGCATTGGACCCATCGGGCGTGCCTCGCCGGGTTCGACTAACCTAACAAATGCATGAGAGAAGCATCCAGTTCGGATCTCCTTTCGTCATGTTTCAGCCAGTTGTGACATCGCGGAGCCAGTCGAGGCTAAGCTAGCGAGATGTCTTTCCCACTCACCAGGTGCAAGGAGCAATGGCGAGAAGCGTACTTCGGATATGGTGGGATCCGGGAAGCCCGTGCAAAATTTGGGGTATGTTGTACTCTGTTCCACGGTGATGCTGTGAACCTCGCTTAGCCTTGGAATAGCAGTGCAGAGGTAAAGAGGTGGAGATGACTTGTCTGTACTCACTGCGAAGCTTGCACAAGCACGCTCATCTAGAACGAGCATCAGGATACCCTCGTTTGGCGGGTGGGGGTGATGAACGCGGCCTGATGAGTTTTCCTAATATTGCGCGCGTTGCCTCTGGCAGCGCAACAGAATGCCGAGCATCCCCACATCAAGACTGCATGCTCTTCCGCACTGCGCCTCAGCATCTTGTTGCGAAACTAGAACGCTCCCGAGTCCTTCAGGCTTTGTATAACCTCAGCCTGTCCGATGGAGATGTCGATCTCTCGAGCCGCCTTTGAAAGCGCACAAAAGCCCTGCTGATCTCCCGCATAGGCCAGGGTCACGGAAGAGTAATCCGGCCCGTGTGCAACAGCGTCGTCGAAGTGTCAATAGCACAAGGTACAAGTACGATGGAGTGGAAGGATGGTGTCTCGCCGTTAGTGGATTGGAGCCTCCTTGCATGTGGCGGTGCGTTGCCGCCGACACCCACTTCAACATAACCCGTACTCGGTAGAAGCAGCCATGGGCTGCGGGTTGGTGAATACGAGGATCAGGCCCGAACTCTGATTCCCTTGCAGGTTGAGATTGGGCGGAAGTAATAAGAGGATGGAAATTTGAGCAGAAAGGACGCGACCAGACCGAACGGGAGGCTGAAGCAGTGCTATGTTTGTGTTAGCTGGGCGTTTGGCCAATGCGAAGAGAAAGGTTGGACATGGCGCTGTGTGTTGTCCTACGCTCGAGCTGATACGGGCGGGTTGTGCTTCTGTGGCTGGATGCACATTGATTCGCTTCATCAAACGGCATCGAGGAACGCAGGTCCGAAGGAAAAGAATGGAGTTGGGCGCATGGTTGTAAGTCCTGTGGTTCGCTCTCCACCTCGACCCTGGCTTGCCTGGACACTGCAAGGTACGCGAACAGACTTTGGGGTGGCTTGCACTAGCAACGCTGTGGCGTTATGGCGCCACCGGTGATCTGACTTTGAGACTGTTTGCTGGATATCGTTTCGGAAGTCTGCCCGGGGTGTAGATTGTGCGGGCAGCTTGGATGAGCAGTTCGCTGAGTTTGATGGGGAGCGACTGAGGATTCCCAATGTTGCCTGATAGTAGTACTTCTATTCAGCGATCTTGCGCATGAGCAAAAAGAATGGTACGCGAACTCCTGAACACCAACCCATCCACCCTGAACACCAAAGCCCAACTTTCCGCGCCATATTATCGCATACCGCCTACAACAAACACATGTAACAACATAGTCGGGTCTGGTCCCGTCATAGTAAAATTACTCGCAGCCATTGTAACCCGCCTGCTGCCACATTTTCACGCGCTTGACCTCCATCCAGCCCCGATCCTGCCAAGTAGGAAACCACTGCTCTCTCGCGCGCCAAAAGTCAAGCTTTGCGGTTGGACTGCCATCCAGCCACGGTTTCCCGGACTTGCCATCCTTGAACCAGCCGTTCGTGCCACCGACAGCGACGTTGAGTACGAGGTAGAAGTCCTTGTCGAAGGGTGACGCGTTGCTGCTGGTCCTTGCCCAGGGGTTCTCGAGACGTGTGCCGTTGCTGTCCGAGAGCGGGAACGCACCGTAGTTCCAGAAGGGTTGGTCGAAGTGCGTGTACGATACCTGCATGAGGCGCGTGTCGATGTAGGTGAAGATATACTTCTCGCTCCACTGGTCGGTGTTAGCGAGCCGCAACGTGACGCAGCAGCGGAGCACGAACTTCAACACCATATGTATGGTAGCTGTCCGAGTACGTAGTGTGCAGAGCCTGACGCTTGACGTTATTGCGCCACCATCCATCGTTCGCTGAGTTCGGACCAAAGTGTAGGGTGCTGCTGACGACGTTGTTGCCTCCCTGACCATATGTGTAGTTGTTGCCGCGCGACTCCATTATGTCAATCTCACCAGATCTGGGCCACTCCCCGTATGCATTATCCTTCGGCAGCATCCAAATGGCTGGCCATAGCCAATCCCCAGCAGGAAGTTTAGCGGTGACCTCAACCCGGCCGAACTTGATCGATGCGCCGAGCTTGGTGTTGATGCGAGCAGACTTGACGGGATTGACGATGGTTCCATTAGTCGTATTGGTAGTAGCAATGCAATCGGTGTATTTCGTGCCCGTACAGCCCTTGCCCCGCAAGTCTATGACGATGTCTTTCTCGATGAGAGATTCGTCCTGGACGGTCGGCTTGATGTACAGAATGCCCTTGTTAATGTACACGTTCTCGTCGCTGTTGGTGGTTTGCTCGAACTGGCCATTGCTGTGATAGCAAATTAGTCGAGAGAGTTACAATCATTAGGGGCGCTCACCCATAGCCGCCAACTTCTACCTCTTTCGACCAGATCTGGTCGTTCCAGCCTGAGGCGAAGGTCTCGTCCAGGACCGGGCAGTATTTGTGATTGGTAACACTGCGAAGACCGTCCCAGATGATGACACCAGCGACGGCGAGGCCCAAGAGTACTCCAACAATCGGGATGATCGTCACCCACTTCTCGTTGGGATCCTTCTTCTCGAGCCATGGCCTCTCGACCTCACCCTTCTTAATGCGTCGTGACTTGAAGTATCTGTTTTGCCCAGGACGGAGGACCCCACTTGAATTACCCGATGTGACTTCCGGCTTCGACGAACCTTGCCTAGACGGAGTCCTCGATGCAGGGTTTGAAGGATGTGGAGAGCTGTTGACTGGCGTCTGAGCGTTTGGTGTAGCGAAGGGATCGCCTAATTGAGGCACCGACGAGATCTGATCCGGATCGGAGACACTTCGTCCGGCTTGGGGGGCGCGTTGCTCATGCGATTCCTTCTCGGTATCGCTTGAGGCCGTTCCTGAGCGCGTGGTCATATTGATGTTTGAGGCGCTCAAAAACGACAGAAGCAAGAAATTGACAACAGAGGAATGAAACGATGAGCTATTAGGACAAAGCGTTGAGTAAAGTATCGGTAAACGAGTGACATGTAAAGGAAAATCAGAAACGACAGCAAATTTAGAAAGACTGGAAAGAGCGTTCTTGATGGGTCGCGTAATTGCGATGCTCCGTATATAGCAAGGTTGAACCAGACAAGTACCATCCACGCGGCAGGCGCAAATGATAGGCGAACCACACTCTACCCATGAATGTGGTCAGCATTTGGAGGTGGGTCACTGGGAGAGGTACGCCCAGTGCGGATTCGAAGTTGGGCGTGCGTGCGTGCGGACCTAGCGTCTCCAACAATTTGGTGGCAAGTAGTGGGCGCCACGGGCTGCGTATGTGTACCGTTGGACCAGTATGCCGGCAGAAGTGTTTATTGGAGCAACCCTCACAACGAGAGTTGCAAACCGTGTTACGGTCCCGAATGTCCTGGGTCCGTGAGATACGAAGGACTAAAAGTCGTCAAGTAATCTACTGCACTTCACCGAGCGATCGAGATGGACTTTGGTGCTGAGCGCTTAAGCGTAGACAGCCCGAACAGGGCTATGGCAAATGATGATACCTTACCAACCACAATCTAGCACTTTCCGCTGCTTTTAGGCCTTTGAGCTACCGCGGCGCCGCTCGTTCTAGTTCAATGCTCGAGCAGCCATCCTAGCCACAATATCTCTGTATCACCAGCGTATCTGCGACAGTCGCATTGGATGGAACAGTAGTTTCTCCAGCGCACAGCGTCTGCAGTTTGAAGGTCGTGCTTCCCGTCTTCCCTCTAATGCCGGCAAACTGTGTGACCAAATATAGGCATTGATATCGATCAAACGTAAATGTTCGTCCACAGCGCTGCGGTGGTCGTCGCTCCGATCTTATCAGCGAAACGTGTCAATTAGTGGGTTTGTCGACTCGGTAGCGGGCGGTGCAGGTACTGGTCGATGCCCTCTCGTTGGTCGGTAAGTGTATGGACCATTTGAGGCAGCATCTGCCATCGTTAGAGACCTAGGGCATAATATACTCACTAAGAACAAAGGCGGTAGTAGAGACGATAAAATGCTGGCAAACCGGCCAAACGAAATATGCAAGTGCTTTTGCATGCTGAAAACCCAAGTCTAGTCCGCCCACCATCCCATGCACTCGTACAATGCCGATCGCTAACCGTTGATTTGCGATGAGATGTCGGCCGCTTATCAATCGACTGCGTAGAAGCATACCGTTGCCGCAATAATCGAGGAACGCTCGCATCCCGCTAAGCCTCTACCAACAAGCTCAAGTATATCCCCCACAGCACCCCCACCGAGCACCCAAACACCACCCTCTTATCCACCGGCACCCACAAGAAGCTCACCAACGACACCATCGGCCAGAACTTATACCCATCCATGATCATAGGCCAAAACTTCTCCCTGACCTCTCTTTCCATAGCGCCGCCCCACAGTCCCTTTGCGCTCGCGCCCGCCGGCGATTCGTTCACGTAGCCCATGAAGACGAGGAACATGAGCGTGTTAAGTACAGCGCCGAAAGTCTGGTCGAGGATGAATTTCACGAGGACGTTGGTCTTGCTCATTTGCGAGTCGGCGGGCTTGTCTTGGAGCTTCTTCTCGGTGGGCGGGGTGGGGACATTGGTCGGGAAGATGTCTTCGAGGAAGGATTGCCAGACGATGTTGGGCGGGTTGCTGATGATGCTGAAGAGGGCAAATTTGACGATTGGAGTGATGCTGAGGGAGAAGGGCTCCTGCGGGTAGCTGTTAGTTTCTCATCGAAGCCATACCTACGCCGCGCAAGGTAGCTGTGGGGAAACCTCACATTCTCCTTGTATGACGAAATTACTTGCGCAAGCACGTTCGAAGTCACGCTGAGCACCGCTCCTTGCGCGGTCTGCGAGACCATTGCTGAAGGCATGATGGGCGCGTCGATAGATTGCAGAGGAAGGCAATGTAGGAAACCGGGGTATCATGAAAGGGAAAAGAGAGAAACCGTAGGGCAATTTAAGCGAAGAGAATAGAACAGATTTCCATCAGCATGGCCAGCACGCCAGGGATGCGGAGGGTATCAAGAATGTTTGACGTGGAGTTTCCTGGGGTTCAGCTTGGCGCACTCTGCGTCGGAACCAGTATGACGTAATCACGGCTTGACTCCATATGGAGTCATCAATCTCCAGGGCTGTCAACATCCATGTCTTGTACTTGTACGTTTGTAGTACGATGGTGGCCATTTTCAGTGCATGTCAAGAAGTTGGAAAATGAAAGCCTGCCTGTTTTGAATCTCGATTTGACCTTATATGCGGACATGTTTCCATCCACTATTGTCCACTATATCCTGAACCCGCACTCATACAGAGCGCCAGGACGGTTCAGATCGCCTAGTCAGCGAACCGCCGAGATAGATCGAAACGCTTGAAAGAGAAGGAAGTAAAAGAAAACCAAGCCGGAATAGAGAAGCTCGCCAGGTTAATAGGGAAGGGGTATCCTGTTCTCTCCCGAAAGCCTGAACGCCATACCGATAAGAATCCGAACAACCCGAAGGGAATAAGAACAGGGCCGACAGGTCGAAGCGATTTACCACTCTTGCGCACCGGTGCGCCAGCCGATCAGTCAGCGTAGAGAGAATCGTTGTCATCGCCCTCTCCTTCCTCAGCATGCTCTACGACGAACTGCTCCTCGAATTGGCCTCCCCCCTCTTGCTCTCCTCCCTCATCACCCTGCTCATAGCTCTCTTCAGCAGGGACCTCAACCTGCGCCAGGCGGCCCTTCTCCGTAAGACTCAAGCCAATCTCCTCGAAATCCTCATCTTGCCGCACTGTGAGCATGCCTTTGGTGCCGAGCGTAAGCACCATCATCAAGCCCTGGGAGGCGACCATCTTGTTGTTCTCAGTGGACGGAAGGAGCTCCTCGAACAAGACTTCATCGATGTTGGCAGCTGCTTCTGCTTGCAGGACATCGGACATGGGCTCTAATGTCTCCCGGACACGGGTACGCTTCTCGTCAATGGCATCGGAAACGAACGCTAGGAAGTTTCCTCCTTCTGCCGACAGTGCTTCGCGGACACGAGTGGAGGGTTGTGCGAAAGCAGCTGCTGGCATATCCGAGCTGAGGTCAGGGTTGGGGAAGCCGAAGTCCTCTGCACCAATGTTTCCGAACTCATCTTCGCCCTCGAGGCTCCTCAGGGCTTCCAGTCCACCTGGCTGACCACGGCCATGGAGCGGCGATGCCGAGATCATGCGACTGCCACGCCTTCCGGTGAGCGTGTTTGGCGCACTAACCGAGCCCATCATGCCCACGGGCGCGCTCCGAGGAACAGCGGAGGACCCACGAATGGAGGCCGTGATGTTCCAAGGCATGGCCGAGAACACCTGCTGGTCATCGAGAGCTAAGGGTGCCTCGCGTGGCAGCTCGACTTCATCGCCGCCAGGCATGAACATGGCTTCATCTTCTTGTCCTCGCCCAATATGGTCTTCTGGCTCATCGGTCCGCTGGCGCACGCGGCGGGATTCCTCTTGGGTAGCTTCATCAATGCCGCTATCGCGATCGCGCTTCACACCTGCAGCGCCCTTTCGACTAACTCCCGTAAAGAGCTCGAAAAGGTTGTCACCGATGAACTGGTCGAACGGTGTTGGACCTGTGGCGCCCTGTAGTAGAGTTGCGATGCCCCCAATGCCTGCACCCCAGACCCAGTATTCAGCATTCTTCTTGGCTTGTTGGGCAGCTCGATTTTGGTTCTTGAGCCTTGCCGCCTCTTTCATGTTCTGCAGGTAGTTCGTATTCCAATCTGCGAGATCCTTGTTGCGGAGCTCCATGGTTAGATCCAAAGGCAGGACACGGGCGGCTCGTTTCTTGCGACGAGCAGGTGCTACGACTGTGGATTCGGATTCCACAACCTCTAAATGTTCTCCAGATTGCTGCTCAGGTGCGGTAGGGAATGCCTCGCCCTCTGGCAGGTCGTCGCCAAAGATAGGTAGATCGAGATCCATTTGGTCACCCAATTGCTGTGAGAGGTAAGTTGGTGTTCAAGTCATGAAGCAGCTGGAAGTGAGATGTAGGGAAGCCATATATAGGAAACGCCAGGTAAGATCAAGGTGGAGAAATAGGTGACGATCCCAGGTAAAACTTACCTCACCAGCAGCACGTTGTCCTTCCTCGTGCTCTTGTCTCACTCGAGCACTAGCCCCAGCATCGCTAGGCATTGTTGGGCCTCCAGGAAACGCGGGAGTCCGTGGGATCACATTCGCCGCGGTGAGATCAACGAAGTTCCCGTCTTCGTCGAAAGTGAAGTCTGGCCCAGCAAGCGGTTCATCCACGCCCTCTTCCCCTAGCATGCCGCTCGGACCGCCCACGCTGCCAGGACCAATGTCTCCTTCGATTCTGAATTCGCCTACGCCGCCTGGTGTTGAAGATGGAAGAATGAGGCCCCCAACAAGGCCTTCTGGAGTAGTAGGAGCCGGTTGAAAGCCGAATGGAGTCAAGGATTGCGAGTCGCCATTCCGGAGAGTGTCCAGAGCCGGACCAAGGTCAAGCTCCGCGAGCAGTTCCAGGGGCGGGAGGGCGAATTCGGGCAAGAATGAGGGATCATCTTGAAGGACGAGCTGTTCCCGTCTGCGTGCAATGGTAAGTGGTTACACGCTGAGAACCAGACAGACGTGATGCTTACCTAGCTTTGCCGGCCTCCGGATCAAGTGCCGCATCCTTCACCGACCGCAACATCAAATGCATGGCATTGTGCGCATTCTGCACGTCTGATAGGACATATCCACACTGCTGCAAGTACACTCGCGACACACCATACCTGCGATTTCGTCAACATCAAGATGCGAATGGAAGGCATGGCGCTGCTACTGACAACAAATTGCCCTGCAGACGCAAGGCCATGGGCGCGGCCGGGTCGACGATGGTGCGGCATGCTTTTGGTACATCGACTTCTTGGATTGCCTTCCGGTTGATCTTCTTCGAGCTCGATTTGGTGCCGAGCGTCGCAACGAGCCTTCCCTTTTGGTCAGCCACGCCGTGAAGCAAGAGCAATCTGCAGACTTACCATACGGTGGCCACGCCGTACTTGCGCGACGTGAGGACTGCGAATGTTAGCGTTGCCTACTCCAGAGCCGGCTAGTCAGTAAATGTGGCGAGAGCATACCTTCGTGACTGTAGAACATGGTGATACCTTAATACATGGAACGAAAGCGATAATAGTTGGGATACAGGGGAGAGATGTACAGCGCGGTTGCGCAACTAAGAAGAGGAGGTGTGCTGTGTGGGAGGGTGGCTGTGAGGATGGAGGTGAGCAGAAACGCGATGCTAGCGGACGCGCGACCAACGCGACCGACGCGACCACCACTTCACCGATGAGTGAATGAAGCCAACCTCATGTACCTGCCGTATCTTCCACATTTCACGCCATTAATGTGCAAAGACTCTGCTGTACTGAGTAGAGCTGCATACAAGCCATGAGTCACCGGCACCCCTTCAAACGATGAGCTGTAGACCACTAGACCGAAGGGATTCACAAAAGGAAAAGCTGATGACAACTTGTTAAGGTTGCGGTTACCCGCAATATTCGCATTCGTCATCATCAGGTAGAATACATGCTCTATAACCGGGCCATGCCATATGTCTCTTATGCAACGCCAACGCTACACTTGATCTCATGCTTTCGATTCGAGCAGAAAGACACCTACTTGCACCTAGAATGTGACCGTCCAGCAGAGGGCCTTTTACGTCTATGCCTTGTTCTCCTCATCTATGGTGCTCAGGGGAACGGCGCGATAGAGAAGAATGAGCGCTGAGTGGCTCTGGCCTGGGCAATGTCAGCTAATGTAGGGGGAGAGCGTGCGGCTAACTCACCTCCGCCGGACAAGGTCTGGATCCTGTCGGAATCGACCTCGGATACCTTGTCATCATTGAACCACCACCACTTGCCGTCTTCTTCTTTCCTCTTGCCCGTGATAGGGTCTTTGGGGCCTTGCTTCTTGACGAAGGAAGTGTAGTGTCCACTATCAGCGCTGGCGCCTTGATGCGTAATGACACCCCTAAGCTCATAGAGACCCGTCTGATTAGCCCCTTCATCGGCAGCGAGCTTCTGGTCTACAAGTGCGAGAAGCTCCTTCTTCGCGGCCAAGATGGACGCCGCGCGTTCTGCCTCAATCTGGGCCTCCGTCTTGTACTCCACGTCCTTCATCTCCGTGTCCTCCGACTTGGCTTCGGCAGCCTTCTTCGCCTCAGCTTTCTTCTGTAGAGGTTCCTTGCTGACGGACGGTCCGGCGTCGTTCTCCTCGCCAGCTTTTATGCGCTTCTGCCGCTTGCGGGCTCGTTCCACATCCTCCTCTTCCTTCCTGATGTCGCGGATCTTGTCTCGGACAGGGATCAAGAGCTTCTTCAGCTCTTCTGTACAAAACTCAAGGACATCTAGCTCCTCCGGAAAGGTGACCTTGCGCATGATCTTGGCCTTCTTGTTGGTCGTCTTCCGCCAATCGAAGCGTACGAAGTGCACTGTAAGATATTTAGGAAGGCGGGAGATGCGTGACGTCTTCGTGTACATGGCGTCTCGATCCAACGCCTCTGAGCGCTTCTCGATCTGCTCCTTCAAGCCGGCAGCCAGTCCATCTCGGAGATGGTTCGTTTCCACGTTAATATGACAGTTGAGCTTGAAGAATAAATCTTCGCTGTGTACCGGCTCTTCTCCACCCTCCTTCGCCGCGGGTTCGTCGCACTCCATGACCGACTCAAACTTGCCGGCCATGTACTTATCGATGAAGGAGAGGTCCTTAGCCTGGTCTTCGTCTGACACTGATGAGGTCTCCTTGATCTTAAGCTTCTGTCGGAGCTGGGAAAGGATCTGCGACCAAGCTTCTTCCGCGTCCTGCTGCGCATAGCCTTGTCCATCCTTTGCCTTCTGGCTGAACTGTGGAAAGGCGGCCCGGAGGGCGTTCAGGAACATCAAGGGCGGGAAGCCCTGCTGTGTCTCGGACATTTGCTTGAAAAGATCGCGGAGGGATGCCGTTAGGTCCATCGACGCGCCGAGGCCACCGAGCCCAAACTGGCTGAGTTGGCTTGCTGAGCTAGGTCCGGCGTTGCTTTGTTTTGTCAGCGTTTGGGTGTTAGCATCCAGAAGTGGCTGCCTACCTAGTAGAGTACTTCGAAAGCTCGTCCTGCAGCTCTGGTATAGAGCGCAACGTCTGAAGCGTGGAGTTCATGTAGCATGTGTTGCCTAGGTTCTGCAAACCAGCCGGTGTAGCCCCTTCCGACTGGGCTGCCTCCGCCTCCGTCATGTCTTCCAGGAACTTGATCTTCTCCTTCGGCCTCTCGATCACGTTCGTATTGTCCCCTGAGGGTGTGCCCATCATCATGATGGTTTGCTTGGGTTTGAGGCCCAGCTTCGACATGTCCGCGTCATCCTTGAGCTGCCCGCCCTTGACGATGATCTTTTGGCGCTCGGGTTCGACTCCGGTAATAGAGAATAGCTGATACTTGAACGTCTCGCCGTTTGAGCTCGGGTCGACCTCGACTTCGTGTTTCTTGCCCTGGTGCTTTACAATTACTAAATTCATAGGGATTAGCTGCTAACTCCGGCGCGATGAGAAGAGGCTTCATACCCGGTATAGGGTCCATAGTGGCAGTACTGAGGGAGATGAGGGGGAGGACAACAGAGGTGTGTTATGAGAAAAGAGAGCGCCTTGCTTGGTAGGGGAACAGCGGGGGCAAAGATGCAAATGGAACCTTTGGAAATCAACAGCGGCGATCGTCAATGCCAAGCCCTGGACCCCTGCCCTGATCCAGCCTCAACTCCTCCCCCACCACGAGCAACGCCGTTCTTGAATATTGGCATGGCATAGTCCGCTACCTACCCAATACCACTTCCTCAGTGTTCCAAACGGCCGGGAGCTCCCCACAGCATGGTAGGCTCTCCGCGAGCAACGGTAACCCGAACGCGCGCTTCCAGAATGCTGACGCCTGCAGTCGCAATCACTCCGCCCATACCTCCAATGCGTGCGATCCTCGCTCACGGCCGCCCTCTCCCTGTCGAACTTTGCATCGCAGGCGTCCGAAAGGCACAATGTTCCCGAGATTGAGGCCGCGAGCTCCCCGGAGGTGCTGCTCAACCCTCTCACCGTGTCGAGAAATGAGAACGAAAAGGTCTTGATCGAACCCAGCATCAACAGCGTGCGGATAAGCATAAAGATAAAGCAGGCGGATGAGATAGAGAATATTCTGGTGCACAAGTTCACGCGCTTCTTGACACAGCGAGCGGAGGCATTCTTCATTTTGCGGAGGAAACCGGTCAAGGTACGGCTCAGACTGGAAGGAAAAACGTGGTAGATCTGACAGGTGCAGGGCTATGACATTTCGTTCCTGATCACGAACTTTCACACCGAGGAGATGCTAAAGCACAAGCTTGTCGACTTCATAATCCAGTTCATGGAGGAGGTGGACAAGGAGATATCGGAGATGAAGCTTTTCGTAAGGCTGGCACGTGTCCCTCAACTAGCCTAGAGCTAACTTGTCTTTAGCTAAATGCTAGGGCTCGTTTCGTAGCTGAGTCCTTCCTTACTCCGGTACGATCCCCCGTATACGTCGCGATTCGTCTCGCTAATGATGACAGTTTGACTGAGCTTCTCGGGAGGATTACCATGTGGATTGAATTCAATCAGAAGCTGTGGGCATCGACCCCTTCTAAGCTTGGGACCCAGCGAAGCGTCTGGACAATGGTCTAGGACATGATAGACTGGGCGCTATTATGCAGATAGAGCTATGCGGGATTCATCGAGCCTTGATAGGAGCCGCTCGCCATCTTGAGACAACAAGCTTTTCAGTACTTTGGTTTCTGTGCCTGTTTTGTGGCTCTACCAGCAAATTCTTCCTTTTGGCAGCGGGTGCATCGACAGCGTTATTGGCTGTTGTGCACGCCGTTCAGACTCCAGAGCCAGCACGACACCAGCGTATATCACCGGAGAATTTTCGAGTATAGAAAGTGTAGGTACCAAACCTAGCAAGGCATCGAACGACTGATACGAGGCTGGGGTAAACCTGGATTGGACCTTTCAGCACACCGTGATGTAGACAGATGATGGGAGGGCCGTTTTGGTGCCCTCCGAACTCGGCAACCTCAGCCGAACAGCCGCGTGCGCCTTCCGCAAGGCTGATGCGGGGTTGTAGCCTCAGTGCGAATTGGGCCTGGGAAGTCGGTTTGCTTCCAAGGTTGAGCTGTAAGTCCACCTTCTGCCGTCGAATGACCGGACAACGGAGCTCTCAAAAGGCTAGACGATGGAAAAACCATTTTACGCCGGCCTAGCGCAGAGCCGGTCCGGCGTCGAAGAAGCACGGCGTGGGCCTGCGGAATTCCTTTCGCGACCTCGGCTCTCAACGGCTCCTCCCTCAGATCCGATCTGCATCAGCCGAGAGCTCTGCTTCCTCCAGCTTTATTTCTCCAGAGCCGTCAACTCTCTAGAACCACGCGTACGACACTTCCCCTTTTCTTCTGGAGCTTCATTGAGGTCGTCCGGATACGGCGGAAGCTAATTTGAGAATGTCGGCCTTCAGTCGCAACCTGTGCAGCGCTGCATCACGATCTCTCCGACAGCGGTCCGGCGTCAGCTGCAGGGCAGTGAGGCCAATTGCTATCAGGGCTGCATCCTCGACCCCAATTACCACGCGTACGGCTGCAGCAGCGCCCTTCTCCACCATGTCCTCCCTCAAGAGCGCCGCCCCGCCGGCCCCCAACAAGCGAGAGTACGACCCCGAGATCAAGGACATTGCCAGCTATGTCCACAATACCCCTATTGACTCCGAGCTCGCGGTAGGGCCCAAGATTCTACCTATTCCAGCCGTGGCTAATAAGAGGCTCCTATAGTACGATACCGCCCGCTGGGTCTTCGTTGATACGCTCGGCTGCGGTCTGAAGGCTCTCGAATTCGAGCAATGCAGGAACATTCTCGGCCCCGTCGTGGAAGGCACTATTGTGCCCAATGGCACAAAGGTCCCTGGCACCAATTACCAGCTCGACCCCGTGAACGGTGCCTTCAACATCGGCGCCATGATTCGATGGCTAGACTTCAACGACTGCTGGCTGGCGGCCGAGTGGGGCCACCCCTCGGACAACCTGGGTGCAATTCTTGCAACTGCCGACTGGATCTCACGAACAAACAGGGCTGGAGGAAAGCTCGGCAACGGCAAGGTCCTCAAGGTCAGGGATGTGCTCGAGGCCATGATTAGGGCACACGAGATCCAGGGCTGCATGGCGCTGGAGAACTCGTTCAACAAAGTTGGGCTCGATCACGTCGTGCTCGTCAAGCTCGCCTCGACGGCAGTAGTAGCTAAGATGCTGGGCCTCACTGAGGCTCAGACCCGCGATGCCATCTCCCAGGCCTGGGTCGATGGCCAGGCCCTGCGAACCTACAGGCACTCGCCCAACACCATGTCCCGCAAGTCGTGGGCCGCTGGTGACGCTTGCCAGAAGGCTGTGAATCTTGTCCTGAAGGTGCTCAAGGGCGAGCAGGGCATGCCCACCGTCCTCTCTGCCCCCACGTGGGGATTCTACGACGTCAACTTTGGGGGCAAGAAGTTCCAGTTCCAGAGACCGTATGGCAGCTACGTCATGGAGAATGTCCTCTTCAAAGTGTCGTACCCTGGTAGGTCATTTGCAGAATCCGTCGTCCTACATAGGCTTACCTTTCCTCTAGCCGAGTTCCACTCGCAGACCGCTGTCGAGGCTGCACAGCGTCTAAACAAGAAGTTGAAGGCAATGGGCAAGACCGCCGAAGACATCGAGAGCGTCGTTAACCGGACGCACGAGGCCTGCATCCGCATCATCGATAAGCAATTCAAGCCTATGGAGAACTTTGCCGACCGTGACCACTGTGTGCAGGTGAGTTGAGTACCCCAAGCGCTGACCGGACGGGTCCTGATAATATATCGCAGTATATGGTCGCCACCATGTTCGTGTTCAACCGCCTAGAGGCCACCGACTATCCCGATGATAGCGAGGCTGCCACCTCAGCGCTGGTGGAGTCGCTCAGGCAGCGCATCTCCTGCGTGGAAGACCCTCAGTTCACGAAGGACTACCACGATCCCGAGAAGCGCACCATTTCCAATGCTCTTACCGTGAAGCTCAAGGACGGCACCGTCCTCGAAGAAGAAGTTGTTGAGGCTCCTCTAGGCCACCGTCTGCGACGAGAGGAAGCAAAGCCGGAAATACTTGAAAAGTACCGGAGGCATTTAGGACCGCATTTCCCGGCCGACCATGTTGCGAAACTCGTTCAACTCGCTGAAGATGGAAAGACGCTCGATAATCTTGATGTCGATAAATACGTCGACATGTACGTTAAGCAATAAATGGTAAGGGTGGGGTCCTAGGTAGATTAAGAATCGGTCTCGTCTTGCGCTGAGTCTTCAGACTCCACACATCTTGGTTCGTGCAGCGTCCCTCTACATCCATCCAACCCCCAATAACTGTCGCACTGGAGGGATCGATCGAGATGGCAATATCCTAGTGCGGATTGTGGCTCCTGGACTGATGATACACCACTAAGCGTTCGGATGTGGAGGAACGCTGCGCTCGCTTCGGCTCCCCGGATTCGGACGAGTGCATTCGGCTTCCATAATTTCCCAGATATTCTTCCACCCCTGTCGTTGTTTCGCTTCCTTTCAAGGTTATTGTTTTGGCTACACAAGATCGCCCCACATCGACGTTATTGAAGCTTCGATACTCTCTTCTAATATTCCGACCATGCCGCGTGATAGCCGCAATTTCAGACTGACGCGATTATGGTGCCACGTCCCATATTGATCGCCTCATGACGGGCTTTGATCGGTCCAGAGTCGTCGCCAGATGAATTTCGACATCGCGATCGAGAGTCGAGGCCCCAATATTGGGCTACAAAATACCGACAGCTATGAGCCGTACCAGGTTTTCTCCGCCCCATGGGGTACTGTTTCTCACAAGCCGAGTCCGGAGAAGGCCGACCGGGAGAATGTGGGCAAGATCGAACGCTCTGTGGTCGGGGCCAGCGGACCTTAGTCGATGTGTGGTATTGTGGTCGCTCCATCGTCAGACTCGCTTTGGTCGCCATGAGATTGCGGAGGGCTGTGCAATACCGCAGAAATGAAAAAGAATGGCAAGTCGTCGCAGAGAAGGCGATCGAATGACACAAGTGTGCAGGCGGCGGCGGTGCCTGATAAGTACCTCAAGAGCAACGGGGACGGTCTTGCTCCTTAAGTCTAGCCAGCGACACATTACCAATCCCCCGTAAAGGGCCCGCGATCCAGAGCCCGTCCGGCTGGCATCCCTCTGGAATCCCACGATATGTCGCCAAGTCCCTCGCATCAGGTATACGCACCAGAAGGATGGCCGGGGTAAGTGTTTTGCCAATTCTTCTGATCTCCTTGTGCAAGCACTCGACATAGTCATGACAGTGCAGATTCAGACTGCTAAGTCCAGTCCCCTCAGAGCTTGAAGGATCTGCTAACAGTATCTGAACAGTCCAGCATTGCCTACAGGGGTGCCGATTGACAGCCTTCCTATCACGAGTCCTTACTGCGTCACCGACGCTTGCAGGGCGTTTCGTGAGGGGTTCGCGGACGATGAGAGAAAGACACCGTTGCTCAGGCTTCTGGAGTACGGCTCATGGACCGTCTGGTTTTACTCGTTCTGGATTTTACTCTTCACAGCGATTTACGTGTACCATCAGGTAAAGGACCGCTTGGTCAGAAGAAAAGCAGCACACGGACGACCATCGCTGAAGGATAAGACGATTGCACTCGTTCGCTTTTGGATCTATCGAAGACCAGACAACTGCTTTTCAACAAAGATTGGACTGCGCCAGACCTCGTATGGCACTCTCGCTCTTCTGGCGATTGCCACGGTGTTCTTTGCTATTCTGCCATGGCCGCAGTACCGATATCTGCGAGCACGGTTTCGGTTCGGGTCACCGCCTCTGAGTGTGCGGTGTGCTATGATCATCTCAGCATTGACGCCTCTCACGGTGGTTCTGGCTGGGAAGGTCAACGTCATCACTTGGATGACCGGAGTCGGATACGAAAAGCTCAACGTTTATCATCGATACGTAGCATATGTCATCTTTTATCTGTCAACAATTCACACTGTAAGTGATCAACTACTGGACCATTCAAGATCATCACTGACGTTCTTCAAGATACCACATCTTATTGCCCCAGTTAAAGATGGAGGTTGGAGCATGCTGAACAAGCTCTACGCGAACGAAGCGCGTGAGCTCTCTGGCACCCCACTGTACTTTGCGACTTTTGGTCTTGCATTCTTCTCGATACCCTGGGTTCGGAACCGCTCCTACGAGGCGTTCAAATATCTGCATATTTTCCTAGCTGTAGCATACATCGGTTTATTTTGGTGGCATATCTATGGGGAGTACATAAGTGTAGGTGCTTGGACCCTTTCATGCAAAGCACTGACTGACATTGTACACCAGCCTTGCTACATCTACGCCACTGTTGCTTCTCTGTTCTTTTCGAACATCATCCGCCTCGTGCAGCGGCACCGTAATCTCCGGTCCTTCTCCAACCTCGCCGGCTTTCCCACAACGATCGAATCCCTGCATGGGAACATGTCACGGATTACGGTCGAGGTTCCCAAGTCGATGAAGTGGAAGCCTGGTCAGCACGCCTTCATTCGCATACTGAGTCTCAGCTGGCTTGGTAACCACCCCTTCTCGATCGGCAACATTCCCTCCACTGAGAGGGGAGGTAGCACGCACGAGATGGTCTTCCTCGTTCGACGCCACGATGGCTTCACCAAAAAGCTGTGTCGAGGCGAGCCAGTAGTGCCCAGCGAGACAGAGTCGGAAACAGGTCTTTTTGAAACAGACTTGGAGAAGCCTAATATTGTCAATACACCAATAATCCATGCGCCGAGCAAGGCCGTCATGGGGGCGGAGAAGCCAGTGATGGCTGAGCAAGAGAAGGGCGTCGAGCACATTGAAAACATCAATACCCATGTGGACGCTATCACCGTGGTCCAAGAGGAAGTCCTCAGCCCCATGTCGCCGTTTGCGCAGGCCTCGTTCCCGCTCACTGTCGATCCTCCGCTCCGATCGCAGCCGTCCTTCTCGTCCTTACCGCCCAGGGACGAAATCACCGAAGCGAAGCTTAAGTTCATCGCCGAAAAGCCTGCCGGTGTTAGATCCTCTTCCCAGCCGTCCTCGAGCCGGATAAGCGGATCTACTCGATACTCTTGCCAACCACCTACGAATGGGACAAGTGGAAAGCGTCGCGCCTCCTTCTCTTCGTTCCCGCCCCGCGACGAAATTACAGAAACGAAGCTCGAAGTTATCGCTAGCAAGTCTGGCATTCGGACATCACTCCGTACGATCATTGACGGACCTTACGGCACACACCATCGTCCGCTGCACAAGATATACGATACGGTTCTATGCGTCGCAGGAGGGTGTGGCATTACTGCGTCCCTACCACACGTACTAGACTTGGCACAGCGTTTGTCCGTTCAAACAAAAGACAAAGCTTTTACCACAAAGAGAATACATCTCGTGTGGATAATACGCGACGTGGCGTGTTGTACATGGATCGAGAAGGAACTTAACGCTGCGATCCGCAACATACGCGAGCATCCTTCGCCCAGCAATATTACCTTCACCGTCGACATTTACATTACGCGTTCAGCGGACCTCGCAGAGTCAGCGAGTCCGTCGGAGGCCCAACTGTCGCCCATCTCGCCCATCTCACCCATGCTGGATGACAAAGCGTTCGAAGCGGCAAAGCTCGACTTGGAAAGGGGTACGATCACTCTTCCTTCACGGCCACGACCAGCTCTAAGGAGACTTAATGGGGGACGAGGCCTGTTCGACTCTGAAGAAAGCTTCGGCATCACGAAGGATGATGGCGCTTCAAACCGAGGGGTCAGTGTTGCGACGCATTACTGCCGCCCTGTGGTTAGGGATGTCGTAGAAGGATACTGTAGTGGTGAGAGGATGATCGTGCTTGGTACGTATTCACAACTCCCAACGTTATCAAGGATCAGTCGCTAATACACCTGTAGGTTGCGGCCCACCCACTCTCTCAGCCGAGCTCGCCAACACTGCTGCAGCCCTGCAACGGCGGGTATGGGACGGCGAGATGAGAGAGTTAGTTTTAGATCTTGAGTTATTCGAATGCTAGCTATTGGTACTGGCGTTTCTCCTTTGTCACAGCATGGCGGGCAGCCTAACAATCTGGCGCATCGATACGGGAGTATAACATCAACATCATCAACCCACCAAATGTCTCTCTCACCTGAGGCCGTCGCGTACCACAGCCCCACCCCCTATCCTCGGCCACAAACCCCACGGCCTTTTCCCGTAACACCATCATAACTGCCATTCACTCGCAGCCGTGCTCTCGGCAGTCGTTTCTGCACGTTTCGCCACAGAGGAAAGAGAAGAAGTAATGACACGGCTATTATACCCCCCGTGATAGATTACCCGTTCCGGCGTTATGCGTTTAGAACTATCGACTCATATATGTGGCGCTGATCGCACTATAATGCGTATTTTTGAACAATTTGGCGTGTTTCTTGTTTCGGGAGGCCCAGTAGAAGCCTGGTGGAGGGGGTTGCCGCGCCCACGTTTACCGAAGACGGCGGAGTCCTGGGGACGTCATGATGCAGATATGTGTCTGGCGTCCTGGGCGGAGATTAGGGCGAGGTTGGAGTGTATCGCTTGATGAAGTACGCGGGTTTGAGCTCGACGGCGATGGATGGAGGGTTGGGTTCTGCGGCATCCTTTAGACATACAGTCTCCGCGGCATGCGCTCGGCGGATGCTGAGCGATGCCGACACCCTGAACCCGCTTTCCTTCTGAACTTCGGTAACGCCCGCGTATGCGTCCTGAAGGACTTTCATCAAGCCATCTCCTTCCTCAACGAAGTCACAGCGTCGTGGCAAACGCCAAAGGTCGCCAAGCGGAATATCCCGCTACTCGACGGCTACAACGCATTCTCTGCCGCGCCCGACGTTTGATAGACTGAAAAAAGAGCTCGCGGGAAACTTAGCAAAGCATGCTCTATGGCGATCCTGTGTTGTTCTCGCAAGAAAAACACGAAGCCACCTGATGCAACCGAGCCAGCCAAGGCAAACCTCCTACAACCCCAAGAGATGCCTGAAACCGAACGGAACACCAGAATCTCAGATCCCATGCTAAAGAAAGACCGATCTCCAAAACGCAAAAAGACGCCGTTCAAACCTCCAAGACGGATGTTCTCGATCTCCGGTTTCGGGAATTCCCGCGTGAAGAAGACGCTCGTGAAAGCTGAAGTCTTACGCGCCGCCTCCGAAATCTGGCTGCGCGGGAACCTCCTTGAATAATTCGTCTTCGAGAGTCCTCACTCCCACGAAAGGGCTGTGCCTGCTTCATATCTACGACCAAGAGGAGAAGAGTGCATTTTCGAAGTCGACGTTCGCACAAAGCCCGCCCGGCTATTCCCTCATCCGACGAGGACGCGCGTGGCCCCCGGCCAAAACTTCTGAAACCGTTCCTGTCTCTGGCCCGCTAAATACAGCAACGGCGACGAACCAGCAGCGCGGACATCTGAAAATAAGCTTAATTTTGGCAGCCGCTGGTGCGAGGCTGAGCCTGTGCTGTGACATGTGGCGTGGGTTTTGGGTTTTGGGGAGACTGATGAGGATGGTGCCAGGTGCGAAGGGGGAAGGGGATATAAAGCCTGGGGCTGCTGTAAGGTTGTTTGAAGGGGACTGAGGAAAAGATTTCGTCTTGGGATTTGAAAGAGATCGCATAATTGTTTGCCTGAGGCTTTTTTTTCGATTCTTACTTTAAGGTCTTTTGTTTAATTCGATTTACCCTTCAGGATGCTTTCCAGGTACCTGAGTCGAGCAGTGCTCGCTGGCGCGGTTTTTCAGTTCGCCGCTGCGCAACAGTCTGAGATTGTTCCGCAGGAGCTTCAGGGTGGATTTGAGTCGAGCGGTGTCGAACTTCAGGTGTCGTATACCGGCGATGCGGTCAACGGCTTCCTCGATGGGGCGTCATTTTCAAAAGACGGTATGTGCCAGCCAACACCTTACACTCGCTCACGAGGCTAATGAAAAGCAGAGGTGTCCGAGGAGCCTACTTTCGCCCTGGGCGACAGCTCCGCCATCAGCAGTACAACCCTCTACACCATCATCATGATCGACACCACCGACGACGACGCGCGCACGCTGCACTACGCCCGCGCCAACTTCAAGTACAACTTCGACATCGTCAAGATCGAAACCCAAGACCAGCCTCTGCTCGAGTACAAGGCTCCCGGCGCGTTTGGCGAGACGGGCGACGAGCGCAAGTACAGCTTCCTGATGTACACGAACCCGCAGCGCGAGGAGATCACGGAGCTGAAGCTGCCCAGCGAGGGCGAGGCGTTCGACGTCAAGCAGTTCCAGGACGACAACGGGCTGCAGGATGCGAGCGCGGGCATCGGCATGGTTGTCAAGTTGGGTGGTGGCTCGGATACCCCAACCCCTTCGGATACCCCTAGTTCCCAGACGCCGGAGAGCTCTGGTGCTGCTGAAGAAGCTTCTTCGACTCCGGCGTCCAGCGGCGCGAGCGCGACCAGTGCTGCTTCGGAGGTTTCATCGGCTGAAGACACACCCACGCCGACGCCGACAGCCACAGCCACAGATGATGAGTCGCAGGACGAGACTTCTTCGGCGGCAGCTGGGCGGACTTCGGATCTTGCTGTTGCATCTAGCGCTCTAGAGACCGGTGCGTCGGCTGCTTCGACGGCTTTCCTCACGAGTGCGCAGCCTACTGCTGGTTCTCAGACGTCTACGGGAGGGCCGGCTCAGCAGACGGATTCGGGCGCGTCGGGTCTTTCGGCCGGTACAGCCTGGGTGATGGTTGCTGCTCCGTTCGTAGGGGCCTTGTTGGCTTGGTGAGGAGATGATGGGGAAGAAGTCTTTCGAAGCATTGCGATGGCGTTTTTGGCGTCCTGAAGGACCTGGGATGAATGAAGTATGATCCCAGAGTAGTCCAATTATTATTATCTACCTTTTGTTGAATGTAATATTGTGATTTTTCTTGTCTGTATGTTCTATTGTTGAACTGTGGAGTATTTGTATACCGGGTGAGGCAATGCGGCCGAGAGTCAATGATACTAACAGACTTGACAATGTGCCGTGAGTGACAACCGCGTCGAAGTGGCTTCAGCGACCTCTTGTCGTCTCGTCAGTTGCGCCGTTCAGAGAGTGAGCTATCTCGAAGAAGGCTAGCAGAGTGTGGGGCAACCGAGCCGAGGCAAGTCGGCTACAGATCACGGGGTTTGGGGAACCCGGGGCATTTAAGTGTCTATCAGCAACTGCCGGGGTCGCAGTTCAACCTGTTATCGACGGCTCTCTTCGACTCTGGTCCTCTGTGAACTTCGCGGTGTCCAGCTTGCTCTCTGAAACCTCTGGAAGTGAGAACAGAACACGACAATGGCTCTTGGTTCGTGTCGACATTTCTGTGCCACCATTCGTGGCGCGAGCTTCGCCACATCCCCACATATCGACCCTGAAGCTGACGGCAACCTCAGTGCCTGTAGCAGGAGCAATTGCGGGCGCGACCGCCGCCGCTGCCTATCTCGATGCGAGATTTCACATCCGCAAAGATCTCCACTCCATCCGAAACGTAAAGGCGACCGAGAGGGACTTTCAGAGAGCGGGTAAGCCGGAGCCCCGCAACCTCGAGCTCCCGGGGTTCATATCTCGAGCATAGGCTGACCAGCGTCAATGGACAGGGGCGAATAACCGCGGCAGTCTGTGGTACTATTTCGAAGCGCAAGCGAACCGACTCCCTGAAACCGAAGAAGCCATCTGGTCGCGAGCGGGATGCTACACATGGGGCGAGACGTACGCAAACGCATGCCGATACGGACAGTACTTCCTCCAGAATGGCCTCAAGCCAGGGGTGCTGGTGAGCTTCTATCTCACGAACCAGCCCGAGTTTATATTCGCACATCTTGGATCATGGTCGGTCGGGTCGGCTCCCGCTATGATAAACCACCATCTGGCTGGCGATGCCTTGGTGCACTGCCTGAAGGTTGCGGCATCGAAGCTGTTGCTTGTGGATGAAGATCCGGACGCACAGCAAAGGATCGAGGCCGTAAGAGATAGGATCGAGGGCGAGCTCGGCATGACGATCAAAGTACTGGACAAGCGGTTGAAGGGCGAGATTCTCCGCCTGGAGCCAAAGAGGCCGGAGGATGAGTATCGGACCGGCATTGTGGGAACCTTCCCTATGTGCCTGATGTACACCAGGTAGGCAGCCCGCTCTAAGTATGATCACAAACGCTAACTTCAGCAGCGGCACAACGGGCCACCCTAAGGCCTGCCCTTTCGAGATGCAAAGGGCTGGTGGTCTCGTCGGCGGACGCATTCGTGATCTAGACCTTTCGCCCGGCCCCAACGGCGATCGATGGTACATCTGCATGCCGTTATATCATGGCACCGGAAACACAACGGCTCTCTCCTGCATGATGTCCGGCGTGACGCTATGCATTGGCAAGAAGTTCTCGACATCAAGGTTCTGGACCGACATCCGCGACTCGAACTCTACCGCTTTCGTCTATGTAGGAGAGACGGCCCGATATCTGCTGGCCAACCCGCCGAGCGAGTTGGACAGGAAGCACAAGGTGAAGGTCATGTTCGGCAACGGCATGCGCCCAGACGTATGGCATCGCTTCGTCGATCGATTTGGTATCAGGACCGTAGCGGAGTTTTTCAACAGCTCGGAAGGCGTTTTCGGGCTGATAAACGTCTGCCGCGGACCCTTCCTCGCAACCTCGGTTGGACATCATGGTGCTATCATGCGGGCAGCTCTACGCAACACATTCGTACCCGTCGAAATTGACTACGAGGCGGGCGGCATCCTACGAGATCCGAAGACAGGATTCGCCAAACGGAAGTCCTATGAAGAAGGCGGCGAAATCATCGTCGCGCTCCCCAACGAGGCGGCTTTCGTAGGCTACTACAACAACCCGGAAGCCACAGAGAAGAAGTTCGAGCGGAATGTCTTCAAAAAGGGTGACCTCTGGTACCGGACGGGAGATGCTCTGCGGCGGGATGGTGACGGCCGGTGGTTTTTCCTGGATCGACTGGGCGATACTTTCCGGTGGAAGTCGGAGAACGTGAGCACTGCAGAGGTCAGCGAAGTGGTTGGCCACTTCCCCGGCGTCATCGAAGCCAACGTGTACGGCGTCGAGGTACCAGGCCATGATGGACGCGCGGGCTGTGCAGCAATCTACATCGACCCTGCACAGATCTCCATATTCGACTTCAATGCGCTGCTCGAGCACTGCCGTGCGAAGCTGCCACGGTACGCTGTCCCGGTGTTCATACGGGTGCTGAACGACCTCACGACGATGCACAACAATAAGCAGAACAAGGTCCCATTGAGGAGCGACGGCATCGACCTGAGGAAGCTGCAGGAGAGGACGGAGCAGGAGGCCACAGCGAACGGACTAAAGAAGGAGAGCATCAAGTACGACACCATGTATTGGTGTCCCGCTGCTCTCAGCAGCATGCACGCTGGTGAAGAAGACGAGGGCTATATCGTGTATACGATGGAGGATTGGGACGGGCTGAGGAGCAATATGCATGGTCTTGCTAAGCTATAGGGGTTTGTGGCGTCTATGGGATACTTTTGGTGTAAACGTGCTAAAGGTGGATTAGAAGCCCTGGGGTACTTTTCGGCACTTTGCCGTTTTGCCCGCTTGCGACGCGTTGAGTAGATATTTCGTGCATTTTGGGAAAGATAGTTACGAGGTCGAATTCTAGATATGTTCCAATCTAGCCGGGGTGCATGCTCAGTGGTCGCCACGCCATCGGTTGACCTAGGTATGCCTTGGTCGTCTGATCTACTAAAGTTATGCACGCCCTGCTCCGCAAAGTCGAAGCTCAAATATGCTGGCTGGTATGCTTACCAGCCCCATGTATTCATAGAGATCTCAGCTAGGCATGTTCTTTCTAATCAGCGGATAGTTTTTGGCTGGAGAGACTTTCGCAAACGGCGGGATATCTCCGCAAACCCCGTGGAATTTCACCCTCATCTAGGCTCTGGGCGTTTCTGGTTGTAGTTCACGATGCTCGCTAATTGTGCAGAGGCGCCAGTCAACATCCCACTGCAAGGATTCCAAGCGCCTCTCGTGTCATTGCCGCTTCCATCTCTCAATTTCCACCTGGCTAGCCGGGGGGTCGCGAACAGCTAGCCAGTGGTAGTATCTGAGTTGTCCTCTGATCTGGCCTCTTCCCTGTCGCCATTTTGCACGTTTCTTTCGCAGCTCTGGCGTACCGACGGCAGTGTGCTTCGAAGTATCATTTCGGATATCCCTATTCAGGGAGGCTGTAGTTGAACTCACTATCTCGTACGGATAATGGTAGAGGAGCTTCCCCGGATCCTGTTCGACGGCTTGCTAGACAGCCAGATGGAGAACTGTTTGGGATGCGCTCCCTAATATCGATACGCACTTGCTGAAGCACAGGATGATTACTATAGTGCCGTTAGGGGGTTGGTCGAGGCCAACGACTAGCTAGGCCCCGTGGATACCCCAGGAAGGAGCAAAAGAGCCGGGTCGTCATACTCTGCGATCAGCGCAGCGAGGTCGTGAGGATCAAAGGGCTCGTCATCGTTCAACAGGATCTAGACTGTGCGAGGTGTCATAGTGTAAAGAGCATTTGCGACTCGTATCCATTCCGGGGGTATCGAGCCGATGTCGTTAGGCTTTAGCTGAATGTGCTTGAATAACATCGGACACGTCTAGGGAGCGCTGCTTGTATTGGAGGATGGTGTCGTCCGCGCGTGAGTAGCCTTAGCGGGAGGCATATTGAGGGAGAAGAGGGCCGCGGGAGCCTTAGTGGGGATGAGTAGTGATGCTGAATGCGAGCACAGGACGGCGAAAGCACGCCCGCCGTGGCCTTCGGATCAGGGGGCCAACGCAGCAGTAATAAAAAAGAAGAGACGGTTTGACGCCTTGAATCAAGATCCCGAATCTGAGTCTCCCGCAGACCGGGAAGAGGACGAGGGTATACCGCGTGTCGTCAAGCTCCTCAGAACGGTAGCTATCTCAAGACATACGCCCACTGCGTCTACAAACATTTATTGGCCGCAGAAAGAATAAGCGGCTAGCTGAGTTTACAAGCATATATTCCACTACTAATCTGAATCTTCAGACTGCGTTACGCATTCCGGCCCTCCTCGTTGTGCCAATGCCTTGTTCGGCCTAGCGCGTTCACCCTATCTAACCGCTCCCGCGCAGCCTGCGCGAAATCACATGTCTCTACGCCAGATACATGCGCGCTTCCGAGCCCGCATGATTCGTCTGCGGGCGACCTGTTACTGGCAAACAAGCCGGCAGCTCACCGCAACTCGGGCTTGTGCGGTGGCTGGTGCGGCAAAGACCGTAGGCGCCGATGGCGGTGCAATCGGACGAAGCGATACCCACCAGTCGATCTTTGGAAAGAGAGGAGGGCATAACGCGCAATTGCCACTACGCTGATTTCTCCATCATGTTGTGGCATTTTGATGACCTCAGGCATTGAGGCCTATCACCATGTGCGGCGTGCGTTTTCACCGCCGGCGCGGCGGACCCCGTCGCGCCTCTTTTCACACTCTCCTCCCAGCATTGCATCGATATCATTGGCTGAGCGGTGGCTTTCAATAAAACAGTGTGTTTCATTTCTGCACCTTCCCGCTCGCTGCCTGGACTTCACCTTCACTCAATCGGCCCGCTGGCATATATTGAGCTTCAACCCCCCATCAGGCAGCTTCCACAAACTACTTCGCACTCCTACTCCTACTACTTTGCTTCCTCTCCTACCATTTGTTTCCAACTTTACTTCTACCAGACTGTCCGCAAGCATGTCCACCGAAGGCTCTAGCGACTCGGAGTGGGATGGCGCTGCCACTCCCATCACGCCCGTTGTGATAGACCCGACTGCGGTGACCACGAGCTCACTAAAGGCGCTGCAGAGTGGGGACCAGCGGAAAGTCTTGGATATCGTGGACAAGCTTCGACGCACTGGCCTCAGTGGCATTGTCGAACTTCCGCAAATCGTTGGCAAGTGCTATATCCCCGCGCTCTACTTCAAATTATCTCAACCACTTACTAATATGTGTCTGCAGTCTGTGGTGACCAGAGTTCAGGCAAGAGTTCCGTTCTGGAGGCAATTACTGAGATTCCGTTTCCTCGCAAAGAAAACCTCTGCACGCGTTTCGCCACTGAGGTACTTCACTCTATATCCTCCTTGATTTCTTTCAAACTTATACTGACCCAATCTCTCTCGTTCCCAGATCATTCTTCGTCGCTCGCCTGCCTCCACTATCTCGATCACGATCACGCCAGACAAGTTACGTCCAAAGCAGGAGCAAGCGAAGCTGAAGGCGTTCAACAGGTCTATCAATGACTTCAAACAGCTTCCAGATATCATCGAAGAGGCGACTCAAGCTATGGGCCTTGGGGTTGTGGGTGGCATTAATTCTAAGGCCTTCGCTAGAGACGTGCTGTCCGTCCAGATCGACGGGCCTGACCGACCTCAACTGTAAGTCTCCCAACCATGGCGATCTACTGTGGTGCTAAATCTCTGCCTGTAGAACTTTAGTCGATCTCCCAGGCCTGGTATGATACCTCTCTGCTCCATGACATTAGATACTAACATGTGTCGCAACGATAAGATCCACTCTACCAACAAGGCCCAGACCGAAACGGACAAGGAGTTGATCCTTAACCTGGTCAAGGAGTACATGTCCAACCCACGCACTATCATTCTTGCAGGTGAGCGATCTCATTGTAGTTCGCACAGAAACATTCTCTCACGCAATCTAGTTGTCTCTGCGAAAAACGACTACGCCAATCAGATCATCCTGAACTATGCCCGCAAGATCGACGAGAATGGCAAACGCACCCTTGGTACGTAGCTCGCAATATACCAGCATGTCTCCAGTTTCAACTGCAAAGAAGCCACTCTTGTGGGCATTCAGCAAGGCTTAAGACATGCTGGAGTATCCCTTCCCCTTATCTGAGACACCTGCTAAGGCCGGACCCCACAGGGATCATCACTAAGCCCGATTTCCTTCGTGAGGGTACCGACAATGAACTGTCCTGGATCGAGCTTGCCCAGAACAAGGATATCTATCTCGAGCGAGGCTGGCATATGCTCAAGAACCGCGGTGACGATCAAATGAAGTTCACCTTTGCTCAGCGCAATGAGGATGAGGCTTTATTCTTCAGTAAAGGTCGATACGTGGATCTTCCCCGAGAGTATGTCGGCATTGACTCACTCCGTGAGCGGCTCAGCAAACTTCTGCTCAACCACCTCATCAAGGAGCTTCCGTCGCTGAAGGAAGAGATGAGTACGAAACTCGAGGACACTTCCCAGGAAATCGTAAAGCTCGGGGAGAAGCGCACTACTATCGGCGAGCAACGCATGATGCTCATGAAGATCAGTATGTCCATCAACGACATCCTCAAATCTGCCGTGAAAGGTTATTACGAGAACACCTTCTTCGGCGCCATCCATATGGAAGCTGCAGTGGATGCTAAGGAGAACATTCGCCGTTTCCGGGCCGTCGTCCAACATCTCAACATCAAGTTCGCTGAGGACATGCGCCTTCGAGGCCACAAGTATGCTGTTGGCGTGGGTCCGGGTGACGACGACATCGAGCAAGCGGAAGACAAGAAAGTTCAAGACCAGCTCAAGAAGCTCGCCGAGGATATTTCATTCCTCCCGAAACCGAAGTCACTCACCCGTAAGGAGGCAATCGGATGGGTAAAGAAGACCTTGGAGCGTTCGCGTGGCTATGAGCTGGCCGGCACTTTTCAGCCCATGCTCATCAGCCAGCTGTTCTGGGAGCAATCTCAACCGTGGGAGAAGATCGCTTATGAGCACATCGCCAATGTTGCCCGCATCTGCAAGGAGTTCGTGTTCGCTGTGCTGCAGCATGCAGCACCGGCTGAGTTCCAGCCTCGCCTCACGGGCTTGAGCGTAGATACCACTCTCGCCAGCTCACTGGCAGCAGCTAAGGAGGAACTGCAGAAGATCCTTGCAGATAAGGCCCGTCATCCCATGACGTATAACCACTACTTCACGGTAAGCCCCATTGCCGTTCTCGAGAGGATTTAGCTAATGTACTTCCCCCTTTAGACTACGATCCAGAAACAGCGACAGCGAAAGCACCAGAAGATGACGAAGGATGCGACCGAGGCGTCTAAGCTCTCAGTCGTTTATAATAATGCCTATCACACGCACTTCGATCCCGACAAACTGGAGAAGGCTATGGCTGACTCGATCGAGCAAGACATGGACGTCTTCAGCTCGCAGGAAGCACTCGACAACCAACGCGCTTATTACAAGGTAAGCCAGCCTTTCCCATCTCCATGAATCCCCATGTGCTAATTCCTCTTGCAGGACGAGCTCAAATACTTCGTCAACGCCGTCTGCAAGGCTGTCGTCGAACGCCATCTCGTCGAGCCGCTGCCTTCCATCATCCTCTCTCCCTTGGTCGTTGCCCAGATGACGGACAAAGAGATCGAGTTCGTCGCTGCTGAGCCGCCGGAGATCACTCAGCAGCGTGCCTTCTTGGAGTCGCGCAAGGCAATGTTGGAGAAGGGACTTGATACGTTCAGGGAGGCTATGGGTGGCTTGAAGCGCTAGGTCATGTCGAGGTACGACCGGTAGCTTGAGCTTCGTCCTGAAATTTCCTGGAGGCTTTTGGCTGATTGGGGTTAAGCGCTGGAGCTCGTAAATGTGGTTTATCGCTTTGACGGCGGTTTGGAATACCGGAACAGTGGATTCCTGTCACTCTTTTCTTCCTCTTTCGATACCACTCTTGCAACATGCAATGATAGATAGAGCCTCAATATCACGCTCATCGCCTACATATGCTCGCTCTTCTTGCCTCTTGAGGCTTATACCCTACTCCTTTAATTAGCTCTACTTACTTACTGCGTTTGATAGGCTCATTCTTCTCTTACTTTACAACCTCTCCTCGCCCTACTCTCCCTGCCCCACTCTTCTCTTTTCTCTGTTCCGCTCTTCTCTACTCTACCTTTCTCTGCTCTACGTCCCCTTGCTCTACTACCTCCTCCCCTCCTCCCGTTTCATTCTGTAATCTGCAAAGTATCTAACATAACCTTTCATATATCGCCTGAATAACCAATCCAAACCTCAAGATTGTCAATGCTTATGCTTTAGAAGCTATCCATTTGCATCCTTAATTTTAGAGTGACAAGCAATATGATCTAAACGAATGGAGAGAGCGAAGAGGCTGCCTTTAGAGTCACTCTTTGCAGAAACGGGTAAAGAATGAATCCGCCCTGCATATTACCCCCAGACATACAATGGAAGACAGCGCCCGTAAAGCATTCTAATTTAATTGCGAGGATTAGGATCACTGCATGTCTTGGGTCTTCATGCGTCAAAGGCCTTCGGGATCAGCTTTCCGGAGCCATACTAAGATTTGTTGGTATGTTTCCGGGGACATGCGTCACCAACCCATCAGATTAGAATCTGAACAGTGTCCTAGCATCGACCAGAACATAGGCCCACATCTATGCAGCACGTCCGATATTAATGGAACGCGACGTTCCCTCAAAGCTCAGGCTTCTCTTCTACTGGTCTCCTGCCCTTGGCAAACAAAACGGTTCTCCACAACTGGTGGCCCCCAAACACCATATATACCCTTTCGCCCATGCTCACGGCATCAACATCCACAAAGCCAGCCTTAATTAGAAATTTCTTCACATTTTCGAGCGTGAAGTGCGGTGTGACGATTGAAGCATCGCGGGTTGGGCTGTCGACATCTTCTTTGTTGTCGTGGCCGTGGTGATGATTCTCATGGTGTTGAGTCTCCTCGCCATGGTCATGACCGTGGTGGTGGTGATGGTGCGTAAAATGGTTGCCTTCAGTACCAGGGATGGGGTCGCCGTTCTCGTCAGCCTTTAAATCGCCGCCCTCGAGAAAGTCGGTGATAACCATGACTCCGCCTGGCCTAAGCCTCTCCTTCAGACGCTCCGCCGCGTGAACCACGTCTTCGAAGTGGTGGAATGCGTAGCCCACGGTCACAAGATCGAAGTTTTGCCATTCCGGGCCGGACACCTCGGCAGGCGTCGGATTTGCCTTGTCAAGCAGATCGCCCAGGACGGCGTGGATAGTAGACTCGGAGAGGCCAGCAGCCTGGGCACGCGAATTGAAGTTTGCGACCATCTTAGGCGAAACATCGATGCCTCTAGTTATGGTGACGTAGGGCCCATAGATCTGTCTCCCCGTCAGTAGACGACAACTATATAGGCAATGAGACGTACGCGAGAAAGGAGGCCAGTTCCGCATGCGTAATCTAGCTGGGAGACTTGTTGGGAATCGGCGCTAGCACCTGTGTTGGCGAACGGGATGCCGACCCTGTCGAGACGGGCTCGCAAGGCTTCGGTGACTTGTTTGTTCGCTTTGGCAAACCATGGCTTGTCGTCGTAGGAGTCGCTGATCTGGCTGTTTGGCAGGTTAGATCGATCAGGTGATGAAGTTTGGGAGGGCTTGCTCGAAGTATTTACGGTTCGCGTCGGCGATTGACATTTTGGGCTCAGATGGTGGGTGCAAGCGCCGGAACTTTGATAGGTTTATTTGGAGTCTCAATGAGGAAGTGGTCGTTTAACTGCTCTAATCTGGTGGAGATCGAATTATTGGGGTATGATCCGACTTAAATACGCGAGCGCGAAGTTGATGTCGCCGACCATGCCGGAGCCTTTTGCAACCCTCCTATTGGCTGAACGCGCTTGTCTTCTAGGCACACCTATCGCTCCACGGCGAGGTTGTACTACTTCGGAGACATTGCATCGACTCCTTCGTCGGAGCTATAGGCCAGAAAATAGGTGCATATGCGTGAGATTGCCTATTCCTCATGAATTGCTAGTGGTCACTCAAGCATTGGAACCATTTGATCGGCTTCGCATGAGTCGGGATCACTGTGGGATGTTGAGGTGCCATTAGCTGCCTGGAGTGCACGCTGTCGTGCAAGGCCTTCCTCTCTTTTGCGACGTTTCCTGGTCTCGGAATCCTCCCACCCTGGCTTGGAGATGGCTTGCGCGGACAAGGATTGTGGCTCGTATTGTTCAAACAGCGAGGTCCGAAATCGCGCTATCCGGTCGTTATTGATCCTGAATCTCTCATTCGTTATGCCGACCAATGTTCGGAGATATCTTTCATCGACGAGTGCAATGTTTCCACCTGTTTCATTCTGATACCCTATGATAGCATCGAATGAGTACCCGGTCGAGCGCACCGCTACCATAGGGTTCAGCTCTCCATCTCTGGGATTCAGACTGACAGCGCCCGACTCGCGAAACCCTGCACTCAAAGCTGCAGTGAGGACGCGCTGAGAGTCGTCCAAGGATGCTGTCAACAGATGCAGGATCTGGTAGATGTTAGTTTCTGTTCATGGGCGCACCGAGACATCGCACCATAGGCTCGAATTTCAAATGAATATACCTGCAATCGAGGGCAGGCACCTCGTCACTATCGCCGTTGGTCTCAAGTAACCCAAACTGAGATGCGAAACTTGATTTAGAAGTATCCTCAAGGTCCGGGGCCGGATCGTGGGAAATATAAAGCCACGTTCCTCCTCCTTTGCCTCCAGGCCCTGCGGGGGAAGCTTTGTCGGTTTCTTCCCCGTTGAGGCCCCGCTTGCGCCCTTCGAGGAAGACGCTCATCCTGCCAGAACAGCTGCTAGTGGTGACGAGGCCTTCGAGGCGATTAATTTCCTCGATCAGGAAGCGAATTGGCTCGTCGATCGAGCCTTTCGGTGATAGGTCGTGATACGCCTCATCCGGAGCGTCGAGCAGCTTCAGAATCGCCGCCTTCCGAGCCCGGAAACGGCCTGCCATCGCGGTGCAGTCTAGTGTTGTCGGACTATATCTATCCGGAGAATTGTCACGAAGCAAAATTGTTGTTGCGCTCGACGTCCAGGTCGTGCGCGGGACGGACCGCGCCTTCCTCGGGCTCGGAAACGTCATCCAATCTGAGCTTGGTGGCCAGTGCGCCAGCGACATCCAACTTTCCCTTGACGAGCGACAACGCTGACCAAGAACATATCCAAAGCACGATGGCACCAAAAGCAGCGAAATCTAAGACCACGGCAGCTCTTCGCAGCTCCTCTAAGCGGGCGGCGCCAGAGACGCCGATGCGGCAATCAAAGAGAGCGAAGGCGCGGGCCAGGCAGTCGTACGTCGAGCCAGATTCCGACGACGCGGTGGAAGACTCCGGCGCAGAGCCTTCTGAGGACGAGGACGTCAAAGTATCAGACTACGAAGGGGAGAGTGGCAAGGATTTATCGTCTGATTCGGATCCCGAAGAGGCTAGCAGCGAGGACGAAGACAAGCCAAGGAAGAGTAACCCCAGGGGTCGCCCTGCAAAGCGGGTTGACCTTCCCTTGCACAAGAAGCACGATGGCGAGGAAGGACTGTGGAAGCCTGGAGCCAAGCTCGAGCCTGGAACGGTCTTGATCATGAAGAATATGAAGCCCAAGGCTCGCGAAGCGGGAGACACGCCGTACATGGACGATACCATCCATCCAAACACCATGTTGTTTCTTGAGGACCTTACACGGAACAACGAGCGATCCTGGCTCAAATCGCACGATCCCGACTATAGAAATGCTCTTCAAGACTTCAATACGTTCGTGGAAAAGCTATCGGAGAAGGTTATGGAAGCCGACGACACCATTCCCGAGCTTCCCGTTAAGGACTTGGTATAGCTAGAGCCATTTCACTGACAGTCCCAAACTAACAGATTCCAGATCTTTCGAATCTACCGAGGTAGGATTCCAGCAGAACTAGTAATACAGAAAAGTAACTAAGCCACCAGACGTTCGATTCTCGAAAGACCAAACTCCGTACAAGGCAAGGCCCCGGTATAAATAGTAGACTGTATACGCTAACCTGTAGGCAGTAAGCAAAACCTTCCTTATATCGCGCCTACCTTAGGGCAAATGTTAGACACTTTCTAATATTTGCTCTCTATCTGAGACATGCGGTATTTGTACCCTAGCCTTCTGAGCGCCTGCTAATTGTACCGTCACCTTTAGGGTGGGTAATACAGCTCTCGCATCGACAGGGGTTATCCGCATGGCCGTGTAACTGTTGTAACCGAGCTTCTGCAAGTAAAAGGCTAACTCCTGGTCAGACCCACTTCTCTGCGGCCTGGTCGAGGTAAGCGTTCCTCTCGCGTTCTTTCAAGACTGCAAGTATCAGGCGAACTGAGCATACCACCTACCGTCTTGGAAGAGTCTTGCTGATTGTACCTCCATCGTTAGGACCGGAAGAAAAGGGCCTTATGCAGCATGTACGCATGTCTCAGTCCAGCATCGAGGTACCGACCTCTTTTTAAGAGGCTGCGCTGACTCTTTCACCGCATCGTACAGACTACGTACAGATCCAACCGGAAGGGGGTAGCTTTGTCGGTAAGTTCCATCTTTTCTACAGCACGGAGGCCTTCGCCTAGCCATGTCCGAGCCAATGCAGGATTACACGCGATTGCCATACTAGACACGGCAATCTGAGAAGTTCTCAGCGGTCACGATCCACACCGGCGACCACGATAGGCCATCCTTCCCGATTTTGACTGCTACATGCTGCATGTCTTCGAAGAAGGAGGCGTACATTGACGCCAGTCCCGTCCGAGGGGTACCAACCCTCAGTCGAGCAACGTGTCACAGCGTGACACGACCGCCATGAGAGTGGCAAGCGCGCGCTTGGGCCCATTGACCACGTCGATCCTGCGCATATAGCACCTTCCAAGATGCTAGCACATGATGTCAATTGGCAATCCATGGCCTTGCCTGGGACGATCATAAGAATGACGGTGTCGTTCCGTACCGGCAGCGGGATGGATGAGCTCTATTGCGACTTTCGAGATCGGTGCGTCCTGTGTAAAGCAATCCCGCCTACACAAATGGATATGGGATATAAGCTGGTGCTATTCGTTCGAGAGATTCTACGTTTGCGAGATCTTGGGCCGAAAACGAGTCTATCACGCAGGCCAAGGAGGTCCATGAAAGTGGACATGGTGATGTTGGAACACAGGGAATGTAACCTCAACAAGTTCTACCAACCTTTGACACCTGTACGCGTCACCTGCAGGGAAACACGCTAGGCCATCGGCGGACGACGGAAACATCGACCTTGTGGCTAGAGCACTGCCAGATACCACGCAAACACCAGAGTTGCCCCACCTGGGACGACTGTCAACTACAACGTACTTTCACGTCAAACGGAACGCCACCGTTGAGCTTCAGGGGTCTGAAGCCTTTCAGCAAGCCGCATACGCGACTAATTTTTGATCGACGCTGTTCCGTCGGATGTGGAAGGACGCTCTAGATAGAGGTCTGAGCGGTTGAGGTTGGGCTCCGTTCCCCTCCAGCCAGCCCAAACAGCATGCTGTGCACATCCACATATGGCTACAACAGTATACCACCATCCTCCCCACGCACATTATGAAGATGATGTCCTATCGTTTCGCTTTCGAGTCGGTGTCGATCGGGAGTAGGGGCACGGAAGCGTATACATGGCTAGCCGGTGCTGGGTCAGGGTTGGGGGCGGGCCGACGAAGTCGCTCTGCGAGGAGAATGATTTCTGGACGACAAGTTGGCCTACCTGTGCGAAACCTCAATATTGCAGCATCTCCCTTTGTGACGCTTCGGCTCTCGGAGAACTCGACGCGGCTGCTAAACATGCCGGAAGAGAACAGCACCTCGGTCGGAGTGTGTACGGCAAAATCTGGAGACGCACAACGTTAGCTCTCGTTGGACTCCCTCGCCCAGTCATTTGAAGAGATCTGATGGGCATTTGCTCCTGTGTCGCCGTGACGAATTCGTCTCTGTCCGAACGCGTCGACGCCGCCAGCTGAGGGGATCAGTATGCTATCCGCGATTGTAGCGCGAAGGATCTGACCACACTTGCTTATATGGGCCTCGGACGCCAATATAGGGCCGATCTTGTGTTCTGCCCTTCGCAAGGACTGGAGGACGTCGCGGATGCCGTTCCGAGCGCGACAGGGCATCGGGCACACGACACTGCCTATCGAAAGCCATCTGGACATCGCCTGCGTTCCTTCTCCGAGGTCTTTCCATACACTGAGACTTTTGTAACTTATGTGACCAACTCGCTAACGTTGATCAAGGAGGCGGACTCTGGATGCCGGAGGCTCAGGCCCTCGCGGCGCTCCGACGATCTATCGACAGCAAACCGGAGCGTATCAAGCGTGTCTTGACCGATGCAGGAATTCGAAGGGAGTTCTTCGGAGGTATTCCGAATGATGCGGAGAAGGCTGTTCGAGCTTTCGTTTCGCAGCCTATGAATCAGTCGTCTGCGCTGAAGAAGCATCCTAAGGTGAGTGAAGTCATCTCTTTCGCAATGAAACCCACGATAGCTGCATCCACCCATCACGTCGAACGCAGCGCGGAGATGGTGGGCGCCATACGCGCCATACGTGGCTCAACGCGGTGCTGTGATGCAAGGAGTCGCTCCTGGAATGGAGGACAACGCGGGACGCACTACGGAACGCGGTGCAAGTCCGAACGGTGACCGCTCTAGATGCACTCTTCGGAGAAACCGATAGGAGAATGTTGTCATGACAAAATCAGTTGAGGTGGTGAGTATGCTCGCTACCAAACAACAAGAAGTCGTCGCCGCGAGTCACCTAAACCGGACACGGATACTCCCTGGTGACTTCACCAGGGTTCAGCACTTCATTCTTCTACGAGTCCTATCGACAATCTGCACAAAAGCACCTCTCCTTCATATTGCATTCCCAATTTAGGATGAGCTGGTGCAGCTTTCGCCGAGACCACTCCCTACGGCGGGGTTTTTCGAAAACACGAGGCCGAGTGTCAGCGCGTGCAAGTTGCCATGCCATGCTCCGACGATCGGTGAAGACCGGCTGAACTCTCCTCGGCCGTCCTTGCCAACGTCCTCGCCGCTGTCCAGCACCTTCGCAATTCCGTCGCCTCCATCAGATGATGAAGTTTATAACAGGACCACCAACATCAAGCCAAACAAATGGGGTCTCATCGCTGCGCCTCGCCACCTCGAGTCAGTCCCGTCCAAGGGGCTAAGATATCTACCAATGCACCGATATAGAGAAGGATTGCTGACCGTCGCCATTGATAGGGATACGATAAAGACCACAAAGACATCGAACTCCTTCGGCTTAGAAATTTCACCCTTGGTACGAAGCTCACCGACGAGGAGATTGTGGGAGCTAAGGGTCTGGGCCGGATTGCCGAACTCGTTGCATGCATGGTTCCTTTCGTAAGTTCCAGCTTCCTTACTTTTGGCGGCTGTCTAGTGAGCTTGGTGCATTTGAGGCGCCGGAGCCGCAGCCTATGGCAAAAGCAGAGCGGATAGAGAGCCGCCGGAGAAAGGTCTCTTCGCTTGGACTCGATCGATGGAGCACGAGTGGACCGGTCGATTCATGCGTTGGCACTGCAGCGTACCGCCCTCAGTTGACCGATGGCTGCATGGGCGCGGTGAGGTGGGGAAGCCCGCCAACTCAGTGCTCTGCCCCTCGAAAGACGCAGAGAACATCGCCGCTAATATTTTGCCGCAGATCACGTATTTGAACGGCATTGTGATGCCTGATAACGACGAGTCGACAGATTCGAGCGAGGACGACGAGGAAAGCGACGAGGACGGCGACGGCAGCGCAGGTGTGGGAGAGGGCGATGATTAAGGACCAGGGAAATGCATGCCCTGCGGCGTAGCAGGCGGCCATCCTTCAAAGAATGCCGTCGCTCACTCTTGCAAAAGGCTGTTCGGGCGGCCTGGGATTGGTGGAAGACAATTTGCTGGCAAAACGCCTCGCGCAGCAAAGCGCCAATAGACGAATGCAGGCCGCGCCATGGAGTGTCGGCAGTGGCGCTGACTGGAGACCCAAGCGAGACAATCAACGAAGTTGTGCATTAGCGTCCCTTTAGCCCGCATGCGCTATCGGTCACGGGACCTGCTGCTGACGAGCCCAGATCAGAGAACGGCGCCACAGCGAAAAGAGTCAGGGGTTCGCGGTGGCCCCCGAGACCCCGGCCCTCAAGTCAAACACACGACGGCCCGCGTCTTCTTAGCCGCTCTGCTAGCCTGCTGCGGGCCCGCCGATGTTCGCCAGTCAGCGGGCAAGTGCTTCCAACCATCTCACCATCGGTGTCGACAGTGCATGTGTGACGTTGGCTGCGAGCTCCTCGATGACAGTGCAGCAGTGCTCACCAGACCGCGCCGGGGTGTGTCTTCTGCTTCTCGTGTTGACCCGATGGGCTGCTCTCCACATACACCCTGGTCCTGTATGTCACAGCAGCCAGGCCGCGACGGGCCGGGGCGCAATTCGTTCGAGTGCATGGGTGCGCTCTTCAGCACCCGCCTAACGAGGCCCACCACAAGGCTATCTGCATCTCAAAAGACGGCTTCACGTCTGCTCAGATCGGCTTCCTCGATTGAGCGCTAGGCACTGCATCGGTGCGGTCCGCTTCACGCGCGCAGGGCAGCGGAAGACGGCCGCGCTGAAGGATGCTGTCCAGCGTGTTCAGTCAGCGCTCGCTGCGTGGGACACGGCTCACGCCAAATTTACGGAGCACAGGAGGAAGAACGAGTGCAGCAATGCGCAGAGGGATCCCACTAACGGTTTTGCTTCCGGCGACACCGGCAAATCGCAGAAAGAGACACATCTGATCGCTCTTACTCACGCGGGCTGCCATCCCAGAACAGCGGTGTGTGCCCTAAATCTGCGCATGCCGCGCCTTGTCTTGCTCCTCCTGCACACCGATCGCATCTTGATAACAATTGCTGGCGAATCACCGCCCAACGGTCGCTCAACCGCATCGCAGGCGTGACCGTTCCACACGAGGCAGCTCTTGATGTCAAGCTTTCGTTTGGGCTGCTGGTCAGGCCATGTCGTTCCGCACCTCAACGTTCAACAGCTCGTTCCCGAAGAAGGCACTTGTCCCAGATCGTCCCGTTATGCATATTCGCCCCGTCATTGAGTTCGCGCTTGAGTGCAGCGGCCTTGCATTCTGTTGGGGGCCGCACTTAGGAGAATATCGCGTTGCTGACCACGGCGGGGAGAATCGCGTCGTGGAATTGTAATAAGCACCTTTCGTCCGGCCGAATGCTGTGCCTCCTTTGTCTCGCAGTAATTGACCGCGCTACTGCGGGGACGGAATTGCTCGCAGACATCGATAGGCTCCGTCTGCGGCCTTGCGGCGTAGGAGGAAACTATATCGAGATGCAACACTACGCGGAGTGGGGGGTAACAGCGGCATTGCCAGAGCTCGCGGCTTAATTGCTGCCGTGCTGCGGCGAGGGTCGTCTAACGGGATATCGGTCAGGGCACCACCACAGGCTGAACCAGTCGCCCTCCCGTCGTTGGCGCGCGGGGCCTTCGGAGTGGTTTCAACGCTCATCACGCTGGTTGGAGTTGCACAGAAACCTTTTCATATGGAATGTTTGCGCAGAGACCTTGCGTCGAGCTAGTATCTCCACGTTTGATAGTACATGCAGGAGGTTGTGTCACGGCAGCTATGGCTACGGAGAGGTACGTTTCACGGCCTCCCGTCTTATATTATAGGCGGCTACACTTCACGTTTACGCCGAATGCACTCGGCCCCAGAAACGCCCCAGCGCCCACGGTGACACAGGGGACTTCGTTAATCTCACTCCCGCTCCAGATGCGGTAATTTGCCTTCGTACAGACTCCTCCACACGTAACCTCGTCCCGGCCCGTGATCTCGTGCCACAATCCTGCAGTTTCATCTGTTAGTTGCCGGAGGACGGGCGGCCTGTATCAGGCACGGAATGCCCACGTACAACCAGGGCTTCGTGTAGCCCCTTGTCCATGGGTGTGTGAGTAGCGCTGCTATCCGCTTGGGTGGATAAACAGAGGGCTGAAGATCAAGCCCGATGCTGCTTCCCCACAAAGATGCAATGCCCTGCCGCTCGATTTCGCTCCCGTTACACCCTATCTTGATGACGGTGGTACCTGGAGGGTTTCTGACGGCTCATCGGGAGGATGCTGACATGTGCTATTAATCTGTCCACTATGGCAGCAATCCTCGGCGCATCTTTCCTTGCTGACAGCTTCCCCCCAGAGCATTCACAGCAGCTGCAAAGCAATTATAGCGGGCTCGTGATTGCCTCGGGTATCGAGATGCGGTGTGGCAGTCAATCAAAGAACAACAACAGGCAGTTCTGTGCGATTGGCTGCAGCACGTCAGCCCGCTCAGTACATTAAGAGAGGAGAGTTGGACGGGGCGGGAGGACGAGGGCTGACCGGTGGCAGCGCGTCTTGTGACCTTCTGACCATGCAATTTTTCCAGCCCTCCTCAAAGCAGTCGTTCACGGGGAGGATTTACCCGTCCTTTACCAGGCTTTCTGCAAGGAACACCACACCGACTCCGAGTATGGCCGGCGCATTCGAGGACTCAATTCGCGTAGGCGCCGGATTGATTGGCCGCTGATATATGCTACCCGTCCTGTCACCAGGTAGCCCAAGGTTATCAATCAGCGGGCCGTCAGCGTGCAGCAGCGGCAGCGGGTTATCAAGGCTACTGTAGAGTGGTGGAGGACCTAATACGGTACTCCGTATGAATGATACGAAGAGGCATGCGACGTCTGTTCGTGGCTGACGGGCAACGGCTGGGGTTTCAATTGATACATACAGTACCAATTCTGCGTGGCCCGCCGATCCCGCTCGCCAGCCAAACCTTAGTCTGGGATCCGAGGCTAACCACCGTGGTAAGTCAACGGCGAGGCGAGACGAGACGAGGTGTTTCGCCATCCTCCGGCAGCGATGCACCCATCCGCACTCCTCCGTGCCGCCATCGTCACCTGCGGGTCCGCCGGCACCAGCACAGCTTAGGGCATTTCTAAACTTGATGTCCTGGTCGCTGCCCAGTGGCGTCGGCGGGCGAATCAGGGGCAGGGCAGGCGGTCTTTACCATGGATGGCAGGACTTGAGCCGGCGCCGGCACCAGGGTCGGATGGATCTGCCAAACGGTGGATGTCAGATTTTGAGCCGTGATTCGAGCAGCGGGCGGGCGCGTTGCCAGTCACGCACCCGGCGTGCCCAGGCAATAAGAACGATGGCAGCTGAGGAGGACGGCGAACGGCCGGCGCGGGCAGAGTTTGCACACACGCGGCAGGCGAGGCGAGCAAGGGCGCGGCTGCTATTCGCGCTTCGCGACGGACTGAAGCCCTGGAGGTCAGTTCTGCCGGCGAGTCCATCTGAGCGCTCTTGCTTTTCTCGGAGCGGTGGCCCCGCTGACGGAAGAAGCTGGCTGATGCCGCCGAGTCACGCCCAGGAGCAGCTTGGTGAGCTCACATCGCGCCCGCTAGCCACACTCTGCGCGCACGTCACTGGCCGGGCAGTCGCACACCAACACGGCGGCGTGACCGGATAGGCCGCCATGTCGTCGCCCGCAAGGAGAAAGTGGCCGGTGTTGCGGCCGCCGTCGCTGGGCAGCGCACGAGCGGACCAGCCCTACAGTATCTCACATGCGGCCCTTGCTACCCGCGGCCCAGGATGCGGGATTCCCCTCCGCTGGCTGCGTGCACTCGGCGCGGGCATCGTCGTCTCGCTCCAGCGCCGGCGCGCGCATTCCAGCAGCGGCCGCGGGGGCATCCTGGGGCGGCGGCCGAGGGCGTGCTGGCGACGTGCGCGGCGAGCAGCGCAGCGGTCATCAATAAAGGCCCGCTGCAGGTGAGCAGCAGCAGCAGCAGCAGCAGCAGCGCGGCAGCCGGCATGGCCGCGCGCGCTTGGCCGGCCCTCGGTTTGACGTGCTGCCCAGCTGCGCGCGCACGAAGCGAGGCAGCGGCGGGCCGTGGTCGAGCAGCCGTCCACGGGCGTGTGGTGTGTTGCAGGCGCGAGAATGCTCGCAGCGGCCGGGGCGCTGCTGGCGTTGCACCGCGAGAGGGCACATGCAGCTAGACGTCGAGGTGCAGCATCGCGGCGGCGGCGGGGCACGCTGCGCAGGCGGGCGCGAGGGAGAGTTCGACGCTGTATATTGCGCGGCGGCCTCTTTAAAGCGAGCAGAGGGCGATCACACGCGAGAGGCCTGCAGGCGGCTGTACCCGTACGACTTGGCGCGCTGCGATGGCCAGGCTGACTCCTCGGCCCGCACCAAACGCAAACGCCATCCCCCTCGCATCTCGCCGCCGCTGCTGTCACTCGCCGCCCAGCACCCACCCAGCTCCCAGCGCGCCCGGCGAGGGTGCGCGCCCGCAGCGTGCGTGTGCAACCTGCCACCGCGCGCGCGCTCGTGTCGACGCACGTTGGGCGGCGGCTCAGCAGCCCGTGTGTGCGTGTGTGCCTGTGCCCCCCCCCCCCGGCGCGCGCCCTCTGCCGCGCTTCTCTCCACACTTCGCGCTGCACCGCTGAGGGCAACCTGCCGCCGGCCGCACCACGTCGCGCTAGTGGAACGGGCCCGCACACGGCTGGGTCCTCGCGATCCGCCCAAGCAGCGCGCAGCTCGCCAGCACTCCCCAGGGAGCCTGGCAGCGCCATCCCAGTCCGTGCGCGAAGGTTTGGGACTCCGGGCGTGCGCCGTGGGCATAGTAATAGTGTGGCCTTCCCGCTCCAACCCTCACCTCCCTTTCGTTTCCGCTCTCCTGGGAACCCAAGCGCTTCTCCCTCCGCGCCTCTTTCTCCACGCGCCTTCGAGAAGCATCACCAACCCACTCCCCCCCCAGCGCCGTCTCACCTCTCACCGTCCGCATCCCTTCTTCCGCCCGCGCCTGCTGAGTGTGCCGACGCCGCCCCAGCCCAATTCGCGCCCGCCTTGGCCCTGCAATCCGCGCTGCACTTGCACTGCCTTCTTTCTGACCTGCAGCCGTCCTCGCGGCCCGCTCATACACTGTATTTTGTGCGACCGCGAGCGCCCCAGTCCATCCTCCGCACCACACCTCCTCCACGCTCGCGCCTGCTCCACCCGTGATCCCTGGTTCATGGTTGGCGTGACAGCTATCATCTGTTCGGGCGGAACGCAAGACTAAGGCGACCTCCTCTCTCCAGCTCCTCCGCCATGTTCCCTCACCAGGGCGGCCACGGTCAGCTTCCCACCCACTGGCAGCCGCCGACCTCGCAGCAGCCTGCCAACGGCGCCTACCCTCCGCCAGCTCATGTAAGTGTGGTCATGTGCGCTTGCTAATAAGCACGCCGCCTCGCCGCCATAATCTCATCACACCCGGCTGACCTCAACCCGCGAGCAGATCAACACCACTCTCCCTCCTCCTCCCCATCCGCAAGAGCCTCGCCCCGACATGGCCGCTCACCAACACCCTCAACACCAGCAGCCGTACCGTCTCCCGGGACCTCATGAGTGGACGCGGGCGCCTCCTCCGCCAGACCCGTACCGAGGGCAACCGCCTCCGCCCAACTACCAGCATCACCAACCTCCTGCACCGCGCCAGCGAACCGCAATTGCCTGCCGCTACTGCAGGAGACGCAAGGTAACTCAATCGCGAATCTCCTACACACCTCTCGCTCATGTCTTGAACAGATCCGGTGCTCAGGCTTCGAGGCCACCGAGGACGGCCGCTGCTCAAACTGCATGAGGTTCAACCAGGACTGCATCTTCACGCCCGTGTCTGCGCAGACGCAGGCCTTTGTTCCCGCGCACACTGTTTGGCGTGGAGTCGGGCAGCCTCCGCCAATGTACGGCGCATATGGGCAACCGCTCCCACCGGCGGGCCATGCGGAACCGTATGCCCAGCCCCCGCGTGGGCAGCAATATTTGCCTAGCCCTACAGGCGCCCCAGGTCCGTACCAAGCTCCTTCTACCTTTGGTCCATCTGCTCCGTACGATGATGCGAGCCGTGATCCGCTGAGCGGCAGGAAGAGGCCCTACCCAGAGCCTCACACTCCGACCCTGCCTCCGCCAAACCCCGGCTCAGCGTCACAGCTCCCTCATCGGGGCGCTGGACAAGACTATAGCTATGCAGAACCGCCGTCTCTAACCAGCGCTGCGTCTCCAGCGAGCTCTTCAGCATCGTATCCCTCGGCTCCTCCACCACCAGCTACTCAGCCGTATTATGGTGCCCAGCAACCTCGTCGAGCATCTCCGCAGGGTGCTTACCCATATGATGCGAATCGCGCCTCGTCTTCACCGCATGCGCATGCCCCAACAACACCGGGTGCCTCGCCGTACTACTCAGCTCCTCCCCAGACTAACGGCGCACTGCACCCTATGCCACCCCGGAGCGACGGCCCGACCCCGCCGCCAACCTCGCAGCCGTCCAGTAGACCGGGTATGCGCATCAACGACCTCGTCAGCGACAACGGCAACGGACGCAGCTCGACCGATTCCAACATGCTCAACATGCTCAATCGCCGGCCCATGTAGATCGACTCCGGGCGCTTTCCGAGGCAATGCTCTAGAGCTGGTCCTCTGTACGAGCTAGTCCAAGCAGCAAAATGTTGTCGGTGTCAATCTTAATGGTGCGGTGTTTATCTGCTTTTTTTCTGTATAATTTCAATCTCTCCCCCTCAGCAACATTATCCCTTGCGGGGTTGAGCTGACAGCGGTGGAGCATTTGGGCGGTCTTCTGATAGCGTTTCAGGCATTTTCAGTTTCCTATTTCCTAAGGCCACGTGCGAATCCCTCACCTCATTCCTCACACGTCTATTCCCTGTTTCCTTACCCGTTCTCCGGGTCAGTCGCAGCAGTCAGCATGTGGGCGGGTTCCTCGCGCGCATGGCTCGACCTCTCCGTTTCCGAGTTTCCTTGGTGGTAAAAGCAGTCCTTACATACATTGTTCGGCGCGGAACGCTCTCGACACAGCTGCTCGATCGTCAGGAATCACGTCGACTCTCACGCAACAAAAGGCATCCAAAACGAAGAGTGGGGGCGGAAATGTTGAGTTTTTGGACACGGACATGGAAGAGGATGTTTCAACCTTTAGCGTGGGCTTTGGATTTTTGCTTGGGCGGCGATTTTGCACCCGCTTCGGAAGATCGAGCAAGGTGTCGTGTTGGTGGCGAGCGCTGCAAATGCCTTTTCAGCGTGGGCGGTGTCTGATACTAGTTCCTGTTTTTTTTCTCTGTTCAAAACACACGATATTAGAAGGGAGGGGAATTCTCTGCATCTCAGCGGTGCGGACCCGTGGCTGCTTGTGCTATTTTTCTATCTCCTTTGTTGGTTCTGGGGCTCACTAGTACTGTCCTTTCCTCGATTGCGGGGGGTTCAAGCAAGTTACGAATATTGGGAGGCAATCTGCTTTGTTTTTTGTTGTTGGTTCGGTTTTAGTTTTGTTGCGCTGCGACTGCTGCTGCAACTGCAACTGCACATCTTGTTGGGAAATGTTGTTTTTAAATTGCTGAAAATGCGAATAATGCTTATTGAGAGAGAGCCAGAGAGAGAAAGATGCTGCAAGCCAAGCGCAAGTCAAGTCAAATAATGGAGATGGTATTTTCGGGAATAACTTGCCTCAGGGGGGGCGGGGGTTTTTTTTTTGGTGCGAGTTTTTGTTGAGGTCTGACGTTCGTTTTCTCTCGTGCGGAATGTGGCGTTGATGTGCGTTCGATCGGTGAGTGAGTGAGATTGTTGCAGCAGGTTACTCAGCATTATGTCATGGTGAAGGGGGCGGGCGGGCGCGTAAATGTTTTGACATTTGTTGACGAGCTGCCCCATCATCCTTCGACGGGAGCCCAGAGCCGCCGCGGTGGGATGATCGGATGGATTGACTGACGGACTGACATCTAACAACTTGTCCCGTACCGTACCGTACCGTACCGTGAGTATAGGAAAGATAGTACAGGTCTGTTCCGCAACTCCTCCCGTCCCAACAGGACACGGCCAAACCAAGATCACAATCACGGCCTTCCCCGCTCTACTGCACAGTACGGCTTGCCCGCTCCGCCGGTCTTCGCTTCGGCTTCGCTTCGGACCCCTCACTCTTATGCGTACAGTACCGTGGTTCATGCCCCCCTTTCTGGTATTAGTCATGCCTGCCCCCGGCTGTCCGCTGTCCGCGTGACCTGCGGACTTGCTCGAGCGGTGCGGTGCGTGGATATGAGCCGTGGTACGGAGACCCATCCCATAGGAGAAGTGTGGAAGTGCCTTGGTTGGGATTTGCATGGAAAGGGTTGGATGGGTGAGGGGCTGAGACTGGGGCCGAGTCGGATCGATGGGTGAGTTGGTGGGTGCTGGGCCATGGAGGGCCTGGGATCGATGTCTATGTGTACGTGTGTTTTGAATGGAATTTGTGCGTTTGAATTAGGGCGGTGGAGTTGTTCAAGCAAGCATAGCTGCGAGTGGTATATGTCGCGCTGTTGTTTTCATTTAAGTGATTGATATTGGGAGGTTAGTCTGCGTGCAGGATGGCGGGTAGTCCGAATTGACTTTATGAAATGTAGCAGACTTTTCTTTGTCTTTCTCTCTCTAGAACCTCAGCTTGAGTCTGATTTGTGGTACCTTTGCTCTCCGGTCCGTAGCACGCAATCAAGCTACTCTTCTGCGTCTTTTTTGCTGCACAAGTATATCGTTGGTGTTATCCAATTGCATCGCTTACGGACCTGTACCTAGGCTGGACACAAAGGCTCCGAAGAGGAAGCTAGTACTTGAAGTCGCTGAAAGGGGAGGCTGGTATGGCGGTCGAGAGTCGAGTAGATCGGCACTATCGTTGCGGAATCAACTTTAGCAGAGTGACAGCGGTCTACGCTCGACGTGGATCAGATTTGCGAACCCGTTTGCTGAAGCATGCCGAGAAGGTCCTCTGCGACGCCCAGGCAGACAACGTAGAGAGCGTCAGAAAAGTCTTCCACACCGGATTGCCTTTCCGCTGGACTCGAAAACGACGCCCCCGCAGCGAATAGCCTGGAAGGCGCGATGGGATGGTATATTGCCCGAGGTGCAGGAGCTCGCTGAAACATTCGAGGCCCAATACCCCTCGATCGATGCAACGGAGAAGCGATGTCTGCGTCTGAAGACGGCTGATCTGCAAAGAGAGGTTGAAACACGCCGTGGAGACTAAAAGCAGATCCAGAAAGTTCTCGTGGATATATACGTCCAGCCAGAGAAGCCATAGCACCGCGTACTGTAGCACTTGGGGGAAGGCGTCGTCGAGGGGTGGAAGCTTGCTGAAGGCCTCTGGCTCTCTGGATACCTACGCACCCATGTCACGAGGACGGTGGTGGACCTCATCCTAAACTAGACCGCGCCGCGTGTTCGCGGTCCCTCTTTATTAAACGCTGGAAAGTCCGGTGTATAGGATGAAAGATGCTTCGAATACGCAACTAGTAACTACAGAGATAAGAAGGTACGTTGAAGGTATTCAGGTATACCCTTTCCCCACTCTGTTCGATCAGTGAGATGATGCTTATGCAGTATGCTCGCGTCTTCTTCACGACGAGGTCGCGTCGCATCGAGAGACTGCACTTCGGAAGTATCAAAGATTTAAACGTCACTTGAGGAATACTATCGCAAGATTGTAGAGGGAAGAGAGAGTATCAATGCCCCCCTAAAGGCGTTCGGGCCCTGTCGAATCCTCCCTCAGTTCACCCATCCATCTTTCCCCTCGCATCGCCACGAGAATTCTATGTCCACTGCCTCTTTGTCCAGTTGGTGTGGAATCAGGCCTTTCGAATCGGATGGAATGAGCATCCTGAGGGCTGAGGGCCTTCGGTGAGTATTGATCAACTCACCATGTCCTCTTTTCTGTATCTACCCACTCAGAAGGACATAGTAACCGCTCTAGCCACCGCCAGAGAGGAGGCAACCATCTCGGGGGCAAGGAACGTTGTTCTTGAAAAAGAGGCCCAGAGACCTTATAGCGATGAAGTGTTGCGCTCGACATCATGTCCCCTCCACAAGCGGCGATGCCGACGTCGACAATGCTTGCCGTTCCACTAGCGACCGCTTCCGGGAAGCCCACGGTCGTATTGCGTTGACTCTTGCCGTATCTTACAGTATATGGTAGCTCTTCCCCGGATGCCGTTCCCGATCCTCCACCACCGGCCCATCCATTAGACAGTGACAAAACCAAAACGCGGTGCCAACATACTCAACAAACCTCACCTCGTCCCCCGCCTTAACGCCCTCAAATGGCCTCACAACCACCGACACCGGAGCCGCTCTCAACACGCAAAGCTCATCGCCCACCTGCGCCTTACCCCCAACATGAAGCAACAGCCCCTTCTTCGTCAGCGCAAACGCCTCCCTACACGAAGCCATAATGCGCACTGTGCGAGCAAAGAGCCGCGCGCCGGGTGTTCCGCGATCTCGGGGTCGGTGAGTCGCGCGCCGCTGAGGCTACGGTCGCCGAGCGGTGTGCGCCGTATAGTGTCTGTGGCGTTGAGTGTGCCGTCGTCGGCAAGATGGCGGATTTCTTGGACTTGTGCGCAGGTGGTGGAGTGCCAGGAACGATGGCTCTTCACCGGGTTGTCGTTGTACCTCCCGATGTAGAGGACGTGGTCTACGTGGCAGCCTTCAGCGATAAGTGTATCATCTTCGATGACAAAGCTTCCCTCGGCGTTCCTTTGTTCTCTATTGGCCTTGTATATCGACGGCATGCCCTGAAACTCGTCGAGAGAGCTGCCTCTGATAAACCGCGGGACCCACGAGGGCGGACGGAAGTCTTCGTCAGTGTGCAGAACCCATTCCGGGATGAGGCCGTAGTACGCATTAGGGTCCTGGCTCTCGGGCTAGTGGTCGACACAGATGAGGTTGAGGTTCTTCCCCTGCTTGATTATGGGCGCTGCGGCTGCCGTGTATGCGTCCTCGACCGAAATCCCATAGTCGGGCTTGATACTGATGTCTTGCGTCACGCCCAACATACCGTAGATGTAATCCCTCCCGTCTGTGGCTCGAAGCGCCTCGTTACTGCGCAGCATATCCTTCAGCGAGGTCTTTTCTCCATCCGCCATATTTTGCCTTCCTAGCAGGATGTTCAGCACGGAGCTGGATGCCACGTCGACGCGTACGCGCTAATTGTTATCATCGGGGCCCTGGAGCGAGCGGCTCGTCGAACGCATTGCACACCAATGCTACCTCGTCCCAAGCCAAAGGATACTGCCCGCACTGCAGCCGGATCTTTGGCGACAGCAAGAGCTCTTGCACGATCTAGACTCTGAGCCACACTCGGCGGTCCTTGAACGTCTCCAACAGCTTCTGCCATTCGGCGTCCGTGGTGTTCCTCGCCTCCAGTGGCAGCCGCAGCTTCCTCCCCGCCTGTACCATGTTCCTCGATTCCAGTTCCGCATCCCATGCCTTCTTCGCCATCCTCCGCACCCATCCGAACGCAAAGGCGCTGGCATCATCCGAAGGGCCCAACCACACGACATCACAAGCCGATTGCGAATATATATCCGCCATCCGCGCTACCTGGCTTCCCCTCTCATCCAGATCCTGTTGATTGATGCACAGCTAATCAATCCATGTCGGCACGCGAACCCTCTCTCGTCCCCTCAAATGCCCCAGCGCCGCCAACAAATCCCCCGTCACACACAACACCCTTCCATCCACGTAAATCTTCTGGATTTTCGCGCCCGTTCCCCACGTAGAAGTCAAGCACTCATACGTCGGCGGATCCGCAAGATCGGCTTCAAACAGCGACCCAACAATCGGCGCAGTGCTGCCTTGCTCCACGCCTCCGAACAAGAAAAAGAGGCGGAAACTGGTGCTACTAGGTGCGAGCTTCTGGTATTCATAGGGTTCGTGGTTGACTTCTACGGGCGTGAACTGGGCTCGGTTTTTTCGGAGGGAGGAAACGGAAAGTTGCTGGAGGGTATTGTGGGAGTCTCCGTCCATGGAGGGCAGAGGAACATGATTTGACATTATCGCAGACGGGAAGGAAAATGGGACAAGAACGCAACTTTAACATTGTTCCTAATTTTACAGGATTCCGTGGCTTGGTCGCCACAGATGATCCCTTCGGCTGTGCAGCACACCCACTCGGCTCCCAAGGTAGCAGCGACAGACAACGTCCAAACAATGACTAGAGAAGCAACACGCGAAAGCCAGGAACGAGAATAGACAGAGGTGCCTTGGGTATCATGGTAGAAGAGAGAACACATACGCTTAACCTTTGTAAGTCTGATGCGTGGAAATGCTTAATCATTCACACTACACGTGTATCTGCCTTTGAGAAATTACAAGGTTGAATTAGTATATGATATCATTACAAGCTTCCAATCCGAGTCATAACCACCATAAAAACCGCATTTGCACAATCTAGCACCTGATACAAAAGGAAAGGACCGGTACCCGTCAAGTGTCCGGCAACTTGTAAGCGCAGGCGCAAAATGTGAACACACTCTGCATCCTACGCAGATTGGTATATATCCAACACTCCTCTAGGGAACCGGCGGGTGTTGGGAGAAGCGTTTCACGCCACCAACCTCCATCGGGGCGTTCCTACCAGCAGGTCGAAAGTAGAATCACATGTTCTTGCCGCAGTGAAAACGATCCCAACTATCGTTGGGAACGGGAAGCGCGTACCAGTCCTCCTCTTTGATGATCTTCAGAAGGCGTCTTCCCCTGGGTTCATTAGGAATTTCCGGCGGGTTCCCGTTGGTTTCGTACTCGAGCCGCTCGCAAAGAAGGCCAGCCGGTATACGCTCTTCCTGCGCGTAGTCTCCGATGAGCTCCCGATGGACAAGGGTTTCATTGTGTCCGGGAAAGACGACGACGAAGGTCGCGTTATTCATCTCACGGAGGGCCCCGGGGTAATAGTATTCGTTGTACGCTACGTAGCCTCGTGTCGAGTGGTGTTGTAACGGAAGAGGGAAGCAACTCGACATGGCTTCCACTTCGTACTGGTACGAGTATGGCTTCCTGACTGCGACTGCTCTCCTGTTTCGAGGTAGATAGCTCTTGCAATCGCACCCGCGGCGATATGCCTCCCAAAAGGAACGTCCATGTCCGCCCGAGACATGTCCAATAGGCTGAAGCAAATTATGTGTCCGATCGGTCTGCAGACGGTCCTGACTGTTCGCAGCAATGGGGTGATGCCAAGTATGTCTTGATTGGGCTGGTCGAACTTGTAGTGTTGGAGGGGTTTGCTGAATTTTGTCCTACGATCATGCCATTTCACTAACTCCCCCGCCAGCCATTCTTGTTTCGTCGGTACTTTTCTGGATCAAACTCGCCTGGCATCGATGGGGCGGAGATTATGTTCGGCGTTTTGGCTCTGGCAAGCTTGTCATACCGAGTCGTACGAATGGAAGACCAGTTCGCGGTCGTCCGAGTTGTCGGTCGGTTCATAGTTGCTCTCAACGTCATGTCCTAGAACGTTGGGTAAGAGTAGTTTGTCCCCAATCCTAGCCTTGGCCAACCTGCGGGCTGCTTCTTCCACATAGACTCGGGACAACGGTGGTTGGAGCTTGACTCCCGAGCGGAATTCGTCGACGCCTGCGACTGGATCCAGTTGTCCGCTTTGGTGATCGGGCATCTTGATCTTGATGGGTTTGGCGATTATTGTTAGAAATTATCGAGAAGTATGTGAAGAAGAGAGGAAGTTGCTGGCAAAATAGGTGTACAGTTGAAGAGCAGTGTAAAGAAGGGAACTTGAAGTGAAGTAAGAAGTAGGAAAGTTGGGGAGACGTAGAACCTCCTTATATACTCATGCCCAGCTTCATCCCAACTCACTTGAGTATGAGAGTCATCGCTGCTCTGATTCTGTGGAGTGACTCTTAGACTCGCCTGACACACCACGCCGTCGAAGTCATCGCCTCAGCCACAGGCTCTTTCACACTCTTCAACAGAGTCTCTAGATGTTTTTCTTGAAGCAATCAGCGATTCAACACAAGAGCTTTCCACAAGATTATGCAGTTGCAACCCGCAATTGGGCTGTTGCTAATCGAGTGGACCGAGCACGAGCCAGCGGGGTCTCGATCGAACCCCGTGAGCCCGTTGCCATACGCGACACAACCGGGACACCATGAAGAACGCGCGAGGACTCAATCAGTGAGACAGACCATTTCGGACTTGGCTTGGACGCTGTGAATGATTGATCCATGCACTGCTCTAATGACTCATTATTTTTGAGATCGTGGAGAACATGCTACCAAAACCCCTTGAATGCCAGCGTAAATGAGCAAGGAAACCCTTTTTGCCCTTCAGCCTGGACTTTTGCCTTATATCTTCCGCTAAAACAGAATGCCGCATACGCCAAGAGCAACCGAGCCGAGAAAGGGTCGTATTCGCTCACGACACGTAGAGGAGGCAGGTTACCTTGCTTCTCTTAGTGAAATGTGGTCGGTTGTGAGATCCACGAAGACAGCCACAATCAGAAATGGTCGTTCAGGTTGTGAAGACTGATGTCTTGGCTGGTCTTGATCCGCATTTCCTCCACGCTGGTCCTTCTTTCCTCAGGGGCTTCGGGTTCATCGACTCCATCTGTGCCGTTTGTGCCATTTGTGAGACTTACGCCGTTAAGGGGGCCCCAATTAGGGCTTCCATTGTCATCAGCAGGAATCACGTTGCCGTGCTGGTCAACTTCCTAGGATTGAAATTAGTAAGGAAATGAGGACTAGATATGAGTGCGGACTTACAACGCCCTTCGCGGCCATCCGGATCTGCTTTTGGTCTGCCACACCATGCACCACTGCCTCCCTAGCAGTCTCCATGACTTTCAACTTGCGGCTCTCTCCTCGGATTCTCTCCAGATGCTCGAAGTAGCCATCATCAACTGGGGTGACGTACTTGCCGCAGAATACGCCAACTTCGAACTTCTGTGTCGCAGGGTCTCGAGGTGACAGAGAGGCGCATGCATCGATGAGGTCCGGTAGAGTCTGATAGATGACATCATCGGCGCCGATGTGCCTGGCGATCGCAGCTGAGTCTCTATGATGTGCAATGAGCTCTGAGGATGATGCAAGATCAATACCGTAGATGTGCGCGTTCGTGATGGGTGGTGCGCAGGAAGTGAAGTACACCTTCTTTGCCCCGGCTTCCCGAGCCATGAGAACGATCTCACGGGAAGTGGTTCCGCGAACGATGGAGTCATCAACGAGCAGTACGTTCTTGTTCTCGAACTTCTTACGCATCGGATTGAGCTTCGCCCGAACGCCCTTTTGGCGGAGCTTCTGGGAAGGCATGATGAAGGTACGGAAGATGTAACGGTTCTTAACGAAGCCTTGAACGTAGGGCTTTCCAAGAGCTTCTGCCACACACAAGGCGGATGTGATGCTAGTCTCAGGAATAGGCATGACGACGTCGACGTCTGCGAGCGCCTCCGGGCCTAGTTGACGCCGAATGGTCTCCGCAAGCTTGAATCCCATGTTACGGCGACTCTCGTCTACGTCGATACCGTCGATGATGGTATCTGGTCGTGCGAAGTAGACATATTCAAAGATGTCTGGGGTGTAGTTGAGAGCCTCGTGGACTTGCTTGAAGACGGGTTCTTTGCCCTTTTCGATGATGACTGCCTGGCCGGGGAGAATATCCTGGAATTCTTTGTATCCGCACTGGACGAGGGCTACACTCTCCGAAGCCATCATGTAGTCAGTGCCATGACCGCTGTCAGAAGGCCGAGAGCCTAGGACCATGGGGCGGATGCCATAGGGATCGCGGAATCCAATGAGGCCGAAGCCTGTACACTGTCAATACGTGAAGCAACACTAGGTCTCGCCCAATAGTAGCATACCTGCAAGCATAGCGGTGCATGCCCATCCGCCAACGCAGAGCTTATACATCCGTTCCAGGGCGGCAAAACAATCGGCGGCGTTAATACGCGCCTTGCCAGTCTCGTTCAGCTCGTTGGCGAAGATGTTCAGCATCAACTCGCTGTCACTCTCGGTGTTGATGTGCCTATGGGCATCCTTGTCTAGAAACTCGCGCAGCTCGGGCGCGTTGATAAGATTGCCGTTGTGGGTCATGCAGATTCCGTACGGGCTGTTGACGTAGAAGGGTTGAGCCTCCGAGTTTGCGCTGCTGCCGGCAGTGGGGTATCGAAGATGACCCAGTCCCATGAAGCCTGGGAGATCGGAGACGCGGGCTCCGTCATGGAAGACCTTGGAGGCCATTCCATTGCCCTTGCACTGGTGGAAGCGTCCGCCAGCGCCGCAGCTCACGATACCCGCCGCATCTTGTCCCCGGTGCTGGAGGAGGTATAGCGCATCGTGTATTTCTACCGCGGCCGATTGCGATTTCCTTCGCTTCTTAGCACAGCACTCGGTTGAATGAGTTGTGAGAGCTTACGGATCCGCGTGGATCACGGCGATAATGCCGCACATGTTGAAAGGTAGGTGAGAGAAGAGGGAGGGTCAGGTGCGAAGTCTGGAAGAGGCGAGTTAGTCCGCGATATCGGTATCGGAAAGGCGGGAGCTCGGTAGTAGGGAGATTACGGTCAGGACGTCTTTTGGCGCTCATTCCCGAAGGGTCGCAAGTCTAACATCTTTAAAAACAGGACGAGATCATCATGATGAAGGGATCGTGAAGGAGGCAAACACAACTACGAACCTGGTTCTTCCCCACTAGAAGCCGCGCGGTGTGATAGTGCTTCACCGAAGGTGGGGTGGAGGAGAGAACGAGCAGCCAGCAATGGCGCTTATGAAGGCGGTGCTAGGTCCATCTTTTAGTGTAGTGTCGAGCGAGTCGATTGGCGTCGATTGGATTCTGGGGATGCTGTCCCAGGTGATGGAGGCCTTGGGGCGCATGGTTGTGCGTCCTTGATAGCAGCGGTTTTGGAAATTTCTTCTCCCCACTAACATGGCCTTGGCGCCCCGGCCCCAACCGGCACACCCGTGGACGACTACGGCTACGCTGCTGAAGCGCTGTACTTCCACCACGTGCAGTGTCGCCATACTAGGGCTCTTCGTCCCGCCCATTGAGGGACTCCCCAATTGGACAATGGCCCCTCGAAATATGCACATTTCTTAAAATTTGTATGCGGCCTGACACTATGACGGCAGATGGCTGCAGCTAGAGCTCCCCGCATCCGTAGCTCTGGATTCACGCTTCCCGCTGTGGCGCCCACGCGCTCTCTCTCCTTCCGGGGAGCTGGCCTGCATCGAGATTAGCCGTGGTCTTGTGATGTCGATGTGGCCCCAGGAACTGGTCATGTTGGCACATGTGGGATTGTTGCTTCTCTGAAGGCTCCATTTGACGATCTACTCCAAAACAGCTCCTTACACAAGGATACCTGTATGCCTACTTCGCCGAATCACGTCACTCGGTTTGCTTGGTGACCTCTTGTGGGGGATTCATTGATCTAATGCTATGACTGAGCGGGCTCCGAGGAGTACATGACCAAACAATTTCAGGAACATGCTTGCCAGTTCATCGACCGATGGTATTTTGAATCCCTTCAGGATTGGTACGGCCTGAATTGCCTTTTTTTGACTGCCTTAGGTAGAGCAGGTAGATGACTTGGGTTTGTCTTTGACCTGGCGGATACTAGATGAGGCAAACGGAGCGGGGAGAAGAGGGGAAGCAGCTTATTACATATAGAAGGATCTGATAGAAACGTGAAAGAAGGTTGCCCTAGGCCTAAACATCAGCCCCTATAGGTACGGTCTTTCTTGCTGTTGCCGATTTCCAGGTGGATTGTTGCTATAGCTTCACGGTGATGTCAAGAGAGACCTGATATTTCACTTCTTAAGTAGTCGCAAGTCCAGCCCTATCCAACGTAGAATGTCAGACATATAACATACAGAACTCCGAGTCCATCGAAACCCGGTTATCGTGGATACCGGTATTCCCCAAAATGAAAAGTTACGACTCACTATGGCTTCTCTGCACGGAAGCACCTCGCCAAAGAAATCCCGTTGGTTCCCCGAAAGAACCATGCAAAAACCACTCCCAGCGTATCTCTTATGATTATATATACCCCACCATTACGCAACCATCCACCAAGCACCCGCAACGATACCAATAAGGACAATGGTGGTCAGGAAGCCAGCTCCAGCCTTGTCGCCCGTCGTGATTTCGTTGAAGGTAATGGGCTGGCTCTGCACCTCACCTCCTGCAGACGGATCACTCTTAGAAATCCCGCCGGCGTTCTCCGTGGCAGGACCAGAGACCTGGTCGATCAGGAGGTTCTGGAAGATCTCCATCGCGGCCATCTGCTCTCCGACACCGAAGCTGCCATCGTTGACGCCGTTGTTGGTCCAGCGGAGACCGCAGGTCTGCTGATCCTCACCAGCATTGCACTGCTTGGCGGCGGCCTGAGCCGAAAGTTGCATTCGATTCATCATTAAGTCGCGGGTCCACGGGGCCACAATCATGGTGTAACCCATCCAACGGGCGAGGTAGGCCTTGAAAGATCGCTGATCGACATCGCATTTGCCGTTGGACTCGCACGCGACTTCGAACATGATGTTATCCTTGAAGAAAACATTGGTGGCGTTGATGATGCCCAGTAGCTTCGTCCTCCATTCCTCGCTTCCAGTCTAGTTTTGTTAGTCAAAGGGTTCAAAGTGCAAGGGAAATATACTCACAGCATTCCACAAAGCGGCAGCACCGGCCATATGCACGCCTGCATTGTAGGTCCATTGAATATGGTTAACGCTGCTGCAGTTCTGTCTGTCATCGGTACCATCAAAGTAATGGTAATCTTGACTCATGAGACCGATGGCGAGCTCCCAGTTCCACGCCTTTTCAGCCCAGTCAGCGTACGTCTGGTTATTGGTGTACTTGTAGAGACGGGCGGCAATGTTGAAGAAGCATCCGTTGGAAATGGTGTTCCGGTAGTTGTATCCATTATTGAAGGTGAAGATCTGCCACTTCAACCCTCCGCCGCAGGCGTCGGTGTTCCAGCGGACAGCTTGGGTGTTGAACACGGCCTGTGCAAGGGCAAGCCATGACGGGCCTTGACCATCGGGAAGATCGGGCAGCTTATTCTCCGCGGCAGACATGGCGGCCATTCCCCAGAAAGCCTGGTCGTCGTTACCCAGCGTCTTTGTCTGATTAGGCGGCATAAAGGCTTGGTAGTCTCCGATCTGGTGCTGCATAGCCTGTGACGTGATGTTGTTGTATTGGTCGTCGCCGGTGTAGTACCAGTAGTCAATGAAAGCGTTGAACATAGCCCCGCATTCCCACCAGAAGTAGGGGTCTGGGAGATTGCCGGGGACGTCTCCGGGTCGGTCGCCAGTGTACCATTTTCGCAGGCCGGCCGCCGCAATGCCTGCAGCCTTCTTGATCGATTCTTGCAAAGTCAGTGAATGCCCGAAGCCCGTCCCTTAGTAGCACTCACCTGGAGAATTGATGTCCATATCAATCGCACCCGCGCCAGATGCCAGCAGGGCAGAGGCGCCCAGCACCCCAAGGGCCGAGCGAGATAACTTCATTATGTGGAAGCCAGCGTCGGAACAGTCCGGTCCTTTGTGTTGATCCCCTCAATATTCAAGCTTCAAGCGCCGGGCTCGATTATACGGATGTTGGACAGACGACTGGATTCGGTGCGTGCGACAAGCAATGCAGTATGCTCAGCGAGGGTCTCGAGTGAATGGGGTATGTAGGTTGTTGGAGGTCGTGAATGACGTGCGGTCTGAAACGAGCGACGGGTCGAGACGGGCGGGCGGGGCTCGACAAAGCACGAGGAACGTAGATTAGGGGCGTTGTGCACAGAAGGGTCGAAAGAGCGTTCACGGCTCAAGAGCGCGGCGTGTCGGTGTGGTGGATGAGAGCGTTGGCGATGTCGAGGTACGGTTCTCCTGAGGAGACAAGGCGGAGCTGCAGGGAACTGGGCGGGCCCTTGGGTTTCAGCGCCAAGCCATTTACAACGCCGCGAGATCCAATGCTGAACGTCAACAATAGCGATTTCAAGCAGCTGCTAGGCTGCATGCAGATACGATACACGGCCCTCTGATGACAGTCACGGTTCTTTACAGGCGCTGGCGGAGGAGGGTGCGGCGTTGCGTGTCTCAGCCGGCGCTTCATTGCCCAGAAGGCTGCCCTCTCAAAGCGGCTGTCGCTGGAAGAACCAAATTAGAAGCGCCTGGGGTGCGTAATCGCCGCGAGGTCTTTGTTGCCACGCCATGCCCGAACCAGCCGCTTGTGCTGGCCGGCTGACCGACTGCCCAGCTGCAACGTCGTAACGAGGGAGGCTGGCGCACGTGACCAGTGAAATGTGTGGCGGAGGCGGTCTCGCCACTCCAGGGCTGCCGTGATTGAATGCTGCCGCAGGCGTTCGCATCAAACAATAAAGTCGGCCACGCCCTTGCAGTCATTCGCGCCGGAATTCACACCACTGCCCAAGCCATTGCACGTTACTCTCGCCCGCCGCCCGGGTTTATTTGCAGGAGCGCGAGGTGCCACGGCGACATCAGCCTCACCTCAAACCACCCTCCGACCAACGCCGTTACAAGCTCGCCAACCACTTCTTTCGCCGTCGGCTCGCCCAGCGTCCGCCCTCTTCCACCGAACACCTCCATCCTCCAAACAACGCACACTCATCACAACCGCCCGCTCAACCACTTTCTCGGCCTTCGCGTCTGTCGCATACTCCTTATCAAGCCCCGAAATCGTCCTTAGCAGCCATGGCCGACCGCGAGCAGCCCTACGACCCCTACATTCCCTCTGGCGGCGCCGGTGCCAACCAGGGCGCCCAGGGCCAGAATGGCAACCATCGCACCCAGGCCCTTCAAGCGGTAGGTCATCATTCTCTGTGTCTTCTGCTCGCGCAGCGTCGTGGCTCCTAGCCAGGCGGTTGCGGAGGTCCGCTGTGGCATCGAGCGACAGCTGAGGTTGCGGAGAGCTGGCACCACGCTCAGCTCGCCGCGACGACGGCTTCATTGCCCACGCTCGCTCCGTCCTCGCTGCGCAGATGCTGCAGCGTCTCCTGAGTCCCGCTTCGCAAGCTGTCTATCGCTGATTCACATGTTTTGAGTCTTCATTTTGCTGACACCGATGTCTCGCAGGAAATCGACAGCACCGTCGGCATCATGCGGGATAACATCAACAAGGTCTCAGAGCGCGGAGCCCGTCTGGATTCTCTGCAGGACAAGACCGATACCCTCGCCGTTTCCGCCCAGGGTTTCCGACGGGGCGCCAACCGCGTGCGCAAGCAGATGTGGTGGAAGGACATGAAGATGCGCATGTGCCTGATTGTCGGCATCATCATCCTGCTCGTCGTCATCATTGTCCCCGGTGCGCCTAGAACCTGCCTCTTTTCTGTGTGCTCGGGACGCTAACAGACGCGCAGTCGTCGCTACGAGATAAACGACCTCACGCCCCATACCACGACACATACCCAAACTACTTAATTGAGAGGGGGTGGGGGGTTGCATTGCCATAGGGGAGATGGCAAAACGACTGGGAGTTGCACTGATACTCGACGACTAGTCCCTGTAGGTTTAACATCCACGGCGAATTTGGGAGCGATGGATCGGGTTGTTTTCTTGTCTTTCTCTGCATCCACGGCTCGACCTATGCCAAGTGGGGTCCAACATGTATCCCGGTTCTCTGGAGGTGCTGGTCCTCTGATACCTGCAGACCAGGCTCGAGCATGGCGGATAGATCGCAAATGGAGTTCAACTATGGTTTGCTTCGACATTCAAGCATGATTATCTTAACATGTGGCGTTCTGTGATCCTCACAGGTTCTTCCCACATCCGGCAGAGCAGCCAGAGAGTCCAATGTAGGACTGGCAAGAGGTCTATGCGTGCAAACCTCGAGCCCTGATCAAATGTTGCCTTTGTACGTGGGACGTGAGAGAACGATGTACAAGCCGGGCCGTTGCGCTAAAGCTTAACCAGTCGTTATCGTTCGCGCTTGGTGGGGCTATCTTAGCTGCACTACAAAGGTATGTGATGTAGGAGTGATGAGCGTTCAAAAGCAAATCTGGCAAGGGCCGTAGCGGGCTCTCGCAGGCCGTTTCTCTGCAGCGTCTGTCGAGGTCTGAGGAACGAGCTAGACGAATTCTTCATGTACGCAAGCAAGAGGTCCATACGTGTCCGGCCTCGTAGAGCACTTCGCCCTCTTTGATTCTGGACGACTGGTTGTATCGGACGTCAAAGAATCGCGGGATGAAAGGCGTCGGCTAGGCACACATCACCGTGCTGCAGACCGGCGCAAAGATTGTCGATGGCGCCCGTGTAACTGCAGTCCATCAGGCGCCAGGAAAATCTCATACAGACGCATCATTTTCAGGCAAGAATTTTCGACTGTACATTAGCCTGGGGAAGCCGCTCGTGATTGGCCGCGGCCGCGTAGTTGTCGCGCCACTTGCGGGGACAGGCCGCACTGTGCGAGGACTGCGATAACGGACCTTAAAGTTTTTGACGCAAGAGCTGCATTGCAAGCTTTATCTCTCTTCTCTTGCGTCTTCCTCACCAATTCGCCCTCTCGACATTCGCAGCGCCTTCAGACAGTCCTGAAGCGCCCTCTCGCGCGCGCGAACAGTCACCATGCAGGGCGTCGTGCGTTCTGGCGCTCGATTGGCAGCACGCTCGTCCCGCAGAGTCACCGCGGCTCCTGGAGCTTTACGCACACTCCCCCGAGCACTCGTTGCGACTCCGACCCGCCTGTATACCTCCTCCGCCGACAGTCGAGATGCCACGTCCATGCGGGCCGCCTTCCTGAGCTTGCTCGGAAGCGTGAGCTCACGAAGAGAGATCGACCAGTACCTCGCCCAGTTCCGATCCGTCTCCTCGCAACAGTTCGCCGTAGTAAAAGTTGGAGGGGCAATCCTTACAGACCACATAGATACGCTATGTCTGGCCTTACAGCACCTCTATGCCATGGGGCTGTATCCCATCATCGTGCACGGCGCGGGGCCCCAGATGAACAAACTACTTTTGGACGCAGGCGTCGAGCCCGAGTTCATTGACGGGATCAGGGTCACCGACAAGAAGACGCTAGGGATTGCCCGCAAGCTGTTCCTGGAAGCCAACATGGACCTGGTGCTGAAGCTGAGGCAAGATTGGGGCATTCCGGCACGGCCCATCACTGCCGGCGTTCTTGAGGCGGACTATCTAGATAAAGAGAAGTGGAAGTATGTTGGAGATATCACAAAGGTCCACTCCAGGCCTATAGTGGACGCCTTGAAGGCCAAGGAACTGCCCATCCTGTGCTCCATGGCGGAGACGGAGGACGGCCAGATCTTGAACGTCAACGCCGACGTTGTGGCAGGAGCTCTGGCGCGAGCGCTGGAACCATTGAAGATTGTCTACCTGTCGGAGAAGGGAGGTCTGTTCAACGGCGAGACCGGGAAGCTCATCTCAACGATCAACTTGGACGAGGAATACGACACCCTCATGCAGCAGTCGTGGGTGAAGTATGGCACGAAGCTCAAGATCGTAGAAGTCAAGAAGCTGCTGGACGACCTGCCCAAGACCTCCAGCGTTGCCATTATCCACCCTCAATACCTCGAGAAGGAGCTTTTTACTCATACCGGAGGTGGCACCCTAATCCGAAAGGGCGAGAGCATCCAGACGGTGACCAAGTTTGAGGACTTCGAGGATATCACGACTCTCCGGGAAGCCCTGTTGAGGGACCGTGAAAGCATGGATTCCGGAGAAGTCATCGACCGCTATCTCAACAACCTTAAGAGCCGACCGTTCGAAGCTTTCTTTGACGACTCCATGGGTGCTGTCGCTATCGTTTACCCACCGTCAGGAGACTCCGAGTTCGCTCAGCTGTCTACTTTCACTACGACCAAGGATGCCTTCCTGACGAATGTGGCGGACAACATCTTTGAGCGCATGAAGAAGAAGTACCCGAAGATGTACTGGACTGTCGAGACCCAGGACGAGAACCTCGGGTGGTTCAAGGAGAAGGCAGACGGCACCCTCCGCCGAGATAGAGAAATCTTCTGCTTCTGGGGACCAGCGAACCCATCAGAAGTCGTTACGCTGATGAGCGAGTTTTCGCAGCATGGCAGGGCAATGTTTGGTGATCACAACCTTGAGTCGCAGCTACGTAGGGCTGCCGACTACGCCGCCAGCCTGAAGCATGGACAGCAAGCCCGTGCCTACTCAACAATGGCTGCTGGCCGCCCAACTATGGGTCAGTCCTCAAGGCCGAGCTTGAGGTTAAACAGGATAGCTCCTTCGCCGGCTCGAGGTTTCGCTACAAGCGCACCGCGCTCCGTCGAGACCACTAATCCTAACCCGCCGTACGGTATCAAGTTCAAGAGCAAGGACTGGCCTTCAAAGATTGCCCTGATCGGTGCTCGGGGATATACTGGACAAGCGCTCATCGATCTCCTCAACCGACACCCCAACATGGATCTCCGACATGTGTCATCACGTGAACTCGCTGGCAAGAAGCTCGAAGGCTACACCAAGCGCAACATCACCTACGAGAACCTCTCGCCCGAAGACGTGAAGAAGATGGCAGAGAAGGGCGAGGTTGAGTGTTGGGTGATGGCACTGCCCAATGGTGTATGCAAGCCGTTCGTAGAGGCCATCAACGAAGCCGGCAAGCCGGATGCTGTGATCATAGATCTGAGTGCCGACTACCGCTTCGATTCGACTTGGACGTATGGCCTTCCGGAGCTCGTTGACCGCCGTAAAATTTCCGATGCTACGCGGATAGCAAACCCCGGCTGCTACGCCACCGCTGCTCAGCTGGGTATCGCGCCGCTTCTTGAATTCATCGGCGGCCAGCCCACGGTTTTTGGTGTCTCCGGCTACTCAGGAGCAGGAACCAAACCCAGTCCGAAGAACGATGTCAAGAACCTAGAGAACAATCTCATCCCTTACAGCTTGACGGACCACATCCACGAAAAGGAAATCTCGTCACAGCTCGGTATTGACGTAGCATTCATCCCGCACGTCGCCGTCTGGTTCCAGGGTATTCACGTCAGTCACCTCTCCTTGTCCCCTTCCTTCTCCTCGTCACTAACACCCTTCAGCACACCATCTCCATCCCTCTCAACCGCACCATGTCCTCCCGCGACATCCGCAACATCTTCCAAGACCGCTATGCTGGCGAGAAGCTCGTCCGCGTCGTCGGCGAGTCCCCGCTCGTAAAGAACATCTCCGGCAAACACGGCGTCGAGATTGGCGGCTTCGCAGTCCACAGCTCGGGCAAGCGTGTCGTCGTGAACGCGACGATCGATAACCTGCTCAAGGGAGCCGCGACGCAGTGTCTGCAGAACATGAACCTGGCGCTGGGCTATGGCGAGTATGAGGGTATCCCTTACTAATCTGTCAGTATGGAGTGGAGGCAGAAGCATTGGCGAAGCTGACTTCGAAGCGCGGCTCATAGACCGTTTGTCTCTTCACAAGCTTGTTGGATTAATGATTAGAGCACATATCCGGGCGCGACATCCTAGACAGGCACCATTTTCTTGTATATATCCTTCCTTATTCAGCACAGGAGCGGGCGCGCGCGTGTGTATGTTTAGCTAGCCAGCCCTCCCGGCGTTGAATCGTGTTTGTAAAAGTCTTTTATTCACTTTCAGCCAATACAGAGTTCTTGACTTCGTGTCTGCTGAGATTCGCGACACACTATTGTACAACAGGTTTACAGATTACATGACATAGTGGGGCGTATTACCCTTTGGCCGTCCAATTCCCAAATCCGCACCAGAAACGCCGCCGCTATGCAAACCCAACCCACCGAGTCTATGATATCTAGGGGCGCTGCAAGAAATAATGTAGAGGGGGGATTATCTGAGCAGAGAGCCAAACCATCTAAAAGAGTGGCAAAACCAAATATTACAAACCTATCCACCGCTCCGAGCCACTTCATCAGCCTTCGCCTCGGCCTTCGCTAGCTTCCTCGCCAGCGCGCGCTCCCTCACAATTAGATCGCCCAGGCTTTCTCCCGCTCTTAAGCGCGGCACTCCTAGTCCAGTCTCACAATCGGGCCCTCGCACGCTTCTCCCGCCCCAAGCGCCTAGACCCCAGCCGCCCTTCGGGCTCGTCGCACCGAGGCCCTGGCCCCACATGCTCACGCGCTGGACCTTGCGCAGCTTCGTGAGGCCGTAGGCAGCGACCATCATGCCGAAGATAGTGCACCAGGCAGAGATGCCGAAGAAGCCGATCTCGGATTCTTCGATGAAGTTCTTGAGGTTCATGCCGTAGAGGGCGGCGACAAAGGTGCCGGCGGTGATGGAGAGGGTGAGGATGGAGAACTTGAGATCGAGCAGCATGAGGGAGTTGCGGTTGGCGTCGAGAATTGCTTTGACGCTGCACTGCTATCAGCATGTACATCAAGAAAAGAGGACGAGGAGTGATGCGTACATTTCCTCGGTGTTACGAATACTAGACACCAAGTTCTCAGCCGCTTGTACGATTTCGTCAGCCACCTTGTGGTATGATTCGAGTAGCATTTCGACTTCGGTGTGGTCGTGCTCGTCGCGGATTTTGCCTTCTGCTTTCTCGGAGAGGTACATGGCGGACAGATCGTCGTCCGCTTCGAGGAGCTCGGTCAAGGCGTCTCTGACGAGACGTGCCTTCTGCTCGAAGGAACCTAGTTTCTTGGAGTAAATGAGTAGGTAGCGAAGCTTGTCTCGATCGATGTCCTCTTCAAGCTCCATCAACACCCTGACCACGGGCTCGCTGACGCCTTCAAACTCCTTTTCCAGACTCAACGTTACGCTAATGAGAACTGCTTCGAGGGCTCGGAATTCGTAGGGTAGCGTGCCGTTCATATGTGACTCCTTCTGGCGCAGCTTCAGGTCTAGATCGTACATAAAGACAGACTGTGATTTCGAATCCGTTGTCCCATAGGCGTCAAAGACGAGCACGCGGTTGTGCTTAATGAGCGCGCGAATATGGAGGAGGTTGATCAGGATAGCGGAGGGACGAACCAGGATGTTCGGGAGGAGTGAGGAATCGATCTTGCGGAGATCGCGAGGCAAGAGGCCATACTAGATCCTATTAGCTTTCTATACATATACCACACCGGGCTCAGGAACCCCTGACAGCTCCAAAACGTACCTTTGCGATCAATTCGGTCTTCTTGAACTCCCCGCTAACCATTGTCACATTGCCGTGCTCATCCAACTCCGTACACCGCAGTTTCAGCTCATTCGCCGGTCGTGCCATACGTTGGGGCAAGCCATTGAATCCAGCTGCCGTATCCTCCATCGTGCTCTTGGGGGGCGGAGGTGGCGGCTGTAATCGAGTGGGCCGGCGCCGCTTTCGCATCCCGAACAAGCTCCAAGCATGATTCGGGCTCGTCGTAGAGAACGTCCGGCGGCACGAGGCGAAGCTTGTGAGAGGGCACGATGGTATTTGGGGCGCGGGGAGGTATGCGTTTGGTGCGATGCGCGTTGTTCGAGAATTCAAATGGCATTTCGGCGGCCCAACGCTCCTGGATGTACACGATCCTCCGCCCGATCCAATTCCGTTTTCCCCCACTGCTCTTCTACCCAGTCCTCCACATACTCTGCCCGTCGCATACCCACGTCTCTGTACCGTTACCGCGGCGCGTTGCGCAGTCGGCGATTCGAACGCATTCTTGACCTGGGCGCGCAGGAAGCTCAAAACCGATGGCGACGGGGCTGCGATGTTGCGGAGAGGAATCGACTTCATAACTCCCCGTTAGACAGGCCCAGTATACAGCGTCGATCCATGCGGTCGTTATCGCGTTGTGCTCCGGCAAGCTTGAACGGAGGTCTGCGGTCTTGGAAAGGAAAAATGCGCTAGCGTCAGGTCACGTGTGGTACGTCACTCAAAATTTTGATGCTCTCTTGAGGCCGAATGCACCAACATACCTCGTACCTCTAAGCCTTTTTTAAATGGCATGCCTTCCATGTGGAATGCCTTGATCCGCACTCATCATATCACTTCGCGCAAAAAGGTCGCCAAACTGCGTGCCGCAGCTTCAAACTACGATGTCTATGCTCTTCTGCGTTACGGTGGCTGCCCGGGGGTTATGTATTGTCAAGGAAGTGAAAGCGGAGTAAGGAGCTGGGTATCCACAGTCCAGGGATTACGCTACAAGGACTTTCAACTGGTCAAGAAGCCTGCGGCAAAGGCGGTAGAGGAATTGGGAGGGAACGAGAAGGATGTCCATTATGGGAAGCTTGAAGAAGTTGAGAGCGTCAAAGAGTTTGGGGCAAGAATGCAAGAGATGGGCGTATGGGCTTGGTGGCGGAAGGGGATGGGATATGTTCATGATGATTGAAGCTTTGTGAAGCCTGGGAGCGACGACCACTTCGAGGGTTAGTAGCCTGCCTTCTCGACTCCTTGGACGGCCGGCATACCACGCACCCATCCACGGGGGTACAGAAAGCTATTTGGCAGGAGAATGTGTCGCGACTAACATAGCACGATTCGCTCAACAAAGCCTCATCCAGCGCCTCCCACCTCGCTTCCCAACCAACATCTGGAAACAGAAAAAAGAGCAATCAGCGCACACGCATACTCCGCACTTGTCACCCCCCAGCCAACCAACCACATCTCCAAACCGGCAGTGCAGCGATCTCGGAACCTACCGAATCCGCTCCCATCAGCATCCGCGCATATGCCCCACAGCCCCCAATCCGCCGTGGCTATGCAAAGACCTTGACCAGATCCACACGACAATGCGAATCCCGCAACAGCATGAATCAACCTCGCACGCGTTCTCACTGTACAGTACGAGATCAACACCGCTCGGCCGGGCCGGATTCGAACTAGACATGGCGTTTAGGCAGAGGCGGGCGACGGATGAGTCCGTACCGCACCGTACCAGTGAGATACATAATTCTCTGCGAAACGCCAAGTCTTGTGTGGGGGGATCGGAGAAAATACCGCTGATGTCAGAGCAAAAAAAAGTTTCCGAGCTTAGAAAGCAAATGAGAAGAAAATATTATTTTCACCGTTCCACAACTGTGCTTCGGTGACGATCACCCGCTTCCAGATAGACGAATCATTCGCTTCTCTTTGTGCGACAACAGGCCCAACCTCACCGATCACATCTCGATTCGTGACTTCCGACGGCTCTCCGCCCTGTCGTGCGGAAGAAGTCCTGGGAATGCGAATGTCGATCCAAGGCTAACATAACAGCAGGGGACGCCTGACCAACGCAACACACCAAACGAGCAGCCTCACCCGAGCTTATGCGAGGTGCTTGAAGTTTACTGTGGAATTGCAGAAAGACATTCGCAGGCGGGCCATGCAAGCGACGATGTCGGGATAGTGTGAAACGATTCCAACTCACATGCTTTGCCCAAACCAAAACAAGCCGTAATCTTAGATGCCACTGTAAAAATGTCTGATATAGTTGAAATCGCTTTATCGGACTTAAACAATACCCTCCGTCTCCCTGTTTGTTTCGTCCCAAAGCTCGAAAGATTCGCTCACATCTATCTCTCCGCTGCCCTAGTCTGATGCAAAAGAAAATCCGAATGGGGGGTATCCAGCGGAACTACGCTCAACGCTTCTCGGAGCAGATAGAAAAACGCCCCAAAGACTCCTCGCATATGCTAGCCATCAAGCCACAAACTCTCACGTAGAAAAAAGGGGAAAAGAAAATCGGGTATCATCAGCGAGCGTGACGGAAAAAAAAAGTAGGCAAATTAAATATACACTTAAGAAGAGAATCGCTCCATCTCCCTCAACAGCAACTCAACGGCGCGATCCACTCGCAGGCCATCCCCGAGATCCGTCTTGCGTAAGGCTTGCCTCGCCTGCTCGGGCGTGAAGCCCATCTCGACGATTCTGTAGACGGCTCTGTCGGCGGAATTTTCACCGCTGTCGTGGTCATAGACGACACGCTGAAGAGGATGCTGATGAAAGACCGGCTGGCTTTCAATAGAAGGTGCGCTGCCGGATGCGCTGTGTGCCCCGTTCGTTTCCTCGCTCATCTGGCGGAGATGCTGTGCAAAAGCGGGATGTTGGTCGAGCCGAGGCATTTCGGGGATAGATTCCTGGCGTCGGAAAGCGGGGTGCTCGTCGATGGAGGGCATACTTAGGGCCATGCTGCTCCTATCTCGTGTACTGGGGACGGTGGAAGGCGGTGGCGTGGGAAGAAGAGGTTGGGCAACTGTGCGCCTAGGTGGTGATTGGGAGCGTGGTGGAGGAGGCGGAGTGCGGGCCGCTGGCAGTTCGGGAATGGAAATGGTAAGTTCGTGCGCAAGACCCGAGGGCGCTCGCAAGGAAGGAATGTGCGTGACTACAGTGTGAGGAGACGCCGGTGGAAGGCGAGGCCTCGTCAAGTTGCTGATTACGCCCTCCCACTCGCTCATTGGGCGTTCCTGACTCATTCGGATTTCAGGAAGTCGTTCACCGCTATTCTTGCGCTGGCGGAGTTCCGTGATATGACGCTGGATGCGCTGCTTGGAGAGCTGGCGCTGAACTTCCTTGGTGGAGCTCTCGGCGTAGGTGACTGTGATCTTATCTTCGTACAAGCGAGATGCGGCTTCTTTCAGGAAGTTGCGCCGCGTGCCCCCGAAGATCGGGGGCTTCCAGTTGATCCAGCCGTTTTGGGAGGCGATAATGAAGGCGGAGGATTCGGACGTGCGGCAGGGAGCAGCCAGGTCGAGGATGGTGGAGAGACCGAGCGTTAATAGGTAGTAGTACCACTCATCTTCTTCCATTAGCATGTACAAGAACAAAGGAGTGAGATTACCCACCGAGCATGATCTCTTCGCCGTCAATGTCTCCTCCTCGAACGTCCGTGTTCTCATAGACGCCGAACTCCCTAGCCTGAATGGTACGGCCCCCAATTGGCTGCAGTAGGACACCCAGGCAGTTCCAGAGCTCCATCATATCGAACAGCTGCTCAGCGGTCAGACCCCCTTCGTTCCCCTTCGCAAAGCACTCTGGAGCGCTCGCGAGCGTTTCATTAAAGTCGTCGCAGGTAAGGACGCTGTAGGTGCACGAGGACTGGTGGACGAGGGCACCACCGTTCAGCCAGTCCATCTGAGCAACAACATCCTCTTCTCGTCCCTTTCCGCATCCAAAGATCTTGCAGAAAGTCCAAATACGCCAGAGTGCGTCGTCGACACGGGCAGACTCGACCTGGTCCTCGCTCACGAGCGCGATCGAAATCTCCGGCCGGATGAATGATTGACAATTATCCTTGATCAACGACTTGATCGCTGCAATGATATACATGTCCCGCGTGTAGTATTGGATATATGAAGCCGGCGTATATTCTTGTCTCGGACGGTCGTCTTCTTCGTCTCCCTCGTCGTGTCCAGGATAACAAATTTCGCGATGTTCCCAAGCGGGTGGTGACATCTTTCGCAGCGCAGCCTTCATCAGCTCCAGCTCATGGCGCTTGAACACTCGGTAGAAGCCGCGGTTGACGACAGCGGTAGCGAAGAGGTCATCAAGGCTTTCTAGATTCCGCAGGATAGTGAGAATAACGTTCTCGGCGACTTCTGGAGTAATAGTCCGCTTGACGTCCTTTGGGGGAATGGGGATGGGTGAAAGCACAAAATCGTCGGTCGTCATACGCTTGGTCTCGGGTATGATGATGCTCAATCCTTTGCCCTTGTTCAGCGAACGATTCCGTTTGATCTGAGAAGCAATGTGATCGCCAGGTACCCGTGACAGACGGAAACCATTTGGGCCGAACTGTGACTGGCGCTTGCTGGACTTTCTCGGCAATTCTGGTGGAGGGCTATACCGGGCAATATCGTAAGTGATAGAGTCTTTCCTTGGCTCGCCTTGGGGGCTTAGTGGAGAGTCTTTCCGAGTGACGACAGTATCCCATTTGAAGGGATTGTCGTCCGTAAATGAGGTGAGTTGCGCCTCCAGATCATTTTCTGCTTCACTCAAGGTCGGACTCGGGATCCTAGGCGTAAATTGCTTGGATGATGAGCGGTTGATGGCCTGGTTGATTGCACCCATCCCTGGATTCGTTGCGAGACTCCTCCTTCGACTGCAGCGATTTGAGTGTCTGCGGACGGTGGATGGTCGGCGGCGCAAAGCGCTTGAAGCGTTGCGGGGAGGTTGGAGCGAGCAGGTCGGTATAAACTCAGTATCATCTTCAATACGGGGGTGATGCGCGTAATGTCGTGGTGGCGGTGACGGAGTCGCGTAGCGATGTCCGGTTTCATGGCCTGCAATGTCGGACTTCGTAGCCTCGCGTGGGGGCGAACTGAACACCCCGGCCTTCACGGGAGACGTGACTGAAAACTCGACGCCCGCGATATTCACGCGACTGCTCATAGATTTTGACGGACAAGGCGGGCTGCCGGCTTCGGCGCTGGTCAGTGAGGACTGATTGCTGTAAGTTGAGGATGCGTCGTCCCCACGAGAGTCGTCTGACGAATTGCAAGTAGCGTTGCTTGGTTCCGGAGAGCCCATGCCAGACTTGGAAATTTGCTCGTTAATTGAAGGATGGAAGTGCTGCGGAGGCCGGGCCTGCCGTGTGCTGAGTGGTGATACCATCGAGTCGCGCACGTGAGCCCTTTTGGATCCCGACGGCGGCGAAATGTCGCTCATAGTCTCGATATCGGCCGAGGCGGACCTGATGTGATTGCTGCTGGGCTGGCCAAAGAACGGGCTTGTAGGCAGAGGGCGGTCGCGTTGCTCTTTGGGAATGACGACTTGTATCCTGGGCCTCTGACTCCTGGCCGAGCTGGACGATCGGGACTGGGAGCTTTTCCGACTCTGGCAATCCGACGAGCTGGTGTCCTTGTGTTCCCACTGTATCCTTCCGTGCTTGTAAATGCCAATAGTGCCCTTGAGCGACGGTGTGCTGGAGAAGGACTTCATTTCCTTCCCAGCTTTGATGGGGGAGAGTGCGGTTGCACTACTGCTGCGTAATCGGGTAGTGCGTCCGGCGTTGTTTTGTGAATGCGATTGGACTGACATGCCATCAGAGGCGGGTGAAATGCGGCCAACGCTCGAGTGGATTTCCTGATTGGATGGGGGGATGTCTCGCTCTTTTGATAAGAGGGGAGCCGTTGCGCAAGCTGTACTTGCTGGAACGGCGCGTAAAATTGTTCCCGAGCTCTTGGAGGCCTTGCGTTTATGATGAAATGACATGCCCCTCTTACACTTGGTCGACAGCGACGCGTTCAACTTGAGGGCCGCTCCGGAAGTGTGCGAAGGCCGGTGGCCAGGGCTCGACGCGGGCGTTGCGGCCTTGTGTGAGAGCAGCTGCGAAGTGGTCCGACCGATGATGGCGCGGGGTGCAGTCGAGTGATTGTGGAGGAGAGAGCAGGTTCGCGCGAAGGGCGATTCGAAGAAGCCAGACTCGTGTGAAGGCATGGCAGGGAAGCAAGCATGTATACAAATGCACGCTCCAAAATAGCAGCGGCCCTCAGTGGGTGACGCAGCTGAGGCGGACAGGGAATAGGACGAGTGGCGCCAGAGTCCGGACGCTCACGACCAGGGCTGAGATGAGACGGTCGTGGAGAGATGTCGTACTTGCAAACGGACGCGACGGAAAAGACGCATAAACGGAGGATGACAGGAGAAGGCGCACCTTGCTGTGTATATCGGTCGCTCTGGCTCGGGCACAGCCGGGCATGTACAGGCAGCGCTGGCGGACTGAGGGACTGAGCCCCAACGGCATAGCAGTGCGCTATGCTGCACATCTCGCCGGCGCAGGCGTGAGGTGGGTTGGCTGGTTGGGTGGGTTGCGGCGTGCTTGGAGCTTCGGACCCCGCCAGCATGCACCGTGTGGATGCGCAGGTGGATCGGCAGCCGGGGTGGCTATTCCCAGCGGGGGCTGTGAGGCGGTGGTCCCAAATTTAGGAAGCAGCGACGTGGGACCGAGTCTCCCCCACCACGCCTTCCACCACCAGCATTCTCCGCCTGCAGTCAGCTCCTCCGCGACTTGTCGCCAACCAGCGCGCCTCCTTGCCTGCTTCGTTTCATGTTTACTAGATGCGCGTTCTGCGCTTGCATCATCTCTCAGAGCAGCGCCTCGGCCGACGGAGCCTCGTCGCCGTCGTCGTGGCGGTGACGCGTGGGAAGACATCCCCAGCGGCGTCGACACTTCGGCAACATCGCCGCATCTGGCCATGGCAAGCGTACATCTCGCTCATCCGCGAGGCGTGGTTCCACAGTATTCGTAAACACCCTCTCATTGGGCAGAACGGTGCCTGACCATTTCAGCCAGCTTCCGAGCATAAGCATTGTCTATTTTCCAGTCAGACGGGCCCTAGGCATGCAAGGCACCTCGTCTTCTGTAACAGATCCCGACCACTGGTGACTATATCGAGGTGATCCTCCACCATTGTTCGCGCCGCACGAAGAGGACACCTCGTGTTCTCGTGGAGCAAGTCGTCTGCTGAATTACGGCACCTCCCTCCTCCTCAGCAAGCCACGAAGCACAAAAGATATCTTATCTATTTCCACCTGCTACTATTAAGGATAGAGCTAGATTTATTGAGTTCGGTTTTACGTGGGGAGCTACACCATATAGAGAGGTCCACACAGTCACGCAATACATGCTTAACGAGCAACACAGTATAGCCGCCATACCCAGCGCCTGTATACACAATAACAATCCAATAGAGCTAGATTTGCTTTACTTATTATATCAATTTAGAAGTAGCTACGTAAGGCTATGATAAGCTGTTATAGTAGCTACCGGCCGTGTGACCGCGTCGAAAATTACCCCTTCTCATGCACCTTGTACAGCCCCCGTTGCCGTATCCTTTCGCCATATTTCGGAAACTCGAGAATCTTCTCTAACGCGACAGCGTGAGAAGCTCGAATGGAAAGGGCGGGACACTAAGGTGGCGATGTTGTCTTGTCGCGCTTGACGACGCCGGCAAATGTTGGCTCGACTACCTTCCAGCCCGTGACCGATTCGATATCCTGAACCACCAGATCCATCGGCGCCATGTACGACAGTCGTAATTCCTCGTGGCTGCCAAGTGCAAGTCCGGCGATCAACGCCTCGTGTTTGTCTTCCCCTTCAAGGGTTTTTGTAGTGGTCGAGTGCATTATGTCCTCCTCTTCCGGGGCGAAATCCTCCTCTTCCAGGGCGAAATCATTAGGATCTAGCAATACTAGACTCCCAGAATCTCCAGGCTCTATGAATGTTCCATTGCGACCAGTACGCCGATCACCCATCATAACATGGCAGCGAATTGGGGCAGGAATCATATCCGCATCCGTCAGTGGAGCTGTCAACCCGTCTTCATGCTTTGGCACTAGAACCTGGACCACGGACTCTGTGGCAGAGGTGAATCCAGCCGTACCACCTGACGTCCTCCCTTTCTTGAAGACACGATATCCTTGGCCAGGATCAAGGCTGCAATATCCTATCACCTCTTTCCATCCGATAGACGCAAGACCGTGAAATCCGGCGGGAGTAGCTCGTTTGTCAATTGTCGTCAGACACCAGTCCAGAGCCCACGCATCCGTCGGGGTTTTATCACGACTCTTGTGTTGAGCCGTGCGCAAGCCTGAGCTAGCAAATACTTGGCCAACGTACAAATCGAAGCTTTGAACTCGTGCCAGCTCATCTTCCAGCGCTTGAAGCCTCACCGGACTGGCGAGCATTCCCCTATCCATCTCGTGCCTTAGGCATTCGATCCTATTTTTTAGTGCCTTTATGTAGGCATCGCGATCTGAGCCGCTCGGAGATTCAACTTTGATGGGGTCTTCGAAAGTTGTAAACGGGCCTTTACCAGTGAGTTGGTTGGCAAGGACATGGTGGTTTGTAATTCCAAACTTGAGCTCTACGCCAGTGTCCGGATTCTTTAAACGCATACTTCCCCCGAGTGTCCCAGTGCGTTCGCCATTCCCACACGATGCGCCAAGTTCTATCCAGCCATAATTGAAGGCATTTTGTAGTGAGATGGCGTCAGGGCCTAAGACGGCGCGACGTGCGGCTGCGATGAATCGACTGCGATACAGCAACTCAACCTGTATGTTGGATTGAGCTACCTGAGGTAACTGTCTTATCGCGGGCAAAATCTCGTCCCACCAATACTGTTCATCAGCATCGCGCGCGCCGATGACAATTGTTGGTCGCATGTTGCCAGGGACTGTTGGTCGCATGTTGCCAGGGACTCTTGGTCGCACGTTGCCGGACGCTTTGGCATCTTTTCGATACACCATGTCAAGAGTGGTCCATTGGCGGCCATTTATAAGGTTACAAATGACGGGTAGGAGCACCTCATTCCACTGGTAGATGTCGGTTGCAACCGGGAAGCCTCTTAAATTCGCGGAAATGACATCGTCGATAATTTCAATCGCATGGTGTATGTCCGCTTGGTTTAGATATTCTCGAATCTGTCGTACAGCCGTTGGCCACGTGACGTCGCTGTCAGGTTGGTAGGTTGCCCATGTGGTGATAGTGATGTACTTATCGTGAAGCTCAGATTCTGGATGCCAGCGATATGCGACCTTTGTGAACTTGGGTGTAATTCCATTTTGGTCAAGGATTCCTTGGATCCGCTCTAGGTGGGTACGCCGATCTGGAAACTTCGCCTCGACATTATGAAGGGGCCATGTCACAACGGGTAATGCTGGAAGCATGGGGGAACCAACGCGGTACTTGAGTCGACTGTCGATAATGGTGGCCATATTTCTGAATGTCTTTCTGAATGTGTTGCTGGATGTGTTGCTGGATGTGTTGCTGGATATGTTGCTGAGTTAGAAATGATCAGCTATTTATGTTCGAGTCCCTCCCTCCTTTTGTGACTGCACAATTTGTGACTGCACAATTTGTGGCCGCTGTTGGCGGGAACAGAGCGGATCTAAAGGCTCGCCGCACAAGTAAATAGGATTAGATCGTCTATTGTACTCACCCGCGAGGGCCTCCAGGGTAGCTGTTGCGCGTGTTGTTCTATCCAGAGAGTTCCACGCCGTGAGAGCATTCCAAGGTTGTTCACTGTTGAGAGTCACGTTCGATCACGTGACCGCGCTAGCTCTAGTGTATACACAGAGCTCTCAGCTCTTTTCAATCACAATGTTACACTCCACTTTGTTACTTCATGGTAACGTCATCCTTTTCCAAAAGCAACCTAGACTCCATATGAAAACGCTGAACAAAGCGGGCAGGATAATTTCTCCTTAATTGTTCGATCCCGCGCAGTTTGTCTTTGATCAAACGTTTTCTCCTACCTTCTTTTATGCTTGCACAATTGCGTCGCCTGCAGAGCACCAACTCGCCGCGGCACTGCTGAGCGCTTGAATTGTCCTCGTCTCTCGATCAGATGCTTGATCTTAGATCATCGTGAACTCATAGAACAGGACGTTTGCCTACCGCGATTGTGCTCGTAGTCGTTCACGACTACCTTGTACCTCTCATTAGACTAAACATCTAAACGTCCATAATGCTACATGATATCAACCAAGGCTCCGAAGCTTGTCTCTTAGCCAGCTCAGGTTCGGGTTTATACGTCTAGAGAGGGCGTAGCTGCGGCTGTATATTCCATCCTCTGTGCTTTATTTTAAGCCACGGTACGTCCCTCCTCAGCGAGCCACGAGGCGAAAAATGACAGCTTGTCTATTTCTGCTAGCCGCCGTCGAGGGCGGAGCTGGCTTTGCTTCGCTTACTGCACAGATCTGGAAGCAGCCGCGCGAGGCTGTCGTAAGCCACAACACCAAGCGAGCAGTTGTGCAGCTCGGACTCATCTCCGCGATGCTTAATCAATATCAGACATCCCCTGCGTCGAACCAACCATACAATGCGGCCTGGATACAGTCGTCGCATTCTTCGTCATTGTACGCGAGTACTATATTTGCGAAATGCTATACCTACCACGGGCGACGAGACTCGAAACGACGTTCCATACTCGTACGTACTTAGGGGACGCGTACGCTATTTTCAGCATTGCGGAAGACTTTCTCAAGCGAATACTCAAAACAATAGCGGGTCCAAAAGTTCATCTCTGTGGTGCCGATGGTTCTAGCAGAGTCAGAATGTGGAGACTCGTCAGTCTAGGCCACGGTCGTGTCAGGCACGACAATCCGGCAGAGCACAGTAAGAACTTTGATCACTCCACAAGGTAGGAATACTCTCAGCATCATTGCAGTCTGGCTCTGCGAATCATTCGACGTTCTTCAAGTCATGCTTAACATGTCCGTTTCAATCTCATACAAAGCCAATTTTGAGCATCACTCCGAGATACATGCTTGATGGCACAGCATGCAAGCCTGTCGTTCCACTCCAAGTGGCCTTCTATCATCCATTGCTTCGCAACACGAAAGGACACCTTTTCGTCCAACCCGAGTACGCCCCTGCGGCGCGCTCAACGCCGCGTCCTACACGCCGCACACAAGGAGCCACAGTCTGAGGCACGCATGGGGCGTTGAACCAGGGGAAATTACTATTCGCCGCAGCAGCCAAATCCGCGATGGTATCTCAATTAGATTATAGCAATATTCCCTCATTCAACGTTTCCACAACTCCACGAGACATCTGAGACAGCACATCTGTCCCGGAACCACATCCCTCAGCACCAATCTCCCGCATTGCGGTGGTCTCATATTCGCTTGGGGCCACAAGCCATTCCGTTCCTGTTCCAGTCTTCATACCACAACGCCTGAGCTTCGAGGCCCCTTCTTTCATTCCGCTCAATTTCTCGCACTACCATAGCCAGATCGCTGGCTTCCCGAGCCCTGTTTCACAGCGCACGGTGGAACGACTCGATCGCTCTTGCAAATTCAGGTCGTCTACATGGTGGCTGGCGGCCTCGTCGGAGTCCGACAGAGATGCTCCGTCGATCACGAGCTAGGATATCGCCCGGCCCCCATCAGGACTCCCGTATACTTAACGCAGTGATTCGATGGGATACTGGATTCAAGGCGGGCAGTTCGCCTACTGTGGTGGACGCTCTGATTCGACGGGGATGCCATCGCGATGTACAGCACAATAGCACCCACGCTGTTGGAATCGTCGTCTACTTCGAACAATGCCTTTGTACGTCCAAGTCTGTCTATACTCCCAACCGGCGCCCGACCCTTGCTTCCCCGTATAACCGGTTCGCAATCTTGCTGCTGTAGTGGTAGTCTCACAGCACAATGCCACAATGCCACAATACCACCACCTATCTCCCTACTTATCCATCCCGCCCACTACCGCAATGTCTCAGCCACAAGCTCTGCATCACCATGGCAACGGGAATCGGACTTTTGGTGATGTCTAGAAGCCTGGCCTGGCCTGGCCTTCCGCTCCGCAGTGAGACGCAAAAAGTCCGAAGCGTCTGGGCAAAAGACTGGTGACAAAATCTCCTTTGAGCATCATCCATGTGAGGTGCGAGCGTTGTGAAGATGAGCTAGTCATGCTCTGGTCTTTGTGGATTAGGAAGCTCTATATGCATTAACCGTGGCCGGCGATCTGATGGTCGCGCGTGCCAGACCCGTGGACAGTTGACACGCACGTGTGGGTGATTGTAAGGACGAAAGAGTATTTGGGTGCGGTTGCCTCTAGCCATATGGCTCGGCTCGACGCTGAACTACCTCTTTTACCGTCTTCTAATCGTCTCCAGCTCACACGAGGGTTTTCATCCATCCTCCCCATCTGTCACTTTGTAGACATCATACAGGGTCAAAGTAGTTTCATTCCATACACGCAATCATTACAAGCGGCCTGTGCCTCCACGCAAGCGAGAGCGTCTACAAAAAAAGGCTAGAACGCAACCGCCGCTAATAAGCCAAGCGCACCATCCTCTGCCATTTCTGAGAGAGCTCCACAGGTATCACATGTCCACTGAAATCCATCCTCTAGCTCATCAACAACCTACACACACTCCCAACATTCAGGCCCCTTAGATCAGCATAATGCTGCCCCACGCCCAAAAACACGACCGGAATGCCCGTAGCATGCACCATACTAACCAACGTGCCCACCATATCGCCCACGGTATCGCACTTGCTGATCACGAAGCCATCTAGACCTCTCCCAGGTCCAAAGCTCGCGTTGAAGTTGCGCGCTTGGGCAACGGCATCCGAGCCTACGAGCGCCTCACCGACCATCAAGATCTTGTCTGGTTTGGCGAGCTTTCCGAATTTCTCGAGAGAAGACATAAGACGCTGGTCGTTGTGCCTTCGGCCTGCTGTGTCAATGAGAACGACATTGAAATCGTTCTTCGCTGCGTAAGTCACGGCGTCGGCAGCGATATTCGCGGCATCTTTGCCGTATCCTTTCTCGAAGATATCGACCTCGCCTCCCTCGCGCTTACTTAGCTCCTTGAGATTCCGCACGTGAACGCCCAGCTGCTCAACAGCGCCGGAGCGGAATGTGTCTGCAGCAGCGATGAGCACACGGTGGTGGTTCTGCAAGAGGAAGAAGGCGATTTTTGACAGATTTGTAGACTTTCCGACACCGTTCACCCCGACGATAGAGAGGACATATGGGCGACCGGAAGCGTTTGTGGTCTGGATTTCGCGGAGGAGATCCAGAGATGAGGTAGGTGTGAGAATCTTGGTGAGGGCCTTTTCCATGGAAGTGCGGATGGTAGATTCGACCGCTAGCAGAAGTGTCAGTCAAGTACTGTTCGGGATAGAAGGGCTCACTCACTGGTAAACGAGCTCGTCTTCAGGCCCACGAGATCTCGTTCCACGCTCTCGCACAACCGCACTGCAGCCTCTCGAGCGACATTCTTCTTCAGTAGGTGCTCCTCCATGCCCTTTAAGGGCTTTGCGAGGTCTTCCTGCGTCAGTGTCTTCCCGCCAACCACGTTTCTGAAGAGTCCCCCTATCGCACCCAAGCTAGATCCGACAATTCCGCCCGATGATGTTGAGCCTCCCTTCTTTGCGTTCTGTTCTGATATTATGGCATCCATCTCCTCATCTAAATCCTTCAGCACAAACTGGTTTCCAGACTTGCGGCCCCACGTCTCGGGCTTGATCTCCTCGAGAACTTCGTTCTCTGAAGCGTCGTCTTTTATGTCTGTTCGTGAATAGTCTAGCACCATGGACGGATCCTCCTCTTCAGCACCGAATTCTCCCCACACTCTGTTTCTCTTGGCCGAGCTCTTGCCTTTCCGCTTTGCGGTAGCCTCGTCGCCTGACGATACCGGGGCCGAGTTCACAGCCGCCGCCTTCTTCCTGTCTCTTCTTGAGAGCTTCCCTCCGGGTCTCGACTTCCCAGTCACTAAGTGGTTATTCTGCGCAGGTGTGGTCGGTCTCGACGTATCAGGGGTAGGAACTGGAGTCGAATCCACCGACGTATCGTAGAGCGGCAGTTGGGGTTTGTGTAGAACAGGCGGCTGCGGCGCGTTCTCTTCCGCACTGTCATTATCGGTGCTCGGAGGGGTGAGCTTCACATTCGGCGCGGTAGTTGACGAGGAAGCGGCATCGCTCTGGCCCTCCAGCTCTTGGATCTGCCGCTCGAAATATGGCCCGAATTTGTCGCAGTTTACCACGCTGGTATGCTCCTTCTTCAACTGCTCGCCATAGAGACCGACAAAGAGTGCGCGCACGTTATCGAGGAGCCTGTCTATCCAGGTCAAGTGCACGAGCGATTGGTACACGGCCTACACCATGTCAGTCCACCGTCTCGACGCTGCGGAGCCTGAATAGCTCCAATGTAGCCACGCACCACAAATATAAGCCCCAGATCCTTTGCAGCCGTCCACTTTAGCGTATAACCCTCCTTCCTGTATGTCGGTTTCGAGCCCGCATCCTCAGACTGTGGCTGTATGCGCTCCTCGATGAAGACGTCGCGGATGAGGCTGTTAATGATATTCGCGCCGACGGGAACATAGGTGCGCGACCACAGCACGACACCGGACGTGGTCAGGATCTCGAAGGTATCCAACATAGTGCCGCCGAGCGAGGGGTGCGAAGGGAATCGTGCTTGAGGGGTGAGCGCAAGAGAGGGACCGGCCTATGACGAACGAGCGTCGGCGGGCGGGCTTGGCGAAGCCAGATCTGCGCGGCAGCTCACCGAACAAATGTCGCTGCCTTTGACCGTCGCCGCTGCTGCTGACCTGGCCTCTCAATTCACCATACCGCCTCTTCTTTCGCTTCTCAAATACATCCCGCCGCATAACTATTACCACTCTTTCCGCTTGACGACACACTATGCAGCGCCCAGCGTACAACCCGCCGCCAGCGCACTCTCCTCCGCTCCACCATCCCGTTCCCCAGCACGTGTCTACGGTCCCGCAATTACGGTCGCCTCCTCCACCGCAGCCGCCTTCGCAGCCTCAGAGCGGATATGGATATGGACAGCAGGGAGCACCAGGGCAGCCGGGGGTGGGGGGATACAACACGCACCCGGCGTTTGGAGGCTTCATAAACGACCCGACAGCGCAGCTGGGATTCCAGATGGGCAAGAGTGCGATGCATGCCGGACAGGAGTATATGGAGCAGAATGTACGTCCGCTATTCTTACGGCGGGAGTCTCGACACGCTCCTGGGCATTTCATTAGGACCGCTTCCAGCACAGAAGACTAACCTCCCCAGTTCGGCCGCTTCATCAGCGTGTCCGCCCTAAAACACTACTTCAACGTCTCCAACTCCTACGTCGCCTCAAAACTCTACATCGTCCTCTTCCCCTGGTGGCACCGCCCCTGGTCGCGCCAGCAGCGCATGTCCAACAACGCCCAGGACGTCTACTACCTGCCCCCGCGCGAGGACATCAACTCGCCCGACATGTACATCCCCATGATGGCGCTCGTGACGTACATCGTGCTCTCCACGCTACTGGCCGGCCTCCGCGGCGCCTTCCATCCGGAGTTGCTGGGCTACACGGCAACGTTGGCGATCAGCGTCATGCTCCTGGAGATCCTGACGATCAAGCTAGGCACCTTCCTCCTCAGCATATCCTCGTCCTCGCAGCTCCTCGACCTCGTCGCGTACAGCGGGTACAAATTCGTCGGCGTCATTGTCTCGCTGCTCCTGTCCTCGTTGTTTAGCCACCTCAACTTTGGCGGCGCGTGGATAAGCTGGATGGTCTTCCTATACTGCTTCGGCGCCAATGCGTTCTTCCTCCTGAGGAGCTTGCGATACGTGCTACTTCCCGACCAGAGTGGGCAGGGTGTTGGTGCGGGGGCCGCGGGATACACGGTGGCGCGGAGCCAGAGGAACAGGAGGACGCAGTTTTTGTTCGTATACAGCTACGTGGTGCAGTTCGGGTTCATGCTCTGGCTGAGCATGGTTTGAGGCTTCTGGGCTAAGGCTGGCATTAACTTACGAAATGACTTTGGTAGAACGGCATCACTGAGGACAGAAAGACGGGTCGCGGAATGGATTGGTCGACCTCAAGGGGCAGGAACGACGAAGTAGAAAGGGCTTGTATTTGTATCATGCATACTCGGGAATGGCGCCTGTAAAACAGCGCAGCATAGCGTTCAGTATCCTCAGGGCTCCTCCGCTGGGCAACGAGGACATCACATCTAGATCCAGGAACCGCAGAATAATCAGCTGAAGTATCACGTCAAAGCCTCCATGAACTATCTACGCTACTTACGCACTTCACCCAATAAACGTACATCCTTACACAGCCATACTCCTCTTCCCGATTCCATTGCCTTGCCGGACAATATGATGCACCTGACCCAAACATGGAATACTGCAAAACTTGGATTCCATAGCGCAGTACCAACCCCCAAGCTCTGACGAGCCACTCGGAACGCCAAAAAAGAAAAAAACCACATATGGAATGATAGATATGACTAGTAGATAGAATGAGCAAGAAAAGAGGTTTTCCTAAACTCGTACATGCGGGTAGGGGTGGTGGAGGAGAAGAGGGATATGCACAGGGAGGTGTAAAGGATGCTTAGGAAGTAAGCGTGTAGGAGGCATCTATGTGCCCTTTTTTCTTTCTTCTTTGAGTCCGCCTTTTATTGGCTGTCGACTTCTTCAGTGTTTGCAGGCGATGGCGCTACAGGACACCTTCCCACATGCCAGGACCTTCTCGTCGGAATGTCTGAGCAGCTTCGCTTCCACAGCAGGTGCGCTTCTTGCCATAGTCCTTCTGGTACGGAACTCTGCATTCCGGCACCGTGCGCTTTGGGGACTGCAGCCCCTTAGGCCCGGTGCACGACGAAGGCGTCCGGTCACCAGAGAGGACGAACGACTGCGCGATCGAACGATCAGGAAGGACAGTCTTCTCTCCGCGAAGGAAGGACGTAGAGCGGGAGCTGTGAAGCAGGTGACGAACGTTCTGCTGGAGGTCGACGGAAGATCGGCCGCGCTTGCGACTCGCCTTGGAGGCGGGTACAGCAATGGCAACCGGACTGTCGAACTTTACTGGCGTAGCTTCAGAATCATCAATGTGGAAGCTCTCCAGGTCTGGCGAGGACATCGGCTCGCTGGGAGCGTATTCGTACTGCTCCTTGCATTTTGACAGCGCCGGATAGGGCAGCCTCGCGCTGCGGCACGTCGCCAATCGGGCCAATTTGGCCTGATTCGGCGCCCAGCCAGCAGATGAGACTGATGAGATTGATGAGGCGCGTGAAGAGCGAGAGTTGTCCGTAACCATAGACTCTGGCGATGATGCCGAAGACGTGGTGGACAGAGCCAGAGACGGACGTCGGCTGGGGAAGTGGTAGGCTTCCAACCCATTCCGGACGCTGGGGTTGAACTGATCCACACAGCTGCGCGCCAACGAGGAGCTTTGTGCCTGTGCCATGGCAGAGCACATGGACGGCCGCCTTGGTCCAAAGGCCAGGACACTCGCTGCAGGAGTGTTCGAGACCGTGGACTGGGGCGTCAAAGAAGGCGTAGGCAAAGGACCCAAGCGAACAAGAGATGGAGTGGGTGGGAGGAGATCCGGCTTCGGTTCGAGGAAGCGAGGCACCCTGTAATGGCTGGGAGTCGGCGTGCTGTCCTGCGAACCGAAAGTCTCCGCGATTGGGGAGCGGATAGGGTATGAGCTAACGTGGGACTGTAGTGTGGGCCTGACAGAGGTAATTGGTGTTTTTGGCGCAATGTCGACGATATCCAATTCCGGCGTCAACCTCGGGATAATGCATCTCCAAGTGTTTGGAAGGCAACCCCCAGGAGACGGTGGAGGGTTTGTGGGCGTGTGCTTGAGGACAATCTCCTGCCACCTCTCCCAGATAGGATCCGTGATGTGGAGCTTCCAGTTAACAGCCGCGAGGAAAGCCATTTCGTTGGTGTTGATCTCGCAGACCTTGAGCCCGGAGATCTTGCTCCACGCGCGAGCTGAATAGTTGCGGTCTTGCAAATATTTTGACGCGAGGATGAGAGCGGCGAGGAACATGCGCCGCCCGCACTGCAGAGCTCGTAGTGAGGCCACATCCTCGGGCTGCTCCATAGTGAAGTCATGCTTTGGCACATGAGCCTTGATCAGGATTAGGTAGTACAAGGCAACTTGAAGCGTCGAGTAGCTTGTACGCGATCGCCGCAGCGTCTCCTGGATAAAGGTGCGCAGTGGCAAGACTCCACGGCCAGAAGCAGTTTCGCAACGACTTGACGGATCTGACGTTGGCCAAATGACTTCAACCATCTGCGTAGCAGAATCTTGAAAGAGATCAATCAGTAAACGGAAATAGAAGCAGGCAATTGTCTATACTAACCAACAAGGCAATCAACGAAATTGACTTTCCGGTCGCATTGCCGGACCAGCTGAGGAGGTGCGCGTTGGCTGAGCGTGGAAGAAGATCGGCGAGGATGCTGTCGTTGCTCCACTGGGGCAGCGACATCGGTCCGGAGAGGAGGCAGTACCCGCTCCGCGGCGGTCTCGCGGCATGCCGAGGGTTGGTACTGCGGAAAGGTGCTGACTCGACTAATCGGCGCAAAGGTAGAATAGGCGATGGGATCGACGGCAGCTGCGGGCGGAGCTTGCCGTGTCCTTGAGGTCCATTCTTCAGGCTCCCATCCGCTGGCAGCCGACTGTGCAGAAGCGGATGTCGAGTTGGATGTCTGAGAGGCGGCGTCTGAAAAGACTGAAGAGGTGGAAGAGGAGGCTGATGAAGAAAGAGATGGGGCGTATGGATGACTTCTTGAAGAAGCAGTGCCAAGGAAGGAGGGAGGGTATGTGTCAAGGCTCATGATGAGTGGGAGGGTTACGCGAAGCAACGCCCCTAAAGAAACAGTAGGTATTAAGGAGTGAGTGGAGAGGGGGTGCACCTTGGCGTTACGTCTCGAAGTGCTAACCTCGCGGTAGACCTTGAGTCGTTAAGGCAAAGTGCGGTCGGGTGGTCGTGGTGTGACAGAACGGAACCGGGTAGACAAACCGTACGGAAGTAACCCTACGTCTTTGTCGTATGATTTTCGGGGATCCCAAATTCAAATCTCCTTGGTTTGCTGCGTCTTCGGCACTGGATGCCTTCTTCGATCGAGCTATCTGATGCTACGCAGGATTGTGTGGTGACTCGTGATCTCTGCAAATGCCGAAGCCGAAGACGGAAGGGAGCTGCTGGAAACGATTTGGGGGCGATCAAAGAACTATAGGGGCGATTGGCGGGTTCGCGGGGATATGCGCTATTCGAACAGCTTTGGGGTGGTCGAACTGGCCTCCGAGCGATATCAGAGAGACTCCAACCACCGTCAGCCGCAAATATCACCAAAACAAGACCTTCAGTGAGACCTGTCCGCAGTGCACTCCGAAAGATCGGCTCCTTTGATAGCTGGCGCTACCGCAAAAGCTCGAGGGTCCGAAGGGATGCGGCGATCTAGCAAGCGAAGCCTCCGTTGATGAAGGCCTTGTTTCCGGAAGCAGCAATGGCGATATATGGGCGACGAGTGGCTGGAGTAGCGGAGACGGCGGTGTACATGGCGACTATTTCTTTCGATGTAGGAAGTGTTCTAGTTTGGCGACGGCCTCAACGTGGCGTCACCAGCCGGAAGCAGCTTCTGGTATCGTCGGAGATAGGGTCCGTGGGGTTTTGAGGATTATTGGAGAGTTATTATCGGTGGTTGGGACATAGAAAGGTTGCTGGAGGTTCGGGGGGGTAGCGTCGTTAGTCGCGGTGGAGTGGCGGTCGGACTCGGTGAGGGAAACGAGGCTGCAGGGCCAGCGAATCCGGAGATGGCGGTGGGAGGGGGTTGTCGACGAAAATGCAGGTACGGCCAGAGGTTATAGAGGGCCGAGCGATGAATGACTGACTGGTTTGATGGATGAGTCTTGGGCAAGGCTCCAGCGAGCTGTGGCAACACGGCGGGCGCGTTTGCGAGACAAAGCTGCGGGCTGGAGACAAAGGCGGCAACAAACGGGAGGAGCGGAGAGCAGGGGGCGACGGTGACTCCTGAGAACAGAGCGACGAGGCAGCTGCTGCGAACTCAGATGAGGCCCCAGGGCTCGCGCGGCGGTATTGAGGGGACCATGATTGCAGACTTGGGATGAGAGCAGCAGCGTCAGGGCTGGGGCGCGGTCGACTATAATGGCCACAGCGCTGGGCAGGCCGGAGCCCTCAGCGGTGGTCCGTGCCTCGATGAGTCGAACAGCTTGCCACACCCGTTTTTCGCCCACACGGCGGCGATGCTGGCGCCTGCGACGCTTGCTATTTGCTGTCGGGCCGCCATTGCACGCTTGCAGCCGATCGCATCGCCCTTTGCAGCGCTGGTGGAAGCCGTCGCGGGCGTGCGCCTTCGCAGAGAGCCTGCCGAGCATGCGACGGGGTGCGCTGCATCGCTGCATCGCTGCATCGCTGGGTAGGCTGCAAGCTCGCAGGCCCGCCCGCCCAGACACTGCCTCTCCGTCCGGGGCTCAGCGCCATTCCAGAGGGCCTGAATTACGGAAGCAGGCAGGCCCACCAAGGCGCTTCGTGCCCGCTGGAGCTGGCCACAGAACGCGCCCCTTCAACGCGCACGCTCTCATCTCCTTTCCCACAGTTTGCGTGTCATCGCCCGCCGGCGGACTGCCTCCTCTCAGCCCTCCCCGCTCCTTGATTGCGCATGCTGCGAGGAGTCCCCGCTGATGCCAGCTCCGCCAATTACCACGATGCTGTTAGCTCCATCGTGCCGCGGGCTGCCTGCCGCGTATTGGCTGTCTCCTTTCGTGGCTCCGAGACGGCCGTCCGAAAGCGGGCCATTTTGCTCCCTGAGCCGTGTCAAGCGGCCCTCTTGCAGTCATTTTGCGGACATGGCTGCCTCGATCTTCAGCCTGGCCATTGGCCGACGCGACCGCTATCTCAGCTCGGACCGCCTCTGTATTGCGGCATTCATCTATCTGGATGTCCGGCTTTCATCATCATCAGCCCAGATTCGCATCGTTCCACGGTGGACTGAATATGACGCTGCGAACGGCAGCACGTAAAAAACTCGGTCGGTCACGGCGGCGGCCGTAGCCGTGGGGCCCAGCAGTGTTGGGGCAGAGCCGTGTTGGGTGGGCAGAGCATCGTGGCTCGATGATGACACGCAGCGTGGGCTCCTGCACCCCCGAATGCGTCGCATCGAGTGAGAAAGCCCGCGAGTTGCGACTCTCGCTCTCCCGAGAATTACCCCCAGGTCAGCGGACGCTCCTGCTCCCCACGCGCAGAGATTTCTGTGTGCTTCCAGAAAGCCACTGCGCTCGCCACGACATCGTAAATCGCCTTGCCGTGCTTCGCAGTCCGATGGTCCGACTGGTTCCGGCAAGGAAAATCGCGGGCTTGGGCTGAGTCAACAGCACCACCCCCGAAGACGGCACTTACTCAAGGCATCTGCGGCCAAGCATCGTGTAGGCAGACGACCCTCGGAGCACTCAACACAACAGCGCCTCAACCAACAAAATCCTGTCCCGTCATCGTGACCAGCCAGAGGCTACCATCGGCACCCAAGTCTGCTGACACCGTGACCATCCCGTGCCGCTTCCGCAACGCGGTTGGAGCCTGTTGCTTTCAAGGGGGTGAGACCGAGGCTAAAGATGAAGGCTGAAGAGTCATCGTTGCCTATTCCTAAATAAATAATATGTCAACCGGTGATTGGAGGAACACCAGCAGCGTGGCACATCTATTGGAGAGGCAGAAGCTGTTCGAGATTGCCTCGGGCATATGAGACGACAGTAGGTATTGAAGCCATATACACAACTATCGTCTAGGAGAGCCAGAAAGCCCATCTAAAGGAGCAATGTAGCATCTTTCCGCGAGAAAGCGAGAAAGGGGTGGAATGCGCTGCCGTGTCTCACTCGCACCTGTACGTGTGAGTCAGAGCTTCATAGCTCCATAGCTCCATAATGCCGTACTCCACCTTGTCGTTAACCTCCCGCTCTTTTGAATTTCCCGCCCTCGTCAAGCTCCCGAGGAGTCTATCACTGAGGCGCCGTCGAGATGAAGGGGCACTGGCCGACGCCCTCCTGCTCTCCGGACTTGAGGATCTCTTTCGCAGACGCGCTTAGAGCAATATTTGGATGAGAGATCTTGCTCTGTTCGCCGCTCTCAAGAGGATGGCCTGAAACCTTCGCCGGAGGAAATGGAGCTGCTGCCTCCTGGGGATTCGGGCCTGCGAAGGGACATCCAGTACCCGCAACCAGCTTGTTTGGCCCAGACTCCTGGGTAGGAGTTTGCACAGGCTTGACCGAGAGATCAGTCATCTTGCCATTCAACGTCTCCAAGGGCCGTGGCCTCTGGTCGATCTCGACTTTCTGCTCGCTGTCTATGGCTTCGCCGGGCGAAAGACTCTTGTCGACGGCTTCTTTCTTGACGACACCGTTCGGAGCGATCTGGCGGAACATGTCCATGGGATCGAACCAGGTTCGGACAGACTGGAGTTGGATTTTGTCGTTGACTGTGGCAACGGTAACTCCTTGAATGTCGATGGGACCGCCATGGGCTTTAGCTGTGACTTTCTCGCCCTTGCTGTTACGACAGTTGGTAAGTGGGGCGGTGCACGCATGTTGAACGGTCACTTACTTGTTGAACCCTACATAGTCGTTCTTCATGGCTCCCCAGTGTCGCCACCTAAATGATACGGTTGGTGGGCCACTGTAGACCTCCAGTACCTCCCACGCGAACGTCGGCATCATCCTCTTGAACGTTTTGTGACTCGACGCAAAGTCGGAGTACTCGGGGCTGTAGAACTCGTTGGGAGCGATGATGGCATTGTATGTGCCCATCTTGAGCATGTGCTCCGCACCCTGCGGCTCGGACCCATTGATCGCAAAAGAGTAATTCTCGTGGTCGATTGTGCGCCAGTCGGACAGTGTGGGCTTGAAGGAGGCTTCGACCTCCCAGTTCTTGACCAGATTCTGAACGAGCTCTGGAAGAGATCCGGCCTCATGTGACATAGTTTTGGCTGGTGCTCAGGTCAGTCGCCAGAGAAATTCAGCGGTTCTCGGTGTCGCAAGTACGAGGGCGCTAAATCGGTCCAGAGACACAGAAAGCACAGGGGCGAACCGGAAGTCGGCTTACTCTCCGCAAACACCTTCCTGGTCTTGGAGTAGTCGGGCGCCCTGCCATATCGCCATTTCGCCTGCGCATCCTTGAGGACGGCATCCGGGTCGGTCAAGTAGTCCGGGAGCGTCGGTGCCGGCTCAGTCGGTGGTGCTTGGGTATCGGCGGCCGCCATTGTAAAAGTGGTCTCGAAATGTGGTGAGGTGGGGTGAAGTGAGAAGAGCAGAACGAAGGAAGGACCGGCGTCGAGGTTTGTTTATGTAGTCCACCCGATACGGAAAGTGCTAGGGTGAGATAAGTAAGAGAGGGACCTGCGGTTACACGAAGTGAAGGAAGGTAAAAACCATGGCCGAATGTAAGCAAGCGGAAGAGACGGAGTCCTACGAACTTCTCGACAGTCCAAGTCGTCGGCATTATATAACAGGTCTGCGGTGAAACGGGGGCCACAGACAGCCATCTCAGACGCTCGACCGATGCTAAACTTGCGTTGAGCTTCAGACGGATCGAGCCGTATGTGCGGATCCGAGACCCTGAGAAGAGGCCAGATCCACGCACGTAAGGCCAAGTGTGGCCACGTCGTACGGCGCTTGGGGTGCACATAACCCGACGCAACCGCCTATACGCGCCGGATCGCTACAACTTGTGAGTTCTCCATCTCCATAGCCAACTATTGATGAGCCTGGGCACGTCAAATTGGCGAAACAGAGCCTGCGATATCATTTTGACCTGCTTCCAACTCCTGGACTAGTTGCCCCACAGGCAATGGCAACGTGCAATACGACTTGGCGGCACAAGTGTGCAGAAGGAGATAGCCAGAATCGTGGAAGCGGGCAGACCGGGTGGAAGACTGTTCCGCGGCAGCACCAACGCTAGTCGACCGTGTTAAGGGTGGACGAGATCTTTGGTTGAGCATCCCGCTGAAACATGGGGTCCCTTGAACATGTATGCCAAGGCCCAGAGGCGTCAGGGAATAGCAAGTCGAACTTTACAATATCGCTTGTTTCGGGGTGTAAAGGTGCATTGCTGGTGGAAGCTCCGGGTTGCTCTCCGTCTCCACCTACTAGGTACCCGGATGGGCTTTCCGTTGTTTGTCACGAACGGGTACAGTGCGATAGATGAAGGTGTGGCAACGTGATCCTAATCGTCGTAACAGATGGGGCAGGAGACTCCACTTGAGAGGGTCGGCCATCGCAACTAGCCCAAGGAAGAAAGCGTATAAACTTTACAATCCCGTTCCTGGTCTCATTCTTGTCTTGCACCCCTCGGTGCGCTGTTGTTCGCTGCAAGTTGTCAGCTGCAGGGTAGAGGGCGACAATTCCGATATGCCAATCTACCACGTAGATCCAGCTCTTAATCTCTGCATTCACCTCAAGCCCTCGGAAGCCTTCAACGCACTGGCGATATCTCGTCGAGCATGGAGTAGAGCACCTTGACTCCTCCGCACGGTATAGCGAATGTGGAGTGTTCTCGTCCCGAACTGCTCGATGCTCATAAATTCATGTCGGTTTGTTCGATTGAACTCTATCGTGCTTCGAATACTATCCCGCCTGCACCAGTGCCGCACTTGCCTCAAGTTTCTCGGCCAGGGACAGGACAGCAAGCTATTGATAACTCTTGCATGCATGCCGATCGCTCTAAGGCTCAGACGCTACTGTCGAACCGTCGCCTCGACCCGCCTCGCATTCGCACCATTCGCAGGGCCGACAGCTCCATTCAGGCACTAAGTCCACAAGCTTTCGCAGCAAATACCTGAGATACTCTTGCGAGTTAGTGGATAGGCTGGTGAACTGACCGAGAGAGCATGCAGAGGTGTGTTCAATAGAGTGAGTAGATTGGCTGATTCACAATGTTGACGGTCTTCACATGGAGGACGACGATGGGCACCTGGGCAAAGACCACTACATGTGACTGCCAAGTTCAAATGACGTAATGTTTGTCAATCCCAGCCTTGATCCCAAACGCACATCACCGACCTTCTTTCGACATCGTCTTCTGGCTGCGTAGCGCAACCAGCGTAACTGCTCTTACACGTCACAATGGGTCGCCGGCAGCGATTGATCAGTACTTCGATTCTACGAGCGATATTCAAGCCAAATCCCGCGAAGGACTCCGACAAACGACCCTCGCTCCTCGCGCGTATATTCGCCTTCTTCCAAGTGTTCAATCTCACTCTTTCGCGATATCGTGCCGCACTTTTCAAGAAGCTAAGAAACGAGATATGGCAAATCGAGGAAGAGGAATACACTGAGTCATTCCGTTCGCCTAGCAAGGGGAAACGGACGGATCTCGTCGCTGTGGGAGATCTAGGATATTCAGGGTCGGTAGGTTTGCTGCGGTGTGTCTTCTATCGCTCGAGCTGAGGTCCTTGCAGACATTTTTTACGACACCAAATTCGAAGTTCCTTATCAAGTCTCTGCCGCGGCATTTCGAGCAGTCATTCTTCCGTACCCGACTCCTCTATCCCTACGTTGAGCACATGGAGCTCAACCCCACGTCCCTCCTAGTGCGCATAACAGATCTCTTATACTCTCCCACACCGACTATTGGCGCTGCGCTCGGATCCGCCCCAGGACATCACATCATTATGGAGAATATTTTGTATGGCAAGTCCAGCTGTGCGAAAGATGATCAAAAGAAGTGGGAAACGTATGATCTCAAGCCTAACGACTACTTCTACCCCGAGCGCGACATCGCCGGCGGCAGGCTAGCACCGGAAAGCGTGAAGGAACGCCTGATAGACGAGTTCCCCGACAAAGTTCGCGTGACAATCGACCAGAAGGAGGAACTCGTCGCCCAGATATCAAGGGACACTAAGATTCTCCAAGACTCGAATGCGGTGGACTACAGTCTCTTCCTCGTCCGATATCCTGCATCGATGGCTTCGGCAGAGAACAGTAAAATCCCCGTTCCGCCCGGGAGAGGATCGTCATGGCGCACCGGCCTTGTATCCCGCGACAACAAATGGATCTACCGTGCCGTTCTCCTTGACTTTTTCTGGGCTAAAGATGCGCTCCAGGCGCAGGCGTTGACTGGCTTGGTCAACTCCTTCAATTTTTTGAAATTCGGCAAGGACCACGGCCCAATGAGCATTACCACGACGACCGACGAGTACAGATCGAGATTCTTGAGCATGGTTGAGACCATTGTGGAGGTTCCAGATAGTACGGGGCGACCAGCCGGAGAAGTGCGGAGTCCGCCGCCTGAAAGCGCTGGGCAGGCATGAGCTCAGCATTGGGCGTTCAACTGTTTCCATTTGGGTGCTAATTGGGCGAAGGAGTTTGGGATTCTGTAAGCACACATCGATACCCAGGCGGCTAAAGATTGCTTTTCATGGTTTTACGCTTCTGTTCTTAAGTGGCAACTCATCCATCTCTCTGGCTTCCTCGATTCTGCGCGCAGCCCTTCATGTTTGAAACCGAGTGGATCAGCACGCTAGACACGTAGGCAGTCGCAACCCCCAACAATCAGCAGCACATGATCCAGCTAGTGGACAGGATGGCACCTAGATGACAAGTCCATTGAGATTGTCTAGGGCAAGAAGAGTCGATGCTACCGTTGGGCGGGGGTTTCAGCAATATCGATGTGGTGGTATCTCGTTCGGAGCCTCCTGTTCACGGTTGCGGCAACAAACCATGGCGTGGCACAATTATGCAAAGTCGGGTGCGCGTGTAAGCCGCCAAGTGAACGTTGGACTACATGCAATTTGGAGAGGGTTGACCTTGGACATGGCCGAGCTTGATGGGGCTGGGAAAGGCGACTTGCTGACGACATGAAGACGTTTCATGAACCTTGGATTGCTGATGCATTCAGCACAAGAGTGGGCTATTGTGTTATGTTCGACATGGTTGATATTGGAAGGGTCGTTCTCTGATGGCGGTGAAGCTGTGCCTTGAAACATTTCGTCATCGGGCATTAATCCGTGGTCCGTGGTGGCTTGGGCGAAGCTCACGAGCTAAGTCTGCTGTGGGGAAGACACGATGGGGACACGAGCACAGGGCTCTGGCTGCTAAAAGAGCCCGGTTTCTGCAGCCATCAGCAGGGTCCGCGATGGTGATTCGAAAGCCGGCAGTAAAGCGTTTTTTACGGGTCCCACAAGTACCCGACTGGTCGTTGCACGCTGGGCTGCGTCAGAAGCTTGGAGGATGCAAGTGTCCACGAGATCAACAAACCCCTGGGGTGTCTGGAGTGTTCCATCGCAGTCGCGTCTAAGAGGGAGCAGAGCGAAAACTCTGACGGCAATTACTGTGGGAGATGTGTATGAGCGACCCCGCGGAGAGAAGTGCTTTTGTGCCGCAGACGACGTGTCGTTGGCCGGTTGACGATCTTGGTGGCATTTTCCGGAGGCTCTTTCGTGAGAGGCCGTGCGGCCAAGCGGTGAAGAGGCCAACCGGCAGTGCCCTTGCGCAGGCCTCATTCTAGCCAATGGGCGGCCGCGTCATTTTGCCTTTGCCGTGCCATTTCTGTCTGCGCCAGGCCCGGGAGTTGTTCTCGAGCGCTGCATGACGTCAGTAGATCTCACAAATCTTAACGCGCCTGCACATATGCCACGCAGCGCGAGGGCCCGGGCGAGAGCGCAGCTGCCCACACCCATCGTCACTTCGTTTCCAGACTCGCCGGCGGCAAATCCATAAAACTGCCAGTATTCCCACTGCGCCCGCCATAACTTCTTCCCGCATATCCTCACCACCACTTATTGTTTACACTCGAGCCCCGACACTACACTACTCGATCTTCTCTCCGCCGACCACTCACACGCTATCCCTCTTCAGGCTCCTCGCGCTTCACCGGCGCCCGCTGCTCGCCAATCACAGCGGCCCTCCTACGTCAATCAACCGCCCGCCACTCTCTCAGAACCAGTTTTCAGCCCTGCTGGGCGCCCTATTGAAAGATGGCTGCGTTAGCGTTCAAAGCGCTGCACTACGGCGCAGACAGGCTTCCTGACAAAGTCTGGGAGTCAATCCCAGGTGGCTTCTTTACGCCGCCAGAGAAGAAGAAAACGAAGACAAATCGCAGGCCGATCAGAGAGAACCGCTACAGGAGCGAGCAGAGGCAGAGCGACCGCGGCAGACGCCGATCCCACCGCGAGCGAACCCCTCCGACCGACTACTCCGACTACAGTGGCTACGACGATACCGACTACGAGAAGGAATACAGGCGCAAAGAGCGACGCCGCCGCGCAAAGAGCTTGGGACGTAGCATCAGTCGCAGCTTGAGTCGTAGCCTAAGCCGCGGGAGGCACAAGCAGCGCAGCGGGGACTCGGACGGAGAGTACGACGAGCACGCCCAGATGGATCGCGCAGAGCGTGGGCCTCAGTTCCCTCCTCCCCCTGCCTCCGAGTACAGGCCCTACAATCCGCAGGACTATGCCCCTCCGCCTGGTGCTGCAGCATCGGCCGCGCCAGCCGGATACGCGTATCCCGACCCATACGACCGGCGAGCATCGTCCGCCAGGCCCGATTATGGGTATCCGCCTCAGGTAAATAATGCCTTTCGTCCTCGAAGTGCCACAGCTCCGTCTGGGTCTTCTACGTTGACATCGCCAAACTCGTTTCCGTCGAGGTTGACGAGCAGGCCTCCTTCAAAGCTGTCAACTGCTTCCCTCCTTGCCTTGCCATCCCCTACCCTAGACGCGCTTCGTAGCGGCTCTCCGCTTGGCGCAAATTTCACGCCATCCTATGAGCCGCCTTTGGCGGCAGTGCTCCATCGAACAACGACTAATTCCCCTCAGCCAACATCTGCTACCGCAGCGCGGTATACACCAGGAGCTGCGTATGCTCCATCTCCTGTGAACGCTGCTATGGCGCCGCCGCCGAATCCAGGTTATGCTCCCTACAATCCCGCCGACTACACGTCCCCAAGTCCAGGCTACAGGGCGTCTGGGAACGCTTATCCATCGCCGCCCCCGTTCTACCGGCATCAGTCGCAGTCTCAGCCCTCTTTACCCCGGGACCCGTATCCCGAGGTTCAGACCCAGCTCGCCGTCTACGACCAACCTCCGAGCCGCCATGGCAGTACCTCCTCCTCGCACCGTTACCGTAAAGATGACGGCAAGCATCACAGGGCAAGGTCTGCTGGTCATCATGGTCGTTCTCGTAGCCGCGTTACTGATCAGTTGCGCGGCAGGTTCGAGAACCTTGACCTGCATGATAAAAACCTGGCGGCTTCGGTGGGAGGTGCGTTGGCTGGGGGGTTTGCGGGCAGACAAATGGGACATGGGACGCTAAGTACTCTTGTAGGAGCAGGCATCGGCGCGATCGGCGGCAGGGAGTTGGAGAAGAAATACGAGAAGTAAGTGGAGAGCGTGGCATGGGAATGCTGGTGCTGATGACGGCTGGTTCGCCGTTGAGTGTCATACTAATCCGGTTGCTTTTATTAGGAAGAAGACCGCGCGCGGAGCATCTCAACAAGGAGAGCGGAGCCGAAGCCGAAGCCGGCATCGAACCAGCAGACAGGACTATTCTAGGTCGCCATCCCGCGACAGACGCGGAACCGATCGATATGACGATTCAGACGGTTATAGCGAGTCCGGTTCAGACGGCCACCATCGAGCCGCAAGGAAGAGGCGCGGTACCAGTAGACGCGATGCGGACTTCTAATAGTACCTGGAAATGCCGGATCAAAGGCTTGTTCATCCATTTTCTTTACGATACGGAAGGGTAGATTGGGTCTCTTTGCATTCTTGTATGCACAACGAACGACTCACGACAATGTCCATTTTTCACGAAGCACAATTTACGAAGGACGGGCAAGGCGCATCTAAGAGTGGATCGGGAGGCTGTTCTATGCGGTTTCCTGTTTGGCACATTGCATCTGCTTCGGGATTGCACGGGTTCCTTGCAGCCTTCATGTCACGGGAGGCGGCTCTCTTTACTCAAATATGCAAGCGTGTCATCGGAGCCACTTCCGATGGTCACTGGTAGCCTGAAAGGAACAGGCTCGGGCGGAAGGTTTTCAGGAAGACATCTCATAAACGAGCTACGGTACACTGCGGTACACTGCAATGAAGTTGAATTCGAATTTGGTGAAGTTCTATCTGTTATGCTGTTGAGCCTTAACCCGTAGTGCACAGTCTGGATTGCCGTATCTCTCATTAACTACTGCTTTAGCACCCCACGTGCGTTCCCGCTGTGGGCCCGAAGTGCTTGTTTCAAGTTCTAGAGAAGCTAGATGGAAGCTAAAATCCACCGGGGCATTTGGGAAGGCTGAGCCAAACTGCAGGCCCAAGCGCCTTGCCTGATCTGCAAGGTATTGCGAGTGAATCCCATGGTTTGGTATGCAGCTGTAGCGGGGCTTGTAAAGGGTGAAACGGAAGTGCATGGATGTGTGAGGAGAAACATTGGAACCTTCCAAGGAATGGATGGGGGCACGTGATGCCATGTACAAGAAGCGCCCCTCCCTCCTCTTTTCCTGTGCCTGCCAGATTGCTGCAGTGAAAACGCCCGTAGGATCCCGCAGCAAACGGCAACGCCGTGCATCCGGACTAAAACGTTACCAATTCGCAACCCGTAGCACTGCCACTCGCTCGTCTGGTTGACCCACCTCAACACTACCTCAATTTGTCCGTATTCAATACAATTATACGCCGGAGCGAGCAAACCGCTATTCGACCCGGTAGCAGCCGACGATCCTCTGAAGCCCTCCAGGCTCTCCAGACCCTCCAGGCCCTGCAACAACACCGAGCAGCTCTATTCCGTTTCTCAACATGCCCCCAGAGGATCCATTCGCCGCCAAATGCTTCTTCCTCGAAAGCTTGCCGCCCGAGCTCCGCATTCACGTCTACGAGAACCTCCTCGTCGCGAAGTGCCCCATTCAGGGCCCAAAGGCGCGGAAAGGCGCTAAATACGGTCTTGGTCCCACTGTGCTGAGAGCCAACCGCCAGATCCATGACGAGGCTAAGCCCGTCTTCTTCGGCAAGAATACGTTCTATGTTACTGCTATCACTGAGGAGCCGGCCGGTCGCTTTGAGCCGCCGCTCCTGCCGAGTCAGCTGCCTTTGGTGCGCCATTTGATGATTGACTTGCTGTACTTTCCGGAGGCGGAGCCTGGGGCTGCGGCGTATGGTAAGCCAGACTATTTGTTATGCCCACTCCATGATGTCCACTGACTGGTTCACAGTCGCCTCCCTGACTTCCCTCCTCACTACATACACCGCCCCCGTTGAGGTCCAACTCCGGACCCTGCATCTCACGGCCAACATCCCCGCCTCGTCCTCCGCCGAAAAGATCCTGATCTCTTTTATCAAATGCGAACAGAACCGCTCCTTCGCACAGACGCTCGCTGCTCTACCACTCAAGCAAATTACCGTCAGCTTTGAGTCCCCGGACTGCTACTACCGCTGTGTCGTCCAGCCCGCAGTGCTATGGGAGAAGAGCCTCCTGCTACTGGCTTGTCAGGTCATGTATTCCCAGAGCCGGATTCGGATCGCTAAGATGCTGAGTGTGTTCGACGACGCGAAGGTTGAGGATGAGGCCGAGAATAAGAACGAGGGAGAGGGGCGGACGGATTTGACGCCGTTCATTTCCTGGGCGGGAAGTTCTGCCCTCGGGCTTTTAGGGACTGATTAGGCGTGGATATGTAGAGGGAATCACGCTTCAGGTGGTGAGGTAAGAAAGAGGTGTCCCGATGCCAACGCTGCAGAATTTGATGGATCTTCGTAGGAGAGACTTCCTAGTCGACACGGACATGATCGGCTCCTCCATACGCAAGTCGCAGTGCCGGCGTTTATTCCAACTTCACCATATCGCGAAATGTCAGCTCAATATCTGTGACCAGATGTCCATTACTCTATTCTGCATTCCGCACTTTCGAATCCCAACTGTCCAGTCCGCCATGCGCATGTCTACCAAGACGTAGCCGAGCGGCAGCAACACCTATTAACGCGCAAGACCGCGATGGCGTTGACAACCCAAATTATGACAAGCATTCGCTCCGCTACTCCTCTAGCTCTATAAGCTCGCCGTTCTCTTTAGCTAGCTCGGCCTCAACGAGCACTTGCTGGCGGCTCCTAAATGCCCGGAACGGCAACGAGACCGAGCGCGTGGCCTTGTTAGAGCTCGACGCCGCAGGCTCAATGTTGTTCTTTCGGCCAAAGATAGAGGAGGTCTTGTTTGTAGTGCCTAGGACTGATGACGAGTCGTTGCGAACAAGGTACCGGTAAGGCGATTTCGGGGAACTCGATGCGGCAGAGTAGGCGGATTGAGAAGCGGATAGCGACTCCGGGAGGACAACACCCTTCTTCTCTAAGAACGCATCGAGATCGTCGATGATGTCCTCGGCACCGATAAGACCGTGGTCGAACGCCTCGAGCGTCCTGGCGATTTCGCGGTACAAGGCTTCAGCCATAACGGGCGGAAACGCATTGCCGATCTGCTTTATCGCTTGAGTCCGGCTACCCGAGAAGCGGTACTTAAGATGAAATGTCTGCAGCAGACTCATCTCACGCGCTGTGTATCGACGCGTGCCAGAGTAGTGGTAGTTCTCACCACCGCTGGTCGTAACGCACCCCTTGAGGAAGCTGGTATAAGGATTATATGGCGTCTTGTTCTTTGGCTTTAAGTCTTGTGGTCGATGGTACTCGTCGTTTAGCGCACGGTCGCCAAGGCGCTCAAGCGGTTGCAGAGCATCCGCGACGGAGACGAACCGCTTCAGACCGGTTGCTCGGGTACCGTGGGTGGGCTTCGGAAACGGTGGAAGGGGAGTACCGCGCCTGCAACGGTTAGCATTGAACATCGAGACGAACTGTCATGCTTCTTACCTCGCGGCAATGATGAGGAGGCGTTTACGACACTGCGGCAAACCGAAGTCGGACATATCAACAAGGGTGTATCTTAAATCGTAACCTGCCCGAATGATGTCGTTCATAAGCAGCAGAAAGTTCTTCTTGTGCTCCGTAGACGTCGCGAGACCGAAGGTTTGCTCCAAGGTGGCCACCCTAGGCTTGCATTTGGCAAGGATCGGTCCAACGGTGTAGATCGCCTCGTAGTTAGCTTGGTCATTTGGGCCATCCCAGGTGCTGTATGAGAATAAGCATGTAATTCCGTTAACAGAGAAGTTATACTTGCTGGGCGGGCGACCAGTAACAGCACGGAGGTGAGAGGTGAAGAATGTCCACCTTCAACACTCCTTTCGTTGCCCCTTTGGGTGGAAAGTTATGGGCATCGCAATGGAAAGGAAGTGCACCGCAGTGATTTCGTCCATATGCTTCGATCGCAGCTTCGTCATTGTCGAGACCCCAAGTCACGATGAGGCCGGCTTGCTTGGCACCCTGAGACGCTCCACCGGCGCCACAGAAGCAATCGCCGAACGTATAGCGAACCCTCGTTGTTGGAAACTTCGGTCGCTTTGGTGGGGTCGGCTGCTCCAGCAGTTCGATGGAGTCAGAACGTGCGCGTCGCTTGCGTTTCGAATTCGCTTCGCGATGACTAACGATCACGACGTCCCCCTCTTCCTCGATCGAGATGGAAGTGTCTCGAGAAGATTGTGATGGTGACGCAGAAGAGGAAGAAGGGCGAGCATCTGCCTCGTGGGAGTACACGTGCCGCACGATCCCACCGTAGGGCTTGCCGTTCTTGTGGATAACGAGGACGTTGACGTGGCGGCATACAAGGCGATTGTGGTGGAAGATGTGTTCTTTGACTTCTTGCTTTGTCTTCGCGTGGTAGAGGCCTGCGTTGAGGTCGTTGCGGAAGCTGAGCAGCGGATAGGGTTTGTCCGTGAGAACGCAATCGCGTATCCTAAGCAGGTCCTTGACGGGAACATCGATCATCCCTTGTATGAAGGGAGATCTCGTGTCATGCTCATCGACGTGGAGAATCATCACCAACTCATTTGTCTTCCCTACGCCATAGTCAGTCTGCACTCTGCGAGATTTCGGTGACACGCCCACAGTCGAATATCTGCCCGTGATACTTGGTCCGCCGCAACCGGAATCCTCGCAGTCGGACCTCATCAGTCTGAACGTTGCGAATGATGTGTTGGACGCGCAGAAAGTCGCCGCTGTGCAACTGGTCTTCCGGGCGCTCTGAAGGATCTCTCAGCTCCCACGTGCTGCCAATTTTGATGACCGCGCCGTCGGTCAAGATTTGCTCTTCCTCTTCGAGGTCTGGGAGACGTATGTGGCTGTTCTTGAAGACTTCCGATGAAGGACCCTGCTTTCCGCGTGAACTGGGACTGGAGCTCGAATCACTCGCGTCCTCGACATCTTCAATTGTGATTACTTCGTCCCCGCTGCCATCCGTGTCTTCATTATACTGGTTAGCGTGCATCTAAGCAGCTCGGCGAGCTGGAGGGGTACGCACCGTAGTCCAGAAGCTCAACCTCGTCGGAGGAATCCGCAATCACTTCTGTGTCATCATCGTCCGAGATGAGGACGAATGGATTGCCCCTTGGACTCGCCATACTTCTCGCTAGACCTAGATGGAGAGCTTCCATGGGCGAAGGCCGTCGTGCGGAGGAAGAGCGTCGACGTTGAGAGCGCGGAGAGGTAGGGCTGAGAAGAGGGGGAAAGAGAGGTGAAGGGTGGACTTTTATATTTTGTCTGCCGTGGCCCTTACTGTGGCATTTTAGCGTGGGTGGGTCATTACACAAAGTGAAGGAAAGACGCAGCTAGCCGTAATTTGCGGTGAAGCTAGTGAGACTATAATGGTAGAGGTGAAGGTGGGTTCGACGTGGATGACTTAAGGCTTATTTAACCAACAAAAGGAACTGGGTTAGGGCCCTCATAGTAGAGAAAGAACGTACTTAGATGCGGCAATTGAAGATGACGAACGGACCGTAGGAGGAAGGGACAAAAAAGGAGAGGGTATGCTCAAGGACTTTTGCTCTGTGGGTTACTAGCACACTTCATCTCTATCTGTACAGAATCCTGACCGGACTCAAGGCTTTGATGTGTACCAAGCCTCAAACGTTATCACAATCACCTAATTGTCTTCTCCACGAAGTCCTTCTCCAGTCGGCCGACTTCCCTCTTGAATGTCTCCACCTCTTTCCAGCAGTCGAGCGGCCGCCGATCTTTCGTCCGCAAACAAGCCACTACCTCCTCTTGCGCCTTCGCCACCTGCGGGTCCAGCTGTTCCAACTTTTTGCGTGAATCTAGCTTCTTCCTCAGCGCCTCGATCTCCTTGGTCACGCTTTCCCGGCTCATGTCTTTCTGTCTCTGCTTCTCTGCGAGGGTTGAGGAACTGGAGGTTGCGTCGCTGAGCTTTTCGGCAAGCGTCGGGGGTTCGGCAGGCTTCTCTGCTTCCGCAGAGAGGGCTTCCGAGAGCTTAGAGAGGTTCTGGGCTTCCTTCTCGCGCAGTTTCTCGAGCTCGGCGGTCAGGCGCTGTTGGTACTGCAGTTCGAGCTGCTTTGACCGGGCGGAATTGGTCTGGAGCACCAATTGGTATTAGCGCAGCTTCCCATTTCAGACTGATGATGAACGAGCGTACCTGGGTGTTCTTCTGCAGCGAATCTACCAATTCATTCGAGAACCGGACGGGGGCATCTCTGCGCGGAAAATCTTATCAGCTCGGGGAAATGGCAGAGGCGACCAATTGGCCTATCGAAGAGAGACATACGACGAGAACACGTGCTGGGAGACGTCGCTTGCGGGTTTGGAGTTCTCTGCCCCCATTGTGGATGCGCCGGGGATGCGGACTCTGCTTGCGCTGAGGTTGTTGGAGCCGACGGAAGTTGGACTTTGGCCTTGGCGATCGACAGCAGCGCTAGCCCGGACCCGGTAAGGCTGAGTCGCGTGTCAACACGTCTGGATCTGTCACCCACGGTCTACACGCCTCCCTTTTCACTTCTTCTGTTTAATCATGCGCTGTTGCGTGTCGGCTCCGACGGAGACACTAGTCAGACGTACATTCTGAAGACGGCGTTTGTTCCTGGAGACGGCGTAATTAGTTAACCTAGGGCGCCGTGATCCGCCTCCCCAATCGCGTTGCTAACACCAAGATTCCGGCGATGGTCCAGTCCTCGATCACAGCATGGCTGACGAAGCCTACTACAGCCAAGAGAGCAGAGGAGCCCGCAGTCGTCCAAAGTGACACGGTTCTCCTGCCAGCGCGGCAGGTGGAAGCGCCTGTCGCCTCACCCAGAAGTGTGTCCCTGGAGGCATCCGCACCCTGCTCTGAAGTACAGACGTCTTTCGTGCCTAGAGCTTTCTCTCTTCCTCTGCTTCCCTCCAACGTGCTGTTTGTGCCGCTCACCGAGGATCTCGTCCCCGACTTCAAGCGACTCAACGCCTTGATGCTCCCTGTCCCATACCCGCCGGCCTTCTACACCGAGTCGATGACGGAACCTTACCATGGGATAACTCTCATGGCTCTGTGGCGTCCTGACGGATCGACTGAGCAACTCCGGAATCCTCAGCAGCCCCGTCTCATAGGCGCTATACGCTGCCGACTATTACCCTCAGCGAACCTCTACATCTCCACACTCGGTCTTCTCGCGCCGTATCGGTCACACGGCATAGCTACGCATCTCCTGCATAGGATCATCGCGAAAGCATCCAAAGAACATGGAGTCAAATGCGTGACTGCACATGTATGGGAGGCAAACGAGGATGGATTGGAATGGTACAAAAAGAGAGGGTTTGAAATCATCGGGAAGGAGGAGGGATACTACAGGAAGCTGAAGCCATCTGGCGCAATGCTTGTCAGGAAATGGATTGGCGTTGGAGATCTATTGGCTGACGTTGGCGTATTGAGTCAATGTGAGGGGTGAAGAGATCGACCATCTCGAACAATGGCATGTCGAGCAGAGGGTGTTTCCTCGGTTTCGCCCCTTGAGTTCAACCCTGTCGGGGAACGAAAGCGTAAAGCCATGTGCTTACGTCGCGGCGGACAAGCGTCTCCTGCGCAATATAGCTGTGTTAAAATCGCCGGGTGATGGACAGGTATTGGATATTGGCCCACGCGGCTACGCAATGTCCTCCGAAAAGCTTCTAGGAGCCGAAGGAATAATTCAAGCCCAGGGCAAAGAAACGTTGGATTAAGGAAGTGACATGAACCAGAAATCCAAAAGGTACGCTTTCTCTATTCCAGAAGCCTACCTCCGGTTCTCCATAAGATGTGTAACCGCTTCCGCAGTGTTGAACTACTCAGGATGACAGCCTTAGAGGCTCATGACCGACAGAACTCGGATGCACGTCAGCAAGGCCTACATAATGCGCAACCATTCGCTCTTTGCTAAACGAGCATCTCGCCTTCAATCGCTTGACCTCCACCTTTCTCCACATTAGAGGCCTGACATCATAGGGTATTTACGCACTCACCGGTGGGACATGTTTTCCTACCATCCTATCATCCAATATTGATCTATGTGTCAAGCCGAGTAATCTATCTCGTGGAGCACGGCGGTGCCTGCCCACGATCGAGAGTTGACGTCCCAGAATCCTGGGCGAAGACCGCTGGCTACCAGTATATGGATTCAGAGTCTCTTCCCTTTATCCGGGCCACTCTAGATAGCCTCTACAACAAGCTCATTGGCCTGCACTCTTATATTACCTGCACACAAATAGGGCCCGAGACCACGTCAGGCCCCTGTCAGCTATCACAATCGGCCTTTGCGACCCGGCTCACTATCTCCAAGATCTCTGTATCTCATCAGTCCACTGTCTCGCGGAGATATTCAAATCGCGCTCAAACGATCTCGCCAGCTTCTATGCCAAGGATGGAGGCGAGCTCAATTTGCGGATAAATGCTCACCTGTTCGCCAGGAGGGACAACAAAAATAGTACTCGGGTACTTCCGCACGCGTTCTTGCTGGATCTCGCTTCCTCGTGTGAGGTTGGTATCTGGATTCCCGGATAGCGGATATTCCTAGGACTGCGTTGAGGACTGCAGGACTCAATGACCATCGAATGTCCTCGAAGAAGTCATACTTACTAGTCGTACGAAGGAGGAGCTACCTGCGTCCACCTGGAACTCATATCGACGCTGTCGTGCAACACCATGTCGAGCTCTTGATCTCACCACGCTAAGCGCGTCCGATATTGCGTTCGCGAGCTCCGGCCTGTCCGCCATGCCGCTTCTTGTCCCGAATCCGTATCGGCTTCTGTATTCCACAGCCGCAGATGTATTGCAAAGATTTCTCACCACGCTAGAGGGGACCAGATCGATGTCCACCGTGTTGGAGGAAGCTTGTTCTATGGGACCGTATACAAGCAGAGCAATATACTTAAAAGCTAGGCAGTTGCCAGTGCTCGTATTGACGATAAACCTTCCTAAGGCTCGCTGAATCGACGGTATTTCGCATATATATCGCTGAATATACGCTCACGACACCATCATTGTCCTCCACATACTCTCCACTTCGCATTCCCTCCGCGACCGAGGTTTCAATAAGCGACCGTCGACATGAAGCTGTCCACCGTTGCTCTCTTTCTCTCTTCTTCACTCACGTTGGCGCTTGGAGTGAGTTCTAAGACTGAACAGCAGGTGTGGCGAGGGTGCACTTACACTACATCAGGCTCCGGCGAACCTTGAAGAACGACAGCGAGACAAGACGTACACGATCACATGTCTTGGGCCACAATGCACTGATTATCCTCCTACAACTCTCCATATCCCAACCACTATACCGTCCATACCCGGAGGGAATCCGCAGCCGACCACAACACCAAAACCGCAGTCATCGACAAAGAAGACGAGCAGCACGAGCAAATACACTCCCCCACTGTCAACGAGTAAATACACGCCGCCACTAACAAGCAAATACACTCCGCCGCCGACGAGCAAATCTACGCCACCACCAGAGACTAAGCCCACAAAGGTCAGTGGCTCATATTGGGCGCACCGTCACAGTTTTCGATCTCCCTCTATGTAACACTGGGTCTGAACTCTGTCGCTAACTGGGAGCTTAGACAACCAAGTCGACACAATTACCACCCACCAAGACGCAGACAGAGGAGACTGGACCGAGCAGCACGAGATGTCCTGTCCCTCTCTACTACCAGTGCGGGGGTTATTACGACGGCAAATCGTGGACGGGGTGCACGAAGTGCGTATCCGGCGCTACATGCATTGAACAGAACGGTAAGTCTCGCTGCAGACCCAGTAAATCGGTACCCGATTGACTTGCTGTAGATTTCTACTACCAATGCGTTGCGGATGAGTAAGGTGGAGAGATGTAATCGCGAGTACCTTGGTTTGCACTTCCCACCTCAACGAGCACGTTGCGCAGATCTCAAGATTTTCGCAAAAGTCGAACGTTCTCTCAATAGAGAAGGAGATTGACGAAATCTTCATGATGCTCAAATGTGTAAACAGCTGAATAAGGCTGACTCGACAGATTGATTCCTTACATATGCGGTACATACCTAGGTAGTGGGGCGCCCAAGAGCTACCCCTCCAAGGCCGGATCGTCATAACCACCCTCTAACCTCCGCCGATCTCCGCAACTTTCTTCAAGTTACCTCTGGTCTTTACACCTGTTCGTGGCCCCAATCACCCTACCCTTATAATAGTTGTCCCCCAATTGACACCCAATTAACTCTCCGCCCTCTCCAGCGCTCCTTTCAACTCTCGTCCTTCCCAAATCTCAACCACCTACTCCCAGCTCCAGCTCGCACCTCCGTGTGACACCATGCCCGACCCGCGAGTCTTCATAATCCGCCACGGCGAAACAGAATGGTCCCTCAACGGCCGCCACACAGGCACCACCGAGCTGCCCCTAACCGCCAACGGCGAGAAGCGCATCCGCGCAACAGGCAAAGCCCTCGTCGGCGACGACAGGCTCATAGTCCCCGGAAACCTCGCGCACATGTACCTCCTCCCTCTCCCCTGTCCTCTCCCACTCCACCCCCCACAAAACGCAGACTCTAACACGCAGCTTCCAAACACAGCTACGTATCCCCCCGCCACCGCGCCCAACGCACCCTCGAACTCCTCGACCTCGGCTGCCGCGACCGCTACCCCTGGCACTCCTCCCCCTCCCCCTCGCTCAACCCTCGCACAAACGCCTCCATCGAAGTCACGCCGCTGATCCGCGAATGGGACTACGGCGCCTACGAGGGCCGAACGTCGCCGCAGATCCGCGCCTCGCGCGCCGCGCGCGGCCTGAGCGCCGACTGGGACATCTGGCGCGACGGGTGCGAGGGCGGCGAGGCGCCCGAGGACGTGAGCGCGCGCCTGGACGCGCTGATCCGCGAGCTGCGCGCGAAGTACCACAAGGGCCGCTTTGGGCGCGATGCCGGGTGGAAGGGCACCGGCCCGAATGATGTGCTGATTGTGGCGCATGGGCATATACTGAGGGCGTTTGCGGCGAGGTGGATTGGGAGAAGGTTGGAGGATAATCCGAGTTTGATTTTGGAGGCGGGGGGCGTGGGGACGTTGAGGTGAGTTTCTGTTTCTGTTTCGGGATTTGGAGACGGGGGGAGTTTGGAGGGGGTAGAGGAGGAAAGTATGGGATGTGGACTGACTGATTGATACGCAGCTACGAGCACCATAATATTGAGGAGCCGGCTATATTACTGGGCGGTGCGTTTGTCGTTGACGTGGTGGAGAAGGAGGAGGAAAAGAAGAAAGAGTAGCGTCCACATTAGAGAAAGAGCAGTCTCAGATTACCATCGTAGACACGGAATGAGGATGTCTGTTCTTCGAGGGCTTCAGAACCTTATCAATTGTCGAGCTGGCAAGCCACACCGAAGTGAGTATCATCGTCTCATATTTATGCGTCCGAAGGCGCCTAATTACAAAACACGATCCGTTGCCTTTCCTTGGTCCATCGCCTGTTCTACCTTGATATCACATCACACTGCCTGACTTTCCTGATTGCCTGTTCATCATCCATTCGATTCCATATATCAAATCCAGTCGTCGTTCACCAGTCGCATTATTGTAGTACCGTATTTGTCGCAAGAGTCGGAGACCTAAGCCGCCATAACTCGCTGATAATCAAGAGACTTCTGCTTGGCGCGCTTGACCAAATTGTCGCCGTTCTGCCATCATCTGTTAGTAAATGTCCTCTTCTCTTTGGGTTCGGAAAAGCCCCTCTTAGAGGTCTTCAACAGGGAGTACCTGTGTATCGGGTTTATACGTACCTTGATGATCCAAAGCCCTAGCTCTCGAGCTGCGAACGCGTTCTGCAGGCAATCACAACCGTAAACGGGGTCTGCCTTGAGGTGAACCTCAGGGTAATCACGGCAAAGGCTCTCTAGGCTCAGCTGCTGCTTCGAAAGCGGACCATTGGCCGCCTTCTCCACGGACTTCGCAACATCGACGGCACGTCCATGAATCATTCGCAGTGCATCGAGGTCGCTCCGAAGGTTGTAGCCGACGATGATCGTCTCCTTGTCGACGAACTTCCACAGAGCAGCTCGAGCTGCCTGCCAGCCCTTCAGCACCTTGTATCCTGCCTGCCGGGTGGCTTCAATATCCTGGAAGCTGGCCACACCGGTGATGCTGGTGCGCCAGTCCTTGACCGAGGCCTTCGGATCCGTGCAGACAAGATGGTTCATCAGAATACGGCAGGAAATAACATCGATTGCTGCGATCTTCACCACTTCCAGGCGCCCGTCAGCCAGAACAATTTTGCTGCACGAGATAGCGACGACACCAAGACCGGGCTTCGACGGGAGTTGTTCCGGCGATGGCTCGAAGTCGGACACTGGATATTTAGCCTGGTATTCGCTCCTGAACGCCTTGGGTGGCGGCAGGTATTCGCCTTGGAGCTTCTTGGGGAGGTGGCAGAGGTTGTCAAACATCCCAATCACCTCAGGTTGTTTGGCTACGCCAATTCGCGTCCAGGCAGTACCACCGCAGATCATCTTGCCATCGTCCTGAATGGAGATATCGGACTGTATCAGAAGGCGGAGGATCTTGCCACAGATGAAGTTCGCTTGTGCTATTTCGGCCGGACCGCCAATCGAGGACGCTTGCGGAACAGGTGCTGGTGCTGGTACGGGCGCCCTCATCTGTATCGGTATCGGCGCAGGAGTTGAGCCTGCTGGCCGACTCGCCGTAGCAGATCCACGGGGTCCACGAAGACGTGGGGAGCTTCGAGACTGCTGCGGTGGCGACGGCTGCGAGCGAAGCAGGCCATGGGTCCTCAGCTGCTCACGTACTCGTTGAGTCAGCATCCACGAATCTCTACCACGCATGTCAAGACCCGGGCCGCCCACGCCGTGTACATCTATCTGGTGCGTCTTCAGCCCAGCGTCAGACCTGAAGCTCTTCTGGCACAATCCTATCTGGCACACAAATTCGGCTGAGGGCGCCACTGCCGTACGCGCATTGACGGAAGATGCGGCCTCACGGCGAAGGGGAGGTGCAGCTGGCGCGTTATGGAGTCTGCTGAACATTCCCTCTGCCGGCTGGCGTTGTATAGGCCGTGATGCTTCAGCAAGAGACCCTGGTAGCTTCACCGCAGTGGTTGGCGTCGTGGTCGAGGGCTCCGACATATTATGGTCATGTGCTGAGCCTGCTTGAGACTGCGCAGCCTGGGTCGCGGGACACCATAGCAAATGCCGACCAAATTGAGCTTCGCTCTCGAACGAATTCTCGCACCCGTGGCAGAACACGCCGGTGATATCGGTTGGTGGGGGAGATGTGTCATACGGAAGCTCGCTCGGCTGCTGCGCCGGTGCAGCGTCCAGATCGACATACCCTGAAGGCCTTCCAGACTGGTTAGGCCCAACTCGAAGCCCGCCGGCGGGGTGCCCCTGTGGCGGGGTCTTCTTCCTGAACGCGTCCGAGCATGGTGAGGGGAACTGGCGGTGTTTGTTGTACCCGGCTTGGGTCTGGAACGACCTCGAGCAGTTCTCGCAGGGAAACAGAGGCGCACCGTGCTGGTTCTGGATCTTGTGAGTCTCAAGCGCTAAGGAGTCGTCGAAGGGCCAATTGCACGTCTCGCAGAAGACTTGTGCTGGCTCCGCGTCCGGGTGATGCTGCATGTGTTGCTGCAGATCGAATTTGGCCGCGAAAGAGCGGGAGCAGATGGCGCAATGGTACATTTTGGGGCGGCCGCCCATGACGGATCGGGGAGGTGGCCTGTAGACTGCGTCAGGTACGGCTGGCGGATACGGAGGGAGCAAAGCAGCGCCTACCCGGTCCTTTTGGCCCGAGGCCCGAAACTGCAGGTGTGACCGGCGGTCAGGAAGGCGGACGCAATTGAGCGGGCAATCGCAGAGGAGACCGCGGGAGGGTCGATCGACTATAGCAGGAACTAACAGGTCAGTTAGCGGGTTCGACAGCGTTAAGAGGCGGACGAGCTGACGAGGAGATGGGCAGAAGAGAAAATTGCTGCTTGTGTGCGGAAGGTCGGTTCAAGTACGCAGAGGGAAGGCGCGACTGTGCACGGACCCCGGTCTGTTGCCATGTCAGGTGCTCGCTTACGGCGTGTCGCTAGAGTGAAGGTGCTCCAGAAGGTTCGAACTGAGGGCGCAAACCTCATCGAAGGGTGTACACGGCATCTGAAAGAGTTTATTCTACCCTCCGAATCCGCTGATCGGTTTTATAGGTATGCTAGGCAGCCGCGTCTTCGCTCGTGGTGGCAGGCGAGAGCGCAGGGTCAAGCGTTCAAGAAAGGCACTTCTGGAAGGACATTACAAGGTCGAATTTGAGAAGTACTTCTAGAACTGACCCTTTACATCAAAGCGAGGATTCGAAGTCCGAATTACTCCAGCAGTTGTTGCTCTTCTCGACCCATTACTTGCGTGTTGCTCTGTTGTCCAAACTTCTCCCCCTCCCATATCTACACCCTCGACCCAATGCGCAATAACCCGAGCATTCGGAGAACTGGGCGGCAAAGCTCGCATGATGGGCCACTATCTGGAGAACACGCTATTTTCTCCACGATCGGCCATGTACGAGATCGATTTAGGAAATTAAGAGGGAGAACGAAGTGAATACGAATCGAACGTGTTCATGTCCCAAGCTTCCCACACTCAACATCTACAGGTACAGCTCGGACCGGTCCGACACAAAAAGGCGGCGCATTGCTCGTATAGATCCCCCGAGGCAATGAATGCCGAATCAAGGGTAGGCGGAAGTGACTGGAAACTTCGAGGTTTTCATGAGTGCGGAAGGCCGCCTTGTCCGGAGCTCTCGGGAAATGATGAATTGGCGGATCGTATATTGCGTTATTGTAGCTTGACGCTCTGCCACACCGCTCCGGCACTGTGCCGCTGATCGATTTGTTGAAAGACATGAGTATAGTTGGGGAAAGGGTGCGTGCTCCTATGTGTGGGAAGGTCTACGCCCACCCCGTCGCGTGGTGGCCTTCTTCACCTGCCTTCCCTTTCACAGCTTCAGCACGGCGACATTCCGTAACGACCCGGGAGCAGAAGAAAGAACATTGGTTCAAGTCGAATTTTCCTTACACTTAACTTTTCACAGCCAGCCACTTCATGCCGCTTAAAGTAATTACAAGTCTCGATGAATGCTCGATCAATATCCGCTCGTTATATTACGATTATTCCCAATGTGTGGGGGTGAGATGCAACTAAGTACATGAAAGAAATACCATGCACGATGCCGCTAAGTCGTGTGCCCAAAGGAGTGCCTCATGTCTGCATCGCGTCATAACCAAATCCGTATCCCTTATGCGTATCAAACTATTACTATCACCATCATCGATTCTGGGGCACCGACCTGAACAATCTGGGAAAACTAGAGTAAGTCGGTTGATTACAACATGGCGAGCATAGCCATGAATCCTGCAGCGAGACCACCAGCGCCAACGTACGAAATCGCTGCAGCGCCGGTGAACTCTGCGGGAGCGGTGGTGGTGGCGTTGGGTGCGGTGTAGTTTCCGGTGGCAACGGGGACTTGCGGCTGGCCTACAAGTAATTGTATCAGCAAGATTCTTCATAGATCCTGCGCACACACAGGAGGGATGGGGTATTATACGTACCATCGCTAATCTGGGTAACGACCGGCCCAGTGGGAACTTGAGGCTGGCCATCGCTGATTTGAGTAACGACCGGCCCAGTAGGAACTTGAGGCTGCCCGTCACTGATTTGAGTGACAACGGGGCCGCCAGTAGGGACCTGAGGCTGCCCGTCACTGATCTGTGTGATAACGGGTCCGCCGGTTGGGACTTGAGGTTGGCCGTCGCTGATCTGAGAGATCACGGGGCCGGTTGGAGCTTGCGGTTGGCCTGTGACTAAGTCAGCAGAGATCTAGAGCGGCGTTGTGGTATTGCGAAGCCCCATCTCCACTTCCTTCTGTACCCGGGTACACGGCATCCACAGTGCATTCAGGATATACAAGAAGACTACGATGAGGCGTCGAGCTGCACCGGAGTATTGCTCACCATCAGATATTTGGGTTACGGGTGCTCCAGTAGGAACATGTGGCTGCCCTAAAAGGTTCCACGGTATTAGCGCTGGTGTTTAAAGTGGAAAAGCCATTCGTGAACACGGACTAACACGGATTGGGCGCTGAAGCCGTGACTTTCAATGGCGCCTAGACCAAGCCGGTACGTTGAAAGTAAATGGAGAATTTACGAACCATCAGATATTTGAGTGATGGGCTGCCCGGTGGGGGCCTGAGGTTGCCCATCAGAAATCTGGGTAACCTGAGTAGGCGCTTGTGGCTGTCCATCCGAGGTCTAACTTGATTAGTACTACACTTTCAACGTGGCGCCCTGGTGCAACGAACCTGGGTGACCGGAGTGCTACCCCCGCCGGTTGTAGCGACGATGTAGATCGGGGAACACTGGTCTCCCGTGCTCTCATCGTAGAGGTTGTAGAAGTCGCCAGACCAGCACTGATACCAGATAGCAGAGCCACTGAGCGCGAGCGTGTTATTGCTGCAATATGAGAAGCCGGATGTGCTAAGCGCGTCCGCTTGCGGTGGGCTGTCGAACTGGAATCTGGAGCGCGGGTTAGATGACATCGCCGGGACTCTGAAAGATTAGCCAAGAGCGCAGAAGAAGACGTACTGATGGTTGCTGGCGATGTATCCGGTGCGACCCGCCTGATCCGTCAAGACTCCGCCATCCAGCGATAGCGTGAGGGTACCGGAAAGCTGACGTTTCTCAACACCACGCTTTGCCGACTGGGTCACGTTAAGGACGGTTATCTGGAAAGTGCCGTCATGGGAGTCGGAGCAGTCGTCGGGAGTGGAAGACTGCGGCATCGGCATAGGTTTTGCCAAAGCGGACGCCGCAAGGGCGAGAGCAACGAAGGACTTCATTTCTGAGAATCAATCGAAGAAATGGAGGTATTAACGTTATCCCAGGAAGAACGATGCCGAGGGTAAGTATATATAACGAAGGCGTAGACTGAGGAACGAGGTATCAGTCTAAGGCAGCAACCTTATAAAGGACAATTGAGACAATTGAGCAAGTTACTCTAGGGACAAGTAACCACGACAACGAGAGTGAGGAGAAAGTGACCGCGGCGGTGGGTGGGACAGTTAAATACCTCTGCAATGGAAAAGGCGGGCACTGACTTCATCGGACATACCAGGGTGGATCGAGGTCAATGCGGCGAAGACACTTTGGCCATGATGATCATCATCCACGCGTCAATACAAACCAGCGGTTCTAGCGCAGAGGAGAGGCTGGAGTTTGTCGACGAAACCGCTAAAACTGCATGTGTTCTGCGCATCATTGGCCCAACCCCTCCTTCGACCCCTCCATCTTAAGGTGAAGGCAGTATACACCCTCTTGTTTGCGCCTAGCTCTTAGCCGCTTCCCGCCTTCGCAGAGCTAGGCTGGCAAGCGAGGCGCCGTTCGCGCTTGGTGTCACGAAGGAATGTGGAGCGCAGGATCCGCTAGAACCATCGAAACAGTCTTCGTTCGGACAGCTGGGTGCGAGAAACACCTGGCAACAGCTGATTCCCGGGAAACCGCAGTCACAAGGGCATCGTCTAGTGTACCAATTCAGCGTCATTCTCGCGTGCCCTCTGCAGAGGCGGACAGCGACGGATGGGAGAATGAAAGAATGGGGTGAGCGGTTTGTTGGGGATGGGGCGGAAGAACGTCCTAGATCTGCGGCTTAATCTGGTGCCGGCGTAGTGTATGGGCCAAAAAGGGCGCAGGAAGAAGCGTTCTGCCTCTCAATTGGTGGTAGAAGAGTAGTTGACGTCGAGGACTGCATCTCGATTACCTACAGCCCCTGTCACGCTACTGCACCAATTGTGGGGTAATGTGGCTGAACGGCAGCCACCCCTCTTTCCTCCGCGATGTCGTCTACTCATCGGACTTCCTCAGCCGCACTCGAAACAGTCCGAAGACTCGTGGCTGGTGGCAGACGTCAGCTGTCGGTTTGTTTGAGCGAAGAATCGCGTGAATCAGTGTTTCTATTCTTACGCGGGGCCCTTAATGACGTCGGTGGGTTTCAGCGCTCCGTCGCGTCACAATTATCTTTCTTTTCCCAAGAGTGCATTCCTCTCACGCAAGCAATCCCTTTCAATCATTGGGCGTGTGGGGCTCCCGCGCTCAAGCATTCTGTCTGAGGTTTAATAACGACATGCTGCTGATCCCTCCTTCAGATCAGGCTCTGAGACCGAATGACATTCCTCTTGTAGTAGCATCGTGCCTATCTCAACATTGTCACGAGACGAGAATATAGGATCTCACGGCAAGGATTTGCTGTAGGCACCACGCCAACGCCCCCATACAGTACAAGGTGCCCCGGGGTCGTGATTCCCGAGACTGAGGGGTGTCGGTGAAGTGGCCCGAGTCTTCTTAGCATGCCGGGATGTATCCACCCGCTAACCTACCCGCTAACCTTCACCCAGCGGGCATACATCGTCAGGTCATCGTGCTAACCAAGTCTGCGAACAGCCAACAGCGCTATTGGATGTGGCCAGTCACATATATTTGCCTCTCTCCCGAAGCGGCATCTTGTATTGGCACTTGAGAGACGATGTTTGACGGTAATATCGTAGCTCGGCCGCGGTATGCACGAGAAAAGGTAGGTAGGGAAACTCATTCCAAACACAAGCTAGACTTCCATTAAACCAAGTATCAAATTGTTAAATCCCGATATCCGCAGACGCTTGCCAAATCCAACTCCATTCCTCGGGTATCTCCCACACCAGCAACATTCTGCAATCGTCTTGTCTCAAGATTTACTTTCCCTCGCCAGCCCTCTTCACGCCGCCTGCGATCTTGTTGGCACCGTCCTCGACACTTGTCGTCGCGTCTGAGATGCCTCGGGCAACGGGCCTTCCAGCACTTCCGGTTGCGCCCTCGACTGTCTCTCCAACGCCGCGGCCCAGTGCTCCTACAACGCCGCCAACGGTATTCGTAAGTCCGCCAACGGTGTTGCCAACGGTCGAAGTGACGAACTTGACGCCGGAGGTGACGCCGGATTCTTGCTGACCGACCGGCATGATGGACGTTTGTATGAGGCGGTAGGTTTTGGAGGTGTTTGACGTTGGAAGTGTTCGATGAACTTTGGATGTAGCTTGCGGGTATTCGATCTGGCTTTTTCGAATGTAGTTTGGGACGATGATCCGATTACTGTTGCGATGGCCAGCAATTTTATGCTTCGAGGGAGGATGTGACGTCATACGCCGGAACCAAGCCAAGACGTGAGCGTCACAGGGAAACGTCCTACAGATCGAGGCGCAGCAAGAAACCCTAGCGTGATTAATTATGAGATCCGGGTCTTCTATTCGACGGGAATTCGAACTTGGCCAAAGATTTGCGTCGGCATTCGGGACCGAGAGGCCAATTGGAGGTTCTGCCATTAGCGGTTCTCGAGCTCTCTTTCCTTCTGGTCTCTCCCCAAGCCCTTCCTCGCAGAAGCATGCCGTGTCCTGGGAGAGTAACCATGACGAGCTGGAGTGTCCACGGGTTCTAAGGTCCATGGGTTGATAAAGAGGCATATTGACCGCTAGCCCAGTCGGGCTTAGCGCAGTTTTCCATCCCGTAGGCCCTGGGGCCGTGAACGTGCTATCGCTATCGTCGCAACTCCATCCTCATAATGGCATCTGAACACCCATCGAAACCCATTATCTACAAACCTCCCATTCGATCCAAGGTCGACCGCCCTTCAGTCGTCCTGTATGGCACAATCGAGCCAGATTGCACCACCGATTGGACGTCCAGCCTCGTCGCCAGCCTCTCCGACCTCCCCATCGCAATCCTCAACCCGCGACGCGATGATTGGGATTCTAGCTGGAAGGAAGACATTTCCTTCGCTCCTTTCAAGGAGCAAGTCGAATGGGAAATGGATCACGCTTCCATTGCCGACGTGATTGTGTTTTACTTCAAGCCGGGGACGCTGACGCCTGTAACGTTGTTGGAACTGGGCATGTATGCGGGGCTTCATACAAAGAAATGCGTTGTCTGTTGTCCGGAGGGTTTCTATAAGAGGGGAAATGTGCAGATTGTTTGTAGAAGGTTTAGTATTGAGCTTGTGGAAAGTGTGGAAGAGTTGGGTGAGGTTGTGAAGGGTAGGCTGGTAAAGATGTTGGATGCGGAGAAGAAGGTTTGAATCATGGCTTTGGAGATTTGGATGCAGAGCCGTTCGACGAAGGTTTGCCTGTTGGATTCATCTCTGCGGTGCCCGGCTGCACCTGGCCCGCAAGGGTCGCGTATACATAGGAAGATATACAGCCTTCAGCTTACGTCGACTGCATACGATAACACTGGCTATGCCCCAGCTCATTTCCTCTCCGGCCTTACTGTCATTTAAAATTCGGAGGCTGCCTTGCTGCGCAATTTAGAGGGACCTTGCTACCAGGATGGAGAGGCGGTGCATATACGCACGGACCAACCGGGCGTAACCCAGCCTCGTTAGAGGATGCGTACGAATCGAACAACCAAACCTCAACTGATATCGCCCTGATGCCGCAGCCTTATCCTTTCTAACCAACCTGTGCTAATTTCCACCAGCCAAACCCGGAATCCACCACTCGATTCATCGGGCGTCGATCCGGACGCAGGATCAGCCGCGTGACCTCAGCAATGCCTTCAACCAGCACGGATGCCTGGAAAGCTGCAGTGGAGCAATTTACAGCAGACTTGAATCCTCAGGAAAAGTCCATACTCTCTAACTCTAGCCTTGCCGATATCCTAGACGACGTGGTTCGCTTCGAACTGAATCACCGCAAATCGAGCAAGGTTCGACGCGCTTCCCTCCGAATCCAGCCTTTCGTGGACGCCATCAGTGATTATGGGAAAGCCCTGGATGTGGTCGCCAATACTTCATGCGTGATTCCTCCCCTTTGGGGCTCCCTGAGGGTTCTTGTACTGGTAAGCCCACACTGCTCTGCCGGCGGCACCGAGAGCAAAACGCATGGAACATTTACTTACTTGACACAGGCGGCAAAGAGATATGATGACTACTTCTCAGAATTGGTCAGCATGTTGGAGAGGATTGGAGATGTCCTGCCACGGTACTCGACCTACGCGGCATTGTTCGAATCGCACACTCCGCTTCAGCAGGCTCTTCAAGCAGCGTATCTCCAAATACTTGAATTCATTAGTCGTGCAGTAGCCGTATTCAGGGAGTCTTCCGGCCGTACAGCGGTCAAAGCGGCATGGAAATCATTCGACAAGACATTTGAAGACTCCCTTAGGCAACTTCGGCGCTCCCGAAAACTCGTGGAATATGAAGCTAGGCTTGCGGCAATAATCGAGCAGAGAAGAGAGCAGGAAAGAGCGGAAGAGGAGCGACGTCTCGCAGCTGAAAGTCGAAAGAGAGTGGAGCGACTAGAATTGGTAGCGACTATCCGAGAGAAGGGTATGTTTCCCGGTTTATGTTGGTCCACTAATTTAACCATCTGCAGAAAGCTGCCGCGCATGGCTGAATGCACGCATCTGCTCTGACGAAAGAGCCCAACTCGAGGAAGCGCGCTTGGAAGGCACTTGTGAGTGGGTCCTTCAACGCAAGGAAATCCACCACTGGCTCCAAGATCCCGATACTCAGATGCTCTGGCTTCATGGTGCCCCTGGTTGTGGGAAGTCCTTCCTCTATTCGAAGCTCATTGGTTACCTTGGAATAGAAAAGCCCGTCGCGTATTTTCTCTTCTGTGGTGGGGACAAGGAACGCGTCACGTTCTCATCACTCCTTCGAGCCTGGTGTCTTCAGTTGGTCGAGCTTTACCCCCCGGCATTCCAATATCTACAAGCCATCAGACACAGGAACGGCACCCCGACAGCTACCGAGAAGGAGATTACGGAGCTGCTTGAAGCGCTATTGGATATCCTGCCACCCTGCTATCTTACTGTCGACGCCATTGACGAGTGCTCGGATCGAGAGCTATTTTTGAGGCGACTCCGCTCCATCCCGAAAAGATTTAAGATCCTGGTCACCAGTAGAACGCCTGCTAGCATTCGCAAAGATCTGTTGCGTATCCATGTCCCACTACAGACACTAGAAGTTCGTCCCGATCTCTCACGCTCCGATATCAACCACTTCATCACAAGGTCCATCGATGCTGCTGGGTTCAACTGCAGTGAAGAGACCAGGGATCGGATTCGACATCGATTGTCTAGGTGCGAGGGGATGTTCCTCTGGGTCAAGCTTATGCTGGATGAAATACAGTCGCAGATGTGTGAGGATGATATCCTCTGCTGCCTGAAGGAGCTCCCCGCCGGTTTGTCGGAGACGTATGCAAGAATTATCAAAGAGATTGAGCGTTTGACATCGCGAAGACTACTAGCGTACAAGGTGTTCTTCTGGCTGTACATATCCAGAAGGCCAATCTCTGTCGCCGAGCTACTGGTCCTCCTTGCTATTCAGCCCCCTTCGGAAGCTCTCAACGAGAAGCGGTTCATTCCAGACGCAGAAAGGATGGCCCTCGAAGCCTGTGGTGGACTTATTCAATACCGTGGACCGGATAAAAAGATCTTCTTCACCCATTTCACCGTCACCGAATATATTGGCGGCTACCTTCAGCAACAGAACGTCCACCAAGAGATCATGGCTTGCTATGACACGCAACAAATGCGATCCTCTGAGAGCCTTGCTGCGGCAGTATGTTTGCGTTACCTAAGCTATCAATTTGTTGGAGGCATACAGGTACCCCAAGACCATGCTGGAGCAATGGCACTTCTCAAAAGGTCCGAACCAAGATTTGCACTTCTCTCCTACGCTGTCTCGAATTGGTTTGTTCACCTCGAAGCCATGGCGTCACCCGATGAACATGTTACGCAACTTGCCTTACAGTTCCTGGACGGATCAAATCGGGAGGTCTGGTGGCATACGTTCTGGTTCTCCAATCCGGAGTCAATCGAGTCACGTATCTGCCCGTCACATTTCTCTAGCCTGCATATCACCGCTTATTTTGGATTACACGATGTGACGATAACCCTGCTTGACGGTGTTCACCGGCCTCTCCTTGATTCCGCGCAAAGGTCACCTCTATGGTGGTCCGCTTCAAGAGGTCATGTCGAGGTGTCTGCCGCTCTGATTGAAGCTGGATTTGACGCTGACGCACCCGATTGCGACTCCATTACGCCCGCACATAGAGGGGCGGCCTCCGGATACCCCGAAGTGATCCAAGCTATGCTTTGCCACGCGGACCCTGGTAGATGTCCTGTCACAGATCGAGAGGGATGGACTCCACTTCACTGGGCTGCGTCGCGGGGCAAGCTTGCTGTTGTTCATGAAATACTACGTCACGAAAAGGACCGTCCGCGATACGGAACAAGAAAATGCCGTTGCAAGTCTGGCCGTACCCCTCTGCATGTCGCTGCACTGAATGGCTACGCAGAGGCATTGTCTCCCTTGTATACCGGGTTGGTCTCCTCGGACCCGCGCGCATATCGACTTGCGCATTCCGACAAAGACAACCTCATTAATGAAAGAGATTCGCAAGGATGCACGGCTCTACATCTGGCAGCTGTGCAAGGCCATCAAGAGGTCGCTCGAGAGCTTCTGAAATTGGGTGCTGATCCCTCCATTACGGATCGTTCGGGCAAGACAGCTGCGCAGAAGGCCTACACTATGGGGAACACTGATGTCTACTCACTTCTTACCTCGGTGATGGACGAAGTACTGGAGCTACACCTGCAAACAGAAACAGCTATCCAAAGGACTGGCGAAAAGGTCGCTGAATATAAGATGAAAGGCTTGTTTGGCAAAGTTCGCGACTTCAATTCGGTCGATACCCAGGATGTCTCAGCACTTAAGTCTTTGATCAATGGTCAGCTGCGGATGTTGGACAGGCTCACATTCAAAGGCAGGAGCTGGGTGGAGTATTACGACGACCGGGGCCGGACGGCCTTGCATTATTCGGTAGCTTTGGGCTACGAACGCATTGTCAAAAAGTTATTTTCAGCTGGAGCAGGTCGATATTTCCTGAATAGACAAGACGACAGGGGTTGGACGGCCCTTCACTACGCCGCAGCCGGGCAGTTTTACTCCGTCTGCAAACTGCTTCTAGAACGGGGAGCTGCTACCGATATCAAAAACGATGAGTTCCTCACAGCTTTCGACTTGGCAATCAAGGAAGGTCATCGGGTGACCATCGAGACGATTGCAAGATACGCGCCTCTCTCCTCGGACGATATCTCGGAGTGCTTTGGTTGGAGTAAACTGCATATCGATGCCCGGGACGGTACTCTCTCCAACATCGAGACCCTAGATCCCAAGCAGCTCCAGGAGCAAGACGCGTTTGGAAGAAGCCCGCTTTACCGTGCTGTTGAAATGCGCAGGCAAGAGGTTGCACGTTCGATTACCGGCAGAGTCGCTCTCGAAGTACCGGAGCTGCTGGATCTTTCTGTCCTCGCGGAGTCCAATGACGACGTTGAATTAATGCATCTCTTCCTTGGGCGTCTCCCACCAAGAAGCCTCACCCAAGATCCCCATCTACAACGCCGCGCCCAAAGGCTGTTTACGAAGGTAATTGAGCGGAACGACGTCGAAGCCACCAAAGCCTTATATCAAGCGGGAGTCGATGTCAACGGCGGTGGACTTCTGAACGTAAAACCAGAACGTTGCCCACTCCAGACGGCCATTCATTGTCGTCACTCTGACATTGCAATTTTCCTGATCAACCGAGGCGCAGATATTTCCATGAAGGACACGGGCGGATTCTCTTGTCTACCTTCGGCCTGTTCGAAAGCGCTTCCGCGCGTGGTAGAGTGCCTCCTCGAGCACAGTGCCGATCCAAACGAAATCCTGAGACCGGCGTCACCGAGTTGGGATTCGGATGCGCCTCTTAATCTCGCCTTCGGGTATGATGCTTTCAAACAGCCACCGGAACATTTCTTGGCCGTTGCTCGACTACTTATGCAACATGGCGCTTCCCTAACTACTACCTGTCACGGCTCTATCAAACCTGCGGCTTGGGTAGCGGTTTTGGCTTGGCAGTATTGCACATTTTCAAACACTGATGCCGAACCCCCGAAGTGCACCGCACTCCGCGAATTCCTCATTGAGAATGGGTGTGGGATGCTCGTGCAGAAACGCGGCGATGGTGGATATGTACAAATCCACAGAGCCGCTGCAGAGAACGATGTCGAAGCCTTAAAGGGACAACTCGATGCTGGTATTCCACCCGATTGGTGCACCATGTACTACCCGTTCTACACTCCTCTTCAGCTTGCGATCAAGAATAGTAATCTCGAAGCTGCACGGCTCCTGCTGGAATCCGGGGCGAATCCGGACTGCATCTTCCGCGAAATGCCTTCTAATTATGACAACGGAGACTACAACGGCGACAGTGCGGACAGGAGGGAAATCATCAAGCTCCTGCTCGAGGAGCTAGAGCCCCATTCAAGGGGTCGTGTTGTGGACTGGCACTACGATCAGCACCGCGCCAACAATTCGGTAAAAGAGTTTCTCTCGAGCAAGGTGAATGTGCGATCGTCTCTTTCTCGGGTCCGGGATCGACTTCAGAGCCAGAACGCCTTTCTCATCGCGATGGGAAGCCTCTTAGTCTTCTCGCTATTTTTCCTCCCATTCTCCCACTTCTCTGGTATCCGGGTTTCCGCTTTTCTTTCTAGAGAGTAGCACGGAATTTCTTAAACCCGCATGCGATGCTTGTTTTCGTTATTCTTCAATCCCTGCTCGGTAATATCGTACCTTGCTGTGTGGGGAGCGGGCATATTAATATCTATCTCGCAAACGATCCGCCAAGGAAGAACTCTCCAATACTTGCAACTACCGCGACGATCTATATGGATGTAATGCTGAAGCATGCCTGCACACTCTCTGTATTTAGCATCCTATTAGCCATTGAGTCCTGATGGCCGTACCCGGTCGTGTGGATCGCCCTGGAGGCTGGAGTTTAAAGACTGCCCCGGATCTACGAATTCAAAGTCTCGTCCTGGTAGCCGAAATCTTGGTGCAGAAGAAATTTGCCTCTTGGGTTTGAAAAGTGCATTCCGCTCTCGGCGCAGCACTCGAGTTTTCCGTAATGAGGCTCTTCGATCGTTTTCCAGCACTGATTTGCTTTGCGTCCGCATTCAACAGCCTCGCAAGCGCACTCGCACCTTCGGATACATGGCGCGATGCAGATATAGGCCAGTCTGGATACGTTGGTGGAGATCATAACATAGATCCCGAATCCGCCTCCCAGTTCAAGCAGCTTTGGAACGCGACTTTCAAGGAGGGCGAGAGAGTTCGTCCATCCTCCAATCCGTCCCCCGCACCTATCTGACATTGAAAACAGCATTGGGCAAAACCGCTTGTCTACACGCTCCAATCTGGCCGACAAATAGTTTTCACAGCATCCACTGAGAACATCGTCCGGACATTCGATGCAGCAACCGGCGAACTCATCGTCGAAAGACAGATCCATCCACCATGGCCAATGGAGGCCGCCTACTGCACGAATGTGAGCAAAAGTATGGGCATAATGGGAACGCCGGTGATTTATGCTGAGTACGACGTCGTGTTCTTCTACGTTAAATCGTACATTGAGTAAGACTCCTACTGATTCCTTATCCGTAGCTCATCTAGGCTCACTGATTCATCTATAGAGACTATCGTGTTCCCGGCGGAGCAAGCCCAGCATTGAACGGCGTCTACTACCTTAACGCCATCTACCTCGACGGCCTCCAAGATGTGTACTACTGGCCTATATTCCTCGATGATGTCCCAGCCGACAACGACCCGCGCAAGATATTCTTGGGCGGTCTCCTCCTGCAGCGACCGTCCCTGGCTATGGTCGGAAACATTCTATACGCCGGCTTTGGAGGCATGTGTGACGCGTTCAACTACACGGGCGTCCTGGTCGCAGTTAACGTCGACACCCAAAAGGTTAATCGGTGGGTCACGCAAGGTGGACCGAATTCCGCGTATACGGATGATTGGACGCTGTGGCATGGCGGTGGTGCGGGTGGCATCTGGCAGGCTGGTATGGGACTTGCGTCGGATGGGCAGGATGTCTTTTTCACGGTCGATAACGGAGGAGGGTCTACGGATACAAATATCTCGACCAAAGCTATCTCGGGGAAGATGCCCATGGACATTGTCTCCGAATCCGTCGTCCGCGTCAACGCTAACGACTCCGGCGTCCAGCTCCAGGACTGGTTCCGCCCCTTCGACTACCAATCCGACCAAGGCGAGGATATTGGCAGCGGGGGAGTCTCCATCCTCGATTCCTCGCTCTTTAAAACCGATAAAGTAAAACGGATGGCCGTAGCGGCAAGCAAGAACTTCAAGATGTACATCACGGACCTGGACAACTTGGGCGGCTATAGAGAAGGCAAAAACGGCACAGATGCCGTCCTGCAAACCATTCCCCTCGACGGCGAGGTCTATGGCGGCATCGGCTCTTACCCGCTCGAGGGCGGCTACGTATACGTTAACCCGGCTGGTGCGCCGCTCTCTGCGTACCGTTTCAGCTCGTCAAACTCGACTTCCTCCGGCCCGCTATTCTCCCTCGCAGGGAGATCTTCGATATCTAGTCCGCACGCACGCGGTGTGGGTATACCCACGGTGACAAGTAGGAATAGCACGGCGGGGAGTGGCATTGTATGGGTTACGGATGCAGAGAAGGGACTGCTGGCGTACAAGGCGGTTCCGGTCAATGGGACATTGATGGAGATTCCGCTACCGAAAGTGGAGGGCGCGATGATGTATAGTAGACCGGTGTTTGGAGATGGCAGGGTGTATGTTTTTGACGCGAAGGACAAGTTGATTGCGCTGGGTGTAAAGTAGGTAAGCTAGGGGATGTAGATCGGCTGCTGCCCAGGCTGGAGATTGAAGTAAGAATATGGATGCTTTAAATAACATGACTAGAATTTGTTATCCAAGGCGCATCGACGGCATTTTATTAGCCTGCTTCAGGACCACCAGATCCTTCGACAGATCATCTACTTCACAACCGCCATCAAGAAGCCGTCATAACTCTTCTCCCCAACCGTCTGGATCACGACGCCATCCAGCCTCGCATCCTTACCAATGTTTTCCACCACCCTCCGCGCGCCTTGAATCCTCTCATCGCCCCCCTCATTCGCAAGCTGCCCCTTCCTCACAACATTATCCACAATAATGCAAGCGCCCGGCTCGCACATCCCCAGCGCCATGTCCACATAGTTCCAGTTATTCTCCTTATCCGCGTCGATGAAGACGAGCTGGAACTTGCCGTGCTTGCCTTGCTTCACCTCCTCTGCGATTTTTGGCAGCACCTCCACCCCAGGCCCGAGCCGCACGTCCACGCGATCCGCGACGCCCGCGTTCTTGAAGTTCGCGCGCGCGACTTCAGCGTGGTGCGGATCCACTTCCACACTCGTCACTTTCACATCGGGGCTCGCATGCGCCAGCCAGAGGGTTGAGAAGCCGCCCAGAGTGCCCAATTCGAGGATGTTCTTCGCGCGCGCGAGACGCGCTTGCAATTGGAGGAACTTGCCCTGCGAGGTGGAGACGGCGATGTCCGGGAGCCCGTTTTGTTCGGCATTGGTTTGCGCGTATTCGAGGGCGTCGTGGGACGGTGTCGTAGCGGACTTGGGGTGCAGGTGCGAGAGGGAGTAGGCGTCGACGGCGGTCCAGCGCGGGTCTTGTTCGTAGCGTTGGCCTTGGTAGGTGGGCATTGTGGAAAGCGGTGGTGTCTTGCGTTCTAGGAGATTGATGTGAGGGGTATGAAGGTACAGTTTAGAGGAGAAGATGGTTAGGCTTGATCTTGGAGCGGGGAAGCAAGTTTTCAGCGCTTTATAGGAGAGCAATGGCGGCCGCGGAGAGCGCATTGCGTGGCGTACGCGTACTCCGACATTGATGCCTGGTTGTCCGAGTTACAGAGGTACATGTACGATGTCGGAGAGCTATGGCATTGAGTGTGTGGATTGGGTGTCCCTGTTGCAGTTGTGGAGTCACAGCGGGGATTACGTGACGCGGATCTGATAAGAGAGTTATCTCCGAAACTCCGAGGGGAGCATAGGTTTTGTCCGAGGAGAACCCCGAGCGGTTCTAAAGGCCTCTCGTACCTCCATTCATCCATTATTTCTCTCTCTATCTCTCTCTCGGTGAGTCACTCGCATTCCTCGCATCCCTGTGTCATGCATTTTTCACTCGGACCTCAATTGCACGGGTTGAATTGCTGTAGGCAGCCGCTCATCACGTGCAGCTCCTTGCTCCTTCGGAGACGTGAGCAGAAAGAACTCATCAATATTGTTGTTGGATCAACTACCTTATGCTCACTTCCTATCGTCTTAACCATCTTCTTTGCCTCTCCTCTGGAGGCGGCGCTGGTAACGGCTTTTCCAGTTCCGCCCTCGTAATCATCCTCCCTGATCCGCTGCTCTGCGTAGTCCCGTTCGAGGCTCGCAGTGACGATGTTCCGGATCCACTGTTCTGTACAGTTCCCCCAGAACGTCTCGAAAGCCCGCCTTGACTTTGCGCCGCGCCTCCGGAATCTCTCAAAGAGCTTCCCCCACCGCTCGTTGTTGTCCCTCCCGACACCCTCACAGAGCTTCTAGGGCTGTCGGATTTACGGGATTCTAGATTGGCGAGCACTCTTTCTCTCGGGCTTTTAATTGTTGGAGGGGTATAAGTGCGACTTCGGAAAGACTCTGGGTTTGGATTCGCTCCATCGGAATACCGAAGCGTAGCGGCAGCACTGGGAATTGATTGCGCCGGCTTCCTCAGTGGCTCTGTCGAAGTCCGGGTCATGATGTGCTTTGGGGCTGGATGCCTGAATTCTTCTGGTGGCCTGTGGATATTTCCAGAGTTCTCGAACCACGGCATGGAGACTGCCCGCTCACGCTGCTGCGGTTGTCGCCATGGTGGAGTCTCAGGCTTCTCGGTAACTCGCCGCGCTGTCACATACCTCTTGCGGCGGTCGGAATTCGTAAGGAGCTGCTCCTGCGGGCGTTCATCCTCGTAAATCCGTTCGTGTTGCTTGATTCCACGCTCGGCCTCCGTCTTGACGTGCATCTCTCGAAGCATGCGGTAGACCTTATTCTGGTCACCTTCGTCTATCCAACGCACTGGCCTCTCACTCTTGACCTTCGATCCAAACCGCTCTCGTCTTAATACATGAAGGAACCCGTCTTTCACACAGTCCTCGCTGGATTGTACCTCACCCTGATTCGCCGCAAGGGAACGAGTGCATTCGTATGGACGTTCCTGACGCCGCTGCGCTTGATGCTCGTCTGCGCAGCGGGGGCAGCGCTCTAGGGTGCAGTCGTAGGCCATCCTTAATTCTCTAGTACCTGGTACGAATGCAGAGACGAGGGTATGCTGCAGCCTCCTTGGCTGCACGCCAGGGATCTCGTGGACTTTGATCCATTCGTCGGGATGACCGCAAAGATAAGCGCGGTGCATGATGTAGGGGTATCCAGCGCCCTTGGGGTTTCTAGGCGCTGCGGCGCTGAGTCTGTTTGTTAGTCTTTCCATTGGTGCATGAAGAAATTCAGGCGGAGGAGTGCCATGTATAGGTATGATCAACGTTCCGTTTTCTCTATCTGTCCGCTCTAGTGTGTTTGCTGCAAGCATTTGCTTGCTTCATTCAATACCTACCTGGCTTTGACAAACACGTTCAAGCGCTGGGCTATTCTGCTTCACAGTCTGCCTCATTGATCCTCCATCTCCACGTCACCATCGCAGTCCGCTTTTCCACTTGCATGCTCCTCTTTTCCACCCATCATCAGTGCCTCCATCTCGTCTGCCATTTCCTTCTCCTTCCACTGCAGTAAGACAGGCACTCGCTCTTCGCTCTTTGCCTTCTTCGTCTCTTTTTTAGGCTTGTTATGGTAGCCCTTGAGAGCTCGACGGTATTCATCTGGGTCTTGGTTTTTGTTGTAGAGTTTCGTGGCGTTCTTCAAGCGGTCGAGGAATTCGCGCGGCACTTCATCTGTTCCAGTGGGCACATGTGTGCGCTGATTATCGCGGTTATCGGTGCCGGACATGGTTGCGGTTTCTGGATGCGTCGAGTTTGGGAGGCGCAGACGGGTTTTGAGGAGGGTGCAGCGTTTCTCGTTGTAGGGTTGTCACACGGATATAGTATGTAAGTCAAACGGTGAGTGAAAGAAACATGAAACAGGCATTCACCTCTCAACCTAAGACAAGCAAGCAACACTACCTTCCTGTTGTTTCACCCAAGCACACGACCGCAACGCCTCTCTATGTTACCACCACACACATTATGGCGTACTACACATAGCAGCATTCAAGTACCATCTTATCGGCCTTCCGACTTCGCTTCAACACCAATCAGGTGGCCAGAGCCAATTCCGTTGCACCCAGCGTCACCATCGACAACAAGGACCTCGCAAATACGAAAGACCCACCAAGACTCCATGTCGCGATCAAGCTGGCAACAACTCTCCGTGCCTTTTTCTCGCCCAAAGAAATTGGAAGCGTACGCCGCCCAGATGCCCGATCTCTCTCCATATCTCGGAAATCCTGGATCGCCATAGTCGATGCGGTAGCCGCAAGCAGCACGCTTGCAGATACCAGCTCAGACCCGCCGAACCGCAGCTCCGGACCTCCAGCAACACTAATACACCCAAACAGCCAGGTGACCAGTCCAAGAGCGCTCTCCGTGTCGCGGATAATCCAGAGTCCCTGGGAGCCGCCGAGCTCGTTGTAGTAGTAGGTGATGATCGTTTGCAGCAGAAAGGCGTTAAAACCACTGGCATACTAGCTAAACAGGACGCCGATAATTCGTGCTATATTCCGCACTTTGGCCGCGGATACTGGGCTTATTCGCTGAGCGGGTAGCGGTCTCCAAGGCTTGTCTATGCTATCTTCCTCGATGCTGTGGGGAAGGCGTTAATGGCAATGCTGAATTCTAGCGCGGCTTAGAAACGCGATTTAAACCTGACATACGGCCCCTGACTAGCAACGACAAATCTATCGGTGGCCCCTTTCTCCCTTCGATGCAATCTTTCAATGGCAGAAAGATGCTTTTCGTCGGCCGCCATGGTCATATCTATGCCATACTCGAACACCATTTGAGCCAATGCTAGCTTCATCTCTATCATAACCTAGTTCTTTCCGATGCATCCAATGGGGCCAATACCAAAGGGCTAGAACGCCGCTCTTGCGCGCCGAACCGTCTCCTCCCCACTCTCACTTGGGATCTAGCGTTGGGGATCAAACGTCTAGGGATTATCGAAATATTCCCTGTTTCGCATAACGGCGTGGTGTGATACACCCACATCAGTTCCTTCGACAACAACCTGGCCGCCGATCGACACGCCTCCTGCAAGCAACCCCCTCTGGAGGTAACCGCCAACTACAGGCGTCAATCGCAGCCCTTCATCAATGCAGGCAGAAGGGTACTCGCATTCTTGAAGCGTTGCGCCGGGTCGGACCTGGGAAACATCGGCAAATCTTGACCTGACCTCTTTCGCCAATCTCTCGAGAGCGTCCGGATTGTTCAACAGATTGAACAGAATGTTTGCGAGTGCATTTGCTGTGGTGTCAGACCCTGCTTAACTGTCAGGTTTAGTAGACAATCCGTCTTTCCACTTTGGACGTGCCCGCCATCACCAGAAGACTACTCTCACTTTCTAATTCCGGAACTGAAGTCCTCTCGTCGACATCATGCTTAGACTTTTCCAATAGCACACCGAACACACTCCTTGGCTGCACTGCACTCTCTAGCTTGTGAAGCTCGCGCTATACACTCTTTGGTGAGCGCAGCGCTGTACGACTCGTACTTGTCCATGGCCTGGCGAAGGCTTGAATTGAGGGTATCCAACTTGAGGGACGCTATTTTTGGCATGTGCCCAATCTATGCTATTCAGCATGCTGACCCGGATAGAGGTTTTTCTTGGCAATACCTACATACAGGCCGTCAGAGGCCTTGAAGAGAATTTCGGCTTTTCGAGGAGTTTCAAGAGAGCCAAATGACTTTCCAAAGCAAAAAAAAAAAAAAGGACTGCGCAGAATCAAAACTGCGATGCCCAAAATCACTGGCAAGGTCATATACAGGAGTAACGATCCAGGAATTGAAGGTGGAGCCGGTAGATGGTAAAACACGTTATCTACGCCTGTTAGAATCCACACAACGCCCCCGTTTCTGATACACACGAGCACCGAGATCGCCGTTACAATGATGACGAACATTTCCGCTAGTAGATGTCGAGCTTGCTGGCTAGCCTTTTAGAATGCGGCTTCGAATGTTGAAGTTTTAAGCAACCTCAGCGCTACGGAAAGAGTGACTCCAAGTGACATGTGACTGAGCTCTAGAGCTGAGCCGATACCGCTTTGTGTATCGATCAAGGCACAGTAACAATGGCTGCACGACAGCACGTCGGGGCCCCAACTCCAACAGTTACATTGAATGTAACACCAACGGAGTGGCGATGCACGGACTGCTCAGGTTGCTCGAATTAATCAAAGTGAAAGCATTCTGTGACTCCACTGAGGCACAGCATTTGAGGCATCACCAACTTCTTGTTCGTCCCTATCATTGAGTGCGCTGTAGTGCGGCACAGCAATGAGGTCGAAGCGATGCGCCAGTTTTGGATTCGGCATTATGCAACCTATCGCTCAGCTTGCCTGGCCCGCCTGCTCCACGACATATGTTGCGTGATTTGCATTCGGATTTCGAAAGGAAATGGTGTTAGGATATCAGTGGGGAGTATGTTATCTACGATATCGGCGCAAGCGAGGAGCGTTAGGTTGAACTCGAACCCGATAGTGACTCGATTGCTACCCAATCCCCTCATTTATCCCTTCACCTGTTGCACAATGTTATCGCGGACGGCGCATGTGGCCAACTCAAGGTTGCGGCACTCAGTAGTCCCATAGTGAACCAAGGTCGAACAAGTCTGTGCTTGGTACTGACACCTGAAGAAAATCACATCATTCACATTCAGGGTAATGGAAGATGGCATTCATGTACCCTAAAAGATGCAAATGAATTCAGGGCTACACTAGTTATTCGAGTCCTTTAGACCATAGCTGTAGCTTTAAGACCGTTTGCGGCCCACGCATACGAGCATGTCCGTAGTCACTGAGACGCCGTTTTCGATCTCAGCGCCGGAGTTATTCCATAGCTCCTCCCAATTTTTATCCGTTCCTACCATGCAACCATCCCGCACCGCGATCTTCGCAATATGGCCAAGGACCATGAGTAGCGAATCCGTCATTGGTTTCCTGAACTCTTTCTTCACGTCCATCCTGAAGTCGGCTAGCACGTCTAGGCCATGTTGCTCGAACAGCGACCCGAGACGGGGGATCCAGGAATAGTCGAGGCTCATAGCGGACCTAGCGGATACCAAGGACGTGTCGAGCATCTCTTGTGTCTCGGCGGCTGAAACGGACGGCTGGGGCGGGATGGCTTTCAAAGATTCGCTGTCCATCTCATCCCACTGGAAGTAGCCACCAGGCTTGAGCATCTTCACCGCGTTGGCGATAAGTTGTGCTGGGTTGCCATTCTTTACCACGGCAGTGAACACACGGACGTGGACGACATCGAATTTGCCTACCAGCTCCTCAGGAAGCGGATCCACGAAGGCATCGAGGACCTTCAGATTGACATTTCCGGGGAGGTTTTCTGGAGCCGGAAAATGAACCGCGGATATGTCGAATCCTGTCAAAACTGCTCGCTGCAGTTGCGCATCCTCCAGTTCGCCGGCCATCGATATGATCCAAGCTCTGGGAAACTCAGAATTAGCGAGGGTGAAACAGATGTGGGGTTGCCAATCGCACCCATTTCCGCAACCATGATCAGCTATGCGTAGCTCGCCATCCTCTGGAAGCTTTATGCTGGGGTGGAGATCCCAACCCATCTGCATCTTCCATAGCCACTGCTGTAAATGCAACCTGCGAGTCGTTAGGCACCTTGGGTGAGAGTCCTGTACTTGGAGGAAACATACCGCCCCGATTCCGCGTATCCGTGCGAGATAATATAGTTCGTTCGTAAGTCGGTCATCTTGCAACAAGATGGTTGACGGCAATGATAACTTGGAGGGGCGAAGCAACTTGTTCGGAGGTGGGTTGTAGCATGTGAGCAGAGCCTTGACCCTTTAGTAGTTATGTAGATGGCCCTAGCTCTTTCCCTCGTCATAGCAACGCCGTCCTCGCTACGTGCCTTCCTTAGTCCGCGTAACCTCTATAGGTTGGTGACTCAAAAAGAGGAAAACCAATCACGTGCCTTCCTTCAGGCGCCCGTTTCCCTTCCTTCCTTCTTTCCCAATTCTCCTTGCTGCAGCGGTTAATTTGCCCATGTAGTCGTCGTGTAACACCGAATTGATTGACGGCGGGAGGGCAGCTTCAGCAGTAGCCAACAATATTTGCGAGAATAGGAAAGACGTCCACGTGTTTGGCAAGAAACGGAATTCAACAAGGATCATTTGTGTTCGGTGTTGTCGACATTCCCTCGTTGAGGATTGACCATTTGGCATGTTATGAATAGAAGATGTTAGTTTGCTTTAGGTATATCAGTTCGCTCTAGTGGCATTCAATGATATCGCGGCCTCTTACGTCCACTCGCCCTTCCTCCGCTCTGAAACTCCAAATCTTGGGAGGCTGAGAAACCGACGGTGACCGGTAAGAGTAAAGCTGGGCATTCGCTGTCAAACCGAGGGTTATTGTAAGGTTTGGATTTTAGACTAGGATTAACTTGAAACAACTCAATTGTTGGAAAATGAGCGGATGTTTTTCGTATTTTCTGCTGCAGGCGTAGATGACTGATCGCTTATCCGCACCCGTCCTGCTCTTGCGAGTCGGACCTACCCCCATAGACCCCTCCATTAAGAATCCACTGCTCATTATCGTCGTTGTCGTCTTGTACTCTCCTCCATGCCTGTTTCCTCTCTCCCTCTTTCTCCTTCCCCTTGCCTTCAACCTTGATCGTTGGTCGGATCAGGCCACCAAGGAGTGGATTCCTGCTGAACGCACCTCCTCCACCGGATAAGGTGCCTTGGCTCCCAACGTCAGTCGGCTCAAGCAGATCCTCGCCGCTCTCTGGAGACGACGGCCTTTCGACTACCGCCATCCTCTTGACGATCTTTCCCCCTACTAGGTCGATACTCGCTACGACTTTTCTCTTCTCGTAATCAGGTCTTGCATTCCATTCTTGCTCTTTTAGCGCTTTTTGCTGCCGCTTGAGCTGCATTGCCCTCTCTTGTGGACTGGCCCACATGCTTAAGCCAGCAGTCGTGGTTTCGAAGTCTGCCGCTTCGTCGTGGACCTGAGTTCGTCGAGCATTCTGCGCCTGGAAAGCAAGGAGCTTGTCTCGGTGCTGTTTCGCTTTCGAAAGCTTCTCACTCTCCGACTCAACATCTGATGCAGGATTTGAAGAAACTGGAGTAGTGGACCTCGGTGTCGAGAAAGGGCGTGGTGCCAGTGACACATCCGCACGCTTCTGCCCGGCATTGTTTGCCGCCATTTTTTCTTTACCGCGCTCTTCCTTCAGCACTCTAACCATGGACTGAATCTCACTAGAGCTGATTAATGGCTGATTACAGAATGTACAAGGCCCTATGCCTTCCTTCACACAGATGATCTTGCCGCAGTTGAGGCAGTTCGGTGCTGCTTCAAGCAGCGGGTGGCGTGTCGCCATGCAGTCGCATTTCCGCTTGTTATTGTCTTGACCTGCGGACAGAGTCGGGTTCGTCTGGATTTCCAGCGCTCTTATCGCAGACTCCAGGTCGCTCAGCGCGGTGGAAGCTCCGTGCATGGGCGTTCCGCCGGCGACGCTGACTTTCGCTTTTGGTTTGGGGGAGGAAGTCCTGGAGGGAATTGCATCTGAAATCAACTGACCCGCTGCAGAAGGAGGCAGCTTCTGCACCGGTGCAGGTCGTGCCGGCGAGATGCCGCGTGATTTTGGTGTCGACGTGCCTGAGGATGTGGTTGGTTTCTGGGCGGCGTCTGGTTTATCCGATAGAGCGAAAGCATTCGGCTTCAGACCCTTCGACTTCGATGCTCCGGCCATATAGTCTCCCTCATCTTTCTTGATATAAGCACCCGCGGTATTGCCGTAGTTCTCCGGTTGCCGCGGAGGAGGAAGCTTCAGGCCCTGCTTCTTCTTATTCCTCGTCTTGGCTTTCGGGACCTCTGAGATGTCAGTTGATGCTTGAGCTTGACTTGAACTAGCCGAAGCTTTCAATTTTCTCCGGTTGTTGAACGAGGTGATGAACTCCAGGGCTTGAGGGCTGTCTCCGAGGAAATTCTGGAGGTGGTCTGCCGCTTCCTTATTCGACAGTGTCTCTGTGTAAGAGATGACCTGCTTGAGCGATTCTTCATCTAGCGGCAGAAGCTTCGATAGTTGCGGCAGGGCCCAGGCCGATAGATCCATTATTGCGGTTGATGATGGGTGTTCAGGTGACGGAGCGTTTCTCTGATTCATCGATATAGTAAGCGTCAAGCCACAGCTGTGGCGTTGTGGCGGTGCTTTTCCCGGGCGCAGACCCAGAGCAACACTTCACGACCATCCAGGTACTCAACCTTCCCCTCATTACTTGCCCGCCATGACGACCGAGGTCGAACTCGAAACTACTGTGGTATAACCATGGCCCCCGTTTTCTTTCCATCAAGTAGCTTGCTCATCAGACTCCTCAGGGCACAATCACCGTCGAACTCTACACCGACCACGCGCCGAAAACGTGCAAGAACTTCTCCACGCTCGCCCAGCGCAACTACTACAATGGCGTCGTCTTCCACCGCATAATCCCCAACTTCATGATCCAGGGCGGCGACCCCACCGGCACCGGCCGCGGCGGCGCGTCCATCTTCGGCGAAAAGTTCGAAGACGAGATATCGCCCGCGCTGAAGCACACCGGGGCAGGCATACTGAGTATGGCGAATTCAGGTCCAAATACAAATGGAAGTCAGTTCTTTATTACCTTGGCGCCGACGCCGTGGCTGGACGGCAAGCATACCATATTTGGCAGGGTGAAGAGCGGGATGCAGGTAGTGAAGAAGCTAGGCTTGGTCAAGACCGACAAGGAGGATAGACCGGTCGAAGAGGTCAAAATTGTGAGGGCATACCCTGTCGAGAAGGATGATCTCGTGTGAGGGGAGCAATGAAGAGAATCAGCCCTTAGCCAAAGCGTTCGAGAATGCTGGCCACTGGGAGAAAACAGCCGGAGAATGGAGCACGTATCTGCTGCGCCCAACGAGCAGCTTTCATATCAATAGATGCTCTTATATGATATTGTGAGTGCTACAAATTCAACTTAGGTACAGCGAAGCTTATAAACCAGGTCAGCCTACAACGGCCCGTTCGGATGAATCAAAACTTTGGTATACCCCTCTATCCGCTTGTCGAACTTCTCATACGCCCCCGGCGCATCGTCGATGTTGATCTCATGCGACACCACAAAGCTAGGCTTTGCTTTGCCGGAGATGATTAAGTCTCGCAGATAGCGGTTGTACGCTTTCACGTTGCATTGACCGGTCCCCAACGACAAGCCCTACCCAGTGTTAGCGGTAGAGGATCAGGTGTGGACCCAAATTTACCTTCTCGAACAGCTTTCCAAACGACAGCAAGATTTGGCCCTTCTTGCTCTGCTCGTCGGGTGCTCCGGGATCCGCCGGCACATAGAGGCCAGGAATACCAAGTCCTCCGGTCGGTCTCGTCACCATTATCAACTGGTCCAGGACGATGTTCGGTTTCTCCTTGCTTCCGGAAGAGTCCACTGCTTGGTATCCGACAGCATCGACTGCCCGATCCACCATCCCTTCATTTAGCTTGATGATTTGCTCGACAGGATCGCTCTTCTTGAAGTCGATTGGTATACAGCCAATCTTCTTCGCCGCATCTAGTCGCTCAGGTACGGTGTCTACGACAAAGACCTTGCTCGCGCCGCGAAGGATCCCGCTATATGCCGCCATCAAACCTACGGGACCTGTCGAACATCAGTGGCGGATCCATAGTTACCGATGCCCACGTACCAGCTCCGAAGACTGCGACACTTTCTCCAGGCTTGAATCCAGCAAGCGTCAGCCCATGCCATCCGGTTGGGAAGATGTCCGCTAGCAGTGCGAAGTCCGCTTCGTGCTCTTTTCCCTTTGGCAGCTTCAACGCATTGAAATCCGCGTAAGGAACACGTAAAAACTGCGCTTGTCCGCCTTGGTATGGTCCCATGGCGACATATCCGTATGCGCCGCCTGCGAATCCTGGATTGACTCTGTGCTGCCGTCAGCTCGTTTTTCCTCATTTCAGAACGCAATGGAACTCTTACCCTGTGCAGAATGCTGTTCGACCCTCCTCGCAATTACGACACCGGCCGTCTGCTACGTTGAACGGCAGCACAATCCTATCGCCCTTCTCCAGCAGAGTCACACCCGAACCAGTCTCGACAACGATGCCCATGTTCTCGTGTCCGAACACTAAGCCAGCTTCCGCCGCCGTCCGACCTTGGTACATATGCAAGTCGGATCCACAAATGGCTGCGCAAGCTGTTAACGCGAACTCGATACTCGTTCCAATGCAGGAGCCATACCAGCGGTCGTCACCTTGATGATTGCATCATCCGGATGCTGAATCTTCGGACCCTCGACCTCCTTCACCGAGACCTTGAAAGGCCCCTCATAATGCACTGCTTTCATCTTATCCGGCATGTTTGTTGAGCTTGCTCCGTTCGTCGTGGTGTCCCCGGGGTCGTTTTGAGGATCAAGCAGTGGGACGACGTCGGCCTGGTTACCTGGGTTTACGGACATCTTGACCGGTTAAAATAATAGAGGGGTCGCAGGCAAGATGACGCGCTTTGCAGAGACGTGGTTGCTTTTTCTTATGTTTATAGGGGAAAGAATCGCGGGGATGCGGAACGCCATCGTCATTGTTGTGAGGGGCTGTTCGTCGATCTTTGTGGGGTGCAGGGAGCGGTTCCGAAAGGCTTGTCCCGGCTCGGAAGCAGGAATCATGCCATGCGCTATTCCCGAACACCACTTGCGGATTGGGTAACTATGGTCGGTATATAATGAGGATTAAGTGTCGTTGCAGGATTGCCGTTGCGCGTTGCGGTCTGAGGTGGGAGATGCGGTATGTGAGGAGCCTGTGGGAAGATGCTGGACTGTGGATGCCACCTTTGCTAAGTTCTGTAGCAGAATATTCAGAGATCAGACCTTCTTGAGACTGTCGTCCACTACCTGACGGATCGCGCTTCAGTCTAGCCCAATTAGTCCTAGCGCGTACGCCAGGCAATGAATGGCCGGGGATAGAGAAACCCCTCCTCCCTAAAACACAAGTATCATTCGACATTGTTTCGCGAGTCTCTCTTAACACTAGATCATAACATGATTATGCAAGGCCATCCAGCACCTCCCGATGAATTGGAGTCTTTAGTATCTCCGCTAAGTCCGAGCTGCAGAATCCTGATCCGCACGATTCGATGGCTTCCGCAAATGTCACTCGCGTTCTCCGCTAAACGTCTCTATTTTGCTACACAACAGTACGTAGTCCGACACTGCGACTTCCTCCGCCCTAGCGAGCTCAGGACGTACCTCACCCTTAGCATCGCAATCCTCATGCCTTCCCCTCCTTTCCCAATCTCTTCTCCCTGTTCGCCCTCGCCCTCTTCATAACCCCTCTCAACCCCTCCGTCTTCAAACTATCCAAAAACTCCACCGTCCGCACAATCTTCTCCCCACTCTCATCCATCCAAAACATAAACACATACTCGCCCTCATAGTCCCAGTCCACCCCCTCTCCCTCGTCTTTAACATCCTCCCTAAACTGCGTCTTACTCGTCGCCCACACCACCACGGAGTTGCTGCTCTCGCTTTCGATGTACTGCTTCGCGTAGACGGGAAACCCGGTCATGATCTCGCGCAGAGACGAAATGTGGTGCACGAAGGTGGATTTGTCGAGCGGTTCGCGGCTCATGCCGAGGGAGGCGGGGGCGAAGGTGTGGGCTGCGGAGTCCGCGAGGACAGAGGAGAGGAGGGTTGTGTCGAGAGTGGCGAACATGGAGATGTATTTTTTGGCGGTTTCAAGGCGTTTGGACGACATGGTATGTTGTGTGGGTTTGGCTGCGGTGGTGGAAGGTTGAGAAAAGGAGCGTGGAAGGAGAAATGGTACATAGACGGCGGTATATAGTAGAGTCCGTGAGTAACTACTTAGATACGGCGCTCGGAGTTTACGGAGATAATGCTTTCTTGTAGCCACTGCGCTCTCTCTTAGGCAAGGCTTGAGCTCTGTGATTTGAAGGCCGCTGCTAGAAGGAGTGTCTGATCATCGATCTGGCCTATGTAGGTCTGACGGCTTCGGATAGAACTTCCTAGTAAGAGGCCAGGCACATCACCGAAAGCCCAATCTCGTAGTCACGGGCTCAAGTAAGCCATCCTAAACATTATGCAAGTGGAATGATGTTCAAGTGCCGCATCCCTATGCAGAGAGGCTCCAATCATTGTATTCAAGGCATATTACGATGTGTTCGACGGTCTGAGTTCGGGGTTAACGTCATGTTTATTAGCGTTCTATCATTTTCCACCTTCAAGCCGGACGCACATCATCCTGCCACCCGCTTTCCACGAACGAGGCGGTACACATAGCAGCATGCCTGAATGCCTCCAACGCAAAGACACGAGCCACTAGCCAACGATACCGCCACAATCCGGCCCAACTCAATCTACGCCTTCACACACGAGAAGTATCCCGCCCAAAGCGACCAATCGCCCGTATCGTTCTGCGACGGATAATTCCACGCATTCCACTGCGCCTGCGTAATCCCATTCGATCTAAGCAGCGCCGCGAAGCCAGGCTTGCCACTGCTATCCGTGAACTCGAACTGTGTGCAATTCGACACAATTCCCGGCTGCACGGGCACAGGCGTCTGCTCGGGCGTCCAAATCTCGCCGCCCTCGACGGGGCCGGGGTACGTGTAGCCGGTCACGTCAATGCAGACAGGGACGTGGGACTGCAAGCCGAAGCACTCACGGCCGATCTCGGGATTCCAGGCGTAGAGGTCGGTGGCTCGGAAGGACTGGTATTTTGCAACGATTGATGTGCAGCTGTCGCCGTCTTCTACGGTGTAGTTTGCGACACCTGGTGGGGTTAGCTTTTTAGGTAGGAGAGGAGGGAGGTGGGTGGTTGGACTTACAGTTCGTGGGTCTGATGATGCAGACGCAGCCTGCGCCGACGCTGCAGTAGTTCGTGCAATGGTCGGGCATGGTTGCTTGACGGGGTTGGAGGAAGGAGGCTCCGGGGAAAGGGACTGCAGCCACGGCAGAGATGGAGGCTAGAAGAGCCATGCCGGCGGAAAGCGTGAAGGCCATGATTACGACGTAACTTTCAAGGCTCTGGAGGGATGTTCACCAAAGGAATGATTGACGACGGGAATGGGAAAGTGATAGACTGGAAGACCGAAGCGTGATGCTCCTCCAAAACCGAGACTTGAACTTCACCTTTATACTCGAAAAGTAATTTAACGTCGCAAACGCACAGATCGACAGGGGCCCACGATACTAGCACAATAGCGCACCTGCAAAGGCCGAGAAATGAAGGCCTACTGGGATGCAAATCCTGAACGATCTCAAAATAAAGATCCGAGTAACGCTACCTAGATCGAATCTCATGTATCTCCTGCTGCTGCCTGCGAAGCATCTGGGTATGCCTTAGGTAGATTACCCAAATCGGACGTGCAATATCCTCGCCAATAGATCTAACCATGCATTTCGATAATTGAGTGAGGTGAGTCAGCCTCGCATTTGACAAGGCGGGTAGAACCGTTAACAGGCGGACGCTCGTGAAAAGCTTGGTTGAGAGCCTATTGTGTCGTCTTGCGAAGGCAGCAACGCTTGTGAGGGAGCGGAGTTGAGGTAGGCAGGCCGCTTGCGCCCCCTTTTGAAGGGATTTTGATTGTTAGGTTAATATAGTGCTCTCGGTAAGCATGCACACCCTTGGTTGTAGGCTAGCTGGGTCCCGAACGCGCGGGTCTGTCGCGCGATCACGGGGAAGGCTTAGGAAGCGAGGCCCACAGAGTTCTTTGGAGCCTAGGAGGATGGGACGGTAATTTTCTTTCGGCAGTCTGGGTACCGGTCTGGTGAATAATAGTGCAGGTAGCGAAGTTTGGTTGCTTGGATACTTTTCATCGTCTGACGTCAGCAACCCATTAACAAGCACTTGCTTACTAGCTGTAAAGAGAAAATACTCAGGGTTCGCAAGATGCAAATGAATGGTGCAAGGAAGCTCGTTACCCCGCTTGATGACTGCTTCCTGAGTGCTCTAAGTGGTTAGCATGCCCGTTCCCACCAGATCAACCGTGAAAGGGACACGAATCGGTGCCACGAACAACGAGAAAGAATAAGACACCCGCAATATGGCATGCAAGCTCTGTTGACTAGCGGGAACCGATTACCCTCCCATGACCATGCGCAATGTCGCATAGAGTTGAGCAACCCGATAATTCAAACAGTATCCCCCACCGTCTCACCCTCATCCTCAATACAAAGCACCCTTCTACATCCACGGTTTTCTCTGAGTCGTACACTGATCGTCCCATCCTCTTCAGGTGGCCCAACCCCCAAACACTCCACCTTAATCGGTTCACAAGTCATGAAGATCTGCACCTCTTGAATCCTGAGTCTGATCTTCTTCTTGACGTCGGTCGTACCGTCCTCCACGACAGTGACATCGTACCCATCATCCGTCTGCCGTGTCATGCAGAATGAGTAAGCACTTTCCCGAGGGGTCTCAGCGTCCTTCTTCATTTTCAGAGCTAGCTCGGCGATTTCGCGCGAGTGCGTAACAAAGAGGGCTTCAGGGTCGCTCATGGTGTTGAAGGTGTTGTCGGGTTGAGCGGGAAGTTGGAACGGTCCATTGATGGTTGTGATGGGTTTTTGGATTTCGGAGCGGAGGCCAACGTACATGCGCGTGGGGAGTATCCATGCCGATGGTGACATCTTTGGGTAGCTTGTTTTCTGGAAAGGTTCCGGCTTCCCTACTTATATCCGACCCAGTGTTGATTGCTCGATATCAAGCCCGATGCTTTGACAATCCCTTTGTCGGAACTGATACGAAGAACATCGATTGCAGGAAGCAAGCAGCTTCTCGTCCCGACGTCTCTTCCTCAAACATTATCACAATTGCCGACCTTGCCTAATTCCAGCGGTTTGTGGCCGAAGTCCCCGTCGCTGAGCCTTACAAAATTAGATCGAAAAGAATTTGGTGCTCTCCTTTGTGCACCTGGTGGTACCAGGCTACCGTATGTGGGAAGTACGCAGATGATGACAGCGATGCTGGGTTGGAGCAACACCCACAGGACGACGAGATCGGTGTTATGAGCAAGATTTGGAGACAGATACCAGACCGTGCGCAAGACATCGAGAGCCATGGTCAGGAAAACCAAAGTGAAGATGAAAAGCAGGCCTATCAGATGGGCTTTGTTCAGCCCTGCTCTCCATGGCAACATGGGAATAGGGAGCAGCATTACTAGAGCAAAGTGTTAGCCGTTTCATCCACGGGCGGAAGCTCATGCAAACCAGAACTCACACAGAATGCATCCGATGATATCTAACGTGCACCACACTGAGAGTAATGCTTTCAGGATCGACATACTCAGATGCGTGCACGCCTCTGTAGCCAGTAAATAAGGAGTCCGTTACGGTCGGAGCAGGAACACTTACCCAAATCACCAAGTTTAGACGGCGTACCGCACTGCCAAAAGACCGACATCCATGTCACTCCAAAGCTGATAGCAACGAACGCAGCCGTCACCCACCAAGCGACCCGGAAGCGACGCGACGCGGCAAAAACACGCCAGTACAAGGCTAGAAAGCTCGCTTTCACCATGTACACAACAATCCAGAAGAACAAAAGCGTAGCCAGCACCATCTTGACGGAGAACGTCATCTCCTCTCTTGACGGGTTATCATCGCTGACGCCTAGCATGACCAGCTGTGCTCGGTACTCGATCGGGATATAGGCTAGAGTCGCAGCAACGAGGGGTATCAGCAGAGTCGCGGCTACTACGTTGAAACAGTCGTCCAGGTGAAGTCGGCGCGATTTGCGCCATCGGATACCTAGTCGTCCGAGTGTAAGGAGAATAGCTATCGCAGCCGTTGTCCATGCGATAGCCTAGAACAGTCAGCTGTGAACACTCAAAAGTTGGTACATTCATGATTGATGCCGCGTACTTTCAGAGCTGGGACCGATATAATATACGGAAAGTCCGCAAGCGTGGCCCCGGTAGACCTCTCAAGCAATCGCCGCATCATGCACTTGCTAGCTTTCACGATGGTGGCTAGTTAAGGCCAAAGCCTGCTGGTGAGCGCGTGTGTTATGGTGCGACAATCTCCTCGCTGCCCGTTCGCTGCCTGATATATATAACGCCAATTTGGGGGCCATCTCCCATGGCGTTTCTAGGGCTGAGGGCAAACAGGGTTGACGATGTCGATCGAGGGGCCAACAATGAGAGGCCTGATGAATAACCCATGCCATGGGCACGGTATCCGTCATATGCCATACCTGGTTCCTTGACGCGCCAACGAGGTGCTATTTTCGTTCACGATTCGGCGACTTTCTCGGGGTCGCTCAGGGCCGGCGACGCTGGCGGCTGGTGGCAGCAGTTCTGCTGAAACAAGTGACCATGTGAAAGCGCATCTCGTTCGCAGATTTGTTTGGATACCAAGAGCAAGGTAGAGGTTGATGGCAGAAGGTGTCGCGCGTCAGGGCTTTCCTTGCGGGCCCGGGTGTTTCGGGCTAGCGATTCGACGCCAGTGGTAGCCGTTTCTGGCTTAAGCCCTGATTCCCAACCAAGGGTCGTTCACCACTAGATATTTTTCCAACGCCACCAGCAGCATCTCCCGGGATATGCTCTTCCTCGAAGAAGAAAGGATTCTCCCTTCTCGAAATTATACAGTAATTAGGGTAGAATTTGTACTGCGTGCGTAGCTTCCATACCCTGATTAGTACACGCGCAACACTTCCACACATATTATCAAGCCGGCCTCGAAGAGTTAACTTATCGTTGCTGCACTGACCTTTGAATCGAAAACTTCGAAGATTATCCTATGAAGTCAGATGCATATTGTCGAAGAGAACGAACATGCGCTTGGACTGGCCGCTATAGGCTCTCTTCCTACCGTTACTCCGCGGATTTCGACGCCGCCCTTCCTTCTCTTCGCGCACGCCTAGGCAACCAGATTTAATACGACGCTGCTTCTCGTCTAGCTCTGCCTAGGCTTTACTAAAAGGAACTCAGCCGCTGCCGAGCGGCCGAGCCAAGTCAGCCATCTAGACCACGCGAACACAGATAGGGGTAGTCGCCAAGGAGAGAATTCCCATGCATAATGGATTGAGCTGTTGGAAAGCGAGAGACGAGGTCGACTTCGTTAAGCCTTGTCCTCTTAAGAGACCCTGGGACGAAGGGCTTAGTACAAGCAGCAGTAGGACCCATTCTAACTTACGTATAGTAAGCACCCCCTTTGCAGTCCTTTGTGGTCAAGGACGCTCGCTTCGCGTGGTCCTTCTGGTCTTTACCAACGGGTATTTCCTCGAATTACCCAATAAGTATTTCAGAACAGACTGCTAACTGAACCGCCACTAGTAGGGTTTACGAGAGTATGGGTAGTCCAAGAATTCGGTTTGGCGGCAGCGACAACATTGATCTGCGGAAGCAAACGCATCACAGCCGAGGAGGCCCTGGTGGCTCGCCAGATATTCAACAAAGGCGTCAGTCGCACTACGAAGCAGATTAGAGATCTTGCTCTCAAGGTTCACTATGATCCATGTCAAGTCTTCTTTTCCGTGCGACAGCGGAGAAAGAATCGAGACGCAGGTACGGGGACCGGCGATAACTTGTATCAGCTGCTCCGAAAGTTGTACGTCGACAACAAGGTGTAAGCGAAATACGCTTGTGACACGGTATATGGGGTCCTTGGAATAGCCACCGATACAGAGAAGCTCGGTATACGGGTAGGTTACAGTGAGCAAAGCGACTTGATATTTGCTCGTACGGCAAGGGCAATCATAGCGAACGGAGATATCGATATACTGGCTCTGTCCTATTATCCGAAACTGGATCAGAACCGGAAAATTTGGGACCTCCCATCTTGGGTGTCTGACTGGACTAGCCCAATTCGTCGATCTTTCGCCTGGCAGGCGCCTGTTGAGGAAGTTCCTTACTTCACAGCCTCTGAAAACAGTCCATTAGAGATGGTAGATTCCGGTAATGAACTCATTCTTGGTTTGAAGGGATGCTTCGTCGACGAAATTGAAGAGGTGGCAGGAATCTGGGATGGAAACGAGAATCAAAGCATGCAAGACGATCAGAAAGAGGAACAGAAGCCGGAAAGCGAAGAGAACAAAGGGAGTGAAGATGAGTTCAGCCCTGGAGATAAAAAAGACGGCAAAGATCTCTATGTATCATGCGGACATGAAGGATACCTCACATACCTAGCTCAAATCCGGCTGCTCTGCAAGATGTCGGCGATCAAAAACAAGGACATATATCCATCATCGACAAGACGAGCCGAAGCATTATGGCGAATTCCGATCGGAGACATCGAAGCAACGTCGAGTTTCGATGGCGTACGAGCCACAAGTGCGTGCGTGGACGCCTACGAGATAAGCGTGCGCAACCTAGAAAACCTAGAGCAGGCGAAAGCGTTGACGAAACAGAAATATGAGGTCACAATGGAGGAACACAGAAGAACTGAAGCTATGGGAATTGCTGGTCGGTACCGGTTGCAAATGGGAGGAATGAAGTACAAAAGGCCGTTTCTCACCAGAGACGGGTACGTCGGAATGGGTCCCTTGTATATGCGTCCTAGAGATGTTGTCGTCGTATTTATGGGAGCGAGGTTACCCTACGTAGTCCGCCCTGTAGAAGGGATATCGTTCCGATTGCTCGGCGAGTGTTATTGTGATGGGATCATGGATGGAGAGATGGTGAAGAAGCGGAAGAAGAAGGATTTCTTTTTGGTTTAGCCTCTCGGCCATTCCACTTTGGTGTTAGCTCAATGGATCATCATCGATCCTTCTCCGCCCTCCCTTCCCGAGGTCCTCTTCCCCAATTTCTCACCATCTATACCACTCCTGCAGTAGGTTGTCCGAATTCAAATGTCGACAGAATCTAAGCGCAGTGGAAATGATCCACCTCTCAGTACCCGCCGCCGTTGAACAATCTGAGGGATCTCGGCGACGCTGGTTCCGATTCAGCCCGACGTGCAACGACAAAGCACCCGATGGGCACTACCCATGACATACTACAGTACTGATCAATCACCCGCGATAGATCTTGGGCCCATTACATTAGTACGAGACCAGGCAGATACTGGGCCTGCGGAAGGACCTCGGCACGCTTGTCGAAGGACCCCTCGTGGTGTGCGAAAATGAAATGAGCGAACGACCGATCTCATTTCGTATACTGGTGGCAGATGCCATCTCAGAAACTCAATAAACACGAGCAAATTTGAGAAGAGAGTGTGGTGATATGCGACGAAAGAGATAATGGAACCACAACAGAACGCCCATCAAGAGACTCCGGAGTGTAAACGGAAGTCCGAAACAAATCCCGCTGTTACCATCGATGAGCTTCAATCTCGGATTCAATGGCATGATAAAGGCAGATCAATAGTTGAAACCCAGAGACACCGCATCACAGCCTGACGAGGGCGGTAATCCGACCATCTCTGCGTCTCGATTCACTTCGCCACCTGGGATCATCTCTGTCCGAGCCCTGTATGCCGCTCTCGGGGTGAGGATCGAGTGATTCGAATCCCGATCACGGTTAAGGTTCCTGCCTCGCGGCCGCACATATCTATATCCGTTTGTAAAGATCGGTTGGGCGTGAGAATGTTCGGTCCTGAATGGAGAGCCTTCGTCGTTCCCGACAACCGTTTCTTCTTCGTCATCTTCTGGGTCGAATCGAGAGGCTAGCTCTTGACTGCAGATAAGGGCTCTACTTTCGGGGTGGCGTGGGGATAATTGAGGAGGCGCGCCATTGGGGGAGGATTCGCGGTTCCGAGCTTCGGCTGGCCGATCGTGTTGGTGCACCGAGTTGGCCCTGACGTGGATTCCCATAACTCTACTCACTGCCTCCATCTTGTCCAGCTGTCTGTGGAAGGTGTATCGATCCAGACCGTCGTAATTGTTACTCTGATCTGCAGCGCCATCCCCAACGTCGACCCCACCAATTTCCACTGAGCCTTCAGCACGCTCTGCGAGTCGACCCCACCCATTCTGGGACGCTGCGCTGCTTGCGCGCCCTACATGGACCCTCCCGAGCTTGAAAGATGTCTGGGTACGAGTCAGGAATGCTCGAAAACAACCGAGTGCATGGTACATATACTTACTACGCGTGCCTGGTCCATGTTGCCCATCGGGTGGGGGCTGATGTCCATCGCTCTGGGTTCTGGTTGGACGAATGTTCGTCGGGCTTGTCAAGGTGTCCTCGGCTAGGACCAATTTAGATTCTCCCTTTTTGTGCGCTAAGTCTCGAAAGCTCGTGCGAGAGCGTCCGTTGCACCAACTGAAGACCAACAAACCCCGAGGAATCTAGGTCTTTTCGCTTGAGCAATCAAGCTTAAGGCCCGATGTGAGATCTCAGAAAGTTCGAATACCAGTGTAATGATATGCTCGGAGACCTCGTTCTGCGCTTGGGGAGATTTTTGAAAGATGCACCGGACAATCTTCAGTAGATTTTCAATGTTCGACTTCTGATCTTGCCAAAGAGGAGGACCGTCCCGCATCTTTTTATGCAATTTGGTCAATGCCTGCCTTATGCTTGCGGCGCATACCGAGGCTAATTGATAGAGGAGCGTGGGTCCAGTGCGTAGCCCCGGACTAAGAATAGGAAGAGGAAGTAATGAGGGATGGAGCCATTCAGCCTTGTGTGTAGCGATTCGCGCTAGCCAAGCTCAGATCCGAGACTACGAACAGTGCAACGTTGCACAGCATGCCGTAGAATTGGGTAGTGGCCCCACTTCGAGCCGGTCAAGAGCCCCCAAGAAGGTCTCCACGATCGCCAAAGATAGAGGAGAAAATAGAACTCCGATCTTCGTGTCCGGTGAAGCTGCAAGCGTGGAATTTATGGCGCGTCCTCCGAGCTCAAGCGTCCAATCAGAGGACGCAGATGCCCCCCCACTACGACGGCTCCGCCTCATGGGGCGTAATTGAAGGCAAACGGAGGACGCTGCAAGAGGTGGTCAAAATGCTCAGTTCTGGGCGTTCTTGGTTCTGGGTTATTAAGACGCGAGTCTGATGAATAATGGCCAAATCCTCGATGGCCTCTGGATCTTGGATGTGATAAGCCTTGCACCACCTGCATTCCGCCCTATATGAGCTCGCCACATAGAGAGCCCAGTCCAGAGCATCTTTTTCAATACAAAAGTACCAGGGCACCACTCGTACCAAAACGTCAAAAATAGCCGATCGAATAACCATGACGCCAGTAGTCGGATCCGGTATGGAGACCAAACATACTACATCTATTACCATCCAAGTGATACTTCTACCGCCAGCTCAAAAGCTCGAGATCCAACTTCACCTCTTTCCCATCTTAAGCGGCATGCTGCAATCATCCGTTTTACGTCCAGGCTCCATCTTCTGATCCCAGTTGTGGTCATTGCCTTCTCGATCGCTATACCCATTACCATTTCCATACAGCGCTCTCGAAGTAATCCACAAGGAAACCATGGCTCTAGTATCTCCAGTCCAGTGAGTCCACTGAAATCACTCTGAAGCTCCTATACTGACTTTCTTAACTCAGCCATCCGTGGACGCCACCACCGCTAACCTGGCAATCGAGTCTCTTTCCCTCCCAACACCCGGTCCAACAACATGCAGCCAGCGAGCAGCGATAGAAGCTACCACAGCCTCACAAATCACGAACCCAAAAAGGACTTCAATTACAAATTCCTCGCCCTCTCACACCACAACCCTAGCCCTTCCTTTTTCGGCTGGCGACCCCTGCACCGCCGGCAGCCAGTGCAAACATGCAAACATTTGCTACCATATTATGGAGACGGCGACTTGTTGCGATCCAGCGCTGTGGGGATGTCCGGGAGCGCCATGTCGGGATTACAACGACTGCAAGGATTCCTACGGATGTCTCATCGAGTCGAGCATATGCTGTGGATATCCGCCTTATCTGGACCTATCAGGACCGACTTGTTACCCGGTGTCATGAGAGGCAACGATAGCAGAGCGCCGTGGACCCAGTGCGGACGGGCACCTCAGGATATATGGTGAACGGTGGACAACATCATAGGGAAGATTTGAGGACAATTCCGCCACAGTACATACTAAGTTCATGCCACAATGTTGCATGGGAATATTGGAGTTACGTACGGTAGATCAATCGCCTCAAGGGCTTTTCTTTGAAGGTCTCTTCTCGGCCTTTCTTAGTGTAGCCTTCTTCATTCAAACAATTTTTGTTTCGCAATCTAGCATTCGCTAACAGCATCAAGTGCAAAATCCTTACTTGATAAGAAAAAAAAAACTTCATCGCCTCCGCGGCAAGCATCTGACATGCGGACGAGGTCTATTGAAAGCGTCACCTTTGCCAAGCTGTGATGCATTTCTTCCACGCGCCGTGGCCAAGTGATGTGAGTGAATGCTTAGGTGATAGCAGATAGAATGATCAGGCGCTTCAGGTCCACATATTAAAAGGCACCGTAATGGCGATGCAGTCGACTATAACCCCAACTCGGCACCAACACGCCTCAGGCCCAGCCCCCACAGAACCATATGTACGCTATCCTTACCTCCTCGCACGGGACCCGTGGGATCGGCTTCAACGTCCTCTGCGTCTGCCCTACCTACGCGCAAGCTTGCCATTTTCTGCAGAGTGAGTAGGCGACGAATGTCGGAGGCCATCCGTACGCGCCGTGGCATCACTCGGAACTCGTGTTTCCAGGTGGAACTCGATCGTTCTATGCTTACCGCACGATTTTGGATCAAAATGTAGTTGCACAGGAGATTATATGGACTGAGATGGTCGCGATTAAGTACGTAGCGAACGTGGGGAGGGGTTAAGGGGCAAGGTTAGAGGAAATGAGGGAGGCAAAGCTGGCTGCTTCCTACGCGCCGAGAGACGACCGGAGGGAGACAATGGCGATCGATCCTAGGGTTTTGCATGGACCGGGATGAAAGGGAACACGCGACGGAGAATTGAGGTAGGGAAAGAATATAGCCTTGAGAGAGAGGATTTAGAGGAGGGACATCTGACAATACCAAGTGGGGAAAGGAGAGTGACCAAAGTGATGTCCCGCTTACACAGGACGGTGCCGACCAAAAGAATACTGTCTCACACCCCGCAGAAAGCCCGCGAACGATCTCTGGCGGTGAAAGTTTGTTTACTGACGCGCTAGCGCCCTCCCTCTTCTCACTATATAGAACCGCGCTCCCAGCCCCATCGCAGCGTACTCTTCTCAGCGCAACAATTTCCCACACCCATCAACGTCTATCCCACACTGCGAGACTCGCAACCACAAACCATGTCCGCACAACCCACTACACCTGCAGCCGAAAACGTCAAATACGGCGTCTACTGGTATCAAGATCTCGCCGATCTCACGGGAAAGGACGCTCTACTGATCGGCACTTTCGACACCGAGCGGGAGGTTTATACGTTTACGACTCAGCATGCTGCCAATGAGATCGGCAAACATCCGGAATGGGGTAGCTCGCACGAGATCGAACGACCCGGACTTCTCGAGATCGTCGGAGCTGACAAGAGCGTTAAGTTGCGATACGACTATTGCAAGGTCATTGATGATGGGGCTGGAAGCTATCAGCGAGAGCTACCCCGCGTTGTTGTTTCCCCCAGCGAGCAGGACGAGGACTCTACGACTGTGGGCAGTGAGAAGTCGACGGAAGGAGGAAGTGAAGGTGAAAGGTCGATGACGGAGCCCAGCGACGAGGCGCCAGCAACTCCTAAATCCAGCGGCATCCGTTACGCGCTCTACGTGAGTCGCAATCTAGATGATCCTGCGGCAAAAGTGACCAAACTCCTGAACATGGACACATCCATCGGCGAAGCTCGCAGCAACATGCAGGTCATTGCCGGCGGTGAAATAGCCACTCGAAATAAAGAGGGTACGAAAGTTCACTGCCGGCTTGAACAGAAGCGCCTTCAGATCTTCGAAGTCATGAGCGGCCAACCGGTCTTGGAGTATACTATCCATGAGGGCCGAGTGTTGGGTGACCGGTTCATCCGTGAAGAGGACTGGCAAAATGGGGTTCGCGAGGGTGACAAGATGGCATTTCCAAGGATGTTGACACCTCCACCGGAAGAGCTAAAGGAGGAAGAAGCCACTAGCAACCAACGGCGGTCGTCCCGAAAGCGAAAGGCCGCCGCCGACGAGGACAGCGAAGACGATGAAGACGGCGAAGATGGGGAAGCCGTGACGATGGATGACCCAGACGGCTCAGCCAATGATGACGTGGTTGAGCAGGAGGTCTTCTGCCGGTGCAAGCAACCCTGGGCCGGAGTCGGTACCATGGTGGAATGCGCGAACAGGTCAAAGAAGAAGTGTCCAAATAATAGGTGGGTCCACTTGGGATGCGTCGGTTTGAAGAATGTCCCGACACAAAAGAACTGGCGTTGTCCAGAGTGCCGTCCCAACAAGAGGAGGAGGAAGTCAGGTCGATGAACTTAAGCCCTTTGGCACGATGACACTGCAATACCTAGCACAGCGGACTTGGATAGAGCCAAGCGTTTGGAGGGCGCTTGAATGCTGGAAAGGATAGGACAGCATGGATAGAAAAGCGAATAGAATGGAAAATTGCTTAGAGTCTCAGCATTCCTTATACCATATGCACTCTGTGAATGCACATGTTCTTACTGTACGTCGTAATCGCCGCAATACGTGTGGCGCCTGAAGGAGTGTTGCGGTCTTGAAGGAAAGCGGAGCTGGGTGCGGGGAGACGAGAAAGGTATGAGGCGTTCCGGACCCGGCAATAGCATCGTCCGATTTTAGATGGATGGAGATCGATCGGGTCGGAAGGTCAAGAACGGTTCTCTCGTTACACTACAGACGTCGTACACGCGCTTGAAGACTCCGCTACGTTTCAAACCAAATCTCCACACAGCAACAGGAGACAACCATGGATTCATGGGGACGTGGCCTATTTTCACTGCTTTTCAGGCCCTAATCAAAGAAGTCAACGAACTTCCTCAGCGAAAGAGGCCTTGCCGGCGGTAGGACTTCTAAAGGAACTACGCGTCGAGGAACCGGTTGTGCGACGATAAGCTGTCGCGGTCTCGAGGACAACGCGTGAGAGTGCTACGGCAGGAACCTATGCATGGGCGTGCAGATCCAGCTTTGTTTGCCAGACGACGCGATGCGCATATAACACAAGACGCCCCCTCTTCTTGTGACCACAGTCCTTACACCTTCCCGTCTCCTCTGAACCTTTCTCGAAGCAAAGATGTCGCCCGTCCTATCGAGCCTTGTTGTCGCAATGTTGCTCTGCAATGATGTATGGGAAGTATATGGAGTAGCAGTGGGGAGCGAGAGCTTGTGTATGGTACGTTAACGTCCAGTACTGTATGGTGAAGCATGAAGTTGACTCGCGAAATGAAGACATGCATCTCTGAGTTCTCCGGCTCGATTGTGAGCAGAATGATGCGAAACGCGACGATGGCGCCCTTTGAGACTCCATCGGCTCTATCACGGCCACTCTCCCTAGCTTCGCCGCCCCCTTTGCTTACTACGGCCTCGTTCGCATCTTCCACCGGCGGAAGCACGCTCCCAAATTCCATAAGCACCACACTGGCGGTAGCAGTTGCGAGCTCGACCGCGCCGTCCGCAACGGCGAAACCAAACCACGAATTACCAACCAGCGCAAAGATTGGCATCGGTGCGGTCGTGGGAGTTCTCGGGCTTGCCCTCTTTCTTGTAGCTTTCGAAGCGTGCTACTTGAGGAGGAGGCGAAGGACAAGAGCTCTCGAGAGGGCTGTCGAAGAAGTAGAAAGGGGCATGGATAAGGGAAGTGAGGAGAGGATTGTGCTCGAGAGCCGAGTGTCGATTGTGTTTGAAGACGATGGTCATGAGGAGGAAGAACAAGAGAGGGGGAGAAACGGGATGTCACTGCCCCGAAGGTTATGAGAAATGTTGAAAGGACGTCGATAGCAAAAAAGCTGGTAGATTTCGAGCATATTGGTCGGTGAGGGAGATGGATGGTCGAAATGATAGCTTTTCTCTATGCTTGGCTGTATTACAGCTGGAGCTAGGCTTCTCTGGGTATTCAAGGCACAACCAACCCTGTCTCGTATCGTGATGCGCTAGGCAGGCGGTGAGGAATGTATGAGAAGGCAAGGCGTAAGGTATCGCCAGCGCTTTTTCAGCGCACAAGCCAGACCTCATCCCAGATGGCGTGCGGCCCATACTCGCTTTCGCATTAACGTACCTGTAGCTGACTGAGTCGAAGTTCTGGTAACTTGAGCGCAGATCGGAACATGGTGTTATAGTTTTACCGCCCTTGAAAGCTGGTACACGACTCATACCCTGCTGTTCGTCGGCCACCTCACCACTTGTGCTTTCAATGCTAGTCACCTGCGTGGATAGCTTGCGGGCTCTTCAAAAGAGCTAATCACTACTGCTGCTGCCATCCCGGCCTTTCGTGATGCAAGTACCAAATCTTGCAACACTCGGGAACAAGAGCATACCTAGTTAGAAATAGAGGGCTCAAATGTTTGTCCAGTGGCATTGAAAGCAACCTTGGAACAGAGAGGTGTGACTGGATCACCTCGTCTTCCGGCCACGAGATGCATTCAGGAGTATCGTGCGACACTGTCCCTGGTGTTGAGGGGTTCGCGCGATAAGATAAGCCTCGCTTAGATAGCGCATTGGCCACCGCCGGCTAGCATTCACTTGGGCACAGACTGCAAATCCTTCCAGGAACGCGCATCAGCGCTCTGCGCAGATGTTGGCCGTATTCCGCAGTTCTACTCCCGCTCAACAGATGAAGGCTATCGAAACGTTGTTCAGCCCCCTCATCCGGAGGTGTAGGGGGTGAACCGTTCGCGACACACAATCGAAACCTCCTTTCCCTCACAAGCACCCACTCCGAGAGAGCCAAGGCGCGCTACGGTACGGGAGGCCCCGAAAAGAGACCCTGATTTACCATGCAATACGTCAACCGCGCAAAAAGTCTTATGAGTCGCGAACCCTTACGCAGGTGACGACTTTTCTAACGCAGCCACCAGCACAATTAGTCTTTCGCAACCAGCATCGCAAGAGCGAGTTGCGTCATTTGCCTATGCAAGGCTCCACGCATGCCACCTTTGAGGCCTGAACTGGTTCGTCACAACTTGCTGTTGACCGGCTATTCTCAGCGGACCATGAATCAGGCTGAACACCCCGCGGAACACCCCGCACCACGAAATGCCCTCCCTCTCCCACCGCAGATCACCGCTGTCAGTCGAAATTAAGTTTGACGCTACATTTTATCACGCAGGGATGCGACGGAACATAGCCAGATCTGGGATGGAGAGAAGTCCTCATTCTCGGTTCATGGTTGGTATCGACGATGCCGTCGAGCATGCGTAACACTTATATTCCGGTTCCTTCTTCGGTCGATAATGAAGAGGAGCTATTCATGCTCAGCGATCTTTCAACGCCTCAAGATATTCTGAGACATCATGTCGAGCAATAATGAAGCTGCCCTACGAGCCGAGTCCTTGGCACCTTTGATTAACTCACTGTCTATTATCTTTGTTGTTCTTTCTACTGTCAGCGTCGTCCTTAGACTGTACACCCGGAAACGCATCGTTGAGGTTATCGGTGCGGATGATGCGTCTATCACCATAGCGCAGGTATTGGCGATTGCTGTATCAGTCCTCACGATCCTCCGTAAGCCTTATACTCTTCTTCTCGGTGCGCAAGCCTAACTGGCCGCTGTAGAGGCTCACTGGGGACTTGGTCGACATACACCGTTTGTAGATCCTGTGGATGCAGTTAAGGAGCTAAAGGTACGCCGCTGGTCCTTCACTGTCGCTGATGCGAATGTTGACCGGTCTTAGTGTCTCTACGCCAACACCTTGATCTACAATGCTGCCCAAACAATCACCAAGATCTCCTTTCTCATCCTCTATCGGCGCCTATTCCCGGGTCGCAAGACTCAGAAGATCTGCTTTTGGCTGCTACTATACATCGTCGCGTGGGGCATCATACAAGAGTAAGTGTCGCCCCTCTTCATTCAACCCTGATTCTGACCGCTTACAGGTTCATCGTCGGATTTGCTTGCATTCCGCTCTCGAACTTCTTGCCCAAGATGGAAGGGAAATGCATTCCGTCATTGCCGGTTTGGTATCTTACGTCCTGCATGAACATTGTGACAGACTTCATGATTTTCATCGTTCCTATCGTCCCAGTGCTCAAACTACAAATGCGGACGCGGCAAAAGATCCTTCTTCTATGCCTTTTTTGCCTCGGATTCTTGTAAGCGCCGCTTTCAACTATCGCCGCTCGTCCACTAATTTGATGTGCCACAGCACCTGCATAATCTCGCTCGTTCGTCTCTCCACATTACACAAAGGCATCAACACCAACGATCCCTTCTGGGACAATGCAGGCGCATCATACTGGTCTGTCATCGAACTCAACTGCGGCATCCTGTGCGCCTGCCTTCCAACACTGCGGCCGCTGGTGCAGAAGGTCGTTCCTCATCTGCTGTCGTCTCATGGTGCTAGTCATGATAGCGGAAGGACGGCGACTGGTATCAGCCGCATGCCCAGCCATCTAGGCCACAAGAGAAGTGTAAGCGGCCTGGAAGATGGGATCTACATCCAGAAGGAAGTAGAGCTCCACAGTACGACTGAGTTGAGGTCGAATGCCGCGGGATATCGACCGTCGGGTGAGGATGCTAGGAGCCAGAAGACGATCGTAACGGCACAGTCATCGAAAGGGCAGCTACGGAAGGATTCCCTTGCTTGCTGTGCATGAACGTTATGTTTTAGTATACCTCTCATAGCGCATCTCTTCGAAATCCTTTCGTTCTACACTGTCGCTATTCATTTCCCGCGATGGAGCAGGGGCCTATGCTTTATTCATGTCGCGACTCCTCCTCCCAGAAAAGGTGACTATCCACAAGCACCTTCTTATTATAGGAAGGTGTCGTGAAATTTCTCCCAGTTTGCCCAATGAACAGTGCAGCACGATGCTCGTGGGCTGCGCCTCAGTCAAGCCACAGAGTACGTCACCCCTCACCAGGTATCATACACTTCAATAACACCACAAACACGACAACTTCAGCCCTTTCGATTCCAAACTATTCTTCGCAGCCGCAGCTGCTCCGCCAGGATGGCCGCCGGACACTCGCCAGAACATGAAAGCCTGTCCCAGAAGCAAAACCGCGAAATAGAGGACATCCTCTCCAGTACGCAAGATGTCGCGCAACAAATAGACGAAATCTCCAAGGTACGCGGCTGGTTCCGCCCAGAAGAGGACAGTAAATTCTACCCGCTCATCCAAGACTACCTCGGCGGAAAGCTCGACTTAGCGGCACTCTCCGCCAAGCTATTCCCACCCATGGACGAGGCCATTTCGGCCAACCGCTCAGGAGACATCGATCTCATGGACCTTTGGTACTCAGTTATCCACTCTTCGAAACGCATATCGTACCGCGACACAGAAAGCCAGTCGAAAATCGTCGCCTTCATGGAAGCATTCAAGAACCACTCAGACCCGCCTTCCCAGTCCAAAGAACCTTTCTACGCCGTGCTCCCCGCATTCAACATGGCAAGTCGCGAAGCGTACAACAACAGCCCCGGGGCCGGCGCTGGCTTCTTCGACCCAGAGATCCAGGCGTGGGCTAATTACAACTACTTCCTTGCGTGCTTAACGAAGGACGGTATCGACGACATCTACTTATATGCTATCTGGGCGATGCGTGAGGCACTGGAAAACGTGCAAAAAGACGAAGATGTTGATGAGAGGATGAAGCCTGCGACAGCGTGTCAGAAGTATGATGCGTATGTGCCCGCCGCGGCGGTGTGGGTGTTTGCGCTAGGGACGAAGTTGTATGAGAAGGAGCAGGATTTGACGCCTACGAATAGGAACCAGGGGAATCCGGCGAGGGGTGGCGAGTTATGGACGGGAAGGGCGGAGTTTAGTAAGGAGAGGTGGGGGTTGTGGAAGAGAAGGTTTCAAGAGATCAGCGGCATGGAGGAGTTGAAGAAGGAGACGAGAGATGTGGCGAGGGAGGCGGTTGAGGCTATGGAGAAGGCAGAGGGGGAATGAGGGCTGGACGACGTCGGATGAACTTTGACAGGCGAGGGAAAGACGAACGATATGCAGTCCACAACGTTACTCCATCGGCATTCAACATTCTGCTCCTCAAGGCTATGCCCGTACCCTTTATTCCGTTCCAATCTTCGTTAACCACCGTCCCAACAACCCATTGAACTCCTCACTCCTAGTCTGATGCGGCCAATGCCCCGCCCCATCCCCTATCACAACTACCTCATCCCCTCTCCCCACATCCACACCAAAAGCCCTCTCTCTCTCCGCCCGCTCCTCCTCTTTATACACCGCCAGCCTCGGCGCCTTCCTCTTCCCCTTCACAAACTCCTCGTGCAGCTCCGCTCTCCCAAGCATCTCTTCGCCAAAACAACCCTCGATGGACTTCCGAATCACATGCTCGGGCGTGCCCTCAAGACGCCGCAGATACCACAACTTCATCCACTCAGGAGTTATGGCGCCTATCATGCTGGGATAGGACTGGAGGGCATTGGTAGTCGCGCTCGGAGAGGCGGCGTACCATGCCATTGTTTCGTCGCAAGTTTTAGAGGGATAGTGGTACGGTGGGTCGATCAACACAATGCCTTTAACCAACTCAGGCTCTAGCACGCTCAACACCGATGCTGCCATCGCGCCCATTGAGTGCCCCATAACTAGTACGTCTTTCTCTAGTTCCAGATGGCGGAGCAGTGCTGCGGCATCGGCGGCCTGGTCTTGGAGCGTGTAGGAAAGGTGCGCGGGGGCGCTGGAGCGGCCGTGGCCGCGCATGTCGGTGGCGATGACGTAGTGCGTTTGAGTGAGGAAAGGGATTTGCCAGGACCAGTCGTGCGAGTCGCAGCACCAGCCGTGGATGAGGAGGATGGGCGGGTTGGTGGAAGGGCCGTGGAGAGTGTAGAAGAGGGAGAGGGATGGGGAGGGATTGAAGAATGGCATGGCTAGACTGGAGAGGAGATGGAGCGGGTGGTGTGGGGTGGACTGAGGTAGGTGAAGCGCGATAGACGTTTGGGAGATGAATGGTGGGGATGAGAGGTTTATATTGCTGATGGACTGGTAGGCTCTTGCTTCCAAATCATAGAGAGCTGAATTCCTGTTCCCCTACCTCGTGTGGGGAGTGATGTCTCAGTGCTTGTCAGAAGCGGCAGGGCTGTCATCCACCTCGCCCCCTAAGAGGGGACCTTCGGGCCTCGAATGGACGGGATACGCGGTGGCGCGGAATGCTGGGGGAACAAGACCTACTACTCATTAGGATTTTCTACGAACACGCACGCCAAGCCTTGTATTCCCCAAGGCAGAGCCTCCATACAAGCTTTGCTTACATTGGTCTTTAGAAGCCACTGCTTCGTATCAACATCCACAAAGAGACTCAAGCTTCTTGGATGCCACCCTCAATGTGTCTGACGAATCCAGTGGCGGCTCGGGTCTCCTTGGCTTCAGCTACTGACCAGAAATGCTGTCGTCAGCGGCTCCCGAATTATCGCCGGCGTCTCCCTTCACGCTGACAGCCACACCTGCAGGCTCTCCATCTCTACTCTTCCAGTATCTGCGTTCCGTCGGTACTTTGCTTGGGCAGCCATGTCCTGTTTCTTGTAGGAGCCACCGTCGGGCCAGTACTCAACCGTGCCGATGATGACCAGCTCGTTCGCGTTGGTGCCGAAAGGAAAGATCTTCTGGGGGCGGTGGAGGCGCCTTGGTACACCGTCCCACATGCCATAATGGACGTTCTTGATTGCTTTGAGGTGTTAGGTGCCTGATCTAAGATAGAGGGAGGATGAGAGCTTGCCATCTCGCCCACGAAACTCTTTTCCATTCGGCACGATCAGGACCCCATCTTCGCTCCAGCACTCCGAGTACTCAACATGCTTCCCTTTCGTGTCGACTTGCTTGTAATAGTGCGCAATTAGGGCTTTTATATCGGGATCGACGTTGCAGTCTGGAGGGTATTCAGAAATGTATGGGTCGTCGCTGGCGTTCGACGTCATTTCGGCTGCTCTTTCTCGGGGCGCACAACAACACCGCTTCCCTCCAGGCTTGCATCATCGTCAAATACTAACCTTCAGCATCCTGAATAAGCAGAGCGCAACCCCAGGCACTCGCGCACCGGATATCAAAAGACGGAAGTAGTCGGATATCTAACCCGGAAGAGCAGCACGGCACGAGTCATGGCGGGGTCCTAATGCGGGGGAGACCGTGTCAGCACGCTTCTAGGATAATATCTTCCGCAAAATCATCCAAGTTTGGCACGCTACGCCATGAAGGGCCTGGGGGACGTGAGGAGGCTGAGGTGTTCCTGCGTGGAGGGGCTATGGGGAATTCATATTCCAGGGTCCCCTCTACGCGTCGCGGTAGCTCCTCGATCACCTACGACGCACTCATCAGCAGAACCACCCTGGGACGCTCTGCCTCGCTTCCTCTTTTGAACGTTATTCGCGAACATGGGGAACCACGCGCTCATCTACGGCGCGTCTGGAATCTCGGGCTGGGCCATCGTCAACGCTATCCTGAACGGCTATCCCTCAAAAGACGCCTTCTCCAAGGTTTCGGCGCTGGTGAATAGGCCGCTGACGAGGGAAATGGCGTTGTGGCCGGATGATCCAAGGCTGCAGATTGTTTCTGGAATCGATCTGTTGAAGGGGAGCCAGGAGGATCTCGAGAAGACCATCAAGGAGAAGGTGCCGGAGGTAGACACAGTGACGCAGGTGTACTTCTATTGTGAGCGCACGCGAGTAAGCAGATGGAAGGAAAGCCGCGCTGATCCCCTGAACAGCATACAAGCAAGACGACGATAATGACCGCGAATGCAAAACCAACGAAGCAATGCTCGAGCGCGCCGTAACCGCCATCGAGCACCTCTCCTCCAAATTGTCCTATGTCGTGCTTCCCTCCGGCACCAAGATCTACGGCTGCCAAATGCTCGACAAGTTCCCCTTCTCCGGCGATCTGCCTCTCAAGGAGACTCTTCCCCCGATTCCCGAGCCATACCTTTCCCAGCTCTTCTACTACAATCAGATCGACTGCCTGAAGCGGATTTCCAAGGGAAAGAGCTGGAAGTGGTGCGAGGTCCGACCGGATAACATCATCGGCTTCGTGCCGAACAATAACGCATACTGCCTTGCGCAAACGCTCGCTCTGTACCTCTCACTGTACAGGGCTGTGGAAGGCGAAGGCGCAAAATGTCCCTTTCCTGGGACCGAGAAGTCGTGGGTGAACAAGTACAATGAGTCGCCGCAAGACATGGTGGCACATTTCTCCATCTACGCATCGCTGCACCCTGAGAAGACCGCGTCGCAAAGCTTCAACGTAGGCGGCCAGGAGGACTGCTGGAAGGGCAAGTGGCCGATTATCTGCGACTACTTCGGCCTGAAGGGCACCGGACCGGAGGAGAACTCGCCGCAACCTGGCGCATACATTGCGCAGCATAGGAAGGAGTGGGATGAACTAGAGAAGAAACACAATTTGAAGAAAGGCTCTGTGGACAGCGATATCACGCACCCTGGGTTCCAGGTAAGCCCTGTTTTTCTCCGTCCGCGCCATGCTTTCCATTCGGGTTCGCGTCTTCCGGGGACTGAGGCTGACGTATGAGGTAGTATTACATTATGACGCTTTTCGATTTCGATCGACAGATGAGTATGGAGGCTTCGCACAAGGTGGGCTATACGGAGGAGATCCGGACGCCGGAGACGTGGAAAGTTGCTTTTGATCGCATGAGGCAGGCGAAGGTCATCCCGTAGTCTGATGCAGCCTGTATTCTGTTATTGCTTCGCAATATATCGTGAAATAGTTATAAATGTCAAGGACGAAGTGGGAAGTTGAAGGGAGAAAAGTTGGTGGTTCTTACCGAACTGGGTTAGCGTCCTTCATTGATGCACCTACCTCCAGGGCTTCAGCATCCATCGTTTCTCTTGCTACGCTTCAGCTTCCATCCCATCTCGCAGCATTCCAGGACCTTCTGTTCGCAGCATGATGTCGCGATCTCACGCTTCTATTCGGAGCCCTATTCATAGCCTCAGGCGCCCCGACGATCCGCGGTCATGACGTGCGCTTACCTCTCGCACTCCTAGCTATCCACTGGCAGTGCCCAGGCAGTGTAGCTAGCAGCGTTACAACGACGGCGGCCTTTCGCAACAACATACTTGCTCCAGAGAAGTTGGAATGGCGCGCTGCGGGAGGGGGAAGCAATGGAGGGTCGCCGTTAAGGTGGGTTGCCTTGTTGTCGCGCTTTGCTTAAGTATGCTTGGTTCTCACCGTTTTGTCCTTTCGAGGTGTATATTTTCCAAAATTGGCTTACCTCTGCGATATCTTCAATCTGTTGGATATGTTTATGGGTATTCGACATAGCCTGGCGCTGCCAGTAGCGCTGCTTTCGCTCTGTCCGTTTCCAGACGCATCCGTCTACTCCATCACGGAATACTGACCAGTTCAATAGTCCTCCCATTCATCAACAGTCTTCCGTACACACCACGCGATCTCCTCAACCGCGACGAGCCTTTCTCCGTCCCCCTCCGCATCCTCCCGCTCGGCGACTCGATAACCTGGGGCGTGCAACCCAAAGCACCACCCGAAGGCACAAACGGCTACCGCAAACAACTGCGCGATCGCTTGACCTCCTCCGGCGCACAAGTCAATCTCGTCGGAACACAGCACTCAGGCAACATGACGGACGACGAGAATGAGGGACATCCGGGGTACACAATCAGCCAGCTACAAGGCGTGATGGGGCCTGGGCTGGATTTGAAACCCAACGTCATTCTTCTGCATATCGGCACGAATGACATGAACTATGATGAGTCGCATGCGGGTGCTGGGCCGTACAGCGAGGCGCCGGACAGGTTGGGAACGCTGTTGGATGTAATAATTGAGGCGTGCCCGGACGCGTTGCTCATGGTGGCCAAGATTATTCAGTCGAAGAAGGAGGGTACGGAACTGAGGATTCAGACGTATGATGAGGCGGTTCCGGACGTGGTGAAAGAGCGGGCCGACCAGGGGCACAAAGTGATAGTAGCGGATCTAAGTACTGTTCAGCCGGATGAGTTGGCTGATGATTTGCATCCGTAAGTGTGCCAATTGAGATTACACAAAAGGGAATGGTCTAACCTGGGTTCAGGAGCGATGCTGGATACATTCACATGGGAAATATCTGGTTTGACGCCGTCAAGGCCGCCGCTCAGCAAGACCTCATCTCTGCGCCCACCTGATTGTGCTTCATGAAAAGATCAATCTCGGAATCGTCCATGCATAGCGCGGGCGTGTATCTGTTAACGATTATATGTACGATATCAGTTGGTCCTAGAAGAATTGGGCAAGTGCTAGCGAATTGCCAGCGAACAAAGCGGTAATGTTGGTTCCTGCTATATCTGTCTCATTTTCCGCGTCTTATCTAGAACTACTTATTGTCGTTGATCACTTATTTCTCCCTTCTCTCGTGTTTGCGAGCACACTATCTGGTCCCCAAAGAAGCCACAAGTAGTCGGATCTACCGACTTCTACATCTAGCATCTGGTTTCTAATCGCTCCCGATATGCGCAGCACCATTATTCATTCCGTATATCCATAGGCACATGACTCGACATTTCATATCGCTCTCTCGTACACGAGTCATTGATTCCTTTCCTATTGGCCGTCACCAACCGCGGGTCTTGCAGACATCGCGGGGTCGAAAGCCGCTACATCACGCTAAAGTACCTCAACATCGTCTTGAACAACGTGACCTGAGGATCAAACTGTCCGTACAGAGATTCCTACACGTGGGGATTGCTTCAAAGTCCTGCCATCGCTTTCGGAATATAATGCACTTTGACACTGAGACTTGAGTGCCAGTTTCTCCTCGAATTTGGAAACCTTTGGTTTTGGTCTGCACACCTAGGAGACGGAAATGTTTTGGCGAGACCGTGCCGCACGCTCACTTCGAGAAGAGCACTATAGAACGTCGCTTAGCGCCAATAGTCCCTGTGACCACTGAGAATGGGTATAATTCAGTGGCCATGCAGCATGCAATCTTCCACAGACTTTGTGCTTCTCCTCAATTGTCACGTCTCCACTGCCGCCTCTGCCTTGAAGCGTGATTCTGGTGTTGGAACTTACTCGGTGCTTTGAGAAGCGATCCCACTCCTCACAATGGGTCTCGTCGACGCGGACAGTATCCGGCTATTCGCCATCTGGACGCCTGCCGCAGTTCGTACTCCCCTCCCTTCGTCTCCCTGCAAACATCATTAACAAAAGAATACCAGTGTGTAACCTACTTCATCCTCCTGGCCATCTACCGGCTCACCCTGCATCCACTCGCAAAATACCCCGGCCCAATCCTATGGCGCATCTCCCCTATCCCCAGTGTAATCTCCCTCCTCCGCGGCCGCATCTCCTTCGATTACAAAGTGCTGCACGAAAAATACGGCCCCGTCGTGCGCGTTATGCCTAACGAGCTCTCCTTCAACACCGCAAAAGCCTGGGAAGACATCTACGGGCACCGCATCGGCCTGCAGAACATGGACAAAGACCCCATTCACGTCGGTGCTGTTGAGGCGATTCCCGGCGCGACTAATTTGACCATGGCGCCGGAACTGCATCATGCGAGGCAGAGACGCGCACTCGCCCATGCGTTCAGCAAGCAGGCGCTGCTGGAGCAGGAGCCCATCTTGAAGGGCTACGTGAATTTGTTTGTGAGGAGGCTCAGGGAGATGAGCCATAGGGGCGAGGCGGCGAATATGGTATCTTGGTTTAATTTTTGCACGTTTGATATTATTGGGGATTTGAGCTTTGGGGAGCCGTTTGGGTGCTTGAATGAGGGTGAGTCTTCTTTTCTTTTCGTTTCCCCCTTTTGAGGTGCTGCGAAATGTGAAGATATGCTGATGAGTTTGAGTAGGGGAGGGCTCTGAGTCTGCGAACTGGGTCATACTGATCTATGAGTCGATCAAGGCTGGTGCACTTGAGCAGGCTACGCGTCGCTTTGCTTCTCCCGGTTCCTGGGCCCAGCGCTTTTTGCTCTGGTGCATTCCGTCCATCATCCGCGAGCGACGATTCAGGCACCTGCGCAATTCGACGGAGAAAACGATTCGCCGGATGAACACAAAGACCGAGCACAGAGACTTCATCTGGTACATCCTCAAGCAGCGCGAGAAGAAGAACGAAGTCTCCGACGATGAAGTCATCATGAACGCCGCACTATTCATGTACGTCTATCCGCTTCCTATATCCCCCTCAAACCAAAAAATAATAATTCTAACACCACACCCCAGCGTCGCCGGCAGCGAAACCACCGCCACCGAGCTCTGCGGCCTAACAAACTACCTGCTCCGCGACCCCGAGAGATTCCAGCGCCTCAAGGACGAACTGCGCGCCGCCTGCAAATCCGAAGCAGACATCAACATGGACATCCTCGGCAGCCTGCCGTACATGAACGCCTGCATCGAAGAAGGGCTCCGCATCTTCCCGCCCGTGCCCATCGGCCTGCTGCGCACCGTGCCTAAAGGCGGCTCACTCATCGACGGCCACATGGTCCCCGAGAACACATCCGTGTGCGTCGGCAGCTGGGCGGCTGCGCACTCGCGCGCTAACTTCGCAGACCCCGACTCCTTTATCCCTGAGCGGTTCCTCGATACGCCAGAGTCGAAGGAGAAGTATGGGCGCGATGTGAAGAAGGCGGCGCAGCCTTTCTCGCTCGGTCCGCGGGGGTGCATTGGAAGGAATCTGACGTATGTGGAGCTGAGGCTGATTCTGGGCGCGCTGTTGTGGAACTTTGATCTCGAGTTTGCGGATGGCGCGGCGCTTTGGGACCCGAAGGATGAGTTTAAGGGGCTGAGGGCGTTTAATACGTGGGAGAAGAGTCCGTTGATGGTCAGGTTGACGGATATTAGGAAGACGCCTACTTGATTTAGGGATTGTTGCAGGGGTTTTTGGGGAGTGGGTGGGCATTGTGCCAGGGTAGTGAACATTCTTGGATTCGCGCCTACGTAGTGTTGCTAGATAGAAAATTTTCGACGTAGTGAATATAGTGAGACGCAAGCTAGCGAAAAAAATTCATGTCCACATTTTCTGTAAAGAGATCTGTCCTACTCCTATATACGAGAACCCCGGACCCTGCCTAGACTGAGTCCGTTCAATCGACCTGATGCTTATTCGAGCTCAGATGCATCTGCTTGGTCACCATAACCCAATGAACCTCAACATCTGCCATCAACCACCACAGGATCAAGATGGGATCAGGGAATTTGGTATCTATAAGATCCTTAAGGTATGTCTCTAATGCATCGACCGCTCTCTCTCTATCCTTTTCATGCCGCGAATTCCTCAGGATATATATGATGCACATGGCCATTTTGCAGAAGTCCTCCATATCCCCACAGATCGGTGTAGAATCAGAGAGATATTCTACAAGATCCTTCATCATCGTCTCTTTGAAGGGGTTAGAGATTCCATGGAGGAGTTTGCTGTAGTACTGGTTCGCTGCAGATCTATCTTTTTGGGGAGCGTCCGATGTGTAGGAGCCGCGCTGCGCATGCGTCGTTGTGATAGAAGCGAGATCTCGCGGGATGCTCAATTCAGGTCGTTTTCTCATGAGCCTCTGAAACGGTTTCAAGAAGGAAGGAGCGGAGGCCCGCCGGCTTGACCGAAACTGCTGTACGACCAGAGTCTCGTCGGGGCAGTCCTTACATGCTATGTCCGGTGTTTGCGCGCCATAATCGATCTCTTCCCCCGTCGCCGATAGCGACTCCGATACGCATGGACCGCGTTCGCATACGCGCGTAGAGTCATCGGATTCGGTACTGCACCTTGGAGATAAAACTAGGGGTTGGTACATGGAAACTGACGGCGGTTGATAGGGTGGAGTCATTGAAGCCATTTTCGCGCGTGGGCGTCTCATTTCACATTACATTTCGCATTGAATTTCGGAGTGAGTAATTGCGTGGGCGACTCGGACGAGAGCTCGGAGCACTGGCCGTGTAGCGACTCATACTGGTGTCTGGCATCACTCCAGGACGGCCATCGCGGCCAGAAGGGCCAGAAGGGCCAGAAGGGCCAGAAGGGCCATTGCGGCCAGAAGGGCTATCACGGCCAGAAGGGCAAGAAGGGCTAAGATGGCCATCGCGGCTAGAAGGACCAAAAGGCCATCGAGGCTAGGATGGCCAGGACAGCCAGGAGGACCAGGAGGGCCAGGAGAGCCAGGAGAGCCAGGAGAGCCAGGAGAGCCAGGATAGCCCGGAGGGCCAGGAGGGCCAGGAAGGCCATCACAGCCATCGCAGCCAAGAGGACCACGAGGACCAGGAGGGCCAGGCGCGCCAGGAGCGCCATCGCGGCCAGGAGGGCCAAAAAGGCCATCGCGGCCAGGAGCACCAGGAGCACCAGGAGGGCCATCGTTGCCAGGAGGGCCAGGAGAGCCAGGAGGACGAGGAGGACCAGGAGCGCCATCGCGGCCCGCGCGAGGTGTAATCGAGTGGCCATCAGTTCGGGGTGCTCCAAGTGGGATATCCCAAATTGAGGAATCCCTTCTAGGTGATAGTCCAAGGCTAATGTTATGACGCGGCCGCGGTCGGGTCAACTCGGCAAGTTCGTATCGATATATCCTGCTAAAGTGTTTTAAGGTCTGGGATGAGCTAACCCCAACAAAGCTCGTCCATTTTCCAGGAACGCTCCATTGAGTGCCAATGTGTTGTGCTTCTAAGACCACGTCGCTATGCACCGGAGTCTCGTCATGCATCCAGCTCTGACCTATCTCCAAGTCATGCATTACTGCCTTGGCCGCCAGGATGTGTATCATCGGCTCCTGTACTTCGACGCGCTCGATGGGGATCTCTTTTCTGAGGCTTGTCGATAGGGCATCCTCTATGACAACGCTATCATACTCGGACGCCGAGGGTGGGACAAGGAAATAGATCAGTCGTCGGGAAAGTCCGTGTAGGGTAGGTATCTTATGGGGCGCCCGAAGAACTTTGCATGAATCCACCCTGGAATCAGCATCTCGAAGTGATAACCCTAATTGAGGCGATGACTGGTCCCGGTGGTCCTGAAGTCTGACGCTGCATATCCACTCCGAGCGAGTAAGCAAGCCATTGGCCAGCCGAAGAACTTGGTCGTCCCAATTGGTGGGCGAATCGACTATAACGACTTCAGCAAATCCGCCACCATGTCTTCCAATGCCCTCTATCATCTGATGCGAAACTCTGTCTCCTATTCCCAATGCAAAGAAGCGAACCTTATCTTGTAGCTCGGTCTTCGCGGAGCGGACACATTCGATGACCGATTCAACGGCCCAAACCTCGCCGTCAGTAAGGACTACAATCTGAGTCTGGTCTGCGTGCCTGCTCCGAAGGGTGTGCTGGAGTGCTGATAAGATCTCTGTGCCACCAAGGTTCGCTGATGCACTTGATAGGAATTGTTGAGCCTCCTCAAGATATGCCTGTGTTAGAGGCTGTGAATGAGGCCAGAGTTTCTCGAACGTCGACCCGAACGAACAGATGTTAAAGGGCGATTCGGCGGGTAGCTTTTGCAAGAGCAAACGAACGGCTCTCTTCAAGGCTTCCATTTTTGGTCCCATTGAGCCGGAGCGATCGATGAGGAGAAGTGTCTCCAGTCCAGATCCGCTCATCGTAGTCTGCGATGCGAATAGGTCCCTGGGCGTAAACGCCACCTTTACTGCTTTATAGCCAGGGAATTTCGAGCAAGTCTCCATAATTGCACGGGGGGCAAGTAGGTTTGGAACGCCAATATCCGCCGACGGTGCCACCGAAACGAAGAGGACGAAATCGAGGTTCAAGACAGCGGTCCTATCTGAAAGAGTCGCCCGTGCCTTCCGGTTGTCGAACCTTGGTTGAGAGTGCGAATTTGACGTGCCACGAAAGAAAGTCGTTGGCATGGAACAGTCAGAGGACCCAAGCTCAACAGAGATTGGATGTGTCCGACAATTGAGTGCTCGGATAGGTATAGGAGCAACAACATTGATCTGAATCTTCATTCCTCTTGCTGTATATACCTCACCGGATGTCATGGTGGTGTTGCTGAAGTCGTCTGGAAGAGCGCCGTATCGAGGAGCAACCGACGAAGGGACCGTAACGAGTATACCGTCTCCGCTCAGGTCGGCTTTGAGTTCCGTCACATATACGATCTCCACCTTCACCTCGGTTCGAGGGGGAATGTTCCCGAGAGCGGTCTCGAAAACTTCGGGAGTGTGCTCTTCGAGAAGAGTTGCGGCACGTTGTTTCTCGACAGCTTCGCGAAATTGTTGTCTAGCCTCGTCCTTCGGCTTTACTACGCCTTCAATTCGCTCGTCTGCAAACCAGCAGTAAAAAGATGTAACCACGGATCCGCTGTACAGTGGAAAGCAGTAGGACGAGCGATTAATTGTAGCATCGGTATTGTTCGTGAATATTTGGGTCAAGACAGTGCGGGAAATGGTGTCGACGACGCTGATGTCTGCGGATATTTCGACATGTGGAAGGGATTGACGGCCTCTGCTCGATGAGAGCTTTGCAGCACCCCAATGACGTTCTTCATCGCCGGATTCATGTGCTCTCACGTCAAGGGAGTCCTCTTCATAGAAGATTCCGGATCTGACAGAGTCCATGTTGTTGGAAACAACAGAGTGGATTCGACAACCTAGAAGGGTGGAATGGCAAATATCACGGAAATACCTTGAGGGGATCAGGCTGAGACTGGATTGAGGTTCACCGGTTTCTTGGCGTGTGCCTCCAAACTCAGCCCATTAGCAAGAATTGACTGCACACCAATCTGGTGATTGGGCAGCCTTCTCGAAGCTCGCAAGGCTGACCTGGGCTTCCTTTCCCTGGCGCTTATCAAGTTTTCGTGTCTGCCTAGTAATCGCAGGACTCACAGCGCCAGCATCTGCTTTTTCGCCCAACGTCCATTACGTCTAGGAAGCGGTTTTTTAAAAACTTTGAGCACAAGGCACACAGGGAAAGTTCATGGCTGCGCCGGTGTCGATAGGAGACGCGATTCTCCTGTCCCAGCTGGCATACCGCCTGGGACATGCTGTGATCAGCGGACGTAAACAGGCGCCATCCGGTATCCGAGAGGTTCAGAATCAGTTATATGCGCTAGGAAAAGCATTGGAGTCGGTCGATCAATGCACTGAGAAGCAAATCCAGTCGCAAATCCAGCAAAGCCTAAGAACAGGCCACCAGGCCAGCACAGAAGGTGGCGGGGATCGGTATGCAGCGCTTGGCATGATGGTGAAGAACTGCCGCGATACCCTGGAGCAGATGGAAAACTTCATGTCCCGATACAGGGATATAGAGCAACCCGCGGATAGTAAAAGTAGCAGCAGCAACTGGCGAAAGGAAGTGAAGGCCAACTGGAAAAAGATCAGGTGGACCACGGAAACAGGCGAGTTAGATACGATTCGGGGGAATCTGAAAGTACACATCGCCAGTCTGAACTTGTTCCTATCAGGGATAAACCAGTGAGTCGTTCCCTCCTGCTCGGATATCCGAACGTTCGCTGATGTTCTTCGTACTCTAGTTCGCAATCAAAACAAGCGGACGGTCGCCTTGGTGATGTCCACTCCATGGTCTCGGATCTGCATGAGTGGTTCACAAAGAATTTGAAGGACCCTCGAGATACCAAAAAGCGAGGGGTGGGTGGACCTGGATCGACAGCTACGAACTCGCCCACTACCGTCCATCATGCTCTAGACCTTGTTTTTGAGCTGTCAAGGGAAATGAGGCCAGGCTCAACTCCCTTGGTCTTGTGTCCGAGAGCTTCCTTCCGGAGCGGCTGGGTTGACAGCTTAGTGGAGCCTTCAAAGCACGCTGGGAGCATTTTCCGATGTCGCTGTCCTGGGGAATCTCACTTCGATGGTGTTCAATACCGATGTACGTCATTCGTGTGAGTGCAGTATGTATCGACTGCTAAAATTGACATAGTGGTCCCAATCAGTCTTGTTGTCCGTCTGGCTCGGCAGACGCCTGTATGGCAGATCTTCTGTGTTTCCGATGAGATCACATCTCTTGTTATAACAGGCGTGGCGCCCGCTGGTATATTCCATTCGGGCCCGATTACATGGCCTCTGCTGATTGCTTTGCCCAGATCTAGCGGCCTTACAGGAACAGATCAACCTTTTAGCCGCATCTCAGGCAAATTTATCGGCGACCAATTCGTCTTCAGTCTACTGCTCGGCGGGCGAGACGGGCCCGATTTCCTCTGTTCTGGACTGTAAAAGGTCAGTTATAGTGTCTGTTTTGTCATTTGACGCTGACAATTGCAAAAGCGAAACGTCCCAGTTCCAAGGCCAGATAACGTCAGTGACGTTCATCTCCGGAGCAGACCGTTTCATGCAACATTCCATCGACACCGTGCACATCTTCCACTATAGGACTGAGGGGAATGTTGGTGAGGACATGAGAAGAAACTTACTTCATCAGACCTGGGCAGAACTGGTGGTTCAACCTCTTGCAACGGGCCCAACAACGAGATTTATCATACGGGGTAAGCTCTCTCCCATAGCTGCGGACAAGTCTGACGGATATAAGTGACCCGCTTGACAAATATCGTCAACGGAAACGATTTACGCGCGGTGGGCGTATTGGACGTATTTTGCGAATCGCAAAATGAAGATGGTTCTAACGACCAGAGGAAATGTGATAAAGTAGAGATCGTATGCGCCACAGCCCGTTGTAAGCACCCCGTATCGCGAGGGAGAGATTTGAGCAGGAACTTAATCCGGACAGCCGCGCAGAAGCTGCGTTATAATCTGGAGTGGATTACACAACAGCTTCAGTTGCAATACTTACAATTCCCACGTTTAAGTGAGAGAGTTGTAGCCCAAAGGTGGGTGCAATCCCAAGGCGGAAAGCTTTCAACTCATCGGCGCTACAGATCTTGCAGGGATGTGATGATCGATCATCTGTATCTTTCGAGCCCACAGGCAATCATAGTTTTCGACCCGGAGAAGCAGCTACATCGTCTGATTCTCCGTAGCAGCTCGCTCGCAGCTGCCGTTACGATGGAGCGTAAGTCATGCCGGTTGAGAGAGACGTTCCCTTTCCACTTGCTCACATCCACACACAGTTCCAGAAGCAGTCTTAAAGAGAATCCATGACAGTACATCGACCGGCGCGGAAGTCATGCCGCAGGCATATTTCGTTGAACACAGCCGCGACGGTGCCGAGGTCGAAACTCGCCTCAGCCGATTTCCGCGCGAGCTTTTGGAGGCGCCAAGTGAAGAGTTAGGGAGGCTGAGCTTGTGAGAATTTCGTGTAGAAGTACCGTTCCCGCAGGCGAGTTCCCCAAGGTTGGTGCGTTCTCACGTGAAAGTCTTAGCAGAAAACGTCATCAATTTAGTTTCGTTACCATGTCCATGATTAAACCTTTCATGAAACATGAAGCCGTCACACCAGATTATGTGATAAATCTCCTACTTCATCTGTTGGCCGGAGAAGCATCGGATGCAACGCCACTTTCCTCGCCATGCTCCACACCTCGAAGCGCTCCCAGTCGACGCACTTTCGTGGGGATGTGGAGCGCGATTGCGGTTTGACCGACTCCTTAGGACCCCAAAAGAAGGTATAGAACCCAAGGTCCACATTACACATTGATGAAATTCGGAGAACTTCGATGCAGTGATCTACCGGGAATGTTTCAGTGCGCTACACTGTAAGATGACAACAATCGGTCTCACCTAGGTGTTTCTTCATGAAGCTCTCGTCCTCCAGGGTTGCATTAGGGAAGTGCACATCTCTATATAACCAGAGACGCATCCTTCGCAAACAGTGCAGCTCGTGGTACGCCCCGAGGCTTGCGAGGTATCCGCCGCTTGCGAGTTTTATCGTATCCGCAAGAGGTCCCCCGGACAACAGGACTTCCTCTGCCGATGCGTTGAATGCAAGCGCTAGACCCCAATTAGGATGACAGTCTCTGAAGGATGACAGTCTCTGAAGGAATTGCCTGGTTTTGCTCACGGCTGACGAGGTCTTCCCAGGCCCGATTGTTACGCTCGCTGGGCGGTCCAGTATATTGGCTATGCATGGCAGATCCGTTCGACCTCTCGACTTTTGTGATGTAGCTAATCGCGCCCGCAGCTGGGGCTACTACTACTTTAGTATCAAGCTCGAACTCCTGATTGCACTATCGCTTACAGTATAGCCACCGCTTACTAAGCTCGGCCTCGGGGTCGGCTTGATAAATCAAAGCTGTAGATAGAAAGACGATGGCCAGATGCAAAAGAACGACGTAAACGAGGGAGAACTTTCCACTTCTGTTTGACCACGAAAGGCATTGGACTGCGCGTTTGCGTCGAAGGGTATAAGAGGAACCAGTGTCGCTATTATCGCCCTCCTCAAGAAGACGTCTCTTCTGTTCTTCCATTGCTCGCAGGCTCGCGTTCCCCATCGGCACAAGTGAAAACATATAAGGTCCAAACGGTCTTTGCTCGTCTGTTTCACGGATGAAGAAGGTCAATCTTAAATTATCCATCCATGGAATCATGATAATAAGGTTTGCCGTCTCCAGCTGTGCGCTGATCAGTGCTTCCAAGATTGTTTTGGCCCCTTCGACTTTTTCGTTATTGCGGCGTAGCAAAAGTAAACCACCGAGCAGCCAACCCAAATAGTATAATGGATATTCCCCTGCAGCCGCCCTTGCAGTCGTCCTCTCGGCCGCCGAGCAGATTAATTTTTATTATTGCCGAGCGCAGCTTGCTGTGTCACTGCGCCGGCGTTCATGCGCCCGCGAGCCATGACGGGTATGCAGTACGGCACGGGAAGATCAGTCAATATGTTTCAGGGGCGCGGCAGGCCGTCGAGACAACCATCTGGATTGCTTGCCCTCGGACTTCACGCAGAACATGCTTATCCGGGCGCCTAGATATCTGCTTCGCAGCCGTTTAGACTAGGGGGTTGATGGCTTGCTAAACTTCATTTGAAGTGGTGCGAAACTTACTGAGGCGTCGGGGATGTGCAATCGAGATATCAGCACTAGAGCATGCTCACTGGCCCCAAGGAAGACTCTGGATCTGGCACATAAAGGGCGAGTCAGTCCGGTCCAATCCAATCCAATCCAAATATCTAGATCGACGGCCACGGATACATTTGCATCAAATATCATACCCCAGTGCGGACAATCCGGATCCCACGGTATGACAGTGCCCTCGCTAACTTGGTAGCAGTATTTCAGAAGATGGTCCTCAAAACACTGCTATCGCGCTTCGCCGTTTTGGCGGTCTTTGCATTGGCGGCCGCCTTTCCTTTGCCGCAACAACCTGTTGAGGACGGTACAGGTAGGTCTTATATACTCCATGTATCGTCTCGGAGCTGACCTTAATAGATGCCTATGTGCTTGCTTGTGGTACGTTCTCGGAGATGCCAAAGTTCAATGGTTGTGCCGGTCGCTCACTCTAAGTCAAAGGTCCAGCTCCGGTCGGAACAATCGATGCTAGAGGCGAGATGACGGAGGAGGCTCAATGTCTTCATTAGTGGGTAGGGGCCCCGTGGTAGTCTCAAAAAACCCCGTTGTAGAGGCGTGCTATACCAATCCATCTTTTCAGTGACTGCAAAACAATGAAGTCGTACTATTATGCCCTTTGTCGCTTCGCTGCGAAGTAGAACTTCCTTTGATCTGAGATCCCCCCAGTGCCTTCGAGGACGGCAGAGAACGACGAGAATAAATGGTGTTGAACGAGAGTAACGCACAAGTTCGTACCACATACTAAGCTCCCACAGCCAAACCCATCTCATACACACTACTCCGGCTGGACACAGGCTTTTCACCGACGCAAGCCTACTAACGTCCCGTTCTTGCTTTGGAAGATCAAGCGCCTTTCTTCAATCCACGCAAGTTCCGAGTCGCGATTTTCAAGTCCCGAGAATTCCCTCAACATCGCCGCAGCGATATACTCGCACTCAGTGTAAACAAGCTTGAACGCAGGACATATACGTGGCCCGCCAGAAAAGGGAGTATACTCCCAAGTGGGTCGGATATTCTCCCATCTCTCAGGACGGAACTCTTCTGCATCCTCCCCCCAATAACTCTTACCACGTTGCATGAGTCGGAAGTTTGTTTCAACGATATTGCCCTTTTCGACGAGAAGCGGGCGCTTTCCGTCGGCTCCCCCGCCACATGGTAGTATGCAGGTCTCTAGGCACTGGCGATGACTGGCTGGGGCAATCGGCGTCAATCGATGTGCTAGAAACGTCAGCCTCAATTCTCAGCTCTTAGGAGGAATACCTACTCTCGCGGAGAGACCAGTTCAGATATTTGTAGGAATTCAGAAGAGGATAACTTAGAGACTGGTGAGCTGTGGGCAATAGCTCCTGCCTTAGCCTGTCCCATGCTAGGGGATTTCGAGCCAAGTGAAAGAATAAGTTTCCGAGAGTGACAGCGACAGTGTCGTGGGCGGGACTGAAGACACTGAGGACTTGGTATCGAAGAGCACGCCTATCTTGGGTGGCCTTGACTAGCTCGTCTACCAACCTGACGTACTTCGCGCTTCCGCCTGACATTTTCTGCGCAGAGGAGGCGCGTTCAATGGCTTCTTCTACGCGGTCGTCCACGTATTTAGTGACAAGCTGGCACGATGCTTCCCAATTCTTCTCGCGAGCGGCGGGCTTCATGACGACACCTCGCTGAGCAGTCGTAAAGGCCGTGATAAATTCCTTGCAAGATTCGGGAGAAGAGAGTGCGTCCATAGCTTTACCGAATATGAATTCGCTGGAGAGGTCAAGAGTCTACAACGTTCGAGTCAGTTATTGCACGCTTTCCTTTGCATTCGACGCACTCACAAGCCTCTTGAACAAAGGCAACAGATCAATGGTGGAGCCATCTTGTGGCAGAATCTCCAGAAATCGGCTGACATGGCGATCTAAGCGATTGAAATTTGCGATGTGTGCGATATCGAAGGCGGGTCGTATTAGAGTTCGGCTTCGCTTCCACTGCGCTCCGTCTGTTACGAGTATTCCATCACCAAAGAAGCCTTTGCCGCCCTCATACCTAATGGGCTGTAGACCGAATTTATCGAAAAACGTGGTGTAAACTGCTTTCGAAACTTCAGGATCTCTAGTCTTGATCAAGACTTTGCCTTCAGTAATGGTCTTGAAAGTGTTGCCGTGCTCTTGGAAGAGCCTCTCTGTGAAGTCGAGAAACTTATGTTCCTTGTATGCCTCGATGGTACGCCGGAATAGATCTCGTCCAAGTGGGTCCTTATGGTGATATCTCGGAGGTTCTCTGCACCCAATGTACAGTACGGCCTTCCACTTACGTATGGTGCGCTGTACTTGTGGCAGAAGGAATCGAGATAAAATGACGATGGCAAACGTGAGCCCCAGAATCGCGAAAGAAGTCATATCGACGCACAGAGTGATTCAGTGGTAGAATATTAGGAAGTGTTTCCAGTCGTTATTGCACCGTTGCAAGGCGGGCTGCGTTTGGCGGCGTTTGAAGCACTCACAGAGGTGAGACGAGCTCCGACCGAGGCCGAGGCTGAGTGCCTCCTTTGATGAACGCGAACCCGAGGCCATGGTCCTGGAGAGATAAGATAATAAAGACAAGGAAGCCTGATGCGTTATATAGTCCGTTGTACGCCCTGAGTTTTAATGAGAGATAATGCGGCCGAGGACCTTGCTCGAAGAGGATGGACAGATTTCGCGAAATGCCGCATGAAGAGATGCACTACGCCGCACTCATGTGTTGGTTCATATGGAAAATGGACATGTCCGGCAGACGCTCTACTTTCAAGGCCAGGGTGCAGGGTAAATAGAAACGACTCGCTGTCGGCCAACACCATCTTCGTTCGCGTCACATGTATTTCCTTAAACGGCAAATAATCGTCTTCGGAGTTGGGTGAAAGCGTTCTGCTGAATATCGATGCGTTGTACGTCCCCTACTTCTCTCGTCGGTACAGAAATACTTTCTATTGAGTCTCCAAGCCTCCTCGAAATCATGTTTTTCCACGTAGAATCTACTGTAGCAGCAGTTGCCGTTATCGCCGTCTTGACAGGTCTCGATGTCGTCGCTGTAATAGCTCGGGTCTACACTAGAAAGTCATTAAAGCAACCTATGAAGCTTGATGACTGGTTGGTCTTACCCGCACTTGTAAGATAGTCTCTTTTAACACGACCAATATGTGCTGAGAGTCCTTTCTAGCTCTTGACGATAGGCATGGTTTCTGGGTTTTTCGTCGGCGTCGGGCAAGGCGTACTCTTCAATTATAGCCCGCATATGCTTCCAAAGCATGGCCAACTGTCCGGCCAACTACTGAACGCCTTTTTGATTTCCAAAAAGGTGCCTGCTGCCTACCTTCCGAGAAGCTGCTTCCGACTAAACGCTGACAGATCGAGTTTGCGGTCATCCTCATGTCCATCATCACCCTATCCCTCATCAAGCTCAGCTTCCTCTTCTTTTATAGGAGGGTCTTCGTTTACGACAAATCGAACCCACGAAATCTCCGGAACATAGTCGTACTGTTTACCATCGCCCTAGTCATCCTCTGGGGCGTTGGCTTCAGCATAACGTATCTGTCCGCGTGCCGAGGAGACTTCAGTGTTCGCTGGTCAACCGAAAGCTCCGAACAAATTGAGCTAAAGTGTATTAATACGTTCTGGATGCTCTATGGCCTGGCTATATCCGACTTTGTCATGGACTGTATGATCATCTTGATACCAGTCCCCATGATCTGGAAGCTGCATCTTCGTTCCAGCCGGAAGCTCGGTATCCTGGTAGTTTTTCTTCTGGGCTCATTGTGAGTATTATAACCAGAACTTAATCCATGGGGATGCTTGACTGACTTAAGCATTCTAGAGCGACTGTGGCCTCTCTGATTCGGCTGATCTGGCTTCGTTGGGTTATACAAGTTGGTACGACTCGGCAGAAGCACTCGGATCCACTGTGTATGTTCTCTTTATCCAACATGCTCTTGCATCGTAGGACTGACGGGTTGCAGCACTCATATCTACCGAGATCTTTTGGTACCTGATTGAAATCACCGTAGCATTGCTCGCCGTTTGTCTTCCTACGCTGTCCGGTATGCGGAGGGTTGAACCAGTCGAGAAAGTCATACGAAGGGTACAAAGCAAACTTTCCCTGAAATCAAGTACCTCGACGGGCGGTATTATTATACCTTTAAATGAGATACCCATTACTCGAAGAGAACTTGAGGACAATTCGAAACATGAGGCATTGAAAGACGGGGAGAGGGCGCATGTAGGCGTCTTGCCGGATGTGGATCCCTAGTGACTGTCTGGGGGGCCGATTGGCACATTGCTTCAGCGTTTGGTCAAACGAGGGTAGCAGTGATAATGGATTTCGGAAGGAGCCAATTTTCTGCACCCTGCGGGATGTATTGGTAGGATCATTGGACTGGTATTGATGTCGATGTGGCAATCGTTCTGCTTCAGCATCAGTATTTTAGCAAGGGTAAATCAGTGGTTCGGGCTCTGGGAATACCAAGAGAATTAAGATCGATTGTGGTGTTGGGCCCCGTGAGGGTGTCCGTGCGCTCCCGAGCGTTATCTTGGCAGAATCGACACCTCCTTTACAGTGCTTCATCCTGACACTTCAAACAGGAGAGTGTGACCTCCCACATCGCGTCTACTATTCACCATGAGAGGCTTTTCAAATCTCGAGAAGCATCCGGCTTCTACAGACTGCCGTGACGACAGTGGAATGTAGCCTGCCGGCCCGTTCCAACCTCTTCCATGCTTGCTGTGCCGCAACAGCAGGTCATGACTACCGAAGGCTTCTCTATTGTATTAACCGACTAGGTCGAGCCCGAAATCGACAAGGATCAAGCTCCGGATGACTTGCTCGCACACATCACACCTAGCGATTTTCCTCTGGGACCTCCACCCACACTCTGGGACGCGGCCTATATCTTCCTCCGGCCGAACACCTTCTCTGGTGACAAATAATAAGCCTTGCTTCCGACCCACGGTACAATGCGGGATGGTGGATTATATATATATGGAGAAAGTTTAGGTTGAAAAGGAGGGGTGCATTGCTGTCCAAGGCGTTATAAACGTGGTGGAGGCTACATCGTATATGGTATACTTTGCAAGGCATGGAAGCATGGTGGGAGCTTCGGACGGAATACTTTTGGGGGGCAACTAGGGCCATGCGCGGTGCTAGTGGGCTTCGGCGTTGGAGTCGCAGTGACAAAAACAACGTTATATTGTTTGTTGGCTGTCCCTTTGTGCAAGGCTATGTCTGCGGCAATATGTTGACGTAGGAGTTAGTCATGAGAGACGTATTTTTCGACTTCGAGTACGCAGGCCACAACGATCGGCACACCTTATTCACCCGGGGGATAGCGGAGGGGCATGGGCGTGGGGCTTAATGAAGTATGCGCTTTCTCTGCTGGACAGACACGACTAATGAAAGATGGCAGTCTACTCTACATGATGCTTTCTTCCTATATGATCTTCCAGATTTAGCACCCAGGCAACATCGGGTGCAATGCAAGCTAAGAAAAAGTGCTAGTGATGTGCAAATGGCATAGTTTATGCTCCGCCCAAGCTCTCAACTCCTCAATTACTTTGTGGTGGGAGTCATCTCCCCTCTCGTCTATTGACAAGCGGCATTATGCACTGACGTAATGTTTCTCTAGCCGGTCCGCTGCATTCTTCCCATCCTTGCGCCACCTCTATCCCCGCCGCATGCTTATTCAAATATGCTCCTTTTCACCTAGTATTCTACTTCTTCCTCTAGCCGCTCTCCTCCTCACAAGGACCCCGAGAACCCACCTATCCCCTTCCCTGCAACATCCTTCCTTATGCCGCCTCCCTGCTCCACGCTTATCCAATCTGGGTAACTCTTCTTCCTATCCTTGAATATATCATCCGGTACTTTCTAAGCTGCATGGTCCTGTTTCTGTGTTGTATGGGTTGTTAGCGGGTGCGACACCCAAGGGCCAGAAGGTAAGTTCTACGCGGTGCATTGCGGGACGGATGGGCTATTGAGTTGAGGTGGGAGTGAGAAGGGCGAAGAGATCCCTACTTCCTTCTAATGGACGCGTGAGGATGCCAGTGCGAAGCTGATCGGATCGCTTGGGGATGGCTTCATTGACTACGAGATGCTCGTGCTATTCTCACACAATCTAGTCCGTACCCAGCGTGATCATACCGACGACGCCGCGATGCTTGCTCGGGTCCTCTCACTACCCTACAACAAGCGCGAAGTGCAAACCCTATCCAGACTCGCGTTTCGACAATTTGTTGCGTCCATTTCTTTCAATGCCTCTCCGCTTCCTTTTGCTCATGCGCATGATATATGCTCCTATTACGAAACCCAATACTTCTCTGCATCCCTTTCCTATTGGAAACTTCCTCGATGCAGTTACCAATGCCCCAAGCGAGCCTAATTCATAGATCCAGCAATCCTTCGTGGCGTCTGCAAAACGCGGGTTCTTTCCGCTGCTTCCCCAGACGGTAGTCAGGTACCCGCAACGTCAGTAGGCTAAAATACGAGGCAATGAAATCCATCTCGTGCCATTACGAGTCAGAAGTGCCTCACTTACTTCCAGAATCCAGAGGGACGCCTAACCACCCCCCGAGCGACACTCCGGAGGTCGTCACCGCTGTGCTGGGAGCTCAGGAGATGGTTCTCATCCAGTTTAATCGACGACTGGAGTCGCACACGCCAACATTGGGATCTCAGCTGCTCTGTACCGCGACGGACCATGCCCGATATCGCGTGACGAAAAGCCCATTGACGAGGTGACATCGCGAAAATGCTAAAGTAGCAGTAGTGGGCCAATACAATATACGTGCTGATGCCGATCGCAGCTAAATATAGCTCCTATTACCGAATGCGGTTAGGTTGGCCGAACCGTCGCTGCTCGTGCGCTATAGGAGAGATGCTGGATGTGGTAATGCGAATCCTGAGGCTCGTATTTGAGAGTGGTTATGGGAGTATATAAGGTCAAGTGGAGAAGAGTTGTTGAAGGTACCAACGGACTTCTTGCAGTCAGTCAGTCATCAGTCAGTCAGTCGATCGACTTACCTTCCGCTCGCTCCAACAGGACATAAAACCTACAGTCGCTTCTGATCCAGACCGTCAACTATCAATCTAATCTACTGTCTAATCCACACATCCTCCATCCCACCCAACCCAACCCAAAATGCGCTTCTCCCTCTCCGCAGCGGCCGCCCTGGCCTTCTCCACCCTCGCCTCCTGCGCTCCCTTAGGAGAAGCCCCTATCGAAGAGCGCGCCGCAAGGCTCCAGCCCTGGCAGCTCACCGCACTCATCGCCTTCTCCCCCTCCGGTCGCCCAGGCTCGTATCCCTGGCTCACCATCACGGCCAACCTGACGGACCCCAACGAGCTCATCCTCGGCACCGCGCCCGACGACAACAGCACCGTATCCGTCCCCGCAGGCAACACGGCGCCTAATTGCCGGGCCAAATGGCTATCCGGCGAGAACCCACACGGGCGCAGCTGGCCGTGCGATCCGACTGGTGACGGGTACTGGACGATGAAGATCCCGAAGACGGAGGGTTTCAGCGCGAACAATTTCACGGCGGTGTTTACGCGCGTGGCCGAGGTGCTGTACCATGGGAGCAGCTATCGCAAGGAGTATACGGCGAGCAAGAAGTTTTTCTTGGGCAGCGATGGGAATCTGAGTGGGGTTTGTGGCGGGAGTGGTGTGTGCAGTTGGGGGTTGAAGGAGGGGCTTGCGCCGTATCCGATTCAGCAGAGAGAGGTTACGAATTAGGTTGGGGAAGTGAAGGAGAGTGTTGGAGAAAGGAGGGACTGGTTATGAAGAGACGGTACTGAGAGATAGGGAGACTAAATGAATACGTTGTAATGATCAGCCCAATGCGGCTTCGCATAAAATGAAACCACTATACATCAATCTTGCCGTTGGTCCCCCATTCTATTACTCAAAGAACGAGAAAGCGCGGATGAAATCTTGTCGCTTTTTTTTTCGCTCGATGATTACGGGATCTAAATAGCGTCCTTCATCGGAGGGGACTATAATTCTTTAGAATGACATCGAGCGTGCGGAGTCGGTAGATGTTCCTCTGAGATATAGACTGGCTGCGGGCCTATCGTAGGGTGGCTTCAAAAGCGAAGAACAAACGCGCGAGGCGGCTTTATGGACAACGGTAGTTGTTGACGGTCGGAGATGGCCCGTGGACGCTGGTGGAGCTTTGTGTGAGAGGTCGGGCGTGGCCGGAGCAGCGTCGGAAGAGAGCAGCACCAGCATCGCAGCTTCCGGCGCTTTCCACGTCCAGCCGGCAACATCCAAGGATATCGCAGGCTTCACGACGGAGAGCTCGCCACTTGCGATACGGCATGCAGACTTTGTAAGCTCCCTCACGTCGAAAAGACGCAAGAATGCGGGCCTCTTGCGCAGATCGGGCGACTTATCCCCGCATCGAGAGGCAGCTTGGCGGCTAGCGATCACAAGCTGGAGCTCCACCCCTCTGCCCGGAGCTGGGCCTGCGACGTCTACCATTCACGGCCGCTGGGCTAGCCTGAACGGTCGCCCAAGACAAAGAAGATCCTCGGCACTGCTCCAGCGTCGAGATGGGTGACGTCTTCGTTATAAATATTATATCCCCGGCTTCCCGCCCTCGACTCCGCACGCATACATCATCGCATTCCTCCCTCTGCCCACCCACAGCAATTGCACAGACAGCTTTACAGAACTCACAATGGCTGCCAACCCAGATACCCTGCTGCGCGACGTCAACATCCTCGGCGCACTGAACGACCAGAACAGGCATATCCTCAGCAAAGATGCCGCCGTCTTCCTCGCCCTCCTCCACCGCACATTCAACGAGCGCCGGAAAGCCCTCCTCCAACGACGCATGATCCGACAGCAGGACCTCGACAAGGGCAATCTGCTCGACTTCCTCCCCGAGACGAGGCATATCCGCGAGAACGATGCGTGGAAGGGAGCTCCGCCGGCCCCAGGGCTCGTGGACAGGCGGGTGGAGATCACAGGCCCGACGGATCGCAAGATGGTCGTCAATGCCCTCAACTCTGACGTTTGGACATATATGGCGGACTTTGAGGGTGAGTCCCGGCGGCAGCCGGAAGTGTGACAAACAGGCAGCTAACGGATCTAGATTCGAGCGCGCCGACATGGGACAACATGATCAACGGCCAGCTCAACCTCTACGACGCCATCCGCAAGCAGGTCGACTTCAAGCAGGGCGAGAAGGAGTACAAGCTGCGCACCGACCGCGTCCTCCCCACACTCATTGCCCGCGCCCGCGGCTGGCATCTAGAGGAGAAGCACTTCACCGTGGACGGCGAGCCCATTTCCGGCGGCTTGTTCGACTTTGGTCTGTACTTCTTCAACAATGCCCACGAGCTCGTAAAGCGCGGCACCGGCCCATACTTCTACCTCCCCAAGATGGAGTCACATCTCGAGGCCAGGCTCTGGAACGACGTCTTCAACATGGCTCAGGACTACATTGGCATGCAACGAGGCACTATCCGCGCGACCGTGCTGATTGAGACCATCACTGCAGCTTTCGAGATGGATGAGATCATCTACGAGCTCCGCGACCACTCCGCTGGCCTCAACTGCGGCCGCTGGGACTACATCTTCAGCACCATCAAGCGTTTCCGCCAGAATCCCAACTTCGTCCTCCCCGACCGCGACTCCGTGACCATGACCGTCCCCTTCATGGACGCCTACGTCAAGCTCCTGATCAAGACCTGCCATAGGCGAGGCGTCCACGCCATGGGAGGCATGGCCGCCCAGATCCCCATCAAAACCGACCCGGCTGCGAACGACGCCGCCATGGAAAAGGTCCGCGCCGACAAGCTCCGCGAAGTGCGCGCCGGCCACGACGGCACATGGGTTGCGCATCCCGTCCTCGCAGCCATCGCATCAGATGTCTTCAACAAGCACATGCCGACGCCCAACCAGATGCACGTCCGTCGCGAGGACGTGCACATCACCGCCAACGACCTGCTCAACATGAACGTGCCCGGCAAGGTCACCGAGGCTGGTATCCGCAAGAATCTCGACATCGGCCTTAGCTACATGGAGGCGTGGCTCCGGGGCGTCGGATGCGTGCCCATCAACTATCTCATGGAGGACGCTGCTACAGCCGAGGTGTCGAGGAGCCAGCTCTGGCAGTGGAGCAGGCATCAGGTCAAGACTGCAGAGGGCAAGAACGTCACCAAGGACTATGCGCTCAAGCTGCTGCGCGAGCAGGCACAGAAGCTGAGCGAGAAGGCGCCGAAGGGGAACAAGCTCCACCTCGCCGCGAAGTACTTCGAGAGCCAGGTGACGGGCGAGGACTACGCTGAGTTCTTGACATCGTAAGCCCCTTCCCATCCCACCAACCTTCGCACAACTAACATGAAGCAGGTTGCTCTACAACGAAATCACAAACGTAGGTCCCCCCAAGGGTGCTTCAAAGTTGTGATGTGTTCCTCCAAGGCTTTCCTTCCCCGCATCCTGCTGTAACATTACAAAAGCCCTTCCAAGGTTGCTCCCCGGCGTGGCGTAATGGGCTCGTAAGCGAAAAATAAATTACTCAATTCGCCTTTGCATGATTCGCTGCTTCATGTTGCTACTCTGCATAATTCATGTGAACACTTCGCTGATGTCATGTCTTCTTACAGGCTGGTTCCCCTGTCGCGGCCGCTAAGCTTTGAGGCGTTACCCCCGAAGCGAAAACCGAACGAACCGAGGTCCGCGCGAGAAGCGATCCCTTCCTGCGGGACGAGAATTATCGACGGATGCGGGGGATTTGTGGAATGATGGCATGATCTCGCATGTGAAGACCTGTAGGCTTTGTGAGTGGCGAGCGTTGAGCATGAGATGCTAAATGCTGCTGGAGTCGGAGCCAGACGAGGCACTGGACATGTGGGGTGCGGAGGGATGTCTGACGACTTGATGGTTTAAGAGTGTTATTGCGACCCTTTGTTGCAGGTCCAGACGACGCTGTGTTGATGGTGGCGCTCGGGCCGACGTTGTCCCGGACTCTTGCACGTTTAGGCTGGAAATGTTTGCCCCGCCCTATTCCGTTTCATCCTGTCCCCTCAAGTCTCATCTAAGTCTCGTCTAGTCTCATTGTTTCCTACAATTTTGTCCATTGTACGTAGTACCATCCTATACCGCGCTTGCGATAGCCGCTCCCTCCGATGTCCGCCTTGCGGGATCGTGGGAAACCAATCAGCTGGCTGATCGCACAGCTGAAGAAAGAAAAAGAGCATTTCGAAGATGAGGTAAATTGGTTAGCCTACGGTCAGGTCAAACGGGTTGAAGCATGTGATGATCTCCTCAAAGAAGGCACCAATTCGTTAGCGAAAGGATCCAAGAAACGCCGCTCTGCAAGACTTCGAGTACGATCACTTTTGGTGGACGCTTTCCTAGACGTCGGCCAGGAAGTGTTCCTCTTGTGCACTTTGGCAGTAACTATATCGAACCTGGCTACTATACAATTGGGTTCCCTCGTTCCGAAGCTTAGAGACTGGTGGAAATCAGTGTCTCACCGTTGACCGAAGTTGCTCGTGTCACTTGCGAGAAGTATTCGATTACGGAATTGGTCAAGCCTCTTGCTGGTAATGGTACACGGCCTCCCCCTAGTTTCGTACTAGTTGCGCAGGTTAGTACTGACGCTTCTAAGGCGCTTGCGGTTCCAGTCGCCGATTGGTTGGTAACGTAGAGCTATCTGAGGCTTCACCCACCCGAACGCCGACTCAACCCTCATCGGCGCTGTCTCAACCGGATTTACGCTCTCCGCTGGCGCAATCCGCGATGGATTCAACGCTCCTCGCAAGTCAACCGCAAAGATCAATCTTGGAAGCCGGCTATACAGATCTTCTTGACTTACTCAAACAAGACGAGGAAACGCCCATGAGAGTAAAAATGAACTGTCACTATGCGTTGATCGTTAGGGAACCTTGCGTCCGAAGTTTAGCCTCTTCTCATCCTTAAATAGCTGGCAGTCCCCTCACAGAACCGGATACGAAATCTGGCCCTATCCTCACAAGCATGGCGCAACGCATTTTCGTTCTATGCAGCTCAAATCATGATCCCGTCGTTATTGGAGATCTTGCTTGCCAAACCCACCTTCGCCGGCCGTACACGTACGGAGAGGACTATATACGATGGGCTGGAAATTTTACGAATACGCAAAATCGCACGAAATGCCAAGTCCTGATCGACTGTGCTGTCGCCGACCGCAACCCGAAAACCAAAGTAGCACTTTCATGCTATAAAGCAACCTCAAACGGTGATAACCTGTATATCATCTCCGACCCCGTATTGATCATCTACATATTGATGCGAGCGCAGAATAATCATGCCCGTGGACCCTCCGGGAAATCTTTCCGAATTGTTGGAAGCAAATTATGCTTGGGGTAGGCGTGGGCCTCCCTAACGGTATTTACACACAGCAAAAGCTATACGGCAGACTTTAGAGGCATACTAAGAAGTTGAAATACTCATAATTCCCAACTGACATTCTGGTCACTCGCTAAGAAATGGAGCTATCGTCGTTGCAGCCAATCAGAATAGCGAACCCCAGAACAGCTCTCAGAACGATAATTCGGAAGCCCCGTCACAGAAGAGAACAAGGCTATGTGTACACCTGTCAATAGGATCCCCTGGGAGTTTGGGTCTACATCTGTTAGTGGAACTTGCTGGGAGTGCGGTAATGATAACTCTTTGAAACCAAAGCATAGCTTCTAACACTGCGCAGTTAGAAATCAGTAGATTTGGCAATCACGTCATCAGAACCACGAGTGGGAGAACGGATACTACTGCGGATATATAATGATGAAGGTGTAACTAGAGGCGAGCACCGTTATGAAGCTGGATCTAATGCTTGGAGATACTGTCCACGTCGCGCAAAACCTCTCCCATGTTTCTATAATGTGACTCAAGACACTTGATAATAGTTACCCCAAGGCTAGTGACGGGTAGTTGTAAGAGATTAGGTAGACCCTCCTGTTCTATCTTCTGCCTCTTCTCACCTGGAGAGAGATATAACCCTTTGAAGAGCTGAATCCCAGTTGACATTTCATATAATGCAAGGCCAAATTCGAAAATATCGTCTTGCTCCAGATAGGTATCCAAACCTAAGGAGGAATTCGTGAAGTCCCCAAGGCGAAGGTTCAAGACTTTATCGAGGAAAAAGTTGTCGCAGCTGACATCCCCATGGGCGACGTCGTTCACATGGACGAAGCGTAGTGCGATAGCACCCTGCCGGGCCCAACGGGAAATGAGGACCGCGCTCGCCGGCTGGTTATCGGGTATGCTTAGATATCGCCGTACGGTCTTGTTCTCTGCATATTCAAGAAGTATTCCATCACCACACCTCCCATTGTATCCTAATAATGACGATGGCCTTGGGATATTTGACTTGTAGAGCCTTTCGTATATTCCAGCTTCGCGTTCGCACCGTTCGCGCTCGTCAGGATCGCCGTGGGAGATCTTGATAACTGTTTGAGTGTGAGGAATCAAGAGAGCTAGTCCAGATGTGCCTCCTCCTATTATGTCGGAGGCGGATAGGCCGAGAGGGAGCTGAAGAGTCTTCCGAGTCATGACAGGATTCGGGGCGACGGATCGGAGATGCCCACTAGAATGACTGCGGTGTCAGCAGTCGCATACAAGGACCGAGACCCGCGACTAGATCGCAGCGCCTGGAAGGTGGGGACAGCGCGCGCAGATTAGAGACGTGGGAGGGCTGTTCTAGTGCCTGCCTTTCTAATGAACGCGAACACTTACGGTCAGGTATGGGTGAGTAGAACGAGCCTCAACAGTAGCTTTTTCCGGGGGCGGATGGGTCAAGGGCTGCAGGAGTTCGGGACAACGTCGGCCCGAGAACCAACAGAGTGCCGTCAGCTTCGCCAAGCCATTTATGGCCGAGCAAATGTGAACAGGCCTAGGTGTGGAGTTCGCGAACACCGAAAAGTCGTAGAGCGAGCTAGGCCGATTACCTCCTGTCGTAAGCGTCTCTTTGGGCCATATCTACTTCGCTACACGCTGCTTTAAACGTCACCAAATCCTGGCGCTTAGAGTGTCGCCTTATCACCCTGCAGCCTGCAGTCCGTAACCAGTACTAATACTACCTGAAGCGGAACTGGCGGAAACAATATAGCTGGATACAGTCCCATGGCAGACGGCGGATCGGACAGGAAGCGTCGTGTTCTTGCGCCTTTGGGTCGTATGTGCTGGGGTTGTGCGGATAGAGGGTATGTATTGACGGTGTGGGTTGGGTGTGGAGGTTGGATTGGTTTTGGTGGAGATGGGGGTAATAGTGATGAGGGGAGTGTGTGGATGGTGTTGAGGGATTTGGTGGGAAGAGTGTAAAGGATTTTGGGTCTATGGAGTGGTGGGTGTGGAGGAATGGCGTGAGTATTGAGATGGGCGACACTTCAAACGTCCTGATGCTCTAAGTCTACGAAACAGTTTTCCCATGACACTCAACACGACTGGAATCATTCCTAGAGGCAAATTTACCAGGACTATCCTGCTATATGCCGCCATCCACGGTTATATCTAGTTTTGACGTTGTGCGACCTCTAGGCGACCTCCAGCACACCGCCAGCATTCGGGACTGCTCGAGTTCACCTTGTGGTATGGTTGGAGTTCTGCCCCAGAAGTATCTGTACCTGCGCGATACTTGCACTTCCCCTTCCCTATTGGTTGTTATGCATATGCCTCCTTGCTTACAGGGTATGTGTAGAGCACGCGACCTCTCAGCGACCCAGCTGTTCGATTAGGTATTGAAGTCCATCCCGCATCCTAACACTAAAACCATCCACGTGCACCGACACATTGATGCGATCGCTCCAAATGCGCACACGACCCTTTCTCTCTCTATACGCAAGGATCCCTCACATGCATTAGGATCCCCCTTACACCTGCACCCCAACCTTACCCATGCCCACCCACATGCGCGCACGCACACAGCGGCAACGGCGTCCACACCCCAGCGCGCCACACCTTGTTCTCACCCCGTGCTTCCGCATCCGGTAATATGATGTCAAACCCCCTGTTGCGCAAGGATACACCGCGCAACGTGGCTCGCTACACTTCCCCATGTTCTGTGGCACATCGGAGGGTGCCGAAAGATCGGCGTTCGGAAGGGGAAGTTGGGTTGCCTCCGAGTTGGGAAGAGGTGGTTGGTGGGGACAGGGTCGGATGACCGATCGGCTTGCAGGTGCTTCTTCACTCACCGGTCGGAGCGAGAATGGGAAGGCGCGAGGTGATGCAGGTGGGAAAGCACACCCATCTGCGTTTACGTATTCCATTTCCTTGTGCAGTAAAACGGGCGGGCGAGGTATTGCATCGTGTATTACTTTAGAGAGGCGGGAGGTGATGACCTGCCGAAGTGGAAGTTGAAGATTTCGATAGTCGGATGATGGGTCGGAAACGGAAGTGCATGACGGTCAGGTTTGGCGATCGTCATTGCGGAACTTCGAGTCGCAATACGTACTTTATGATGTATTTTATGGGGCAATGTACATTGCTATACAAGGAAGTGAAGTGGGTAAAGCATCTCCAGAAAGCATCTGTGGAAAGAGTTGGAGTAGTTTTCATGACTATCGTTATATAACCGCAACTTCGCAAAAGCTCCGATCTGAGGCTCAAAAAGACCCTGAGATCGCTCGTTAATAAACATTCATAAAGCAGAGCCGGGTATAATCCATCTCCGAATAAGCGACCGCGACCGCGCGAATGCCCGACTTCGCACTCCATACGCACATTTCTTCCTCCTCGTGACTGACCATCACCCACCACACCTCGATGTCAGGCGCTTAGGAAGCCTGTGCCGCAGCAACCAGCACATCAATTCCGCTAGCCTGCGTCGCCGCGTTGGTGTTGTCACTCCCACCCTGCCAGCGATCCTCGATCACACCCTCACTGTTCTTCGCGTTGGTCCACGCCGAGTCGGCGTTCTTCTTCAGGAAGTCAGTGAAGGACTGCTGCGGCTCGTTGCCGTTGAGAACGGCGAGCCCGCGCACGAACGCGCCTTTGAACTGCGAGCCCTGGTCATCGAGAGGGCCGGAGACGGGCTCAGTGAGGATGCCGTTGTCGGTGAGGTGCGTGAGGGCACCGTTGGCGATCTGGTTGGCGTGATCAATGTAACCGCCGCTGCATAGATATTAGATCTGTGCTGCAGAGTGAAAAAGAGGCTGTGTTTGGAGGACTTACTCGCCCGTAGCTCGCGCAAGCTCCGACAAACCACCCAGAATAACCCCCTGGTTATACGTAAAGGTCGTCTGCCCGTTATTCGTGCAAGTCGAAATATCAATCCCGTCGTTAATAACATTATCCCCATTGATGAACCCCTTCGTCCAGAACCAGTCCCACTCCATCTGCGCCCAGTGCACGTAATCCGCCTTCTCGTCCCCGCCCACGCGATTCGCCAAGTGCGCCGCCGTGCTCAAAAACAGCTCGTTCGCAATCGCCGCAATACTTGTCTTCTCTTTGTTCCACCAAATGCCGCCATTGCACGGCGTCGTCCAGCCGCCCGTCATGTCTTCAAAAAGGTCTTTCGCAGAGTTGAGATACTTAGCGTCGCTGGTGAGGTCGTAGGCAGCGATCCAGCCCAGCGCCCACCAGCCCATGTCGTCGTAGTAGTCGTTCTTCCAATTGCTGTAGCCCTTTTGGTTGGGCGATTTGGCGTAGGTGTTGGCGATGATGTCAGTTGCGGTTTGTTTGAAGGAAGCGTCATGCTGGCCGAAGCGGGCGAGGGCTTCGACTATGTTGCCTGATTGCCACCAGTAGTCGTTCCTGGAATATGTTAGAATTGAAGTTGAGTTAGAAAGGAGGGGGAAAATCTTGCCATAGTCCAGTGTCTGCACTGTACCACTTATCTTGTAGTGTTTTGATGGCTGCGTTGGCGTTGTCCGCGAAGTCGGCCACTGCAGGGCTGACATAGAGCAAAGAGAAAAACAGAGCTGAGGAGTACTTCATCTTGAAGAGTTCACTGTGAATAGTATGGAAATCGCACGAAATCGCTCGAGGGTGCAGACTTCAGCAATGAAGAGAAAACACTTCAAGACCCGGAAATGCCTCCATTTATCTTCTCTACACCGCCGTCAAGTGACGACAAAAACACAGCCAGGCAGGGCAAGGGCCTTGCAACTGATTCAGAGCGGGATATTGACGTGTGCCTGAGTGCATAGCTCGCTGCGCGCGAACGCCCAGAAGCTTGCACAAGCAAGCACATACAAACAAACCTGTAAAAAGCAGCGCAGGCTGCCTATCTCTGCTAAAGGATCCACAGAACCCCATCCGATCCCTACTGGCGTGACTACGGCCCGTGGCACTGCCAGCATGGCAGTTTCTCGGCTCGTGAGGCACGGAGACCAGGCGACCGATGATCTTGAACAGCTTCATGGCGGTGATAGGAGGCCTATCGCAACCGACAACGGTGATTTTTGCCGCCTATTATTGCGGTGAGCAGAATTATTGACCACGGGTACCTGGAGATCGACGTGGTCCTATCGCACGCGATGAGGTGGGTTCTTCGAGGGACCGCTGTTGGTTCTGAAACGCTCCCAAGTAGATGTTTATAGAGGTCATTGGTACAGAGCGGACATGCCAGGAACAGGCCTGGTTGGGGCTGGTCGTCGGGCGGCCTCGGAAAATCATTGGTCCTGTGGCGACGAATCAGGGTTCAGGCTAAAGCGGGTTAGCTGGGTGATGTGGCACAGTGCTTCGCGGAAGGATCGCCTCAGCCCATAAGAGGGCCTGACCTTGTGAAGAGGTCAGCAAGCGCAGTAAACAATGTGATGGCGACCCTCTTGGAAGCTGGTAATTCGACTTACTGGTTCATGCAGGAGCATGCAGATAGAATCACCCCTCCGACGGCATTGTTAGTGTGACTGCAGCGAACTCTCCAGGCCTTGGGATGTGTAAATAACCCGAGTGAGTTCTCCTGCTCGGCGAGGCATCTCACTGCGCCTGGTTTTCTGAGACACAGAAACGGAGAGCCAGACTCTCATTCGATGTCTAAGCCAGTGAGAGTCAGGAACAAGAAGCTCCTTCTCTTGGCGAGTCAAACAATCCTACTGTGCTATTCTCGTGGGTTGAGCCTTGCTGCCGCGGCAAGGTCCATGGCGGTGCTCTCGTGCGGCGCAAGTCTTCTGTTCGAAGAGCGGCCTGCGGACGATTATAGGCGCGGGCGCGACATCCGACCGCACAAGCGCAAGCGTGGGCCGGCGCACCGTCGATGACAAACGAAAAGCGGGCTCTGCGAAGACTCTGGACTTGGGTGTGTGGGCGAACAGAAATGACGTAGCCAAGAGTAAGACTAAACTCTACCGTGGACCAGTGTGGGCACGCGATGAAGTATGAGAGGCGACCGAACAGGAAGCTGTAGAGGTTTGGGAGGGACGCGAACTGATGAGCGGATACGTTGGTGCGATTGCGTGTCTCCCGGGCGCGACGCGGTGAGCTACGCAATGTCACGTGCAATGAGCCTTTTTTCTCGGCTCCATGACGTCGGCGGGGTTCGCGGGGCATCACGAGCCATCGCAATTCAACGGTTTGCCATGCAAAAGGCAAATTTCGCATCAGCGATCGACCAATCGTGGCTGTCTGTGGCGGTAATCGTGCATTCACCGCCCGGCAGATCTCATGTGAACGCCGCTTCCAGGCCTCAACGCCTCTTGGGCCGTCGTCGCTGCCTTTGATGGCCCATGACGTACCAGTGTCGTAGGCGCGCCCGCACTCACAGCGCGAGCGTGACTCCTTCCCGCTGCGTTACCCCGTATATAAACACGTCTGCCACCGTTTGACCTTCTCTCCTCCATCACCACACTACAACTGAACTCTTCGAACAACTTCAACCACAAGCAAACCCTCAAACCCCCTTCCAACCAACAACCAACCAACAACCAACATGTCTGACATCGGGTGAGCACTGTCGACCCCGCTGTACGCCTCGGTCTCTTGCTAACACGTCGCAGTCGCAAGGGTCTCGGCGAGCAGGCTAAGGAGAAGGCCACCCCCGACTCCCAGAAGTCCACCCTCGACCAGGCCAAGGAGGGCGCCTCGGGCGTGTACGACCGCGCTGCCGGAGCTGTCCAGCCTGGTACGTTCTTCGCTCTTTCCACTCCACCTTCACCTTGCTAACAGCCCTCGCAGAGGGCAACAAGTCCGCGACCCAGAAGGTCGGTGACGCCACCCGATCTGGCGGCGACGATGCCTCCAACCAGGGCAAGGGCATCCTCGCGTCCACCCAGGAGACCCTCGGCAATGCCGCCCAGTCCGTCCAGGACACCTTCTCCGGCAACACTGGCAGCAAGCAATAGACGGTTTCGCTCGATGCGCACGGCTGAGTCCGCTTGATGAGCCTTCTCTTCGATTATGGCTTTGAGAATGGAGGATTCGTGGATACATGTATCACTATACCCTAAGTCTGACGAATGAACATGGTGTCTTGACCTGACTTGATTCCCCTCGTTCTGTGATGTTGCTTCGTGATCTTTGCTGTTCTCTTAATCGTTGACGTCGCGTTGACTGCAATGCTCTGCTACCCTAAGCCTTGGCTTTTGAGATCTTTACTCATCACCATCTTCACATGCGGTCACGTTCATTCGCTTCTTGGTAAAACCACTGCCCAATCACGGATTTCTCATTCCAGCCGTTACAAATCCTCATCCTCCACCTCTTCAATCTCCACATGCCGAAGCTTGTTCTCTGCTACTCTGCCCTCCGATACTACATCCCCCATCCCGCCCTTCGCCTCAGCCTCGATCATGTGGTGCTCAGCTTCTTGAACCGCGGCCTCGGCAGCCTTATGTGCCACTGTATCCACTCCCTGTGTCTTCAAGAACTCCTCCAGCTCTGGATCTGTGTGCGTCTCCGGTTCCGCCTCCGCCTCAACTTTCGCGATATTCATATATCCCTCCTTCTGCAGCTTGTCGAACTCCTCGGGCTCTAGTAGCCGCCCTTCGCCCTTGGCTAGCTTCATTTTCTGGGCTACAGAGGCGGGCATGAACTTTGTAGCTTCCTTGAGCAGATTGCGGACCTGTGGCGCGGCTTCGTAGACAAGTGTCGGTTTCTTGGGCTCTGGAGGCGCTTCTTCCGCGTGCGAATCCCGTCCTCGTCGTCGCGGTATCGGTGGAGGTGTGTCTCTCGGCATGGGGATATTTCTAACGTCAGAATCCGTATCGCTGCTCTCCTCTCCATCGCGCCCTTTCCAGCTCCCGTCTCTCGACCTCTTACCCAGCACACCTCCTCGTCCACTCCCGCCTCTTCCGCCGCGATCGCCGCGATCATCTATCCTCGGGGGCTTGAATTGCGGTGCCTTGTCCCCTAGCGCCGCCCTCGCCTTGTTCACCGCCGCCAGGTCCTTCTCTAGCTCCGCGAGTCTCTGTTTCTCGTGCGGTCGCAGTGACCCGCTCTGTGCAGCTTCCTTGAGGGCATCGATGTCGCGCTGGATCCGGGCGGGGTTGCGGCGGGCGAACTTCTCGGTGCGCTGCGCTTGGAGCTGGGCTTTTTGCTTCTTGATCTGCTTCTGTTTTTCCGCTTTCTTGTGCTCTTGGACGGGGTTGAAGTTCTTCTCTTTCGCCATTGTGGTAGTTGGTAAGGCGTTGCTCCGTAGTATGTGAGCGATTAGATCCAGTATTGTGATGTGGTGAGGTTGGCGCTGCAATGCCCCAAAGTTCTGGATGCCAAGACGGCGAAAAGTGGGACCCGCCAAAGCTCGTGATGACGCGATGCGGCTTTCACTCGGTAACCAACCCTGGACCATCGGACCGCTCGCGCGCCGCGATGTTAGTTACCTTTCCGTGTTCTCACTCTCAGCCAGTCCGATAGCGGCCATCGCATTCCCTTTCGCTTTCGCTTGGTTCATGCCGCCCATACTGCAACATCCGAGCCCGCGCCCTGACGCGTGTTGAACTTCAACATGTTCGTCCCACGAGCTCTCAGGCTGAAGGGCGTCAAAGAAAGCCAGAAGCCGAAGCCGCAGAAGCAACAACGGTCGGAGCAAACCGCCGAAGAGGCCAGCATCACCAATGAGGAAGCCCTCATAAACGCCATGGAAAAGACAAGTACGACATCACCAGCTCCGCAACAACAAGAACGCGTTAACCACAAGCAACCCATCTCCCAAGGATCTAGGTTCACCAGCATACCCGTAACGCCGGAGTTCCTTGCTCAATTGGCTGCGGGGGTCGAGTTGATCTTCACAGATTACGCGCATCAGGACCCAGAGGGCGTGGCGTGGCTCAAAGAGCGATATAGGTTTGTGGATGGCGAGGAGAAATGTAGATTCTGACCCCCGTATTCTCTAGGAGGCTGATCTGACCATCCACACAGTCATTCACCTCACAGCGATCCTCGAGCATCCACACATCTCGAATCTCAAGCCCCAACCTACCCAAAACCTCCTGCGACAAGCGATCCGGGAGCATTCAAGTCCCACACTTGAGCTCTCCGCCAACGGCTTCTATGTCCGCCGCCGGCCCTCCACGTATCCATTCTCATTTATCCCGTACAACTCATTCAGCGTGGTAGACGATGAAGGGGTGAGCTTTTGGGACCAACGGACCATCTACGTCGAACCGCATATACGCCATTTGTGCAAGACTCCAGCAAAGGTCGCACACTGGTTGAAAGAGCATGGGCAGATTAAGGCAAAGTGGCTGCCAATTCAGGCAGTCCATACCTTGTACAACAGTTGCGCTTTCGTTGTCCTCAGCGGAAATGTCATGCATGAGGACGTGTGGAGGAAGTGGAGGGACACCGGAAAACCTGACGACTGGAAGATCATGACGAAGGTTGAACATACGAAGCGCACGCGAGAGTACCTGCAGTTGCTGAAGGAAAATCATCCAATCCCCAAACGCGCTGCCCAGATCGAGCTGGCGCTCAGTAACCCAAACGCTACTACGACGGCTTCGAATGCCAGCGGCAACTACAGCAATCACCAAGCTAAGGGAAAGAATAAACGAAAGAGGAAGGAGAAGGACAACCAGAAGAAATCAACTCCGCTTCACGATGAGGATACTAACGTGGATGATCATGTAGCCGAAGAGGGTGATGAAGTCCACTCGAACAAACGCAGAGGCTGAGCATCCATGTGTGGGGCTTCCCATCAGCAACTCGACATTACCACCAAAGCGCAAGAACTGCATCATCGGAAAATAATGGTCATGTCTGCATCCATGGATCCACACAATGAAGTCCTCACGTGCTCCGGATGCGCCTGCAGGCGTTGATATTGCCACTGACTCGCCAGCACTGACATCACAAAGTTGCCGAGATGATCGCCATGGCGCGCCTGATTCGCGCCCGAGGAACCTCAGCTTTGAGGAGGGGAAGAGCCGCGGTTCCTGCTCTAAGCATCTGGCTGTATATTTGGTTTCCGCCGTAGTTTATACGATAATTGAACGGGAAGGCCTTCGCATCTCGCTCCTCACCTCTGATTTGTCGATTTCTCGTCGTCGCTCCCAACCCTGTTGACGCTGCCTCTGGATTTCAGTTTTACACAAGATGGCTACAATAGTAGAGAGGACTTCAGAGGGGATCATCTATAGGGCTTCTAAGACGTATCCTATTCCGGATGTTGATATCCTGACGCTCCTATTTGGTGCGTAACTGCTTGATCGCAGGCATCCGCAACGCCTGACCACGTGACAATTCTAGCAACCCACTCTGTGATTCTAACTATTCACAAATGCAGACCACTCCTTAGCTAAACCCGACACCGAAATTCACGTCTCCGCCGCAGACCCCACCCTCTCTCTAACCGTCTCCCGAGCGCGCACCCTCACAGAAGCAACTTCATCAGCTCTCCGCAGGCACTTCGAGATCGGGGCGAACGGGGGTGGCAAAGACATTGTGTCCGTCATTTCAACTGGCAATTATCTCCTCCCCGTGCTCTGCTATGGCATTCTTGGAGCCGGTGGCGTGTTTTCCGCTGCCTCAGCTGCGAGTACTGCTAGTGAGCTGTGCAAGCAAATAGAGGGTGCCGAAAGTAGGATTTTGTGCTCTGTCGAAGCGACTAGGGATGTCGCTGTCAAGGCGGCTGAGAAGGCGGGCTGGGGACGGAATGGTGGAGGGAGAGTGCTGGTGATGAGCGAGGGAAGGGAGTGGAGTTTGAGGGCTGTCCAGGCGGATGGGCAGCTAGGCCTGAATCTAATCGACGAGAGTCAGAGGTTGCCGTGGGAGAGAATCACCGATAGGGAGACGCTGGACAATAGCCTGATTATCCTGATCTACAGCTCCGGCACCACTGGACTGCCCAAGGGTAAGCCAAACCCCAGATATCTTCTATCCCAGTCTGCTAACAACGACCAGGCGTGAAACTCTCCCACCGCAACGTAGTTGCTGAAGCAGTCATCCCGGGCGACATGTTCAAATCTTGGATAGCCTCGTCAAACCCCAACTTCGAATACCGCACCCTCGCTCATCTGCCCACCGCGCACATAGCAGGCATCCAAGGCTACCTCATCAACCCTTTCTACATGGGCGGCCCCGTGTACTGGATGCCGCGCTTCTCGTTCCCGGAGTTCCTAGCGTATAACAAGAAATACCGCATCACCTTCTTCTTCACCGTGCCTCCAATCTACCTCCTGATCGCGAAGAGCCCCGAAGTCACGGACCAATTTAAGACGCTGGAGATTGCAGTCAGCGGTGCGGCGCCGCTGGGGAAGGACCTGCAGCACGCGGCGAGCGCGAAGCTAGGCGGTCCAGACTGCTTCATCAGCCAGACGTGGGGCTTGAGCGAGACGACGGGGAGTGCGACCGTAATGCCATTCGGGATGACGGACGACACTGGATCCGTCTCGCCACTCATTCCCAACATGCTAGCGCGCATTGTAGACGACGAGGGGAAAGACGTCGAGCCCGGGAAGCCGGGCGAGGTGCTCGTCAAGGGCCCCGTGGTCTGCAAAGGATACCACAAGAACGAGGCGGCGAACGCAGAGGCCTTTACCGGCGAGTGGTTCCACACCGGCGACGTCGCCGAGTTCCGCAACGGCCTGTTCTACATCGTCGACCGCAAGAAGGAACTCATCAAGTACAAGGGGCTGCAGGTCGCGCCTGCCGAGCTCGAAGCGCTGCTCGTTAATCACCCGGATATCCTCGACGCTGCGGTCATCGGCGTGGAGACGGAGGACGGGCATAATGAGGTGCCGCGGGCGTATGTGGTGGCGGGCACGAAGAAGATTTCTGATAAGAAGATTATGCGGTATGTGAGGGAGACTGTGGCGGGGCATAAGCAGTTGAGGGGTGGTGTCGTGTTTGTGGATGCGATTCCGAAGAGTGCGAGTGGGAAGATTTTGAGGAAGGATTTGAGGGTGCGGGCGAGGAGGGAGAGGGGCGCGAGGTTGTAGGGGATGCAGAGTAGTGACTGGGAAGAATGGATGGCGTATACATTAAATGTCTCGCGTCACCTGCTTCGTAGGCAGCTATACCAGCGGAAACCATGAGGGGGAGTACCTAGGTATGATTACGACGTGGTTTCGAAGGCACTAAGTTACGTTCCGTGACTACATACTCCGTATGTAGTAAAGCGTAAGTCAATATAGCAGGCATTATACTATACTGCAATCGGTTTTCAGGGATAGGAATTTTTTTATTCGCTTCGCACCATCTAGCCATCTAGGCTTCTCTACGTATTTCCTCTAGCAGGCATGCTGCGATAAAGCTATCGGTCCAAACGCGCTCTTCATGGTTCGGCCAAGCCCGCGCAAAAGCATCCCGTTCTGGACTGTTTTGCTCATCATGTTCGACAAAATCCCCCATTCCATGGGACACGGAGGGCGTGGCCAATAGCCAGAGTTCTCCGCGCCTTGTCCATCGTTCACTGAGCCTTGGGCATTGGCGCCCGGCGCAAAAGCATCCTACCCCAGACTGTTATTCTGCTCACCGTGTCCTGCATGATTTGGGTCATTTTGCGGATCTTGAGCAACCCCGGGTTCTTCGTATTGCAAGTGACCTAGTGAACTTTTTGCGACAGTGCGTTTTGCGCGTCTTGCAGATGAAGATGATGTCGCCGTTGATTCCTTTCGCTTATCTACGATTGTCGGCGAAACGGAACGGGGCTGGGCCTCTGTTTTGCCAGCGTCTTGGGTGAAGGCCAGCGACTCTTCATCGTCTTCAGAGGCAGGCGCGCCAGAATGACGCGAGATCTTTGACCTGACGTATCCCTGGATCTCAGAGTCCTGGATAGAGCGCGAGGAGTCTTGCCGTCGTATATCGCCTTCGAAATCGGGCGAACCGGGACACCGGCCGGCCTGTGATCTTATGTACCGTTGGATTTCGGAGTCTCGAAAATAGTGATCATCTTGCCGGAAGGCAGTGGGGTGAAGGGCCGGTAGGTCGGACTGTCCAATCTCACGCTGTTGTCTTTCGTAACGCATTGGTGTCGGTGTTTGAGGCGCCTCTGGCTCCGATGCTCTTTCCAAACACTCTTTAGCTGAATACCGCTGCTTTGGGTCTATGACCAGCATACCCAATAAAATATCAAGCAGGCTATCGGAGTCCCAGTCCTTCAATTCCTCGACGATCTGTTCACACCAGGATAGTTGCGACTCCCTACTATATTCTGGGAGACCACAACCGTACTGGAAGACAACAACGCCAAGAGACCAAATATCAACGGCACACGTGTATCTAGGGCTTCCGATAGAGTTTGGGCGACAGTATTGAGCAATCTCAGGAGCAGCATAGACGAGCGTGCCGCATTGAGTTTCCAAATAGCTGCCTGCCTTTGCTAGGCCAAAGTCCGATAGCTTGACGTGAAACGGACTACGGGATAAGACGAGAATGTTCTCCGGTTTGATGTCTCGATGGACGATAGGTGGCATCTGAGCATGAAGGTATGACAAAGCTAAAGAGCTTTGACGAAGCAGATTCCAAACATCGCTCTCAGAGACGGCCTGTAGGTGATTTTGATGCTCAAGGTTTCCGAGCGGAAGATACTCTAGCAATAACTGAGGGTTCGGCTCGTCTAATGTTAAGTATAGCTTAACAATGTGCTCCTAGTAATACAATAAGTATAACAATTTCTAGAGCTATATTAATACTTACATGCGAGATATTACGCATTACATCAGCCTCCCTTCTCCAGTCGAATGCATGGGGTTTGCGGCACTTCTTAGAAGCATATTCCAATCCGGTACTGACATCCCAGACACGACTTACAACCCCGAATGACCCTTCGCCGAGCTTTCCTCGCTTCAGAAGAATAGGCCTTTGGTTGGGGGGTGTCTCTCCCGCTGGGAGCAGCTGTTGAGATTGCGCTCTTGAGGCCCAAAGCACCAAATGCTAGCTCGTTATTCGTGGCGACCCCGAGAAATTGGCCGACGTTGTCAAAGAACAGATCTGGATGTAGATGATCTTTGGAGACGAAGATCTGGAACTTGAGATTTGGAAGGATTTCGACGACGATTGTCTCGGTCTTGTCAGGGACTTGGTGGCCGCCTATGATCCATTTGAACTTGCTGCGTCTCTCTCTCCCCTTGCGGTCGTACGTGACAATGGTCCCGTAAGATGAGATATCTCGCACAATCAGTCGGCGTTGGTCATCGAAAGTGATGTAGCAATGTCGGCGACTGATGCCGGGAAGATGTGGGAGGACAATGTCGCAGCTATTCCTGTTGGTGCCAAAGACAATGCCGAGGCCGCCTTTAAGCTTGTGGCTAAACCTCAACTCCAGTCCGGGACCACGATCCTGGGGCTGGACTTTGTCGTCGTAGTCATCGTCCGGTGGAGCGGTTGTTTCGCTGCTTTGCCTGCCCTGCAGCTCAGGCGATTGTCGCGTCGCATCAACGCGCCGAGGGCGGTCTGCGGGGCTGTTGACGGGGTCTTCGATCACCTCGATCGCACGGCGACTACGTTCAAATGGATACAAGCAAGCGATCAAGTCTTCCATCATCGCAACGAGTCTTCCTGCTAACGACAGAGGAAGTTTGGGCAAGTAAGGCTGGGGATGGGAGGTCCGCCTTTGACTTTTTGTAGATGGGGGCTGGACGTAATGCAGATGTGCAAACAAAAGAACCCTCATGCCCAATCAACCTGCAGCAGCCCGGCTGCAGCTTGTTCCGCGCAACCAAGGTGTGCCACTGTGGCCTGCCATGGCAGCGAGCTGCAGCTTGTTCCGCGCAACCAAGGTGTGCCACTGTGGCCTGCCGTCGCAGCGAGACGCCAGGAAAGTGTGCGGGGCTAGCACTATCTTGGGTTAGGCGTCGCAGGCTGCACGTGATATTTCCCCGCCTCCGGCTTTGTCGCGTGCTTGGCACTGGCAGGCAGGCCCTTTGATACATTTCAACTTCAACACCAACTCCTGGTCCGCATCCATTTCAGTCCATTTCCTCTGCACCTTTTGCGCACACGAGCTATGGAATCCTCCGAAGCATCGGCACCGAAACTGTTCGCTCGCGACATCGCCGCTTATAGCGATACGGAACTTGATCGGTATCTGGCAGAGAACGGAAGGTGAGGGCGAGTCCTCTTGCATGGCATCGCCCTCCTACCGGCTTGCTAACCCAAGGTGCAGGATCGTCGAGGTTGAGGATCCAGAGAACTTCCCGGACGATTTCATTCAGAGATTAAGGTAATCGCCTTCCCAGCCTATTCGTCCACCGTCTTCTAATAACAATGGGCAGAGACCGGACACGCCGCATGAGCGAAACAGCCGAGTCCCACCCTATCGATCTTGATCAAGTTGCCGCCCTACTTCAGGACGTATCCGCCGACCGAGAGCGATCGCGCCGATCGCCGTCCTCTGCAACAACTGAACCACCTTTGACCGAGGGTGAACAATATGTCGAGGATCTGCGACGCCAGACAGGGTACTATAAGATGCTTGTTGACGATGGCGGCCGTCCTTCACATCCGCTGAGTCGGCTTGAAGATATTGTCAAGGATCCTGGAGAATACCGCGAGATCCTGTCATTTTGGCAGGAAAAGGCACAGCACACCATCGAGCTTCTGCCGGGTGAATGGAAGGTGTTTGAAACCCAATTGTGGAGATGGAAAGATTTCCAGAGTCTGCAACGATTCGCGAGGGGCCAAAGAGGCTACGATTATTGGCGAAGCCTTTGGGACGAGGAACGTAAGATGAGGAGTTTCGAGTCCCCCGGGAGGTCAGACCCGGGAATCTCTGAAGAGCGGTGGGAACACCACTGGCAGCTGTATCAGAAATATGACAACTATGTACGGCTCGGCACATCGTACATGCCATGGCAACGATTCATCAGGCGCAAGGGGCAAACAATAGGCCAGCAGGGCTTTCCGGAGTATACCGAAGCGCTGAAAGAACGACTGGAGAGGCATGGATTCACGCGGCTATTCCAGCTTGACGAGGATGCCGCCCGGCAGGACAAGATAACAACCTGGATCGAATATCTTGGCTACGAGTACTGGTGGTACGACTACTATATAGGTATTACTAGGAGTCACCAGAAACGGCACGACAATGCTTGGAAGAAGCTCGTTGACTCGGAGGTGCTAAGGCCTGGGGAGACGGAGGAAGTCGTATGCAATATCGATACCACCTTTCAGGACGCGGGTGAAAAGGAGATAGCTAAGAAAGCTATGCAATCTGCGAAGTTAGCTGTGTCCTCGGCGGAGACAACTATAGCCAAAGGGCAGTCCAAACTCTCCCCACAGACACTTCAACAACGGCTGTTAGCAGCGCGATCTAAGTTGGAGACGACACAGGCTAAATACGAGTCGCTTAAGAGACGCAGTGATTGCATTACCGAATTCATTCAGCGGACAGAGGATTACCGGATTACCAAGAAGAATGCAAAGCACCATGACGTGCTGCTGCGATGGATGCTTCAGCAAATTCCCTTGATTGAGGCCGAGCTGAATCCATCGAACGAATGTGGCTCGGACAAGAGCGGTAGAAAGAACGTGCTTAAACGCAACCGCAATCGATCAGAAGAGCTCCATGAAAATTCCCAAGAGCAGAGCCGCGGTGAAGGTGTGAGCGGGCCCAACCCGGACCAACTTGCACCCGCTGTTGTCAGTTTCCAAGAGCAACCCTCTAAGCGGCCAAGGCGCACCGCGAGTCTCTCAAACAACGCAGTATCTAATCCAGGAGATCCAAATTTAACCAAGGGAACACCTGCACCAAAGAGAGAACGCAAACCTCGGAAGGGGAATAGGCAAGCTTCTTCAGATCAGTCGCGAACATCTAAACCTTTACGCCGCAGTGTCAGGATCGCGGAAAGAGCAGCGAGATTGGATGCCGCAATTACAGCCACTACGCTAGCACAGACACCGACACCTTCGCTATCAACACTGTCAAGAAAGCGCAAAGGGAAGCGAGCCCGCACTGAAATGGCTAGTCAACGTCGCACGTCGAAGCCGCAGGGTACATCGAAGAGGGGCCGAACCTATTCATGAGGACAGCACTATATCTACTATCGTCCTTGATATGATTCGGGTTGCTTTCCTCGGCTTCAGGACCGTTTCGGAAGAGAGGCAACGAATCTCAGCGAGCACAACTTCGCCAGTCTTTGTGACCGACGGGGTGCCACAAAATAGGCCTTGGAGCTTCAATACTGACGTACACGTGACTCTAGGTCCCCTTGTATTATCAAAACTATTGAAGATCATGCGCACACGGTTAGAAAAGCCAGCTTGGCGCAGTTCTTCAAGTCCAAGCAGGTTCTCCATCTCCAGAGTTAGCTGTAGAGCTAGAAGCGGACAGCGAAAATGAAAGGGATTTGCGAAGACAGCTTGGAAGCGAACAGGGTTCCAGATAAGCAGGCGGAAATTTTCTACTTCAAATTATCCCAGATTTTGCGTTAGCAGCTGAATAGAATTCACTCATCTGAATGCCTAAGTTAGATGTAACTGTTGTAAAGAGGTCGGTTTTGTCTCCCCCGTGGCCCATTTCTGAGCCACACCCACATCTCGCTAAGAGAACTCTATCCCACGCCTTCCATGCCACGCTTATTATTCTAATGCTATAAGGTACCCGTTAAGCAACTGCTCAATGTTATATATGTAGGTCTGCTGTAGGAACAGCAAAATACGAACTATTCCTGGATATTAGGTATATAACCAACATCTGCCAGAACTTTGCAAGTTACTAGGTTCTTCTTTCCTTTAGGATAGTGCAAACTGTCCTCCATACTATTTAACCAGACGGGAAGTCCTGACACCACCGCAAGCGACATACAGAGAAGCCCAAGAGCGAGCGTCGAAGGCCGGACAAACCATACTAGCAATAGCTCGACTAGCACCAAGAGCATCCGGCATCTCTCAACGAGCGTCAACCACACAATACTCTATACCGACCACCGCTACGCATACTTGTTCAAAATGTCCCCAACAACCCGAATATTATCCGTCCAAAAGTTCTGCATCTTATCCTTGGGCACGTCTTTCGGTCTCCATTCAGATTTCATGAACAGGCCGAACCTGAACCACTCACTTTGGTCCCGCTGCTTCCGGTCAGGGATAGTTGCCCAGAAAGCTTCGCGGAGTTCATCAGCGTCTTCGTACTCCGGTCCAAACCCATTGGGAGCAGGCTTATGGAAGAGCATCTCAATAGTTCGGTGAAGCGATGCATATGGTGCGCTAGCTACGAATTCCCAATCAATGACCGCTTGTATCTCGGGGTTTGTCTCACTGGACACAATGATGTTATGAGGACCCATGTCCACGTGCATGGCGGTGTTATTACTTCGCGCGTTGGGGATTCTTTTGGGGGTGAGGATGGGAGTAGTACGTCATGGTTGGGAGGAGAGTGGAGCGATATGCGACCGCGCAGCATGGCGGGAAAAACAGAAGAGCAGTTAAACAACTCCGAAACGATCTCAGGCAGGGAACTTACATTGCGTTGATGTTGGTGAGATAGATGTTTGATGCGATAATGTGAAGGGCGTGGGAGGACTAATCGGGAATAAGATACAAGATCTTCGGGTAGGGTTCTAAGAGCCGAAGGTGCCGAAAATGCGGAGAGGTTGCGTCTTGCGATAGGTAGGGAATTCTCCGGATCTAAGGGCTCGCCATGCAAGGAAGATTTGACTCACCGGATTATACGTCCCATTGTACGCGCCCGTGGAGACCGACGGGTAGCTGTTGTCGATTCTATCTGGAGAATTCCACTCCGTGAGGGTGTGCGAACTATATGGTGCAGATCCTGTCATCGCTGATGGATAATAAGTGAGCCCGTCAGCAACTCCAAATGAGTTGTCTGATTCCCTCTCTCTCTCTCTCTCTCTCTCTTTTCGAGAGTGTTGAGTGTTGACGCTTGAGATTAGGGCGCCGCTGGGCTTCTCTCCGTCGAACGCCCATGTCGCTCTAAGCTTAGGTGACTATTAGAATTATGTGCACTGCAACTGTCCCAATGGGAGGATCTTGTGCTGCCCTGTGTTTGCTGCGAAGGAGTGAAGTCCGAGCGGGTGATTTGGAATCACCAACATGACAATCCTTCGGAGAACGCTCGGAGTGTCAGCAAGAGGGTTGAGCCGGAGACCATGGACATGCGTGGGGAGGAGAGTGCGAGCAGCGTTGAAGGAAGCTTTAGCGCTCTATAAACTTGAGCGAGAGATCCTATATTTGTCTAATAGAGCTAGTGCGCAGACTCTTTTCTTGTAAGTTGGCGATGCAGGGCCACTGCCTCCTGAACTTGAGCGCAGGGGCGCAGAGCTCTGGCCTCAAGAAGGACGCTGAGACTGCTGTGTTGCTTTTCTCCGGGTGGAAAGGGTCGAGAAGCGAATGAAGGGCAGCGAAAAAGTTTGCTGATAGTAGCTTCCACCCTATACGCCATCAGCGAAAGCTACGGCCAGACAAGACGAGCCAAAGTCATGGTGAGAAAGCTTACACGCACCTTCTTCCCCATTCAGTAGATTTCACGTTTGGATCCTGTTTGGAAAAAGCGACTCTATAGGCTACGCTACGCTAGACGCATAGTAAAGGCCGGCGTACCCAGACAGTCCCTACACTAAAATGTCAGCTAACGGCCACTCTCCGCACCTTCATAACGCCGTCCATCTCCACCCCGTCAAACCTCCATCCGCGGGAAATCAAGCATCTCAACAGGTACCCTCAACAAACCGCGCTACCGACGTCACCCTAACCGAGCGGACCGCAACCACATATCTCGCATATCAGATCCAATCTCAAGCATTTCCGCGCCGCTGTTTCAGCATCCCTTAGCACGCTTCTAAACCCCAGGTTGCAACCCCCTACCGGAGGACGGCGAGTCTAGTCTAGCCCATCAGCGGAAAATTCCGCGAAGATTTGGCCGTTGGGCCGGGGAGGTACGGTGCTTGCAAAGTGTGACGGCGTCGTGCCTCAATGTACCGGGCGCGGCGTTCGACGGAGCATGCTCCGGTGATGATCAGTCGACTGCTTCACCATGGGGCGGCTGTCGGGCTTGGCTGGAGAAGCTAAAGAGGCGCGTAAATTAATGCCGCCGCTCGGTGGTGAGGGATTGGGTTGGGTTGGGGCCTTTCTTCGGCGTTCCGGCGTAATGCTAGTGTGAGGCGTGATGCGTCGGTATGGACTTCGGCATGTACCGTGTACCGGGGCCGGGGACTCTAGGACAAGTGAAGCGACATGGCGATACTAGAGATGGATGGTCTTAGTGGAGATTGCGACTACGGTGGATATTCGGTGGTATAGGGATCGAGAGACAGATTGGGTATCGGCCGGATTTATTTTCTCCAAGCGAGATTTGTCCCTCGAGGTGTGTTTAAGCATTCTCTTTTATGTCGGTCGTGAGCACGCCGGCGTGTCCACACGCTGCATACCACTTTTCCTCGAACAGGTTCGTGGAACGCTCAGGTCCGGGTCGGAGGCGCTGTCTGGCGTGTTCCACTACAGTTGTGCCCAATTGGATGAGGCCCGACGCAGTAACGCGGCTGCACGTGGGGCACACGTTATTCCTGCAACGCGAGCCCTGCATGTCTCTAAAATCTCCGATGATCTGGGGAAGACGGCGGAGAATGCCAAGATTGCCGGATTCCGCTCAGCCCTGCCAAGATATCGTTCTCATGGCCAGGGTTTGTAAAGCGACTCGGTTGGAAAGATGCGAATACGTGGGCACATTTTAGAGAACAGGTGATGCGCGGTGGTATAGACAGGATTGACCAAAGAACGAACGAGCAGACTTCAACTGGAAGAATACTTGGCCCAGTAGCACTTGGATGCAGTGCAATTTTCAACAAGCTCAGCATAAGGCGGTCGTAGAAGCCATGAGATAGTCTACCGTATTTGCGTCGACCATTTCCCATCGCCCATCGCGACTAGGTCTTGAGGATCCCAGGGCGCTGGATCCTTTAGTTTGGGCGATAGTATGGCTCCAAAGCCCGCTAGCTATATCTTCGGACGCCCCGAGCTCTAGCCAGAGCCCAGAAATGGGGATCATGACGGAGAATGCGAAATGTCGCACTCAGCACCAGAGCAATCACCGTGTGCTCGCTCGAGCCCTGTGAAGCCTTGTCCTTGGGCATTTGCTAGTAGGGCACCATAGCCGGACAGGCTCGTAGGTTCGGTGCTAACGGGTGGTGGGGAAGCGAAGTGTACCAAGATTGCACAGGAGCTAGCCCGGTGAGACGAGAATGCTGAAACGGAATTCCCATGACACGACGGAGCCCTCGATATGCTTTTTGGCCGTTGCTGGGTCGAAATCGGAGGAGGGAGGGGAGAGGACGAATGGGGACCATCGTCAACCCTGCATAGACTGGATGGAAGGCCCGGCCAGGAGTCGCTATCGCCCTACTATAACTGAACCGAGAGTATTCACTAATGCGCTCCGGTGACTTCGTAAATTCAAAACAAGCGATCCGACTATGCTGACCTCGTTAGCGGATCGTACCAAACACTGGCGGGATGATGTCTCATTGCATAGGTGAGGGGATCCTTCTACGAAAGGCGATCCATTTTTGAAGCGGTGGTTCGTGTTCCGAAGTGTCTCTGCTAGAATGGAGGATTTTGCATGTTGATCTCTGGCGGGCGCAGGCATCCACGCGCGTTGGCGAGCGGACTCATAGTGCAATATGCAGAGACTCGGAAGCTCACGAGCTTCATTAAGACGGGTCCACGATGCCGTCGCCGGACTGGGTTGCGATTTTCCAGGAGACGCCGGGGTTGCAGGCACTTAAATTGACGTCTTATGCGATGGATGACCGTCTTGACCGGGGAAATAGTTAGGATAGGAGCGCTATGCGCGTGGATGACAGTCTGCAAGCGCTGGAAGCTAGATTGGTGGTGTGGCACGGTCGGTCGTACGGAGAGTGGAAATAGACATGCCAAGTGCTGACGGCGTAGAACAGTAGGTAGGGGAGGCACGTGCGGAAACGTGGTGCTGCAGGAGTGACATGCTGGCTTCAAACGTGGTCGTATTGACACAACCCTCTTAATAAAAGAATCAGCAGCAGATACCGCAATCGATGTGGAGTGCAGGCATGCAGGCTGCGCATACCAGAATACGAAAGTCGGTCCCTGAAACCCATCAACCGATATCAATCTCCCACCGAAGGGGTTGGAGATAGCGGAGGTATGGGGGGTTCGCAAAGATGGGGGTTTCTCGCGGGCCCCTGGTCGCGCCTATAAACGCCGCAATCGTATGCATGTATGCACATGCGAGCATGCAGCGATTGATATCTCCTTTGGGAAGGTGTCAGAAGACGATGTTTGGAGCATCTGTTCGATAGCACTTCTGTTCGGCGGCGTATTTTTAGGGTGGACCGCGCCCGCCCACCGTTGCCGCTGGCTGCTGCCACACCATCGCAGCTAGCGACGGCGGAGGCGCATCTCCTGCTATTTCGATTATGCTCAAAGTGCCGCACGGGGCGGCAGGTTGCGCAAATGAAGCCCCGGGCCGAGGCCAAGGGCGGTCATGGCCCGCACGCCGCAGCCTCGCTCGGGAGCCCGGGAGGGGAACGTCGCGGAAAGCCTGATCGCGAATCGCTGGCCGCCCCCTGGCGAGGCGTTGTTGAAGAACAAAAACTTCCTGATGCGTGATCAACAATCTTGGTTCTCGTGGAGCCTTGTGAGATGCGGATCGATCGGAGGCCCACGTTTCGCGTGCAGCTGGTCATTTAGCCAGAATGCGCGGCGCAGGCCCGGTCCCAGGCCGGGACCCCAAGGATTGCTGCTGCTGGAGCCTCATTTATGGAAATTGTCTGCTGGAGCCGCGATGGCTCAACACCGAGGACCCGGAATCCCCAGGGAGCCAGTACCGAGTCGTCACCACCAGCGGGTTTAGCTCGCGCTGCAGGGACATGGCCGCGTCGCGTCGAGCTGCCAGCTGCGCGCTGTGATGACAGCAGAGCAGCTTCGCGGACGGCGGACGCTGGGGGGAACGTGGGATATGGTGGCCCATTGGACATCGCGCGGTCGATTGGAGAGGAAAAAGAAAGCGGCGTCGTGTCGATGGCGCGCCAGTGGCAGATGCAAGGAGAGGGCGCTAGCAGGACGCCCATCTGTCGCAGGAGCTCCTCGGACTGCCTCTGCAGCTCGTGAGGACGGACTGCCATGTGTGGTCGCTGGAGAGCCGAGGGCCAGTGTTGACATTCACCCTTCGCCGACGACCAGTGACCTCGCACGCATCAGGCGGTGCCCACGTGCAACTGCGCTCGTTGAGGACGCCCAGCAGTCCCACTGACTGCGCGAACGTCATGCATGCACGACTCCTAAGCCACTCCGCCGGGTCGAACTGTCTCCACGCATTAACCAACCGACGCCCATCACGTACGACAATCGCGGCCGGCCAGTGACATCGAGTGACAGCTGCTGTGTAACGCGGCGCCTACTTTGCGGAAGATTGGCCATGCAGCGCGATTCACATCCGCCATGACGTTTGCCAGTTGTGAAATGAAGCTGTGGCTTTTCAGGGCCCCGGTAGCGAGATGAGCGCGTGTGGAGAAGGACTGCGTTTCGCAGCCATCTGTCGCAGCATCATGCACTGACGGCGCGCCGTGTTTCCATCGGCCGCATCCCTGCGCCGTCGATGATGGATGATGGCACCATCCGACGGCGCGCGCTGCGAAGAATGCGATCAGCTCTTGCGACGTTCCTGGCGCCAACGTCACCACTGCCCTCCAGCGCACTGCCGTCATTCGTGCGTTTTTCTCCGCGCTGCCAGCCTGGCCGCCCCAGCGTCGAGCCCGTCGGCACTGCGTCCAGCATGAAATTCCTCCATCCACCGGGGCGCCGTCATCTCAAATTGGTCAACACCTGGGCACTCTTGTGGAGAGCGTCGAGGGCCCCTGCTGCGGGCTTGCCTCCCCCCGTCACCGTTCGCGCGCACAGAGCATGTCTAAATTAACATCCACCATCGCGCGGTCGGCCCAGCTGCCGCCTGGATGCTGGATGCTGGCTAGGCGGCCCCTTACAGACGACGGTTGCGGGAGCTGCGCGAGTATGGGGGTTCGCGAGGGCGCGCGAAGCTCCAGCAATCGCCGTGCCACGCCCACGCCCACGCCGCTCTCCCCTCGCGGCTGCGCTACCGCAACAAGCTGGCCGCTCGCCTGGTGACAGCCAGGCCAAGCATCGACGGTGCGTAAAAAGACCTCCGAGGGTCCCACTGGCCTGCGTGCACGGCCGTGGCCTGTGCACACTCCCTTCATCCATCCCGCACATCAGTTGGCTCCAGCGCCCACCGCCAACAGTGCAGGGTTGGCCTCAACCTCCTGCCAGACCGGCGCAAGATCGTCCTCTGGAGGCCAAGCCGCCAGGATGCCTGCTCAATCTTGTGGTGAATGGGCGCACCAACGCGACTGGCCTAGCGTGTGGTGGTGGTTTGCCCTTCGCCACTTTTAATCATCCAGACACTCAGCCAAACAGCTGCTCGCAAAATTTCATTTTTGTCCCTAATTCTTTTCGTCATCTGCATGCTTTGCTTTTGGCACCTGTCATCTTGCTGATTGCGAATGCGCCTCCTCCGGTTCCGAATGGTGGTGGGCGCCGCGTGTGTACCCAGACAGTGAAAAGGTACGGTGCTCCACTGCCTCACTGCCCCCTCTTTGGCCCTCACCATCGCTGGTCCCGGGACCACGCCATTGTCTGGCCCTAGCTGTCGGATTCTACCTGCAGAATCGAGCGCCTAAGATCCCACGGCATGGTTGATCGCCCGTAACCGTCCCCGCCAGTGACTTCCCGACTACAGACAAGATCTGGTCGTGCGGGCTCCAACGTTTGGGAAACTCCCGCGCCTGACAGCCTAGGTATGTGGACTGCCGTTCTTTCATATGCCGTTGCGCGGCCACTTCCTAGCGTCAACCTTCCCATGCTAATATTCTCAGGACCCTTCAATGCGCTCTGTGGCATCGTGTGGTCGTACTCGAGAAGCGCGAGAGCTCTGCGCCGCCTATGGCTGTCGGGGTGGAGCGCCGTGCGAAGAAAGTTGCTTCTAGGTTAGATCAAGCGTTGCTTTTGCAACCTGTCAGTAACGCAATGTCCTATAATCCTTTGACCCAAACCACTGGAGTCGGCTTGTCTGCACCAACTACTTCTATCCACACCTCCGAGGACCGTCACGAATATAACCATACCCTACCCGCCCAGGCTGCTCTTCCCTCGCCACAGCAGCCGGCCCACAAGAAGAGACGGCCCTCCAAAGACAAGACGACGACAGCGATTCGACGATCTTCCTCAACGCCGCATATGCGCAATCTGGCTCTTGGGACTACTGGCGAGCTGTCGCCGACGAGCGACAAGCGGCGCAACAAGCTCGGGTACCATCGAACTTCGGTCGCATGTGGTAAGCAAGACGCTGAAGAGGCGTGGTCGCAAGAGCAAGTCACTGACGTGGGAAACCACAGGCCACTGTCGACGAAGGAAGATTCGATGCCTCGTTGCCAACGACGAGCCCACAGGTCGCTGCGCAAACTGCATTCGACTGAAGAAGGAATGCAACTTCTATCCTGTTGACCAGAACCCCGAGAACCCGCGCCCCCAAACTGGCGCAATCAAGGATGTGAACCCAGGCGCGTCAGCGTCTGCTACCTCTTCTCCCCGGCACCCTCCGTCCATGTCCGGGGAGAAAATAGACGAGTTCCGTCCGCCGTTCAATGGACCAGTCTCTGGGAACCCAGTGTCGAGATACGGCGTACCTGGCGACCCAGAAGTCGAACCCCACCATGTTCCACCTTCGAGTGGTGGTAAGTATGCGAAACATGCAAATTGCAAATTGTGTGCTAATGGTCCCAGTGCCGATGCAACAGCAACCTCCCTACGGTTATCCTCATGCAATCGACACGCAATGGCCACCTGCCCCGGGCTTTCTACCTTCCACTTCTGTCGCGGAAAGCCCCTCTTCCTCCAGCGGGTACTGGCGGCCATCTCCCTCCACCGCGAATTCGACTTACGGCAGTGAATCGAATGTCTCCGGTGGACATACCCCGGCTACCATGAGCACCTCCTCTACGATGTCCTATGGAGGGCAACCGGATAGTCATAACTGGGGAGCACCGGGCTTCCAGCCTCCTACGAGATCCATGTCTTATGGGAATATCGAAGGGATTCCCCAGCAGTATTCAAATCCCGGGCTTGGCATCCAGCAGCACGACTATCCTCGCCGGACTTCACCGTATCCCTACCCGTCGACGATAGACACGAGTCCTTCGACACTACGTTCGAGCTCGATAGGAGGCCATACGTCGGCACCTCTTTCAGCGCCAATCCTTCCGAACCAACAGTACAGCTACCCAACACCCTGGAACCCATACGGAGGCGGTCCGGCTCCAGCTCCAGCTCCTGGCCATGAAATGCCTGCGCCAAGTCGTTCGATGAGTGGGCAGTGGTATCACGAGCCAGGGCAATTGGACCAGGTGCAGGAAGAAGGCGGACCTCCGATATCATACAGTCATCATGGCATCCAGCAGTTCTACTCTGGGCCATAGCGTCGAAACTTCACTTTTCCATCTGCGGCTTATTCTGGACGGCATTTCACCATTCGACACTTCATTCATCGGAGTTTATAGAGCGCTTCGGCGGGTTTTGTTTGCGACTTTCACCACGGTTTCTAGGGCAAAAGGACGGACTTCAGGATGGATTTTCTACGAGGCATATGGCGGATTGGGTAATGGACCATGGATCAGAAAAGTAATGGACCGGTCACGGAGGGACGGGGAGGGCGCCTTCACGTCGGACGCGACAGCGATCGATAATTCCTCGACCGGAACGTCTCGTAGCAGAGAGAGAACGGCACCTTCCAATTCCCCTCCCCATTTGCCATTTGCCCGACCTCACCGCTCGCGATTCGAGCTCGTAATGACCGCATATTCGATTTCCGCGGCATATACTTCCTCTCATTTACCTCGGAACACGCATGTACGAATAGAGCTGCGACCGCTTCCGAGGTCAGGCATTCGGTTGTTTTATCTGCGCTTGTAAGATAGATGACGATCATCCATCGTGTAAAGCGAGCGAATTTAGCATTTGCGAACAGGCATTCTCCAGACACGTTACGCGTGTGCTCCAGGGAATTCTTCGATTTTTAGGTGCGCGTCGCGCTCCCCAGAAGCAATATCGTATCAGCGCGTCCCCACGAAAAAAGTACCTCCGACACGCGCGCTGTCTCATTCCTCGTCTAGGTTCCCCCATGCTAATTATCTCAAATACTCCACACAGCTTGTACCGCACGACAAGACCGTAAGCGACTCGCTCGAAATTAGCAGGACTACATGTCAGCAACAAGATTCTCATGCTGCTTCTACCACCACCACCACCGGACACCTCCGAAATCGTTCGCTGTTGTTGGGCAGCAATAAGTCGCGCGTTAAATGTTGAGCCATGTCAACCCAACGCGCGCTTAGTAGACGGGGCTCTTTCTGATAGCAGGCTAGTGTCTCGTACTACGAACGCGACCACCGTGAAGGCGACCTTCTGGAACTGCGACGTCGTGCATGCAAAGGCCATGCAAGCGCAATCCTCCATGCACGACAGCGAAAACAGACACTGCGCTATGCATCGAATACTGCATAGAAGTCCTTGAATACGAGCGACCGCATACATATACCTAAGATATCTATTTACAATAGCCGTACGATTCCAACAAGGCCTGGCCAGACGGAAGAAGCGCTCACTGTGCCACAGCGCCCCAACCTTCCTCTTTTACTCAAAACCCATACAAGGCCAGTAGTACTGTAGCACAAAGCTCCGCCGGACTTAGCTAAAGTCCTCAACTCCGCCCTACTGTTACACTAACGGTCAGACGCCCGCCCTCGGCATTTGTCCTCGTTTGTTATTCATAGATAGACAGGTGGGTGTGGCTCCACCGTTTAAAAAAATCTTTAAAACCATAATTCTTCCCGCATCCCTGCAAGACAACTGCGCTGGCAAAACCTTATTCCCAGCGACCATTCGACCGGGACGACGCTCCGTAGGCTCCGCAAGGAGAAATGTGCAAGGTTTCTCGGCTACGGTGCGCGGCCGCCGTTCGGGAAGAGCAGGAAAGATGCGCTGATCGGCCTCGGCTAGTGGGTGAGGGGAAATTGGGGAAATGCGGTTTTTCGTATCGAGGCTATGTACGAAGGAATGCCGAATGCGGATCCGAAGAAGAAGCACCAAGGATTATGTTTGCATAACGAAGAGGGAATTTTTTTTTCTTGTTGGGATAAAGTTTGAAAATTGGAAAGGGTGAGGGTTTGAAGATTTCCTTGCGACTACTACTACGATGGACGGTCCCCGGGTTCCCTAGGGAGGCAGGAAGACGGAGCATCTTTTGGGATTTCCAACGTCCGGGTCTTGGTGTGGGGCGCCGAGGCGCTAGCGATGGCGGGGTGAAAGTCAGGGACGACGCGTCGCTGTTTTGCAGGAGAGACTAATTTGTCCAGGGCAAGTGTGCAGATGGGCTATCGTACGACATTTTACTTTCTGCTCTGCTGTTGTGCGACGATGCTGTCATGGAGGAGTGCGAGTTAGGATCTGAGGAGGAAGAAGCCAACAGATGGTTGTTCATCGGCGCTAACTTGTATAGGTAAAGCCGGGCTAGTCGCTGCACTAGCGGATCTGCTGCTCGATCCAGTATGTCACCCATTTATCTTCTTAACTCCCAGCGCCTTTTCTCCTACTACGCCACGCATCTGCCTTTTCAGATGGTACCTTCCTCTTCACTCCTAGGCCCCCGGTACGTCATCTCTCACGCCAGCTCATCCCAACGCCAGGCCATCGGGCCCCATACACACGGCCATTCCAACATTCACGGGGCATTTGCTTCAAGAGAGGACCTGCTTCTTATGGGGAGCAACTCCGGAACACAGCTCACATGCTCGACATCTCATTACGGAGTTCTCCATGGGCACGAGTTTCGACCAAGCGGAAACGCCGCGTACGTGTCATACGAAACGCTCCTTTACACGACCGACCTGTGTCGTAGTATCCAATACTGTACCTGGAGCTTCAGCTTTGCACATGTGAGCTTCAGCGTCTTTCACAACAGCATTTTCCATTTTCGTGCGTATGCACTCGGACTGGCCGGTTTTCTCAAGCTTCGGAATCGATTCGAGATGAGGAAGGTCGCTCGTATTGGTTTATGCCAATTCGTGCCAGTTGGTTTAAGGGGCCTTGGGCCTTGGGTGCGAGGCGATTCTTTTACCTAGCTTTTGCGAATGTCGGTCCGACATAGACCACCGTTGTAGCGGTAAGGCGACAAGCTAACTCGATAGGACTCAACGCTTTGCAGACCAGGCCTCGGAGGGCGAGGCCCTACTTTCTTCCATCTTCCAGGCATGCATACAACTTCTAGTCTTGGCGCCTAATATACTGATACCGTTGCGTGCTGAGCCGAGCGCGTACGTCATGCCGGGCGCAGATACGGTTCCAGAGCCACGAAGCCTTGCAAGCCAGCTCCGAAAATAACAAGGCCTTGGCTCGGAGAATTTCCAGTGAAGCTGCCGTGAAGCTGACCGGACCGGCTTACCAACGTCGATGCCGCTTCGATCGTCCGGTCTTCCGGCTTCTATTCGCTCAATAGCCCACCCTCTACACTCGCTAATGTACTACTAGCCATATTAACCAATTATCCGGCGGCTATCAAACTCCTTGGGAGCTAAAAGCGCAAACCCGGCGGTCAGGATCGACAGAAGCCTCCCTCTCAAGCGACGGATAGGACAAAGTCCCTTAATTCCACCCTGCCAAGACAAGCTAACCTCCAGTCTGGATATTCATCTCGCCCCCTACTCTTCTTCGAGCCTCCACACAGTCCCCGCTAGCGAGGCGAGATAGCTAGGAATTAGAAGCAGCCCCCGTCGATGATAAGACTTACACCCAAGCAGGTAAGCGTGACCACACGTGCGTGCATAGACCGCAACTTATCTAGGTTATACCCGCTATGCAGGTACTAGACTACTTACTTAGGTACTGTACTGAGTAATCGCTCGGCTGAAGAACTCCGCTCAAGTACCCACTCACTACTCTCAACTCAACCTCGATCATCAATTCCCCCTCATCCTCATCACCAACGCCTCCCTCATCGAGACGCTCTGAAACCGCGCGTGCTAAAGTACCATAACCCCCGGACCTGTCTGGATCTGAATCTGAACCACATCCACCCAAGGCGCGAGAGAGTTATTACACGCCGATCGAACGTATGCATGCACAAACCCCTCGGAAATAACAAACTCGGTCCCTCTTTCCCCATCGATAATCGAAACCCTATCGAGGCATTAGTCTGCGGGAAACCCACTTGCTGTGGGGTAATAAAAGCTTGCGGGACGCACAACGCAAGGGGAGGTCGGGGTCGGAGCGAAGCAGTGAGTGAGTGGTACGCTTGCGTTGACTTCCGCCACCTACTGCTAGTTGCATATCGCTGGTCAACGTCAATCTTCCTAGTGCGAACGGCTTTATCCGAAACTGGGCGTTTCAGCTTGGGCGATCTGTACATAGGGGGAAATTTTTTTCAGAGGAAGGCGGGTTTGCAGCTTTTGTTGATGTGTGGGTAGCTTCGTGCATGCGGCATTCTGCGCCTCTCTGGAAAGCCTACCTACTAACGTGGTAAGTCATTCATAAATCATATTCGTTCGTTCTCTCTTTCATCGCTGGGAAGCCGAATGGCGTTGGAAACACAACTTAGCACTCCAGCGCTCTGGGCTAACTCGACAACAGAGTCCACCTAAGGACCCTCTTCTCCCAGCGCATTCTGTGCCGGTTCCCATGAAGTGCGCAGCGTGCTTCTTACATAATTTCTACTACTAGTAAACATGTTAGGTTTTGCGGTTGAGAATGGTCTAGAATCTGGAAGTATTGATCTGGACTAAGGCGGCAAGCACAAACGGCAAGAGGGAGCAGCGCGGTGTATGACTTCAGGGTGGGTTAGGGTTATCATGCCCTGGCTAGTACGGGACGGATGGGCTAGGGCTTCGATAGTAATTGTTCCTTTCGTGCCTCTACCATCTGCTCAAAGGGAGTCTCCACCTCAGTGTTACAAGCCGCGGGCTGAGATAGCGGAAATGGTTGCTGGACTAAGAGTCCAGTCCTGCTAGGCTATTCCAATTTACCTTGATAGCGGGTTTTGTCCTCCTCCCGAGATAGTCACCTAGTACAACCGCAAGCCTATCTCCCTGCCCATCCCGTATATTTGGTAAGACGAGGTCTCGCCTTTCATAGCCTCACATCTACACCCCCACCCACTCTTCTCATCCACTCTTCTCGTTCCTCCCCGTGAGCTTCGCCCATCCACGTATCCCCCATCTTCTCTGCACTTCTGCGGTGCTGTGGATCTCATCGGTCCGTTCTTTCCGCAACGTGGGCTTCGACGTCACCCACCACTCCCTCTACCCGACCACGTCAGGGTTCGAACATCCTCCGGTGCAAGCACCTTCCAACCATGGATGCATATCAGAGCTCCTCGACCCCTTCGTCCGAGAAGGGAGGTCGACGTACTGGGGTTCAGTGTCAGCAGACGCCTTGCATTGCACACCTCGTTCCCCACACAGATTACAGCAAGAATCCGGATTTGCAAACGTGTAGAGGTGCATTTTCAGAGCCACGCCGGGTTCGACTCCCGGCTCGACGACCAGGCAGCGCGTGGCGGAGCGCGCGGGCCTTATCCCGAGACTTAGTGTGGTACTGCGCCTCCGGCTAACCAGTCCTAAGCCTACGTCCTGCGATGTGCTTCCTCGGCGGGGTGGAGGCAGATAAGCGTCGGGAGAGGGCCTGGACGGACCGGAGCGAAGGAATGCGCGGGAGAATGCTCAGTGGCTGAGGGAGGGCTGGGTGACGTAAGCTTGCACTAAGCATGCGAGCTCCTCAGAAGGAGAGGATAGCCGCCGGCAGAATGATTTCGGATTACGTACATAAGGTATTCGGGTTTAGTTGCTGATCGAACCGGTTGATCTGAGGGTGTTCACAAGAATCCTGACGACACGCCAGTGGCTAGGCGTAACATGCTCAAGCGCTTGCTCACGGATCCGGTATTGCTACGCGTGCGGATCCTCGCTGCTTCATCGCAGAATACGACACGCCTCAGATATGCGAACGGATCCGCCAGTCGATTGTTGAAGGAAAGAACGGGAAATGTCGCCTGGGCACTCGTAGGGCGACTCGACGAGCTTACGAGTCTCCGACCAGCGCGTATTACCCATCAAGGTGTCTCTTCATCCCCCCGTCCGCGCCGTTGCGATCGCTCACGCGTTTTCTCCTGCTCTTCTTCGGGCGGTGCCTGCTCTTGCGCAGTGGCTTTCTGCTGACGTCCTCCGCTAGCTGCTCGGCGCCCTTTCTCCAACGCACGAACCTGTTCCCCTAACTCTTTCTCCGTAATCTTCTTGTTCTCCGCCCGCACGTAGAGACGAATGTATTCATTGTATTGGGTCATGAGATTGTACGTCTTCTCTGCTCTCTGCGAGGCATCTTCTACCTGGTTGCGGAGGGCTTCCCAATCGTCGGTGGAGACCTGTATTGCTGCCGTCGGATGCGTGGAATCTCTTTGGTTGTTGGGGTCCTTCCGTTCTTCTTGTGCGGTAGCCGTAATGCCCGCCATTTCCTTCATTTTCCGCTTGCAAGTTGAACGTGAATCGCTCATCTCGTCCCGGAAGGCTCTCCACTCGTTGCGCAAAAAGCTATCATCCTGCATTCGCTGGTGTTTCCAGTCCAGCATCTGTTCACCGATCGTGCTGATGCTCTTTCGCAGCTCATCCAAAGTCGATGAAAGGAGAAGTAATTTTGATTCCAAAGCCTCGATGTCGGGCATACGAACCTGAATGCCCTGGTCCACACGTGGTGCTAGCTGTTTTGCCTCTTTTGCCGATATGCTCTCCAAAGAGCTCCTCTCAGTCTTTTCTTGCTGTGCGCCCTGCCCTAGTTTCTCTGTATCAAGTTGCGGCCGGAAGAGCCAAGTGCTATGGTTGTTCACTGTCTTCTGAACATCGTTGAGTCGCGTTGGCAGCTCGCGCCGCTCATCAGAAGACATCTGCACAGATGCATCGCACGTTTCATGACTGCAGTTCAGCCGCTGCAGTGGTTCCGGAAGCGCAGTCGTTCTCTCAAACGTTTGGATCGACTGCGACTTCAACATGACCGCCCTCAGCGCGGCTAACACTGGCTTCATCGGCTCTATAATTCTATCTCTTTCGGTGTCCGACCGCCCCCGGGATGCAATTTCCGTCAATCTGGTCTCCAGCCTTGCTACCGAATCTTCATGGGTGCCAAATTGCCCCGCAGGCTCGCGTGTCTCCTGCGCCACGGGAAACGGTTGACAGCGTTGCGCGTTAAGAGTATTTTGAATCTCATCGCGGAAAAGATGGAACCGCTCTTGTAGACCTTCCCGGGCGCTCGTCTCCTGCGAAAACTGCTTTTGAATATCCTCGATTTGAACTGCCAGCGACTGGCAGGCCTCGTCCCTCAGTTGCAGGGATTTCTCGAGCTGAGCACGATGTTGGAGTTGGGCATCATCTTCTGAACGCCATCTAGCGCATTCATGGGTTTGCGCCGTTTGGGAATCATCCAGCCGTCTCTCCAGGGCCTCCAGCTTCTTATGCAACGTCATCTGCAGCTCCCGTGATGCTTCGTCAACCGTTGTGCGGCGCCTCCGCTCCTCCTCGAGCAATTTCCGAAGCTTTGAATTCTGCTGAAGGGTTTCCTCCGGATCCCGTTCGAGTGGCTTGACGGTTGCTTCACTGCTTCGCGGTTGAGACGGCAGTCCATTGTCCCTTCTTTTAGCCGCAGAAGGTGAGTCGACTCGGTTTGCTAGGTATTGCGCGGCTAGCTGGGGTTTGTTTTCGAGGGCTCGTTTCTGCTGCTTCATGTATCGCTTCATATCGATTGGACCGTCCGTCTCTCGTTTCCGGTGTAGGCCTAGCCTGTCCCCCGGTGGACTAGCCATGCTTATGGCCTTCCGATAGCTGTGGCTAGGTTCCAGCGGCTTTCGCAGATGATGGAAATGGTGTCAGGGGACGGTGGTGGAATGATAGACAAAAAGTACACAGATGCCGCGGAACAGTACAGGCCAGGCTTGTGTGAGACAAGCCGAAAGCCTCAGTTCTTTGCGGATGATGCTAGTCAGCGACCACCAGTAGAGCGTGCAGCAGGAGCTGTTGCTGCGTGCAATTGGAGAGGGAGATACTGTATGCGTCTCGTCTCATGCGACGTCAGACGCGTTGGTGCACGGGCCTCTCGGCTATGCACTTGGCGATATCGATACCGTCTCACTCGGAACGTCCCCAATTGAAGCCTGAAGGTGTCAGAGATATCTGAGGGCGCAGCAACGTTTCATCAATGGCTCAAAAACGGTCCACGACTGCGCACTTCCTTAAGTCAGAAAAAGAAAATAGTTAGAAACCTCCTGCACAAGCAGAGAGCGGGGACATTCGTCTGGCCAGTGCATGTGGCCAGAGCACCCTCCATGCACTGGCTGGTGACACAGCAGCTGTGGATGTGACCTGTCACCGTCAAAGGTGCAGTGGGACGTTGAGCCATGTTTGCTTTTTCTGCAGCCACCAAGCCCCCACGAAAAGTGCTTTGCCTCATTGGGCGATAGCGTTCCCCGTTCTGTCTTTCGCGACATGGCCGTGTCTCCGCCATCAGCCACCCGTAAACCTGATCCTTGACTGCGCTCTTCGTTTGTGCCCGCCGGAAGTGTGGCCGCGTTCCCCGCGCAATGAATTCGCTGTCAGGCCGCCACTCTTCCGCTTCAAACGGCCCCAGGAGCTCTCCTCGCCCATGTTTCTGGCCTGGTCCTAGTCCTGGCCACCTCTGTGGGCCAGCAATAATGGCGTTCACACGTTGATTTGCGCAAGCCTTTTTATCGCCGCGACGGGTGTTGATAAGACCTCCTTCTCGCTTGCCATGTCTGCCAGCAAGCCGTTTGACTGGACGGCAGCCATTTACTTGCGCTCTTCCAGCAAGGCACCCCGCACCGAGCCGATTCTAATTCCCTCTTTGAGCGGCACCGTGCATTAATGCCGGCCCGCCAGCAGGCCAGGTCCCTGAAAGCGGGTCAGGATGGCGCTACTGATGCGGTGCACCGCGTCCCTCATCTTGGCACAGCGAAGATCGCGATGAGATCAACACACCGCGCCTGTCCTCTGCTCTTCGTGCATATTCTTCGGTCCACACGCTACTCTCTTCCATGATCAATCTATTGTCGACAGATAGGTTTTGGAGCAAGATACCCCAATCACTCCCTCCGCTCATTGCTGCGTTTCATCATGAGTCGTGCTCTTCCGCAGGACTTGTCTACCGATCACAGTCCTCCGCCCAAGAAACAGCAAGAACCCTTCTTCGAAACCCTTCGGGTAAAAAACAAACAACAAGCAGTCCAGGTACATAGGCAGGGGGAGGTTCAACGTATGCGATACCACGACGTCCCAGCCTACTGTTTGCTGTTTACTGACCATGATCCAGAATCAGAGAGACAACCGGCGGAAGCAGATTGCCGATCGACACCAGCATCTGCTTCCATCCGTCCTACACGAATAAATACCTCAACACCCACTCCGCCACTGACACCTCCTACGGAGATGGCCAGCGCTCCAAACAAGCTAATCTCCTCGCCACTAACTCACAGCCGAAAACGCAGACGATCTGATACCCTTGACAGTGATGTCACGAGCACAACGAGCCGGAAAAGGTCCACGCCACGGCGAAGAAGGACCACCCATATTCCCGTGTCCTCATTCATAGACAGAGACGCCCTTGCCGATGTCTTCGAGGGTGAACTGGAGCCAATACAAGAGCGTGTTGACAAGCTCGAAGCGCAGGGGAAGAACCAGGACGATACGCTTGAGACAGTCGTCCAACGTTCACAAGAGAACGCCGACGCAGTACAGCAGTTTCAGGCTTCCCAAGCAGGCTTGAAAGGAGTTGTAGACTCGCACACGGAATATGTTAATAATTTGGGACAAAAGTTAGAACAAAGGATAACCACCGATGCCGTCGAGAAGTTATTAGCCGCGGAGAGCAAGGCTACCGCAGAACGGCATGCTGCCTTGGAGACCCGGGTTGACGCGTCCGGCCTCCTGTTTGCCAACCTCACGGAAAGGATCACCTCCCATGCCGACCGAATTTCCGATATCACCCAGGAGTTGAGTACCAGACCCACGACACAAGAACTAGATGACCGGCTTGCCGAAGAAGGCGCTAGAACCGAAGGAACTATCAGGGATTTGGAGACAACATTCCGCACTGTCCTTTCCTCCCATGCGTCTCAGCTGTCCCGATTCCAAGCTGACTTGGGCCTGGCGCCGACGAAAGAGGAGCTCGAAGCACGTGTGTCCGCCGCGCTGGAGAACTTGAGGCAAGATGATCTGCAGAAGATTTCAGCGACGGTGGACGAGAAGACCAAAGCCGCAGAGGATGACATCAAGAATGTCAGGGACGAGTATTCGCAGTTGAGGACGACAGTCACTTCGCTTGAGAGTACATGCGCGACTGATAGAGATGCCGTGAAGACACAGATAGCGGACCTCGTCGCGGGACGTGATGACATGGAACAAAGTTATAACCAGGAGGTCCCCACGATCTGGAATGCCATCACCGAAGTCAAGTCCCGCGTCAAGAACTTGGAGAAGTCGGCGTCGGCCGCTGAAGCCAGCCATTCATCGCGGCTAGACTGCCCCGACAAACACACAATCTCGCTCTCGAATCACGTTCGGGATGTTGAAATGGAGCAAGGGAAGAAGATTGCAGAGCTGTTCGAAATCGTGAAGAAGGACAAGGAGACGCGGAGCGCAGAGATGGCTGAAAGCAAAAAGAAGCAGGAGGAGCAGGAGCAGGCCGTTAAAGACCTGAAGAAGGATCATGATGCTTTGAAGTGCGACCATGCTGCTCTGCAGGAAAGGCTGACTGGGAGCGAAAAGAAGCAACAAGAGCAGGAGCAAGCTATTGAGAGTCTAAACAAGGACATACTATCTTTGAAGGACGACAAGAATACTCTAGAAGAACGCCTAACTGGCGTTGAGAAGGAAAGAGAGGAACTCAAATCCGCTATCGCCGCGATGCACGCTCAGATCGACGACCTAATGTCAGACGCCGCCGAGACAGCTCTAAACTTCCAGTCCAATAACGCCACCGACGAAGAAGGCTACATTTCCCGTACCGTACTCTGCAAGCTTCTCCACTCCATGGGAGAGCGGATCGTCAAAATCGAGCTAGGCCAGAATAGCTCCAAGGTAACCGCACAGCCAGCAGCTCATCCCACATGCACTGCATCATTCAGCGACATCCTAGAGCAACAAGACATGCACCGCTCCAGAATCGAAACCCTAGAGGTAGCCGTCCAGAACCAGCGGCGCCATCTCCAACCCCTCCAGCATCTCAAGCCCGAAATCGAAAACCTCTGGAGAACCATACAACGCCTAAGCCGCAAGCCCAAGACCGCCCCCAATGCCACGCCGCAACCCGCCGCCACCACAGACCAAATCGCCTCGTACGAAACATCCCTCCAGAGCGCCCTCACATCCATCACCGCCGACTTCACCGCCGCCATCGCGAAAGCAAAGACCGAGATGAGCCAGACCTGCTTCGACCGGAGAGAGGGGCTGCGCACAGAGCTCCAGAAACTCTTCGAGCGCGATGGCATCTACATCATGACGCAGCAGTCGGTACGCAATACGCAATACCCAGTCGACCCCTCTCGGACCGACCAAGCTAACCCGCAGCCGCAGCTTCAAGACCGCGTCGTAGAGCTCGAGCGGGCGACCACTCAGCCTCCGACGCCAAATGGCCCGGCCCAGGTCTTCGCGCGCTCGTCCATGCCACCACCGACGCGGGCTGCGGCTCCCGTGTCCCGCCCGATGGGGCCACCCCTACAGCAAGCTGCGCAACGGACGATTGCGCCTCTTCCGCCGCATTTGCGACAGCAGCAGCAGCAGCAGCAGCAGCAGCAGCAGCAACAACAACAGCAGCAACAACAACAACAACAACAACAACAACAACAGCAACAACAACAGCAGCAACAACAAACCGTCGCGCAGACAACGCACACCACCGACCCTCAGCAGGCCTACATCCGCATCGGCGAGCCGATGCAGCAATGAGCAGACCAACCGCCCTCCACCGCACGGCGTCATACCAGAACATATAGCGGATCCTCCGTCTCCGAAAACTCTCCTTTATCCCGTTGAATATACCCCCCATCCGGCGTTCCGGTTTCACTTGGTTTAATTCTTTGTCTATGCCCTACATCAGAGATACCCCCTAGCAATATACCCACCCACCCTAGCAAGAAGCTTAGCTCACTCTCGCTGTAGCAGCTTGCTACCACACATAGCCAGCTCAAGATCTAAATTCGAAGAGATAGTAAATTTCACAAGAACCGCATAACACGGTCTGATTCCATCAATACCCAGCAGAGTATAAATCACAAAGTGAGACGGCATATGGTGCAACATCCCATGATACTCGTTGCATATCCTACTATTACACGGCGTTGCTAGAATCAATGCACGCCGAAACCAGACTCCAAGCGTATTTGCTCCAACGCCTAGAACCTACCAAAGCACATGCTACAATGCCAGTCCATCACTCCATTCATTCACCGCTCATTACGGGTTTCCACAAACGTCATATGCTTCGCAAGAGAGGACCCTGACAGCGCCGGGAAGGAAAGGGACCCAAACTGAAACCGAAGCAACCAGTGCCCGGCGAGCGGAAGGGGAAGGAATGTTTTAGAAGATGGTACCGAAGTTCTCATCCACCACAGGGAGCGGTTTCCTGGGACTGGAAGACTTGCCGTTCTCGTCGTTCGTCTTCTTGTGGCGGAATGTGACTGCGGGAATATTAGCACAGGTTGAGGCGGCTCCAGACCTTGACAGCACTTACATCCAACAAAAAGACCCTTGTTCATCTTCTCGCCTCGCTCGGCCATGGCTTCCAGCGCAGCCTGCTTGTCATGCACCTCCTTATACTTGGCCATGTCGGCCTCGTTACCAAAGTCGTCAAAGTATCCTGCGTCGGTCTCGCTGTCGAGCTCTGGGACGAAAGGCGCCTTGTTCTCTCTCAGTCGGTTCCAATCCACCTCAGCAAAGTACTGGTGCGCATGAATCTCCGAGATGCCCCGGAAGCGGGAAGACTTTGACGCTACGAGATGGGTGATGAGGTCCCATGTGCGCTTGGAGAGGAAGTAGGAAGGGTCTTCATAGACTGGTTTGCGGAGGACCTTCTTCCACTGCTTCAGATTCTGCCAGGTCTCATCAACTGTGGCACCTGCGAACGGTGGGTATCCGGCCAACGCTTCGAACAGCATGCAGCCTAAGCTCCAGTAGTCGACCGTAAAATCGTACTCTTCGCCCTTGAGGACCTCGGGCGCCATGTAGTCGGGGCTGCCGACGATGCTCTTGGCGTAGTTGACGTCTCGCTCCCGAAGCGACCTGTAGTTCTCACGGCGCTCAGCAGCGGACCGCTCTTCCATGGGCCGTCCAAAGGGGGATACCACATTTCCAACGGATTCAAGCTTGATGCGCATCGACTCAATCTTTGCTGGCGCAAGCATGCCTGCCGCGAGACCAAAGTCTGTTAGTTTGACATGCCCGGTGCTGTCGATGAGGAAGTTTTCCGGCTTAAGATCCCGGTGAATGTAGCCTAGCTGGTGGAGGGAGTCGACGCAGGAGAACATTTCGGCGATGTAGAAGCGAGCGTGCCGGTTGTGCAGGACACCAGTGTTGTTGAGCAGCGTGCGAAAATCTCCGCCGGGCACGTATTCCTAACAGTATTAGCGACACAATCAGTGCTTTTCAAACCGGGGGGCTTACCATGGCAAGATAGATACTCTTATCATCCTGAAATGCGTAGAGCAGCCGAACCAGCCACTCGCTCTTTGCTGAGGTCAGGATGTCGCGCTCGGTCAGGACGTGGCGGACCTCATCCAGCTTGAACAGGAGCTTCTTGCTCATCACCTTCAATGCGCACACCTCCCGAGTGTCCTTCTTCTGCGCCAAATACACCTGTCCGTAGCCTCCCTGCCCAACCTGTGTGAGAATCTGGAAATCGCCCTGCCGTAGACGGGTACGTCGCTTCCGCAGATTCGCCCGCTCGCGACCCAGATACTGCGTGAGGGCATCATTATAGTCGGCTTCGGGCGTGGCGGGGGGTGGAGGGTTCTGTGCCTGGAACTGGGCAAGGCGATTCTGGCGCGTGTGCACGTACGTGAGGAGGTCGTAGTAGTAGTCGAGGAAGTCTACGCTGTGTTAGGTCTTGGAGGCGAGACGGTTCCTAGCGGCACTCACAAAGTTGAGTAACATTGGCTAGGCGCTTGACCGAAGGCTTCCTGGCCTTCTCGAGCTCCTCGGCGGACAGACGCTGGGGGCCGTGGTAGTAGCGCGACGACTGCTCTGCCTCGCGGGTGCGGTAAGGCTCTTGGCGCGATTGGGCCGCGTGGGTGATGTAGCTCGACTCCTTCTGCAAGCCAGGACGCGAGCCTGGCGGCGTGTTCTCCTTGTTCGACTTCCGCGTGGGGCTGCCCGGCCCAAGCGTGGTGACGTCTGGGCCCGAGTAGTCGACGTCGTCGGCCGTCTGCAGGTTGGCCTTGTTGGGCGACGTGGGCGTGCCCGGCTTCGACCTGGACGGCGAGCCCAGGGTCGGCAGCAGTCTCATGGCATTCTCGAAGACGTGCGGCAGGTCGAATGCCCCCGGCGGATGCTGGTTTTTGCTGGGGCTGCCCTGGGGGGTCTGCTGCGGGCTGATGAAGGCCTCCTGCGAGGGCGTGCCCGGGCAGTCCATGTCGCTGGAGCGAGTGTGAAGCGGTGGAGGAGGAATTGGGAGCTGGAAGGATGGCCGGTCTGCCATGGTGCGCGGATTAGCTCGTTGAGCCCTCGCGGAGGGAGCGACTGCGGGCAGCTGCCGTTACGGCAGGGGATGCCAAAAAGAAGCAATGCAAAGAGCGAGAATGCACACAAGGGCTGACAGATTGATTGTAGGAAGGATCGGCTGGAGCGGCCGGGGCAGGCAGGCAATAATGAGTTGTACGTTGGCGTTGTCGTTCTGATGGTGGGCTCGTTGGCGGGGTTTGTTTTGGCCGACCTTCTCGGTACCCTTGCACGTCGTCACAGGCAACCGATGGCATTCTTTTCCCCCCAACGTCCTCCATCTGGACCATCCACCTCAACCGACGTCACGCAGTGTGCTCGAGGATATTCTAACTTGCTTTCTGATTACTCTGTTTGTATATCGGCCGACGCCTGCATGCTCCCTAATATTGCCATGCCGTCAAATGAGCCCAAGTACCATGTGCACGCCACAGTGACTCCGAATGACCTGCCTGCACGCCAACGCCGGAAAGCCCATGTCAAAGCATAGTGCAACAACATGCTGGATGCCATCACGCCCGGAACAGCCGTATAGAAAATGCTCCTCTAAGAGTAGAGGAGTAATGCCGTTCCCGTGGGAAAGATGCCAAGAGGACAATGTCTTCTGGTCCCATTTGTCCACAGAGACCTAGCCCGTCCTAACGAAAAGCCGCACCCGGACCGCGGGGGTCCAAAGAGGCCGTCTTCGGTCGCATCTACGTATGCGCAAAATCGCCCTCCAGATCCCTCGATGCAGAGTTTGCAAGAAGCTCCCGATCACCGTTGTAAATGGTCTCGAGGAGCTGTCGGTCGCCGTGTGACATGTGCGCATAGAGCACCGCCATTTCTGACCTGGCCCCGAAGAGTCCCGAGTGCCGCAGAGATTGAGGTTCGATGAGTAGCTTGCGGCACATTGGGCAGGTTACCTTGTTCTTGTGCGTCTTGCACGTGTCAAACTGATACGACTTAGAAGGCTCTTTATATGGACAGGCCGTAGTCTGATTACTTACCCATGTATTGATGCAATGTTCGCCGAAGACATGCTTGCAAGGGAGCTGAATAGCCATCTCCTCTTGCTCGCTGGGGCTGATGTACTTGGCTGAGTAGTCTTTCTGGCAGATATCACAAGCCGTCGACGCGCCTTCTGGGAGTTGGTCAGGTAAAAGGTGTCGAAGTTTCTCCTTAAGAGCTTTCATCTGCTGAGGGGTCGGAACATTAGGGTGATCGCTGGTAGCATATAGCCGAGCACGAAGCTCCCCAGACGGGATGATGCGTGGCCGGCGTGCTCGGTGCATCCGGGCACGAGTAGTTTCGTCCGTCTCATGGGAATTGCTTGATTCGGAGAGATCTGTAGAGTATCTGTCGAAGCTGCGGCGGTTCGAAGTCCTAGGAGACACACTACGGTCTGGCCGGCGAGCTTGGGCACTGATGAATAACGAAGGACGACGCTCTGATGTCCCTCCGGGCTGATTGTTCTGCGACTGCCTTTCATACGAAGCCCTACGCCCCGGTGATGTCATGTGACGAGCCTGTTCCGAAGTGCTGGGGATGGCGCCCCTCATCGGCCCCCTTCCCTCACCCGGGCGGACCCTGTCGCTGGAAGCGCGACTGGAAGCCGCATGAATCACTCCAGGCACGAGTGATGGGGGACGCCGCCCGAAGTGTTGATCGGCTCCATGCAATTGCGGTGAGACATGATGGGGATATGAGGGCGGACTATAGCCTTGGGATCGAGCATACATAGACGAGTCCATCATAGGCCAGAAATCGCTATTGCCTCGTGTCCCTACGACTTCGGGGTGAGGACTGCCAGGCATGTGCACACCGTGGTGGTGACTCGCGGCTAGTCCTGGTGCCGCGGGTCCATTGGGACCATGCTGAAACATGCCGGCCGGAGGAGGGTTGTACCCGCCTGCTCGGAAGCCTCCGTGGGCAGGAAATTGGTGATATCGGTCCTGCGGCGGATAGGACATTGGCGCACCATACGGGTCGGGCAATGGAGACCTGGACAGGCCTGGGTAGAAATTGTAGGCCGGAGCATCGTACGGAGAGAAGGAGCCGTAGCTTGCATAGTTTGGCCAGGGGACGGGCGGCTCTGGATCCTGAGGCCGCAAAGAGGGCGGGCTGGGCGCTATTGAGAACTGGCTGTGCAGCGGACTGCTGAAATTTGATTCCGCCATGTGTACGTGGTGGAGAGGTGTCAGGTCTGGGCTTGCTTGACGTGATCGATTTCTTGTCCTCAACAAAGCGCACAGCAACAGCGCACAGGACCGAGGCTGCCTAGGTAGGATCGCGCTGGCGCCGTAGTTTGCGAGGGTGAAGCGGGCACCGAGAAGATTGCAGGCAGCTTTGTTGTGGAGTGAAAGAAGGCGCCGGCAGCGTCATTGACGACAAGCCTTGTCTGCTGTAGCGTCAGGTGCGGGCGGTGTGTCCACGTCCCGTGAGCGTAGTGTGATGTGCATATGCGCTCGCAAGACGCGGAACTGTGCCGGGGGCGTGGGGCAGGTTGGTGAAGAGCGAGGGAGTGCTGCTGAGGTCGGGCTGGGGATGCGAGCTTGGAAGGTGAAGAGGGGAGCTAGGAGGGGCAGGACGGCTAGTGTCAGTGTGACTGCGCTGGCTGCTCCGTCGTTATAAAAGGCAAGGCTGCAGAAAGAGGCCGTCAGCTGGCTCGGAAGGCGATTACTTACTGCACGGGAATGCGGGACAGCCAGTGACTGCAGTGCCAATTTAATCCGTGGCCTCGCCGCCAGGACAGCTGCACGGAGCCATCCACAGCCCAGGAGCATGGGCACGCCCGAGCTCTCACCATCGGGGCCTGGAGCAGGACAGAGCCTGCGGGAGTGACGGCGCCACGCTGACTCCGGCGCCATCGGGCCTGCCTACGACTGTGTGCTCTATCCACTGCGCTTTTGCACTGCTAATTAAAGCCGCCGCAAAAGGAACAAAGTCAGGCGGGGAAGCCTACCCAAGCATCCAAGCCCCCAGCGCGTCCCCACCACCTTCGCTGAGCGCCGCGTGCAAGCAGTGAGCGACGGCCGTGCAAGAGAAAGCGCGTGCGAGGCCGTCCTCACGCTCCTCTTGATGACGCCTGGACACCTCAGACCACGTCCTCCGCATCGTGGTGGCACGAGGGCCGCGGGCTCAGCGGTGAACCCATCAGGGTCCAGCCAGCACGGTGGAACTTTGCGGTCGGCTGCAGGCCAACTCAAACGCGCGAGAAACGGCGCGCACTCGAGGCGCAAGAGCGGCGGCGCGTCGCGCCCTTAATAGATGAGACGAGATGACATGATTCCAGAAGAGCGTGCCGCTGCAGCTTCATGGCCGGCGGCCTGATGGAGCCGGTGATGTACGATGAATGGTGAGTCGAATTTTCGAGCGCGCAAAAAGTGAACGTTGAAAAAGTTGCGCACACTCGGCGCGCCGGAACTAGCGCCGGGTCACGTGGCAGCTGGCCCTCCAGGGCTCCGGGTTTCCGTTTTCTTCCGCGGCTTTTCCGAAGCTCAGAGCCGGGTGCTGGTCGCAAGAGGTCAAGTCCTCCAGCTCTCAGTTCTGCAATTGCTGCATCAATTGCCATCTTTTCTCTTCTCCTGCATCGCGAGCTGCCAGACCAGCGCCATGTTCCGGTCCGCTTTAACAAAGGCCCGGTCAGCCGAGGCCGGCGCATTGCGTTCGCTGGCACATGCCAGAGTCAGCCCCTCCGTTGTGACCCCATCTTGGACCTGCAGTCGGGGAGCCAGCCGGCACAGCAGAGCTCTCTCCACCTTGCCGCGGCCCCAATTGCACTTACAGAACAGCGCACAGCGCCGCCAATTCTCGTCCACACGCAGCATGGCCTCCACACGAACAGAGAGCGATGCGTTCGGCGAGATCCAGGTGCCGGCCGACAAGTACTGGGGCGCGCAGACGGAGCGGTCGCTGGAGAACTTCAGGATAAACCAGCCCCAGGACCGCATGCCGCCGCCCATCGTCAAGGCATTCGGCATCCTGAAGGGCGCCGCTGCAACAGTCAACATGAAATTTGGGCTGGGTAGGCCGTCGCCGCAGCGATCCCATGCCTGTCTACTAACACTTTGAGCAGACCCGAAGATCGGAAAGGCCATCCAGCAGGCCGCCGCGGAAGTCGCTGACCTCAAGCTCGTAGACCACTTCCCGCTCGTAGTCTGGCAGACCGGTTCTGGCACTCAGTCGAACATGAACGCCAACGAAGTCATCTCCAATCGCGCCATCGAGATCCTCGGCGGTCAGATGGGTACCAAGAAGCCCGTCCACCCGAACGACCACGTAAACATGTCTGCCTCCTCCAATGATACCTTCCCGACCGTCATGCACATTGCCGCCGTCATAGACTTTGAAGAGTCGCTGCTCCCGGCCCTGTCAAGCCTCCGCGATGCGCTCAAGAAGAAGAGCGAGCTGTTCGAGAAGATCATCAAAATTGGCAGGACACATTTGCAGGACGCTACGCCGTTGACGCTGGGCCAGGAGTTTTCAGGCTATGTTCAGCAGCTCGACTTCGGCATCGAAAGAATTAGGTCTTGTCTACCGCGTCTGAAAATGCTCGCCCAGGGTGGAACCGCTGTCGGAACCGGCATTAACACATTTAAGGGCTTTGCTGAGGACGTTGCTGCAGAGGTCAGCAAGATGACCGGACATGACTTCGTTACGGCGCCGAACAAGTTTGAGGCCCTCGCTGCTCACGACGCTATTGTGGAGGCGCACGGCCAGCTTAACACGTTGGCTACTTCATTGTTCAAGATTGCCCAAGACATCCGCTTCCTTGGATCAGGACCACGCTGCGGTCTTGGAGAGCTGAAGCTTCCAGAGAATGAACCTGGCTCCTCTATAATGCCTGGAAAAGTCAATCCCACCCAGTGCGAGTCCCTTACTATGGTCTGTACCCAGGTCTTTGGCAACCACGCCGCCACCACGTTCGCCGGTTCCCAGGGTAACTTCGAGCTGAACGTCTTCAAGCCGGTGATGATTCGGAACCTGCTCCACAGCTCCCGCCTTTTGGCCGATAGTATGAGAAGCTTCGAGAAGAACCTAGTGGAAGGTCTCGAGGCTGATGAGAAGCGCATCGGGTCTCTGTTGAACGAGAGGTGAGGCGTCTGCGGCATTTGGAGTAAGAACGCTAACGTCTCGATTAGCTTAATGTTGGTTACCTGCCTCAACCCCGTTATTGGTGAGTTCTTACCCGTCACTATTCAGGTCCCCCCGCTAACGGCATCATAGGATACGATGCGGCTTCAAAGACTGCGAAGAACGCGCATAAGAAGGGCATCACTCTCAAAGAGAGTGCCCTGGAGCTGAAGACGATCAGCGAGGAGGACTTTGACAAGTATGTCCGACCAGAGCTCATGATTGCTCCGAAGGAGAGGTAGAGTGTAGTCCGTAAAAAGTAAAATAGTTGTATAAGCGTAGACGAGAACTATAAGCTGGGCAAACCAGACTCTCCTAGCGAGCCCCAACAAAAAAATATCTACCGATGAGTTTTTGACGAGTTGAAACGGTAACCTATTTATTCACAACCCGCGCTATGGCCAGCCTTGATTCTCCCGATGGCGACGCGCTCTCACGTGATGATGGAGAGCGCGGGCGCACAGACCAACCCCCGAGAGCCGCAAGAACCTCCATACACCTCCACGATCCTCTCTCCACTCTCGCGCCCGCAACGATGCCGGGCATCCTGAACAGGCGAAAACGCCCTTCGGTCGCAGTCAGCGACGATGACGATGACGAGCAGTCAGACGGTTCCTACGTCTCAACAGGCAGCAAACGCGCCCGTCATGCTCGCGACGCGTCCGATAGCCCAGCTCCGACAAAAGGCTACCCCCCTACACCGCGAATGCAAAACGGCCATAATGATGACAATGAATACGCGGAAGAAGTGCACCAGCCCGGCTCCCTGGTGCGGGTCAAACTCACCAATTTCGTCACCTATACGGCCGCCGAATTCCAGCTTGGCCCAAGCCTGAACATGATCATTGGCCCAAACGGCACAGGCAAGAGCACGCTCGTTTGTGCCATCTGTTTGGGACTCGGCTGGTCTCCTCAGGTGGGTCCGGTGTAGACACTCTTATCCAGCGTTCACCTAACTTTCGCAGCACCTCGGCAGAGCCAAAGAAATCGGCGAATTCGTGAAGCACGGCCATGGCGAAGCGGAGATCGAGGTTGAGCTCGCCGCTTCTGAGAACCAGCGCACAAACCCTATAATTCGTCGCGTCATAAGGAAGGAAGGAAACAAGTCGGCCTTCTTCATCAATGGACGCAATACATCGCAGAAGGAGGTCGTTGCATTGGCAAAGTCCTTCTCAATTCAAATTGATAACCTCTGCCAGTTCTTGCCACAAGATCGCGTGGTGGAGTTCGCGCGGCTTGAGCCTGTCGCTTTGCTACGGGAGACACAACGCGCCGCAGCGCCTGAGCAGATGGTGCAATGGCACGATGCTCTCAAACAGCTCCGTGGCGAGGAGAAATCACTAGAGCAACAACAGAAGGACAACGATCATCACATGAAGACACTCCAGGCCAAGCAGAACGCCACACGCGAGGACGTCGAGCGATGGAACCAGCGCCAGGAGCTCATAGTCAAGTCTCGGGCTCTCGAGAAGTGTCGACCTGTCATCAACACGAAAATCATGAGGGCCGAGATCAAACAGATGAAGAGCGACCTCAGCGCCGAGAAGCAGGAATTGGCACGCTACAATGCCGAGATGGAACCAGCGCGCCAAGCCCAAGCGGAGATGGAGGCGTATCGGGACCAGGTTAGCCAGGTTGCCAAGACCCGGAAAAGTCGCTTTGACGCTGCGAAAGGCGTTGTTGATAGGCTGGCGACGAAGATCGAGACTGAGCAACGGACCATCACCAACTTCTCGGCAGAGATTGAGGCTGAGAAGCAGGCTGAGAAAACCCGAAGGCAGGACGTGAAGCGGATTGAAGGAGATATAATAAGGCTCAAGCGTGCTAAAGACGATAACCCGGTGGAATATGATCATGCCGACTTTGAGTCCCGGAAAGCCGAACTTCGCACCGAAAGGTCCTCTCTTGAGCGTCGGGTAGTTGAACTGAGCACCGATTTGAAAGACACACGCACTCAGGCGGTCACAGCTCGGAGTATTTTGCAGCGAAAGACGGACGATCGAGAGCAGCTCAATACGCAAAGCGGACAACAAGCGACCTTGCTGGCAGGATTGTCCAGGGATACGGCCATAGGCTGGGATTGGCTGCAAAAAAATATGGGCAGTCTGCCGCTAAAAGACGATGTCTATCCTCCTGCCATTCTCTGTTGCTCGGTTCCAGACGCTCGATACGCGGACGCCGTCGAAAGTCAGCTGCGCCCTGGAGATCTAACAGCGATCACTTGTGGGAACGGAGAGGATGCAAAGCTCATCTCTGACAAGCTTCTAGGCAAGAAAGAGACAGGAGGGTTGGGATTGCACCAAGTTTCTATTCGAACGGCACCTCAGCGCCTCACCTTCTATCGGGCGCCTGTTACCAAGGCCGAGCTCGAGAGATACGGGTTCGAGAGCTGGATTATTGACCACATTCAAGGCCCCGAACCTGTATTAGCCATGCTCTGCGACAGCGCGGGGATACAACGCGCAGCGTTTGCCTTACGACCCATATCGAACGAGCAGCATGCTGCGCTGCAAGACAGCCCAATCTCGAAGTGGGTGACTGGTTCTGAAATCTGTCAGATCACGAAACGTCGAGAGTACGATCAGTCCTCTACTAGTGTCAAGCAGCTGAGGAAGGCGCAATACTTTACGGGCCAGCCCATCGACACAGAAGAGAAACGCAGACTCGACATTGAGATCAGAGATCTTGGGCGTGACATTGAACATCTCAGGAGCGTACATAATGAGACGAAGCAAAAGCTGGAACAGCTAACGGAGGATCAGGCTAGGATTGATGCCCAAAAGGTGAACTTTGCTGTTCTCCCTATTACATCGTTGTTCTAACCTTCACTAGGGCGAGATTCAAGCTCAACAGGACAGAATGAAGAAGGCATATGCTGAGTGGCACGATCTTCCCCGGAAGATAGGTATGATTGCACATGCTGAGCATTTCCAAGACATGGCTAACGTATCCCAGCCACCAAGCAAGCTGAGCTCGACGGCCTCCAAGCCCTCAACGCGGACACCCACCGCCGCATTCAGGCGATTCGAGACAATTCCGAGCAAGCCTCGCTCAAAATCGCTACGTTAACAATTGAATATGCCGTAAGATCTCCGTCCATGATTCGCGCCTTACTTGCTCACCGTATTATAGACAGCAGTGATCCAACTCCGTGCGATACACGAGTCGATGGTAGAAGCCGAGCTCCGATTGATCGAAGCGAATTCTGAAGTCGACGGGTTCATGGCCGACAACGCCCATATCCTCCGCGTTCTCGATGAAAAGAAAGCAGCAGTTCGGGAGTTAGAAGAGACTATAAAGGATAGGACAGCCGCATACAAGCGTGATATCAAGATCGCCGAGCGAATCATCAAAGATCTCACGGAAGACGAAAGGAGTATAGTCAGGGAATTCAGCAATTTGGCATCGGTTGAGGAGCTCGACAATGAAATCACCGCCGTCAACGCTCGGCTCGATTTGATGGCCGAAGGCAACCCCCACGCTATCCACGCCTACGAACGGCGGCAGCAACAGATAGAAAAGGCGCAGGAAAGCCTGAGTACAGTCGCGGAGGACCTGGAGGAGAAACGAGAGCAGATCAGGCAAATTCGCGAGCGATGGGAGCCGGAGCTGGACCAGCTTGTTGCCAAGATCAGCGACGGCTTCTCCCACAATTTTCAACAGATTGGCTGCGCAGGACAAGTGGGTGTATATAAGGACGAAGACTTCGAGAACTGGTCGATACAGATTCAGGTCCGCTTCCGGTAGGCTCTATGCTCGCTCTCTCTCTCTATCTTATCAAGCTAACATGACTAGTGAGAACGAATCCCTCTCAATCCTCGATTCGCACCGCCAATCCGGTGGCGAGCGCGCCGTTTCAACGATCTTCTACCTCATGGCGCTCCAGGACCTCGCTCGCTCACCGTTCCGTGTCGTCGACGAAATCAACCAGGGCATGGACCCACGCAATGAACGCATGGTCCACGAGCGCATGGTCGACATCGCCTGTCGAGAGCGCACGAGCCAATACTTCCTGATCACGCCGAAGCTGCTCAACGATCTCAAGTTCCATCCCAAGATGAAGGTCCATTGCATCGCTAGCGGAGAGCATATGCCGGATCAGAACACGAATCTGGACTTCCAGAGGCTAGCTAAGGTGGCACTGAGAGTGAGGAAGCAAGCTATGGCGGCGGCCTAATTGGTGGTTGCACTGATTTATGGGCGATGGCGTTATGGGTTGGGTGCTCTCTTCCGGCGCCGGTTATGGTTCACGCATATGGGTGAAAGATGCCTGCGTTTACTAGATAAAGAGCTACGTGCGGTATGGGTCCCATGAGAGATCGGGTGGTATATCTGGCACCGTCCACATACGGTTGGATGAGGCAAATGCAATATCTGGGTCATACCTCGACCGCGTCTTCTTCGCAGCCAGTCAATCATTCGCGTACCACGGCCATGGAAGTGAGCTCCTGGTGTTCTGTACCGAGTGATGTCCCTCTGTGCTCCTCGCCTGCCTGTGTAATAGTCTCTCTCGGAATCGCTGATATGATTTATCGCCCGACCTCGACCTATGGACATCGCCCTTCTTCCAGCAAAGACGTACAAGTATATTGCTCTCGAGAAAATCAATGCCCTGTAACTCCGTATTCGGCAAACTTGCGCCACGCTCGTGGTAGGTATGCTGTGATCACAATCGCAGTGTAACGATGGCACAGACGAATTTGCCTGCCTGCCTGCCTGCCACGAAGACTGTGTGTGTGTTCGTTCTTGGCTGCGCTACTTGTCTGTTTGTGCCTTGCATGCTAGGCGGAAAAGTCGGAAGCTCCAAAGCATAGGATGGGGCGGCAATGCGGGATGTCATTGCTGCATCACGCTGTGCGTGTGCGACGGGACGGCGTCATGCGGTTTTCGAGGATTCTTGTGCTTGCTGCTGGGGTGGAGGGAGGGAGGGAGTGCGTACTTAAATGGCCGGTTTGTTTGCAGCCGTCTCGTCTTGTCTTGTCTTGTTCTTCGACTGAGATTCCATTCTTCACTACTTACTTTACTATCCTAGACCAACCGAATAAACAAAAACAGTTGCGAGACAAACACCTCCGCAATGCACACCCCCCTCCTCGCCCTCTCCCTCCTCCTGCCCTTCCTCCCCCCCACCCTCTCCATCCCGACCTCCACTCCCTACACCCCCCCTCCCGCCCCGGAAACATGGCCCATCCCCCTTCTCTCCATGCACATGATGACGCCCGGCACGGGCCTTCCAGGCGGCGTCTGGCCCGCCGCCGCGCGCTTCAACTCCAGCATCGCCTTCGCCATCACGATGCCGCACCCCGAGGCCCCCGCCGCCAGCATGGCGGTGAACTGCAGCGCTTCGTTCATGAACGGCACGCTGCCGCTTGGACTGCAGATCTGCGACACGCCGGAAGACGCGATTAAGGTGGCGTTTCTGATGGAGGGGTGGGCGGGCGAGGGGACGTCGCTGGTGGGGAGGGATATAAGGAGGGAGTTGCGGTATCGGTTGCTGGTTGCGCGGTGGATAGAGGTTGAGGGGGGGAGGTGAGTTTTCGCTTTCGTTTTCTCTTGGGGATCCGCGTTTTCGGTCGGTATCTTGTTGGAGCCGGAGGTGGTTGGGGTTCGGGGAATGGAAACTGAAGCTGGAGAGCAGTCCACACGACGTCCGACTGGGCGTCGTAAACATCTCCTGCAACAACCCGAAAGAGCCCTCGAGTTACATGACTTGTATCCTCGGCGCGCCTCTCGACGGGCTGCGGTGCAAGCTACACAGCTACCTCAGCGTGCGCAACGACCTTACCATCGAGGCTCGCAAGCTATCCGACATCGCTAATGACTCCGAATCCGACATCGTGGCATCCCTCACCGCTGCGCTCGCAGAGCCACACGTCACACCTCACTCGGACATAGGTGGGGAAGACGCGCAGATAGAGGAAGTGGCGGGGAAGGCGCACTTCTGCGTGGATGTTCCCGGGTGGACGGATACGTGCATCTGTGTGTGGACTGATGGGAGTGGGAGATCTCAGGTGGTGAAGAAGGGGGAGTGCTGAGAGTGGAGGGGAAAGGAGAGCGGTGTTGCGCATTTGAATTGTATTGTTAGATATGATGCGGGAAAAGATTTCTGGATTGAGACTAGGAGATTCTTGAAAGAAATCCGAAGTGTGCTACGACATCGGTTGCTCTCTTTGCGGCTCGCCGTAGGTATAGTCGATACTACGTTGCTACGTTAATCAGCCGAGAATACAAGAGGGAGAAGGAAGCGACGCGCACCTAGCACAGTCCAAAAAGATACGTAGCAAGTCTTCTCAAAAAGTTGAGAACGAAGCTGGGTGTATCCAATCTAAGCCGCAAGCAAATGTGACTACCCCTATTCTTCAACACTCGGCAACTGATCTTCTAATCTTCTTAACAGCGGCACCCTCTCTGCGTCCACGAGGTTCTCCGAGTTGGGATCCGGATATTTCAGCACCGTATACTCGCCACCACAGACCTTAGTCACGCGCCAGGTACCTGCCTCCTTCGCCTCGCTGAAGAACTGTTGATTCTCTTCAAACGACCGGCCTCCTGTCTCGGGAAGGTAAAACCACGTCCATAGCCCGGCTACCGCATTCGACGCAGCGAAGACGAGGAAGATGAAGTATGACAGGTTGTTGAACATGAGGGGCGTGAGAAAAGTGACAGCGAAATTAGCGATACCCCAGACGATGACGGATATGGCTGTGCCTTGGGCGCGAGCGGTGGTGGGATAAATCTCCGTGGGAATGAGCCAGACCGTGGCGAGCCAGCCAATGCCAAAAGCGCCGGTAGCGATGAAGAGGACTATCGTTCCAAGGAGGCCGGGCACGAATGTGGGTATGTCAATTTTGGAAGAGTTCTTCGCGAGTCCTCCAAGGATGGCAAGGAGTAGAAAACATGTACTGAGCAAAATAGAACCATGTACGAGGAGCTTCCGTCGGCCGAGTACATCGATAAGGAGCCATGCTATAGTCATAAGCATAAAGTAAGACGAATAATTGCCTAGGGTAAGGTATTCAGCAGTCCGTACAGGGAACCCTAGAAGCTGTGAAGAGTCAGTATCTCCGCTCCTTAACGTTCAATGTCTTCTGGCTTGGCTGAGGAATTTGGAGATGTTCTCCGGGGAAGGAACGAGGCTCTGAAAGAAAACAATACAACGCGCAGTGCAGGATCTTCCAGAAGGCGAACGAACTTACCTCGAAAATCTGAGGCCCATAAACAGAGACGGCCCCATATCCCGTCAAAGCCTGGTTTATCTGACCAATGATCGTGATCATGGTAGGATGGAACTGTGGGTGACTGGGTTTGAACATATCCAAGTAACCCACTTCGTCTCCCTTTTCCTTTTCGTGAGCATCTAGGAGCTCGTCGAGTCTTCTGTCTCCATCGTTTCCGTAAATGTCGTTCAACGCTGCTTGGGCTTCTGTTTGGCGGCCATGATATACGAACCACCGCGGAGATTCTGGGAGTGCTCTGACGAAAGCCATGAGCAGCACAGGATACACCTGCATGACGATAATGGGTATTCTCCAGGCCCATTGGCTGCTCTTGGACAGTGCACGTGTTACGCCTAGGTTGATCCCGAAGGCCATGAGTAAGCCAAAGATATTGGACTGAAACTCTTGAGCCAATGCCTTGCCGCGGGCCTCATCCTTGGACAGCTCAGAGCTGTAGGTGGGGATCACGGAGTCAATGCCTCCAACCCCCAATCCCATGACGATTCTGCCTGTCAACATGATAGCCAACGCGCCTTTTGTATAGCCCAAGCCCGCAATAAACATTATGAAGTTTCCGAGCGATGCGGTCGCCAGACAGAGGAATATTGCTCGCTTGCGTCCCAGCTCATCAGCGAGCTTCGAAAAGAGGACGGCGCCCACTGCACAGCCGAGGTAGTAGACGGCGACAATGATTCCCACGACGGGAGAGGATTCGGCGATGCCCATTCGATATAGGTAGTCATAGTTGGTGTTAATCATCGACATCTGCGAACGCGGGATGCACGTTAGCAAGCGCTTTGGAGTGTATTTTCACCATCGGGCATGCCTCAGCTCATTCTGACTTGTTAGGATCATGCAGGTGTAGCTTTCCGAGCCAAACTGAGACCAGATGGTATATGCGCCGCAAGATACGTACCATGCCTTGATCGTAGCCATAGAGAGCGATAGCTGTGGACGAGAAGAGCACGACGTGCGTCTGCTTGTCTCTGTACGCTGCGCGCACATGGTCGACGACGATTGACATTCTGACGGCTCAAACGAGTCAACGAGAGGATGGAGAAGTGGGAAGTGCCTGACGGCCGGGAATAGAGGAATTGAAGCCATTGTTGGTCAGGTGGATCGTGAGTGGGATGGGCCGTGTGGGTATGACGATATGGTGCATTACCCGATCGACATCTGGTCCACTGCAGGGGCAACCAGATAAAAGATCGCAGATCACTGCTTAGTCACCTTTTTCCTGAGGTACCTGAGGCTGCCTTCAACACTCTCTTCCGTCCATCTCGAACTTCTCAAATTTGTCGTCCAAACCTTCTCCTGCTGAATAGGATCAGGACTTGAAGTACTCTTCCCTCGTGGGGATGATGCTTTCGCTAACTCTCTCTCTGATCGTAACTTCGCTCTTCTCTTGGATTGGACCAGCTGTGAGCAGCCACCTTTCAGAGACATTGAACTCACCACGGACATGCAATGCGGACCCATTGCAGCCCCCAAACATCGCTTCTCCCGATTTCATCGGCGAACCGGTAAAATTCACGATGTTCGGCGGTCAGGCGGCCCCAATTGCAGCCCCAGACTCGCGAGGCTGGCTGACAAGCGCTGGGAACGACCACAACTTGTAGCATGCACTTCAGTTGGACTCCGCTCATCACGAGCACGTACTATCAGCTCTGTTCAGTTGACGAATTGGGCATTCAGCTATCTCACGAATCGCCTAAGGCTCCGCATCCAGCATCGAAAAGCGAAACTCGAAGTGTCTCCTCACTTCATTGAACGATTGCATCTGCAACCAAGAAATGGGGACTCCTACGGCTGCAAAAAAAGGCCGAAGGCGCGGGGCTGCATCTTGCCCACCTATTCCAGCTTAGTGGGCTCGGCTCGCTCCGTGAAAACGATATTGTTTTGCGTATCAATATCTGGACAAGTTCTTGAGACGGGCTCAGATGCATCTGCCTGCAGTCGTTCGGCTAATACTCGATGTCATTGAGCGTGGAAAGCCGCTCATGTCACCGGAGGCGCCAGCCAAGAGCCTCGCTGCTGGACACGAGCTCAAGCCGACGCTTTCTCGTTCAAGATACTCTTTGAATCCAAATGGTTCGGTTGCTAATGGATCAGCTCCATGCATCAGCGCCAAACATCCGGAACCTAGGCGAGTTCCTGGACGTTAGTTTGATAAATGCAGGCGCCGCCGCTATGCGCCTACAGAAGACCCTCAGGTCTCATCAACGCCATCCGTCACTCACATTCCTCAATCGAGGCCGCTTGCAAGGCGACAGTAGCTGGCTTCCTACATCATTTCAGCCCATGAGGATTACTCCGGCAGGCGCATCAATAACGCCACTGAGCTGTGTACCCACCGTGATCAAGCAGTGTCACCGGCATTGGCATCTTCTTGCGCTGGAGACAATGTCTAGCCCTCTTCGGCCCGCCTCTCCAGCTCGAAAAGAGGAAGCCATAGAGTTTGTAGCCGACGGATGGTCCAATTATGCAGCCTTGAAGCGGCATTCTGACCTCGCCGCGGAGCCTCTATAAGCTACCGCTTCATTCAGCCAGCCGACCAGCCAGCTCGTGACGGTTCTTCATGATCTGAATGGACGAAGCTCTGGAACATCAATATACGACCGATATCTACGTCGGCCGCCGTACGAGACGATCATCCGGGGACGCTGCCACGCTCGAAAGGAGGGGATATATAAACCTCGAAAGACGCTCAAAATCCAACTCTGCACTCTCATTCCCTTGATATCGATCACTACAAACTTCACCATCCAGGTCACATCCTCCCTCCAACGCGACTATGTCCGAGACTCTCAACCTCATCATCTACATCGACCCCCCTGTGCTCAATGAGGGGGTTGCCAACCTCACCTTCGCCAGAGTAGTCAACAACGCTTCCAAAGCCAACGTCATCTTCCAAAGCAAATCAGCCGATGAACTCAATGCCGCAAATACCCTTAGTTGGCAGGAGAGTTATCAGATTGGTGCCGTTATTGGAGATCTTAATGATGGCGCTCTGGTACGTATATGCCTTACTGCAGTGTCCTGATTCTGATACACGCATGTTCCAGATCAAGTCAAGCACCACACGTCAAGACATTGTCCCAGGCACAGTCTGCGACTGGACTCCCGTCAATGGCAAGGCTGTGCGGGACATGCCGGCAGCCACAGCCGCACCTGATGACTTTCCGGTCGGCGCTTTTGGGACGGTCAATCTCCCTTCCAAGTGGAGGAACACAATTTGGTGTGCGACAGGCTCTGGTGGCGATTATAGCTGCATCTATGTGGATACGGATGCGAATGCCACGAGTGGATTGAATTACCGCTCGTACGTTGTCAAGAACACCTTCCAGGTATGTGTCATGGGACCCTATACTCTGGACGCTTTGACTTATGCGGAGCCGAAAAGTTGACATGGACTACCGACGCCGTGTCCAGTAGCGTGAAGTTTGAGGCTTGGTCTAAGCCATTCTTCTTTACTCTTGCAGACGGTCAGACCACACAGTACCTCAGTTGGGTAAGTGTTTACAAAATCTCCACTCTCGCGTCTGCGTTCTGATTGTTCCTAGGGCCGTGCTCAAGGTGGCTCGGGCGAGGCGAGGTGGTGGAGCTACCGCTCTGATCCCTCATGCCACGATCCAAGTAAAGCGATCGTAACGCTCGCAGCAGATGCGCTGTCTCCGACAGCCAGCAGCTTTGGGCCCGCCGTGGGCATGCGCCTCGGATATGACTGTAACAAAGCACTCAGCCCCGCTGGTCTTGCAGAGTACGCTAGCAAGCTGGCCACCTTCATGAAGGCCTCCCGTCCGTCGTATCTGTCAGTGCTCACGCTTTAATTGTCGATACAGCTAAGACGTATTTCTAACAGTTAAACCAGTGACCTGCAATTCAGTCCGGAATACGGATCCGTCAACGCCCTTGCTAAGCTCGACTTGACATCCCCATGCTATGACCTCATCTCTGGATCTTCCACCGAAGAGAAGACGCTCGTAGCCCTCCGTTCTCTTCTGGGCGGGCTTTCTGTGGCCTACATTCCGCTTAGTGCCCAAATTGAGCTCATGCCTACTGTGGCACCCAAGATCGGGTCGCCCCCAACATACACCCACTTCACCGCCGAACTCACTTGGACTGGTTCAGACGACGTAAACTGGGAGAACATCCGCAAGAACGTGAAGACGGAACTTCATATCGTCGATTGGACATACGTCGTCTCGGGCATTACCACCAAGCCCGGCGTACCAAACACCGGCTACGTGGCTTTTACTCGTAGCTCCGGGAAGACGCCGGATGATGCCATAGCGGACTGGAATAAGTGCTATGGAGAGCTAAGCGAGAAGGCACATCTGACGAATGGCGGGATCACGAAATGGAACAATGGGGATATGGTGAATGGAGCTTAGCTGTGATGAGGTGAATGTTGGCCCCTCGAGCTGCGAACTGGAGTTGAGGAAGTGCTTGAGTTTCCTATGTCCGCGTCGATCGCTATTTGTTCCTGCTTTCATCGCGTCTCTAGACTGTCACTGTCTCTACTAGCTGTCTGTTTGTTTACCACTCGCTCATTTTTTCCAGTTATCGTCGTCGACCAAGTCGAGCTAGTCTATGCAAACTCTTGTTCCACTATTCCTTATCGTTACATCGAGAACCGTTTTAATGCAAGTCACTCATTGTCCCGCGGACCTAACATCTCCCTCTACGCTCCACCCAATTTTGCCGATAAGACAGTACATCCAGTCCCCTCACTTTAAAGGTTTGTCAAAGAGGCACCGACGCCCATTAAGGAACAAACAAAAAGCAAAGTTCCTTCCCACTCTCCCCAATCCCTTCTTTCCCCGTTTCCTCCCTCAAAAACTCTAGCGGAATCACCCCCTTCAACACAAAGCCCAGCCCCTCATACAACAGCCCCGCCTCCACCGTACTCTCCAGATAAATTGGCACGCCCTCTTGCTTACTCCTCTCAATTCCCCATTGGAGCAGCTGCGTGGCTGCGCCGCGGCGTCGATAGGAGGGGTCTGTAGCTACGAAATTGAGGCCTGGTGTATCGTGAGTTCGGTGTGAGCGGATGGATGTGGGAAGATGAAAAAGACAGGGAAAATGGAAGGAGAGAGACTAAGCAGCCGTGTCAGGAGGGAAAACATACGATAACAAGGCGTCTTCCCGATGACTTTACTCTGCACTTTCTCCAGCTCCTCATGATACCGCTCCAAAATCCTCACAACCGTACCCTCAGGCCGCGCCCTCGGCTGCTCCTCGACATGTTGCCCCTCCTCCGCTTCTGCCATCGGATGCGCCCACTTGGCTAAACTGACAACAGTGCTCTTTCTCTTTCCTTCCTCAACTCCGTCGACACCGCGGCCTTCGTCGTGCTTTTCTTCGCCTTCATATTCTACGCACCGCACCACAAGCACACTCATCCTCGACGAGCCGATCTCGCGCACTGTTCGCGCCTCCAAGTCGCGCTGCAGCGCGTCTCGCACAGCCGGCGTGGGGAAAGCAGCGAGCAGGATCGGATCGTTGCCGAAGCCAGCCATGTGGAGTTCTGCGATGCGGGGCGCATCTGCCGGGATTGCGGGAGTGAGGATGAGTTTGCCCTCCCGTGGTGCGGTGGACGGCATGTTGGGTGGGCTGGAAAAGGGAGGAGGATCTAGCTTGGCTATGTGCAGATTGTCCTACAACGAAGCTGGGATTTTTACTACTACCGGAAGTTAGACCGATTCTTCATTCCGAGAACCAATGAGACATTGTATGGGATCCTTTATGCTTGTTTGGTACGTTTGCGTTTGCGGTACAATACAATACGGCACGGTACAGTACCCCTCACCGGTGAACGAACGGGCGACACATGGATGTCGCCGCTCGTTCAACCAATGCGCGTTTTCGGTGCTTCTGCGCGCTAATTGGCACGAGCTTATTTCGTATGAGAAGCTAACTTTTATGAACAAGACTCTCTTCGAAGCATCACGATGGATTGAGCTGGTGAATGAAAGACGTATACCGGCGTCAGGCACATGGAGCATAGCAAAGCACGTTGAAGATCCCGATTGAGAGATGGAGTTAGAGGCAAGCCTTAAGACTACTTCAAAAGAGTGACCAAAAAAACCTTCCAGTCAAGCCATGAGCCGCAGTCTCCATCATTTCATAACCGAAGCATCTCCTTCCCTAGAGTTTGCCTCCCTTTCGACAGACGGCAGAGGAGATGAGCAGCAAGCACCCCTGAGGCCCAACATCCCACAACGCCCCGTGGAATCCTCAAGACCACAGCCCCAAACTCCAGGAGCACACGGCTGCCGCACCATATCCAGTCTAGTCCTTAGGAGGACGAATAAGAGGCGCAGGCGGCACCTTCCTCCAATCGATGCCAGGGCAGTGCGCCGCCTTCCGCTTCGGCCGAATGCAAGGGCAGTACCAGACGTCCCAGCCATAGTCCTTCGGATGGGTGCAGACGGCGAGCCAGCCCTCTGAGGTGCAGCGCGTAATGTCTTGCTTGCACCAGCGGAGACGCTCGGTCTGGGCGTCGTCGGCATCGTCGTCGGGGTCGTCGAGGATGGAGAGGGCTTGGAAAGGCGCGGGAGTGGTGTCGCGGACGACTGGCGGAGCGCCGGGGAAATGCGCGACGGCTTTGACGTCCTCGTTCTGCGAGGGTGTTAGCGGTATTTGAATCAGCGGCGGAGGATTTGGTTGCTTACGAAGGGGACGGCGGCTGCGAGAGCGGCGAGCCCGGCGAGAGCAAGCGTGATGAGCTTCATGGTGTGCACTTGACAGTCTTGACTGTTTTGACTGCTGATGTTTGTAGTGAATGTAGGAGGATTGGAAGTGTGTGAAGAGTGGTGGATGGAGGTGGGCAAACGATCTATTTGTATACCTCTCGTTCGATTGTTCGGACAATGGTATCGCCGTTGACGTCGATATCATGCGCGGAGTCAGGCAGCAATGAGTAGCGGGCTGTAATTAAACTGGGAGTGAAAACGGTGAACAAATCCCAACGGAGAGAAACGTCGTGGGCTAGAGCCGATGCATAATAACAGTTATGGCGAAAAGAAGAGAAGGCTAGGATGCTTTTGTATATGGAAACCAGAAATGCTTTTCAAACCACGCTACGTGCCTCCTTTCTATAGTGAACTCAAGAACTACCTACCACAACCCGTCTATAAACGCCGCCCAATGCAAGTCTAAGATATCATGCAGTGCTCGAACATTAGTCTAGATGTGGGCCGTTTATTCGGCCTCGTCATCCGTATCTGGTGGCCTTGGGGTTCCCTGCAGAGGTCAGTGTGAGTCTGCACGGAATAGCGCTGGGAATAGGTGCCACGTACCTTGGGGCTGTTCAACCATTCAATATGCCTCAACCTCCTCCTCACCTCGCGCTCCTTCAGTTGAGCGCGAGTCATCTTCTTTTTCTTCCTCGCCCTGAACTTCATGTCGTCCTTGGATCCTTCCGCCTCACTCATCACGGGCGTACCGGTGGTGCTGGGGTTGGCCGAGCTGACGTTCGAGCTGGCAACACTCGAGCCAGGTCGTGAATCATCGAAGCGGTCCAAAGCAACGGCCAAATGTCCCTTGTGGGCGACGCGGCCATCTGCAACGTGCCACTGTTCTGGGCATAGAGCACCGACAAATTCTTCATTGTGGGAGATCATTATCACACCACCCTTATAGTCGCGAATAGCTACGGCAAGTCCGCCGAGGGAGTCGCGGTCCAAGAAATTGGTGGGTTCGTCCAGGACGAGCAAGTGGGGGTTGTTCCACATAGCACCGGCTGGAAAAAGATTAGTCACTGTGTACGGATAAACGATGAAGTCACCAAGGGGAACACTTACCCAACACGACCTTGACCTTCTGACCACCTGAAAGACCGGCGATCTGATTGTGATTTGCGATTTCCGGATCCATGCCAAGGTCCTCGAAGTGCTTGGAGATCACCTTCGGCTCGAGCACACGGTAACCAAGACCCTCACGAGAGGATTCGTGGTCGTCAAATTCTTGGACCAGCTTTTGGAAACCCCTTTCGAGCAAAGTCTCCCGAGAGATCATCGTGTTGAACTTGGGCAGCATGTGGAGCCACTTGACTTCGTATTGGAAGCTCTTCTTGTATTTCTGGCGACCAATAAGTGCCTCAATCTTACGTGGCCCTTTACCGTCGCCCAAGTCGATAGGCTTCTCCATCTGAATCTTGTCTTCCTCGGTCAGAATACGAGTCTGCTTCATGAGCACCTCGCGGTCATCGCCGTTAGCGTAGCGCCATTGAAGATACTGATTGGGCGTCTTCTCCATGTGCATCTCGACGTGCTCAAGAGCGTGCTGTTTGATGTAACCAATACGCAAGTTGGGGTGCTTCTCGACCTTGCCTTGCTGGGGAATCAATTCGCCGGTGAGAATCTTGATGAGCGTAGATTTACCGGCACCGTTGGCACCGATAATGGCAACGCGTGATGACAGGGACAAGCTGCAGGAGACGTCGTAGAGCGAGGGTTTGGAAGAACCGGGATAAGTGTATGTGCAGTTGGTCATACGGAGAATCGATCGCGTGTTCGACTTCACGCTAGTGAGAATACCGGGGGGTGGAAACTTGAACTGGACCTGGGTCGCTGAGAGGGTATAGTAGCTCTTCGCCTCAGGCTTGACCTTGACGAAGGCGGCGAGATTTCCATGATAGAGCACCAACTTCTTCTGCTCGTAGTGGTAGATGTCTGTACAGATTTCGTCCAGGAATCCTGAGTCGTGAGAGACGATCAAGCTCGTGATCTCGGTGTGCTTCTTGAGGTACTCCTGAAGCCATGCGATGTTCGCAACATCCAAGTGGTTAGTAGGTTCGTCCAGAAGGAGGACATCGGCGCGCATAAGCATGGCTCGGGCCAGGGCAAGCTTCATCTTCCAACCTCCGGACAACGACCCAACCATGTGCGACTGCCTTCCATCCGGGCCTGCAGTAAACCCAACCTCTTCCAGGACTTCGGAGATTCGCTCCCTGCTCTCGCCCTTGAAACGAGGGTCGTTGGAGATAAATTCGAGGATGCTCAGATCGGCGTCTTCGCCCTGATTGTGTTCCACGAAGCAAGTCTTGACCTCATCCTGTGGTGGAAAGCCCTCGAGCTTACCCTCTGCAATGCTTCGCATTAGGGTGGATTTACCAGCACCATTACGGCCGCAGAGACCGTATCGATGGCCCTTCAGCAGCCGGAGATTGGTGTGCGAAAGCAGCAGCATGCCACCGTAACCCAACGAGAACGTCGCATTCACAATCTCGACCTCTCCGTCATCCTCCTTGATCGGCTGGCCGAACCTGCGGTGATCCTCTTCGATGTAGAAGTTGTGTACACCTTCTGCGACCTTCTCAGCATCGCCAGGGTTCATCAGCGGCGCGAGATAAGGAGCGATGAGCTGCGGGATACGCTTCAGCTCTCGCTGATTGACAACCTCGGCAACCATCTCGGAAACGTAGTTCTTCGCAAGGGTCCACACCTCTGCATCGCCGGGAAAGTTCTGCAGGTTACCGGCGATGTTGACCTGTTTTTCAAGAACTTTCAAAACATCCGCCGGATGTGTACGAGTTATCGCTCCGCTGTCAATGTTACCATCCTTGTCGGCCATGGCTTTTTCAATAACATCCAACGCCCTGGAAGCGATCTCACGGACTTCAGGCAGCGATGCGCGATCTTTGACGTTCTTGACACCGGGCTTCAGCTTGGGCAGGAAAGCGCGTGCCTCGACCGGGTCGTGGACTAGCTTTGTCAGGTTCTCGATTACCACAACCGTCTGCCGGAGGACTTCTTGGGAGGTACTCGGTGTGTTCAGGGAGCGCTCGAGTAGGGGAGTGACCATAGCAAGAACCGGAGAAGTGACAATAGTGACAAAAGTAGTTTGTGAGAGCGCAAGGATGGCCTTCTGCTGGCTCTGTGTTGAGGGATCATCGATCGTTTTGACGAGGAGAGGTATCCGGGGCGCGATGTCGTCGTTCTGTAGGAGGGTAGTGAGGCTGTTCATGGTCTTCAGCGCTTGTTTCGTCACCTATACCTCGATTAGCATCGTCAAAGACCGTTTCAACTACCGAACCAACTTACCTCCGACTTTAGGTCATGCATGCCGCTCTCCACCACTGGAATCAGCCCTTCGAGCTTCTTTCCCATGGCTTCACGGACAACATCCTTCTCCTTCTCCACCTCGAGGCTCTCCATGCCCATCTTCGCCTTGTCCGCCATACGGCCCATCAGCTCAAAAGCGCCCACGGCGCCTTGCCACTTTCCGGACTTCTTCCCTAGGTACTTTACAAGCACCGGAAGCAGCCCAAACACTCTCGCTTCGGCGCCTAGATTGTCGAAAAGCGCATCCAGTGCATACTGTGCGGACTCCTTTACAGTCGAGGTTTTATCAGAAAGCGCATCGAGCGCGAGCGGCACCAGGACCTCCTCTTGTAGTAAGAATACCATCTCTGCTAGCTTCTGTGCGCGCGGGAACCGTTCGAACAACGCACCAAGCGCGTTCATAGCCCCTTCTCTCCTCACCGGGTTCTTCTTATCTCCCGCTGCCTTCCTGATCTCCTCGAGAATGCCATATCCCTTGAGCCCGCGGAAGCCGACCGAGTTCTGTAGGACGGTGCAGAGACCGTATGCGGCTTCTACGGAGGCGTGCGACGTCTTGGCCGTCAAGATGCTCTTTAGGAACGCGGCGACGTCTTCTTGCGAGGGCGCGGGGGTGTCACCGGCTTTGTTGACGAAGATCGCGGGAGCCATGGGAGGCGATTCGGAATGTGGCATATCCCACGGATGGGAAGCCTCTGAAGACGGGAGTGATTCCTCGAGGTGTGCGCGAGGGGTTAGGAATTTTCGAGGAGGGTCTTTATCGATAGAAAGGTGGCTATTCCGCTCGCACGGGCTGAAGTGTGAGATTACGGACTAGCGTGCAAAATCGCGCACGGCGGGTGTCTGCTCACAAATTCGCGAGTCGTGAAAGGTAAAGAAGAGCGGAGAGGGGGTATAACAGTACAAGAAAAAGGAACAGAAAAAGGGTGAGAGGGCGAAAGTTGGGACGGCAGATTTAAAGTTGGGCTCGGTGAATGGAATTATTCTGATTTCCTTGGCTGACTGATCCACTCGGGCGGCCCGAGCGCATGCACGTTTTTCTTTTGCCTGCGCTAGTCGCTTTGGTCGTAGGGCTGAGGCTCATGCATTCTACACTTGGGCAAAGTGACACTTCAATACTCCTCTCTGGCAAGAATGTTATCAAGTTCTTCAGGATGCGTCTTCCAAACTCCCATTCATCTTCGTTTCATCTCGCATGCTATGATCGAGGACGTTTTACTTCCCATACTTCCCCACGAACTGGATCAAATTCTCCGCAACTTCCTTAGGATGCGAAAAGCTCAGGAAGTGCTGACCCCCCTTTACAGTCACCAGCCTAGCATCCGGCGAATTCTTGAAGAGTTTAATCTCTTCCTCCGCATTGGCAACCGAGTACACAGCATCGTCCGTACCCTATCATCATCATCAGCCATCACGTTGCTCAACTCCCTTCAACCTCGGGAGCTTGCACTTACATGCAGCCACAGCACCGGACACTTAACATCCCACAGCCTGTTATGCAGGCCATCTCGATCCCTCAGATTGATTGCCGCCATGCGGAACCTCTTCCTACCATCGTTCCCCGGGTAATTGCTCTTGATCGTCTTGGTCCAGTAATCGCGGACGTCCTTCGCGCAGTTCTTACCGAACCCAATGTCAACCAAGTAGTTGCAGTAGTCGTCCGAGGGCGCAAAGTCCGGCGTGTAGTCGTTCGTTGTCGCCTCTGAGATGCTGGGCATGAGCACTTCCGGGGCATTCCAGCAGCCGAGATCGCGGGTCCGGGGGGACTCGAAGTCGAGAGATGTGCCCAGGGGGATGATGCCTAGGATCTGTTCACGGTTAGACTTCCCGATGGCAGCTTTCTACACTATGCGCTCAGTGCTCACCTTCTTCGGCGCCAGCAACGCCATCCGCACCGTGATCCAACCACCTTGGCTTGTCCCCAGCACAAACGCCTTTTCAATGTCCAAGGCATCCATGACCTGCAAGTTCATAATAGCCGTGTCCCAGTAGGTCCAGTTTTCGGTTTCTGTTCTCGTCTGTCCATGGCCGAGGAGTTCAATGGCCACGAGATTCATCGCCGATGTGAGCTTCTCGTTCGCATACTGATCTCGATAAAGCTCAGAAGATGTCGTAAATGAGTTCACCATGATCAGAGTGGGCTTGGACTTGTCAATTGGCGCTGGGGTCTGGTATGCCGCCGTGATCCCGCCAAGATGCGGCACGCGAACTGTTTTGGTGTTCGGCATGGCTGTTGTTAGGTGTATCGTCTTCCTTTGCTTCAGTAATGAACAGAGGAGGACAGTGCAATGGAAAGCTGTTCCAGTATATATGTCTAGTCATAGTTCGGATGTTGTCCCTTACCCCGCAAAAAGAGGGGAGTAGCGGGTCCGAGGTGACGTTGGAGGCTTGTAACAACCCTACATCCTCAAGCTCGCTCTTCGATCTCACGCTACGCGGAGATGCGCGGTCATCAAACTAATAAGCGATCAAGATATTCCCCGCCAACCAATTGCTCATTTTACGCTCGTTATTCCCGAGAAAAGACTTAGCGCAAAGACATATGCTGCTTAAGGATTCTCCCGGGCAGGTTTACGGAATCCATTGAGGGGTATGGCCGAGAATAGAGCGAACATAGAGCGGAATAGATTATGGAATCAGAGAGGCGTTGATAATACATTGGCCCTTTCAAACGTCAGCGTACAGGACTTGCAGCAAAAGGGATTAGAGTTCACGGCCTTACCAAATCCAAGCCCACAGCAACCTGTAGGATCTTCCTTAGCCCACTTTCTCAATGGATTGCTTGGGAGACGCATATATCATATAGCCCAAGCCCGTGGCCATGCCCAATCCCGCGCCGCCAAGGGCAACGCTTCCCAGCCCCATGCCCCCAGGAATAATCCCCCTCCTCACGACCAGCACAGCAGCCACTGCACCTAGCGCCGCGTTATCCAAGGACCAAAAGTCCGTTCCAGCCTGGGGCTTATTCTCCTGCAACCTCCAAGCCCTATCCTGCCACTCTATCTCCTCCCTTCCCCACATGCGCCCAGCAGTTGCGAGCGCGCCGAATAGAGCCCCGATGACAAGGCCGCGGCCAGAGTGCGTGAGCAGACGAGGTAGGAAGGTCTTGAGGGTGAAGGCGGTGCCGTGGCGGTAGCGGGAGACGAGGAGGGAAACCGGCGCGGTGATGAGCGAGAGGAAGGAGCCCATCATGGCGCCGGAGCGGATGGTGTGCAGGTAGAGGATTGAGTGGGCATGGGGTTGGTCTTCCTCGTAGGCTGCGTGCGGGAAGAGGGACGTCATTTTGGATGTTGTAGACTGTGCGACGGATAGGAATTGAATTTCGCGGATCTTGACGGAGTAATGTTGTGACTCTCGCTGCCTAAATAGGCTCGAATAATGTATCGTATGATCCCCGGACGAATGCTCGCTTTGTGTGAATGCAGCGTTTTGCTGAGGGGATCGTGATATATCAAGGAGGTTCGCGACCGCAATTGAAGGGAGAACGGTCAGCTGAAAAGATGCATTGCAATAATGCCATGGTGACCTGGTGTATGCTCCCTAAATACATCATACGACGAAAAGACACGGTCTAACGTGATGCCGCTCCAGAAAGCTCACGGCCGCAAGCCACGATCGCGCGGTCCGTGCACCGGTGCGCGCCGATCTAACCCCCGATCCCCGACAAAAAAAATAAGATGGTCCTGATTGGCTAACCAAAAACACCACCAAATCCCGTATACGCTAGAATCAAACCTATCATCAAAACTGAAAAGAATCATCCTCCTCCTCCCACTTGCTCTCCACCGAGGAGAGAATAACATCCTCTTCCTTCTTGACTTTCTTCGGGAAACGTAAGCGGATCTTGAGCGGAGGATACTTCTCTCGAAGTCTCTGGCTACTCCGGACGCCAATCGGTCGTGCGTTGCGGTGGATTTTGGTGGGCTTCGTCGAGATGCGGTCGGCGCGGATGTAGAGTTTGATGCCCATTGTGAGCTGGTTGTTTGGTGGTTGCTGGGCGACGGGTAGTCGTGGATGTGGTGGAAGCAGACACGCAGTGAGCTCTAGAGCGTAGCGGTATCCTTTAGTGGAGTGGAACTGGGATGAGAAAGAAAAGGAAGTATGAAAGATTTTGCCCTTTAGTATTCTTTTGAGTACCAGTCTTCAAAAAGTCGGATTTTTGGAACCCCGGAACGGTATCGAAGGGAACTTTTGCTGGCGAGCGGAACCGGCCTGAAGCCTCACATTATGGTACGCGCAAAGCTTAAACGAATAAATACTTTCTATTGGTACAAAGTACATCTAGAAGCCTATCTCACATGTTAGCTGTGATTCTCTCCAATTCTAATTCAATGACTATGGTGACGCAGGACTACTCTGTTGCGCAAAGGATGGGCTAAAACTTACCCATTTCCGTATTGCCTTCGCCCATACTCTTGCTGCCACTGCTCCCACTCTGGATAGCACCCATAATACCGTCAATGTAGCCGGCTCCGCTCCACTTCTGGTGCGTCAAGACATCGCAGCCGAGCTCCTTCTCGCGAGCTTGGACGAGGTTGACGTAGGCGAGCATGCCCTGGTCTTTGAAAGCGCGCGAAAGCTCGCAGGTTATTGTTGCCGTCGAGTGTAGGCCGGCGAGCGAGATCAGCTGCAGGACGAAACTGCATAGGTAGGTTAGCACATATGAATCATCCATCCGGATAATGTTACGTACCCGTGCTTCGCAAGATCCCAAACAAAGTTCTTCAAGGACTCCTCAGAGAAACCTTGCCCCATCCAGTTGAAGCTTGGCGAGAGGTTATACACAAACTTCTTTCCGGGATACTGCTCTCTTATCTCGCCAGCGAACTTGCCCGCTTTCTCTACGTTGGGGTCCGCAGTCTCAACCCAAAGAAGGTCGGCATAGGGCGCGAACTCCTTCGCGCGTTTGGTGGCTGCAGCCATCCCGGCCTTGTAATGGTAGAAGCCCTCGCGAGTCCGCGGAATGTCCCAGTTGAAGTACACGGGCGACTTGGTGTAGCCCTCGGCGATCTTGCGGCGTTTGAGGAGGGACAGGTTGGGGTCCGCTTTGACTTCCTTCAGGTAGGCATCGATCGATGACTCGGAAGCGCCTTCCTTCTGAAGATGCTGGAGCACGGCCTCATCGAAAGTGACGAGCTTGTGCTTCTTCACCCACGCCGCCTCAAACGCATCAATCTCGCTCCCCGGTGCGCCGGCAGCTTCCATACTCTGCAGAGTTTCGGTCAGTGCCTCCCCTTCTTCTGTTACGCCCATGATAAACTCGTGATCCCGCGTGTCGACATTGGTTGAGATCAGCTTTCCGCTCTCAGAATCCGTCCGGGCGATCACCAGGTTCTCGCATCCCATCATATCCCATTGGAAGCGCGCGGCAACAAGGCGGTTGATGTGATCGCCCATCGGCACCAGCACCTTCCCTGCAAGGTGACCGCATTTCTTGCCGCCATGAAGCTGATCTTCAAAGTGAACAGCTGCAGCACCGTTCTCCGCGAAGAGCTTCGCCAGCTTAATGACGGCCGAGAGACCACCATGCCTACACCCTCGTTAGCAACTTTACGAATGCACTTCGTCAGCCTATGCATACCCAGTATCTCCATCGGCAATGATGGGTCGCATGTAGTCGAGATACGGAGTCTTGGCACGCTGTTCCGGGGTCATCTTCCTCCTGTTGTCCCAATTCTTGCGATCATGGAGTTGCTGGGCCTTGAAAAGGCGCTGCACCTGGTTTGGTACGGTGTTGTACGGGTAGTCACCGAAGTCGGCCGACACTTCGTTGGTGGTGGTCAATACGGAGGAACACGCCCACCCCGAGACGTAGAGCACCTCCTGGTTCGCGGCTTGCTGGCTCATTTGCACGGGATCAATGGCACCCACTACGATTGGAGGAGAATGAATTAGCTATTATATTGTCCATAGGGAAGAGAATGGACGCACTGGTATGCACGGGCTCGCCCCTCGCTGCCCGCTCTTCGAACAAATTGAAGAGCTTCCGCGCCATCAACGAGCTCGGGTAGGTCTGCTGCAGCGCTCCTCTCTTGCTCACGACATCCTGCGCAGTATATGGTCTCCTTATACCCCTGAACCGCGGCGACGCCCACCACTCCTCCACGGCCCGTACCTGCTCGTCGAAGAGCGCATTTTCCGCCTGGCCAGCTTTTGACGCTTCGGGGAGAAGCTGGAACGAGTCTCCTGGGAGTGCTGATGACACCGGGGGTTCTACCGGCTTAAGCACTGTGCTCGACATGCGACATACGGTCGTGGAGAGGGGTCGAAGGAGCTGTGGAGTTCGGTTCGCTATCTTCAGAGACCGGCTCTGACGGGCTACGGATCGTGATACGGTTCGCAGCATCGCGATTGAGGTTAGGTAACACTTGAATATACCAGCGCTAGCCAACTCTTTATGGTCTCGGGGGGTCCTCTAGCTGGCAAGCTTGGTAAGACCCAGCATTCAATGGCGATGACTCTGCCGAATCTCGGAGCAAAGGCGGTGTCGCTGGTCGCCACCGAAGCGGCTCGATTGGGTCAATCCGCAGTGTCTTCTCGCACGCGGAGCAAGAGATTTCTTAATACGCAACAGCGTGGGGGACGCAGGGTCTCCATGACGATGTTTTGGCGAGGGATAACTTTCTCCACGACTCCGGGCGGACCGAGGATAGCCAGGGCACTAGCCGTCTTTGGCCTTTGCCGAGGGGAGCTCGACACTTGCCCGTCGCATCAACGGACCAAGAACACCTCGTGACGTTTTGTCGCCGAGCATTGCCGCTGTTTGTTTCTTGCTTGCCTCTCTTTATAAGGGCCATTGCTCCCGCACACGCTGTGTCCCGCTGTTTGGTGCTGAGGCCTGAGGAACTGCTACTGTTCCCCGCACGAACCCACCCCCGCAACCCCTCCATTAAGCTACAGCTATGGCGTTGAGCGCACGCACAGCTACGAGAGCTCTGCGAGCTGTCAAGGTGAGCTTCTCCGGCTCGAAATACGCGGCTTGAAGACTAATTGGGCCTTCTGCAGCCCTCAGCGGCGCGTCCGTTTGCTTCTGGTATGCAATTGAGCCCGTCGGATCACACACCGTCACACTAATGGTTTGCTGCGACAGTGCAAGCATGCAGCTACTCCTCGTCCTCCGAGCCGGATCTCAAGGACACCTTCAAGAAGGTGCTGCCTGCTAAGCGCGAGCTGTTGAAGAAGGTCAAGGCCCATGCCGACAAGAAGCTTGGGGATGTCAAGGTGGAGAATACCCTGGGTGGAATGAGGTGCGAATCCACGTGAACACTGCATTGTATAGATTCTGACGGCTATGAAGAGGCCTGAAAGCCATGATTTGGGAAGGCTCAGTTCTTGACGCGAACGAGGGTATCAGATTTCATGGCCGCACCATCAAGGACTGCCAGAAGGAGCTCCCCAAGGGCACGTCTGGCACCGAGATGCTGCCCGAAGCCATGTTCTGGCTTCTGCTTACGGGCGAGGTCCCGTCAGTCGCTCAGACTCGAGCGCTCTCGCGAGAGCTCGCCGAGAAGGCGGGCATTCCCAAGTTCGTCGAGAAGATGCTCGATGATTTCCCAAAGGACCTGCATCCGATGACCCAGTTCGCCTGCGCCGTCTCTGCGCTCAACTACGAGTCCAAGTTCGCGAAGGCGTACGAGAAGGGTCTACACAAGGCCGACTACTGGGAACCGACCTTCGATGACTGCATCAGCCTGCTCGCCAAACTGCCCACCATCGCCGCGAAAATCTACCAGAATGCTTACCGCGGAGGAGGCCCATTGCCTGCGGAGATCGATCTGAACCAGGATTGGTCGTACAACTTTGCTGCCATGTTGGGCAAGGCGGGCAAGGAGAATGAGGGCTTCCAGGATCTCCTCCGTCTCTACCTCGCGCTCCATGGTGACCATGAGGGCGGCAACGTCTCTGCTCACGCCACCCACTTGGTCGGCAGCGCTCTTAGCGACCCGTTCCTTTCCTACAGCGCCGGTCTCCAAGGTCTAGCTGGACCTCTCCACGGCCTGGCTGCTCAGGAGGTGCTCCGCTTCATCCTGGACATGCAAAAGGCAGTTGGCAACAACTTCAGCGAGAGCGATGTCACTAACTACCTCTGGAACGTCCTCAAGTCTGGCCGTGTCATCCCCGGATACGGTCACGCCGTGCTAAGGAAGCCCGACCCGCGTTTCGAAGCTCTCATGGACTTTGCCAACGCAAGTCCGGAAATCGCCTCCGACCCTGTATACCAACTCGTCAAGAAGAACTCTGAGGTTGCGCCCAATGTGCTCACCGAGCACGGAAAGGTAAGGAACCTACAATTTATCCAAGCATAGAAGCTGCTGCTGATCCTCCGAGTAGACCAAGAACCCGTTCCCGAACGTCGACTCTTCGTCCGGTGTCCTCTTCCACCACTTCGGCTTCAAGGAGACGCTCTACTATACGGCCACCTTCGGTGTCAGCCGTGGTCTCGGACCCCTCGCACAGCTCATCTGGGATAGGGCATTGGGTCTGCCTATCGAACGTCCCAAGAGCATCAATCTTGAGGGTATCTTGAAGCAAGTCGGCGCGTAACGTGTGCCGACTGAAACAAAGAAGGCTGAGTAGCTGCTTGTAAATATTACTATAGAGTGTTTGGGCTTGTTTCAAAACAACGGATGTATCTGAAGAAGTAGTAGATTTCATGTCATTCGATCTTATTTGGCTGTCCGAATCAGTCTATCTAGATCTAATAACTGAACTTTCCAACAGTGACTCGATATCTCAGCGCCTTTGCTAAGACGCACTACGGTGGAAAGACACGGTCATCTGTAGGATGCAGATATCCGCGAAGGCCTTCGGCGCTTTTCGCGATTCGCTTCACTGGCACCCTCACTTTTTTTCCTCACTTTTCTGAAAGAGACGTTTTTCAAACCAAGACAACTCCTTCAAGCCATTTCATTCTCTCTTCAAAATGTCACGACTCTCTCTTCATATATTGAAGAGTACTTCTTCAAATTTTGAAGAAACCACAAAGATCTCATTGAAGGGGTCTCTGTTCTGAAGGCTTGTTAAGAAATAGTCTTCAAAAATGAAGAAAGAATGATATATAGCTTCTTCAAATTAACTCCTTCTCTCTTTATATGTTAAAGAACAGTTCCTGAAATTTTAAAGAAAAAATACAAAGATTGAAAAAGTATGGTGTAGAGAGCACCCAGGCGGTTTCTAAAAAAAAGCCAAGACTCGTGCAGATTTCTGCATCTTAACATAGTACACAGCACGTCCAAAGCCCCTCCAAACACCCATTCAGCACGAACCAACAGACACCAACCCCCCGTTCGCCCGTAACGATTTAATCTCGTTCTTTGAAGATCTCGTATCAACAAGGGCCCATGTAACGAGTAATTTGGTGCTCAGCTGGTTCCCACTGGCTCTGGCGCTTTCCACGACCCTTTACCAACCACCAGCTATCTAACCGCAAACGGACCGAGAAGACTATTGCTATCGCCAAGGAACTGGACGTACTAATCGAAGGATAATCTGAAGCTCTACACCCTGACGGCTCCGTGGATAGCTATGCGAGGTGCGTGGAAACTGTTTTGGAAGAGGCCACCGGCCGCGGGTGTCACGTCTGCTGTGCCGCAATCAATCTGTTGACGCACGAGCCTCTTCGACATCGTTCACGCATGTCGCCCGGGGTGTATCTATCTATACAGCCTACCATTCTTAGCTCACTCTGGTTCCCCAATGGGAAGGAGCTTTTCTTCCCCTGCATAATCGCCAAGCCGGGGTCCAATGAGGAATTCTACGGAGTCTTAAAGGCTCTGCTGCAAGGTATCATGGGGACCATCACTTTTTTTTTCAGTTTTCTTGCTTTACTGTCGTTGCAAGCTCATTTACTTCCTTGTGCCGACTCTACTCCACCCGGTGCTACGGTGCAGATATGTCTGGCTTACTCCCTCTCCCTGATCTCTCGAATTTCGAGCGCATCTCCAGTTTGCTCAGCATCAGAGATCGGCTTCCAAGTGAAGGCATAAAAATACGCCTTTACTGTCTTTACCACTACTCAGCCGACAAGAGTCGATGTGAGACACCGCTTCAGCGTTTCTACGATGACCATCCAATTATCTTCAACACGGCGAGGAACATCCTCGCACAAGAAGTGGACAGTATCACGAAAGAGGACTTTATATGTATCCTGCGAACGTTCTTCTGTACCGATCATGACCCTTGGAAAACGTCGTCGACCGAGTTCAGAAAGAGAAGGGAGTACCTGGAAAACCTTTGGTCAAGTGCAACCCGCGATACGAAGAACGAGGTCCTGAACGCATTCCGTAACAGTGGACGCGGCATCTCTTCCCCACCAACTCCTCAGCGAGGCACACCACAGAAGATTCCTGGCGATAGGAGAACCAAGTCCGGCAAACCACGTATGAAGAAACATGACCATCCCCGAGAAGATGAGGTCGAGTCGTCCCCCTCAGCCGTCGACGTAGACCAACCAACTCGCCTGCGAACCCCCCAAGCGAAGTTAAGCCACGACACTGAGCACACCGCTAGTGCTAGTCCTATGCCTCGTCCGACAAGGGATTCCGAATCGGACATGCACTCCCGTTCGCATAGTCCTCATTGTCCTGACATACCTTCACCATCGCCGCTGTTATTACCTCCGGGCTCCGCTTCGCCTTTCAATCAACCCCCCGCTGAAGGCTCTTCACCAGGCTCTGCGCAAGTTCCTCAACCAGAATTCCCGCTCGGAGAGGGTGACCAATCTGAACCAACCATCTTTGATGAACCTCAGGCTCGGGCAAGAGCTGCGGCACATTCAAATCTCGAAGAAGCTGCATCTGATGGGAACAATGGCCCGGCGTTGAACCAGCATCTCCAAGCCGAGGATCCCTTCACAGAACCAGCGAAACAACACTCGACGCACAATTCTGTACCTGAGGGCCACCTGCATGAGAGAACCCTACCGATTCGGAGCAGACCACCAGTCACTCTAAACCACGCAGGAAAACGCATTCGGGTCAACTTGCCGCCTCGACCGTCTGTAAACTTTTCAAAGCCTCCTGGGGATGTTCCTAAACTCAACGTATGGAATCTTCCGAATCCATCTGTCGCATTCGACTTCAACTGGGTTCCCGAAACTAAAACGCCAAAACCAGGATGTTATAAAGTGGCCCCGCCGGCGGAAAGTCAAGATGAGGATCAATTCGGCGACTTCCTCGGGCCCCGACCGTTCTTTCGTAAAGTGACACCGTCACCAGCACAGCAATCCCAAGGAGAGCAATCACCAGCACCGCAACCCTTAGCACCGCAATCCCCAGCACCGCAACACGAGCAAAACACGCACGCCTTCGACATCCACAGACCAGAGACAATTGCGCGGTCGATCCGTAAGTTACTTTCAGACAGCTTTGAAGAAGGCGTTATCTACGTGCTCAAGGCACCCAGATTTTTTCAAAGCTACGAACCAGCCAAAGGGAAACAGTGGGTGAAGATTGGCATTACAAGAGATGTGAAGGAGCGCATCCGTGATTTGAAGCGAGAATGTGGGTTTACCGACTTGACAGAGTGCTTTTCATCCGAGGGTCTTGTGCGCATGGACCTGCTTCGTAGGATGGAAAGAGTCTGCCACGAGGAATTGAACAATTTCCGCAGGACAATTCAATGCAAGGAAGGCGTCAACGGAGCGAAGTGTAATACTCTTCATGCTGAGTGGTTTGAAGTTCACGAAGATGTGGCGATTCGAACGGTGAAGCGGTGGAGAAAGTTCCTTGACTATAAGCCGTACGAAGATGACGGGAGGATGAGTGAGTTCTGGCGGAAGAGATTGTATGGGAGTTCCTATGAGTTCGGGACGGGAGAGGGAGAGCTCGATCACCTGACGGCACATCGGCGGTATGAGTCGTTTCTTGAGCAAGGTTATTCAGTCGTAGAAGAAGGGAAGGAGAGGGCAGGCCATGTTTAAGGGTCGGAGGGTAGTTTATGTGCTGGACCATCCTCTACCACTGTTCAATAAGTCCTTCGTCAGTAGAATGTCACTCTATCAAAATAAAGAGCAAACATTTTGGTCGCCAAGTTTAGTGGTACTGGAAGACGTCGTCAGATAGGGAGGAGAGGCTATGCGCGCTGCGGAAGAGTTACGTGGCAGCAAACGGCGCACTGGATCAGTTGGAATGGCGAGGCAACGTGAGGAGACACTTGTACTTCGATAAATTTTGGGACAAGATGGTGATGTGGCAGAACTGGATGGCGGGGAATCGGGACTGGCGCGGCGCGTTCGGGTGTCGAGGATCGCCAGGGGTACACCCTAGACCTCAGCGCGAGTCGGGACGCTTTCACAACTGCCACGACAACTTCGTGTCACCCATCGTTTTCTCCTTCTCGTCTCCCGGGTCTCGCTGGCCACAGACCTCGCGGTTGCTTCAATCGAGGCCCTCAAACAGCCTCATGCCTCGCCGCTAGTATTTAACTAGGGCGTTGAGCTCCCCCCTTTCAAGATCCCTGAGCGTGCATTCTACTGCCCCTTCGGTTTGCAATCCCCCAACCGCGCAAAATGCCTCCAGTCGAGTCTCACGAGCTCCGCCGGGGCAAGTACGCGAAGCTCGACGCCCCGGTCGACGACGATAGCCCCACGCGCTCTTCCTTCGATTCGAATGCCTCGTCCTACGAAGACCTCGAAGAGTACGACCCGTTGAACTACGATGCGGGCACCCTGAAGCGGAAGAAGAGCACAGGCGACCTGCGCACGCGAAAGCCGTCCTACAAAGACGCCGAGATCGCCGCAGTCCTCCCGAAAGCGAAGCGGAAATGCACACCGGGGCGGTGGTGCTGCTGGCTGCTGACGTTCGTCACTGCTACTGTGCTGCTGCTCTCTGCTGGCGGGATATGGGCTTGGAAATACTCTGCGCCCAAGGACGGCTTGAGTCCGCCGTGGTATCCCACGCCGAAGGGTGGGACGGATGCTGCGTGGGAAGAGAGCTACAAGAAAGCGGCAGAGCTGGTCAAGCAGATGACGCTGGTGGAGAAGGTTAATGTCACGACGGGCACGGGATGGAGCATGCAGATGTGTGTGGGCAATACCGGGCCTGTCCCGCGACTCAAGTTCCCGGCGCTGTGTCTGCAGGACGGACCGCTGGGCATCAGGTTCGCGGATAATATCACGGCATTCCCAGCAGGTATCACCGTCGGAGCAACGTGGAACAAGGACCTGATGTATCAGCGGGGTAGGGCTCATGCTAAGGAGGCGCGGCTGAAGGGTATCAATGTGCTCCTCGGACCTGCGATGGGCCCTCTTGGGCGCATGCCCGCAGGAGGACGCAATTGGGAAGGCTTCGGCTCGGATCCCGTCCTGCAAGGCATCGCAGCTGCTCAGACAATCAAGGGCATACAAGAGGAGGGCGTGATGGCTACAGCCAAGCACTACGTGCTTAACGAACAGGAGCACTTCCGACAAGCATGGGAATGGGGCATCCCGAACGCCATCTCGAGCAATATCGATGATCGGACCCTGCATGAAATCTACGCCTGGCCTTTTGCCGACTCAGTCAGGGCCGGGGTGGTCTCCATTATGTGTTCCTACAATCAGGTTAACAGCAGCTATGCTTGTCAAAACAGCAAGCTCCTGAATGGCATCCTCAAAGATGAGCTAGGCTTCCAGGGCTTCATTCAGAGCGATTGGTTAGCCCAGCGAGCTGGCGTTGCAAGTGCTCTCGCCGGATTGGACATGACTATGCCAGGTGACGGGCTTCGATGGGCGACGGGGGAGAGCCTGTGGGGTCCCGAGCTTACGAAGGCGATCTTGAACGGCAGCGTGCCGCTAGAGCGGATCGACGATATGGTTACCCGTATTGTCGCGGCGTGGTATCAAGTTGGGCAAGACAAATGGCCGCTCCCGCCTCCTGATGGCGATGGTGGTCCAAATTTCTCGTCATGGACCAACGAGAGGATCGGCAAACTGCACGTCGGAAGCCCATCCGATACAGACACAGGCGTAGTCAATCAGTTCGTTAACGTGCAGGGAGAAGGCGACGACTTCCATGGTAACCTGGCCCGCCGAGTCGCCGCCGAAGGTACGGTCCTCGTCAAGAATGCGGACAACCTTCTGCCGCTTGACCGAAACGGGTGGAACGAAGAAGACAGGGCCGGCAAAGAAACAAAGTTCAGGGTCGGTATTTTCGGCGAAGACGCTCGTCTCAGCCATGACGGCATCAATGCATGCGACGACCAGGGCTGTAACGACGGAACCCTAGCCTCTGGATGGGGCAGCGGTGCAGCCAATTTCTCATATCTCATCGACCCTCTTTCTGCGCTCCGCAAAGCCTTCAACGACGACTCTGTGTACGTTACGGACTGGCCCGAAAACAAGCTTCCTGGGCAGAAGGAGATTCTGGAAGATCAAGACTTGTGCATCGTCTTCGCCAATTCGGATGCCGGAGAAGGCTACATGAAGTGGAAAGGTAAGTCGGGCATGCTCTATCCTCGTAGGACGACGTTGACACAATCCTAGACATACGCGGCGATCGCAACGACCTCTATCTTCAAAACGGAGGGGACAAACTCGTCCAAGACGTTGCGAAAGGGTGCGGAAAGGGCAGCGGCGACGTTGTTGTCGTGATCCACACCGTCGGACCCGTTATCTTGGAGAATTTCATTGATCTACCCTCCGTGAAAGCAGTTCTCATCGCCAATCTGCCAGGTCAGGAATCCGGCAACGCCCTTGTAGACATTCTCTTTGGAGATGTCAATCCCTCCGGCCGGCTGCCCTACACCATCGCCAAAAAAGAGGACGACTTCGGACCCGGTAGCAAGATCAAGTACCTCCCTAGCCCAGCCGATGGCCTCTCGCCCCAGCAGAACTTCTCTGAAGGCTTGTACATCGACTACCGACACTTCGATAAACAGGACATCGCTCCACGATACGAGTTCGGCTACGGCCTTTCGTACACTACGTTCCACCTCTCCTCTCTCCTGATCAATGGGCGAGGAGCCAAGACACCGCTCCCAGCGCCTCGTCCTTCGGGAATTGCTCCTCCGTCCTACTCAACCGACCTCCCTGACCCGAAGTCTGCGCTGTTTCCGGAGGGCTTTCACAAAGTCGAGAAGTACATCTACCCGTACCTGGATTCTACTGATGGCATCGGAAAGACGGAGGTACTAGCTTCAAAGCTTCAAAGCCCACTCAGCGAGGCCGGCGGCGCGCAAGGCGGGAACCCCGACCTCTACACCACCGTCGTCTCAGTCTCAGCCTCGGTCACCAACATTGGGCTGGTGGACGGCGACTGCGTTGTCCAACTCTATGTCTCCTTCCCGGAGGGCTACAAAGATCCCGAGACTGGCGAGTCCATCGACTTTCCAGTGCGCGTCTTGCGTGCCTTTGAGAAGGTGCATGTCGAAGCGTCAAAGCAGGGTCCCGTACCAGGCGTCAAGGGGAGTCAGCACGGCGGTGGAGGCAATAGGCAAATGGTCACGTTTGATCTTACGAGGAAGGATATGAGTTATTGGGATGTGAGGAGGCAAAACTGGGTTATGCCCAGCACAGGGGAGTTTACTATTAGCCTTGGATTCTCGAGTCGGCATCTGCCGCTGACGGGGAAATGGTAGAGGGCGTTTTTAGAAGTTGACTTTTTATAGACAAATGATAGCGCGACCGTCTCTCACGTACTACCTCTCCTGGAGCAACCCCAAGGTGTAGTCAAACGCCCAATTCGGCCGTCTGCAGGCATAACAAACCAGCAATGTGCCACATCCAAAAAGAGCCGAAGCACGCCAGACACAGTTCTCCAGACCTCAACACCACTCAAAGTAGTCCACCCAAATCGGCACCATCCGCTTCGCCCAGTGCGTCACACTCATAACCAAGAACCCGATATGAAACACGGCATTCATATTCTGCAGCGCAAACGCGCAGATACTCAGGTTCTCCTCGGACGTCACGCACGTCTCGATCGGGCAGTCCAGCCGCAGCGAGAGATTCATGGTGTCCTGCCCCGGCTCCAGCAAGATGAGCATGCTCCAGAACGTAATGGCGAGCGCGACGCCTTCGGCCACGGCGAGGAAGATGGACGGGATCCGCGGGAAGCGCGAGACGTGCAGGGTGCGTGGAGGGCGGCAGGCGAGGCGCGTGAAGGGGAGGCGGAGGCGCGGGAGGAAGGAGAGGCGGAGGGTGAAGGTTGGGTTCGCGAGGCACAGGATCTCGATGGCGTTGAGGAGCATGCAGTAGGATAGCTGGAGGAGAGGGGAAAACATGTCAGTCAGTTCTACGTGCGTTTGCGTATACGGTGATTGTTGACAACGTACGATGCGATACAACTTCTCGACGCCATAGAAGTTCTGGTGATTAATCATCGTGACGAAGATGCAGGCGCCAAAGTGCAGGATGATGCTCAGAACGCGGAAGAGGATCTGGATCTTGGCCTCGATCTCTGGGCAGCGCGCGCGCGGGTTCTCGCAGGTCCAGCTGCGGCAGCGGGTGGACTTTGTGGGTGCATCGCTCCAGCAGGTGGTGGTGACGGTGCCGTGGCAGCGGTCTTTGAGTTTGATGGAGGTGTCTGTGCTGGTGGCCACGGACTTGGAACGCGTCTAAGGTGGAGGTGTGTTTAGCGGATGTCTTGGATTGCACTCTAGTGTGTGTATGCCTGCTGAAGGCTAGAAGGGGGGGCTTTTTGTAGTTGTAATCTGCGACGTGCTGGAGTGAGTACTGCGGCCTACGTACCTTGGAGGGCGACATTGCGGGTAAGAGGACCGCGAGATGTATGATAGCGATGGTGTAGGATGAAAAGTGTAGTGGAGAAAGGAAGGGAGGAGAGGAAGGGCGATCGGAAGAGGACGCAGGCGAAGTGGCAAACAGAGCGTAGTGGAAAGGTGTGTGCCAAGTCTTCACTGCGCCAGAGCTAGGCGGTGACGGCGAATGGGAGTGACGTTGTGAAGAAACTTAGGTGAATGGAAGGAAAGGAAATAGATAGTGAAAAACTGGTGGTGGATTTGTGCGTCTGTGCTGCTCTAGGACCGCAAGCACAACCGTCAGAACCGAGCGGCGCAGACTTTTACTATTTGAAGCAACTTGGGATAGAGAACATTTTTCTCTTTCCTGGGTACGCAAGCTTGACATATCTCCCGGATAGAGTGAATGCGACAGAGGGGATGTAAGTGACGAGCATAGTTCCTGTTAGCCGGTGAGTAGAACGTGGAGCAGGACTAATGTGCAGCATTAATTCTAGTAACTGTAGAGGAATTAAGGATGCGATCGAAGACGAATCATTTACGTATGAGAAGACGGTGAGGAGAGGAAGAGAGCGTGATGTTGAGGGATAATGGGCTATACCCTAATGGGTTAGTAGCTGTTCGCACCAATACAAGTCATCTATTCCTCTTTATTACATGTGTAAGCTAGAGTGCATACCATTTTTTGACCGTTTTGAGTGCTAGTATTAGCGTTTGTGCTAGGTCGCTTTAAGGATGGCTTTGAAAGCAAGCCCCCTAGATCGATTTTTGTTGCAACACAAGCAGGTCCCTCGATGTCCCATGCAGCTCGCTCAGCTAAGATGACACAGGTTCTTACTTCGGACTATAAGGCAAATTAGAGGGCCGAATACGCGTAGTGTTCTGATCCGAAGCCACCACCACAACGTCCCAGAGAGTCGGTTTGATATGCCCATTCCTTCTCCTCTTTCCTTGTAGCGCATCTTCTGCTTCAGGTCCTCATGGCAGCGATTCGATCTCACCAGCCTGGGAAACCAACAGCTGCAAAAGCGCCTTCTGCGCTTTCACACTCTCCTCCTGCGCACGAATCGACGCCTGCAACGCTTGCCGGATGACTGCTCCTGTGTCTGCACTTTCGCCAGAACTGAGCTTTTCCCTCGTCACCCCTGCATCAGTCTTCTCGTTCCGTAGATATTCATTCTGCAACTCCTCGTCGCGCACAACGCGAGCCAGCGACATGGTAATCTGGTTTGTCCGGTTTATCCGGTTTATCTGCTCCGTGTACAGCGGTAGAGCAAGCTCCGAAACGCCCCACACCGCGGAAATAGTGAAAAACAACAAGACAGCCAAGTTGGCATTGCTGCCTTTCAGATTGCCCAGTTTTCCCGTGTACACTGAGCCGAGGTAGATTCCCAGCGCCGCGAAGAGCGTTGAGATGGAGAGAAAGAGGAGGCGGCCAGGTGCTGTTAGCGTCGTGGCCGCCATGAGCGAGGGGATCCGGTCATGTTTATCAATTGCCTTGTTGGCTTTAAAGAAGTGGTTAAGCAGCCCCCTGCGGGGCGACGTGAGCCATTCGAGCGCAAGCCCCGCGCTGTGCAGGCCGCTCAGAATCTTGTGAACGTAGAAAGAAAAGAAGGTGGATAGGAGGCCGCTTATGAGGCTCGTGTAAGCGAATGCCGTAGCGGTCCAGTGGATGTTGCCAAAGTCTTGGAGGCCCGGCAGCGTGATAGCGATTTGGGCGATGATGGCAGCCTTTTCCGAATTGCCGATTAGCATATGCTATGTAAATGATTGAAGAAATATCATGGTGGGGGTTCAAATGACTCACGGCGACAGCTGCCATGGCGAATGTGCCCTGGTAGGATTCCTTCAATCGCAATGCCTCATTGGCATTTCCATGTAGTATATACCGTCGGATCTGATACGTGACTGGCAGTACGTCGGCTCTGAGTAGAAGACTCCACGCGAGTGGATTAGTGAAGTTTTCCATGAAGACCGTGAACATTTCGGGGAGCATGAGAGCGCCGGCTATCTCTTTCGCGTGCGACAAGAAGCCGGTCCGGGAAGTCATGGTGAGCTAAAATTGCTGCGCAAATTCTTTATAATAGACAGTTAAACGCGTTAAAAGCGCACCAGCAGGCTTGAACACGGTGTTATGCTGGTATGGCTTTGGAGGGGGAGGGCCGCCTTACGCCTGAGGTTTCTTCAGCTGACTCAACATGATCAGCAGGAGAACTTCCGCATCCTGTTCCCATGTCTGCCTCGCGTGACAACGGAAACGCAAAGAGCTAGTGCTTTCCTAACAGCCTTGATATCAGAACAGAATTGGATCATGACAACCGTGTGCCCGCCATGCACCGAACGTGTTTCTTAGTCGGGGTTCGCTATCTGAAGCCAGACCAGGCGAAAGTATTCTTAGACTTCAACGTTGCGAGGCACAAGTGAGGCCAGAATCAAAGAACCAGGTAAGTATTATGATTCTGATGGACCTACGGTATCCTTCCATTGCCATCTAGAGTTTCGATCCTGAATCCCTAAAGAACTCAGTACTCCATGCTGATTTCAATCCCTCCTCATGCCTCAGCAAGCGTGGAGCGCTCACATGTGCTTGTGGAAGAAGTCGAGCACTATCTTGTAGCCGCGCTCGTACTCCTTCTTAACCTTCTCGTCCTCCAAGTCGCCCCTCGCCGCCATCCAGCCATGAACCTGGTCCGGGAACCACTCCACAAGGTGAGGAACCTTGATACCTTGCTGCCACTTCTCGACGTCCTCTTTGCTCTCATCCTTGGACGGGAGCATGGCGAACGGGATCGTGACACCAGGCGCGTCATCTCCAGCGACCATGGCGGGGTGGCACGATGCGGCGGCCTTGAAGGGCGTGCCCTCCATAGACGACAAGTTGACGATCTTTCCGCCCCAGCAGTATCCGACCATGCCCCACGTCTCGACGCCCTTGCTCTTCTTCAGCTCCTCGACGATCTTAGGAATCCTCGGCAGCGTCTTCGGCGGCGCAGCCTTGGCCTTGAAGAACTCACCGAGCTTCTTGCCCTTCTCCTCGTTGTCTGGCGGGTACCAGGAAATGTCCGCCGGTTCGCCCTCGAAGAAGTCCGGTATGAAGACCTGGTACTGGCTGTCCTTATCCGTGTATGCCAGGATATCGGCACCTTGGAGAGTCTGCGGGAAGAAGCCGAAGATATCGTAGACCACGAGGATGCCCTTTTTGGCGTCCTTGGGGCCGGTGGCATACGTCTTCAAGCCATCGACGGTAATGTAGTCGCCCTTGGGCTGGTAGCCTTTGGTGACGACGGCGGGCGTGTCGCAGCCTGCAATTGATCAGTCCACTTTGCTCAATCGCAAATAACCCCACTTACAGGCCTTGCTCTGCGTAGATTCAGTGGACATCTTGGCGAGCTGTTGCACTACGATTGGCGATCGATAAGGGGCTCTGGGTAGAATTGAGGTCCGCGTGATAGTCGGGAGTAGAGGCCGTGAAGTTGAGCAGCGCAAGATGGGAGAGAGAGAGCGCATTATCGGCTGAGATTAATTTGTCAAAGTGGCCGTCTTTAGCTGTCGCCCCTGGCAGGTGGGGCAGCTCTCTGCATGATGTCACCCCGCGCGGGGTAGCTCCGACATCAACATTCCTTGTGTACGGAGCATCGGCAGTGAAAGTGAAGTGAGTGAAAGCGAGAGTGACAGTGATAGTAATAGTGAAAGGGATGAGAGTGAATGTGAGTGTGGATGTGAGAGTGAAAGAGACATTAAGACAACGTAAGCATGGTTGCAGTCTGTCAATATCGCTTTTACCGCCCGCTATCATGACCTCTAGATGCCGAATACGCCTCTTCTTCAAGACATACCTACCCAATGCATGTATACACTAAACAAAGTCTACCACTATGCATCTAGGTTGAGGTCCTCCAGCAGTCTATCAATCTTTCCTAGCAAGATCTGGTAGTTGATTGCGTCCTGAGCAAATTCGTCGCCTGCTATTTCGCCGTCTAGGGTCCGGATGGCGCCAGCGGCGAATTGGCCCTCAATGTCCGGCGCAAAGACCTCCTGCTCTACTAGCTCCTTATCGGATAGATCAAGATCGTTCACAGCATCTGCAAGCGCCTCGCCGTTCATTTGCGTCTCGTCCATCATCTCATCAAGCCCACTGTCTTCGAAGCGGAGGCGGAACCTGTCGGAGAGGTAATATCGGATGTCGTCAACCAGCTCAACGGTATCTGTCTCCTGGCGCGCTTTGACCCTCCTAGAGGATTCCCGGACCAGCTGCGCAAACTCTGGCTCGTCAATAAAGTGCTCCAGGCGATAGGCGATGTATCGGGCACCGAACTCTTCTAATCTTTGTACCCGCGTATCCCATCCGGCTCTTATGACTTCATATATATCAACTGCTTCTTCCGCGTCTGTTTCGCCACGGGGATTTTCCGACTCCACGGTTGACGACGAGCCATTGCCCAGCGTGGAAATGATCAGTGCAGCGCGCTGCTTCAGCTTCTCGATAAAGAGCTGGTCTGCCGCAAACAAGACATCAATCGCAATGTCTAGACCAAAATCGGATCGCTCGGTATATAGGAAGGTCAAGATGGTTTCTAGAACTGCTGGCGAACAATCCAATTTTATGGTCTGCAAATATGGCGTGTGTTGTGCTTCCCGGAACTGCGAGCTGAACATGGTAAGGAAATATTCAGACCTTAGAAGCAGCGCACGGTGTGCTGGGTATATAGTCGACTTCCGAGTTTTTGGGTTTTCGGAAGGCGAGCGGGATTGTATAGGCCCAACAGGTATGCCGTTCAAAGGCCCGAGGGTATGTCGTACGGGCGGTGTGGATGACTCTGAAGGTCCAGCCGATATATCGGTCGCGTCTGAGTCGTATGCTGCCTCTTCGTCATCATCATCTGCTCTTAGAAGAACGTCCGCGAAGATGGAATTATCTCGATCCCAGTGGATGTTATCCGCCTTCTCTATATTGACCACCATCTTATGCTTGAGCACATTTTGTTGAAACCATGCTTCCAGCTGATCGCGCCCGCGATCTAGCTCTTCCGCTCGCTTTTGCCGCAGCAATCTTCGATCGGAGACCTCAGTTATATCCTCGAAAAGCCTCTCCATTTCCAATTGCCGCCCGATCTTGTCAATGCCATTGAGCACGACCAGCTCTTCCTCGTCACTCATACCAAAGGTCACTTTCCGCAGTGACACCTCCGAAAGATACAGATATTGCAGCGCAACTCCTAGCGAATCTGCAGGGATGTTGGGTGGCAATTTCCATGATGTTGTAGCCGGCGCCGCAGCTAGCTTCTTTGCAAAATACGGCGACCGCGCGGCCAGCAGGAACTTGTGCAACTGAAAACTCTGATCATATGTTGTAATCGTGATATCCGCTGTCGTCGGTGTCGGTCGCGTAAGGAGGGAGGTAATGTGCGCGGCGAGCGGCTGTAGAGGGTTCGTCGACTTTGCGTAATCGTATGAAAGTAGGAGATTGCGGATTCGATCGTTCAGCGCGTTATAGAGGCATCGCTCGCCTTGGAAGGTGTCTCGCTCGCACAGCGCGCCGTTCTCAAGTAGGAGCTGGATAACTTCGTAATGTCCGCAGAGACTAGCCTTGGAAGAGAGCGGTTAGTGTTTGAGATGTGGCCAAGGGTGGGATCGAGTCTAGCAGGAGGCTGCTTACCAGGATTAGAGGCGTGTAGTCGTGCCTGTCTCTTGCATTGATATTCACGCCTGCCTGAATCATTTCCTGGCACACCTTCAAATCGCCCCGCCGACATGCTTCGCAGAAGACGTGGAACCGCTCGCTGGTGTCGAGCGGGTTGTCCTCCTTCAGCCTCCCGGACGAGACGGCCTGCGCCTCGGTCGCCAGAGCAGCCTCAATCTCGTGCTTCCGCTTCACATCCATGGTGGCGACAACCGCAAAAAATGGTAACGTTGGAATGGAGGAAATATGCAGCGCAGACTCGAAGGACAACTTCGGAAGCGCAGTCGGGTGGCGGACCTCGGCGATAAGATTAGATTAGATCCGGGGGTGCGCTAGTGCTATCTAGTGCTAGCGCTGGTGCCCGTGCAGGGATGCCTGCGCAGCAACCCGCGGTTGCTGGGGAGCGACGGGCCTCGTAAACACGCAAACGAACGCAGGCCCTGCTTGGCCGACCACTCCCAGACTTACATCTCCCGCACCACTAACATCACAGCATCACAGCACCAGAATACTTTCGCTGCATGATATTTGCATCCATCTATCATCATGCCCGAGGACGAGAAATACGAAGTCCTTGAGAAGATCGGTACGCGCGCAGCATTCATTTCGTCCAAATTGTATACTGATGCAAGTATAGGACATGGCTCGTTCGGCATCATCCGCAAGGTCAAGCGCAAGACGGATGGCTATGTGAGTGCGCATCTTCTCAGTCGGATTCACGCTGGCTTACACCACGCACAGGTCCTCTGCCGGAAAGAGATCAGCTACTCGAAGATGTCGCAGAAAGAGCGCGAGCAGTTACAGGCCGAGCTCTCCATATTGAAAGAGCTGCACCACCCCAACATCGTCCGATACTTCGAGCGCGAGCACCTCAAGGCCTCTCAGGATTTACACTTGTATATGGAATACTGCGGGAACGGCGACCTCGGGCGCGTCATCCAGAATCTCAAGAGCAAGAACCAGCTGTGCGAGGAGGAGTTTGTCTGGAGTATCTTCACCCAGATAGCCAGCGCGCTATACCGGTGTCACTATGGAGAAGACCCGCCCGCTGCTGGCCGCAACGTGATGGGCTTGGGCGCGAATGCGAAGCCATCGCGCAATGGCAGGCCAATGATCCTGCACCGCGATCTGAAGCCTGAGAACAGTCAGTATTGTCCATACGCCCTGACCTATGTACAGCTAACCATGCAGTCTTCCTTGATCACGACAACAGTGTCAAGCTGGGCGACTTTGGCCTCTCCAAGATCCTCCAGTCGCACGACTTCGCATCCACCTACGTCGGTACTCCCTTCTACATGTCGCCCGAGATCTGCAAGGCGGAGCAGTATGGTCCACACTCTGATATCTGGGCGCTGGGCTGCATAATATACGAGATGTGCGCGAAGGCGCCGCCGTTCAACGCGAAGACACACTTCGAGCTCATCCAGAAAATCAAACTCGGACGATACCCCGCCATCCCGTCCTGCTATTCGCCAGACCTTAACAAGGTCATCGCCAGCTGTCTGCAGGTCTTCCCCGGCAACCGCCCGGACACTGCAGCCCTACTGAATCTGCCCGTCGTCAAGCTCATGCGCAAGGAGCAGGAGGTCGTCAAGCTGGGCCAGGAGCTAAAAGACAAGAGAGACGCTCTGATGCGCAAAGAGAAGGAACTTGATGACAAGTCCGCTCAAATGCGCAGAGAGATCGACGACCAGCTGCGTCGCGAGTGGGAAGTCAAAGCGCAGTTGGAGATTGAGCGACGAGTGAAGATGGAAGTCGATCGTCGAACGCAGGCCGAGTTCGACAGACTGCAGAACCAGTTCCAGCAGGCCGTCAATGATCATGTCCAGAAGGCACTCAAGAAGTATCCTGCTCGCCCTAGCACCTCACCCAAGCTCGCCCCTCGCTCAAGCACTCCAGTCATGCCTGCAGAGCCGGGTCTGCTGTTCCCGGCTGACGGCGACACCACCATCATCAACGCCTCGACGAGCACCCTGGGCACGAACTCCGACTTCGCCAGCGGAACAGATATCTCTTCCCTCTCCCTAGACGACTCCACAGAAGAGGTCACCATCACTACCAAGCCCGTACCGAAAAAGCGAACCCGCGCCCCTCTCGCGAGAGCACAGACTATGGCCGCTCCCGCCTCACATGCCCCACCCTCCCCAATGGACATCCAAATGGCCGATCCCTCACCAGCACCAGCGTCTCTCGCAAGTCTCTCTCTCTCACCGCGCCGCAACCAGCCTCGCCAGAACATCTTCGCCGCCGCCAAAGAAGGAGCGAAAAAGTGGGAGGGCGAAGTGCCTCCATCACCTACAGACGAAGACTGGAATGGTGACCTAGACGACGACGACCTTCCTGTTCTCCCCTCGCCCACTCGCGCTCGCAGCGCATCAGGCGGGCGCACCGGCAGCTCTGACCCTTTCAAGGTTCTCGCCACCGCAACCCGCCCCCTGAAGCCCAACCAGCGCCTCGCAAGCGCACCATCACTCGCACCCAGCCCTTCAAAACCGCGACCAGCCTCCGCAGTTCCCATCGTCGCCACTTCACCCAGCCGTCCGAAATCGAGAGCCCTGGAGAATACCAGCCCTGTCCGCAAGACGAAAACTGCAGAGCCCGTCGGCCTAAAGTCAAAAAAGGGCAACGAGCAGATCCGCATCCAGGCCATGCGTAACAACGGCATCCAGGGTCGGACACTCGTCGAGTTGCAGCAGGCAAGGGGCATTCCTGTGCAAGCGATGAGCGAGGACGAGGGGAAGAAAGGCATGCGAACCGGGTTCAGGAGTCCCGTGAAGGCTCGGAGCGCGGTCACCGTGGGCGAGGTGGCGATTTGGGATCCTGAGACGGAGCCTGAGATGCCGAGTCCATTCATTGTGCGATCGAAGAGGATGGTGAAATAAGTGGAATATTGGAATGAAGGATGAGGGATGATGATACCGCATGTTGGATATGACATGTAGGAAGCGATGCTTGGATACCATGCGGGATGAAGATAACCGGTTGGGTGGATATGATAACGAGAAAAAAAAAAGGGGGCGAGGACCTGGAAGGCCGCGAAGAAGAGCGGGCGCGGGAGCACGGCGTCGGCGGCGTCGAGGTGCGAAAGGTGCCTGGTCTGACCTGGCATGGCACGTCCTGTCTATTGATCTCTTCCCTTTGTCATCCCATCTTCTTTCTTTCTCATCATCACATTTTCAGCAACCATGCATTAGCATCTTTTGGCGATATTTGGCATAGGAAGTCTTTTCCTCAAGACGGCGTTGTTGGATAAGGATCGGAGGATCGGTTCAGTACATGTATTTTTACGTCATTGTTAAATGTGACTATCGCCTTCAATGGTGGCTTGTTCATGGCTATGCAATGTGAGCGGGTATAAGCACGCTATAGTGGAGCATGGCTTACCTACTCTATGCGGCACCCGGTCTGCGAACGCTAGGCGACTCGCAATTATGATTCGATTAGGGCTCCGATTTCTAGATCAACTGCTCTTGCAGAGCTCCTGATCATCCAGCAGCCCGAGGTGTCTGGCCTCCCAACGTGTTCAAAGCTCACGCGTTCCCGTTGAGCACCTTCTCCACGACGCCCCACCGCTCAATAGCCCTCTTCACCAACGCCTTCATGACCTCCCTGTCCACAACCCCTCCGCCACTCTTCTCTATCCTCCTCAACACCGCGTCTTTCGGCCCCTTCTTCCCCTTCGATCCACGACCCGCCGAACAATCAACAACCACGCAAACACTCTCCCGGCACACACTCTCCTCGAACGCGTCCGGATCACTCAGAACCCAATTTATTTCCTCCCCCTCTCCTTCTTCATCCCAGTCCCTCCTCCCCTCAAACACCGCAAACGTAGCCGGAATCGGCAGGCCGCGCAGCGTCAGACTCCGCGCATCCGCAGGATTATCCGAGCACAGTATCGTCTCTAGCTCTTCATCCCAGAACGCGTGCGGAATCCGTACATCCTTCAGCGCGGCGAGTGCGCTAAGCCACGCAGCGTCAAACGCATTCCCATCTATCGAGATGAAGAATATGTCGATGTAGAGGACCCAGTACGCTTTAACCTGCTTCTCGGGCTCTGCGTCGGGATCATCGGGGTCAATGGCGGGAGGAGCGTATTGGATAAGGAGATCGGCGAGGCGGAGTAAGTGCGTGGAGAGGAGGAGCGAGCGGATGCGCGTTATGAGCGTTTGGGCGGAGGTGGAGGGCGCCGAGCCGGGGATGTGCTGGGGCGTGCTTCCTGTGCTTAGTTCGACGTTTGGGACTAGGAGTCTCAGGTTCCCGATCTCCACGGTGTCTCTTTCTGGATCGTCGTCACCTTCGGCGGTGGGTGTGTAGTCCGAGCCCCCGCCCTGCGCATCCTCCGCTTTCAATATCTCGGCGCGGACGCCGCAGACTACACTTGTGTTGCCTAATCGCACGACCGCGGACCCATTGCAGTGCGTCAAGCTGCCCGTGTTCACGCCTGGAACACGGAATTCCTGCGCTGTGCGGCCGTTTGCGCGGAGGGGTGCTTTGGCTGGTGTGGACGCTGTGAGGTGCGCTTGCAGGAATGGGTGCGGGGAGACAGCGGCGAAGATTGATCTGGGGAACGAGAGAGCGGGTTTGGGTTGCGACTGGGTTGTCGTCGCCATTGCGGAGTAATAGGAGGCGGAGGCTTTGTTTGTTCAGTGGAGGGCGAGGTGGGATGTTGTTCGGAATTTTGGGGAGCTTTTGGAGCCGAAGCGTTAGGCTTTAAGCTTATTTTGGTGGGGCAGTGACGATCCTGGAATGTTTGACATCGACGATGAATTTTAAGACATCTCTCCCTTTCTAGCATGAGAATATCTAACGTGTACACTAATTTAAGAGTTTCAAGGAAATTGTGGCTCGCAGTGAAGAACGTAGATTACGATTAGCTATACTTATACTGAGTGTCAACACGAACACCATCGCAATGATCCTTCGAAGGGTATTTTATGAAGTAATCCGATCCCCCTACTCGACGTCCTAAATGCCCTATGCCGTCTGCCCACTGCTCAAGCCGGCCTTCCCACTCGCAACAATAGGCTGCGGCTTCCACTTCGTCTCCTTCTTGACCGGATCGCCCCTAACCTGGGCCTCCGCCAACTGGCCAATCAAATAATCTCTCCCCTTGATCGCCCATACCATGATACTCGGCACCGGCCTGCCAGCGAAAGCGCCAACGCCCTTCTGCGTGCCAATCGGACAGATCTGCTGCTCCTTCAAGTTCGGCGTGTAGTGCCGATCCGGCCCAGGCTCCTTGCCGGAGATGTGCGCGATGAGGTCGGTTTTGAGATTTGTCATCGCGACGGGAATCGCATCGTACATGTCTACGACGCCGCCGCGTGTGTAGGAGCCAACGTCGCCCATAACATAGACACGTGGGCCTGCGGATTCGTGCTCCACGCGCAGTGTCTTCGGGTTGCAGTCGACGCGGTTGCGGTTGTCGAGCCATTCTTTGGGAAGGAAGGAGGAGTTGGGGCGGACGCCGGTCGCGTCGATGTAAATGTCCGCTTCCATGGTCTTGCCGTCCGAAAGCTGGACTGCCGTCTTCGCGCCCTCGCCTTCGCCGGTTGTAGTGGTGGATACAACCTTCGTGTTGTAGACAACGTCGCAGCCAAGTCGCTTCAGGAACTTTTCTGCCTGCTTGGAGATTGATTCGCGGAGGAGCGGAAGCATTTTCTTATCGGCAGTCACGAGCGTGACCTGTGCTTTGGGGTTCTTCGGCGCTGCAGCCAGCCAGCCAGGCTTGCCGTTCAGGAACTCCGCAATCTCTCCCGCTGTCTCGACTCCGACTGGACCACCGCCGCCGATGACTACCGTCTTCGCATTCGGAAGCTGTTTCTGGAATGCATCGTACGTAGCTTCGAGGTCGGCAGCATTCGTCGTCTGCGTGAAGAGCGGCGATGGCGTTGAAATACCCGTAGCAATGATAAGCGCCAGATACGGGATTTGCTTCTGCTCGCCGGAAACCGTAGTAACCGACACCGTCTGTCCAGCCGGGTCCACATGTGTCGCCGTACCCTGGATGAACGTAAAATTGTCCTTCGCATACGCAAATGCCGGCTCGATTGGATAAAATAATTTGCTTGGCGGCATCAGCTTCTTCGACACGCAAGCGCGGGGTCCGGCAATCCTCCAGAAGAAGTCCTTCGACGGATTGACCATTGTAACTGTATATGTCGTCCCATCTTTCTTGGGGAGCTGAGGGATCGTGTGTTTGAGCGCATAGTGAGCGGCGTTGAGGCCAGCGAAGGAGCCGCCCAGGACGAGGATTGTTTCGGTGCTCATGGCGACGATAAAGAGAATGTCAGGGTATCAAAGAAAAGAGGGGAGGAAGAGAAGAAGAAACACGTCAGAAAATAATCGCAAGGCGAGACGCGCATCAAATAGAGTCCGACCCAGCAACGCGCCTCCCAATAGTGTGTCAAGCGCGTCAGGGGTTTTGGTGGGGATCCGAACGTTGGCGGCAGCGTTTGAATATCGAAACAAAATCGGGAAGCGAAGAACCTCCAAGTATCGGAAGAGAAAGGTGCTCCTGCCTCGTCTTATATATAAAAACTACATGGCCCCCTGCTGTGCCGCGAACACAAGGCACCAGGGGAGTGGTTGTGCTTAGGAATATGGCCGGAGGTGAGCGGAGCTGTTGGAGCTATAGCCAAATGTCATCAAAACTAGCCAATACAGGCTAGCTGGCACCCGAAACACCACCTTCGGCAGCTGTTCACATCCGATCCGACTTGATGACAAACTCATAATGGAACATCATCTCACCCATCATGTTATCGAGCTAGATTCGGTACCGTTTCTGTGTATCCCCAATTACGATTCGGTGGGCTTATATTCGTGCATTAGCGAGGCCGAGACCTGGAAGTTCCGCGATGTGCATTATCGCGGACACGATCCGCACCCCGGGGTTCACGCACACCACCAGATTCGATTACGAGTCTGTCATGAGTCACCATCTTACAGTGTAGCTGCATCGCATACGGTTTGGTCTGGATGTTGCGATGTCAGCTTGGGCAAGGAACTATGCCTAGTCCCCTTGACTGTTGTCTCCCAGCATCACGATTCGAGACCACATTCGAGATGGATGATTATGTGCTGGGACTTTTCCATTTCCATATCTTTTCAAGATAAACGCCAGCCCGGTCCGCATGCCACATGAGATCCGCCGCGACCGCCAACTGAAAGAGATTGAACGGGAGTATGTAGCGTCCGCAGTTCTCCGTATCGAAATGCACGTTGTAGGCCACCCATAAAGCTATCCCGCTATGGCGCTACAGATATAGCCTCCTCGGTGATGAGGAACTTACTCAACCTCGGCTTTCGACTCGAAATTCTCGCCCGCGACGAGATCCGGGATATCGTCGTCATCGTCATCGTCCTTCTTGTCCTCATCACCCTTCTCCTTCTGCATGCTCTGGAAATTCTCGGCGAGCTTGCGCAGCGACGCCAGCGAGTCGGGGCCGAGTTGGTTGAGGATGCCGGGAACGAGCTCGGTCAGCTCCTTGTCCTCACCGTTGCCGTAGATAGCGAAGGTATTGGCGGGTACGGAGGCGTGAACTGCAGTCGAAAGTCAGTATGCGGGAAGCCGATGCATAGTATTCGTGACTACGCCATTGACTCGAGAATCGAGTTGCTTGTGTAACGCAAGGGCGTTGAATGCCACTATGCCGCGGGAAGCCAACGTACCCTTAGGTGCCGAGAAGTGAATAACGTTCCCGTCGCTCTTGAACATGTTCACCTCCTCAATGGCCTGGATGGGCTGTACATTGAGCTTCTTGAGGGCCGTCTGCAGCTTCTTGTCGTCGGTACCGGCGCTCTTGTGGACCTTCTTGACTTTTCTGCGGGGCGTGCCTTTGCCTCTAAATCACGCCGTTAGCCATATCCTTCAACCATTATATAGAGTGCTCGGTATCGTGCTAGCGGTAGCTCGAACCTGTGCAGCGTACGAATGTTCTTCCGGGTGGGGGAATGCGCATCTAAAGCGGTAGTGGAGAATAGGTCTGCTTACCCTGTTATTGCACGTTAGCTTAACTATACCAGCAAACGAGCAATGTGAGCCACTCGACAGGAGGCAGAGGGCACATGCACAGGCGAGAGAGCTTACCAATGCGTACCGACGCTTGCATGCGCGCCAGCTTTGCTTGATCCATATTTGCGGTGGAGAGAGGTGTGAGGCTAGAGGAGCTGCGGTCGGGGGCTGGGTTAGAAATTAATGGAAGGCGCTTTGGCACTTTTGGGAGACTCAGAAGAAGATGGAGCTATGTACGCACCTAAATTGAGGCCGGTGGGTGAGCGCTCAGACGTAGTGTTGGTGATGGAGTCGAAGTGCGTCTGGTCGGAGAAAGTGCGCCAAGGCTCCGTGGTGTGTGCCTCGCTTGCGAAATCCCAGCGCCAGCGGACGGAAACGCTGAATGCACTCCACGAAGGCTTCAATTGCGTACAAGCTTAACTTGGTCCTCTCGGTGCACCTCCTGTATTCGTTTGTGCCTTTCATACGATAGTTCCCTCCAGAAAGGGCAATTGCATTCAGCCACTCAAATTGACCAATCACATTGATTAAGGATGACCTCAAGCTAAGCTAAGCTCGCTGAGCAGTGTGAGGCACTTCGAACAAAACAAACTGGTATCAATTCGTCGAAATACATATACAGGCCATTGGCTTTTCCAGAACCATTTTACAGCAGAGCGAGACCCGCCGCACCAGCAGCACCCAGCATCCAAGACACAGCCGTCGCATGAGCGGCAGCGCCCGGAGTCGAAGACCCGGTTGCAGCTGCTCCAGTGCCGCTCGGGGTCGCGCTTCCAGTAGTACTAGAGGTTCCGTTGGGGTTGCCTGAGATGTCTGTCTGCGTAACCTCGACGCCGGTGCTGTTCTGGCAGTGGCTGTCATAGTCAGACTGAGAGAGGGCGGTATCGGTCAGAGTGACATCGGCACACTGGGCCATCGTCAGCGATCCTATCCCCAACAATTAAATGTGCATCTCAGCTTACCTGGTAAAGACCGCCATCTGGGTCACCGTTCGAGACGACCTGGATCGTAGCATTCGTGCCAGCCGTGATGTTCATGCCCTCTGGAATGCTGACCATTCCAATGCAGAAGTTGTTCGGGCCTTGCTCAGCGAACTGATTGCGCAAGACGATGCTGAAGCTGCCGGGGTTGTCTCCGAGCGCCATGTAGACAGCGACATTGGTCTGCGTGTGGTGCATTTCCAATTGGATCGGTCCGCCGCTCATAGGGAACTCCGTCCGCGGGGTCTTGACCGAGTCGAAGCCACCGCAGGGGAAGTTGGGAGCATTTGCATCATCGAAGCCGCGCCCTGTGGGCCAGTTGAGGACGAAGTGGGCTGTCGCGAGGGGGAGGAGAGCAAAGAGCGAGAGTGCCTTGGAGAGCATCTTGGGGAATGTATGAAGGAGTTGATGCTGGTAGGAGGACTGTTCTAGTGGAGAAGCTCTAAAGATTCCAAGTGTAGGAATTGGGGGTGACTGAGCTCAAGAAAGCACGACAGCTGGGCACAGTACCTAACTTATTGACCAGCAGGAGCTCCTCGCGTGCCGTACATTCCGTCAAGCACCCCGCGTGGCGCTCGCGTCAAGCCATTTTGAGCTTGTATCAGCATCTAGGCAGTTGCGGGCAGGTACACCAACAGCAGACGTGGTAGTCTAGTCAAAGCACGCCCGAGGTCAAAGTCGCATCCTTGCCGGCTCCATAGCCAGTAGGGCTCTGAATTCCTCCAGGGAAACGTATTCCAATTGGCAGTCCTGGGGCTATCTCGGATCTGAGACGAACCGCCAACGCCAGAGCAGCAAGGTTGGTCTCAATATGCAAGCGGCCAGACCTGAGAGCAATATTGAGCACATATTCCAGCGCCGTGGTGCATGGTGGCGTTGATCTGCAGGGTATGAACAAGGTTGTTTTTACGCTAGCGCTTTCACGTCAGACCCACAAGAGTGAGTTCCCTCGGGCATCAGACTGTGCATCTACCAATCTCAAGATCATGTATGGGAATTGGGAGGATGCTCTTGGGACTTTGAACAGTCAAGCTTTGCCTAACGGCTGTGGCAGACAGATCTTTCTTGGTATTACATATGCAGCCGGATGAGAGGCTGAACCCTGCAGCTACTCTAATCGATCCATTACCGGCCTTTGAAAGACTCCCAAAAAAATACGCTAAGGTCTTGAGCTATAAAGTCACCATAATGCCCTTCATCCGATATCTCCTGAATTAGTGGATCGCTGATTGCACTTGATTGAAGCGGCCGAATGCCAATTCTCCGACAAAGGTGCCCGCCAGGATAGAAAGGAAATAGCCGACGTTGTAGGTCATGACTGCCAGCATGCTACACGAGGATTAGCCCATTTCATCGGACGTGGGACGGTTGGTGGCTTACAGAAGGTATCCCACACCAGCAACAGCCGTCATGATAGCCGCTCGGGGAAGGTCGACGCTGAATCTCCACGGCGCTATGACATGGACAGGTGCTTCGACCACCCGCACGTTCTCTTGCACTCCGTTCGCAGTAAGAATACCAGTTGCTGAACCAGAATCATTGAAAGCCTTCTCATGGGGCGTCTGCTGGTCGGCCACGACGACGTATCTCCGCTTGAGGGCTGATTTGATGGCCCTGGCCTCGAGGTAGGATTTGGCGGTAAAGAGCGACCGGAGTATGATGGCGAGAATGATGAGGAAGATGCAGGTTCCAGCGTAGGCGCCAGCGCTCGATGGTGTCCAAGACGTGGAGTAGAGGGGTGTGTTGGTCGCCGTGAAGAAAGCCATGTGCATCGTCATGGACGTGGAGTCCATGCTGCTCATATCCATGCCCTCCATGTCCATGGTCACGTCGTGACCTTCGTGGGCAACCATTGTCGACGATGAAGATGACAGGCGTTCGGGGTGGATTAGGTGGGCTGGAGGTATCCAAGGGTAGTTATTCCGGGGTTAGGCGTGAGTACCAGACTGCCGTCCGAAGATGACGGGCGCGCTGTATATGAGCTTTTGGGACGAGCACGACTTGGCGCCTTGGTACAAATCAGACGGCGTCTTAGCATTAACGCATTGGCGAGCCGTCTTAAGAGGTGCGCAGGTTTGCGGGCAACCGAGCGCTATTGCGGAGGATTTCGCGACAGTCAAGAAAGGACCAAGAACAAGGTGAAGCACGGAATGTAGGGGAGTGTAAATGGGCTTTCCAGGCACTCACCCTTGCGGCAGAGCGTCAGCAAAGCGATGAGATGACCTGGCCGCAGCCGGGGCCGGCCTGCAAGAAAGGATTCTTTTGTCAGGCATCGCGGTGTCGTGGTAAGGAGTGGGGAGGCAAAAGCCCGAATGAAGCCTAGGAAGGTGCAGGTGAGCACGTTTCGATTGGCAGGTGCGACCCTGGCCGCACTAACAACGCCGCTCCCGAAAACATGCTCAACCTCCCCACAAAGCCGCTCTGGCGCTCGACGAACGCGCCCCGAGAATCGAGATACTGTACGCAGATTACCAGGCCTGTGGCTACCGGCATGTGCGCGGCCAAGGATGCAACTTCGATGGCACCGGTGGTGAGCGCATTCCTCTTACACCAGCGCCCTCCACGTCCGTCTCTCCATGGATCGGACGGCAACGTCACTGCACCTCGTGCCGAACAATCTGCGCAGAAAAGCACAGTGCATCGGCCAGTCCCGTTGATGCAGTACGTTGCTACATGGCCGCCATCTCAGACGTCGCCATAACACACCATTGCACCACGGGCAGCTAGCCACCGGCACACTCACCAACCAAACCCTCGGCGAGAGCGCACCTCCGACACCATGGATATGGCGATGGGCTCCATGAGCATGGGCGGAATGCCCGCGCTCATTGAATTCCCGAAATTTTACTGGGCAGTAGTTGGAACTGCAATCGGAGTCGCGACCCTCGTGAACATTTACAACCATGTCTTGTACAGGCAGAGGTATGCAGAATCGTTCGTGTTTGGGAATACCTGCTAACATCTTCAGGATGTCTGCTGCAAGAGCAGGATCGCCAAAGCCGGCAAAACCAACGTCGTGGTTCTTTATATGGAATGCGACGGTGTTTGCAATTATGCGAGAAGCATCCAATTATTCCCCACGGATACCCATCAAAGACAGAATCTTTCGAGTGCCTACTGTCGGCCGCACGAGCTTGATATTGGCCAACCTAGTTACCATAATCGTATTATGTTTCTATGGCTTTGACCTGAGCGACAGGTGGTCAAGAGAAGACATCGGATACCGCGTCGGATTCGTTGCCATCGCCCAGTTTCCCCTCATCTTCTTGCTCGCCGGAAAGAACAACATCATCGGACTTCTTACCGGCATCAGCCACGAACGTCTCAACTGGCTCCACCGATGGTGCGCCAGATGCCTGCTGTTTACCGTAACAATACACATGGGGTACTTCTTTGCGGATTGGGCACCTTACAACTACATTGGAACCCAGCTGAAGGTAAACACACTCGCCTGGAAGGGCCTGGCTGCATGGGCGATACTCGTCTGGATCGTCTTCAGCTCCATGACGCCGATCCGAGGCTGGTGCTACGAATTCTTCGTTCTGCAACATCTGGTCTCTTTCGCGGCCCTGACCGGTTTCGTTTATATCCACACCCCAGCCGAGGTTCATGTCTATGTTTGGATACCTGTCGGACTCTTTTGGTTTGATCGCGTCGTACGAGTTTTGAGAATGCTGTACGCCAATGTCTCCTTCTTTCATCCCAAACAGAGTAAGGATGGCCAGATGTCCGGCTTCTGGACATGCAAAGCCAAATTTACGCCTTTGCCACATAATACGACCCGAGTCGTAATCCAGAATCCCCCGATCAGTTGGACACCCGGACAACACGTGTTCCTGTCGTGCCATTCGATCGTTCCTCTGCAGAGCCACCCATTTACCATTGCTTCGATCCCAGAAGACGGGAAGATGGAATTCTTGGTCAAGGCTGAAACAGGTGGGACCAGACGCTTCTTCAAACACGCCAAGAAAACACACGGCCTCCCCACAACACCAGGGAGAGCATGCACTAAAGCAGTGGCAATCGAAGGCCCGTATGGATGTTTGAGACCTCTGCGCCAGTTCGATAGCGTTGTTTTACTCGCGGGTAGCACCGGCGCTACTTTTACCGTTCCGTTGCTTCGGGACATTCTGCAAGGCTGGAAGGAAAACAGGAATCCAGGACGAAACACGTCTTCGCTCTTCAGACCGCACATTGGCGCGGTCACCCGTCACGTGCGTTTCGCATGGGTTGTCAAGAGCCGGGGGCAGCTGGGTTGGTTCTCTGAGCAACTCTCCTCCGTTTTTTCGGACTTCGAGACTCTGCAAGAGAAGCTGAAAGATGTCAAGCTCGAGCTTACTGTTTACGTTACCTGCGACGAGGCGTTCACTGACGAACATAAGACACTCCTTTCAAGCATCACAGCTCCAAACCTCGACACCGAGCCGAAGAAACCCCAGGAAATGCAGCACGGGGCGATCGAACTTCGCAGCCGGCCTCAATCCCTAGAAGAGAAGACCAAGGTGGAAGAGACACGAGAAGAAGTTACAGAGGTGGGATCGGGCTCTCCGTCGCCGAGCACAATCGCAGGAGCATGCGGTCCAGATGGAACTTGCTGTTGTAAGAATACTGTTGACGAGACGTCACCCGATGCCATCTCTCCGTGTTGCTGCAGCAAGCCCAATAGAGCGTCAAACCCGTCAACCCGACCTATCTCTGGCATATCATCAACACCATCTAGTACCCAGCCAAAGACCCTCATCCATCCCTCTATATCGGTCTTCTCTGGCCGGCCGATCCCGAAAGACATCATCCGGAAGTCGCTGGAGCAAGCCTTGGGCGAATCGGCGGTCGTAGTGTGCGGGCCGCAGGGTCTAGTAGCAGACGTGAAGCAAGATGTCTGCTCACTAAGCGATGAGCGCGCGGTGCACAAGGGCACCGGAGCACAGGGCATATATCTCCACACGGAGAGTTTTGGGTATTGAGCTCGCGGGCTCGGATTGGATTCTAGTTTATCCAACATTCTGGGCCAGTGTATTTCCATCAATCGTGCTCATGAGGCGTGCAGGAGTACGTAACTGGCAGTGGGCGTTTCCTTTCGCCAAGGACCTGAGCGTTCCGGCCTTTTCACTTGCGTCTAATATGACCTTGTCCGTGGTGCATCATTCACTGTTTGCTTACATAAAGCGCTTGCCCGTTTGCTCCCTTAACTTTTGTTTCTCTCTACTTTAACTTGCACAACGCCCGCCGACCTCTCATCCTGCCTACGAACCGAGCGATCCTTTCAAGCATGGCTGAACCGAGCAATCACGACGGCAACGTGGTGCTGGTTCTTGATGATGGGAACACGGCGGCGGATGCGAGGGAAATACGTGTGCAGGAGGGAGAGTGGGCCGCGGAGGCCGCGCAGCAAGTGCGTAAGATGAGTGCCAATGGAGATGTTAGAGGGATCAGTAAGCGCGCCTTTTTCGTCTCGCCGTTTGGGACAGGATACACTAACATGGGTATGAAGGTGCAAAGAACGGGGCCGCAGTGCTCCCTCAAAACGTTCAAGGCGTCAGTCTCACCCAGACCAGCTCTCGCGCAAGCAACAGCTTAGTCGGCGTCGCTCACGACCAACTGCCCGCTGACGGCGACAGCGACTACTTTATCACGGAAATCGACGACCGCCTGTCGTACCGTCAAGGCTGGCCACTCCTGCCCGTCCTCCCAGTCCGCACGTCTCATGGAAATGTTCCTAAAATTTACGCCCCGTCCCACCCACACCGCGTCGAGTTCCGCAAGATCCTCGCAGCTCACAACGTTACAGTCCAGCAGCTCGAAATCGCGCACCGCTTCAACGACGGCAAGGCTATCAATAGGTCTACGCTCACGCTTTGCGTCCTGTCCGACTCAAAAGAGAGCTTCAAGTGGGCAGATGCAATCCAGGGTCTTCGGAGCTACATTCAAGAAAAGGACCTGACCCTCGCCATCGAACTCATCGACCACCGCATCTTCCGCGGCCTCTACACGCTGCCCATCGTGAGCACCGACGTCTTTCGCGACCCCAGCCACAAGGCCAGCGACCTACCACCACACTCCCTCCAGTCTCTCATTAAGAAGCACAAGCACGGCATCGTTAAGATGCTGGATGAGAGTGGGTCGCCATGGACGAGCTTAGAGTTCTGGTGGCGAGGACTGGGCAGGACGAGGGAGGATTGCACGCCGACGGTGCTGATTGGGACGCCGGTGCCGCAGAAGAAGATATGGTGGGAGCAGGTGATTCCGGAGGTGAAGCGGAAGATGGGTGCGAAGGCGGAGAAGGAGTGGGTGGTTGAGATCTGTTGGAGGGAGGTGGCTAAGGTGCAGAGGGAGCCTTGAGAGGCGGATGCAGAGAGAGACGTCGGCGGTGATTTTACTCGGCCGATGTAAGGGTATGAGAGGATCTGTTGACGTACGGATATTTCTGGCCCGGCGTAGAATGGATGGATGAGCCGAGAGAATGGTCTCGTTGTACTACGAGACGCTCCTCGCGTTTGCAGCGCTTGATGAGCAAGCATATGTAGTCTGAATGCCAAGATTACGATATTCTGGATTGCCTTCAAATGAATATTCTGCGACTGTTGGAACGTGAAGAGCGATCCTAGACAATGGACATGGTATCCACATGTGTTCATTCCCCATACTGTTACATACTTATAGAGTCCTTTTCCCGTATCATTACCAGATAGCCACCCATAGCCTGCCCATACATGCCGTCTCATGAAAAGAGTGCTCCTCACAGCCTTCCTCCTGCATCCCCCACCCCTCCCCTACGATGAACCTATTTATTCAGCTCCTCAGCACGCTTCTTCAACTCCTCTTTGCTCGCCTTCTCCGGCATGTTCTCCGGCATGACGGGTCCCTATCGCCCATTAGCCTTCCGCCTCCTCTATTCCATGTATAAAGCCAGAGCCGCACGTACCGGGTTCGCTTTATGTGCCATGGCGCCGATGGAGCCGCCCGACGAAGCTCCAGTGTCCTCCTGGTGGAGCGGGTGTGAAGATGCGGTAGAGTCTTTTGAGTCCTTGGCTACCTGGTCGGTGATGTCTGTCGAAGTGCCTTCGTTAGCCAGCCGTCAACTGCACGATGTCGATGCGGAGGAACTACTGTCCAAGTAACGCAGCGGAAAAGTCACGACGGGGCGGGCACCTACTGCCAGAGGCATGCTCCTCAGCCGGATGGACAGGCATATTTGCTGGTTTCTTCCTCAGATATCCGCCTTTGCGTAGAAACGCCCGTCGAATCTCTTCGGGGCTGGGGAAGTCTTTTGGATTGCTGCGGAGGTGCAGGGCTTCAAGGTCTTCGGAAGGCGCGTCGGCGTCGGTGGAGGGTTTGCCGATGTGCTGTGTGAAATTGGGCTTTTGGGCGTAGTAGTCGTGTATGAGGGAAGTGATTGAGGGTTTGGAGACGGAGTCTGACATAGTTATATAGGATGGCCGCGCGGGCAGGCAGGAGGAACGTGATCGGATGACGTAGTTGAGATTGGTTTGGTGCTCAGGTGGTGGTGGGGTTGTGCCAAGGCTGGTGCGGGGCAGGAGAGTCACGTGGCTTATAATTCACCTTGTGTCTAGACGTCGGGACCCGAAGCTGGAGAGGTCCGGTGCGCTATCGTATCTTTCAATCTTCTGGGAACCTTTCCTGGATGGCCACGAGAAGATGGAAAGTAAGAGAGAAATAATTGAGGAGAAATAATTCCCGAATCGCAGTGTTACCATGTCATATTTTGTGTTCTGTGCGCTTGGGACGCTATTCAAGTTTACCTCCGCGCTATGGCAGCACACAGCATCTGCAATTGCTACGACAGTTCTTGAAGCTTCAGCGGTCTCTATCGTCCGCGGGAGTGTCGGAACCGTCGCAACTGTTTTGGCTTGGTTTGTTGTTGGATTATGGATCCTAGCGTTTGTAATGCTACTCATTGTTGGATATGCTGACCAGCAATAATTAGTTGCTAGACGGAAAGGGGGTGGACAGGAAGCATACTTCGGTCTCGTGAGGAGAGGTCATAGCCGGCAGGATGATGCTGACCCGCTCGAGGATGAGCCGTCGTGGTATCCACGGTGCAGGCTTGTTGCGCTCTCCGCCACTAAAGAGGGTTAATCCGTAGGAGCAAGGGCGCTCTTCTGCTATACAGTCAACGTTGGTGCCCTGTCCAATGCCATCCAGCGGGATATTGACGGTGACGATTGTAGTTCGTGATGCTTGGGCTGAGCAGACGTCTTCGGCGGGGACTTCCGCTCGTTATCCGCTAGTCCTGATGGGCATAGCGCGTTTTGTCTCTCCAAATTTCGTGCCCGCTGCAAAGTCTAGACAACAAATCACCTCACGATACGCGCACATAGACATCGCCAACGCATTCAGCCACCTTTGAAACCTGAATGGGAATCGTGCTTTGGATCATCCCACATGTTTTGCTCTTCTAGCCCCCGCCGGAAGCCAAGGACTTTGCCGCACGGCTGAAGAGCTAACCTCACAGCCTACTATCACCGCTTTCCTCTCCCCAGATAATGCTTGGGGGCTTTTCTGCGTTCACTCCCCGCCAAGTTATTCATTCAAATCTTGTTCCCTTGTCATCTCTGACTATTCCGTCTATATTATTTCGTGCTACTTACTCGTCTAAGAATCCAGGTTCTGTCATCGTGATTATCTCATTCAGCCCTCGCTAACGGCTTGCATGGTGGCTTATAGAAGGCGACGCCAAACACACAAGGCTGGGTCGACATCGCCTCACCTGCTGGCGAGACTCGCGATAGAGGCATCGGTGATTGGAGCCAAGGCGAAATACAAGCCGCTGTTGGGCGGCCTGAGTAACACCTGGAGACTTGGCCGGGCGTCTGATGACGGAGCTTTATTAACCTTCATGCCCTCTCAAGTAGTCTCAGCCAGCCTTCATGGCATCCTGTCTTCCCATATTCAGCAAGCATAATGTTTAGTCTCATTACATTCCTCCTCGTCTCGTCAGTGTCACTATCCATCGCGCAAAGAGACCCGCTCAAGGAGTTCTGTCGCATTCACGGCCACCAAACTTCAATTGTCGATCGCAGGCTGTACATCGATGGAGGTCTCGTCAACTGGTCGCCTCTCTCAGCCGAGTCCATCAACTATACTAGTGAGTCTGTCAAAGGCCAGGTCATGTTTCATTCACGCTAACGCATCGCTTCCAGGTACATGGCTGAGATATGGCGACCTCGACGTAGACAATGAAGGCTTTCCCCAGAACTACCTCCTAGCGAAGAACGAATCCGTCCCTTCTGTCCACGGCGGGGTGCTATGGCCGGACGCTTCCAATAAGATTGTCTATCTATACGGCGGCGATTATGGCAATGACAAGCCTGAAGACTTCAGGCTATGGTACTATGATATCGTTTACGATAGCTGGAACATGTCCAATGCGAGTACAACGGATATACGGCGGGCTGCTTGGGGTATGTTTTCCTCCAGTCACGGACGGGTGACTGCTAATGATGGAAGGTGGCGGAGTCGCCGTGCAAGATTACGGGAGGGGTTATTACTATGGCGGCTGGCTGACGAATGCGTCTGTTCCCGGGTACCAACCACGTACAGCTTTAAAGAACATGCTTGTCTATGATATGGTTGCGAATACATTCAGGAACCAAAGCGGCCCGGACGACATTCCACGAGCAGAAGGAGTGATGATATACCTACCCGTTGGAGATGGCGGTTTTCTAGTGTACTTCGGAGGGATCCAATTTCCTTATGGAAATGACACGACAGCAGCAGTGAGTTTTCAGTTCTCAAACCCGCTTTCAGATGAGCTAATAGGTCCAGCTTCCAATGACTGTAGGTTTCATGCAAGCTGGTCAAGTATCGTTGCTCAAGCCTCTCACAGGACATCTTTCTTTTCGACATCGCCAACGACAATTGGTACAAGCAGACTGCAAGCGGCACAGAAATTCCCGGGGACCGGCGAAGATTCTGCGCTGGGGCTGCGTGGGCCGATGATCGCTCATCTTACAATATGTTTGTAAGCCCGTCGTACCAAGGAAACTCCCCACTGACATTGTTATCAGCTATCTCTACGGCGGCGCGTCGGTAGGAGATGGTGTTGGTTATGGAGACGTTTGGATTTTGAGTCTCCCGTCTTTCACGTGGATCAAGGTGAGTCGCTACCCCGGGTCCGAACGAGCAAATGCCTGTGGAAGAAGCTAAACGGGAAATCAGTTCTATCCGACAGAGGCAGACGGTTTCGGTGACCCTTATCCTCATCACTCACTCACGTGCGACGTTATCGAAAACTCACAAATGATCATCATGGGAGGATCCTTTCCGAATCACACCGATAACTGCGACGTTCCCTCTATCTACGGCCAACATGGTCTGGATCTCGGCAAGGCGAACTCTGAAGGAGCGAAATGGGCCAAATTCGACCCTAACGTTACGATGTACAATGTTCCGACAGAGATCGCCCAGTCGATAGGGGGCGGAGCGTCAGGCGGGGCAACTGTGCTCGCTCCAACCGGCGGCTGGGCGCACAGAGACTTGCAGGCAGAGTTCGAACGGCCTTATACGCCGACAACCAGGACGCCGACGCGACACATCCCCACCCCGACCGCTGCTACATCCTCCGCCGCAGCCGGGGCTGGGGGCTCGAATAAGAAGACTATCATTGCTGGCGCCGTGGGAGGAGTCGTGGGAGGCTTACTGTTGGTTGTCGCGGTGGCCGTCATCTGCTTGTGTGTTCGCCGCCGTCGGAGGGCCAATGACAATGACAGGCGTCCTCCATCAGAGCTCCCTTCACAACCTATCTCCAACATGGCCGGCCCTCCGGTGTCGACTCAACATGACTCCTATCTCTCGCCAAGCGTTACTGCGTACTCACATACGCCTCAAGGCTCGCCGAAACCCCCGTCAGACCCAGCGTGGTCACAATATGGTCCCGCAACGCCTGAGTACCCTCGCTCTCCTGGCATCCCCGATAAGAGCGGCGTAGTCCACGCGCATCATCGCAGTCTAAGCGATCAGAGCTACAACCACTCTTTGCAATCATCTCCTGTCGGGTATCATGATCAGCCATCCCGTTCACCAGTCGGCCTGGCACAGGAGCTGCCTAATGTGAGGTCTCCACCGGCGCAGGAGATGCCGAATGTAAGATCGCCATTGAGTGTCGGCATCCAGCCGAAGCCGCAAGCGGCCAATATTATGGGGGTAGATCCGTATTACGCTCAACATCCGCCCAGAGGAGCTGGAACTTAGGGGATGCCCCAGCCCGGTTAATGAAAGCTTTTCTTACATAATGCGGTACGCTTTTGATGCATCTGGGTTACTTGTAGTTTGATAAGGGAATTGGATTATTCTCACCTCCAATGCGTCCCTCCAACCTGGCGCCTCTTTTCTACCATACCAACTTGTTGTAGCTTCGATCTCAGGCGGAGTTGGCGTAGGTTCGGTACCTTTCATCAGTTCGACTAGTCTCCGCATGCTTCAGCTCCGTTCGTCATCGTCATCGTCATCCTCCTCCCACAGCTCCAATGGCCGATGTCCTCCGCCGTCTCAAGCTCATCCACCCCACCCCCGACGAACGCATCATCCATCCGCGACCCCGACAAGACGCCCACCTTCCAACTCCCAAAATCCCTCAACACCTCGCACTGCTCCTCATCCTCCTTCGGCATCTCCCATCCCAATTCCTCCAAGCAAGCCTCCGAAGCCATCCTCTCAATTTCCAGCACCAAATCATATAGCCCCTCCCACAGCTCTGCGCCAACCTGCTCAAGCGCCCCACCATCGAAGGCCACCATACGCGTCACATTGCCTGGGGAAATTTCGATTTCGTACTCACCGATAGTCAATTTTGCTGCTGTGAAGGCGGCGTCGAGATCTGTAAGAACCGATTTCTTGACAGTCGAATATTCCGAGAGGAGGCGACGGACCTGGGTTAGTGCCACCGCGCAAAGCTTTTTCAAGAGCTGCGTGTCCCATCCTTTCTCTTCCAAGCCGGGAAATGCATATTTCGGTGCTTGTCCATCGGAAAGGCACTTCTGAACCGCATCCACCCGCTCAGAAACCTTCTCAATCTTGTCATTGGCCTCCTTGTACCTCCGATTCAGCGCCTCGAGGGCTTTCGCTCGTCGACAGCCTTCCTTGCATGCTTTGGGTAGTGAGACGCATTCTTCGATCGAGACAACGGCGCGGCAGAAGTCCGGAGGGAGATCCACGGGCGTGGCTTTGAAGCGGAACGCGGTGGGACAGGCGGTGACGATGCTGTATTGTTTGTGCCCGCAGGAAAAGCTGAGCTCTTTGAGGTTGCACATCTGGCTTCGTTGGGCTTGCGGTAATCTGAGGTTGGATTGTGTTGCGATGAGAAGTTTTGCGTCTCGGAGTATAAGTGCCGGTACAAATGGGTTTTTGCTCTCACTAGAGAGCGGTGAGTAAAGGGCCTGGGCGGTGTGTTGCAAAATGTGAAATATAAACACATGCGTCTTGTGGTGAATGACAGTTTCTACCGAAATGACGTTGCTCGTCGATTTTCAACCTCTTCTCACAATTTCGGGCGCATTCCACCATCTCCTCCGCATACAACGTGTCGCATGCACTCACGTCACGTCTTTCCACCCCCTTCAACCATCTCTTGTTTCAACAACAAAAACCCGGTTCTATATAAACCAACCGCCACCATGTGCCAGCTTCAAGAAGTCAAGTACTCCTGCGGCCACGTCCGCAAGACACTCCTACAAGCCTGCGCCACCGCCAAACGTCTCGGCCCCACTCCTCGCTCACGCGCGCCTAGCTACTGCGTAAACGGGCTCGAGGTCATCCAAGGTGTCAAGGCCGAAGGAAGCTGCGGCCGCGGGGCGAACGGGTACACGTGCTACGAGAACCAGGCTCTGGCGCCGCTTCGTCAGCGGATTGGCGCTATCGAGAGGGAGCTTGCTAGGCTGTCCGACCGGGTTGCTAATGTGCACCGTGTTCTAGAGTCGGAGATTCGGCCGGTATATGATTGGGAGCGAGTGGCGCGGACTGGATATGATGTCGAGGAGATGAAGCAACGCCAGGTCACGCTCCTTACGGAGATTCTTCCCGAGAGGCTGGCATATTGGCGGGCGATCGTCACCCACGTCTCGAAGCAGATCACGGCAGCCACCAACATGACCTTCAAGACGCTGCTGGAGAAGATCGGCAGTCGTGTCGATAACATCCCCGTTTCCAAGCTCGACTTGGAGCTCTGGGACGAGTGGATATCCTACGACGATAATGGTGACCCGATAGATATTCAGCCTGAATTCGCTGTTCTGGAGCAGGTTTGGGAGCGGATGCACGGGCTTGCGAATGAGGAGGCGAAGATGATCGAGGATGTGGCGGCGACGTGCTGCCTGGAGGCTATTGGATGGAACCCGCCACAGCTAGAGGACGAGGGCGAGAGGAGCCTCTTGTATATTGCGTTGACTAGTCGGATTGTCCACCCTGTTCGCGAGACTGAAGCGCAGGCTACCCCGCTGTAGGATCATGACGGCGCTTGCTCCAGCTCTCGAAGTACGCCAGGCTCCCAGTTGCCGACACGATAACTTGCGAATGGTTCCTCAAAACCACCAATGTCAGTGCATGAGATAGTAAAAAAAAAAAAAAAGCCTGAAAAGTGCCAACATTGTGTAAGACGACTCCTCTATTCTCTTCCCATATGGGTCCGGAAACGCTACGTGAATGTTTCAACCCACGGCATCTTAACAGTGAGCTAACTGCCTCCAATATGAGACATTGTGCACATACCTTGACTCTGAAGCCTCGACACTCAGCGCATTCTGCAGAAATATAAATTTTTAAATTCCCCGCCCCTGAGATCCATAGCAACGCAGACTGCCTCCCTTAGGATGTGCAACCTATTCGTTACCCACTACGCCTGCAGCCACAAGAAGCGTGTGCTCATCGGTCACCCCTGCCCTGTAGCCCAATTCTCTCACGTCGATGACGACCCAGTGCCCATCTCTTGTGCAGTGGGCTTTCCTATCCAGGAAATTAACTCTTCCTGCAACCACCATCGTACCAACTTCTTGCTTACGTGCCATGAGCAGCAAGGACTGGATTACCGTCAGCTCCGCATCATTGAAATCTGCGAACCTCGCGCCGAGGAGGCATATTTGCGCTGGGGTGAGGCGACGCGGCGTATTGCCCGCTCCCAAAGAGTGCTCACGGGTAAAGTTCCACATCTTCAAGATACCGATTGCAGTGGCATGGCGTGGCGGGGAGAATCGTTGGGCGCATATCCAGACATTGAAACTATGGCTGCTGCGGCTTGGAATGCTACTCTCCACGCGCACCAAAGCCTAAAGCTCGCTCGCTCGTATTGTGCGAAGCGTATTGTGGCTGGCTTTCACGATATTAAACCCTGGAATGAAGGGGTGGCCGTTTGTGTAGCCGCCGATTGCCGGTCTCGAATCGAGGATTGGCTTGGTCAAGGTGGACCCCAGTTGAGGCAGGTGGTCGCTGTGTTGGAATCTGTCATCAAGATACAACGAGGAGCTGAGTCCAATATGGCCACGGATGTTGAAACTGCTACCGCAAACTCTGATAACGATGAGGTAGAAAATGCAGCTGAAGAGATGATCCGCGACTTTTCCGCGATGCTGAAGATATAATCCACGGCATTCAGTCAAAAGCGAGGAAACGAGATGGATGTGAAGGTTGAAATATAAAGAAATACTAGGCGGTACACTTTACTGCGTGGAATATCGAACTCTGTTTAGTGAAACCAATGCCTCGTCGTCGATGACGGGTTTGTTTGAGTTGTGATCCTGATACGAGCTACTGCTAGCCTGACCTCTCATTCTTTAAATGGAATCATGTCATAAAGAAGGTTGAATGTCTTCGTGAAAAGATAGAGCTCAAGATTGATGTCTATGAAACGTGCCAGCACGCGGGGCTGTCGACACGCGCGACACGCTAACGCAGATCGAATCTAACCAAACGTAGACTAGCCGATACCGAACAGAAGTCGCGAATGTCATCATCGATCGCGTCCGAACCACGCTTCGCATGTCTTCGAAGCACTTCATCAAGCCACCTTCAATATGATCTCCAGATCTAGTACATCGGCACCTGTAGCTTCGAAATGCCCCCCTGGTCCCTCGTCTCTCCAGCCTCCCGAGGCATTGGCTTTGCGCTAGCGAGGAGAGTTTTACAGACAACCAATGCACCCATTGTTGCAACAGCACGAAAAGATCTCGACAAAACGAAGGATGAACTACTCCAAGGCCTCAATGTCGACGAGAAGAGGCTTACCATACTGAGAGCAGATGTCCTGGGTATGTTTATGTGAGCTAAGAAACCGCCGTTCGCCCTCCACACTATTAGCCTACACACCGCTATCACTGTATCAATTGGCCGTGAGGATAAACCAATCCTCGCGAAGACGTTCTGACACAGGTACAGACGAGTCGACAATGGCGGATGCTGCCGCAGCTTGCAAGGACAAGTTCCCTCCCACCCTCCACCAGCTCCAACTCTCCTTCATCATCCCGGGTCTTCTCTTCCCCGAGAAATCCCCCACCCAGATCAACGCCGACAACGCGTTGGTCACGTTCCGGACAAATACCATAGGCCCAATGCTAATGCTCAAGCATTTCTCCCCTCTCCTGCCCAAGAAGAACTCGTCGACTAGCAAAGACGGTGAAAAAATGGAAGGCCTACCACCAGTCTCGACAACTGCTATCATGTCCGCCCGCGTAGGAAGCATTTCCGACAATCGGCTCGGCGGCTGGTACAGCTATCGTGCCTCGAAAGCCGGTGTCAATCAATTGGTGAAGACATTCGACAATCACCTGCGGACCGCTTCTGGAGACAACGCCATGGCGATTGCACTGCACCCGGGGACTGTCAAGACAGGGCTGAGCAAAGAATTTTGGGGAAGCGTGAAGAAAGAAAAGCTATTTGAACGTGAGTGGGTGGCGGAGAGACTGGTCGGCGTGGTTAACAAGGTGGGCGTCAGGGGAAGGGGCAAATGCTGGGATTGGGATGGGAAGGAGGTGCCCCCATGATTGCGACAAACTTCACATGATGAAAGATGTATTTGATGAAACCAGTCTATGTAACTCCTAAACGCCGCCTAAATCCAGACCGACATTCTCATACCCCTAGCCAAGCTGACCACAATCGTGATCGTAGACCACTATCGAGGGGGAGGGGGGGTTTCCCTCTGCTTCAGATGCAGCACTAGATCCCTAAAGATCACACCATTTTCCAATTGACCGGAATCGCTCAGGTGAATCTTCGTGCACCTGCCCGCATACTCTTCGAACGCAAAACTGGGAGGGTCATCGCTCGTCAGGTCGTTCCAATCACTGTCGTAACACAAGATGCCAGCAGGTCCACCACAGTGCTGCGAAGCCTCTGCGACGATCTGCCGGATGCAAAATGTATTGCAAATGGCAACGACGAAAGTTTCGGCATCCAGATCCAGCTCGAGCATCCCCTCGTGTTTCACGAGCTTCAAATCGTCGTTCTGTTGGTCGTTGTGATTGAATCGAGCGAGACCATCGTTCAAAAGCCTTTCTTTTGCCGCTCGGACAGTACGTGGGGTCCTGAGCGTAGACCTCCACCCTGTGGCCTTTGACATAGGCGATACTTGCAGGTTCGTCTTCGGTACTCGTGTCGAAGTCCCAGTGTTGTTTCGCGATCTTGGTAAGTACAGCGCCGATTTCGACCGGTGCAAGATGGCGCGTGTAGGATCATTTGTTATTAGGACACTCCAGTCCAAAGCAAGCGACCTTGTACGTAAGGTCGATTTTGTCTTTATTCGCCTCGAGGTTGCTGATCAAGTCCTTGCGAAACTGCGATTTTTTGCAATCGAATTCCCAGTTCACGGCTTCATGTATGTCGAATGTGTCGCGGCATGCATGGTTGATTTTGGCCTTGAATTCCTTTGTTCTTGGCTGGATCATCTGCGTTGGCCGCTATCGCCTGGTAGGAATTGAATTTCAGCCCGTAGACCTTATCCGTTTCCTCTAGCTCTATCTTTCCCCCTTGGCCTGATTTGTCCACTTCGAGGAAAGAGAGGTGGTGTAGCTTTGCTACCGGCCAGTACAGTAGAGGGTTCATTCCGATAGCATTTGTGAAGCGCTTGTGTCATTCGTACTGATATTCGAGACGGTGCTTTCCGAATACACCACCGGATTCCCTGTGCTCTTCCATGAATGTCTTCGCTCCCTCGACATCGGCAACGCTGAACTTCTCGGCTTTGGTCTCCTCGGCCATTTCGCCGAACCCGGATTTTCCAAGGGCCAGAGCGAGATGCTTCTCCGTTATAGAATGGAGGTAATAGATTGTATTAAATATTGTGTTTCGTAGGTGGCTAATATGGAGGTCTTAGATGTGGTATTTCGCGAAGACCAAAAGGAGGTGAACAGTGTGAACGGAGGAGCGCAAATGGTAGCCTTCGAAAATCTTTTATCCCCCTCGAGTGACTCTTTTCCGATGACAGTGAAATAAACGAAGCAAGGCGGACTCATTGTGATCAGTCATGTCTGCGCCATCGCTGCTCGTAATGCATCATGCAATTTGCTCATGGCTGTGTCGTGCGAGCTCCGCGTTGATCTAATAGATTCTGGGTATCAACGTGGAGTCCCTAGACTCTAACCGACAATGGTGACTTCATGTTACGCGAGGGTAACTCACATAGATGCGAAGGTGCAAATATCAGTGCCGTCAAATCGTATTCGTATGTCACTACGAACTGCTCATCTAGTAATACATGAGAAACCACTCCTATACACTCTACAGCCCCTTCTCTGGCTAAACCGGACTACGGATGATAGATCCCGGCTCTTCATGTGGTTCTGGTGCCTCTCGCTTCTTCAAATACAGCCTCAAGTCGCCGAAGAAGTCGTTCTCTCCCTCATCACTCAGGTTGAACTCATCGTATCCTTGAATGTACTCGTACGCAAAGTCGCTAGGCGGATCGGAATCCCGGGTAGAGGAGTGGCCCCGATCATTGATGGGCGCACAGAGCATTGCGGCAGGTCCTCCATCTGCTGAACCGTACTCCGTGACTCTTTGTCGAACCACATATCCTGGCCGGATGCTAACCACGAACGCTTTCTTGTCAACGAACGCCATGGCGTCATCGAACGGCATGCAATGATGCCTCGCCACCTCGTTGATGCATTCCGGGCAGTATCTGTGATCCTGAACATAAACCTGAACTTGGATTCCCATCAGGCTATAAAATGTAGAGATTGCATAGATCGCTCGGTGCCGCGCATAGCTAGCCTGGTTGTTGAGAGGCCCTAATCCAAAGCAGAGGATTTTGTCGATGCGTGGGAGGTTGTCTTTCGCATTTTCCAGGGTTTGCTCGAGATCCTTGCGGAACTGGGATTCCATCCATTCATTCTTCCAGATCACGGATTCCGACTTATCGATTCCACCGCAGCAGGCTTCCTTCTTGATCTCCATATTTTCCTGCGGATTGAAGGGAACTAAGCTACCCAATGCGGCCATCTGCTGGTAGCTTGTTGCGACTAACATGTGCGACTTCGTCCTATCCGGTATTATATCATCGACTTGTTCCCGTCCGTACAGATCCCTCCGCTTATATTTGAAATGCAGAACATATTCAGAGATTGAATGCACGTTTAGTTTCTGAATCTCGGCCATCGCGGCGTCGTGTTTCGCTTTGGTGAAGGTGCCGCCGTGTGCTTTCGAAATGTCCATAACCTCCTTCACTCGCTCCTCAATGGTCTTCCCCTCGGGATCATATTCCCCGGTATCATATTTCCCGAACTTTGACATGGTTGACTGCTGCTCTGAAGTAGAACCCTTTTTCGAAGACTTTTTCTTTTGTTGAGACATCGTGGAAGTGATATGAAGAGTTTGGAGTGTGTTCAAGAAGTCAGTAGAAGAAGAGTGTTCGAAAACTGGAGTTGGGGGAGAGTTTCAACTCTCGCTTTTATATGTTCTTGAATCAATGACTGTTACCTGTTGACGCATCCCCATGAGTCTTAGCGCTCGCTCTTCGCTGTCGTGAAGATGACTAGACATTGCGATGAGTGTTGGGTGCCGTCGAGTCAACTCCGTGCACTGGCCGCCAAGAAACCTTGTCCTACCTACCTCAAGGTCGACACTCAAAGAAAATCGAGTCTTTATTCTTCAAGAGTCGATAGAGGATGACCGTGCCTGCAAAGCCATAGCTTATTCCGCGGTATTCGATTTGCGACTCGTGGCAGACGCTGGCCGACGCGGTAGATGGTAGATGTGGATGACCGTCCTTCGACTCATCATGACTGCGCTCCTTGCCAACGTACCAATATCCGCAATCATGACTCCTCAATCTAACGACTCACATACGATACCGTTGCCGCAATATGTCCTCTTCTAGCAATCACACCCTCGTAACCGGTGCATGCGGCCTCATAAGTCGTCGTCTAATTTCTACGCTCCTATACATCCCCCGGCATAGTTCCCAAAGTAACAGCGCTCAGGAACTGACCGTTGAAAGTCGAGGACCCATTCTGGCCTGAGGCTGCGGGAGTAAGAGGCGTCGACATCTGCGACGCGGGATAGCTGGATAGCGTCGGGTACTGGATGGCGTTCGATCGGCATATGAGCTTGCAGAGGTTGTAGGGAGCACGCTTTGTGGAGGGGAGGAGGCCGGAGAAACGGTGATGAGGCGCGTTTGAGATGCTTAGAAGGGGGGGAATGATAGAAGAAAAGAAACGAAAGTGGGACTAGAAGACATACTCTCGAGTTTGTACTACGGCTGGCACCTCTAGATGCCAGCACCTTCGGTTCCCCAAGCAAGATATTCAATACAAGCATTTCGCGCCCCGAAGACGGCTTTCAAAGTGCATACAACAAGGAGGTGAATTGAGAAAAGTCAGGGGTAGATGGCACATAAGATTACCAAAGAAGGTCAAAACGCCATCGCTATGCATGAAGACAAGAATCGTACTCGGGATTATCGGACCCACGCGAATAGAATAGGGGTATATACACGGCGTCGGAGCCGAGGGCTCACACCCCCTTCCAAGAGCCCTCAACGGCTTTCCTTGTCACGGGGGAATATTGCGAGTCTTGAGGCTGACTGGGTGAGTAAGCGTGGTATGTTTGCTGTCCTGGATAGGCTGGATCCGAGGACTGGTAGGTCTGTTGCCCGGGATAGCTGGGCCCGGTTTGGTCATACTTAGTCGAGCCGGAGGGAGCGTAGCCGGGCGAGTCCGATCTAGCGGGAGCCTGCGTGTAGCTATCGTTCTGATACATGGCATGCTCTGGCATGCTGATAGGCTCTTGTGCTGGCGGTGGAGCTGAGTAACCGTACCCATTCGAGGCGACTGGCGCTGGGCTGTGCCCCGGGCTAGGCTGTCGATATGGTTGCTTATAACCAGGACCTGGCGATCGGCGATCGTAGTTTTGGTTCTGGGCATAACCCGCTCCTGCTCCATAGACGGGTGATAGCGAGTGAGCAGGCGAGGCGCCACGATAACCGTCTTGCGGCTGTCCATATGGTCGACCATACGGTCCCGGGCTGTTGTGAGGGCTGCGCTGTGGCGGAACGTTCCCGAATGAGTTGTTCTGGTATCCTGCGGGGAATCCATAGCTGTCTTGAGTGGGAGATCGATGGACGGGAGACCTTCCTGGACCTGGAGATCTCCGTGCCGTGCTGGACACTGCCGTCCCCACCGCTGTTCCAGTCAAAGAGCTTCCCGCCACGCTTCCGTTGTGATCCAGCCTATCCATTTCCATGTCACCTCTCTTTTCCGGTATTACCTCCTCTTCCACATGCAGATCTCGGGCATCGCTCATCGTCGGCATGGCGGGCAAAGCGTCCTCGTTGGCGGGTCTACTCGGCGCATCGAACCGAGCGAATTGCGGTTTTTCGGGTGTAGGCGCGGGATTGAAGGTAGGAGCGTTAGGGGACCGATACTGCTGGTTGATCGGGCGGGTGTCGATTGGCGCTGCCACAGATGTCGGAGGAGCAGCGGAATAGGCGGTTGGATGATATGCAGGCGGAGGAGGCTCGCTCTTCACGCGCTTGTGTCCTGATCGGCCACCAGAAGGACAGCAGCAGGAACAGCATTTGAAGCAGCAACAGGCCACTTCAGCGCCGCAGCACACGCACCGCGCGATGCAGAACACGACCGAGAGGATGATGATGGAACCGACGACTATCCCGACAATGACGGGCCATCTGGCAAGACGTTAGCAGCCGCGCAAGCTGCGATTTCAGAAGTGGTAACTTGCTTGCAATAGCTCTTGTCCATACACTTGTCCCATGACGATAGCGTGTCCTTCGCGTCCGCTAAGGGATTGCGCACGAAGAGTAGAGAAGGCATAGTAGTAGGAAAATTGTTGCGGAAGTTCGGGAAGCGTGAATGTAGCCGCGGGTTATGGCAGAATGCGAGGGGCGATTGCGCGAGGCTGTGTTCCAGGTGCTCCGCCAATGTCACACGGCGCGCGGTACAAAGATAGATCAACGAGCGACAAAGAACGAGCGCGGGCTGAGCTTCTCGTCCTCATGCCGCGACAAAGGCATGTAGAAGAGCGAGCGACAGGAGATTGGGAGCGTCGAGCGGCAGATGACGATGGACTTCGGCGGGCACCACTTTAGCCCAAACGGCTGTCCCTGAAACGAGGGCACGAAGAGCCAAGATTTTCAGAGTGGCACCCTTGCGCGGACTGTGGCTGAGTCGCCGATCCGGGGTAGACCACCACCACTCGCAGCCCTCTCACGACATCATCCCATCACGAACTATCTTCACAGTCGTCGCAGCCTGGTACGCATTCGCGGTTCCCGCCCCGTTTCCTAGGGTGGCATATCTTGCGAGCGCGCACCGGGCCGTTCGTGAGAAACCCTTGGCGGACTTCCACCCCCAAGTTCCGCGTGTCGTCGCGCACCCCTGTGTCTGAATCCGGACAGATCTCTACCATTTTCTGCGGCTTGCGGCAAATTCGGCTCTGAAATCCCTACCTGTCGGCGTTATTCAGGCAGTGATGCGCTCATTTCGTCCCTGCAGCTTGGAAAGCTTCGAACGGACGTTTTGGCTAGGATCACGTGCTTGTTCTCCAACCACCAGCACCCTCGTCGCCGGAGCCATGACGTCTGTGACCAGGAGCATGGAAGACATCGAAGCTGGATCGTCAGAATTCGAAACTATGACGCTTTCCAAGCCAAGCACTGTTAGCTCGACGAAGGACACTTCAACCGTCCAGTGCTTTAGCCGTTCCGACTGTCGAAGAAAGGTCCTGTAGGAATGAATGGCATCGCTACCGATGCAAGACCTGGTCCAATAAATAGTATCGAATCTTTTGAAGCCGGCAAGCTTAACCCTTCACAAAGAGAGCTACAATCGATTCGGACCGAACGAAGGTCTGCTGTCGACGATGACGCATCCTTTCAGTCCAGTCGTCCAACTTGCAATCCTGCTATAGTGCTCGTCCAGCTGGGACGCCCTCTTGACCTGCTCCCGTGGTTTTACGCTACGGAGATGCAGGGACTCATCTCAATGCGGTAATAGCCGTGAACACTAACGTCGCTTATCTTATCGTACATCCCTGCAAAGAATTTCCCAACCCACACACAGTACAGACAGCCCCCAAACAATCAATCGAAAAGATGGTCGAACAAGCATCAGAAGAGGATGTCCTTCTCGCGAAAAAGATTATCTCCGCCGCGGAACGTCACGATGTCCCGGCTCTCAAAATCCTACTAAAGGAAGGCTCCGCAAACGTCCAAGATCCAACTGCAACAGTCGCGACCTCACCCCTACACGCCGCAATTGTCGCATGTGGGAAGGCCGAAGATGAGAAAGAGGCGGGTGAAGATGCGGTGCGCACTGTCGAGTTTTTGCTAGAAAATGGCGCCATTTGGAACGATTTGAACAAGGAGGATGAGACCCCGGGATGCATTGCGCTGAGACTAGGACAGAAGAAAATCTACGACATGATGGTGGAAGCTGGTGTGCGAGCCGAGCTACTCTTCTCGAAGATGGAGGCGCTGGGTTTGGGTGACGATGACGAGGTGGAAGGGAATGACGACGAGGCGCGTGAGGAGCAGCCTGCAGCCAAGAAGCAGAAGGTGTCTGAAGAGGAGGCACAAGCTATCCAGGAAGCGGTTGAGGAGGAGGTTCTGGACGATGTTTCGAAGGATAACAGAGCGTATCTAAAGAGTCAGCTACGGTATAAGCCGGGAATCCTTCTGGATGAGAGCGACAACGCCGTAATGATGGACTGGGAGACTCAGATTATGGAGCGGCACGCCGAAACGCTGATACCGAAGCCGGGTCTCAAAGTCATGAACGTTGGACACGGTATGGGGATTGTTGATACGGCAATCCAGACGCATGACCCCACCGAGCATCACATCGTCGAAGCACATCCACAAGTGCACCAGCGCTTACGCGAGCATGGCTGGTACGACAAGCCGAACGTTATCATCCACGAGGGCCGATGGCAGGATGTGCTTCCTAAGCTGGTCGAACAGGGTGTCGTGCTAGATGCGATTTACTACGACACGTTTGCGGAAGATTATAAGGCGCTCAAGGAGTTCTTCTCGGAATACGTGATCCAGCTCCTAGCGCCTGATGGCAAGTTTGGGTGGTACAATGGGCTTGGAGCGGACCGACAGATATGCTATGATGTCTATACAAAGGTGAGTACCTACTCGATAACAGATGGTGACAGCTTGATGAAGCTAATTGTGGGTAGATTGCGGAGATTGACCTATATGAGACGGGCTTTGATACCACGTGGGAAGACATCAAAGTTCCTACGGGCTTACACGGAAGCAAGCAGTGGGAAGGCACTAGGCGGCCATACTGGACGATCGACATTTACAGATTGCCCGTAAACACCTTCGTCAAATGAGCACCACGTCTCACCAGAACGGCGGGGTCTTAGGGATATAGGGCAGGACATTGCGCGCTCCGCATCATTGCAGTAGAGCGAAGGTCCTCCAAAATTGATAACCGTATCAGCGCCAATGCTCCTTATGTATTATCGCGATTGTCCAGCACCCCTTCGCTTAGGAATTCCAAAAGAAAACACCTCTGTATTATCGCTCACTATGTCGTCACGGTATGATCACGCTCAACTGGTGCCCTTCTTTTTCAAATCAAGTTTCCATTAATTCAAAATGGCATATTTCATTGCTTTCCCGGAAGTTACCAAAACTCCATAGACAGACTTACCCCCATCAAACGCAGTCCCACTCTCTAAGAGCTCATACGCTCCCCCACCTCCTCACTCATCCAACCATTCAGTCAACTCCTCGCCCTCCGCTCAAACGCTCGGCATAATTGTGCCCGTCCGATCATAATACCGCCTTCCCTTCTCATCCGAAAGAACATCATACGCGCGATTAATCTCCGCCATCTTCTCCGTCGCCAGCGTCTTATCCGCGTCCCCAACACGGTCAGGATGGTACTTCATGCTCAACTTACGCTGCGCCTGCTTCAGCTCGTCCGGCGACGCGCTGCGACTCACGCTGAGAATGTGGTACAGATCGGTGTCCGGTTTGACGCCTGAGTAGTCGGGCTCATGGCGGCTGGAAGAGCGCGAGTAGCTGTCCTGGTTAGAGGGACGTGGACGCGGACGCTCTGAGGGCCGCGGGTGTGTATGAGTACGCCCGCCGAAGGAACGATTGCGGGGAAGGTTATCATAGTCACGGGGCTGTGGCTGACTGGAAGAGCTAGACTGCGGATAGCTGTCCTTGTTAGAGGGGCGCTTGCACCAACGCTCGAAGTGGTCTGAGGTGTAACGCGCGCCGAAGGAACCACCACGAGGATAGCTGTCATAGTCACGGGGCGGCGGCTGGCTCGAAGGACCACAGTGCGGGTAGTACTCCTCGTGATGAAAGGAGGTGTACGTCTCTTGACGATAATTTGTCTGCTCCGCTGTACGGGTAGAGCAGTTTGTGGTACTACGGATGTGGCACGTAGCAGGCGTGCGGCGTGAAGAAGAGATGGGTTCTGGTTTCTCCGTCATGCTGCGGGTGACGGCATCCTGGGCGAGAGTGGAGGCTTGATCGGCATTGAGCCCGCGGCTACGAGCGCAGGTATAGGCGGATTGGAACACTGTTTGTGCGTGGAGGGAAGGCATGGTTGCTGTTCCTACCTGGAAGTCTACTTGGGGGAGCGTTGGTGTCAGTGTTAGCGGGGTGAGTAGTAGGAATGTGTGTTTTTGGTGGTGGCGAAGCTTGATGGGCTTCGTCGAGACTGGATATAGTTTTTATAGACCTTTCCGTAGGATTGTGGGGTTGACACTGTATAAGAAATGAGCATTGTGGACGGCGGCGAAGGATTGTGCTGCTCGCTGAACATGGCTGATACAAGGACATTGTTACTTCCTCAACCTTAACATTACCCCTTTCGTAGAGCCCCGGAAAGCGAACAATGAGCTGCCTATCAGTGAATCCAATAGGATCTCCATTCGGACTTGATGATGGAACTGAAGAAGATGGCCAGGTCCATCCGCTCACGTGAAAACGCCTGGACGTCGGCCATCATACTGTCATCTAACGACAAGAAACCCGAGAGCGTAAACTCCTTATTTGTTAGGCCACACGTTCCCTCAAAATCAGGGTTGTGACAGATCGTTAGCCAGAGCCGCCGGACATCTTCGGCAAAGCCGACTGACGCCGCACCATTCCACAATTACCTATATCCATCTTGTGCCCCAGCGCGTAATCTACCCCGCAACTGCGCAGCAGCTTCCAGAGCATCCGGAGCCCCAGGACACCGGTCGTCAATAGCGCTTCTCGCTTAGCTGGAGCTTGATCCTCGTGATTTCTTTGTTCGCTCGCCACGATGGCCGACTGACCCTTCGAGCCTCAGCGTCGGTGATCCCGCGGAGTATATGGCTGAGAGACGCCGCATTTCGAGCTGGGCATTTTCTGTATCAGGTTTCGCGCGGAACGGGGTTTCCCTTTACCCAATCTTCGGGGGTGGAGTCGCGGCGGGGTAGGTGAGGTTTGACCAAGGAGACCCTCAGAGAACGATGGGCATGTTGACGCATGAGAAGGATGCCGCGCGTATGAAGAGTACATGGATAATTCAAGACCATTAAGGCGCCCTGGATGAGTAACTAGTTTGATGGATAGACCGGAAGGGCACGACAGCTGAGTCGGATCAAGAAAGGACCAGAAGCGGGAATTTGTAATTGAAAAGAGAAGCACTCATGTGCAGACCCAACCAAAAGCTTTTTCAGATATGCCATAAAGCGGTAGCGAAAACTGCAGCACTCAAAAATGCAGATTCTCGGTGGACGTAGCATTGACACCTACCTCAAGCCTTCTTCGCCTTCTTCGCCTTCTTCTTCGGAGGCTCCTTGGCCTCAGCATCGAGGCCCAGTTTCTCAATGAGGTCCTCCCACGAGCAGGTAGGAAGACCCATTTCGGAAATCTTGTTCAGCTTATCTGGACCAGGTTTCGTCCCCAACACCACGAGCTCAACGGATTTGTTGAGAGACTTTGCGAACTTAGCTCCGGTGGACTCGAGCAGCTTCTGTGCGGACTGGCGTGTATGACCGTCAACCTCCCCGGTGATCAACACAGTCGTGCCATCGATGGAGTCTGGTGCGTCACCCACATCGACCTTCGCAGTTTCCTTCTCGGGAGCAACATCGATGCCGAGCTTCTCAGCCAGCTCCTTCCAAGTAATGGTTTCGATACCAAGATCCTCGATCTTCGTCATCTTATCGGGGCCAGGGTTGGCGCCGAGAATGACGAGCTCGACTTGTTTGTTGAGCGATTTGGCAGTATTGGCTCCGGCTTTCTCCACGATGGCTTGAGCGGATTTGCGGTCATGGCCAGGAATTGTGCCTGAAATGATGACCTTCTTGCCCTTGAGGAAAGTAGAACCAGACGCATTCTTGCTTGGCTTGGGTGCTGGGGCGGCCTTCGCTTTGGAGTTTGCCTTGGCGGTGAGCTTGCTCTTCTTCTTCTTCGGTTTGGGCTTCTAGGGAGATATTAGCCAAACAGTCGATATATGAGAGAAGGAGCAACAGGCTCGCCAAAACAGCAGAGTAATATGCAACAGAACCTTGTCTTACCTCTTCGACCTCTTCCTCCTCTGTTTCTTCGTCTTCTTTCGTATCCTCTTCGGTATCAGCATCAGCACCTCCGTCGCCCTTGATCTCATCCATCAGCTCATCCCACTCTTTGGTCTCAACTCCAAGCTCTTCAATCTTTTCGAGTTTCTTCGGCCCCGCGTCCTCGCCTAGGACCACAAGCTGCACCTTCTTATTCAAGCTCTTCTCAATCGTCGCGCCAGCATTGATGAGAATCTGTTCGGCGGACTTGCGGCTCTGTCCGGGAATTTCGCCCGTGATGATGCATTTCTTGCCGGCGAGCGCGTTGGGCTGGATGGAAATAGAAGCTGTAGCTGTCTTCGGTGGCATGACTGCAATCAGAGCGCGAAACCAGAGCAAATGAGAGAAAACGTATCAGTAGGAAATTCGACTCGCGAAATTGAGAATCGGGAAAGGCGAGAGAAAGAGAGTGAAGAGGGATAGGGGTGAGCGCGTGCGGCGTCGCGGGGTTTGGAGGATTCGTTTCGCCTCAGGACGTCATTGTCAGCCCAGCACAGCAGCACTGGCGGGCGTTTGGCTTTTCGCGAATCCACGTGAGGCCGCGTAGGAAAGAAGCTGGCGCAACAGACAGGGCAAAAAGCTCCGTCTATCTTCAGAAGTCGAGGCGACCATAGGATTGGCCGTGAGGGTCGTCTCTGTCGCGTCGCATGTCCTTTGGAAGCGGAGAACCAGTCTGCTTTCCCCTTGCAGCGGTCATGTCTGCATCTCGTAGATGTTCAGAGCACTTGCCGGTACTTTAAACCGGATTGAAGAGGAATTGAGGTGTCTTATGCTTCCGTGCGACTTTGAGACATAAGCTGCGAGGTTCTATCGCTGGCCAATCACATGCACACGCGAAGGGTGGAGCTCCGAATCGCCTCAACTCCCCTGCCTTCTTTTAGCCATCTATCAGTCAGCACAAAAAGCTACTCGTCTCGGGTATCGCCCCGTCAGCATTGCTCTATAACTAACCTCAGAACACCGCAATCATGGGCTTGCTGACTCTCAGATCAATTCCTCCTCTTGCAATCCATCGGTTCCACGTAGCTCCAGACGTCCATCAGCCAGCACAATGACCGCGCAAGCGGACCACATCGAAACCTTCGCGCCCATCAAATGGGCAACACCTTACCTCACCTCCCCAAATTGGCGCATACGAACGCGCACGCGCGGAACTAGGTCAGGGGAAGACTCCGACCGCTTCTGCCGCGACACCATGTCCAGCTACGACGGCGTCCAGCACTGGCTCGAACTCTACGAAAAGCCTGCCCCCGGCTCGACAACCATTACGAAATCCGTTTCGCTCTGCAAGTTTGGGCCCGGCCTCACCGGCTTCCCCTTGATATGCCACGGCGGCGCCATAATGACTATAATGGACGAGGCACTCGCGTTCGCCATGGTCGCAAGTGAGGCGGTTACTGCTGGGCTCGAAGTTGCTGACTGGGCTGAGATTATCGCACAGGATTGGAGAGATGGTGGCCTCGCGAAAGAAGGGCGGGCGACGGAAGAGGCGCTGAAGGGGTATCTCGTCACGGCGAAATTGGATATGAAGTTCATGAAGCCGGTGCTGTGCCCGGGGATCGTGGGAGTCGAGGTCGAAATGCTAGAGAATAAGGGGCATAAGATGAAAATGAGGGGTGTTATGAAGGATGGTGAGGGGACACCTCTGCTGCAGGCGGACGGGTTGTGGGTAAGGTTAGGCGGCGCTGTGAAGCTATAGGTATGCACGATCGCGGGCACTATTATTATTCGAGCCCACGGCTTTTCAGCGCTCTCTCGTCACTAATGTCATGTAGAAGCCGCTCTATGTGTGCTGTGGACTACGGTTCCGCACAATGCGCCGTGCGAAACAATGCTCCACGGTATCTCCACATTGTTCACGCCGTATACATATGCATTGGTCTCTTAACGATTGATGCATCCAGCCAGCCCTGCGCGCATCTTCTTCTCTTCTCCTGTTCAAATTATGTACCCATCTGCCTGCGTTCATCCGCTTCAGATGAACCCTCCAGATATCTTCGTCACTCCCCCCTCTCCCTCACGATCCTCATCCCGATCCACCTCTCACACGATGTACACCCTACCCCATGCCACCACATCCCGAGAGCGGATCACCTCACCCATCATATTCATCCCCTCTCACGAGCCACTAAGCACCACGCTCACCATCGCCCAGCTCGCAGAACTTCTCCCAACGCTGCACATCTACGTTGAACCCTCGCACCCCAGCGTCGCCATTCTTCCCGCTGCGGGCATTAGCTACACGGGCCTCCAAAGCGCCCTACGCTGGCGCGAAGCAGAATTCTACCAGCCAGGGGCCGGCCAGGTAAGTACGCTGGTGGAAATGGTAGAGATTTACCAAGCCCTCTCCTTCCTCGGCAACAAGCCCATCAGCCGCAGCCTTTGGCTCCTGCATAAGATGATCCAGCGGGAGATCAAGCAGGGCCTCGCGCTCGAAGAGTACCAGGATATCTGGGCATTGCGGCATTTCCCTTTCACAGAGTGCTTTGTCAAAGCTATCATCACACGGATTGCTAAGATGGGCGCTGCGCTTGTCGATGTCGCGGACAAGCCGGAATTCCAGCAGATGCTGGAGCGTGATGAAGTGTTGCAGTCACGGATTGAGGCGAGTATGCAGATTCTTAGCTGGGTTAATCGGGAGGAGGGACTGAGGGGGAAGGTGGAGAGGATGCGTGAACGGTTGGAGAGGGAGGAGCATAGGGCGAGGCGGATGAGCGCGAAGGGTGAGTTTGCGATGGGGTTGGCGACTGTGTTGGAGTGATGATGGGACCTGCTGGTCGGGTTCCACTTATGATTTCGGGCGTTGTTGGCTTTCTGTTTTTCTAGGGCGGAAATCTGTTCTCGATTTTGGGAGGCGTATCTTGAGTTTAAGACTCGTTTTCCTTTAATAATTCATGTTTCAATTGATCATTATCGCTTTTCTCGACGACAGTCCCATATCATTCTTCCGCTACAGTTTCCCTAGTCATTTTTCACCATAAAGCTTGCCATTCAACGCAGCCTTAATCGACGCCTCAAAGTCCTCCTTCTCTAATCCCAACTTCTCATTCCAGTCTCCAACGGGATTCTTCCCATATCCCGCCTCATTGAACACAGCACCCTTGATCAGATCCGGAACGCCACTGAAATCGCTGTTCTTCAGCTTCGCACTGCCCCTCTCCAACAGCTCCTTGCTCGTGATCTTATTCACCGTCCACTTCGCGCCCGTGATCTTCTCCGCCGCGGCAAGAACATCCTGCTGCGTGGTCTCGAACGATTTGACGTAGACGTACGTATTCTTCGTAAGCTCCGGCTTCTCCAGGACCTTGATAAGCGCGAGGCCGATTTGGCGAAGATTGGTGGCCACGAATGGGGCTTTTCCCTCGTCGATGAGCGTCGCAGTCTTGCTCGCGGCGTTCAATCCTAAGAACCCCACTTTGAGCCCCCAGTCAAAGAACGGCCCCGTGATCACGCTCGTCCAGCTAATCTCGCCCTCCTTGCTCTGCAGATACTTCACCGTGCCGACCTTGGCTTGGAAGACAGGGACCAGCTCCAGGACCTTGGGGTTCGCGGTGTCGCTGCCGTACTCGGAGGGCAGGAAGCGCTTCACGCCAGCGGCGATGGCGGCGTCGATGAGCTTTTGCTGGTCGGCAAGGGCCATGCTGCCCACGAGTGAGAGGACCGCATCTTGGCCTTTGAAGGCGGATTTGAGAGAGTCGTGAGAGGAGTAGTCAGCGTGTAGGACGCTAACGCCGGAGGGGAAGGTGGATTCGGAGCCTTCGCGGGAGAGGACGGTGATGTGGAAGGAGGAAGAGTCGAGGAAAGCTTGGAGGATTGAGGGACCGAGGTTTCCTCCAGCCTGTGTATAGTCAGCGTTGCAAGTGAGTGACGCTGCTGATGGTGATGGTAGCAGAGGGTTAGACGAATGTGGGGCTGTAATAGTCAACGTACCCCAATGATCACGACATTCTTGATCTCAGCCATGCTGGAATTGAAGACGCCAAAGTAGGTATTCAGAAGTAGCAAGAGTGGAAGGAGTGCGGCTAGGTATAAGAGGTTCCCGAATGGATGCCGTGCGATGATGCGATTGTTCGTCATGTCGGCGGTAGCCCGATGGCCTTATATACCCCACAAGTGCAACCTTCCCGATCACGCAACGAGCCCCACGTCCACCAGGCGCAAGGGCGCGTAGTCTCCGGAACGCTTAGAAATGCAGCTGTTCGGTTGGTGGTCCCAAAAGCGCAAGTAGGGTCAAGACGCAAGGCTGCGTACACACCATTCCGATGTTGGGCGATAAGGCATGGTGCAAACTCCGATGATAATGGCGCGAGAGCGAATGGGATTAGACATGGCGCAACGTAGCCTGACCGGCAGTGTGGTTAATGCAGGTGGAGATGAAGTAGATTATTAAGATGCGGCGTGCTTCCGCGGCCAAGGCGCGATCCGAAGCCTATTCCGACCTCAACACCACCACTTCTCCTGGAAGATTACTACTCATCACCCCTAATGCGTCTCGAGGCCTGTCCCGCGGCGTAATGGTCGCTCGGTGCCACACGAAAATGAGCTCGAATGTGGCTTCCGCTTCTTCCGCTTCAAGGACACCGCAGGACATAACTTAGGTACGACTCGTAAGGTCAAGCATGACCGAGATACGCCCGATTCTCACCGAATGCGGATCGAGCGCATGCGCGATTGGGCACTGGAAGAGCGACATGCGTTTTAGCATAGGAAATTTGCCCCAGCAAGTCTTCTCGACAAAATCCGAGCAGGGACTCATTGGATTAACATTAAGTACAGGGAGTGATTGACGTTTCGGCTGGCACTGAAGCTCTCTCCAGCAGCGAGAGACCAGGCGAGGAGAAAGAAAAAGCGATGCCTAAGCGAAAGGGTATGAATGGTCGTGCTTTTCCTACGAAAACGGCAGAATATCAGGCGGAGCGCGAGAGCATGAATGCTTCCCCAGGTAACAATGCAGTTCATCTCATTCGTCATCCTCAATGTTCAGCCTTTTCTCAATGATGCCCCATCTCTCCAACTGTATGAGCAATTCGAGCGGGTCTTCTCCGTTCCACGCACTGATCTCCCACTCCTTCTTATCTCGACCGAGCCCGCGGTCATAAACGCCGGGGATCTTCTCGATGGTCCATACGACATGTCGCTGCGAAGCATTGACCTGCCTGATATATTCGCTGACTCTGGTCAAGGCGTCTTCGGTGCTTCTGCGGCGGAGCTTGTGCCACGAAGCGAGCAGACGCGGAACGCACTCCTCGCCCGCATTCGATTTGTAATGCTGGCGGATGTGCTCGATCGTGTTAATAATGGTTTGGTAGGTCTCCTTTGCGAGGCCGAGCTCGTCCATCTCTGGAGTATGGGGCGGGTAGATGGGATGGCGGAAGCCGAAGCCGACTATTCTCAGTCTGGATCCGTTTTCAACAGTCTTGCGGCACTCTAGCCTTCGATTATGCTCGTAGCTGTCTCTGTTCATAATGCTTGGATACTGCTCCCTCCATTTTTTGGGTCCTTTGGTGAGTAGCCCCCACAAGAGAGCTGCCCTTGACGGCGGGTTGACGTACTCTAGCCTCGTGTTGATGAAAGGATCGTCCTCCCGTTCGATCATGTATTTCGCGTACGACGTACTTCTAGTGCGCGAGTTGATATTGGCTCGCATCCAGGCTCGGAAGTATGGGTCGACGCCGTAGCGGTCGGCATGGTCATTCATCAGCTCTCGCTTGCGTGAAGGAATGGCGTTCGGCCAGAGAGGCCATGGTCGGGTTCGATCGCGTAGCTGCACCTGCTGGTGGTGATGTAGGAAGCCGCCATTGGCAACCGGCGAGAGTGGTGATGGCGGCGTCACGCTACTCCGCTTGCGACGCGGCATTGAGACACAGTGATCTTCAAACTTACTGATGGCAAAAGGATCGATAAACGACAGGCACTGTGCTGTCCCAGGGGCGGCAAAGGTCTCCGGTGGAGTGGGGGGTTGCAGCGAAACATGCAAGATCTGGATGTACGACTCCGAGATGCGATTGGGAGCGAATAAAGAGAAAGAGCTGATGCACACCATCACCGGCAGGCCTCGCGCCTGCCAGTTCCAGCTGATCTCCTCCAGCAGCCTATTCAGGCTCACAGCTTGATGCTCCGCCCTTTTATAATGCTCTGCCGATTCGGCGACGGAATAGTTTCTAGACGGGAAAGGTTGCGACTTGTGATCTTTATGAGCTCCCATCGTGTCCTCATAGGATGCGTGCCATCCTTTCGGGTGCCATCTTGGAATGACCGAACTCGTCCTGGTCTTCGTCTCGTTCGGTATCTCGTCGAGGAAATTTGCGAGCGCGGCGATCAATCGACAGTAGTCGGTATACGTAATGCCATGGTCTGCTAATGCTGTAGTATACTCGATCGGCTCGCACAGCCTCCAATTCGTGATGAAGTGCGCTAATGGGTGAGCGCACTGATTGCGGTTGCAGACGCCAGGTATCACCATTCCGATCGAATCGATAAAGTGTTTCTCGGGCTCTTCAGGAGGCAGTTGGAAATCTGAAGGATGTATCAAAGGTCTTCGCGCCGACATTGAACCCGACGTGCTGATCGACGACCGGATGCGTGTCAGTATCGACGGCCGCCTTCCCGACTCCCGCCGTCCCGTCTCCGTAGCCTTGAGACTGGGATCTGTTGGTACATCGGCTGTTATGCTACCGGAAGTTATTGAAGAAGGTAGGCTAGGCCTCGGGTTCGTAAAGGTCGAGCTATGTCTTGAGGAAGTAGAAGAGTCTCGGTGAACGCTGATGCTGAGCGATTGCCGTGGAGTCGCATTTCGAACGCGCGATGTGCTCATAAACTTGGGGAACGTCGACTCTCGGACGGTGTCTAGAGCCTCACTAGTGATCGTCTCCTCGGTCTCCCGGTCTTGACTCTTCGTTGGCGTTGGATCAGAACGGCTCTTCACGATAGCCGGCCTTTCTTCATCTCTGCTCTCTTCATCCTTTGCAGCTGCCTCCTCTTCCGACAGCCGCTCGATTCCCCCCGCGTGGTTCAGCCCGAACTGAACCATGTTGCGTGTTATTGCATTTCTCTCCCCTGGCGCTGTCGGGAAGAACGGCGTGGTAGGTTTCGAACGCGTCACGGTTTGTGTGGGTTTTCTCGATGCTGCTGTCGTGTAACGGAGCGGTGGTGTAACTCGAGAGCCGTTTGCCTCTCGTGGATCTAGTAGCTATAAACAGGAGCTCCATGTTTATGCAGGTGTTCTAGAATAGACCCACATTCCGGTAACAACTCAATCCGGAGAGCTCTCATTTGAACCGAACTGCTGGGTACGCATTCGCCTCCATCCGCTAAGCTTTCCGTAAGATTCCTCCCTTTGCACGGACTGACGCTCACGTGATTGCAAAAACCCGTTGTTGAGACAAAGGAATGTCGTACATCCCGCCCTCGCTTCGGCCCCATATCCCTACTTGGAGACGGGTCATGTTACACGCGTACCGCTTAGTTGTTGCCAACAGATCGGCGAAGCCAGGGCGGGCTAAGAGGCTCTAGACTGGAACCTTCTTCCCTGGTATTTGCTGTCGGCGAATGTGGCTTTACCAAGAGGATCAACGCGTCCGATACCTGTTAAAGCGCCCGAAGATCCTTAAGAACAAAGCTATAGCCCAAGAAATGCTGAGATCCAAGGGCCAATCTGCAGAAGACGACATTACACCTGGATCTCGGGCGAATGCATGGTCTCATGTCCCGAGAATTAGGTGTCACATGCTCTGGATTCATGGGGGTCGGTGATAGCGTGGCTAGAGCCTGGTCTCGACCTGCAATTGTTCTTGAGTATCCCTAACCCAGGCCTGGACGCCGTGTTGAAAGACAAATATATGTTTTGATTGGATCACAGCCTTCTAACTTCCGTTGTCTAACAAATATATTTAACGTACGGTTGAACTCGAGGATGAAGCTTTTTTAAGTCTGAGAATGCAGGACTTAGTTTATTGACAAGACGCGGCATAGTCGGCAAAGACGCCAAGTTAGTATCCAGCGTGTCGGGCGTGCTCGGATACTTGCAACCGTGAAAGAAATCAACACAGCCCGAAGTTCCATTTTGGCAGGTCCCATATCAACGCCCGACTTCTCTCGTACAATAAATGCCCTACCATATTAGATATGCGTTATGCTTTAAAGAATCTAGCTCCTCCTCTCTTTTCGACGGATCATGGTGCGGGAATTCGGGGATAGTCTCGATCCAATTCGGTCCATAAGTGTAATATCGGTCTTCGGACAGAAGCATATAGTCTCGACAAGCAGGTCTGTAGTGTCTACAGGCCTGGCGTGCTTTCCGGGAACGAATTGTTATGTCTTTGTGCTTCGCAGCTACGAAGATCCTTGGGTCGAGTGGAACTTCTTCGGAGGCCATAGTGTATTCGAACACTAGATGCGTGAGCTCGGCAGGCAAGCGGTGTCCAATGGCATTATGGACATTTTCTTGTATTTCGGTATATGAATAGCGCTGCAGCATGTCCAACGTGGGTAAGAGTAGGTTGTATACGCACTTGTCACTTCCGTCTCCTCCACACTCATTCCGGTCCATTCGTTTTCGGAGCCTTCGGCAAGTTCGAGCGAGGTTGAGAAACGGGCGGCCTTGGTAGATGAGAATCTGGAGAATGTCGCAGATTTTTTGGGTTATCTGTTCATGGTATTGCGTCATGCAACTTATGGTTTCGCCCGGCGATTGGAGAATATCGATCTTTACGTCGAGATACAGCTCGAGTGCTGCCTGTATACCTCCGTTTGGCATAACATAGACACGTGTGATCTCCTCTTCTAACAGCTTCATAAACCAATCAGGGTCGAAGCCCTCGTGTTTGGATATCTCCTCAATCTTGTACATGTGCTTGCGGATGTAATTAGCGTACGACAGTTCTCGTGGTGTCGACTGCTCCTGGAGTCCGCGCAGGATCTCGCAAGTAATGGCTAAAAAATTAGTCTCGCTCATACCCCGGCGACCCTGGAATAAAGACTCACGAGGGGAGAAAATATTCACACTCTCCCACCCATTGCCCCGCCGTCCGATCGCTTCCGTAGCTTCCTGCATTGACTTCTGAATGCAAGACATCTTCCCATCCATAAATGCCACGAAATTCCGGCACTTCCCCAATAGAGTGTCGAATTCGTCGTCCAGCGCTCTATGCATGTTTTAGAATGTGGAATTCTCTGCTATCTCTCCAGAGTTCATGAAGTGGTCCAGCGGCCCATAGTTATCAAGTAGTTTTAGATAGATTCCGACGCGACGTTTCATCTCTTGTTATCTTTGGTCAGTCGTTCGCGCTTCTTGGGCTCGCATCTATCTGGCTGAGAGTCGTGTAATCGAGGTTGCTTAGCTGGCGGCTCGGACCCAGAAGACACGTGGATATCCATTTTCGTGAGCAGAGAGTCAGTTTGGAGGTGTTACTGAGACCACGGACAATGTGGGAGGAAGGATGAGGAAGTCGGAGAAACTATAAACAACGCCCGTGCACGCTAAGTGTCGCGTCGCGCCTTTCCCGCCTTCTGTCGACACATCCTCGTGGTTCAGTAATACCCTGTTCTCTTCTCTTAACTTGGCGTCTGTTGAGTCCTTTTGTGCGCAGGCAAAAGCTTTACTTTGCCGTTGAACTTACGGGTTACTTCATTTTTTTGCCGGCGCATAGTTATAAGCATAACCCCCATGAGTTGGGGACTCAAAACAAGAAAAATCAATCAATCCTGAGGTCGTGCCAGGGCCATGGACACGAAGACGCCACAAGCTCTATGATGAAGAGTGTTTTGAAGGCGCTGTGGAAACGAGAGTACTCTACATTTAGAAACTCAGCTCGAGCGGACACAGAGCGCCGCAATGAATACTATCGCGAAAATCTATGCAGTCGGCGTAGTAGTACCCTGAGCGTAGCACGAAGATCACCATCACAATCATCAAGACGAGCATTTCCAAGGCCGTAAACTCGTATATTGCTATTCATTGTGTGGGGACCGTCATCTTCCTTAAAAAAAAGTTTTCAGCGCGACACTGAGGGTATCTCTAGAGAACGACCGTTATTGCGCATGATTGAGGACATGTTCGGGCACAGCTTCCAATGCGTCGCTCCGGCCTTCGCTATAGCCCGTTCTAGTACTACGGGTCCTAGTCGGGACCTGCGCAGCATCAATATGCTCTCGTGAATCGATACTGCCAAGGGTTTTCATGCCATAAAGCTGTTCTTCTCTCCCATGATCCATTTCGTCATCTCCTGCTTCTTTTCCCATGTCGTATGGCAAGTTAAATGATCTCCGCTGTCGAGACTTGTCCTGTGTAGGTGTCCGTGTGGGATACGATGTTGTATAGTCGGTGAAGTATCGTGGCATCAAGTTGTTGAAGAGGCGTTTCAACGCAGGCGCGCAAGCGGCGATAATTCCAACGGAGGGCTCGACGATCGAGGTGAGGAGCCCGAGGTCCCATGTACGATCTTTATTTGAAGGGAGGTATCGATAGTAGTAGAGCACCAGACGGACGACGGAGGCTGCAGTGGCTCTTGGAGCAAGATGTCAGTGAATGGTCAACAGCAGAGCTCATAGAGACTTACATCCATCCCATGCTCATAACAGCAACTACAGCGATCTTAGTCTTCCTGCGCATCTGGAGACCCCACACCATTGCTGTTGGGATGGGGATGATGATGAGGTCCATGAAGATGCTAAGTCCGCAACTCGCCATGATAAATGCAAGACTATTGATGCACTTGCCGCCCTTGACGACGTTCCCGTTGGCATCGACTTGATCCATTTGGGGCCGAAGATAGGCGTAGCGAACGGGCGAGCATTGGAAGATATTGACGATGGTAGTGGACACCATGTATCCGATATTAACCCAGACTGTTGACCCAATGTTAGGCACTGCCATGTGGTGGTGACGAGCTACTTACAGACGACATGCAGGGCGATCCGAATGTGCCACCGCTGGTCTTTTACGCGGAAAAGAAACATTATAATAGATGCGCGTATTAGACCCATCAGGGGATGATAGAACATCTGCACCGCATAGGACCATTTGGAGGCCCGGACCTGGTCCGCGACGCTTTGTTTGGGTAAATCTTTGACATGATAGCCTGTGCGGCTGTAAATGATGTCTCGCTTCATGTCAGTCATAGTCAGCAGTGTGTTACACATAGCTACTCACATTCATAGATCGTTATCGTTTGACCGAGCAGAAGCAGAAGGGAAATGTGAATGAGCCAATCATCCCACCCAAAGTTTCGCCCAAGGTATCGTGAAAGAGTCCTCGCGCCGACAAACAACGCGGCAAGAATGGGGAACACACAGGTCACCGCCAGGGCCTCTGGTTGCCGGCTCTCAACCATGTCATGCGTGATGATGTGAATGCAAGAGAAATCAGAATGATGAGATAATCCAGATCGAGAACATATGCATGTCAAAACGAAACAGTTGAAGATCTGGCAGATCTGCCGAAAGGAGATGGCTGTGCAAAATGATGGAGATGCGGGAGCCTCGGTGAGGGACCTAAAACCTTTATCTGGAGCTCATCTGTTTGTTGCTGGTGCAGAGTGCCGGGGGCGGATCAGGAGGTGGCCATCCAGAGCCACTTGCATAGGTGCCGGACTTGGTCAGTGTAAGTTGGGAAGGCATTGGTGTTGATCTGTCAGGGCCGCGTGCAGCGGAAGAAGCGTCGCGATGCGGTTCCTGAATCGCTGCGCCGAAGAAACATGGGTGAGGAACGGATTGGGTTTGCAGCCGGCGATGCGCTAGACTGAAAACAGATTAGCGTTGTTTAGCCAATAGTGCTATAGCGGCCCGTTGCAGGGCAGCGAAGTTTCGTTGCAACCTTGAAACGCCCTGCACGTAATACCCTCAGGCACGCCCCGCAGAACCACCGTAGCGTATCCGTGGTGACAGCGTTTGCGATGAGCAAGAAGCGTCAAACCTGCAGAATCATCGAATTCTCTCGTCTCGTTCTCGACTATCCCGGACCACGTCTCTCCCTCCCAAGTGGTACGTGATGGTGCGACGTTGGTATTTCGTTTCGCTATCCCAGCATCTATGTCGGCGATGATTTCCTCTACCGATGTTCGCGCCATCGGCCTGCAGTGGGGGGAGGACGGATTAACCTTTCCTGGATGATCCTTCTTGCAACCAGCAAAGATCGTCAGTCAGCTACAAGGGTAGCGCGAGGCGTACGGGCCGGGACTATCACCTCAATTTACCGTCTCCTCCTTTAAAAATACCGTGCCTTTTCCGTCTTCCTGCCATGCGGCGAGGCGAACGCATCCGAACTCCACGGTATTCAGTCCTTCCAGGAGGATAGACGCCCTCCGGCAAGTACGAAAGGACAGAGCGGAGCCCAACCGTTCCTTTTCCAACCGTCGATCTCTTTCGGGAAGGGATATCGCTCTATGTAGCGTGAGGGGCTGAAAGAGCTATCGTCATGGACCGAAGAACCCGGTATGGATTTTCGGCTTGGTGGTTTACGGCATTGTTGGCCGCCTTGTCGGCTGCAAACCCAGTGCTTTCCGGAGCCGATCTAGTGCGCGCTGTAGATTCTACGCTCACGAGCGTCTCGGCAGCCCTGAAGGGCCTCTTTCTCCCCGAATCGCTGCAGGCTCCGAGCAATAGGACGTCAAGATGCAAAGTCTACCCCGGTGACCCAGAATGGCCGTCCGACGAGGCCTGGGCAAAACTCGACGAACTTACCGACCACAGACTGCTCGCGCGACCAGAGCCTCAGGCGGCAGTTTGCTACAATGGACCACTATACGACGCCGAAAAGTGCGCCCAGATTACAGCCACTTGGAATAGTTCTTATACGCACTACATCGATCCAATCGAGATGATGAGCCCGGTGGCGCAAGGCATGACATGTTTACCACCGAATGTTTTCGATTCTCATAATTGCACCCGCGGCGGTTTTCCGATGTATGTCATCAACGCGACGGAACCAAAGCATGTGCAGATGGGCGTCAACTTCGCCCGAAATACTGGGGTTCGACTTGTGGTTAAGAACACTGGTCACGACTTTCTCGGGAAATCCGGCGGCAAGGACTCCCTGAGTATTTGGACGCACCACTTCAAAGACATTGACTACATTGAAGACTTTGTGGATGAAACGCTCGGATATTCGGGGCCAGCTTTCAAAGCAGGGGTTGGAGTTCAAGCCTTTGAGATCTATAAGGCAGCGCACGAATACGGTCACTCGGTGGTTGGTGGCGAGGGCGAAACTGTGGGTATCTTCGGTGGTTATATCCAAGGTGGCGGGCATTCGCCCTTGACGTCTCTGTAAGTCAAGCCAAGCGTGTAGCTTGCGAGGTTCCTGTTTCTAATGTAACATAGCTACGGTACTGGAGCAGACCAGGTACTTGCCTTCGAAGTCGTAACAGCTGATGGTGAGTTCGTCATTGCGAATTCCACTTCTAATATCGACCTCTTCTGGGCGATGCGTGGTGGTGGCGGCAGTACATTTGGTGTCGCAACCTCCGTCACTGTCAAAGCTCACCCAGATATGCCGACTGCTGTGTCTCGATTCTCTTTCACATCTGAGAAGATCGGCAACGAAACATTCTGGGCTGGCATTCGCGCTTATGTCGACTACTTCATCCCCAACGCAGAGGCCGGAACATACGCCTATTTCCTTCTCGTCCCCAATGTCTACACCGGAATCTTCACCTTTTCGATGACACCCTTCTTTGCTCCGAACAAGACACTCGAAGAAACGCAAGCCCTTCTTCAGCCATGGTTTGCCCGCCTCAATGATCTCGGTATCGAATTCGACCCGAACATCACGCATTTCGATAACTTTTACGACGCGTGGCGTAGCTCGTTCCCGCTTGAAACTGTCGAGAAAATCAACGCCACGACTGGATCACGGCTCTTCCCGCGGACTAATTTCGAGACCGAGGAGAAGCGCGAGGAGCTCTACCACAACATCCGTCAGTCGAGCGAAAACAACCGCGTGCAGGTCCACTTCAACATCAAGGCAGTGGACCCAGACAATGCTGACAATGCTGTCAATCCCGCTTGGCGGCCCAACATCCTGTTCTCGCAGCAAGCCGTACGGTGGCCTGTGAATGGCACCGCGCAAGAGATTTTGAAGATCAGGCAAGAGTTTCAGGCTGGCGATATGCAGCGTTGGCGCGACATCAGTCCGGGTGCAGGAGGCTATCTGGCGGAGGCTGACCGCCTAGAACCAAACTTTGGTCAGGCATTCTGGGGCGACAAGTACCCTAGGCTGGTGGAGCTGAAGAGAAAACTGGATCCACACGACGTGTTCTTTGCTACTACGAGTGTTGGCAGCGAGAGATGGAAGGTTGAGAGCGTTGATGGACTTCCGAACGAGAACGGAAAGTTGTGTCGGGTGGACTTATGAGCTCGGCTCGCTCGTTGTTTCTTCCTGTCCGTGTCCCTTCCTCTTCTTTTATGTATACTTCTACCTATTGGAAACTGATACGAGCTGACGGCCGAAGGAGCATAATGCATCAGAGGTATCAACGGAAAAGCGACGCGACGTCAGTTCTCACAACAATTCTTTCCTAATATAATTTCTATTACACGGTACCCTCTTAGTCCAAACCATTTTGCATGTCAAGTTACGAACTACATTGTTCGTCTTGCATAGTACATTCAGGGGATATCTCGCCCCATTTCAGGCCTTCACATATCCGCACGACATCGTGTATTCTAGCCCAAACAATGCATACAGAGCAATATATGTACATCTCCTAGCCATCTCAATCTAAATACACCCAACACTAATATCCCTCACATACCTAAGCACATCACTCATCCTCATTCACAATGACCTGGTACGAAGTCCGCCAAGAAGCCAACAGCAAGAATTCCGTCGTCAAACATAAGGGCACCAAGCCCGTGGACTTCCCCAACTTGCCGTCCGACAAGCGGGGCCAGTCGAGCAAGTCGAGCAAGTCGAGCAAGTCGAAGAAGGAAGGCCAACGCAAGGTGAAGCCTGCGGGAGGTGAGCATATAGACTTGGATCAGCTAGCGGCTGGCTCGTATGAGCGCCCTGCATATCAGATGGAGAACCCTTATGCGGATCCTTTCAATGGTGAGCGGATGGAGGGTGATGCGAGGTCGGTGTTCTCCCAGGAGGAGAGACGACAGTAGACTTGATGTGAAGGAGGGTGGTAAGGCGTGATGCCGTTCAGTTTCTTAAATTCAGAATGTACTCTGTTGAAGCGTAGGATCGTGTTCTATGGATTAAGTCGCATGGTGATGTCCAGCTGTGTGAATTGAATTTCAATCTGCTACTTTGTTGGGTCTGCGAGATGCGCTGAAATATGCGGATAGAATGGAAGGCATCAAAATAAGGAAGGCAAGCGAGTAATGGTATGATCGTAGCAAAACCTAGGATCCGCTTGGAATGCGAAGGTAGACGTGCTACCTTACTTGAAGAGGTCAAGCGGGGTATCGCATTCTTCGTATTACTGTGCTAATGGTTGCCTGGCGCTAGGCCACCACCTATATAAAGTTGAAAACAAGCATGGAGCTGCTGATCTTCGATTGCTAGCAGCAATATGCCATATCCATCACCCTACATCGTCGAGCCTGAGACAGGCTATCCGCATACCCATACGGTCATCCTCCTCCATGGTCGGAGCAGCACCGCGCAAGAGTTCGCAACCGATATTTTCTCCCTCAAAACATCCACACCAGATCAAAAGTGGAGGTCAACCTTCCCGGGTATCCGTTGGGTATTTCCAGATGCCGGACAGCGATGGTGCACACCGTTCAAAGAGGAGCGTTCCGCGTGGTTCGACACGTACTCGCTGGATGACCTGAGTATGCGGCAGGACCTCCAGGTATCGGGATTGAGAGATGGGATCCACTTGGTCAAAGATATTATCGAGGCAGAGGTAGAACGATTGGCCGGACAAGCGGATAGGATAATTCTTGGGGGCTTCTCGCAAGGTTCGGCGATTGCTCTCTGGTCCTTATTCACCGGTGCTGCCATGACGAAGGGGCCTTTGGGGGCTTTCGTGGGATTGAGTGCGTGGATGCCTTTTACCAAGAAAGCGAAAGAAGTCTTCCACGCCGGTGAATCCGGCGAAGCCCAAGCTTGTCAAATACACGGGCTGATGGATACATTCTGTGAAATACTGGGTATTGGGCCACTCGCTTCGGCTGAAGCCGCCCAAGACAAGTTGCGGCGCATGCCTGTTTACCTTGGGCATGGCACTGATGTAATTAAAGTCCTCCCAGCCACTCTAGATTCGCTGACTGACGTCCTTTTCCTCTCTAGGACGCGCTTATAAGCGTGACAAACTGCCACGACCTTTCATCAATACTCGGTGCACTTGAAACCAAAGTCCAAGTTCAGGAGTACGTCGGTGCTGAGAGGAATGGCCACTGGATCAAGGAGCCTGAGCAGGTTGATGATATTTTTGCCTTTCTTGGGGACCTTGTGGGGAGCAAATGACTCCGTGGGCATAGAGATCGTGGTGAGGATGTGAAGGGCATACATGTCCATGTAGGGCCGCTGCTAAGGTGCGAATATCTGAAGAACCTCCGGAATGCCCGGGCAAGATAACAAATCGACCGGATATACTGCTGCTCTTCAACCTGGAGTAGATGTTTGATCGGTTCCGGTCACGGCTGCTGGAGTCGACGACTGATTCGTTTCCGTGTCCTTGCCGTTCGAATCTATCTTCTGATTTCCACGCTCGGACTTCTTCGGCTGTCGCTGTGCACCAACCGGGAATCTCTTGTTGCCGCCGCAGAGCGTACACTCGATAACTAAAACATCTGCCCATGGCTTCTTTTGCCCTTTGCTGCCGTTTTCTATTCTGTGGGATGAAGTGCGTCCGGGAATGAGAACCGCATTACAGCTCTTGCACATAGATCGCTTTAGATGAACAGAGAGTCTGACTTGTCCTTTTCGAGAGACCGTGTGGAGGTGAGATCCAAGCTGTAGAGCGAGGCCGGAATAGCCTTGAGCCACAGACTCGTCCGAGTGAGACATCTGGTTTGCGAGGGTGTCTCGTTCTGTTGTCTTGGGCGCAGATCCAGCGTGGAGGGTCAGGTACGTGGCTGCTTGGTACAGGAAGGTGGACCGGGCGTGCAGATGCTTGTTTGGAACTCCTTTTGCCTTTGGCGGTTTGCCTTTGGCCATGTCGGGCGGCTTGACTGTCCACTGTCTTGCGCCCGCGTGCCGTAGTTTGCAGTCGGTCGCCGCTGTCAAACACGCAGAGGCTGACTAATCGAGCACATACCATCTTTCCGCATCCAGCTAGCGCGTGTGGCTTGGCGGCGCCCAGGCTGGCTTTTTCACCTCGACCTCGCGTCCGTGACCTTCTCGCCCTTCAGCGCAGTGCAGGCTCTCAACACAAGACTTTTTTCTGCGCTCGAACAAGCAACTAATTCTCCATTTCCTCACGGACGTATTCTCACAGATCGCGCGCTCTGCCCACCTCCCTCGGTCGCAACCGCGGTCTCGCTTTGTTTGGCAGCCTTGTTGACGCCTCCACGACGACAGCCGCCGCTTCGACAACTACCTACTCCCATCCTCATCTTCACCATCAGCTCCGGCTTATAGATCCACCATGTCTCACGAGGAGGATCTGATCGACTACTCCGACGAGGAGATCCAGCCCAACGAGGCACCCGCAAACGGCAGCGCAGCTGCGGCAAAGGGCGCCCTTGCGGCAGGCGACGCTGCTGGCGACAAGAAGGGAAGCTATGTCGGGATCCACTCGACTGGCTTCCGCGACTTCCTTCTGAAAGACGAGCTCGTTAGAGCGATTACCGACTGTGGCTTCGAACATCCTTCCGAGGGTTAGTCTAATTATTTCCCCTCAGCCTTCCACCTACCTATAAGCGTCCGTCCATCTCCGCAACGAAGCGATACTTCTTTTCCGACGGTAAATCAATCGCGAACACGAGCAATGGTGAAGGGTTGGATCTGCTGCCACAGATTAGCCTTGGACCAACACGGGGCTTTCTGATTGCGGATGCGCCGGCTTTCTCGGGTACAAATGCTGCCGTTACTCGCTAGCCCGTCTTGGTGGTTTAGAAGAGTAGATGAAGGGACTTGTACTGCGGCGGATTAAGAGGGTGATGGTGCTATTGCTGGGTTGTCAAAAGCTGGATTGCATTGCTCATCTCGGTGGTTTGCACTTGGACGATGGACGGACGCTTACGCTTCCCCTGCCGCTTTGTTTCGACCGCTCTAAGATGCCTTTCTGACATATCTTTCTCCCTACAGTCCAGCAGGTTACCATTCCGCAAGCGATTCTCGGCAACGATGTCCTTTGCCAGGCCAAGTCGGGTCTTGGAAAGACCGCAGTCTTCGTCCTCGCCACCCTGCAGCAGATGGACGAGAAGCCAGAGCCCGGCGTTGCGACTATCCTGGTCATGTGCCATACTCGCGAGCTGGCCTTCCAGATCAAGAACGAGTACAACCGCTTCGCCAAGTTCTTGCCCGAGGTCAAGGTCTCCGTCTTCTACGGTGGAACCCCAGTTCAGAAGGACATTGAGCTTCTGGCCAACAAGGACACCCATCCACACATCATTGTCGGCACCCCGGGTCGTATCCATGCGCTCGTCCGCGACAAGAAACTACAACTCCGCAACTTGAAGCACTTCGTTCTTGACGAGTGCGACAAGATGCTGGACCAGCCAGGTCAGTCCTCACGCTCAGGCCGCCTGGTCCTCCATCTAACTTTCCGTGACAGACATGCGCAATGACGTTCAATCCATCTTCCGGGCGACGCCTGCGCACAAGCAGGTCATGATGTTCTCCGCCACCCTCTCCAAGGACATCCGTGTCATCTGCAAGAAGTTCATGCAGAACCCGCTCGAAATCTACGTCGATGACGAGAAGAAACTTACCCTACACGGTCTTCAGCAGTACTACATCAAGCTGGACGAGCGCGAGAAGAACCGCAAGCTTAACGATCTTCTGGACACTCTCGAGTTCAACCAGGTCATCATCTTCGTTCGCTCAACGCTCCGATGCACCGAACTCGACAAGCTTCTGCGAGAGTGCAACTTCCCCAGCACTGCTGTCCATTCCGGCATCGGACAGGAGGAGCGGTACGTTCTTTCCCTCTATGCGTCGGAATTTGCTTGCTGACTTTATGCTAGCATCAAGCGTTACAAGGAGTTCAAAGAGTTCCAGACTCGCATCTGCGTCTCCACTGACATTTTCGGCCGTGGTATCGATGTGGAGCGCATCAACGTCGCTATCAACTACGACATGCCGGACAAGGCTGATGCCTATCTTCATCGTGTCGGTCGTGCCGGTCGCTTCGGTACCAAGGGCCTCAGTATCTCCTTCGTCAGCAGCCCCGACGATGAGGCGGTTCTCAAGTCCATTGAGGAGCGCTTCCAGGTTTCGCTTCCGTAAGTTCTTCTCCTGCCCTCGTTTCATGGCCAAGCTAATGGCTTGACAGTGAGTTCCCGGAGGAAGGTGTCGACTCCGCGACCTATATGGACAACTAGGAGGCGGCGTTGACAAGTATTGGTGCTTGCGTACTTTGAGTGCGTCGTCGCTGTGTTTTTGCACCGCGTCCACCGAGACTGTAATTTTGGGATTATGCATCTCAGTCTGGTTTTTTTCGAGGAAAATCTCAGCTTGGCGTCGGAGGGTTCGGCTTTGCGGGCTCATGTATTTTAGCAAAGGGAGTGAATGACTTCACCGCTGTCTCACGGGCATATCGGTGAAGAGAATGACAAAGGTCAATATGAAGGAATGCAAGCGATGCAACCCAACCGGCTTTGAAACACCAGCTTCTCCCTGAACACGTCTCCCATGCCAACGTCCACGTTAACTTTTCCGACTGGATAGATGCGCCTGGAGTAGGGCGCGGTTCTTGAGAACCAAGTCCAAAAGTTGGCAGCATGCCTGCCTCGTTAACTTATCGGATACGACCTGACAAACACACGTTGGGAGTTGAGCTTACCAACACAGCAATTTCGCTTCAGCATTGAAGGGCACAGCGGAAAGCGTGCCTATCCTCTTGCCTTGCCGATGCAGGTCAGATGCGAAATCAAGATGGCAGGCGCGATCGGATGCCCCCGGATCCCTGAACTGCAGGAGCTGACCAGTCTTCGTGAGAGAAGGACGCAGGAGTGTCATAATAGCAGTGTTATTATAACCATGGTAATGCGATTAGGAGCTTTACCCGGCGGGCGGCTGCTGGACATAATGTCGAAAGCTCAGAAGTGGCAATTCGCGAAATGATAGAGCGTGATTTCCGCGGAAGCAGTGTTGAGACCTGATATCCGATCGTTTCAATTTCAGCAGGTTCTCTTTTTTTTTTCTTTCGCATGCAGAAATACGGGGTCCTCGACCAGCATCCTTTCAAGGTTTCGCTTTGTACCAAGCGGAATGATGATTTGCCATGGGCACGGGCGGAGGCGCCTGGGGGCTTGCCTGCAAAAGCAGGCATCCGCACCGGCATCCACTGCCGGCCGAACGACTTTCAGGACAAGTTGCGGGCCGGCGGGGGATGGCGACGCGCCACAGTCAGGAACGGGCAAGGAACGGTCTCGCTTCTGGGGCGGAGGCGTTACGCACGCACGGTGAGAGGGAAAGCGGTTAGCGCGAGCGTATTGGGGGCCGTTTGAGGTTGGTGATTCGCCGTGCGGTGGAATTTTCGCCCCACGGTGGGAATTTTTCTACGATGCGCCCGATATTGGTGATCTTCCCAGGGCTTGGGGATTTTCTACGCCGTGGCGGTGGCATTCGCGCTCTTGCGGTGCGTTTTGACGCATCTTGTGAGTTTATATTGTCGCGCTTGGAGGACATGACAGTAGTGGGCCAGAGTGGACCTAGATTCATTTCCCCTTTTCTCTTCTACAGTACATACAGCAGTTGTGCAAAAAGTACAGCGGCTACGCTCGTGTCGAGGCCGTGGTAAATCGTCGATACGAATAACGAGATTGAGTGCCTCAGGCTACAAGGGCTCAAAGGCTTGGAGCACAGATTGGAGCTGCAAGACCGCATTTCAAATTTCGCATGCTTCCAACTATCCCATTTTCCACCGCTGTCAGGGACCAGCTCCCGTGAATCTTTGGCGCCCACGCGCTCCGTGGAGGCGATGAGAACCTCAGGGCCGCTGTCCCCTGTATATATGAGAGGGCATCTATCGAAAAGGGGCAACGGCGCAACGCGTTTGACAGCCTCAAACATCAAGGGAGACCATGCGGCCGCGTCACCCAACGGTCCTCACGCGACAGAGGATGGGGGATGGGAGTCTCGAAAGCTGTGTAAGTGTGTGAACCCGAATGCGACCCCATGTCGGGCTCGCCTCGCCGCATGAGCACGCGCGCAGAGGGGGACGGGAAGACAGGCCTGACTCCGCTGTCACTGCTGTCAGCGAGACCGCTAGCCTGGCGTTTGCCATCCGGAAGGTAGAGAAGCCGCAAGCGAGATGGAAGAGGGCCTCGAAAGTACCGCATTTCTGGATTAGGCGGGACATTATTGTTCATGTTCGAATAATACAAACGAAGGGCCAAAGCCTCAGGCGCTTGTTCCTTCTGCGCTTGCTGGAGCTAAGTGTTTGACTAGGCGTTTGTGCTATAATAGTAACACCCGCTACTGCTCTCAACTCGCAATTGGCACCTGAACAAGCTCGTCGAAGCTCTGGATTCGCCGCCTGCTTCGGGTAGTAGACGATGCTTCGAGGGAGTGGCAAAGTGAGATGAGGGGTCGTCGGGGGTTTGCCCTAAGAGGTTGAGGATTATGAAACGCGGTTGATCACCACGATGGCGATTCGCTGTGGAGCTGCAGCGGCGGTGCATCGCGTCGGAGAGGGGAGCCAGATTTCAAAAGAGACTAAAACGCGCTGAAACACTGTCGTGCGTCCATCTCCAGCGCACCAAGCGAGCGCGATGCTGACGGTGAAAGTGCATGTCTTGGCGTCAAGAGGCAAAATGCGATGGGCGCTGCAGGGAGCATTTACAGAAGGATGACGATGGCGATAGACGAGCGGAACCGGGCAAATTACAGTAATGGCATTGGGGGTTTAGAAAGTTCCGCGGCGCTCATATAGTTGCTATTATTACTCTGCGGGTTGATAGGTTCCCTCAACCTCAAACCTCGCGCCTGCTCTGCGCCTTGGTTCCTGTCGTGCCTGTATATGAACCCGATGCTTTCGCCGCCGCAGAGCCTCCTGTCCGAAGCCGCTGCGACGTGGGCTTTCTCCCGCCGCTATCTGTGGCTGGCCGCTCGGGAGGTGTGGCGTGAGCGCGCATAGACTACCGGTATTTACCTGCTGTAGGGCGGATGCAAAAGGGGCTCGCGGGCTCGGAATTGGGAATCCTCCGGGTCATGGAGGCTATCGTCAGCAGCAAAAGGCAGAAGTAGCCGAGTAGAACTGTATCTGGCCGCGAGGCTTTATGTCGTCCGGAGGCATCCGCGTCGAGGATCACGGGCTGTCGCTGGGTCGGTCCAAAGCAGCGGACATTGCGAGGCGCACGTCCCTACAACGATAACGATGATGAATTGGCGTCGAGCAGGGCGGCCGCCAGCACGCACAGGCTTGGCGGGCCCACCGGCGCTCGTCCCCTGCTAGAGAAGCTCAACGTCAGGATCTGATGAACTGCACGCCGGTGCGCGCCCATTATTGGCTGCTGACGGCCGCTGGGGGCGGTACACGCGCGGGAGACGCAGGATTCCTGTATGTGGACGGAGTCAGGGGAAGCAGGAGGAAGCAGCACGGCGCAGAGGCAGACGACTGTGAGGGTGCTTGTGCAGGCGCTGTGCGCGTCGTCGTGAGCGCCGACGGTCTAGCGCGACATGGGCAGATCTTCTCTCGCGAGTCGGTCGGGCGAGGTTGGCGGATCTCCAGTCGGGAGGCCACGCAAGCAGGGTTTGCAGCGATGTTTTCCACTCGGCGCCGGCGGACCCAGCAGGCTCCTGTCGATGGCAATCCTGATAGCGGCCGGCCTCGTATTGCTGCATACATACGTCGATACGTGAGTGATGGTGAGGATATGGCGCTGTGAATTATCAACCGTTTGCACCGCACTGTAGCGCGGCGGCGAGGGCAGCAAAACAATGACGCACACGGGGCTGAGGCTGTCTTCGCGGCGGGCGGATGTGCGCCGTGCTCCCATCCCCAATTATATCGGCGGCGATAGCAGGCCAGCAGGGCAAGGTACCGGTACCGGTCCCAATCCGGGCCCTTGCAAAAAGTGGCACATCGCCTTTTAGATAGCAGAGCGCAGCGAACCCTCGCCGCCGCCGCTGCTGCTTGCTCCCTTCATCGCGCACTTCCCCCCCCCCCAACTCCCAGCTTTCCCCGCCCGTCGCTCGCTGTCTGCCTGTCTGCCTGTCTGTCTGCTGTCTGCTGTCTGCGTCCGCTCGCTATTCGCTACAGTGCAGCGCTCCTGGTGGCACCTGGGGCTCCCGCGCCCGACTGTGCCGACTGTGCTTTCCTTGGCTCGTCGCCTTGCTAGTGCAGGTGCCAGTCGCGCTGTCCACCGTCCACCCGCTGCAGCTGTTCCCGCCGTTGAGACACCACCGCTTTCTCTCCGCCGCCCTCTCTCTTTTATCCTCGCCTGTTTCATGTCGCCTCAGTGAAGAGTCGCTCGACTACCACACGCTCGTTCCCGGCTCTTATCTTAATCACTAATTACGCTGCTCCACGTCGCCGTCGCCCCGTCACCGCCCGAGCTGGCAAGCGGCTCTCGACAGCCAACTTTTTGGCTCCTCACCTCCGCCGCACCTCAGTTCCTCCACCCGCCGACCACGACACGCTGAGCAGCCCCCGCCATGGCTCCCGCTGTCCCCAGGCTGCGAATTCTGTCAGGTGCGTCAAATCCTAGCGTACCATCGCTCGACAATGGACAGCCTCTGCTGCCCGCACATGCGTCTCTCTATCTCGCTGGCCCGGGTTGGCGTGCACCACCCGGCCAAGCACCCTCGCGCCCTCCGGCCCCTTCCGCTGCCTTCGTCGCTATGTCTGCGTGGCCGAACATTCACTGACTGTGTGCAGTCGGCGGCAATGCCGTCTCCGCGTTCCTATCATGGCGGCTCCAAGCGACCAACGCCTGCGACGTCACGCTGGTGTGGAAGTCCGGATACGACAGCGTCGCCCAGTACGGCATCTCCTTCAAGTAGGTCGCCTCGCCCCAATTGCTCGAGTCCGTGGCTAACCGCCTATCCAGATCCGCCCTCTACGGCAACGAGCGCTTCAAGCCCTACTCAGGTATGCCCACGCGCCGCATCGCGAGTGAGGAGCACGCTAACAATCTCCTCAGTTGTCCGAACTCCCGAAGATGCCGCACATTCTTCCAAACAGCCATTCGACTACGTCCTGCTCTGTGTCAAGGCCCTGCCCGATGTATACGATATCGCCAACATCATCGAGTCCGTCGTGTCGCCCCAGCACACGTGCATCCTTATGAACACAACACACAGTCTTGGAGTTGAATCATATCTAGAGCAGCGCTTTCCGACAAATGTCGTCTTGTCGCTGGTCTCGGGCGCAGAGATTGTGCAGCTTGCAACGAGCGAGTTCGAGCACAAGGGAGCGACCGATATCTGGGTCGGCCCTGCTAACAGCAACCCTTCCATCCCGGCGCAGATCCAATCAGACATGGCCGAAGCCCTCGCTATGACACTGAGCTCTGGACAGGTCGACTGCAAGGTGTCGCCAAACATCCGCCAGCAGCAGTTCGAGCGGATGATTGGGTACGTCATCTCCCACGCCTTCACTGCTCGCATTACTAACGATTGACGACAGTGCCATCGCCTTTCACACAACAAGCGTCCTATTTGAGACACCTAACCATGCCGAGCTGCTCGAGAAGATGGGCGTCCGCGCCCTAGTGACTGGCATGATAGACGAACTGCTCGCGCTTGCCAAAGCTCAGGGCTGCACATTCCCGCCAGATTTTCGAGAAACAACGATTCGGCAGATGACGCAATCGCAGGAGAACAACAGCACCATGTGGATGGACTTCGAGGCTAAGCGGCCGATGGAGATTGAAACATATCTCGGGTCGCCATTGAAGCTTGCACAGGAAACTAATGTCGCCATTCCTCGCATCGAAACTCTTTACGCTACCCTTCATCACATCAACATCGTGAACCGAACGAGACCAAGCGCCGCACCCACCCCTTCTCCTCAAAATGGAGTTCAACCGCCGCCACCCCCGCCAAGGCTCTCTTCCGCACCATTACCGCGAGGACCGCCAGGGCCAGGACCGATGATGAACGGTAACGGACCGATGAAAGGTGGCCCACGCCCGGGAAGCCGGGCACCTTCTATCACCGGAGTACCACCAATGATGCGCCGAGGCCCGCCGTCAGGACCAGTAAACGGTTACCCTCCACGAGGTATGAATGGGGCGCCAAACGGCCAACGACGACCCTCCCTCGATGGAAACGACCTAGAAGAATTCAGTCATTTGATGCTGTATGACAATATGGTCGACGAGGGCGGTCCCAATGGTGGTCCATACGATGCTGCAGGAGGCCCCTCTACGAATGATCTAGCCTTGCGGGAAAGAGAGCTCATGCTGCGGCAGAAGGAGCTACAGCTTAGGGAGCAAGAGCTTAATATGCGTCGCGGTCGCGGCCCTGGCCCTCGTGGCCCGCCGCCTCCCCCTTCGCATATGGGCGGTTTCGATGAAGACGATGACGAGGATGATTACTTTGATCCTATGGCTTCCCGTGGTCCCGGTCCGATGATCGATCCCGACAACTTCGACATGATGAGCGTAACGTCTCGCCGCAACCGCAAAATGCCTAGTGCAAGCCAGATCCGCAAAAACCCGGAAATGGCTGCTATGAGTGGCATGGGTGGTATGCCTCCCCCAAGCGGCCGGTCCAGGAACCCGTTTGCACGCCCTGGAATGAATAAGAATCGTACCAGTGCGCGGATCATGGCAGAAGTCCCTGGTTTGCACGACTCGCTCATGAACAATCCTCTCATGGGTTACTCCTCTAACCGATACGGCGATGTTGACCGAGGCACGATGGGTGCGCAATCGAGAGCGAACTCACTAACTGCAGCTCGACTCGACGAACTTCAGCAAGGTGGTAACTACGGCGCATACCCTCCGATGAGCCGTCGAACCAGCCAGTCGCCTGGCAATCCCCTCAGCCCTGGCCCGAGGCCAGTGGGACGCCCGTCTCCTCCGAACGGCTATCCGCCTAACGGGATGGCGCCCAACGGGCGCCCATCACCGCCTGGCATGAGACAGCCTGTGCCACGACATCCGCCCGGTCACGGAAACGCAGTGGCACCGCAACAAGTTGAGCAACACGCTGGGGTGAGCAACCTTTATCCGCCCAAGTCCCGTCCTCACGTGCGAACTCTGATTGGAACTAGCGCGGGCAGCCATAGCTCTTCGGGTGCCAGCGCTCAACTAGATTCGGAGAACTCTGCGCACAGCAGCCAGAGTAGCCTAGGACCCCGTCCTCCGCTCGGCGTTCGGTAATAGAGGAGATCTGTTTCATTTCGCATCTGCGGCATTCGACTTGGAGTATGTGGGGAGTTTGCATTACCACCGTTTTCGATTCGGCGACACATTGACGAAGTTATCTACGGGACTGAAAGCTGGCGGTCGGCGCCACCGACATGTCTTCTCTGGTTCCTACCCTGCTGTTGACGGCAACTATCCATCCATCCTCGGCTCTCTCCTAGTCATCTTCTCTTCTGGAACACGAATACGCACCGGATTTTGCTATAGCTCGGCCGCGGATGATCGAGGTCGGGGCTTAACGAACTGCCAGAGGCTGCTTTTGGGGCTCGATTGGCGGGTACTTAATGATGAATATTAGAGGTGGGCTCAGGGAGGACACTTTGCACGTACACAGAATGACCTGAGCGTAAGGTCCCGTCTCCTTCAAGTTTTCTTTTTTGTCTTATCGTACATACTGTAGACGTTCTAACGGCGACGTCTGTTCAGACTGGCGCCCGCTAATGTTTTTTTGCATGGGCTGCTCAGTGGCTGGGTCTTGGTCCTGTTAGGGTTTTCGATACATGCACATGTCTTTTGGCTTTTGGCATCCGTGCCGTCAGGGCAGCTGTTCACCGGCTGTTGTTGGTCGTGGAGCTGACGGGGCGTGTACTATTTACTGGCGAGCGGAGATGAAAAGCAGGGTCTCCCGGCGGGCGAGCGAGACAGAGGGCAGAGCGCAGACTTGTAGCGAGCATACATAGGGGAGGGGGACGCGGTAACAAAAGCGAGACGTTCCTTTGGCACGTGCAATTCATCTGAGGTCTTTTGCGTGTCTCGAGGCCCCGCGTGCTGCTGGCTGCTGCTGCAAGCTGCCGAGTCGCGGAGAGGCGCCGCCAGATTGGCCCCGGGATCTGGGGAGTTCTCAGCCGCCGACGTAACGGTTCGCAGCTGGTGCGGGGCGCGGCCTGGCTGATGAGCTGCTGGGCTGCTGGGCTGCCTCACGATGTTTCCATGGCCTTCTCCGGGGGCCCCTCGTTTCAATTGCCCGTCTGGTGGCGCTAGGAGTGCCACGCCCGCCGTGCCTCCCTTCGCGGACGAGATGCCCCAATTGACGGGCCCCGTGTCCGCCTCTGCAGCGAGTCGACACCCAACGCGCGCTTCCTTGCAGCGGCCAGAGTGAACGGCAGAGCCCCTCCATAGGCCCAACGCGCGCGACCCCGCCTGCCAACGCCGGGCCGCGAGCCCATCCTTCACCCTGAGGTCCGACACGAGGAACAGTTGGCGGGTCAGCCGCTCTGCGCACCCAACCAAAGCCAACTGTGACGCCCGCCCAAGCTCGACTTCGCCCGTCCGCCGTGACACTGCGCGCTCGTCCTTCTCGGCCCACACCGTCTTCAGCGTGCGCGTTGTTCTCCTAGTGCTTGTCCTCCAGCTGCTAGCCCCGCGCCTCCCTCACGAGATCCTGCGCCTTTTCACCACAAAGCAGCATTGGCACGTTACATCGCCGGACGTCACTCCCCGCGAGCCCCTCCTCTTTAAAGAGCCTCCGGTCTGCCCGAAGCCGTCCCCGAGAGTCGAATCCGCTGGCACATTCAACACGGACACTGAGCGCAGCATGGCGTTAGCAGAGCAGGCTAAGCGCGTCGCCGCAGAGTTTGAGTTTGGGCCCGAGGCCGTCAACAAGGCCGTCAAGGAGTTCATACGGGAAATGCGTATGTGCGGAAGGCTCCCGGAACGCAAGTGAAGCGCTGACGGCTGCAGATGAGGGCCTTCAGAAGTATGGAACCGAGCTGAGCCAGATCCCGACCTACGTCACCGCGGTGCCGAACGGAACTGAGAAGGTACGACACGCGCAAGCCCACTGCTGCAAATGGCACAGCTAACACTGGCAGGGCCTCTACATGGCCGTCGACCTCGGCGGCACCAACTTCCGCGTCTGCTCGATCCAATTGCACGGCAACACCACCTTCTCCCTCACCCAGAGCAAGGTCAAGATACCAAACGAGCTCATGGTTGCGAAGACGGCCAAAGAGCTCTTCGCCTTCCTCGCCAAGCAGATCGAGAACTTCCTCAAGACACACCACGGGGAGCACTACGGCGCCACACTCAAGCGCCGCCAGACTGGAGGCAACATCAAGGAGGATGAGATATTCAACCTGGGTTTCACCTTCTCGTTTCCGGTGCAGCAAATCGGCATCAACAAAGGCTTGCTCATGCGCTGGACTAAGGGCTTCGATATCGCGGATGCCGTTGGAAAGGACGTGTGCGCCCTGCTCCAGGCGGAGATTGATGCGCTGCATCTTCCGGTCCGCGTAGCCGCTTTGGTCAACGACACAGTGGGAACCCTCATGGCGCGCTCGTACACCTCGCCTGGCAAGACCGGAACTCTGCTCGGTGCCATCTTCGGAACCGGAACCAACGGCGCGTACGTTGAGAAGCTGGACAAGGTGAAGAAACTGCTACAGAATCAGGACGCCGGAGAGTACGACAAGTCAACTGGCGACATGATCGTCAACACCGAATGGGGCTCGTTCGACAACTCTCTACGGACTCTTCCAAACACACCCTACGATATCGAACTCGACGCCAAGTCTGTCAATCCTGGTATTCAGATGTTTGAGAAGCGCGTGTCCGGCATGTTCCTCGGAGAGCTCCTGCGTCTCGCGCTCGTTGGCCTGCTCAAGGACCCTTCGTTCCCCCTGTTCAGGGATGAGAACTCAGCGCAGAACGACGTCCATAGCACCACGCAGATCTACGAAAGCAGCCCGATATGGGAGCAATGGGGCATTGACACCAGCTTCTTAAGTATTTGCGCCGGCGACAACAGCCCAGGGCATAGGATGCTGCGGCAGACCTTGGACAAGGATTACGGTATCTCAGCCGTGAGCGCCGAAGACGCAGAAGCAGTGCGGGAGATCGCAGGCGCTATAGGTCGTCGCGCAGCTCGTCTCTCCGCGGTCCCTATTGCAGCTATCGTCCTAGAAACCGATCGCCTAAAGGGCCCGACGGGAACCGCAACGACAGAAAAGAAGGAAGGTATCGAGCCGGCGCGAGGCAGCGCGGATCTGGCAGAGGAGGACATCATCGATATCGGCGTTGACGGCTCACTGGTAGAATTCTACCCCAACTTTGAAGACCACATTAGGCAGGCGCTGCGGGAGATAGAGGGTATTGGAGAGGAAGGAGAGAGGAAGATTAGGATTGGTATTGCGAAGGATGGTTCGGGTGTCGGTGCAGCGCTGATTGCGCTTGTAGCGGGGAGGGTAGTAGCGAGCACGGAGGAGAGTGACTAGAGGGGAGGACTCATCTAGTAGCGAGGGATCTCGGAGCTAGATTCATGCATTTGGGTTGCTATTGCACCGTGTGATTTTTGCAACACTTCGAATACACTATGCATATCCGTCTGCTATGACTCTCCTACCGTGCTGGTATGTCTTCCTTTCTTCCTTCCGTCGTCGCGTTATCACGGCTGCTTGATTGAAGAGACTACACCAGGTGTATTTTTATTTGAGAGTCGGGATTCGTTGATGCTCGCCGTAACGAGTAAGATTGACTCAGTGAATTATACATCCCATTGTACGCACCCGCGAAGGCCAGGGTGCGTAGCTGTTACGCACGTCGTGTCGCTAGAGAATCCCCTACCGTGAGGGGCCCATCCCGCCAGCTTGTCAAAAAAAAAAGGTGTGTGCGTATATTGTATCATAACATGCGTATATTATAGTACAGATTCCCGCTCCAGAGTGGACACTGCTGCTTCTACCCTTCACGGTATATTATTAATTTAAAGTAACTCCATAGTCCTCTTCGCAAGAGACGAAAGTACTTATTTTTCGCTATGCGGTCCTATGTAAAGCGTTGTTGCGTTGTCTACGAGAGAAAACCTCCGCTATCCAATCATAAGAGCAGATACGGCGGGGGTGAAGAAGTTTTCGAAAACCCACAAAAGCTGGCCGACCATTGATCCCATTGTACGTACCTGCGAAGGCCTTAGGTAGCTATGACGTACGCCCGTTATGTCTAGAGAATTCCACACCAAGAGGATGCTGCACCACCAGCCAAAAAAAAGGCCAAAAAAGAACATCGTTTGCAACGCCCGGCCTGGGACCTGCGATTTCTGTTAGGATTTGCTTGCAAGGGAGAATTTGCAGAGTAGCCAACGTACTCGAACCCAGAGCCTTGAGATTAAAAGTCTCACGCGCTAACCAATTGTGCCAGCCGGGCTCTTTCTCATGGAATTTCATGTCGATGGCAGAATTTTGGGATTAGATGATTTATGTAGTAAGAGCTTAATTCAAACTGGTGTGTGAGGGGCATTTTGTGAGTGTGAGCGAGAGAGCGGAGTGTGGGGCGGAGTTGTGTGTGGTTGGCGGTCAGGCTATGTGGCACTGATTGGTGGCTTTTGGGCGGCTAGGCGGTTGGGCACTTTGGCTCGGAAGCAAGCGGGACATCACGTCATGAGAAATGTTCTGGAAGGATTGTGGAATGCGACGTTAAGCGGTTTCATGGCTGTATTCGGGATAGGCTCTTTGCGGTAAAATATTCTCTCTGGATTTAAGGGCTTGCCGCAGATTTAATAGGACGTTCGTAAGCTATAACTACACGTGCAATTGTATCCACCTGCGAAGAGCTCCAGTTACGTGAGATAGGGTGTGGGGATACGTGGGCAGTTTCGTGCATGCACATCCCAAGGACTGTGGAACTGAGCAGAAAGAATAATGCTCTATTGACCTCTCCTGCCCATCATGTGGAAAAGCATAGTATTGTTGGGCTGGGCTTAGTCGGTCCGAGTTTGAAGGAAAAGCAAGGGAAGTCGTTGTGCATTGATGTTCGGAGACGCCGGGAACGGGCGCACCGATGCATGCGGGTATATTGTGCATGCGTAGGATGTGGTAACACGGGAAAGGTCATTCTATATTGGGCTTATATGGAAGCTTGACTTCACTGCGTCATTGGGAATGCATTCTGCTTTTCTGGTAGAGTTCGTCGTTCTTGTATACGTCTCGCGGTTGTGAGTAAGTCGTGACTGCTGAGGAAAGTAGTCATGCCACCATCTCCGTCGTCTTACGCAGCGAAGCTAGCCACGGCGTAAAAGGGTAGTACGGGTGGTGAGTCTCGATAAGTCGGAATAGCCCTACCTCTCGAAGCGCTGTACAACGTCTAGGACAGGAAGTTCTCCCTGTATGTGAGCATGCATTCTTGTTGGATGTCCGAAAGGGGATATTGTTGCCAAAGGAGACCACAGTCCAAAGCCGCACCTTGCCGGTGCACGTCGACGCAGGTTCATGCAGCCCTGCTCCACGAAAGACCTCAAGAGGACGGAAACATTCTCCGTCACGGCCACGAAGCCTCGTCCAAACACCGTCTGTCGTACTCACTTGACCGCCAGCGCATACTCGGGAGCATACACGTAGCCGATGTTGACGAGTGACAAATCCAAAAGCCACGGGACGGTGGACCCGCATCAAGCAATCTTCACACCGACAGATCGCCATACAAAGAGCCCCAAGCTCTGCGTACAAGAGCGGTCGGCGGTTCCGTGATAAGGGTCGCGTAAACGACTTGGCCGCCGTAGCGCCAACCCCGCATCCCCAAATTCATGTGGACAGACGTCGTTTGCAGCGCGGAGAGCCAATGGATCGATGCCTGAGCTGGTGAGGCAGACGCTGGGGTTTCGTGATGATGAATGAACAAAGGCGCTTGAGGGCGTGCCGCAAGTATCCCGTCCCAAGTTGGTGGTCTGGCATGTGAAGTGTGATGGAGACGCCGAATGGGGTGACGCGATTTCTCGCAGAGCCGCACCATGTCGCGTCTAACGGAGGGGAGGTGGAGTGCAGCGGTGCGGCGCGTGCGGATATAAAGAAATCGCGTCTGTCGCAGGCCCTGACGCGTGAAGGATCGGTCGACGACTGAAACGGAGCGACGGAAACGAAACGGTCGACTCGCGGGCGCTAGATCCTGACCCCAAGCAACGCCCTCCCGTTGACAACATCATCGACGACGACGCGCGAGGAAGGTCGCGCCGCTCCGCCAGTGAGTGCTGATTCGCCCGCCCACACGCCCACACGGTTGCCTTCGATAAGGCTGAAGTGGCATGAGGCTGATGCGCGCCACACCTCAGTGATGGACCCTGCCAACCCCGCCAGCGCATCGCTCGCCGCCATCCTCGAAAATTCCGTAACACGCCCTCAGCTGGGCGAATGGCTGGAGTCTCCCACCAGGGATATTGCCGCCCGCCTCGTGCACTTCGCTTCTTCTCCTGACGGCCCGGGGCCGGCTTCCTACAGCGCGAGCCCGCCGTATTCGCGGTCGGTTCAGTCCGTTCGGTCGAGTTCCTCCATGGCTCCCGCCTACATACATCAGTCAAATGCCTCTACCCACCCGCCGTCGCTCCACCACTCCGAAGCCACGCCCACCGAGACGTCCATCAGCACCGGCCTCGCCAGCCGCTTCTCCGGCGTCCCACTGCTCGAGGAGGTCAATGGCGTGCTCGAACGACGCCCGAACCAGTACAGAGCCCCCGTGTACGAATGCGCCTTCTGGTTCCTGAGCTGCACCTATATATCGCGCGACGAGGAGGAGTGGAAGACCCACTGCCTCAGTCATTTCCGCGGCGAGGAACCGCCCAGATCGGTGCAATGCCCGCTGTGCGAGTTCCACACCACGTGTGACGACGGATGGACTGCGTGGAACGTGAGAATGGATCATATCGCGTATTGGCACACCATGGTCGGCGAGACACTCAAGACGAGCCGGCCCGACTTCCATCTCTTCCAGCACCTCTGGCAGAAACGGCTTATCGACGAGCAGGACCTGAAGGAGCTGAAGGGAGGAAACCATAACCTGACGCGACCGCCGACCAACTATACCGTTACGAATGGCCGCCGTGAACGAGATGGGCGGCGCCAGAGGAGCCAGCACGTCGGAGGTAGGCGGGGCTGGTGAACATGTACTCACCTCGATGTCTCCCACTGAAACACCGGGAGCGGTACATGACCTCCCATATGCGGCCCTGCGGCGATGGCACGATGTTGCATTCTTCCCCTCGCTGACCGGTGAACCGAAATCGGCCTCCCCACTCCTTCATGCCGGCTGGCTTCCTGCATGCAATACGACGCCGCCCTATCCGCTTCTATAACGTGGCCATTGCACTTCCCTCCCCTTCTCCGACTGCATGTTTCCCTGCACCTAATTCTTATTTTGGTTCGTTCTGGCTTGCTGCTTTTGGAAGTGCTCCACCAAGTTGGCTTGACGAGGACACGATGGCATCCTTGGAGTTCATGGGCAAAAATTGAGCGTTGTCCGATTCGTGATAGCGTCCTGGATTTTCTTCAGCGTTCTGTGCTCGGCGATTGGCTTCTAGTGCTGTATTAAATTGCTCTTTGGCCACGAACATCTGGAATGAGGAGGGAAAGGATACCAAAGTTGAATTTATCATACGTTCATCTCCCCCTAGGAAGGCATCGGGACTAGATAGCATAATTTCTATCTGACATTTTGTCGCCACCACGAGGAAAGAAGTTTTCTGCAGTGCGAGGAGGCGTCCTTCTGCTTATATACATCCAACCCCAAGCATTCCCAGCCTGCCCCCTTTATTTGCCATCCCGCCACCAGCCGCGACACGCTCATTCGTCACTTCAAAATGAATGGTAGCAGCCTCGCCGTCTGACCATGGCGTTGCGCGAAAAATCTCTCAGCCCAAGTTTCGATGTCTGCCTAGGGCTCGCGTCGCGAATGCAACGGCGCTATACTGGATTGGGAAGGGGTACGCGGATAGTTCGCGTGGAGTGCGAGCTGCGAATGATCACTTTGACAGGCGGCGGGATTTAGCGCTGATTAGTGGTCGTTGTGTTACACCGAGTGGAATGTGTTTGGTGGTGTGGGCCGACTGTACGTTGCGGGACGCATACAGGTCTTCCTTTGGCTATAAAAAGCCGCTCCCGGCCTTCAACTATTGAGAACAATTTATTCATGACCGTTTGTGGTGTCTAACGGGATGTCTAGATGGGTCAGTTTCATGCTATGTCTGGTACTCCACACTCTTATAGCAACCTTGAGAATATGGATTGTGAAGGACAAATACGTAGACTGTCTTAGATGGGATAGAGTGGAAGAAGGGGAAGTGCGCTGGAAGAAGGCGAAAAGATGAGTTTGGTTCAGCTGGGGGGACGTAGCTGTACCGCATCCGCAGTCGGGTGGAACTGACGCCTAGAGCATCAACGAGTCCACCTCGAGCAATCGGAGATGAGGCCGCCGTCGTCATCGACAGCAAAACTACCTAAACACCATTGCCCAATTTGCCTCGTCCCTCTTCCAACCCCTAAGACTTCCTTCTCCTTGGTTCGATACCCAGCTGTAGGCAATACCAAACCATACTGCGATCGAGTTTTGAGTAGCCTGTCAAGAACAAAGTAAAAGTTAGCATAGAGAAAGGATGGAAGTCGTAAAGGAGGTTTGTTCAATGTAGAACCTGGTATACTACAAATCTCAGCCAAATCAAGCCCAGTGCAGCCACGCTACAACACAACTCTACGGCGCCGAGGCTGACCCTGCTCTCCAAGATGTACAGATCCAAAGTCCTCCGCCCGTCATTAGAGTGGGCTCTGGGGATCGGTATTAATACTGTGCGGTGCACGCCGGCTGCTCGCTGCGCTACGGGATCTGTCGCTAGTCGTATACAGGAAGCGATGATGCTAGTCCCTGTTGTTCTCATACGGGCAGGCCTTCCTCGTCCTCCGCTTCGCTTCCCCCACTAACAGCACCATACACCCTCACTGGTACCTGCACCTCAAAACTCTCAGCCGGTAACCGTTCTACCGCCGCTAAGATTATACCCCTGTCATCGCTCGATATTTCTTCAAGCAAGTCGTCCCAGTACGCTTCTTCACCGTCCTCGTGCATAAGTCTCGGCGTTATAAACTCCACCCGCAGCTTCCACTCTAGGCTTACTCCGCTAGTGATAAATTCAGGGGTCGCGTTTGGAGGTATGGTCGGCGAAAAGGATAATCTTTGCGCGAACAGTGCGTTCTCGGAAAACGATGCATGCACTTTGCGGGTGACACGGTATATCGAAGCATTCGATCGAAGTGCTATCGCTGGATCTACTTTTTCCGAAGATTCTAGCGACACATGGACCGAGTAGGACGGGATATCTGAGTTGGTGAAGTCTATCACGGCAGACATTGTTTCGCCCAGCCTGTAAGCGGGGCGAGCGAGCATTATCACAGCAACACGTCGGCCGCTGCGAGCAATCTCGAATCGATTGGCGCTCTGGTTGGTGGCACCGGTCAGGTTGCTGCGTAAGATTGCGAGATCGATAGCTTCTTTCATATTGTGCGGTTCTTCAGCCACAGAAGAGCGCCCTGGTATGGTTTCCGTGGGGGATAGCAGCCCCATGCTAGAATTTTGCCTCGGCCTATCGAGGAGGTTGTCGACATATTCAAGGAAGTCATTGAACGCCGCTGTATCCGTCTGAATGTTTGCCACGCTTTTCTTAGCTGAAGAGCCACTTGGGACGCTCGCCTGGGCGTCGACGCTCGAGGTTCGTGCTTGATCGCGAAGAATGATGTACGGGGACATCAGGTCATGTCCAAGTATTTCTCCTCGGCCTTAACGTTGAATTAGCACATCAATACCTGACTTCAGAGTCGATACATACTATTCACGCTGCCAAACACCCGGAAAGGGATATCGACCTGCTTGACTTGTTGATCTCTAGAAGACCCTGGCCGCTGAGTGCCGATAGTTAGGTGGTAGGCGACTTTCATGGAGCGTCCCTTGTGCGTGGGAGGTAGACCTCGAGGTAACGTAAAGCTGTAGGTGTAGCTCCGACTTTCTCCCGGAGCTAGCTGGAGATCGACGAACAAGATCGACTGCGGCGTAGTAATCAATGGCACTATCTTAGAGCTCGCGATTCCCCTCATCTCCCTGATGCTGGACGGTTCTGATGAGCCTAGCAAGCCTCCGAGAGATTCTCCAATATTCGACCACCCTAATGCGCCGAACAGACCGCTGTCCCGCTTGGCTCTTTCAACACCGACAACGCCACCTCCACCTTGCCCGCCAACGACGCCTTTTCTTTTGACCTCTTCAAAGGGCGCCTGATTGATCAGCGAGCCATCCAGAGTGAAGGATCCCATCACTTGAGCGTAGCCCATCATGAGAGATTCAGGGTATCTGTGCTGACCGGGCGGGGCTAGAGAGGACCCTCGCTGATGCACCGCCTTTGGGAGAAGTCGGGCGGTCGGTTGCGCAATGTATTCCGAGGCTAGCGTCTCGCTTGAATTGTTGCTCATGGAATAAAACTCTCCACTGCTTCTAGGGGTTCCATTTAAGCTCGATCCAGATAATATTCGAGCCACAGGAGACAACGTCTCGATATTCGGATTTGGCGAAAGGTCTTCAGGGGGTCGAGGCGACGGACCACGCACCGAAGGTGAGCGCATACGCGGATTACCGGTCTTGTTGTCCTTGGTCAGGAGATCGGGCGAAGGGTCGCTTGGTAGGGGAGCAGCGGGGAACTTGAAGTTTTGAGAGAAAGAGCCAGACGCTTTTCGAGATGTGGAAAGGAGAGCTGGAGTGTTCGGTGCAGTGGCGACGCCCGGTTTCCTCCGAGCCGGCCGTGTAGGTAATGGAAATTCGTGTGCGGGCTCATGTATGATGGGCGGGGAAGAGGCGCCGCCCATAAGCGGAGAGTGGTAGGGATGGGTCGCCGACCGGTGGCCTGGCGAGCTAACTGTAACACATCAGCATACATAACTGACTACGAAGGCTGCCAGTACCTGAAAACGGACTCGGCCTGCCGGGCAAGACCTGTAGACTTGCTGACCTGCCATGCGCTCGCATCGGCCGCCGTGACGAAGCCGGTCTATCATGGCTAACTTCAGTAGCCGCATCCGTCCCTAAGGATATTATCGATAGCGACCTCCCGTGTCCGTTCTTGTGACCAGGTGTTGCGCTTCCACTACTGAATGCTCCGCTGGGAGGAAGCGGAGATCGACGCTCCCCAAGAGAGGACGGAGTGTGCAGCGACAACGCGGGCCGATGGCCACGGAGATGGGCTGGAGGCGCTTGCGATGCAAAGGAGGAATTGCGGGACATGGAGGGTCGGGTCGAAGAGTGGACTGGAGGCAGCTTGCGCTGTCGCTCTCCGCCGGGTGCGAATCCATTCTGTTTGCGAGCTGGCGACCGCTCGCGTCCTTCTGGAGGCGCCACATTCCTGAATGTTATCGTGCATTCAATGTCCTCGCCCGCGAATACGGTGGGGTTCTTCCATTGCACGAACACGCGGATATTCGAGGACATGGTAAGGAGCGCGGTCTGGGGCGCTGGCTGCGGGATTGGGGGCAGCTCATCGGCGATGACGGGTCGGCGACATGACTACTGCCAGACATCGACCTTAGTGCGGGCGGCAGCACATCCAGACTGAAGCGTGCGAGGAGGGAGTGAAAGCTGCAAACGCAGGGACGATGGAGACGGTCCGTCATGCACGACCTCGGCGATAATGGTTGATCCGACGCCGCATAGGGCTTAGTGTCTGACCGTGGTAGTCCAACTGCTCCAGGGCTCCACGCTTTAACACTATCTCAAAATACTGGTACCGCAAAATTATGATATAGATGAAATGAGTCTGCTGATGTAACAGCATTTTATTTAATATCAGCTTCTAGACAGCAATCCAAGCGCCTAAGGCATTCCGCGAGGGCAGACGTGACAAGAAAACGCATGCGCCGGTCTCTGTATGTGCTGAACTTGGTAATGGCCTAAAGCACCATCGCAATATATCCTCACATCCGGCCACCTCGTCGAGTTCTTGGGGAAAGAGCGCTGCCTCCGAATCTCTGTGCTTCGACCGATGATTGGTATACCACCTTGACCAACTCCTCAAGCCTCCAATGAATGATTCGCTTCATCCCTCCACATAATCCAGGCTTCCCTTTCCGACAGTCGAGGGTGCCGCATTGGGGCCCTTTTGCTGTTTCAGCTTCTCTTCAAATTTCGCAAACTCCTTCATCGCAATCTCTTCCTCTTGATCCATCACCTGCTGCACGCCTTTTACCTCCTCAATGTAATGCATAAGCATGCTCTCGATGCCGTTCTTTAACGTGACCGTACTTGAGTCACATGTCCGACAAGCTCCCCTCAGCTTCAACAGTACCTGCCCATCATGGAAGCCCCGGAACTCGATATCCCCGCCGTCCTCCTGGATCGCCGGTCGCACTCTTGTTTCCAGAAGCTCTTTGATCATCCCTATGACCTCGCTGTCGTTCTCGTCGTACGCTAAGCTGTCAAGCTCTGTGCCTTCCTGTCCGCTCTCACCAGCATGGTCTTGTACCGTATTGACGATTGGCTGTCCGCTGACCATGAACTCATTGATGATAGCGAAAACCTCAGGCTTTACATGCGCCCACGGCGTGGCGCTATCTTTGATAACTGTGATGTAGTCCGCGCCGAAGAACACCGAACTGACTCCATCAATGTTCAACAGCTTTGCGGCGAGCGGAGACGGATGTGGAGGCGCGAGGGTAGAGCGGGGAGTGAGGTACTCGAGGAACTGCGACGATATTGATTCGGGTAGAACTCTTTGATTCGGATTGAATTTAAGGGCCTGGTAAAGTCAGCGCCGTTCTTGGGAGCTAATAGTTCGTAATAGCGTACGTCTGGATTCGGTGTTGCTTCTGTCTGAATGAACATGGTCCGTCGCCCGAGCGAGGCGCCTGAAGACGGCATCTTCTGATGCCATTGCCGGAACGTCGGTCTATGCTGTAGAAGAGAAGCCGTGATTGGGGTTGCCTTCTCGTGCAGACATCTTGTAGCAGTTCTCGGAGCCTTTGAGCGGAAAGCCGGAGCAGCACGGAACAGAAAGCGCATAGCAGTTCGTGACGTCGTCGGGGATGCCATTGTCGATTAAGTTGCAAGCGAAGAATGATCACAGAATATCGGATGGCAATGATTGTGAGTTGAATGCTAAGTTTTGGGCTGCGGCGTTATGACGAAATTCCGAGATTACTCAGCTGCATGTCTTGGCGAGCGTCGCTCTACCAATTATGTCACTGCTGTGTATTCATCGGCCTGCGTAAGTATTATCCCGTAATTAGCTCGTCAGACGCGCAGGACCGCTGTAAACGTACGTTCTAACCCCTGTTGCTCTCTCCTCAATTTGCCTTTTCTCTCCGTCTACCCCTTCCTTTGTATTCGTCCAGCTATATCGCGCACTACACCTCCATCTCCAATGGCACACCGCCGCCCTCCTCCGCATCGAACCAGTCCTCATCACTCGCCATGTCTACATCATCGACGCCCTCCATGATCCTCACAGCCTTCCATGCCGCGATCGTCTCTGCATTCAGCCTCTTTAGCCCCTCTACTATGCCGCCCACGTTCTCTCCTCCGACTTTGACCTGGCATTTGTACATCCTCTTTCCTGGTCTATTCGAGCTTTCGTTGTCTGTGACCCTAACGTACTGCACATCCTTCTCCACTGCCAGATGTCCGAGACGTTCCTTGGGATGAAGGCAGTCCACTTCGTCGCGGAGTATGTGCTCGAGGCAGTTCAAAATACCCAGATTCCGGGCGAAGATCTCACAGCAGTGGATATCTCCTTGGCTGTCGATGTAGATTGCGCCGATAACACTCTCTACAATATCCGAGAGGAACTTTGGCGAATCGGTGAGAGACAATAGGTGCCATGGAAACTTCTTATCATGTTCCAATGCTTCAAGTATTTGCCCCCGTGCGGCCTCATGCTGCTTAATCGCCGCATCCCTTGAGCTGACGAGCTGATGGCTGCTATACCTGAGGAACTGCCACAAGCACCTCGGAAGGGTTTCCTTGTGCATACTCGGCGGTACTATCCTTTCTTCTAGCACGGTGGTCTCGAACATTCGGAAAGAGAGGACTAAAGGTGACGGTAGAATTAGCAGAGGTACAAAAACATGGTGTACAAATACCATTGTTTGCAAATTTTAGACTGCGTCGCACATTTGCGCCCCTCGGCGCGTATTATAGACGGAGGTCTTACTTACTACACACAAGTTAGCACAAGTTCAATCATAATTTGTTCTTGGGCCTTGTACCATGCAGCGTTGGCCATAGCCGACCTCATGGCATGCATCTTCTGGTGAGACAGGTCTGGAGTATGCTCATACAACCGTTTGGAAATGATATAGTCCAGTACCGCATCGCCAAGGAACTCCAATCTTTCATATGAGCAATTGGCGTGGGGCCCAGTATATGAAGCGTGAGTGAGGGCTTCTGACAGAAGCATCTTCTTGCAGAACGTATACCCAATGAGCGACTCCAGAATAGAGGGAGTGGTGATCTCAGTATCAGCGGGCGCGGCTTCAAAGAGGATCGTGTTCGCATCGGGAATGGGCGTCCATTTCTCCAGTGGCAAGAGTGTCTGGACGCAGGCGAAGGCTTTGGCAAAACCACCCAAGATGTAGGAAGCCCCAATGAGGGACTCAATAACATCAGCGAGGAGCTTCGATGACCGCATCTGCCTCTCACTCTCGCTCTGAGGCGAAAGCACCTCAACAGCGTACCTTGGCGCCCATTTTGCTCCCGTGAATCGTCTGGTGATGATGAACTTGTCCAAGCTAGCTGACATAGTGGCACGAGCGAGAAACCCATTTGAGACGACTTTCCCTTTCTTCCCAGTCAAGAAGCTCTCCGGCCAGGTCAGGTTGTCTGCCATCAAATGGACCGTAGCAATGTATTTTAGCATACAGTCGCCCAAGAATTCCAGTCGCTGATAATTTTCCTCTTCGCCAGTAGCTGACGACGTCAATGCTCGCACTAGGAGAGGTAGATCCCTGGAGCTGATTGAGATAGATGCCAGAAGCGTTGTTCGAAGCGTATCCGCAATCATATACACCTCGAACCTTGAAAGAACGGAGGGTACGAGTAGCGCAAAGACGGAGTATATGGCCGGCAAGTTGTCTACTAAACATTTCGAAGAGAGTAACTCTTCCGTCCTAGTGTATGCCTCATTCCCATGTTTTGAGTCCAGCACTGGATGAAGAAAGTCTCGTCGTCTAGGGGTTCTGGTGACCTGGAGATGTGGTCCGGGGTTAAGGCCTGGTGGCTGGCTGTCCGGGGATATGCTCTTAGGCATGTACTTACGCTGGTCTCCCTCAACAGTCACCAAGCCCCATCGTGTTATGTCGTCCACATTATTTCGCATGAGATAAGACGCCGCTTGCTTTCCGGTCGTCGCGCTGTCCCACGAGGCTAGCTGGGGATGACTCCATACGGGTTTCGACAGGTCGCCTGGTACGAGTAACCAGAGAAAATCATACCTCTCTTCTTGCATTCGGCTGTGGAAGACGGATAACAGGATCTTCCGAGTAATCGCACGCATGACGTGGATCTCTTCCTCAGTCAAGACGGCGTCAGATAAGCGTGAGCTTTCGACAGAGAAGCGCTTCGACTCATTCCAGTACAGCAGGGTGCTTGGGACTTCCGGCATCTGGACGGGCGTCAGAAGCACCATGTAGAATGGCTCTTGACTAAATCCCTTCAGAGCGAGCAGCGTTCGGTGATAGCTTTGAGGATTCCGCTCTTGGTATCTGGCAATCATCTGCCAAGGATCCAAAGTCGAAGAGACCTCTACAAGCGACGGTGTATTGTCTGGTATCTGGAACTCCGCTGCTTGGTCATCGAGTGCTTCTCGGAAAGGGAGAAGATTTTCGTTGACAAGTCCGGCCAAATGCAAGGCCTTATAAGCCTCGAAGGCCGCATCCTTCCTTGCCATTCGTTCTGTTTTCCAGCTCTCCAGGCTATTTGCCGTTCTCACGGAAGGATCAACCGAAATAGGAAGGATAACTTCTGCAGTGATCCTTCCGTTGTTGCCTTCCTCGAACTTGAACTGAGGCCTCGCGTCAATATACGGACCGGAGCCGAGGAGAGCACAGAAGTGGTGAAGATGTGGTGATGCGTTGTCAAGGGTGAGGAGTGCCCTAAAATGACTGTGTCAGAGAAATGTGTTGCTTGTTTGCTCCACCGAAGTCCACTCAGCCGAGCATTACCAGAATCTACGTTGCGCGGAATGTCGTAGGAGCCTAAACCCGAAAGATCATACGCTTACCTGGTGGTTGGTACCTGATAGAATCGTTCACCTTCTTCCTCAATCAGCTCTCTCTCCTCTGCCTGCTTGACCTGCCTTAGGTCGTTGAGGTACGCAGCTTTCATCTCTTCCTCAAGGGATTGCCAGGCCTCGGGAGAATGCATCTTTCCCAATGCAGGAAGAAAAATGAAGTACTTTGACTCTTGCTTTCTGGCCCGCCCACGACGTTGGACGAAAGATTTGAGATTCTTTGGGCTCTCAAAGCAGATGACAAGACGACAACTTGACACATCAATGCCCTCTTCAAGGACGCTAGTCGCAAGAATCAGGTTTTTCTCTCCCGCCCGAAAATGGTCCAGAGTGTCTTGCTGATTCTTCGGCTCAGCAAAATTTGCAAGCTTGGCCTTGCGTTTCGTAGACTGCGATGTCCCGACGAAGGTGCCAATCTTAAACAGATCCTTAGTCCGGGGGTGGGTGGAGAGTATTTCAGCTAATGCAGCTACCCACACTCGCTGCTGAACGAAAACAAGGCCGGTGAAATCCGGAGAAGCCTCTGCCTCTAGCACATCGATCAAGGTTTCGACCTTTGGCGATAGCGCATCCAAGGGAATGGATGAGCTCTCTGAGCTTTCTGCAAAATTCAGTCGCTTGAGTATTCCGTACAGGTGCTGCTTCTCTTCCACAGACCACTCAACGAGATGCTGGTCTGAAATGCGAATCATCGAATCGAACTGGGAGATGCACTGACCCAGGTACCAGTCTGCTGCACCAGGGCCTAGCTCTTCTGACATGGCTTGACACTTTGTTGCGAGGGTTTTCAACTGCTGATAACAGTACGTGCTTCCGCTCATAGCGACCTTCTGTAATTGCCGCGAGGTGTCATGGCCCTCTTGCTGTTTTGCGCGCAAATAAACCACGTATGGGTCGGTCTCTAAGTTGTATGATTGGAATTCCTTTTGCAACGAGGCAAGTAGAAGGGTGAGAGATGGCACGATGGCGGAATAATCGACTCGGAGTAACTTTGGTTTGCATACGAAGCGTAGCAATTCCGAACGGTGTATCTTTGGTGTCCTAGCTATTGCATTCATATTCTCCTCAATGCACCTTGAATAGTCAGCGAGCTCATCCAACCGCAAGAAATAGCTTACTGTATGTCATTGCCACTAGCTTTGGCTTTCATCACTGGACTCGCGCTTAGACCAAGGATCCTGGGCAGTTGTTCTTCGTTAGCTTTCTGTACAAGAGGCATATAAAAATGCGACATAATCCGGTTTGCGGGGTGCTTCGAGATGCAATGGTGCGCTGACAGAGTTCAGTTCCTGATACATCCAGTGCCTTATCAAGTCCACACCTTCGTCGAAAATGATTAGAGCGAGTTGGCTCATCTTGACAAACGCATGGGTGAGTGCGTCTAGAAGCACTTGATGCGTCGATAGGACGATGCGGACATTGTGGAGCACCGCATCCCAAATGCTTTGCTCTGTCCAATGGTCGACATCATCCCTACCACTCAGCACCTGGATCCCATAACCTGGCAAGTTCGACTTGAAGACCTCGAATTGCTGCTCGCACAACGTGACAGTGGGCGCTAGGAACCAAACCAACTGCCGCTCGTAAGACAAAGTTCGTGGGTGTTGTAATAGTGCTCGCTTTCTTTCGCACCTTCTTGGGATCGCAGGTTTCCAACTCAGCAGCAGTGCGGGCAAGAGCTCTGCAAATGGTCAGATGCTCATCTTCTGAACAAATCAAGGAGCAAGATACATATGGGTCTTGCCGCTTCCAGTATCCATGGCGACGATGATGTTCGCCTTCAGGCTCTCCTCCACCATCTCAGCCTGGTAAGACCTGAGGCGAAACGCTTCATTTTGGAATCCAGCTGTGACAGTTGTGCCATCATCGTCAGGCTCTTCGATCAGCGCCATGAATCTCGCCGCCGCCAAAATATCGAGGGTTAGGTGAAGGTGTGGACGGCGACAGCAATAGTAGTAAGGCAAGGCAAGGTAAGCGCACCGTTCAACGGCGCTAGGCCGAAAATAGATAGCCCGGCCTTCACAACTTCAAAGTCAACGCAAGTGACTCGCAAGTGCGAATGATACAACAGATGGAACTCAAGGTTAGGAGAGGCAGAACTTCTGCACATGCCATCTATTTTGTGAGTCCGTCAACCCGCCGGAGTAGCCTTCGTGAACGCCGCAAGCCTATCTATCATTACATGAAGCATCCAGCATGGCTCACCACCGATACGCCTTCCTCCTGCACACTACAGATTTGTCAAGTAATCCTCCACCTCCTGCGGGCTCAGTGTGCGGAAGCGCGGGCCCTTGGCGCCCTCTACGCCCTCATACCCCAGTAATCGGTCTTCTGGCGGACCGACGATGCCAATCTCCACAGTGTTGCCGTTCATCTCGCCTTCTATCGTCTCCTTCAAAGTGAGGAGAGCAATGTGGATCGCATCCTCCAGCTCCAGACCCTCTGTGTATCTCTTCTCGAGGAAAGTCTTCGCGCTCGTCGCACTCTTGCCGATCGCGGTAGCCTTCCATGGGAAATAGCTGCCGCTAGGATCGACCTGGTACAGGCTTGGTCCTCCCTTCAAGATACCGCCCGTCTTTCCGCTCACTTTCTTCTTCTCCAGATCTGTGTCCTCTTCGGTCTGCTTGGTCTCTGCCTCCGGCTCGATCCCATCATCCCATCCGGCGATCAGCAGACTGACACCGTAAGGCCGGACACCACCCGACTGTGTGGCTTCCTGCATGACTCTCGCGACATCCTGCACCAGTATCCTCGTAGGCGGGTACTCGTTGTAGATGCGCTTATAGCCGGTATGCGACACCTTGCGGGCCTTGTCAACTAGCACCCGGTAATCCGGGCCCATTCCCGAGTAGACCATGCCGATGTTTGGGGTTATGAGGCTGACTTTCGACGAAGAACCCGAATCGATGAGCAGTGACGATGACTTCTTCTCCGTTGCGAGGACGATGCCATTGGTAGCTGGAGAGGCGCGTCAGGAAAGAACTCTTGGGCTGGACAATGAGAACGTACCCTTAATTCCTAGCGCGGTGACACCTTGGTTGACTGCGTTCAGGGCGTATTCTAGAGGGGTGTAAGCGGACACGATGGACTGAAACCGAGCTCTCCTAGTCAGAGAGCGCCGCTGCACACACCTATCTGCACCAGCTTTCCACTGCATCCAAGTCAGCAAATGAAGTCTGCGAGCATTGAGCAGAGCGAATGTTTACCTGGGCGAGAATGTCGTGAGCGAGAAGGAGTATCGGTCGGCCATTTTCGGTTACCAGACTGAGAAGGAGGCGGTAGAGAGTGAATTTCGGGTTGCAACCGGGGCAGAAGAACGGATGGCGGGGTGGAGATTGAGGTGCTTTCTGAGGACGGTGGGAGCTGTGAGCTCCGTTCAGGCAGCTTGACCGACGCGGCTGCTGCCAAGCGCCGACCTGGGTCACGTGCAGCGGGCGGAGCTTGGGCCACTTCGGAACGCTCAAACTTCTCGCCTTTCAGCTTCCAGCGACTTCCATCCACCAGCGTCTGCCACCGTGTCATTCCGCAACGCTGAAAACCATAAGAGAACGCCTACGTTAGCTCTGCGCTACCGAAACACATATCCCAGCGCAACTACATTCCTGCAGCATCCTGGTTGATCATATATCGCTTTGTCTCATGCTTCACTCCCGGCTAGAGCCGCATTAACCACGCAAGTCCATATTTCGTCAGCAATATCGTTTCGACCATGTCTTCATCGGGATTCAAGCCGATGCCGGGATGGTATTGGCCGGACGACGTACCTAAAGAAGAATCAACAGGAGCCTCAACCTCATCAGCAAGACAACGGGCAGCTCCAAGCCCCTCATCTACCGGCGAAACCCCCCAGGGCAGGGAGAGCACGCAGTCTTCAAGGCGTAGACACTGGCCGCCGAGGCAGTGCCGGATTTGCCTAGAAACTGTTCAGCCTTCCTTCAAGGCTCCCTCAGAGCACCTGCCTGGCTTCCTCCAGCCCAACCCTGGCGTCACATACGAGGATGAGAATGGTCGTTTAATCCGGCCATGCCTATGCAAGGGCTCATCCAAGTATGTTCACGAGGCGTGTCTGCAAGCCTGGCGCCACGCGGATCCCAGCTACGGGCGTCGGAACTACTGGCAGTGTCCAACTTGCGGGTTCAAATACCGCCTTGCGCGTTTGGGAGCAGGAAGGTTACTGGCGAGCGTTGGTTAGTCACGCTTTTTCCATGATTTGAATAACATGCTGACCAATCGATAGCTGCGCAGATCGTCTTGACGGTCTTCATTCTCTTTATGGTGGTATTCTTTCTTGGATTCGTTGCCGACCCTATCATCAACCTGTACCTTGACCCATGGAGCTACGTGATGCCGTGGTCCAGCACAGATCATTACTACTACGAAGACGACGAACCCGCCACCTGGGCGGAACACTTCGCCAAGGGTTTCGCTGGCATGGGAGTTCTTGGCTTTCTCAAAGTCCTCCTTGCCAGTCCACTGTCGTATTTCAGAATTGGAGGAGGCAGAGGTCGGACAACCGGCCGTGATAGATATGAACAGATCAGCTGGCTAATCATTCTGATTGGTGTGGGCACCTTCCTGGTGGTATGTCTTCTCCACGATCTCTCTAGCTCACCTGCATCTAACTCCTCATAGGCAATTTACAAGGGAGTCCGTGCATGGAGTCGCCGTACGCTTGAAAAGGCAGGGGAGCGCGTCATGGACGTGCAAGGTGACGATGATGCCGACGACGATGAATAGCTTGGTAGCTGGCCTCAATGCTTGATGTCTTATCACTACGCGCCCACATGCGGTATTCTCTTGACCGTTCGCTACCCAGCTTCCACTTTGCCCATACCATTTTCCGCACATCTTTGAGCTGTCTCGGTTACTTCTATACCGTGCTTTGCAGTCAGTCTGCGTGCGAAGATTAAACAGCCTGCGATCCCCATTCCGACTTGCGCGTTTTGTGCGGTCGGTTTGGGCCGTGGTGCTCCCGCCTTTGGCAGTACTATATCGGACCAGCCCGCTCCTCGAGCGCACCTATGTGGCCTGACTGAGACTCTGCCTCTGGCACATCACTTGCAGATCTCGGTTCCTTCGCTATTGAGGCGTTCCGGTTGCATCCACCAAAAGTCTTGAACGGATTCGCCCGCTTCAGTCCTCCGAGGAACTATCCGACTCCGCAGCATACTCTCGCCTTCAGAAGGACATTTCTGACCTCCGTATTCTCGCCGTACTCGTCCCCGAATTTTTCCAAACATGGAAATACACAGAACGCGAATCTGCGCTGTACAACGTCACCATCTTCGTCCAAGCCACCGTCAAGATCATTGACGGATTCCATCCTGCCTTCGTCAAAGAGGTGGCCTTCTTGACCGTTGAAGAAGTGCAACCTGTACTGTGCTTTCTGGAGTAAGAGCGTGTGCTGAAAATCCGCAGTCGCATTCAACATCCCCATTAGCGTCGATTGTGCATTTTGCGTGAGATTAATAGACGTCAGCGTGAACAGCTGATGCCCGACCTCACTAGACAGGCGATGCACTAACTTCACCTTCTCCTGGTGAAGAGTGTGTTTTGCCTCGCTCTTTTCCAGACTGCGGATTGTTGTCCGTCTCCATTCTCGAAAGTCGGCGCCTGTGTTGTGTATATATGCCGCGAGCTGGCGGATTGGTGCAAGTGGTCCGGTTTCAGGGAGTCCGACAATGATCGGTTCGCGGAAGATGTGCATCATGGCACTCGAGATGAGAGCTTGATACAGCGCAAGACGATCAGTCGGATCTATAGTCTTGTAGACTGGCGATATTGCTTCGAGCGCCCTCACTGTCTCGGTAGGGATACTGCTAAGTTCGAGCTTCGTCCTGCGGAAATTGCTGATGACGAATTCGCGGACCCTGTGTGCGAGCTGGGAGAGCCCCTCCGAGAGTTCGCTGTCGGTGACCTGTGAATCCATGCGTGTCAAAGAAGATATGCTAGATTTGAGAGATAGTAGCTGTTGTAGACGCTCTTGAGACTCTTTCTCTGCGATGTGGAGGCGAGAGGTCAGCTCGTTCCACTCCGTTTCGCTGCGGGACCTTGCTTGCTCGATTCTGGACTGATATAGAGCCTCCTGGGACATGAGCTGGTCTTGGAGTTGCGCGAGCTTAGAGCGCAAATCGTAATTCTGCTCGACAAGGTCCTCGCGTTGGAAGGTCAAGGAGCGGCGAGGGTCCACTTCTTGCTCGTAGTCCATGGATATTGAATTGGAGCGACGTGAAGTCGGTCGGGAGTTGGGATGGAATGCTCCAGGAGGACTCTGGGTCTGATACCTCACGGCGAGCTGGCGCCTATAGTCTTCAATCGTCCCCTTGTACACCAAACCATGCTCTCGCGCCTTCGCCAGCTCTTCTCGCAGCGCATTTTGCTCCTCTCTCGATACCACTAGTGTCTGTTCCAACTCAGCAATCTTGTCTGCCGCCTTCGTATCTGTTATAACTTCCGGCCCAGGGTCGGCCTCCTCGTCTCCGTCGTCCTGGGTCGACGATGCGCTGCTCCTGCCATCCTTCTCCTTCCCGGGTTTATGATGAAGCATATCATTGAATGGGTTCTTCCGTCGCTGTACCTCGCTCTTTTTTGTCTTCGTCGCTATGGCAGCTTTAGGCGGGGCGCTAATCGACGGAGGGGCGGATTTGGAAGGTTTGGAGGAGACGTTCTTGGAGCGCTTTACGCCTAAGCGGGCAGAGAGGTCTGAAGCATGTCAGGGTTGGGTCTACAATCAGGCTCGAGCGAGGATTGAGTTTAAGATATAGGCTTGCTTACCAGACGTCTTCTTCTCTCCCGTCATAGGGACGGCCGATTGCGTAGTCCGAAGTACGATGGGCGCAGGGGTAGCTACTAAGCATGCTTGGAATGCATGCCTCTGGATCAAACGGTACACAATGAGGTATACGCACGACAGGAGCTCTCGTGTCAATCCATCATGAAGAGTGGTGAGCAGCGCCGCCTGGGACAGTTCTTGGTGGGGCGGAGATCGCCCGCAAGCCACAAACAGCCACTTGAAACGGGATCTCACCTCCTAGGGCCCTCCAGGCTTCAATGTTTACTGTTACAACGCGCATCCCCAGGTGCCTAACTTCGTCAATGCCTCCCAGGCACCCATTTCGGTGACCTTGAGGTCCGTCCCATCGTCATTGCAAGTCCGCCCGACCGAATCGCTCCGTCCTTTTCGAGCTTTCGATTAGAGTTCAGCTGCGGCTGCCGTCCACGCGAGCAACGTCGATGTAGCCGATCCAGATTGCGACGGACCACATCTTAGGCCAGAGAAAGAAGAAAGGAGTATAGCAGCATGAGTAGCGCATTCGGTGGAAGGGGGAGCAATATCCCGTATGCGTTCAATCCTGGCGCGAACCATGGCCCGTTACCCGCCATGGGCGGCGCTGAGACAGCGAATGCTGCGCAGGATAGGCTCATTGTGGGTGTCGATTTCGGGACCACGTACAGCGGCGTAGCAGCCGTGTACAGCGCGACTCCTGATGATATCGACATCATCAAGACCTGGCCTGGCGGAAACGGTATACAACCCGAATTGGCCCTCTACACGCTATGGATTGCTCATAGACCTCGTAACTAGGAATCACCTCAGACAAGGTCCCCACCGAAATCGCCTACTCTGAAGTCGCCACGCCGAACGGCTCCAGCACCTCGATAGATCAGCTTGGGAAGCCGGCGCAGAACATAAAATGGGGCTTCCAGTTTAAGCCAGAGGAGACGCGCCTGCGCTGTATAAAGCTGTTCCTCGACCGCAATCAAAAGCTACCGCATTTCGTCTCGCCGCTCGAAACCGCTGCGCAGCTGAGGAAATATGAGAAGACTGTCATGGAAGCTGTGTCGGATTATCTCTCGCAGATATACAAGCATACGATGGAAACGCTGACGAGAAGATATGGCGAGACGTTCCTGGGAATGACAAAGGTGCAGTTTGTGTTGACTGTGCCGGCGGTGTGGTCTGATTCAGCCAAAGATGCTACGTTGAAGGCAGCTGAAAAGGCGGGCATGGGGAATAGACATGATCTAAAGCTGATATCGGAGCCCGAGGCGGCGGCAGTATATACCCTGAAGGCGATCCAGCCCAATCATTTGAAGGTCGGAGACAATTTCATCGTATGCGACGCTGGTATGTTCTTTCCGCTCCTCCCAAGGCCTGTGTGAATCCGACTAAAGTCCACTAACGCATAACAGGTGGCGGGACAGTAGATCTGATAGCATACAAGATAATCCAGCTCAATCCCCTACGCGTCGAAGAATCCGCCGTGGGCACTGGTGGCCTTTGCGGGTCAGCGTTCTTGAATTATCGCTTCGAGGACCACGTCAAGCAGCGCATAGGCACCGAGCGCTACAACTGGATGCGCGAGAAGAAAGCCAAGACGTGGAACATGGGGCTCAAGTACTTTGAAGAATTCGTCAAGCGGAACTTCAACGAGGAGGAGCACAATGAAGTCAACGTTCCTTTTCCTGGTCTACCTGATGATGAAGAAGCTGGATTGGATTCGGGCTTCTTGGTCATGACTGCAGATCAGGTCAAGGAGATCTTTGATCCGGTAGTGCAAGAGGTGATTGACCTTGTGGAAGGTCAAGTCCAAAGCATAAGGCACAAGGGAGGGTTGGTGTGCGGCATTGTGCTGGTGGGAGGCTTCGGCCAGAGCAACTATCTTTACGGCCGCATGAAGGCGCACTTCAACAATGCGCCTCCTCCGCCGTACACGGAGAGACCGACGCATGCGGTCGCCATGAGTGCTCCCAACACAATTGAGATCTACCATCCAATACACGCTTGGACGGCTGTGGTAAGGGGCGCAGTACTGAGGGGCTTGGAGGGCAGTATGGTGGTCAGTAGGCGAAGTAGGTGGCATTATGGCACAAGCTATGCCACCGTTTTTGATGAGGCGAAACATCCGATCAGCGACCGGTACTGGAGTCCGCTGTGGGAGCGTTGGATGGTGAGCGATAGGATGCAATGGCATATTGCAAAGGTACTGCTCCTCCGTCCCCTGCCTTGTTTATCGTGTCCCGCATACAAAACTAACACTCAATACAGGGCGCGCAAGTTTCCGAATCGTCGCCGATATCCTTCCATTACACGCGCAACTTCCGGCCAGGCCAGTCGCTCATTGTCGAAGACGACCTCATCGCATGCGACGCCGACGTGGCGCCTGACAGTTTCCGCAAGGGCTTAATCAATGTTTGCACACTCACCACCGATTTGAACACTGTTCCTAAGAGCCTTTTTACGAGGCTGACGACGACGAAGGGTGTCGAGTTTGATAATCTCGATTTTACGTTGGATATGAAAATTGAGAGCGCGGGGCTGGTCTTCGAATTGAAGGTTGATGGCGTGAGGTATGGGGCTGTTAGTGCAAAATTTCATTAGGGAAGGGCATATGAATGGCGGGTACATGGATGGAGGGAACATGACGGGTTTGGTTTGGGCGGCGTATCTGCGTTTATGGGGATTGCTGCGTTGGACGGCATATGCATCGTAGGTCCTAGTATACTCCAAGAGATCCAGGCGGCTTTTTCAAAGGAGGATGCCCTCGGCGGTCAACTTCTAGGTGGGCGCGGTGGCGCCAAAACATGTGGCCTTCGCATACTACTAAGACTAGCAAAGAGAGAAATGGATAGGATTTTCGAAACCGCGTCTTCGCGATACCTCCCTAGATGCCTGCTCTTTAGAATAATCTCACGAACGTTGGAGACATTGTCATAACGGTAGTATGAGTTGTGGGTCTCCCGGACGGCCAGATCATTGCCGGGAAGGATGTTTCACCCAGTTGCATAGAACCGCTCGCGATCCTTGCCATCTCTTGCATCCTCCATCCATCTTCCATCATTTATGCCCAATACTCTGCCCCTACAGTCGAAGCCACAAGTGGTGCTTCTTTCTCAGCTCGGTCTAGAGTGGTACCTATAGGTACAGTACTGACGGAAGTGGTAATCCAACAGTTTGGGTAATGACAGAATTGCGAGACAATGATAGAGTGGAAAATCGTAGTATAGCGAAGGGCTTCTGGCGGAGCAATGACTAGCAATCCGCAAGCGCAGAGCATGAGCGGAGAGTGAATTGAGGTTTAGAGATCTCCGGGGTGAAGGTTAAGAATGCGCGTGCGGGCGGCTTACCGCTTTAGGACTACTCGACTTGGCATTTTCGGTCAAGCGCCGCGCCGTGGACGCGTCTCAACTTGCACCCCGCGATTGTCCGGCCACAACGCGATGGTAAGTCTCAACATTACTTTCCAGTGGTCGCCTACTAATTCCATATAAGGCGCCGACGCGTTCAGGTCCTAACAAGGTGGCCAAACGACGAGGGAGGCCTCCAGGGCTGCGCAAGTCCATCACGGCGAAGAAACGAGGACCGAAGCCACTTACAGCGACGGAGAAGGCTGGACAAAAGAGATCATCGCAGGCTCAAGCGGGTTCAGATCGTCCACTTGTGAAAACAACTCGGGGAAGACCGTCGAAAACCCACAACGAAGAAGTCGACGCTGACGCGGACGAAATTGCAGCAGAGCAGCCCAAGACGCAAAAGTACGTGCAGCTCGCGCCGAGGACAAGGAGGATTGCACAGGAGAAGATAGACACATGGCCACAGGTCTCCCCGCAGGTCCTAGAACAAATTGTCGGGGTGCTCAAGGACGCAAAGAAGGACATTGTCAACAACCAGCGTGATGAGCACAGAACAAGGATTGCAGATGATGCCTTGAGCGTTCTTGTTCGGGTGCTTGCACGCCAATTGTCTGCGTCAAGAATCCCGCCCCAAGCTAAAGATATCCACTTCAATATTGACAAGCTCACTGAGCGCTACGCGCAGCTCTTCCGAGAGGTCACGACCGAACGCCATTCGAAGCAGCTCCTCAAAGAGCAGGTGAAGGTGGCCCGGCACTTTCTGAAAAAGGATGAAGAAAATCTCGAGCAGCTGAAGAAGAACGCGAAAAAGTGGAAGGCCGAGTGGAAGCACCAGGAGAAGCATGGACGGGTAGGCAATCTTCTATTTTTGAGTGGGCTGAGCGTGCAGCTAACACGTCGTAGATGCATCCTCTGTTACAGGACTTGGAGGATGACGAGGGCGAGGGCGACGGGCCTGACGACATTGGCTTGAAGCGATGCAGGCCAGCGGACCTCTCAATGGTGGATTCTCCTGATTCCGAGCTCGCGCCGCTCGTCGAGCAGCTCCGACGAAGCCTGGAGAACATGCAGGGTAATCATGAGCAAGTCGCAGGCATCGACGAGGCGATGAGGGACGCGCAGGCGGCATTGGACGACGTGCTTTTCAAACGCGCCAGCGCACAACAGTACGCTGCACTCTGAACTATTGGCATGCAGGTTCGGTCCGGCGTTCAGGGTGGGATATTCCTTTCCAATGGGCTCGCATGGCTTGGCGTACGGTTGATGCGTGGAGGGCACGGTGAACATGGTACTGGGACTGCATCTCACGGTTCCTGTCAGGGGGGTTCGTGGGCTCCCGACGTCGATCCAATACTGCGGCACGAGCACGATGCTCGATACGGGAGACGCGGGGGATAAGCTGGTGTGCCGGTAGCGTGATTGAGCGTCTGCGGCGAGTCCGATGCGCGACGCGGCGAAAGGAGAGGGTAGTCTTGGTCGATATGCCATCGTCATGTGCCGAATATAGAAGCCCACGGGCCCAGGGCTGTGGTTCCCGGACTCGTGCATGCAGGGCTAAGCCAGATACACCAGCAGCTGTCGAGTGCGCCCAGTGCCGCCGGTGATTGGTGCCGATATGCCCTCTCGGCGCCGCGGCAGCAGACGGGCTCCGCGCGTGGCCTGCCCATCGCCAGACACCGCCAGACACCGCCGGCCAGTTCTGCGCGGCCCAGCTCGCCGCCGCCTCCCGTCGACCGTCAGAAGGAAGAAAAGCGCGCGGACATGCGGCAGGCGCCCTGTCAAATGCCCACTGCTCCCTTCCAGCGGCCCGAGCGATATGCCCCGCAAGATCCCTCGGCTAGTGGCGCCTCTGCAACTTCACGGTGCCGAACATCACTTTGCGCGACCTCAGCACTCGCGTGCCGCTGGAACATCGCTCGCCGCCGCCCACGTCCTGCCCAGCACCGGCTCCAGTGTGTCACCAAGGAACGTGCTCGAGCGGCTGCCACATTCGCCTGCCTTTCCTGTGCGCCTGCGCATGACGGGCCAGTCGTAGACCATCCCCGCCTGCGCCCTTCCGAGACGAGCATCCAGCGCTGAAACCTGCGCTCACCGCCGTGGTTGATGACGGACGAGGCCCAGAGACCCAATGGATCCGCCGCCTCTAGTATGACAGCGTCCAGGCGCGTGGATCAGGGGAACGGCGCCGACAGCGCCAAAGCACCCAAGAGCAGTTCGCCGTCGAAAGACAAGGGCCCCGCGTCCGGCTCCGAGGCGCCGACGAGAACTCCAAAGAAGCGTAGAAAGGTCAATCATGGTAAGGGCCTCATGCTGTGCTCCATCGATAGTGACAATGGCCCTGCTAACCCTGGGCGCAACCCCTAGCGTGCATCTACTGCAGACGTTCGGTAAGCCGCACTCCTCCGATGCATTCCATATTCCTGCGTCCAAGACATTTTGACAGTGCCTGCTAACCTCATCCCGATCAGCATATGACATGCGACCTCGTAAGTGCACTGGGTGCCCTGTTCTCTGCCCTCGGGCTAATCCACCTCCTTACTCTGCAGGAGCGGCCGTGTACGCGGTGTATCAAGCGAAATATTGGACACCTCTGCCACGATGAACCTCGAGACGGCGTCAAGAAGTCCAAGTCCGAGCCTGAGAACGCCAATGGCGACGACGACGGCTCCAAGCACGAGGCAACGCCCCCCGAGGTCCCTGTAAATGCTATCAACCAACCCACTACTGCTCCAGATGCAGGGCTCAACCTGGCGCCACCTCCTCTGCCTCCTAACAGAGGTGCCAACGCAGCATCGATCGCCCAGCCCACGCCCGTATCTGCGCCACAGCTGCCCTCCCTGACCGCTCATAACTCGTCTCGTAAGTTGCACAAACCTCCAGCTCTGGACGGGCTTCATACTGAACCATCGTGAAGTTTTGAGCCTCAATGACTGGCCTTCGTCATCCCATAATAACTTTCATGATATGCACCACTTCCACCCGTCCTATATGTTCAGCACGTCCGAAGTTAGCAACGAGTATAATCTGCTCAACGACTTCCTCAACAACAGCCTCATGGATGACGGCTCCTTTTACGGCGGTGGTGATTTCCACCAACTATTCTCCGATGCCTCTTTGATGCACCCTATGGGTAGCCTTACGAACAACACGCCCTACAACCCGAACGCCTCCGGTAGCGCTCAGTTGCTGCCGCCACCCGCCCAAGTTGCCGCAGGCAACGCTATTCAGAGGCCGTCGAGCGGCTTTCCCATGGACAAAGCCCGAGAGAAATACTATATGACGGCTGCGGACCCCGCAGGCACAGATAGCCCCGAGGAGCGAATGAACAAGTTGCTCAAAGCCAAGATGGACGCTGGGCTGCTGAAGCCGTTCAACTACGTGAAAGGCTACGCTCGGCTGAATCAGTACATGGAGCAGAACCTACAGCAGATCTCACGCGTCAGGATCCTGCGGCAATTGGACCGCTTCAGGCCAAAATTCCGTGAGCGGATGCAGTCGTTGTCCGACATGGACCTCGTCCGTATTGAGATGTGGTTCGATAAGAGCCTCATGGAGTACGACCGTATCTTCGCAAGCATGGCCATTCCGGCCTGTTGCTGGCGGAGAACGGGGGAGATATACAGAGGGAACAAAGAGATGGCGCGCCTCATCCACGTGCCTATGTCGAAGTTGCGAGATGTGAGTTGCGCAGCATACCTATTATGGAATCCACGCTCAAATGAGTCACAGGGTAACATTGCTCTCCATGAGATCATCGCCGAACCCTCATTAGTGTCATACTGGGAGAAATTCGGCGCCATCGCTTTCGACTCCAGTCAAAAGGCCATCCTGACCAGTTGTTCGCTCAAAAATCCCGATCCTAATTCGAAGGATCCCGAGATAAGATGCTGCTTCTCCTTCACGGTCAAGCGAGACATGCACAATATGTGGGTAGTGCGAGGCTGTCAAGAACGATGCACTGACTCGACACAGCCCTGCTTTGATCGTCGGCAATTTCCTCCCCATCACGGAGCCCATATCCAACTCATGAAATTGGATCAGTGTGCGTGTAGTCGCGTGAACCACACATGTGCGGTGTTTGTACTGTACTAATATACAACTGGGCGAACGATCTGACGTGTTATGCGGCATGTACAAAACTGGTGCATCAGAAAAGGAATGAATGGGCTGAGTGGATGTTTCCTACATTGCTATGCGGTTCTTCTACTTCACAATCACTCAGGCAGACGATAAATTTTGGAAATCTGCCCCAGCCTGTATCGTGTACCTGGGTCAGGATATCTGCTCCCAGCATGCACGCCGGCCCGTCAAGCATCTTCACTTCTTCCTTTCTCATCCTGTTTGCTTCCAAGCAGTAGATAGCACCCTCATCCATTGGCTACACTTCCGATCTTTAGGTCGCTTTTCTGTCCACTAGCTATGCACATCATCGTGAGTGGTGTGGTCCCATGCTACGGAAGGCGGAAGGCGCGCCTGTCCACTCACCATTCCACCGGCACTTTTCTTCTCTGCCACCACCAAACACGTCACCTCACCCCCATGCCTGCGAAGAATGGCACCACCTTATTCTGCAGCGCGCGTCGAGCGCGAAAAAAAGCTCAAGTCTGTCCTCAGTAGGTCTCGCTCTGCGCGCCTTCCCTAATACGTGACCGCTCACGCCTCGCAGCCTTCGCATCGAACCTCGCGGGCCGCTTCAGCCCGTCTCACGACGCGACGCTTCTTGATGATCTGCACACACAACTCCGTGGATTACCTTTGCAAGCTTCTTCTACTGTCGCTGCGAAGCAGGATGAGCTTGACAGACTAGGGACCGAGCTGTGGAATCTTTCGACGCGCTTGCGACGCACTGAAGTGCAACCGAATGGCAAGACGAAAGAGGAAGTCTCCGGGCAGAACCGCTCTCTCTGCCTTTTACGAGTCTTCTCATTTCTCCTCCTCGACTCAGCGAGCGGCCAGGCTTCGAAAGGACGAGAGCGCAAAAACTCCATTCGCCTCCTAAAGGTTGCGCTCAAAGCGGCGAAGGTATGCATTGATAACAGTGAGCTAAGCGGTGCTACGAAGACACTCGAGCGGGCTGCCGATTACCAGGAAGCCTTAAGTAAGGAGTCAGATGAGGAGAGCGTCGAAGAATACGAGCTCGGGGATAGCTTGCGCCTAGAGTATTTCGCGGTCCGGACAGCTCTGGTGAGAGCAAATCTCTCATAACGACCCCGGGCTTTGGCACGCTCCATACTCACCGCGTTGACCACCGGTGAGCTGACGTGTGATAACAGGCATGGCGGCAAGACCGCATGGACACCGCGGAACATATGTTCACGAAATGCAAACAATTGATGCGCGCCCTTACTCCTTCGAGCGCCGAAATCCTCGCCGATCTGCTATACGAAATGGGAAGAGGCTTGCTGGTGAAGAGGGACTATGAGCTCGCTATTCGATGGCTGGAACGCGCATACGACGTGCTCTCAGAACAGGATGCTGAGGCGCTCAGTCCGGAAACTGGAGAGTTACGACTCAGCATCATGCAAAGTATCGGTTGGTGCACCTCGCTCGCCTTCGAGGAATCTGCACTGACGCCGGGCACAGTGCAGGCATACATGAAACTGAAGACTCCCGAGGCACGGAACAAGGCATGGAACATGATGCAGCTTCTTGAAGCCGTGAGTACGCCTTTTCTTCCAGGCGCCGTCGCTGCTCGCTTATATGTGTATGGCTAGGACTACGAGGAGAAGATGGCTGTTTCTTTGCTTAAGCTCGAGCTTCTCTCCTACGCGGATGCCATCGACAGCGACCAGTTCTACACAGGTTAAGTGTCACCTCTCTACTCAAAATTTGTATGCTAACCGTGTACGCAGTCTTGCATCGAATGATCCGATCAGTGGTGCTGAACGATAGAAATTTCAAAACGTCTGTTCGCTTGTTGCAGTACCAGTTCCCAGCTAATGACGTAGCAGAATCATGCATCACATACACAAACTCAAAGATCACAGGTTCGCGTATCTTTGCTAACGTACACTTGCTTACGCTTACCATTCGACAGTAATCTCACTGCTTGCAAGCTCATCGACGAGTTGATCGAAGTTCGATTATTTGGAGAGGAGAAAGACGCATGGATTGAGAAGGCAGTTATCACGCGAATCTGGATTTGCTGTACAAGCTTTGTCGCGGAGGACGCGCTTGAGCATCTGCGAGAGCTTCTCGAGACTGTTGCGCGAAACACGCAGTTTCCGCTATCTCCGCACGCAACGCATGCTGCCCAAACTGTGGGTGATCTTGACTCCGTTTAGGGTGCCGTCTTTACTAATATTGCATTATAGCTGTTATGGAAGCAAGTCGAAGCTACTTACAGTCAGGAGCAGTACATCGCCGCCGAAGCATGGTGTCGGATATGCCTGCTCCCCTTGTTTGAGAAGGCTGGGGATGTGAACAAATCCAAGATTGCAAGGTGAGTTGAGGATCCATTTCCTGGGATGTAAAGGTTGACTCCTTGAAGAAAAATGATCTTGTGTGCTCTAGCACGACATGATTTTGCAGCGGCAAGAGAGGTCTTCTCTAAGATGTCCGATACCGGCCGGGACGACCGCGTAACACGATATTTGATGTATAGAGTAGGTCTTCGCAGCGGTGAATCGGACTTTAGTAAGACTCTAGCCGAGGATGTCGGCGACAAGCTAAACCTTTCCAGTGGCGGAGTGTTTAGACCTCGTATGTCGGCAGTCATCGAAAGATGCTACTCTGCTTTACGCCTGCGTATTTGAAGCTCAGGTGTCGGGGAACAGGCGACAGGCTATAGCGGCTCTTGGAAAGGTACTCGACAAGTACAATCACAGTGCGCCTGCAGAGATACATCTTCCAGCCCTTTTACGGTAAGGCTTTCTTTTCTCTGTGTGACGTTCCTGATCCGTGTCCAGAACGATGGCAAGATCGCTCAAGTCCGAGCTCATCAAGGATGGGGTTCTGAATTCAGACATAATGGCGCAATTGTGTACCCTTTTCGAAGGAGGTATGTACGCACCTTCACATACAGGAGCTACGCTAAGTAGAGCAAGCATGCAATCAAGCAAAGGCTTCTCGAAGAAGACCAAGCACTCCTGCTCGCGACCAGTTCACCGCCGGAGAATTCGAGTGGTTTTCAAAAAATGCGTACAATATATCGATCCAATATTGTGCAGAGATGCAACCTGGGAATTTAGTAAGGCTGCTGAATGTTTGTATTGAAGTGAGCCAGTCTCGGGGTCTCTCGTTCAAGCTGACGGCTTCACCAGTTCATCAAGCTCCTCAAAGAGCAGGGCCAATCCGACCGTAGCGACAACCTTTCGCTTCGCATGTTATTCTGCGATTTCCTCGCTGCGTGTGCTTCCGTCACATTGGCTCGGGCAGAGGACAATATCCAGGACTGCGTTAGTATTCGACGGCTTTTAGAGACTGGCGAAATAACACTGACCAGACCAGCTCCAATACTATCTGCAAGCTCGGAAGCACAGCCAGGCATTCCGGAATACTGCCGCCGACACCGTTGACAAACTCGGAGAGTCTGCGCAAGCCGACATAATAGCGAAACATTTCCAGGTCGTGAAGCTGGAGCTGGAAGCTGCTCTGAAACTCGAGAAATGGGATGACCTGGATGACCTCTTTGATCAGTGCTGGAAATACAAGGATCCAGATCATTACGAGACGCTTGCGGACCTGGTGCTAGTCATTCAATCGTGTATCATGAAAGCGAATTTGGACGGGAAGTATCAGAGCAGTAAGTTCGTTCATAACCAAGGAGAATACCTCAACTGTCACTCACACGAAACGCAGAGATGTTATCAGTTCTACAAAAGATCGTCAATATGACGTGGCGGCAAACGGGCAACGACATCGTGAAATTGTCGCGTTGGCTACGCTGCCTGTTCCAGCTCGCTCTCACGTACGACGAAAACATCAGCCTGAAGTGCGTCGACCAAGCGGCCCAGATCGCCGCTGCAAGACAAGGAGTGAGTTGCCCTTTCCTCTTTTCATCAAACCATAGCTATTTACCCACCCCCGCGGACTGCTCCAGCGATAGAGACCTCGTCAATGCTTATCAGTCCTTTGCCATCTTCTTCTCGGGTCAATGTAACCAACAATGACGTGGCTATGGCTAACTTTGAGGATAAGGAGCCGAATCACTATCCATCGACCGAGCTCGAATGGCTTGCCACAACGACTTTCAATCACGCGGTGGACTACTATATTCAGGAAAATGACACCAAGTGCAAGGTTTGGGGGGAAAAGGCGCTGAACCTGGCACAGTGGGCGGAGGATGGCGGGGAGCTGAGTAGTCTGCTCCTAGAGAAGTATTCGGGGTTGACATGGCAGGATGATGAGTGAGCGAACTATGTCCAAAGGACGGTCCATGTGGTCTTCACACGTGAGTGTTAGTGGCATAGGGCTGTATTGGTCGTCAATGCTAGTAAAGGTATGGAGGAAATTCCATGGCTGGAGCGCGGGTTTTCATTCACATCAGATGGAAGCTATTTGCAGTGGGGAAGGCATATGTGACATGTAAAAAAAAGCCGCCGCAAAAAGGATTATTCGACCCAAAGCCTTACCATACTTTTCCCCTCTACCCGGACTCTTCACTGTAGATTGCGATGGTATCTTCTGCCAAGCCACCCATCCTAGGCCCTGCTCGTCGTGACCGCAATGAGTGTCGACGGCGTGGGCGTCCGGCTCGTGTCCAAGTCCGCTATCGGGCGTCCCACATCCTGCCGATCGTTCCCGGTGCCCGTCTCTGTCGCGCTGCTCTTTGGGGCCGACGTTGCAGGGGAAATCTGCGTCCCAATCGACACTACTGGTGTCCCTCCTGGCTGGTTGCCATTCTCGTTAATGACGACGTTTATGGAGGGCGGGAGTTGAGGCGAGGTGGGCGGGTGCAGGACGTTGAGGAAGCGCGCGCCGAGGGCGATGCTGGCGAACCAGAGGGTTATGAGGAAGAAGATGAGGGCTAGAACCCAGGGGAGCAGGGGGTGGAGGCGAGGGAAGCGGCGCCGGCGTGGGGGTGGTTTCTGAGGTGGCTCGTAGTGGGTTGGTGAGGAGGGTGGGGCGTAGTGAGGGTGGTTGGTGTCGTGGGGTTCTTCTTTGAGTTCGAAGTCGCTGTGGCCGTTTTCAGTGTCGTGGGTCGTATGGCCGGTCTTCTCGTCGTGGAGAATGTTGTGGTGACCCGACTTTGTGGACAGTTTGTACGGTTTTCGGTCTTCCCAGGTGAATGTTGAGGGGCTGGTAGAGAAAGAAGAGTAGTCTTTCCCAGTGTGGATTGTTGAGCGGTATGATGGTGCTGGGGAAGGTGGGCTTGGCGAGTGTTGCAGCTCGATGGATGTGATGTCGAACGAAGGTCGGTGGTGATCTGGGGCGACCATTTTGGATTGATAGTAGTGCGTCGCGGTTGACTGTGCCTTGGAAAGCAAAGTAGTTCGTGATCTCGAGGGGAACAGAAGAGAACAAAATGCGGAGGACCAGCCCTCACGAATAGATAGAAGTGAGATAATGACTTTGTGCGAGACAATAAAAATTGACGCCAAGCAGAGGGAGACAAGAGACAAAGAAAGAGAAAGGGATGTCTCTTGACAGAGAGCAAGGCGGTGCAGGTGACTTCATTCATAGTCAAAGACTCATCTGCTAGTGCTGCATGGTTAACACAAAGAGTCCAGGACTGGAAGAGCATGTTTCATGGCATGTTGGAACATATTGACGGGTTCCTACCACGTCTTCAGAATTTTGAAGATAATGCACGTTGTCGTGATAATGCCGTGGAGGTGATGGCGCGTGTTTAGGAGAAATGGAGTGTGCCAGGAACGATTGGCGCACGAGCCACGGGGAAGAGGCAGCGTGCCACAGCTGCAGGGGTTGCAGTAGTCATCGGCCACCGCGGGGTTGTATGCAGCTCACTGGCGGAAGGGCAGTCTCATCCTTCGGCCATGTCGGTGATGATGTGGATATCTTGCCACATGTGCATGTCGTTGGGTCGTTGGAGGCCGCTTGAAAAGGAGAAATTCGAGGGCCAGTTGGTGTGCTGGGAGACCCCAGCGGTGAGCAGGTCGATTGCGCAACTGGACATCCTGGATGTCTTCATTCCCACAAGCCAGGTTCTGGTGGGCATCAACATATTATTGCGCACCCGTGCTGGACCATGGAAGACTCGGTGCGAGTGATGGCATGACGAACGGGAATGTCGGGAGCGCGCATTGAACGAGCATCGAAAGGATAGGTGGCAGTTGCACGGATGGAGAGGACACCTTCCGAGGAATCAGCCGGGAGGGCTACGTTGTCTTATCGCGGAAGGGAGGGGTGAATGGCGCCCTTGCTTGCGTGCGCCTCTCTGTCGCTGCCTCCCTGAAGCGGGCTCGTTAGATAGCAAGGCCAATTTGCAGCCCGCAGAGTGCAGCAGGACGTGGTTGTGTGGTGATATATCCTGTGGCGACGTGAATTGGCTGGTCTCGTGACGGCATTTCTTTTGTACGGTAAGGCGTTTGCACGGTAAGGCGGTGCCCCTCAGCCATTGCGGCAGCCTCATTAGCCGTTTGTTGTTTCAGGTTGCGATGAAACATGCATGCGGGCATTCACTGTTGAAGGACTCCTCGGTCTGTACGGCATGCACAAACCCGCTGAACGAACGCACCATCGTACAGTACCATAATACGAACAAGCCACCTTACCGACTCAACCACTCGAACAATCGCCGTCCCGCAGCCACAGCGCAGTGTGGTGACTCCACTGTCCAGTGCGCGGCGTGCTATTTTGAGTAACCAGCGATCGGGGCTGCTCTTCCCCGGCCTCTAGCTCCGCCGTCCCTGGCCAGACTTATTATTCACAATTCCCAGGACAAACCTCCGACCTCGCGCCGCCCCTTCACAACGCCGCACATGACGACGAGCCTAGTTTTCTAGCCTTTCCTTCTCCTTTTCGAATCACCATTTCCGCCTCCTGTAACAGCTGGACTTTACGCTCCCTTCTTTGGCACCGGCGATCCACATCCTCAATAAACCACCCCTCTAGGCAATCTCGCCATGGCCGACGCACAATCCAGGCCGGACACCGGTAGCTCGCAGAGCTCCGACAGAGGAGTGAGTGGGCTATCCTACAGCTGGTCCAGTATTCGAATGTCCACGCCTGCTGACCTGCTATTTTCCGAACAGGAGACATTCGAAGATGCGACCGACATGACCCCTCGTCCCACCTCGGAGCGCTCCCGGTCGCGGTCACTGATCAGTCGACGGGAATCATCATCCTCTACCGCCCAGGGACATCGAGCGGATTCTCCAGTACCCAAAATCCCCAACACAGACGGTACGCAGGAGGAGCAGAAACGGGACAGCGTCCCTGAACCCACCGTGGCGACCGGCGAAGATGCATCACACGCGAAATCGCCCCTGCTCACGGCACATAGAATATCTGTGACGTCGGATATGGACGAAGTCTCTCTAGACGAAGGTAAATACATGCTCTCCTTTGGGAAGCTGCTGTTCGTTCGCCGGACCATTGGCGTGCATGCATCCAAACGGAGAAATCACACCACGTTTCTGCTTTAGGCACGCTTTAAGAGATGGGAAATGGTCGCTTTACTCGGCATGAGAAATATGGCTGGTTTGGACACCCGAGGCTGACGATCAATAGAAGGCGCAAAGACCCCCGGCCTCCTGCCGAAATTACCACCCCGAGATTCCGGAAGCGGACTACAGGGTCTGTCCGGGAAAATGTCTCCCGTCAAGTTCCCTCCACCACCGCCTCCTCCGCCGGTGTCAGAAAAGCATGCTTCCGTGCCGCCGCCCGCTCCCTCTCGCAAATTGACCAGCCCGTTTGCATGGTTGGCGCGGAACACGTCCAGCAAGAAGCCAGAGTCTCCGCCGCTGCCTACTTCTGACAGGAGGAATACCAATGCCTCAATTGCAACGCTTGGGAGCAATCCGGAGTTGACGCTTAGCAAAATCGAGGATGAAGGGGAACAGACGCGCCACAATCGATCGAGTCAAGGCAGTCTACGCGATCGCTTCAAGTTCCTAAGGATGAGGGAAGAGGCTGGCATCACAATGGAGGATGAGAGCAGTGTTGAACCTGGCCATGGAGGCGCCCTTGCCGGTCTCATCGGACGGACAACAGGCCTTGGTCTTGGTGTGGGTAGCCCTGGAAGCCTAGCCGAGGAGGAACATGCGGCAGGCATCGCTTCTGGACCGGCCAGTCCTAGGCCTGGGTCTCTTGCAAAACAGCCAACAATCAATCCGAACTTGGCTCCCGGGACAGCGTCTGGATTTGCAGCGGGTCCTGATGGCGACGCCGCGGAACCGGTAGACTGGGATCTTTGGCAGGCTGTGGTGAACGAAGGGCCGGCAGCTGTATCGCGAACCAGCGCCGAGGAGCTCAACCAAGCCATTGCGAGTGGTATTCCGCAGGCAATCCGCGGCGTCATTTGGCAAGTCTTGGCGCAAAGCAAGAACGAGGAGTTGGAGAGCATGTATAGGGAGTTGGTTATCCGCGGCACCGACAAGGAACACATCACCGTCAAAAGTCCGCACTTGCCCAACGGTCATATTAACGGCGCGGGCAAAGAGAAGGAATCCGTTGCTTCATCTTCATCTTCCGTTCATTCCGACTATTCAACACCGGCCACAACTAATGGCAGCACAAATGCACCTCTGCCCTCGCCATCGATTTCGGCGGAGAACCCCGAGGACTTGGCAAAACTCCAGGCTAAGCTCGCCGCGGAAAAGAAACAGAAGGCCAAAGAGGAAGCAGCCGCGATCCATAAACTGGAGAAGACCATCAAGCGCGACTTGGGTGCCAGGACAAGCTATTCGAAATATGTCATGGCGGCAGGGCTGCAGGACGGACTTTTCGGGATCTGCAAAGCCTATGCGTTGTATGATGAAGCTGTCGGTTATGCCCAAGGAATGAACTTTATTGCGATGCCATTATTATTCAATGTAAGTGTCATTCAACTAGGCTGAGAACGGAGCTGACGACATGCAGATGCCCGAAGAAGAAGCGTTCAGTCTCTTCGTGACTCTCATGAACAAGTATGGTCTCCGAGACCTGTTTGTACACGATATGCAGGGGCTACATCTTCATCTTTATCAATTCGAGCGACTTCTGGAAGACCTAGAACCCGCGCTGTACTGCCATCTCCATCGACGAGACGTGAAACCGCAGCTCTACGCAACCCAATGGTTTCTCACTCTGTTTGCGTATCGGTTCCCGTTACAACTCGTTCTTCGGATATACGATCTCATCCTCAGCGAAGGCCTCGAAGGAGCTATCTTGAAGTTCGGCATCGTGCTCATGCAAAAAAATGCAGAGACTTTACTGGGCATGAAGGACATGGCGACGCTTACCACATTTCTCAAGGAGCGGCTTTTCGACGTATACATTGATAAGGCGCCTTCGGCATCTTCTATCCTGGAGAGTGGCTTCTTCGGCTCCGCCGGGGGCGTGGACAAAGAAGTGTACCGCGCTGACAAGCTCGTGAAGGACGCCGTAGCGGTGAAGGTCACCCCCGAGATGCTCAAGCAGTACACAGCCGAGTGGAAAGAGCAGCAGCGAATAGAGAAGGAACGGGAAGCTGAGCTGCATGGCCTGAAAGACAAGGTTTCGATGTTGGAGAACAAGGTCCGCTCGCTTGAGCGTCGCGCTGAGCAGTCCGACACTGAGCACGTCCAAGTGGCTTCGGAACTCGTTAAGACTAAAGTCGAGAACGAGGGTCTCGCAGAAGAGAATGAGACGCTCAAGACGAAGGTCGAAGAGCTTCAGAAGATAGTGGACACGCAGCCAGAAGAGGTGGAAGCCCGGTTGAAGACGGAGATGGAGACGGTCATGCAGAAGAACATCGTTGTCCACAACGAGAACAGAGCATTGGAAGAGCAAATGGCGGAGATGGAGAAGGAGCTGGTGGCAACAAAGATGCAATGGGCAACCGTAAGTCCTCATACTTGGTCCCGTTTGGCTCAAGCTAACAGTTCTGCCAGATCAACGAGGAATACGAGAACCTCAAGCAGAAGTGGAACAATATCACGCAGATGATGAACCGATAGCCGGCGTCGATGTCATCTGCTCGCATACATCCTTTTCATCCATCACTGGCGTTCGGATTGTTGGTGCACAAAGCACGTCACGGCCATAATGTCTAGCGAAACAGATGTCTGTTCTCGAGCGTCGACCGCCGTTTAATTTCGCTTTCGCTGTCCATATTCCTCTTTGCGCCCTCCCGCTGCCTGGGGTTGCGGCGCCGTCCTATTCGACTATGTTCGACTCATGACGCAACTGGCATCTTGTATATACCCAAGACTCAATCGGAGGTGGACTTGATGGTGTTCGTCTTGTGCTTTTGCGTTCTTTTCAGGATAGTTTGCGTTGCATATTTGCGAGGCGGTTGGGCGCGGCGAATGAAAACATCAGTTTCACGGCTCGCCGACTAGTGGGCCTAGTATCATAGTGATATATAGACCAGCCATGGCAGGTGAGGTCAAAGCACCCGTTTGTCGTGTGCCTGCCTACCTTCTAAAGGCAGCATATCCAGTCAGAAAGTAACTCTTCTCGTCTGTTAGGCGCCTACCTCTCTCACGGACGCCGACCGTGGGTGAATGTCGACGGTGGCTGTGATTGGCTCAGCCGCGGTCGCGCTAGCACTAGCCTAAAGTTTATTAGTGCGCTTTCCCCATCACCAAGCTTTGTTCTCCTCGACTCTTCTCCTCGACCCGACAAAGACTGCGAACGAGCCTCTCCGAGCTCGCCCAACAGAGTCGACTGTGCTACCTGTTCATCATCCCTCATCTCTTTGCGCTTTGCAACTCCATCTCCGCTTGCTTGCTGTCTGCCCCGCTGCGCGCAGACACCATGTCTGCCACTCCAGACATTTCCGCAATCCTTGCGGCTCTTGGTAAGTGACCGGTCGCTCCAACTACCCGCGCTTGGATGCACCCTCTCTGACTCTCTCGCAGCCGCCAACCGTCCAGCTACCTCTACTCCCTCGCAGACTCCGCAGCAGCCGCTGCCCGCGCAGGCGCCGCCACCACAAGGTCTGCCCCCAGGTTTCCCCGGCGCGCTGCCAACGGGCGCCCCTCCGGGCATACCCGGCTTCAGCCTCCCGCAGCCGACGGGCTCGGGCAGTGTTGACCTGAGCGGCATCAAGCCCATCAGCTCCGGCTCCGTTAGCATACAGGATGCGTTGGCGAAAGCGCGTGGCTTCGCGGCGCAGAAGGGTCTGAGCTACGACCCTCGTCCTGGTAGCCCTTACCTGTCTGATCTCGGTGTCCCAGCATCGACTTACACCTCGCCAGCTCATTCAGATGACCCGCGGCTGCGCGACCGCTCATATCGTGGTCGGTCACGGTCCCGGTCGCGATCCCCGCCGCGACGTGATAACATGCGTGACAGTTACAACCCCTATCGAGAGGAGCGACGTGCCCGTGGTGGTGGTGATGCCTATGGCCGGGAGCGCTCTCGCTCTCCTCCTAGACGCAATCAATTCTCTCCACCGCCCCGCGCCTATGGCGGACGTGATCGCTCTCCGCCTCCGAGTGACAATTCAGAGGTGATCCTGATTGATTCTTCTTTGGTCGGTCTTGTGATCGGGCGCCAGGGCGAGAGCCTACGTCGCATTGAACAGGAATCGGGGACTAGGATCCAATTCATCAATGGTCCCAACAGCGGACCCCAGCGTGAGTGCCGCATCACCGGCAGCCCAGGTGCTCGCATTACCGCAAAACGAGAGATCAACCGCATCATTGAGGAGAATGGTGGTAATCCTGCTCGTGAGACTGGCCGTAATGCTCGCGCCAGCGTCAAAGCCGGTCATCAGCCCGCTCTTCGAGATGGTGAACAGTCGTCGCAGATTATGGTGCCTGATCGCACCGTTGGTCTCATCATTGGCCGCGGAGGTGAGACGATCCGTGACCTCCAAGAACGAAGTGGATGCCATGTCAACATCGTCGGTGAGAACAAGAGCGTGAATGGTTTGCGCCCTGTAAATCTCATCGGTAGCCCCACTGCCGCAGCCCGCGCGAAGGAACTTATCATGGAGATTGTCGACAGTGACACCAGGGCAGCGGGAGAGGGCGCTCCACCAGCGATACAGCAGCAACAACACAGCAGGCGTGAGAATTTCGACCCTTATAGCGCTGGCCCGAACAAGATCAATGACAGCATCATGGTTCCCTCGGATGCCGTTGGTATGATCATTGGCAAAGGTAAGGTGTTTGCTGTGCTACCTCAATTCTGTTACTGATCCTGTTAAAGGCGGTGAGACCATCAAGGACATGCAGTCGACCACTGGGTGCAAGATCAATGTCTCCCAAGCCTCTGGTGCCGATATTGAGCGTGAGATTGGCCTAGTTGGGACGCGTCAAGCCATTGACGATGCGAAGCGTGCTATCTGGGACAAGGTGGAACAAGTGGTTAGTCAGGACCGCCTTTTTTTTTTTGGCCATATTGTGCTGACTCTTCGCAGAAGGAAAAGAACGGAAGCAGGCGTGGTGGTGGTCGAGATCACGGGAACTTCGACAACTACTCACATCAACAGCAGCCAAGTTACGGCCAACCACCCAACCAGCCACCCAGTCAGCCAAACCCACCACAGCAACCACAAGATGGTGCGGCCACTGATCCATACGCCATCTATGGCGGGTACCAGAACTATATTGCCATGTGGTATTCCTCGATCGCACAGCAAGCAGGTCAGGGTGATCAACGACCCCCGGGTGCTTAAGCTGCTACTCATGCCGCGTGATTGATGCACGAGTTGCTGAGACCTCGCCGAATGATGCGTGCTATGCTGAGGATTGCTTCATTATCATGACTCCTATCTCGAACGACAACTCTCGATCCTTCTTCACTACGGCGGATATACATGCAGTGCACCTTAATTCGTGGATGAACGTACGCCGAATTCGGATTTGCTTACCGATGGCATGGATTCTTGATTACCTCACTGGATTTTTCTCATCGCGCTCATGAACGGACACTCCGACGGATGCATGATCGGCCACCTGACTGTCGGTGAATGACTCCAACCACTAGCAGCCGGCCCTCCCGCTGCGGTATCGGTATTTGTGGACGGATCTCCCGCGAGTTATTTACATCCGGGATCAAACAAGTTGTTTCTTCTCCGATTTCAATCTCCATTCAATCATGCCAACATTATCGCCAGCGGCACGTACCGGCAGGCACCTTCGACGTCACATCTGCATTACCACCATCATCAAAAATTCTTTCATGCGTTCATGTTTATACTCGCGCGGTCTTTCGGACTCCTGCCTGGTGCCTCTTCGTCGGCGTGCGAAGTCTCGCAGGTCTGCCCCTTCCCATCTTCCTGCATTGAGGGTGGTACGGGCGGATTGGATTGGGAGTCCTCATCTTTCTTCCGAAACTGCACAATTTCAATCACGTTCTTGCTTCAACGGAAATGTACCAGTATAGCTTTTCTATCCCTATGGCGTTTTGGGTAGCTAGGCTAGTCTACAATAGTATCCCTCCTTTTTAGACAGTGATCCGATGGTTTTCTACTTTTGTGATGCCTTTCGATATTGGCGCGCGGGTTAGCCTAGATGGGGTGGAGAGAAGCCAGTATAGGACCGCCTCTGCGCTGAATCATCTGTGGCATGTGCAATTATCGGCCACCCCTTCGTAACACAGTATTTTCATTGAATAAACAGAGTCACGCCTTCTCTAGATGGCAACGGGAGCATGGCCAGTGGTTTTAGCTAGTTCTCAATGAATAGTAAACGCAGGCATAACTCGCTCTCGCTTTTACATGCTCAACATATTCACTCTTTAGAGAGCACAAGCTATTAACTTTTGCAAGATTGAAACTGCTCTTCCTGTGAAACTTCACTCGATATACCAGACGTGGTGCCTCAGGCAGGTTTTCAGCCCTACCAACTTTCTCGCGCCCCACTTAAACATTGCCATCCCACCACAACCCCACGACACGACGCGCCCGACGACAAGATGGAAGAAGACAGAGCAGCCACAAATCTCGGACCGTCTGCGGAAGATGGTATACCCGAAGAGCCATTCGCCGTGCCAAAACAGCCAAAGAGAAGATTTGTGGGCAGAAAATCGACGGCGGATGCAGGGAGCAAGCCGGCAGATCCAAACTCCACAATCGAGGACTCGAGTGCTATACAAGGTGTGAGACACCTGTGAAGACCTCACAGCAAGTCTGCTTGGAAGAAGCTAATATGCGCATGCAGTTGCTCAACCCCGTCGAACCGCCCGCGCGCTGAATACGATTCCCGACGATATCCTCCACGATACAGACATCAACGAAGCGATTGCGCTGCTACCGCCGAATTACAACTTCGAAATCCACAAATGCATACACCGGGTCCGCACCTCGGGCGCAAAGTCCATAGCTCTCCAATTCCCAGAAGGTCTGCTCCTCTTCGCAACGACGATATCAGATATCCTGACGCGGTTCTGTCCGGGGACATCGACGCTGATAATGGGCGATGTGACATATGGAGCATGCTGTATAGATGACTTTACGGCAAGGGCACTGGGCTGCGATCTTCTCATACATTATGCGCACAGCTGCTTGATTCCCGTAGCTGTTACGAAGATTGCGACGCTGTATATCTTCGTTTCGATTGGCATCGACACACAGCACATCATCAACACTATCACGCAGAACTTCCCGACCGGAAAGACAATAGCGCTCGTCGGGACGATCCAATTCAACGCTACTATCCATGGTATCGTGCCCATACTCCGACGCGAAGGCTACAACCCCATCGTCCCGCAAATCGCTCCTTTATCCAGAGGCGAAATCTTGGGATGTACGTCACCCTCCATGGCCATAAATCCAGGCCAGCTCAACGCAAAAGGAAAAGAAGAACCAGTCCCGGATCTCCTGTTGTATCTAGGCGACGGCCGCTTCCACCTCGAAAGCGCCATGATCGCCAACCCCTCTCTCCCCGCCTACCGGTACGACCCCTACTCACGCCGCCTCACGCACGAAACCTACGCCCACACCTCGCTCTACTCCCTGCGCCGCGCCGCTATCCTAACAGCGCGCAAAGCCCGCACATGGGGCATTATCCTCGGCTCCCTCGGCCGCCAAGGGAACCCGCACACGCTCACGCTCATAGAAAACGAACTCAAGCGGCAGGGCATAAAGTCTGTGAACCTTCTGCTTTCGGAGATCTTCCCGGGGAAGCTCGCGATGATGAGCGATGTCGAGGCTTGGGTGCAGATTGCGTGTCCGAGGTTGAGTATTGATTGGGGGTATGCGTTTCCGAGGCCGCTGTTGAGTCCGTACGAGGCGCTTGTAGCGTTGGGGGTTAGGGAGGCACCGTGGTTAGATGAGGAGACGGACAACGGGAAAATAGAAGAGAGGGAGAGGAGGAATCTATATCCGATGGATTTCTATGCTAAGGAGGGATTAGGGAGGACAACCGTGGATCATGTGACGGCTGCTGAGGTAGAAATCAAGGGATGAGGACTGGCAAGGGCACTCGCATAGAAGGGCGTTGGGGGTATTAAAAGGAATGAAAGGGCGCATTATCAGGCGTTGAGAAAAGTCCTGCCTCTGTGGCCTATACTAAGAGAAACGTCTTGCACCCAATGCGCGCAAGTTCGCATTTGAAGTGATCGGAGAAGGATCTCTATTCAATCCTTCTGTAAAAGCTATGTACGTAGTGCAACATAACCTCCCAAATCTGCTCCATGAACTCCGCCCCTTCCTAAGCAAACGCCAAACCATGAATGGGTATATCCGCATAATACATATATGTACTCATCAAAACATGACCGCGCAACCTTTTCCCCTCATCCTTCTCACAGCCAAACCGCTAACCAACCCAATCCCACAAAGCCTAACAGGAATATGCCGCTCAACCACCCGTCCGTCATCGCCGCGGGTGCCCTCACGCTCACCCCCGCATTCGGCTTCCCCGTCGGATATGGCAGCGTTCCGGGCACACCTGTGTTCGTGTACAAGCCTGCGCCCCCACCATATCCTTCTGCACCGCTCTTCGTCAGCGTCACGATCGTGGTCACGGGCTGCATATAACTTGTGCTGCCCTGGATCATGATTGCTGTCCCTCTCGGTTCGAGACTTAGCACAGTCCCCGAGACTGTGATGGGCAGCCCACCGGGAATGAGTGTCGTGCCTGGGTGCAGGATGTAATAGCCGGCGCGGTTTGCGGTGTAGATTTCGCCCCAGAGCGTGAGCGCGGGAAGCGCTGTGGTGGTGTAGATAGCGCCATAGGCTTGCGAGAGTGTGGTAGTTTTCCCGTTGACGACGATGGCGGTTGCGGAGGGAGCGAGAGAGAGCGTGGTACCAGAGACGGTTATGGCGGGCCCACCAGGAGTGAGAGTCTGGCCGCCGATTACGTATTGCGAGGGGAAGGCGTTGCCGGTGCCGGGCGGGTCGGAGAGTTGGTTGGGATTCTGGTTGTTAGGGTTTGGGTTGGAATTTGAGTCAGGGTTTGAATCCAGTTTCGAGGATGGATTTGCGGCGGGGTTGGCGATCGGAGTGAGGGTCTGACCGTTGCCGATAATGATGGGGAGGAGGATGGGGCCGTCCGTTATTTGACTGTTTGGCGGTTGGGCTGCTGGAGCCTGGAAGGGGACCGTTTTGGTGCCGACGATTACTTCAGTGCGGCCGGCCGATGTTTGGATGACAATAGGAGTGTTGTCTATTATGACGGTTTGCCCAGGTTTTACTGTTGTTGAGCCGCCGATGACGAAACCTCCGCCTTGGCTTGATGGTTGCTGGGTGACGATGATGTTGGATGGGCCGGCAGTAATTGTCGCTTGCGGAGGGCGTTGTGTCGTCTCTGCATGCTCGGCAGCAGGCTGGCTCGGCCAGAGAGTCGGCCATTCACCCCACCCCGTGGCGGTAATCTCGATGACGGGGGAGCATCCTCTGCACGGAGCGGTGGCCGTAAAGTTTGGTTCTGGAATCTCGTGGTGGCCATCTGGGTCGCCCGGCGCTGTGGTCTCGGCCGGTATCGGTCGCAAGGGTTCGTCTGTTGATGCCATGGATGGCGCTACTGGCGCTACTAGCGTCACGCTGACATTGGAGAGGCTGGAGACAATGCTTCCATCGGTCCGAATTGGAGTGCCTATGCTGGACTGAATAATTCCCGGGTTGGTTGGTAGAGGTCCGGATGAGATGGGCGCAGATTGGATCAATCCCGTATGCGCCGGTGACGAAGGTACGACAGCTGCTGGCGGTGACGAAGTTATCGGGCCCGAGGGTGGTTGCGAAGGGATCAATCCGGAAGGTGGTCGTGAGGGTATCAATATAGGAAGTAGTGTAGAGGAGGTGCGAGGTGCTGAAGGAATGAGGCCTGGTGGGGGCGTTGAGCGGATGGGTGCGGATGGTATGAGACCGGTGGGTTCTACAGCTGGTGTGACGCCGAAGTCAGTTTCAGATACCTCAAGATGTACTTTCTGCAGCGTCTGCATACTCGGTGCTGAGGGTATTAAAGCAAACGTCGCCAGCGGCGTATCAGTTGCAACATTGCTACCGGTCGCTATCGCCCTTAAGTCAGTGCGAAGAACTACGGCAGCGGATGTAAAACATTGAAGGATGCTTACCTGCTTGAGGTAGAGGAGTCGCAACACGGACCCATGTCGCCCATATGCATAGTAGTCGGCATAAGGAGAGCATCATAGAGTGCGCAGCGCCCTCATGACGAATGTTGGACATGATGGGAGCGAGTGCGAAAGCGAGCGAGAGAATGACGGCGGCGAGCACATCGGCAGGAAAGAGAGAAGTGAACCTTACATTTGGTTTATGAGGCGACACGAATATGCATTCCCAATTGCCCAGAAGTTTCTCTGCCATGAGCCCGCAATCAAAGAGTATGAAACGAGAAATCTCCGTACTTCTCCTCCCGTCGTAATTAAGACGGGCTGGCGGCTGATAGAGAGAAGAAATCGAGAACAGTGGTATATGGATATTATTTAGATTGTTGTTGATTAGGTCGGCATAAGCTTTTTGAGCAGCTTCCGCGCCGATTGGAGATCCTCCCGAGTGTGGGGTGGTTGATGTTGCATGGGATAAATTGTAGGCGAACATGCGCCGCCTATGATACGTCCGCTGGATGTTTGCAAGAAAACTTGCCTCGATGTGGTCGCCTAAGCGAGAATTTACCCCAGCTGAGCGTCATAAGCTGCCGTGGAGCCAACACAACAGGTAAAGGATCGGTTCAGGCGAGGCGGATAACTGGGCAAAGGCGCAAGGGATTGAACAGACCAAGGCGCAGTGGGGCCATACGGCAACGCCGTCCGGTATAGAAGGGGAGAAGGGGAGAAGAAAGATGAAAGACGCCTCACATATATCTCGCATGAAGGGTCGGAGCATCCTGTACATACCTGTGCCTTCGCGCTATGAAGCTTTGCAAATGCAAATCATATTGTTGAAGTACCTGTCCAGGAGCGGTCTTCGGTCTGAGAAGCGAGCTTCGGGTGGTTCGGTGATCAAAGGTGGTTCCCACGAGGGGGCATGTGGCTTCGATGAAGTTCTGCCGGCACTCGGCGTTCCGGACCGCAAGAGATAATCAGCCGGTACCAACCAAACCACTCAGCCAAGCGCTCGAGAATCCTTGGATAATGTGCAACGTGGCGCAAGTGTTCTTGGGTCTTTTCGAGTCCATGGAACGTTCGTCCGGGAGGTTCGTTGAGTTTTCTTTGCAGCTCTTTGGCGCTATTCTCGAATAGGCCGTGTAGTACTGATACTCTACTCCGCTCGAGAGGAATGGAGTGGATAAGTCAGCACTACCTGGGACTCACCATTCTAATCCGGCAAGCGTCTGATGACGGGAACAATGAAGCCTTTGGCTTGTTTGCTCGGACCGAACACTCGACTACAGACCCGATTCGAGGTGCCGAAGAGCTGTAGGACGAAGTAGGTTGTGTAGGATGACGAAGCTACGCGTTGGTGTAACTCAGGGCTCCGCAGGAGATGCTCGGCGTCGCATAGCGAAGTTGCAGAGTTGCAAGATCAGGCCGAACTTTCAATCCTGGATCTGAAATGGTCAGCCTGGTTGTCGTCAGATAAGCCGACGTAGGAAATCAATCAAGAGCGGATGGGACCTCCCTGCGGGTGAGAGTGAGAGGATACAGAGGCCCAGCAGGCGAGCCGTATGCGGAAACTTGTTTCCGTGGCCCGGCTGCTCTTTTGTACAGTATGTTTGCAAGCATAGCTGCAACTACCCCTGTGTGTCGTACAATTCATGGAAAGCAGCGCGGAAAAGAAGATATAGCCGAGAAAGGCGAGGCATGCGGAGACGACTCTTAAACGTAACGGCAGTACAGAAAAACGCAACAGCTTCGAAACTGATACAAACAATGCTGCACCTGTCGACCGCCGGGTAGGACATGAGCAAAATCGCTCCGCCGACGATCATTGGTGGCGCATAGGTGACTAAACACGCTCGGAGAGGTGTACGTCCCCTAGGGGTGCGCAGGCTGGATTGATCCACGTAGGAGAAAGAGGCGTCGGACCCTGTACATGAGGGCGAGAGAAAGACGGCCAGCGTGGTATACACAGGGCTCTAACAACTGACAAAGACAACAACCGGATACGCAGTGCTGAGGAGTGATGCGAGCTGGGCGCCGTGAAGCATTGAACGCACGTGCCAGCGCCAAGGCTTGACTAGCACGGAAAATTAAGCGAAAAGCAGAGCCACTATGGATTTTGAAGCTCGACCTCAAATCTCTCGTTCGACAAGCTCACACCCTCAACGACAGCCGATTGCGACAGAAGGCACCACACAGGTACGTCCACGCTACGCTGAGCCCCCTAGGCAGACACCCGACTCTTCGATGCGAGGAACCGCCGCGCGAGTTTTTCCACGTCCGACGTTATGCGACCTGGAGGGGCTTCACGAAGTCGATGTCCTGCCCGACTTCGGGTGTTCCTCCTACACGTCGCTGCGGGCAAAGGAATCAAATTCGGCGGCGGTACCTCCCTCGCCACGGTTCATGCCGAGTTGGCAGTCCTGAGAGAACATACGCTAATGAGTGGCAGCAGTCTTCTGACCGAACGCAATCATGGGGTACCTTATCTTCACAGGTCACTCTCGCACGCTCGAATGCTGACGCCTCCCAGTATCTCCCGCGACTCCCGTCACAAACGCTCCGCCTCCGGCGCGAAGCGAGCATACTACCGCAAGAAGAGGTATGCATAACCCGATCGCTTCTACAGTCATGTCTGACATGGCTTTAGGGCTTTCGAGAAGGGTCGCCAGCCTGCCAATACCCGTATTGGTGCTAAGCGTATCCATCTTGTCCGCACTCGCGGCGGCAACCGCAAATTCCGCGCCCTTCGTCTCGACTCTGGCAACTTCTCATGGGGATCTGAGGGCGTCGCCAAGAAGACTCGCGTGATCGGTGTCGTCTACCACCCGTCCAACAACGAACTCGTCCGCACCAACACCCTCACCAAGTCGGCCGTCGTCCAGATCGATGCTGCTCCTTTCCGGCAGTGGTTCGAGGCTCACTACGGTGTGTCGGTCGGCCGCAGGAAGCAGACTAAGGCGGGCGAAGAGGAGGAAAAGAAGAAGTCCAAGAGCATCGAGAAGAAGCAGGCTGAGCGCCTCAAGGCCTCAGGAAAGATCGAGAATGCGCTTGAGAGGCAGTTCGACACTGGTCGTCTGTTCGCCGTGGTCTCGTCCAGGCCGGGCCAGAGCGGTCGCTGCGACGGATACATCCTCGAGGGTGAGGAGCTCGCCTTCTACCAGCGTCTCCTCAGGAAGTAAGGGATGGTCTCGGGTAGTTCTTCGGTGCATCGGTCCGGTCAAAACGGGTGTTTATTCACATATCTGGTCTTCAATAGTGCTCCGAATGGATATGGCATAGTCATGCCGTTTCTAGATACCACGAGGCTATGAATCGTTGGTTGACTTTTCGGACGTCGTCCATGTAAATTGACCATGTCGTGATTTTAGCCCTATTTCACTGATCTGATTTACAACGCAATTTCTAGTCATGTTTCTCAAAGTTCTCATGGAACATTCGACGTCCACTTATAAAGTGTCGCCCGAGAAAGACTTGGACATTTTTACACTTTTCGAATTTCCAGAGAGTGCTAAGCTACGCCTGTGTCCAATTCAGTGAATGAATGACGTACCCTCGCGATATCCCCAATCCTAGAATTATGGCCGCAAAGAAGATATATATATGCGTCAGATGCCTATCTCAATATATGCTCAGACCTCATAGATAATATATAGTTGTGCCATCAACAGGAGGACATCGATGGACTACGAACTGAGCGATGGGTCATCCAGGACTATCCCAACACTCATGAAGCGTCGTCTAGAACCGGGACACGGACGGTGAAACGAGGTATAATTCGTGAAATACGAAGGTGGGAGCAGGGAGTCGTAAGTGAAGGCGCCGCTGAAGAAGTTGTCGTGGTTGCTTTCACCCAGAAATTGTGGCGGGGAGCAGCTCGAGCTCTTAATGGCTACCTCGCTTGAAAAGCTCAAAGGCCTCGACGAGACCGCGCTTGAGAGCTAGCCGCTTCGCGTTCTCTTCGGCGCTGTCGTTGCTCAACCCGCCTCCACCTGTGCTGCCTCGCTCCAGCTCGGAGGTGTCGTGGTACTTCTCTCCATCGAAGAGGACCCGCAGGTCCATCCAAAGCGGGACGTTCTTGATCTTGCCGGCCGAGCCGAAGAACTCCACGGCCAATGCACTGTTAAGCCGCTTGACGTACACCACCCATTTCTCTCCCTCCTTCTTGGTCCAGCGCCTGCCGAAGCCCTTCTTCGCATCTTGCACCTCGAGAATAAGAGTGAGGGTCTCTAGCGCGCGGTACGCATCCTTCAACTCTGCGTATCCGCCGTTGAGGAGCCACTGTAGCGGGTAGCAAGCGCGCACACGAATGTGTAGTTTGCGCACGAGTCGCTGACAATTGCGAGGGAAAAGAGGCACTTTGAAGTTCGCAGCCGGTGAAGTCTCCATATTCGGGCAGCCGATCTCGAAGTCATTCAGACCGTACAATACCGCTTTCGCTTCTGCATGAACTTCTTTTGAAACTCCCAGAATGCAGGTGTTCGTGTGGTGAAAGCGAGTGAAACGGAACTTATACCCGCCGACGGTGAGTTGCGGAAGAGCATACGCGATACCGGGGAGCAGCTCGCGTTGCTCTGCAGACAGATACGCTCCCTTATCGTTGTGGTACGAGGTGTGCTTTTGGCGCATGCAGATGAGGGCCGGTATGACCAGAAGAAATTCGTAAACGCGGTTGCGGACGGAGAGGGGGAGCTTCAGAAAGGGGAATGGCTCAGACGTGCAAGGTGCATCGTTGGCGATCGCGAAGCTAGGGAAGGGATCGTGTTTCTCTAGCACGGTGACCGTAGTAGAAGCGCTTGACAGCTCCACACCTGACGGACTGCTAGATCGTGCTGAGCTATCATCCGAGACCGCGACCCCGTAACAGTCGTCCCTGATCTGGAAGAAGTCGACGAGGGTCTCCTCACTCCCTTCGGTGCGTGCGAGACGTCTCGATATCGAGAAGTTGACAGCCTTGGCAAAACCCCCGGTTAGCGGAGGAGTAGGCAGTTGAGCGTGCCTATGCTCCAATGGCGGCGGGGTCTTTGGCCTCTCGATTGCTTTCGACATGTTTGACGTTCAGGGGTAACGAATCTCGTTGAACTTCAATAGCCGCGTTGATAGGTGGAGACGTTGGGTGGTGGAGAAATTTGACAATTGGGGGGTGAGTCCTGGCTTTATAAAGATATGAGAAGGTGAAGGTGGATTGATGTCTGGCCCTAAGAGCCCCACCTTCTGATTGGCGGTGACGTCGAAAGATGGAAGATTCTCAGCCATCTTGAAGTGAAGGAGGATTGACGAGTAGATGGCGTGATCGAGATGAGGACGTCGGATGAAGCGAAACTTTGAGGATAACCAGAAGGGCTGATTCAGTATGGAAAGGGTAAGAATAGAGACATCGAACGGAGTATTACGAGAAGATGGGGCTTTGCAAGGCTTCAAGGAGGACGCCGGAAGACCTTGAGGTTTGAGGATATTTGGACATTTGGGAAGAGCCGGGCAGGAAGAATTGTATTTGTGCTAGAGAAGGACAGGAACAGCCGGGATGAGGAGCGGTGTAGTCAAATTTCGTACACCATCGTCTGCGTCTCAGTCCCGCTTGCATGACGAGGTCAGTGGAGGGAGATCCTTTTCTGAAACTTCAAACATAGGAACAGACCGGATATGAAAGGTTCAGGACTATGTTGATAGCTCTATACTTTCGATGGGTATTGAACCCAATGCTCGCGGGAGCGGAAGATGTGATAGGAATAGCTATTGGGATTGGTTCAGAGATCAGCTTGGGCGTGAGTCTATTCTCCTCGCGTGGTAGATCCTCATCAGAAATACGCGGGATATGAAGACTTTGGGGTGATATACAATTGAAGCCCCAGGGCTCAGTCATCGTCAAAGTTCACGCGAACGCCATACCCGATCAGGCTAGCCTACCCTCTGCCGAGCCTCCGGAAAGCCTCAACCTCACAACCCTTCCAATCGCCGGCTATCCGCAAGATCGCAACCCCCATCCCAAGCCATCTCCTCTCCTCCCAAAATGTACACCAGCCGGGCCCTCAGCACCGCTCTCCGAGCCGGTGCGCCTCGCGCCCCAATTGCCACCCGCGTTGCCTTAACCCGGAGCTATGCCGCCGCCGCTGCACCGAGCAGCTCGTCGACGAAGCCGCCCGTTGCCCTGTTTGGCGTCGATGGGACATACGCCAGTGCTCTTGTACGTTGCAATTCACCTCTCTCTACGACTTTACGATGCGCAGACGATGACAGGAGACCCAATTGACCCCAAACCAAGCTAACACAACTTTTTCGCTCCAGTACACCGCAGCCGCGAAAACCTCCGCTCTCGAGCCGACCGCCAAATCCCTCGAAGCGCTCGCCGGCGTCTTCAAGAGAGATGCTAAGCTGGCTAGTGTGCTCAGCGCGCCTACCCTCTCGGTCTCGGATAAGCAGCAGATCGTCGCGGAGCTGCAGAAGCACCTCGGCGGCCAGGACAAGGAGGGCATCGTGAAGAATTTCCTCGAGACGCTTGCGGCGAACAACCGGCTAGGTGTGCTAGAGGGGGTGGTGGAGAAGTTTGGTACTTTGATGGGCGCGTACAGGGGTGAGGTTGAATTGACAGTTACGAGTGCTGCGGTATGTTGAATCCCATTTCAGGGAAGAGGAGGAGAGAACATCTCAATGGCTCAATTAGGGGCTGAGCAAACTTTGGCGGCTAACGTTCAACAGCCCCTCGATAACCGCACCCTCAGCCGTCTTGAATCCGCCGTCAGCAAGTCTCAATACGTTGGCCAGGGAAAGAAACTCAAGGTTGTACCCAAGGTCAACCCCGATATCCGCGGCGGACTTATTGTCGAAATCGGCGACAGGACCATCGATCTCTCCGTCTCCGCTAGGATGGCTAAGATGAACAAGCTGCTCAAGGACACTCTGTAAATATAGCAATGTCATAGACTGAGGAGCATGGGGCATCGGATGTCATTGACAGGATTGTGTATTCTAGTTAGAGGAAATGCGACTATCGATCTACTTTGTTCCCCTTCACAGCTCGCTGGCTGTTGAACTTAGACCGTTCGTCGCAGCACAGATATCACGGCTCTAGGTTTGAGCTTTGGACAGCTGATCCTGAAGATCTACGAGAGATTGAACGAGCGTGACTGTGTTTTTGCTTCCAGTCGGGTTGTTACGCCGATTGCTGATGTGTACCGGTACATGAGTCTGGGGACTCGGGGTGCGTGATAGGCCTCCAAGGCTCCAATAATATCCTTAATGTCGCAACGAAAGCGACGACGCCTCCTTACGCAGCACTATGGAACCACCCAACACCATCAATGATACCCGCACGTAGCCAGAAGTAGCTCCTGCCCACAGGATCCGCCTGTGCATGGAAGCACGCCTTCAGCTTCAGAATCCGAGTCCGACGGGGGACCCAGGTCGATAACTTGAGAGATCTGACCCTGGCCAAAGCGTATGCCCGTCTTCGACACTGTTGAACTTTCGACCATTCCCTCATCGTCATCCGTGTCAGACGGTGGGCCCAAGTCGATGACATGGGAATGCTCGTTGTCGAACGGGGCAGCCTGCGTCTGCTGGCTCTCCAGACTACAGGGAGCACCGTCATATCCACGCTGGCTTTCGAGCCCGGGCCGCGCTGTGTCCATGCTACCCGTTGCCCGTTGCAGAGATTCGACGTCTTTTTCGTACGAATTTTGTACAGCTTGGATATCCCTGATAAAAGCGCCTAGCAGTTGATCATCATTCTCATCGAACTGTTTGATAGCCGAAGTGACCGACGAAATCCGGCAACAGAGATCCTTCAGGTAGCGCTGGCGCAATGATCGCATCGCGGGTGTGGTTCCATCAGCAGGTGGTTGGGCTATGTTGTCCTCTTGAACGCGGTCTGCTCTAGCCACCGAAGAGTTTGCAGAGGGTCGATTGACGTCATCAATGAACTCCCTCATCGACTCGGCATCCTTGATCTCGCGAAATACACCCTTCTCCCTCGGGAGAGCCTAGTATGTGTTAGCTTGGTGCGTCCTAGATGAGAGTGTAGCACCGGAGGCTTACCACTTCGACTGGGTATTGAAGATTGTCGATCTCTCCGATTCTTGCAACATCCCGAATAATTGTAGGCTCGGGATTCTTGAAATGTTGATTCTTTGGTGGCGAGAAGAACTCCCAATGTTCGTGATGCCATGAAACGGCACGCTTCTCGGCGGAGCTCTTCTTTTCTCTGCTCCTTCGTGGTCTTGATGTCTTCTTCCTCTTTCTGGGTAGCGACGGCGTTTCCGAATTCTCATACTCCTCGTTAGCGCCATCGAAGGGGCGGGGAACTCGTCTGACTCTGGTAGACCGACGTTGTGACCTGACAGGCTCAGAGACGCTGTTTGGCGTCCAAGATGACGATGCGGGCTCAAGACTATGGGCCACGAGCGGATTACCCATCGCGTCCTCTTGCCTCCGCTTCACCGCAACGTCTATCTCGTCTCCTAGACCGTTCAATGGGCTACCAGAACTTTCTGACTCGCGCGTAATCTTCGTAGCTGTGACTGGCTTCGTCAGATAGGCTTGCCTTTCCTGCTCCTGAGCCTTTCCGAAGTTGATTGCCAAACCACGTCGCCCGGGCTGGCCACGGAGCGAGCGGTCCATCGCTTCTTGGGTTTCCAACACGGCGACTATGACATCGCTTGCACTCAGGTAGTATTTCGTCCCACCAACTGTACGATTGTGCCCTCGACGTTCCATAGCTTTCGTAATCCGATTCTGAAATGACGCCAGGTCGGGAACGAGAGCGGTAAGCTCGGCAAGATTGCGGAGGAGGTTCTCGCTGCAAGTGATGTTTGCTCCGGTTGATGGGCGATAAGCTTCCGGAATTGCTGCATACGGCGACACCCCAAGCTTAGAAGTAATGACGTCGGCGTAGTGGGCGCTCAATCCGGCAGTCATCCGCTGCTCCTAGTAATGCTCGATCAGATGATGTGGCTAGCGAACAGACTACCCGGAGGTCTTCTACGCACATTTCGAAAGGACGCCATGTCGTTCATACCGCCGCTTCGTAAATAGGAAGGACTGCCTGTGAGTAGTGGAGGAGGCGAGATTTTCGTTTGTTGACGGGCGGCGATGATGATTGTGACTGCCGGGTCGGGTGGGAAGCGTCATTGTTGCGCCTGCCCAATTCAACGGCAGTCTGCGCTGGCGTGTCTGCCGACGCGGTATGACCTCGGGACCCATGGAGCCAAATTTGACCACGCCCAATCTTATCCAACTGCCACAGGATGCTGCCGCGCAGGAATGAGGAAAGAATTCACTTGATCATTGCATCTTACAGTACTTCCGTCCATGATCAACCTGCCATCTGCACAGCCAGACCTCAAAGGCCATACTGACAAAACCTGCTATGCAAATTCCACCAGAATCGCTCACACTTGTGGCGCCCAAGCTGAATTCACGGTCCTCCTTTGGGACATTATCCGTGATCTCCGCGAATGTGCTGACGTAGACCAAGCCCCCTAAGAGGCCTTCCCAGAAGATGATTGCGCATACCACGTAGAAATTGGGGAGGAAGTTGAACATGGCGTGCAGGGTGAGGAGAAGCAGGTTGGCCACCTGGAGGAAGGAGGGAAAATAGAGGTGGTGGATCCTGATGAAGGGCGTGGAAGACCGGGAGATGAAGACACCGACTTGGTAGACGGCGTTGTAGGTGGAGTAGAAGGCCCTGTACTCCTGGAAGGGGCTGGATGCAAGAGGGAAAAGAAGGGTGGGCGCCACCCCTTGATTAATCGTATATTCCGCGATGTACACAAGCAGCAAGGGGAGCATGCTATTACTTGTCAGCCTGAACACCTTGCCGCTGGCCAGCATCACGTACTAGGGAAAGAATAAACCACGGCTGCGCCTCAGATTGGCTTTGAAGCTTTTCCACGGGGAACCCGTGCTCTTGCTAGTTGCGGATGCGAAGCTGCGCGCGGAGGTTGAATGTATCGAAGAAGACAATAGCCCTTCTTGCTCGTTGTTCCGCCTAATGGAGTTGACCCCCTCTTCCTCTTGTTCGTCCAAGTCTTCGATCGCCTCATACTCCGTATGCTTGCCAAATGAGGCATGTAGAGGTCCTCTGGGGAGGATTACGAAGAAGCTGAGCAGCATGATTAGGGGAAGAAAGGAGAAGAAGAGCAGGCTATTTCGCGGGCTGAACTGCAAGGTTGTTGTCGCAATCGCATACGCCCCAGCACCGATCAAGCCAGCGCCGCCAGTCCCACTGCCCCAGCTTGCAAGAGCAAAGTGACCGTAATAGTGTGTCAAGCCCAGGAAGCTGAGCTCGCCGCCTCCACTGCTTAGGCTGGCTAGTATGACGCCGCACATTTTTATCCCGATCGATTTTGCGTCCTGCAGCTGAGGAGTGAGTGCGATTATGACCATGCCGCATGCCGACAGCGTAACGAAGACGAGGATCCGGATATTGTAGGGAATTTTGTGGATGAAGTATGGAGCGCATAGTTTCGTGAGAAAAGAAGGGATGACCTGCAATGGTAGCGGTACCCTTAGCAGGCGTCTTAGATTGGGGGAGGGAACTTATAGCATGTTTCAGGTCATAGCCTACTGAGTATTCTGCAGGTAGAGCTAATGCATGGTGGAGAGTGTACCGCGACCTACGTACATCGGCCAAGAGAACGACGCCCTTGGGAACGTTGGGGCCGACAAGGTCGAGGGCTGAGGATAGGATGATGACGTAGAGGACATTGTTGATAAGACCTGGCGAAGGTTTTAGCTAGAGTGATCTCGGACTGCGACTTGGGTGCGTTAGGAGCAGCACCTGGACCTTAGGACGTACCAAATAGCCAGAAGGCAGCGCAGACTCGAGGATCAGCACCCTCAAAGATGGACTTTAAGCGGGCTCGGTAGAGGGCCCACGACGCGGCGGGAGAGCCAGGCATGGGGAGGGGAGGCATCAGAGGACAGAGGCTAGCGATGCCTGCGCGGTGACGGTCCAGGTCAGCAAATTGCTCGGGCTGGAGAGAAGAGAGCTAGCAGGTCCTGGCTGTCCTTATCCATCGAAGGCTTTTCAGGAGCAGCGTTACGAAAAGATGGCCGTACCTTGACATGGCGACTGTCTTGGGCGCGTGCAGACCGTGGTGGTGAGGCTGCGCTCGTGATCGGAAGCAACGTCAGGAAGAAGCGGTGGGGCCAGGCTTAGCCAAACTTAGATACAGTGGCCCCGGCTCAAACATAAATCTTCAGGTACACAACCGGATGCTTGCCGGGCGCACATTCTTCCCGAGCCCCTAGCTGCGCTTGCAGCCCGAAGAGCGTTTAGCCAGGCAACAATATAGGCGCTGTATGGGCGGTGGCTATAATTCGGGGACGCGGCCTTATCACACAACGACGACAGGCACTGAGGCACATGCGGGAGATGCGCCGAATTCCAGGGTCATGCGGGGCTAGTAGCTTCAGTCGAAAACGGGCTTGTGTGGCGGCAGGGATGTGTCAATCGTGCCAGGGCTGCCCGATGCGCTGCTGGTCGACTTGCATTCTCCTCATCCTCTTCCCTCTCAGCGGCCAACCGTCCTGTCCTCCACCTCGCCCACGCCCAGGGGAGGGCCGCTACCGTGCGCTAGCTCCGCTAACATGACTGTGACTCCTGCTCCTCCTCTTGCCATCCACTAGCCTTTTCCTTCGAGTCCACCGACCCTTACCGCTCTCTCGAGTCTACGAAAAACTCGAAGAAAACCACCATGGACTCTCGCCAGCCGCACCCCCTCGCACGACCGCCCGAGCGCACTCTAATCCACAATCCAAACCACCAGTCGCCTTCGCAGCCCCCGCACACGCAGCCCTTTCCCGGCTATGCTCCCGCGACCTCGCAACCGCAGCCGCCCGTCCACGTTCCTTTCACCGCCGACCCATACCCCACCTCCCGCCGCGATCCATTCCTGCCCCCGGCCTCGCAGCATGTGCGACGAAGCAGCTACGGCGTTCCTGGCGCGGAGGGCACAGCTCAGGGAGACAGACACGGTGCTTGGGGGAACATAGGTACGCTACGCGGCTGTGGCCCTCATTCTAGAACCCTCACTGCGGTGCAACACGAGAGCGATGTTGTCTTGGATGTGGCAGCATGTCTAAGACACCTGCACGGCTCACGTGGGCCTGCAAAGGGATGCGGACGAAGCGAGACAGCTGGATCTGAGGACTCGGGCCGGCGGGCGTCGCTACCTCACACTCTGTCGCAAACGTGCGGAGAAGTTGACGCAAGAAGCTCAAGAAGGACGGGGAGCGGCTGATCTCGCCAGGTCTCCGCAAACTCGCGCTGTGGTAGAGCTGCGTTGACGTGAGTAGCGCGCCCGTTGGCCCAGCCATCCACGACCGGCATCTCTGTGGCCTTGGCCCGCTCTCGTTCCTGCACGCCTTTCCTCGACCACATTGCATCCACAGCGCAGCCGGGTGCATGGGTGCGTTCGGATTCGCATCATCGCATTTCTGTCCACCCGCACGGCTGGCACGCTAAGCGACGCTCTAACTGCATTTGAACTTTACTGACGATCAACCGCTAGCCATCGCGCATGCGTCCCATCTCCACTCGCAGTCTGGTCCACCACCGCCGCCATCCATGAGCTCGTCCCAAGGCGCCTCAAACCCGTCGCCGTACGGCTACAATGCTTCGCGCAGAGGTTCGCACGGGGGTGCGAGCCCCCCAAACCCTTACGCTGGTAAAGCCCCGCGACGAGTTCCTGCCCAAAGCTTGCTTTGACTGAATATCATAGCTCCATCACACGAACCCCCTCCTCCGCCGCCCTCGTTTGCGCGGCATATGCCGCCTCCATCATCGCCGCAGCAGCAACAACATAATCATGCATCGCAGGCGCAACGAGCGCCTTATTCGATATTTGCAGGGAGTCGCGACCTCCCCGCGCTAGGACAAGCGCACCGCCCTGGGAGCAGCATGTCCATCTCATCCCTTATCGGCCGCGGTGACACAGGTGCACCCCATCAAACGTCGCAGTCACAGTTGTCACCTCCCACGAACGCGCAGTCAAACAATCACAGCATGCAGCCACCCTCACCCAGACGTGGGCTTCCACCAGCTTCACGACCGGACTACCAACCCTTTCGACGCCAGCCATCGCCCGACAGACATATGTATAGCAACAATACGTCAAGGGCGCCCGAAGGTCACTCTTACACATCCGCGTCGCCAACACGGTCGTACAGCAACCACGGCTCACCAGAGCAGAGTCGTCTCTCGCTGCCTCAGACGGCCCAACCATACAAACCCATGGTCTTCCAGGGTCAACGTCCCTATGCGTCCTCCCCAAACGATGCACACGCGCGAGATCCTCGACAACCACCTGTGAACGTGCCTCCCCGGCCGAATAGTCAACCAAGCGTTCCCCCTGGCCCATCTGAACAAGAGGGGAGGAGCGTGTATGATGCTTTGGGACGACGTACCGTCTATGGCCCACCAGAGGAAAGGCGACGGACGCTTGGGGAGTCACATCATGCGAGGCCCAATGCTGCGGAGCTACTTGGGGCCGCGCTTCAATCTTCGTCAGACAGAGACAGGCCATCCACCGTCCAACCCGTTTCCCAGTCTGCCTTCAGCCCTCCCCGCGACCATCGTGGCGTGATTGGATCTAATCCGCCTGCGCGCAGCTCCTGGCGGCAGGCCATTCCCGAAGATGCGCCCCGTGAAAGTACCGAAAGCCGAAGGGAGGAACCACCCGCACTGTATCGCGGTTACGGAGGCTACTCTGCGCCACCGCAAGGGCCTGCTCCATATGGAGGTCATCGTCCGGAAGATATGGTTCGGGGACGGAGCTTGGACCACTTAAGCCATCGCGTGGTTGAACAATACCATGCTCCTCCAACCTCAGATCCGCATTCTAATGATAGGCAAAAGTCGGAACAACTCTCTCGGTCTTTGTCGTCCGGCGGAAGCGCATACGCCGGCCGATCTCTCTACGATCAGCCGCGCAGGACGGGTGAAGAGATGCAGCACACCAAATCTTTGCTAGGCTTCGGTCCTGACGCTAACCGTAGAACAGGAAGAGCATCGCCTCTTCCACAGGCTGTTCAGGGTGCACAAGCACAGCCTTTGTCTATTGGGAAGGACCCACATGTCAAGAGCGAGTTCGGGCGAATGTTTTCTGGCCTGGGAAGCGGACTAGGGACCTCAACACCCTCAAGAGGTAGCCCAATGCCCCAAACTGCCCAAGAGTCGCTTCCACCAGGTGCAGAACTCAACGACCATCTTAGGCTGCAAAGAGTCAGCTCCCAGAACGGCAGGAAACCAAAGAGGGTTAAGGATGAGGAAAGCGTGTTTGACAGCGAAAGCATTGATGGAAGAGGGACACCCTCTGGTACGCGTGGCGCGAAACGCAACAAGCATGTGCACCCGAGCCATCATCACCATCATCATATACATGCCCATCAGTGAGTAGATTACGCTGAGTTAGTCAAAACATGTGCTAATTGGCAGTCATCATCACCACCACCCCAAGCCTGACGAAGAAATACCTCCATCGGCATCATCGACTCCCTTTGGCGGCAGACAGGCCAGCCTTCCTCAGAACGGCGCCACGCAAGGTCCCCACCACCACCATCATTACCATGGAGCGCCGCATCACCATCACCATGCTCCACGACCGACCCAAGCGGCGTTTCCATCCCCTAAGATCCCTCCAAAAATTCACGACATGCAAGCTGTTCTGGACGAAGCTGCAAAGTATCCGCGCAGACACCTTGGATCACATCTGTACGAGGCGACGACTGAACTGCCTAAACCGAATTCATGCTTAGATGATCAGTTCGGGTACGCTTCAAAACCAAAACACCTCCCTCGGTTCGAAATCAATCCAATCAACTGCACCTTTACCATCCGGGTGCCTAGGTTCCACCTGAAGCCGCGCCAAAGACAGCAAATCATTCTACAGCGCCATCTGTGGGGCGCACGTATCTATCGTGACGATTCAGATCCCATTGCCGCTGCGATGCATTCCGGCTGGATAAGGGGGGAATGGGATGATACCGTCGACATGCATCTGCTTGACCCTCGAATCACGGCGCCGAACGAGCCTAGCGATGCGGAAGACACGCTGGCCAACCCCCCCGCCGCTCCAGTGACTCCGCCAGTTGATATGGACTTGCAGATCGAAATACTGATACTTCCTCGGCTCCAGGAGTATGCGGGCACGGTCGAGTATGGTATCTCGAGCCGGAAGAGCAAGACACACGACGGGCTGAGCTTCCTGATACACAAAATCCGCTGGGTCGAGGACGGCAGTCGTGGGCAAGAGCGAACCGCGGCGGCGCTCAAGCAAAGGCTGGATGCAAGCGCTACTCTCCTCTCCTTGAAGAGTGGCGGGGAGGATCCGTTCAGAGCGGTCAATGGGACGGCGAAGTTGCACGCTTGAATTCGACTGACATTTGCCGGGGATTCCTACATGTTGCTGCAGGCATAGGTCGTCTTTTTCCCTTGGATAGTTATTTGCTCCAATGTGGCACGGCGACGTGTACGATAGGAGGCTCTTTGGTGCAATATTGCTAGATACCCATAGTTTTACGACTGTGACGGCCGTTTGCCTAATGCCGGATTGCGCCAGGGCTTTGGATGTCGGACATGGCTGGTAAAGAGAAACATCAGGTAGCAGAGGATAGCGTGGTCCACCGCCTGTCGTCGCCTACACAGTATGACACCGTCTCTTCCCCACGTACGCATAGCGTGAAATCGTACAAACGCATTTGCCTCTTTCTGACCTATGCGCGCTGTTGCAGAAGAATAGATTACAGTCTCCACGTGCGGGTGCTGGAATTGCCAGGGAGCGATAGCGGTGCTTTTTCATGTCGCGCCCCCTCCTGATAAGGCAATAGCAGACACCGAAGTCGCACTCAGCGGGCCATGGCTGGCAACTAGCAACCGCCCTCGAAGCGACATCTCACCAGAGTCACCACGTACCCAGGGAGGCAGCATCGATTCGCGCGTGCAAACACGATCCCTTGCGCTTGCGGCCCTGCACGTTTCGACGACAAGCTTTCATACCCCGCCGGCAGCAAACGCCTGGGCTGGGAGCGATCCGAAAAGCGGGTTGACGGCAGCATCCTCTCAATTGGCGCGAGGACACCGTCTTTGAGGATGGCACGGATCAGGAACTACTCCATATCGACGGTGAGTGGCTTTCATTTGGCGTGCCAGGCGCCCCGGGCCTGCCCATTTATGATGTCCTCGCGGCTGGTCTCAACATGCGGCGGCGTCCGGCATTCGGCGAGCCGCACAGATTGCATGAATGCGGCATGTGGAAAATGGAAAGCGCCGGCTTAGCCATTTTCTGATTTTCTGGCATCGCACGCCCGTCCAGGAGTGGCGTCATTCGCAATCCTGAGCGTCACGAGAGGCACACGAGCAGACCGCCGTCGCAACTCTGTCAGGACCGCAGGGCCACTGCCGGGAAACGCGCCGAGGCGTCCAGGGAAAGAAAGTCTGCCATCATCAGCATCGAAACCCGGCGGCATCGCGCGACTGGCCGGGCCAGCATAATTCACAGCTTCGCGCGCCGGGCCAGTGGAACGTTCACAGGCGCCAGCCCAGCCAACGCCAACGCGCCGATTGAAGCCAGCCTGCGCTGATTGCTGCACCAACGCTCTCGCACCGCGTCCCAAGAGTCACCCGAACGCTCTAAATACAAAGGCGCGGTTCCAAATGCGGGGAATTGGCACCTCCAAGCTTCCACCTCCGCTCGCTTCTCGAAAGCCGACCCGAACCCAGAGCTCTGCATCACCACGCTGCGCGCCCCTGCAACAGCTGCCCCAGCACCCAATACTCTCCCAATTGCCTTGGATTCTGGACTCTCCTGCCGTCTCCTGACGCCGGACCACCTTTGTTCCTTTGGGCACGGCCCACTTCTGAGGCCGCCGCTCGGAAGACGCTTGGCCGGCTTCCGAGCCATATTTCTTTTCACTGCTTTCTTGTATAAACTTTTCCGCCTCCCTCTGGCCGCCTCACCTTCCCTCGAGCTGGAGGCCGCTGCTGCCCGTCATGACGGAGACCAATGGCGTCTTCACGCCCAACATGCGCGCTGTGCCTATAGGCGACTTCGTAACGCCGAGCAAGAAGACTAACGGAGTCGGTATCCAGGCTGAAGACACGCGGATATGCGTTGTAATGGTGGGCTTGCCCGCGCGGGGCAAGAGCTTGATTGCACAGAAAGGTGAGAGGCTCCCTGTCACATCCTACCTTTGCTGACATTGCGCGCATCATAGTCGTTCGCTACCTCCACTGGCTGTCTATAAAAGCGAAGACATTCAATGTCGGCCAGTACCGACGTACCGCGACCCCGAACCCGTCCGCCGAGTTCTTCGATACCTCCAACCCGGAAGGAGAACGCCTCCGCAGAGCCGCCGCGGAAGCAGCCGTGCACGACATGTGCAGGTGGTTTGCGGAGGGACGCGGATTAATTGCGATACTAGATGCGACGAATTCAACAAAGACCCGCCGCAGGTGGATACAAGAGCGATGTGCAAAGGAGAACATTGAAACTCTGTTCGTGGAGTCCAAGTGCGACGATGAGGACCTGATCATGAGCAACATCCTGGAAGTCAAGACAACGTCACCGGACTACGTAGGGCAGGACCCAGAGTTGGCCGCAGCCGACTTCCGGAATCGTATTCGGAACTATGAGAAGGTGTACCAGACTATCGACGAGGATGAACGCGATCTCACATATGTGAAGTTAATCAACGTGGGCAAGCAAGTCATCATCAATCAGATCCAGGATTACCTGCAGAGTCGAGTAGTGTACTACTTGATGAATCTCCACATCAAGCCGCGCTCCATCTGGTTATCCCGGGTAAGAACGCCCGCGTCATTGTGATAGCTGTTGTAACTAACGTCCTCAGCATGGCGAATCGCAATACAATCTCTCGGGCAAGATTGGCGGAGACGCAGACCTTTCTGAGCGCGGCGAAGCCTATGCTCATGCGCTACCCGGTCTCGTCGCGAAATCCGTCGGTGACGGCCGCAGGCTCACCGTCTGGACGTCCACCCTAAAACGAACGATACAGACCGCGCGCTTCCTCCCTTTCGAGAAGCTCGAGTGGAAAGCTCTGGACGAACTCGACTCCGGTGTCTGCGATGGCCTCACGTACGCCGAAATTGAACAACAGTACCCCGAAGACTTTGCGCAACGCGACGAAGACAAATACAACTACCGCTACCTTGGCGGGGAATCATACCGCGATGTGGTTATCCGGCTGGAACCTATCATAATGGAGCTGGAGCGCAGTGAGAACATTCTGATCGTTACGCATCAAGCGATCCTGAGGTGCATCTACGCATACTTCATGAACGTGCCGCAAGAACAGAGTCCCTGGATGGAGGTGCCACTTCATACGCTAATCAAATTGACGCCGAAAGCGTATTCGACGCAGGAGGAGAGGCTAAAGGCCGATATTCCTGCTGTCAGCACCTGGCGGGGTAAAGGCAGCAAAGCACAACATCAGGAAGTCGATGGCTGCGCGGGTGGTGGTAGCATATGATGTCATGGCGCAGTCTCGGGACGTCAGCGAACCTCGGTCGATTTGGCGAGTGGGGATGGAGCGGCCCGCCGCGGAGAGCGGAGCGGAAGAAAGGGAAGCTTAGTCAGGCGGAACTTGGCTCGGCGGGTTAGACGACCGCGAAAGGAAATAAAAGGAGAGCGTTGAGGTCAGAGTTTGAGGACCTGATGGGCTTCGTTTTTATGTCTTGACCATTTCTACTGTGGGCTTGGCTAGGATGCTTATCACTTTGGCGGCGTTAAAACATAGACTGGTATGGCTTCCATTATCAGTTTTACTGTTTCCATATCTCTCTTCCCTTTTGAGAACGCTTTATCATGACGGCTTTCATGGTTGCATAGGCACGGTGCACGGGTTTTGTGAGCGTTGGGAGAAACTTAGAGCTCACCCTTCGTCAGAGACTGGCAGCGTTGAATGAATGCATAGGTCAACCTGCTCAATTCAAACGCCCTTCTAGCTTTGTGTGATTTCTTTTATCGCGCTGTCATTCAATTGTGGCGCGGCCTGATCCATCCTCAGGTTCCTAGTGATCCGGGATTCGTTCACAACACTGGTGCGCTCGGCAAAGGTTGCCGCTGTTGCTACGATGACTCCTTGGAGAATACGAACGCCCAAACAAAAAGCACCATGGTTCTCGGAGTCCCTGGAGCGGCTCCCGTCTAGCTCATTGGCAGAAGTCGCAGCATGTCAACCCAAGGCAAAAAGTGGACCATGGTTGTTTATGCTTTGGGCGAGTGGTGGGAAAACAGTGCCTCTTCCAAGGGTAAGGCTGCCAGATCGCAAGGGAGAAAGTCAATGGAAGGAGCTCTGAGCGATGGTAGCTGTGTGATGGCAGAGAGTCTTCAATCCATGATGAGCAGGACGGGAAACAGCACGCTGGAGGTGCGACCGATGGACCTGGGGGTTGCATGAGCCACGCTCATACCTTCTCCCAGCGGGAACCTTGGAAGCTGCAGCGCGCCCTCGGGGCATGTGCAAATGTCGGCTGTCGTGCCCATGGTCCTGACATCGCCTCGAGAGTCCATTTCCATCAGGCCTTTGCTTGTAGCCTCAACGGCTCCAGTGGCAGCATTCCCAACAAATCATCCCTACTATTTTTTTTTGGCCCCGTCCGCGTATAAATTACTATGGATAGCCACCGGTGTGACTGCACCCATTGCAAAAGAGCCAGCCCGGTGATATTTATCGAGCGACGGCAACGACAGAACAAAGCCATGCATACTCCTCGTCTTGAAGTCCATCCTACGAGGTCCAACGACCAGGGCCCAGTTCTGCCCCCAATGGGCATCTTCTCAGTACCCAAAGCCGGCAAGCCCGCCCCGAAGCGACCGCGCAAAGGAAAAGGGTCAGAGGACCTTCAGGATCCGATTTCCAGAGTTCCAGATGATACGGCATCGCCACGCCCAATCGCTCAGCCACAGCAGCAACAGGGCGCTCACAAAGATAAAGGTCCTGACCTTCAGGTTCCCGTTGCTGCTGACCATCCAGAATACGGACTCCATATCCTGGCCGCAGCAGCCGCATATGTCCAGGCTAGCGATCCGCCAGAGGAGAAGCCTGCCAAAACACAACGTATCACGTTGAGGCTTCCTCCCCGAAAGGAGTCCATTCCAGACGAGCCAACCACAGCGCCACCGGAGACCCTGGCCCGAGGGAAGCAGAAAGTACAGATCAGCAGCCCGCCGGACAATCCCCCTCACCTCGTCCTAGAAAACGGCAACAACAGGCGCCGCAAGACCAACAAATGGCGCATCGATGGAGTGCACACCTGGGAAGAGCCCCTCCCGGTCGACGAACGCCGTCCGACGAGCCTGTGGGATCGGCACACCATTGGTGCGGCCGGACCTCCAGCGTGGTATATAAACCCTGCTGGCGGTGAGTTGCCGAACCCGGGGCTCTCGAAGCCGACGCCGGACGATCTGGCGAGGGAAGCTAAGTGGGTCGAGAAACTCCATAAGTACGACTACTACAAGGAGGTTCTGGGCGGAGAAGAGTCAGAATCAGAGTCAGAGAGCGCGGTACTGGAGAAGGGAGCGAAGAGGACCGGGAAGCCGTCATTGAAGAGCGGGTTGAGTGAGGAGCAAGGGGCGGAGGCATCCAGCGCGAAGTCATCCAGCGCGAATTTGTCCAGCGCGAAGTCATCGAGCTCGAAGCCGTCCAGTAAGAAGTCATCCAGAAAGAAGTCATCTGGCAAGAAGTCCTCCGCCAAGAAGGCCTCCACCACAAAGGCCTCCACCAAGAAGGCAGAGGAGGAGGAGTGGGAATGCTGCCCCGGAGGTTGTCCCACTTGTACCAGGATCGCGCTTCGTATGGCAGATGATGCTAATGAGAAGTCAGGCCAAGGTCACTAAAGCCTCTTCCTGGGATACCGATTGGGTATGCAGCCTGGGGACAGTGGTGTATTGCGGTTGAATCGTCTTTATCTCCATTTCTCTTTCGATGGGTTGGATCGCCGATATCAAAGATGGACAAGAATGATCACCCCTCAGCATTGTGTCGTTGTTCATCCAAAATTGAGTGTGCTTGGTGGCTTTTTTCCTTGCTCTTTCGCCGCGACTTGTTCTTGACATCCCTGGTGGTGAGAGGTGGTTTAATGGCATCGAGATGGAGGATAGCACCGGATACCCGCAATCCCTTTGAAGACCCTGTATGTTAGCATAACCTAATTGTTATATTCCAAATGTTGATAGCCGTACTCTGGTGATGTTAATGTAGCCACGTATCGTGCCCCCGCCAAACAATCTCCAACCGAAATCCTCCGCCTCGGAACCACCTTCCCCTTTCGCCCACTTCCGCGGGGAAGCACCCAGCTCCACCACCACCGTCTCTAGCACCGCATGCCCCCTCGTTAATATCAGCAATCCTCACAATAATGCCCCCTCCCCCAAACACGCCCCAGTCAAACGCAAACGCAAATCCCAATCCCCCTCCCACCAACGCCTCCGCCTTCCTCGCAACCGTGCTCAACCCGCCAACCACCGCGTCCCGCACGCCGCCCCATCTCCGCATGAGCTCGAACCGAGGAGGACAGTCCGAATTCACAGCGACCCAGCGCTCCCTCCAAGCGCGGAACAAACCATATGAGGGTGCAGCGGCGACGCGAGAGGGCGAGGCATACGAGACGCGGCAGCGGCGCGAGGAAGCGGCGTCGATACTGCAGAACCTAGAAATGCTGATATGGTATAGTTCCGCGAGGAATGAGGTACGAGCCCCCCAATACATGCTCACCTCTCCCACCACGCCTCTCGAAATCCCACATCATACCACAAACAGGGGTGAAGCAAGTTCAGGCCTAACAAACCAACGCAGAGCCTCTCGCAAACCCGGCACCACTTCCAGAACGTCGTCCTTGGCGTCGACCGCGACGACGACATACAATGGCTCGAGGAATGGGAGGTGCCGCCTGAGCGGCGGGTGCGGAAAGACGGCGAGGATACGGTTATGGGAGGAGGGAGTGGTAGTAGTCCGGCGCGGAGTGCGAAGGGGAAGGAGAGGGAGAAGGGGAAGAGGAAGGCTTGAACATATCCTCCTCCCCACGGCACACACAAGACGAGAACATGATTTACGAATTTGCTTGCATACACGAGGTTTTCATCTTGGGTTTTCTTGGTTAGAGCAGCATTATACCCCCTAGTGTCTATTTGCAAGTCAGATTGATATATTCAAAAGCGCTTCAAAATGATGGTTTCAATTGATATCAAGACATGTACTATTCCGCCCATCTCGCTGCATCCGCTCTGCCCAAATCCTTTTCTTTATCCAACTAAACGCGTAGCGTTGCCAATGAATGAGTTAAAAAAGAAAATGCGTGCACCCATTGTACACAAGTTTCGAATGCAGGAGAGAACCCCATCCCGTCCTTACCATGGGAAAAGCCGGTCAGCCAGCCAGTAGCCAAAAATGCGCAATAGATACAAGAAGGCGCATCAACCCCTCAATCCAGCTCTTCAGCAAACAGCGGCCGATAGTCTGTCAAGCACCAATCTTTAAATGCAGATACAACCACACCCCCAACGCCCTTGATTAAGTCATCACATGCCCTCCTCCATGCCCACATTTCTCCACCAAGGAGCCGCGCCCCCTCTCTCTTGGAACATCTCCTCAGCATCGCCGACCTGCCTCCGCTCGCTGACTTCCATCTGCCCACTCAACTTCAGCCGCATGGCTTTCGAGCCGACCGAACTACTACGCGCCAATCCTCGAGACGAACGAATCAGCTCGCTAGACGTCCACTCGTCCCTCATGACTGGTAGTTGCTATTGCAGGGGTTCCGATGAGGAGCTCAGACGGTTGAGATGGAGGTATACGTCGGTGCCGTAGCTATTTGGTGTCAGCAAAGGTGGAAATAGGGAACATCATGATCAAACTCACCCCTCCATACTGATCAGCTTCAGATCGCCACCGAAGTACCTCGCGTATAGTCTTGAGATGGGCAGACCGTATCCGAAACCGGCCATTGGCGCCTTGAAGTCGCTCTTGTTAAAATCCGGGTCCAGGCTCGGCGTCTGATCTACGGTGGTATACATATACGTCCACACGAGCGGGATAGCCGACCGTGGAATTCCTCCTCCTTCGTCTGAGATCTTGATCGTAATGTCTTCTTTGCCCTCCGCTACAATGACTTTGGTCACGGGAAAATCCTCCTTGTCCTGCCCCCTGAACTCGACAACAGCGCGCAGCGAGTTCTTGAGCGTCTCGAATAACATGTGTGACAAATGGCCCGGGACGTACATGAAGCTAATGTCAGAGTTGCAGACGAGCTGTACTTTCGGGGCTTCGAAGAGGCCGTAGTGATCCTCGCATACGAACCTCGCGTTCTCAATGGCTTCTTGTGCGAGTTCTCGGACGTTCGTCTTCGTACAGATGATGCCGACGTAATTAGGATCGGAGCGTTGCCGCTGGTCCGTGAGCGCTATGTGCTGCCCGATGAGCATGCGTATGCCGATACGCGACATGTAGAAGCGGTCGAGGAAGGCCTGGATGTTGTGGTCGATCTGCATGCGTTGTTTCCGCCGCTTCCATTCCAGAATACCTTGTGCTACCGTCGTAACGACGGAGTCGTGCCGCCTCTTGATCTTTTCCAGCGTCTCTGCGAACTTGATGTTGTATGCGCTTAGCTCGGGCGGCCATTCGTTTCCATCATCTGCCGCAACGTAGTATCTCCTGCTTGAAGTTGAGCCTTTGATTTCCCTGCCATGTTTATGCCCATTCCCGTTCTTGGGCCCATTGTTCTCGGGTGCAGACCTATACTGGCCTTTGGAGATGCTCGGATTTTGCGTTGTCTTGCTGATCAAACTCGATTCTTTATTGGGGCGCTTTGCAGGGCGTAGTAGTCGTTCTTTGATGTCAGAGGGGAGGTTGGGTCGGGGGAGAGTCACGAGCTCCTATGACAGATGAGTCAGAAGGCTTCGCAGAGAAGGAGCATGCGACCTACTTCGAACGATTGTGCGTACCAATCTCGCACTCTCTGGATCGAGGGCATCTCGTTAAGGCCATCGGGGAGGTCGCTGAGCTCTTGCACGCGGTGTGCTAGCCGTATGGGGAGCTCTTCGGAGAGGAACTGTGACGCGCGGAAGAGGGTTCCTGTCGATGGTCTCTCGCCGAACTGTACCATCTGGCGCAGGGAAACACCTGGGACTATGTTAGTCAAAGCCTTGCCATGTTCGTCTGAAGCTGCATACCGGTTGCGGGAAAATTGCTGTAGTGCTGCTGAAGCATTAGCAGACGGAAGCGCGTATCCAAGCGCACAGCGCACCTTGATGGTATCCATCAGCCTCTCCGACCGCTTCCACGACATGATGCCAATTGTTCAAGGCCTCTCGGCCTCCTGCGCTGCGATGTCGCCAAAGTGGTGTTCTGGGATGCGTTGAAGGTTGGTGGACAGAGCTCGCGATTCCGTCCCCCCCGCTATGACGCTAATTCAGAGGGAAGCGAGACCGAGGTCCGGCAGAGCGTGCGCGGCGAGAGTCGAGGGCGCCCCGAGATGGAAATACAGGACAGCGAAAGGAGGACTGAGGCAAGCCAGGCTCGCAGATGCTTTGACGTGAGATGGCGCGCGAGGCAATTGGGCGTGGGATGCTGGGCGTTGGGTGAGTGATGCAGCTTAGTGAACCGGCCATCCCCACACTCACTTCAGCCTCCACGCGGACGAGCCAGACCCTTCACGTGGAGCGCAGAAAAAGCCACCACACTTGTGCAAATACCGCACGGCTGACGCGACCGAATTGTGTAAAGCTGCCGTGCCCTTTCTGCATTTCGCCGCATGCGTATGGGCGCTCGGTGGCACTTCAATTCCGCACGCAAGACCGTCGAAGCTCTGCTGAAGCTCCAGCCACATGATGGCGGCCCTTGCAAATCCTCGGCAAGCGCACCTGCACCGCAGCTCCTGGTTTCCGCCGCCGCCGCATCTTCCTCGGGGACCACCGGAACGCGTGACGGCGTCCCTGACATCTTCCACAGCCCCGAGCTGCTCGCGTGAGTCGTAAGAATGATTTACGCAGTTCTGGTTGGCTGCATCGGTGCATTTCACGGCGGCCTCTAGAAACCGGCCGGTGAGACGGACGTAGAGAAAGCCTCGAAAGATCTCTCCTGAGCAGGAATTGGGTCCACCAGACATAATACATCATGTGAGGCTTTACTTGTGCGACAGAGAGCTTGACACCTGCGCATCCAGCACATCTCATCGTCAAGTCGGGAATAGCCAGCTGCCGATGGGGGTCGACAACCTGCCATGACCTCATGCTTCGCTCAGGAACGCGCTGCCAACGTCCAGTCCCGTACCTTCACTTAGGAGAGAACACTGCAGATTGTGATGTAAAGAGGAGAATTTTTATTCGACGTGCCGCTAAGGCCTAGACCAGTCCATGCTGCACCAGAAATCGAAGAACCGCTCTTGCAAAGTACACAAAACATATTTCTACACAGGAACAAGACGCGCACTGGATGCGCACCACCGCCTTAATCGTACGTCTATCATGCCTGTTGGTGGTACAGGGAGGAAACGGGAGCTTTTTGGGATCGGAGAGGATTAAAGAAGAGTCGTGTTGGATCGGAGATGGGGGGAGGAAAACGTCCGGGTGGCCATGGAGCGTTTATTTGGTCTCGTCCTTGAGGAAGGTGATCAGGTCGTTTCGGTCCTTCGCCTTCTTGAGACCGCCGAAGGCCATCTTGGTGCCGGGGATGTACTTCTTGGGGTTCTCGAGGTAGTCGAACTGCGAGCCATTAACACGAGCGCGGGGCAAATGTGATCTCGAAAAAGCATACCAACGAGTTCTCGTCCCATGTGACGCCTTTCGACTTGTTGGCATCGGTGTAGGAGAAACCCTCGACCTGGCCGGTCTTGCGGCCGAAGAGACCGTGTAGGTTGGGGCCGATCTTGTTGCCCTCACCCTCCTTCAGGGTATGGCACTGCGCGCATCGGGTCTGCTAGCTATCAGCAAAGGTTCGGGGCGCGCCGGCATGGGTGACGAGGCCATTGAGGGCCCAGTCTGGCGTATCGTACCTTGAAAAGGTTGGCACCCTTCTTGGAATCGCCTATGGAGATGCGTCAGCGGTGTACAGGATGAGCAAAGCTTTGTGAGGCCGGCAATTCCGTCACGCAGGTGTTCCCCGAGGCCCGATCGCAAAGCTGTCACCTTGCAAAACCTGCGTCTTGAGCTGCTCGAGGACCGCTCGTCCAGCTATGCGGGTCATTCCGCTTCTCTAGACCAGTATTCTGCGAGAGACGCGCGCTCAATGAGCGACGCAGAGGCGTGGCGATACGGAGGACACCTGCATGACGTTGCCGGCTGCACGGAGAACGTACCGTTCTCGAAGCCCATTGTGACGAGGTGTAAGACGCTGGAGCGGGAAGAAGAGGATGGATGAGTAGTAATGGGGACTGGCGATGTGGATGCGAATTGGTGCAGTGGTGAGATGTGGAGAGAAAAAGTTGCTGAGACGGAACCGGCAGAAGAAAAAGCTCTAGCACACCGTCATCTCCTAATCACTCTCGTCACGTGGGCGCTATTAGCCACAGCTGTGGCGCCTTGTCCACCAATCAGCCCGTGAAAGTTACAAAGGCGCTCCGAAGCGTGTCCGGTGTTCGCCGACGACCCGTTCCAAGGTTCCCACAGCAATTCGCTCTCTTCTCGGCCATTTGCATCGTGCAGAAGCAGGTTCCTACTGCTCGATTGAAGCTTACACCGCGGCTCCATCTAGACGCCCTCCGCATCGTCCCTCCAGCCAAAGCAACCTTGGAATGTCTCGGCCTTATTCAGCCATGGCGGTGACAGCGCATTGCACCCAGTTCAGCCTCTTCGTAGCCGTGACTTATCACTTGCTCGCATCCCGTCCTTGCCGGACATCACCGATCCGAGGCCTTTACTAACACGGTCCGTACCTCATGCCCATACAACCAAAGAAAACCACAGCCCTGTATGTTCGCGCGCGAATAGGCTAAGAGCTCGCGGAATACAATACACTCGGAACACGGTGCTTATAGGCCCTCGTTTGCCGGCGACCTCGGTTTGCTGCCTCATCCATCCTCCTGCAGCCCCGGCTGCCCTCCGCCGCCGCACCAATGAACCAAATCCCCGACGTGCTGTTCGCCGATCAAGACTCTACTACCTGGCTGGTTGTCGGCGCAAGCAGAGGCATTGGCCTCGAGTTCGTGCGCCAGCTGCTGGCTCGCGGTGAGCGCATAATTGCAACTGTCCGCGAACCATGGGCTTCGCATGCCTCAGGACTGTGGGGGCAGGCTGGCAGTGACCATGGCCGCTGTCAAATGTACATCTGCGACATTTTGTCCGAAGACAGCATTGTCGTACGTATTCCCATGACTGTTTGATATTGTACTTGTACACCTACGTCATGGGCCGTGACCGCTGACAGGGCACCAGAAATTCGTCGCCCAGTTGTCAGCCATCCCGAACTTGAAGATTGACTATGTAGTACTGAACGCTGGAGTCCTAAGATACCCCAATGTAAGCCACACGCACGCAATTTCGGGCCGTTCGCTAACCCTGACAGAGAGCGACTGAATTGTACGTCTCCCGCCAATCCTAATCCCGTCCCGGCTAGAACATATGCATCTGCAAAGTACCTTGAGGTACAAGCATAGGTACACGGGGTGCTAACGAGGCCTGCAGTTCCTTTGAGGAGTTTGCCTTTCATCTTCACACTAATACCATCGGACCAATAATCACCGCACAAAAGCTTCTTCAGACTAATATCCCGATTGGCACCATTGTCTTCATGTCCAGTGACTCTGGCTCGCATGGCAACTTCCGCGAGATGGAGGATGGTTTCGCCGCATACGCTGCATCCAAGTCTGCTCTGAACATGGCCATACGCCATATGGCTGCAGAGCTTAAGAGGAAGGATGACGACACGATTATACTGGCTATGCACCCCGGGGAAGTAGCAACGTAAGTTCACTCTCTCCTCGATTGTTGCGGAAGATGGCCCTTGGCGCTGCAGGAACGTATGCCACATACGGTGGCCTGACGTACCTCAGTGGATAATGGTCAATTATCGTCCGCGCTGACTCTTTCGACTCCTTTACAGAGACATGGCAAATATCAACGTTACCTGGGACGTCCAAGGAATCATTACTCCAGAAGAGTCAGTAGTGAAGATGATAGATGTCATTCAGAGCAAAGGCATCCAGCATAGCGGCACATTTTGGACGTGGGAGAACAAGGTAAGTCACGCTCCCAGATCTCTATATGTAGCTGATACTAATCGCTTTTAGCCTTATGTCTGGTAAGGTAGATTCGGTAGATGGAATTAATTGGGTGTCCTTTTCCTTTGCGCAGACGCATTTTAGGATATCATTAACTTGCGAATACCCCTAATATATCGCATATTCCTTGTACTCTGTTTGGTTATGGGTTGCACCGTCGGCCTCCGGTGGCTATGCGATCTCTCCGAATGCACGGCGTAGCGAATCGGTGTCCCAGTCCGCCCTATCCTCCCCTTCAGGTAGCTCATAGTCCACTAGAACAGCTATTTTTTGCTCCAACTCCTTCTCGTCATGCTGCCGCTGGACAACCTTCGGCGCGCAGTCCGGGAACCCCTTCAAGAACCAATCCTCCTCACTCTCTTCTCTCTTCGCGTGCCATGAGGTTGTGGTCCTTCGACTCAGTTTCCCCTTCTTCCTATTTATACGAGCTTCTTTTTGTCTCTGCTTAAACTTTTGTTGCTTTTCCTTCCTCTCCTTCCGTTTCTCCTTGGTCGTGAGGCGGCGGCCCAGCTCCTGGATGCCGTTCTCGGTCTGCCATTTCTCTATCTGCTCTCGCTGATAGTTGAATCTAGCCCGCTTCTTGCCGGTCAGGTTCGGGAGTGTTTGCTCGGGAGTGTTGAACTTCGGCCCCCTCACTTGCCTTCGGGCAGCGATGATGTCTTGGCGTGGGCTAGGGTAGGGTATTGGATCAGGGCCGCTGAAGGCCTTCGGAGGGGTAACGGGCTCTGATTTGATGGGCGGGTTATCCATGGCTTTGTGGTAGGCGTCGAGCTTGCCTTGGTCCAGCAAGCGAACGGGGCAGAGCGGCAGTGGACAGTTGGGATCGTGGTCGCGAATGCCTGGTGGAAGGCTGACTCTCTGGTCCTCTGTATCCAGAGTGTGTAAGTAATTGCAGCGTGGGTAGTAGCCGCCTCTTAGCTTTGTCCTACAGTAGCCTTTATGGTACCAGTAAAAGCAGATCTTGCAGTCCTGCTCCTGTGTCTTGGGCCCCCTCGGCGGTTGGCGAACTGAGGCTGGATGGTGCTGAGTTGCTAACGAAGTATGTGGAATTGACTCCAGTTTCGAAGGGATGTCGTGAGTGGGAAACGAGACTGAATGCCCTCCAGCGGCGTCGAGACGACGCCGCTTGTGACCGTTCTGGTCTAGGGTGAATGGGTGTTTGCGAATCCGCGTCCCCGGGTGACTGATGGACGTAATGTGGGGCTTCTCTTCTTCTGTGTGCGATGGCGGCAAGGTAGCGGTGAGAGACGGAGCGGACGATGAGATTTCACTCGGTGTGTCGGAAATGGTTATCGCCTCGGTCACGCCTTCCTCTGTGGAGTCGGGGTCGGAATCGGAAGACTCACTATCTGTGGACGAAGAATCTTCACTGCTTATTCCTCGTAGGTGAGATCGGGGACTGTTATCCTTCAACGAAGCCTGTGAGTTAATCACTCTGACATCGGAATCTTCTCGGCTGCGTTCATGAACCCGTTGAGCAATCTGGAATGTCTGCTCTCGCTTTCTAGTACCCTCCTTGAAAGCCACCATGTCGTGACGCAGCGGGCAAAGTGGAAGATCGCAAGGAATTCGGTGGACGTATCCAGGCGGGACACTGATCGGCCAAGTGATGTGAGTCTCGTGGGCGAGATGACATCTATCACCTCGGCGGCACTCACCGTGATACCAGAAGAAGCAAGTCTCCTTGGGCTGGCCGGGAGGTGGCGGAGACATTGAGCTAGGTCCAAGTGTGGAATGAAGAGGTAGTGTATGTGAAGAATCCGTATCGGTGGGTGAGCGTTGAGGAATCGCGCCGGACGAGGCAGGAGAGGCTAAGGCTGACGGTTCTACAGCGGCGTCAGTAAGGGTAGACATGTGGCGCAAGGTAAAGACACGGCCTGCGGATATGACATAGAAAGGGTGGTGTGATACCCGCTCAAATGCCACGGTGACGCTTACTGGATTGATGGTCAGCTGACCCCCGAACTACCACTGGTGTTGTTGGGTTGATGGACTCAGAGAGCTGCCAGAAGTCGGGACAGCCACATACACCGCCATGAGTCTTGAAGAGTGCCAGTGTATGCGTGGCCATCTCCATCTTTGGTTGGAGGTAAACTGCGTCTTGAAAATCGATATAGACAGAGAGGTTTCCTCTATATGCGGTTGGCTATGGCAATTTATTGAGGAAGAGAAGAGCGGCCGGGGATGGGAAGGTTGGTTTTAAGCGCCCAAACTGAAGCGCGTGCAGATGTGGTGAGAGGAGAGCGACGCCGAGACCCCAGTTGCAGATATGAAGGAGTGAAGCTGATAGAGTGATCCTAGCTAGTAAAAGTTCCGTGAATCACCTAGTATTAGGGACTGAAAGCTAACTCTCACTACCAAATTTTACTTATGATGCTAGAAGTCACCCTAAACGAGACCCAAGTACCCAGACCCACCACTCCAAGGAATATTCCCAGCGTCCTCAGGTTTCTCGTCTCGACACTCGAACTTCTGAGATTGATTTCTCTCGGCGCGCCCATCTCAGTAACAGTATCATACTGCGGCACGTACTTGAAATCGAAGAGCGTCTCCGTGCCAGCGAGTCCGTGCTTGGCATCGACAATAACCACCCAAAATATCCTCTTCAGTCGATCGATATGCCCTCGGTCGAGCCACGGTAAGACGCGGTAAAAGTAGCATAATGCCATGAAGAAGACGCATTGTCCGGCCATTAAGGACCAGTAGTAGAAAGATACTCGCGGGAGTCCGAGCTCATCGCCGAGGTCATTGCCATTCAGCCACCTCGCACTGGCAATGAGCATATCCGGAGAGACGTAAGTTGGAGGTTGTCCTTCCAGGGAATGGATGATATTGTTGGCAAGCACCTTCGACATGTCCGACGGATGCACTTCGTTATAGAGGAGTGATTCCATGGTTGCCTTTGCCTTAGTCGTGGTTTCAAAGTGGTCGGTCGGCGTGCCGAGAAGATAACCTATGTACCGCCACAGGGCCACGTAGTCTTCCTTCTCTTGTTCCCGTAGGAAGATGCCCTGTCGCGGGAAGCTTAGCCATATGAGCGTCGCGCAAAATGTAGTAACAGTGCCTATCTGGTCAAGATCATTGACCGGTACGCCCCATTCTTCGAGATTGAAGTAGCTTGGTCGCTGTTTGGCGAGCTTCATGATGCGTTGACGAACGGCAGCGTGTAGAAGACGGACTCGAATAGAAGAGGCCCATCCATCCCCTCCTGGCTTGATGGAGTCTAGCGACCTTGTACACTGTAGTATGTGTTGTGTCGTTTCGAAAAGTCTTCTTCTCGCCACCTTGGTTGAGAATCCGCCCGTTCGTGCGAGGGTCTCTACAACACGAGCGGCGCCCATGCCTCCGAGCAGAGATTGATATGTAAGTCCAGTGAGGGCTGGGCCTCCGTATCGATAGAAAACATCTTGACCTCTTCCTATCTGCACCCAATTTACCCAGGCCGGGACAGTACTCACTTCTTCCCAAAGTTGGTGAAGCTTAGGGTCTGATTCGTGGTGGTCTCTGAGAAGAACAAATAGATCTCGTTGAGGCAGTGGAAGCTCTTCCTTCTTCTCTTCTTTTGTTTCTTTGAGTTCTGGAGCTTGTTGCTGGCTATTGTTCCTTGGCAGTGTGCCGGACTGGGGTGGCGAAATGACGTTGAGACGGTCGAGACATTCCTCTCCTAGAACATCGTATGAATGCTTAAGAGGTTCCGCTTGCTCCGGGGTAAAATGATCTTTAGTCCATTCGAATGTATAGCCCCAACAGCTACCCTAGTCAGCGATGTATCCTTCGACAGGTTACCGCTTGTGGACGTACTGTTTAGTGTTCTCTGTTCGGCGACGAAATGGGTTTGGCAACGCCATTATGAGAAGCCAAGAACGGTAAAGGCGACGGATGGGGAAGAGAGCGGACGGGAGAGGGCGGCGAAGATGGGGAAGAGAAGCGATGCACAAGTAGTTTCAGTCTATACCGTCATATGATGGAGACTATGCCGAGGCGCTTGAGCCAATCGCAGACGGCCGGGGTTCTGTGGCTCCTGTGGCGCGAAACATGGCCTGTGCGGAGTAAGTTCAAAAGTTCGAAGAAGCTCTCCTTTTCTTCGCAACACAAGTCATGAATTGCCACACTTGCTCGCGACGGGCGCTACACCAATGCATTCGCTCATTCACCGATACTGAACTTTCCGCTTTCACTCGGGCAGGAGCTTTTCAGAGCCCGCAACAAACACGATACTTCTCCGGGGCCCATCGGCCGCAGCTCCCGCAACGGGCACGCGCAGAGCCACCAAAGCCGTTCGCGACGAATCTGCGACAGACAGATAAACCCGTAGAGTCAAAGAAAGATATACCGCTATGGCTGGTCGAAAAGGAGGCCGTCAAGCAGAAGCTCGGTGGAGCCGCATGGAATCCGCGCAAGAAACTCTCTCCAGACACAATGGAAGGCATACGGCATCTGCACGAAACACAACCAGATAGGTTTACGACGCCGATTCTTGCACAGCACTTTCAAGTCTCACCGGAGGCCATCCGTCGAATACTGAAGAGCAAATGGAGACCTTCGGACGAAGAACAGGAGGAGAGGCTGAAGAGGTGGGACAAGCGTGGAGAGAAGATATGGTCGAACTTGGTGGAATTGGGCATCAAACCGCCGAAGAAGTGGAGGGAAATGGGCGTGGGAAGGGCGGAGCGGGGGGAGAAACCAAAGTGGAAGTCAAAGACGAGAAACACAGTGGATGTCCGTGACAGCTTCAGCGAGGATATCCTACCGATAGTGGACAGCTCCGGGGAGTCGAGGCACCCGCGGTGGGAGGATAAGCCTCTGACCGAGCGGTTGGGCATCTGAAGCAGGCTGCGGCAGACGAAATTATCGACTACGCCGCTTGCTTCTCCTACGGAGCCAACCGTTGAAGAGCATAGTGAGGGCGTCCAGCGGACCTGCTTATCTTCGTCAAGCTTCAAGCTGCAGCAGGACACCCCGGACTTGGCGATACCACTGCGGCAGATGCCAAATGGTCGGACATTCGCGACACGTCGACTTTTTGTATACAAAGGAAGCCATCGTTAGCGCACCCAAGTGTCTTATGAATCGCTTCGGCTGCGGCTCGCGCATTAGTCTTGATAAGCATCGGCAAGTGCAAGATTGATTACATCTGGATCATAGCCGCTCAGCAGAGAAGATGTTCGAAGAATTAGGAGTATTATTAAGTATGTATCGTATCCATCCCCTCCTATACCCAGGATCCTCACTCCAGGCTTGTGTAAAGCAATCAAACATGAAACAATCACAAAATGGTATCATCTCTCCTCCCTAAATGCACATCCCTCTCCTTCCCCTCCCCCAATCCTCACCCGCTCACACTCAGATACACACTGGCCCTCCATAATAGTCCGTATAAGCCGCATTCACACTCTTATGCTGCTCCTTGGCCTTCTTCTCGATCTCCTCGGCTGCCTTGACGCACTTCTCATGGGTGACCTCCTCCTGCTTGGCGGGGGTGATGCTTGGGCCGGCGTCCGCGGACTCAGGCTGCTTGTGTTGTTCTTTCGAGTGTTCCGCGTGTTCGACGCTGTGCCGTCGACTTGTTGGAGGAGAGAGGCCAGCGCCGTAGGTGGTGGCGAAGGAAGCTTCGACGGATTCGTGGTGCTGGTGGGCGTGCTTTTTGAGGGATTCCCAAGCTTTGCTCAGGGTGTGGTGGTGTTCGTGGTGGTGTTCGTGGGAGTGTTCTTGGGAGTGCTCTTGGGAGTGTTCTTGCGTCATTGTGGTGGTTGATGGGCCGTTGACCGGGTGGTTGGTAGTTTGTGGTTGTTCGATTGACAGTCGAGTCTGAGGTGCTTTGATATTGTATCGACGATGTTGGTTGGAAGATAGCTCGAGTAGACTGACGCTCGAATGCAATTGATGCTTTGCTTGTTCAATTGATGTTCCGATGTTGATGCTGTGGTGCTTCGATAACGTCCAAACCAGCGTCCTCTTTATACACCTCCCCCTGCCCTACCGCACTCCTACTACATCCACTGCCAACCCAAGCCACCGTTATGACACCACCCACGCTCTCCCAACGATCACGCTTACACAACCCAAGAACTCTGTAAGCAAGGCTTTCAAGTCATTCGAACTGGCCAACCACACTTCTTCCCAACCCGCCTATGACACCCGTCCCCTTTCAACCGTCCCTAGTAAACTAGCCTATGAGATTGCTGCAAGCGAATGCTAAGCCGGAAGCAGGTGGCGTGAGACGGCTTGATTGGGCACTGTCGGATGACAAAACGGGCACATGTTTGTAAAGTGGTGTGAGCTGTGTCGGGAGTGATCTGTGCGCGCTGTACGATGACACTGTAGAACTTTCCACGCGTTGTGAATGATCGAGGTGTTTTCGAGAACGCTCCGAAATTCCTTCTGTGTGGTTTCGTCGCATACGCTAGTAGCTTCTCCGCTCGTTCGCCGAAGGAGCAACTAGACAGCCTCAATGTTTCTGATTACAGCACTCCGAGCAGTTTGCTGCTTTGCATGGCTGACCGGCTGTTCAAGGAGTTCACAATCTTCGACGTGCTGCAGAGGATGACGTGACAGAACCCCATAAGTTCTCGGCACGAACTGCGTGACGGTGGTGTAGTCCAGAACCACAATCGTGCTCTTCAGAAATCTTGGTATCTGGGCAAGGTGTTGTCCAGGAAAGCATCTGGAGAAGGGGTGGGGTGACGCCTCGTACCCGGCGTGAGGGATGGTGGGGAAAGCGGTTCCTGGCGAGGCTGTCGGTAGTGCTGACGAAAATTGGTCGGAGCTACATCTCGACTTCGTGAAGTACCGTGTGTATTCGGAATCGGAGCCTAGAAACATCGAAGAAAAAAAGTAGACCCTTTTTCAGCGTTCCGAGAGAGATTATTGCGCCCACAATGCACCGCAGGCCTGAAATTGAGAAATGAATGTAGCATTGCAAATGCGAAGAACTGAGTGGTATCATTTCAGAAGTCCATCTTCAATAACGACCTACCTGAGATTTCTGAAATCTCTTAATTATCACTAATCCCAATCCTCTCCTCTCCTTATTGGCTCCATCTCATAAATCCAAAAGCCGCATTGAGCACCACCCCCATAACGACCGCAACCTGCCTCCGTCTGGGCCACACCCCCTCCTCCCTGAATCCCCAAACCAGCGCTCCAAGCGGCCAAAAGAAGCCCGTCAAATACCCCCAAAGCATATCATCCAGCCCGCCCTCCTCGACCGCAAACCCTGCGCCCCATCCCGCTTCTGCCTCGCCCGTTAACGCAGGCGAGGGATCCGTGGCCGTGGAGTCAAGCCACCGGTCTTCGAGGGCACGCATCTCGGCATGCGAGGGCATGGTATCGGGCGTGTGCGTGTAGGAGAGGTTCGTTTGGAAGTGCGAGCGCAGGGTCGCGACTTCTTGGGGCGTGAAGCCGGACGCGAGGAGGCGGTCGAAGCCTTGTGGTGCGGGGGGTGTGGCAGTCGAGCTGCGTCTTCTTTGTACATCTCCGCCGCTTATGGCGCCGCTGCTAGGGCGCCGCTGAGTGCTTGTGGACTGGTACTGCGATTTGAGCGAGGCTTCAGTGGTTTGCGCGAGCGCTGCTTCGGACGCGATTTCAGAAGCTGAGAGCGCATCGCCGAGAGAGCAGTGTATGTAATATTTCTTCGCCTCGGCCGGTATATCTGCACTGTCTGTAGCTGGGGACAGGTCCCGTGCGGGCTGCTTCCCTTTGCTCTTGCTGCCTGGTCCATGTTCGTTGTATGCTCCATCTCGCGGCGGCGGAGGCGGTGGTAGCCTTAGCGATGCAGATAAGGGTGCTGTATCCGCTAGAACCTTTCCTGCGTATATAAGACGGAGACGCGCGGAGGCATGGTTAAAAGGGAGGTTCGGTCGAATGAGTCGCTTTAACGACAGGGTTGACGTAGTCCTCGGAGAAGGTATAGGGAGTGGAAGGTCTGGGATAGACGCAGAGAAGCGGATAACGAGGTAAATAAGCTGATCCGGAAGATCTGCTGCCATCGCCATGTTGGAGGTGATTTGATCGGTCAGAAGTCGGAAGGGCTATATGTAGCCTGATGGATATGCTTTTAGTCGTTATGAGGGTCGGGCGGTCGATTCTTGCGGCTTGTGAGCGATGACATTGTCACTATCGTGCGGGAGCGAACATTGTGGGAGCTGTGTCGTTCGTGGACGCGAATGCCTCGCGGACGGAGCTCACGCTAGGACCGTGGCTTGGCGTCTTTTCGTCATCATATTTGGGAATGCCCCTCTGGCGCAAAATGGCATCTTCGTCAAAATTTAAACGCTCACAAACTGCTTCAGCATTCGATCAAGTGAGCACCACTTTTGGTACTCCGATATGGCTATCATTCACATCGTCCTCTTCGGGTGGAAATCTACTGCTACGCCAGAGCAAGTCGACAATGTAGTCTTACAAATCCAACCCGTGCAATCGTACATTCTATCTAACACGCTCCCAGGCATGCAAGCGTATGCTAGCTCTTGGACAGAAGTGCCTCCATCCCACAACCAACAAGCCCTACGTGATATCACTCGTGGGCGGAAAGAACAATAGCCCCGAAGGCCATGCTGTATCTCGATCTTTCCCCATACCGATTCTTCCAATGCTAACAATGCTCCAGGGTGCCTCTACGCACGGCTTCGTAGTCGAGTTCGAAAAGGAGGATGATCGAGAGTACTACCTGAACAAGGATCCGGAGCATCTGGCGTTCGTGAAGTCTGTGCGGGAAATTGTGGAGGATATCAGGGTAGTGGATTTCGAGCCAGGGAAATTCTAAATGCTGAGAGGAGCGACCGCCATTGCTGGCAATCCGAATATGCTATACGAATGTACCGAGGTTTAAACTCCGGGTATGCTATGCTAGGTGATGCAGAACTTTGTACGATGGATGAGGACGTGAGATACTATGCGACGCTGAAGGATTCTCCGCAACCGCATTGCTCGGCTAGCTACTGTTAGCATGCGCCCGAAAGTCCTGATAGCGACCGACTTACTGATGTTGGGGTTCTTGAAAACGAAGCGCTCATTCAGCTTGTCCTCCAGCCAGTCCATCTCGCTCCCAATAATGTTCAACAAGGCCTTGTTGTCAATCAAAACCTTCACGCCATCCTGCTCCACCTGCTCGTCGAGCTTCGACGGTTTATCGACATACTCAAGGTGGTAGGCTAGCCCAGAACAACCCTTTGCCTTCGTCCCTATCCGTATGAGCTTCGGTTCGGGCTGTTCCAGTAGCTGTCTCAAATGCGACACGGCGGACGGCGTGAGCTTTATCGTCGCTTTGCGCGGGCCGAAATTGTATCTGCGGGGCCGGAGAGGCTTGCTGGGTTGTGCGGGTTGACTTCTTTGCGCCTCGCCTTCCGGTATGCTCATGCTGGGCCGATCTTGTTGCGCCGCCGCGTCTCTCTGTTCGGACGCCAACCGTGGCGGTATTGAGTTATTAACCTTGGGTTTCCCGCCGGCTATGGAAGTATCGGGGACTCCAAAATTCCGCGGTGGCGGTTCGGGATGCAGATTTGAGGCATGGTATGCGCTGGCGGTTTGCAGCTGCCGCTTGGAGGACTGTCGGTATGGCGTGAACGTTGAGAACGCCCGCAGACATCGTGCACACCTGTGGGGAGCTGATGCCGGAGCGGCAAACCGTGCTAGAGGAGAGGTCGAGGATCGCCAAAGCGCTGCTGTGGATCGCGGAACAGACATGGTCGCAGACAGGTCAATGTCTGAAATTACAGCGACTGAATATGAGATATGTGCGAAAAGAGGGTGGTGGTGAGAGGTGGAGGTGTAGATTGTCTTTGAATTCGGCAAGCGCTATGTCATCACGGAGTATTCCGGGAGGGTGGCGCGATTATCAATCACTCTCTCTGATTGGCCAGAGCAGGCCGTCAAGCCTCCGATCGGAATCTCGGAAACATCGGCGGAAGGTGGCGCTACATCGGTCCACGAGGCACGAAGCCGTAATGGTATTTCACTTCTATCTACAAGAGATCGCGAAGTAGAGCTAGCCCACGCCAGCCCACCGCAAAAGGACACATTCTTCTATGATTGTGATCCTTAGACTTCTCTACGCCTTGAGCTCCGGGACCACGTCGTCCTCACCAGCACCCTCGATGCTCAACGGGCCGCGCTTGACCATAAGAGTCATGACCTCGTACAAGACGTCCTGCATCATGTTAGTGTCTCACATACGAGCTATCAGGGCTATGCATACAGCAGCTGCCATTGTGGTCAACTCGGCGTTGGTGTCATAAGCGGGAGCGACTTCAACGATATCGGTAGCAATGAGGTTGACGCCCTCAAGACCGCGAATGATGGTTCGCAGCTCACGTGTGGTCCATCCACCGGTCTCAGGGGTGCCGGTAGCCGGCGCGACTGTCGCGCGGATTAGTCCCCGTGCATGCATGATATAGCTGCACACTTACAAGCCGGATCGAGGGTGTCAATATCAATACTCAAGTACACAGGCTTCTCCGTTCCAACTCTGTCCTTGATTTTCTTGATGATGCCGTCGGTGCCAATCTTGTCAATTTCCCTAGCTTCGACTATCTCGAAGCCGCAATAGCCGTCGTTCTCATAGTCGGAGGGGCCGGATAGCGTTGTGCGGATGCCGGCGTGGATGTTGGAGTCGTTAGCGAGAAGGCCTTCTTGCGAAGCATGGAAGAAGTAGGTTCCGTGGTTGATGCTCGCTTGCTCGCTCGGGGAGCCGCCAAAGACCTTGGGCTTCCATGTATCGCTAGCGGCTCGATTAGCACTTGGGTAACAACGGTTCCAGCAAGATGCGCCTTACAGATGGCTATCAAAGTGGATGACGCTCACAGGGCCGTATTCACTAGAACATTGTTAGCTAGCCTATCAGTGTTGAATGTAGGGTCTCAAGCTCACCGGTTAATGGAACGCAGCAGGGGAAGCGTGATGGTGTGGTCACCACCGAGGGTGATCAGTCGCGGCAAAGTTCTGCCCTTCTTGGAGAAACCTGGCACCGCAGCGTTTGTGTGTGGCTTTCGCTTCAGAAGGTAGTTGTGGCCATGCTCAATCTGTTGAAGCGCGTAGGCATTGTCGTATCTGCATTCAAAAGTAAGCTTTCGAAACGGTGCTGATGCTTACGGCGAAGCTTGCGCGAACTTACGAAGTAACGGGAATGTCACCGCAGTCAATGACCTTCGCCCACGAGTTGAACGGGTTCGCGTCCAACGGAACGTTGTAGCCGCCACTAAATCCAACCCTTCGTGAGCCTTCATGCCCACAGGGAGCAAAAGTAAGCATGCGACTGCGATGCGGAACATACTAGAGATTGAGACGGCGAGAACCTTGTCTAATGCCGCTTGGGCCAAACCGAGCTCCTGGGCGGTATGAAGTGCCGGTGTCAAAAGGAGCGCCTGCGAGGATGTCAGTTGTGTAGGGCTCGATGAGTAAACCACCCCGTACCAATAAACGCAATATCGTAGTTCACGTCGCTATTCGAGAGACAAGGATGATATTTGATGCGGCCGAAGGTGGAAATTCCGGAAAAGACGGAATCTGCCTGTGCAGAAGTCATTGGGGGTCTCTTTTAACTCGCCGTGGTGGCTCCGAACCTGAGTTCCACCATCGCCAGGGATAGTGTTGTACCACAGCCCTTCGAGAGGCCCAGACATTGGCTCTTGGTCGTGATCATGGTCGCCATGAGCTGCTACGACGGCTGCGAAGCTCAGGACGGTCGCAGAGAGCTTCATTTTTGGATTCGAATCAGAAAATGGAGGGAATTGGAAAAAGGAGCTCAAAGAAAGCGAAGAAAAGGGAACGTGGAAAGCTGCAGTAAATACCGACACGAAAGGTCATGCCCCCCAGTATCTACCTACGCGTTGACGAGCTCCTGTTAGGTAAAGAGCTACCCTGGTCCTTCCAGCTCTTCTGCACGCCGCGGACTAAACAGCCTCCAATTGGTCGTCACATCCCTTAGAGCTCTTAGCTTCGGAAGAGAGACGTTACGATTAGCGCTTCAGCCCGAGCGAACGGCATGTGGTGATCCAGGTGGAGTGGAGACCCCGCCCTGAGATGATGACGCTACATTCGTCGAATTGGCCAATGACGGCACGTCTGGAAGATTTCGTAAGTGCGATATTCACCGTGGTCAAGGTCTGCCTTATCTGGTCCATGGCAGAAAAGGGCGTGATCAAGACTTGAGTGCTTGATGCTCATGCAGGCTGCTGCTTCCAGACGCAGGTCTTACGTATCGCCAACGCATGGCGACAGGTGTAACGCTGTTCGTAATCATCGCCAGCTTCGACTTGCTGATATCGGGAGTTGGGGTCGGGCAATGCGGAAAGAAGCAATGTGAGAAACGTTCGAACCGTCCGCCTGGCGATTGAGCGGTCAAGCGGGTCGGACAGCAGCAGCGATGAGCCTATGCGATCTCGATAAGGTCCCACGATGGCGAAAGATGAGGCTTTCAAATGCACAGGATGCCATACATCGTCCAAATCGGGGCGTGGGGAGCGCTGCAGAGATCCCCGTTCCTGGAGAAGTTGGAGCGAGGTGTGGTTTCGCCTAACTTTCTGTACCGCGTCGTAAAACCGCTAACCGAAAGCGGTCAGTATTTAACATCGTATGCATATCGGTATCTATTTAGCTCTATTTTCTAACAACCATTGCTAATGTCCTCAAACGCTGTGGCTATCATAGCTCGCCGTGTCTCGCCGTTACCGGGCCCCCGTTCGGCGCGACACCATCTGAGGCGCCTATCTCAGCCCTCTCGTCAGGATCCATCCTGTCAAACGCCTTCTTGACCTGATACTCCCAATTGCTCCATGCCACAATGCCCCACTCGGCGAAGCCAACAAGGTAAAGAGCAATACACTGTCCTACCCACAAACCAGCCAGACCCCAGCCGTGGAACGCTAGCCAGATACCAAGCGGCAAAGCTCCGCAATAGTAGCTGACGATATTGACAATGGCTCCCATATGTTGTCTACCCATCCCTCTGAGCGAGCCACCGCAACTTCCGTTGAGGCCGTCCGCAATCTGGAACAAGGCCACGTACGGCATGACCTCAGCTGTGAGCCTGATTACCCGGATGTCATCATTGAAGATCTTCGCGTAGAAGTCCTTGACTCCCATGAGAATAGCTAGGACGACCCCGCCGAGAAGCATGCTTAGAATAGCAGCCGTGTTTGCTGCCCTGGCTGCGCCTTTCGCATTGCGCGCCCCGAGGAGGTTGCCGACGCGAGCACTCGTGGCAACACCCACACCAAAAGGAATTGTGTTCATAACTTGATCCGTTGTCATGATTACGCTCTGGGCCGCAAGCGGTATCGTTCCCAATTTACCGGCTGCGAGAGCGACAATCTCGAAGGCCCACCATTCCGTGCCCACATGTATGACCCCAAGGAAGGCGAGTCGAGCGAATGTCCACATGTTCTGGAGGCACTTACGGCTCCACCCTCCCCAGCACTCCCAGCCGTCAACGAAGCGGGCGTATACGAGAAGGAGCAGGAAGGATACCCAGTAGGCAATGCCTGTAGCAATAGGCGCACCGAGCAGACCAAGCTTGAAAGTGTATACGAAGAGGTAGTTCAGCCCGGCGCTGAGAGGGGAAGTGATCAGGAGCACATAGGTTCCGGGTCTCATAATTTCTGGAAAATTTAGTACGCTAACCTTATATGCGCGGCAGCTCCGCTTACCTTGGGCTTGGAGATATTTCTTCATGGCTTCGAAGTAGATATAGCCAAGTCCACCAGGAACCAGTACAGAGAGGAATTTGGCCGAATCACGCGCAATATAGTCCTCTTGCCCAAGCGCTTTGAAGAGAGGCTCGGAGCAGATCCACAGGATCGCAACCGGTAGGTAGAACAACGCAAGAACAATGAAGGAGCGCTGGAGAATAATTCCTAGGTCGTGACGATTCTTGCTTCCTGTGAAGCTCGCGGATGCCAGAGTATCAATAGCGGTGGTTCCTCCCAGAGCAATGAGCCATCCAGTCGCCATGGCGAACATGTAGGAAAAGGCAGCCGTGGCAAGGGCTTCTGGGGAAAGACGTCCAACGATCAACACAGATATCGTCTGGAGCGAGTTCTGAAGCGCGTACGCGAGGACTACCGGGATCGAGCCCCTAAAAAGGATCCAAAACTCTTGTAGAATCAGCTGGGATTTTGATTCATCTCCATCTTCAAGCTCATAAGATTCTCCAGTAACCGATTCCTCAGGCTGCGACGACGGGAGTAGCGAGGTCCGCTCATTTGGGGGAGCATCAGGGTCGTCCTTTTTGGAAGTTTTGAAGAAATTGGGTAACCAAGACCGTGAACTGTTTGGGCGGCTCCCCATGGTGTAAAGACTAGAGTTGCGAATGCCGGGGATTGCAAAAGGGGAACTGAGACTGGCGTATATATGTTGGCACAACGACACCCGAAGCCGGACGCCACAAGATTAAGAAGGACAATCAAGGTACATTGAATGCATAATGTACAGCGAACGGTTTGAAAGCATGCGATAGAGTGGGATGACAGTACGGATGACAATACGAAATGAACGGGATGTGGCCGGAGCACTTGCAGCTCTTGACCATTCATGAGGGGCATGCCATGCGTGTTGCCACCGATGAGGAACTGTGCAGAAAGCTCCGGTCTCGATTGACAGCTCACGATCGCAGGTGGCTGCGAGTGGTTGCGTGCTTGCGGTAGCCTTATCAACCTGCATTTGTCCGTTTTTGACTAAAGCCGTTCGGTAACTTTTACGTGACGTGAGCTAGGTCTTAGGCCGGTAATCCATGGAGGAAATCGGAGGCTGGGATGCCCGGTTTGCAGCTCTTGATGAGCAGCGGTGACCGCGCCAACTCAACGCTGATACCGTCGAGCTGAGGCCGTTGATATGCAACCATTGATCAGGCTGAGGGCCGAATCACAGCGGATCGTTCGGCGGTGCGCTAGTGGGGATAGGCTCAGCGGCTTTGCGTCTTGTCAATTGAGGTCAATTTTTAGCGAATGTGCCATCCTGGTCCGTGAGGCGCACCCGATTTTTGAGGCCCCTCAGATTTTGAGGAGCAAGGTCAAACGGGTCACGGAGTACAGCAGAGCTACGTTATCCGATGATTGTTGATGGCATGCTAAAGTGTAAGAAAGGAGCGGAACCGCGGTGGGGACGAAACAAAGCGCCGGAAGTGGGTGGTGTGGCACGGGCGTCTCGAGGTCGGCTCGTTGATTGGCAGTCAGTACACTACTACCATTATCTGTACAAGGATCGGCATTTACTCGTGAGCACTATGAGCATATCTCATGGAGTTGTAGTGAGACCGTTCTGTCTACGAGAAGCACCTCGTTAGGCAGACATCGGCCACGTGGTGTCTGCTTTGGGAATAGTGCGCACCGGCATACCACACGGCTATCGGATCTTTCCGACAGCTACCACGGTTCAAGTGGGCAATGCGTGTCGAGTGCTGTCGAACTCAGAGCGGGCTTGGAAGCATATGCCAACCTCTTCGAGCAGAAGTTCACGGTTCAGCTCTGTCACCGGTTTTAAGAGTTGATCGACCGAGTCGTTGTCGGGATACTCCAATATGAAACGGAGACAAACCGCCACAACTGGGCGCCAAACCTTAAGTGTGCGCAGCTAAGATGTCAAGAGTCGGATTGTCCAATCCTGGATGGCGAATTGGATGACGCTCTTTGGTACTCTATTCCATATTTTGACGAGAACATCTTGGTTAACTCTGCGGGGGCAAAGTTACAAATAATGAAAGACTTCTTCCTCAGCACTCCAGACGCAACATCGACGAGCCTTGCGATCGTCGGAGCGACGGATGGTTTCCTTTCGACACCTTGAGGGCTTGCAACACGAATGATTGCAACAGAGGTGTACGTGCGAGCCGGATAGGCAAGTTGTGAACCTTGATACGGCCCTGAAGAATTGTTGGTGGTGATCAGCTATCTCTTATGGGTCTTTAGGGTGCGGTCGAGCGTCGGCCATGCGAGTTCGGTCATCGCTGGTATTAGTTGGTGTACATCGCGCACATGAAAGGTTTACAGTGCACTTCCGTGGCCTGTAATGTAAGTAACAAAAATGAGAAAGTCTACCTCTATATGCTGACCGACCTATTTATATTGTATTGAGGTCGCTGAAAACTCCATTTCTCTACCCTCTCATCTCCCCATCAGCCTCCGCCCTGCTTACTTCTTCCTCCTTATCCCAAACTTTCGTCCCCGCGACCCACGTCTGCAGCACCTCGCCCGCCTCATTCAGCACACACAAATCCGCTCTTCTTCCCTCTCTCAACACACCCCTTCCACCCATCCCATCAAGCCCCATAAACGCCGCCACATTTTGCGTAACAGTGCCCACCGCCTCTGCGATGCCACACCCAGACCACTCCATCAAGTTTCGAACACTCTCCTGCAGGGGTATGCAACCGCCGATCAGCGTATCGGTGCCGGCAATGGTAGCCCGGGTTCCGGACTTTGTCTGCTCGAATGGGATTTGTGAGTGCCCCGGATAAGTGCCGTCGGGGAGTGAGGCTAGCTCGATAGAGTCGGTGATGAGGATTGAGCGTTGAGGGTTGGTGCGATGGAGGAGGGATACGGTGGCGGGATGGAGGTGCTCGCCATCGGCTATGATGGTGTAGTACGGTGATGGTGGGGTGTGCGTTGACGGGAGTGATATTAGACCGGCGAGACCTGGAGAACGAGAGGTGAGAGCTGGCATTGCGTTGAGAGTGTGCGTTAGGCAAGTTGCTCCGGCCTTCAGGCCAGAGAGGCCGTCAGAGTATGAAGCTGTGGAGTGGCCCATGGATACTTTGACACCGGAGGAAGTGAGTGACTTGATGAGGGATGCGGAGTCGGGTAGTTCGGGGGCGATGGTTGCGAGTTTGACGGAGGAGAAGAGGTTTGATGCTCCGTAGATGGTGGATGGCAAGGCGCTACATGCTTGGAAGAGGGAGGAGTTGTGGGCGCCTTTCTTGTCGGGGTGGAGATAGGGGCCTTCGGCATGGGCCCCGAGGAGAGAGGCTGAGTTAGGGATGTCTCTCGGCTTGAGCGAGGGGAGGATCTAACAGAGCGTTAGCTCTTCCCGTCGACGGCTGACGAGATACCTCTTATGGATCAGAGATTCGGGAATTAGCGTACCTTTTGAAATTCCTCTCCCTTGACTGTTGGGATAGTAGCCCAGAATCCCGTGACGCCCTGAGTAGCATAGTATCGCGCAATGTCATCCATCTTCTTTCCGTAGCTCTGCTCGTTCTCAAAATGGGTAAAATGGAATCCATTGGCGCCATTGGTATGCAACTCTAGAAATCCAGGTGCGATGATGTTGTCGTCCAGATCTACAGCTTCCCCTCCAATGTAGCCTTCTCTTTTCAGTATCAGTCCGGTCTCGTCTGAGATGACGAGATGGTCTTCGACCAGCTGCCCATCGAGAATGTAGCGAGCGTTCGTGAAAAGAGTGAACCAGCCTGACATATTAAGATACAGGTCTATCGCTTACGGCCAGCTGGGATGGGCTTGGGAGCTTCCAGGCTTCCAAGGCTGTGCGGCATGAATCGCGGGGCTATCACGAACGATCGGCACATGGCAGGGCGAAGCGAGCGCCCCACTTGCTGTGGCTGGTAGCTTCTCATTGGCCGAGCCTGTGGATTAATGCGGTTAGGCTCCCATCCCAGTGGAGATCACCCCGGGGCCACTGCGTCACGGCCGATCATGATGAGAAACAAGATCTATCCGCCACTGCGCGATGAATTTTGCTGGGTCCTCGAAGCTGAGCAGCCACAGTGAATGTCGACCGCATTTAGCGCGCCGTAGCAGGCTCCGGGCTCAACATGTCTGCGCAATCGCAGAGTAGCACGCGGCAGCTAGACGCCTTTCAGGAGCTTGCGCGGAATGCGTGGCTTGGTATGACATCATGGTTGACGAGAGCTGTCGAGCAACAGCACCACACCACCGGTCGGACCTCTTTCAACGCGGCTGTGCGGGCTCTTCCCTGCTTTCTGGTAGCACTCTGACCGGGGTAGCTTCGGTTACTTAATTCCCCTCCCTTCTGTGCGCCCCTTCCCTTGCTCCTCTTCTTCAATTGCTCCCACTTGAAGTCTCCTACAATTGCCCCTCGCTCAACTGAGCCCGCGGAAAAGGAGGCGGTCGACACCATGGCGGATCAGCAGCAGCAGAAAGCGCCCGGAGGCCATTACTCCGGCGCCAATCCCGTTCCGACCGTGAGGAAGTTCCTCGAGAATCTGGACAAGGACAAAGCAGCGAGAGATCGCAAGCTGGATGAGGAGGCTGCAGGACAGCAGAAGCAAGCTGCTCCGGGCGGACAGCCTGTCCCACATCGACCCCAAAAGGCGGGTATCTCGGGGACACAGAAGACTGTCACGGATCCGACCACTGGCAAAGAGGTCGTCATTGAGGATGTCAGCAAGTCCATGATGGACCAGGTCGAAAACCCTCATGTACGAAAGCATTTGACTTCGTTTTGATTTTCTTGAGACTGATCTAACCAGCTCTCGGTCCCCAATGCCAACCTGCAGAAAGACACCGTGAGTTCTTCTGACCAAGGGCGAACGGTGTTCGCTGACGAGAGCAGCCTATCAAGACGGATCCCTCTCAGTCCCTAGAGGAGTACAAGCAAAATCAAGATGTTACGGCACCGCCCGATCCGATCGCCGAAGGTACGACTTCTGATGTGCCCATCCATGGAGAGAAGACCAACATCCTCTTCCATCCAACGCCGTCCGTCAGTTACGAGCCGACCTTCGCCGCCCTGGAGAAGCGAGCCGGTATCCTTTGCATCGGCATACTTGTGACCACAGTCGTGGTGGGGAAGCTGTTTGGAGGTGCGCTAAAGGGGCTGATACCACTGGGAATGTGCTTGTCCTCCGGAATCTGGCTGTGGATGAAAGAGGTAGTACGCAGTGGAAGAGAGGTCGAGTGGCATAGTGAGCAGACTCGAGGACAGATGGTAGGTCCTGTGCCCGTCCTTCCTGCCGTGGTACTAAATGACGTAGGCTACGGCAAATCTGCTGCCCGAATCGGTGGAGTGGATGAACACTCTCATGTCCATAGTCTGGGGCCTGATCAATCCTGACATGTTTCAAGGGGTTGCAGATACCCTTGAAGACGTGATGCAAGCATCAGTCCCCAGTATTATCGAGAACGTACGAGTTGCTGAGATCAATCAAGGCAGCAACCCTCTCCGAATTCTCAGCTTGCGGGCGCTTCCGGACTCTCACATGAAGGATCTCAAACAGTCGATCCACGAGGAGAACAAGAAAACAAAGGACCCCCAAGAAGCTGCTGCCGATGAGGAAGGAGGAGATTTTTACAACCTGGAAGTGTCCTTCGCCTACCACGCAAAGCCCAGCGGAAAGCGAGCCTCCGAAAAGGCACGGAATATGCACATGCAGCTGGTGTTCTACCTTGGGATTAAAGGTCTCTTTGGTGTTCCTCTTCCGATTTTCGTCGAACTCCAAGGCCTCGTCGGCACGGTACGCCTGCGAATGAACATGACTCCGGAACCTCCGTTCCTCAAGACCCTGACCTTCACCCTCATGGGCGCTCCTCAGGTCGAGGCAGGGTGTATCCCAATGGTTGAGAAGGGCGTCAACATTCTAAATCTACCCTTGATCAGCAACTTCGTCAACTATGCAATTAAGGCCGCTGCTAGTAGTACGTATACACCCGTCGCAAAATTACTAACCACAACGCGCTGACTTTAATAGTGTACGTTGCTCCGAAGTCCATGTCTATCGATATGCGGGCCATCCTTCAAGGAGATTCCGTGCAGAAAGATACCGAAGCCCTTGGTGTCATGTGGATCCGTATTCATCGCGCAGTAGGACTTAGCAAGCAAGATCGTAGTGGCTCCAAACACGGCGGGAGCGACCCCTACATTACCTTGGCGTTCAGCAAATACGGCAAGCCAATGTACTGCACGCGCGTTATCACCGACGACCTCAATCCTATCTGGGAAGAGACGGCTGCACTCCTCGTAACTCCGGAACTGATCAAGGCCGACGAGAACCTCAGTGTTGAACTATGGGATTCGGATAGGCACAGTGCCGACGATATTGTCGGCAAGGTGGAGCTATCTATGCAGAAGATGATCCAACATCCCGGTAAGATGTACCCTCAGAGCTCCAAGCTTGCCGGTATGGATGCTGGAAGCGACATGCCGGGCGAGCTGCATTGGGAAGTGGGCTACTTTGGAAAACCCAAGTTCCGCCCGGCCTTAAAAACAGATGGCAAGAATCAATCACTTCCCGCCGAGTTGAGGGACAAGCCCGAATTCCAAGACGAGAAGGGCACCATAAATTCAGAGGAGGATGACGCTGTCATGCACACACCACCCGACCCGCTTTGGCCGAGCGGTATCTGCAGCATCATCGTTCACCAGATTGTAAATCTGGAGCTTGAGAACGTTAAGGGGACTGTCGGTTCACGCAAGGGTCGTGAGTATGAACCTGCAAAACCGTATGGAGAGTCCACCGAGGAGACAGGGGGCAATCTACCGACAAGCTACTGTACCATTCTCTTCAACGATCAGCTGGTGTACCGAACGCGTTCGAAGGCGGTATCCTCTCAGCCTATCTTCAATGCCGGAACCGAACGCTTCATCCGGGATTGGCGCTCTGCTATCATCACGGTCGCCGTCCGCGACCAGCGCAACCGTGAGCACGATCCTATCCTGGGTGTTGTTCCCTTGAAGCTTTCGGATGTTCTTGACACGTCCTCGCAAGTCACTCGCTGGTACCCTCTCGATGGCGGCATTGGTTTCGGCCGTATTCGAATCTCGCTTCTCTTCCGCAGCATTGAGACTCGTCTCCCTCCGAACATGCTGGGTTGGGACGTCGGCACCTTCGAATTCCGCTCTGACCGTATCCTTGCCGTAGGCTATAATCATGCCGCCAAGCTGCGCCTTAGGACCGGCGGTAGCACGGGCAAGATCGGTCGCTCTGGTGCTCACAAGCTCGACGAGGGCGATGGTCACTACTGGGACTTGACGGAGCGCGATGGTAAGAACAATGTGCGCCTACCTGTCAAATATCGATACCGGTCGCCTATCGTGTTCGAGTTCCATATCGCCAACAAACGCAAGCCGGATGCTTATGCGGTTATCTGGCTGCAGCACTTCGTAGACAACGAGGCCGCGGATATTAACATCCCCATTTGGACTACTAGCCACCCTGCTCGTCTCACGCAGAACTATATCACTGAGGAAAACTGCCAGAAGGAGCCTGGCTTGGAAGACTTGCAAGAGGTTGGTCGTCTGCAGTTCCGCGCCCGCTTCAAGGCCGGGACGGACGAGTCGCACGCTCAGTTCGCCGTGGATAATGACTCACGCGAGACCTACGAGACTTGGGAAGCCTGTCTCACAGAAGGTGTCCGTAACCGCAAAGTCGACAAGGAGCTGCCAGACCGCGTGCAGCAATTGCATGACGAGTCCCTCACCCAAGGGCGCGATATTCTCAAGAACGCGGGCGAGGAAGAGAAGAAACAGTGGCTTGCGAAAGACGGCGCCGACTGGTCAGGCGCCTTCGGTCATGATCCGAAAGCCTACATGGACACCAAGGGCAAGAAGAAGAGGGAGCCCGGCGTTGACGAGCCACTCCACGACCCATATCACCCCTCTGATGACGAAGACAATGACGAGGATGAAGACGAGTCGCAGTCGTCGTCAGACCTCGGCGTCGAAGATGCTGATACCGTAGGCCACGCACAGAACATGAGCGGCGGACCCGGCAGTGGCAACCAGTCCAAAGCCAACGCCAACGGCGGTCTCCAACACCAGAACACAGACCTCTCGCCCAACGATCCTCGCGCGTCTGAGAGCACGTCTCGCACTGACTCCACTGCCGATACGGATGGGACCATGAGCGGCAAGGATGTGAACAAGCAGAATAAGAGGGCCGAGGAGCGAAAGCAGCGCGGCTTGATGCAGTGGAAGCCTGCGAGGAACGTTCGGTTCGCGAAGGATCAGGGCAAGATTGGACTTTCGAAGCTGAAGAAGAAGGTGACGGGCGGTTTGGAGGGAAGGCAGCCTGGTGTGGAGACTGGTGAGTACTTAGTTTCGTCGCACTGTCCTTTAGCACTTTTTTTTTTGAGGATATGATGGACTGACGATTTCTGCAGAAACTGGATCTTAATCTCTAATAGACTTGATGGGCTCTGGATGGGAAGGTAAGATGCTGGGGCAGTGTCTGCTTCGAGAGCTTCAAGACTGCGGAGGCGAGAGTGCGGGCGGTGTGTGACGGACCCCTTAGCTGGCCCTGATGCTGCTGCTCGCTCGAAAATGAGGGTGGAGCCCGGATAGGGGAGGACGTGTGCTTTACTTCATGACGTCTTGGGAAACATTGATACGGCGTCGCATACACTGGCGCAACACCATGTAACATACATACCTGAATACTTACACCTTTCAATACCCGCTAGCCCCCATCCTTAACGCAGTACTCGCTTCCCCCCGGTCCTCATCGAACATCGCCGACATTACGCCCCTGCGAACTCCGACGCCTTTGAGTCCCGCTCCCCTGGTGATCAGCACAAGCAACCCTTACCACCGACACCTCAAGATCCCGTTATGGTCCGATCATCGTACGATTCCAAATGCTCTCACGCTTTTGCCGCCCCTATACGGGGATCCGTTCAAGGTTGGTTGTTGCGTCTATATCGTGCCGGTCAGTCAGTCAGTCTCAAGGCATCATCGGCTAGGGCGCTTTGAGGCGCACTTCGCTGATGGAGCCCAACGGAACTAAAAAGACCATATAGGTTAACTCGTTCATTATCTCCGTATACTCACCCAATAGCATGCCTCTCTTAGCCGGCTTACCCATCTAGCCATTTGCCATGTTGGGAGACAAAGTCTCGGTTCTTTGCGCCTCCGGCTCTTCCGAAGTAGAACTGAAACGGGGTGCCGCAATATACGGAATAGTGTGTGGCGCAAAGTTTGGAGCCGACGCGGCACAGCTGACTGTTGATTTGTTCATCGGGTTGTCGGCGCTACGGGTTGGAGAGGTGGTTGTCCGTGCCGCGCGTTTGCAGGAGGCGTCATGAAGTGGTCAGACGGAAGAGAAACGAGCCCGATCGTCGATGCGGAGGGACTCATTGCACGAGCACTTGGAGTAACAGAGCGCTTGAAACGGTGGGGGAGGTGGCGCTGGAGGGTTAGGGCTCTGAAAGTGATCCGGATGCCCCTTCCTCTCGCACGGATGAAGCTTTGACGAGGCATTCAGGGTCTCCAAACTTTTCTTTACTGATGCTGAGCCCTTTGCCGAATAGTGATTTAGGTAAATGGGGCGCCATTTCCACAGGGAAGGGACCTTAGGAAGGTCTCGTGGACCTACTGACTTTGTCGATCGGGAGTGCTTTAGGCGAAGTCGGGAGTTTGTGCGAGCATCGCGGGAGCAAGTGGCTGAACGGATTAGGAAATTGGTCTTACTTCTACTCCAGTTATTAGGCCCCGATATGAAGACATCGGGAGATTGAACCATGGTTGTTGCATGCATACGTTTAGACTTGGCGGCCACCCTAGCAGCATGCATGACGGGTCACCTGATGACGTCCGAACCTTGGAAGGATATGATTCCCTGTGGCATTATTGGGCTGGGCACCTACCCACGCTGTGGATGAAGACAGCTGGCAAAGCCATATCGACGGTATCCACGAAGCTGTTGTTGGAGTCTTATCTGCAGATGACCTCCTGCTCGGTGAGGGATTTGAATCGGTGAGTTTCAATTGTGATGGCGGCGTGTAGTGCACTGTCAGATCTCGGTAGATGGCGCTAGCCCCATGGCACAGTCCGGGACGGGCGTAGCGGCCGAATTCTCCCATTCGATGCCCTACCACGATCTTGCCCCGATACGCCGCCGTTAGTGCACGGTCACCTAGCCGGAATTGAAAACTAACGCGAGGCGCTCCGTGGCTGATGAAATCGGCGTAAGGGTAGCGGGAGGTTCCTCAGGGAATGCGGCATTACCCGTCCCTGTGAGCAGATTTATAGTGGCTAGTGCTAGAGAAAAATGGGTCTTGTGCCTCTCAGGTCGCTACTTATGCGCGTCGAGTAGAGCGTACATCGATTATGCGCCACTGTTCTGCTAGGTATTGGAAATCTAAAGTGGATCAGCAGAACCGCTATTGGGGACCTGGTAGGCTAAAAGCGCTTATTGCTCTTTGCGCTTCCGCCGTAGACGCTAGCCCGTTGGGCTCAAGGTTCGTTGCGTAATCGCTGTCGCTCTACCGTTCCTGCCTGGATGTTGAAGCAAACAGAAGCAAGATCCCGCGTGCAATGTGTATTTGCCTAACGTGTTTCAGTCACTGAGGCATACTATCATCGTACCAAAAGTGACCAGCGGGGGCATGTATCTGCTCTAACGACCAATGCAAAAGTGTTTCTGTGTAACCTTTGACGATGCTTGGCTGTCCGGAGAAAGACAAGGATACCACAACCAAATAATAGGCTACGAGAAGCCAGAGGCAAGAGACGATCCTTGCCGAAAATCTTCTTCGAGGTGCCGAATTCTACAGGGTTCGAAAGGCTGCCTCAGGGCGCGCATAGACGAAGCGGATAGAAGCCATGGAGGAGAATCCTAAACACGGACAGTATATGCCATATCAGGCGCACCGAAGATCGCCGCCGCACGAAGACATATCAGCAGGATTCCCGAGCGCTTAATGGCCGTTTCTCTGAATGGTTGATCCGCAACCGTTGCGTGGGAGGCTGATACGATGAGGCGTAGGAGAGTCAGTGCGTGCGGCTATGCATATCTTTTTTTCGACGTCCCCCGTCCGTCGAGAGTCCGAAAATTCTCGCAATTTGCTAGTACTGGTGTTGAGATATGCGTTGGGGTCGCCTGGACGTTTGTTCTTTCACTGCTCCGAGAACGGGCGAGCTTTGTAAGCCCGATTCATGAGGCGAACGACGCCATCGACTGAGTACGGGAACTCCCATGGAACCAACGGACTGCGTTCATCGTCAGTGGTCTCGTGGGTGGTCACGAGTCATTTAATGCTGCGGAAAGAGAGGACCTCGAGCTGCTGCGCGATCGGTGAGAGAAGGTCCAGCTCGGATCCGCTGGAAATGCATTCTGAGCTGGCAAGTTCTCCCGCATCTGTCTCCTGCGGACCATGAACGTGTCTCTCCGGCCGCAACTGGGCCTATCAGACAGTGACACCCCCGCGATTGGCTAACAGGCCAAAAACAGAGCCGATTGCCACCCGAAACCTTCCATAAATATGGTCGCCGGCCACGGAAACGAAAGTGGTGCGACGGGTAGAAGGCTGTACTAGGCCCATTGGTGGGGTTCCGAATGCTACTCATGGGCGGGAGGGCCTGAGCAGCGATCTCGAAGGATATGGCGGTTGGTGGATTCCCCGACTTGAGGGAACAGTGCCACAGCGTGAAGAACACCTCGACGACAGAGGACACGGATGGTGCTCTGTGGTCTGGAAAGCATTTAAGGAGAGTTGCGTGCAGCTTCAGGCCAACGTCAAAGGGCGACGTCAAAGGCCTGCAGGTGTCCTGCGCCGGGTTGGTGGCGACCTCCTTCCCGCGCTGAAGTGGTGCGATCGCCCAGCACCAGCAGCAGAGGGCGCGGCAGCGGCATGCGGAAGTATCTGGGCCGCCCCAGAGCTGCTCAGCGCACATGCAATGAGCAGTGCCACTTTGGGGACATCGAGCCGGAAGAAAGGCTAGCTGCTTAGCAATAGGTCAGCAGCCAAAACTTCACAGCGCGTCTGGCCGGGTGAGCCTACCATGTGGGTGTGTGGTGCTCTCGCGGGTGCTGTCTGGCTGCGTAGCAAGCCGTCTCTGGGGGACACGGCAGCAGCGAGGCCCAGCAGGAGGGATGGCGATACGGAAAGTGAGCATGATTCAACGAGGCTGGTGTAGAGGGCGAAGGGAAACAGGGCCGGTGAAGGGTCGGAGAGGGGGCAGCGAGAGGCCAGATCTAGGGGTTTCGTGGTTCACACGTCATGCCCCCTGGTGGTCGTAGCTTCCCTTCACACGGTCCCAACAGAACCAACGTCAGCCTCCACACCAGCACTCCGCAGGAGCAAATGCTGTCGCGCACATATTCCTGCCGCCGCGACGGGGAGCTTATCCACGGCTCGGTGCAGCTTCACAGCACGCAGGTGTCAGCTTGCAGAAAGACGACGGGTCAATTTGTAGCTAACTAGCGGAAGAGACAGAATGGCAGATCCAACGCGGTGACACAGACTCTGCAGGCACTCTCCCAATCACTCCTGAAAGAAGCACAAGCGGCCACGTCCGTCCCCCTCCGAACCAAATGTGACAATTTTGACCAGGCGAGCCGCCCCAATGCGAACTATTGGAGGAAGGCGCGAGTGTCTTTGGGAAAGGAATGGAAAGGTCGCGCTATCGAAGAGCGGCCCCCTTCAACGCTGCGAACTTTCCTGCGCAGATTTGACCTGGGAGGAAGTCAGTAGACGTCACTCAACACGCTGCATTGCAGACAACTGACCCTGCAGTTTTCGCATTCAGATCTAGCCACCTGTACCAAGCAAGGCTCGTGCCCCGGCTTGTTCGAGTTTTCACACAGATGCGAAGTCAATGGCCCCCCCTGGGCACCAGTCCCCCCTACCCCGGAGCCACCTCGAGTGCCTTGACCTTTAGGAGGGTTCATGGTTGCGACACGGCGGGTGGAGTGACTCGATAACGGTGTGATGTGCTTGGAGATGCGGGACGATTCGCGGGGTGTATGAGGTGATTGAGGAGCGGAGTTTGAATTGAGGATTGCGGATTGCGGATACTGTTGGAGGCAGTCGCAGGACAACCACAATTTATACACGAGCAGGAACCCTCTTGCCATGTATCTTCAGATATGCCTCTGTGCCGCAGAACTAAAACATCCCATCTCCTGAGCGGCTGTTGGGCGGATTCGCCCCAAGTCAGAGACATCACCATCGTCAACCCTGAGCCAAGCCTGCCTCGCGGATGCGGCGAGGCATGTCCGGGTCGCCGTCGCTTAAACGGCGTTTGGTGAGCATGCTGGCCGTTAAGTTGGTCGTCCGCGCGGCACATCCGACCTAGGGATGGATACTGTGCCTCAGCCGCAGCCCTGGTAGTTCCGAAGGCACCAAGGTAGCAAGTAAACTTCGAAAACTTGGTTGCCTGCAGCGCCAGTATGCGGAGGTGAAGGAAGCTACGTTGTGTCTGCAAACATTTGGTATCGTATACTGGAGGAAGGGTTGTCTGGCCGAGCTGGGGGGCTGCGAACGGTACGAGGGTCACTGTTGGAACACCAGCAGGGAGTCCGGTGAAAGGCGGCTGCGATCAGGAGAGTAGCCCGCAATTCCCTAAAGCCTGTAGTCTGGGCGGACGGGTAAAGGTCGTAAAGTATCAACGCTCCTGGATGGTTATGATACAGCGTGAATGATGCCCAGGTGATGAATTTCTGGTCGAGATTCGGGATCACTTATGCGGCGAAGCAGCTTCGGAGAGAGATCTGGCTCCCTTCCCGCTACCGCGCTGGCAAGTTCGCGGAGCTCCGAATGCGGCTGAGGGATCTGGAGCTAGCCTCTCGTCCACCCTCGAAGTCAAGGCGTCTTCGAGCCACCTGAGGCATGCAGACCAGGCACGAGCTCGTACGATTCGGTCGCTATCATTTCACTATGGAACTGTCTGGAGAAATAGCCTGGGACGATGAATTGGGGCTTGGTGATGGTCTGTTGCCAATTACTTGGTCGGAAAGAGAGACGATGCTGGTATATGTAGACAGACGGAGAACGTTGGGGAGGCACAAAGGCACCTGCGGGAGCTCACGTGGATACGGACTTGCGCTGTTAACGTGATGCTCCTTTGGAGCATTGGTGGTTGAATTAAGGAAGTATCCAAGTCCTAAGGAACCTGGGTGGGTAGTCTGGCGAATCGTGACTGTCGCTGACTAAGGCACTGCTGACTAACGTTTCAGTCCCGTGCACTTGAACTCTCCTGCACAACTTGACTTTACGCTGCCGCTTGCAGCACCGGCTCGAAGTTCGAATGGGCGCAGTGTTACGGCACTTTGAATCGTGCGCTGATGACGTAGAACTTCCTGACCGCCTTTTTGCGCCGTCCAACGGTGCGTGCCAGAGCTGCTGTGCTCCATCGCGGCTCTGCTGTCGTTCGGATAGATGCTAACATCTGTTCTGGAGGGACGAGCCTTTGTATGGCCATGACGACTCTTAGACGGACCGCTCTTTCGTCATCTTTGGCGAGTGCAAGGTGTTAATGGGACACTCGACGTCGCTTCACCATTCTGCTGGCGAGAGCTCAGAGAGGTGGGCGAGCGCAGCATCTGCCTTGAATCAGCCGAGAGGAACACGATGCTACTATTCGCGACCTTGACCATCTCGCATGCCGGGGCACGACTGTGCGGGCAATTGTGAAGCGAGAGCCTTTGCTCAAATTGCGCCGGAAGAATTCAGCGGATGCTCAAGCGCAGAATGCCGCGATAGGGCCGTAGCCGGGCTCGCTTCGGGAGCAATCGATGACTCTCTGAAACACAGTGTATGGCTGGATTGCACAGGCTAGAAGGGTAAGTAGGGCCCATGGCCGTCTCTGTCCTAGCTGCCGTCGCGGCCGAACTAACAGCGTAGGCTCTGATGCCCCCGCGTGAGGCTCACTGATAGCGAGTCGAGCTCCACCGGCGCAATGGAGGCTGGCGGATTGCTTCCTTGCACACAGCACCGCTATGCGAATACGGTCCTTCTGATGCGGACGACAGTCGCGATGGTTTGGATGTCCGATGGTCCAGTGCTCCATAGATGTGCCGTTACCCCGCAAGGCACGACACGATAGAAAATGGCTCTCAGGTACGGCCGGCGCGCCGCAGCAGTTCAGGGACCCCCGGCGTGCCCGGCGGTCCCGAGCGACGCACATAGGGAGGTACTGTATTGCTGACGGGCCTTGGATGACGTCCGGGAGTGGAGGCAACGCAAGAGTCCCCCACCAAGCGGAGCGCCCAAGTCGGCCTGTCGCCGATGCGTGTCTTACTCGGCTCACGTGCACGTTCCGCCGCAGACGGGGGCGGAAGCGTGCCTGGATGCCTCGGTCGACGGGGACGGCGCGATTGGAGAGGGCGAGGTCGCAAAGCAAATGGACCGTGACGGTGACGGCTGCTGCGACCGGCGCTGTGGAGGCGGGCATGCATGCCATCACCTGGGCGCAAAACAAGAAGGCCCATGCGACAGCTGGACGGCCACGTTGGAGGGTGGTCAGGCATTGGCTGCGTGATCAGAGATCGGCGTCGAACGTGCACGGCGTCTTCCAAATTTCAGGACGTGTTGCCAGCGTGCAGGCTTGCACGAGCGGCGATGCTGCGCCCTCGTCGTGGTCTCATGGGCGTGGGGGAGCGATTGTTGCCCTGATGACACTGTCATATCTCCTATTCAGCGTTATCAGGTCCCGTCAGCGTCCCAGTGGAGCGGAATCGCCAAGCAGTGCTGGAGCACGTCTGCGCAGGCATCGACCAGAAGGCACCGGACGAAGACGTGCTGCCACACGCGGACCAGCATCCCCAGGACATGCACCTCCATCCATCACGCACGGCACATCAACCTCCCGAGGCTCGCGACCACCCTCCGCACCACCATGTCATCGCCGCCGGTGCGCGCTTCCACGGCTCCACGGCACCACGCGATGCTCGCGCGCTGTTTGCGTGCCCACCCGCTCCAGCTGCTATTCTACCACCGTAGATGCGACGCCTGGCTTGCGGACGTCTTGACTCTCCAGCGTCGACCGTCGACCGTCGACCGTCGACCGTCGAGCCGCCGTTCCTTACGTACTCGTCCCGGCCCTGCCCCTTGGCGAGCGCAGGCGGCTCCCTCTGCAGCTCCCGTTTGGTCACTCGAGCGGTTTGGCTGGCTCGCTGGCGCACAGCTAGAAGCAGCGCTGTTTCCATACAGATTCCGTGCAGCTCCAACGGCTCCCTAGTCGCGCCGACTCCAACTCTATCTCTCGTCGGTCGGCTCCGCGTGCGACGCGCGACCCCCATTCGTCGCCCGCACTGGAGCTATCGGGCGGTGGCAGCAGTGGCTTTGCAGGAGGCTGCGGACGTGAAGCCCGAGCAAACCCATGAGCGTCCATGCTAAGCGGCCCTCAAACCAGCCCGTTTCTATGGCTGAGGGCCACATTGCGCTCCGCAGCTAGCCTCCGGAAGATCGTTTCATCGCGCCTGCTGATTGGTGGGCCGGCCCTGGCGGGGCGCAAGCCCTCCGTCTGCCTCTCCGTCCGTCGTGCATCCAGCGACTTCAAGGGTCAAGAAGCGAAGAAGCGCGATGTAACATCATGCCTTCTGATGGCCCTCGCCTTGCAATTCGCCGCCATCGTGTGGGGTAGGGGCTCCTGCATCTGTCCCTTCAAGGCCTGCTCGCCACAGCCCGACGCACCGGCATGTTCACACTCGCAGCTCCCTCCCAGCGGCATCTCAAGATGACCACTGTATCCTAGCGTGCATCCTGCCGCGGTCCTTTGCCAACTGCAACCCCTTGGCAATCACTTCCCTGTCTGCCGTCCTGGTCTTATCAAAACTAGGACCGAGCTCTCGTCCACCTAAATAATACCCACCGTGACGCGCCTCTTTCCTCCATTAAGAGTTGCCCCTCCTGCTTTGTTTATTCTTTTTACACATACTATACACCGTCCAACCATCGGCAGACGCTACATTGTAGACATCTGCAATAACTTCAGACCCTTATACATCTTAATGGCCATGGCGTCATCCACCACCCAGGCCGTCGAGGCCCAGAAGCCCGAAACCACCACCAACAATGCCTCTGCGGCTCCCAGGAAACGGAGAAGGAGAGCGCCGGCAACCGGTGCGAGTGAAGATTGCTTTGCATGCAGGAAACGACAAATCAAATGCGATCGTCGACGGCCATACTGTGGGCAATGCATTGAGATGGGCAAAGAGTGCTCTGGATACCGCACCACTTTGACCTGGGGAGTTGGAGTCGCCAGCCGTGGCAAGCTTCGAGGCATGTCACTACCAATAGCCAAGTCGCCCACGCAGACCACTAGCACGACCCGAGACTCGAAAGCGCAAAAGTCAACAGCATCTGTCGCAACACCGACCACAACTACCACGCAGCAAAGTCCCGCTAGGCTTGAGACTCGAAGAAGCGTAGACTTTGGGATCCACTCGCCCACCAGTCCCACGAGCCCACACTCATTCTCCGCTCCACAGGAATACCAGTATTTTTGCCCCACGAGCCCAATCCCAATTCCGTCTCCCACAACACCCATGGGATTTCCCGTGCCGGGATACGGGGAGCACGTGGAACCGTTTCATCCGCATTCATCCAAATTGAGGCGGCCTCACCTCCACAGGGGCCCTCTACAAAGACTACATACCTCGCTCACAGTTCCCTACGACGACAATGGACTGTCGGCCTCGTCCGCCTCGCTCGGCACGTACAGCGATAGCGACTTCCCTTCACCTGGCGAATTTCCTCACACTCCTGCCGATGAATTTCCCTTCGCCGACTCTTCGTTTCATCGATACTCTTCTCACGCCTTTCACGACCACAGGTCCATGAGTTCGATGGAAAATATCCAGTACCATCATGGCCCTCGTACTCTGCCTATTGCCGACGACGTAAGCTCCAGCATCAGCTCCGATCAGAGCGTACAAGACTTCAACGAAGTTAGCTCCGCTCAGCAGACAATGGGCCCGCCTGCTTTTCCAGATATTTTCATTGAGGGGGAAATGAGTTCAAGCCTCAGTGGGTTGTCCCAGTCTGGATTTTCCTATCTCCCCTCGGAGGGTACGTCTTCCATTGGTTCTGGCCCCTTGTCTTTTGACGAATTCGCGCTCACCACTTCCATTCCTCAGAGTCTGTCCATCGCTTTCCCCCTTTCCCAGCGCATGCGATATCTGATCCAATTCTACGATCAATGTATCTGCCCGGTTCTGATAGCTGGTGATTCCCCGTCGAACCCATATCGGATGCATATCTTGCCTCTAGCCCTTAGAAGCGAGGGCCTCCAGAACGCCATTGCAGCTCTCGCGACGAACAACATTCGCATGCGAGGTGGCATCGAAGGCCGGCGGCTCAGCTATCCCCAGGACTCCCGACTGCTACCGGACCATGCATATTCGCAAATGACCCCGAGGGAGCTCAGGGAGATGCATGGCGAGCCTTCCAATGAGGAGAAATACTACAAGACTCGTTCCATTGCTTTGCTCAACGAAAAGCTGGCTGATCCGCATGGAGCACAAGACGATTCTGTTCTTGCTACCCTCCTCGTGCTTTGCCTTTTCCACGTATGCGACTCCGGTTTCACCAAATTTAGGACTCAGCTTGCTGGGGTACAGAAGCTGCTGAGCATCCGCGATCGAAGTGTACAGTCAAATTTCATTGGATGGATCGAATTTTTCTTTACTTGGTTCGACGTCCTTACCTCCGCGGTTAACGATCGGGAAACGGAGGTACAGGGGGATTCCCTAGAAATGATGAATCTTACAGCCAATTTGGGTGTATCAGAGCACCTTTCGGGATGCGAAGGGCGTCTCTTCAAGCTTATTGCTAGGCTTGGCAGGCTAAATCTTCTAAGTCAAAACCGTCCTGTCCGGGAGAGCAACGCCACACCGTGTGCATCGCCGCGTGTCAGGCGGCGCGCCGACTTCTATTCTTTCAATTTCACGAACATCGATGGTAATGGATGGGGAACCCCGGTGCACGAAGCTTTGAGCCCACAGACCCCGACCGCTGACGATCCGCGCTCTGCATTCTGGCTTGAGTGGCACGACATCCGTTCTCGGGTAGAAGAATGGGAATTCGATCTCCCAATCGACAGGTCCGCTCTATCTCCAGCCCAAGCCGCAATGCTGCACATGAACGAGAGTTTCCGGTACGCCGCGCTTCTCTATACCGAACGACTGGCGCATCCTACCGCACCACCCAGCGCGCTCAACTTCCAGGGCTTAGTTTCTCAAGGCCTCTTCCACATTTCCCAAATCGGAATCACGAGCTGTGTCAACAAGTTCTTGCTCTGGCCCCTGTTCATTATAGGGACAGAGTGCGTGGTGGCGGAACACCGAGCAATCGTTCGCCAGCGGTGCGTCGAGATCCAGCGAGAGAGTGGGTTCTTCAATAACCTGAGTGGGCTGGAAGTCTTGGAGAAAGTGTGGCAGGAAGACGACGAGCGGGGAGAGGAGGCACAGCCCCAAGGGCAGGGGTACTTCGGTGCACTGCAGCAGGCGTTCAGGTGGAGAAAAGCCATGGATCGCGTTGACGGGGAGTACATAATGATTTGAACGGTCCCCGCGATCTGGGCATACGAGGTCATGGTTCAATGAGCGATTGGTCAAGGAGTTGGACACCCGAGGCGACAGGGTGGGCGCCTATTGGCTGGCAAAAGGATTATAGGCTCTGAATGGGTATGCGAGCCTCTCTGCATGTTTGGAAAGCGTCGGCTTCGGGATACGGAACACGAAAAGCTATCTTGGTAAGGCAGCTTCGGTCATTTCTTTGCATGTTTGAATATCTTCGTTTGTTATGAGCATGGTACCGCGGCTTTGCGTACCGCGGAAGTTCTGTACAACGACTCCACACAGCTAGCCCATGAATGAATGCATGAAATGAGGAGCGTTCTTGCACGCGCTCGCATATTGCAAATCTTACGCACAGCCGGCTGCTTGTGATTCTGGACTTTGGATGCTGACCACTCTTCCATATCACCGGTCTTATCATTGTCATGTGGACTCAATAGTTAAATGAAAAATTGGATGACAAGGCGAGAGGATTCCCCTCACGAGCGCTCCCATGCGGGTACACCAGAGCATCATTCTGACATTCGGCTCCTTCACCGGTCGTTCGACAGCTTCGCGCCATCAAGCGGCTATCATAATACGCCCGAATCGTAACAGCGCGCAGTAGTTCGCGCGAAGCAAATGAACACAGCATTCACATGGCATCCTGACACTCTCCTTCGAGTTGCGACCTCATCTGCGGCCCCCTTCCACCTAGGCGTCCAGACCAGTCAACTGCGAGCAGTGCCATGCCACCACTCGCCCGGCCCCGACGCCTGCTGATCTTCCCGGCAGCCAGCAGCGCGCAAAGCCACCAGGACAGCGCAAGGAACAAGCTTTGAAGAAAAGGGTTTCACGACGTCAGGCCCCCCCGCTGCGTTTCGCTGGTCGTGGTTGGTTGGGGTTGCCGGGTGGCCGCTTGGTTACTGGATTTAGAGTTCTGACGCGGGGTTTTGGCTCGTTCGGGGACGCCGGCGACATCGATGATGAGCGATGAGGCTCGTATCGCGGACGCTGTGTGGCAGGTCTGCCATTATTGCCCTGGCTAGGGGCTGCTCCCGTAGTTCGAGCGATGGGGGGGTTACTGCGAGATGTCCATGATGAGATTGTATGCTGATTTCTTTTCTTAGGCAATGCGATGGGATGGGCGCTGCAGGCGCGGCTGTGGATCCAGCTATTGATAACGGGATTTGGGAGGGATCAGCAATTGATCGGTCCCGGGTTTATCCTGTGTACGGCTCTGTTCTCGGTGACCTGGCTCTGGTGACATTCTTAGTGCGCTGTGGAGCCACGGTGCGAAAAACGCCTAGGGGTCCGATGCGGGGACGGGTAAGGCACTCTTCGTCGTCGATGAGGGTAGGGTACGGTACTACAACACTGCTACGTCTGTGGGTCCTTGGTCTGTGACAGAAGGCGAGATAGGGAGACTGATAGTGAGAGGGTAGCGTACCCCACGCCCGCACAGGACATCTGACATGATTCCGAGCTATCTTCGCGGTCGCATGATCGAGGCGCCGAGTAGCGAGGAGAGTAGTCTCCTCTCACCGACTATCCTGCCCCTCTTCCATATTGGATGAACCAGAGGTCATCTCCGTGGGTGCATACTCGATGGAGGGAGATAACTGGGTGGCAGTCGCGAGTACCATCTTAGAGTACCGGACGATCTATAGGGGTACCGCGACTACGGACCCAATAGGAGCATGTAAGCAGTTCACCAGACGCTACTTCAGCTAGGTAGAATAGGCAGAACGATAGTTCAGCGATTGGCATGACTGGCTGGAGGATAGAAGCGGCTCTCCGGCGCTAGCTGTGTAGGCTGTACTCTGTAGGCGCTGCTGCATTCGCATATGTAGGTACAGCGCACAGCTTTCGCGCACACATGCCCCTCCCAAGGGGACCGTTCTGGGCCAAAGATGGTGCATGGAGGCCTTTAGGCTGGCTCACGCAGGATGCTATACCTAGGAGAGAACGGCCGGCTATATTACCCTGCGGAGTGATGGGTGATGGAGCGGCAGAGTGTCATGGGCGCACCTCCATGTGATCCTAACATGTTATTCGTACGTAAAAGTGTGTGAGACGGCGGTGGTTTGCCTCGGTGGTAGAGGGTTGGGAGCAGGATCAGTAAGCCGTGGTGGCTAGCGTGGCTGGTGAGCCGTTCAGTGGCTTGCCAAATTTCCGCTGTGGCGCGTCCACATCTGCACGCCGAGCGGGACGTGGCAACGCCAGTCGGCTCATGAAGCTTGCCGGCTGCGCTTACCGCTCTGGGCAAGGAGAGTGAATGGCGCGCCTGCCTGGGTTCTCAGGCGTCGACGCCAATGGCGCAGGGGGTCCGGGTCTTGGCGCAGCGCTAGGATCGCACTCGATCGCGCTACTGCCGATCCACGACGCCATCCATCTCCCCCAAGCATCAGAACCACAGGCCGACTTCACCATCGCTGGTGACGTCGCGCTCTCGACGCGTTAGTCATCATGGCGCTCCGTGAGGGCTCGCGTCTTTCTGCTCACTGCTCACTGCACATGCCAGCGGACTGCAGCGACGCAACACGCCCGCCGGACATTTATGATACGCTTTGTTCACCGCTTCAGCCCCCGAATCGCATTCCGAGCACAAGGACAGGCGTGGCTGGCACCGCGGCTTCCTCGCGTCCCCTATCCGCCCACAATGGCCAACAAGCGCAAACGGTCATCAGGACTAACCGCCGCGTCCGACGTGGTATCATCCAACACGGACCAGCTTAGGAACCGCCGTACTGCAGTCCCTCTGCCAGCAAATGTCGCAAGACAAGAGCCTCAGCCACCGCGCCGTCAGCCATCGCGAGCGGGGAATTCCGCAAATACGAACCCCAAAGCCAATATACTTGACGGAATATCATCTCTACGGGCTTCGCCTGATGGTGGCGAGTTTACCGGTGTTGGATCCGGTGTGAAACCTCGTAGGGATAATTCTGGCCGTGCGGACAAGTTCGCCAATGCTGGCCCTGGCACGCAGAAAGCCACACCTGCAGCGCCATATGCGACCACGGAGGATAATTCAACAATTGCTTCTGCGCATGCTGCGGAAGAGCACGGCCGTAGTCAAGGACCTGCAGCCAGAACTGGGGCCGGCGTTCGAAGGAACACGACGGAAGCGCTACCTGAGACTGCGGCGGCTGATCTTCCTGACCGGCCACCCGGCAGGAATAAGAGAAGGAAAGACCCCTCGCAGCATGTGAAGGTGGACAGTGCGGAGACCAATAACACTCCCGTTAATGCCGCTTCAAAGGATGTCACTCTTCCGCCTAGAGATGCCGTCGAACAGGACGTGGGGGTGACTGTCGATCCAGAAGAGGGGCCGACGGGCGAGGAGGACGAGGAGGAGGTCAAGGAAGCGCACTCCAGGCCGTCACCCGTCAACTCTGACTATCTTCCGCTGCCGTGGAAAGGACGGCTGGGATATGTGCGTTGCCCTCCAACTTCGACCCTGCACCTGCCACTGAAGCTAACGGGAAATGATAGGCCTGTCTCAACACCTACCTTCGCAACGCTAACCCACCCGTCTTCAGTTCTCGAACGTGCCGTATAGCCAGTATCCTGGAACACCGTCACCCTCTCAAAGACCTGTTGCAACCTGAACATGCCACTAAGAACCGGCCCGACAAAGATCAGCCTGCGGATACCACACGAGGACAGAAGTATGTCGAGGAATTGGGCCTAGCCAACGCACGAGACGTGGTCAAGATGCTACGTTGGAACGACAAGTACGGGATCAAGTTCATGCGACTGAGCAGCGAGATGTTCCCTTTCGCCTCTCACGATGAATTTGGGTACAAACTTGCGCCCTTCGCAGCGGATACTCTCGCGGAGGTAGGTAGAGTAGTTGCCGAGCTGGGCCATAGGGTTACCACGCATCCAGGCCAGTTTACCCAGCTCGGATCGCCGCGTAGGCAAGTCATTGACGCGTCGATGCGCGACCTTGAGTATCACGAGGAGATGCTTTCTCTTCTCAAGCTGCCACCTCAGCAGGACCGAGATGCGGTGATGATATTGCACTTGGGCGGAGCCTTTGGTGACAAGGCTGCTACACTTGATCGCTTCCGGGAGAATTACGCCAAATTGCTACAAAGTGTCAAGAACCGGCTAGTGCTTGAGAATGACGACGTGATATGGTCGGTACACGACCTTCTACCATTATGCCAGGAACTCAATATCCCTTTCGTTCTCGACTTCCATCACCACAATATTATCTTCGATTCTGCGAAGATCCGGGAAGGGACGAAAGATATTGTGGCCCTCTTTCCCGCCATCATTGAAACATGGACGAGGAAAGACATCACTCCAAAGATGCACTATTCCGAACCTTGTCCAGATGCCATTACAGGCAGGTCTCGACGAAAGCATTCGCCGCGTGTCATGACATTGCCCCCTTGCCCAGATACAATGGACCTCATGATCGAAGCGAAAGACAAGGAGCAAGCAGTCTTCGAGCTCATGCGCACTTTTAAGCTTCCCGGTTTCCACTTGTTCAACGACGTTGTTCCGCACATCCGGCAAGACGAGAACAAGCCCTTCAAGCCGAAGCCAAAGAAAGCTGCCAAGAAAAGGAAGAAGAAGAAATCAGATGACCTCGACGATCTCGACCTGAAAATCGAGGAGGCAGAGGAAGAAGAGAAGGCGCCGCCTCTCGTACCCGAACATGAAGTGGGCATGGGCGGGCCCGAGAATCGCGTGTACTGGCCTCCTGGCATGGAAGACTGGCTTCGGCCACCGAAGCGCATCATGAAGAAGAAAGAGGAAGGTGCTGCGACACCTGCAAAGAAGAAGAGGAAAACTGCGGCAGCCTCCGACGAAGCCTCAGTCAACGGTGAAGTCAATGGCGCCGAGATAGAGACCAAAACGGCTGCCAAGAAGGCTGCACCTCGGCGTGCAGCAGGCTCGGCGAAGAAGAAGACGCCGAAGTCTGTTCCTACACCTGAGCCTTCGGAAGAGGATAGCGAGCCGCTTAGCGATATTGGGGATGAGGAGGAGAGCGTGGTTGGCGCGAGGAGTCTCGCTGTCGCTGCTAAACCTCCTGCGCCAACGAGGAAGAGGTCAGGGAGGGTGTCGCAGAGGATAAGTTACAAGGAGGAGGATGCGGATGAGATGAGTGTGTAGGATATGTGTATTATTGATGTTGTATGGCTTACATAATAGGCGTATAGGCATCTGCCCAACCCACAAAACCGTCCCTTTCGTTGCTGTGCCCTCTTGCCTCTCCGCGTTCCCCAACATCACAATCACATGAGTTCATTTTAGCTACCGCCTACTTACCGAACTAGGGCGACATGGAAATCTTCCTATTTTCCTAGCTCCAGCGCCGACTTTCCTTCGTGTTCCTCCAACATGATCATCCGCCTAACCCTGTTTCTCGCTCGTACTCTCAAGCCCCTCGGCCGCCCCAACCGCCACGAAAAGCAAAAGCTCCAACCAAGCGAGTAGTAGTCCTCTACCAGCAACTCCACCCGATACGAGCGCCATCGACATCACAATTACAGCGACAAGCATCGGCAAGCTTAACCATCTCACCGCCTGTCTTGTTCGTGCTTGCCGCGCCCGCATCGTATTTTGCAAGCCATCTGCGTATGCGTACAGAGCGGGAGAGAGAGAGGCTGAGATGTACGAACGAACAGGGCGGGAAGTGCGGGAACAGATGTTGGAGTTCGTTCGGCTACTGCGTTACAGGAGGGCTAGCCGGAAAGAGCTATTCCCCCGAAGCGGGGGTGGGTTTTCGAATGTTCTATGCATGTGTTAGCGGGGCTGCTAAGCTGGGATGAGCGAAGGCACGGAAGGGATTATCGACTTTTTGTCGATTATGCGGGTTTTGCATGCTGGGGGAATGTTGGCCCGCTTTTGCTTGCAAGGTAGGGGAGTGAGGCTCGATGGACGGGTGGGTTGGGAGAGGGCTGGGGGTTATTGGTGCGTTGTCGGTGGGTGGTGAGATGGGCGAGGGGAAGCGGAGAGATGAGGTTGGTTGGCGGATAGGTGTAGCGTCGCGATAGAGATGGATGTGGGAGGGATGGAAAGTACGCTAGAGGGATATTGGATGCCCTTGCGCTAGTAATCGCTGCATTGCATCTATGTAGTCTGGATGCTTATCAAACCTCTACCAGCCCAGCAGTCGTTCGTTGCCAGTCTAGCCTATACGATGAAGTCGCACCTGGTGTACAAACCGTCTAGCATGAGCATGAGCATGAGCATGGGGCTTGGCCTAGGCCCGTCGTCGAAGAGTGAGTGTGACAGCAAAGCTGGCTCTGCATAACCCACCACCATCATCATCCTCTTCCCTCACTAACTCATGCAGCGTACATCGATAGCGCAATCTCCCTATCCAACACAAGGCAAGTCGTACCTAGGTGCCTGGCTGATCAGCCGTGCCAACACCTTCTAGAATACCGCGTGGGATATGCAATGGAAGGTGCGGAGAACAATCGCGGAATACTGCGGGTAGCTTCGGCTCTCGCATCGCGGCAGCCTATCGCATGCTATCGACGCTTGCGAGCTTGTTTTCCCAGCGCGGATGCAGAAAGTTTGTATAGTATGAGGCACATATAGGACTTCGATAGGGCTTCTGGAAGGTGTGGAGGGTGAGCGAGGGAGGGGTGAGCGAGAGCGTGCATGAGCAGGTTCTGGGGAAAAGGTTGATGCCCAACTCGCGATCGCGAGCGCGAACGAGCAAATGGGTGTTTTGGAGCGAGAGGGTTGCATGAGAGGGGCAGGTGAGAAATTGGATCTGTGGAATATGACGGCGGTGGATATTAGGTGGGTGGAGAGGAGAGCGTCTTGTTCTTGTCTGATGTCGGTGGTTGCTGCGCGAGGCCGAGTTCGTCACCGAGATTATTTGCCTTGCGAAGGCGGTGGTGGGGAGGGCGGGTTTTGCCATTCGTATCTTGTTTGGGGGATTTTGCTGAAGCAGAGCTGTGCGAATGAGTAAGCGGGTACGAGGAGTGTCGGGTGATGATGCCGGAGGCGGGATGCCAAGGTGTGAATATCAAGCTCCTAACCCCTTCGTGCTTACGTGTTCCGCTTGGGAGATATTGCATATCTGCAACGCGAACGTTTTCTATCGTAAAGAGATTCAATAGTGCGTAGGTAATGAAGCGGAAGAGAAAAAAAAACTGGTGCCTAACGCACAGTTTTCCAGTTCCCGACGGCGGAGGCAGATGCAAGAGACGGAGTGCGCTCTAGGAATCCGATGAGACATGAGCTATCAGCTCAGTGAGTTACTGGATTGCGTAATCTGTAATAAGCTCTTCCTGCTCTGCTCAATTCACTCCCCTTTCATTTTTCGAAACCTCCATGAGGCTCTCGACTGTCTTTAACTTCACTTCAAAGGAGTGGGGCTGCGCATTGGTATTGCCTCAAGGCATCACTTGACTCAAGTCTCGTGACTTTCGAGAACGACATCAGAAACAGTAGAATTTATACGGATCCCAAGTGAGAGACGCAGGACTTCACCTGAACCATAATTTCTTGCGAGACGTTTCGGTCAGATTACTCTCTCAATACATACTCCACCCGAGCGGACTCTCGAGCCCTTCTACCAAGTCTCCCAACGGCCCGCCCACAGCGTATCACCTTAGCGATGGTCCGGGAATTACGACCTAGGAAGAGGATGCACGACGTCGATGACTCGGATGAAGAGCTGGAGATCACCATCAAAGCGTCGGACACCAAGGGAGCCAAGAGCAAATCAGCTGCAGCAGTTGAATCCCCGGCAAAGAGATTGCGAACCATTGTAAGTTCCCTCGTTAGCCAAATTGTTCCATTGAAGCGCTGACGTCGCGCTACCACAGGCCGACGAGTTGGACAAGGTCACCGAGGAGAACGCCGCGCTGAAGAGTGAGGTCGAAGAAATAGAAATCGAGCGCGGCCGCATGAGATCGAATCGCGAATGGCATATTCGCGCGAACGACATTCAAAGGCGCAAAATCAATGATTTGACCAGGGAGCAGGCGAGGTTGGCCGGCGAGAATGGTGTGCTTAAGATGAAATTGATGAGGAAGGAGAGGGAAGCGAAGACCCTTCAGGATGAGAACAAGGCCATGAAGGAGAAGCTGGAGAAGGCTGAGAAGGCATGGAAAGCGTTCAAGAGAATGAACGATGTCTTCGGAGACTGAGCTCAACGTGGGGTGCGGACAGATCTGGGGTCTATAGCTACATCAGTGCATCGGGAACGGCATTAATCCTGAAATGGGGATTTGAGGCATTTTGAATGAGCTTGCACGAGACAAGGGAAGGTCTTACCATCAAATTCTACTTTCGAACAGTGTCATCATTTATATTTCGGACTGAGGCGGTTCTTGACGGCTAGTCTCTAACTTCACCTTGGAGCCACACTGAGCCCCCGTCTCTCTCAACTTTCTCGGACGCTTATAATCCACGTCATCAGCGACAAGTTCCCCGCGCGGCGCAGGTGAGACAGCAGACAAAAGAGTGGCCCTTCGAGCTACGGTCCTCTTTCATGACGCCCAAAACAGCGGAGCTGCCGTCCAGTCCCGCTATCTAGACTCTCACGACTTCTATACACTCTTCGACCACGCTCAATCATGCCACCAAAGCCTCGAACCGCGCCTCTCAAAGGGGGCGGCAAGAGCAAGAGAGCCGCGGATGATCAAGCTGAAGACAGCCCTACTAAGAGAATCCGGACCATTGTGAACGAAGGCGTTGAGACAGCCGCTGGGCATATGCTAACACCCAACAGCTCGATGAAGTCGACGCGAAAGATCAGACTTCGGGCAAACAACAAAGTCGCATGCAACACGACATCGATACTCTTTCCGACGCTGTCAAACAGCACAAGGAGGAAAAAGCGGTCATGCAGAAGAGAATGGACGACATGGAGAAGGCAAAGAACAAAAAGATCGCGGAACTCGAAGCGGAAATCGATAAGGCCGCGAAGGACAACTTCGCGTGGAAGAATACCGTACATGAGACGAAAGCCGAGAATGAAAAGCAGAAGGCAGTTATCCATAAGCAGAAAGCAGAGACTCAGGAGTTACAAGACCAACTCAAGGCAAAGGGAGGGGAGAACGAGAGTAACAAGGCCTGGAGGGCACTCTGGGAGAGGTACTTCCGCGAGGAACGGGATGAGAAGGATCAGCTCAAGCGGCAGCTAGAGACTGAGAGGGGCGAGAACCGAGAGAGCAATAAGGCATCGGGCAAACTGCGCCAGATCGAAAAGATCATGAAAGGGCCCTAGAGAACAGAGTGCACCCCTCCGTTCGGCATATTGGGCAGTGCGCAGAGGCTAAGGGCGTTCTGCACGCTCGTGCGCTTGATGATCTCATGGGAGGTTCTGTCGAGGCTGGTAGTGATAGCTGCATCATAGCCCGCTTATAAAAGTCTTTCCTTTTGTCAATCTTAAGTGCAATGCGTATCTCGAGAGATTCCTTCCAATGACCTACACATGATGTCCCTAGCGTCTCTCACTTTGGCAAGTCCATCAACCAGACCCTCAATATTGACGAACTGTCCATGCTCAAGTGAGCGGTAGGTGAGAGATATAGCTCCAAGTATAAAAGCCGTCAGACTGCGTCGTCCTCTTTCCGTCCCTACAACAACAATTTCCAACGTCCAAGGTTCACGCAGGAACCAGTAGCGCACCGACCAGATAAGAATCCGCAGTTCCCCCAAGTCGCCCGTCGAGAAGATGTCAGGACCGTCTACAGTCATGCCGCTTGAGCAAGCACCAGCGCCCTCAAACGTTGGCCATGGCATTAAGAGGGCCACCGTGAATGTCGATGAGCCTCCGACAAAGAGAGTTCGAGCTTTGGTAAGTTCGGAGGTGTCAAATCATAAGGGAAGTGCGCTGATCTATCGTAGATGGACGATATCGATGCCGAGCGTGCTGCTGAGCGAGCCGCGTGGGATAAAGAGAAGGCGGGTCTGGAGAAGAAGCTCGAGATGTCCGAAGAGACTACCGAAGTCTACAAGAGGGAGAACAGTAAACTAAAGTCGCGAATTAAGGTGCTAGAGGGTGCCGAGAAGGATAATATCGAATGGCAGCGCATCGCACACGGATACGAGGCGGAGAAGAAGATTGCTCAGGACAAGTTGCAAGGCTTGGAGGCAGATAAACAACTTGCTGAAAGCAAAGTTCAAGAACTGGAGTCGGCAAAGAGCAGCTTGGAGATTGAGTTAAGGAAAACTAAGAGGATGTGGGCATCCGATTATGAGTGGAGGATGCACTGGCATAACGAATGGCGAAGACAGAGAGACAAGAAAGAAGAGTTGGAGCAGGTGCTTCAGGAAGAAAATGAGGAAATTGCTGAGCTCAAGGCGCCGGCCGAGGCATACCGCAAGATTGTAGAGATCGTCAATCGAGACCGGAACAAGGCGGAAACACTCCAACCATGAGGGAAGAACACAGCGAACTTTGACTTATCGAACTGTGCTTTCGCCGGACGAGAATGGTTCTGCGCGCAATGGTTGCTGAGCAGGCATGGTGCGGATCTCGGGAGTGTATTTGAGACATATGTTCGGCCAGTCGTTCTGGAACAACTTGGCTCTTGAGACATGTAATTGCCCCCAGAGGCCTTGCAACCAAGAGACATAACCCTACCACGGTCTCAAACGGTTAGACCATTGAAAGCATACTTGATTTTCTTGAGCCCTTGCTCCGTCGCACCCTCGCTCAACTTGCATCTTTCCTCATCTCCTACGCTCTAGACAGTAGCAATCTAATGTATGCGCATGCACCCCGTCCAGATGTCTGGTATTCCCGCAGCCTCGCCGTACATCATGTCGTGGATGTAGCATTCTCCAATCAAGTTGTAGGCGTCCGGCCTAGTGCTCTTTCTGATCAGAAAGGGTACCGCCCCTCCGTGAAAGACGGTGACGATGTCGCCTTCCCGGACCCCGGGCGGCGCAATTCCGCCGAATCCCTTCTGCGTAGTCACAAACTTCCAACTAGTGAAGTTCTCCTGCAGGGCAGAAAGATAGTTCTGTGCTTTGACTCTGAGTGGTTCAGCAGCAGTTCTGTTTCCCGTTGCGTCCATGACTAGGAAAGCCCTGAGAGCTTGGTACGACTCTCGCATGTCGAGATTAGCTGATGATACTAGTCTAGGAAGCGACATGCTCGCTACGGGGATTTTCCACTGCAAGTCCGCCTTAACAGCACTGGTATAGCGTGAAAGCGAGCTGACCATCGAGTCCACCTCGTCGAAGTACGCTCCGAGTTTGTCCCACACGTTGCTAGCATTGCTAGTCAACAATATCTCGTCCACTTGGATGCCGTCAATTTCCAGTTCGTCCCGGCTAGGATCGCATACGAACTTGGGCTTCGAGATCTTGGAAGCGGCCCATGTTGCTTCTCGACTTAATAGCGAATGGAGGCTGCCCTGCTTGACCTCAGTCCAATTAGGAATCCATGACGGAAACCTTCCTGGTTGGGTTCTGATTCCCGCCCGGTATAGTAGTCTCATCACACCGTTCTTCTTGGCTAGGAAACATGCGTACTTCCGGACGAGTGACTCAAAGTCCAAGGTGTAGTCGGGGTCGTAGTCAGAGAGATGCCCATCACTAGCCAGTCCCAGCAAGGCGAAGAAGTGATCGCGTTGCCGGGTGGACTTGGCGTAGCAGAAATATTCGAGGAGATCAATCAACGGAAGCCGCGTCTTCTTGGCCTCGAGCTCACGCTGATCTGCTAGGGTGATGAAGTTGGCCCACTGTTGGCGGAGTTGATAGAAAAAGCGGGATGAAGCATCGGATGCTTGCTGAATCACTTCAACAGCGCTGTGTAGATCATTCCAGTCCACGATCCACACACCGCAGAGAAGCCGAAGGCTAGGGGCTAGAACAACTTCTTGAATTACCCAAGCTCGCGTGAACCAGGCACGCTCGAAGAAGGCGCCGATCGCCAACCAGATCGGATCGTCCTAGGGAGGTACAGGTCTTTCCTCCCAGGATTTCGGTATTTTGGCTAGGCTCTCCGGCCATTCCTTCGGTCTGTCCTTGAAGGTCACCCCCGCCTGTATTTGCATGAGGGCCACCAATGCTGCATTGCTATCGTCATCGCTCCCGAGGAAGGCGATGACGCAGGTAGAGCGCTGAAAAATGTGAGGGAGTAGACGAATTTGCTTCTCCTTCTCCTCATTTGAGTCCTGATTGATGCAAAGGGCGTCGACCCACAAAACCATCGGCTCTTTCGGATGCCGGACGCAATTAAGCGCGGCATGTAAGGATGGCGTCAGTTGCAGTATACCGCCAGGAGTCCACATGGTATCATTCCCGGTGTCTGTCCCCCAAGTGTAAGACAGTGCCCTGTTGTTGCCAGGGTCATTGAGCAGAGCATGATAAACTATCCCTCTGAGGTCGGAACCCCTGGAGCCTGGAAAGAGAGTCATGAGTCGAATTTGGCCTTTGAGCAACGTTTTGTATTGATAACGCTGGGGAGATATCGACTGTTCGGAGGGACTGGAGACTTCTAGTGGCTTCGTGAAATAAGCTTCATTCGATGTGGATTCCAACTCCTTTTGAGGTGGATAGGGTGGACTAGGATTGTTCGGGTTGCTGAAAACATGAGGCGAAGATTGTGCCTCGTGCGAGGTCCTATCTAGATTTGGATAATGCCTTCGCTCTTGCCATACGAAGTCGACCGATCCAGTCTCTTGGACTGGATGGTTGAAAGGAAGCCCTACCTCAAATCCGGGCGCATACCCAGTAGCGGATGCCCATTGTGGGCGTTTTGGTAATTGCGACGATCCCAAACAAGGATGTGGTCCCCAATGGATTGACGGATGATCTCGATCTAGTGGTAGATGCGAGGTTGACGGTTGATGGTGATGTAGCGGTCCGCCAAAAGAAGTCGGAGGCTGGTAGTATGGTGACGGTGAGTATGGAGACAGTGGATGCGCCCAGGGACTCGGCTGAACATGTAAAGAAGTCGTTGGAGGGGCGTTTCGCCAAGTCCAGTTTGGCAACTCCATGCCCTGCTGGGCCCTGTTAGCCGGCCTTTGCCATCTTGATGAGAGCCCATTCGACGTGAACAGAGGGAATTCAGTTGGCGGACTTGCTGATCGTTGAGGTTTACGAGGTTCTACGCTTAAGGGGGGTGGCGGCAGTTGGTCTTTTATATGCGCGGTCAAGCCCCACAGTTTGGGGAGAGCTAGGCGATCGGATGTGCAAAGATGCCAAGGGTCCACGAAAAGGTGGAAGCGCGGCTTAATATAAGCGTTGCAGATCCTTACGAGGACTAGAACATCCTTGGGAGTGTTTTTCGACTTAGTATCAATCCGAAGGAGGCGCATCTAAATAGGGTTGGTTAGTGCCATGTTTGAAGATCGGTATTGAAGGAAAATGGCACAAGCTGTGTGAAAACGTACCCTATCAAACTGCGAGGTTGTCCAGGAAAATTCCGACTGTTCGTCTCCAGGAGTCACAACGACATCGAAATGGAACGTCGAGGCGGCAACCTTGTCCTTTTTCGTCATATTCCAGCTTGCGGCGGCCCAGAACCCCATCTCAGTTAGGTATTTTACCATCTTCTGCGAGGCCGGTTGATCTGAGATCGTGAAAGAAGAGGAAGTGATCATGTTCCCCTTGAATGGCCTGTAACCCGCTCTCTGTCCCAGCTGGCTCGTCCAATGGATCTCAGGTTTGTAGTGAGAACCAATGGCCTTCTGAATAAGTTCAGAAGTCTATTTCTGTTAGTTCGGTCTCCAACCGGCGTTTCACGCGCTATCAATGGCGGAGTGTATTGCCATGAGCTCACCCAAATATAGGATATCCACAGATGTGGCTCTCCCAACGATTACGAAATCTTCGGCAATGTCCCCGACGCCGTCCCGAGAATCTAGTCTTTGACCGTTGGTGAAGTCCATGAATGGTAGACGCCTGCTTGGATTGGGGTCTCTTAGATCTGTAGCTCCGTGTCTTTCAATGCTGGTTAAAATTCGACGGTAGCTATGCGGAAGCCCGTCAAGGAAAGAACCTTTGCGGTCTTCGTCATCTACATCTGTGAGCAAAGATCCCGCCATTGGTACGTCCCCCGACAGTGAGGCATATTTTGATTTCGGATTGCTGGGACTAGTGAAATCTGTATAGAGTGGCATTAGACACTGCACAATATGAAAGAATAATTAAATAAACGTACTTTCGGTCTCAAGCTCATCCACGGGTATTCCCCTCTTTTTGAAGTCAGACCGCAATTTGATAAGACTTGTATTGCCTAGCGCCTTCTGGAGGAGGCTCCGGTGTCGTTCGGGGATACAGCAGTGTTTCTCGATCTCGTCCACCAGATCAAGCGGGGTCTCCCATTCAGAGATGTCACTTGCGGTCATGAATATGTGTAGGCTCTCCGTAGTCCAGGATGTGGCGACCTCGCCGATGCTTTCACGCCCAGAATATGTGTCACCGTTATCTGCCTTTAAAGTGTGCTCTTGCACAATCTTATCGGCACTCTTGACCGTGACTTCCTGTAGTTGGAGGGAGATGGCCTCTCGATTGGGATTCGATTTAGGGATTAGGCTGTACCAGCATCAGCTCTTGTGAAAACTTAAGAAGAAGAGGATATCGTGTGTAATGAAAAAGGTATATATGACGTACCTGATGATGAAAGGAGATCTAGCCTGCAGGAAATCTGTTTGAATCCAGTCCGTTTTGGTGTTGCCTCTAGGAGTAGATTTGCTCATGACGCGCTGTGAAAGCTTACGTGACTGGATGTTTAGGGCCATTAGCAGGCTGCTCATCGAATGGAGATCAGTCATCGGAAATGCTAGGAGGTCCGCTCTGCCGACAAAACTCTCCGCCAAGTGGTCAACATCGGCAACAAACCAGCTGTCGCTGTTTCCGATAGCTTTCAATGAATCGAAGCCTTCACTTTCTTTACGCTCGCGTATCGGAAATATGGGCTTGTCTCCGAATTTCTTGCCGATTTTGGCGGCCTTCACATTGCTCATCGCCTCCATTGCCTGACTCATTTTGATGAAGGCCCCTGATACTAGGCTTAATTTGGTCGAGCGTTTGGTCATCAACATAGCCGCTATGAGTGACTGTAGTCCGCCGGGGCCGCTCGCTAAGAGGGCTCGGAATAGGATTTTGCATTCCGGATATTCTGTTTCCACGCTAAGCTGTTTGGCTATGCATTCATCCATGCTGACCCAGCGCCACGTCGGGACGGGCGCCGTCGATCCACAGGTTGTATATATGAGGTTCTTCTCCCGGAAAGTCTCCCTACTCGTTATTAGCCTTGCATTAACATGTATGAGGTGACTCGATGCGCACCATATTATGGTTTCATGGCCCTCTCGATACTCGCGTTCGATTCGTTCGTACACATGAGCGACCTTGTGCTGTGCAATGGTGGTCAAGCCTGCCATGTGCTCCAGGCAGGCGAGGTAATAGTGCACATCATTTTTGATAGCGACTCCGAAGTGTCTCAGGCACTGCCATCGTTCATTTTTAGGATCCCTGACTTTGAGAGTCCGAACGCAGGCGATTTCATCCACGACTTGGTCAACTGTGGGAAGAATTGTCCCTCTCAGAGGCACGAAGCCGGCCTGAGACTCCACGATTAAAGCGCCCAAAGCCGACCTCACAGCTAGCTTCGAAGCCTTACGTGTATTTGTGTCCTTCCTGGGCCTATCGTCTTCAACCCAAGTGGCATAGTAGTCCCAATTATCCCGAAGAAGCTCAAGAACGTCGGCCGATTTGCATTTCTGGAAGGTGGCCTTCATATCCTCAGAGAGTCTGAAGTGGTCATCCGAAAGCGTAGCTACAAGTCGAGGCAAGGTCGCAAGGCCGAAGGAGGCGCAAAGAAATGGCAACCACTTCTTATCGTCTGGACCATCGCGATGGTAGTTGGGGTGGATGAAAGGACATGACTTCTCAAGCTCGGCCATTACTCGAGTAGTGGATGGCTCTTTTTCGAAGGACATGCGAATGTAGACTTCGGTGCCCAGGTAGAGCTTTTCTCCCTTTCCGGCTGTGGCAAACCAGAATGGAACATATTGGTCCTGCGGGGGGCGCCATGGCGAATTCAAGACAAACAGCGCATGCTGAAGCAGCTGCTGGACATTGAGGTTTCGCGTTGGGAACCCCTTCTCACTGTGCATTTCAATAATCTTATGGCTTATTTCGGCTGCGTCACACGCTTTCACACCTAGATACTTGAACATGTTGCGGCGATTGTCATCTTCTTCGGCCTTTTTGTGCACAATGTCCACCTCGACACCGTTGGGTATTGTGAGGTCACCGGAACCTCCTAAGAAGATTTTGCGGCCTCGAGCAGAGACCCACTTGGAAGCATCTTGCAAAGGCCGCTCTTTTCGCAGTGGGATGATCTCCAGGTCGAGTATGCGCTCTTTGTATCCTTTCTCAAGTGCCAGCTTGTGTAGGCATTTGGCAAGTTGTGAGTGCCACGACTGGGGTTTGCCTCGGAATTTGGCGGGTTCGTCAGATATCATAAGCTGAAGATGTTTAAGGAAGCCCTCGGGAGACAATTTCTTGATGCCTAGGGCACACAGCATCTCCCTTGCCCAATCTGGATAATGAAGCGAGAGGTACTGAGAAGCGGTGTGCGAGCAGAGCGTGAAAGGCTTGCCAGGTTTGTCGTCGATGCCAGCAAAATAGTTGAGAGGTACGTGACTCAGCGACAATGGGTCAGCCAGGGTTTTCTCACAGGTCTCCAACAGCCTCTTTCCCGCCAATTGTCGGAATATTTCTTCCCTCATCGGCTCGAAGTAAGAGACATTACCAACAGGAAGGTAGTGCGGCCAGAAATACTTGAGAGGTCCCCAGTTGAGCCGCACAATCGACTGTACGAACGCGTTGGCCGAGGCATCACGGAGGGCACGATTCCAGGGAGAGCTAGTGTCGATATCCCCACGGCTAGCCGTGAGAAGAAAATCGCCTTGCAGTAGAAACTGAGGTAGTATTAGATGAACAGTCCGAGTTGAGGATGATGAGCTGCATACCTGGAAACCATAGCTTCTGATGGGCAGGAACGCATAAACGCTCTGAGTCTCTTGTATTGGTCCCTTGTTGAAGTCGGCCACTGGGAAGGCTAGGAGGATCTCGGATTCGGAGCATTGCGGGCGTTTCGACTCTTTAGGGAGGCGGTTGACAGGATGCTTTGTGACGTAGTACTGCCGTTCCTTGCCATTGCTGTGCGAGGTGTTCTCGTATAAGGTTGTGATCTGGACGCCATTTTCCTCAGCGTCTGTCCTCAGAAGCTTCCGCTGCCATATCTTGCCGTCCTTCCTCATGACGGTAACGTTAATCTCGCGCAGCTGTCGAAGGAAGATCAGCATGCGGGGGTCTAGTTTCGTGAGCTCATTCACAAGGTTGTCCTCGTCGCAATCCTCTGACAGCTGCAGGAGGAAAGACGTGAAGCCGTCAAGGCGCGGCTCGGGGAAGGTTGTCCAGATGGGCGCTATCATGCCAATGATTTTAGCCGTGTCGAAGCTGAAACTGAAGCTTCTGGAGGAGATGAAAACCACGTCTGCTACCTTGAAAGACGGACTTGAACCCGATCCCCTTCTCGCCGATGTAGCGGGTCGAATGGCCGATGCCGGCCTTGGTGCTCTTGCCAATGTCGCAGATGGCCCTAACATTCTGCTCCGAGAAGCCGACCTCATTACAGTCGACCCTGAGGACGCCTTTCTTGTACGTGAAGTTTATGGTTGGCTGTTCGGCAGGGTTTCCGAGTCTGTACCCATTGTCGTCCGCATTTTGGATTAGCTCTAGAATGAAATGGGTTGTTTCATTGTAGAGGTCTTTGGACAGCCTGCATGGTCCTGAGCGTCGGTTCCACGTCTCTCACGCAATCTGCGGGAGCCGCACTTACACCTCGAGCGCCCTTTTGAGCATTGAGAGGACGAGCGTGGGATTCTTGTCGTCGACCGGCCCATCCAAGGTCATCTCCCGCCAGATGTCTTCTATGATGGCCCTGGCCTCTGCTGCCGATGCCATTGCGTCAAAACTGGTTCACAAACTTTCGTCGCATGTTGACGGCCATGAGAGCCGTGGACCGCGCTGATAAGTACAGCAGATTCCGACATGGCGCAAATTTTTAGCCTGTATTACACGCCACTGCCTTCACCGGACAGGTCCTCAGGCTCAGGTCTGAAGGTTGATGCTCTAATGAGCGGGGGACTCGGCCTTATGCCGCGTCAACTTCAGCGACGTTTGTAAGCGAAGGTCGTGGCATTCCTTGCAGCGCACATTGGCTTTTACTTACGATAGAAAGAGCACCTTGGGTTCTTCTATTACAGCTTCCGCCCACAACCCTATGATTAGGGCGGGTGCACAACCCCTCCCACTGGCATCGTCAAGGTGTTTGTCGAATTCTTACAGCATATTGAGTGTAGGCGCGTGCCGAGGCGCAAATTTGCCCTTCTGTGCTGAACAAGCCAAAGCTTAGCGCTATGTGGTGAGAGTTAGCAGTCATTCGCTCTCGACTCCCGAACCTTCTGCTGCGGTCTGAGCCTACGCTGCATGCACTCCGCCTCGAGCTGAGCCTTGTGCAAAGCCCCTCCTCTTGAACCGCATACTACAGTAATCTACGCCAATAGCTGCCTTGTGGCAGACTGATGCTTCACAGAATCGAAGCTCTCCGACGCTGAGAGGCTGCTTTGATAGGAGTAAGGGTTGTCTCAGCGACCTCGGGAAAAATGCGCCCTTGTTCTGCCGTTGGTACCTGGGCGAGGATAGAGACGCTGAGCCAGAGGCTGCGGATTATTGGATGAGACTGAGCAGCACTGAATGCGGGATGGAGGGCCTTTGATAACCTCGTGCGTAATTCCACAATAGATATAGAAGAATTGTCTGTGAGATGAATCGAACTTTTGATGATACCCCTTCTGCCGGTGGAATTTAGAATATAGCGTCTTTTTTGCTGGTACTGTAGATGTAGTATGCTCGCATCTTCTTTATGACGAGGTCGAGCGAATTGATGACTGCTGAGATGAATCACAGAGGGTGTCATAAAAAATGAGCCCATTCTGATAACTAAGCAGAATATCAACAAAGACCACAACATTCTATCTCTACAACAAGCTTATATTAATGCATAAAATTAATAGAGATAGCTCTTCTATAGCTTCTAAGTAGCTGTAGAGAATTTTATTAAAAAATAATAAAAGAGCGTAGCTACGTTTTGTGTACAAGAAGGTGAGTTTGCTGACTTATCAGAATTGGGCTCATTTTTTTTGACACCCTCGTGAATCGAAGGGCGACTCAACACGTGACATTGATGCGGGGGCACCAACCAGCGATCCAAGCTCCCTCGGAGGTGAACTCTTCCCCGCAAAATCCCCACGGCCGCGTGAAGCTCTCACCACATTTCCGGTGCATCAGAGTTCTCAACCTCTGCTGCCATTGCCACCCTTGCTTCCTTCGAATGTCGTCGAAATTCGTGTGTCTGCGCTCTGCGCGCCTCGCTGCACGCCATCCCCTCAGAAGGACCTTCGCCACCGCGACCCCGAAGGGCGCTGACTTTGTGCGCATCGTGGAGGTTGGACCAAGAGATGGACTGCAAAATGAGAAGCAGAGCATACCAGTCGCGACAAAGATGGAGTTGGTGGAGAGGCTGGCGAAGACCGGCTTGAGGACGATTGAAGCTGGCTCGTTCGTGGCGCCAAAATGGGTTCCGCAGGTGGGTTCATGCTCCCGGGGCTCTAGGTGCAGGGCTGACGGCTGATTTACAGATGGCGAACTCTTCGGAAATCCTAGAGCGCATCCTCCAATCGCCACCGCAATCCCCGCATCCCATAACGTACCAATTCCTCCTCCCGAATGTCAAAGGCCTGGATAACTTTCTCTCCGTCTGGCAAGCGAAAGGCTCTGGAAACAGCGCATACCCTACGCCGCCGCCATCGCCGAGCAGCGAAGGTGGCCCAGCAATGAATACATCTTCACAAGATCCTAACGCAATGCCCTCAGCATCGTCTGGCGCAGACGCAATGACCAAGGAAAGAGGCAGTTCTTCCGCCTCGGCAACAACGCCTGAGATTGAGCTCTCCATATTCACAGCGGCAACGGAGACATTCACACAGAAGAACACAAACTGCTCGATAGCAGAATCATTGAAGAGGTTCGAACCTATAATGGCAAAGGCGAAGGAGCTGGACCTCAACGTGCGGGCATACATCTCAGTAGCTTTGGGCTGTCCATATGAAGGGCCAAACGTAGATCCGCACAAGGTAGCTAATCTGGCTGTGAGCTTGCTTGAGATGGGCGCAGATGAGATCTCAGTAGCCGACACGACGGGCATGGGCACAGCCCCAAAGACGGCAGAGCTGCTAAAGACACTGAGCGCCGCAGGCATCGAGAAGAACGATCTCGCACTACACTTCCACGATACATATGGCCAGGCCTTGGTGAACTCCGTCGTTGCGCTGGAGTATGGCATACGGACTTTTGACGCTGCGGTTGCCGGCCTAGGAGGCTGCCCATTCAGCCCAGGCGCAACAGGGAACGTCGCAACAGAGGACATGGTTCATTGCTTCCATAGCCTGGGCGCAAAGACGGGCGTGGATATTGAGAAGTTGTCGGAGGTGGGCGAGTGGATTTCAAAGGAGATTGGGAGGCCGAATGAGAGTAGAGCGGGGAAGGCGACCCTGGCTCAACTGCGAAAGAGCCGCGAGCAGTAATAGGGGATGCCCGCGAGGGTCATACCCATGATAGCTCAGCAAGAAGATCACTATGTATGGACCAATCCTGTGTACAACTACTATAGTAAGCAGTTGCAAAAGGATGTCGGCCGTAGGTTCGGCTCTTACCGTTCCCTCCAGCGCTCTTTCCCTCACGTCAAAAGGCCCAGCACAATCTGGGCTAGCGTGACTTCTTTACACCACTTTCTCAATCCAGCTCACCGTCATTTCTCTCCCTCTTCGGAACCTTAGAAGAGATCTAACCTCCTGGTTCAGACCCTCGAGTGCAGGCCTGTACGTTTCCCGCTTCACCAGTGCATTCGCGCTGTCCCTCCACCATTAGCGCGGGTGAGTGCTTCACCACTGTCCACGGGTGGTCCGCTCCACCTTCTCAACACTGTCCTTGACTCGCTGACGGTCCTTTTCTCCCTCCAGTCGCCTCCGCTGAACCGATACTATGGCGCCCAATCTTCCGGGGTTGCCAGCGGAGATCCTACTGGTCATCAAGACAGAATGCCCGCGAGGGGGAAATCCGCGGTATTACGAGAAGCCGCTCTTCGAGAACCTCCGAGCAACATGCAGGGAGCTTCACGGCAAACTCACTCCATTCTACGGGGCACGATACCTCAGGGAGATGACCGTTCGTCTGAACGAAAAAGGGTTGTGCGGGCTTCTCAGCATCTCTAAAAACGGCCTTGCGTCCTATGTCGAGTCGATCGTAGTGGATACCAACACCCTCATAAAAGCAAGAAGATATCGACCCTGACTCGGCACCTTCGGACTGCGATTAAAAATTCCTGGTATGACAGCGACGAATCGTACTCCCTCCTGTACGGCACCCGACTTTCTTTCAATGAGACGGTCCTAGATACCTTATGGGATGGTACATGCGGAAACATACTTGGGCAGGCCTTATCTGGGCTGCCGAATCTCAAAGAGTTCTTAATCCAACGGCCGGATTTCGATCACAACATACGTTCCAACAAGTTCGATCGCCTCAAGGAACATTGGTCCGTCGCCTTGAAGACACTGTTCTCGGTAGCGCTAGCCAAAGGTCGTGCTTTGGAGACCCTAGCGTTTTGTGAACGTGGTGCGGATGTTCCATCCCACGCATCAATGCTCAACTACCTCGCGATCTTCATGAAACATCCCCCTCACTTGAAGAAGTTACACTTCAACATATCAGTGGAAGAAGATGAAGGTATAGGGTTCTCTCTTGTCTTGTCAGACGTCGCTGATCACTACAGTGACCTTCCCTGGGTACATCCGCACCATCAACAATCTCTCCAATGCCTCCCCCGTCCTCAACGATTTCGGAATAGGGCTCAGATGCACGGCCACCAGCTGCTGCTGGGGGATAAGTCCGCCCCCCAAATCCTACCTCTTCTTCAAACAATTGAGCCCGACGATACGTCCGAAATCTCTTCGGCGCCTTGCTTTGTCCCATCTCACCACGCGTAGGAAGTATCTCGCCACGCTGATGCGAGCGTGCAAGGATACACTCAAAGCACTCACGCTCAACTGGGTCACATGGCGCTCCTGCGATGAACGCGTACTCGAATTCCTCCGAGACGAACTCCACCTAAATGAGGTTGTCCTGAGATGCTTAAATTCGGAGTTCGAAGGCATCTATTCCCATCACGTCAATTATGAGCGCCCACAATGTGGCACTCATGGTGTCTCTTCCAGGCTCGATGATGAAGAATGGCTCATGGTGACGCAGAAACGTTCGCCGCGCCACGAGATCATTCTCAAAGCGGAAGAGGGTAACGACATCACGTATTGGCTCACTCAGGTCGACGAGAAGTCTGGTTCCGGTGACAAATGGACATGGAATGATCTCAGCTGGGACTAGACAACGGTTACGAATCCTTCACGGTTCTCCTCGCTCGCAGTAGGCTAGGCCAGTAGTGTCCTGGTCTAAAATGTCAGTGTATATTAGGACTTCGAAGTTCATGAGCCTGAGTGGTTGACTCTTGGGAGAAGGGCGTATTTACTCTTATATTATCTTCGCATCAACACACTCCATTACGGTAATCCGACTACAGTGGTGGTGTATATTTTCCGACTTTGCTCCTGTAACTTAATCTTTAGGTCTCGTGTTTCGTCTTTTCTCGTTCTGCTTGTCGCGCGTTCCATTTTTACCGCCTAGATATGGCCTAGCGCGATTCCTTCTTATATTTCTCGCCTTCTGACCTCACTTGTTCTCTTTTAACCCACCTCAACTCACTGTACCTCAACTCACATTTGCCATCCTCGTTGCTACGCTGCCGATAACCTAGTGAGTCTCTTTAGGCTACCGGTTAGACGCACCACCGTGCTGCATAGTATCCACAGTTGCGGCGAGCTGGGGAGTTTAAAAGGCGGGGCGGATTCAGTGCTCTATCAGTAACATCGTGAGTTACTTCAGGCTGCCCATTACGAGTTCCATTGCGCCACTGACTCCTCGCAGGGTTCACCGTGCGTGCTGTCATATCCAGTGAGATAGCCGAACCCTCCGACAATCCATAGCCGAGCTTGAAGGCCTTCAACTCTAGATACTCCCACCTGGATATCTACCCATGACTTCGACACTACCTAGTCTCCAGGTGGAGCTCTTAGGCATCATCTTGGACCATCTGCCGGAAACCTACAACCATATAAGACGCAAGTGGGAGAAGAGCGACCTGAAGGCCTTCCGACAAGTGTGTCGCGAGATCAACTCGAAGACAAGTACCTTCTTCGGCGCCAGCTTCTTCAGCGGGTTGAATATGTACGTGGACATTGACTGCTTCCAGACAGCCCATAGTCTGCAACACACGAAGTGTTTGGCCCCAGCGTTCGAGTGTTCAACATTCATATCGCCTACTCTCGATCCGAGGAAGCAACCAGTCCCGCTCGCAACGCTTCGAAGAGCCAAGTCCGCTATGTCATGGACGGATCCTTTGCCATTGATATCGACAAGGCATTGCAAGGATTCAAGCATCTTAAATATCTATCCTTCTGGGAAGAGACCTACGGATACGGCAATAACCCCCGTAAAGAGGAAATCAGCCGCTTTTTCTGGACTCATACGGTGAAGGATTTCTTCTGTGCTGTCTTCCAAAATGATATTCATCTTCGTATACTGGAATTTACTTCCCAAAAACAGGCTCCGTTCTCGTTTCCGTTGGCACTCCTGCAACCGCTTTCGGAATCGTTCCATGTATTTGATCGACTGGCTGTGATAATGTTAGACGCAGCATTCATGGACGAAGAGGTGCGGGAGGACGAATCCCTAGCGACTCTGGACGTCCTCCTTAACCACGCCCCTAGACTCTCTGAATTCTCCTTCCACGGCCGAGGCCTTGTCTCTTCGAGCGCGGTTGTTGCTTGACTGGCAGAGCACCAGCAATCTTTCCACCATATGAAAGTATTATCCATCGTCCATGTTGCGGTAACGGAGTCTGAGCTGGTACGACTCTTGGCCGGTTGCTCGGGGACTCTCGAAGATCTTATCTTTGCTCGCGTTCGGATCGCCCGGGGCACCTGGCAAGGAGTGTTTACTCGTATCAAGGATTGTCTTAAGCTCTGCAACCTTGAAGTTATGGACCTCGCTGAAGGCAGGCGCGCCGTTTCTTTCGAGAATCTAGCGAGAGAACGGCCGATTGTTGCTCAAGCTTGGGAGAGGCAGAGGTACGACGAACTCTGTGTGCCGCCACCGAATATCAGCGAAGAAGACTTCGCTCGGCTCACAGCACGAGAGCAAGAAGGGCTCATCCTCGATCGCGAGATCTATCATGAGTATTAGTCGGTATTCCCTGGGGAACGTGAAGGACTTCTTGATCTTGAGACGGGATTATGGGGACGGCGTGAGAGAATGGGCCGCTATGATGTGCGACCGTTACACGTTGGGTAAAGTAGAAGATAATTGAATATGTAACTGCTTGTGAAGGCCTTCCGGAACGCGCATACGAAGTTCAAATTGATGATGTCCGGATCATTTGGTACAGATTTGGCAGTGGCTTTATCATGATTGCAACTCGGGACGGCTTCCAAAGCTCGACACCGAGGATATAAATATCAGGAAAAGTCAAGCTCACTACAAGTGCATTCGTAACCATAGTATCAAAGCGATGGTATCTCCCTGTCCAAGACCTGTCGGTCCATCTATTGTCTGCGCCTGCAGTACTCTGCCTCCTACAAACCTTCACCCGTCCGCTTAAATGCTGATGAACCAGCTCTTCTCACCCTCCTTGGGCTCGACCCACGCCCGCTTCAAAATTGGATCAGCGCAGGAGATCCGGATCCGTTCCGGCGTCGCTGGGCTCTGCAAATGCAGCACAGACGTCTCGCCGAACTCTGCGCGCGCAGCCTTGAGCGCATCACGGATGGCGAAGAAGACAGAGCTGCCCATGAAAAGGGGTGGTTCACCTAGAATCTAAGTCAGTAACTAACTCCAAACAGACGGTGAGAAACGACATGACACTTACCAACACCACGGCTCCTCTGAATCGTCCTCAAATTCTCCCAATTCACATCCTTCAACAAACTTACATTGAACACCTGCGGAATGTCCCTAAACCCCGGAATTTTATACGCGCCGGGGCCCTTCGTAAAAACGCCCCCAGTACTCCTCTGCCACAGACTCTCCTCCGTCGTAAACAGGCCCTGCCCCTGCACAAACGCCCCCTCAATCTGTCCGTAATCGATGGACGGATTGATGGAGCGCCCCACATCCATCTTGATGTCTGCGCGGCGGCACGTCCAATCGCCCGTCAGGGTATCGATTTCGACCTCCGCGGCAGCAACGCCCTGCGTGAAGTAGAAGAACATTTGCCCTGCGTTCTCGCCCCACACGTATCCGATGTCTGGTGTGCGGTAGAAACCTTGTGCGGAGAGGTTCACGCGGTCGAAGTAGGCGGCGTGCGCGATGTCTTTCATGGTGGCAGCCGGACCGAGTTTCTCGCGGTAGGGTTGGAGACGCTCGTTGAGCTGTTTACAGGCGTTGAAGATGGCGTAGCCGTTGAGATCGGAGGATGCGGATGCTGCGGTGGAGGACGCATTTGCGACGGTGTTGGTTGCGGTCTCCGAGATGAAGACATTGGACAGCGGGACCTGCAGCGCTTCGGCGGCTATCATGGTCATTTTTGTGTGGAGGCCCTGGCCCATTTCCGTGCCGCCATGGGCGACGAGAACGCTGCCGTCGTGGTAGATATGCACAAGGGCGCCGGCCTGGTTGAGGAAGAGCGCTGTGAAGGAGATGCCGAACTTGGTTGGGATAAGCGAGAGGCCACGCTTGTTCCACTTGTGAGTCTTGTTCCATTCTTCGATTTCGGTGCGGCGGCCAGCGTAGTCGCTGGAGTCCTGGACCTGCTGGTACATGAGCGGGACGTACCAGTCCTTGAGCTGCTGGTTGAAGTGCGTGATCATGTTCGTGTCGGGCGCGTACATGTTCATTTCTCGCAGCTTCTCGACGGGCATCTTGAGGTGGTCCGCAACCTCTTCCATGTACGTTTCAGCGATGAACATGCCTTGCGGACCGCCGAAACCGCGGAACGCAGTGTTGGAGACGGTGTTAGTCTTCGCCACACGCCCGCGGACATGGACATTAGGGATCGAGTAACAGCCGTCGATGTGAGAGAGGGAGCGCTCGACGACGGCGCCAGAGAGATCTTGGCTCCAGCCGCCATTGCAGAAGACGTCTGCATCGAGCGCTTGAAGTTTGCCATCCTTGTTGACGGCGACTTTCCAGCGGGCGAGGAAGGGGTGGCGTTGGCCGGAGGTCATGATGTCTTCGTCGCGGTTGAGCATGCATCGGACGGGGCGGCGAACTTTGTTCGCTGCGCATGCTACGATGCCTGCGAGCTGGATAGAGCGAGTCTCTTTGCCACCGAACCCACCCCCCATTCGCTTTACCTTTGAGACGATCTTATTCGCTGCTACGCCGACGACTTTTGAGACGTAGGCCTGGGTTTCGGCCGGATTTTGCGTGCTGCTGTAAATCTCCATTTCGCCGTCTTCAGGCTTCGGCACTGCCAGACATGCTTGCGTCTCGAGATAGAAGTGTTCTTGGCCACCCATGCGAGCAATGCCAGTGAAGACGTGGTCGGCTTCAGCGAAAGCTTTCTCGGTGTCTCCTGTCTTGATGTAGCGGAAGTGGTTAAAGTAGCTCTCTTTTGCGACAGCCTCCTCAATCGTGAAAATCGCCGGCAAATCTTCGTATTTAATACTGACAGCACGCGCCGCGTGCTCCGCGCGTTTCGCCGTGTCCGCCAGGATCATTCCGATGGGCTGACCAGCTGTAAAGACCTCATCGACAGCGAAGAAGGTTTCATCGCAAGACGGTGCGCCCCACCAGTTGGCTTCTGGCGTAGCTAGGTCCTTGTGATCTACCCACGCGTGCACGCCTGGAAGATCGAGGGCTGGCTCCGGATCGACCTTAATGAGCTTCGCGTGCGCCTTCGTCGAGAGAACCAAACATCCATACAGCTCGTTCTTCTGTAGGGGAATATCGTCAGTGTACTGAGCCTCACCGGTGCACTGCTTCATAGCGGCAACGTGCGGCTTCTCCGTTCCTAGAATCTTCTGGGTATATGCTTCCGCCGCCTTGTGATCCTTCTCGCCTGAGCTGATATCTCTTTCGATCTCGCCGATGGCTTGTGTGTCAACTTGAATTTCTTCGGCACGCAGCTCGGCGAGAACCTCATGGTAGAATTTGTAGAAGAAGCCGAGCGCGAGAGACTTTCTGTATGTCGCCATGCCGCCCGGCACACCAAATCTGAGATCGAAATCTTCTTCCAGCGCATTCATGACGCCTTCTAGGGTCTTCAACTCCGTGAACCTCTTGCCCTGGAGGAAGGCCATAGCTTTCTTTGCCGCGATCGTAATAGGTGCCATGCCTCCGTACACCAGATCCACGCTTTCAACAATGTCGCCTTCACCTAGTGAGATCCGTAGAGCTGCGTTCACAATCGCAATATCATCGTCTTTCCTCTTGGCCTGCTTATACGCGCGCATATACTCGCCCTTTTCTTTGAAGACCGGGATCTTGAGGCTTGCGATAACGGCATCCGGAAGGAGCGCTGTCGCTCGGTAACCTTTGAAAAACTGCGACATTGGGATCTCGGTCGTCTCGTTCAGTGACTTGGCCACAAGCGTAGCATTAGTTGCGACGAAGACCGGGTTGAGGTCTGAAATTGGACTCGCAGTGGCCAGGTTGCCCGCCGGCGTTCCAACGTTCCTGATCTGCCGTCCAGCGAAGTACCGAATCTGCTTCAAAATAGCGGCGAACGGCTGGCCTTTCACGTCTCCGTAGTGCTTGACCGCTTCTCTGCAGATATCTTCGAGGTCAGTGAGCACAACATTTCCGCCAATCTCCAGGTAATCATCCTGAAAAGAGTACTGCCGCAGTTCGGGAATGTCGCCAACGAACACCGAGGCGCTGTAGTGCTGTGCCTTGAACTTGATCTCTATCTGGGTTTCGGTACTGCCTCCAATGATCTTTGCAGATGGAAACGCGCTCTTGATCTCGAGTAGCTGCGCCAGTGTCACCGGCCTATACCACTTCTTCCTCTTGGTTCCAAAAGCGAGCGGCTTGAATTCATGCTTCCGTAGCTGGGGTGGGAAAATGAGCTCGGTATCTGGCTTGTACTCGATGAAACCAGGAGGCGTGAACTTCTTGATGGGCTGTGAATCGCCCTCTGCCCTATTGCTCTTGCAGCACCCTCCTCCATTTGTGCCATTCTCCATGCAGCATCCACTTCCACCGTTCGCCGTTGCCATCCCGCATCCTGCCTTAGCGCTGAAGCTCTGCGCTGCGTCTAATATCGGTCTATATCCTGTGCACCGGCACAGGTTGCCGTCGAATGCTTCTTCGACTTCGTGTTCGGAGGGAGATTCGTTATTTCGGAGGAGGGCGTAGAGGCTCATGACGATGCCGGGTGTACAGAACCCGCACTGGCTACCATTGCCCTTCGCTATCCGCTCCTGCGCCGGATGTGGGCTCTTCACATTGCCTATGCCCTCGACCGTTATGACGTGCTTGCCGTCTACACTGACTAGCGGCGCGAGGCATGCGTTTACAGAGGCGTGGTAGATCTTCTTGGTTGTGGGGTTGTATTGCGATACGACCTGTCCCTCTGTTAGTTCATACGTTCCTGGTGCATCCGTACACGTCTTGTCATGCTCATATGGGGCATTGCAAGAAAATGAGGAAGTGGCAAACGTACAACTGTGCAAGCACCGCATCCGCCTTCGGCGCATCCTAGCTTCGTTCCCGTGAGGCCAATGCCTCTCAGGTACTCTAATAGCGTGACCTCGGGGTCTGCTGTGTCTAATACCACCTTCGTCCCGTTAAGATAGAATCGAAGCGTGTCGTCGTAGGAGGACGTGACGGAGCTCAAGGAGTGTGACGCATCGTTGGATACCGCCGGCTGAGGCGACACGATGCCAGGTGCCATTACTGAAGGGTGGTGTACAATGAGAGCAGAAAGAAAATATTCTAGTCCTCTAGGGAGGGAAAGGTGTTTGTCTGAAGGGTATCAAGGGCCCCTCGAATGTGGGGAATGCAAGCTAGATATGACGCCCATGGCGAACATAGCTCTAAACCCCACTGGTCCAGGTGGAAAAAGCACCGAACGAATAAAATGGCTCACATCTCAGTCTTATCACAGAGCACAGAGGCTGCCCGCGGCAAGCCTGCGGTCCACCGTGTCCGCGTGCTGGAGCTCGGCGATGGCCGCTGCGGCCGATGCTGGTTCGCGGCTTATGGAGGGGCAAATGCGGCCGGGCTTCCCGCTAGTCGACTTGGGCCTAGCGCAAAAAGCAACATCAGATCGATCGCGCAAAGCTTCAACTCTGCACCCGACTCCTTCTCCTCGCCATCGGAGGCTGCAGTTTCCCAGGAGGCGATAACAAAATGCTACAAACACAAAAATACCCGCCCATGCCAGCTCATGGAAGACAATTCAATTGGCCTTGACCGGAACCACGCCTACCCTTTGCCGACGCCTTACCATCTTCCTGGGGGCTTCAATCATCTGGTTTGACGGCTTTGCCGATGAGTTGCGGGACGTTGAAGAGCTGATCAGCACACGCCGGGATTAGTCTTACAGGAGATACCTAATCACTAGCAATGGGGACGGCCTTGGCGGTGGGTCCCGGCGGAGGACGTTTGATCAATACCTGAGTCCCCCGCCGCACTTTGAGTTAGGAATTGATCGTAGTCTAGTGTACGAACCGACAAACGCAAGTACTTTCGATATTATAAGTTTTGATCTCATAAATGGCGTGCCTGATGCGCGACGGCACAACAAGCACCCATACGGAGTGTCCAATGGGCCCTACTGCCGCTTTTTACCTCGGTCCGCTTGACTATCCGACTATCTTATTAATTTCACGGTCGACACTAAAGTAGTTCATAGCATTGATCACTCTGGATCTCCACCCGTGCTCAAGCTCCACTCCGTCGTTTCAATAGCACCTATACCGCACCCACTACGTTTATCGCATCACATTACCACGCCACTCTCAGAACATGAGCTTTCGGATACTACCTACAATGAAGCGACTAGGATCGCCAACATCAAGGGATCCGTGCAGTAGTGCCCGCCTTTAGCTGCCGTCTAAGCCTTTTGAGTCTTCGGATGTCTTTTTCCGTCCTCCCGGAGCATTTGAGGCACTGCTCCCCGCAAACCACACAGAATCATCATATCGCAAAATGGACATCCAGGTAGTGCGCAGGACCAATGGGCTTCGGCCGAGATGATCTGCTTATACCCCGCTACCTGCAAGGTCTCTGGTGAATATGCGTTTCTCGACTTTCCGTTCCGTATCCCGATCTCTGATCCCGTTTTCAGTTATTCTTATAGCATCTATTCCTCGATTTAGCTTGATCGCATGAGTGGACCGAATCATGGCCGACGAGAAGACCGCTGCTGAATGCAGGTCCGAGAAAAGCATACCCGAGGACATCGAGAAAGAGATGGTGGGTGCAGCCGCAGTTGATGTTGAAACCGTCCAAACGGAGAAAGCTAGGCCGGCAGTACAAGCCAGTGGCGATCGAGCGGTCGTGTTGATGGATCTAGAGAATGGAATGGTAGGGTGGGAAAGTGCAGAAGATCCGGAGAACCCTCAGTGAGTGATCCATGCTCCGGCTTTCGAGCTCGCTAAGTAGTATCCAGGAACTGGACATGGGGCAAGAAATGGACACTCATGCTTTGGGTGGGGGCCATGTCCACGTTCTCGCCCATGGCATCCTCATTGTGCGCGCCTGGAACGTCCTTAACATTAGAAGAATACGACCTCGAATCCAAGACCCTCGGAACGCTCATGATCTCAATATACGTCCTGGGATACGCAGTCGGTCCTCTTTTCCTCGCACCGTTGTCCGAGATGTACGGCAGAACTCTCGTTATCAATACATCCGGCGCGTTCTTCAACGCTTTCCTGCTCGGATGCTCGTTTGCCCCGGACATGACGAGCCTGATTATCATGCGACTTCTAGCCGGGATCGGCGGGTCAGCGGTCATGACAATAGTGTCAGCCGTTATAGGAGACGTTTTTCAAGTGCATGAGCGTGCAGCAGCATCATGCATCGTCATTGGTACTCCTTCTTTGGCGCCAATCGGTGCGTCGGGCTTCAAATCTAAACCATACGAACTCTGACTAACAACTGGAAATAGTTGGGCCCATTGCCGGAGGGTTCATTTCAGAATACCTGGGTTGGAGATGGGCGTATTGGATATTGGTAATGGCCAGTGGTCCGCTGAATATTTTCATGATATTGTTCATGCAAGAGTCGAATCATCCGACTATTCTGGAGAAGAAGACGAAGCGGCTGAGAAAGCAACTTGGACGAGACGATCTGCATTCTCACTTGGAGATGCGATTACCGCCCCGCGAGGTGCTTGCTCGGAGTATTGTGCGCCCAATCAAGGTAGGGTTGGCTAAACGTTTCTGACATCCGTTGCTGAGGTTCGCTGTAGTTTCTCTTCAGGTCCCCGATCGCTTTCCTCGTCTCGCTATATGTCAGTGTTGTTTACGGGACATTATGTAAGTCCGGCATGAATAAACCACGGAGCATGCTGACCCCTAGAAGACCTTCTCTTCACTACAATACCAGATGTCTTTCAAAATACCTACCATTTCGATCTTCAATATACGGGGCTCGCATATATTGGCCGTAAGTAGCAATCTCCTATAGAAGCAATTTTATTACCACTGACATGATCGCTCTAGTTGGCCTCGGCATGTTCGTAAGTCGCATCTCGCACGTTCTTCGGACGGCTTGAACTCACCTCCCTCACAGATAGCCCTCGGCCTCATTATGAAGTACAACGACCGTACCGTCGTCCGCATGCGCGAAAAGAACAATGGCGTCTTCGAGCGTTCGTAACCCTTTAGCCCTCACCACCCAAGCTAACACTCCAAGCGGAAATGCGCCTCGCAACAACTATGTACTTCGCACCCTTCATGCCCCTCGCGCTCTTCATCTACGGCTGGACTGCCCGCGCCTCCATCCACTGGATCGTCCCCTGCCTCTCCTTCATCCCCTATGGCTTCGGTCTCCTTGGCATCTTCGTGCCCTGCCAGACATACATGGTTGATGCGTTCTTGGACACGGCTGCATCGGCGGTGGCTGCTTTGGTGTGCTTGAGATGTGTTTTTGGGGCGCTGCTGCCGCTGGTGGGACCGAGTGCGTATGAGAAACTGGGATTGGGATGGGGGAACTCGGTGCTAGGGTTTATTACGTTGGCGGTTACGCCGGTGCCCTTTGCGTTCTTGAAGTGGGGTGGATGGATTAGGAAGAGGTATCCGGTAGTAGTATAACAGGTAAACCTACCCCCATTTAGCGCTAACCTCTAAGGTAGAGCAGGGATCTTTCCTATCTTGTAGTAGTAACTAATAACTTTGTAGTGTCCTATTTCGCGACGTCACACTGCTGGGGACACATACCAAAACGCCATTTAGTTTGATAGCAAATACGTAAAGGAAAAGTACTAGTTAGTACTTATTAGGCTGTATTTATAGAGTAGATAGTACCTCTATGTTACTTTCTAGTTAGACGGAGCGCAGCAAACGTAAGAGAGGGAGAAATACAAGAGAGAAGATAATAGGTGCCTAACTTCTCTAGCGTAAGTAGATAGTGTGCTTCTAGAAAGCAACGCAAGGGTGCTTCGAAGTTAACAGGGGAAGCGTAGGCAGAGGCCGCGTTTATTCTAAAGGACCATGCTAATTCTCGGCAAGGTCAAGAGGGCTTGAAGATATTCGAACGCTTTCTTCATTTCTAGTACTACAGGACGTGTAATTTAGGGCATACTAGTGATTCCCGAATACCCTGCCAAGGGATTCGCACGGATCCCGATCCGTAACCAGAGAAGTGTCAGTCCGACAATCCGGCGGCTAGGGGCAGTCAAGACTAGCGGCGGCGAATCTGGTCCAAGGGGTCGCGAATGGAGTCCCCGGTTGCATTCCGCTCCCTAAAACCCGCGCCACGGCGGTGACGGTGACGGCGACGGCGACGGCGGCCAATACCAGCGGCGACGACATTCCACTCACAATATAGAATCGTGAGCACCATAAGCGGCTCGGCGCAACCGCAGTCGTACTTCCCTCCACGGTCCCAGTCGAAGCTCGCCACATCGTAGGCGGCCCACTCATCCTGCTCCTGAAGTCCATGCAATGCCTTACACCGATAGCAGCACGCCTTTGGCACGAAATCGCCGCTAAAGGCAAATACCGGGATGCTTGGATTCCTTAGAACATCGGGCTTCCAACCGTGCCTCTGCTTGAGGGTTGCTTCGCGGTGTACACGGAGCTTTTCGGTTCTGCCTTCGACTCCCCTACCGCCGGCCCCGCAATGCTCCTCATTCTCTTTTAGATTCGCGTTTTCCTGTTTCATCGTTGCTAAGAATGACTGGAGGACTGGGTCTCTTCCGGCTAGTGACTTTAGGTACGCATCTCGGAGTTCCTTGTAGATTCTGCGCAAGTACGGCACGTCAAAGACGGGGTTCGTATAGCCAAACATCATCTTATCCCCATAAAAGCCCGCTGAAAATGTCCGCGAGGAACCTTGGAATTCCCCGAGATTGAGTGGGGCATAAACGACGTTGAAGGGCTTTTCGAAAGACCGCTTTGCCTCTATTCCATTAATTAGTCTGCGTATATTTACACAATCAAAAGAGGCTCACTCTTAAGCTTGTCTTTGAAGTTTTTGACAGTTGGAGATCTGGCCACAAGGTCTGTGTACACTAAGATCCCGAATGGCGAGCGGGCGGGAATGCGGCATGGTACCTTTTTCCCGTCTGCAGCAAACGCATCGCGGAGATCTGATAGCGCTCGCTCCGCCGAAGCAACGGCCTTTGGGTGTCGTTCGTCGTCGTTGAAGATGTCACTGCTCTTTCGCACACCCTCGCGCACCACTTCGACCATCCCTTTGACCAGCTCGAGGAGAAACAAAAGCGCATCCTTAAATTCCGCCATAGCGTGTCCCCGCTGTGCGTCTAGCGTTGAGATTCCCGCTATGATATTCTTGTGTCTCTCGGCAACTTCGAAAAGCTGATTGATCATCTTAGCGACATCGTCGATGCCGAACCCGTCACGCTCTTCTGGGCGGATGGTAATGTTAGGCCACCGCACACGTGAATCTAGCTGATACAGATTCAGATTCGGGGTAGGTGGAGGTGGAGGTCGGTTAATATCGTCTTCCATAGCACGGTATTGGGCAGCGCAAGCTCGTGTAGATGCGACGGCATCTTCTTCCAGGGAAGCATTGGAATGCGCCGGAAGTCCGGTAATGCCGTCTCGCGGGCCGCGATCAAGTTCGTCGAGCATATCCGCCGAAAGGGGTCCAGGAGCAGCTGACGGTTGGGAATCTGAAAGACAAAATGGGATAGCGGGGAGGCGCGAAGCACGTAGCTAAATTTGGGCCGGTAGCGCATTAAGATATTAGTTCTTCGGTTTATCAGGTCCTTTTAGCTTTCGCTTTAGCATGACTCACGGTCGGGCCAGCGAAAGAGATTCCCGGAGCATAAGTGTTCACTATCCATCACGGCAGCGCGGGCCATCCTAGAATCAACGATGTTGCGCGGATGCCCAGGGATCTGCGGGCGGAAGAGATAGTCAGCAAACTGTGACTTAAACTTTAGTTGGACACGTGAAGGCCTTACCGCTGAACCCCCTCCTTGAAGTCAAATGCGGCGCATAGCTTCGTTCAGTGAGCAGTGGGTTGACAAAAGGTGCGGGCCGGATAACCGCACGCCACCGCTTCTGTTGGCACGATTTTTTGCTCTGGGGGTTACAACTGCCCAAGGTCTTTCACTAACTCTTTGTCTCCTTAACAATCGCACGCACGACTGAAGTACCCATCAGAGATTCTTTGCGACTCTGCACGGTTCTGCCTCTTCGCCTGCAAGTATCAGCAGGCTGAGTATTCCAATGCCTTTTTAGTGATGCTTAGACTTACTCTATTTCTGGGATATCAAAACGTGGCCACTACATAGGGGCTCATATTGATGTTGCGGGTCCTCTTTCCTTGCGGATTGAACTTCATGACCAGCTCAACCGCAGGAGCTTAGCTGGTTGCGCCAGAAATCTCTCATCTTGAACTGTTACTCAGAACCCTACCTCTGATCTCGTAGAGGTGTAAGGTCTGATTTGGGTAGCTGTGGCGGCCAGATACATAGCAGGTCAATATAGGAAATACTCTTCCATGAAAGTTGATTGCGTTATCGAGATGCAGACTCGTCCAGAGCTGAGAGGTTACGTCGTCATTATCGTCAAGGGGCTACTATCGCTCAGGACCGACAGTGCGTTGCTAATAGAAGTCTAGAAGGCGTGGAGTGGAGCCGTCAAGGAGAGACTCACCTAAGGCGCGCAGCCTAATCAATATTGACTTAGACGGCGACAAGATGTTGATATCCGTTCTTGTGGCTGTCAACGCTTCTATGTTCAGGAGTCTTACTGCGAGATCTCGAGCACGGGACAGGATGGTAAGGCGAGAGTGATGACGTCCAAAACCATATCCAACTGCACACTTGGAGTCTTTTCCGTAAGTTCGGTGGAGCTGGTCTGCGGGGTTGCGGCGTCAGCTTCGGAGAGATCATGGAGGTCCAAGTTAAGGCTCACCAACATGCGCGTCGAAAAATACCACCCGCGAGAGCATAAGCGGCGTCCTAGATTTTTGTCTTCACGCCTCAACGGACAATCCGGTTGTGTGCGCTTTGTTCAATGCGGAAATCATGTCGGCTGGGAGCTTCTGGATGTTGCCGAGCGGGTGAACGTTGTTTTCGGTCGTTTGAATGTTTCATCACTCGTCTCACTGACAAGTGCGAGCTTTTCGTGCGCGACGTTTGCCCAGGATATGCCCACAACACTCTACTCAGACAGCAGCAGCGGCTAGAGGAGCTAGGCGTGCAGTCGATGTTTCCAGTTGCGCAGCCGCAGCAGAGGGCACATCGACATGGCCTCGATCTCCGAGATGTTTGCAACCCCCGCTAGCCCCTCTGCCGGTAGTAAAGGACTACGTACTACGGGCGCATAGTCTTCCGTGATTTGGGCCTAATTCGCACGATAGCTAGAAGAGGTCGTGCGAGGCGGCATTTGCTTAGCCCCAGAAATGATACCACTAAGCACAGCACGATGGTGCTTGAAGATATGGTCGACCACAAGGGCCGGCTGTTGCATGGCATCCTAGTGCCAAAGCAGAATGCCTGGGTGGGCAGTACGATAAGACTGTACTGGAAGTGCTGATGGCATGAAGCTTATGACTCTAGAGACGATAGCGGTGTTGGTTTGCTCGCGTCGTAGTGGACCTCGAAGTCGACATGCAGGCCCACAGCCTCATCCCATCCATGAGGGAGATCAGAGATCGGTATCAAGTCGTTTGCCAACGTTTCCTAGTTCAAGACCCTCACGATGAGATCCCTCAAGATGAGGCACCGGTCTGACTATAACATCGAGCGTAGTGATGGCCTTAATCTCCTTAGGTAATATGCCTAATTTTCGTCCCACTCGGTAGGAGCTCGATAGTGTCGCCGGCATCTCCAAGAACACGTGCGTGTACACTGTCCTGGGCGACGAAGCTCTCGGTGACGGGTTGGCCCTAAGTGACACTGCGGTGCTGAACTCGGTGCTCATATTCTTTGCCGCATGCTCGAGGAGTTCGGTTGACCTCGACGTCATCCTCGACTTCATAGCGAGCATGAAGCCGAAGCTCGAGCAGTCGCAGTTGGGGTAGAAGGTTGTGTTGAAGTTTGTCTCCCAAAGTCTTGCATGTCATACTCATCCGTTTAGTTGGCTTTAGCCAGGTGTCTACGCCGTTACCGCTAGTAGGACTGCTCATCGCTATCTTCTCGGCAGGCAGGGTAATGGGTCGATAGTACCGTTGGTCGTGGCACTGGAAGGGGATAGGTTGACAAAGGGAGCAGGAGGAGAGCTTTGCAGGGTACCGGGTCTGCGTGGTCGAGATGGTGTGGTATTTTTGGCAGTGAAGGGCACCTCAATCCACTCAATGATATATGAGGCAGGGTAGACCATCGGAAACCATCTTTACGGGCTTAATGATGACCTCCATGATATCCACAGTTCTGGCACCCTTCATCCCTAGGGTCAATTAGGTCTAGAAGTCGGACTCAGGCCTGGGGACGGGATGGTCTTGGTGCTACCGCTGTCGAAGGATGCCTCCTAACACCGCGCTCCGTCCTCATACCCCTCCCATTTGGCCGCCGGCAGCTTTCTGACCTTGGTGTTGATGTAGAGGTTGTCTGCAAGTACGGTGTAGCCTCCGAGAGAGACAGTTCTTCATGAAGGCGGTAAGGAGGGACGCGAGCAGCATAGTTGTCCCTTATTGCGTAACTACCCGCCGAGATGCTCGTGCGGGTGAATATCGGCCGGTATCAACCGGGACCCCCTCGCCGTGCAGAAGGCCTTTGCCATCGCCATATAGTTGGCCGCCTGTGGACGGTTAGTACCAGCTCCATCATCGTCGACGTTTAGACTAGCTACTGCCGACCGGACCGCTCTGCGCCATCGATAACTCCCACGCAAACCCAACGTCACCTGATCTTGTCAGTTCGAGTCTTTCGGAGAGGATGGTGTAGGTGGTTGGCGACTACACCTGGGGCTTGTTCGACAGAAACCTCGCCGTCACCGCAGCAAGCGTAGGTTCGAATCCTGCTCCTCTCTCAACTTTCGCCTTCAACGCTGCAGAATTTTCATTGCTGGACAAGGATCCTTCTTCATTGGGAAAGGACAGGCGGGGTAGCGGCCCACTTCCTTCAAGCAGCACCAAATTGAAGAACAAGAATAATTGTATAGCTCTCAGAGCCAGGCCAATTCAATGAGTTGAAGTCAAGTCAAGTCGAGTCTTTCGGGGCCAGCGGGGAGGTCGAGGCGTCCAGGTGTCGAAGTATCGAGTCCCGTTCTAGAAGATCGTCGGTCATCTGTTCGTGTCTAGGTGAGCTCGGCGAGCGGCTGCGGTCCGTGGGGAGCCGCCAAGTTGGTTTCGGCTGCAGTCCGTGCGCGGCGGCGCAACCGCGCAGGTCGTACTTAGCCTTATTCCTAACCCATCGGAGAACCGAAAGTAAACGTCGGCGACACGACTTCTTACCACGCCTCCTCTACCATCATGGCATCTAGCACCAAAGTTCCCCTAAGCTTCGAAGAATTCTGGGCCCGCCGCACTGAAGAGTACGCATACTTTAACGAAACAAGCCTACGCAACTACCTTCAGGTCCTTGTCCGCATAGAACCTGAGCCTATGGAACGCTCGAGCACTGTCAGAACAGTCAGTGGTATGCTACGTCTGTATGGGGGGACATGCCGTATGCATATCGGTCATGACGGCAGCCTAGAATACGCGCTGAAAACGTGGAGGGATCGAGATGAGGACGGTAACTTCAGGCCCTTAATGCGGTGGTTTGAGGAGGTGACTAGTGCCGTCTGTCTCTTCGTGGTTTCCACGCTGACCAAGTACAGATTACAGCTACGAGCAGCACTGAGCATGCCTCGGGGGTTAAACGCGGCTTTTTATTTCTTGGCCACGTGCTATCGCGGCCACGTGGCGGTAACGGCGACTGGACTGATACTAAGTCCTACTTGTGCTCCGAGCTCCTCGACGGCAATGCACCCGGAATGTTCTGGAGACTCGAGGACGCCGCACCCGAAGACGCTATTGGGGCATTGGAAAACACTGTGAAGGCATCTTTCATAGCGGAAGATGTCGTTGGTCTGGATGGGGATACCAACATTAACTCTGCACCTAAAAGCGAACTGTTGCTGAAGGCCTCTCAGCGGACGTGTCCGTAAGTACTGGGTTGTGATTGTGTAGTGTAATGAAGCATGATAAAGAAATTTGGGTCGCGTTCACTCGCGATACAACGACGTAAAATCATGGGGATAATAGGCGAGTTAACGGCCTCGGATCCCGTCATTAGCGAGGGTGGCCTGTTTCCTCCTTGCCGTCCTCACGGGTTAGTTTAATTAATAGTTTTAGCAAGCTGTGAGGGTCAATTCCCGACTACCTCTCGGGGACCCCTCGAGTCACGTGATAAAATATCTACATCGTTCCTCTCCGAGACTTCCATCCTCTTCAAGGATTAGTCTCATATCAATTCAGCCTGTTTACAGTCACTGAGCTCTCCTGCCACTACTGCCTTCACACAAGCACAGTTAATTTAAAGGCATCGCCTTCTACTATTCGCATCTAACGAGGCTGTTAGTTCCCTGTAGCAGGGGAGTTTCCGAGGGCGGATATTAGAAGATTCGATATTTAACAGGACCTGACAAGGGCTGCGCACGTTCCCCCTTAGCGCGTAAAGGAGTTTCTTTAAAACTATCCCTACTTTAAAGAGAAGTCTTTTAACAACAAAGGGAATTCTTTAAAATACTAAAAACACCCTCTCTAATTCGATATTTTCTCTTTAAAATAAATAACTTTTCTTTATAATTAAAAAAGATTTATTAAAATAACGTACTTTATCATCGAACCGACTATATTATCGAGCCGACCACTTTCTCTTAGCAACGAAAATCAACGAAAATCAACCCGTTTTTCTTAAATAACTAAGCAAAACCTTAATATTTTTCTATAAAAATTTATATATATATTCCTTATAGTATATTACACCTTATATTAAAGTTGCACTAGAATATATTACGTAATTAAAAAGCTATACGTATTAAACTAACTTTTAAGAAAAAATCTACTTTACTTCTAGTAAGTAGTATTATATCTCTATAATAATATATAAAACTTATAGTATATAGTATCTATAACGTAATAAAGGTTTCTAGAAAACTTTTATAAAGCTAGCTCTTCTAGATATAGCGTAATAAGAGATAGAAGTTAGAAAAATATCTTTATTAGAGTTTTCTCTTCTAACTATAGATATATATAGTTAATCTAGCTATATAAACTTATTATTTTATAAATTATAGTAGGCTTTAACTATATAGAGCTTATTAACTAATAATATACTAGCTTTAAGTAGTTATATAAAAGTAAAGCCTTTTTAGTAGTATTATAAGAGCTAGGTCTATAGTCTCTACTACTATAAGCGTCCCCAAACACCTAGCTAGGTAAGTTAGCTACAGGCAGCACTGTCTCTACAAGCTGTAAGAATAAGAGGTGCTAGCAGAGTAGGTTAGGTTAAATTTAGCTATCTAAAGGTAAGAAGTAGAGAAAAGGCTCTAAAAGGCTCTATATATAGAGGTACTAAGCGCTAAGACGCTAGGCTAGGTTACGTAATAAGATTATATAACCTAAGGTTATATAACCTAAGGTAAATCTCTAAACTAGACTATTATATTACTCTCTCTTATAGAGAGAGCTTATCTCTAAGCTCTAAAATATACCTTCTAGGTTTCTCTTCTTCTAAAACTCTTATATTATACTCTCTACTATCTCTTTTAGCTTATAGTAAGTATATTTGTGTTAGTTTTAAACTAAAAGCGCTTTTATAGCTACTACCTTTTCTCTAGAAAGAAAGAGGCTTATTTTCGCGTTAGTAGAGCGGCTTTCTTACTAGCTTTCTTCTTAAACTATGCTATAAACTTAGCAGAGTTCTAAATTACTTAGTAGCGTCTTTGCGTTACCCTTGCGTCTTCTACTCTTACAGGTTTTAAATTCTCCGCTATCTTCTCTAGAGTCTTCTCTTTTTTATACGCCTTAATCTAAGTATCTAATTATAATAGTAGCTCTAGCTTCTCTAGGTATACTACGTAAAAGTCTCTTACTTTATAGAAAGCGTTAATAAAGCCTATAGTATTATACTAGGTAGAGTTAGAATTATAAGTAACTTACGCAGCGTAGTATTAAAGGCGATTTTAATAAAGATAGCTATCTAGAATTTTATATACAAGCTATTCTAGATTACTATTAACTTTAATAGGTAGCTACTTAGACTCTACCTACTCTAGTAATAGCTCTAAGACTTTTTTTAACTAATTAGTGTAGAAGACGTTATGTATATGTATATACGTAGGTAGCTAGAGCTAGAAGAAGTAACTCTTTATAGTAATAATTAGGTAAGAGCTATATATCTATTAATTTAGCTTTATACTAGACTAATCTATTAAAAAGCTATAAGGTTTAATATAGACAAGGTTACCTACTATAAAATTAGGTTTTTAGCGCTTTTTATTTGCTTAAAGCGCCTATCTAGCTTGCGCTTTTACAATATTACTTTGTGTAATTTTAGTAGCTTTTTCTACAGCGTTGTATTGCTTCTTAGTAAAATTCTAAGCTTTCTAGCGTAAAAAACGCTTATATAGTATAGAGGCTTTTATTATATACTTCTTCTAATTCTAGTAGTATATTAGCTAGTATCTAAATTTAATTTTATATACTATTAGTTCTATAGTTTTATATAGCAATATAGCTTATACCTAATCTATATAGAGTAGAAGGTCTAACTAATTATTCTAGTAGTAGTTAATAAATAGACGTAGACGCTAATTAAGATATTAATTAATAATCTCTATATTTCTATTAGTTTGTAAGTAGTACGTAGTAGAGAGCTTCTACTTAATTTCTATAAGCTAATAGAGCTTATCTATAAAGGTAGAGGTAAACTATAAGCTATAATCTAATATAATAGATCTAGAAGAACTATATATATACTAGATATATTAGTAATATAGCTCTACTATACGTTAAGCTATAATTTTCTTATAGTAGAGTAGAGAGAAGCTCTACTTACTTAGCTAATTTATAATAACGTATAC